AATTTCTGTTGTTCTTTTTCTGTTCATATTTAGAAACAACCCTGACCCCGGCTACCACCGGGTTTTAGGCATGGCTGCGACCACATGTCTACTTGTTGCGCTCGCATGTCTACTCGCTCAGCCTCCGTCCTCGCATGGTCCGCCGGTGGTCGCCCCCCACGCTCAACCCACAATGGATTCACAGCCGTTTACCAGTGAACCCGTGCCTGCGACGCACGCGGTCCCCACGACCCCCACAGTGGGCCCACTCGTTTTTTCCGTCTTTCTTTCTGATGCGCTCACAAGCGGACATACAAAAAGACGCACAGACGCCTCTTGTTTTTTATAAGTAAGAAAGAAATAGTTTTTACTCTGTTCACCCCGATTCTTGTCCATTATTCTACTTGTTTTTCATTTTCTCGCCCATTTTTCACCGATATTAATGTATTTAATTCGCTCCATAATCTCGCTTCGTTTTAAATCACTGTGCAAACCAGATGACTATTGCGAAACCGCCTCTTCCAATTCAAATTATTTCCTCTTCCGCCACTTTTTATTCAGATGGCCGCCCGTATTTTAACCAGAAGCTATCGCTTTTACTCATCGATTCCATCTGCAAATCGAATGTTTACCGATGAAGAGTGAGTGCTAATTAAATATCTGAAAAATTCCCAAAAAATTGAAGAGTAACGCAGTTTTGGAGCTGAAGCGAAAGACGGAAAATGAAATTGCAAAAATGGTTGCTGATTTTAATAAGCAGCGAGAATGGGGAGCGTGAGTGATTGATTTTCTATTCAAACATCCGAAACTATAGAATTTCAGAGCTCCTTTGGTAGAAGTGAGCGGACGCATTCCGGCAGCCAGTTGGTTTCGGCAGAGCAAAAAAGGACAGAGATTCGCGGATTCTGAGCAAGTGGAGCAGCCGATTGTGAAGATCAGATGGGCCAATTCGCCGACACGGTTTATTTCTGTTGAAATTTGAGAAATTATGGGATATTCGTCTGAAATCATAGAAAAAGGAGTCCGGCTTCAATTCGTTTCGTGCTTGGTGCGATAGAGCGCACTTACTGACCACTTGCGCGTTTGATGCAAAATTCATTTCCAAACTCATTTTTCTTTTAAACTTCGCTTCTAAGTACGATAAAAATAGACGTCAAACTTATAAAAAAGCAAAAGGTTTTTACTTGCAGCGATGCGGACATTCTACTGCCGGATTTTGAGACGCTCTACTCGGCCGAGGTGAAAGCGGTTCTTTACGGAATAATTCAAGCGATTGATTACAAAGAAACGAAAATTCGTTTGCAAAACTCGAACGAGGTCGTTGTAAAGGTGGCGAACGGACGGTACAAAGCTTCTAAAGGTACGTTACGAGTGATTTTCAGTCAAAACTATGAATTATTCAGAAAGCGCCAGATTTCATCTCATCAGCCAAATTGTGAACAGACGCGGCACAAAAAGCAATAAGACCCAGTTGAAGGTATGTTTTTGAGAAGGTTTTTGTAAAAACAATCTGGTTTTTCAGGCAAAAATCGAGAAGCTTGGCGAAAACGACAAAGGAATTCGTCGGATGGCGACGGTGACGATGACGGAGGCGGAGTTCTTCGAGAAGTATAAAGATAGCATTGAAACTTTGAAAAACTACAACTAACAATAAACATTTGCAAAATCTACATCGAATTTTTTGTGTTTATCCCTCCAGATTGGTGCTATCCACCCGAATACTCTATTTTCACACACACACTCTTTCTCGCTTAAAATGCTGTGAAAATCTTGGCAGATGCTCTACATTCGACGAATTCTGCTCCCACACGTACCATCCACCTCTTCCAAAAGTCCGTTTCTGCTAAATTTCCGATGGATTCACAACCGAAACGAACTCGGACGAACGCGAAGATTCTCGACGGTTCCCGATCATTTTCAGGACAATTTACAGTTCGTTATCAGACTTCAATCTGCAGAATCTAAAGAATAATCTTTCAGAAAGTTTGTGAAAGTGGCCACAACCGGCTACTCATTCCTCGATTCCGATGGCAAACGGATCGCCAAGTACGGTATTTACTGGGGAAAAGACGATCCGCGAAACGGGATCCGAACGCTTCCGGCCGGTCAGAGCCACGTTGCAGCTGGGCTCACGGCCATTCTGGAGGCGATCAACGTGGCAAGAGAGGAGGATCCGCCGCCGCCGCTCATGATTTATTCGGATTACGAACTGTGCGAAACACTCCTCCGCGACCTGTCCGGATGGGCGAAACGGGACTTTTATCAGCGGAACCACGAACTTAAGCTGAAGAATGCGGCGGTTCTCAGCGATCTTTTCCTGGCCGTTCAGGGACTACAACTGAAAATAGTCTACAAACAATCGAGAGATGCGGACAGTTCGAAGAATCGAGTGGCGACGGCGATTATGGAAGGAATTCAGAAGAAAATTGACGCAAATTTGGATAGAATTCGAAGGGAAGGAGACGAGAAAGGAAAGAAAGAGTACTGTAGAGCAGAGAATCCGGTGGAACTGGGCATGAGAATTGGTGAGGGAAGAATGAAGAAGTTGGAAGAAAAATAGAGTTCAGATGACGTTGCAGGAGCAGAAGAAGGGATGATGGCGGATAAGGAGGGACGGACAGTGACTGGCAGGAGAACGGACTGGTCGGAAGTATACGTAGCGGCCAAGTGCGACACGAGAGACGGTGGATTTGCTTGTGGGAAAGAAAGACATGAGAACGCAGTTGTAAAAGTTGATTATGTTTATTAGAAGTTATTAAAGTAGAGTTACATTATTATTGCGAGGTATTAAAAGAATTACAACGGATGACATGAAATTAAAAACAGTGATAATCATTAAGCAGAGGGTTTGATATTCTTGGCCAGAGACGGATTGTAGAACGGATTCTCGATGAGAGCGACCTTCCTCTTCTGCTGAGCATCCTTCATCTGAGCAGCGACGGTGGGCATGTAGAACGGGTTGGCGACGAGTTTGGACGGTGACGTCGTCTTCGAAGAGCCGGCAGATGTGGGAGGCGTCGTGATTCCGCTGGCAGCAGTGGAGGAGCTACGGGAAGTTCGCAAGTAGAGTGGGATGCGAGTTGGCGGAGAGTTGGAGACAGAGCGGCTCTCGCCTTCCGAAGAAGTGCCGAGGTCAGAGTCGGAGTTGCTCCAGTAGCCACACCTCGCGAAGATGTCGTTCTTGGATTCCACGTGGAGCTGACGTCGGATGGCGGCACGACGGGCTCTTCGCTGCTGTCTGGCCTGTCTCGCGGCCTCCATCACCTTCTGCTTGAGCACTTGGAGCCGGTAGTCGGCCCTTCTGCCCTCCATGAAGTCGTACATGTTGCGGGCGTGCTGGTCCAGGTCTATCTGCTGGTAGACGTTGAGACGCTTGTTGCGGGGGAAGTAGACGAACTGGTAGGACGACATAGTTGGTGAATACGTGGAAGGTATTGGAAAGGAGAAAGAGAGAGAGCGGAATGGAGCGTGTGTTCGGGTGAACGCAAATTCCAAAATGAATAGTCCGAGGGACGGTCCTTTCTGTCTGCGCACATTCTCCGCCTTTTCGCCCCGCCCCCTTGCCGTTCCATAAATGTGCAGTATACTGTGGGAAGGGGTACTCAGGTGCACATGTACCATAATTTTAGGTGAACATACCATAGAGAGTTGTAAAAGTTTATGAGTGGAAAGATAGCTCGTAGGCGTAAAAATAGATAGAAATTATGATTGGGAAAGTAATAAATCCACTGGAAAACATCTGATATTTGCAGATTTTGTATCCGCCGGTTACTGTACTCACTGGCCTGATGGACATTTCGGAGGCGGCAGCTCGTTCCGATTCGCTCCCTACCCGGTGACTCTGTTCAGAGCAGAACTCGCCTCCATCGAAGAAGCGCTGAAACAAGTGGCAAATCGAAACAAACAATAACAATTGAGTGTTCATTTTCAGGCAGTCGATGCGAACATTCAAAAAGTGACCGTAATCACCTCTTCTGTCCACTTCATCAACGCCTGGCGACGTCGTTGGATGCGTGCTGGCGACGAGAAACTGCCGTACGCGAACAAGATCTTTTACGAGAGAATCTGCGATCTGTGTGCTCGTCTGCAGCAAGTACACTTTCGGTACGAAGAGCAGAAGGAGAAGACGGAGATCGGAAAAGAGCTGGAGAAGAAGTGCACGGAGGGATTGTCGTACGGACTCGTGGGCAAGGACACTTCGGAGTACGACATGAGGATTGCGGATATGACGGGGGAAAAGGAGTATCGGCAGGAAGGGTAATTCGGATGAGAACGTTCAGAAGTGATGAAAGGATGTCTTTTCAGAGTTCCGATCGTCCGGCTCTTCAAAACGGGCACCGATTTGAATGCGGGCTTCGCGTGGGAAGGAGAAGAAGCAGTCAGCTGCTGCGGCACTCCGAAAGTGCTCATCCGAATTCTGGAAGACGCCGTCGCTCGTGATCATTCGATGATCATCATCCGTGCAGACTCCGAGAAGCTTATCAAGAGCTACGAAGCATTTGTGGAGGTGTGGCGAAGGAACGGATGGCGCAACTCGCAGCACAAACGAATTGGGAAATCGGCAGAATGGGAGAAGACGTGGCGGCTTAAGCAGAAGGTGCACGTGTGTTGGGAACTGATGGAGACGCCCGACGAGCAGGATCGGATCGAGAATCGGAGGATCCCCGAGTGGAAGACATCTTGATAATTGCATGATGTTGGTTAAAGCCTGTCTCAATTTTGAAATGAAAAATCGTTGAATTCTTTGAAATATGTTGACTATAGTCTGTGTTCCTGTTTGAATTCGTAAAAACGAACCATTTATCTGCTGTTTTTGCAATATAAAGCGCAAATGTTCAGCGTATCGACGGACATTTCGCCGTTTTGCACAAAGGCGCCGCGGATACCGAGACGCGTGCTCGAAGGAAAAGCGGTTAGTTGGACAGAATGGAAAAAACTTCTCCGCCCGCCATTTTTTCAGATTCTCTCCGTCTGAAATTGAAATCTACTGAAATTAGCAAGCAAGAAAGACAGAGTTGTAAAACTCTGCTCTACAATTTTCTGTCAGTCTCTCTCCGCGCGGATTCGGTTTCTTTTCCAATCAATACCGGTAAGCCATTGAGTACAGTAACCGGCGGATACAAAATCTGCAAATATCAGATGTTTCCCAGTGGATTTATTACTTTCCTAATCATAATTTCTATCTATTTTTACGCCTACGAGCTATCTTTCCACTCATAAACTTTTACAACTCTCTATGGTATGTTCACCTAAAATTATGGTACATGTGCACCTGAGTACCCCTTCCCACAGTATACTGCACATTTATGGAACGGCAAGGGGGCGGGGCGAAAAGGCGGAGAATGTGCGCAGACAGAAAGGACCGTCCCTCGGACTATTCATTTTGGAATTTGCGTTCACCCGAACACACGCTCCATTCCGCTCTCTCTCTTTCTCCTTTCCAATACCTTCCACGTATTCACCAACTATGTCGTCCTACCAGTTCGTCTACTTCCCCCGCAACAAGCGTCTCAACGTCTACCAGCAGATAGACCTGGACCAGCACGCCCGCAACATGTACGACTTCATGGAGGGCAGAAGGGCCGACTACCGGCTCCAAGTGCTCAAGCAGAAGGTGATGGAGGCCGCGAGACAGGCCAGACAGCAGCGAAGAGCCCGTCGTGCCGCCATCCGACGTCAGCTCCACGTGGAATCCAAGAACGACATCTTCGCGAGGTGTGGCTACTGGAGCAACTCCGACTCTGACCTCGGCACTTCTTCGGAAGGCGAGAGCCGCTCTGTCTCCAATTCTCCGCCAACTCGCATCCCACTCTACTTGCGAACTTCCCGTAGCTCCTCCACTGCTGCCAGCGGAATCACGACGCCTCCCACATCTGCCGGCTCTTCGAAGACGACGTCACCGTCCAAACTTGTCGCCAACCCGTTCTACATGCCCACCGTCGCTGCTCAGATGAAGGATGCTCAGCAGAAGAGGAAGGTCGCTCTCATCGAGAATCCGTTCTACAATCCGTCTCTGGCCAAGAATATCAAACCCTCTGCTTAATGATTATCACTGTTTTTAATTTCATGTCATCCGTTGTAATTCTTTGAATACCCCGCAATAATAATGTAACTCTACTTTAATAACTTCTAATAAACATAATCAACTTTTACAACTGCGTTCTCATGTCTTTCTTTCCCACAAGCAAACCCACCGTCTCTCGTGTCGCACTTGGCCGCTACGTATACTTCCGACCAGTCCGTTCTCCTGCCAGTCACTGTCCGTCCCTCCTTATCCGCCATCATCCCTTCTTCTGCTCCTGCAACGTCATCTGAACTCTATTTTTCTTCCAACTTCTTCATTCTTCCCTCACCAATTCTCATGCCCGGTTCCACCGGATTCTCTGCTCTACAGTACTCTTTCTTTCCTTTCTCGTCTCCTTCCCTTCGAATTCTATCCAAATTTGCGTCAATTTTCTTCTGAATTCCTTCCATAATCGCCGTCGCCACTCGATTCTTCGAACTGTCAGCATCTCTCGATTGTTTGTAGACTATTTTCAGTTGTAGTCCCTGAACGGCCAGGAAAAGATCGCTGAGAACCGCCGCATTCTTCAGCTTAAGTTCGTGGTTCCGCTGATAAAAGTCCCGTTTCGCCCATCCGGACAGGTCGCGGAGGAGTGTTTCGCACAGTTCGTAATCCGAATAAATCATGAGCGGCGGCGGCGGATCCTCCTCTCTTGCCACGTTGATCGCCTCCAGAATGGCCGTGAGCCCAGCTGCAACGTGGCTCTGACCGGCCGGAAGCGTTCGGATCCCGTTTCGCGGATCGTCTTTTCCCCAGTAAATACCGTACTTGGCGATCCGTTTGCCATCGGAATCGAGGAATGAGTAGCCGGTTGTGGCCACTTTCACAAACTTTCTGAAAGATTATTCTTTAGATTCTGCAGATTGAAGTCTGATAACGAACTGTAAATTGTCCTGAAAATGATCGGGAACCGTCGAGAATCGCGTACGCGTACGTTCTGAAAATCAAAAGTTTTGAGTAAAGCAATGGCTTACCGGTATTGATTGGAAAAGAAACCGAATCCGCGCGGAGAGAGACTGACAGAAAATTGTAGAGCAGAGTTTTACAAGTGATGAAAAGATGTCTTTTCAGAGTTCCGATCGTCCGGCTCTTCAAAACGGGCACCGATTTGAATGCGGGCTTCGCGTGGGAAGGAGAAGAAGCAGTCAGCTGCTGCGGCACTCCGAAAGTGCTCATCCGAATTCTGGAAGACGCCGTCGCTCGTGATCATTCGATGATCATCATCCGTGCAGACTCCGAGAATTACTGACAATATCAAGTCACTCCCTCACAGTTTGAACCTGAATCCCTTCCCATTAATCCTTCTTTTCCCTTCAATCTTTTCTCTCCAACTCCTTCTCTCCTGACCTACAAGAAAGAACACGTTTCGTTTTCCTCTTCCTCCAACTGACGTCATCGCGGGCTAACGTCCGGAAAAGGTTGAAATGCAAGCGGAGGAGAAGGGAAAAAAGAGCATTATACTAATTGTGTTTTCCACTACTACTTGCTTTTTCATTAGAGATCTCGGGATGAGATACTGTACTCGGGTGGCTCGAAAATGTACCCGTGACGTAACTTTTCACTCTTCAGCTTTCGATCTTTTGGTTCGCATCACAAGACATGATGCAAATTTTATTATTTATTGTTTGGTTGAATTAATTTTGTCCGCGCTCTCGCCCGACCCACATCATCATGCGCATTTTGCAATAAAACAATGTGGGTCAAAGTCTAGCTCATCAAAAATTGATGATTACTGTAGTTTCCCTACACTCATTTCCCAGAATCCGTGTCACGTGTGCTTTTTTGACAAAAATATCCACTTCCAGGAAGTGCCTCAATCTCCGGATTTCGCGTCAGATGATCTGCGTTTGAGCTACATCTATTTTCAATTCTAATCCGGCCAATGGGAATCAAAATCCATAATATCACGACATTAAAGTTATTTTGGTATTTAGTTTACTGTAAGTGCCCACAATTTCATCTGTACAATGTACAGTGTACATCACGTCATTTCTCTCTTGTTGACCGCAAGAATCATATTTTGTGCTGATAGTTTAGGAATCGAAAGGCTCAAAATACGAAATAAACCTTTCGTATTTAAAGGCGACTATTATTGACCCATTCATGTAGACCTACAGTAGCCGTTGGAAAATAGACCTACTTTGAAGGTGTTCAACTGAGCCAGAACTTCATTTTACCAGTTGACAGCTTTTTTTGTGCAAACACTCGGAAGGGTGATTTTATAGAAAAGTTGTGCATCCTCCTTTCGGGTGAAAAGAATCCACTGGTTCGTTGGTTTCGGCGGGTTTCCGGAAGAACGGCTATAAATAGACGACGCAATTTCATTTTGTTTCCGGTCAACCGACCGATTCTGACGCCCACAAAAGTGTCAGGAGTGGCCCTCAACCGGACGGACCTTCTTCTTCCGCTTCTTCTTCTTCTTCTTCTTCTTCTTCTTCTTCCGAAGATCTCTTTTTCTGAAACTACGAATCGCGTCCCCGCGTACATTTTTGCTGTAAACCATTAAAAATGCATGTTTCTAACTCTACCTGATTTGACAAGTCTGTCCGCTTTCGTCGCTCTCGTCATAACGTTTCAACTTTATCTACTTTCCAAGAATTCTAGCTCATTCATTGTGACCTTTCAAGTTTCCAGTTCAGTGTTTTCCGCCAGTTGACATGAAATGTTCAGGCACTCACTCGCTCCGAAAGGTCAGTTCCCCGCCGTTTTTCTTTTGACTCCTTGTTTTCCTTCCAGAAAACCCGATGAATAACCGGAGTAAATCACTAGAAAAACGATTCCGGAAACTTATTAGCACCTATTGTTCTAGATACGGGGTTTCTAGGAACAAGGAGCAATTCGAGTTTGAGACCGTTGGAACCTAGGCGTCTTCTAGGCCACGGCCACGCCATCCCACACTTCCTTCTGCTCTTCATGACTCAACCATGGGTACACAACTTGCACCGGCCCACAATCCAATTGCTTTCATTCGATTTATCACCTCTCGCCCACGCGTTCCCGGCTGTTTGTCACAACTTTTTGAAGGCTTCATTTACACGAATGACGATGACGTTCGGAGGAGGAGAAGACGGAAAAAACGTCTAGAATTCTAATGACTTCTTGTATTTTGATGAGGGCGAGAGATTTCCGAACGTTTTTAGTGGAATTACGGTAGCTTGAAGAGTGTGCGAATTGTCGTTTGATGTCGAGCACAAGGAACGGAATGCGGATTCTCTCGGATCTGGTGCCGAAGTTTAACCGGTCCTCGAGAAGTAAACAAAAAGTAGACTTTGTCCTTTTCCTCTTTCTCATAACTTATTCACACCAATCTAATTTGAACCCCAACATGCTCAAATAGGCTCAATCGGTTCAGTCGGTTTCCAGTCAAAAACGGACTACTGTAGTTTTGTCCCCCTTCTTCCATCATCAGGTCCCCACAAAAGGAGACATTCTCTCTTTTTTTGGAATCTTCCGGAATGACGCGTTTTTGCGAGCCACGAGTACTCAATTATCCGTGCAGAACAAGAAGAAGAAGAAGAAGAAGCGTGTACTTTAGTTTGCCGGATAATGTTATTTGGGCGGTTGCAAAACGTCCCTTGTCTACAGTTGTCGCAACTTTGATTGAAAAAAGTCACGTCTCTATAAAATGTAGTTTGGTCCCATCCCTTTCAATCTGAAAATCTGCTCGAACATGTGCCCCTCTTCCTCCGTTTTCTGACGCCTTCCCTCGCCGATAACCCCCGGATCAAGTACTCGCACACGTCTCTCCCTCTCCTTCATCTGATTACTTTTTAATCTGTGATCGTTCGTTTTGACTCGATAAGGGGCTCAGCGGTTACCGTAAACCTTTCAACTTCTTCTCGTTCAAAACTACCAATTTAACGGCTAAATGATAAACAAAACTTAGCATAAATGTCTTTTGGAGAGAGTGGTAAACAAATTATTGTCGAAAAACACAAAAAATTCAAGCCACCTAGGGGACTCGAACCCCTGACCTTAAGATTAAAAGTCTCACGCTCTACCAACTGAGCTAAGGAGGCTCCGACGGCAGGCGACGCAAGTGTGTTTATAAGCGGCGTTGAAGTTCGGGCGGCCGGCGGAATGAAGGCGCCAGGCGCAGTGTTTTTCAGGGGATAGGGTCAAGGTACAAGGATTCTGAGCTCTTGAACGCAATGTAAATACTTGAGCATGAAGCTCAAAGGTCAAGTATTCATATAACCCCTCAATTTTCTGCCGTTTTTCTCAAAAAACCTTCAGAATCCTTTCAAGAAGCGGAATTTTGTTGTATTGAGCTTTTAGTGATCTTTTCGAACTATAATCTGATTTTAAAAAACGGTCAATTATTCGATTATTCGGGTGTTTGAGACCAAAATTAGACTGCTAATAGTAAGGTAGAAAAACACTGATATGATAAGGCCAAATTGTATCAGTTTTCCCGAATTAGTCACGCTCCTTCCCTTACCATCGCATATAGGTCACTTTTTTCCATCCAACATCTTTTCCACCACTAATTTAATATTAAGACCCTCTCTCTTTTGCACCTGTTTTTTCAGCAAAAACTTAAACTTTGTTTGACGCTTTGTGCGCGTAAAAGTATAAATAAATTGGGTTTAGAATAGAACGAAATTGAATAAATATTCGATTAGATACTTTTGCAACACTGCCCTTTTTTATTTTTGGGTCATTTACAATATCCGAAAATATCTCGAAAAAGAGAACATTGGTCGCCTTCGAATCGGCGATGCGAACGAAGAACTTCTCGAAGACAAAAGTGCGAGGCTCGGATTCGAATAAAAACAAATAATTAGAAAATTCAGACTGAGAAAATTTTAATATTTGAATATTGAAAACAATATTTTCGCTTTGATGATGTCATTAGTTCAATCGAGCCTATTTTGGGTCTCGCCACGAATGAAAGTTTTCAACATTCGTGCATTTTAACGGATTTCTTCAGATTTTTAAACATTTTCGTAAGTTTCTACGCTAGTTTTCCGTCAATTTAGGTCAATTTCATTCAGAATTCCTGATTCTGCGATTTTTGCCCCAAAATCGCTAATGGTAGGGGGTTCAAAGGCGCAGCAGAAAAATTGGAACATTTATATACAGTGTCGAGATTTGAATTTCCGCGAACGATCTATTTCAGTGTAGCGCGTCTGCATTTCTGGTTTTTTTGTTGAAAGTGACCCAAAAGCGTTCCCCAATTAGCCGTGCGCCCACGCGTGTTCCGGAATGTTCCGGGAATCACACGCACGTGGTTTTTTGCTATTTCCGTCCGCCCCGCACACCCTATTATCAACATTTTTCATTGTGCCGCCACGGAATGAATAGCCACGGAAGCGAACGTGTTTTTCCGTTTTTGTTCATTCAAGAAGCACATCATCATCGGCGTCATTCTGTGCAAAAAATGAGGAAGAAGGCGTCGGGGCGGCGGCTCGTTTCTTTCCGATTAATCCGTTTCGAAATGGGTCACAAATCGTACTAGTCTTCGAGAAGAAAAATGAGGAAAATGAGGAGAGAGAAAAGGCGCTATTTGCTATTCCGTTCACAATACACTCCACCTCGCACATCTCAAAGTATTTTTTGTTTTGTTCGGAATAAAAGTAAGGTGACAAATAGAGAAAAAGAGATTTCATCTCGATTTTTGAAATGTTTATTTGATTCTTAATGTGTGAACAGATAATTTTATTTAGAAAGGGATCGAAAGTTTGAGGTCACCTGAGCACAATTTCATTTCTAGTTTGTGCAAATTCGGTCGATGAGTTGAGGAGGGAAATGAACATTGACGGGTCTAATCTGAATTCGAATTGAAGAAAGTTTGTCTGTCCAAGCTTTTCAGTCCAAACTAAGCGGTTCTTGCTTTAAGAAATCAGCTTCTCGCGCGAAAAAGCGTTCGCAAAAACAATAACAGAAACAACGACACTCCGAAATTACGCATGGCGCCTGTTTAGCACAATTTCTCGAAAATCACTTTTAAAACATTTCTGTCCCCAATCCTCTTGTATAAATGCTTAAAATCCAAAAAAAAAAAATAAAACCTTTGGAAAAATGTCAGCTCAAACTGATATTATACACCAACAATCTCACGTTTTTCTGTCTGCCTTTCTCTTTCAAATGTCGAAAAGCGTACCGCCCGGAAAACACAACCTTTCGGCGGAAAGATCTGGAACTTTGAGCGGTGTGTTTTCGAAGATGGTCAAAAGTTGTTGAGTGTCCATTTCCCTAATTTCCCTAGAGTCTTGTCCCTTCTTTCTCTCTCTCTCTCTCTCTCCTTCAAATGCCAGAATCTGAGAACTGTAGCCTTGGGCTGGGGGTTCGTTATCAAATTAAATAGCCGCGAATGTCGTCATCGCCCATATCACTTCATAAAGACCATCATCCGAATCGGCCTGGGCGGTCGGAAAAGACGGAGAAATCCGGTGAAAACAGAGACACTCGCCACTATTCTCGATTTTGATCTGTTTTGCACGAGAGTGTCTACCGAAGATCTCGGTTGGCCGGCTGTTTTCCGTTTTTCCATCTGTCCCCCATCCAGGTGATCTTTATACCTATTCGACAACATTTTGAACTTGCTTAGTTATTTATTGTTTTTGTCCCTTTCGAAATGTCATCTCGAGCTCACCTTGAAAAAGGGCCCTTGACGATGAAATGTGTGTGTGATTTATAGGATTCGAAGGAGAGAAGGGAAGAATGGCACTTTAGCTCCCTCAGTCTCGAGTGTTTCCCCCTTGAAATGACGTGGCAAATGATCTATTTGGGTGGGCAGGTGACCCAGTCTAATGGTCGGGTTCGGATGTGGGTGTGACGTAGAGAAGCACGATTCGAGAGGGAAGTCTAGACACGTTCTAGGTTCTCCGACAAGTCATAATAACAGATTGTCAGGAATAGTATAGAGGTGCTGAACTATGATTTCGTTAGGTCGAATCTGACGGACTTAGAGCGAAAAGTTCGGAAATGGTCAACTTGTTAGTGACATGACGTCTAGATAGTCTCATCCAAACCGACTTCTAGGACCTGAGCTCTTCAGGCCAGAAGGCCTATTTCCAGGCCTGAAACCCGTTTTTAGAAACTGAATAATCTACCGTAGGCCCTCTGCTGCCAAGTCACAAATTGACCCCTCCCACACTTTTCCTTTTTCTTCCGCCTTCACCAACCACTTCCACCTGTCCGAATCCATCTGAAATTGCAAATTTGAGAGCCAAATTTCAACAATTGCAACACGTCAGTTCTCTTTGAACAACAAATCACCCCCCAAAAACCAATTTTGGATATTAATTGAAGACGTCACGGTTCGGTGCGCCCATATATAATTAGATAGATCTTGACGTTAACACGTACGTCGTGGAGTGTATGCGCGTGCACTTTCTGCACTGGTCGGAAACAACAAACGTGCACTTTTGTGTGAGCACTGGGAAACGGTGCCGAACTGTCTGGGTGAGAATGATGTCATTCATTCGGTTGTAGCCACTTGTCGGGGACACACAGTTCGTGCTTATATTTTGATGAGTTTCACCCGATTCCGGTGGCGAGTAACGGGGGAGAGGAAGTGGATTTACGTGATGGGGCACATGTCTAGGTTCATCCTGGATGACGATTCAGTTTGAGCTCAAAAAGCTCGTGAGATCAGTTCACAAACCCTCTCTCGAATCCCTGAGGATCACTGGGGAGAATCTGTAAGATCAAACTGATTTCTCGTTGTGCTCCACCAGAGCTCATACTTTGAGCAACTCGAATCTAATTCGCTCCTTCCAAAATTCTAAGGAATCATACTTCACACCGGACTAGAGTCTTTCGGATGTTAGAAAACATGCTGGTGTTTCGTACTTCGCCCTATCTGATAAGAACTTCAAATCCGTACCCTTTATCTTCTTCCATTCCGTTGCTCTCAAATCAAAACATGCTCATTTCAGTTTGACTTCGCGTTTCATTTAAATCCGAAAAGCGCATTACCTCGCTCTCTCTCCTCCCCCAACATCCGTCGCGGCTCTGAGAGTGCGCCCTTCTTAAATCATAAAATTCGCTCGCATTTTCGCATTAACCCCTACTGTAACTCGCCTCGTTTCGCCCCTTTCCGCCCTGCAATTAGAGAGCTGTCGGATGTGGGCGGCGCCAAGGCTCTCAACGAGGCCCCGCCCACTTTTCGTCGTGCGCTCCACTTCGGCCAGTATAAGATACTTTTGCGTTTAGACGTCTTCACCCAGTCCTCGCCAAACAGAATGCTCTTCCGCTCCTCGCTCGTCCTCCTGATGCTCCTGCTCGCGTTCGTCGGTCTCATTCAGAGCCAGCCAGTTCAAGGTAAGACGGATCACTGAGGGATTACGGTAGATCATCCTCTCTGTTCAGGCGATCTGTACGCCTTCAACAACGTCGACGACGCCGACGCGCCGTACCTGATGAACCTGCTGAAACGGACGGCGGTCTTCTTCCCGAGCGGCAACCACGACAAGATGATCAAGGCGATCCTCAAGTCGAGGCGGTACTGAGCCCTGCCCGTTCCTTCACTTTTATTTGTTCCCCAATCACTTCTGCCTTATGATCACAATTTTTTTCTTCCAATTCTCTCAATCTGTCAAAGATTCCGACTTTACTGAAAATGATCCTCAGAACGTTAGGATGTTCACTTGTTCAACAACTATCTAATAGTTGCAATAAATAAACTTATTTGAATAATAATGCTCCGGAAATCTACTACGTATCGACTACACGTACTTTGGCTCGGATATCCGGAGCCATAGTACGATCATAGAAGCTAGTACGGAAGAAGAGGGAGAAGAAGTCACGTCATCGGTCGAATCGCTCATCCAAATTGATCATTCCGAAGAATCCGGGGAGCATTTTCGAGGCGATGATGAAAAAAAATATATATATGAAAGCGATATTTTATAGTTTACTACCGCCTTATTCTTCTTCTGCACGCACCATTGTTGTCTTCGTTTGCACATACTCAATTAGTTCGGGAAGGGTCTTGGAAGGAAGACTAACAAAAATTGAAGATCAGGAAGGTCCGGCCTAAAAAACACGGAGATCAGGAACGAGTACGATCGGGGTGATTCGTGATTCGAGAAGAAGCTTTAGTACGACTTTGGTTCGGAATAAAGACAGAGATGAAGCGGAAGCAGTTGAGCGGGTGGATTATATCACAAACTCCGCGCGCGCGCCTCCATTTTCTGGCCATGTGCCGCCGACGAAATCGCGAGTTTAACAGCCACAGGAAATCGGGCCGAATGAATGCAGAAATAGATGGCTTATCTACGATTTCTGTGTGAAACTATGACAAAAATCGTGCGAGGAATTATGACCTCAAATCGGATTGCGCCAGAGAGAAAGCCAGCCAGGATGATGATGATGATATAAACGTGCAAATATCGTATCAATATTCAGAATAAGCTACAGATTGACTTCACTTTGTTTGATTGGAACGAAACGGATCGGAGGAAGTTCAGGGCAAGCACGGGTGTACCGGGAATGTCTATTGCGTAACGCCCATAGGCCGAAGCGAAAATTTTGGGAGGTTCTTTTTCAATTTCTCATTTTGATAAATTTTACGACAGTGGGGAAGTTGGAAATGCAAAGTTTGCATTGAAAAATTGACGAAGATCGACGAAGATTAGGCCGTCGATCTTCGTCAATTCAATTTTTTAATACAAACTTGGTTTCCGAGTGATTACGTGAAAAAAATTACGCACAAGTGGTCACATAAAAGCTATAAAATTATTTTTTCTAAATTTAATTGCTTTCTTGCCGGGGTTTCAGCTATTTTTCAGAGATTTTCGAAATTTAAATTCGTCTGCTTGCCTCCGAAAACGATTTTCAAAAAGTCTACGGTGCGCGAAAGTGTGCATTGCAGCCGGGTCCGAGGGCGCGAAATTCGACGACATCTCGTGATTTTCCTTCTTTTCGAACCTTTTCGCATCTGTTTCCCCTCGGAATCCGACTTTTTAGTTAGTTTTTTTGTTTCAGACTTTCTCAAACATTGATTAGATTCAATAAAATGGGTGATAACCTGGTGTACTCTGGTTAGTTTCCCTGAAAATAATGAAATTGGGCCTAAGCGTTGAAAATTTTAGTTCGATCAAGTGATGGCTTCTACCTGAAGCGCGGGCTCGGCAAAGACGCAGTAACTGTCTTCGACAGAAACAGGTATGAGAATTGAGTCATTCTGTATAGAGATTACACGGCAAAACTGAATTTTGTTGCAAATTTGCGAATTTCAGCGACTCGAAGATGTGAACTGCAATGTGTTTGCGTACAGCAACAACGGACAGTTGTTCGCCTATTGCGATAATCAAGTGTAAGAAAAACTTGCGGATACCGTTCTCAAATATTGTTTTTCAGAACACGGGTATTCGAAATCGCAACCAACAAGGAGATTCTGTGCGTGAATCAGAAAAGGACCCGGCGGTTGTTGTTCTCGCCGCGAGACAGCTTGCTGTTCACTTTCGAGCCATGGGCAATCTATGGACTGAAGACCTCGGAGAACCAGAAGCCGGAGCCGAATGTTCGCGTCTACAATCTGGCCGATGGACGACACATTACCACACTCTCCGCCCCGAAGGAGGTTTGATCTTGTTTTTATGCGCTTTACCAACCTTCCCTTTTTCTAGTCGTCATGGGAGCCACAGTTTTCGGAGGACGAATCGCTCGCGGCGAGAATTGTTGGAAGCGAGATCTTCTTCTACACCGATATGTCTTTCGGTAAGAGAACATCTTCAACTCTGAAGTTTTATTCAAGAAATTATTACAGAGCGTTACGACCACAAGCTAGTTGAGAAGGGCGCCACGAGCTTCTCCCTGAGCCCTGGCCCAGCTCCAAACCACGTGGCCGTCTACGTGCCGGCCACTGACTCCAACCCAGCACGTGTGCGCGTTCATCGGGTCGCCAACAACTTCCCGGTCGTCGAAAACCGCTCTTTCTACAAGTCGGACAAGGCTAACATCTCGTGGAATCAGCGCGGAAACGCTCTCCTAATTCTCGCCAGCGTGGAGGTCGACAAGACGAATCAGTCGTACTACGGAGAGCAGAGTCTGTTCCTGATCAACATCCAGTCGAAGGATTCCGTGATCGTGCCGCTGGCCAAGGAAGGACCAATCTACGCAGCGAAATGGAACCCGAACGGACGCGAATTCGCTGTCGTCTACGGCTACATGCCCGCTAAAGTCACGTTATACAACAATAAGGGCGTGCCGGTGTTTGACTTCCTTGAAGGACCACGCAATGACGTCTTCTACAACGCCTTCGGAAACATCTTGCTAATCTGCGGGTTGGAAACATCTCCAAGGGAAGAATGGAGTTCTGGGACGACGAAAAGAGAAAGGAGATCATCTCGATCGAAGTGCCAAACACGACGCTCTTTTCGTGGGCTCCAGATGGACAGCATTTCATGACGTGCACCACGGCACCACGTCTCCGCATCGACAACTGCTATCGCTTCTGGCACTACTCCGGCCGAATGCTCGCTGAAACTCACTTCGAAGGACCGAAGGAGCTGTGGGAGGTGCAGTGGCGGCCGATGAGCGGCTACAACAAGTTCGCTATCAAAGAACTCACCAAGACCGACAAGATGGCCGCCGGACTTCCGATCCGCAAGAAGGACGCCTCTCACCCGCTGAACAACGTCCCGGCGGGAGCTGTCCGTCAAGCAGGCGCCTACGTTCCGCCGCATCTCCGGAAAGGAGGAAGTGGCGTATCCGCAGGAGCTCCAGTCGGCTCAACGGCCCCGGCTACCAACGGAAATCAGAACCGACAGCCACGGGCGAACGGAAAGAACGGAAACGAACCGCAGGCAGTCCGGCCACAACAGACCGAGCAGGAGAAGAAACTCATTCAGCTCAAGAGGAAGGTCGACGAGATTCAGGTACTCAAGGTGAGATTCAGAAGAACTGATTTGACAATAAGAGTTTTAATGTTTCACTTTTTCAGCAAAAAGTCGCGAACGGTGAACAACTACAGCTGAATCAGGTGGAGAAGATCAACCGGGAGAACGACTTCCTCGCGGAGATCGCCAAGTTGTCCATCTGAAAACCGCTCCTGACGGAGTTTTCTTCCAAAAGTCTTCCTATTTCGCTCTCTTTCTCTCTTCTCCAGCCCTGTTCGTCCGTTTGTACCGATTCGCCGTTTCTACTTGTTGTTCCCGTTTTGTGATGAGCCAAACAAGTCCTTGCTCCAATTGCGAACTTATTTCTATTCTATTTATTCTGTCTCCATCTCTTCTTTCTCATTTGATTTCTTATTGTATTTTATTGACATAATATAAATTCCCGTATTAGAGAAACAAAATAGAGAGGGGCTGAATTAGGAGCTAGTCATTTGAATGTCCACTTTTCGCCGCTGCACGTAATCTGCAATCTCTTGACGCAGTTTAGGATTGCATTTCGCGTAGATCAAGATTCGGATGGCCGACGAGACCATGTAGCAAATGGATACGGTATCGGAGAGAACTGAAAACGGAACATGAGAATAGGGATACGGTAGCCGAACGGGTACCGATGTAGAACGTGCTGGATTGGCTACTGTCGACCGAGTCGTACAAATAGGAAGGGTCGAATCTTTCGAGGATGGTCAGGAAGAGATGGACTCCGTTGCACACGAGGTACGAGGTTACGATCGCCAGCATTGTGTAAATTGCATTCCGAAGTTGCGATCTCTTACTTCGCGATGATCTGGAAGCGATTACGGTAGATTAGGGATACGGTAGTGACGAGAAGAAGAAAAAGAAGAAGAAGTGGAGGATACGGTAGAAGCGGGGAACTGAATCATGCGCAGAAGTGGTCCTTCGTTCCAGTTGCGACTCACTCCCTGAGCGCCAACACAAAAGTGTGGAAGATGGATGGCCGATGACGTGGCAACTCTTCACATGAACTCACGTCTCCTGGCGCCACTTCTTCGCCACCGTTTTCGATTGCGTTTTGAGATAAACTCAACCCCTTTGCTCGTTTCTTAAAACTGAGCGCCGCCACTCACTCACCTATGGATCAGCGACTCTTTGATGACGTCGGCGGCGACCTGCAGAAGAACGTAGTTCTCCGGAAGGTTTCCCTGCACGAAAGAGACCTTCTTGGCTTCTGTCGTCGTGCCGGTTCCGCGGAGCACCGGGTACATCTGGAATCGGGTCGGGATGAGAAGAACTTTTCACGAATGTGGGTTTCGGCGAGAAGTGTTTTCAGTGTTAGTCGGATTATCTAATCTGGAGATTCTTTCAAAAGATGTGGCTCGTTATTTTATAGTCTATATAATTATAGAGATGTCAAAAAGTGGTCAACTGATTAAATGTACACAATGTCTTAATGAGCAATTTGTTAGTTGACAGCCGAGATATACATACTGTCTAGAATTGACTACGGTAAGGCCGAAAAGCCGGTTCTTCCGGGCTTTCTTGCCAGATGATTCAATTGGCCTATAATTTCCACTAGAGGTACAAGACTCATAAATGTGCAAAGTTAGGAAGATGGCTTCTCTTTCCTTACATTCTCCCGTTTCTCCGCCACGAGCCTATTGATGATTGTGAGATTGAGAAGAAGCAGAACGACGAACGGGAACAGCATCTGGATGGTGGTGATGACGTGGAAGTCGAAGATGTGCCACAATTCGCTGTTGATCGCCCACTCGGTTTGCGCCATCGATTCGCTGCGGAAGTAGTCCTTGCAGTCGGGGAACGATTCCACCTGCAATCAAGAACACTTTTCGGACAACCGTACTCCTTTCGATGCTCACTTTTATCGCATAGAGGACCGGAAACCGGAGGGCGACGGACGTCAAACACACGAAAACGACAGTCACAATGCGTCCGCGCTCGTCGAAAATCGCCGAGAACGTCTTCCGTTTCGGTTCGGTACACGTCCAGAGATAACGTTCGAAAGTGATGAGAATGAGAATGAACGGAATTGCGAATTGGACGACTTTGGCGATGAAAAACACGGGAACAATGTAACGATGGTAGAGGAAGAAGAGGGTCTGGAAGGAATTCGAGTAGGAACAGTGGAGGAAGAGAGAGAGAGAGAGAGAGAGAGAGAGAGAGAGGAGACGTACCGTATTCTTGAGGTACACAATTCCCGCATCGACTCCGAATAGCAGTAGGTAGGTGAGACAGATGAGGGCGTCGCACGTGGCTAGAGCCGCGAGGAAGATGGACGAAGGAAGGGATCTCCGGAACACCGCCATAAGAAGCTGGAATACAAGGGTTGTCTGTAGAGATATCAGAAAGTGTTCAAGAGAAAAAATGTGCACAATGTCTTAATGAACAATTTCACAGTTGACAACGTTTCGCTATCTTTAACACGAGCAGAGATATATTGCATCAATCCAACTCACCATGTTAGCGAGCACTCCAAAAAGAGCGACAGTGGTGCAGCCGGTGATAATGATGAATCTGCGGGTGGAGTATCCTTCGTACAGCCCGCACACTTCCTCCTCCTCGCTCATAATCGTCGCCGTCGTCGTCGTGAGGGATGCGGCTGCCACGTCATAGTCGCCGTCCATCTTGACGAGCATTCGCCTGAAAAACAGACAGTGAGCGGCGAAGGTTCTCGAGTAATCGGTCTATCAGAGCGGAAAACTGTTTGAAAATTGATGAAAAAGGAAAAGAAAAAGAGCAATTGAGAGCGAGTCTGGAAAGGGAAATGGAAATTCATGTTGATCGAATTATATCAACCCACACACACACAATTGGACAAAGAAATTTGAGAAGGACTGGAGGAATGGGGAGCCGAAAAAACAAAGATGTTGAGCAATTAACGAGTGCTTTCGGTCGTGGGTGGAGTACTAAAAAACACCTGAAACTTGATAGTTTATCGGTTGGCCCCCACTTTTTACGATGTTGCCACGTGTTTCGGGAACGGCCGGGGCCAGAAAGAAGGGATCTCGAGTCAAGTAGGTTATTTTGAGGCAGGATCTCGACAAGAGGATTCCAAACGCGATCTTCAATTTTTCTGGCGACCTTTGAAACGTGCACTAAACTATAATTGTTTTTCACGTGAGCAAATTAGTTTTTCTCGAGTTTCAGCGGTCGGCAACAAAATTGAAGAGCACGTTCGGAATCCTCTTGTTCACATCTTTCCACCCACGCAGGTCTGGTCCCAAACGACCAACTTTCCTACGGATCGTTCCCCGATCGGACCTGAACATTGCAGACGGAAACTTGTGCCCACGTTTTAGACCTCTCGGATGGTTCTGGATTTATGTATATAAAGGCCGGAAAAGCTTTAAAGTAAATTATCCAATCAACCTGAAACTTGGGCCCAAAATACATCAATTCAAGTCTAAGAACCATATGAAGTTGGACAATCGTCCCATAAAGCCTGGGCCCGTCAAAATTGGGGAAATACCAGTGTTTTGGGGTCTTGGAATGACGAATGGAGGGAGAGAAAGAGAAAAAGTGGTGACGAAGATGGTAATTAATCGGTGAGGGTGATGCGACATTTACGCAAATCAAAGAGGTCCTAAGGGAGTTTGGACGATGAACTTTGTGGTTTGGATTGAAAGGAAAAACTATTTTTTGGGTTCAAAAGCTGGCCGCTATTGTAGATTTCAGCGAAAAGGCGGTCAAGTTTCCAAACGGCAAATGAACATTTTCCGTCCGTTGCGGATCCGTCACCGCCTTCGAAACATCTGGCGAATTAATTCGAAACGAGCTTCTGGCATCTAGAAGATATATAAACACACGAGAGATGATTTTATAAACTTTTTTTTTGCATTTGAAAGATCAGGATTACTGTGGCTCTCATTAGAGAGTTCACAAAAAGAGCAGGGAAACAGAGAGGGAGAAGGAGAAGAAGATGAAGACGTAAAAAGATGAAGTGATCATCGGAAGTGGGTGTACTTGGACGGAAAGAAGAAGAAGAAGAAGAAGGAGAAGAAGGAGAAGAAGAAGTGATTGAAACACGGGGTGTAATTGACTTGCTCCGCGAGCCCAGCAAAAGCTCCGCCCCACTTTTTAAATGCTCAAAAAGGCTAGGAGAGCTGGATTTTAAGATTTTCAGATGGGTGACGTCATGAGGGCAAAAGTCACGGAATGAAATGAGAAACAGGAAAATGTTGATTGAATTTGATGGAAACTCCTCCTCTTGAGCAAACATTGATGAATCTTTTAGGCTCGGATAATACCTAGAACTTTTTGCATGTCGGGAAGGAAGAAGAAGTAGAAGAAGAAGAAGGAACTCCATCTCTCTCTCTCTCTCCCTTTTTGGACAGGAAAGGTCAAGAGGTGGATGAGATTCAGATGAGAGAGAAAGAGAGAGAGAAAACGCGCTTTGTACTGAGGTTATCGGTCAAGTTTTCGAGGAAACCATAGTCAATAGACAAGTTCAGTAAAGAAAAACTGAGTGGGCATAATCTGGAAAGCAAAAAGTCTAGAACCCACTTCTGATTATTTATTCTGAAGGTTGGCAAGTTCCAGAAGTCCTCTGAGACTTGAGCGAAACTATTTTTAGGTTAAACGGACACCGGGGACCAAAGTTCAGCGCTGATGACTGTTCTTTCCCCAGTACATTCATCCCTACCGTAACCCGATCCTCATCCCTTTCCATGACCTTCCTACAAGCCACACAGCACATGACGTGGACTTCTAGACAAAGTCCTTGGGCTCCCCGGGGACCAGACTTTCTCTGCGACTGCCTCCTCGCCGCCAAGAACGCAACAATTAGCTTGCTTTTTCTTTTTTGCCAAGCGAAAAGGAAGTAATTGGCTGCGAATGGGGTTTTCGTTTCGTTTGAAGCACAAAGCAGAACGAAGGTGGGCGGCCGGAAGGGGACAGTTTTAATTAAGGAAGAGCCACGCGACAAAAGTGAACAAGAATCCGATTATGAGGAGCACTGGGCGGGGAAGCGGAGCAGAAGAAGAAGAAGGAGAAGAAGAAAGAGGAGGAGGAGGAGGAAAGGCGGAGGTGCTCGATGAGCTTGTCACATACATTCAGGACAAAACAAGGCAAGAAAGGCGGAAAAAGATGAGGTGCCGCGAGGAGGCGCACCAAATGAACATTCATCACTTTTCAGCAAAACGCACAGAAACGACACGAGTTTGCTGCCACTTTTTGGAATGACGTGGCACCGGCGGCTACAGTACTCTCCGGAACTCGTAGATTTATTTGTTATTTCCATCGGAAAGCCAAAAAGATATGTAGCACGAGATAGGGCGATAGCTGGATTTGGGCAGAACACCCCATAACTGCACACAAATATGTCCCCGGAGACGGAAAAGAAAGAAACGACTTGAAAATGGCAACAAAACGGATAAGGAGCAGAAGGATTACGGTAGCTACGTGGCTTTTTGGAAGTTCTTCAAAGTTAAGCGTGAAAGTTTGGAAAACCTTTCTAGTTTGTTCGTTAATAATTGATGACAAACAGATGCGGAAGTCTCTTCGTCCTCTTCATTTTCGTCATTTTCAACTGAAGAGGTCCCAAGAAGTTGAGAAGGATTACTGTACTTGGGCAAAGTTCAAACAACTCTCTCTGCCCGAGAGATTCCATTCAAAATGGAAATGAAATGGAATCCATTGAAATTGAATCGAATGAAATGAAAGTCTGGCCCTCTAAGAGTTTAGCGCAAAAAAAAAAAATGGGCGGATAATCCGATCCCGGTGGGTTTAAATTGAAAATTGGAAAGAGAGAAGAAGGGTGAATGAAGGTTGTTTTGGGTTTTGGGTAAACACGCCGAAGATTGGAATCGGGCGGGCCGAGGAGGAGGCGAAGACATTTGGAGTTTAGGCCCTGAAGGGATTCGAAGGGTTTACGGTACTTGAGATTTAATTTGTGCTCATTTACAAGTCTCTAGTAGGCCTTTCAGGCACGAAATTTTGACCCAGTTGCAATTATCCGATCGGATCGTTGGTCTAAAGTATTTTGTGACCAAGTTTCAGACCTTTCAGATTATCTAGTCCCGAGACATACTGAGTTGAGACTAAAAAGACTAGGGCTTGGTAAACGTTTGAACTTTCCGGCCTAAAATTATCCGATCGGCCTCAAACTTGGTCCCAAGATACTCCAATTCAAGTCCAAGAACCTTACAAAGTTAGGATACTTCAAACTGGACCATCGAAAGTTCAGGCCTCGCCTGGTTCACACAATTCGTTCCCTATCGCTTTTTGCCCATTGCACTCCGATACGATCTTTTTGATGTTTGGAAGAAATGACGTGGCAACGCGGAAAAAAAAGGAGACGGCTCTATATTGGGAGGGAAGAAGGAAGGAAACACGAAGCAATCGCGACGCACTTAGTCTCGAATTTCCAGCCGGGAAGAAGAGGGTCAGAAATCTGCAGTGACAGGCGGTGCGAGGTACGGGCGGCTCTTTTTGGGCTTTGCTCCAATTGCAAGGGTTCAAACAGACGCCTATGCGTTGGGAAAGGGATATTCAGGACTCGTTCGAGTCCGATTGCTTTCAGGTGTCTCGAAAGAACACTTATTTGTGTACTCGTTCCGTTTGCCTGCTTAAACGAGCCAAATTGCGAAGGAAAATTAGTTTTTCTCGAGTTTCAGAGGTCCGTTTTAGTCACATTTTCTGAACCCTCAACCATTGTTTCGTTTCGTTTCCGCCAAGTGTCTAGTCGAAAACTGGCCCGTTGTCTTCACCGAAAACTGACAAAAAACACGACAATTATTGGCGAGAAAAAGGCGAAAACAGTGAGTGAAACCGTTTTCCTGGACGAGTGTCTCTGATGAGGATGAACCACATTGTAATGATGGGGACAGGAAGAAAAACAGTAGTCCAAGGATTACGGTAGGTTTGGCTTTTGAGCCAGTCTATTCAGAACAATAAATCTCAGCTGCTGCCGATGGAGATCGTATCCCAAGATTTGAATTTCACCTTTGCGGTCATTTCTGGCCCCTCCACACTGGCGCCCGTCTTGGTCCGCTCGCCCCGAAATTGATACTCTTGACCCTAGTGACAACCTTGCCATTCGGCAGTCAAAACTCATTTCCCGCCTCATTTCTCTCTCTCTCTCTCTCTCTCTCTCTCTCTCTCCGCCTTTTTCATTCCTTTTTTCATTTGTCATTGTATTGTTACACACCCCGCACCCGAACCAATTAACATATTCCACCCAATTTGTGGCGCCAGTGTCCCAGGAAACAAATTGGCAGGGAGAGGAAGCAGAGAGAGAGAGAGAGAGAGAGAGGATGGAGAAAAAACAAAGCAATATGTGAGGGAAAGGGCATCGAGAACAGTGTAAACAGTTGCGAAAATTGGAGGATTGAACGGTTTGGCGTTCGGAAAAGTGGGAAAGGAGGGGTGAGATGGAGTATGAAAATGAAAATGCAAAGGACTGATATTGTAGAATCACGGGTCCTAACGCCTAAACCACCCGCCTACGCACATTTCAAGGTGACGTTCAGCTCAATCTTTGATAGATGCAAGCTTTGAAAGCCCTGAAACTTTTGGCGACAATAGAAACGCAAACAAAAACGTCTGTTCAACACGTTCAAAAAAACTGCTGACTGCTCGTGCTCCTGCTGCTCAAACTTCTGTTGAAATCCGCTTTCCTCCTCCTCCTCTTCTTTCACTTCTTTTCCTTTTCTCGAACAATAGGTGAGACTCGCTCAAAAGGAAGGGTTCAGCAAAGAGAAGAAGAAGAAGAGGAAGAAGAAGTAGAAGAAGAAGAAAAAGTAAAAGAAATCACAGAATGAGTGAGGGTTGGAGTAGGTAGGTAAGAGGGAAGTACAGTAATCAGAAACCACCGGCCAGAAGCCAGAAAGCTAATCAATCACCTTCGTTCTTCAGAATCTGGACCTTGTTTGCTCGAAAAGTTATGCTCGGTGCTCTTTCTTTTCCTGGAGCTCTTTCATCCCTATATCCAATCATCTCGCTAAGTGGACAAGGTGTTCATGTCCTCTTTCCGAAACGTTTCTCTTCTTCTTCTTCTTCTTCTTCTTCTTCTTCTTCTCTTCCTTTTCCATCTGCTTATTCACATTCACACTCCGATTTTTTGCTTTTCATTCAAATTCAATTCTGATACGAGTGTCTCACGTCTTCTTCTATAATATGTCTACAAAAAGAGGGGGAAAAACACGACGGGAGGATGGAGTCAATAAGCGGACGGAGAGCTATTTTGTGTGATACTGGAGCAAGGTGGACATGACTTGGAGCACGCAAAAGAGAGCAATTTGACTCGAATTGGGTGATAAAATTGGGTTGGCGACAATATTGAGAATATAAAAAAGTGAACGAGTATGGGGGAAATTGAAACTAAATGAGCAGAATGTTATGAGAGATGGAAGTTCAAAAGATGAGAAGGTCCGGATGTATCCAGCGTATTTTTTCAAAGCTATGTATCTCGGCTGCTGGTAAAGTTTTCAAAAAGAGGTCAACTGATAAAATGTGCATACTGTCTTAATAAACATTTTGTTAATTGACAACGTTTTGATATCTCTGACGGCAGTTGAGATACATCGGCTTGAATGGACAGTATTGGAGTGCCGGTGCTCGAATATTGTAGGTTCAGAAGACTGAACTGCTCTCGCGGCTACCGTACTCCTTTCACTTTCTTGCCTCAAACTGTGTTGTTCCAGCAGAGGTCACCCCTCCTAACCAATTTGCTAGACAAAAGATGTCTGCCAGTTGGCCCGAAGAAACTGGTCCCGAAACGAAAACATCGTGTGCTGTCTCTGGAGACGGTGCATTCTTTCCGGACTGACAAGACAGTTTGACATGGAAATTGGGTGGAAAGTGCCAAAAGAGGGAGCGGGGGCGGCCGCAGGATCAGATATAAAACTGCCGACGGAAAAAAGTGTTCCATTGCAGAAGAAAGTCTTCGCACCTTCTCTCCCCCACTTTCTGCAACACTTTTTATCCGATTTTCAGTTTTGATCGTCCATTTGCATCTCTCTGTTTGCCTCTTCTGGGCGGCAAACGTTTTACGTAACTGATTTATTGGATTTGACACACTTTGGATTGAATATTACTCTTGATAGTCTTGTCTGTCCGGGCTGTTCGATTGGGTCTGGTTTTGAGTTGAATATTTGAATATTCATATTCACACTTTAGTTGGGTAACTTCCAGATCGTGTGTTCAAAGTCCACTTTCTCCGATTTTCCCATTCCTCTCCCATTTTGGAAACATTTCATTACAGTACAGTACCTCCAGACACCCCTCCATTTACTGTCCACTTTCCTTCGTTCGTTCCATTACTTGCAACATGTTCACTTTTCGTCTGAAACTGTGAAACTCTTTGTGTCCATCCGAAATTGTCACTTTTCGGTCGTTTTCGCTTCGAAATGGTTAGTCTCCTTCTTCCGGAGTATTTCTGCTTAAAAAACGGCTGTCCGACGTCGGTCCGTGACGGTCTATTAGTCGAGGTTTCTCCGAAGACGGTGGGTGCCAATTATTGGCGTCGTGGCATGGCAGAGAACGGATGGACAAGAAGAAGGAGAAGAAGAAGGAGAAGGAGAAAGAAAAGACTCCGCCCAGGGAAAGGGGCAGACACTTTTTCGGTTTGGTTGGAAAGTAAGGAAGACTTCACTCATTCATTCACTCACTTCCTTCACTTTATCCGCTTACCTTCAGGATTATACAGTATCTCTAGATTGTTATTGGTAAAACAAGGGGGACGGATATTGTAGGTTTCGTAGAGTTGAGCTACCGTAAGAACGATGTATCTCAGTTTTCTGTAAAGTTATCAAAAGAGGCGAACTGAGAAAATGTACACAATTTCTTAATCGACAATTTATTCGTTGATAACTTTTTGATATCTCTGCTGGCAGCCGAGATACATCGTGTTGAATGTACAGTATTGGAGTGCCGGTATCTGAATATTGTAGGTTCAGAAGAGTGAGCGTCTTTGTTACAATCACCTGAGACACGTAGATATTGAACATCCCCCTGACAATACGCATGCCATCCATTTCATTTCTTTTTTCCCCAGGTATTCCATCCAATTTGTCCGCCCGTCTGAGAACCGAAGCGACTTCCTACTGTGCACCAGATTCGCATTTACATATATAACTTTCTTTGCGAAAGGCTTTTGCCACCGATCACCACCCCGCCCGCCTTCTCTCTTTTTTTAAAGACGTTTCCGCATTCGCCATTCGCATTTGCATTTGCCTCGCCTCGTCCTAGTCCCGCCCACGAACCTCCTTTTTTGAAAGTGTGGTTATTCCGGAACTTTGTTCAGTTCTTCACTTCCGTTCATTGCAGGTAATGTGGCAATCCATCGTGCTCTTTTTCCTCCTGGCTCCCCTGCTCGTATGCTCCGCCGCCGACAAGTACCCTGCCTACTCGACGGCCGCCTCCACGGTCAGCATCGACAACTCTTTGATAGGTAGGCTCTCGATTCGTAGCATCCAATTGGGACCAGTTCTGAACCAATAAGACATGTCCGATCGGACGGACGGACGAATGCTTTTGTGTGTGTCCTTTTTTGACGCGAATATGGTGGCGCATTGTGTAGAATAGAGTAGAATCATGTCTGTCGCGGTATGAAGAAATGATTTGTGAGGTAGAAGAGTAATTGGATAGCAAAGAGAAATGTGATTTCGATTCGGATTCGGATTCAAATTTGAGTTTGTCATTGCCAAGGTTATCAGTTGTAGAAGTGACAAGGTTACGCGTAAAAGGTTACCATAACAGATCTCCTGAGTTTTCAGTAAAATGACTTCAATTATACTACTTTTTCCACCTCAGAACATGAAATTCCAAAACACAAAGTCTCAAAGTTGTTCACTTTTTTCTTTCTGGATCACCGATCCGATCCGATTGCCAATTTACCATTTAGTCTCACTTTTCGCCCCCCCTTCTCGACGCCGACAATACTTTCTCCGATTTCTTCAACTTTTCGTCTTGCGCAACACAAAGCTTATCCCCCCTTCCGATCCCTCTCTCTCCATTGCGAAAGAGAGAAATGTGTCATTATTATTTCGCACCAATGGACTTTGCCGTCTACAAAAAACGAAAAGAATATGTATATATATGAAGTAGAAGCCTACTCACTCTTTGTACTATGTACGCCAAAACCGAAACAAGTTTGACACGGAAGAATGTTTCGAATCGGAATCGAGAGTAGGGGGCGCAAGAAAGTGACCTTCGACTTGGACCGTTATAATTAGAGTTTGCGGTCGTCAAAGGCTTTTCAATGGCAAATACATGAAATCGGCGAGCGACACAAAGGGAAGTACCTGGCAACGTCATTCTGTTTCTGAGGTCAACCCACATTACAGGCGAGCCCGAAGTGGTCTGCGAGACGGCCTCCATCTCCCTGCTCTTCAAGACGCGTAATTCGTTCAACGGAAAGGTTTTCGTGAAGGGATACGTGGCAGAGCCGGCGTGCATGTCCGTGGGCGATGGGAAAACCGCGCATCGCTTCGAGGTCCGTCATGATTCTTGTGGAGTGCGACGGCAGCGGGAGATCAACGGAGTCGTCATCTCGGCCACCGTTATCATCTCCTTCCATTCGGTGAGTTTCCAGACGATGATTCTAGGCCCGGCAACTGACTTTGTTTCCAGATCTTCATCACCAAAATCGATCGGGCCTACCGGGTGAGCTGCTTCTACGTGGAGGGCACCAAGAAAGTGCACAACCACGTGGATATCAGTGCTCTCACCACCCAACTCCTCGAGAGTCAGACTCAACTTCCAGTCTGCAGGTATCCTAGTGTGTTACTTTCTCGGAACACCTCTGTAACTTTTGCGTCATTTACAACTTGCCAGCCAAAGTTTCGTGTGCTTTGCGCAAAGGGTCTGCAGAGGTTTGCCGAGTTAGACCCGTTTCACTAGTCCCTTTTAGATATGAGATCATGAACGAGGCGGGAGGCTCTCCGATCAAGTACGCTCGCATCGGAGACCAAGTGTACCACAAATGGACGTGTGTGGCCGAACTCGAGAACGTGTACTGCATGAAAGTGCACTCTTGCACAGTCTACGACGGTCAGGGAGGTCCTCCGGTGACTGTGATCGATGCGAACGGATGCTCCGTCGACGGGGTCATCCTGCAGAATTTGGAGTACACTTCCGATCTGACTGCCGGCAAAATAGCGCCGGTTTTCAAGTTTGCTGACAAGGCCGGCTTGTACTTTAACTGTCAGATTCAGTTGACAATCAAAGATGTCAATTATGGATGTGCCAACACGGTAAGTTATACTTTGTTAGGAACGTTCATCTGTCTCTTCAGCAACCGCAATGCCCGTCCTCCCAATACGTCGTGGAGCCGGCTCAGAAGACGACGGAGACCGCCGAGCCGTATCCGTATGAAAACCACGAGTCCGGCTACCCAACCCGTCCGGCCAACTACGTCTCCAGCCGCGGATACCCGACCGCAACCACTCAGTCCCCCAACTATCCATCGTCTCCAGCTCCTCCGCCGCCTGGGACCAACCTCGACAACTCGTACCCGGAGCCGCAACCGATTTACATTTCGGGCACTCCTGAGAATGCTTATGAGCCGCTTGTCGGATTCAATGATACTGAACAGGTACATCTGAACCTCCTGAACTTTTAACTTTCTGATCTTGTTTCCAGCCCTTCACAACTTCGGCTGCTTACACTGAAGACGGAGTGTACAGTCGGTTGATCAAGAGAAACGTTGCCGATTCCGAGCAGACGGGCGCCAAGAAACGGCCAGTGACAGTTGGGGACATTGACCTGCCCGAGCGGGGGATCCTCGTGTTCGGGTTGGAAGAGGTCGAGGAGGGCGAGACGGCGACTGGGGACCACGGAGCGACGAGGGCGTTGAGGGAAGCCCGCGGGCAGCAGGAGAAGACCTGCTTCTCCACTTGTGAGTCCGATCGGAATACGGTAGAATCTCAGCGTTGTGTACTTCAGCTCGAATGTACTTCACCCTCGTCCTGTTGTGCCTTCTCTTCGCCGCCACCGTCGTCGTTTTCATCGTGATTGTCCAGAAACAACGACAGATTCTGGCACAAACCGCGTTCTTCAAGCCATAACTTGCCATCCTCTTGTTTCTTCTTTCCCCAACTGCTTTCAACTCCATATCATTCCTTTTTCTTCTTCTTCTTCTTCTTCTTATCTGTGCTGTCTAGACTGTAGCCGCCTGCCTCTTTTTACTCACTGTATTTATATGTTTGTGTCCCCCGTGCCTTTCGTTTTTTGTCCTATTTCATGTACATTTCATCGTCGCTTTCTTTCCGTCTTCAATTAAAGTCTTGCAAATGTTCAAGCACAAATGCAATGTTCATCGTCAATCCGCCTAAGCGATTATTCGCTTTTCGAGCTCATTTCCGGCTCTTTAATGCCGGTTAACAACTCTAAAAACCGCCCGATTAGTTTTTGCCCGGGGAATGGTCTATTTAAACTAAACGGAACTAGGCGAAGCGGCTGAAATTCTGCTAAATTGTCGCTAGAATGAAAATGTTGCGAACTGTCTTGTGTTGTATTCTGCTGGCTTCTGCAGCCGTTTTTGCTGAGGACTCATCTTCTACCGCAGCAACAACGACTGTCGCGACGACCACGGCCACCGGCGCCACCACTGCGACCACGGCCACTGGAGCAACCACGGCCACTGGAGCAACCACGGCCACCGGAGCCACGACAGCGACTACCGCCGCTACAGGAGGAACTACTTGTGAGACTTTACAAAACTTGAAGATTCGTGCTGTATTGTATTTTCACCACCAAACGTTTGGTTCCGACCGAGCGCTATGATTGAAAAAAACAGAGTACTTTTATAGAGTAGGGAAATTTGAGGAAAGCATCTCGAAATGGAACTGCCCGGAATTTTTACAAAATTTTTCAAAACTCTTCCTGTCGCTCACCAGAAATAGACATAAATCTGACTGGGTGACAAATGAGTGAAACGAATCAGCACAATTACTGATAAGAAGACGGCACATGCTCATTTCGCCCCGGAACTCGCCAATTCTTCTTCCCGCACACACGCACACACACACATTTTCAGCGGCCGCGTGCGCCGATGATCCGAACACCAATTGCAGTCAGTACACCTCCCTTTGCACCAACGACAAGTATATTCCACTTTTGCAGCAGTAAGTTATTCTAGAGATTTTTATAACTTGCAAACATTTCGCATCTTCAGATTCTGCCCAAAGACATGCGGATTCTGCGGAGGCGGTTCCACTTCTTCTCCAGGGAACTGTGTGGATAGCTCCACCAAGTAAGTCCAACTAATCGGGACCGTTCATATTTTGCACCTTTTCCAGTTGCGCCAACTGGCAAAAGAACGGATTCTGCAACTCCAGCTTCTACACCTGCCAGAACAAGAAGGACTATTGCGCGAAGACGTGCAACCTGTGCACCACGACCTGCTGACCGTCAACCAGGAACTGAGTTCGTGCAGAAGCCCCGAAGAGTGTTTTGCGTTGAACTCTGTAAATATTTTGATTCTCTGGCTTTTCGTTTCTTTCGTTTTTCATCTCGGTTTCTTTTTATTTCTTCTGCAGTAACGACTCTTTCTTTTTTCAAATGAAAAGTTTTCGGGCCGGGGGTTTCTCTCAATTTCTGCACGTGATGGGCGACGAAAAAAGAAAACAGGTGGCGCTCGGAGCCAATATTTGAGCAAGTTTTGCTCTGTGTCTGAGCAGTAACCTCGAAATGGCGTGGGGTGTGGCGCTTGGTGTGTAAACACCATCACGGCAAAAAATGAACCACAACCAGAATAGTTGTTAGCAGTTTTTTTTCTAAAATTGCTCTTTTTGTGCTCTTGACCTGAATTTGAGTTCAATAAAGTTCAAAAAAATGTTTCTCATTGTCTTAAGCCGTATTATGAACCCTAAACTACGTCAAAACGTTTATTTTCATTGAAAATTCGTGAATCTGAAGTTTTTAAATTAATTTTCAGTTACCCTTCTTGGAAATAGGTGAAAATAAACGTTTCCAGACAGTAAAGGCAATTGGATTCTTTCAAACAAGCCTTAAAATTTATAAATACCACATTTCCCTTCCCAAATCCTTAAAACTTCCTGATAATTCTCTCTTTTCTCCGTCAGCTTCCCTCCGTTTTCTCCACACATTTTTGCATCATGATGGCCGTGAAAACACGGGTGTTTCCCCAAAATACTCGACCATCTGAGCGTCTGCGCCTCTCCGTTACGTCCCGCCCGTGTCCGTCCGCCCGTCGCTTTTGCAGCCGTCTCTCCGTGTGTGTTCGCTGCTGCAGCGGGCAAGTTACGAAATTCCTCGAAAGTATTCGCACTTTGGCCTAAAATTCGTGATATGTTGCTGGAAACCACGAAAGTGCGGCCAGAATTTCAAAGATACTAATAGCATTGTGCTTCCGACACGCTGTTGTGTTTCTGTCGCATTTCCTGCAACCACCACCAAGTTTCCCCGAAAAGGGCTCTAAAAAGTTCAAAAACTGACCCCTAGCCTTTCGATGTTTCGTTTCAAACTTTGAAATCAACACCAACAACGTTATCTTTACGTGCGTGGGTGATCGTTCCTTGTGACCCACTCGTCTCGCTTTTCTTCACTCGTCTCGCTGCCATCGTGATCGAATAGACCCCATGATCATCGCCCGGAGAGCTTTTTGTGAGAAGAAACCAACCGATCAGAGAGAGAGAGAGAGAGAGACAGAGAAAAAATTTGATTTCTTTACTTCCATCTGATCCTCCGATCCATTTGTTTAGTGTACGTCACTATGAACTCGTGCTGTTCGCTTAGTCCATTGGCGTCAAAACATGATATCATTCATATTTATACCGATCTGTTTCCCTCCAGAATCGTTTTTTCACCAGAATCTTCTTTCTCAAGCGATAAAATCGCTAGGAGCACGAGTAGTTCAGTTTACAATCACGCGGTAAAATTAAAGTTTCGTTTCGCAAATATTTGCTGTCATCCGCCAACTTTATGCAAACGCAGCTTCTACTTCCGACTGTTCGGGTGCCAAGAGGTCGCTATTTGCCATCTTATCATATGGTTTGGCGCCACGAAGGGAGGAAGCTCGGATATCCGTTTAAATGGCAGTTACGATAGCAAGAAGATAGGACATTTGGTGTTCGAAACCTCTTTCTTCAATGTGTAGCGAAAACTGCCCGGAATCGCCACTAAAATTTCCGTCAGAATTGCCTTGTCCTCATAAAAAACCACTATTATCGTTATCTAGTGCATTTTCTACTCGACCCCAGTCCTTTGCACTCAGCCGCTGAACCAGTTCTTCTTCCTTCTTGACGCTGTATCATGAGATTCGATTTGATCTGTCTCTGCTTCTTTTTTTTTCATGTTCAAGTTGTCCGAGTGTGTAAAATGGCTGGGAGGAAGAGAAGAAGAAGCCTAATCATGTGGTCTGCACTCGTTTCTCTTATCGGCCTCCCAACTATTGCAACAAAATGACGGGAACCGATAGCGACGCATTTTTTGAGTTGATTCGTAGTTTCATTTGCTCTCACAGATTCGTTATGCCCGGTGACGAGGGCACACTGTTCCGAACCTCATGACGGTGTGAATTGGAATCATAATTAATGAAAATCGCATTTATAAACATCTATCTGGTGTTTGCCCAAAGTACGGGTCGCCAAAAAGCGACCAGAGCCCACCCAGCACATGATGCCCGAAGTGTTATCTGTTTTGTCTGCCTTCATCCAACTGTGATGTTCCTCGGAACAGTCACACGCCTGCTCGTTCTCTCCGCTTGTTGCCCCTTTCCATGCCGTCATTCTCTCTTCTCATGACACACAAAGACCAGCATTCAGTGGATAGATATGCTGTCGTGGCAGCCACTCTCTTCTTCTTTTCTTTTCGATGCTTCGTCTCGAATAGTTCCGAATTCTGGTTGTTGACAAATTGGAACTTGAGATTGTCACGTTTTCCTGCAATCCGAGCCGGAAGAGAGGTGTTTAAAAGTTCAAAACACAGATGTTTGCAAAAAAAAAGAGCATGGATTCTTCGGCGACAAAAACATTCTCTCACTTGTTCATCCCTCTGTCCTTTTCATTCTCTCGAATGTTCCGCCGTTCTCTCACATAATTTGTTCTATTTGTTCTCTTTTCAGCCCAAAACACAAAACTACATGTATCGAGTGCTTTTGAGCGGCGCCGCCGGCAGCGGAAAAGGAACTATCGCACGAATGCTCGTTCGCGAGTTCGAACCGCTCGGATTCAATTACTTCGCAGCCGGAGACTTCATCCGCGATCACATCGCCAGAGGCACAGGTCAGTCATCTTTCCTCTCTTCGTCGGAATCAAAATAATTTTCAGAATTCGGTTTGCGCGCGCAATCGTTCCTCAATAAGGGCGAGCACGTGCCGGACAGTCTCCTCAACGGAGCCGTTCTCGCCGAAATGCTCAAAGCAGGTCCACGCGTCGTGTTGGACGGATATCCACGCAATCTGAGTCAGGTCAAGATAGTCGAAGAGCAGGCGCCACTGAATCTGGTCGTCGAGCTCAAAGTGCCACGCAAAGTGCTCATCGACCGTCTCTCGAAGCAGTTGGTTCATCCGGCTTCCGGAAGAGCCTACAATTTGGAAGTCAATCCACCGAAGGAAGAAGTGAGTGCAAAGAAAGAATTCTGAAAATATTTAGATACGTTTCAGGGCAAAGATGATGTGACGGGCGAGCCACTGTTCAAGCGCAGTATGGATCAGTTGGAGGTGGCGAGAAGGCGGCTGGAGGTGTACGACAAGACCGAAAACAAGGTGTTGGACTACTACAAGTGGGTTTCCTTCTTGAAGGCACGAACTGAATTGTGTTGAATTTCAGAAAACAAAACAAGTGCGTGACTCTTTCGGGAGAGTCCTCAAAGGTCGTCTTCGAGTCGGTGGCCGATATTATCCGTCGCGACCTGATCACAACAGCCCCACGCACCGCCTACGCCTAAATCCCAATACATTCACCCCCTAACTGACCCTGAATTGATTACGGGTACACTTTTTCCTTTTGCTCCGTCCCCGTAACTCAAAAATCGTCTCCTTCCTCGCCTTTTCTGTGCTTTACCTGCTTTCTTATATCTTTTCGCTCATTTTATTATCCAATTTCCGTCCCCTCTTGTGTTTTAACCTGATTCTGGATTTCTGAAATCCCCTATCGCCACTCTTCTCTCCAAGACACAAAAATCCACATAATTCTTCGTTCTGTTAATTTTTTCCTTTTCTCTCCGATTTGTTATGGGTATTTTTGCGTGTATATGAAGTTTGTTTTCATATTCTTGTTCTGCATTTGATCCCCATGTTCCACACAGAAAGATGTTTCTATCTCTGTAAAGTCAAAGGACGAGGAGAGGAAAACGCGCTCTACTGCACACTGCGGCGAAAGAGTGCGAGAGACGAGAGAAAGAGAGACTGCTCGCGTGTTTTTGCGTTTTTGACCCATTTCATTTGAATTTTTTTGTATAAAAAGAGTTTAAGTTTTTCATTATTAACGGTCTTTCCAACAAAAAAGTTATCATTTCAGAATGCTATCGGCAAAAGACGAACGGCCGTGGGTGGACGGAAACTCGGCAATCGCGCGGACGTTGGAAATGATGGCCGACAAAGAAGGACAGGCGGCGAAGAGAATGCGGGCGATCGAGGAAGAAGCGGAGAAGAAGCGGCGAAGTACGAATTCCCCGTTTTCCGTATTCACAACCGTCCAATTGCAGAACAACTCGAGTTCGGCGGCGACGACGTGACAGAAGTACGGCACGCGGAGTTCAATCAGACGACGTTGCGACTCGTCAACGAATTCATCGAGCGTACAAGCCAGCCGGTGACGATCGTCAATCTGAACAGCTTCCTCGAGCTCTTCAGACATCTCAATCCCATGGCCAACGTGCCCACCGTACCAGAAGTGGTCAGTTTTTGAAAAAAATGCGTACTTTGAACCATTTTTTGATTTGTTATAATCTAATCCAGTGACATCTTCTGTGATCGGGCTGAAACCATTACAGAACAGAAAGTTGAAAAAAAATCTTAATATGAATTCAGAAACAATACCAAGAAAAAAACGAGAAGAAGAGCGCCTGAACCCGACGCCGATTTCGTGCATAATCTGCGAGACGGTCGGCACAGAAGAGGAGACCATTTCGCTGGAGACCGACGACGCGGCCCTCTTCCTCACCGCCACCATCATTGGCGCCAATCGAGACAGGAAGGAGGCGACGAGGAAGATCCTGGGAGTGAGTCTCCGTGTCTGTACGTGGCACGTCAAACAAGTGGTAATGAGAGCCGGTGAAGTTCAGCCCGCAAATTCCCATATTTTGTAGTGCTCGATGATTATCACTGGTCTCAAACTCGACGAATCCACGATGATTACGGAGGAAATTCCGATGGAGAGATTGGCCGAATGGTGTATGATTTATAAAAAGATCAAGGTAAAGCTCTATTATTATAAATTCCCAAAACCCGATTTTTCAGACTTTGAAAGAGCGCCACGAAGACGAGGATTTCACTGTCATTTCCTTCAAACATTTTGTAGACGAATTTCTGAACAAGTTCTTGCTCACGGAGAAAAACGAGAACTATCACTGGCCAGTGTTGGACACTTCGTCGCCCGATAATTCATTAGCCGGAGAGATTGAAGAGCCGGTGCACTTGGCGGAACGAGAGCATTCGGCGAGAGAATCGGAGTCTCCGGCGCTGTCGGAAGACATGTTTTCAGAGGATCTGGGATACGTTCCCAAGCCCGAAAGAGAGTCAGTTTCTCCTGAATTCTTTCCGGAAGATGCTCCAGAACCTTTACGAGAACCTTCTCCGGAACCACTGCCAATTGCCGCTCCGGTTGCTCCGAAACCAACCATTTACACGCTTCCGAACGGCAAGAAAGTGATGAAGTTGTCCTCTGTCGTGCCGAATGGACAAGTCGGAAGGAAACTGATTCGCTACCGAGTGAAGAGAGTTGTTCCTCATTCCTCCGATCACCCGTCGACGTCGGAACTAGAACCGGCGATGAAGAGGCCGAAGATCGAGAGCGCCGACGATTGGATTAGCAGCTTTACTGAGAAAGAAGTGAAGCAAGAAGAATCGAACTGAGCACATATTTAGATAATTAGGGACTGTTTGTTTATTCACCTTACATTTTGTCATACATTTCGGGTTTTACACTTTGATCTTCGCTTTTTAAATTTTTTATTACTATGCCTAATAAACTCTAGATTTTGATGCAAGTATTATGGGGCCTGTTGTGTTCTTAGGCCTACCTTGTAGGATTATAACTCTGAGTCTTCGGTAGAAAAAGAGCCGATGAAGAGAGTTCCAAGGTAGGGGGAACACAGCGGTTGGACAAGGTTCTATTCGGGGTGAGTAACCCGAAGCAAAGATTACAATAGAATAACAGGGCCATTTCCCTGCAAACCCTCTCGGTTCCTAATCTCAGAGTTTTTCCTTTACCGCGAATGTAAGAGGTTGTCAGGTCGCCGCAAGTGACTCCATTACTTCTATGGGCTATGTTCTTCCTTCTAGAAGTCCGCAGAAGTCGTATGAAAAATAAACAGCGGACACCGAGCTTTTCTACGCTGTTGGTGGTCGGCGCCCCCATCAGAACCTCTTCATCAGAATTCCACATTGAGAGGACGGCAGCCAATTGCGTGCGATCCTTCCACTTCGCCGTCCCTCTATTGCCTTCTCCAGGCTTCTCTGAATCCCTCCTCGTTAGAATTCCGCATTGAGAAGCCGCATAGAGCCATTCCCGTGCGATCCTTCCAGTTCATCCAACCCTCCGTACGTTCTACAGACTTCTCCTGCGTTTAGAAGACTTCAAAAGCCTTCTCCAGGCTTCTCAGAATCCTCGCCGTTCAGAATTCCATTATACCAGCGTCGGGTGCTTGGAGAGCAGCCACTCCGGTAACAGTTCCACGCTATTTTCAAACAGAAAGAGATTGTGAAGAAGCTGAATAAATTTTATAGCGATTCTGAAAAAGTAATCTTGTATTTCTTTCATTCATTTTTATGCTTTCTGGCTTTTTCACATTAATTCTCTTGTGATTTATATTGAAATCTCTGTGAAGATCCAACAAATTCCACTTTCTGCTAAACAAGGCGCAGTACGATGCTTCAAAAACCGGGTGGCTGTCTGCCGGACTTCCACAAACGTTAGGTGAGATGCAGACGGATCAGGCAGGAATCAAGCCGCAAAGCGACGCGGCTATGCGATTTCACGCGAGAACGGCGATGCTTTTCGTGGAGCTGCTGCGGACGACGGGCATCTCGCGCAATATGGTCAACATGAACAGCGTGACGGCGCTCTGTCGCCATCTGAATCCGCTCGTTGAACTTCCGAGTCTCGGCGACCTTGTGAGCTCTTTTTCGTTTAAAACATTTGAAACAAGCTAATAAAATACGCGATTTTCTTTTTCGCTGCAAAAAAGTTCTTTCTGCAGGAAACTCATCTCGGGAATTTGAAAGGATACAACCCACTCATCTCCAGCAATCAGCCGTCTTGCATAATGTGCGGAGTCGAAGTTCCGCGGCACAAAAGCCATCAAGTGACCCCCGACAACGCCGCGCACTACCTGACCGCCTCCGTTCTCAACAGCTTGAAAACGATCTCGCAGGCGAAAAAAGACATTCTGAATACGGAACTGACAGTCTGCCAGACACACGATCAGTCGACGGTCAGTTCCGCCGGAAACGTTCTTATTCCAGCCTTTTCTCTCTCCCTTTTCAGTTCAAAAATATGTGCACCACGCTGGGAATCGAAGGCGTTCCCGTGGAGAGAGTGCTGCGCCCAGTGTTCTCTGTCGGCTTCGAAACCTTCAATAGAATTCGAGTGAGTTTGGGAAACAACTTAAAATAATGCGAGAAAGAGTTTCAGGGAATGCGATTCACTTTCGAAGACGTGCCGGTGATTCCGATGGAGAAGGAGGAGTACGAGAAGAGCTGCAAGAAGTGGATGATTACGATCAAATCGAGAGCTGCCAAAAAGAGAATAGAGGTATTACTTGGAAGCAAGAGGGTCTCGCAACAGAACATTTTACTACAGTACGGCGCCGTTCCGATTCCACCGAAAGTTGCGAAACATCCGAAGTACTGCAACTCGATGGCCAATTTCGATCGAGTGTTCCGTCGCGACGATCAAGAAGAACCCGTTTTCAACTTCCATTCTAGGGAAGACGAAAAGAACGATCCGTTCGGGGAGGGAACCTCCGACGACGTCTTCATGGACGTGAAACAGGAGGAGCCGGACACGTACTTGCCGCCCGCCCGTCCGGTCACTTTCGGAAATGTTCCGTTGACGAGACCGCCGACCACCATATACACTTTGCATAACGGGAAGACGGTCGTGAAGGCTCCGGTGGCAGCTGCGATTCTGGCGGAGAGAACTTCTGGAAAACTGGTGACGTACCGACTTGCGAAGCGGATGACCGAAGACTCCACGGGCACTTCCAGTTCTGAAGCTCACCCTCCAACTGCGACGGCTCTCATTCGAAGAGTCGAGTACAATCCGATACCGAAGACCGAGCCGACTACAGAAAGGAAACCGGAATTTATTGAATTCGGATCTCAACCGGCAGTATGATCTTCTGTCAAACCTACTGGATAATAATAATTGGTTCTAAGCTCAGATTCACTCAGGTTTCGATCAATGATCTCCCACAGTCTTTCATTCCTCGGTTAGTGTCTTGTTCTTTGAGAGAAATAAAACAATTTGAAAAAGTTGGATTATGATTATTTATAAGCTAAAAAAGGAAAACAAGAAACAGTATAAACTTTGAAGTGTAAAACATGAAAAGTTAACAGAAATTCCAGAAAAGATAATACAGCGAAATTAAATAGAGCAGGAATCGTGGAGAAGCACAGGAAAAATGAGAAATGATAGCGATGGTGAATTATTATTTGGCCAGTGGAAGCTCGACGAAATCCAAGATGGATCCACGGCAGTTGGGGCAGGTCTCGCCTCTGCTTTGATGCCACTTTTCGACACACTGAAAACAGTACAATATTGACTGTTAATTGAGTTTCTCACTTACGTCTTCTTGGAAAGTTTTCCTGCAAGTTGTGCACTTCACCAGTTTCATCGTGGTCGGGTCCATCCTTTCCAAACAGACCGGGCACTCCTCCAGATACGATTCGAACATGGCCCTTTCATACGCTTTCGTGAACTCGGCAGATAGCGATGGAAGTTGCGGGAGCACTGGCAACTGGCCCCGAGCGACACATCTCATTTCCTTTATCATTTTGATGTTTTCCTGCAGGACTCTCTTGTATTCTTCATGCCTCGCTTCGAACGTCTTCAATTCTTCGGCTGCCAACTTCTTCAGCGCGTCTTTTTCGGCCTGTGATTCCAATCTGTAAGAAATGAAGGGTTACTTGAGGAGTGTGCGATAGACACTTACAATTTGCATTTCTCCGTGGCTTTGCCAACTGGATCCATCTCCTTCAACTCGGCAATTTTCTCTTCCAATTCGTGCAGCATCTCCTTCATCTCTTCCGTCAGCTCTGGTCCCTTCGGGGATTCAGAAGTGGCATCTCTTTCAGCCAGAAGCCGATCGATCAACTGTTGATTCTTCAAACACTTAATCGAGAACGCCGTAGTCTCTAAGTTCAGCCTGAAAACTTGAAATTATCATCTGGAATCGAAACACCATTCCTTACATTTTTATTTTCTCCTCTTGCCTCTTCATCTTCTTCTGCAGCTGTTGAACGTTCGTCACTTTCATCTTCTCCATCGGTCCTTTCAGCTTTTCCGCTTCCTGCACCATCTCAGTCTGGGCGGCGAGTTTCCTGAAAAAGATAGCAAATCAGTGACTGAATGTATGCTCGAACTCACTCTTCCATCTCCCGCATCTTCTTCTCCATCTCTTCCAGCTTCTGATCCTTTTCCTGTAGTTCTCTCTCCGTTTTCCGCAGTGCCGTCTTCAATTCCTCGTTGTTCTTCTCCGATTTCTTCAGCTTTTCCTTCACTTTCTCACACCGATCACTTGTTCTCTTGCACTTCTCGCACACCTTCGATTCGGGCTGTTGAGGGCTCTTCGGAGGCGGGAGTGCGGGGGCGGCTTCGACTGATTCCGGAGTCTTCTGCTTCTGATCAGGACTCGTTGGAGACGGATCCTTCTCAACTTGTTCCGATTGTTCCACCGGCCGCTCCACTTTCTTCGTTCTTTTCGTTTTCAAAACGTTATGCTCTTCTTCTTTTCGTTTTAGCAGTCTTTGTTTGGCAGCCTTCACTTTCCGAACCGGCTTCTTCTCATCACAGTGGGGACAGCGAAGGCCGTCCAAGAAATCGCAGGATTTGTGGACATGAAGAAATTTGACGAGCTGAAAGGAAATTGGGGGGTTTTAAAGAATTGAAGCTTATCACTCACGTTTGGGAACCGATTGAAGAGGCATAGGAGTTGGCAGTGTTCGACAGCGTCGACGAGATCCAACTTCAGCAGGAACCTGTTTTTCTTGTTCTTCATGGCCTGAGTGTAGGCGAAGCGGACGTAGTCGGTGATCTCCGGAAAGAGATTGACTAGTCCCAGCCGGTTGAGTTCGTCGGTGAGATCGCGCATCGTGAAGCCATTCGATCCGACGCTCCGGAAGTCTTCCGCAGAACGATCGATGTACTTGTATAAGTAATTGTACACCAATTCATTTGCAGTACTGGAGTCTTCCTGTTCAAGGAAGTAAGCATCCGGCTGAAAAGGTTAACATTGTTTTGATAATGAAAGGAAATCAACTAACGTGATTGCACAGGAAAAATGTTTCAGCGAGTGTGTTGAGCAGCTCCTCCACAACGGGCCATTCACTCTTCTGAATCTTTTGGAAGACCTTGTGCCCGAAAATCAGACTTTTCACAATTTGAATGAGAACGTCAGCGGCAAGGATGCACGGCATTCCAAAAGAGGACAACGTCGTCACGGCCGCATTATTCTCTCTCTTGATTGGCGTTACGATCAACTGAAACGAGGCGGATTACGATTTGCGAAAAATGATCGTGGAACTCACTTCCACTTCTGGAAAATGCTTTAAGAACAAATGATCAAATTCCACAATCGACAGGGATCTCTCTTCGGTTGGCTCTTCTCCTCTCTTGATTGATACAACTCTCACGAACTCCGAAGCCATTAAAAAGTGTCTTTTATTGTCCTCGAAGACTCGAAGAGTGAGTGGGAGCTCATTGTTCTTCTGAAAGTATTCTTCTAATTACTGTTGTCTAACTTTATGATTACCTTTGGTTCGAATGGGCAAAAGATCTCCCGCCGCATCTGAACGAGTCTCTCAATGCTCTCAAACAGATCGTGCAGGTAGTAATAGGTCTCCATAAATTGCCGAGAGTCAAATGAGCCTTCCGTCTGGTAGCAGTACGAGAGAACTCCCGACACCATTTGGAACTCTTCGGGCTCACATCCTGGGAACAACGTCGCGAAATGGTCGAGAACGGCGCCGAGTCCGTCGACGTGGTAGACTCTTTCGTCCTTCGATCGGCTGTTCACGTTCTTGACTGTCTTGTAGATCTTGCCAAATCCTGTCCCAGGCTCACAACGCGTTTGTCGTTGATCGGAACAAACTCGGCATACGATGACAGCTCCTTCTCTTTCAGACGTTCGAAGAGCATGACTGCGCATTTCGCGTACGCAACGTTCTGAAATCAAAATTATTTTAGAATTTGACGTTCACAAAAGTCTTCTACTTACCACTTCATTGTGGTTGGTGAACACCCACTTCTTGATGAATGCAAACAAGTCTGTCTTGCAGACAAACTCCTCATTTGCCATCATGCTCCGGTAGACAGCGGGAAGAATCTGAAAGTGAACAGTTATACGGTTGACTGGAAAGGAAAGACTCACTGGTGCGCCGACGGCACTTCTTAGCGCCTCCTCGGCAAACGACTCGCGCAGATTCTCGATCTTAGTGACAGATTGCATTGTCACAAGTGGATTATTAACTGAAATGAAGAAGATTGGTCAAGAGTCATTTACCACTCGGAAATGAGAAGGACGTGAAGAGGGACAGAGGACGGGGAAGACATTTGATTTCAGAATGTGTGTTTGGGGGATGAGGACAGTCGGACGGAAGAGGACTGAATGTTGGTAGGAATGGGATAGGTTTATATACTTACCCGGATGCACAGTATTCACATTCACCTACGCTTGCTCCTTCTAAATGGGGGGGGGGTGTATACATATTCGTCTCTGCGGCCAAAAACAATTTTATTGTCCTAAACTAGGGTTAATAACCGTCGGGAGGAACCTTCATTGAAGGACCAGAACTTTCTTGAAGAATTTACTTGAGGGAAGGTTAAACGTTTCAGGCGGTTTTAGTTACTTGTAGGTAACTACATTTCATTTAAAAAGAATAAAGTGGGAAGTGAGAAATGAAAGTTAAGGGAGTCAACTCATGAGAAAGCTATAGGATATGGCTCAAAAAGTTATATCTAAGGTCGTTAGTAGGCAGGTCGAACAGGCGCCTGCTTTTCAGGCGCCTGAAATCGCCTGTTCGACCAGCCTAGTCGGTAGAGTAGTGTGAAGTTCACTGTGAACACTGTGAACGGACCGAAAAGACTAATCTCTGTGCAAAATGTGCTAAAACGCAAAGAGTTCTACGAAGACAATTCAATTCGGACTGTGCTGAGATGAGCGCACGAGACAAATTCTAGAGATGAGGAGGAAATGAAAACGGACAGAGAACGGAGAGGGCAATTGATTTCGGAATGTGGTTCAAAAGAGTAGGACGGTCCGATGCGGATCATAGAGAACTGAATGGAAGGGCGGTTTATATAGTTACCCGGGTGCACAATGTTCGCCTTTCAAATACACCTACCTCTTCCAGAGAGGGAATGCAAACAACTTTGCCTCTCTGGTCAAAATCAATTTTAGTGTCCTAGCCTAGGCATGCCATCGGATGGAACCCTTATCGAAGGACTACTGTGTAGGAGAGAGACATCAGAAAACGAATAATCTATGATATGAAGATACCATGGACCTAACTCTGGACACAGTATGTTTAACTATAAAACCTACTGAATAACTTGAACTCGTTTCAGATATTCTATCATTAATTTCCGTTTTCTAAACATTCGCGTGTTAAACTAAGACTTCCTGGGACGTCGTTCGAATTGCATTCATTTCACTAAAACAACTTAGAACTTGTCAAAAATTCCGAGAAAAAAATGATAGTTTACAGTGAGTCAAACTGTAAATCTAGTGGCGGAGAGGAGTATGAACGAATTTCAGAAGCACAATGTGCAATTGTCATCATTTTCGCGGTTTTCCTTCAAGTTTCTAGTAAGCCTGGATGTTCGGCTGATTATCTTGATGTTTTCAGCCGCCTACTCACTTTCGCAACTCTCGAACACGCTCAACGACTTTTCGTTTGTGGCTGAGGAGATCTCGCTCAACTTTGGAATCCTCGACGGATCCGTCCGTTTCGATCAGATTCTTGCCTTGCATTTCCGATTCAATGATACGAAATTATTCCGTCAAATCTCTGAAATAAGGGTTGATGACATCGAGAAGGACATGAATAAACTAATGGATTCCATTGGAAAGTTCCATTCGGAAGTGAACTCGACGCCAATTGATAGAGGATTGAAGTCATTGAAAAATATGAAAGAGTCGATGAAGCCGATGTACAAGCAACTTGATTTGTACTTTCAAAAGTACCGACGACTCGAAGAACTGTACACTATCCTGAAACGAGAGGTCAATCTCGAGTCGGCTTTTGGTGAGAAAAGTCCGCCTTACCAGTTCAAGTACTCCATGCAGAAACTTGGACGTCTTTCCCAATCGGGAGGAAAGAATACGAGTCAAGAGATTCATGAATTCTTGCAGTTCTTCAAATACGACACGGAACGGTTTGTGGAGTGGCTCGATGCGTACAACTTCATACCGGGCTCAAACATGAGTATCACGTGGGACGATCTCGGAAATGGAATGTACTTGGGTCCAAATGCATCGAAGGATTTTGAGGCGATAAACGGGTTGGCGGGGCAGTTCGCAACAAATTTCTCGGAGAGTTTCGGCGATTTCAAGTATTTCAAGGAGAGACTCGTGGAAATGCTCAATGTGTCGTCCCTCTTTTCTCGTGTCAGGACCATGGAGCCGTGGTTGAAGAACTTTCTGGAGTATGCGCCACCATTAAAGAAATTTCCGTGCGAGGAGAGTACGATTTGTCAATTTGTCTCTGAGAAGTTCATTGCAACTGTTCGAATCCTCACAAATCGATTTAACGACTATTCTTATATGACCGCAGGCAATGCAGAAATCAGAGAGGAAAGTATGATATTCAAAATGGAAAGTGTTCAAGGAGTGAAAAGGGAAGAACTGATCAAAATCCTGGACGGAATACCTGATTTGCTCACGGCGGCGCAAAGGGTGACTGAGAATCACTCGCAAACCGACTACGCAGCGAATCACTTCGCACCAGTTATACCTGAAAGCTTTAAACATTGGGTCGAGGAGAGAAGAGTCGAATTTGAGAAATTCTACAAGCCATCGGTCCTGAAGCCCGAACTGAAGCGTCTCCAAGAATCGATAACTCAAATTCTCTCGGCAGACTTTACGGAACTCAACGCGTTTTCACTGGCCAAACGGGCGATGGTCGAACTGAGAAGCATCCGGGGATTCAGTCGTCTTCGGAATCTGAATGACCGTGAGAAATATATGCACGGGAATTGGTCCGAGAAGTGGAGGGACATCCGAGTGGCTCTGAATGTCTCGCAAGGGTTGGTCAACGAAGAGAAGAAGATCATGGACAACTGGCAACGACTCTACGCTCTTCCGGTGACCGAAGACAATAATCCGTTCGGAGTATTGTACACTTTCATCAAGGAACCAATGGACTGGAATGAAGCATTGATAGCTCTGACGGATCTGTTGAAGGTCGTACATGAAACCAGAGACATGGTACACAATGCTACGATGCATCCGCCTGACCACAATCTTCCGACTCCAAATCCCAGTGAGTTCTTCAAACAGGCATCGCAACAGTTGTCACTGGCTGCCAATGTACTTGCAACTTTCGACTCGGTCTCTGCCAAAATAACTGATATTGACGTGATTAGAACTAATAACCAGAAGATATGGAATTGGAAGAAAATGTTTGAGAAGAAGAGTGGCAAAGTGTTTGCATGGCCGACCTCGGAAGAGAACGAATGGTTGGTACGACTGAAAAACGTTCTGGTGCTGATGGAGCAAAGGTGCCGCAAATTGAACTTTCTGACCATTCTGGACCTTTCGCGGGCCAACGACGTCTTCGATCCGGTTCTGGATATCGGAGATTGGACCGAGATAGACTTGAATTCGATGCAGGACACTTTGACGACGATGAGCGGATTCCTTGCTGACTCTGAAAAGACGTGGATTACCCCGACAGTGAACGCATTTGGAAATGTGACGAAATTGGATTTGAACTTTGAGAAGTTTCACCCGGCTGTCCAGGCATTCCCGAAGGTTGCTCAAGACTTGGAATTGATGATAGCATCCGGAGTCAGTTCAAGACCACCACTTGTGATGGCAGGGAACAAAAATGAAAATGGATATGAAGGATGGAGTGAGAAGACGAAATCGAAGAGGCTTCAGATGTGAGTAAGAGGGACCGGAAAGTAGGGACTGATTATGCACTCATTTCAGGGAACTGTTCAATCCGTACGTTCACGCTGTTGTGTCTCTGATCTTCCTCATCGTCGCTATATGCATCTTCAACCGACGGAACCATTCGTTGATTAGTGAGTAGAAAAACTGAGCATCAATCACATTTCAAGACTTTTTACAGGATACGACGCAGGCAGGGTCCCAACTGAGCGGGAACGAGATGAGGGCGGTGAGAACTTGAATATTGAACTTCATAGGTTCATATTTCATGCTTTTTCTTTCAGACAATCTCGCAATTGCCGAATGGTTCGAAGTCAACTACTTTCCAAATGTCAACAATCCAGAAGCTTCCGAACGGCACGGGGCTCAGATTCTAGCTCGTAGAGCTCACGAAGACTTCCGAGTGCTGGCAGCGAATAAACCGGCGATGGGTCCGTGCACAAATCAAGAAAAGTATCGGCTCATGTGCAGGTAGCCCGGCTTCATAATGTCATGTTCAAAACAAGTGTTCAGATATGACTCCCGTCCGATCTTCGACCATAACCTCGTTCGGATCTTGGACGATCACGGCGCGATGCAGCCGATCCCTCCGTTCTACCCGGCCACCTGGGTCCTAATCCCCAGGGGCATCACGTACATCGCAGCCGAGACGCCGAAACCCGCCAACTCAGAAGCATTCTGGCACTTGGTTTGGACGCACGAAGTGTCGACTCTGGTGCTGTTGTGCGGACTGAACGAAGTTTCGAAGAGATGTGAGGGACCAGCGGGAAATCAGGGTTAACATCGAGCGTTTCAGTTGGTCTGAAAATGAACAGCAGCGTCCTGTACATTCCGGTCAAAGAAAAGCATCAGAACAAGGACAATGAGTACATCCAGGTTACGTTCGGACGGTACACGATCACGTTGGAGAAGATGGATACGATGGAGAACAATACTGTCACAGTGAGACAGTTGATTATTACCAACTCGGAGGAGCCGGGAATCGCCAAAACGGTCACCCATTATCATCACATAGCGTGGCCGATGTACGGATGTCCGCGCAACTTCGAGGGAGTCATGGACATTCTGAAACGGGTCAGCTGGAACACGAACAAGAATGGACAGCCGCCGGTACTTGTGCACTGCTCGAATGGCTGCGGAAGAACTGGCACTTTATCGGTAACGAGTAGTCCTCACTCAGACGTTTGCAACAAGAGCTACCTTCCAGGGATCGACTGGGTCCTCAAACGTCTGTTCCGGGACGGCAACACCTCGATCGTCACGATCCTTGTGAACGAATTCCGTCTGCAACTTGCGAACGCCGTCCAGACTCCCATCCAACTGATCTATCTCTATGCTTCCGTCTATCTCCACTACAAACATGTAAGCGTTGAATTGAAATTCGAATTCGACTGCATCATCAATTTCAGCCTGACATGTCTGGCAGTCTGAAACTGATCAAGGCCTATCAAAAGTTTTCGGCAAAGGAGGAGTCGAAGTTGCCAGTTTTGGAATGGGAATGAATGCACTTGATTTGTATTGTGTTGAATGTAACGTCTTCCGAATCTTCTGAATCAAAGATACTCGTTGATGCGAGCAAACACACGAAACAAAGAGGAACCGATCGAATTTCCCGTTGCATTTTCCCCTTTTCCCCTTTTCGTCCGTGTTTTACACGCCCTCCTCTCATTTTGCCTCCCTTTAACCAAATTGTTGTTGTTTTCCAGTCGTTTTCGGAGCCGTCCCATCCCATTTTTCCGATATAATTACGAGGATTGTGTTGTCGCTCTTTTTGTATACTACTTAATTCGGTTAAAAGATTTGCTCACTTATCTTTGCTTCTAGCAAAAGTCACAAGAAATGCTCCGTCCATTCCTCTGGGACCGGTTGACGGACGTACTACGGACAAGCGAGAGGGGGAGAAGTTTCGTTCACTTTATCGCAGTTTTATATCAAAGTTGCGCAACGTCATTGCGAGCTTTTTGAACACTTTTAGTATATGACTTGGAGCATGTACAAACTCTCAAACTACCCCCTTTGTTTCAACTCGTCCTCATTTGAATTTCCTGCAAACTAAGCCCCGTTTTTTCTCGAGTTAAGACCCACATCAAAGAAGTTTCTCTCTCTCTCTCTCTCTTCTTTCGTTTTCTTTTGACTCTTCATCTTCTTGTTTTGTTTCTTCTTCTTTTTCATCCTCTTCGCCTTTCCCTTTTTGTTGTCGCCATCACCCTCATTTTCTGCTCTTCTTTCTAGTTTGGGTGGTCTCTGGAAGTTAGAAGAGTGCTCTTTAGGAAAATGCTTATAACTTGAGAACGAAGCTTTTTAGAGTAAAATGCTCAGTTACAAAAATGTTCAGCAAAAGACTTGCAACAACTTTTTCGTTTACAACTTTTTGAAAAAATCATTGGCTCCCGAGATACAAGTCTCCAAAGTTAGAGCATCGCACTTTGAGCTACAATAACTTCTCCCTCTCCCCCTCCTTTGTCAATTGCAAGTAGAACAAGAGAATGTGCTCGTTTCGAATCAGATTCTGTTGCTTGCATCCTTTTCGCCAAAAGGGGAACGAGAGGGGGGAATTTGTATTCGGATTCGATTGTCTCCCCCCTTTTCGCCCTCATTTAGACCGAGAAGCGAACTCTTCTCTTCCTCTTTTAGTACCCATCTTCTCGTTCATTCTTTCATTTCCATTGGCTAGGCTTTAAACTGAAACTCGAGTAAAAAAGGCGTTGTTTGCAGAAGAGAAGACACTCGCGCATAAACAATGCATCGAAATGTGGAGACGTCATCTTTCTAGAAGATGACTCCTCTCTCCGCTTCGCTACTTCATCTCCTTCTCAACAAAAAACTCGATGACAGACGGTCGAAATGTGAGTTTGACCGGGGAAGAAATCCACAGATAACTAACTATTTACAACTCTTGCAGGCGTCGCATCGAGGACCTTCTAGATCGAATGCAAACACTCATGGACGGGTTCGAACTGTGCATAATCATTCCGTTAGCGATGCTCACCACTTTCTTGCTCATGTTTCTGGTGAGTGACGGATTGCAACTAAATTTAAAAAATTGGACTCCTAAGCCCTGCAAAGTTGGGTCAAAAAGCCCAGGCCGGCCTTTTGCTTATTCTTGAGGGGCAGTAGCAAGCCCAAGACGTTACAAATGGGAAAAGCGGAGAAACTTCCTCCATAATTCAAGTCGCAAAGTACATCATTAAACCGCTCCCCATTCCCCTGTTTTTTGCCCATTTCGATCAAGTGATGCCGGCAGCAAAAAGAAAAAAGACAAAAGCCTTCTCGGACATACATTTTTGCGGGCCGCCGTTCTCCAGGGACTTATTGTTAAGAGCCGGCCGGCGGCGGAGCATTCGCGACTGCTCCTTCTGTTTTCGCTCACGTTTCTCGCCGTTTTTCGCATTCATACCGTGAGGTTTTGTTTCGGAAATCTATATTCAGCGTGCAATCGCGCTCAACTGCACTTGGCGCGATAGAACGCAGTTGCTGTGAAAACTATAACTATGTAAAGGTCCGTTTAGTAGCGGACTCCCACACTTTCCACTTCAAAGTGCAACATCTTCTTCTCCCACTCCTTCTTTCCCTTTTTTGCTGTCTTCTGACGGGTTTCGCTTTCAATTATGTGCTCTTCCACACACGCCATCGTGCTCCGGAAGAAAGGGCACCTCCTCGAGCTCACCCTCACTCATTATCTCTTCCCCTCTGCCCCTCCCATCCCTTCCTTTTTTGTCATTCTCACTCATTCCTTCCAGTGCATTCGGGTCGTTGTCATGTTTTGTTGCACGCGAGCGCAACGAAAAAAAGCAGCCGAGAAGATATCCGGGTCACTTCGCAAACACGATTCAGGACCGATGTTCGCACGGCTCGAGGAGTTCGATGTGCTCACGCCGCTTCAGTCCACTCCCGCCGTCAGCATCGCTTCTGGAGCTTATGTGAAGGTGAGAAGGGGAATGGACGGGAAAGCAGAAGCAAGATATTTTGCAGAATTACGGTAGCTCCAGTCCGTCGACGTCTTCTTCTTCCGATTCTAGGATCCAATTGATTCCACCCGTGCTAACCTCCTCCTCTTCCGATTCTCCCCCTCCGCCCAGAAGACCAAACCACGGGAAGACGCTGATTGTGCCACTGAACGCCTCCAGATGTGAGTACCAGCAGTCCTACATAAACTGAAGCTCTTTCAGATCGATCCCCGCTGACAATGAACCTGGTGGGCACTCCGGACAGTCGGCTGACCTCTTTCGAATGCGGAACAACGAAGAGCTGTGCCACGATCCCGGAAGACGACGAGGACGAGATGGACGAACTGTTATCGATCGACAGAACTTCGCTGTCGGTGTACGAACCGGCTTCCGGAAGGTTCGGCTACTCGGCCTACAACCTATGCTTGCCGCAGCCGATGCCAGAGTTCCAGGTGAGTCAGTCATAGGGAGAAGAGTTGGATGAAGCAATGAACTGATTCAAACCGGTGCCACCATTTCAGTCTTCCTCTTCTGGCTTCTCGCCGATGGTAAGAGCCCAAGCTTCCACTTCTAATCTTAACGCTTTCGGCAAAGTGTACATATCCTTCGTTTTTGTGGCATTGTCCTCACGTGGCCATTTGATTTATTTGCTCATTCATAAGACGATCCGTTCCGATCCGATTATCGCATGGTTTCAGTTGCCCGCGCCCACGTATTCCCCACCATCCCTTCCGTCAGAATCGCCCGCTTCCAAACCGATGAAAGTTCCCGAAGCATTGGATAACAAAGAGGAGGAGATGGATCCAGACCCCGTTTCTGTCTATGAGTGAGTCCAGCTATTGTAGATCTGTGAAAATGAAAAAGTTTGTCGTCAGATTCTCAAGAATATCCGATCCGAACTCGCCGCATTCCTCGTCCAACTCCATCAGCGACAGCTTCTACCTCAACAACTTCGACGTCATTTCCTCGGCTGCCAGTTAGTTCGCACTCTCCTTCTCATCAGACACCATCGCACGCTACAGATTCGCAAATCTTCGAAGCGAGTTTGTGTGGCGAATCGGATGTGGCGTCCAAGTTCCAACTGCATCGAATCGAAGAGGAATCTGAGAATGGAGACGAAATGAGTGGAGCAGGAGGGGCCGGAGGTCATGAGCCGCAAATCAGCAGCATGACGAGCAGCACTTCGCAATTCTTTCCACGGAGTATCTCACAACAGTTTGACATGATGAGACTGCAATAAAACGCGTTTCCCCTCTACCTTCTGCCACAGATTTCTTCCCGAAAACCAACTTGTCTTCATCTCTCTCTCTCTCTCTCTTTTACTAAAATACTTCAAAATCCTCGCTCCCACAGTTTACCCCGATCCGGTGTATCTCTCTGCTGCCACGCGTCTCTCACTCGCGCGCGCTCTTTCCAGTATATCCAAACATCGGCCCGCCGACGCAATGTGTGCTCTCTTTTGGTCCTTGGCGCGGAGGAGCCGAAGCAACTCCTCCCGGCGCACTCGAGTCTGTGGATCTCCCCTTTGCTCTTTTCACATTTCTTGTCTTCTCGACTCGATCATCAGCCATCATGGTAAGCTTATCACTGTTTCTCTCAAATCTGAAACTGATTTCCCACAGGGAGACGCTGTCGCCGATGCTTTGGAGAAGCTGTCTGCCGATCAGATCGAGCAGTTCCGCAAGTACTTCAACATGTTCGATAAGGAAGGAAAGGGATACATTCGTGCCACGCAGGTCGGCCAAATCCTTCGTACCATGGGCAGGCGTTTGAGGATCGTGACTTGAAGCAGCTCATCAAGGAGTTCGACGCTGACGGTAAGTACTCGAAGACGCTCGCCGACCACAGAAATTTTGATCTTTCTTTTGACAGGTTCCGGAGAGATCGAGTTCGAGGAATTCGCCGCCATGGTCGCCAACTTCGTTGTCAACAACGAGAACGACGAGGGACTCGAGGAGGAGCTCCGTGAAGCTTTCCGTCTTTACGACAAGGAGGTGAGTGGACTGTTATTCTGGGAAATACTTTGCCGAGTAAGTCAACATCATGTGTATTTTTGCAGGGAAACGGATACATCAACGTGTCCGATTTGCGTGACATTCTCCGTGCTCTCGACGACAACGTCTCCGAGGAAGAACTTGACGAGATGATCGCTGAGATCGACGCCGACGGCTCCGGAACTGTTGATTTCGACGGTACCACAACAATACGAAACTTTATTCAGCTTTATTTTTCAGAGTTCATGGAGATGATGTCCGGAGAGTAATTCACTTTTCTCTGTCCTGTCTTGGATTTCAATTTCGTGCATCAAAACGTTTTATTATGCATCTGCATCTGTAAAAAACCGTACTTTCCGTACCTTGCTATTTCGCTTTCACTTCCATTTATTCTCTTTTTTTGTTCTGATAATAAAACGTTTAAAAATCAAATTATTTTGACGATTTTCAGATCAAATTTGAGGCTCAAGCTTTCAGAAATTCAATTTTTTAAAAGCGCGCGGTTTACGGTTTGCAAATTACGAACCGCCGTGTTTGCGTACAATTTCAAAATTGTTTTCGAAATTCACTTCTTCTTAATTTTTCGAAGAGATTTTCAGGGACTGAACTTTGAAAATTCATTTAATCGTGCTGATTTAAACATGAAAGAAACGGAGAATTTTCCAGACAATGGCACCGAGAAAAACGCAGAAAAACAGCGCCGATGATGAGACTTATGAAGTCGAAAGAATTGTGGACCATGTGGACTTCCTCCACGCTTACAAGAGATATTACAAATATAACGATGATAAGTACAAGGACATGTTCAAGGTTTTCTCCATAAATGTTTTTAAAAGTATGAGACGTCGTGCGTATTACAGGAAAAACGGAATAGCTCGAATCTGAAGGACGTGTTTGTCGTTAGCAAGGTTTTCTATCAGGTAAAACGGTTTGAATACCGATTCAAAAGTTCAAAAACCAATATGCTTTTAAGGTGAAATGGTTGAAATTCAGTACGACCCACATGACTTGGGAGCCGGAGCACTCGCTCGCAGATCTGGACACTCTTGGCGAGTACAAGCAGATCAACAATCTGCCGAGACCGGTGATCTCTCTCAAAATTAAGCCGGGTGCCAACATGCACATCTGTGGATCTCCCTACGAAGCGCCGGAGGTTCTTTCCGACAGAGTGGATATCCGTATTGCCAAACTCACGGAAGCACGGATGAACAATCTGCACGTATTCTTGCACGACGAATACTACAACGCTAAATTCGGTCTCGTCAAGATAACCCAATACAAATGGAAATGGAAGAAAAGATACGGACTGCAGTACTGTAAGGCGGCGAACGACATCGTCAGAGTGAAAGATGTCGACCTCACACATGTGAGCCATTTGCCAAACAGATTCTGAAATTTTATAAAGTTCTTACAGCCACACACAGAGTGCAATGACATTCCGACGGTGGTGCAAGCGCAACAGAAGACGGACAGATCGTTTCTCCAGCTTATTATCAAGTGGGACTTCAGCAAATAAATAAAAATTGCATCATTTTCAGACATGAAAACATTCTTAAAATGCGTGATTGCTTTTTTGTCTCTAACGGAAATGTGAGCTCGAAAATCAGGCAGATTTACAACTGGTCTCACCAATCTCTTCGCCAGAGAATTCGAGAGGAAAAGAAAGCCGATTGGAAGAAGTTTGATTTTTTCTGCTAGCCATCACGTCTCAACTTGTTCAATTTGCAGAGTGTGTCGCGACATGCTCAACGCATTTTCCTACATTCATACTAACGGAATTCACCAAGCTGTGTCCCTGGACAGCATCATGTTCAATAGCAACGGAACGTTTCAATTATCCGGTTTCAAAGATTTCACATTCTCCAAAAGCATACCAATGAACGAGGTGAAAAGTTATTCGATCGAGCTGGCACCGAGGAAGTTCGGTCTCAGAGATCATTTCATCAGCAGCACCGTCGATTTGTACGCTCTCGGAATCGTCCTTCTTCAATGCACCTGCAAAAGAAACGTGTTCCCCGCGAAGCTCAGATCCGTTGATGAAATGGAGCAAAAAATCAAAAAGGCCATGGACGACCTGGAAACGGACGACGATCGTCATTTCGTGAAACTGTTGATCCGTGCTCGGGAGCACATTCACAATGGCTCAGGAACGTGGCGCTTCTCGTCCCAATCGCTCCTCGCGCATCCAGTTCTGGCGAAGAAGAAAAAAATGATGTCTGTCGACTGCTACTACCTTCACAGTCCGAAAGCTCAGCCAATTGTCAGTCATTTTTAGTTTCTCAAAAAAGTGGAAGTGCTCAAATGAATGTTTTCAGAAAGATCGCGTCTTCTTCACTTCCACAGATACTGCTCAAGAAGCCTACGAACGCCACGTGGATATGTATCATGAGCCCGGCAAGAAGACGTCCTTCCAGTATCTGCTCGTGTGCTCGGACAATTTCGCGAGAGACCGCTCTTCAACTGTGCAGATTTGTGACGAAGAGGACTTCAAGTTCGTGGCGGAGGAAGACGTTGGGAACCAGAAAAAGCAATTGCTGATTCTTCCGACGATTCTGACGCCGTACCGCGCTGAAGAGAACGAGCAGGACTTTTTGGTGCTCTACCGTCAAGAGTTCGGATGTGCTCCGATCATCGTCAAGGTAAGAAAGAATGTGTCAGGATTGAGTAATTGGTTCTGATTTCAGGGTAACAAACTGACGGATGCGGAGCTCACTCGCCAACTCAAGAGATACGTCATTCCCTCGAAATTCCGCGGATTCGATATGAAGATGTTCTCTCGCAGAAACAGTGGAGAGCAGAAGACTTCTCCTGTCAAATGTGAGCTTTCCCAACATTCTGACTGATTTGACCATCATTTTTCAAATATTTCAGTCACCTTGAATGAATACATTCTGAATCTGGTGCCGACTGACGGCCGAGTCATTGAAAATCGATTCGAAGTGGTTGAGGAGCGCGCAAGAAACGGACTGAGTGCGAAGGAGTTGGAATGGAAGGATGTGGCCGGATGCGCGCAGCACGGGATTCAGGTCGACGTAGAGGAGAACGGGGAGCTCGCGGAGCCGCCGGCGAAGAAGCAGAAAAGATGCAAACGAAGCGCTCATTGAACCGTTCATAAATTGTAGGATCCCCAGTTGTTGAATAGTTGTTTTATCTATTGTTTCCATTCCTAATTATGTCACCCTGTTCCCATCCTGTAGAACGTCCAGAATTTCTGAGCGTTTTTTGTTGTTTTTGTTCTACAGATCCTTTTAATAAGTGTTCTAACGAGAACGAATATCAAAGCTATTTACATTACAGAGTACGTTGTGTAATATTCGGTACTGCTCGCTTGAACTTGACACACGAAGAGCCAGTCGAACGTTTGCGGCTCCGCCCACGCGAACTGCAAATCTTGTTCAACCACCGGAGAGAATAGCACGCTTACCGTAGTCCCCACTGGCTGATTCGCAATGGTCTGGCCTGTGGAATTGGCTTTTGGATAGCCGGGAGCCCAGGCGGAATAGCCATTCGGATTGAACTGAAAACGAATAGATTGATTTCACTAACGGAATGGGAATTACTGGAAGGCTCTCCTGCTTGTACGGCTGCTCCCAATACCACTGATTTCCCCAGTACGACAGTCCGATGTAGTATTCCAGAGGATCATAGGCGGGAAATTTGTTCAGCATGTACGCTGAATTTGAACTTTTGTTTAGAAAATAGTGGAAAAGTAGAACTCGCTATGCAAAAAGTCATGTTTTTGCTGTGAGAACTCGTTGGCCAAGTACGCATTAGTCTCCGCGCCCTGACAGTATTCGACCGCGTACTCGAATCCCCAATTGCCGCCGGTGCTCTTGAAGCCCTGGACGCAAACGGCGAAGTTGGGGGAAGACGTGTTGGAACCGCCGAGTTGGACCCAATCGGACGGACAGAAACAGTTCACTGAAAACAGTTATTGAGATAAATCTCGGTTGCCGGTGGAGATATCGAGAAGCTGTCAACTGAGAAATTGCTCATTGAGAAGTGTTGCCCATTTTATTAGTTGACCACGTTTTGATATCTCTACAGACACACACTAACCGCTCAAAAGCGCGTTGGTGAGCTGCTGGACCAACTTGGCGGTGTTCATCTCATCCACGAGCGCATATCCGGGACTGGCGACGGTGGAAAGTGCTTCGCGAGCCTCGCTGTCAGTGGTGCACGCCACTGAAATAATCGTGACGCCGTTGTTTTTGAGCCTTTTGGCTACTGGCAACACGTCGTTGATCGTTCCGGAACCTCTGGAACATTTGGAATAGGTGGCACTTGTATATTACGTTTTCCGGTTTGAACTTGCTAAACTCAATTCATTGCTCATGCCCCTCGGTGTTCGCACATTCTTAATGGAGATAAGGGAACGTACTGATATGCGGATGCGAACGCGATGACGACCCGTTTGTAATTGTAGCGATACGTCCGACTCAGACCATCTTGGAGCACTTTCTCGGCCGCCAAAAGACCTCTGAACTCTTTTGTTCTCTCCTTTCTCTTGTGGCTAAACTCACTGGCTCAGATAGGAAATGTTCGTGGAGTCAACGGCCACGAGACTTCCCTGAATGACGTTGTACAGATCGGAGAACGACTTGGACGCATCCATCTGCGCAGCGACCGTCGCATTCGAATCGTAAGTGACGACGCCGACGCACGTGCTCCGCGGGTCCTGCGGATACTTGACCGGTCCGATCTGATCGACGGCGCCGAACACTTGGGATATGGTGTTGCGCACCTGCCAGAGTTGCGAATTGGTCATCAGTTGCGATCTGTCCACGACGACCACTACGTCTAGCCACAGGTTTTTGATGTTTCCCGGACAGAGAGGGTCCGTGTAAGCGTCCGGAGAGCATTCTGGAAAGTGGAACTGAAAGTTTATGAGGAACAAACAAAATGGATACTGACCCGCCATTATTACAAAAAGCAATGACGTCAGGAGAATCTTCATTTTCAGACCGCTCTCTATCTCTCTATTTCTCTCTCTCTCTCTCTCCCGTTTCTTGACGCTTAAATACCGCGTATCGTCTGTAGATTGTTCCGAATTATCATCATGTGATAACGAGAGCAACATGACCGAAAATACAATGCTTTCGCGTCATGTCGAAGCAGAAAACGATGATTTTTCAGACGGATTCTGACATTTACGTGGCATGTTTTCCCTGAAACTCAATCCCGACTCTTTCCATTTTTACGTCGTCGATAAACAAAATGACTTCAAAACCAGAGGAAGCTAGAAACAAAGAAATGTAAGCTCCAGAGATCCGGAATGAAACCGTTCGCTTTTTTGTCTATTCTTTTAGATTTTTCCATTTCGATTTTGCAGAGACAGTTCGGAAGAGGAAGAGGGATATCTGCAGAAACTTCTGAAGAAGGAGCAGTTCAAACTGCAAGATGAGTTCCGTTTGGACGTGGAGGGCACCATCAAGTACCTGCAGGCCCTTAACAAACTCACCGATTCGCTGCAGAAAGTCGTCGTGGTGAGAATTCCTGAATTCACCAGAAAGAAATCAGTTTTTGCAGTCCGGCACCAGTTATCATTTCGACGAGAAGCGACAAGTGCCGTACAGCGGATGGAGATATCTGACCGGGTACTTGAAGAAGGTCGACTGGATCGGAAAGAACAAAACGGAAGCGGAGAACTTCATCTCCGCCTGCGATCTCCTCGGATTCGCCGAAGAGAAGAAGATCGCTGTGATCCGCAATCCCGACGAACGATCGAACATTTTCATGGCGGGCGGGCCGTACCGACAGAAAATGGAACAGTTGAACGCGGCGATGGGCGAGTCGATCAAAAGGTGCAATCGTCGGAGGAAGAAAGTGGAGAAGGCGGCGGTGATGAAGGATCTGAAGGACCAGGGACCGAAGTACGTGGCGGCGGTGAAGCAGTTGGACACGGAGTGCCGCGAGATGGAGAACTACACGATCAACGTGTCCAATCACAGAGAATACCATCATTTGCACATCAGAAAGAGTCTCGGCGTTATCGAAGAGTTGTCGGAGGAGAAGACGACGGTTCTGAAAGACAAATTGAAGAAGAAAGCGATCGGAGAGATCAAGCCGAAGAATTCGACAACGCCGAAGAAGGAGAAGGGCGAGAAGTCGGTCATGGAGAGGACGATCAGGAAAAAATAAACGGTTTCTGTCTGCAATTGTTGTGTGTTGTAATTCTAGACACAAAGATATTGTTTATCATAATTTGAAAAAGCCTACAGATCTAATTGTCCTAATTTTCGGCAAGCCATTAATTTGTCATTATTTCTAGTTCCCTAGAGATAGAAAGGCTTGCATTCTGTGTGTTTGAGTGAACATCGAGAGGCAGTGACTCTCGCAGGTACTATTGTACCTTTCTACGCTTATTTTCTTTTTTAATTAAGCAGTGCCCTCCCAAATTTTTTGTTACGTTACAAGGACATAACAGCAATAATGGGGTTATTCGGCGGTCCAGCATAATAGAACTGGGCAGAATAGAACTGGGCTGAATAGAACGGCGCAGAATAGAACCGCGAGATAATAGAACTCATTTATTCGCTTCGACCACCAGAAAAAAAAATAACTGTTTTTGTGAATTTATGAGCATTTTGTCCGTTCCTTTCAATTCACTTTCGCAAAATTTTTCGTCTCTCAAACAATTATAACTCTTATAAACAGAAGACTACAGTTTAAACCTAGAAAATTGGCCTCCTTTCGTTTTTGATAGTACAATAAAATTATTTTCTGTGGGTTTTCGTTACCGTAGAGAAGAGGGATCACGACAGAAGTGAAATTAATGAATGCAATAACTCGCTCACGAGATTCAAAAATTATCTTTTTCTAGGAAAAAATTATTCTATTTACATTAAGGTTAAAAAGGTGCTCCAAACAGTTATATTGTGGCCGGTTCTATTATGTCGCGGTTCTATTCTGCTCAGTTCTATTATGTTAGACCGCCGGATATTCAGGCTGTGAAAAAAAATTATTTTTTTTCCTTATTTTGCGTTTTTACGTCAAAAAATCCAATTCAGCTGCAGCGAGGTAAAAAAAACGAAAAAAAACTGTTACGTCGTGTAGACGTATGATAATAATTTTATGATCTATGTCTATTGATCTCTGTTGTGATCTACCTTAGTGATCTCCCCCCGCGTTGTTTTATATTTTAATTGTCATCATTCGGGTCGCCCTCCTTCTGAGGACGGACCCTCAATTCATTATATATATCTGCTAGCCCCGCTAACAAGGGAACCTTTTAAGTGATTAAAGGAACCAGCCTAAACTAACGACACAGTTCGAGAGAGGGACTTTCAAAACCTATATTCCAGTTTTCAAAAGCTGCTTTCGAGACCTCTGAAATGCTGAAATTCCAGTCCGAAGTTTGACATTTCTTAACCATAGATTTCGCATTTTGATGGCGCGGCGACCCACCCTCACACCCTTGCCATGCGCCACGATTGTCACCGCCCGCAACACCCCACGAAAATGTGGAAAAACGGGAACAGCGAAGAATCACTGAAGGATTAGACACGCTAACCACTGAGCGTGGAACAATCGGTTACTGAACTCCCGTTTCGCCGATTACTGATTCCTCACTGATTCCTCACTGTCCAGCGTTCGCTTCCCGCTCTTCCCCTCCGTTCACTAATCCGTCGCTGATTCCTCACTGTTCAGCGTTCGCTTCCCGCTCTCCCCATATTCACTAATCCGTCGCTCATTATTTGGCGTAATTAAGCAGTTTTCGAGACAAAATTCATAATAAATAAAGAACAGAAAAAAAAAGGGTAAAATGAAAGAATTGGCATTAAGAGCCCGAGAAATGACAATTAGTTAGTAGTATATCGCTGATCGGGATGTGAACTGGTTGATGAACTGGTTGATGATCTTAGCGTTGCGTTTCGTCGTCTTCCATCTCCTCGCGTTCCATGTTCTCGCCTTCCATGTTCTCGCCTTCCATCTCCTGGCCCTCCATCCCCTCGCCTTCCATTTCCTCGTAGTACACTTCGTTGTCGACATCGAAGCGGCCGAGTTCCCCATAAACTTCTCGGTCATGCGCGTCTTGAACGTACACGCGTTGATGATTATCATCGTCGGCCCGACTGAATTGTTAGAAGATTAGAAAAAGAAGATTATTCGAGTCTCACTTATTCTTAGTTTCTTCGCGAAATTCAGCAAGAAGCTCGTCCACCACTTGTTGTTTCTTCTTTCTCATCCTGTTCCTGTGAATGAGTCGTTTTTTAAAAGGATAAGGACGCATAAACATACAGGAAATTTCTTGTAGTCGAAGTGATCGTCGAAATTAGAGACGTCTTGTTGATGACTGTGTCGTCGATACCGAAGCCAACAGTGAGGACGTCTTAAAGATGATGTTGTCATTGTGCAACTTGTTTTCCTGTACTTACATGCGAAATGAGTGAAGAATCCGGGTTTCATCGGGACGTACCGAGTGGAGCGGCCGCTTTCTGGTGCACAGTAGATTGAGGTGAAGCGATCGCAGGAAGCGATCTGAAGGAACAATATCTGAGCTAATCCAGTAGTTTGCCTTACCTTGTGCGAGACAGCGATCACGGCACGTTCAATACTAGTTTCCACTTTTTTTGATGTCCACTTGCTCGTGTCGTCCAAGTTCACGAGGCTCGTTAAAAGCACTTTCTTGCCACTCGGAAGTGCCATCGGTGCGTCGACCCGGCTAGCGGCTTCGTGATCGAATAGCACCAGGTTCTGCGACTGCTCGCCTTCGTCGCAGGCAGTACTTGTGCTGTGAAAAAAAAAGCTGTGAAAAAAATGATTGTTTTCCGTTTTTTTTCGTTTTTTTACATCGCTGAAATGGATTTTTTGACGTAAAAAAACGAAAAAAAAACGGAAAACAATCATTTTTTTCACAGCCTGAATAACCCCATAATTCTGAGAAAAATTCATGAAAACGCCATTTGACCGAGGCCGCGCCCATATTGTCAGCTCTGGAGACCGTGATGTTTGGAATAAAAATTATAAAAACGTGTCAAATTTCAGAAAAACACAGCTTGAAATCATAATTTCAAAAAAAAGTTACCGCTTCCAGACATCATACTCGTAAAATACTAAAAACTTGTAAATTTTTAGAGTGTGGGCAATGCGACGAGCAACGGCAACACTTGACTAATCCCAGAGTGATCCCGTTTCAAGAGTGATCCTACACTAACTTCTCAGTGATCCCGTTTTGTTCAGTAGCTCCTCACTAATCTTTCGCTCATCGCGTTTCACTCATGCTTCGCTAATTCCTCACTGCGCTCCTCAGTAATCGGACAGTGATTCCTCACTGCTTAGCGTCCCCTTCAGTGGCTGTTCACTGACCGATTACTGATTTCTGGCTAATCAGCGTCTACTCGGTGATCGCTCGGTAATTCCCGAGTGTTGCCGTTTTTCCTGAGGAATCAGCGACGGATTAGTGAACGGAGGGGAAGAGCGGGAAGCGAACGCTGGACAGTGAGGAATCAGTGAGGAATCAGTAATCGGCGAAACGGGAGTTCAGTAACCGATTGTTCCACGCTCAGTGGTTAGCGTGTCTAATCCTTCAGTGATTCTTCGCTGTTCCCGTTTTTCCACATTTTCGTGGGGTGTTGCGGGCGGTGACAATCGTGGCGCATGGCAAGGGTGTGAGGGTGGGTCGCCGCGCCATCAAAATGCGAAATCTATGGTTAAGAAATGTCAAACTTCGGACTGGAATTTCAGCATTTCAGAGGTCTCGAAAGCAGCTTTTGAAAACTGGAATATAGGTTTTGAAAGTCCCTCTCTCGAACTGTGTCGTTAGTTTAGGCTGGTTCCTTTAATCACTTAAAAGGTTCCCTTGTAAGGTTTCTCGCTCTGAATAAACCTCTTGCGGAAGCTCTCTTGTCATAGCCGACTCCAATAAACTGTATGTTTTCTTGTTTCATTGCGGCGAAAAATTAGATTTTTAGCGTGACCTTACGAAACCTGGAACAGTAATGGGGCTATTCAGCGTATCTTTGTTTTCCGTTTTTTACATCGCTGAATTAATTGGGTTTTTTGACGTAAAAAAACGGAAAAAAATCATTTTTTCACAGCCTGAATAACCCCATAAGACTTTTCCTTGCTTGATACGCAAACTTTCGTTGAAAATTTTAATAAATTCAAATTACGTTATGTTTGTTTTTGATTATTTTTTACTTAAACTTGCCTGAAAATCACTGCAAAATGATGCATGTGTTTTCGCTCCTTCCTGTTCCATGTTGCAAACGCGCCTCATCGCACTCTGTTTCGCCGCCAAACACACAAATTTTGAAACGAAACTTTTCACCCGTTTTTCCATCGGAAATGTCTTGTATCCTCTCATTCCTGATGAAAATTCTATTAATTAACACGTGATTTCAACATTTCAGATGCGTCGTTTAGGAGAACCAGAAGAGAGATTTGATGTGGACGCGGAGACGACGACGGTCGGATTGTACGATGTGAGCACCGTCGCCCGCATCTGTCCAAGTAATTTTCACCCTTTGAAATCATCCGGAAATGCTTTTTTTCAGTGCTGAATGATTTGAAGATCAGCAAAGAATCAGCGGCGTGGAAGCTGAAGCCGAAGAGCAATGAACGCTTTCTGGTACTCGCCTCGTGTTCGGACATTGCCGTTTTCACTCTTGGAGAGACAACCGAATACCTCGTGACCCTCGGACTCGAGGGGACCATCACCGACTTTGTGATCCTCGGCAGTTCCGCATTCTGTGTCGCCATCGTCGAAAAGCGAACAGTCGTCGTTCTTTCGCTTGAGAAACCAGTGATTTACTTCAAACAAGAGGCGCCCTACGAAGTCGACTTTGTCGCGTGCAATCCGACGTCTTCTGTGTGCTATCTGACATTCGGAAGTCGTTCGGGAGAATGGTACACAGTGACTATGCAAGGAGACGTGGCGGCTCCCAAGGAGAACAATCGAGTGGAGAACTGGCAAGAGGAACAAATACAAGAATTTTTCTTGCTAGCGATGCAGAGAATCACTTCGAAAGATATGGATATGGAGAATGTGTCCGATGAGATCACTCTGATCGCCAACGGACCCATGCAATCGTACGCCTCCGTTCACAAACAGAAGGGCATCAACTGGTGCGGATTCGGAAATTCCAAGTTCTCCGTCATCGCGGATGAAAGGAATGGGTGCGAGTGCGCGACGGCGGTCGTTTCTCTCTGAATCTCGACACGGACGGATGGGTTCATGTGTTCGACCCGTCCACTCACTCTTTCTGGACTGAATTCGACTTGAAAATCGATGAAGCCGACAAGATTCTGGATTTTGCCGTCGTTGATAAAAACGAGTACGAAGTCCCGAAGCTCTTTGCGATTGTGGCGACGAACGGAAGCGGAACGACGCAGATAATCATTCACGATCGAACGAAGAAGGAAAACATTTTCTCGCTCGCTTCTGTCCCCTCGACTACTCTTTTCGCATACGGAGGATCCGACCGAGTTCTGATGGCTGTGGAAGAAGTGATCGATGAGAAAGTGGACGAAGGAGAGAAGAGCCGAATCGTCCTTCGTCAAGTGTCGCAGTCACGTCCGGAGATGCGATTCGAAGCTCTTCTGAAGAACAATCGCTTTGAAGAAGCGGAAAAATTCGCGAAAACGTTCAACCTCGACGTCCAGAAAGTGTACAAAAGCCATGTGTATTATCTGCGTGATAACTGCGACGACGACGACGAGGCGTTCGCAACATTGATGCGAACGATGGAGGCGATAACCGAGCACAACTGGGTGGCCGAGACGTACTTCACTCTGGTGACCACGAGCCGTCGATGCGATCGCATTCGGACCTACTTGTCTTATGCTAAAAAGCGGAAGATTGCCGACTTGGAAGTGTTCAAAATGATAGAATCAGTGTGCTACACGTGGGCAACCTATCGCATCATCACTGGACCTGGACAGCACGAAACGGGCGGTGCGCAGATCAGCGAGACCATCTGGGATCTGTTCGTCGACGCGCTGCACGGAGGTGATCCCTGGCTGCTCATGTACGAGGAATTCATCGCCATGTCACAGTTCACGGTACACGTGCCGGCTCTATGCTCGTCAAATTAACGTTCTTGCAGAAAGCCCGCGTCATCTTCTCCCGTCATGGTCAATCGATCATCGCGGATTTGTGCTCGGATGACGATCATCAGACAGCGCGTCTCGAGGCCCTCTTCCGCATGTTCACCGACGGAATTTCGGCGAACATTGGCAACTGGAGCAGTGTCGTCGAGCACATCACAACTGACATCTTCCCCGCATGTCTCATGGCTATTGAAGACGTTAGACCTATTTTCTCAGCTCTTAGTTTACCTTTTCCACTTTCAGCTCGTCCCATGCCTCGAGAACCTGATCACCACCCTCATCCCTCTTCTCGAATATCGCGACTCTGCAAACTGGCCGGACAATGCGATCAAAGCGGCCAGCTGCTACGACACGATGGCCAAAGTGCTGGTGGACAACGGGAACACGCCCGCGAGTCAGAGTTTGCTTCTGCTTTGTGGGAGCAAGCTGACCGCCGCTTCCTCCGCCGACGGATCCTCCTCGATGTCGCGCATCAAGAAGCTCTTTTACGATCTGCACGAGCTGAAACGACTCAAGGAAATCTACGAGTGCTCGATCAGTTTCACCACGTTCCAGAGTCTCGAAGCAGAAGGAATCTGCCACAAGATTCTGCAGAATGCGCTCTCCAATCCTAACACGACGCATGCGAAGATTGAGAAGTTTGTGAAGCCGTTCATGGCAGAAAGAAATCTTAATCAGGAGCAGACGATCGTCAACTACATCCAGATAATGTCAGGAGCCGCCGTCTCGAATGCGAACATTTACGGATGGGAAAAGCAGTGCGTGCAGTTGTGCGCCAGTCTTTCCGACGAGACTCGCCGCTGCTGCTCGATCATTTCGATTGCCGCCAATGCGAAGATTCCGTGGCCAGTAGAGTTGAATGAAGCCGTCAATAAGATCCTCGTGAGCCGAACTCTTTCTCGATCGGAAATCGAGGAGATGCAGATGGTGTGCAAGCGGACAGAACTATCAAAGATGCTCTCATCGTACGGATATGGCCGGCATGAGATCGAACTGATCACTTTGCCCGACGCGAGTATGGACATCATTCTGACGATCAGATGCATGCTGGCCCAGCGGGAGAAGCCGTCTCGCTTTGTGGACAGCATAAAACTGCTCGAGTTGCTGATGGCGATGCAGGGAGCGAAGAAGAAGACGATAAAGGCGGAGTACGTGCAGTCGCTCGCCGTCATTCACATGATGTCCCACGAAGACGTCACTACTTCAATGATCAACTACATTGACAGTCTCGGAGATCGCGAGCGCGTCAAGACTATTTCCCTCGTGTTCTCATTCATCGAACGTGTCGCTGATACGCCAGCCGCCGAGAATAACGTGGAAGAGCGGGCAAAGATGTTGGGAGTCGGAGAAGAGTTGCTCTCGTACTACGCGTGCAGAGATAACGACTACAACGACCCGGAACGACGGCTCAAGCAGAACCTCGTACTTGTTCGCGAAGTGCAGAAGGGACAGAAGACCGCCGTTCTCTTGTCGGACTTCCAAAATTGCGAATGGCAACATGACTTCGTGGAGAAACTTCTCGCGTCGAATGAGCCACTTACTGTCAAATTGAATCGGTGCAACTACATGGGCATTCCAATGGAAGGACTCATTACGATGATGCTCGACAAGGCGATGAGAGAGAACGATATGGCGAGCATGGTGGACAGCATATCCACGTACGTCGACTCGATCAGTCCGTGGACGGATGCGACCCGTGACATGCTTGATCCGATTCCTCATCTGCTCAGCTGGATCACCTATCGACTCCCAGAGCTGTCGGTCAATGAAACAGAGTCTGTGAGAGCTGATGATGTGAGTACTTCCCTTCTTTTTTGTACATTTCCATCTTCAGATCGCATTCGTTATCAAGAAACTCGGCCGAGTTGTCCGTGAAACGATCCGCAAGTTCCCGTTCGATGTGATCAGCGACGATCTCAATTATCTGCTGCAACTGGAAGCCTTCTTCAATCTCGGCGAGCACATAATCAAGCAGTCGCTGCGTGGCCAGGAGAACGAGACCGAGAAGCAGGAGATGTTCGGTGCGGAAGACGTGTCCGTCGCCCTGCCGTCTACTTCCTCCTCATCTACAAGCGCGCTCAACTGCTCACTGTTGCGTATTTTCGGATTCAAACACTCTTTCGGAACCTACGACTTCTCCGGCGATCCGGCACTCTTCGAGGGAGTCTCTGGGGTTCTGGCTCTGGCTCAAGTGGCTCCGTCCGTTGCTCGTCCGTTCGATTCGGACATTTCCGACGAGGATGCGAATGATTTCCGTGCTAACTGGGAGCAGCTCAACATGTTCCTCGCAATGCATCAACAGGATCTTCTGGATATTTCCGCCCGTGTCTTCGCGGGTTCTTTAAGTAAGTGTGCTAGGAATGAATTCATTTTCTCACCTCTTTCCCATTTCAGAATGCTGGTCGGGACAGTATCGCGAAGGCATAATTCATATGGACGAGACGATCGTTTCGGTGATTGAAAGAATGCTGCAGCAAAAGAAGTTCGACTTCTGGCACGCCTTCACTTTGCTCAGTGGAATTCCGGCCGAACGCTTGGATAAGGTCGTCCAGGATCTGCAAAGAAGGCCCGGTGTGAAGAGCTCTGCGAAGGCCACTCTTCAGTACCTGCAACTCGCTTTCGTAATGTGCATCGCGACGAACAACTTTGAAAAGATGTCCATGATCATTCACTACTACGAGCAAAAGTTCCTGGTGAAGAAGCTGGCCGAAGAGGGAATCCGCGCGAACATAGCATTGCCGGACTTTGTGGACAAGGTCGTGCAGCAGGCTGTCGAGTTGAAGCAGCCGATGCCCCCGTACCGTCTGTACGAGTGAGTTCTCCTTCAGCCAATTCTTGTTTTACTCCGTTTTTACAGTTACGTCAAGAAGTATGTTGAGAAGATGACTCGCGCCACGAAAGTGACGGTCGTGTCAGTCGGAGAATACATGGTTCGCTATGCGACTCTTCTGATTCGAAAGGCTTCCGCCGCTGGCAAAACTGCCGACCTAGAGATTCGGAACGAGGAAATCGCAAAGTTTGTCGAGTTGGCGAGGACGTCTCTGAGAATAGCCGAAGAGGAGAATGCGAAGTGCATCAGCCACTACCTGCGCAGTCTCCTCTACATTGTGTGCCCGTACAACTACGAAGTCATTCAGTTCGTGGTTGCTTCGTTTGGAAACTACGCGACCGAAGTTAAAGATCAGGAGTTCCACGAGAATCTACAATCGATCATGACGTTCCTGTGGTCGTACGCACGCTCGAATCATGTCAGTCGAGAGGAATCGGTGTGGTTCACAAAGCGAGAGAGCATTCTGGTGAAGGACGAGAAGGATTTTGAGAAGACGAGTCGGTTCAACGAGCCGTTCGGATACGGACTTCGTCAGACTTACGAGGACGACGGAAACGCGATGTCCGATTCGATAAACTCTGGTTCCGGATTTCCGACGGACGCAATGGTCTACGAGCAGAACAGTGTGATAATCAGTGACATGCCCTCTCTCGCGATGGAACATCTCCCATTCCACGCGTTCCTTCTTCGCAAGAAAGAGGATTGTGATGAGACGGTGATGGCTATTGTGAAGGCGGAGCTCTCGATCTTCAACGTGCCCGTCTGGCAGGCGTACCTTCACGAAGTCGAGTGGCTCAGCAAATTCTTCTCTCGCGCTCACCTCCTTTCCTCTGCCATCTTTGCTCACGCCAACAAGTACGCGATGTTCGGAAAGAGTTTGCCGGCCGGAGAACGCAACACCATCTTCCACCTCCTCAACAACACGCGGAATCATCGACGTGTCGTCATCTCGACCATCGCGCTCCTTTTCAAAAAAATCATTCTCAGTGACGTCAAAATCGAACTGCTCCAGATGGGAGTTGATATTTCGGAGCAGTGGACGACGGATGTGTCGGGAGAAGAAAAAGAGGATATCGAGGAGCAATGCGCTCGCCTCAGGGACGGAATCGCCAAGTTCTTCACTGAGCTCGAACTCAAAAAGAACGGATTGTACAACGAGAAAACGGCGGACAACGTCGAGAACGTCGAAGAGTTGTGCTCGCTCATCTACGACGAAATGGTCGAATGGGCGAATTCGACGGACGCAGCCAAAAAGTGCCAAGTGGTGGAGAGAATTGCGAAGGCGAACGGATTGGACCTGGCGGCTCTTCACGAAAGACTCGTGTTCGCCTGGATTGAGGACACCGAAACTTCGGTAATTCCGATGAGCCATGTGGACATGAATGAGGTATGTTTCTCTTTTATTCTTGTTAAATCTGCTCCCCTTCCAGTCGATTGGCGGAACCTCATTCATGGATCAGAAGGAAGACGCGAGCGAGAAGAACGAGCTTCGCATGCCTCTCTTCGACACTGCGCTAGACAAAGTCATTGTGCTCTGCCAGAAACTTGACAAGAATCGTCTGCTGAAGAAGCTCATAGCAATTCTTCTCAAAGGAGGACGTCGAACGATGGGAGCGTATACGGCAGCTGTCCGAACCACGTGCATCATACTACGCACATTCACGGAAAAAGATATTGAGGCGTTTTCTCCAGGAGCGGATCTGATGGCCATGTGGTTAGTTCGCCTGGTTTTACTTCCCATTTTAATTAAGTTTTTCAGTGGAACTCTCGAAATGACCCTCTACAATCGTCTGTTTGACAAGGCCGAAGTGAAGAGCGATCCGAATGCGGAGAAAGTGCAACTGATCAAGACCCTGCTGCAATGTCCGTCCCGCAGCCATCCGATGACCGCTCTCATCGCCTGCCTCATCATCGATCACGAATACAGCGATCCGAAGAGCATCGAGCAAGTGATGACTCGTCTGCAGATCTCGAAGCAGTGGGACGTGCTTCGTGCCCTCCTCAACTACGTGCGCAACAACCGGATGGACTCGATCATTCGTTCGTTCCCGCTGCTTTGGTTCCGTGTCTACGAGAATGCGCTGATCGAACTAAACGGCGGACCGATGGCGACGACCAACTGGAACTACGAGCAGTGCGTGATGCTCCGCAAGTGGACTCTGTGGGCGATGAGCAGCAATGTGGAGGGAGGACGACAGCCGAACATAACTCGTTTCCTCCGTGACATCAGTTGCCCTGTTGCTGCTTCCGTCGTTTCGGTGCTCTCCAATTGGACTGTTGAGGTGAGTGTACAGCGAGTGAGAATTGTTTCCGATTGGGTTATCATTTCAGAAGATGGACGACGTCGACTCGAGCAAGGTGGACGCGCAAAGAGACATCTGCCTCGACTGGAACACCGGCAACACCTCCACGTCTGCTGGCAACTCGACCATGGCTTAAACATTCCGTTCTCGTACCATCGTCCGTATTTTCATCATGTAAACTAACAAGCGATCTCGAAATGAATATCGAGACGCTTACTTTTATCACCCCCCTATCCCGTTTTATTTTAATGCTACTGGTAAAATTGAATAAAAGCAAGCGATGATTTCTTCCCGCATGAATGACTGTGTTAAGGAAACTATTATCACTGCCGAAAAGTGCGAGTGTTATCAACTATCAGTCGTTTATCGCAGTTCAAATATCAACTTGATCGCAATAGTTATCAGTATCGCACGAGGCCACTTCGCAAACGTAGTACTGCGAATTCTTGAGCGGATCGGTGTTCTCCCATCCGGTGACGAGATCACGCTTCTCCTGAATGTTGAGGGCGACGGTCAGCGAGGACGAGCTGATCGGAAATCCCGGGTTCCACGCCTCGTAGTGCTGCACTCTCTTCGTGGCCAATCCCACCGGTTGCTCCCAGTTCCAGGCTCCGTTCGAGAAGGAAAGCCCGATGTGGTAGGTGTACGGCTGCTGGAACGCCGTCGTGTTCTTCAGAAGATCTGGAAAAGAACAGAATGAGTTGGATTGCCTCCGGAAGTAATGACGGCTCACCGAGCACGTAATTGTGCTTGTTGGCATCGTACTCGTTGACGAGATACGCGTTGTTCCACTGATTGCGGCAGCTCAGTCTGGCTGCTCTCCAGACGGCCGGGATTACGGTAGGAGCGATGCAGACTCCGAAGCGGTAGGAGGAAGTCAGAGAATAGGAGGAACGGTATTGGGTCCAGCCGTTCGGGCAGAAGCAGTTGACTGAAAAAAAAACGGTTAGAAATGTTCAACGACAAGGTTTACTTTTCGTTATCCTCGTTCCGTATTCGTTATCCGTATGAATATTCTAGCCGAATCCCTCTAATCCTCGACCGTTTCACAATAATTATCCGTATCGCAAGTGACAACTTCGCACACGTAATAATGTGCATCCCTCATCGGATCCGTGTTCTGCCAATTCGTCCTCATCGCCTCGCCAGCCTCCACATTGAGCCCAACTGTCATCGTCGAGGAGCTCACGGGGAAATCCGTATTCCAGTTGCTCCATCCCTCCACTTTCTTCAGTGCTTTTCCGATTGGTTGCTCCCAGTACCAGGCTCCAGAAGTGTAGGTGAGACCGATAAGGTAAGTGTACGGATGACGGAACAGTGTGGAGTTGCTCAGTGCTTCTGAAGTCACTGATCGTTCCATTTAAGTTTTCAGGCCCACCGTTACTTACCGAGCACATAGTTATGCTTATTGACGTCATACTCATTTGTGAGATGAGCATTCTTCCACTGGTTTCTGCAACTCAGCCGTGCCGCTCTCCAACTGCCTGGAGTGAATTGAGAGACAGGCAGGTACCGTACTTGTACGAGTGCTGATCCGCGTGGAAGTGCGCAGTTGTGTCCAGCCATTCGGACAGAAACAGTTGCCTGAAATACTGGCATCATTAGGGTTACGGTAGTCGCCACTACTTTGCAGGAGCGCCTCTTGAATTTTCTCCACGGATTTGTCATCTTGAATTGAGAAATCGTAGTTCTTAGTGGCTATTTTGCTCAGATTCAGGCCCAGACTCAAAAGGTTTTGTTTCCTGGCCGATTCCATTTCGTCCCCACTGCCGTCCACCGTGATGATTGTGATTCCGTCGGCTTTTAGTCGATCAGCTAATGGATACGCTGAGAAAATACTGAAATGACAGACAGAACTGAATTGAATCGCCGACAGAATGAGAACTCACTCATCCATCACTGGAGTATAGATGACTATCACTTTTTTGTAATGCGTGCGCTCATTGGCTCTTGCTGAAATGGCCAATACTGTTTCCGCGGCTTCTAGCCCTTTGATCAGAAACGAATCGTCGGAAGAGCTGAGCGTGGAAAGATGGGCAGAGATGGATGTGTTCAGATCGTCGAAGGATTGAAACTGATTCAGATTGGCGACAATATCCGCATCCAAATTGTACGTCACCAGGCCGATTCTGGTCGTCCTCGGCTCATCGGATCTTGTTCCGATCTTAGTGTCATTTTCGAAAATGCTCAGAATGCTCTTCACGACCTCATTTATGTTTGTGACGGCTCGAGAGTTATCGACCACAAGAACAACGTCCAGCCAGAGATTTCCAAGGTCACCGGCACATTTCCGATCGGAATACGTGACAGTTTCTGTGGAATCTGAAAGAACCAAGACTTCTATAGTAAATATTTTGGATTTCTCACCTGTAAAGTTGAAAGTAGCAAGAACAATAATAAAGTTCAGTAGAGACAAACCGAAGCAGTTTGGGTGCATGATTCGATTGCAGGTTATCAGTGTTTTGTGTTCAACCCACAACACTTTTTATACATGTCAGTTCAGTTCAAAGAAAGTCAGCACAGAATTAATGAGTCACAGAGTTTAATGAGTTTATTGTAGGTCACCGGAAGAACGACAAGAAAGGAATTTAAGGAATGTCTGGTCAGACCTTGAGTTCATCGCCGAGCGAGTCGCAATAGTTGTCGGTGTCGCAGGAGACGACCTCGCAGACGTAGTTGGCCGAAGTGGTCCACGGCTGCACGTTCTGCCATCCGGTGGCCACCACACTGCTCGACTGCTGATTCAGCACCGCCGTCAGCGAGGAAGAAGCGATCGGGAAGCCGTTGTTCCAGTCGTTCCATTCGACCAACGGCTTCTGCGGTGCTCCGGCCGGCTGATCCCACTTCCATTGTCCGACGCTCAGACTCAATCCGATGTGGTAAGTGAACGGTTGAGCGAATCCAGTGGTGTTCTCCACGAGGGAGAGCACGTAATCGTGCTTGTTCGAGTGGTACTCGTTGACGAGGAACGAGCCGGGCCAGCGGTTTTGGCACGAGAGACGGGCGGCACGCCAGACAGCGGTGAGACCGACTGCTTGCAGGCAGAGGCCGTAACGGTAGGAGTAGACGTCGGAGAACTCGACACGGAACTGAGTCCAACTGTTCGGGCAGAAGCAGTTAGCTGAATTGGGAAATAGAAATAAGATGTCGAGACATGAATGCCCTATACCTTGAAGCAGAGCTCCCTGAATCTCTCCGAGCGTGTTTCCACCGTTATCAGTGTTGGAGAAGTTGTAATAAAGAGTAGCGATCTTAGCGAGATCGGCCAGAAGAGCACCGTCTCCGGCTTGATCGTAGGCGACCGTCACAATGATGACTCCCGAGGACTTGAGACGTTCAGCCACTGGCAGCGGATTCAATGATCCATCTCCTCTGCAATGGAAGGATTGAAATTGACAGACATCCAAACGGATTTGTGGACTGGACTCACTTGTAAGTGGAAGCGTAGACGATCACTACTTTCTGATAATGCGAACGGTTGTAGTCATGCTTTCCGGCCTCCAGGATTTGCTCCGCGGCCGCCAGTCCATTCGCCAGGTACGATTCGTCAGTGGAGCTCACTTTGGCGAGATCAGTGAAGACGCCGTTGTAGAGATCGTTGATCGATTGGTATTTGTCAAGAGAAGCCGCCTAGAAGTAACTCGATTTTCTTCAACTACCATCCAACTACTATGTGCTTACAGTGTTCGCGACCGCATTGTATGTCACGAGTCCAACTCTGGTGGTCCTTGGCTCATAATCCTGCACTCCGATCCGTGTGTTGTTGCTGAACACACTAGCAATACTCGCAGCAATCTAAACTTTTGTTAATTTGAATATTATATCAATTTCAGTTTACATCAGTCAATCCAAAATCGGTCATTCCTATCGAGTTGTCAACCACCGCCACCACATCGAGCCACAAGTTGCCCAGATCCTCTCCACATCGACGATCCACGTTTATGGCTGTTGGAGAATCAGTTGTAGAATCGGCACAATAGGAAAATCCGACTACTGAAAATAGAATTTTATAAAGGCTAGCAGTGAAATAAGAACTGACTTGAACCTCCGAGAACAAAAAGTAGCGAGAGCACTCGAAACTGCATGATTCCTCGATTCCAATTGCAAATGATGCTCCATTAATTATCAATGCCATTCCTTTTATAGCACTTTTGTGATCATCTGTGATCTTCTTTGAAGCCATCTTAACTGATAAGGAGAGGAAGGAAAAGAAGACACTCTAGTGAACGTGTTTACTTTGAACTTCATGTACTTCCGGATATGAGAGACGACGCCCTTTTTGCGAAGACAATTTGCATACATTATCAGTCAGAAGTTCAGAAGCATAACACAGCCACACCCCTATTTGAAAATGCATTCCGAAAGAAGAAAAAAGGAGGGGAAGGATGGGCTCATGTTATCAGTCTTCCTGCGATCAGTTCCTTCTTGACGCCCATATGGAGCATTAAAGCCGGACTCAATTTTGAAATGAAAACTCGTTGAATGCTTTGAAATATGTTGACGATCAAAATTCTTGTGATAATTCTAATCTTTGCCTGGGGGGCCTAAGTGGAAACCTATTTAGGCCATCCGAGTTCTTTTCCGCCATTTTTGCCAACAACACAATTGTCATCAATTTTTTTGCGTTATTCACTCGTTTTCAAGTCGTTCTCTCTTCTTTTATTGACTATGATCTCTGTTCCCGTTTTAATTCGTAAAAACCAATCATTATCTGCTGTCTGCGCAATACAAAGCGCAAATTTTTAGCGTATCTTTCGCCGTTTTGCACAAAGGCGCCGCGGATACCGAGACGCGTGCTCGAAGGAAAAGCGGTTAGTTGGACAGAATGGCAAGTACTTCTCCGCCCTCCATTTTTCAGATTCTCTCCGTCTGCCAGTCGATGAATGCGACAAGTGCCGCTCATTCACGATTAATTCATTATCTCTCCCTTGAAATTCGAATGACAAGGATGCGTCGATATCAAGGGAAGATGGCGTCTCTCCTGATAGTGCACCCAAGGACAATCAGTATGATCCGGCAGACGTGTAACTTTAACGGAGAAGCAAACTGTTTAAAAGCGGACGTTTCAGGGCTCATCGATATGATTGGTTCATTCCGTCGTCAAAGATGTGTCCATAACAAAGGAAGGCACAAATAAGAAAAGTAACCTCAGTTATCATAAATATTCTGTGGAGAAAAAGGGGAAAATGACATGAATGTTTCTACCCTGGTGCTAGAAATGCCTCATCTGAAAATCTAGCGTTTTCTTCTGAAATATTTGTTCAGTTGTTCAACTCCGAGAAACTTCCATATGTGAATGCGTATTCAAAAGCAATTTCAGGCACCATCATCATAAATAACCCGTCAACATCCTTGGCATCTTTCAAAGATTATTATCCGATCAGGTTTCATCTCTAACAACTTCCTTTTTGCCTTCTCTTTATCATATCGATCTCTGATTGCCTACTGTTGGTTCGTTGTTCTCACTTTTGTGCGCCCGGTGCACAAATCGAACAAGCATCTTTTTGTTTTTCTTTGTCACGTTACTTTTCTTCTTCTTCTTCTTCCACGCTGAAATTTCTTCGTTCCCATGAATCATGAGTCATGAGAAAGCAAAAAAAGGAAGGCTGGAAATGGAAAAGTGGGAAACGAAATCATATTACAGTTTGTCGTCTTTCGTGCCCAGAAGATGCTCGACCAAATGGTGATCACGCCGCCGATCGAGCAGCCGAAGATGATGGAAAAGCCGATACTGACTGGTGAGTGATAATGATAAGGAACACGTTTTATGAAAATAGAATAGCACTTCAGTCTCGGAAAGCGTGCACAAGTTCGACTCGGTGGAGCTGGAGCGTCTGCAGCCGTACACGTGCTTCGGATGTTTCCGTGCTCTGCCCGTCTTCAATCTCGTCACCATTCCCCTCTTATTCCTGCCAATGTTCTCTTTCCTGCCCTACCTGGGCCCTCCGAAAGGATTCATGCTCCTGACCAACCTGTTGATAATCCTCCAGTGCACCACTTTGTACGCAGTCAACCAGCAATGCACCGAGGTCCTTCTCTTCTGCTCCACTCTCGAAATGTGCGTTTTCGCCTTCGCGTTCCCCGTCTTCATGGCCCAGATCCTGATGTTCCCCTTCTTCCCGGAAGTCCCGCTCGAATTGTGGTTGTGCATCGGAACGTGTCTTCTCGGAATGTACCGTGCCGTCCTCGCAAGAATGCTTCACAGATGGATCAAAACGAAACAGCTCCACGGCGAACAAAACGGTCATGGCCTCAAATATCTTCCGCTGTGAGATGCAATGAAACGATAATAAAGTATTTTGATTATGATTGATCATCGGCAAAAGAATGGAAGGGACGCACTTGAACATTGGAATCAATCAAATTAACCACACCGCCCTCGGGTCTTTTTCCCAAAACAAGTCATCCGTCATTACTTTCAGATTTTCCTTCTTCCTCCTAATTTTTCAAATTCAACATGAAGAAAATGTCAATTTCGCCGATCCAAGGAGATCTGGACGCGCAGATCGAGGAGCAGTTGGAGATTCGCGAGGAAGCGGAACAAGACGCAAAAGTGGAGAAGGAGTCGAGCACGGTGCTCAGGTTGGTGCTCGTCATCACGGTCCCCTACCTCATGATCCTTCCCATCTTCGCCAAGAATCTCCACGACTGGTACACGAACACTCTCATCTTCCTCTTCGGCTGCTTCACCCTCGATTTGCTGGCGATCGCCGTCCGCTGGTACCCGGTCCTCCGGCCGTTGTCCTCTTGCGAAGCCGCTTCTCTCACCGCCATGCTTCTTTTCTACGCCAAATACATCTGTTCCAAGTATGAAAATTCCGTGTCATACCTTTTATTTGCCATGTTTTTCCTTCTCTTAGTCCCCGCCTACTATCGTTGTTATCTATTGCTGAAGTTGAAAACTACCCATAAGAGAATGTTTCAGGCGATGGTTGAAGATGATTTTTGAGTAATAATAAGTGATTAATAAATTTATTGAAAAGTTCACTGTTTCCGAGAATGGGAAAACGGACAAGACATGACATTTCAGGGTTGGGGGAATTGAGGCCGGTTGGAAACATGCTTCTTTCGGTTTGGCATTCAATGTTTTCTTGCTCAACAAAACGTACAATAGCAGCCAGTTAGTGGTGAAAAAGAGAAAAAGAAAGAAGAAGAAAGAGTTGAAAGGACTATAGTAATCCAGTCACTGGAAAAGATGTACCTATCGATATCATTCGGTGAGTGTTTGGTGGGTTCAGATTCTGGGGTAGGAGGGGAAAAAAGGGGGAAAGTGGGGGGTTCGACATAGATTTCGTATGCATCAGCAAGCGTCCTGGTTACTCAACATTTTTACATATTGGCTGGAGGTTCTTCCGACAGAATCGCCCTCCTGGAATCCATGAGACAGAGATAAATGGTGAGGTATTATGAATGGGTGGGAACGGGAAATAAATACATATTTGGGTGCGAACAACTGGGGTGGCGACAGAGAGAGAGAGAGAGAGAGAGAACGGGTAGATGATACACGAGAAACCGGGCGGTCAGAAGAAGAGAAAGAAATAGAAAATGCTTTGCGATGGGCGATCAAATAAAATTAATTAACAAAAAGAGAAAAAGACATTCGGTGGGGTGGTTTTTTGGAAAGATTGCAACGGCCACTGGCGAAAAATGGTATGTTTTATGAAGTTGATAGAGTGCCTGAAAGAATTGAATGTCTTGAGCGATTACTGAATGACAGCTTACACATGCGGTAGAAGATGAGATTGTACTCCTCGTAAAGTCCGTTCGCCTCGTCACTGAAGCAGCTCTCGGTGGAGTAGCCGACGCGGAAGCGGTAGGCCGATTGGATGAAAGTGCCCATCGAGAGCTCGAACATGTTGTCGAAGACGCGGTTCGAGGTCGGAAACTCGGTGGAGCTCTGTTGGGTGCGGCTTAATGGGCACACTTTGTGGTTGAACTCTGGCAGGGCTCCGCAGTTGCTGATCACTTTGGAAATTGGAATGCTGAAAAGAATACGGTTGGAATCGATTCAAATGTTAGGGGAACTCTCTTACTTGATCTCAACTTCAAGAGCCTGCTCGGGGAAGTATCTGGAGACTGGCACGTAGACATTGAAGATTCCTTTCCGTTTGTTGCAGCTTCGCTCGATACAGTATCTCTGATCCAGAGTCACATTCAACGCGGGGAGTCTGATCTCGACGCCAGTTCCGAATGCAACGTGCTCCAAGACTGGAGCTCTCGCGATTCCGGCAGTCTTGTTGACCGCCGGCTGAGCTGGCGGAATGATCTCTTCGCCGTTGTGAAGGCCCTGAAAACAATTGATATTAGAAGATGTTCCAGAGAAAAGGAGAAAAGGGGCTTACATGTGTGGCAATGGCTCCGGAATCCTCCACAACGGGCGGCTGGTCCGTGCAGCAGAACGTTTTGCAAGTGGGATTGAAGCATTGGTCGAGTAGAATGGGGGCGTCGGGTTGGAATGAGGGCATGTAGTCGGCTGAAACGGAGCAGATGACACAGCTCGCGGAGTCTGGAAACTTACAAGGAGACACAACGAGATTGGCGGGCTCTCCCTTCGCGGATCCGGGCACTTCGTAGTTCTGATGATATCCGTAGTTTCTGTTGTGCCAATCGAGCACGTAAAGAGCGGACATTGCGAGCAGGCAGGCGGCCATGATGGAGACGAGGGTCACGATGGTCCCCTGGCTCATCTTGTTCCCGCAGGACTGCGCCGCCTTGATCGCCTGCCGTTTCTTACTCTTCTTCTCCTTCTTCGTGGCATTGGTGACGGTGGAAGCAAGCGAGCAGCGGGAGAACGAGAGGCTCTTGTTGTCTCCGTTCAGGTTGGAGCCCATCGAGCTGGCGAGCTTCTTCCTCCGCGCGTACTCCGACAGTCTCTTGCTGATCTCCTCGACCTTGTCGTCGATCTTGTGGTCCAGGTCGCCGGTCATTCGGCACAGTTGCTGCGTGGCCATGACGGTTTCGTAAAACACCCGCGACTCGTCGATTGTGAAGTAGTCTCCGATGTCGCGCACGGCGTCCGGGAGTACTTCTGCGAGCTCCTGAGCAATCAGTCCGGTCCTTTGGCGTTGGCTCTCCGACAGTCCCCAATGGTCGGCCACTTCTGGTTTGTATCGGTAGTCGACGACTCGGAGTTTGAGCAGATTCTCGACGGCTTCTGCGGTCTCCTTCTCGGAAATGGCCTCCTTCAGTCGGATATCGGATGGGTTTATGATTCTTCCGCTCGTGTAAATGTCTCCGGCCACTGTCAAACGAGCGGTCTCAACTGGTCGGTCGGTTCCGATCGCGACTGCTCCTGCAGTGAACAGTGCTCCTCCGTTTCTCTGCCAGGCGACGTCCGAATCTGGAGGCTCGAAACTTCCCGGGTTGGTTGCTCGCACGATGACCTTCTCGGAGCCATACGATTGAATGAGCACACTCTCGTCTCCAATGCTGGCGAAGAGCCGCACAACGAGAAGGAAGTACTTCTGCTCTGGATTCGATCGGAACTTCTTTCGCTGATTGTTGAGGGTGGTCTCCGAGAAATGAAGACGTGGTACTGTCACTTTGGTCATTCGCCGTTCTTGAATCTCGAAGAGCACTGGCGTGTGAGGGTGTGGTCTTCGATCGGCGCGAGACTGGCGAATGCAGATTTCAGACGTCGTCATCTCGGCCTTGACTCCACAGAAAGCCAGTTTGAAGTCACGGATCGGGACGAGGGTGTTGTTGTAGGACACGTACTTGGGCGGCATCGAATCAGAAGCCTCCACGTGGACAGACACTTGGAAGTGGTTCTTCTTCTGGTTCACGAAGCAGTTGTCCGTGTTGCTGTAGTTGAATCCCTTGTCGGCGACCACGTGCACTTGAAGCTGCTGCAATTCGCGTCCGTTGATGTCGTAGAGGCTGTTCCACTGCTCCTCCTGGAACTTTGAGAACTTGATTGCCTGCTGATGGTTGTAGTTCTCGTCCCCGAAGGCGTCGGCGCCCATGTTCTGCACAAAGTTCTGCAGATTGCGCGGCGTCTCACATGGAGTATCCATCCGACTTCTCTTCCTGTTCGACGGCTCATCGAGCACAGGGCTCGCCATTCCGTTGTCGTTGCCTTGGAGCATGTTGTACAGATTCTCGATGGTTCCCGAGTACGGCGGCGACACCTTCATAGCCTGCATTTGAGAGTTTGGCGGCTGGTTCTGGTTCTGTCCGTTGTTCTGGCTCCAGAATTGATTCTGATTCTGCTGTTGCTGCTGAGCCATCATTGCTCGCTGCTGGGCTTGTTGAGGAATGTTGGGGGGTATTCCATGGACCCCCAGGATCATGCCCGGGTTGTTGTTGGCGCCATTGTAGCTGTTGAACTCGTTGGGAGAGAACATTGGATCGGAGTGGTGCGAGGAGGAGGAGGCCGAAGAGGCATTGCCGCACAGATCGGTCATCGGCGGGGAGTCCGGGAGACGACGCGACTGAAATAGTGGATGATTTATTTAGGAAGAACAGTGTAAGCTAGACTTTATTGAGAATGCTAATAAGAAAGTTCCGCCCCTTTAAATCTACTGTATTCTGTCCCTTCTCAAGATGCAAACCCTTTCTGCAAAGCCAAAGCGAATCTTCTTGAGTAGACAAGAGAAGTGAAAGCTCAAGGTTATCCCATTCGAATCTCTCTTTTTCTTCGTCTTCTCAAGGCTTTTCTGTCGCATTCCCTCCCCGTCGCTTCCTTATCAATCAGTCAATTACGACCGCTTGCGCAATTGAACGCGCGTTCTTACCGAGAAAATGGCGGTGGCATTGGGATTCGGAGGCTGTCGCGGATGTTGAAGCATCAGCTGGGCTCCGCGGTTGTTGTTATTGTTGTTCTGCATGGAGCCGGCCGAAGACGTCGGCGAGACCATCGATCCGTCCTCTTCGGTTGTCTCGTACTCGGCGTCGTTGTCGCGCAGGAATTGGATGATGTTAAAGTTCTCTGCGTTCGACAAGTCGTACTCGCCTGAAATTATACAATTGAGTACAGAAAGTTAGAGTTTTTTCATGTGAATCAAGAGATCATTCGGTTGCACTATCTGCGCAGAAGTTTGCTTATTTCACAACTATCAGGACTTGTTTTCCCATACAAAAACATGTCTGATGAGTTAGAGTGCATAACACAACTTCCTAGATCAAAAATTTCGCCACGAACGCTCAAATTACACTCAAACAAAGCGCTTTCCTCTTTCCTTACTTTCAAAAAAAAACTGTGCTCATTTCATTGCTCACTTACTAAATAACCTACGAAGAAAGAAACAAAACCAACACAGAAAAACGATGAAAACGGGTTTGTGGGTCGGCGAGGGCACGGGGAGGAGTGCCGAAAAACGAAAATGAGAAGATGCACTTTTTGAGAGAGAGAGAAAGAGCGGGCGAGAGGAAGAGACGCAGAGTGATGGGAATTGAGATACGTATCATCAGAGAGTGGTCAGTTTGAAGGTGAAACAAGAAGCTGAGGTAGAAGAAGAAGAAGAAGAAGAAGAAGAAGAAGAAGAAGGTGAAAGGCATCCAATGGTACACGAAGAAGGGCATTGTAGTAGTCTACGAATGACCTAGAGACTCTGTACCTTCTTATCTAGATCGGAATCGGTACTATTTGGTACTTGGTGACTTTGACAAGAAAAACTACCGTAGTCTCAAGAAGCTTTAGATGTTCGAGCTTTGTTCGATTGGGAGTTCAAAAGTATAAGAGTGTAAATATCGAATTTCAAAGTTTTTGGTTTTTGCTCAACTGTTCTTTGTCCTAATAAAATGGCTTACCCTTGATAAGGTCCGAGTTCGACATGATTGCAGGTCAGATGAAGCTACGGATAAGCTATCAACGTTCTGATTCCGTTTCGCTCACTCTTTGGTATGGTATTCTGAAATAAAAGAACTTGAGCCTCAAAGTCTCATGAATGGACTAGAAGAAGAGGAAGAAGAAAGAGTTTAAGAGAGATACAGTATAATCATAATCATAACTTTTAGGTCTCAAAAGTTAAAAAGTAGGTTAGCGGGGTAGTAGACAACGGAGCAGCGGCCTCCACGGACTGCAGCAGGGGCACAAAAAACGCTCGCGGGCGGCGGTCGTCTCGTCGTTTCTCCGCGAGAAAGAGTCCGAGAGAAACGAGAGAAAGAGGCGGGAGAGTGTGTCGATGCGAGAGACATCCGAGGGGGTGTTAGGTGGGGGGTCGGCACCCGAAGGGGTCCAGCCTGGCACCGCTAGCCACGCCAACGTGTCTGCGTCTCGACGAGTGTGAGTGTCTGCCTGGGACGACGGACGAGCGCTCCGCTCCTCGCCTCTTTTTGAGCGGAAGAAGAGAGGGAATGCCGCGAAGGAAACGAATGCCACCTCGCGTATGAGCAAACATGGTATTTAATCGGAACTCTCAGCGGAGCCATCAACTTTAGTGACGACTGGTTTGGGGATTGCAAGACGAGTCGGAGCTGATTTGAGTGCTCGTTTGAATAGAATATCGAATGAAACTCAAAATGGAACCTATAAATGCACAGGCTAGACTTCTTGGGCTCAAGCACAAACTGCAAACTGACCGCCCATTTGGTACCAGTCACTCGCAATGACCACTCGCAGCTGAACACAATGTCTCGCAACCGAAAAAGAGTGATGAGTCGAGGGAACGGGGCGAACGAAGAAAATAAGAAATTTCTTATCATTCCCTCCGGGTGTGCAAACTGTTAAATGGTGGCCAGTACTTGCTGACACCAGGGAAAGTGATAAGGAAACGGTTTTCGAATTGAAAATGTGTCTAGCCGGGTCAAAAGGTTGTGACAAACAAATGACAAATACAAATGTGACACGGCAGCTGAGTGATTCATCACAAATTGACCAACTACTACCGTACCTTTCAAATGAGAATTGTGATTATGATTAGAAAAGGGTGCGGAAGTGACAAAAGTAGCCTCCTTGTAAACCAACAATGACCTCCCTTGACCTACAATCCCTCACTCCGCACCGCCTGCGTCTCTTTACTGGTTAGAATACCGTCGAGGACACACAGACCACAAGCCACCATATACAATACAATATATAATAAATACAATAAAAAACGAGCGAGAGCCAGATGTGGGCGCTCTTTTTCGTTTGCGTCAAACGAGGAGGCAGGCGGAGGGCAATCATCGGGAAGAGAAAAATGGAGGCGGCGAGGGAAGGATTTAATTTGAATAAATGCATCCACTTGTGGGACACGGAGGGACAAAGGAATCGGTTGGGTCACTCTAGAAAGGCCATGAAAAATGAAGTGAGCAGAGAGAGAGTCATTTGAAAGATGAAATTGAAAGTGAACAAAGAGCAATGCTTTTGTAGGATTCCTTGCCGTCTGAGCAACGAATCAGACAAACATCTAATCCCATCATCCGCTCAAAATAACCGTGTTCCCAGACATGTCTACACTCGCGACTCGAAATCCCGTCTGAACACGAAAGTCCAAATTGGATTGGCTGGAGGATAGGGGATTGGGGCATGAAATGCAAAAAAGCGATGGCGGTGACGACGACGACGATGATGATCGGGAAGAAGGGAGGGAGAGAGAGAGAAAGAGAACGAATGGTAGTAACCTTGAGAGTCGGGGGGCCGCACGGCGCCTCCTCAAATTTCCTTCTCGGCCGTTTTTCTATCTCAGTTCGTATTCTCGGTCGAGGTCAACTCGTATGGGTGGCACTGGGGAGTGGGCGATTTGCGAATGGAATGGAACAGATGAAGAAAAAGGGATTGAGGTAGGAATGGAAGTGAGTACGATGTTCTGAAGATCCGTGGCTGTCTGTTCGGAGGAGACTTTGCTCTTATTCTCATTGAGCCGAATCGTTTTTTTTTTTTAGAAAAGGCGGAAAGCGGAGCACTCATTTAACTGCTCTATGAAAAAACCGAACGAAAGGGGACCGCAAAAACCTCGAAAAGAACACCGTTTCGCGAAAAGATGGCAGGCGCAGATTATAATGGAAGCAAAATTGGGCGACCTACATACACTCTCGCCGCCTCCAAACTTTTATTTTTAGGAAACGAGCAGTTTGCAGTCGTCATGGAGATTTCGAAAGAATGGGTGTAAGTTGTAAACAAAGAGGGACAAAGTTGGTAAACAAATCTGGCGGAGAGCACAGGAGCTATCCACTTGAGTCGGGGGAGCTAACTGGCGACCAACTGATAGCCGCGCTTACAAGACTATTGCCAAGGCCGTCTACAGTAACCGTTGAGTGTGAAAGGCAAGAAGAACACGTTGTTTCGAAGTCAAACGAGAAGAAGCCATTCTACAAAGCGGAAACCGAAAGGGATAATTCATTTAATCGCTTCAAATCAGTCGTGTGCATCTTACACACCCTTCGTTCTCCGCTTCCTTCTCCTTTTCTTCGCCGAATTCGTATCACTCGGTCCCGGCAGTTGCGTGCGCAACTCCGTCTCCAACTTGTGCTTCCACTCGAACGCCCTCTCCGACTTCGTCACGCGGATGGTCCGTTCTGGCGACGCCGCTTCGATTCCCTGCCTCACGCGCTCTAATTTCTTATTTTCCTGATCGGCGACCGCTGTCCAATTCGTCATGCGATTTATCGAGCTGGCGCACATTTCCTTCAGTTCCTCGGCTCTCGCAGTCATCAATCTCTCTACGTCTTCTATCTGAAAGTTGACAGTTTAGAATATTCAGGAAGAAGGGACATACAAACGCAAAGTCAATGTACATAATTTCACGAGATTGGAAGTTGGAGCGCTCTTTGAAAGCCTCGCGGACATTCTGCAACAAAAGTTGGCTCATTTTGAATTCGAGTTCATTATAGAAATACCGGCACAAAGTGATGCGACTCTATCGCGTGTACAGTCAAAAACTCATAAAAGGGCGGTGGAATGTGACGGCCGACGAAGGTTGCCTGGAATTGCAGAAGTTTCTGGAGCCTTCACACGTTGAAAACATACTTGGATCTCAGCGAAATCGTATGGAGCCATACATCCAGTCACCGGAATCACCTTGATATTCGCATTGCACGACGTCTTTATCTTGAACATCTGCGGGAATTTGGTCGGATTATGGATAAGGAGGTACGCGGTGACCGCTTCTTCGCCGACTCGTCCGAGGAACGTCAACTGAGCAGAAGGATGGGAATTATACAAAGAATATAGAAGAGCTTACACAGTTTCGATCGAAATGGAACGGAAAAGTCTGTCGGAGAATAGGATCGTGCTTGAGTGTCGCTGCCTCGAGCTGGGCCTTCTGCTCCTCCTTCAGCTCCTGTTTCGTCAGATTCCTCTTCCGTTTCTCCTCAATTGCCACGTCCTTCTTCTTCTGCGCTTCCACCTGCTTCTGCTTGTACTCCCTCCTCCACTTGTTCCTCGTCTTCACTTCTTTCTTCTCGATCAGATCCAAATATTCCTCCTGCTCCTTCACATCGATGCTCTTCGGAATGGGCGCGATCGCCGTCGCGTTGGCTGTTACCAGCGGTCCTTCCGGCACTTGAATCTTTGTTTTCTTTTTTCGATTCATTTGCTTGTGCCGTTTTTTTCGTTTTAAATCAGAAATAATGGGAAAACTAGCGGAACTCGGGGCCATATGCTAAAGGCTTGGGTACGGAGGGTGGACACGTGTAATTAAAGGGGTAGGTAAAAAACTTTTAACAACTTTTTATCACAGGGTTCATCACAATCTGTTTTCAGTATTTTCTGTTCAGCCGTCTCTCCACAATCTCCTTCAGTCTGCGTGAGTTGGGTCGATCGTCGCGGTCAAACTTCCGGAGCACTTCCGTCCATTCGCTCACCGCCGCGAACTCCATCCGATTGAACTCGTCGAGCATCTGAACGTGCGTCTTGATCACCGATTCCAGAACGTTGTGCACGTTTGCTTGACAGGTGTGGGGCTCTAGAAATGAACTTGGTTGCCTGGAATGTTCTAGAAAGTCAGTCACCTTCGGATCGCCTTCGCCTACTGTGCTCACTGGCATTTCGGCTTCTTCTCCGTCTCTCCGGTTCTTTTCCAGAATCTTTCCCTCTTGATGATGACGATGAGGAAGATGAAGTGGAAGACGAAGAAGACGTTGGTAAGGAAGATTTCCGTTCCGACTTGTCCTTTTTCTTCTCCACATTCACCTTCTTCTCTTTCTCCTTCGTTTCCATCGACTTCTCCAGTGTCCGATGCGTTTCTCTGACTGTCGATTTCGAAGATTCGGATTCCGAACTCATTTTCGGTATGAAATCTTGGTAAGGAACTGGAGATTCCGCTTTGGGCGCCTTCACTGTGGATACGGAAGAGGCTTTGGATACGGTAGATAAAGACGACTTTTCCGACTCGAAATCCGATCCGTAACTGTTCTTTTTAGATGTTGCTGATGTCTTTAATGAGGATTTTGTAGAAGCTTCTGATTTCGATTCGGATTCTGCTTCAGATGAAGACGATGAAGAGGAAGATGAAGATTCGGATTCAGATTCGGAAGACTCGGACTCTGAAGAAGTTGGCGTCGGTGTCTTCTCCTTTCTCTTCTTTGCTTGGCTCTCAGTTTTAATCGGAGCACTCGGAGTTGGAGCTACAGTTCGAGTCGAAGTAGTTTGAGCTCTCGATAGACTTTGAGTTTTCCTTGACGGTGAGGGCAAGACTTCCTCGAAAACCTCATCAAAAACGATCGATTCGGCGTCGGAGCTCTCGCTTCCGCTTTGAATTGCCTTTTTGAAGGGACTTTTGGAAGGAAGTTTCGCTTGGGGAAGGTCTTCAGGGATTTCTTCCTTGATGCTTTCAAACGGCTGAAAATGAGTTGCTAAAATTCATTCCAAAAAAGAAAGGACTCACGGTTTTCTTCTTCGCATCCTCTGTTTTTCCACGGAGCATCATGACTTCAGGAGGCTTTATGAGTGAGTGATCGATGGAATTCCTCAATTCTCGAATCTCTTTCAAACTCTTCCGACCCACTTGCTGCCCTACAATTAATAGTTTCGCAATCCGCAAAAGGACTATGACTATGAAGTTACCTGGAGTTCCCAGTGGCAGAATTCTAGTCGTACTCTCTTCGCTGTCGTCCGTATCGCTCGAAAGACTCTCGTCGAACACCGATGACTTTAGGGATTCACTGAAAATGTCTCCTACTCTTTGACGTCTTCTCTCGAAGCCTTACTTCAAAACGTCCACGTCATCAGAGTTGGTCCGAGAGAGGGAATTCCTGCGTCGAACCTGACTGATAACTTCCGCAATCGATTCCCGTCGCTTGAGTGGCGGGGCACTAAAACAAGGCTTTCAATAGTACAACACCACAAATATGATTACCTGGGCTTCGTCGAGCTCTCATCTTTTTTGTTGGCCGTCGGCGGCTGCGCTGCTCCGTCGTTATTGTTGCCACGCAACGCTTTTGAGTTCCTCTCTAGCGATTCAAGATAGTTCTGTGATTAAAAAGATTTAGGAGCAAAAAACGATTAGAGCAGACTCACTAATGCGGAAGAGGAAAGTGCGGTGGAGGGGCGCATTTGCAGAGAGAACTGAAGGGGAGAAGAGGTGGAGAGGAAGGGGTTGTTGTCATGGATACCACGCAGAAACGGGCGGCGTTTTGTTCCGGGCGGTTCCAAGGAGGAATAATTGAGAAGGACAAAGAAAAGGAGAATAGATACTGAGATACTCTTCCACCGAGCACTCACAGAAACGCTCATTCAGTCCACATTCTGTCCTCATACAGAGTACGTTCAATCTATTCCTTGCCCATTCTACTAATCGATTCCTCGTCATGTCTGGTCGCAACAACAATAAGAGATCCTCTGATGACCGTATTCCGTCGTCGAAGAGATCGAAGCAGATGTCGGAAGCTGATGTTCTCCGTGCTGAGCTCGCTGAGGTGAAGGCGGAATTGGCTGCTGCGAAGAGGTACGAAGCCGATGCTCGTCAGTACAGGATCCAAGCGATGGCCTCCGTGACCGAGTTGGAGCTCTCCCTGAGCATTCTCAACGAAGACCACAGAATCGCTGCTCACGGATACAAACTGGCCAATGACACGTTGAAGAGAGAGCGTGCCGCTTTTGCAAAGCAGAAGGAGAAGTACGAGACGGAGCTGGCAGAGCTGAAGAATAAGTTGGCGGACAAGTCGGAGGTGGCAGTGCTTTCGGACGTGACGGCGGTGCAGAAGATGATCGAGGACGAGCGGCAGAAGACCATGAACTACCGGAACCAGATGCTCGAGATGTCGAAAGTGCTGCAGGAGGACAAGCAGTCGAGTGGGATCGTGATGCCGTGGAAAGTGTGTGAGATCTGTGCTTTCGAGTACAGTGCGGAACAATCGAGGACGCCACGTGTCCTTCAGTGCGGGCACACCGTCTGCGAGGGATGTGCGGGTCGTTTGGCGAAGGGGACCGAGCTGAAGTGTCCTTTCGATCGACAAATCACCACGATCAAGAGTGTCGAGGATCTGCCTAAAAACTTTGTTGTCTTGACCATGTAATGCTTTCTGACTCAATTGTAATCATTCTAATTAATTGTAGGTCTAATAATCTTCTAATATTGTAATTCGAATTACTTTCAATGATAATAAACAGTACTTTTTTATAAATATGTGTCTCTTTTGTGTTTATGGTTTGTTTAGATGGGTAGTTTGTTTACGACAGAGTTTACGACACTGTTTACGACACAACCGGCAGTTCTTTCCCAGAAGACAACCAGCGGGGATGACTAGAGAAGTCTTCCAACCGTGTTCCGTACTGATCAAGACCCCCCTCCTCTGAAAGTTCTCTCTTGTCACACAAACCTGTCGCTCGAACAGGTTCCGTGCTGATCACGTACTTGACAACTGATTATACGCACCGAGTGTGCTCCATCACTTCCAGTTCCCCTTTGACTGGTTCCTCAACCTCAAATACACCTGTCTCAAAAACAAACTGTACTAGAACTGCACACGATTCGGCCGGCGCCGAAAAAGGTCATCGCTGTTTGTTCTGTTCGACACCCTCATGAATTTTATAGAAATTTATTAATATCGTCGTTCTCGTGTCATCATTCAAATGAACATCGAACAACAGCGAAAAAGTTGAGCAAATATTTACAGAAACATTGCGAAAATGAACCAAGTTTCAGAAGGAGACTATTTTACACAAAATGGGAAGTGTTACGAAGCAAGATTTATAAAAGGAGGGAGAGCAATGGAAATGGAAATGGGGCATTTAGTATCGGTAGTTGTCGCGGTCTCTTGCCGGATCGTACGAGTATTGTTCGGCTGGGAAGTGGGTCGGCGTCGGTTGTGGAGTTGGCAGCTGAAACGATCGAGGTTACGGTAGTGGGACTGGTTTTTTCGAGAAAAGAAGATGCGCCCGAGGAGGAGGAAGAGAAGAAATCACGCAAATATTGATACGTGACCCCAACCGGTTTGCTCCAGGAAAAGGTGCAAGAAAAGGTACACATACTGAAATGTGGCTGGCACAGTACATGAAAATAGATACAAGGTAAATATACAGTGACTCTAATTCCCTTACTAGATAATCCGTCGCTTGTTTCTCCGCTTTCCCTTCCTTATTTGTAACAACTACCTGTTTGCTTTTTGCTTTTCAACAACTTATATTTACGGATAAAAACAAAAAGATACACTCTTTCTCGTTTAATCTTAAGGAGGAAGTGACTCAACTTGCTCGGCGAGCGACCATCTTGTTTGCTTGGGTTGGGAAAAAGTTGGGGGGAAGAGAGAGTGGGAGATCAAATATTTGTGGGTAACAGTTATCGATCTACCGTTTTTCACTTACTCCAGAATAGTTGTTCTCCTCGTAGTGCTCGTAGAGCTCGCGCTTCTGCTGCTTGTCCTTGGAGCGGTTGAAAAGCCAAACGACGAGCCAGATGACGAAAGCGATGATGACGAGCGCGCAGAAGATGACGATCAGAGCCACCGCCCATCCGTAACGGTTGTGCCTGCAAGGAATTGGTAATGGGGGTGAGGTGAGCAAGAAGAGAGAACGTACCAATATCCATTCTTGCAGCAACCATCGTTACAGCATCCGATGTCCTTGTAGCAGCGCTCGATGACCGTGTTCGCGCTGTTTGCGATTCCGTAGATGCAGTCGTAGAACGACGGGTCAATCGCTGAAAAAGTTCGAACATCATCATTTCAGACTTTCAGAGGGAAAACTGACTGTTGACTTGTTGTCCGACGAGTCCGCTTCGGACGAAGCTGTCGGCTTGAAGGAAGTTTGATTGGGTGTCAAACTGACGGTTCAGTGTTGGTGCTTGAGTGGCTTGTTCTGCAAATGGTAATGATGTTGAGAACAGAAAGAAAGAACACTTACGGTATCCAGCCCATCTCGAGTTGGACATCTTCTCTGCTCTCGATAACAATCAGATATAAACGGAACGTGTGAACACAATGGGACCGAAATGAAGACTCGGAAAAGAATGAATGGTGGAAAGGGGGAAAGCCGTTGGGAGGAGGCGCCGCGCGTCCGTCCGCCTCCTCCTCCCCGCTACTACAGTACTCGCTGCGTCTCCTCCGGCTCCGTGTGCTCTCTCGTCGAAGCTCTGACAAAACTGGCTCATTGTTGACATTTACACGTCTCTCTTCTCGGCCTCTCTTCCGCACCCATATGCCGCGCGGCACAAAGCAACGAGCACACGTTTTACATCACTCGCATACTCCAGAGGATTACGAGTGTGCTCCAAGGGCGGCTTGAGCACCACTGCCTGCCATCACATTCATTACGAAATTTGAGGGTTGCGAAACAGAGAAACTGGAAAATGGAACGAAACAAGTTCATTTCGTCGGTCATCGTCGTCAAAAACAGGAAAGAAAGGTATTGCAAAGTACATGAGATCATCACAATTCACAGAGTCCGAATCATCACAATTTCCCCGCAGATGCAGAACTCGTCAGTCGACAATATGTACAGAGTGTCTAGGCAGTCGTTGCAACAATCAAAGGTTGATCACTGTCAGTTTGGAAGCGCTACAACTTTTGTGCACTTTGACGTCGGGTATCGTGTAGACAGAGTGCGGCGGTCGGACGGACGGATTCGACGAGGAAGAGGGCTGCGGGCCCGACGCGTTCGAGCACGATCTCAGCGCGTCTTCGTAGCTCGGAAGATCTTTTTCGCTGGACGTGGCACGCACGCAAGCGTTGTACGACGGCGGGGACTGAAAGGGAAGGGAACTATATTCGAGGTGACGGAGATACCCCACCTTTTCCAGATGGGACTCATCATGGACCACCGCCGGACAGCATATCTTTTGCCACGCCGAGAAGAATACTCTGCAACAAACGTTTCATTCATGCGATTCCTTCGAAATCTTCATACCTTGCTTCCACTGCAAGAACAATCGTACAAGCGACGGCGACGAACGGCAACATCGGTACTTTGCTGCCAAATCCTTCCAAATCATCATTGATCGGTGGGGTTGGGGATTCTCCTGGAAAAAAATGCATATTCCCCTCTAACTCTTGCTTCCAGAGAACTTACCGCAGGGACCGAAGGGTCTAGCTCAGTCGGAATCTGGTAGGCATCTACGGAAATGCATCCCAAGAACAAGAGGAACAAAAGGAGCACGCATTTCCACACCAACGCCGGCAATATCATCGACGACACCTTGGAGTTGATGCCCAGAAGAGCGAGAAGGACCAGCGAGAAGTTGACGATGAAAAGGGTGGAGGGGAGGAACGAGTCCGGGTAGATCAGGTAGAGCATCACGGCGAAAAGGGAATCGGCCGGCAGGGTACATGCTGCGGCTACCACCACCTGGAAGATCATTGGAATTGGAATGACCAGCGATCCTAAGGCATTCTGATCCGATTTTTGAACTTCTAACTGGTTTTTTGCACTTTCACTCCAATTTCAGTGTCCTAACTTTCTGACCAGTCTAGGATTCGACTTTTTGCAACTCTAATTTCAGATCCAAACCAATCGGACCGATCTATTTCAGTACTTGCCCTTTCCAACTGACTTACACTTGGTGGCCGTCTGTTTTCGAAAACATTCAATTGATAAGAAGAGAAAGAAGACAAATGATCTTTGTAATGTGTCTCTTCTCATCAAGAAACATTCTAGAATCTCTATAGGATAGGTCAAACTAGCATCATCATTTTTCGAGTATCTCTCACTTGTCTTTGCAAAAAAGTTGGATCTTACCGCATCGTACTGTTGAATGACAGGGGTGTAGGTCAGAAAAATCATGGTAGTGTTTCAGTAATTGGAGAGAATGACAATACTCCTCCAGTAACTTTCAGGTGATTCGATCACAAGAGAATGTCCAGGGAGACACAAAGAAAAGAGATAAAAACGGGCGGTCAATGGACGAAGAGACACATACACGCTCACACTCAAAACGTGATTTTTACTATCGGGTTGCTTTTGTTTTCGTCTTTCTCTCTTTCGCTCCCTTCTCGATGTCTTGGCACTGGAATTCTTCGTGTGCTGGGGGCACTCCCTTCTTCAGAAATGGCGAAAACTACAGTAGTCCCAGTAGCAACTCACTTTTTTGTTGCTCAGTTGGCCGAAAAGACTCGGATGCGGCTCGTTGAACATCTGAAATCGGAAATGCTTATTTGCAACTCACAAAACAAAACGTATAATAGGACCGGAAGGGTATTTCCACATAAAACTAACCTAGCCCGCAACAAGTAAGACACAGGGAGAGGGAGGGGGGCTTAAAAAGGAAACGAAGAAGAAGAAGAAGGAGAAAGAGACATCCCGCCCCGTTTCTGACCTTTTTTTGGGGGAGGTTCTGATCTCTTTTTCGCAGAAAAGTAAGCGCGCTCTACTGAAATTGGTCGGGCCTCCCTTTATACTCGTCCGGTAACGAAAACACGTGACCGCGTACGCGAAAATACACGAAAACATGGGAAACACCGGCGGGAATATATTAGAGTTTGACACACTCGGCACTAGTTTGCATAACCGACTTATCACGCGTGTGATCGGAACGTGCCAGGAAAAGAGATATGTTGCTGAACTGATCAGATATTTGGAAGTACTGTGGCCAGCCAAAGCACTACGGTACAAATCCTGTATACACCACGACGACAAAGCGCCGACTTTTGAATGTACAATAACCTAGAGTGAGAGTTCAGAAAGTCTTCAAAACAGTCTCTAAAGTACAAGAACCCAAGCCTGCCAAACAATTCAAACATTCTCAGACAGCACTTTGGCTAAACGTTTGCGTAACGAACGTCAATACCATTCCATTTGCATCATCAACATCAGGACCTGATTCCCTTTCTCGATACCATCTTTTTCTTCTTCTTCTTCTTCTTCTTCCTATCCTATCCTTTTTCGCGATTCTCACAGATCAAACATAAAAGATGAGAGGATGGTATGTAGTTTAGAATGATTTCCAAGGGAAAAAGCATACCGTTCGTTGTGCGGTCCGAACTTCCGAAGAAGAAGCCGGCGGCAGATTCGGGACCATCAGATGGTAGTTGGCCATGGTAATCATCATGATTTCAGTGAGAAAAGAATGAATGTTTGATTCAGGACCGTGACTACTTGTTTATATGTACAGAATTGTAGACCGACTAGGTTTGTGAGGAAGAAAGTGTCACGTGAGTGACGTCATCTAACAAGTTATTGAAACTTCAAATAGTGTGGGTGGATAGTGGATCAAAATAGAAACGGAAAAATGGTTTTCATTGATTGTATTGCAGACCGACAGAGCTAATCCAAATCCGGGTCAGATGTTCTTATGATCTACAAACTGTTTCGCCAGTGCCACGTCACGAAGAAAATACTAAAACGGAGACTTTGACCATATCACAGTTCAGATCAGTTTCAATTTATGAATTAGACAGAATGATGTCAGAGGAAAAAAAAAGAAAAAGAAGAAAAGTAAAATAATACTTTGGTCAATTAATGGTATGAACTGTTACGTTTGGACACGACGGCGACTATTTGGACCTGAAGATACGTGTGATTGCAAAAGACAAAGTAGCTACACCAAAGTATCCATTTTTGGAACTTTCTAGTACAGTTGGCAGACTAGAGGGTAGGTTTGGAAGATATTTGGAGCGTCGTACAGTTTGTAAAGTCTTGTACCTCCGACACTTATTCAAAGCGGCGCATCTCAGTTGTCAGTAGAGATATAAAAAAGTTGTGAACTGATAAAATGTACAAAACTTTTTTATAAGCAATTTATCTGTTGACGACTTTTTCATATCTCCACAATCAACCGAAGTATATCGTCTTGAATGAAAGGTATTCTCGAGTGCCTCTCAATTACAGGTATTACGACGGTAACTCGAACAGTACTTTATCATTCCAAGCTAAGTTGTAGCAAATGTACTTGTGAAAAGTACTTCTCATGGGTGTCACGTCACACTTTCCCTGATGACGTCAGCAAATGGTCTGAGAATCGGTCACTCCACGACCACTCACAATCCTCTTACTCGCCTCCCGAAACCCGTATTCAAATGAGCCACGTCACATACATTTCAAACTGTTCTCTGAACTCCCATCTCGCCCGCATACGCTTTTTGCGACACTTACATAGTGTAGATTATCGTTCATCATCATCGGAAGTTGAAGTTTCAGATAGAATAGATCTGAATATGCGACTTCAGTGTCAATCGGACCCACTTATATACCCCTGGTTTTTGGACAAAACAATATGGAAAGGCGATTTATTGTGGAAATTTTGGTACCCGATGAATATGTACAATGTTGTGTCGGGTCGGAAACCCGGAAAAACAACAGAAAAACGAGTGAGTCTAAAAGTCGAGGTCCGGTTGGTATTCCGAGTCGGCAAACTCCGAGTTGTGCTTCGTTTTCGATGGGATTTCTCTGCAAATTTCTTGTTTCTTGAAAGTTTTTGTGCTCCGAACTTACGGTCGAACTTTGGCAAAATCCATAATCGGCACGTACTTGGGAGCCATTTCTCCTGGTGTCGGGAAGTCCTCATAGGCGACGGAGCGCTCGTACCGCAAGACTCGGCGGGAGATCGGGTGCTGGAAATTGACAATGTCTACAAGTTTTCCTACGCAATTTCAGTGCTCACCTTCAAATTAGCCCGGACATTCTTGTCCTTACTGACCGAAAACTTGTCGAAAGCGGCACAAATGACGAGGAGAGCCAGAAGAAGAAGCGGAAGACGGAGGGCGTTCATGGCGACGGTGTTCCGGACGGAATGAATGAATGAGGATGAAAATGAAACGGAAATCGAAGCAGAGAATGAGGTCAGGTGGAGAAAACAGGGAGGAAGAAGAAGAAGAAGCGAAAGTCGGTCAGACTTGTTCGGAAGGATCAGATGTCGGCGGGTCAGTCGTCACTCGATTGTAGGCGTCCAGAAGTCTCCTATAAAGTTTTTTTTTTGGAAGATTATGTACATTAATCGGAAAATGAGAAGGCGAAGGGAAAGTAACTTCCTCAGAGAAACTGCTGCCGTATGATCTATTCAGATGGGCGTTCCCTTTTCTGACCTAATGTGGCCATAGGTCACTTTTTCCCAATTTCTCGAGAACTTTCCATTCCCTTCTTTCTGTCAATAATCAAAAACAATCGAATCGAAAATAAATAGACTGACTGCAATTCCAGCGTCCTCGCCACGCCATTCGCCTCGATCTTCTTCTCGACGAGACCCAGTTCCCTGCAAACGAAACCACCGTAATCTTTGAATCCATGAAGTCACTTACATTTTATGAATATAACAACAGTACATGATCCAGAGCATTGAAACTATCACGTAGAACAAAAAAACGATCCAGAAAGTTTGGGAAACCTCGTCGAAAAGTTGATCGATAGCTGCTCGTCCACTCGTCATCTTCATATTCTCATGTTTTGTTCGTCTCCTAAAACAAAAGGTTGAAGAAGAAAGTTTATTTTTTTGTCAAGTCTATCGACTTTTGAGTAAGTTTGACCGCCTGCGCATTGAGCAAAAAGCGATAAAGAGAAAAAAAGAGAAAAGGAGAGAGAGAGAGAAGGCAAACATTCGGAAGGATGCCATTTCGGCTTTTCGATAGCGGAAGAGGTGTCGTGTTTCTCTGTTAACTTTTGGAAGAAATTGCGCTATTTCAGATAGGCACAAGAAATGCGTCAAGAGCTGGCGCACTACAGTATTTCTCATTGGAATGGTGTCAGTAACCTTTAGATCCAGAGAAGTAACACTGAAAGTGGGTCAAGCATGTGCAAACAGTTGTTTTTATTCGTCAAGAGAAAGATTGCTGGCGCCAATCTCAAAGGTACCCAAAAAATTCAAACGAAAACACTCACTCCTTCCTATCTTTTCGACTTAGCAGCCGTTTCGAAGGCCATGACTGTCTGCGTCTCTCCCTTTTCACACTATTTCGGGAAGACCGGTCGGATGACGATTTGTGTCTCTTTTCTGTATTCTGTCTCTGTCTCTAATCACTTAAATGGGAAAAGAAGGAAACGAAAATGGGCGCGGTTTTCTCTGTTTTCATAGAATAGAAATTGTCGCATTGTTCTTTCAGACAGACACACTGAAGAACGGTTCTGGGTCTCGAAGCGACGAATTGAAGTGGAAATGGAATGGCGAGGCTAGTACGGACGGAGCCAGCACACTCGTCCCATTCAAACCATAATTATAGGGACGAGCGAATGAGAAACGAATGGGCTCCGCGAGCACTTTGAGAGGACGGTTTATGGGCAATGAACAGCTCGTTTTGGAAGGGTTTCATTCGAAAAACCAATTGTCTCTCTTTTTGCTCAAATTCCCTTAAAAACCCTATCAAAAAATAACGAACTGTTCATTTTCACGTGAATCGACAATCTTTCGTTGCTCCATTTTGGTCAGACCTTCGATAAGTTATTATTGTTCCACGTATTCTTACTTCTCTTCCTGAACGACAAATTTTGTTCTCAAGTAGGCCAAATAATGCTCTGAAGCAATTCAAATGCAATTACTTCCAGCCGTTGCACGCCATGAAGCCGTCTGGAGCATTGCTCTCAGTTTTTGCTGCACTGATCATTTGGACGAGCGGTAAGTATCATAGATGGAAAGTGTACATTCAAACTTGGTTTTCAGATTTTGGCACTGGGCCTTTTGTTGTTGCCGCTACAACCCAATCCCCGAAATCTAAGAATAGTGAGAACAACTTACGAGGTTTTCCCGTCTGAACTCTATCTTTTCAGCATCCAAGTCCCCACGTACCAAGAGTAATCCGTTGCTCCACTTCTCTCAAAATCTCACATCTCTGACGCACCTGACCAACAAAATCGCGGTCGATTCGCTCATGCAACGGATGCAACTCAACGCGGACACCATCATCAGAGAGATCCGGAGACTGAAGGCCGATGCGGACCTCTCTCCCATCATTTCGGTCGATTGGACGACTGTTAAAAGGCAATTTATGGCGTTTGTTAAGAAATTAAAAGGAGTGGTTCGGCTTGACGATGTTGGAGCGTCAGTGAAGACGTTGAGAGAGCTGATACTTGAAAGCTCTCTCCTAAGTTCCATTAATCACGCCCTTGCTTACAATGATACCGACTTGGACCATCATTTGTCGCCCTATTCAAATGGGATAAATATGGTCAATAATGGGATTACTGCTTTTGATGAACTCAGCTCCCCTCATCAAAATGCAACGAATCTTACTCACCATTGTTCGAATTTCAAACAATTGGTTACAAAACTCGATGAATACAAAAAAGACACGGGCGCAAGAGACGCAAGGAACGCAATTACGAGCGTTTCGAACTTATTCGGCAACTTGACTGAGGCATTGAAAAAGCACAGCAGTGGAAACAATGACGTCGCAAAAACGTTACTCGGGCTTGTTGAGTTAGTGATTTCTTTCAAACCTGACATGAATATCAACAATCTAATAACACTTCTGGAAGAACCTGCTCAGTCAAAAGAGCGCATGATGTTCACGCTGGTATTTGAGGACGATCTGTTGGGACCGGTGCACAAAAGGATGGAGCAGTGGCTCACTCCTTTGTTGGCGGACGAGAGTCGTCAACAGATGATTTATCTTGCAAGAGTGTTCAAGAGCACTTCCTTTCGCATTAAGAAGACAAACGGGAGTTGGAACGGACTGAGAGATCTCAAAACCGTGAAAATCTTTGGCGAAATGAACACGAATGTCGCTGAGTTTCGCGCAAATGCTCATCTTTGGAAGAATTTGGAAACAATGAGAGAATGTTTGGGAGGATGGAAAGCGAGCATTGATGAGAACCCCGTAGAAGAGACCCTAAACAATTATGTAGCAGCAGTTAGTGAAGTTGTAAACCAGGAAATCTTGATATCTGAAATATGTATGGCAGCGTATGATAATTTCAAACCGATTTCTGATTTGTGCGACAAGCCTATTGACGATCAGAAGCCAATGTTAAAATTTTATTCTATAAGAAATGAACTCACAAAAATAGATAACAATGGCACGAAAAATAATTTAACCTCTCTTCAAACAGCTCTAACGGATTATAATGCTAACTTGGCAACGATGAAGGAACTATTAGTTACCGTTAAGGAATCTTTGACTGCTTTCGTTAATAGCCTCAAATCATTGGATATAAAAAAGGATTTCGAATGTATTGGAAAGATCAATTTCGACGTAATCGAGGAGCACTCGGAATTCGGAACAGTATTCGACCACCTGCGAGAGAATGCAATTGAAGAGGGCTTCACAAAGTTCACTGAAAATTTGAATGTGTTCAAGTATGAAAGAGAACGAATGATGACCCATGTGGAAAACATATGCAATACAATGGTCGATTTCTGGCAACTCGACACTCCGATAAAGACCACGTGGCAGCTGTATTACGGTATGAAGATGATGCGTCGGATCGCGAAAATCATCAGAAATGGACGGAAAGAGAAGAAAGAATCGGAAGACGCCAAGAGATTCTGGAGTGATCTGATGAAGGTGGAAGAGGCGATGATACGGGTCGAATACTCAGCGAACGTCCGTTCCCTTCTCGAGCCATTCCTCGCAGCGGCGAACATCAGAAGACCGAAAGACGATAGCACTTTGGGAGCGGGAGGCATTCAGTGGGAGCACCTGTTCTCGGATGTGGACGGAATGAAGGATGCTACCGAGAAACTGGGCAGGATGTTCGATCGGATCAACCGGGTCAAGGAGGAGGAGCAGGAGCCGTTGAGCGAGAAGAAGAAGAAGCCGTTGAGAGAGAAGAAGAAGATTATCATCCGGAAGTGAGTCTGCATTTTCAGATCCTTCCCCTTCCAATGCATTTTTTCAGAAAGCGACTGCCGACTCTGAAAGAAGAGCTTCTGTTCATGTTTCCCAGCTTCTTGGCCGCCCTCTTCCTCATCATTTACGTCTGTAAACTTGCATGTTGTTGAAATACAGGTGACCGAATCTTGTAGTACAATGAATTTGAGTTTTTCAATTTTCAGATCAGCCTTCAACCTTCAGAGCGAACTGTTTTCATTTTCCATTATGTCTTGTTTGTTCACAAACTCTGTTTTGTATCAATAAAGCCAGAAATTGAGGGCACAACCTGATAACCGCCTCAAAAAAGGTCTCGCATCGCATTTGCCTGCTCCGCGATCATATCAGCCATCGGGGCTCCGGGCGCCAGAATGCTCTGCTCAGTGGGGGGCGGCACCGGCCTGGTACTGCCCTCGGGGGCACTACTCGGCTGCAAAAAAGAAGAGGCAGAAAGAAGAGAGGGCAGGCGAGGCGAAGAGGCGGAGAGAGCCGAGAGAAGGGTGCGCGCACTTTTTGTGCGTGGCCGCGGCCGCGTCGCCCCCAGGCAGTGCCAGCCTTTTTTCTCTCTGTCCTCTGTGGGGGTCACTCGTTTTTTCATGGGGGCTGATGTCCGCGCCCGGTACCGCCGCCGCCGCCGCGCCCGCCGACCGCTGATATCAACGCGGAGAGAGAGAGTGCAGGGGGAAGAGTGTCTGCACTCTTCCGTCCGGCTCCCTCTCTCTCTCTCGCCTCCCCTTCTTTTTCCACGATGAAACGTTTTTTTAACGTGGGTTTCCCCACGGATTCACCCCCTGTCTACTACCGTTTCGGCTTCTTATCTCGTTATCATATCACTCTTTCTTCTTCTTCTTCTTCTTCTTCTTTGCCTTCTTCTTCTTCGTTTACCGTTTTCCCCCTATCTAACCACTTTTTTTGTATAGACCACGGCCCCAGCCCCCGGGACCTGTCATCGTTGAAAAACTCGACGACCCTAACCTGGTTTCTGGTGCCCTCTTCGACACGACGCCTCCTTCCTCGGACGGCCCAGACGCGAATGTTACACGGAGAAGGTGTGTGCGTGGATGATCCTCTCAGCCACGTCGCACCCGTTCGTCTCGGAGCTAGAATTGTATCAGGTACGTTTTTTGTTGAAGTGGACCCATTTTGTGGTGCTTTTGTTGTTGTGGAAATGTGAAAGGGGAAAGGGTTCTAGGTTCTAGTCCGCTTGGCGGGTTACGGTAGTTTCGGTTTCCAGATTTCGGATACTAGGTTAGGCTGCTGATTTTGCAAAGTCATTAAACTAGGATCTGGTGGTTTCCTAGTCCCACTTAGGATGTAGAAAGTACCTACCGTAACCCAGTTGGTCAGAACTTTGCAGTTTCGAAGTGTGCCGATGTATGTTTGAGACTTTTAGGGCGTGTAGACCCTATTGCCACGTCATACTATTTCACTAACTTTCCATGAATTCTTTTCAAACTTATACCTTTCCCAAGGCTTCCCCAGTTTATGACGTGGCAAAAGCATTCAAAGAGCATACGGTAACCCTGAGAACTGACTCATTATGTCATCATGGACCTCATCATCCGCCTGACCTCCTGTCTTTCTTTCTCTCTTCCATTCCAATTCCATTCGGTTTTTTCTCGAACCCATCATCCGTCCCGTCTGGCCATCGGTCCCCCGTCCATTCGTTCCGATGTCAGTATGTTCGACCTTCTTCCCTTTTCCATCATTTCCATTTTTTCAATCTCTCTGCGTCTCACCGCCGTTCCACACTCTTTCGTTCTTCGCGTTCTTCGCGTTCTTCGACGCCATGTGCAGACAATTTCATGGTTTTTAGGGGGGTTGAGCGTGCGAGACGGCGGACGCGCGCACTCAAATCCCCCGCTGACTAAAAGGACGGACGTTCGGCGGGGATGGACAGCTGAAACGGACGGGTCGGTCTGAAGAAGGATCTGGAAGAAAAATGGGAGGGGTGGAGGAGATGGTAAGAAAGAGAAAGAAGAAGAAGACGAACAGAGCGCATTTACTTTGAAATGCGAAAGATCCAGAATGTTTCTTTCATTTCTCTCACCTCTTTTTACTTCCTGCTCCCTCTGCCCGTTTCGTTTTCCCGTGCTCAATCCGTTCCTCTGCGCTCCCTTTCCATCTAGACGAATGCAAAAAACAAAAAGGTCAACAGTTCGCCCTTCTCTCCTCTGTTTTTGTGTGTATACACACACACACAGTGTCTGCATAGTATACCCGAACGTTTCATAACGAACCGAACGATTCGACGGCCGCCGCGCCGCACTCTTTTTCCGTCTTCTCTCTCTCTCTCTCATTTCTGTCCACTTTTCCTCCAATTCTCACCTCCCGGTTCGATGAATGATGAAGAAGAAGAAGAAGAAGAAGAAGCAAGAAGAAACGTTTTTGTAGCGAACGATTCTCTGTCCGTCTCTCTCTCTCTCTCTCTCGCCTCCTGCTCGCTTGTCGATCGTCGTTTCGGCGCCGCCGGAGTTTTTTTGACCTATAGTTAGATGTCGAGCAGTCTCCGGGTTTCGCACGCTCTCTCGCTCCGCACACGGGGTTTTTTGGGACGAGGATCGGGGCGGCGGGGGCCAGAAAACGAGGCGCGGACACTCTTTTCTTCTTTCCACCCCCCGATTCCGCCTTCTTCTTCTCCTCTTCTAGAACTTTTTCTAATGATATCTTCTTTGTAGAATGGGGGGTAGGGGTACAGTTAATGATAGGCTGACTGGCTGCCATTCCCATTCATCATGCCACTTTTATGTGGTGGAGTGAACTGTGATGTGAGTGAACTAGTCCGGAATTACGGTAGAGATTTGAGGAAGAGACGGAAGCTAATGAATAATACGTGGCAAACTTTCAGTTCATCTCATTTTCTTTCTACTTCTTCTTCCTTTACTATTTCTCTCTCAACCAGAAGACTCTCAATTCAATCGCTTCATTTCAGGATACTGAGGCTATCCGATAGCCGCTACCCAGCGCCCGTCGCCCTGGACTGGGAGCGTACCTCGACTTGTGTGCCTTCTGAAGGCATCACGACGATGTCGTCGTCGTCGTCCTCTTCCAACATCAATCCACCGTCAACGGCGACGTCGTCGACAGCGACAACATCTAAACCAGCAAGTGAGATCATGATGGGTCCTCTTGATCCTTATCCACCCATTCAGCCCATCCTCTGGAGACCATTTTTAACACTTCAACGTCATCTTCCACAATATCCAATGCATCTTCATCGGCGTCCACGTCTTCCGCCTCTTCGGGGGCTGCTCTCGGAGGTGGCGGTGCCACGTCATCCACGGCTTCTCCATCTTTATCGTCTCTACGTCAATCCACAACTTCTGATCGATCAATGTAAGCAAGCGAAGGGAAGAGGGGGAGGTCTTCATCGATTACCCAATTGGTTTTCACTGATTGATAAGAGAACAAAAAATGGGGGGAAATGAGTATCTCTCTGCCCGTTTTTGCAGTCATTTTCTTCGGTTCAGATCTCCCAAACCGATGCCAACGCCGACGACGCTTTCGGAATGGCAGTTGTTGGCCGTTTTGAGCAAGGCGAATCTCGTTCAGTACTATGATGTATTCATTGCACAAGGTGAGCACATTTAATGGGGCCGGGTCTAGCAACTCTTTGGTTTGCAGGAGGCGACGACATCAACCAGATAATGGCGTGCGAGGAGCGGGAGTTTCTGGAGATTATGAACCTCGTCGGCATGCTTTCCAAGCCCCTCCACGTCCGTCGAATGCAAAGAGCGCTCACCGAGTACAGCCAGGACCGGACGGCTTTCAATCTGACGGCTCTCCAGCAGATCGGTCCTCCGCCGCCACTCAATTACACCCCGCCGGGCACCGATCCGATGGCCCTCTTGCTGCCTGGAATTGCCGCCGCCGCCACGTCGCCAAACTTCCCGAGCCTTCGATTTCTGAGCCAATTGTCGTCGGTGACCACCGGCAGCGCCACGTCATCGTCTGCGGAGAAGACGCCGTCCGACGTGGCCGACACGTCGTCAGCGTCGCCGTCGCTGAACTTGAACACGTCGTCGAATTCGGTACCGTTGGGTTAGTCTTCGTCGCCGGGCATATGGTAGCACGCATGTTCGTGTCGTGTCGCGCACCCTGTATGATTGTGAACGTCACCGTCTTCTTCTTCTTATCATTCTCTGACCGACCACCTAATCGCTGCTGATTCTACATCACTTTGAGTTCTTTTCGCAATCATTTCTTATTGCACTCGCACTTTGGTGCTCATCTGATATAATTGTCCTAATCCAGATGAGCTACCGTCTCCCCCAGTTCTCATTCTCATTCCCTTCTCATTTCAGCGTTCAAGTTCGCCGCTCCTCTACTCGAGCATCTGGCCGCAGCTGATCAACCCCAGCCGCGCCTGCTCCCCTCCACCGTCGTCGCTGGCCCCGCCCCTTCCGTCTCTGAGCCAACTTCTGCAGGAGCCTCCACAGTTCCCTCCTCCCGAGCCACCGCCAACGTGTTTCCCGGAAACAGCATTGGCCTCAATTTTGGTGCATCAGGCGTTGCTCGCCACCTCCTCCCACCTTCAGCAGCAGCAGCAGCCGGTCCCTCCGCTCCTTCTGCATCCACATCAGCAGCATCTTCACCATTTCCAGCATCACTTGGCGTCGCAGGCCGATCGTCCGTCGGTGCCGCCCAAGAAAAAGAGGGGTCGTCCTCTCCTTTTCTAGTCAATCCGCTATCCAATTCAACTGTTCCGCCGTACGGCAATGATTTCGTTTCTTTGGGAGACTTTGATCCAAGTAAGACTTTAACACATTGGAGACGTTGTTACCGTAATCTTTTTCAGATAACCCCTCTCCGTCTGAGAATCCCGTTCTCTCTTCCGCGCAGGTCGCCCGTCTGGCCGAGTGCGCGCTCGCCGCTTCCAAGAATCTACCTCCACTTCCGCCCCGATTGATTCAGAACAAAAAGCGTGTTTCCAAGTGAGCTCTCAAGATCCTAATCCCATCCTTTTTCTGTTTTCAGAGAAGTAGTCGAACTGCTCAAAAGCACTCCGGGCAATCCTTCGATGATCCACGTGTTCCGCAAGTATTCCGCCATCTACGGTCGTTTCGATACGAAACGAAAGCCGCACAAAGTGCTCACTCTGCACGAGACAACCGTAAACGAGGCTGCCGCGCAGGTCTGTCTGCTGGTCCCTTCCCTGCTCACACGAAGGGACGAGCTCTTTCCATTGGCTCGGCAGATTGTGAAAGATGCCGGATATCACTACGCGAAGAGCCGGAAACGGCCTTGCGATCCGGCCGATCTACACAGTCCGATCAGCTCGCCGAGCAACTCGCCGCCGCCTCCGGAATCCGAGTTCGACGAGCAGCCTTCGAGTTCGTCGAATCAAGAAGAGAAGGTAAGAGGAGGAGAAAAGCGCCTGAAAGTTGAAAAATTAGGCGGACTATTCCAGGCGATGCCGCCGGAAGCGTGGGCGAATCTGATCGATAAGATGAAGGACGAGATTCCAGAATCCTGATGTCAATTGTTTATTCTTTCTCTTTCTCTCTCTCTCTCTCCCTCAGAATCTCTCGAACGGAACGAAATCATCCGCTGGTCGGTGCCTGTGATCCAATATCTCATTCTTCATTCTCTCCTAACTAATATTGTCCATTTCCCTCTCTCTCTCTCGAAAATCTAATCCATTTCTACGGTCAATTGTTCTGCTGGAGATTCTAGAGCAATCTTTCCCAGCCGCCCCTATTCATTTTTGTAGTTTTCCAAAAACCAATTCAAAATGTGTGTCCCCGCCCCCTTTCCCGCTTATTCACCCCAACTTTTCCGGCGGTTTTTCAAAAACCCAGCCAAACTCTCATCAAATGGGAGTCTAAATCCGAGTTCGGTTCCAAAACCGACGCCCCGCCCCCTCCCCCTCTCAGCTACGCCTCTATTCTTCTTAGAAACCAATTGCTAGTGCGCTCTGATGAGAACGCCGCGGACTAGAATTCGTTTTCTAGGCCATGTTCGATTTTTCCCGTTTTCTCCGAGGATTTCCCACTTTTAGCATCAAATGCAGTGAGTATCACCAGGGTAAACGAGTAAGATGAAACGTGGCCTAGAACCAACAGGTGAACTTCGGCCATTTGAACTAGTCAGTACTATTCTCAGTTCTTTGTGTTGTTCTGCATCAAATGCACTCAAAAGAATCAGCCAAGGAGACTGAGAATCGACGGACTTTCCCGAATGGTCTCAGAACTTCTAGTCCTCCGATTTCTCATCGGAACGCACTTTTCCTCCTTCGTGGTCATTCAAAATGACCATCTCTCGCAACTTATACTCGTCATTCGTTCATCGTCAAAAGATTGTTCTAAGTATCTAAATGCCTGCATTTTTGCCAAAACTCTCATTCGCTCCGGCAGAAAATCCACCCGTTGATTAGATATGTAAATCCAATTTGCTAGTCGCGCCCACCACCACTTTCAGCCTTCCAAAAAGCCTTTTCTCACCCACCCCACCGTCCACTTCATCATTCACATGGTCCGTCCCTTCACACACACACACACACACACCCACACACAATTGATACTAAAATATGAATAAATTCGTCGTTATAAAGCTACTCTGATGACAATAAATTAAACACTGTGAAAGTGAGAACAAAGGGAACGAACGGAATGGTCAAGAATATAAAGTTCGATGAATTTTGATTTTGAGATGGGGAAAAGGGGAAATCCCGTAACAACATAAGAAGGGAGGGCGATGACGTCTACTTGTCCTTCTTGCTCTCTTCCACAGCTTCTGGAGCTCCTTCTGAAGATCCTTCCACTGCTGGAGTGCTCGTACTTCCCTTTTCCTTCTCGAGACTCGTTCCGAACTCGTTCATGCGAGTTGGATCGACGCGGTAGGCCCATCGTTGGTACAAGTAGATCTGGAAGGTATACTGTTGAGATCTCGGAGGTTACTTCGCAAATTACCAGGAAAATGATATCATCTCGGAAGCATCCGATTCTGTAGAGCAGCGGCATTCTGATGACAAACGCGAAGAGGTCGTCGATGAAAGTGTTGATGAACTTGTAAGTGAGCATGCGCCACGGCAGGTGAGCAACCGATTTCAGCTTGTAGTTGATGAACAACTGCGGAGTCATTGTGATGAATCCGAAGGTGAGCAGGAATCCGTAGAGCATGTTGAGCAGCCACGAGTACCAGCCCTTCTGCTCGACGTAGATGACCGAGTAGATGGCGTATCCGACGAGGAGCGGGAAGAGAACCCATCCGAGGTACTTGAACGCCATCTGATCGTAGATCTTTGTTTCGCTCTCCACATACGAGCCCTTGTCAGTGATGCTGACACGTGGAATCACTCCGAACAGTCTGTTCTGCCAGTCGATTTGCACATTCATCACTTTCGGAATCTTCCAGCACTCGATGAGCAATCCGATGCCGACGGTCACCTTCACCATCGTGTTCGTCTCGTTGTCACAGATATAAAGGAAGACGATCAACGATTGGAAGATATTGAAGAGGACGGATCGGACGGATAGTCCCACGAGATCTTTCCGATTGTTCCAGAACTGAATGTCGTTCTTGAACGCTAGGAATTCGAAGACGGTGTGGAGGAGCGAGACGGCGACGGTGACCGCGAGAAGGATCGGATTCGTCTCGAGTAGCGCCTGCTTCATCGAGTCATGACTGTCGTCGTCCACGTCGGCGCCGTCCATCGATAGCATTCCTTGCCATTGCGATTGCATTTTCTGACTCGCGTACATCTGATATTTGAACACGGACATCGGGTAGTAAGTGATCGTCAGATTGAGCTCTTTGACCGTTTCGTTGATCGGCTGATAATCCGCTCCGAGATTCCACCAATTGTTGTAGAAAAGAATCGGTTTGTAGATGTTTCCGTCCTCGTTGAATTCTATATCCTCGCTGAGCGGAGCGGGAATCGATCCGCGAACCCACGGAGTTTGGTCGACGATCAGGGAGATCGAAATGTTCGGATGCCAGTGGTTCAGCACCTGAAGACGAGATTACTGTAACTCTCCGTTCGAGACCTGCACCTGCTTACCTCATATTTCATTTTCTCCGCTTTTGCCAGATCCTCGTCGCTCTGTTCGCTTTCGCCGGTCAGCAAATTGGCTGTTTTCCGATAGTACTTCTTCTTGTACTTGTTCAGCTGTTGCACTTTGTAAACCACTTGATTCTTAAAGTAATTTCTGTCCTTCGGATTCGGCGACTGTCCCGTTTTGACGATGAACGTGTGCAGGAAGATCGACTCGTTTCTCAGAAGGACTTCCGGAGTCGGGAACGTTTTGTGGATGGTGAAGCTGCCGTCGGCGTTGTCTCCGCTCGTCCAGTCGTCGTATCGCATCGCGTTTCGCATCCAAATCAGTTTCTCGGGCGACGAATCGAACTGTTTGAAGGGCAGGTCCTAAAATACTAGGCGTGGTCTGGAAACTACTTTGTAAACTAACACTTCCGTCCATATAGACATACAAATCGAAAAGCTGATGATTCGGGAACAAGTTCATCGCTTTGATACCGGAAGACGTCGGAGTAGCAGTCACATTCGAGCCGGTTCCGGTGCCAGGAGAACTGAAGAATCCCTAAAAATTACCGAAAGTTGCATTGAAAAGCCGTCAGACAACGAGTACTTTCATGACGGAGGTGATGAAGTAAAAGAACATCGCCTGCTTAATGATTCCGAATAAAATACTGCCAAATCCTTGCGCGGCAGGCTGCTGAGCTCCTTCCGCAGGCGCCGGGGCAACTGCGTCCGCCATTTCGCTGAAAAATGTTAGAAAGTGCGGTGAAAGTTAGCTGAAAGAGTTGGGATACAAATATTAGACTGGTTAGAAACAGTGACACATAAAAACGTAAATACAACACGAAATATTCTGGAATTGAAAGTTTATGATCAGAATCAATTACATATAGTTGGAAGTAGACAATCGTACAGATCAATAAGTACAAAGAATATGGCTACAGAGAGGGAATGTTGTTAGAACTTAGATAGAGAGAGCAGAAGTACAATTATACATCTCTAATTATGGAACATGGAAGAAATGGATTAAGTTTGTTAGGGGTTTGTTAACGATGATGAGGAAGTCCGTGAGCCTTCTTGTAGTGCACATAATCCTGAAATTGAAAATCGTTTCCAGGTATCCTATTCTCGTGCATACCTTGTAATCGAGCACGAACTTCGAGCTCTGAAAGCGGACGACCCGAAGTCTCGCACGGAGATTGTCGTCGATGTGCCCGACGAACCCGCTTTTCCGAATGAGACTGTCAATGGTGGCTTCGTGGCTCCATCCCTGCTCGTAGGCCACTTCCGGAAGGAAAACCGCGCTTCTTTTGTGATGTCCGTCGTCGAAGTTCATGCGAACTCCGTGTACTCCGATCGACCAGTCACGCCAATCCTTGATCTTCTCAAAGTTGACCAAAAGAGAGACTCCGCACTGGAGACTGGGGATTTCCTCCTTTCCGATCGGCTTGAATCTCGAGTCATGGAATGCAGACGTTTTCGCGTATTCGTTCAATGCATCGGTCAACCTGCAATTCGTTTCAAACTCATTTTCATCTCATTTTCACTTTGAAACTACCTCAGATCCTCGGAAAACGTGCCGATGCATCCACGCAAATCCTGGCGAGCCCCAATCTTCCAAGTGACGAACAGCGGCCTGACATGGGACATTTCACAAGTTTTTGAGAGTGGAAACAAACAATTTCACATTGGGAATCTCTCTTGGCGCGGGCGGTTCTTTCTCGCGATTCAGTTGGGCCTGGATGACGTCGAAGCAGTAGACCGCCATTTCCGTGTTCGCCGTCGCCATCTGAAAGTCAGCAATTGTTAATATTATCATAATTAGAAAAAAAAAGAGAGAAAACCAAATATAAAGGGATTGGTGTTGATGCCAAACCAAAAAAGGTCAGTGATAAAAATTGAAATCTGAAATTTGAAAATTGAAAAACAAGTTTATGGTAAGATAAAAAAAACTCAACAACAAATATAACAAAAAGTAGGATTCAACAACCATTTATTTGTCTCCTTCGACGATTTCTTTGGCGACAAACTCGTACATTTGCCGATTAATTTCTTTGAGCCGCTCATTTTCAGCCTTTAGTTCTCTCAAACTCTTGCGCATTTCATTAATTCTCTGTTTCGATTCCGCAGTCTCCAAGGGTCTTTCTTCGACTTCTCCGTCTTCGTCAATCACTATTTCCTTCGGTGCCTTGGCTCCGTTCGTCGTCTGATTCCTAACTTCCGTCACTTTCGCATTCTTCTTCTTCAGCTTTTTCTTTCTGTTCTTGCATTCTGTTTGCCCACTTCTGGAGCGTCGTCGTCGTCGTCGCCAAGTGTTATTACATTGCTCGCCGCTTTCACTGCGTCCATTTCGGCCTTTTCCGCTTCTTTCCTCTTCGCAGTCTCCAAATCCCATTGCAATTGGGCCGTCGTCTTGCTTCCAGACTCGATGAGCATCTGATCGATGGTCTCTTCGATAACATCGTTCCAATGCTTTTGATCCGAGTTGAAGTCGTTCGAAACTTCGATGGCAAGACGCTCGCATTTCGTAGGCTCACGACGCAGATCCCAGACTGGACGGAAATTGACGGAAATGTCGCCATTGGAAAGGGATTTCCAGAAGGGAATGAAGCGGAGGGTCGAGATGGAGGAACGCATTGTGGACACCTGGAATTATCAGTTTTGTGATATATTCTTACTTTAAGCAGTAAAACCACACTAACTTTGAGGCACTGATGACTGCTGATCTCCCAGATGCAGTATTTCCGGTGGCGTCTCCAGAAGCGAGAAGAGTGCCGTCCGTGTTGATTGTCAGTCGTCTAATCTCATCGGAATGTCCGTTGAGCACTCGGAACTTCGAGTTGTGCTCGTCGCCGGTTTGAACGAGCAGATCTCGCTCTTCTGGGCCCTGGAACGTTAATTTATCGAAAATCACGTGAATAATTATTACTAATTGGAACAGATTGATTTGGGCAATGTTTCCGACGTCAGTTCCTATGAAAACTCGGGTTTCGGCAGAATCGATGGCACACGCAGTCAGTGGGCGATCGGCGGAAACCTTCAAAATCACAGAATCGATGGAAATGGAGTGGAGACACGCGATGTGATCGGCTCCGGCCGTCAGAACTCGTGGATTGGTTCCATGTGTGATTTTGATATCGGAAATGGACAAGGTGTGCGAGGACCACTTTCGGAAAGGAGAGACTGTGTGATCACGATCCGCAGAAACCAAACTGAAAAGAAATCAATCAAAAATGGATGAAAAAGGGAATTCGCACTCTGTGACAAGATATCCATGAACGGCTCCATCTTTCGAAGCCGTGAAAACCATAGAATCATCGTCGGAAATCGCAATTTTTGTGATACTCTGATAGTGCGCATCGATCACAGAAAGCAGCTCGCCAGTTGAGAGTAGCCAACAATATAGCTGTTTTTTGATGCTCATGAAGACCAGACGTCCAGATTTGTCGCTCGCGATAGCGGAAACTGGACCCGGAAGCACGCATTTCTGATGGAATCGATCTTTGTTGTGCACTGCTAGCACGTGAACGAGTGGGCGTTCTTTCGTAGTGATAACAACATGTTCTCCGTCTCTTCCTGTAACGTTCCATTTAATTTTTAGGTGGAATTACGAATGCTCACCGAGCGGTTCGACATGTCCAGTGGAGGCGCCTTGAAGTTCGGATCCTTTGTAGCTCCACGAGGAGACCCCTGTTCGTGGATCGATGATGATCGTTGAGTGTGGATCTGGACTCCCACTGCTGATCAGAAGCATCTGAAAGCGTTGCAAGGTTTTTCGGAAATTATCGATTTTCACTCACTTCTAACGGTTGTGTTCCGGCGATTCGGCTTGTATCTACTCCTAAGTATGCCATTTTCAGGCTTCTACAATATTCAACGTTAGAATTGTGTTATACAATGGATTTCAACGCGAAAAACGATGACTATTAAAAAAATCTCACTGCGGTCAGTGAGATCGAGATCGAGAAAGACGCCAACACCGAAAACACGTCAACGGAGGAGAGAAGAGCCTCAAAAAATTGCATTTGGATTATTAAAATTACCAGACTCTATGCCATGAGCACAAAAATGAACACTTGTTTAAAAGAAAGTACTGTTTATTATCATTGAAAGTTATTCCAATTACAATATTAGAATATTATTAGAATTACAATTAAAGTTGGGCAATTAGAATGATTACAATTGAATTGAATCGAAAAATATTACATGGTCAAGACAACAAAGTTTTTAGGCAGATCCTCGACACTTTTGATCGTGGTGATTTGTCGATCAAAAGGACACTTTAGCTCGGTCCCCTTCGCCAAACGACCCGCACATCCCTCGCAGACGGTGTGCCCGCACTGAAGGACACGTGGCGTCCTCGATTGTTCCGCACTGTACTCGAAAGCACAGATCTCACACACTTTCCACGGCATCACGATCCCACTCGACTGCTTGTCCTCCTGCAGCACCTTCGACATCTCGAGCATCTGGTTCCGGTAGTTCATGGTCTGCTGCCGCTCGTCCTCGATCATCTTCTGCACCGCCGTCACGTCCGAAAGCACTTCCACCTCCGACTTCTCCGCCAACTTCTTCTTCAGCTCTGCCAGCTCCGCCTCGTACTTCTCCTTCTGCTTTGCAAAAGCGGCACGCTCTCTCTTCAACGTGTCATTGGCCAGTTTGTATCCGTGAGCAACGATTTTGTGGTCTTCGTTGAGAATGCTCAGGGAGCGCTCCAACTCTGTCACGGAGGCCATCGCTTGGATCCTGGACTGACGAGCATCGGCTTCGTTCCTCTTCGCAGCAGCCAATTCCGCCTTCACCGCAGCGAGCTCAGCACGGAGAACATCAGCTTCCTCCATCTGCCTCGATCTCTTCGACGACGGAATACGGTCATCAGAGGATCTCTTGTTGTTGTTGCGACCAGACATGATGAGGAATCGATTAGTAGAATAGGGAAGGAATAGATTAACCGTACTCTGTATGAGGACAGAATGTGGACTGAATGAGCGTTTCTGTGAGTGCTCGGTGGAAGAGTATCTCACCCCCCGCCCCTTATCCATTTTCTACACCTTTCCTTCCCACAGTAGGATATTGTCCTCGGGAAGGCGGTTGTGCAGTTGTAAACTTGCTTCCCAGTGGGGTCGCCCGACGGTTCGATCCCGTTTTAGGGCCCGAGAAATGCAAACATAATTCTCAGTTCATGATGAGGATACTTAATCCTCGTCTATTTTCTGTTAATTCTGTTGTAACACAAAACACTCGAATTCTTATTATTCACAGTTTATTCTCCTTTTGAACCATTAATCATTCTATGCAGCTGATTGTGGGTGTGTGTGCTATCAAAAAATAAATAAAACGAACATTCAGGATATTTGGGTGGTAGGAGGAGGAGGAGGAGCGACAAAAGGATACTAAGAAAAATAGATATAGTAAAAAGGCAATATTAATTTACTACAGAATTCTTCTTTTGCAGATTTTTTTTGAACAGGGCAAAGGGGACAAAGAAAATAAGTTATGGGAGGGGTGAAAACAGGGGCAAAGAACGAGGAGAATGGTGTCAAATAGAGAGAGTTTGGGTGAATTCAAAGAGTAGGAGAGGAAAGGGAAACACTGGAAACGTTCCCAAAACGGAACATTCTAGAATTTCAGATTCTCAACCTGGTAAATATAAAAGAGGGAAAACCAAAACCGGGCCCGTGTTTCCATCAACGAGATATTCGAGCAAGAGACATCAAAACAGATGTTTGTGTGACAAACTGGAAAAATCGAGCTCTAGTTGTGACCGACTTTCGTTCAACTTCTCCAGTGCGAGATCGTACAACAATTGGGTGTTTGGGGGAGAAAACACGGGCTGTTCGGGGGATTCGTGCCTGATCTTCGCGGCGTTTGTGAGGGCGAATGGGGAAATTCCGAAGAAAATCATCCAAAGTTGGGTGGTCAGGGGGCAATGGCTATTCCATAACACACAGACAAACTATGAAAAACTACTTCCTTTTTTTGGGGTTTTTTTGCTGATTTCTAACCTTTTTCACTGCAGAGCCTAGAGGCCTAGATGGAATAAAAACGGGGAAGGCAAAGAGTGACTTTGCTTTCCCGTTGCGGGGGCTAACACTAAAAGGATTCAGGAAAGGGTTCAAGTGTGTATGTGGGAGGGGAGAATGTACAAAAATGGAAGAGAATCAGAGAAAAAGTAGGTGGGAAAGGGGCTTGAGGGGTACAAAACCACTTGCCGAACGCGGTTATCAAACGGATCCTCTGGGTGTATGGCAAAGGCGGAAAACGGGCGATATCAAAAGATTTCGCCCCTCTGCCGCCTTACAAATCAACAATTTTCCGACTAAAAAGCGGGTATGTACACCAAAGCGAACAGAGTGATTTCAGACGGAAAAAACTATCAGAAATCGCTCGATACTCGACATTATCTCTGATTTTGTACACGTGTCTTACAGGTCTTAAAAATGGTGGGTGTGGGAGTAGGCAACGTGGTTGCGCGATTTTAGAATTTTTGGGCGATTTTCGATTTTCAGTAGCAACCAGACGGTCGCGGCTGAAAACGAGGTGATGGTGGGATGAGTCAGATCTTAGGAGAAAAAGGCTGATGGTGTGGGTGTTACAGGGATTCTCGAGAGAGGCAAAGATGATAAAAAAAAAGATGATAAATACAATGAGAACCGGACGAACGCGACGATGTCGAATTGCGAATTGATCTACGAGATTTGACGGCAATTCGAAAACACCCCGTTCGTTCGGTTATGATCAACAAAGAGTTTACGGATGGATGAAAACAGTGTTTGGATGGGCTTTGTAGGGGGGATCTCGTAACAACAACAACACCAGCAATGCATGGGGGACGGGTGGATGGGTTTGTACACGCAATTAAGTCGGGCCACGAGGCTCACTCGGAGGCGTCAAAGGAATGCTCTATTCAAAATGGGATGGAATAGGAAAGTTCGGAGAGCATCGCGACGACAACAACAACAAGTGAGTCGCAACCGTTCTGTACACGTTTTTTGTAAGACAGAAACGACAAAAAGAAAACAAAAAAATGTGGGATCTTGTGGGTTTTGAGGCAATTTACTATTTACAATGTAGGGCAATTAAGGTGGGAACGAAGGGAAAACACTGAGAATTTCATCGGAAAAAGCACCGGATCGAGTGAAACTCCCAGTATTCGTCCTCCCCGTGGGTGTTTGTACTCCGTTTTTTCAAATGAGGATGGGGGGAAAACAACAAACGCACTAGAGGTGGTTGGTAATATAGAGGGGGAAAACAGACAGGATGGTGGGTGGGTCACAGGAAAAAATGGAGACACAAAAAGGGAAACAAGATTGCAATAAATTGCAGGAGTGAATGTAAAGGGACAGGACACAGAACTACATACATTTGAGGCGAAATGAGAGAGAGAGAGTGTGTGTGAAAAAGAAAGATGGCGTTAGACAGTTAGAGAAGTTCGAGAGGATGTGCGAAAAAGAAACATTTCAGACGTTGACTTGGGTCTCGATGCGACGGATTGGCTTCGCGTTCTGCAAACAAACTACGGTATTCGTGCCGAGACCCTCGAGACCACCAACCTCCTGCTCATCCTCAAAAGACTTCAACGACACCTCGTCTTCGGTGGTGATTCGGGGTGTCATCTGGACCGAATTGAGCACGATGTCAGTTCCGAAAAGTTGGATGGGCGGTATGTCAACGAACATCGGCGGAAGGGAGTCTCCGTTTTGCGAGGCCGGCGAGAAGAGCGAGAAGGTTCCAGAGTCGTCGGCGGACTGGCGCATGGGGGTGTCCTGGGTCAGATCGATCATCGACGGGGGCGGAGTGGTCGGGGAAGCACGGCTGATCGGAGGGGTGAACTCTCCAGACGGTGACCTTTCAATGTCGATCCCGAGTGATCGTTTGCGTTGGAATGGTTCACCGCCGACGAGCAGAAACGAGCCATCACTGAAAATGATAAACGTTTCGAAGTCGCTTCATGTATCATGCAACTCACTGAATCTTAGCAGTTCCCAATTCGTGTCCAGAATCGCTCGTAGGCAGCTTCTTGTCGAATCTCGCGGAGAGACGAGCGTCGGTCAGACGGTTCATCAGGTTGAAGTGCTCCGACATCTGCTGCACATCGCGTGCTGAATCCTTACGGTAGACCAGATTCGACGGAGTTTGAAGCTTGGTGGACGGAGCCGACTGTTGGAGCCAAGGATGCGAAAGGATCTGATCGGCGTTGAATCTGGAAAGAATAACAAAATTGTTTGAAGTCAGCTAAACTCCACGTCTTCTGAAGATGTCGAGCATTAGAATTCCCTCATGATGCTTTCTCCTCCCTTTCCGGGCATCACAGCCACTAATCAAACTGAGTGCAGGATAAGAAGGAAACGAACTAGCGGTCCGAAGGGTAACAGACGCGCTCGCAACCAACTAGGCCACGAGTGTCAACAGGGAATGAGCGGAAAGGCGGTAGAGAAGAGAAGAGAGAGTGGACGCTCACAAACCTTTTGATCGGGTCACGTCGCAGAAGGTTGGACACGAGATCTTTTGCGTCCTTGGAGATCATTCCCCACTCCTCGATCGGAAGATCGTAGGAACCGTTCTGGATGCGACGGAAGAGGTCCTGTTGGCAGTCCTCGCACGGTTGACCTTCGGACCATCTGGAGAAACCGTTCACTTAGACGTTCCGAACTGAAATGTGGCACAACTAACCCGCACTCTTGATCGTCGCACTCTCCCTGGAAGGGAGCGTATCCGGCGAGCATGATGTAGAGGATGACTCCGAGACTCCACGTGTCACACTTCTTGTCGTACTTGAGAGCATCGCCGACGAACGCGTCCACCACTTCCGGCGCCATGAACTCGGCCGATCCGACCGGAGAGGCCAGGTCGGGCTCGGAAGCCACCTGGCTCAGCTGATGACTTTCGCTGTGCGGCGGACGCTGGCTCGCCAGATCGAGATCGCACAGTTTGACCGGCGAGACCTGATGCGGATCCGTGCACAGAATGTTCTCGGGCTTCACGTCGCGATGCGCTATTCCAAGATCGTGCATGAACTTGAGAGCCGAGGCAATGTCCTTGGTGACACGACGCGCCTCCTCTTCGGTGAAGTAGCCGTGTTGCAGGATGTGCTGGAGCAGCGGACCACCGCGGATCTTCTCCATCACTAGATAGAAGCTGGTGTCGTCCTCGAACCAGTCGACGAGTTGGACGATGTTTGGATGTCCCTTGCACGTGTTGAAGATGTTGACCTCGCGAATGATGCGCTTGCGGGAGTGCTTCTCGCCTTGTTTGTCGACGATCTTGACAGCGAACTCCTCTCCGGAGACGATGTTCTTGCAGGTTGTCACAGAGCCGTAGGCCCCGGCGCCCAGGTGCTCGTCCGTTAACTTGTAGTAGTCTGTAAAAATTTTACATTGATTAAATGTAAGAATAGATCAAATATTCATGAGGAAAGATCTCTTCTCAAAAACAGTCCGATTTACCTTTGATTTTTCTCGACACCTTCTGAATTCTCTCACTTCTTCTAATTCTTCTAATAGCCATGATGATGCTTCTAATTCTCTATTCGCTAGGCGGTATAATATTGGCGGAAAGTGATGCAAAAGTGCGTGAATCAAGTTTACACATTTGCGTCATTTTTGAAAAGATTTTTCGAGTCGCGGTGAGATTCCGCGCGAACATTCTAGAGCACTTTTTGCATCATTCCCTTTTTACGCGCCATTTCTTATTTCACTTTTCGCGGGACTTTCGAATGAGAAAAATCAAAAGTTTACCTATATTGTAGACCAATTCTTACATACAGTAAACGCTCGATTATTCCAGAAATAACGTATTCTAATGATCGCCTAATGTCAGTCATAAAACGCTTTCTTCTCTTCAAAACAGACCAGTTCAATAAATCGGTTCCGTTCGGGCAAAAAGAAAAAGACAATGTGTTTACTACCCTTTCTTCTTCTATTGCCCCTGTCTACTAAAGTCAGTACTGAATCAATCAGAAAACGAGTAATAGTACTGTTCAAATCTACGTTTCCCTCTTCCGACGTCATCTCACATTCATCATTCATTGTCTTCTTTGGTAGAAATTTCCGGACGGAAGAGAAAAGAAGAGAAGGAGAAGACGAAGAAGAGAGTCAAAATATGGTAGTCACACGGGGGCAACTTTCAATTAATCTCTTCTGATTTCCAACGTTTCCGTCACACACAAACAACAACCCAATACGTGGAGGGTGGCAATTTGCATGCGAATTGAACAATTAGACAGTGGAAATTGTAAAGAGAATGAGAGAAAGCGATCGAAAATTGCACGTTTCTGATGGGTTGTAGATTACAGTCCCTCTCATCAAGGCCTTTCCCCATTTTTCAGCTTTCGAATCTATCAGCTGTTTTCTCGGTTTTCAAACACAAGACAGATCCGTGAGTGTCTGTGCCTCCAAAAGCCAAATCAAGCTGTTCAAACAAACAAAAGCGAGGCGGAAGAAGGCGAAGAGAAGACGAAGACGGTATTTCGGTATGGATAGAGAAGAGAACAAACAAGCACAGGCCGGGCCGGACGACTCACCAAGGAATCCGCACTTGGACGAGTTCTTCCTTCTCGGGGTTCGCGGCACCCGACGAGTTCCTCCCCCGAGTGGCACCAGCTCCGCCACCGGCTCCTCCTCATCGTTTTCGTCGCCGTCGCTCTCCTCTCCGTCAGGCCTTCCTCCTCCGTTCATCGGCACATCGCCGTCGTCGTCGTCCATCTCGAATCGCCGAACACGTGGTCCGTGTCGCGACCCTTGTAGCGCGGCATCGGACGTCCCGACGATTCGTCCGACGACGAGAGAGCGTCCTCTTCGTACGCGTCACGCTCACGTTGACGGTGACGACGCAGGTTGGCCATCATCTTCCACCGCCGGCGCCAATCGCGATCCCGCCACGTGGCTCGTCGTCGTCGGAGCAGGCCACGTGTCTAATCGGAGCAGCAGGAGTGTGCAGATGTTGAAAGGCAGCACCGCCGCCGCCGACGGCCGAGTCTGCAAAAAACGGATTCATTGTATTGTTTTGTCTGCGATGGGAGCTAAAATGGGAATTGGAGAGACAGATATTGTTATTTTTTGGGAAACGAGAGTGTTTCAGAGATCACAGCTGCTGGTGGTCGGTTCTGGTCAGCCGGTCAGCCGACAAGGACCAATAGTGTTAAAAGTGGCAACACGTCACCCATTATGTATTTTTATGTGACTACCGTACCCCTCCCAATCATATTGCATCCCAAAAAGTACAGTACTCCTTTTCTCTCTATCCATCAAGTCCAATAGTCCAAACACGTGTCCACTGGTTCCTAATTGCCAACGGGGCGCCCATCTATCCTGCCAGCCGACCCTCATCATAACCTATTCTCTCTTCACTTCTCCCCTCATCCATATGGATCCACAAAGAGAAGAAGAAGAGAGGAGAAACTGCGGGTGGTGGTGGTGAAAAGAGGGGCAATTTCGGCGGGCTGCGTGCGTGTCACAAGACCAGTCAGCCGGGGCAAGTCGTCGGCAGCAGCGGGTGGCCTGCTGGCGGTGTTGTGGTGCACCCGAAGCACAGATCGGCTGATGCAAAATGGTAGTGTTTGTATGGGTGCGTGACTAACAATAACGATGGAATATTTAAAAATCTCTCTGTCGGTCACAGAATCAACTGCGGTTATAATGTGCAGTGCACAACCAATGGGAAACGGAAGGGACGCAGAAGCCGGTGGAAGGAGCCATCTGCTTAGCGTGTCCTTTGTTCAGAGGTTCGGAGGGTCGGAGGTCATAATGGACACGTATCCATTACAATTAGAAAGTCAATTGACACGCGAATGCGTTTGAATGCAATGTCGAAAAGACCACGTATTACTGGGCGGACCTTTGAGCTCAGAGTCGGGGACCCATTATTTTGCATACATTTTTCTTTGAGTCTTTCCCCGTATCTAGTTTTCAATAGAGTGTTCTCTGATCCTGTCGCCCTTGCAAAAGGATGTATACAGTACGAACGTAGAGTCATATTGCATCAGCCAAATACAAACTCTCGCGATGGAATGTATCATACTGGCAAGTGGACGAAAATAAAAGTGTCAAAGTGACACATGCACAACAAAATTCGAATGAATAGATAACGAGACGGCGTGTCGTCAGACTTTCTGGCTCGGTTTTTGTTCTGATTCGAGTTGTGATGAGTCAAGATGCGAGTGGTGATGAGTCGGAAAGAGAGCACAGTTTCTGAACTGATCAACACACGAGTCAGATGATATCTATTCGTGCCGTCAAATGACTTTTCAAAGCGGTTTTGAGAAAAACCGAACAATAAAAACTATTCGGAAGATACGAAAATGAGAAGTAGGTCGGAGAACGAAAGAAGGAAGGAAGGTAAACTCACTGTTTAGATGGTTATGAACTTGCTTGACCTGATGCTTGTTCAGATCCAGATGGTTCAAGTTCAGATGGTGATGGCGACCGAAATGAACGGCAGGAGGTTGTGGATAACCGGCGTGAAGGATCGTCATGTTGTGTTGGATGAACGGCAGAATGGTTGACACCAAACAGAACTAATAAGTACCGATCAAAAAGACGACTCCGGACGTGAGGGAGCAAGAGTGGCGAAGGGAGAGGGGATCGTGAAGATCGGAAAGAGAATCAAGTTCTCTTATGGATCGTAAACTCTTCCACTTCTGCTTCTTCTTCTTCCAACTCACACAGACACTCGCACAGAACAACGCGCACGCTACTGTGATGGTGCCCGGGCGGAGGGGGCGAGAGACGAGGAGGCGGAGACAACGGCCGACCACGAGGGACGGGCTTCCACTCGCTTCTCTCGCCTTCTCTGCGCTTCTATCGGCTGAGTCTGGCCGTCTGCGCTCTCGCCCAAATGTTCGAGCGTTTTCTATGGCCGACCACAGGGACGGCGAGCGAAAAACGACGGACGCAGACGCCAGTGAGAGACGATCTATATATTTTCCCTCTTCCGTCAACATTTTCCTCCTCTAACTTTTCGCGAAAGTTCTTCAGGGGGAAGTGAGGGATACAAATTTCGAGAAACAAAGTTCCCATTTTCTATTTTTTGCAAAACTAGTACATTTTCGAGCTTCAAGTTTATTCAGGTTTTACGCATCTCGAGCTGTCAGAATAGTAACAAATGGATGGACCGTATTCCAGATGATTCTGGAAACCCAGTCGTCAAACGTTCTTCTGCCGAACAAACGCAAAAGGACACTTCTCGTCATGATTGCCCTCCTTCCTATCACATGTTTGTATTTACTAGTGTGTGCGTGCAAAAACGGGTATAGAGGTGACATCAGTCTGCACAGCGGTCTGCTTATTACACACTGTATATCCCCCCACCCATCATCACACCACCAATCCAATAACTATTGTGTGCGTGTACGATGGAGCGCACATGGGTGTTGACTCAGTGTGACCCGGTCGTCGGGAAACAGCGGCGACGGCGGCGAAGGACGGTGTCCTATTCAATTGAACAACAACAAAAAGAGACTGTGTTCGCGGCGATGAATGGACGAACGAACGGAAAAGCCATCTGCTGGTGGTTGAGGGGCTCGGAATGATCGAGAAGAAGGTCACAAGATCAAGGGGCCGCGTACGGAACGGCGCGTTATTCGAAACTTGAAAGGGTAATAATACACAAGGACAGCTGGATGTCTTCGGCCATATTTATGGTTTTCCTCATTCTGACGACATGGTCCGTTTGTCCTGGATGCTGGCGAGGCATTGTTTGCGGAAAGGGTGTAAATGCGCAGTACCGTAGCCGGATTTGAAAAATCCTCAGTTTCTGGAGAACAGGTATCCAAATAGTTGGGACGCGGGCGAAAGAAACCACGAGACTGGGGGAAATGTTGCACTGGGTACAATGAGCCAGGAAACATAAATTATCTCCGTTCCATGCAAAACTTCCTTTGGTACCACGAGACGGGACCACCCCCGTTCCAAGCCGTTTGGATACCTGTTCTGGAGAAGCACCCTCGCATCCGATTAGCCCAGAATACACGTAATACGAGAGCAAAAATATGGGAAACCGGAAAAAAAATGAGGACACGAGTTCCTAATTAGGATGAAAAGGGGAGCTTCCAAATCTCCGAAAGAGGCGCTAAATCGTTGAGATCCGCATAAAGAGATGGCTGATTCTGAGAGCGACACGAAAAAAGTCAAAGATAAAGAGAGAAAAAGGGAAAGAAAAGCGGACGAAGCGTTCTTTCCTGTGCTTAATCCCCTCCATCGCCACAGCTTCTTCTCGTTCTGTCCAATGTTTTCAACCGCCGGCCACAACCAAAAAACGGCCAATGGACCGACGTCGATTCGGAGGAAACGAAGCAGACAAGTAGATGGACGGACACATACGCCTCCTCAATCCCTTGATATTTATAGCCCACCTCCGCATGCTCACTTGTTGTCTTTCTATTCGTAATTGCAGACAAAAGAACGCGATTGGCACCCATTATAGTTTGCTCTTCTGGCACAGTTTGTGCAAAAATGATTGAAGGAATGGAATTAGGGTGATGCGAGGAAACGCGTGAAAAAGCAGTCATTCGAGTGGACGTGAGCTTTCCTCGAGCTTCGGCTCCCTGAGCTCAAAGTGAAAAGAGTGAGGAGCGGGAGGAGTGTGCGCAGAGAAACAAACCACTGAGCATTGGTGCCAAGGTCCGGCTCTTCTTCTTTTTCTTCAGAAGCACGCAAGAATTCCTTGTTCGCCTAGCTTCTCTCACTGCTCTTTCCTTCTAAGGGTGCTGCCCACGGAGGCCGAAGAACGACACCGACGTCGATGTAGACTAAAACGAAAAGAAGGAATAACAAGTGTGACTAACAACAACTGGAGAACGGAGGAACCGCCGGGACTAGCGTTCCAGACTGCGGAAGGACGGACCGCATGGCCACAAATTCAGAGATCGCTTGGAGTGCTTGGCAGGGTTAGCACGGGCGGATGGCCGTCGTCGCCTTCTAATTGGTATAGTGTCTGGCCAGAAAAACACGTGGTGAGGGGGCACTTGACCAGAAATGGCAATGAATTGCCAGTAGGAATTGGCTTTTCATGCTCTGTCAAATATTTTTCAATTCTTTTCCTTCCTCCAAATCCTCCGAATGCTCTGCTAATAGCGTCATTTCATAATTTCGCCCAAAAAAGAAAGCAACCGGATATAGATGGACTAGTCTTTTTTTGCCACTGACGAGATAATCACCACAAACCCCTCCTACTCCCACTCCCACGGACATGCATACACATAAGCAGTAACGACCGGAAAGTCAGCCGACCAAAACTGCTGATGACGATGAAGATGGGCGGTTTTTAGGTAGCCGCAGGTGATCAGATATCAGAGAGCGATGGTGTTTATCAGGCATGGCCGGAAAGGAACATATAATTGAGTAGGTAGTGCCAACTGGTCGAGGGACACGCAACGGTAAGCGTACGGTAGCCCAAAAAGTGTCAGAATCAAAAGTACACGAACGATGACGTCGACCGGCTGTGCGGGAGCAATTCCCACGTTAAATTCAAAACGTGACCGACTGTAGGTACAAATAGTATGTCCACAAAGGCCCACTTTGTTGTTGCGATTGTTTGCACCCACGAAAGTTTTGGAAATTGAATCGCAAGAGCCGAAGATCGGAAAATCGGAGTGGAGCGCAGAAATCGGAGAAGATGGAAAGGGAAGGAAGCGGGAGGGGGGCATCCGCCTAATCCTATTAGAGAGCCAACAACAACACCCACCTGTTTCCATCGTGAAAGTTGGAGTGGCGGACGGAAATCTGATAGAATACGAAGAAGAGGAGAAGCACCGCCGTCGCCGCCGCGTGTCTTTCGTGTTTTCAAAGTACTCGAAAAGTGGGAGTAGTGGCAGAAAATAGAACGCCCGAGTAATCCGATTAGATTATTCAAAACCAATGTGTGTCTTCTTCCACTGATACCACCGCTATGGCAAACTTTTTGGAATCACGAGTCGACTTTACGAGACAACATTTCGCACCTTCTCAACTTCAGAAATCCTCGTGGTCTATGGTAATCCGCATAGGTTATTTCTTATTTGGCTATTTATTTGGAAAGACGCTACAGTAATCCATCATCGTCCACCTGTTTTTGTGTACTTAGCCATTCCTCTCAAAACGTTTCTCATGGCCACACAGGTGTTCTGCAGTTCTACCGTATTCGTCGTACACCAAAACGCTCTCCAACTGCCCTGCTTTTTCTACAATCTCCGCTATCTTTCTGTCGCCCATAGGTGTCCTCGAAAAAAGCTTCTTGCAACTAGATCTCTTTCAAATCTACAGTAGTCCCGTTTCTATCCACCACCGGAAAGAAACTTGGTATCGTTTTGATCGTCGTCTTCGGCCTTCATACATCATCGTCGCAGCATTTGCATCGGCAGCAATCGAACTGTCAAATTGAAGCGAAACGAAGCGACAAGACGACGGCGTCTGCGGGAAAGAAGGGAAGAGAGAAGGAGAAGTAGGAGAAGAAGGCCGATTCGTATAAAGATCATAGTCTGTTCATCAATTCTTCAACGTCTTCTCAAGGCCCTTTCCAAAAAGAGAACGAAGCTGAACCGTTCCGATGTCTGCGTGTCCTCTAACTGGCATCTCTCACGCATCACATGATACTCTCTGACGGGCACAGATAGGTCAGAGTAAGAAGAAACCGCGGGTACCCATTAGACGAAGAGATAGCGAGAAAGAGGACACTTTTCTCTGTCACTCTGTGTTTCCTGTCATCTCATCGGGTGCCTCCTCAAAAGCAAGCAGAAAAAAAACGGAGAACGACAAGGAAAAATGCAAAAAAAACGAAAGGGACTAGCAGAACTGGCCAAAGGGACCATGTGACTTTTTCATCCATTTCTTCGTCTTCTTCGTTATTTTTCCGTTGTGCGGCTCCGTCCAAAAAGTCAAGAATCAAGCCAATTCGCAAATGCTCCTCTTCTCACATGACCAACAGACTCCATCGAATGAGATAAGGCCTGGCGGGGGAAGATTCCGTCAACACCCGACTTGAAAAATAGTGCATCCACATTAAAAATCCGTGCAATTATCGATAAGCGCTTATCGTCTCCTCTCCGCTCTCCGACTCACTGTGGACGCACAAATATTTGTGTTGTTGATTTGTGTGAAAACGTGGAATTGTCCAAAGTGTATTTGTGCTGAAGAATGAGAAGAAGAGGAGGCAGCGAGGACAACAACAAGCAGAAGAGTTGCTTTGCAGCTTCGTGTTTATACAAGTTGGTGCGAAATGTTGGAATAGCAATGAGTAGGTGTTATTGACTATTCCGACGCGGCTACGTCACCCCTAAGAGTTGCTCGAAAAGAGCCCATCCCGTGAGAGAGTGCGTCGTCAGCATGTCTATCAGTTGGAAATGGGGAAGCATGTCTATGTCAACGAAAACCGGTAGGGGACAAACTAGTAAGGGGTCACAAGAAGGTTGGAGAGCGATTAACAAGCACAAAACGTCATTAGAAATGTAAACTTTTTAGCACAATCGTCGAAGCTTTGCGGGGATTTTCTTCCTGTTTTGAGCTATTCAATATACGCTTCCCACGATTTGAATGTAGTTATCGCCGATCAGTGTTTGGTCACACTCCCACTCAAACAGTCGCGAAATGACCCGGATCTTTGCATCTTCCACCCACGTTCGCGTCATCACAAATCACACCCGACATGGTTATCAATACTGCTGTGGGCACGTAATAAACGGTCACTTCTCCTCCGGTGTCAACTCATTTCTGTCTAGTTGTAGTCAATCACAGATCCCAGTGGCTCCTTTGTGATGGGCAGAAAACCGAGTGCAGTGCCCTTTCGAATGCAAATGTTTACGTTTTGAGTGAGGATGAAGAAGAAGAAGACGGAAAAGTTGTTGACGGACAGTTCAACCGTCGATCAAGTATACTCACAGAGCGGTTCTCTGTTTACGGATCTAAACTGGTTGCGACAGAAAACTTTTGAGAAAAGGGGACCGGATAACCACAAAAGTCGTTTCAGGCATATCTACCGTATCCCGCACTTCCAAATGAGATCATCGACCAATGACGTGATGCGATGGCTCTCTCGGATCTTCCGCGATCACATCGGCTGATCGCTGCCAACCAACCGAACCGAGAGCAGCCAGTCAGCTGTTCAACAAACATCTCCGTTTCCTTCTCTTCCCAATCATCATAACTACTCATCCCCGTTCCTAAGAGCCCTCGGGCGCCCATCGGGGGATCAATGACTCACAGTCGTGCTGGATTCCCATCTTTCGTGGCGAGAATCCGACAACGGTGTGCTCGTCGTCGTCCGAAGACTTCTTGATGTTGGGCATAGTGATACCGCGGCTCGAGGTGTCCAGAGTGAACATGTTTTGCACAGGGATGATTGGAGTGCTCACGGGAGCAAAGTTCTTATCGCGGGTTTAATTCAAGTCTGAAATGAGGGCAGAGTTGAGGCAGATCAAATAGTTGACGGGGTTGGAGGAAGGTTCCAGTAAGGTTGCAAGCATCTACAGTATCCCCTCGGGGTTTTGCGGTGAAATGGCTCGACGCCGTCTATATTTATAGCCCCGATCGTTCCGAGAAAGTCATGATTTCGCAATCGTTTTCCATAAACATCCACCCAATTTTTATGGATCCGATCGGTCTGTGTTCTTCGGCGCCACATACATTTATTGCTCAAAACATTTCGCAACAGGCTCACTCTTTCAGTCAAAATTTTGCAGCTTTAGAAGCAGTAGAGTGGACGGAATGGAGCAGATGTCCGTCTGTCGGTCCGTCAGTGGGTTAGATGGACATGAAATGGTGCCTGGCTCCGAAAATTGGTGGAGAAGGCGTGATGGGTGGGGAGGAGAATATATTCAAGGACACCCTCACCATTCAAAGAGTCACGAGAAAAATGGACGATAAAATGGAGAAGAAGAAGAAAAAGAAGAAGAGTGCACCAAAAACAGAGAGATGGGAACAGGTGGCCCCCGACGGACGGGATGCATTTCGAAATCGTTCTTGGCACGGAGCCAAGAAAGAAGACGTGCTACCATTTCACATAACTAGGCTATATACCATGTTCCTGTTCAAGTTTAGACTAAAGATTCAAACCAATCTCATGATCACTTTTTCTGCAAAAAAGAACAAAAGACCCCCGCTTTTTTTCGACAGTATCACGAGACTTGTTCCGTTTTTCCCCCATTCAAACGAACAGCACACCAAAGAATTCCTCAATGAAATGAATGAAATGGGACAGAAATGAGAAGAGAGAGATGAAATGGGACAGAACAAAACGGATGCCGATTTCAAAACATTTTCCCATTAGTCAACTTGCAAACAGACTTTCTTGCAAGCGCTGTACGGAATGAATTTAGTGGGAGGAACCTTCGAGAAGCCCATAATCCCTCAAAGGTCACATTTAGCCGTCCTTCTGGAACCTTCTCCTAGCTCAATGAGCTCTATTGGCCAGATGGCCAGTCCCCAGAAGCTGGGGAGCCAGATGGGGACCGAGCCGGGGCGAATAGAGCATTCGGACTCACCTGACTAAGGACCTGGATCTTGCTTGCGGCAAAGGGAATGACGCAATCACCTTTCCGTCAAACACCTTCTCTTCTCTCTACGATTGTTGCTAGTCTGAAAATGAACATAAGTTTCGAATAATCACGGAGGCAATGAGAATAGAATAACTGCACGAATTTAAATACTGCCAGAAGGAGGAAGAAACAATTGACAAGTAGTGTGAAAAGAGTAAATTGTGATAACCATTGACAAAAACTTCCGAGTCAATCTCGAGCGACAGCATGATTCACAAATCTCGTCACGTAATGTACTTCAAGCCCACGTGCGTGACTTTGGGGTCACGTGGTCTGCGTAAAATATCATAGACACACACCCGCTCGGGGGGCCCGGGCGATAAAATGGCGCCATCGTCCCCGCCGGGCCCGTCTGCGTCTCCGATCCTCTCGCCACTGTCAATCGACGAGACAGTGTGCAAGACGGCGGAGAAGGCGAGAGAAACGAGAGAAGCGTCCAGAGGGCACCGATTTCTATCAATTTCGTTCCCCAGAATGATTCGATGCGGGCGACGAGAGATAAATGACAGAAAAGAAGGGAGGGATGAATAAATGAGAAATGAATGGATGAATGTGGTGGCTGGCACAAGTCAAAAATTAAGTCGAAAAACGAGGCGCCAAAAGAACTGCATGAGAGTATAGCCGAAGGCGCTCGGGCGGCCGAGGTCGTACGTGCATGATAGTACCAATGACGGCGAAGAAACTTCGCGATGGCGCAGACGATCGGAGGCGACCGATTAGGTGTGTGAATGATTAGTACGAGTACTCTGATCTATATATCGGCTGAACAGCTTCTTAAGAATTCTTCTTCCCACTATGATATAGTTTTTCGAAAGGTCGACTGCTAGACTAATAAATTCCTCCGCTGCCCATATAATTAACATTTGCATTGCCATTTCGACACGATCAAAGCGCTGATTGGTTTTGACAGTCTCCGACGACGTTGTGATCTTTGACCAAAACGGAATTAGACTGCGAGTCTCGGCGGCTCTTTTTCTGTCGACAAATGGGTAAACAGTAACTATAGGTCGGGCCGAAAAGGGCACGAACTGTTCACGCCCGGCCCAGAGGCTGCTATGGATGTTTGACCGACTCGATGTTCGGGGCGATAAAATTGTGATATGCATAAACGGAGCGGAGATGAGGCAGGAAGGAGAATAAACAACATTAAAAAACCGTCGTTTTGTCTCTCCTAACATACACATCACTCTCGCCCACAAAAAACCAAATGGCCGTCGACGAGATCGAGACGGGCGGACAGTTTGCTCGGACGACGAAAGGAGCGAGAAAGTGTGCGGCGAGACGGCGAGTCGGGACGAAAAGAGTACTCGGAGCGATAAGAAAACGAGAAGCCTCCACCGGTTACGGTAGGAGACGAAAAGGCAAAACTCTTTTCCGCTGATGGTGCCCGATTGATGATTGATCAGCGAAATAATGGAATCGGAACCGGCGAAAAAATTGAGAGCATCATCAAACTGCGAAACTGGCCAAACAGTACGATAACTGACGGGGGACGAAAACTGTTTTCAGACCATCATTATCTGGAAATTTCAAACTTTTCAATAATCTGATAATAGCTGCCTACTTTTAGTCTTTGATCGGAAATTTTTCGCGTCAGCATCAAGGCTGATAAAAGTCAGACGGAGAGTTCGAAACACAAACATCGACTAGACATTCTATCTTTCGCTGCAAACGTGTCAATCTATCCCTCCTTTACTTTTCAGTGAGACGAGAAGAAAACGAAAAAGACAGATCATTGAAGGTCGTCGCCGAGGTGCACTTTTAAATGAAACGTTTGAGAGGGCCCGGGCGGCGCCACATGATTCGCGTTCTCGAAAATGAGAAACGTGTCGTGTGATTTCTGGAGAGAGTTGACAAACACACAAACGCGAGGGAACAATAATTATGAGTGTTCACACAGTACAAAGGCTAAAAGTGTACGGTAGCTACATTGTAGTACAGTTTGGCATTTGCAGCATTGTATCTAAAAAGGGCAATGAGAGCAAACTAAAGCAGCCGAAGCGAACAGCTCTGCAAACGGAAACTTTCGCAACTAAAGTGCCGGAGAGCTCATCGCGATGAACTTCTTAGCATCATCCTTCCAAAGTGGGCGGAGCTTCGGGCTTCCTCGTGCCGCGTCTCTAAATCTCTCTCCGGCTCCGGCTCAAGCGGTGGCGGTGGCGAATGGCAGACTAGTGCTAACAACTGCTTCCAACTACTCACGGATCCGGATCACATGTCCCTCCCGTGACTCTTCTGAATGATCTGGCAAGATCTCAGATAAGAGATACTCACGAGATGACTACTTTTTAATGGCGATCGGAGAGAGAGAGAAAGAGTAAAATGAGGCGAAAAAAGTGCAGACCGATTTATCAGGCGAGCGCTTTTTAGTGGTTTTGAACCTCTCTCGAAGCGTTGTGTAAACTCCCCCTCTCCCTTTTTTCCGCGATTTTTCTGTTAGCTTTAGAAGGATCTTTGGCAGTCTGCCAGACTGTGAAAGCAAATATAGACTTGAGACTAAAAAAGTCATCAACCCTTTTTGCATCAGCTCCGTGAGCTTAGTTATGCACAAATGTGACAAGCGCGTGACAATGGCATCGGAGAGTGTTTGAATCGAGGAGAGCGGAGGGAACGAGTCATTGGGGCCGCCTCCGACGTCGGAGGACGCGCGGTGCCAAAAGAATAGTCACGGGTCACCACCGCTGGCCGTCGGAGACAAATTGAGGGATCGCGCGCCGCTTTTTTTAAATTGCCGCCGACGGAAAGTGATCCATGTGACTGGGCAGGTGCCCTTGGATTCTTGGATTGAATGCGACGGGACTGGCCATCACAAAACCCTTTTCGAATTCTTGAAAACTAACATTTCTCGCTCATCTCGAAATGTATACACTAACGTCGCATTGTTTTACTCATCTATTCGGTGCCACAGACAGATGGAAAACGGAATGGGGTCACAAGACTCGGAGAGGAAAAGGGAAGGAAGACACATGCACATGATCTCTGCCGCTCTGCGACGATACTTCTGTAGTTCCCTTTTGTGAACGAAAAAAGGGAATAACATGGAGGAGTGGTAAACAAAACAGAGATTCGAATCGTGGGAGGGATGCGATTGCTCAACTTTTCAAAGAATTGTTGAACTCAAAAGAAGAACTGAAAAACGGAAATGCAAATTAGTGCCATAATTCGATTTGGTTTCTATTCTGAAGTTTTACTAACGAAAAAAACTACACTTTTTCTTTCAAAAATTATCTTGGAAAGTCGACGAAATTTGCTGTTTTTCTCCGTTCGAACGGAACGATCAGCAATTCGTTCTAATTTTCTCAGCAACTTCGGGAGACGCGATCAAGACGGCTTTGTTCGTTTCTGTTCGAGGAGTTCGCAGAAAAACAGAGGCCAGATGTTTGGAAAAACACACAAATTTTCAAACGAAAACAGTTTTGGCGCCGCAGGTATCTGAACGGCTTGGGACCAGGGTGACCCCGTCTCGTGGTTCCCTTCGCCCGCGTCCCGACTGTTTGGATACCTGTTGGCGCCGAAAAACAGATCTCTGAACGACGGCCAACGAGACGACGTCTCGAAGAACCGCTGTGGACGCAGATCCGGAAATGAGATTTAAATGAGCGCATTTACATTACTTGTAGATTAAAATCTAACATTGTTTTGACAACATGCCAAATTTAGCAGGCGCATGTGACGAAAACGACTGAAAACTACGTTTCTAATTCAATTCACCCTGCATTTTTAAACAAGAAATGATTTGTTTCGACTTTCAACTTTCAAAAAAGTTCAAAAAGTTCGAAAAGACGGTGATAACGATGATAAAATGCATAGTACTCCGTGCCGATTTCTTTGTTGAAAACCCCATGACTGTGTACAAAACGCGTGCATTTTTCGGCGGCGCGAGCGAAAGCACGCAGAGAAATGAAGTGATAAAGAAAAGAGAACTTGCTCCAAAAGATCAAACATTCCGAAGAGCTAAAATGAGCTTTGTCCAGTCTGCAGATGCTTTTCATTACATTTCTAGCAGAAAACAAACGTAATCTTCTTTTCGAACCCCGAAATTTTCGGTGTACTCCTACGTTTCGAGCTTTCTTATCGGTTAATGTACCAAAAGACAGGTCATGCGCCTACTCGCAAATATTTTGTTAGAATCGGACGACACTCATTTACCCGTTTTCAGAATGTGATTACAGAAATCATGATTTTATATGCGTGAAATCAGGCATTAATTACAGAAAACATTGGATCTGGGTAGGGATGTGGGAAATAGAACTGTTCGAGAGGGGGCAGAAGACGACGTGTGAATCAGGATGATGACGATCTACAAGGGTTTTCTTTGAGAGGATCATCCACCGCCAAGATTCTAAAGCAACAACGCCTTACAATTACAATAAATAGTGATAAATACGAGAGGTTTGAGGGGTAAAGGGAGGGTAATTGGCATGAGAAGAGGGTAAACTGATGAGAGATTATCAGAGGAAAAGTGGGTAGGGAAGAGAGGGGGTGATAAAAACAAATTTTATACAAACAATCCGTAGATGGCTGAATGGCTTCTGATGGATTAGTTGTAGAGGTCATCGTCGTCCTGAGCTGGGACTGGAGCAGATGGAGCGTCGCTTCCTCGCTGCTCTCCCGGGAACTTGAAATTGTTACCGAATCCACGCGATTGCTGAAGAGTCTGGGCGAACATCTCGTATCTGAAAATAACAAATTAAAAAGTGATGTTCGGTTGAAAGTGAGCTCACTTTCTAATGTCATTGTCCGTCACCGAACGTCTGGCAAACTTCATAGCCTCTTCGAAGTGGGCACGAGTTATCTCTGGCACTGGGTCCGACGATTCGTCTTCCATGAGCTCCTCTCCACGAGCTCTGCGGTCCTGACGGTCCTTCTCGATACGAATCTCCTTTTCGATGGATTCACGAATAGCCAACTTGCAAGCACTGAAAATGTAATCGTTAATCAACAGAACTTCGCAACTTCAGCGCCTTCGCGTGGCGTTAGTAGTTTCAAATGTGAAAACTGAAACGACTTTACTATCTTGCGCAAATATGACACTCGTGTGGCCATTAACACTTTGCTCCTCTTCAACTAAATTACAGAACGTTATCGAGCAGAAGAAAAGAAAATGTAGACCTCACAAGTTCTTAAGTTGCGCTGTGAAAACCTCAAAGCGCTCGCAACTCTATTTCACCTACCGTTGGCAAATCTCGGTCAAATCGGCTCCGGAGAATCCGACGGTGTTCTTGGCCAAGAAAGTCAAATCCAAGTCCTTGGCGAGTGGAGTTTTGCGGAGCGACGCCTTCAAGATCTGGTGACGGGAAGCCTCGTCCGGCAGAGGAATGTAGATGAGCTGATCGAGACGTCCTGGACGCAGAACAGCTGGATCGATGATATCCGGTCTGTTGGTGGCTCCAATGATGAAGACGTTTTTCTTCGCATTCATTCCGTCCATTTCAGTGAGAACTTGGTTGATGACACGGTCGGAGGCACCTCCAGCATCACCGCCCGATCCACCTCTCGACTTGGCGATGGAATCCAACTCGTCGAAGAAGAGAACACAGGGAGCAGCGGCACGAGCCTTGTCGAACACATCACGGACATTGGCTTCCGACTCTCCGAACCACATGGTCAACAATTCCGGTCCCTTGATCGAGATGAAGTTAGCCTGGCATTCATTTGCGATAGCTTTAGCCAAAAGCGTCTTTCCGCATCCAGGTGGTCCGTAGAAGAGAACTCCACGCGACGGCTGCATTCCGAACTTCAAATACTTTTCTGGGTGCTCCACTGGATACTGGACAAGTTCCTGAAGCTCGCGCTTGACGTTTTGAAGTCCTCCGATGTCGGCCCAGGTAGTGTTCGGGGTCTCAACGACAGCTTCGCGGAGAGCCGATGGCGATGACTTTCCTTGAGCGAAACGGAAGTTTTCCATGGTGACGGCAAGAGAGTTGAGGACTTCAGCGTCGATCTGGTCGTCCTCGAGATCGATGAGCTCCATCTTCTCGCGAATTTGCTGAAGTGCAGCCTCTGAGCACAGTGAAGCCAAGTCAGCTCCGACGAATCCGTGGCATTCGTTAGCGATCTGCTCGAGATCGACATCGTCAGCCAGCTTCATGTTCTTGGTGTGAATGCGGAGAATCTCGAGACGTCCAACGGCATCCGGAATTCCAATGTCGATCTCACGATCGAATCTTCCGAAGCGACGAAGAGCGCCGTCGATCGAGTTCGGGCGGTTGGTTGCAGCAATGACGACGAGATTGGAACGTCCCTGAAAAACAAGTTTAAAAAAAAAACTCTTGAAATTGTAAAGTACCTTCACTCCGTCCATCAATGTGAGCAGCTGCGAAACAATTCTGCGTTCAACCTCTCCATTGGTCTTCTCACGCTTCGGCGCGATGGCGTCAATTTCATCAATGAAGAGAATGGCTGGCTGGTTCTTCTCACACTCCTCGAATGCCTTGCGAAGGTTTGACTCGGATTCTCCGGACATTTTGGACATGACTTCTGGTCCATTGATCAAGAAGAAGAATGATCCGGTTTCATTAGCAACAGCACGAGCGATGAGGGTCTTTCCGGTTCCTGGTGGTCCGAAGAGAAGAATTCCTCGTGGCGGCTTGATTCCGATAGCCTTGAAAAGCTGCGGGTGACGGAGTGGCAGCTCAACCATTTCTTTGATCTGGGCGAGCTGTTTGCGAACTCCTCCCAAGTCGTCGTAACCGATATCATTCATGCTCTCTTCTTCCTCTTCTCTCTTGATTGGGTCTCCTTCGTAGTGAATCATCGTGTCCGGAGAAACGATGCAAGCTGGCGACGGCTCAGTTTCGACCACCTTGAATTCGACAGTGCGCATGGCAGCTTGCACGGTGAATATGTCACCCTTGTGCAATGGACGATAAGCCTCCAAGAAGTATGGCTTCAGGAACACGTCGAACAAGTTTCCGGTGAGTCCTTCGATAGTGTCATCGATCGGAAGAACATGAATTCGGGATCCGTAGCTGAGATTCGGAGCTGGGGTGATGCTCACAACATCTCCGAGGCGGATGCGGAGGTTGTTGCGAACGACACGGTTCATGCGAACCTTCTCGTTCGGGCAAGCTTCGTCAGAGACGATGATGGCCACAGACTCCTTCCGCTTCTTTCCCTGTAACAGAAATAATTAGATTGAACGTTTTGTTCAATTGTGCAGCAATCATCAGTCTACTCAAGATCTGGGCCTTAGCGTGGCGTTAGAATTTCGAAATCCAGTTATGATGACGTGTTACAGAATTATCTTGCACAACTATGACACTCGCAAAACCATTCGCAAGTTTGAGAAATTCTAGGCTAAACAGAACGTTTATCCTCAAAGAGCTCAATTTGCGGACATTACAAGTTCTTAAATTGTGCAGAAAAAACAAAGGATCACCAGAGAACAATACTCACCTTGAGGATGACGGCGTCTCCTCGGAAGAGTCCGAGTTCGTCCATCTTCGCCTGCGAGACAGACACGACCGAGTTGTCGTCTTGTTCCGATTGATCAACGATGAGACGGTTCGGCTTTGCCTTATCCTTCAGGATGGCCGTGGACAGCTCATCATTCTTCTTCTCTTTTTCGCTTTGGTGGGTTGGGACAGAAGCCATTATGTACACTGCTCAACCTGAAAACAGAAATTTTAAGTATGAGCAAGATGAATTTGAGCTGAAACCGAGATTCAAGCACGACGAACGGAAAAATCCCGAAATAACGGAATTCCACGACTGTAAGAATGGAAACCATTAAATCTAGAGCAAAGCTAGGGCAAATCTAGAACTTTCGCGGCGTCAGGGTCAAAAATTTTACGAAAAAATAGAAATTTCCAGAAAAATCAACAGAAAACTGTCGAGAAGCAAAATGCGAGCGAGCAGAATTCGAATTTTTGTCATCATCCACGCATTTGAGAGCGTGTTCTTGCGGAGTGTATGCGGAGTGTATGATGATTTGGCGTTCGAGCGCATTTGCATTGCACAATAAGAGCGCGAACTTAAAATTAAGAACTGCATTTTGGCTCCATTTTCGAAAAGAAAAGCTTTGAAAGCGAGTTTTCGCGATTTCTTCTAATGTAACTTAAAAATAATATTTTCCGTTATTTTGTGGTAAGCAAAAATCGATAAAACGGTCAGCAGAACAGTGCGAGAAAAACTGAGACGACTACTCAAGCGACGGATTGAATGAAGAATGGTCTGAGTGAGGCCTCCCTCATGATCATGAAGGAGGGAGACCCTTTTTATAGCGGGAGCGCGCGCGCGCGTTCTTGATTCTGGGAAACATTGATTTACAAGAGCGAATACTGACTAAACACGGAAATTTCATTGAAAAACTGATAAATAATAAATAGTCGTTCGAAAAGTTTAGCACTTTGTTCCAGAAGGTCTTCTCTTGATTCCCAGAGCACGGTTGGCTTCGTCGATTCTGAGATTCTGGAGGGAACGACGCTTTCGTCCTCCGCCTCCGCATCCGCAGCATCCACAGCCACATCCTGAAATAAGATCAATTGAAGAGGAGAATCGGGGATGAGGAAAAAGGTACCGCATCCACAGCAGCACGGACGGCAGCAAGTGCAGCATCTCGTGCAACAGCAAGTTCGGCAGCACGTGCAGCGGCAGCAGCATCTGAAACGACGGATCGCGTTCGAACTGGAAAAGGAACTAACCGTGGTCTACAGCAGCAGCATCCGCATCCTCCGCCTCCGCCCCCGCATCCACAGCATCCGCATCCACAGCATCCGCACCCTCCGCTTCTCTTCACTCGAGAAGATCCGAGAGTGTCCACAGAAGTCTCTTCAGAAGAAGCATGCGGAACTGTGGCCAGTTCGGTCGAAGAGATCGGAAGAACTGCCGAGTGAACCTGAAGAGCACTGCGATCAAGAACTGGGCGATTGGTTCGACTGTGATACCTGGGAAATGGTAACCAGTGCGACGAGAGCGAAAAGCGAGCAAAGAACGATTTTGGTCATTGCTGTTCCAGTGATATCCTTTCCGCCCGCCGCTCGTTCCTTTTATATCGCACGTGTTTGTCGTCTCGCGCACTGATTTGACACTTTGCCGGAAACCATTTTTTGTTGCCCGGCCGCGCGTCATCTTTTTCTGGTTGCAAATCGGTTGCAAAAAAGAGATCATTCGTAAGCAACATTTATTTAGCAATACTTTTCGAAAAAATAAATATAATTGAGAAGAAAAGCGAATCCGAAGAAGAGCCAAAGGATGTAACTGACAACGACCCATGCGACGGAGGGAAGTTGGAGCAAAGGATTCTTGTAGCAGAAACGACTTCGTCCCGACTCCTCATTCACACAAACGTTCGAATCGAATTTTGAGCAGTCTCTGAACGGAAAAATGACTTTCTCCTTGTCGTTATATGCTTTTGAACCTGTTATAATTGCACTCTTTTGATGATTTGATGACACTCGAGTCATCGATTTTTCCGATGGAAACTAGCTGACCGAATTGACTGCAGTAGGACCACGAGAAGGTTTTCGGCAGCATCAAGTTCGGATTGCACGGAATGGCTGAGCGATCCGCTGCTGAAAAGCTGTGCTAGGCCCTGTCTTGGGAATAATGACCGATTTTTCACTCGGAAAATCGTCTCTTTTATTGAAAATAGGAAAAAGTCACGGTTTTGAAAATGTTTCGTCCGAGATTTCAAGTAGGGCCCAAACTGACCATTGCAACCGGCATGGAGGAAAAAGAGAGAAAGCGCCAATACCAATATCCGATTCATAGTTTGAAATGAATTCCACGTCAGTTTTTGTATTTTACTCTTTTGTTCGTGATCGGACATTCCGAAGCTCGAATTTACACTTTCCCGGCAAACCTGTGTAACTTTTGCACAACGCTCACACAATTTTCGGTTAGCAAGTTGCAGAGGTTTGCCGAATTTCGAGTTCCAAGTACACTTGTTTCCGTCTCTCTGCCGAACAAAGAACATTCGCGAAGCGCGGAATAAATTCGAGCCGGAGCTGTCCATCAATTTCTGCCAGTTTCCTGCACATTCTCACGCTTCTCCTCTTCTTTCTCGCATTGCATTCCGAACCCGGTTTCGAGAGAATCCATTCGCTCGTCAAAGAATCATCACAAAAACAAGCTCGCACACACACACACGTCCGTCCCCAAATGCGACTTGTTTAGTTCTCGGCGTCACTGACGAGCGGACTCCGTTATTTGCCGGCCCATTTGTCAAAAGACGTCCGGCGCCAGTTTTTTGCTAAATTCTGCTCATAGCTGCTGCTGACCCCCGAGTTTACAGTAGCTTCCATTTTCTGCCGGGAGCCGTCTGGCGCTGGTTTCTGGTCATTTATATGCAAAGTGAATGGGATGAGTCCCTTGCCTCCCAAACTCTCTCTCTCTCTCGGCGCCCCATCAAACTTGTTTGGCAGCACATGGGAATACTCGCAACCGACCCATTTCTTTCTTGTTTTCAATTTCAAGTGTAAAGTGATACAGTTCGATGGAGCGCACTTGCATCCTCATCTTTTTGTTCCCGCGAGAGAGAGAGAGAGAGAGAGAGAGAGAGAGAGAGCAATCCCGAAATCAGCGGCGGTGTCCGAGTTTCGTGGGCCCCGGGCAGCCAGTCAACAAGTCAATCTTCCCGCGGCTCCTTTCTTTCTCTTCTTCTTCTTCTTCTTCTTCTGCTCCCCTCCTAAAGTTTGCCGCTTCTTCTTCCTCTTCAGTGTCTCTGTTTGACTGACACAAAGAGTAAACCCTTCTCACATTCTATTTCATTTGTAACTTAAAGGTTTAGGTTTCAAGCTCTTCTTATTCGGCTTCTTGACTACTGTAAAAACCGTTTATTCAAGAGATATATCTCAGCTGCTGGGAGAGATACCAAAACGTTGTCAACTAACAAAATGCACACAATCTTTCAATGAGCAAATTGTTAGTTGACAACTTTTTGATATCTCCACCGGCAGCTGAGATACATCGTTTCAAATGTACGGTCTATGAATACGAGAAAAGCGGACGGAAAGATACTGGTTGTGTCTGTGTGTTTTCCTCAAAAAAAAAAAACGGAGGGCGACCCGAATCTCATTTCCCAGCTCTCTCGCTCTTTTTTCCCTTTTCTGCGAATAGAACGACTCCAAATCGACTCTTCTCATCGCTTTTCCGCCCCTTCAGCAGCAGCAGCATCAGTACACTTCAAACCGACCGAATTCTCATTCCCTTTTAGATTGGAAAGAAGAAATCTCTTCCGCCCTCTTTCTCTTCTTCTTCCCTTTCCGGGCCAGTCTCTTTTTGTGCTCAAACTACTGCAGTAGTCAAAAAGTGACAAGTTCATCCGTTGTCTCTTGTCGCTCCGAAACTCTTTCAAACGGACCCGAAACGACCTAATCCACCTTTTCATTTTGCGCTTTTCTCCAGTTTCCTAATGAAATCTGAATGTTTGTTTTGGCGCCTAGAGAATCTGATGCACTCCTTGAAGATCATGAAGAAGTTGCGAGCTTCGGATGAATCCAGGGCTGGGCAATGGCCCATGATATCTCGGGACCAGAACATCCTATTGGTCTCAAACTAGGATCCAATACACTTGAATCCTAGTCCAAGAATCCTGTAAAGTTTCGGTCCGATTGGATTCTTGCAAGTGGCCCAAAAGACCAAGCCCCGACAGACCCTCAAAAAGCTCTTTCTCATTGCCTGGTCACGAGTCGTTTTGTTTTGCCGCACACATACAAACATAAATCATAAGGCAAGGTGTCAAATGAATTGGATATCCGTCTTGTTGGCAGACTTACTGAGAATCCTAGGCCAGCTACCGTAACCTTTTCCTTGTTGCCAAAACACATTCTGGTTATTTTGACACCCCCGGGTCGGAACGGCGGTGCCCTCTATTTCGCTTCTTCTCGCGAATCCGCCCCGGCCGACAAACAACACGAACAACAATAATAAAAATGAGAGGAGAAGGAGCGGGCGGCCAGAAGAAGGGGCGCATCTGCCGACTTCTTGTGTCGGGCGGAAAGTGACGAGAAGCGAGAAGGAGAAGAAGGAGAAGGCGACGGAAAATGGCCTCTGGCGATTTTTTATTTATACACTTTTTTGCCGATCGACTTCTTTTCCAGTTTCTGTAGCTCATTCCGTGTGCCATCCGATTTCCCATTAATCATGATATCAAGTGTTGCGATAACATTGCCGAGCGCTCAGGGACCACCAGGTTTACACTGGAGATCCCGTCGAGTTGGCAACAAAAGCAGCTGTTCGTCCGGGGGCTCCGCGAGCTGCCATCCGTCACAACCCCAACCTTTTTGCCGTATCGATTTCCTCTTTTGGACGGAGGAAATGGGTAATTTGAGTGAGAACATTTCCCCTCTCAATCTGACATAAACTATCATAATTGCCTTTGCATTCTTCTTCTTCTTCTTCTACTTCTTCTTCTCTTACTTTTCTTCTTCTCCTTTCCCCTTTCATTTTCAGAGAGTTCCGGGAGGATGACACTATGCGGATGGCCGACCGAATGCACCGAACTCAGTTGCTGCGAGTCCTACATCTTTAGGCTCTACCTCTTGATATTCACGTGAGAATTCTCGGAACCTTTTTAGGAATTTCAATTTCAATTCAAATTTCAGTTTTGCAATCGTGATAGTTGCGGTGATCGTGGCGGCGCTGTGGATGCTCTTCGAGTTCCGACCCAACTACAGGTACCCGATTACTTGATTTACCTTCCAGAAGTTTGTTCCAGAAACCGTCTCCGCCGTCAGGACACTGAGGAGCAGCAGCGAATCGATCAGCGATCATTCGAGGAGACAAAGTACTTGCGCAGATACTCAGAGCTCAAGTAAGTTACTGTCGGGCAAAAGGATTACGGTAAGCTTCTACAGTACTGAACAGACCATGACCTTACTTGTCTCTGAATTGTAGCGAGTTAGAAGGAGCATCCCAATGGTAGGCCCGTTCCTTTCCAGGTTTGTCCCCTCAACTGTCATGTCCCTTAGCCGCACTCATTCTCTGCATAATCATGTCAACTTCTACCGTAATCTTTCCTTTCTCTCTTTCCGGTTCCTCGTCGCTTTCCTTGTGGTCGTGGTCCTTCAGAGTTTAGACCCTAGCCGCCCTGTTTTAATATCAAACTTTTCAGCCCTCTTCAAGCCAGACGCCATTCAATCGACAACTGATCCTTCAGCTACAATAGTCCTTCCCTTCACACAATAATTAGAGCTTTTATCTCTGAGTCTCCCTTCCCCACTCTCTCTCTCTCTCTCTCTCTCTCCCTCTTTATCCCCGTTTGTATGTATACGCGTACAGCTTTTTTCTGAATTTTAAACTCAAATTGTCTAGAGATATAAATGTCTGAACAGAAATATGAATGCGAAGAAAAATGAGAAATTCCGTTTGTTTTTGTTCGAAAACTTTAACTTTAAGGAAATTCAATGGAGCGGAGCTGCAATCTGGCCATTTCTGGCTTTACCCCGACAGTATCACGTTGTCAAGTTGCTCCAACTCTCTGAGCATTTCAGAGAACTGGACGAACAGAAAATCATGAAGCGGGTTGTCGTAGAGATGATCGAAATGGAGCTGAGATCGGAGAGTGAGCTGAAGAAGGCACGGATTATTGTGGTTTTAAATAAGTTTTTGTTTGTTCTTTTCTTCTCTTCGGCACTTGAGGATATGGAATCAAGAGTCGGAAGTTTTTCTGAAAGTTCACTGATTGATTTCTTCGTCACAACAACCCCGACAAGCAAATAAACACAATAATAACAGTGCTGCACTCTTTTATCGCCTTTTTTTGCAGTGCTCTTTGAAACAGTGCGGCGGAAACGGAGAGGAACAAAAACTGCGAAAATAATCGGGTTTATGGGCACGGGGATGACGAACTCTGTCGCTGTTCTTCACTATTTCATCTGTTCTCTCTTTGTGTGCCAAAGTTCTAATCAAAAAAGTGTAGGCCAAGCACATTCTCATTCTCTGCTCATTTCCGAGTATCTCACCTACGTTTCTCCATAATCCACTTCTTTTTTTTCCCTTATGACTGCTCGCGCCGAAAATAAATTAACATTTCCGGCAAAAAAGTAGTTTGTGTATATACCTTGTTTCCAGTTTGTTTGGGAACACGATTTGCGGTTATGTACTCTTAGGATCTCCCTGTTTTTTGCTGTCAGTTGATGTTCACTAAACACTTTTGCTGCCGCATTTGTCTTTAGAATTCTTTAAATTAAAAAAAAAAGTAACACTTGACACCAAAAAAATCCGTAAAGCAAACATAAACCTTTCGGTGTGATAACCCCGTCTAATAAGTGTCAACTTTGGCACTTTCCAAGCGGTTCAATCCGCTTTTTTCCTCTGTGTTTGACTAGTTCTCCACTTCTTTTCATTCATTTCCAGATTTTCATTCAAAATGGGTACATCTTTAACTTTTCTCTCCTTGGTTTTGGCTCAAATATTATCCATTTGCTCGGCAGATGTTACGAATGGAACCATGAAATTGGTGCTCGTTCAGGCTGTAAGTGAATTTTAAAGCACTCAAAATAGTGCTGAAATGTTCAGATTTGGAGGCATGGGGACCGTACTCCTACTGAAACGTATCATAACGACAAGTTCACGGGTGACTACTGGATCTTCGGAGGCGGCGGATGGGGCCAGCTCACTCCGGTTGGGGCAGTCCGTGTTGCCACGTCACAATCAATTGATTTCAGATCGGAATGAGACAGCACATGGAACTGGGAAAGAAGATTCGAAATCGGTACATCAAGGGACTTCCCTACGAGTTTCTGAGCAAACGCTACAGTCAGCAGGAGGTTTTCGTGAGGTCGACCGACAAAAACCGAACTTTGCTTTCCGCCTTCTCGAACATGGTTGGAATGTACGGAGCCACCGACGGAGAGAACTACAATAAGGCTGGTGAGTGAATAACAGGGCGTCGTTCCTTCGAAATCCAGTTAGAAATCGGAACACGGAACACGGTTAGTAAAACAACAACAAAAACAATAAAAAACCTAGTAGAAATTTTGATGAGCAGATCAGTTGTGGACCGGGGGAGGAAGCGAGAAGTCGATGTGAACACTGAAAAAAGAAGCATTTAAATAGTACTTGATTTTCGAGTAATTCTCACTTTTGACGATATAGTCCACGTTGCTTCAGCTCCGCAGCGACCTGATTTGGAATCTTGTCCGTAGTTTCTTTGTAAGTTTTGCGAAAACGATCCCTGAAAGCATTATTGTGCCAGCAATTTTCAAAAAAAAAAATCGCTCACATGAAATTTCTGAAAGCGTTTTTGGTCGGTCGAATGATTCTGCATTGCTCATCTGCGCTGTTACGACGCATACCGAATCCAGCGATGATGTAATCTGAAATTCGCATTAATTGCAACGAATTTCCTGCCTCCCATTCCTGCTCACCGGCGATATTCATATAAAATTGGCTGCCGATAGGAATGTATGCGCCAGAAGATCTTGAAGAAGCGCAGTAAGCGCAGAAGAACGGATCGTAGCGCGAAACCTGAAGGCAATTTTTCGATCAATAGAATTTATTGAATACCTTGGCCAAAATGGTTCGAACAATCGTTTTTACTTCTTTTTCAAACTCCGTGGGCTTCCAGTACGTAGCTCTGGTGAACGCATCGGAGCAGAAGAAGGTGTAGCCGCTCGGCAGCGCAATGAGCTTATCAGCGGATTTCGCATCGGCAATGTTGAACTGCTTGCTCGAATTCGACTCTTCCAGCTTTCTCAAGCGTGCCTCTCTCTCTCTGCGCATAAGTTCGTTGCTCTGAAAAGAGTTTAAACGACGAAATTGAGTGCGGTTTACCCTTTCCATCAGCATAGCAGATGTGCTGGCAAGTAACTCTATCGCCGGATCCTGGGCCTCCTGCGCGATTTTTAACATGGCGGAGTTGTCAGCTTCGTAGTCGATGTTATGCAGTTTTTTCAGATTCTCCTGTAAATGAATAACGAGCAAATATGTTGAACTCATAAGAGACTTGAATACCTCACAAACCGATCTTGGGAGCAGAGCGCCCGTCTCTCTGTCGAAGCAGTTTGCGCGGATGAATGCCGCCGGATCCACTCTGTAGATGCCGTCGGGACCGCGCGTAATTCCGTCGTTTGCACCGATGTCCCCGATTTCATCACCATCTTCATCATCTTCATCTTCTCTTTCGTCTTCTCTCTCGTCGTCGTCTTCTTCTTCTTCGTCTCTTTGCTCGTCTTCCAAATCGGTAATTGGCTCGAAGAATCTTTCGGGTTCGTTCGCGCCCTCGGATTCTGCGAATAATTTTTGTAATTTTTCGAAAATTGTTTATTACCACTCGCAGTCCGTGGGCCTTTTTTGCCAAAGTGTTTGTGGAGGCATCTCGGCATGATTTTCAGATGAAATCTCAATAAAAAATTGAGAAAACTTGGAGAAGCGTGATGCTATTGGGAAAAAAACAAACAAAAACAAAAAAGTGTTCTGTGAAAGCTCGGCCGCCGGAACTCTTCCATCCATATTCGACCCACGCGCGACCCACGCGCGTGCTCATGCGTCTGCCCGCTAGGGATGGAAAACAGGCGATTTTAGGCGCCTGCGCCTGTTTTTTCATTCTGCAGACGCCTCACGGCGACCAAAAGTGTAGAAATGGGCGTGGCCTAATCTGAGCGCCTGCGAAAACAAGCGTTTTTGCGTTGAAAAAAAGGTGCCTGTTCTTCATCCCTACTGCCCGCACAAACTGATTCGAATAATCCAAAAACATTACGAAACACACCGATAACCGTGTATTTCCCTGAACATTTGCAGACGTCGACTACCCGGCGGTGAATGGCTGGCCGACTGGATTCGTTCCGATTCCGATCCATACAATTGAAGATGCCGGGGATCATGTAGGCTCATCGCTCCCTTTCAAAATTACATTACGACTTTCAGCTTCTGGACGTGGACAACTACTGTCCGCTTCAAGATACCGTCTGGGAATTGGCCAAGACAACTGACCTCGTGAAAAACTATTTCAATAGTTCCAACGTGACAGCTCTGATGGCCAATCTGACCAATTATTGTGGAGAGGACATCAATCCAGAGAACTTGTGGGTTCTTTTCAATGCGCTCAAAATTGAGGTGAGTTCCCTCAGTGCTCCATCGATAGATCGCAATTGAGAGTTTCAGCAACAATATTATCCAGATCAGTTCAAGACGTTCACTCCTTGGTACTCGGACTCCCTCTTCGAGCAGATTGATATAGTGAATTCACAAGTTCAAGATTTTCAGAATGGATTGGGGTTGGAAGGTAGGTGCACGGTAGCCTCAAAGTCCGCAATTTATCGTAACAGGAGTCGTAGTAAATGGAATTGACATCGGCCGAACTCTGCGGAAGATTCGTGGCGGGACCCTTGTCAACGATCTGTACAATCACATGAACCGGAAGACGGAATGCCAGTCATCGGTGGGAACTGAGTGCACTTACTCGAACAATCTCAAGTTCTTCGCCTACTCAGCGGTAATCCAAATGTTATCCATCATCCATAGACCACATTTACCTTCTTCCAGCACGATACCACCCTCTACGCCCTCTTTTCTTTGCTCGGAGTTGCTCATTTGGCGGTGCAACCCCGTGGATACCCCCTGTACTCGGCGTGCGCTCTTCTGGAACAATGGCAGGATGTGCAGACGAATCAGACGTACTTCAAATTGATTTATCATCGGAATGAAAACGATACGCTAGACAATGTCATCACTTCAGGTACCGTAATCTTTTAAAGTTCTGCAGATAGTAAAGGACTTTCAGGAATCCCGGGATGTGCTGGAAATGATTACTGCCCGATATCAGTGCTTAGAAACTATTCAGAAGTGTTCCGGCCTGATATGGAAATGAAAAATGTAAGCTTTAAAAGCTTGACATCTCATTTTCCCGGTTTAATTTCAGTGGTGCAACTTTGACATCCTCAAGAGCTCCGCCACGTCATCTCCCTTCGCTGCTCTTCTCATCTTCGCTCTCTTTTACCTTTTTATCAGACCTCAATAATAACTAACCTCTCCTAATGTATATATGTCGTAGTTTTACTTTATATGTTTTCTACTTTTCAACTTTTCAACATTCAACTCTTTCAATAAGAAGGTGGAGTGATAACGAGAATTCGACAACATTGATCATTATCTAAAAAGGGAAGGGGAGAGAGAGAGCGAAGAGGCAGCAGTAGTCTGCTGATAAAATTATGAACAAAGCGATTAACATCTTTCTTTCTCCGGAACTTGAGTCTATTTCAGGGTAACTTTCACCATGTTCTCTCTTTCCGTTTTTGTTTTCCTCGCACTTTCCGACTTTGCCCAAACCTATTCGGACGGAACCAAAGAGCTGGTTTTAGTGCAGACGGTGAGCTTTTAGGATCAAAGTTTAATGCGTTTCAAGAGAGAGAGTATTGTAGTTGTGGAGGCACGGAGATCGGTCGCCAACGAAGACGTTCCCGTCGGATCCGTTCCAAGAGGATGCGTGGACGTTCGGAGGCACCGGATGGGGACAGCTCAGTCCGGTAAGTGAGCAACTTATGGATCTGGTAACTTACTAGTAACTTCCTCAGGCTGGAATGAGACAACACCTGAACCTCGGAAAGAAGCTCCGTCAGCGCTACGTGAGCGACTACCAGTTCCTCCCGCCCAGGTATAATTCCAAGCAGGTACCCTTCCGGTTACTGTACCTTCTTCCCCAACGTGTTCTTTCAGATCTACGTCCGTTCCACCGACGTCAACCGAACGATCATCTCGGCAATGTCGAACCTCATCGGCCAGTACACTCAGACCGAATACAACCTGCCGGACGTGGACTATCCGGACATTGACGGATGGCCGAAGGGATACGTGCCGATTGCTGTGCATACTGTGGACGACGACACCGATCGGGTGAGTACTGTCGCCGAGGAGAGGCTACAATAATCCTATTAGTGTCCCGGCTGTAAAGTGAAATGACGAAATGATAATAGGAGAGTGCTTAGTAAGAGTAAGAGGCTTATGGAGTGAAAGGGTGGCAAAAGTGACTAACTCAGAAGCTTTCGTAATAATGAAAATGAAAGTGCCAATTTCAGCTGGGAAATATGGAATCCGACTGTCCGTTGCGTACGCAAGTCTGGAATTTGGCCAAGACTTCCGATGAGATCACAAACTTTGTGAATTCGGACGAAGTACGTCGTTCTGTCCATGACTTTCTCGCATTTTCCGTCGCTATTTCAGGTGAAATCGGTGCTTGGAAACTTGACAAACTTCTGCAATGAGACGGTCGACATTGATAACTTGTGGGTTATCACCAATGCTCTCTACATTGAGGTAAGAGGAGCAAAGAACGGAGCTAGTCATCGTGGAAAGCGGGTATTTTGCAGCAACTCTACTTCAATGACACGTTGCGAACAAATAACACCTGGTTTTCGGATGAATTGTATGCTCGTGCGGACGCCATTAACGATCAAGTTCAGTTGTTCGAGAATGGAATCTTCAAGAGTACCCCTTTCGCTTCACGCCCGCGCACTTATAAGACTCTTTTTCAGGCAGCCCGAATGTGGTAAACGGACACGACGTGGGGCTCCTGACGCGTAAGCTCAGGGGAGGTCCGATTCTGAACGACATGGTGATGCACATGAACTTGAAGTTGAGCTGCATGGGACAAACCACCGCCAACTGCACGTGGATCAACAACCTGTTGAACTACATTTACTCGGCTGTAAGAACATTATCCGGCCAGAATTCGATTTAAACATGCTCAATATTCCAGCACGACACCACCATCTACGCATTCTTCTCCGCGCTTCTCATCGAAGAGTACGCGGTGAAGCCGGCCGGAGGCTATCCTCTTTATTCGGCCGCCGTGCTTCTGGAGCTCTATGTGGACAGGGATGACGGCAACAAACCCTACTTCAAAATGGTTTATCACGAGCAGGAAGGAGCCGGATTCAACGATGTGACGAAGGGAATTCAAGGGTGTCCGAGCGACAGTCCTTATTGTCCCTTTGGATATTCTCAGGGACTTTGCCAAGACTGTCGCCGCCGATCAGCCAGTTGATCAGGTAAATAAAATCAATGAGAAGAGACACAAAGTTCGAATTTCAGTGGTGCTACACTGATCTCAATGGATTCGCCGGAACGTCTTCTCTTTCCATGCTTCTCATGGCGATGCTTTTGGCTGTTTATGGACTCTTCTAACTGTCGTTTTCATATATTAAAATAGAAATTTATTCATAAATCAATCACAATTTTTACAGAAGCATTTGAGCATTAAACTGTGAAACTCATAATCTCCTCGACACACCGCTCCAAGTACTTGCTTCCCTCTGTTCTTCTCACAACCTGATCGTTCAAGTACAACTGAAGGAACTGGAAATTCTGGCAGAAGTGCTCTGGAATCGGTTTGCGGAGGTTCGTGAAGAAGAGGTCCGGCTGGAATGCGTTTGGCGGGTAGAGAGTCGTTTCGTCCAGGTATTTGGCGGATTGACTGAAAAATTCGGATGAAGAGAGTGCTGGGGAAAGGGCTCACTTGGCATAGCTCAGATTCTGCAGAGGAGCAGTCACGACCATCGTCACAGCCGAGTTTCTGGCGACGAACTCCGTCTTGTACCCATCAAGAGTGGCAGGAGTGTCGTCGGGCAGCAGTTGTACGAAGCACTTTCTCGATTCGAGCTCCTGACCCGCGAGAACTTTGAACTCGGGGCTGTATCCGTTGTTCTTCTGCGGTCCGACAGTCATCAATTCCAGATAGACTCTCTTGTTTTCGCCTCCGATCGGAGGATATCTCTGATGAATCCGATCCGCCAGCTCAAACATCACCTTCCGAATATCGTTGACCGTGTGCACCGAGAGCTTCAGCTGACTGGCGATATGACCCGGAGAGCAACTAAAAAAGGACGTTATAGAATTAGGAGGGGCGGGTTACTTTTTGCAGTGCATAGTCAGGAAGTTGAACATTGTTTTGAACGGCTGTTTGGTCAGTTCGAACCAGGACCCGGCTTTGATGGAGCACGAGGAGCAGTCCCTTTTCTTGTCACGGGTACGGCAGCGCCACTGAAAACGGGGTCAAGGGTGTGAGCTTCTGATGCTCTGGAGCGTACCTCGTAGGCGTTCTTTCGTCTTCTCAAGTGCATCACTTTGTCGCACTTTCTGCACGCCTGCTTCTTCCGCAAAAGGCCTCGTTTCATGAGAGCCATCACCAGTTTCGGATAGTTGTCCAACTTCTCCACAAAGTCGTCGATGATCTCTTCGGTGGTTGCCGGCGGGAATTCCTCGTTGTCACCCTCATCGCACATCGAGCTCAAGTCGGCCGGCTTCATGTACTGAATGGAATTCTGCTGCTGCTGCTCTTCATCCGGCGGTCCTTGCAGTTGGGAGAGTGCAAAGTGGAGCGGCTGCGAGAAGTCAATGTCCTGGAACATGTCGGCGTCCATGGTAACGGTTGAATCGCCTGTAAGGCAAACGTAAGGCGAATAATTGAGAGGAACGATCGATATGTGTTGGAAAAGAAGGGGGGAATGGGAGAGATTGAAGAGACGGGAGAGACGTGTAGGCAAAGAGTGAGAGGAGAGGGGGTGACACCCCCCTCTCTCTCTCTCTCTTCTTGGACACAAAGACGAAAGAAGTCGAGGGCAAAAAGCGATGAATCTTGAGGAATATGAATGTGAAACGGAAAACGAACAGAACGACGGCGAGGCTATTACCGTATCCCGGTGGTCATTTCAAGGTGCATCTTTTTGTGGTTTGCTCTACAGGGGACCGTGCTACTTTCCTGCAAGAAAGATTCATTGGAATAGTGCCAACTTAGTCACAATTCTACGCAAATGGACTTGCACATGAGCTTGAGAACAAATTTCCGCAAAAATTGAGTTGCTGCGCAACTAACCCGCAATGAAACACAACAACATTCAAGACAATGTATCTCAGCTGCTTGTATAGATATCAAAAGGTTGCCAACTAACCAAATGTACAAAATGTTTTAACAAACAATTTATTAGTTGACAACTTTTTGATATCTCTATCCGTAGCTGAGATATATTTTTTTGGCTACACAGTGTTTACAGTAGCTCTAAAGCGAAGTTGGAAAAAACTTTCAGTTCACGAACTTCCATTCATGTGCAGTTTCCTTGAACCGCTAACTATTGAAATGATACAGAAACCTCATCTTTCTCAGAAGTCAGATTTGTTCCTTCATTCCAACTTCCCCACGAAAAAATGTACCAAAAAAAACATAGCGAATGTGATTTTATCGCCATCCTGCCCCCCATTTGTCTCTCCCCGTTTCCCCGCAAAGTTCGCAATTCGCATTTGCCAGATGTTTCCATTTGGAAGCGAGAACAAATTCTTTGGAACCCTGCCAGTTTGTCACCATAAAACACATTTCATTCCGAATCATTTCTTCTCCCGTTATAATGTGTTCTTTGTGAGCGCGAGCACAGAATGAGGAAATTAGTGGAAAGTGTGGTCCGTTCGGAGACATCTGGTCTCCCGGTTTCGCATATTCATTCCGCCCATTCGGCTTATTAGTTTGTGTTCTTCCCCGTCTTATTCTCTGTCACTCATCTCGCATTCTGTTCGTTGCGAACACCCACTCACAGACATGGATTAGACGTCCTTTCTCTTTCTCTTCCCCCTCAAAACGGACAAGAAGGTCCCTTTCGGGCACAATTTAATTTGCCATTTCCACGTGTCACTCAACTTGACAATCCATTGGTCAACGCGCCGAAAGTGTTCTCAGTTTGGGCTGTCTTGGAGGGCGGAGAGCGAGTATTTCCGGTCATTTTTCTTCTTTTTTTCAAGGGTCGTAGAGACTCGTTTTAAAAGTCTTTAAAAGTTACTGTACTTTGTGCTCCAACTCGGAAAAATCATAGCGTTTTCTCCAATAACGCTACAAATCTCAGCTTCGACTTAAATAGAAGGAGATCATCTCGTGAATATAGCAAAAGTATCGAAAAATGGAGATACGGTAGCTTCTCAATCCAAGAGCTACAGTAGCCTTGGAAGTGAATGCACAAAAGAAGTTGCCAACTAGATAAATGAAGTAGAAGGTATGTTACATACATACCGTAGGTTAGGTTACGCTCAAACTTTTCTAGAACCTCATGACATAGACCTTTTTCAACTGAAAGTTGTCAGTGTCTTGGCCTTCTCCCGGGTGTCCATTCTCAAGAACACGGTCCTTTCTGTCCACTTGACCCTCAATTAGACCGCATGCTCATGATCAAGCTCCAGTCTACGGCTTCTATTGTATGTTTCCATTTCCGGGCTCTCAAACGTTTGCAGCAAGATGAGTGCGCTCTGATCTTTCAACCTTTCCCCGCTCAACTCGAGCATCATCCAAACAGGTTAACACAGATACCAGCTCCACTTCTGTCGCTCCAAAAAAGATTCGAGAGGGCTGCAAACAAGCGGTGAGCACTGCGGGAAGCTCTCTGCCGATCTGCCGTCTCTCCTTCTCTCCAATTATTATCGGCGGGATGGATGCCTATGACGTAGCCACCTCTGCCCCTCGGTCTCACCCCATTTTCTCGGCCGTCTCCTCATATCAAGTGCTCTTTTGCGGCTGCTGGTGCCCTTCTCGCACACAATGTGGTTTCTCCTTTCTCCCCTTTTATTACATTTTGGTGCCTGTACTTATTTGCCTCCCAACACCCGCCCCAGGCTTAACTTTTATTGATTGATTGGAACGGGCGGTCTGGAGCTGGCTGTTGTTATTGAGAAGAAAGGGAAGGATATCGATTGATCCTTATCACAAGTGTTCTGCTCACTTCTTGATCTCGAGCAGATCACAGTTCTTCACTTTTTCTCGGACACGTTTTTTCAACTGTTGAACTTCAAAGGTTCACTGACATTTAGGATTCTAATGGACTATTTCAATTGAATCATCAGTTTCCAATTAACGTTGGGGATTGCGAAAGCGGCACTACCTAATGGTTAATGGGGTGAGAGCTAGCAGTTTCAAGTGTTTCCGCTCCGTAAAAGTTGTGTAATGAATTCGGTTAACAAGCGGCCGACCAATGAAAACAAAATTAAACAAAGCTTCGTCTTCTTGTTCTTCTGCTTCTTCTTCGGCTCAACCCGGAATAGCGTGTGCGAGTCCATCTTGGCTTCCTTCTCGTATAAATTCGGTGGCCAAGTGTCACCACCAGCCTCTCTCTCTCTCTCTCTCTCTCTCTCTCTTTCTGTCGACCCTCTCCACCATTCCATCACTCTCCGTCCCTCTCCCCTTCCACCACCGCACCCGGACGACAACACCCTATTTCGTCGCCATTCCATCTGTCCTTTCCTTCCAATTCTTCTCCGGCTTCCCCTTTTTCCCCTTTTTGTGCCCACACAATTCCCAATGGGCTCCCGGGGAGTGTCTGAGAGCACATCTCCCACAAATATGCTCAAAAATTTGCGCGGCTTCACCGACACAAACTCCTTTTTTCGTGCGTTGCGCTTTTCCATTACTTTCAAACGTTTCGGAGCTTTTGCTTTGCTTCTGAACTCGTTTTGCGATCGTTTCGAGTGGAGAGACGCAGAAAAGTGTGATATAACGTGACGGTGTTCACACATTTTATGTCGTTCTTCTTCTCTTCATGTTCCCTACTCATTCAACTCCAATTCTTTTTCAGAATCGAGAGAATCAGAATGGCGGAGCCTCCACCCCAGGTGGACTCTTCATTCGATCCTTCCGATCCTCTCGAACGACTCCGATTGCGCGATGATCCGGAGGGAAAAGAGGACGGTGAGTTGGGGGGAAAAGCAAATTGAAAACAAACGGAATGCCATTCCAGACTTTGACAATAAGTCGGTGTCCTCTGCGCAGTATTCGCAGGCGTCCGAGGCGACGACAGCTGTCAAACAGCAGCCGTTTTTGCACCAGACCATGACTAAAGTGAGTGCTTTTTCGAATTTGAATTGCAAATCCATCTCAATCCGCTTCTGCTGCAGGTCTACTGTCACATTGACGACGAGCCGGATCCGTACATGATGGAGGTGCACGTTCCGCCAGATCTCATCACTTTGGGAGACTTGAAACGGATTCTGATGAGGACCAACTTCAAATACTACAGAAAAGCACTGGATCCAGACTCGGGATAGTGAGTTTTCGGTTTTCTTAATCTCCAAAACCGGGATAATTTCAGCGAGGTGAAAGCGGAAATCCGTGACGATTCGCAAAGACTCACTCCGTCGCCGAACAACCTTTTCGAGCTGTTCCTTCTGACGATCGAGGGATCGACGCACTCGGATGGAAGCAGTGGAAAGATGAGAAAGTATCCGTCGGTTCGTTTTCTTCAAGATACACTTTTGTTGTGTAGTTTTGAGACAAATAGGATTACCGGATCCCAGTACTGTTTATTCAAAGCAATGTATCTCAACGATTTGTAGAGATATCAAAAAGCGGTCAACTAATCAAATGTACACAATGTTTCAATGAGCAATTTTTTCGTTGACAACTTTTTCATGTCTCTACTGGCAGCTGAGATATAACGTCTTGAACTCATGGCGTTCGGGTGCCGTTCTATTACATCTCCGAACAGCCTGCATTTGCTTGCTCGTTTGCACGTTTTTTCCATGGTTTTTAAAACACCTATTATTCTCAGGTCCCCGGCCCGGCACCATCCAACAGAAACGGACCGCCTCTCAACTACCAACACGCCGCTTACCAGTTCGATAATTCCAGTAAGTTTTGTTTCTAACTGCGAATAAATAAAAAATACAAAACAAAAACGTGGAGCGAAGTGAAAGGTTACAATTGAAATAAAAACTTCTTGCCCTCCCTCTCTGTCATAAAATCTCCAGATGTCACCACAACGTCAGAATAAAAAGATCCGCATCAACATGAGAATCCTCAAATCTTGATTCTTTCTCATTTCAGTGATGAGCACCGACTCGGAATCGATGATATCGGCTGCGATTCCGGCGTACCTGAAGAACGCCTACAATCGACGGTTCCCTCAACAATATCTAGGTACGTTTCCTTTAAATTTCAATATTTTCTGTAGTTCCGAGGCGGAGCACCCCCATAAAACTCTTGTTTTCGTCCCCATTCATCGTGGTGTTAATGAGCTGATCGCCGTGTCAAAAGTGCTCAGAGAGCACGACGGAACGAGAGGCGGCGAAAGGACCAATTGTTTCAATGTATCTTTCTCGCTGTCCGATCTCAGTGTTGGCTGGCTGCCAGTCAACAATTCGAAGGGAAGCAGGAGGCACTCGGGCCCCGTTTGAATGTTTGTACATACATTTCATCCATTTCATACACTCACTTTCCCTCATTTTCTTCCTCGTCGTTCATTTCATTTCTGATTCTGATTAGACCGGATCTCATTGTCATCGTTAGAAGTTTCAACGTCACTTCCAATTAGGTTTTCTCTTTTCTCTTCTCCTATTTCATTCCTATTCGATTGACATTCGTATCGTCTTTTTGTGTGTAGGAGTTTGAACCAATCAGACTGAAGTGAGCACTAACGTGTTCAAACATCACTACTTTACACTTTGCCACTACTTTTTCATACGTATTGTAATGCGTACCTTTTGACCCGGCTATCAGGGTTACCGCCAGTACATAGATCTCCCAAAATCTGAGGTCAAACAAACTTCAGAGGTCGGAGTACGGCCAGATCTGGACAACTTGATGGAAATCTTGAAAGAACCGTGCGCACGGCTCTTCCGTTCATTTTGTGCCTCGATCTTTCTCTTCCTCACCCTCCTCCACTCGTTCATTTAATCAAATACCCATCGAATGTGCTCGATGTCTGATGACATTTTCATCTACCGTACTCTTTGACCATCTCCAATCAATTTCTAATCTCTCCTTGAGCTTTTCCATTCTGAGAGCGGTTCAAATCGGACGGGCGAGAAACCATTGTGCTCGGTGAAAACCACCGGGGTTTGCTCACAAAAAACGCAAGTTTATCACAGTGTTTATCAACGAGCGAGAGGGGGGGGCACTTGAACACTCGTCTCTCGAGAATCCGTACCACTTCACCCCACTTTTAGGGCCACATCCTCTCTTTTTTCCTCTTGCTTTTCTTTGTGTATGTTTCTACTTGTCGCTCTCCTCTATCGCTTTTCGTGTCATTGTAAAAGGATACCACTTATTTCGTCAAAAATAGCCTTCTGGAGGAATGATCTTAGGTTTTATTTGCTCGGCAACAGAGAAAGTCTCATCATTATGAGCCGAGTGATGGAAATGATAAGGCTCGCCGCTGCACTGTTTGTTTGCCCATGTGTAGGTGGATCCGAGCCATTTCATCACGGATCCGAGCCAGATGTTGCCGAGCCGGAATCTTTGATATCAACTGTGTAGGGGGCACCGATGCACTCGAGCCAAAGATCCATTCCAAAATCGATCGGTCTGCTCCCCTGTTTTACAGTTTAACAACTCTGTTCTCGGGCTGTTACGTCGTGTAGACGTATGATAATTATTTGTGATCTCCCCCCGCGCTGTTTTATATTCTCCTTCTGAGGACGACCGCTCTCTCATTCTATTCTGCTTATTCCCCCTGGCAAAGGGTTTCCTTGTCTACCTCAATAGTTCTCATTCGACCTGGAACTCGCTCCACCGACTTTTGAGCTACAGAAGAGTCACGAGTTAAAATCCGACAGGAAGAGTGCAGCAATTACAACACGGGCTTTTTGTTCGTCTCTAACTTTTTATCCTTCACAAAACGCTCTTCATTTATTCATATGACGTGGCTTGTTAGAGTTTCTCTAGACAAACATTTCCTCACCGTTTTCACATGACTTTCTTTAGGTCACCGATTCGTGCTCTTTTTGTTGATTGTCTTTAAGAGCTCGTACTCTGTCCTGGAAATTTATGAGCCACTTTGTATCTCAGAGTCTTGTTTTCAAAGATTTCGGGTGAAAATTTGCTACTTTTGTTGTTCCCAACTTTTTCGTGTTATCTCTTCCTGTATGTTGAAACTGAATAACTTCTATGATCTACAGTAGTCCTTGGGATTAGTTCCAGAGAAAAGTTGTCAATTAGAACATTGTTTACTAAGAAATTTTTGTACATTTTGTCAGTTGACAACTTTTTGGTACCTCTACAGAAATTAGAGATGTATCGCCTTGAATGAACAGTACTCGCGAGTCCTTCTATTATAGTTTTACGACAGTCTAGTTTGATTTCTGACTAATTTTCCTAATTTATGAACAAAATGATTTGAATATTCATATTGCCACCCACATCCATATTCATATCGCCAAGGATTTCGATTTCATTCCACTTTTCCCGAAATAGATCCCTCTCAACAACCTCCGCATCCAACTTGTGATCATTTTTCCACATGACGAGAGTATCTGTTTCTAATCCGAGAAGTGCATCATCATGGGCTCTCCTGCCGCTTCCCTCCCGAAAATTTATGACCCCCCATCGAGGTGGTGTATTTCGATATCTGTGTCGATGATTTCCACAAAGTTTTTTTGATCTCTTCACTTCTTTTCGTCTCTCTCTCTCTACTTTCTTCTTCTTCTTCTTTCCAATTTCTTGTTGCTTGTAAAGAACGATCCAAGAGAGAAAGAACGAGCTCAGCGCTCTCCGTTGACGCGATGAGCAACTGCGGAGCTCATGCTTCTGGCTCCGGACGATCCTCCGATGTAATCCGTTCGTTTCGATTTACCACTAAAGAACGAAAAGTGCTGTCCAACTACACGGCTCCGCCCCCGAACCGTCATCAATCGCCGGGCGTCGTGTCGCAGTTGGTCAACAAGATCGAGCAGAAGGCGTCGCCGCCTTCCACGACTTCTAGACGCAAGAAGAAGTCGGTGGCTGCTCCTCCGCTTGCTCAGATGGATGACCTGGAAATATTAGATGATTCGACTGTGGAAGAAGTTGTAAAGACACCTAGGAGAAAGAAGTATAGCGGGAATCCACTTGGAAATCTGAAAATGTTGACTGCACTTCTGCCCGGATCCTCAAAAGATAGTTCTTTGAAAACCGTTGAGAATAAGGAGAATCAAGTGAATCAACCTTCGACTGGCAAGAAACTGAAAAAGAGCAAGAGCAAGAGCCGAGTGGAGCCGGAGACCGAGCCCCAGAAGTTCCTCCGTCTCAAACGAACTCTCACCGATTCCACCAACAATCACACGCCTACAAGTTCCACGTGGCGTCAGATGGTCTCTTCGGCGCTCGGAGGTCCGCTCAAAAAACGGCTCAGCGAGGGAGCTCTCTTTCCCGGCACCAGCACTGACTCGGCAGCCTCCGGAGGAGCCACGAGCAGAAGATTACAACGGAAAAAAAGTGCAGGAGGCGAGAAGGAGCCCGGTGGTTCTGGTTCCGCCTCCTCGTCGTTTTTTGGAGCTCTTATCAGATTATCCAACTCTGCTGCCAGTCTTACTTCTCTCACTTCACTCGGAAGCGCTTCTGGATCCAAATCGAACACGCGAGGGTTGAAGAAGAAAGAGCCCCCGCCGCCTGCACTAGTCACTCAAGCTCCTTCCGTTTCGGTCCCCGCTCCCACTTTCCCTCCCGCTCCCACCGTTCTGACGCCCTCTCCACTTCGAAAGTCCAAAACGTGTCAAGTCACGCCAGACCGTCCGCCAATCATTCCGAGCATCACAATCACCGAATCTCGGAGCCTCAACCGAATCGATCGCTGTCGTCCGGTCACCGTCGATGGAAGCGGTCTCACGGCCGATCGTCGTCACTTTGTCTCGCGAAGAAGCACGATGAGCAGGACGATGTCGCTCATTCCGACGAGTCCGTCCCTTCCGCCGCTCTACGAAGAAGAGACTGCGAGCACGGCGGCGCTGGTCGAGGAGGAGCGAGCGGACAAGGATCAGCGACGGCGGATGCGCAGGTACGGGGGCTCGAACACGACGAGCACGTACCAGGGACGGAAGGACGTGGCGCCGGACGCCTCTCCGAGAAGGCATCTCATCGGGTTTCTGCACAGAACGTCGCATTTGTCCCTGACTTCCGAGTTGAGTGGAGATGCCTCGTTTTACTTGATTGGTAAGTGACTAGGAGGTGCTCCGTCTCTAATAGAACTACAGTAGAAGTTTATAAGTTACAGCTGATGAATATTTATGCATTTTTTATATTTCAGGCCATCGAAGACATTTAGAAGAGTCCACAATCGGTTCGGAGTCAGATGCGCGTGTGTTTTCGGACGACGACGATAGGTTAGACACCAAAAACAGAAAAAAAGAGGGAAAGGGCGTCGTGCTCACTCACTTTCCCTCGCTAATACCCTCCTTCCATTCCTGTCTGTCACGTAGAGTGACAAATGAGTCGGCTTAGAGAATCCCCTCCCGCTTCCGCTCCATACCCCATTCTCCTTTCCAAAATGAGTGGCTACATAACCGACGATGATTTTGCGTCTTCCGACGGAAAAGCGTACTATTCGACGACTTCCACCTCCACCTCTGATTATTACTATGCGATCGGAACGCCGGCTCCGCCGAGCAGCACTGGCGCCACGACTCGCGACGTGTCAGTTAGATTCAAGGGACACCTCGTTAAATCAAAAGGCCCCCACTCTCTTTCTTATCTTTGTGTTGGAGCGAGCCTGGTAGTGACTATCACACAAATAGCTAAAAGAGAGAGAGAGGCACTTCTATTTTGTGCACTATGCGAAAAAGAAAGAGCAATAAACGTTAGAAGCATCGGAACGCGGGAGGGAAAGAAAGAGATAGAGAGAGAGAGAGAGGGAGAGAGGATAATTGCTTTCGATAAATCTTTTCTTCGTTTCGCAATCAATTGAAAGTTTCAGGGGTTCGACCACAACCGACTTCACATCGGTCTCCCGTCAACATGAGAAGATGGCGAAGAAGAAGAAGAATAAGCGGAACTTCCGCAAGCCTTCCAGAGCCTCTTCCTTCTCCAGTATCACTGGTAAGCACACTCGCAACATCTCGAGCCCTCCTTTTTTTCTTTTTCAGAATCGTCGATGAGTCTAGACGTGATAACGGTCAACCTCAACATGGACACGGTCAACTTCCTCGGAATCTCGATCGTCGGCCAGACTTCCACTTGTGGCGACAACGGCATTTTCGTGGCGAACATCATGAAGGGCGGCGCGGTGGCGCTCGACGGTCGGATCGAAGCGGGAGACATGCTGCTGCAGGTCAACGACGTCAGCTTCGAGAATTTCACGAACGATCAAGCGGTCGACGTGCTCCGAGAGGCGGTCTCCCGACGTGGACCCATCAAACTCACCGTCGCCAAGAGCTTCGAGAACGGACAGAGCTGCTTCACGATACCACGAAACAGTCGAGAAGAGCCGGTCCGACCGATCGATACTCAGGCATGGATCCAGCATACAAATGCGATGCGGGGGATGCCGAGTATTGTGGAAGAGAGTGCTCCGACGCCGATTCCCGGGGAATGGCCCCACGGACGTCCGCCAAGTAGCTCGACGGTCACTTCCAATGGTTCCAACGGTCAGAACACGATAGTTGGCAACGGTCCGCACATCCACATGGACGTTCACACCGACAAGAAGAAGGTGGTCGAGATGATGGCGATGCCCGGATCCGGCCTCGACATCAAGAACAGAACTTGGCTCAAGATTCCGATTCCCATGTCGTTCCTTGGTAATTCTATTCGGCTTTGGGCCTCTGTAAACTTTGCCTTTCATTTCAGGTTCGGACCTTGTCGAATGGCTGCTCGACCATGTGGAAGGCCTTCGCGAACGCAAAACAGCGCGGAATTACGCGGCAGAACTGCTCAAACTCAAGTACATTGCACATGTGGTGAACAAGGTCACATTCACCGAACAGTGCTACTATGTGCTCGGGGATGAGTGTGCAGGTCAGATATTGTATGATCACATAGTTGCTCTATGATAAAAGTTGCAGACTACGCCCGTTTCCGAAACGAAGACGGCGGCCCGAAGTACCAATGGACGATCGGAATCAACGGAATGTCGGCCAACGGGGGCTCTGTGATGCTGCCGCCCCCGCATCTTCCGGGACCGTCCGGCGCCTTCAAAGGGACGTCAATGGTGAGCGACGGCGAATCGCGCATGTATGTTATGCACATCTGAGCATCAGTTACCTCCCCCACTTTGTTGTAAATTCAGATTAGGTATCAAAATTAAATTCCAATTTCCAAGCATAATAATGTTTTAGTCTTTGTCTGCCCCGGTAAATCCAAAAAGTCAATGAAGAATGGTATCGGAATTCGGTGCCCGGTGATATCATTCTTTCAGTGTCTCTTTTCCAATTTCTCTATTTAATGCAACCCGAACTTTGTATTCTTGTCCGTCCTCTTGCATTTCCTCTCCCACACAATTTGCGATCTTCTCCACGAGTTCCCCCTCCCTCTCTCTCTCTCTCTCTCCACTTTTCGTCTGAAAATGCATCCTTCTTCAGCACCTCCTTGTTTTTCCCAATTGCATTTCCTCCCCTCAATCGGAATCATTCTCTACTGTACCACTTTTCGCCCATCTTTAGCATGACCTGTCTTAGTCCGTCACACTCATTTCTGTGCCCAGAATAAATAAATTATTCTGAACTTTTTTTTTTAATGTTTTCTTGTTTCACAAAATGTACAGTAATGTGGTACAGGTAAGCGGATACGCATCGATGCCGTCGTCGCCGTTTCCGATGCAAATGCACTTGCAACAACAGCAGAGAAGGGAGGGAAGTACGACGAGCGGCAGCAGCGGAGGAGGCATCAGAAGGTCGGTTTTGGGAAGGAAACAGAGTACCCGATCTTTTCTACTGAAAATAGGATCCTCGCCCAGTACACGTGCATTTTTCGGAAGGTGGCCAAGTAGAAAACGCTTTTTTCGTGTGGTTTTGACTGGAGAGACCACAAAACCGGAAATTAGAAATTGGTCACAGGAAATTAGATTTGAATTGAAACTGGAGCATGAGCCCAAAACTGATTTTTCAGACGCGTGCTCCTGCCCAACAGACCTTCCGCGGACAGTTCCACACTGGAAGGACCCTTCTCGCGGCAGTCATTCCGAGCGGCGATGGGAGCGGAGCAGTACGAGTGCTTCCTGGAGGACCTTTAACTGAAATCTTGAATACCAGTATTACTTTAAATTCCACTACTTATCCATGACTGTTAATAATAAACGATTCTGCGTCAATCCGCGCGAGCACTTATTGCAAAACTGAAGTATGCTTTCGGTTCTCTGCGTCTCTGGGCGTGTTTTGCGAGCACACAGGTAGCACTGGTAAGGTTTTGCACACAAACAAAACAAACGATACTCTCACACAGTCGGACTTTCTTGCCTTCTCCTTCTTCTTCTTCTTCTTCTACTAATACTCTGTTGACTCTGCCGATTTGTTCTTTCCCTCTTCTTCTTCTTCTAATTCGAAATCAGTGCAGTTTCAAACATTCCTGTCATCAATTCTGCGGCGCTCGTCATGATTGCTCTCTACGCCATCAATTTCTACATTCTGCTCATGCTTTTGATACCGTCCACGCCTGCGAACGGAGAGAAAGTGGGCACCGGAAGCAGTTTGTGGTGTGTGGAGGGCGAGAAGAAGGTGTTTACTCCGGTGCAGTGTCCGGCTGAAACGACCGAGTGCTTTAAGTTCACTTGCGAAGGAATCGAGCGTGAGTTCCTCCGATTTGCTCACCTTTCCCATCGTCTCCATGTTCAGAAGCGTTCGTAGCTCGTGGTTGCGGCCTCTCCGTGCTCAAATCGGCCGCCGGCCTTCCCAACGAATCTTGCCATCAAGCTCAATCAATTTGTGAATACGTGGGGGGTGTCTCCAATTGTTATACGTGTAACAACAAGCATATGTGCAACTCATTTCCCAATTTTTCAGTTCTATTCATAGTTTTGCTCAGTTTACTTGTTCCCTTTTTGAGGATGACCGGTTAAAACTAATAAATTTATATTCTGTTGTGAATTGGATTCGAATACCAGCAAATAAGAGGAAATAGGTTATTGAAGATCAATTGTAAATACATTTGAGTCGATTCATATCAATCCTGACGATTAGAAGGAGTCATTACAGATCTGAAAGTTTTGAAGGTGCATGAATGAGACAGTTTTCAGAATTTATTTCTTACATTTTTCTTTTGATAGTTTCGTCGAGTGTTTTGCGAGTCGCTTCGAAGTCTTCCTTCTCGGAAATCCAAGCCGATTTCAGGGATCCCATTTGATCTGGCAACAAAGTTTCTCGAAAAATCAAAAAAATCTGGCCTACTGTTAATGTCACTGGCGATCTGGCGGAGCTCATTCTCGTCCTGCTCGTGGTGCTCCGTGAGCCTTCTCAGTTGCTCCTGGAGCTGCTCCACTTCGAATCCCTTCTTCCTCGCCTCTTCTCGCTCGTTTTCTAGCAGTTCACGTTGTTCTAAATGTGAAAAGTGAACAATCACAATATTTCAGACGTTCCAGATGCATTCGTCATTATTCCGAACAGTTTTTTAGTTGTTAACTCGCAAAGCATAGTTTTTGAGAGTAATTTTGAAAGATATCGATTGCAAACACTCACCTTGCTGTTTTTCTCGCATATCAGTACGGAATCTAATTATTTTGTCTTCGCAACTCTTCAATTTGCGAATTCCGTCCGTCACCATTTCGTCCTTCTCTCGAATTCCCTGAAAATTAATCATTTTTTCGTGTTTGTTCGAATAATTTTTCTGTTTTTAACATTTTATCAATACCTACTTTCAAATAACTAATAACTTTGTCCATGTACTCGCCAATTGGCTCCATCGTTCCCCGAATATGCTGAAAAGAATGAGAAAAGTCAGAAACAGAACATGTCTGTCAATATTCGAATTCAAACTGCCGCGTGCGGGTCTCGCCACGATTGTGCCGCAAAATGTCATGCGCCTTTAAACAATGTCGCAGCGATGCGTCGATTTACGCCCGCCGCGTTCAAAAATGCGTCCAAACTGATTATTTGGACAAGCGAGTGAAGGAATTCCGAGATTTCCGTGATTTCCATCGTTTTCCATCAGAATCCATCATAATTTGCACGAAAACAACGAAATTTTAGGCTCAGAAGTGCTCACGGCCTAATATTGATTTTTACTCATTTCAAGAAGGTTTTCTATAGTTTCTTATGTAGTTTCTAGCATAGAATTCGAAGTGAATTCATTAAACATTTGTCGATTTTCACAAAGATGAAGTCCTTCAACTTATCGATTTTTTCCACTGATTCATGATAGCGAATCATACTCGATAACCCAAATATTGTGGGGTCAGATTTTCAGCTTTTTCCACGTTTCCGTATTTTTATTTGAGATTCACCACAAACTCGAACCCAATTAACCACAACTTGACGAATTTATCGATTTTCGAAAAATTTCATCATTCTTCATGGCTTTTCAATGGATTCAACAAGTTTTCAGGTCATACTGTAGAATTCATATTAATTCTGAATTGTTGAATTTTCATCAGATTCCACTCTAAATTGCAATACTTATCTACTTCTATTGAATTTCCTTCAAAATCATAAATTTCTCGATTATTCTCCTGAAAATTTACATTTCTTCATGCTCCACTTTTGTGAACTGTTCTGAATTAATTCTGCTTCAATTTGAGAACTCAATTTCTTGAATGCTTTATCAAATTCGAGGAATTGCTTTTAAGAGAAGTGATTGTTTCCTATCCTTTTGTCATTCTGCCCTTTAGATCTCTCTGTCATCTGAATAAGTCGCTTCTTGAACATTCTTTTCAATTCCAGATGGCACCTCGTGGTCGTCCCAGAAAGAGCTCACACTTTTCCGAGTCCAGTGCGGCGGACGTGGAGGAATCCAGCTCTTCCTCGTCGCGTCCGCGTCGCACTCGCACTCCAAAACGATATTTCGACGAGGATTACAGTCCGCCGCCGTCCAAAAAACGCCCGTCAACAACAAGAAGATCACCATCAGAGCCGGCCGATGAAGAGGAAGATATTCAGCTTTCGGTCAGCGGAATTCTCGCCAAAGCACAGGTCACCGCAGCAAAAAGCACTCCGAAACCTAGAGGGTACGCTCTTTTCTTTCTACAAACATTGATGCTAATAATTTGTACAGCAGACCCAGAAAAGCGCCTTCTGCAACACCGTCCACCCGCCGAAAATCGAAGAAATACGAAGAAGAGGTGGTTTACATGGACGAGGATTCAGAAGACGCCGAGTCATCAGATGACGAGTTTGTCATGCCTCCGGACGAGCAAGAGGAGATCGAGGAAGAGCTGAATTTGAGTGATTTGAAAGTGGAGAAGGAGGACGCGGAGTCGTCGTTCTGTCCGTGGCTGGACGTCGACCCGGAGACCCTCCCGAAGCTGGAACTTCCCGATTCAAGTCACGATATTCCGCTGCCGAACAACGTCACGTTCGACGCAATCGAAGTCTACGAAATCCTGCGTTCGTACCATCGGACTCTCCGTCTGACTCCGTTCACATTCGAAGATTTTTGTGCCGCCCTGATTTCCAAAAACAACTCGTGTATAATGGCCGAAATTCATATTGCACTTCTTAAAATCTGCCTGAAATCGGACGACGAGGAGCAGACGCACTATTCGGTGACCGAGACGAACAACGCCGTCAATATTATGTTGCACCATCTGGAGGCGTTGACCTACGCCGAGATCCTCCGTCAATACATTGAAGCGTATCATCCCGACGAGTCGGTGAGAGAAGCTATCAATGTGGATAATTATCCGTATTGTGGATATGAGCCTAAGTGAGAATTGGAAGGAAAAGACGGGAAAATGAAAGAAATTTTCAGATTGGTCGTTCTATTGTTCATGTGCTATCGGTTTTTATATTCGTCCGAATATAAAAAAGTTGTTAATAATATAGGAAAATTTCAAGTGAGTTTCAAATTCTATTCAGCCTGTTCATAAAATATTTGATTCCAGAACGATGATAACTGCCGGGTGTGCGGAAAATCGTCCGGTCGGATAGTCGGATGCACCCAATGCGAAGCGGCCTTCCACGTTGATTGCTCCCGCCTCAACCCGTTCCCGGAAGTGCTCGTCTGCAATTTATGCACGCACAACAACAACGTGCGCGGAGTGGCGAACGCTCTTCCGCTCGGTGAATCTGTCGAACGAGAGCCGCTGAGATCGCAGCCGATCGGACGGGACCGCTACGGACGGTACTACTGGTTCGTTGCACGAAGACTCATTGTTCAGTCGCTCGACGAAACCGAAATACACTATTATTCGACGCCGCCGCAATTGTACCAGTTGCTGCAAAAGCTGGACAGAGACTACTATGAGAAGAGTCTTTGCGAGGTGATCAAGGAGAGAATCGACGAGTTTCTGGAGCAGATGACGTTGACGGTGGAGCTGTCGAACGAGAGGAGAGACGCGTTGATCGAGAGTGCGATGAAAAAGAACGGAATGGCGTTCGAGTACGTCGAGTCGGTCACACCGATATTGTATCTTCATAAGGATAACAGTGAGTTGTCAGTCAGATAACTTAAGTTTCAAGTCTCGACATTTTTAGTGAAACGAATGGCCTCAATCCTTCGTGATTGTGCTGAGAAAGCGGCGATAAAGCAAGAGATCAAAACGGAAGACGACGCAGACGACGACGACGACGCCACGCGATCCAGCGGTCCTTTGGAGATTGCGAAAACGGAAGAATGCGTTCTTTCCGAATCGATGATCGGAATATTCGATGGTCGCCTCATCAACACATTCTGGAGCGGAGGAGCCACTCAGGAGGAGCTCGTTCAGTACTTTCTTCAAAAAATCGGTGAGCGGATTGATCCGATGGCCCTCTGGCGAATGGGCGACGAGATGAACGATCAGACGTTCATGCAGTATTACAACTTTTACGCGCGGAACGAGATGTCCGAGGGCACGGCTGCACGCAAGAAGTTGGGCGATAAGAAGAAGTACATGGCCTCGAGGTTCTCGATGCTCGACCAGTTCGAATGGGTTGTGGCCAAAGACCGCCAATTCTACGGAAACAGCGTGCTGCACACCAAATTCGTGAGCTGGACCCTCTCCAAAATCGCTCGAAAGATCCCGTCCGACGTGATGCATCGCAGATGGCCAGAGATTGCGAAGACGGTCGACGCGGAGATTGTCGCCGCGGACGACTATCAGAAACTCGTCAATTGCCTTCTCAAACTCGACGCTGCCATGCGCAAAACCATATTCGTGGCACAATGGTGGAGCGGACTGGGAGTGACGAAAATGGAGAGAAATACTGTGGAACAGAGAGAGACGTCGATGAAAGAGCAGCAGAGAATCAAAAAGATTGAGAATGACGCACTTGCGAAAGAGCTCGATGACAGCTACGTTCGAGTCAACTACCGATTGCCGAAGTGGCCGAATACGTACATTTTGAGACAGAAAGGCGAGCAGTACAGAATGCGGGCGGGGAGGAATGGGCGGATGGGCGTGGGTGTCCGGCAAGTACGTAGAAAAGAGAGTCGCCGTTCCGGAGCCTCCGAAGTTACCGCTGGCGGTTACGGAGCAAATTGTTAAGGTGGGTATTCATCATCTCTGTCTTTACCATTTTAATCTTTTACAGACGGAATCCTCATCTAATCGTAAAACACGTCGCCTGGAGCTGCTGGTCAGCAAAATCCAAAAGAAGCGACAAGTGGCCGTGAAACCGAAATCGGAGCCTTCTGTGCCCAACTTCCAATTGATAAGTCGGTGCTATTCGCAGACCTGTTTCACCCGCCAAAATCCGTTGTCCCACAACCCGGCGTGCTATTCGCCTTCCTGTCGATACGGTTATTTGGCGACGATCCGTCAGAAGTACGAAGAAGAGGAAGCCGCCAAAAAGGGCGTTCTGGCGAGGATAGGCCGTGGCCTATCCCCGAGATTCAGAAGTTTTCGAGCAAGAACGGAAAGAGTATATTTGTTCTTCAAAAGAAGTTAGTTTCCTGAAATTACGGTTTCCCCTCTACAACACTCAAACTAGTTCCAGAATATTGCGACAAATGATCGTAACCGCTGGATGCGCGCAAGTCTACATGCCCGGATTCTCTCCGAATTCCAAGGGCAACCACATAGTCTGGCCGTATCCGGCACCCCGTCCGACGTTTGATTTGTGCTGGAAGTGAGTTCCAAACTCCCCATGACCCTGTTTTCATGATTTTGTTTGTCAGATGGCAAACTCTAAATGCACGAAGTCTTGCGGCGGTGGCTCTTCAACTCAAAATTATGTGGTCATCTATCAAATGGAGCGAATTCGACCCGGACGACACTCATCCGGACCGTCGTGTCGTCATCGACACTCCGAGCCACGATGAACGCCGTCGGATCGTTCGGCACAAAGAGATGCCTCCGTACGGACAATATGAGAGATACGAACTCGAGATCGAGATCATTCCACTGTACGAAGAGCACGAGGAAGAGGAGGAGTCGTGGACATCCAGAAGGGACCGTAGCGGGGATTGTGCGCAGAGGACGACGGCGAGAAAGAAGAGACCGGGACTGAGAGGAGTGGACAACCGAAGGGCGACGGCCATCCGGAAAGAGTGGGTCGACGGAGTCACGCTCAAAGTGTTCGAGATCAAGGACTACTGGAGATCCGTCCGAACTGAATTGGAACGAGCGGCGAAGAGACGGCAGGATGCGCTGAAAAAGGCGACGAAGGCACGGGAAGACGCCGAAAGACTGAGACTTGTCGCACTCGCACCCAAACCGAAGCCGGCGCCTCCCTCCCTTCAAACAAATAAGACTCAGACCACCGAGAGAATCAGTGTGCCGTACATTCCGAGAAGAGCGGAACCTTTACAGCCGAATGCGAGGTATTTGGAGATGGTGCGTTTCTTTCTTGTTGCACTCTTATACACTTGAATTTCTCATTTCTCGAATTCTTCTCTCATTGTCTTGATTTCTGTTATTATCAAATTCACATTCTTCCCAATTTCTTTCTTTTTCCAGTACAACAACTCCCAGCTGCCTCCTCGAACCAGCGCCTCTGGGGGTTCTTCCGATGGACCCTCTTCTGCTGTTCCTTCTTCTGGCCAATCTGTTCAACGCCTTTATCCAGCACCCATTCGCCACAATCCAATGATCAGAAACAACCCGGTGTTCTCTTCATACCAACAACAGATGGGGGGCAGAGCCGCGGCTGGAGCTGACTTCTACAATCCACAGGCGACGGTTCGGTCGGTGGTGATGGCGGGGCAGTACGGGCAGACAATGCGGCAGACTTCGAATGGATATCAGTTCCCGGAGGGATCCATTCGCGGCGGAGGGCGAGTCGTTCAGTCTGCCCATGGCCTTCCGCGTACTCGGCTGCAGCCGACTGTCGTTCTCAAAGTGAGTGTTGCAATTGCGCCCTAATGAGACGCAACGCGTGCGCGTCGCGTGTCGAATTGTTGGCTGCCATCCGGTCATGTGATTTTGGCTCTGTTTGTCAGACAATTTTCGTGTTTTTTGGTGATTAACCAAACGAAAAAGTTGTGAAATCGAGTGTTGTAATGATTTTATACAAAATACTGCAATATTCTACATGAAAAACGTTGAAAATGTTTGCAAGATATCGACTAGCTGGCTTGCTATTCAAAGTTGAAATGCAATCAAAAACTTACCGTTAAATTGGAATTTTAATAGTTTTTGCAACAATTCTATTCACTTGTGCGCATTTGTGGTTTGAAAAAATAAATTTTACATTTTCAGCCGTTTGGGGAACCAATTACCGATATGCGACGAGCGATGCCAGTGGCCGAGGAGGCGGTCGCTGCCAACGCCGTCGGAAGTGACGGTGACGAACAACCACCGGTCATTCCACGCTATGATCGTAGTGGTTCACAACAACCGCAACAACAACAAATGCAGCAGCAGCCGCAGCAGGTCCGTCAGGTCTTCAACGTGGCTGGAGCATCGGGACAAAGACGCAATGTCATATTCCTGAAAAGCTCAGAAGGCGTGCAGAAGATGATGGTGCGACCACCAGGGCAACCCGGTGTTTCGTCTTCATCCTCCCCGATGATTGTCGACCAACAACAACAGCCGCAGCAAGTCTATCGCACCGCCACTGGTCAAGACTTTCCGCCTGGCACTGTTCTGAGCTCAGCAACTCGTCTCGTAGCTGTCCGTCCTGGGCAACAACCACCGCCGTACCGTCAGATATACCCTGGTACTGTGCCCACTGGACCCCGCTTTGTGCGAGTTAGCAGCGCTACGGGAGCTCTACGCCCACAGGAACAACTTCTCAGACGTGTCTTGCCAACTGGAGGCGCTCCGAGACAAATGGTTTAGGGATACACATTAGAGTGGAGTTCTCATTTTTCTAATGTTTCAGGAATATGCTGATGATCAAGGAGCACCCCCGCAGTTGCGATATGTTCTTCAAACTGGTCAAGTTGCACCAAAGATGCCGCGAGTCGTGCCGCGTGGCGGTATGACGATGCAAATGGTGCAACAACAGCAGCACCCGGTAAGATTTCGAACGTTCTTAAAAAAACGAAAAAATGAAGCAGAACTGTAACAATCCTCAAAAATTGTAGGCGCAATGTGACCAAGCTTCTTCTGACAACCAACCGGTTGTCGAGGAAGCCGTGATCCCTGATACGACTGGTTTCGCAGTTTCCAAAGAGCAAGAAGAACATTAGCTCGGTTCCCCAAACGGCTCATTCTTGTCCCCCTCCAAACACCTCCAGACCTTCTAAATTCTAAAATCGCCCCTTTTGACATTTAAATTTTATCTCAACTCGTCCCGGGTTACTTTTTGGCCTCACTGTTTCCCCATACGTCTTCTTCCATTTTTTTCTTCTGAGAAACAAAAACCTAGTTTTTCCCATCAGTAAACTTTTTCAAATGTTCAAAACCAAGTACGGCCCCTTCATTAATTCACGCTTCTGCTGCTTTACAACCTGCATGCTACGTGATACGATGATGACAACGATAATTCTTAATGATGATGACGTTCAAGTTGTCCTTCTTTTCTTTTCAATTTTCCGAATAATTTGAATGAATAAATGAGTTTCTCTGAGAGCCTTCCAATGTTCTTCTTCCTCTTTCAGAAAAAGTTCAGGGAAACTGCGAGATCTAGTGTCGGAGAGCATAGAGCACCGCGCAAAAACAACACGAACCACATGTTTTCAATCCAGGATCACCGCAAAATGATCGTCGGACGACAGAAGCAGCACAAAGTGACGACGTATCGAGACTTCATGGCGAGCCGCGGATATTTGGACTCTTCCAGACTTATGTAATTCAGAATTCGAACTGGAAACGCTTGAAATTTACGTTTAGGATGCAATCGAAGCCCTCATTTTTGCCGTTTGAATTCAACGAAGAGGAAGAGAAAGAGATAAATGAGGCGATAGCCAGAGAGGAAGAATATATGCGGATTGAGGTGATTTCGGAAGTCGAGACTTCTAAGGACCTGTTTAATGAGCTGCGAAAGTGTCAAAGTTTGTAAAAAGGCCAGGAAAATGGTTAATTTTCAGGAAGAGAACAAGATTAGCGCGTACGACGCCGCCGGCAACCCGATTCGCCATAATAACGCTTTCGGCGAAGGTCAACGGGCGATTCCGTACGTCTCGAACCTTCTTCCGTCCGCCAACGACAGTGCGGACGATAAAGTCATCAAACAGGTAATTGCAGAAAAAATGAGTGATGACCAGCCTGTGCTCAGGTTCTGGACGTGATGTTCAGTCAAGTGTGCCGGTGGGACCGTCAGTACGGATGGTCGAAAGCGCATTTGAAAAGGGCAAGGGCCAAGACGGACACGGAGAAGATTCAGTGAGTTCTCGGGAAGAACATGGACTCAATCTTGGATGATAACTTTTCAGATATCGCAAATTCCGACAGAATCAGAGAGAAATGATGATCAGTGAGCACATGGAACGGCTCAAAAAGGAGATTAACAAGCGAAGGACCAAAATGGAGAACGAGGCGGAGCAACTGTGCGGAATGCACACGCCGTGGAGGAAAGCACGCTCGAGGCCGCAGAGAAGTGAGTGAAAAAGTTCGGGAAACTTCGCGGATGTCTGAGGGTTCTGGTAGATTCGAGAACTTATCGAATATTTAGTGTTCAGTTCTCTGATGATTACGCCGAATATTTCTATGGGCATTCTGACTGAACCTTCCCAATGTTTCCTGGATTGATAGTATTGTTCCCCATAGATACTTCCGTAATCCGATCGTTCCCTCCTAGTTCCGACCGTCGTGATCTCTTGACCGCCTGTGTGCTCCGAACCGAATGGCTTGTTGACAATTGCAACGTGTGACCTTTCCTTTTTTTCGTGCCCGCCGACGGTTTTTCTTTCTTCGAGCGGTCGGTCACATGTCTGGTATTTCAAAACAGTCCCTCCTAGTGACCAGATGAGTCATCTGACAGCTTCTTCTTCGTCTCCTCCCTCCGGGCGGTCGATCTTTGTTGATTTGAATATCGGTATGGCCCGCCGACGCGAAAGACCACAAGCTGGAGAGAGACGTAGACCCTCCGAATGACATCACTTTCCAATTGTCTGACGGTTCTCTGGCGGGTCAACACATCTGCGCGTATTCCGCCCGATTGCTCGTACAGACGCGAGATAGAGCACTCGAATCGGGGAGACGGAGACGGTGCGCAAACGGAGACGCGGAAAGTGGCGGAGGGTGCCAGAACATTCGAGAAGAGAAGCGAAGAGGGGAGGCAAAACGAGGGAGGTTGTGCGCGGAAGGGTATAAAAGGACGAGCGAACGCACCGAGTGCCAAAACATTTCTGTCTTTCAACGATGGTCCTCAAGACCGTCTTCCTGCCTGCCCCGTCTTTCACTGTTCCTTCTGAATCCATGGCCAAGATGGCCAATCTGTCCCTCGCCTGCTCTGAGCCGGAACCCTGTGATGAAAGCAGTGAGCTCGAGAATGAAATTTCCAAGATTCTCCCCATGTTTACTTCCGTCGAAAAAGACTGGAACTCGTTCGGATATCTGCTGAACGAAGGTGCCAGCACTTCTGCCAGTTGTCCTCATTCCGATTCTAAATCTGACTGCGAAACTGTAATATTCAAAAAGCCCCTAGACACAATTGGAAAGGGAAGAAGAAGGAGGAGAAACACAATCGGTAGGCATCTAGGCTTGGGAAAAAGTATTGGAGAAGCTTTCTGAAAACGAACATTTTACTTTTCAGGTTCCAAACCGAAACTGGAATCTAAAAAAGAGGTCATCAACCCGGCTGACATCACTCTGGGAGGTGACACTTATGACTATGGAAAGCTGGAAATGAAGGTGAGTGCCTTTCTCGAAGATTCTTCAGTTTCTTGACCGACTCCTTTCAGCCTTACGCCTTCAACAATGAATCGATAGCTTCCGGAGTGGCCCGCCGCCGTCGTACCTCTGCGAATCTCTCCAAATCCTCAGATGATCACGAGCCGGCGGCCACTGCCACGGCCACCGCCACGGCCAACCTCATCCCAACCACGCGTGGCACAAAAGAACGCCGACTCTCTGAGCCGCCGCGAGCCTCGTTCTTCTTCGGAATCGGCGGAATCGACATCGACGTCGGCGTGCCGCACTGCACGTGCCAGCAAATGTACGATCCGGCAAAGTTCTACGTGCAATGCGAGATGTGCGCCCGTTGGTACCACGGAGACTGCGTGGATGTGTCCGAGAACAAGGCGAAGGAGCTGGAACACTGGACGTGCGAGCAGTGCATTGAGGAGCAGGCGAGGGTAAAGGAACAGCCCGCCCTTTACTGCGTCTGCAGAAAACCTTATGATGATACAAAGTAAGAGGAAAGACACCGTTTGCAATCCTCTCATTCGCCTATTTTCAGATTCTACGTAGGGTGTGACAGCTGCCAAGGGTGGTTTCACCCGGAATGCGTCGGTATCACTCGCGAAATCGCAGAAGACGCGGCCGAGTACAACTGTCCCGACTGCCTCCGAGAAGCCGGCTACGATTCGGAAGCCTCCGACGCATCCGTGAACAGCAGAGCCAGCTCTGTCCATGAACTCAAGTAAGTCGCTCTTCCCGTTTTCGCACTCTCATTCTCATAACTTTTCAGCCGCGCCGATTACGCTCACGTCATGCAGATGCTCGAATTGATGCTCGAACACAGAATGAGCACTCCGTTCCGCACTCCTGTCGATACGAACGAGTTCCCCGACTACGAACAGGTCATCAAGAAGCCGATGGATCTGTCGACGATCACCAAGAAGGTGGAGGCACTCGAGTACCAATTCCTTCACCAGTTCGTCAATGATGTTCACATCATGTTCGAGAACGCAAAGACCTACAATCCGAAGGACAACGCCGTGTTCAAGTGTGCCGAGACGATGCAGGAAGTGTTCGAGAAGAAGTTGATCGAGGTGAAGGAGCAGATGATTGCCAACCAGCAGATGCTGATGCTCCAACAGCAAGGACCTTCCACGTCGATGAGTTCCGCCCGCAAAAGAGTTCAGTCGGAGAGCCAACGGACTGTCGATTCGCTCGACATTGATTCGGATCAACTGCTTCCGCTTGATCAGTCTATTCTTCGCTATTTCAATTTCCAGTAATCGTTGCTTCGTTCCTCGTTTCCATGCTTTTACTGCTCGTATTCCTACTGTGCTAGTTTTTTTGTCTCTTCGTTATTTTGTTGTACTTTTTGTTATCAACCACCAATAAACATTCATTTTCAATTCATTTCATTCGAAAACAATTCACAATTCAGAGCGAGAAGCTGTAGGCGGGCTCGTCGCGCACCAGCTTCGCCCTTTCCTTCGCCGACAAATTGGGCGTGTCCTTGAGTTCGCACCAGTGAAGGATGATATCCTGATCGGACGGACAGCTTAGTCGGAACATTTCCGTCTCGTAGCCGGCCCGCAGGTACGCGATCACGTGCGTCAGGTCCGACGGAATGTCGTAGTTTTTGAGCGCCTCAAAGTGAAAACTCATGCAAATTTTTAGAGAGTCCACTTACCTTTGCGGCGATCCGAATGGAATGCAACCGAGTGAGCACGAGACAGTCGATGTGTGCCACGTCGTCGGAGAGCAGAAACCTGGCGTCGTGCTCCGCGAGGTACTTGTCGAGGCGGAGCAGCTCCGTGTTCAGCGCCGTCTCCTTGTGCTCGACGTCCTTGACGAAGCGAGCGAACTGCCGGAACAGGTCGCACGTCGCGTTCTCCGCTTCTTCGTCGTCGGCCCTCTGCGGCTTCAGGAACTCAAGAAAGTCGAGGATCTCGTCCTCCGTCTCGTACGTCTCCGTCTCGTTGCTCTCGTCGGCGAGCGCACAGATGCCGGGCACTCGGCGCAGTCCCGTCTGCTTGAAATCCTCGCTCTTCTTATTCACATTGATCGTTTTCACCTCGAACTTCATCGCCGCGTCGTGTTTTGCGTGGAACAGACATCGCATGAACAAGTGGTGCGCTGAAAACTCTTTCAACTGGTGTCGATTTACGGGAACGTACCGAACGGATCGCCAGCCGGGAGCACATTGTTAGAGCCGGCGGCGAGCCACAACGAGAATTTCGTCATTTCTTCTTCTTCTTTTTTTCTGGAATAATTCGGAAATCACGCTTTCAGACAGTTTCAACTTTCAAAATCCACGTGCAAAAAGAGAAGGTCATCACGGGAGAGAATTCGAAAAAAAACGGCTGAAGGACACTTGTGCCGCGCGAGAAAGGGTGTGATAAGTGAAGTGATAACAGGCGAGAGACGTGTTTGGGAACGAGAAAGTGATAAGGGAAAAAAGTGTTTGGGGGTGTTAGGGAAAGTGAGCGAACATTCTTGGAGAGTGAGTAACCGAGCGGAGCCCGCTGAAAACAATGCATTTTTGATGAGTCCCACTCAATTCATCATTTTTATTTTCGAAAAACCCAATAATATTCATAGCTCGTTCATAGACTTCAAACCAGAGTTATGCAGAGATGTTTGATGCATTCCTCCTGGAATCATCCGTGATAAACAAGTGGTCAAGCGACGGCAGCGAACGAGGAAATGAGGAGAAGAAGAGGAAGAAGAAGTTATGAAATGAGACAGAGAGAGAGAGAGAATAGGTGGGAATGAAGGGAAACTTACCCCGGAGGAGGTGATAAAATCTAACGACTTCTTCTTCTTCTTCTTCTACTCCCCCGCGTCTTCTGAATCCATCTGAAGAGACAAGTTTTCAGGAGCGGGACAAATCGCACTCATTCGTATTATTTGTGTAATCGATGCGAGTGCTCCGCGGGGACCACGAAGCCCTTCTCTCGCTTCTCTTCTTTTTCTTTTTTCTGTTAGGTTCCACTTTTCACCCTGTGCACTCCACTCGGCACCTCGAATGAGCAAAAGATGGAATTTTGAATGAGAATGTGCTTTTGTTCCGCTTCAAACCGGAAAGAACACTGATTCGGAGAGCTGGATGTTTATTTCGAAAGAGTTGTGTTATGAAATCGGAAGAATGGAAATATCAAATTGCAGTTTATGACTCTGAATAGTTTACGAGAAGAGTGGAGCCCAAAAATATTATGACAGGCAGACAGATGATGATGATGATGAAGCTAATCATCCACTTGTTTTCTTTTCAGGCATTTGAAGACCTCTGGAGCGAAGTCTGACAGAAATGGACTGCTAAAACTAAAAGACCAGTCATTGTCTGAAACTTGAACCTAAGATACTTTAATCCAAGTCCAAGACGTTAGCGGAAATGGGGTCCGATCGGATAGTCGCAACTGGGCCACAAGTTAAGGCTTCAAAGCGCTTAAACCTGCCATTTTCCTTCCTAGATGACAGAAAAACACTGGGAGCCACTGGAAACTGCTCATCTTCTAGAAAATTGATCTCAAATGTTGGAAAAATAAGGCCTGAAAACCACTTTCAGACGCCCGCTTTCAGTCAGATCGAACAATTTCTATCTAAAACTTTCAGAATTGTCTCAATTGGTTATGTAGATCATTTTGACAAAGTTTGAGAAAATTCTTGGAACCTCGCCAAATGGAGATCCCTTGCGAGCTGTTTGAGGTCGCAATTTTTAGTTTTTATTGTTACACCCACAAGAATGATCACAAGTGCAACTATTTTCCATTCTAGTCATCGGAATCTAAACATTGTAGTCACGGAAACTCTTGATATTTTAGGCGTCATAGCTCACTTTCACTTCTCTGACTTTGTCAAAGCTGAACTCTTTTCGAGTGTTCCGTCGCCGAGCAACCCGTTCCCTCTTGACTTTTCCTTCCTGTTCCGTTCCCATACACCCCTCTTTGATCTCCCGGCCGTTCCCATCCGATTCTGCACAAAACCACCGTGTTCTCATCATTTGCATTCTGAAACTTCCGATTCCAGATTATATAAAAGGCTACCCCTGAGCGTGCCTTTTCAGTTTTTCCGGCCTAGCCATGAAGTGTTTTCTGGCCGTCTCGGCGCTTTCGGTCTCGTCGCCTTCTTCGCTTCCACTGCCGTCGGCTCGATCATCTGGACGAGCAGCTCCAACAATTGCACCTGCAAACCGATCAACTCCCTGTTCAGTAGGCGACATTTCGCTCCTGAATTCCATAGTAAAAATGTTTCAGTGGGACGTTTCTCTGTCAATGACAACCGTTGCGAACCGGACGCGGCGTGCCGTCAGCCGACCTCCAACAACTACATGATCATCTTCTTCCCGCCAGAATACCGTCCACCACACGGCGACAAAATGGCTGTGAGTCTATGAGTCCCAGAAACTCAAAAGAAGGAGGCTTTCAGTTGGCGCTGCTCGCCGGAAGAAATGCTCCATTCAAGTACGGTCCGTTCAACGTCACCGAAGCATTCGATCCGATCTGCGTCAACGGAACGTGGTATGTCCAGAAGTTCCCGTTCGAGATCCAGTACACTCGGAATGACAACTACCAACAGGAGTTCATGGACCCGACGGATCTGAACAACAAACGACTGAAGCACGAGATCCGAAGCGTCATGTGGTAAGCATTGCCCAAGTTTTAGAATTGTTTTTCTTCTGTTTCAGTGGCGCATAATCTCCGGACACAGGAGCCGATCGATAATTTGTACCTTGATCCGTTCGTTTGCAATAAACTTTTCGTATCGTAAAATTACGCGCATTCGTCGTCTCATCTCGCCCACTTTTTCTTCATTTAATAATTATTAACCAAAGTCCTCGTCCAACGTCTCCAGATGCTCTGCTCCGGAGCAAGAAGAATCAAGGGTTCTGACTCTAACTTGTCCGGCGTGTGGTGTTCATTTCAGTGAGTTCATTAAACTTTCAGCTCGTTCATCTCTGCCAGAATTCAGAGAAAAAAGAGCCAAATGATAACGAAAGAAATAAAAGAAACGATCAGAACACTCAAGCATCAGACGGCTCAAAGATCAAAGAGTTGAAACGTTCTTGCGCCGAATTTTCACTACTCACCAGAAAGTGTATAAATGTAACCTGACAGCTATGTGTATGACTTGTGAGCTATGTGTTTGACACAAAAGTACAACCAAGTTTAGCTACAAAATATTCGTGATGAAAAAGTTTAAAGAAGCACAGCGACAGGCAACGGTTCGGAATGACTCGCTCACTTTTCACCGTCATAAGTTTAAAATTTCAGACAGAATTTAAGTGGTGGCACGTCGGAATTGTGATGCTCAGAAATTCCATAAGCGGAAGGGCGCGGATCTTCTCGACCAGTCCAAAAGGAGCCTGTAAAAAGGCTCCGAAAATGTGATTCGTTCTAAATTTGGACGCCGAGGCCAAGACCAAGATTGATGATTCTTTGAGAATCAGTCCTAATACATTTAAGTGTCAAGAAAAAGAAAAACATTTATATTATGTAGTCGTAGTGACGAAATAAATAAAATGGATGAATTCACAGAAAAACGGATCACAAGTCTATCCATCGGACTAGTTAGTAGAGTTATTCAGCCACCGATTGTTGTTGATTAGAGAAACGAAAAGGGGTGTCACACGGAATGGAAACGACGATGGGATGCGTGCAAATTGCGCTCTGTTGATAAGAAATGAAGGATATGGCCTGGGAAAGGTTCGGCCAGCCAGCCAGAAGCCAGACAAACGGATTCGAATCTCGAAGGGGACGGAAATGAAAGAGAGAAAGACAAGAAGACGACGGATTGGCACGGAGAGAAATTAGGAAAAAGAAAAATAAAGTCTATGAGCTCAAAATGGATTCGATGGTAAAAGAGGGCGGGGCCACAGTTTCAGGCGTGGGCGTCTTGGAAGAACCGGAAACTTCCGAGGATTCCGAATGCGGAGTGCTGCGCGAGTTCAATAAATGGGGCATGAGGAGCAGGGAAAGAGGATTGAAGAGTAACGGCTTCGAGGGATCCGAAGGAAATAGGCAGAAGTTCGGAAATGGGGATGGGAGGGTCGGGAACAGCGAGAGGGGGGTCGTCGGCGGCTCCGGGAGCACCGGGTTCTTGCGAGTGATCTTCGACGGAGCCGGGTGCAGATCTTCGTCGTCGTAGTCTTGTTCGCGGGCCTGAAAAGTTACAGATACAGTTGACTTCACTTTTGACTTTCAATCATCTCATCATCAGTCAGCCTAACTTCGCACTGTGAATACCTCTCATTCCAAACGATATATCTATATATCTGAGCTACTTGTAGAGTCCTAGTTGGTCACTTTCTGATATGTCTACAGATAACTGAGGTACACCCTCTTTAATGAACGGTATTGGAGTGCCGTAGTTTTAATGAAACTTTAGCCAAGCTCTCCTCAATCTTTTCTCCCAAACACCTCAAACTCGCCCTCTAAATGCATCTGAATCACTCGTCTTTCCACCTTAAAAGTCGTTTTGTTTTGATTGAAATGTCTCCTCCTTCCACTTCCAAGTCCGTCAGTTTGGGAAGCCCATTAAAATGACCGTGACGGGAAAAGAGGAAGCCGCACACCGCCGCCCGCTCGCTCCAGACAAAGTGTCGGAGGCAAAAAACCAAGGCGGAGAGTGTGTATCACTGTACATAGAAGTGTATGTCAAGAACAATGCGAATGTAACATACACACGCATGGTTCATTTCGCGCAATGTTTCAGGTGTGTACGGTAGTACGGTAGGATTTGAGGAGGCGAAAGGGGAGAAGAAGGACGGCCTTGGAGGCAGCACTAATCATCGAAGAGGGGCAAGCGAGGAGATTGATGCAGTTTGAATTGTCAATGTGTTAGGAAATGGATGGAGGCCCTTAAGTTTGGGTACAAATCAGCACGGATTGATGATGGAATAGCTCTGTTCATCTGGGGGTTCAAGGGAATTTTAAAATCAGAAAAACCTGGGCACCCGTTCATTCAAAACGATATTTCTCAGCTGTCGATCAAAATATCGAAAAGTTGTAAACTGATAAAATATAGTCAATGGGTTAATGAGCAATTTGTTAGTTGACACCGTTTTGATATCTCTACCGGCACCTGAGATTCGTTGCTTTGAATGTACGTCACTGAGCTTATCTCAACAGGAAAGGTTTCGAAAGTCCAACTTTTCTGAGAATCGTCAACTGCTCTTCTTGCCAAGAAACTGCCTCCCCAATTACTTTTGCGCTTTATTATTGCAAACATATGAGTTGTCTTCTCTCGCGACATATCATTCCATTTCAACACAATGACATCTGTTGCCGTGTGCAAAGTGACAGATGGCTGCGCGAGAGAATATGTCACTATTTCGCGCACTTCATCTTCATTTTTAGGCTCAATTCAATTGATTCTAGAACTGGGCAACTGTTCAGTGCAAAAAGCTTCAAACGAAATAGTTAAAGTTGAGCTCTAACTCTAGCCGCCAAAGCTCGGCTCTCATCGTTTGGGTAACTTTTGACTGGGATTCTCTCGAAAAGTGTATCATTTCGTGGATAAAGTTAAGAGAAGGCATGAATATCCAAACATTCCACCAACCTACAGTACCGCCCAATATTTCCATCCGTATCCAATCGGATTCTCATCATAATCTCCGTCGCTTCTCAAAACAAATTCGCCGCGCACCGCACATATTCATCGCCTTCCCCCGTTTTTTTCGCTCTCTTTCCAACCTTGGAAGTGTGCGCCGATTACGGTAGTCACAAATCAAATCGCAACTTTTTTCTTCTTTCTTTCGATTCTCTTTTCTCCATCTCTATCAATCTTTTGATAAACGTCCAATGCCATGGAGAATCAGAAATTTACACACACACACACACGCGCTACAGTAATCCTTTTTTGATGGCGATGATTGACCTACCTTGAAGCGTTTTCGGCGGCGAAGGCAACTGCCATTCTCGAACATTCCGAGAGCATTCGGGTGCACCGCCCAGTAGGAGCCCTGGAAATGAAAAGGAAAGGGTGACTGGAGGTGGTTGGGATTCAAGAGCTACAGAATACCTATGGCAAAAGATACTTCAGAAGTTCATCTACAAAAACTGAAGATGAACGTCATTTTGGAGTCCCTCGAGCTCTATGGCTAAACTGGAAATCGACCAGAACTTTGTGACTAATGGAATATCCCGTAAGATCCCATTTTCTCCCAAATCTCTTACCTTTCCGGGCCGATCTGCTCTTCTCGGAATCTTGATGAAACAGTCGTTGAACGAAAGATTGTGGCGTAAGGAGTTTTGCCATCTGAAATGAATCAAACAAAAGTTTCATCAAACTTGGCTCCGTCTAACCAACCGTTGCGTATTTTTTCGATAAAACGGGAACCGATCCATGATGTACTTGTAGATCTCGGTCAACGGCAACATTTTCTCATCTGAATCCTGGATGGCCATGTAGGTGAGCCAGATGTACGAGTACGGCGGCTTCTGCTCGTCGTACGAATCTTTTCCGGGTCGCGGCATGCTTGGAAGTATTTGGGGATGCGGGGATTCAGAAGACGTGTGAATAGAGCCGACGGCGGGAAAAGTCAATTTGTTTTGTTTCCGTCCCTATTTGGCCACCTTCTTTGAGAAAATGGGCGGCGCGTTGGAAAGTGGGCGGCGCCAGCCAATGCAATCGAGAAGCGAATACCAAAGAAGACCGCCATGTGAGAACGACGAAGAAGACGCGGGGGGAGAGGAGAATGATACAAGTAGGGGTGGCGAAAAGTATTTACCAGATAATAGAGAAGAAGAAAAAGACACTTCTTTGTTTTAACTCGCTCCTAACCTATAAGGGAACCAGTTGCTGACCCTGAGCGAGACGTGGCATCCCGCTGAGAACATATGTCGTTCCGTCGATCATCCCCCCAATGAGATCCTGAATTGAGTGGAAAATAAAGGGAGAAGAAGTAGGTAAACCTGATTGAAAGAGAGAGAGGAACATCGAAAAATGGAGGGAAACAAGGGGAAGCGTTTGAAAATGTGTCATGACTTGTTAACTCAAACGGTTCTGATTCCAAAAAGGATTATCGCCCTCCATGTGGGTGAAGGTGTCGGACAGGATGGACAATATTTGAATTCCCTGAGGTGGGCGCAAAGTGCAACATCGTAGAGTGGCCTGAAAAGATAAGGATATCACCAGATTCGAAGGTTAAAGTTCACATTCTCACTTTCATAATTCATAATATCCATTCCTCTTCTTCATCCTTTTCGCACTCTTCATCACCAATTCCAAAAAATCTCCATTCTTCTTCTTTTTCTTCTTCTCGCCACCACTTTTTTGGTATCATTTCGCTCATAAATTCGTAAAGTTTCCACCACACCTACTTTCTCAACCCCATTTTAATAATGATCTCCCACTTTTCTAACCCATAATCTATCTCACACTTTATTATTACCTACCGTATTCCGAGTAGTGTTCCAACAAAAAACATGGTTGGGCAGAACAATGGATATGGAATGGAGAAGAAGGAGAAGAAGTGATTATATTTTATTGAAAACGAGTAGAGATCTAGAAAGATCAGGGTGGGGAGCGGATCTTGTGAAGGCTTCCAGGTGATCTTCCAACTTCCGATATTGTATCTTCTGCAAAAAGATGTATTCTTTTAATGAAACATTTGATCAAAGGATCCAAACGTTCATTCGGGTCCCATCGAAATAGTTCAGAAGCTTTCTTCATGAGGATTCTGAAAATAAGATTCATTTTTCGGATTGGCTCTGTTCAGATGAATACCAGGGCCAAATGGAAAGCAGTTTTGATATCCTCCATGATTCCTAAAGACCAACTTTTCTTGAGATTATTACCTAGTGAACAGAGCTGTCGAGATCGGATGGTCAGCTAGGATACATAGTAAATGCAAACTTCCCCTCTTTATCTTTTCTCCATTCCTCTTCCGTTTGCTAGTCAATCAAAAACGGTCTTCCTCTTGTTTCCCCGCAAAGGACAAATTTGTCCCCCCCCCCTTTTCGGTCGGCGGGCGCGCGCCAATCCGTCGGCATCAAAGGAGCGCTTTGCACATTGTTGGCATACGGTTGAGTGCAGACGCAGCGGCGCCGCCCGTGCCATATTCGCTCGATTAGCGGCTCGCTTCATTGAAAGGCACTTAACAGTGTCTTTTCGCAATTGTAACAACATCCTTTGCGGGCCGCCGTTCGCTTCTTCACAACTTTTTCGGTTTGTTTCAATGCCAAACAACTTCTGACTTTTTCTCCTCATTCACTCATTTGCCTACTGTAGAAGCAAGAACCTAATGGAAACAAAACAAGTGTGTTTGTTGGGAAAGGAAAAACAATGTTTTTTAATCTTTGCGTAGAAGAGAAGCGGGGAAAATAGAGTTGACTGCTCGGCGCGGGTAAGTAAAACAAATTAAATTGGCATACGGTAGTTAGGGCCGCCCGTCCGGGGCCGCTATTGTTTTCTCTAAGACCCGGGGGTCCAGGAGAACGAACGCAGAAATACATATTAGTTTTATGTGCGGAGGATTGCGCCGTTCCATTTAAATGCGAATTCATCATGGTGCTAATGGGTAAAGGGTTTAGGGAAATTGGAAAAGGAATCAAAGAGATGTGTTAAGTAAGCAATGGTTTCGAGGTACCGTAACCCTGGCCTCTCGTCGAAATGAAGATTGATGGTTCAGTACCTTCTTAATTTCTATTCCCTAACAGATGTGTGCATCATAAACTGCGCGAGAAGGACAATTAAAATGACATGGTTGGTCTAACTAAGTCCCTTTTCTCAAGACGAAGAAGAATAAGAAGAAGAAGAAGCAACAATATGCTCGGCGAGTTTACGACCTTGTTGGGTGCTCCTCAAATGAAATTGTCTAGTAGTTGTGTGGACATATGACTCTTTCAAGTGAGTACACTTGGTGATGAGATAGAAAACGGCGGAAACGAGTTATAACTAGAGAATTGGAATTGGAATTGTTAGGATTAAGAACTGAAAATGAATTATTATTGCGATTTCAGGAGTTGGTTTAATACTGAAATTAAGAGCGAGGTTTGCCGGACAGTGATCAGATCATAGTTTATTAGCACGTGTTTTATTATCAATTCATTGAAATGCTGCTTAGTTCCTCGCCACCGCACTCAACGCTGACATCCTTCCAGTTCCAGGATTCAGCTGATCTGGGTTTTGCCTGAAACATTCCTTCATTTCCCGTGCATTCCGGCTTAAGACCCACTTTGTAAACTCGCGCATGGCCCTCTGCAAGTTGGGGAATCCAATGTTGTACTGGTTCGGAATGACATTGACTCCGGCGAACGGCACCTCGATCGTCGTGCCTCCGGCCACTTTGCCTTCCGGCCAATCCACGAGCACTGTGTTCGTTCCGCGCCAGAAAGAGACTCCGTGATCGCGCGGACGATCGAATGTTCGGTGAGATGCTGGAATGGGAATGAGAAATGAGATTGGAGCCTTTTCTCTAGAATATAATCAAGATTACCGAGTCCATCATATCCATAGAATACACCCCTGACGATTGGCGGCGGCGCCATTTCCCTGTAGTCAGCCGGCGTGTAATCTTGCCGCGGTTTCCAGACGAAACGGCACTTGGCCGCCCATCTCTGGCAGTTATTGTACGCGGGAGCACGGGTTCCCGGATAGCACTCGTAGTTCATCATCCATTGGAGATGGAGACATTCGCAAGAGTTTACACAACTAAATATGCTTTCAGAGGAGCCTGAAATCGGGGGAACTCACACCGGATCCGTCTCTTTACAATGCGTGTAGCAAGTGGACAATGCCTGAATTGTGGCCTTCGGGACACCTGCGCTCTCCCAAAACTTTACTTGCCTTCGAATCTGAAAACATCAAAAGTATTCCTAATGTCCGAAAATCGCCATGAACTCACATGATTGATGGATGGATACACTCTGTCAGAACAGTAAGTTCGATATCTTTCGCAAATGATTCTGATCTCCTCGTTGTACGTGGCAATGTTTGAGGTACGACAATAGTATCTGCAGTAGATTTTAGTTCTCATCTTTCAAGATTCTTTCAGTACCTGTAGTGATTCACAAATCGCTTGCATTGTTCGGTGAGTGTCGTCACTTGTTTCGTATCCTTTTCAAGTTCTTCCAACGGAATATCAAAGGGTTCCAAGTCACCGCCAAGCACAGTTGCCGAGAGAGTTGGGTCTGAAATCACAAAGAGTTAGACACCTACGCAATCCAATCAGCACACCTTCAGCTCTTACACCAACGGAAAGTAGAATAAGATGAATTGATAGTCGCAAGACTATCCGTATCATTTTGAGGATGGAAATGATAAAAAGGGAAGAAAGGAAGACAGGCGGGATTGGATAAGAGATGAACAAAAAACGAGAAGGTGTTGGGTAATAAACGGGAATTTCGAGAGGCAAGCAAGTGATATAGATAAGAAGCGGGATTCGAGAAGCAGGGTTTGTTTGATAATCGATCGGTTCGAAATGGTTTCCCGTTGATTGACGTGGCACCAATCCCTCTGTATCTTGCCGCTTTTCATCAAAAGCCGCGCGCCCCTTCCCTGCTTTTCAATCCGTCATTCTTGCGCCTTTGCGGTCTGTACGTACTGTAAGAAGAGGGAGAACATGGAAGAAATAATTGATTGGAGAAGGAAGAGTCGCGAAAAATCGCACAGAGCGAAGAACAAGAAGAAGAAGAGGGGAGAAGGGAGAGGGAATGAAATATCGGCGGGTGTTTTCGCGGGCAAGTGAGACTCCCGCGGGGCACCAAATGAGCGAAACAGTGGTGAGGGAACTTGTAAAGGATTCTGGCTGTGGGGACTACTGTAACCGGTATTGTGTCAATGAGCACAACATCTCAAAAGACCACGTGACATCCGTTTCTTCCCAGAAGCATTCAGACGCCAAACGTGCTCTAAATCGAAATGCTCCGTTAGGAAGACTCATTCCGACCGCCCATTCTGCTCATTTTTCAAAATTATTTTCATTTCGAAATATCCCATTGGAAACAGTTTGGCAGATATTGCACTTCAAAATGGGCACGTCACGAGAGACGGTGAAACCATCGAAAGGAGCTGTGAAACCGACGAAGACTCCCGGAGGGCTCAGCTTCAGAAACAAGATGAAGAAGAATGAGGTGAGGAGAAACAGTGGGAGCAAAAGTGAAAATAAGTTTTGCAGGGTGTTGGAGCAACTCTGAATGAGGCCAACTCAAAAACGAAAAAGGAAATGTCGACGGACAAACCGACAACTGGGACCACGGGCCGAACGGCCGGGAAGAGCATGAGACGGAAGATGCCGGAGAAGTCGGTGAAGAAGAAGAATGTGCCAAAAGAGATACAGAAGTACGCGTTCGCGAACGGCGAGATTGTGGAGGGAGTGAACCAGTACAAGGTGGCCAGTCAGATCCGGAAGAGCCTCAAACCTCTGGAGCTCGACGTCTACATTGTGAAGGATGTGGAGCAGGACGACGAGTTGCGCATGAAAGTGGGTAATCAGGACTTGCGTGTGCTCAAGACGGAAGCCGCGTTGCTCCGGAGACTGGAGAAGAAGCCGGGGGACCGGTGCTTCTTGTCCATGTCAGAGTACGGAAGTGTTGCGAAGAATAAGGTCGAGTTTCTGATCGTGTCACCTTACGGAATGACGTTGTACGACATTATGAAGAAATCGACATACGGGCCGTTCTCTGTCGACTGTGCATTCGCCGTCGGAATTCAAATGCTCAAGGCGATCAAAGACCTCCATTCGATCGGCTACCTCCACCGGAACATCCGTCCGTCGGCCTTCACTTGCGGACTCGGAGAGGAGGAAGCTTCCGTCTACCTCCAGGATTTCCGAGCCGTTCGAAAGTACGAAGAGCAGAAGAAGCACGTGAATCCAAGAACGACGGTCAAAAAGTACGGGGCACTCAGATTCTGCTCCCGTTCTTGTCAGAAAGAAAAGGATCAGGGAAGGAAGGACGACCTGGAGAGCTGGCTGTACACGCTGTTCTACCTGATGGACAACAACTCGTTGAGCTGGAAGAAGGAGACCAATCCGGAGAGTGTGTTTACTGGAAAAGAGGCTTTTATGCACGCAGGTGGGGAATCTCGATGTTTTTATTGTGAATGAGCTTCTTTCAGAAGGCCAAGAGCAGTTCGCAAAGGCTCCGAGAGCCCTCGCTCCTGCCATCGCCGTCATTTTTGCCTACGAATTCGCTAGTGAACCCGATTACGACACAATCAAAAAAGTGTTAGTGGACATTCAGACTGAGCAGAAAATGAATGAGAAGGCGTGCGATTGGAGAGGGAAGACTGGGTTGAATGAGATTGAAGGGGATACGGTAGGAGGTACTTTTAGAATGAATGCGATTGGAGTGATTCAGAATCGGAGTCCGGATTGCAAGGTGACGGGCGAACGGGACGTGGCTTTGAAGGCAAAAGCCTCGAAAAAGAAGACGTCGCGGAAGAAGCTCTCAAGCGGAGATATCATTCAGTGCCAGGGAGCGACGAATGGGTGAGCCACTTTTTGGAAGTCATGTACAGTAAGCGTTCAGCTGGAAAGTGATCAACCTTCTTGGTTCGGGAGGTTTCGGTGACGTGTACAAAGTGCACAAAGAGAACCAACCGCCGACGAAGGCGTACGCATTGAAGACGGAGAGTGAGGATGGCGAGAAGAGGTACTTGCGTCTGAAAGTGGAAGTGATGGTTATGATGAAGACGGCGGAGAAGAAGAAGGAGTCCAAGTTCGAGCACTTTATCGAGTTTGTCGATAGAGGAAAGTGCGAGGAGCTCAAGTGCAAGGTGGGATGGCTTAACTTCCCTAATATTGGCCATATTTAAGTTTGTTGTGATGGGTCTTGTGGGACCGTCTCTGGAAGACATCCGCCGCAAGTACCTGCTCGCTTCGTTCTCCAAACACACCGCCTTCAACGTGGCCATCCAGACGGTGCAGGCAGTCAAGGATCTGCACTCGATCGGATACCTTCACAGGGACATTAAGCCAGCCAACTACGCTGTAGGTTTGGCCGAATCCGAGGGCACCGTCTACATGCTTGACTTTGGAATCGCCAAACTTTTTCTGGACGAGAGTGGCAATCACAAAATCAAACGGAAAAAAGTGAAGTTCCTGGGTACGCTGAGATATGCGTGCCGGGCGTGCATGCTTCAGCAGGAGCAGGGAAGACGTGACGACCTGGAGACGTGGCTCTATCTCGTGTTTGACATAATGGACGAGTCGAACGGGATGCCGTGGCGGAAGCTGACGGACCCGAAGGAAATTCTCAAGTCGAAGGAGAAGTTCTTCACTGCCTGTCAGCCTTCTTTCACTTCCCCTGTAACTTCTCCGTTTTCAGTCCAATCACTTCCGTTCAACTCGAATCTGAAAAAGCTGAAAGATGTGGTGCAGTACGTGGACACGCTGAAGTACGAAGCGTGTCCCGACTACGACTACATCATCACTTTCCTCGCCAAAACTGCGGCGGATGTGAATGCGAAGGTGACGAAGAAATTGGATTGGATTGGCAAACTGAGCAAGAAGGAATTTGACAGCGATTCGGACAAGTCGGACAAGAAACAGAGCGGCGACGAGGAAGAGGGCGGACAGTGAACGGAATGTGTGAAAAGCTATTCTTTTGTTTTTATTTCGCCAATAAAGCGTGACATTTTCCCAATCGGTTGGAATTAATTAAATCATGCCAACCGACAGTTTGTTCTCATTCCAAAATGCGGCTCACCAAATGTTCGTACTTTGTTTTCAAGTGGTTCCTTGTTCTCATGACAGTCTCCTTCGTACTTACCTGCTATTTTCGAAGCAATTCCGACGTGCTTCCGAGTATGCGTTTGCATTTTGATTATTTTTTGTTAAACCCCAAATTTGCATCTTTCCAGAAAGTTCTAGACGTCTCATCACCAGGAATATCACTCTCTTCGCGGCTACTTCGTTTTTCAGCGAAACTCTTGGTGCGAGTTCTCTCCGCATGTGTTCAGAAGAAGTCAAGGTTTGGACACCCGTATCTCGAGTTCCAATAATTATTTAAAAAAATGACCAACTGAAAAGTTGTTGCAAATATTGTGCACAACAACTTTGTGGTTGATCATTTTGTCTCGAAACTTGTCATTCTTGAGTTATAATCTAGTTTCGAAACTTTCAGAATTCGTGCACTCTGACCAGTGATCCAAAAAAACTGCCCGAAGCGGACGCAATTGTATTCCATTCCTCGAACGTTCATCATGACGTGAGAGAATTGTCAAGACGCTCACAGTCAAAGATTTGTAATTGTTTAGACAGAAGGAAAGTACAATGCACTCAGAAAGCCAGGAGTTCCATTCGTCGTTATGACCATGGAGAATCCGGACTTTTCGGAACTCCGCAACTTTTACAATTGGACTATGAACTGCCGAATGAGCTCCGACGTTCCGATGCCGTACGGAGCTGTAGAGAAACTGGAAAGAAGAGTCGAAGTGGACTACGAACAAATTTGGAATTCGAAGAGAAAAACGGCAGTTTGGCTCGTTTCCAATGTGCACACAACACAGAATCGAAGGAAAGATTTGACGGAAAAGATGGTGGAGAAGGGAATGGACATTGATCTGCTGGGTCAGGCATACAAGGAACCGGTCGAGTGTCCGAAGTTCGGAGGTGATCCCAAGTGTCTGGAGAAGTTGTTCAAGTGAGTGAATCGGACTGATTTCAGTCGAGATGACATGTTACAGACCGTACAAATTCGCAATTGCATTCGAAAACACGAACAGTGAGGATTATGTAACTGAAAAGTTTTGGTACCGATTGAAAATGCTTCAAGTAGTTCCGATTGTGATGACCAGAGTTATCTACAGAAATCTTGGGGTTAGACATTGAAAATTCTAACTTTTTACCCTGAAATGATCAATTTCAGATCCCGGACTCGATGTACATCGCAGTGGATGACTTTCCGACTTTGAAAGAGCTCGTGGATCATGTCAAACGAGTTTCGGCAGACAAAAACGCTTATTTGGAGTATCACACGTGGAGGGAAGAGTACAGAATTCTGGATGCGAACGAAGGGAACTACGGATTCTGTCTTTTGTGTCGGAAGCTCGTGAACCTCTCGGAGAACCCGTTGAAGAGCTATGATACTGTGAACTACAAGATCACGACGGACTACAACGAGGTTGCCAACAGATATCTCTGATTCATAATTGTTTCTGTTTTTGAAAATAAATAATCGAGACGCTTTGAAGTTAATCATAAGAGTTTGTGCAAGTGCAGGCTCGGTAAATAAACAATAAACAATTGTGAACTTTTCAGGACAAGGCGTCAGGTGACAATAATTGTCCACGTCTCTTTTACGATCAAATTGGCGAGCCGACTGCTCCGTGAGCCCATTGAACCCCACTGATCTCCATAGAAACTCCGTCCCCGCCTTCTGCGTATGTATTCTTGACCACATTTCGGATGATGTTGATCTCCTCTATACACCAATGAAACACGTCGCTTTCCGCACGGTTTTCCAATGGATTCTCGTGGTCTCGCTCGCTGGAATCATGATTGTCAGCGTTCATCTTTATCAGAATAAAGCCCAGTATCCCGTTCTATTTCACGGTTTCTCTTTCCGTGAAATTTCATCTGAACATGCTTGCTTTTTTAGTGAGTCTAATTGGAAAAGTGATCATCCTGGCGGCCACTCCATTCTTCGGTGATCGGATAACCAATGAATACCTGGGAAAGTGTTCGGAAGATGTGAAAGTAAGTGATTCAGTCATTTCACGACACTTTGTGACAGTGGGCTCAGAATCTCTGCCACATTTCCGATGACATCTCCCATTTGCCAAATGCCGCAGCGGTGCTTTTCCATTCCAGAGACATTGACCAAAAAGCGAGTGACACAATATCTGAACACTGTTTCGAACTTAAGTTTTAGCACATTCTCAACTTCCCGAGAAGGCCTGAAATACCCTATGTGATGATGGCGATGGAAAATCCGTTCTATGCGAAACTGTCTGAGTACGAACACTTCTTCAATTGGACAATGACGTACCGACGAGATTCGGACGTACAATATCCGTACGGAGCACTCGTTGAGCACCAAGGTTCCGGCGGAGTGGACTATGAGGAATTGTGGAGTTCAAAATCGAAAAGCGCCCTCTGGCTGGTCTCCAATGGGTACGCAACGAACAATAAAAGACGGGAATTGACGGAAGCGCTGAAGGAAAAGGGCCTCGAAGTGGATCTGTTTGGGAAGTTGTACGAAAAAGAGGCGAGGTGTCCGCGAAAAGGAGGAAGCGTCGATTGCGAAGAGAAATTGCACAGGCGAGAGAGAACGAGGGGAAATCCCAAAAAGTGTAATTTTCAGTCCTTACAAATTCGTAATCGCATTCGAAAACAACAATTGCAAAGACTATGTGACGGAGAAGTTTTGGAGGAAAGCTAAGAGATATCGAATGGTTCCGATTGTGATGACGAGGAACATTTACCGAGATCTCGGGGTATTATTTTGTGCTTTACAATAGACTTCAAAGCTCCATTTTCAGATTCCCGATTCCATGTACATTGCAGTTGATGATTTCAAAAGTCTAGAAAGGTTTGTGGCTCATGTTTCTCACGTTTCAAACAACAAAACTGCGTATTTGGAGTATCACAAGTGGAGAGAACACTTTCGGTTTGAATTGAAACAACGTACATCTCGCAAGCTAAAGTCACCTTTCAGAATCGTGGATACAAACGAAGACAACTATGGTTTTTGTCAATTATGCTCAAAAGTTGCAAAGTTCAAAGAGAGCCCACGGAAAGGGAGCTATGAGAATATGCTGAACTGGCACAACACTTCCACTTGTGATAACTCATTTGTTGACCGGTATTTAACAAAAGTATGAATAAATGTTTGGGTTCCGAAACTTTTGAAAGCACCGAAAAACGATCAAAACTTTTATTGCGGTTTGTTGAGAGGGGGCGAAATAAAACTGCGCTTCGATAGACTTGCTGGCAAAGTATAATAATACTTTGAATCCTTTTTCGAGAACCATGAGGGATATTTGCGGCCGTTTTGTGTGTGTGTCCATCTGTCCTCCGATTCTCTTTCGATGCGTTGTTTCTTTTTCGACTATCCGATCTAATTAGAGTGTAATTACGTTTTTCATATAAAGCAAATGGGTCAGGAAGTTTTAACTAATAGTAAACTTTTATTCCGTTGCGAAACCCCATTGCTCGCTCAAGTTCAAGTTTCCTTTTCTTCAAATTCTCTATCACATTTCATGCAGAATACGTTTTTTATTTCACGTGACATCCGAAACTAAACTTCTCGTTTGCCGAACACGTAATATAGACACGGACTTTCGGTTTCTCGTCTCCAAAAGGTTAGCTTTTCCACCAATGTTTGCTTGGTTCGGTTGCTCAGGCAAGTGATATTGAATATAGAAGTAAAGCCCTTATCACGAAGCCCTCATACAAACATCCGCACCAAACTTTCAAGCCTTACTTGGCAAAGAAATATTGCATGACCAACAAAACATGTGAACTTTCGCTCGTTCGTGCCTTGTTTGAGCAGTGTTTGAATAGGAAAAGGGAATTCGACGATACGGTTCAAGGTTTTCCACCTCGAAATGATGTTCATATATATATATTCATTCTCTTTCGGAATTCAAAGTTTTCGGGTTTCTATGGCGACGAAGAATGACATCTGTGTCTATGTCTCCGCGCTCAGTCCCCTTTGTCTATGCACTCCTCTCATTCCTCCGTTATGAATATCCACAAACCACTCGGCAATGTATCCAGAACCCCCTTCATGGCCTATCAGAATCAGCAGAAGAGGGGCGGTGCCACGTGTTCGGGCCGGTATGTCAGTCGGCTTCTGATATTTGCCGTCTACGCGTCAGTGGCTCTTTTTCTATGGTATACCCTGGTTCCTACGAGGAGTGAGCAAGGTGGGCGCCATTTTTGAGCATCCTATTCTCAAATTCTTTTCATGTTCCAGAAGCTGTAATCATTCCCGACGCAGAATCCGGCAGTGTGCCGACCACGACGAAAAACGTGGTAATCTACGCCGCCACGTCATTCTTCGGACATCCGATCACGACGGAACGCTTTCTGGCGACGTGCCCCGATGTTCAGAATTATTGTCGAATCACGCAAGACGAATCGGAATTCGATAATTCCGATGCGGTTGTGTTCCATAACGCTGATTATCGAGGTGGAGAGGTCAGTCTTCAGTTAGAATCTTTAAAACTCTTTTTTCTTACAGAAGATGAAGACGCTGGTAAAGCAGAGAAAACCGGGAATTCCGTACGTTCTGTGGTCGTTGGAGAGTCCGAGTAATGACAATTTCCGTCCGGAAACCCGTTCGTTCCCACTGTTTCCAAATGAGAGAAAAAACGAAAAATTTCAGATGTGATCAACTGGACAATGACTTATCGGACAGACGCGGATGTTTGGGCGCCGTACGGACACATGGTAAAGCGGGAATCTCGGGAAGACGTGGATCTGAATGCAATTTGGGTGTCCAAGTCGAAAACTGCCACGTGGTTGGCGTCGAATTGCTTCACAGCGAACAATCGGTTCGATTTGATCAAGAAAATTATTGACAACGGATTCGATGTTAGTTTTAAGCAGAAATTGTAATGCTTCGATTCCAATTTTCAGATTGAAATCTGGGGGAACTGTGGAAAACAGGCGGGTCAGTGCAGCGGAGTGGACAACCAGGAATCGGCGTGTGTCCTCGAGCTTATCAAGTGAGAACACAGGCGATTAGAAGTCGATAATATCATTCTCAGACCTTACAAGTTCTACGTGTCATTCGAGAATTCCAACTGCAAAGATTACGTGACGGAGAAGTTCTGGAAGGCGCTGAGCGATCGGATGACCATTCCGATTGTTCTGGCGAGAAAGTACTACAAAGATCTAGGGGTATGAATTCGAGAAGGAACTGTCAGATCTTCAAAATCCTGCTATTCAGGTTCCCGACTCGGCGTACATCGCAGTGGATGATTTCGGCACTTTTGAAGAGTTCATGGCTCATTTGAAGAAAGTGAACAAGGACAAGGAGTTGTACCTGAAGTACCACGAGTGGAGGAAGACTTGGAAGTGAGTCGGGACCTGCTTGCTCTCTGTGAAGTTTGCATTCACTTGCAGAGTGATAATCGGAAGCGGCTTCTCCGGCTGGTGCAGATTGTGCAATAAGCTGCAGGACAAAGAGTACATTCTGAAGCACCCGAAGTCGTACCGTGACGTGGCATGGTGGCATTCATTTGAGATGTGCAATAATGGAATAGCTAACAAATATATCAAAGCCTAATCCGCGAGTTTCTGTTAGTTCTTTCTATGTTTTATCCTTTTTATGTACATACATATGACTTTACGGGAAATTTAAACGAAAAAATGGTTATGAGATGATGAAGACCGAATAAATTATTTGATTGTTGACAAGCTAGAAAGCAATGATGATTGCACCGAGGATGTAGATGAAAATGAGGAGGATCGAGGAGATGTTGTTGAGTGCCGAATGAATTTGCAGCCAGTCGGAGGTCGCGTCCTGAGACATCTTCAATTAGACATTCACCAAGGGAATCCAGGGATGCGTTACCTTGGAAGAAGTTCCGTCGGTGGTCGGCTCCTCTTCGGATCCGCAGCACAAGTTCGCGTTGAGCAGAGAGGCCAGCAGAGTGTATCTGTGCGCTGGCGGCACCTTTCTCTTCACTCTGCTCATCGCTGAGATCATTACGGTCGCGATCAGACTGAGCACCGTCATTCCGATTGTGAACGCGTAGAAGATGTCTGCAAAACGATTTGGATATGCTCCAAAGCTCTGAGAAGCGCAGAAACTTACAGATCTTCGGAATATTATCTCCGAATCCGAGCTGAGGAGTCTTCTCGGAAAGGAATTGGAAGCTCATGAATTGCAGGAGCAGAGCGAACATCTTCACGTAGATCTGCTGGTTGAACTTGCCGAAGAACGGAGCAATGAGCAGAATGAGAGCGGAAATGAGCACGGGAAGAGTGAGCTCAACGGCCAGAGTGCTCGATTTGCGGACGACTCCGACGCACACTTCGAGACGTTCGGCTCTGGAAAAATAACAATACACAAACTGCACAGTTTGGTAACAGTACCTGTTATCATCCTCTTGGTTCAACTTCATGATCCAAGTCCAAGTTGGGTCCACGTGCCAGTTGGTTCTGATCGACTTCGTGTCGAGCATCTCGTGCCCGTCTCCGTGCTCCATTATGAACTTGACATATCTCTTGTAGAGGGTAGATTGGAGATTGAAGCAGCAGTGTTTCCGGTCCTGAAATGCAATGTTGTTTGGATGATTCAAATGAAGGAAAGCAAAAAACTGACATTCGGGTACTCGGTGTAGTCAATCGAGCACTGGGCCTTCATTCTGAACTCGAGACGAGCAGTCACATTTCCATTGTAATTCGACTGAATATCATGGAAGTTGACAAAATCTGTGGACTGAGAACCGGTTTGGAGTCTGGAAGGAGAAAAAAGTTGAAGCCTCCTGATTATTTCGAAAACGAACTTGTCCGAATTGATATCTGGGGACCAGAGACGTCCCATAGACTTGAGACGAAGGGTTTCTGTCTTCCATTCTTCCGGATTCCAACGAAGACGACGGTCCTTCCACGACTGAAACCTTGATTTTGAAGAAAGAAGCACAATGACGTTGCAGGTTTACCAATTTGAGGAATCCGTTGATGTTCATCTCCTTGAACACCTCATTCATCCACATCTCATTGATGGATCCATCGAGAACTTGGACTTCCAGAGTCTCACCGGCTGCAACGGTCGGTGGAAGCATCATCAGCGCATTGCTCTTGTCTGCAAATAATCTCTTTGAGTTTCGGATCTGGTTTGTGAAAACGCCCGAACAACACTCTTTCACGCATCTCTCCCTAATCCGTACAAAAAAACGTCTTCCAGTCGATTTGCTTTCACTTTTTGATCGTCTTCCCTCGGCGCTTACCTTGCATGCGATCCGCCTCGCTGGTCAACTTGTAGAACAGGCATTCCTCGAGAACCTGATACTTGTGATGGGCGACATCTTCGATGTCTGAAAGCGAATCTTGTGTGTCTGCATAAAAGTGTCATTGACTGTTCGCCCCAAAGAGAAGGTCAAATATAACGAACAGGTGTTCAATAAATCAACCTCCGCGCTCTTGTTTTTGTTTGTTTTGGCGTCGCGGTGAAATGGATGCTTTTGTGACATAAATGGAGGTAGGTCACTGTGTTCCACACAAAAGTTAACTTCAATTCTGATGTCCTAAAAGTTATTGGGTATAACCAGGTTAGTGGCCGATGAAAGGAAGAAAGACACGGATCGATGGATTATGGCCAATTACGGCGGAAAACGGACGGCCCGACGACCCGCATCGGGCACGAAAACGCCGTTTTAGAAAGGGCAGAAAGTGCGCTCTGCTGAAATCCAGGGCAACTGTTTCAGGAAGTAACGCGAAAAGTGAGTAGTGAGACGAAAAACAAACCCCTTGAGAAGAGGATTAGCTGGGAGGAAGCAGAAGGATCGGAGGATCTACTTGACCTACTTTAAATTTTCACAAAGTCTCACCTGTGATGTTGCTCTTCCACTTGCAGTCAATGTCGTAGGCAGCGACGACGCCGACGATGAGCAGCTGGAACTGGAGCAGCCGCCGTCCGACCACCATTGCTCTGTGCTGTTTCGCCGATGATCAACTGGCTCTGCGAGACGAACAAAAATATTTGTTTTCCTTCCTTCGGGGCGCTTGGAGGAGGCCGGACATTCGGACCGACACCAGCCCCCCGGGGACAGTCAATAGAGGAGAGAGGGAAAGAGAGGGAACAGGTGCGAAAATGCACTTGACCAGGGGCCCTAAGTACTACCAGTTACCCCCAGTTCTTTCTTGATCGTTGTTTTCAAGCGTGCCTCTAATAGCTAATACCGCCATTAGCGGCCGAGGAAGTGGGGAGAAACGGTTGCGCTTCAAGTTTGACGCAAAGTACGCAATCATCTCTTGACAGTAATCGACTGGTCTTCAAGCTTCTTAAGTCGTGAGCAGTGTTGTTTTGTATGCAAACATCCCGAGGAACATCCGAAAAGTCAACACAAAACCACTCCTTCTACGGGTAATCCGACCGTTTTTGTGTTCTTTCGATTCATGGCATCAAGAAATCGGAAGAAAACAAGGACGGAAGTATCGTAACCGTAACCACCTTGGTCAAAACATTCCCAGACAGAAAATCTTGAAAAAAGCTCTTCGGACGGACGGAAAAGCGGAAAAGCACTCGATAGAGTGATCGGAAAACGGAGAGAAAGACTCAATGTTTGTCATAATTTCTTGTTAAATTTCTTCAAAGTTCAAAGCTCAGAAAACTGGGAAAGAAGAACGAAGTGACGGACGGACGGATGGATGGATGGATTCAACCGCAACTTCCACCCCATCTGGCAAAGAGTCACAGCAACAGGTAGGGGAAAGCAGGTGGGCGTGGCCTCCTCGCCCAACTGACCGCCCATCTTTTTTTCGCTCCGGTCTCCGGTCCGCATTCTATTCAGCCGCGCCGAGAAAGAAGAGAGCGGATTGCGGTTTTTTGAAGACGAAGGTTAAATAAACGACTAGGTTGTTTAGTTGTTCATTTGGGACACTTTTGACGGGAGGAAAATGCTAACTAGGCCAATTATTATATGAAGAACGACCCGGCAGTAGTCCGTGACACATACATACTTTGACAGTGTGTGGTATTATAATGGTTGTTCGGGAGGAAAAAGAAGATAATTTGGGGGGATGAGGTCATGACGTGGCACGGCGGTCAAGTGGGCTTAGAGACTTGAAGTAGGAAGTGGATTATGTGTATTCAAAAGGGATACGGTACATTCAGGGTTGATATTGTGGCACTCTACGGTCAGGAAGATGATCCTCGGAAACTGTCCATCTCTTCATCTCGCTCTTCCCCATCCCATTCCCAATCATTCTTCCGCAGCAGCTCCAAACAGTATTATGTTTCCCCTAGCCGCTTGTCCTTTCCTTTCCCTTCCATTTCGGTGCTCTTTGCTCGGATTGTTTTCATTTGTCTCCATTTCCTCGTCCTTCTCTGCCTCTCCCTCTCCCATTTTCCCGTCCATTTCCACTATCGGTTAGCTCAAGGACAGGTACCTCCGCTTTCCGTTCACACCTGCTCCGTTCGCTGCGTCTCTTCGGGCTTCTCCCTATTTGACTTAACTTCTCAAGGAGTTTATAAGCAAAAAAGTGAAGCAGAGACGGGGGAACGATGACGTGGCGGGAAAGAGGAACGGACGTTAAGTGGCCGGCCAGCACGACCCTCCGGACAGTTATTGTTTCCTGAGCAGCAGCGGTCAGTTAAGAGCATTTATTTGTCAATGATCACAACAGATTACAACGGAGCAGAACACGAGAAGAACGGGGGGAAGTGACAAAAGGTATTGGCCGACTTGAAAGAATAACGATTCGGTTCAGGTAGGTGTGATTGTTGATGATGGAACCGTCAAACATTAGCACTTTTTGCTTCCACAGATGGAACTAGGGAAGTACATGTACATTCGAGTATCCTTTGCGTGCTCGTATATCTCTGCATTCTACATTTCCTCATGCTCCCATTCATCATGCAGCGCTCCTCCAAGCCCTTCAAATCTCCCGCATCTCATTACAGATTCGCCGGCATCTGCCCGGTTCCACTCGAATGCGTTCCCATGACAACTCCGTCCGTTACCTAATCCTTCCGCATATGGATCCGGCGGTCGATCATTATAATAATGTGGAATACAGAAGCAGCACTGCCCCGTTTCGGAGTGACCATCTGCCTCGGCGGTCGAGAAACAGCCTTATAAGCAGGCGAAGGCGAGGGAACGAGCACCGCGGAGAGACGCAGAGGGCGAGAGAGCAGAAGAGACGCCAGACGACATCCGAATGCTCCGTATGAACCGAAATATATTCATTTTAATTCTGAATTCTCCTTTATAAACATTTTCCAGTTCTTTTCAAAAACTTCACCTCACTCCCCTTGTTTACTCTTGTTCCTTGGCCCGGCTTTGAAAAATGTTATCTTGAAGACTGAAAAGTAAATATTTTTCATTTTTTCCATTCCTCCCCCAACGCATTTTCTTATCTAAGTGTCAAATAAAATGCGCTTACCTTACCCAAATACTTTCTTTTCTTTTCTTTTCAAATTTTGCATAGATTCTTTTTCCGAAAGTCTCCATGACAACACGATGAATTGGATACGTTTTCATTTTGCACAGAATGGGCGGGCGACTAATGGAAATTTTATTTATTTCGAAGAAAATGAGCGAATGGCAGGGAAACCACTTATTGAGAAGCTATTCTCTTTGGTCTAGTGGTGTTGAAGTTTAGAATTTGGTCTGGGCCCTTTTTTTTTACGAATCTTAGTGCCCAAAACTGAACTAAACTATCAATTCTGACGCTATTACCGTTACCTTCATTGTCACTTTTCTAGAAAGCTACCAACCCCATCCTACAGTAACCTCGCGCCTTGCGCACTGATAGTGATAACTACCGTAAGAACTGTAATAGATGGGGTTTTTCGAGGCAATTTATCTCAGCTGTTTATAGATATCGAAAAGTGGCCAACTAACAAAATGTACACAATGTTACAATGGCAGTTTATTGTTTGACAAGTTTTTGATATTTCTACAGGCAACTGAGACATCCGCTCTAGAAAGAAAGGGATTGGAGTGTCTTTCTATTACAGTTCTACCTCAAATTTCACGGCCTTTTGTGCGGTCTCTGGCTTAAAACGTGCAGTGACTTTGTTAGTACAATACCAGTAAGTGTCTCCCTGGTCCCTTTCAGTCATCGCTCCAACCCCGTCAGCTTCTTCTCTATAATTGGCTTCGAAACTCTCGACTCCTCCAACTACTTTTGCTCTCACCTTTTTTCATCATCAGCCACTGCGGCAGGCAACTACTTCTTCCACCCACTTTTCACGTAAATCCTCCTCAAAAAAGGGCAATAAACGGCAGGCGCGAGTAGTCATTTCGTACCTTTCTCGGCGGTAATAGTCCATTCGCCGCTGGACTTCCGATTGCCTTCTCCACCTCCTTCTTCTTCTTATTCACACCGCTTCCACCCTTCTTTTTCTTCTTCTTCTTCTTCTTATTCATGATTTCGGGCTCATTGTCATGTTCCGTCATGTCAAACATCTGCGCTTTATGCGTGTGTGTTCTGTAATTTGATGTACCTTGTTTAAAAGTGTAATCTGCGGTTCTTCAGGGTTCAAGTTGAAGCTTCTAGGTCACAATTCGAACAAAGAAGTATTGTACAGTTCTGATCAATTGAGACCATTTGCAAAATGGGTTCCCTGAAACCTGACACCCAATCGCTTTTGTTTACAGTCTCTCTCCCATCGTTTCCCTGTTTTGATTCCATCATTTTTCGATTTTAACCCAGCCATTTATTTTTCTCTCTCTCTCTATTTTTCGAAAACAACAGACAACACCTCCATAAAATCGTTCTCCTCCTCGCCCGCGGTCCCAACCATACACAAACAGAAACACATGTTGCCCCCCGCCTTGCTATCCATCATTCCGGTTCTTTCTCTCTCCATCTGAGTCTCGCTTCCACTTCGGGTAGCCATGGTTTGACTACTTTTTAGGAAGCTTCCTCCTCCCCCTTCATAAATCTCTTCCTTTCTATCTCATCATCTCATCCTCGTTTTCCCGTTAACCACTAGGTTCCTTGTTGAGTACGAAACGGACAATTTATGCGTTCCTCCCGTTTCCCCTCTCTTTTTGACTCCGCCCACTTCAAGAGCTTCTTTCAGTATGGTCCCGCGAACTCTCCGAAACTTCTGAAGTCATCATGAAGTCGGCGACCAGTTCCGAGGACGTCGTCCGCGTGACCGAGGATCTGTCCGAGTGCCGCAATCGGCTGGACGCCGGCATCGAGGAGAATCGGCGGAATCGGCAGGTCATCCAGGATATTAATGATCAGGCAAGCATCCGAATACTTCTTTTTATTCCGTTTTATTTGTGTTTTTGTTGAATGCTAGTGCGTGCGCAAGCGATTTTCGCTGTCCGCTTTCCGATACAAAAGTGAAAGTGATCGGTGTGTGTACTTGTCGCTTCTCTTTGCAATTCAACTGGACACAACTTTTGACGGCAAAAATGGGGGAATAAGAGAGAGAGAGAGAGAGAGAGAAATAAGTGAATGATAATAGAACTGATAAGTGGAGACCTTGACCTTCTGAATCCTTTCTTTCAGCTGCAACGCTTCCGTCAACGAGCGAACGCAGAGTCCGTGGAGTCGTTCAACCTGTCCGCAAGTCCCGATGTCACCCTCTCCTCCATTGCTCACCCGAACCTCACTCATCTCCACAACCAAACCAACATCTCAATGCCCTCGCTGACCATTGACATTCCCTTGAACACCACCACCATGATCCATTCCTCGCGAACTCCGAACTATGCGATCAATGGAATCCGAAACAGACACAAGTCAACGGGGGCCCACAGATATCGATCGACCAGCCCTATCGGAGACTATGGTAGACATCGGAGCAGTCCGAGAGTGCTGGCTCATTACAATCTCGAAGGTGCCGAATTGGGAGGCGAAGAGAATCTGGATGAACTGTTTTCCAAATTGAAGGAGGAATTGTTCAAGTGAGTTATCAGGGGAAGGGCCGGCAATGATAAGAAAGATAGGGGTTTAGGAACAACACACTGGAAGAGGTCAACGAGATGCTCCGCGAGGAGAACGATGCCGCTCTGGTTGCGAATGAGCACTTGAGAGTGGATGCGACCAATCTGTCGAGGGAGCTTCAGCAGCTCCAGCAACAGCAGCATATGGAGTCGATGAGGTTTCGATCCGAGAATACGGTATGTCTGGGAAGAGAGAGAGAAAGAGTTGGGAGCCAATAAAGAAATTCCGAAACGGAAGTACAATTTTGACCGGAAGCTTCTTCAAAAAAGGGCACCCTCCCTCTCTCTTTTTATGTCTCCGGAAACGTTTTGCTCTTGCAGCGCTATCGAAATCAAATGGAGAGCCAGCACCGGAAGTTGATCAGCCTTTGGAAGGAGTTCACGGCCGTCAAACGACAGGTAACCTCATTCTATTCCGCCCCCACTTCTTTGCTCTTCAGCTTCACGAATTACGCACGACGACTGCCAACGATTTAGACCGCCAATTGACCGAATTCACGCGGTGCGCAACACTCATGCGAAAGGCCATTCGACACGCCGAGCAAAAGGTTTGTAAGCAAAAGAGCACGAGCACTTTTTGAATTGCGAAGGGACATCGAATTGTCGTTCAGAATTTGAGACTTCCGATGCTTCTCTCTTTTCTTCGTTTATCAAAATTTCTTAATGCGCATTTTGTTAGTTGACAATTCTTTGATATCTCTACAGGCAGCTGAGATATATCGTCTTGTTTTACCGCAAATATCTCTTTGCAGAACAACGACATGAAAGAGCAGATGAAGCGGGAAAAAGACGACGTGCTGGACGAGACTCTCCGTCAGCTCAATTCTGTCACCGAGAATTACATGAAGGTGAGCCACTTACCTCCTCCGTTTTCGAAACAATTACCTCGGCCGCTTTCCCTTGCTCACAACTCAAATTACATATTTCATTCGCACAGGCGGAGGAGAAGGCGAACGAGCGGCAGCGTGATTTGAAGCGAAAAGAGGACGAGTGCAGGAAGCTGCGCGAGCAGAACGACGAGCTTTCGGATATACTGGAGCAGCTGGCCCGGATGACGAACGAGATGACGGGCGCGAGAGGCAGAAGTCAGAGTCCTTCGGCGGTTGTAGTTGACACCACCACCTATGCACTTTTCAGTTCGTTTCTTTTTGTGATTGGATGATATTAGGGGATGTAGACATGAAACCGTAACTTGCAACATTCTAGACATTAGGCAACTTTGTTTTCATCACTGACTTAGTAACAGCAGAACTTAGTGATATCTTGTCTGTTCGTTCACTGTCCAACAATTCACTTTCAGAGGAGAATCCGATGGAGGTGGCACGGAAGATGAGAAAGCTTCTCACGACAAAGAACGGAGAAATCGACGAATCGAAAGAAGTGGCCCGTCAAGCAGAGAAAGAAAGAGACAGAGCAAAGAAGGATCTGGAGAAAGAGGAGAAGAGGAGGAAGGAGGATCGGGAAGCGGAAAGGAAGCGATCGAGTATCTACTCGCAGAGAGAGCACGACTTGAAGAAGCTGGAGGACGATCTGAGAAAGGCATCCGAGAAGATCAGGAACCTCGAGGAGCAAAAGGAGAGCCAAGAGAAACTGACGACTTCTGTGCAGAACTCTCTGAATGAAGCACATCGCCAACACAAGCAGTTCATCGAGGAGCTGATGATCAGGCATCGGGAAGAACTCAAAGAACGGGAGGATTCGCACGAAGAAACGTTGAGGACGAGAGATTCGGATGAGAAGAACAGGTTCGAGAAGGAACGATCTGAACGGGAAAAAAGCAGGAAAGAAGCGGACGAGTTGAGAGAGACGCAGAGATCTCTGAAAGCAGACTTGGCAGCGATGAAAACGGATGTGGAGGACAAGGTACTGAGGATGGATATGTTGGAAAACGAGCGGGACGAACTGAAGAAGAGACTGGCGGCGGAGAGGGAAAACGCGGATCAGAGAGACTTCGAGATCGCAGAGTGCCGAGCCAAGATCGATGAGATGCAGGAGAAGGAGGCGGAACTTCGGAAGGAGCTCGCAGAGAGCCAGGCGACGGTTTCGGCGATGGAAGGAGAAGGAAAGCTCAGTGAGGAACAGTTCCTGGAGAGCAAAAGCGAGTTGAGCACACTGATGGAGCAGCTGGAGGGACTGAACATTGAACTGGAGAACAAGAACGAAGAGATCAGGAATCTAAAGACGTCAATTCAAGAAAAGGAGGTGATCATCCAAAATGTGAGGACATCCACTCACACGCTGACGGCCACGTACGAAGAGGCGAACGGAGAGATCGAGCTGCTGAAGGTGGAGCTCACGCGTCTACATGAGCAGCTCAATGAGAGAACGAGGCATGTTTCGGAAGCGAACGAGAAGTTCGACGACGCCGCAAGAAAGAACGATGCACTGGCGGAAGACGTCGCCACGTGGCAGGACAAGTACGAGACTCTCAGGACGGAACTCGAGGAGCTCAAGAGACGTGGAGCTGAGAAAGAACGAGAAGAAGCAGAGCTTAGATCACTTCTGGACGATCTTCGAGCCAATTTCGACAAACTGACAAACGAACTGAAACAGAAGGGAGTCACTGTGGACAGCCTGAATGAGGAGGTTTCGACGCTGAAAGAGCAATTGAGCAAATCGGAGAAAGAGCGGAAAGAGGAGTTCTCAGGATGGAGGAATCCGAGAAGAAGAATGAAACGGAGATGAGGGAGGAGTACGAGGCAAAGATTAAATTGGCAGAGAAGGACCGGCTAGCAGTGGAGAAGTTCGGAAAGGAATGCGAGGGACGGCTGAACGAACTGACGAAGATACATGAGCTTTTGATGGAAGAGCACGATCAGTTGAAAGTGGATCACTTGCACACGGGTGAAGAAGTGGACAGACTGAAAGAGAAGATGAAGAAGGAGTTGGAGAAGGCCAACGAGCAGAATGAAGGAGATCGGCAGGAATGGAGCAATGAAAGGACCCGGGTGAGCGAACAAAACAAAAATGTCAATGAGTTTTAATTTCAGATTGAGACCTCGAAGAATGAGTCAATATCAGAACTGCAAGAGCGTGTCATGAAGCTGGAAGATCTGGTGAAAGAGAAGGAGGACAAGGAGATTGTGCTCAGAAGAGATCTGGAAGATGGAGGTGAAAAGGCCCATAGTCTGGAGGAGAAGTTGAGGAAAATGGAGATGCAGGACGAAGAGAAAGAGTGAGTGATCTCCTGAGTAATGAGAGATCGATTGATGATTTCAGAGAGGATCGGAAGAAAGAACAGAAGACTGTCCAAGAAGAGAGACTGAAGCTTCTGGAGCAGAAAGAGGAGGCGATGCTCGTTGCCACCAAACACGCCACAACAATCGACCAACAGACCAGAAGGATATCCGTTCTGGAAGGCGAAATCGAGAAGCTGGCGGTCGGATTGGCAGACAAAGACAGCTCCATTGTGGCTCTTGAGTCGAATACCATGGAACTGATAACCAAGTTGGAAATGACTGAGGCCGAACTGGAGAAAATGAAGGACGAGCTGGCAGTGATGGTGAAGCAGAACACCGAACTGAAGAACGGAAAAGAGGGACTGAGCGAGAAGTGGAATGAGGAACGGAAGAAGATCCAGGAGCTGGCGGATCAGCTGAGAGAGGCCAACAAGGTGGTGCACAGCATTCGCATGAAAAATGTGAACTTGGAGGAGAAGAAGAACGAGTTGGAACAGAATGCGGCTGCGTTGGGCAACAAGGTCCGACAGCTCGAGATACAGTTGATGGACAAGGCCGCCAAGAATGAAGTGTCCGGGGATCTGCTCAGGAAGATGGAGCATGATGCACAGAACATGCTCAAGCAGGCGCAGAGTGAACAGTTCAGGCTCACAGACCTCGAGAAGGTTAGGAAAGCTCTCCAAGATGAGAATCAACGTCTTGTGAACGACCTGGCAACTGTGAAGGCGGCATTTGAAGTGAAGAGGGAGACGAGTAAGTCCGCGATCAGCGACATTCTCGACAAGTACAGAAGTGCCGAGGATAAGGCCAGCAAGGGAGAGCTGGAGAATCAGAAATTGAGGAGCGAACTGGCGACCGTCTCGTAAGATACCACTGACTTCTCGCATCTCATCTAACCAAATCAATTTAGAATGAAACTGGAACGTCAGGAACTGAAGGCCAAGGACGCAGATCATCGTTTGAAAGACATCCACAAGCGGTACGAGGAAATTCAGACGAAACTCTCGAATCTTCAGAGGTCTGCCGTGGAATCCCTTCAGAATCGTACGTTCTTATCTCTCTAACCTCATACCTTTTTTCCATCTTCTTATTTCTCAGCAATCTCCTCTCACCGTCAAAACCGTTCCATTTACGTTGATATTCCCCGGGCGGCATCGAGCATCGGTCTCAATGAGAATTCGGAGGAAGTACCTCTCCGCAGATCTCCTTCCGTTCGCTTCGCAGACAGTTCGCAGAGCATGCAAAGAGCCGTCGACTCGATGGATGTAAGCTCTTCCGTTGGAGTGACCCTCCGATTCTTGAAGGAGAGAATCGAGCAGTTGGAGATTGACAAGGCCGAGTTGGCGGATGCATTGGAGAAGGCGAAGGACGAGTTGAGGGACCGGGGAGAGAAGTTGGCGGATCGGCAGATGGTGATAGAAAGAGTCGAGAGGCAGCTGATTCATATTACGGAAGGTACAGTTATCTTTGTGAAGCCTCCTAACTAACTGTTTCTTTTCGCAGAACGCAACACAATTGAGAACAGAATGACGAGCCAGAGGCAAATGTACTTGACGAACGAGGAATCCTCTAGATCAAAAGAGCACGAACTCCGTAGCATGAAAGCTCGAATCTCCACGTTGGAATTGCATTTGAGAGAGAAGGAGTCCAAGTTATCGCATCTCAAAAAGGAAATCGAAGTGCTGCACGGACAACTCCACGATGCGATCGAATCAAAGGAAAAGCGACTGGACTCGTGGGAGTGCACGATTCGAAACATCGAGAAATCGAAGAACAGCTGGACCGAGCCAACAGAGAACGGGAAGCGGCTATCGGAAAACAGAGGAGAACGGCGGCGGAGAACGATAATCTGTTCAGGAAGTTGGATCAGTTGGAGAAGGAAAGAGAGCAGTTGATGAGGGAGATCACCGACGAACGACGGCTCAACGAGAAGAACAGAACGATGCTGGAAGAGCTGCGAGTCAGCGAACGCACTTGGAAATCGGCGGTGAGCACTGCGAAGAAAACGGTGGAAGAGCAAGAAAGAGCAGTCCATGAGCAGAGAAGATGGGAGGAGTCGCACCACGAAATGAACAACCGGAACACGGCATTGACGAAGGAGTGCGATAGACTGAGAGTGGAGATGAGAGAGCAACTTAACAGAATGAACGGACTCAATCTGAGAACGGTGGACTACGAGCGGAAGAACGAAGAGCTCTCGGGCAAACTCGTCGTCATGCAGAACACTGTCGCGGCACTCAAAAAGTTCGAGGAGGAATGGAAGCGATTGGAGACGGAGATGAGGGCGGAGCTCAAGGTTCTCAGAAAAGGTACCCGCACTCATTCTAGAAACTATTTGCAAAAAATTATTTCAGAAAAGCTCATGCAAACTGCCGAAATCGAAGACTTGAAACGGAAGAGTCTACGAAGTGACACCGAGAAGAAAGAGATTGAGGGAATCCGAGTGAGGCTCGAAAGGGAAATCAGTGCTCTTAAGAGACACGTGGATGCCGTAAGTGTCTTGCCCCAACTTCTCCATTTGTACGGTCACACTTGCAGCTGGAAGAAGAGAAGGGTAAAACTGAGAAAGCAGTGCGGGAAACGATGAATGAGCGGAGAGCCATTGACAAGTCGCTCGCTTCGATGGAAAGAGAGAACCAGCAGTTGTACAGGAACTGTGCTCAGCTGCAAGCGCAGATTCAGAACCTCGAACGAGACGCCGGCAACCGATCGGTGACGAGGTTGGCGAAGGAGCATTCGCTCCTCGAGGCACGCATCGCCGCTTTGATCGAGGAGAAGAGACAGGTATAAAAGAGTCTTAATTAGAAAGAAACCAGATGAATTCAGTTGCAAGCGATGCTCGACCAGAAGGATGCCAACTACTCGCACAAACGGAAACTTCTCGAGTCTCAAATCCAACTGCTCCGCGAGCAACTTGAAGCGGAGCGCCGAAAGCGAACGAAAGGAGTCGTGGCGACGGGCCCGTCGGGCGGAAGACGGACTGTCCAGCACACTTCCGCGTTCAGGGTATGAGAATGTGACGGACAGGAAAAGGGCTCGAAATTTGATTGAAACTGTCAAAACAGTCAGGCCTATTTCAACAGAAATAGGCTTCCACTTTTGTCTTGCTCAATCAATTTCGTTCCCACTTTTCGCCACCGAAAAGCTAAAAGCATGATGCTTCTTTCCCCTGACCCATTTTATTTTCGATCACTTAACACTAACACCTATTAGTTACAGAAACCCTTAACCCTCCTGCCCTGTCCTATGTCTTGTCCCTTGTCTTTCCCTTCTTTGTTCCTCTAATTCTCTCTGCCATGTATGTACTATTTCTTGAACTGACCCATATCTAGTCTATATCTTCTTCTAGCCTCTAGAATAGCTTTCCCCCGGTCTCTTTCACCCCTAATTGCCCAGTTCCGTCTTTTTCTCGATCTCATGTACCCCATAGGCCTTGCCCCCTTTCCTTAGACATTTAGACCGTAGGCCAGTGTGATGATCTCTTTTCCTTTTGTGCCCTCTTCTTCATAAAACTTGCTTTTAGTTTGTCCGTGTTTCTTCTTTTTCGCAAGGCTTCTGATCGCATGATATTGGTGGAGGAAAAGGGAAAATGAGAGCGATGGTTTATTTATTTGAATGATGCAAGTGCGCCACAATGAACAACACAAACTCTTCGGTTTTGCTCGCAAACTAACAGAGCTCCACCACCACCTGACCTCGCGAATATCCCTATGGCGCCCCAGGAACTTTCAGAACTTTCAGCACACAATCGAACGTCACCGTTCCCTTTCGCAATCGAGCGAACGGACGGTCTTGGAGCAGCGATACGCGGAGTACGTGTACTCGGGCGACCGTACTCCCGCCGTCTTCCACCACGTCGTCAACACGCCGCCCATCTCTCCGCTATCCCATTCTGACTCTTTCAATTCGGGTACTCTGATCATGTAGCAAGTGCACTCCATTGAAACACCTTCTCAATAGAGCGCAATTGTGTTATCTTAACTTTTATTGTACATTTTCAGACGTTGAAAGAGAGTATCGGAATCAGAGAGACGCAGACATCGGTCATCTTCAGCACTATTGAAGAGTATTGTCCGTTTTTGAAAGTGCTTTCGCCATTAAAGTCCAGTCCGTGTGGATGCTCGAAATGTCTAGCTTCTCCCTGCTTTTGCTTCACTCAATTTTCAGAAATAGTTCTATGTTGCGGGTTTTTTGTGCTTAAAACTGCTTAAAACCTTGACTTTCAATTAATTTCTCTTAAAATCTTCATAAAGCCTTTCAAAACTCGAGCAAAGTGTAATACAAAATAAGAATAAGAACGAAAAAGTGGTTGAGTACGGTGGCGGCAGTGTTACAGTAGTCGGAGGTGTTGCAGAAGCAGTAGGTCCAGCTGGAAGAGGGCGAAAGTTGCCAATAGTTCCAACGCAAATTCTCAGTGGAGCGCACGTACCGTTTTGGAGGCGTGGCTTGATCGAATATTGTGTAGCAGCCGTTTTGGACGATCGTAGAGTTGCCCGGAGCGACGACCAGGTTGTTTTGGTGCCTGGAAGATTTTGGGATTTCGTCTCTTGCCACGAATCGCTGCTTGCCTGCGAACTCACCAACATTCTGATCTGTACGGTTCGTACGTGGCTTCTCTGGTCATCGGCTCTGTGATTTTGACGCAGAATACATTGGTCTCACAGTTGTTGTTGTACTTGAGACAAGAGTTCTCACTTCCGCCATCCTTATGACCTCTCCATCCCTCGCATTGATGACACATAATGGAACTACCTTCAACTTTGAAAACGTTTTCAAAGTGAAACTGTTTAATCTCAAACCTGACTGAACGGTAGCAGTGAAGAAGAGAAAAGTAAGAAGCATGGCGGGCAAATGTGTGCAAAACGGACGGAAATGCTCGGCCGCTCTCGCACATGTGTTTCTACTTCTCGAAATGTGAAATAATGGGCAAGAGGGGGTCAAACGGGCGAAACGGACACAATACACAATTCATAATCGTTTAGTACTCCACTCTCCGCACATGTCTTTGGACACGGATTGTGAAAAATGGCACTTTTCGGAGAAAAGGATCAGAGTTCGTGCGTGGCACTTTCCCCCGGTGATATTGCAGCCTCTCCCAGTTCCCTGCTTCCTCATTTTTAATTTCTTTCACTTTCGAGACAAGAATAGTTTCTAAAATGTGCTCAAGTTCGCTTACTTCGATGATTTCGTTCCTTTTATGCTCACTTATCCTGCCCTATCTCATTGCCACGTGTGTCAAGAAAGGATCGCAGAAAAGGTAAGTGTGCTGTGTAGACAATCCGAACGGGCGGGTTTCAGCGAAGTGTCCAGAAGACTGCCCGTCTCTCCGGTTCCGTCGATTTCCAATTCGGCGCCGATCGCCTCGGAGAGCGAGCCGTCCGAAGATTCGAAGAGTGAAAAAAGTTTCAAAAAAAGCAAAAATTCTGCGTAAGAGTTCCCTGGCGAGGTTATCCATAGAGCGAAGTTTATCCAGAACTGATTCGCTGAAAGTCCCACGACCAAACTTATCCAACTCGGGGAAATCTGGAAAATCAGGCAAATCGTCGAAATCTGGTAAAAGTGAGCGATCGGACACGGATTCGGCCAAAACCGAAGTGATAAATGTACCACTGGGAAAGGCTGCAATGTGAGTTTGGCCGGATAAGAAGACACACTTTACGATCTGAAACATTTCAGAGACGTTCCGGCGGTCAACATTCTAACACCCGCTTCTGAGCATAAAGTCGCGTCGATTTCAATTCGAACACAGAGAGTTTCGTTCGCCGAATCGCTGAAAAGAGTTCGAAGACGGGGAACACGTCCAGAGGATTCAGAAGACGAGAAGACCAAGTACATAGCGTGAAGAAATTGTTGTTTGCTTGCGAATGAATAAAGAATTTTACTAATTCGGTCTAAAAATAAGAATATTTATAAAACAACGTTTTATTAGAAACGTTGGAAAAGTTAATGCAATCAACGAGCCTTCGTCCTCTTTTTGTGGTTCCTCGCCGGCGACTTCTGAAACATTTTTCAATCGTTGCGAGACCCACTTTCAATTAGAATGCGCCTTTAAACTACTGCGCGCCAATTTGCCTTGTCGTTATTTTCACTATTTTTCCACTGCTTTTCTCGAAGTTTTCAACCTTTTTCCTATATCTTTTTAGCTCGTATCTCTTCTGAAGTGCGTACCACAAACTCTGCGTCAAAGTCTCCCCACTGCGACGGCGTCTCATCGACCGTTTCATTGTCATTCGCCTCCCGAGGTTTCATTTTCGGATCCGCTGAAATATTGCTCTAAATTCGATAGTCATCTTCTCTGAAATTCACTTGTTTTCGGCAGCGTATCCTGTTTCTTCTTTTTTTCCTTTCTCGATCTCTTTTCCCGTCGCGATCGTTTCGACGGCTCCGGCTGATGAACGATAACTGGGGGCGGCATCGGCCGACGACGTGGCGGGGCGGGTCATCGTCCTGAACTAGCGAGTTTCGCAGCTTCTTCTTTTTGAAACTCACAAAAAGCGAACAGTTGACGAGAAGAAAGACAGCTGCGTTGAGTAACAGACACAAGTGAACAATCATTCCGCGATTAGGAATTTTCGGAATTCCGAAGCAATAGTTGTTAGTTTGGGTTCTGAAGTCGAGCGGAAAGGCTGTACCGGGGCTAGTAGAACGGCCCGGTTGTCTAGAGTTCATAGGAATTTCGAAAACATCCGATACACTCAAATTCCTCGGAAATTTTTATCCAATAACTTCCCCGCGCCGGTCACATGTTCTTCACCCATTTCCCTGAATCTATTATTTAGAAACGAAACAAGATTGATTATCAGATTAGATAGAAGATGAAAGAAAACCACGAATGTTACCGATCGGTCACCATTTATTCGAGCGATAAACTGAAAACGGAATGTAATTCGATTCGAGTCGTTATCGGGAGAAACAGAGAGTAAATAGGAATCTGTCGGTCACTCCTCCTCCTCCCGTTATCACTCACAAGGCTATCAGTTCACTAGACGCGCAACCAGGCGCGCTTTGTTTTCTTTTCTTTCGCTGCAGAGTTGATGTGTTTGCCCGGTAATCGACCAATTTAACTGCCGATCACGTGTGGTTGGGAATTCTTGTGATTTGAAAATCTGCTGTTATCCAGAGTAGTCTGGAAACATTCAGAATGTTCTCAATTCCTTTATAAAGCGCTGGCGGATCCCAAATTGTCATAAACACCTGTGATGCCTTCGGCCTCCGGCGACTAGCTCATAATCCCCCTCTGGCCCTTCTGCAGTCAGTTCAGTTGCGTCAAAATCCTCCAGTTTGTCACGTTTCTTGCTCGTTTTTTCGTCTCCTCCATGTCTCTGCGCCCTCCCAATCTCACACACTCTTGCCCTGTCTAACCCTCTGGCGCCGGCCGAAAAGAACACAACAACACACGAGAAGCAGCTAGCCCTTCTCTCCAGTTCACCTCGAAACTCTTCTTTGTCTTTTGCAATGCCATTTTGCCCTTATCTAGGCCCGGAAAATTCGTTGTTTGCCATCGAGAAGTTGATCGTGTTATCAGTGAGAAGCACGTGTTTGGATTTGTTCTTTTCTCGGTGTTTTGAGAACGGGCGGTCTGGCGAGCGAACATTGCAAAGTTTTCACCGATCTGCGTCTAGCCATCTTTGTTCAAATGATTTCAGTCGATCAAAGCTCTTTCGCTAGTTTTCATCAATATTTCCCACTATTCGATCATCAGCACCTGACGTTTTGCATTCAATGACGTCACTTGGACCTTTTCTATCTCTTTTCTCTCTTCTCGACAGAAAACAAGAATATCCCTTCATTTTTAGGGGTTTCTCCAGCGAAAGCACGAATCGACCATGCCGGACCACGGACGCATGCCCAGAAACTTGTCATCGACCAAGGTATGAACAACTATAATCAGATTGGGAAGGAATACATCGAAATTTGTTTTTTTTAGATCGCAAGAACGATTGCCGGTGAAGATCTCGATGAGGAGGAGGTTGTGGAAATGGATTTCGGTCAGAGTGCGCGCGAAGAAGGTCGTTTCGTGTTCGAATGTGCATGGGAAGTGGCCAACAAAGTGGGAGGAATCTACACGGTGCTGCGAAGCAAGGCACAAATCAGCACGCAAGAGCTCGGCGATCAATACTGCATGTTCGGACCAATGAAGGACGGAAAGTGGCGGCTCGAGGTGGAACCGATTGAGCCTGAAAACAGAACAATCCGCGCGGCGATGAAACGCTTCCAGGCCGACGGATTCAGGTGTATGTACGGAAGATGGCTGATTGAAGGTTACCCGAAAGTCATTCTTTTCGATTTGGGGTCTGGCGCCGCCAAAATGAACGAATGGAAGCAGGAGCTGTTCGAGAAGTGCAAGATTGGCATTCCGCACGAGGACATCGAGTCGAACGACGCCGTCATTCTCGGATTCATGGTCGCCATCTTCCTGAAGCACTTCCGCGAATCGGTCACCAGCTATCGGCCACTTGTCGTCGCCCATTTTCACGAATGGCAAGCAGGAGTCGGTCTCCTGATGACTCGCTTGTGGAAGCTGGACATCGCCACCGTCTACACAACCCATGCCACCCTTCTCGGACGGCATTTGTGTGCTGGAGGAGCCGATTTATATAACAACCTGGACAGTTTCGATCTTGACGCCGAGGCCGGAAAGCGAAAGATCTATCATCAGTACTGCCTGGAAAGAGCCGCATGCCAGACCGCGCACGTATTCACCACAGTCTCGGAAATCACGGGACTTGAAGCCGAGCACTTTTTGCGCCGCAAACCTGATGTGCTCACTCCAAACGGATTGAACGTCTTCAAGTTCGCCGCTCTGCACGAGTTCCAGAATTTGCACGCGCAAAACAAGGAGAAGATCAATCAGTTCATCCGGGGGCACTTCCACGGGCATCTTGATTTTGACATCGACAAGACGCTCTACTTCTTCACTGCCGGACGATATGAATTCTCGAACAAAGGCGGAGACATGTTCATCGAATCGTTGGCCCGTCTCAACCATTACCTCAAGACGACGAGCGATCCACGTCACATGGGAGTGACCGTCGTCGCTTTCCTGATCTATCCAGCTCCCGCAAACTCGTTCAACGTCGAATCCCTGAAGGGACAGGCGGTGACGAAGCAGTTGAAGGAAGCCGTCGATAGAATCAAGGAGAAGGTCGGGCAGAGAATCTTCGACATTTGCCTGCAGGGGCACCTTCCCGACGCTGAGGAGTTGCTCTCTCCGGCAGACAACATTCTGGTGAGTTCGCTTCCCGATTCATCCTCAACAGTTCATAATTTCAGCTGAAACGTTGCATCATGGCTCTCCACAACTCAAGTCTCCCGCCCATCTGCACTCACAACATGATCCGAGCTGACGACCCAGTTCTGGAAGCTCTTCGGAGAACTGCCCTTTTCAACAAGCCGGAGGATCGCGTGAAAGTTGTCTTCCATCCGGGTATCCCGTTTGAATAATCTCGATCACCATCCTCAATTCTCAGAATTCCTCTCGTCTGTTTCCCCACTGATTGGCCTCGACTACGAGGATTTCGTACGCGGTTGTCATTTGGGAGTCTTCCCTTCGTACTACGAACCATGGGGATACACGCCTGCCGAATGCACTGTGATGGGCATTCCGTCTGTGTCTACTAACCTTTCCGGATTCGGATGCTTCATGCAAGAGCACGTGGAGGACCACGAGCAGAAGGGAATCTACGTGATCGATCGGCGACACAAGTCGGCCGAAGAGTCCGTCCAGGAGTTGGCGCACGCCATGTGAGTTCCAGTTATGCCGTAGGAACTCGAAATTCCAAATCTGTTTTGCAGGTACGACTTCTGCGGACAGTCGCGTCGTCAACGCATCATTCTTCGCAACGCCACCGAAGGGCTGGCCGCTCTACTTGATTGGCAGAACTTGGGAGTGTTCTATCGGTAGGATATAGAAGTGAGCGACAGTTTTTCACGAATTAATCTCATTTCAGCGAATGCCGTCGCCTCGCACTTGAGAAGCTTCATCCTGACGTCGAAAAGATCATCCGTGAGAACGAAGGAAAGGTTCCATCTGCCGCCACGTCACGCCGTCCATCCGTCCATTCGAGCGACGGCGAGGACGAGGAGTAGACCGCCCGTTTCTTTTCTTCGTGTTCCTCTGCCATACTTCTTTGCTCATTTTCTATTCTGCCGAATAGCAGATTTATATTGCATGCCATCACCCACATTTATGTATCCGTTGTCTTTTTCTGAGCACACCGGTTCTGCCCCACTCTTTCTAAATTATATATGATGACACGTGCTCTTCACTAGATTTTTTATTTTGCAAGCCCAAATTGTCCATTTTGCCACCCACAAATTTCTATTATTGCACCCACTTTGTTATTATATCTCACTTTAGATAATAGCAAACATGTATAGTAAAGTTTAGAATATTCATATCATTTTTATTAATATAACTCTTCACGGGTTTGTCCCTTTGTTTGTTTATTTATTTCTCTGCTTGTCCGTCCCCACTTCATTTCTAAAACGGAAATAGTTGTGACGGAGAAATTGAGAGATGAACGCGTGAACTTTTATACAGTTATGAGAAAGAAACAAGCGGCGTAGCCGCTTTCAAGCGTTCAAGCGTGAGCTGTTGTCTTGTTATGCAATATAAAACAGAAAAGAGCAAGTGTGTGTGTGTGTGCGTATAGTTAAAAAACAATTGAGGTTGGGGTTTTCCAGAAGGAGTACGGGATGGAGAAGTCGTCGGCAACGTGTTTTATCATTTGCTTCGCTGAAAACTTGGCTGCCCGTCCGAGCGCTGCCGTCTTCCCGATCGGACGAACATCGTCCTATCTAGTTGAAAGTAGAGAAACTTTACGAGTATGATTTTGAGCGTGCTCCTGTGAAAGCGAAGGTCAATTAGTCATTTCCGAAAAGCGTGGCAGATCAGTTTAGTTTTATCGGTTTCCTCGCTCAAAAAACAAACAAACGCGGAAGCCAGTTTTCGATTGAAGCCGTTCTAAGTGACAGCAACAAAATGGCATCGAGACAAGAAGAAGTAGAAGAAGGACCTAGTTAGTGGTCCTATCGGAGCCTCTCTTCCAAAAGCGCATTTTCAGAACGGAGCTCTCAAAGTGCGGGCGACGTGTCGCCGTCTCCGTCACTGCAAGGAACGACGGCCACAAAGACGGGAACGACGACGATCTCGGAGCAGCCGGCCGACGAGCGCGAGGGCTTCGGCAACAAGGCCGAGTTCGTGCTGACGTGCCTCGGATTGGCCGTGGGACTCGGAAACATCTGGCGCTTCCCGACGAGGGCCTACGAGAACGGAGGCTCGGCCTTCCTGATTCCCTATCTGACGTGCGCGTTCCTCTTCGGATTCCCGTCGCTTTACTTTGAATTCCTACTCGGACAGTACCAGGGAAAGTCGCCGCCGATCGTGTTCCGGCGAGTGATGCCCATTCTCGAAGGCGTCGGATGGATGGGACCGATCGTGGCGGCGCTCGTCGCCATTTACTACATCCTACTCATAGCCTGGATCAGCATCTACATCCTCAATATCTTCCGCGGCCACTTCAACGTCTGGAACAAGTGCGACAACGAATGGAATCTCGTCTCCACGTGCATAGATCTGCTGAGCCAAAAGAAGTGTCGCGTGGCGAATCCGCCCGGCTGGAATGGAACGAATGTGACGATCCCTGAGAAGCTGTACTACATGGAGGGCACGTGCAAGGACGCCGCCAACTACGCGAACGTCTCCCTTGTGAGTGCGACCGAGCAGTACTTCATGCGCTACATCATCAATCCCTCCACGAGCCTTCTCGACTTCGATTCGATTAACTGGCCGGTTCTGGGCGCGATGACGGCCTGTTGGCTGCTCACGGGACTCGGAATTGTGAAGGGAGCCAAGATCATAGGCAAGATCTCTTACGTTTCCGTCATTCTCCCCTACATCATTGTCGTCGTGCTCTTCATCCGTGGAGTCACTCTAGAAGGTGAGTTCCTTTTTCCCTAAACTTCCACCTCTCACAATTGTGTCTTTCAGGCGCTTCCCAAGGTCTCTACTACTACTTCGGAAAGCCCGACTACGCTAAGCTTCTGCACACGAAAACCTGGACGGAGGCCCTGAAACAGCTGTGCTTCTCGCTCTCCGTCGGCCACGGAGGTCTCATGACTCTCTCCTCGTACAGCAAAAAGAACAATAACGTGTTCCGTGACGCGCTGATCGTCATCATCGGAGACACGATGATGTCGTTGGTCGGAGGTGCCGCCGTCTTCTCGACGCTCGGATTCCTGGCCACGCAGAGAGGAGTGACGGTGCCGGAAGTCGTCAAAAGTGGGCTGTCCCTCGCGTTCGTCGTCTACCCGGAGGCAATGACCCAAATGCCGTTGCCGTGGCTCTGGAGTTTTCTCTTCTTCTTCATGCTCTTTTTGCTCGGCGCCAGCACGGAAATCGCTCTCGTCGAGGTCTTCTGCTCGTGTCTCTACGATCAAAACAAGAGTTTGCGAAACAAGAAGTGGCTCGTCGTCATGATATGGTGCCTTGTTCTCTACGCAGTCGGATTCGTCTTCTCCACCGGAGTAAATAAGACCAGACGCTCTTTCTCTTTCACTGTTCTTTGTTTCAGGCCGGAATGTACTGGTTTGAGTTGTTCGACGAGTACGCCGCCGGCTTCTCCTCGGTGTGCACCATGTTCTGCGAGCTCATCGTAGTTATGTGGATCTATGGATGGCGGAACTTACGCGAAGACATCACAGAAGTGCTCGGTAATGCGAAGAACAGATGCACAAAGGCGATCGGACCACACTCTCCTTACCTGATGGTCAACTGGATGTTCATCTCTCCGCTGATTGCCACGGTGAGTACGGTAGAGTGCACTTCACATTTTACACGTTCCGTCTCCAGGTGCTCGTTGCGCTCTCGTTCATCCGATCCTATCCGTACGAGGGAAAACCCGATGTGTACCCGCCGTTGTTCGATGTTTTCGGCTGGTTCGTCTCGTTCATCCCCGTTCTCATGATTCCTCTTTTCGCCGGTCTCAACTACTACAAGTCCCGCAAACATGGACACGTGAGGCTACCGTACCCCTTTGACCATATTTTCACTGTTCTATTTCAGACCGTCAAATCGCTGATGATGCTTCAAAAACAGCACGTCTCGTATCCTCGAATCTCACAGAACTTTGATGAAGATCAGAAGGCGCTTCAAGACCAACTTCCCGAATTGGAACCGTGGGACGAGGAGCCAGAATCGGAGAGCGAACCGACCCGGAAGGTGGCCAGCGGAGACGTGGCGATAATTGACGTGAGCTCATCGGAAAATCAAATTTATTAAATGACCGACTTATTATTGCACATGGATAAAAGGTATTTGGAATTGAATTCGCACACATGAATGACTAGACAGCTGGCACATTATTACACTGGTCAGAGCTCGGCTCTCATTTGCTCACAGGTATTTGAAATCTTTGATCCGTTTGTAGATCTTTGTGAACTTGTGCGTTCTTCCCTTGAACTCTCTGACCATGTACTGCATCAATCGCTTGTTCTTCACCGTGAACCATCTCTTGGATCGTTGCGGATGACGTGTCGGGTTCCTTGTCTCATTCTGAAGTACTGGTACGTCGGAGTGAGCATCAGAGTGGGCGCTCCTTCGGAAGACGTCCTTTCGTCCAGAATGTCTCCCTCCTCGATCATGATGAGTCCGGTGTTGCTCACAGTTGTCAGAGCTCCTTTATCCGTTGTTTGGTTGTCATCTTTGTACTGCTGAATAGTCAAGAATCCATTGTATTGGTGTACATTCGAAGGATCATCGAGGCTGGTCATTGTGGCACTGAAACTGGGGGTTACGGTACGAATGGTACTTTATCACCCACGTGTAATTAATGTACGGTGTCCCGAAACTGAGCGACGGCGCCACGGAGAAAGTGACAGTTTCGTTATAGACCATTCCATCCATGTCAACCGGATAATCAGTTGTATGGTTATTCCATCCTTTGACTTGCGATTGCCATTCACCCAAAAGCCACGCAAATGGCAGCAGAATCGGTTGGAGGGGCAGGTAGTCGAATTCTGAAACCGTACTGATTTCTAGGAAAGGAAAAGGAAAGTACCTGTAATATTCTCCAACTTCTCACAAACCCCACAAGAAGCCGCACAGTTCAAATCGAAAAAGTCGGTGGCATTCCTCATTTCATCGCATTGACCCTCTCGTTTCCACACCCTACACGACCCGTAAATGTCTTGGCACGGTCCTGAAAAGCTTGAAAATTACCTCAAAGATCCTGTGCTCACTCACTTTCACAATTCCTTCCCATCCATCCGTCGCCACACTCGCATTTGTAATCATTGAACAGATCGACGCATTTCGCGCCGTTCTGGCACTTGTTCCAGCCGCACTCATTGATTTCTGTAAAGTTCGAATGGGTTCGAGTTGAATTATACACTGGAACTGACCCCTTTCGCACTTTCTGCCAGTTGTACCTGGAGCACATTTGCACGCGAGTTTTCCGAATGTATTCAAGTAGCACTTTCCGCCGTTTAGGCACTGATCCATTGGACATTCAACTGAAAATCATAGTCGTGAACTAGAAAAAGTGAAGAAAAGTTAGTCCTCGGAGTTACCTTCACAAAGCTTTCCCACAGTTCCAACTGAGCACTTGCAGGAGTAACCGGAATGCGAGAGTTTGTCATTGTAACAAGTCGAGTTGTTCGCGCAGTCATTGTCGATGCACTTGTCGATTTCTGTGCAGTTCACTCCAGAATATCCCAGAGCACACTCACAATGCACTTTTCCCTTGTTCAAAGTGCACGATCCGCCGTTCTCACACGGATTCTCTTGGCACTTTTCTGAAAGAGATCTGTGTTATCCCGGATACCGTCCCAAATGTGTCTCACCTTCCATTTCCAGGTCATTATTGTCGACGAAGTCATGTTGAAGATGATGAAGATGAGCGTGCGCATTCAGGAATTTGAGATCATCCTCCCGGAGTACGGTATCATTCAGTGGAGCGAACTTTTTGAACATTCTTCCCATCATGAAAGAGGATTCAGTGGTGACCGACTTCTCGATGAGAAATTTGGATGAATGCTGGAAAATGAAACTTTATAGATACTTTGAGACGAAGTTTGTGTTACCGTAATCTCTGGAATCCTGGTCACATCGTCCTTTTCGCCGATCATGACCTCCGCCGCAGTCACTTCGATCTTTTTGCCCACTGGTCCGGCTGAGCTGCTCTCGAACGCCAGCCCATCAAAATCGAACACATCCTCAGTGTTCTCCGACGTTTCCTCAGTCGGCACTGTGACCATTGACATCTTAGTCTTCAGAAACTCCTTCTGTTCCTCGAAAAGCGGATGCTGAGAGGGCAGAATCGGCTCCGAAGTGACCACTTTCTCCGATGATCTCTGTTCCGTATCTTTTTCCAAATTATACACAAAAATGTTGGGATCTTGACGGGAATATCTCTGGTAAGGGCCTTTCAGGAATGCGTGTTTCGGACGCCATCTCTCCCAATACAACACGTTTTCCGTGGCGATTGTGGCGCTGGAGAACTGGGAAATCAACGAAAAAGTACTGAAGAGAAAAACTTACACAAATTGCACATTTCCGACGTCGTGCGTGGCTTCCCATTTCGCTTCTGCCAGGAACTTTTTGTCGTCGCCAGTATGGGTGAGAGAGTCGTTGGTTACAAGTCTTCCGCATTGATGGAATCCGATTCTGCACTTACACTACTTCATTCTTCTTCACTCAAAACTCAGGCCTACCATGCGTCTCAAACGAATCATCTTCTATGAACTTTCCGCCTCTCAACGAGCCGATTATGACTCCAGAAGGCGTGCAGAGTCTCGGCTGAATCATCAGACCTCGGAAGTGCACGTAGGCTTCCAGTTTGACTGGAATTTTGGGAATTTGATGAAAGATGCTCTTATAAAGATACCTGTGTAAGTCTTTCCGACTTCATAGCCTTCCACTCGTTTCCCTGCCGCATCAAAGACCGATAAATCGAATGGAGGCTCTGTGGTTTGTGGCTTTCCGTGTAAATGACGTGGCAATCTCATCGAGTCTCTGGAAGGAAAGTTGAATTGAGCGAGAAAGAAGTGGGGTAAGTTCTTGCCTGCTGTAGCAATGAAATCCAGAAATTTCATACAGACCTTTGAACCCATCAGTGGCTAAGGACAATCGAAGGAAGATGAATAATATGAAGAGGTAGATCATCTGAAAGGAATATGAATGATCTCAAAGGGAAGTGATGATAAGGGAGAATGAGAAAGAAGCATAAACGAACTAGTAGTACATAATAGTGGATCTGGCTACAGAAGTGGAACGTTGCTACAGTATCCCTAACAAGGGCAGAGCAAAGGAAACAGTAGAGATCAGATAAGTGTGAAAAATGAAAACTGACGACTTTTGCGGCTTCTGCGGCGGCGGCGGCGTCCGCAAGCTTTCAAAAAGACAAACGAAAGTGGGCGGAGCGTGTTGTTCACCGTGCGGTCCTCGGCAGAATGTCCCGAATGATGAACACATTAGGGAAGGGGGAAGAGAGACCAGTTCTCGCGATGAATGCCATATCCCCCCGCTAGATCCTGACGGTAACACTTTCCTCCCGCTCCCGCCTGCCTTTTGCCTGCTTTTTTTCGCCTCGAGACCACACCATTATAGGTAGAGAGAGAGCGGGCAGATAGACCCCTGTGATAAGAAGGTTCGGAAAGGAAAGGACAACCCGTTTCGCATCGGTTTTTTTCGTCAGTACGTCTGTGTGTCTTCACCTCGATTAGCCTCTTTAGGGCATTAGCCATCGGGATTTACCATGTAGAAGGGGATTGGAAAGGGAAGGAAGTGCGCTCTAAGAGGAAGCGTTCGACGGAGTTCGACTGATTGGGATCAGATCCCAGTCACATCAGTTCATGTCAAAAGGGAAATGTTCCACTCCACTTCCTTCGCTTTCGTCATCAAAAATCAGGAAATCGGTTCGGCCGCGAGATAGTGGGAGAGCCGCTGAAAAAACGAACGAAAAAGTGACGGAAGCGGCTTGCGAATCGTTGCGAAATGAAATGCGATTAGATATCATCTATCTCTTTCTCGATATCATCGTTGGATGGATCCGAGTGATCATTCGATGGAACACGGAAAATGATCAGATTGAGGAAGTTGGTTCCGTTGCATAGTACGGCTATTAACAACGGAACAAGAAGGACAAAAACCGTGTAATTGGCATCTAAGAAATTGTCGGATTGCCACCACTGTACGGCAGAACATCGACTTCTACCTGCTTCGAACACAGCTTTCTCTCATGGCAAAACAACAATTTCTACGACTTCTGTACAACCGGTCATGATTACTTGAAAAGATGAAAAGTGAGATTGTTTTTCTGTTTTCCAACTGCAGAAAGGATGGAAACGAATACGGTTGGAAGTTGGATTATAGAATTATTCATCACGTCGCTAACGAAACACAAATATTTATCAGGCGCGAAATTGAAAAATTCACATGCTTTTTCTAAGCTTTCGTTGGTTTCGCGGCACCGATGATGATCACTTGTTGTCCTCCGCCGTACGGTCCCTTTCCTCCGCCATACGGCCCCTTTCCTCCGCCATACGGTCCCTTTCCTCCGCCATACGGTCCCTTTCCTCCGCTGTATTGATGTCCGTGTCCTGGCTCCTCGCAAGAATCAGGATTGTGCGGCTTCGTCGGCTTCTTGGTGTGGTCGTCCTCGCAGGAATCTGGAAATGACTGGAATGAGCAGAGGTGTCAGAGAGAGAAGAACGGTTACCTGGGTTATGTGGTTTCTTAGTGGATGGACGTGGCTTAGAGGTGGAAGGTCTTGGCTTAGCAGTCGAAGGACGCGCAGTTGAAACAACTGCCCCTTTCGTGGAAGGAGCGGCTGTAGAAGGATGAGGAGTCGAGGTTGTCGCACCTGCTGCCGTAGAAGGACGAGACGTGGACGGTCCTGCGGTAGAGGCTGCCGGAGCTGAAGAGGAAGCTCCTGGGGCAGCAGTTGAAGCTCCTGGAGCAGCAGAAGATGCTCCTGGAGCAGAAGAAGAAGAAGCTCCTGGGGCCGCAGTCGAAGCTCCTGGAGCAGCAGAAGATGCTCCTGGAGCAGAAGAAGAAGAAGCTCCTGGGGCTGCAGTCGAAGCTCCTGGAGCAGCAGAAGATGCTCCTGGAGCAGAAGAAGAAGAAGCTCCTGGGGCCGCAGTCGAAGCTCCTGGAGCAGCAGAAGATGCTCCTGGAGCAGAAGAAGAAGAAGCTCCTGGGGCCGCAGTCGAAGCTCCTGGAGCAGCAGAAGATGCTCCTGGAGCAGAAGAAGAAGAAGCTCCTGGGGCCGCAGTCGAAGCTCCTGGAGCAGCAGAAGATGCTCCTGGAGAAGAAGAAGAAGAAGCTCCTGGGGCCGCAGTCGAAGCTCCTGGAGCAGCAGAAGATGCTCCTGGAGCAGAAGAAGAAGAAGCTCCTGGGGCTGCAGTCGAAGCTCCTGGAGCAGCAGAAGATGCTCCTGGAGCAGAAGAAGAAGAAGCTCCTGGGGCCGCAGTCGAAGCTCCTGGAGCAGCAGAAGATGCTCCTGGAGCCGAAGAAGAAGATGCTCCTGGAGCAGTAGAAGAAGATGCTCCTGGGACTGCAGTTGAAGCTCCTGGAGCAGAAGAGGAAGCTCCTGGGGCAGCAGTCGAAGCTCCTGGAGCAGCAGAAGATGCTCCTGGAGCAGCAGAAGAAGAAGCTCCTGGGGCCGCAGTCGAAGCTCCTGGAGCAGCAGAAGATGCTCCTGGAGCAGCAGAAGAAGAAGCTCCTGGGGCCGCAGTCGAAGCTCCTGGAGCAGCAGAAGATGCTCCTGGAGCAGCAGAAGATGCTCCTGGAGCAGCAGAAGAAGAAGCTCCTGGGGCCGCAGTCGAAGCTCCTGGAGCAGCAGAAGATGCTCCTGGAGCAACAGAAGATGCTCCTGGAGCAGAAGAGGAAGCTCCTGGGACCGCAGTCGAAGCTCCTGGAGCTGATGTAGATCCACCACCACTGCTGTTGCCTCCGTTGCCTCCATTACCTCCGTTTCCACCATCTCCTGATCCGCTGCTGTTGCCTCCGTTGCCTCCATTACCTCCGTTTCCACCATCGCCAGATCCAGAGCTGTTGCCTCCGTTGCCTCCATTACCTCCGTTTCCACCATCTCCTGATCCGCTGCTGCTACCGCCGTTGCCTCCATTACCTCCGTTTCCGCCATCGCCAGATCCAGAGCTGTTGCCTCCGTTACCGCCCGATCCGCCGTTTCCGCCACTGCCAGATCCAGTGCTGTTGCCTCCGTTGCCTCCATTACCACCATTTCCACCATCTCCTGATCCGCTGCTGCTACCGCCGTTGCCTCCATTACCTCCGTTTCCACCATCTCCTGATCCGCTGCTGTTGCCTCCGTTGCCTCCATTACCTCCGTTTCCACCATCGCCAGATCCAGAGCTGTTGCCTCCGTTGCCTCCATTACCTCCGTTTCCACCATCTCCTGATCCGCTGCTGCTACCGCCGTTGCCTCCATTACCTCCGTTTCCGCCATCGCCAGATCCAGAGCTGTTGCCTCCGTTACCGCCCGATCCGCCGTTTCCGCCACTGCCAGATCCAGTGCTGTTGCCTCCGTTGCCTCCATTACCACCATTTCCACCATCTCCTGATCCGCTGCTGCTACCGCCGTTGCCTCCATTACCTCCGTTTCCACCATCTCCTGATCCGCTGCTGTTGCCTCCGTTGCCTCCATTACCTCCGTTTCCACCATCTCCTGATCCGCTGCTGTTGCCTCCGTTGCCTCCATTACCACCATTTCCACCATCTCCTGATCCGCTGCTGCTACCGCCGTTGCCTCCATTACCTCCGTTTCCACCATCTCCTGATCCGCTGCTGTTGCCTCCGTTGCCTCCATTACCTCCGTTTCCACCATCTCCTGATCCGCTGCTGTTGCCTCCGTTGCCTCCATTACCACCATTTCCACCATCTCCTGATCCGCTGCTGCTACCGCCGTTGCCTCCATTACCTCCGTTTCCGCCATCGCCAGATCCAGAGCTGTTGCCTCCGTTACCGCCCGATCCGCCGTTTCCGCCACTGCCAGATCCAGTGCTGTTGCCTCCGTTGCCTCCATTACCACCATTTCCACCATCTCCTGATCCGCTGCTGCTACCGCCGTTGCCTCCATTACCTCCGTTTCCACCATCTCCTGATCCGCTGCTGTTGCCTCCGTTGCCTCCATTACCTCCGTTTCCACCATCGCCAGATCCAGAGCTGTTGCCTCCGTTGCCTCCATTACCTCCGTTTCCACCATCGCCAGATCCAGAGCTGTTGCCTCCGTTACCGCCCGATCCGCCGTTTCCGCCACTGCCAGATCCAGTGCTGTTGCCTCCGTTGCCTCCATTACCACCATTTCCACCATCTCCTGATCCGCTGCTGTTGCCTCCGTTGCCTCCATTACCTCCGTTTCCACCATCTCCTGATCCGCTGCTGCTACCGCCGTTGCCTCCATTACCTCCGTTTCCGCCATCGCCAGATCCAGAGCTGTTGCCTCCGTTACCGCCCGATCCGCCGTTTCCGCCACTGCCAGATCCAGTGCTGTTGCCTCCGTTGCCTCCATTACCACCATTTCCACCATCTCCTGATCCGCTGCTGCTACCGCCGTTGCCTCCATTACCTCCGTTTCCACCATCTCCTGATCCGCTGCTGTTGCCTCCGTTGCCTCCATTACCTCCGTTTCCACCATCTCCTGATCCGCTGCTGTTGCCTCCGTTGCCTCCATTACCTCCGTTTCCGCCATCGCCAGATCCAGAGCTGTTGCCTCCGTTACCGCCCGATCCGCCGTTTCCGCCACTGCCAGATCCAGTGCTGTTGCCTCCGTTGCCTCCATTACCTCCGTTTCCACCATCTCCTGATCCAGCTGCTGTTGCCTCCGTTGCCTCCATTACCTCCGTTTCCACCATCTCCTGATCCGCTGCTGCTACCGCCGTTGCCTCCATTACCTCCGTTTCCGCCATCGCCAGATCCAGAGCTGTTGCCTCCGTTACCGCCCGATCCGCCGTTTCCGCCACTGCCAGATCCAGTGCTGTTGCCTCCGTTGCCTCCATTACCTCCGTTTCCACCATCTCCTGATCCAGAGCTGTTGCCTCCGTTGCCTCCATTTCCTCCGTTTCCACCATCTCCTGATCCGCTGCTGCTACCGCCGTTGCCTCCATTACCTCCGTTTCCACCATCGCCAGATCCAGAGCTGTTGCCTCCGTTACCGCCCGATCCGCCGTTTCCGCCACTGCCAGATCCAGTGCTGTTGCCTCCGTTGCCTCCATTACCTCCGTTTCCACCATCTCCTGATCCAGAGCTGTTGCCTCCGTTGCCTCCATTACCTCCGTTTCCACCATCTCCTGATCCAGAGCTGTTGCCTCCGTTGCCTCCATTTCCTCCGTTTCCACCATCTCCTGATCCGCTGCTGCTACCGCCGTTGCCTCCATTACCTCCGTTTCCACCATCGCCAGATCCAGAGCTGTTGCCTCCGTTACCGCCCGATCCGCCGTTTCCGCCACTGCCAGATCCAGTGCTGTTGCCTCCGTTGCCTCCATTACCTCCGTTTCCACCATCTCCTGATCCAGAGCTGTTGCCTCCGTTGCCTCCATTACCTCCGTTTCCACCATCTCCTGATCCGCTGCTGCTACCGCCGTTGCCTCCATTACCTCCGTTTCCACCATCTCCTGATCCGCTGCTGCTACCGCCGTTGCCTCCATTACCTCCGTTTCCACCATCGCCAGATCCAGAGCTGTTGCCTCCGTTACCGCCCGATCCGCCGTTTCCGCCACTGCCAGATCCAGTGCTGTTGCCTCCGTTGCCTCCATTACCTCCGTTTCCACCATCTCCTGATCCAGATGCTGTTGCCTCCGTTGCCTCCATTTACCTCCGTTTCCACCATCTCCTGATCCGCTGCTGCTACCGCCGTTGCCTCCATTACCTCCGTTTCCGCCATCGCCAGATCCAGAGCTGTTGCCTCCGTTACCGCCCGATCCGCCGTTTCCGCCACTGCCAGATCCAGTGCTGTTGCCTCCGTTGCCTCCATTACCTCCGTTTCCACCATCTCCTGATCCAGCTGCTGTTGCCTCCGTTGCCTCCATTACCTCCGTTTCCACCATCTCCTGATCCGCTGCTGTTGCCTCCGTTGCCTCCATTACCTCCGTTTCCACCATCTCCTGATCCGCTGCTGCTACCGCCGTTGCCTCCATTACCTCCGTTTCCACCATCTCCTGATCCAGCTGCTGTTGCCTCCGTTGCCTCCATTACCTCCGTTTCCACCATCTCCTGATCCGCTGCTGCTACCGCCGTTGCCTCCATTACCTCCGTTTCCGCCATCGCCAGATCCAGAGCTGTTGCCTCCGTTACCGCCCGATCCGCCGTTTCCGCCACTGCCAGATCCAGTGCTGTTGCCTCCGTTGCCTCCATTTCCTCCGTTTCCACCATCTCCTGATCCGCTGCTGCTACCGCCGTTGCCTCCATTACCTCCGTTTCCACCATCTCCTGATCCAGTGCTGTTGCCTCCGTTGCCTCCATTACCACCATTTCCACCATCTCCTGATCCGCTGCTGCTACCGCCGTTGCCTCCATTACCTCCGTTTCCGCCATCGCCAGATCCAGAGCTGTTGCCTCCGTTACCGTCCCCGATCCGCCGTTTCCGCCATCTGCCAGATCCAGCTGCTGTTGCCTCCGTTGCCTCCATTACCTCCGTTTCCACCATCTCCTGATCCGCTGCTGTTGCCTCCGTTGCCACCATTTCCAGCGTTACCGCCGTTGCCGCTTCCAGAGCTATCACCGCCATTGCCTCCGTTGCCTCCGCTTCCGCCGTTTCCTCCGCTGCTGTATCCTGAACTGCTTCCTCCGCTGTATCCATATCCTCCTTTTCCTGCTCCTGAGGCAGATGTTGATGTCACTGGAGCGGCCGTCGATGCACCGCTGCTGCTTCCACCATTTCCTCCGTTTCCTCCGTTTCCAGCATTTCCAGAGCCGGAGCTGTCGCCTCCGTTTCCTCCGTTTCCGCCGTTTCCTCCATCTCCAGATCCAGATGCATTTCCTCCGTTTCCCCCGGATCCTCCGTTTCCTCCGTTGCCAGATCCAGAGGCGTCACCGCCATTACCTCCGTTTCCACCATTACCGCCTGAATTGTACACATTCCGTTCCGCGTACTTCAAAAGCTGTCATAAGACTCACCAGATTTCTTCTTAGCAATTCTGTGAATGTGTTTTCCGTTGTTCCTCTCGGCCAACTGGTGCTCAATCGGAAGGTACAGAGAGTCGACGAGAAGGATGACTGCGAAAACCACGGCGAACCGCAGTGAAGTCGGGGACGCCATTTATGCAGAAACTCGACAATATCAGGATGAATCTGAAAGAGAGAAAAGGCTTCTGACTTGCGGCGCTTCCGGTCACCCTTAAATATCAGCCTCCGAAGGGCCATAAAGCGAGGTAGAGAGGAAAGCAATAAAGTTTTGAGGTTTTGCTATCGGATCGTTGCTTCGATGTTCACCCTTTTGCAGAGCGTTCTGAAAACATTGAGAAATAGGAAAACATCAGCGCCATGTTTCAGATTATTTCCTTGAGGGCCAGATTCCCATGATACGGACCCTACAGCTCAGCTAATCTTCTGCGAGCTCTCGACTCTCCTCACAACTCGTGCATTCCCATTTCCTGACCACATTCAGATTTGATGGGAACATCCTGTTTCTCTGAGTCTCCCTCTCTCGCTCCCGCATTCCAATTCATCTGTACATATGTTTCTGTTCATCTGTCGAATGAGTGGGAGTGAGCACTTTGTCCGTCCGCAACTCGGCAAGAAGACCACAACGATCGTCCTATAAAACGTCGCTCAATGTGTCGGTCGGCCCACGTTTTCCTTGAGCTCCCGACGATCAGCTCATATGCCAATTAAGAAACGCTCGGCTCTGTTTAGTTTGAAACTTTTTTGATTAAAGTCTTCTTCTTTCCGTGACAGCAAACAATTTGGAAATGAAATGTCGGGCCCCGGCCACAAATGAGATTTTGAGTCCTCCTCCTTCCTCTTTTATTTGTTTTCCTTCTTTCTTTTCCACTTCTCCACTTCTCATCTTTCATTTTCAGCCCCAATGGGACTGGAACTAGTCGCCAAAACGAATTCCTGTCGGTTTTTGCCTTCTCCAAACTTTGAACTCTCCTCTTCATGCATACACTGGTGCTTCAAATTCATGCAACCTATCATTCGAGTGTTTTCCGCTGTGGGACACTTCTATTTCTGATGACATCCTCTGGGGACCGCCCATTTCTAACTCATGTTCACCCCAAAAGAGAGCCGCTGGTGGGTGAGACCACAAGAAAATGATGATCGTTGTCCGCCGAGCACCCGGCTCTATTTTATGATCTTGCTCTTTTTCTTTGCGGAGCACACTCTTTTTTTTAGTTGGAATTTCAAAATTCGAGTTGATAATCCATGAAACCAGGCCTGTGCAATCGGCCGGGCTCTTGAACCACCGGAAATTCGGCCAGCATCGGCTATTTCATATATCTCGGAATCAGACAATCGGATCGGTCTCAAACTTCTATCCAAAATATTTCAACTCAAGTCCAAGGAGCCTACAGAGTTTGAGTCCGATGGGAATATTAAAAGTGGTTCAAAAGTCCTGGCCAATTGCTCGTCTCTGATGGATACAGTAAGTGTCAAACCGGGAACTTAAACTCAAACTCTCCCAAAGTTTATTTCGGTTTAGACACCTGAAAAACTACTGTAACCATTGGTTGCTGCTTTCTTAGTTTAGAGCAGGTGAAACTAGAGAGTATATAAAAAGAACCCAAGTCACCAAATACATATAAGGTGAAATGATATCTCTGCAAAGTTTCCGGCGGATTACGGTGTCCGAATGGCTTTGAACACTCGTGACTAGAATCTATTCCCCTCTTCAAAACTCCATCCACTTCACTTTTTCGCCTGTTCCACATAAGAAGTTGTCGTTTTCTCGTTCGGATGTACCCAACCAAGCTTCAGAGTGATTGACAATCGGCTCGTTTCCGCATAAAAAATCTGACAACTGCATCTCGTGCAGACTCCATTCTTCACGGATTCTCATTAAAAAGGAGTAATACCGGAAAAATAGCGATTGAACAAGTTCACAAATAACCGGATGCCAGTAATTGAGTTCTGCTCTCTTTGTCCCGCTTTGATGAGCTTTTATTTTCGTTTTCACGTCTGCAAGGCTCTATGATCTACGCATGACCAACCATGAAAATCATCCTCTTCTTCATTTTCAGATTACTGTAGTTCGGCTAGAATGCGCAACATCTCCATTTCCTCCTCTTTTTCGCCTAATTCGGTGTTTTATCTGCCTCAACCCACAAGACCTCCTCTCGAAATCCGTCAAGTTCCCACTGGGCTCATAAACCAAAAAATCATGTCGTTTCGGTCGTCCCTCTGCATGCATACATTTCCCCCCATCCTTCACACTCACTATTTTGTTCACTTCTAGCGAAAGTTCACTATGAGATGACAAGAATGCAAAAGGCTCTGTTGGTTCTGCTCCTTCTCACGGAGGCAGTGCATCTCTGTTCCGGAGTGCGTGCTGCGTTGCGTCTTCGGAAAAAGTCAAACTCGGCGGATGATTCGGAAGAGGAAGACCTTCAGGATGAAATTGACGACGCCATTTACGATAAAGCTTCGATCTTCGAGCAGGGGTCACTACCCATTCATAACTGACTTCACGACATGCTAAACTTTTCAGAGAGACCCATGACTTTCTGCAATTCCTCCGGAGCATAAAATACGATCATCGTCAAGTGCCGGATGACGGGTACGACGGTCCAGTTCATGTGAACGTCTCCATTGTTGTCAGCAACATCCGCTCGGTCTCAGAAGTCACTATGGTAATCCTAATCTATCTAGTTTATTCCCCAAAAACATAGTTCTCCAGGACTACTCAATCGAAATGTTCTACCGAGAATCGTGGCGAGACCCGCGGTTGACGTACAGTCGGGAGAAGTTCAAGAACAAGACGGAGATCTCATTGCACGAAAGTTATTCGAATTTTCTCTGGCATCCGGACACCTTTGTGCCCAACGCGATATCTTCCAAGAACCCGAGAAGACAGTCAATCACTCATCGATCACTGTTAAGGTATTCACAACCATCTGTTCATAGTTTTCTATTTTTTCTCCGTCTAGATTACGTAACAATGGAAGCATCCTGTACAGCAGAAGGTTATCACTGATATTGACGTGCGGAATGGACCTCACCCTGTTTCCCTTCGACACACAATTGTGCAAAATGGGATTCGAGAGCTGTGAGTGGCCTTATGATCTGTTCAACATCCAAGCATTTCAGATGGGTACACCGCTGACAAAGTAAAGTATTTCTGGTCGTCGGGAGTGATTCAATCGCTCAAACTTCACAAGATTCGTCTTCCAGACTTTCAGATCAGAGAAGCATACGTTACGAGTCGAGTGGAAAGCTACGCCACAGGTAGTCTCTGGAAATAGGGGAACAGAAAGAAGTCGCGTTTTAGGAGATTACTCTCGGCTCTACGTCTGTTTTGTGTTCAATCGAGCAGCCGGCTTCTGCTTCCTTCAACTGATCATTCCGTCGACAGCGGTTGTGATCACCTCCTGGGTTTCGTTGTGGATGGAGAATGAGACGTCCTTCCAGGTGAGCACTCTTTGAGAACTTTCGTTAGAGGTGTTTCCTTGCAGGACATGATATCTATCATCTTGACGATCACTTTCCTTCTTTTCTCCTACAATGAAGTGATGCCACGTGTCAGTTACATCAAAGCAATGGACGTTTATCTAGGTCTACTCCTAAAGTCTTGTCTTTTATTGTATCCAACTCTTCCGATTTCAGGTGTCTGCTTCTGCATAGTCTTCCTTTCACTCATTAAACTGGCAGCAGTCAAGTACATGCGACAAAGATTACTCATTACCAGGTTTGATTTACCGCCAACTACTACCGTACTCCTTTCCCCCTTAACCCGTAGTTTTGTTTTCCGAGCTAACAACTCTTTGTACAAACTGTCGCAAGTGGGCGACGGGTGCACACTGACCCGTCTCGAGCCATTCGAACTGTTCGAGTTGGCGCCGAGTGTCTCTGCGGACAATTGCACGAGCGTCACGTGCCCGGACGCGCCACCTGCCGTCACGTCATCGAATGGAAACGAAGAACCATCAGCCGGAAGCCCAGAGTGAGCAGGAAAGAGAAAGAGCATGAAGAGCACTGGCACCACCGTTTCACTTCAACTGCAGTCTTTCTTCTCACTGTTATGCAGCTTCTGACCCTTTGAATCTCTTCTTAGTCTTAATCTGCCAAAGAAATAAGAAAATCGTTCAGAGATACGTCGATTGTGGCTGCTGGAATGCTGCCGATGCTCCGGTTGGTCAATGGAATCTCGTCTCCGGCGAACAACGGATCCGATGGATTCACTTATGAGAATCCAGCCGTCAAAAAGTGACTTTATGAAAATAAGAAGTTGCCAAATTGCTTATTTTGAAGAGTTTCCCTCTCACCCGACACTTTCACTCAAATTCCGATCGAAACCAACGGCTCGACGTCTCCAGTTTGTCGCCAAAATCGGGCAAAAGACAATGGAAATGGTAAGTGTTTGACAGAAAACAGATTCACTGATTCACTACTTCACTGATTCAGTTTCCCCGTCGTCGAACTGCTTCGAGTTCTCGCCCACATTCATGCACCGCTTCCATTGGATCACTCAGATGACGTTCTTCTTCGGATTCGTCATCTTCTGTCTCTTCTACTTTTTGGTCTATCCCAACATTCATACTCAAGTAGGTGAGCACGGAAAAACGAGAGAAAGTATGGGGTTTCATTTCAGCTGAGCGACGATGATTGTGACAGAGAGATGGCCGAATGGTTTGCCGAAATTCACTAATTTCATTTGTTTCTTTGTGCTTTACGGGTAAATGAAATATGTCAAAAATGTAAATCCTTTGTTTTTTGTCGGAAAACTTCCCATTGCAAAACAACATTTCCGCCCGCCCGTTCCTCTTCTTTTCGTTCTCTAACTCCCTCGCCCCACACTCCCTCTTTTTCTTCTCCCCTTTCTTCCACTATCTCTCTTCTGTTCATCACAAAAAATCTTCAATATAAGCTTCCCTTGACTCTACAGTTTTCTCTTCCAGATGCCCTATTTGCCGGTAACTTCCTTCAAATCCGTCGACGTCGACTTCATGTACTACTTTGACTGGTGCGAGGCTCTCGAAGGAGTCGGCATCCCCATCCCTCCAGTCTTCGGAATCGGCGGCGCTCTCACCAATTCCGCCCCCGTCTTCACACTTACCCTTCAGTTTCATTTGAAACGGCCCCGATGCACCATGTCGCTCTCTTTTACCCTCCGTCTGCCGCCCTTCATTCTCTGCGGCGGCTTCTTCATGCTCCCCTTCGACCTGCCCCGACTCATCTACCAATTTGGCTCTTTTTCTCTCGACTTCATCCCCTATGTCTCCCTGCCTCTTCCCCTGAGTTTGAATGAATCTTTCGGTTTCACCACTGTCTCCCTTCTTTCTCCTTGGCGGGATCTTTTTGCATCGGCCCTTTCCATGCCAGTTTTGCACCTTCCATGTTCCATCCGGGGGCGGTCCGATTCTCATTGGCGCCTCTTCTTTTCTCGCTTCCACTCTGTCAACCGGGAACATCCAAGCTCAGTGTCATTTGATTGTTTTTGTGTGTTGTTATTTTCGTTGTTACAAATGAAAAGAAATGAAGATCTTATAAAGAAAAAGAGATCAAAAAGAGTTCATTTCACTTTCTCCGTCCTCCTCCTCTTCTTCCTCTTCTTGACCTGGCTCCGTCGCAGGAAGTTCGTCTGCAATCGCCTTCTTTTCTTCCGACCACGTGCTCGAAATTCTGGAGAACGACGAATGCTGCTTCTGGATCATGACAAGTCCTCGAGTTGGCTGCAAATAGAATCGAGCGATCTTCATGCTTTCTGTCTGTTAAACGCACAATTCCTTGTTCCTTGAAGTTTCTGTAAGACAAGTAGGCGCATAATGGGATCATAAGGAACGGAAAGAATGTCAAACACCAACCAGCGATCTGAAAAAAAAAGTGTTCGTCATGTTTCTTTTGTGAATTTCACGTCAATCTCACATCGAAAAGTGGTGGATAGACATCCGGTTTATCCTGGAAAGGATAGGATCGCCAGCCCGCCAAAACCATCAGAATCATCCCGAACACTGGATTCAGGTACTTCCAGTTTAGACTGAAGAAGGGACTCGCATGGCCCAGAACCTTGAGCACTTCCATTTCCCTCCCCCAGCATGTCCACAACGTCCAATTTGAAGTTGCGGAGTCCGTAAACATACGAGACCATGATGCACATGACAGTGACGGAGAGCACGGCTCCGAATCCAGAGCCGTACTCATCGAACAACTCGAACCAGAATATGCCCGCCTACAGAACGAAACACAAAGTATTACATGAGACAAATGGGGCTTACATCTGTAGTTAGAATGATTCCAACTGCAAAGAGAAGGGAACAGACTCCGGTCACTACGAGCCATCTCTTGTTGCGGAGATATGCGAAACGCTCGCCGATGCAAGAGCACATCACTTCCACGATCACTAAAAAAGACCGCGTGAACTGTGAGGATACCTGCCAACTAACCCATTTCAGTACTGATTCCCAGCAAGAAGAGCATCACGAAGAAGAGAGCGCTCCAGAGCCACGGAAGGGGCATCTGGTTCATGGCGTCCGGATAGGCGACGAATGCGAGAGAAGGCCCCGATTTGACGACTTCAGGCACTGAGACTCCGCGTTGTTTGGCCAGAAATCCGAGAGTTGAGAAGACAGCGGCACCGCCAATCAGGGACATCGCCGTGTCTCCTAAGATCAGGAAGATGGCGTCCTGCAAATGTTTTAGAAACAGATTTTAGTTCACTCAAACTCACTCTGTAACAGTTGTGATGCTTTTTGTTGTACGCCGAAATGTTCATGAGCCCTCCGAATCCGATTGACAGTGAGAAACAAAGCTGTGTGAGAGCAGCGGTCCAAGTCTGATACTTGCCAAGAGCACTGAAATCCGTCCGCATCAGGAAGTAGTGAAGGCCTTCGGACGCGCCGTCGAGAGTGACTCCTCGGATGAAAAGCACGAGGATGATGATGTAGGGGAGGATTACGGTAATGTAGGAGATCTTTCCGATGAGCTTCATTCCTTTGAGGATCAGAATTGCGGTGAGCACCCAGCAGACACTCATTGAAATCAAGATAGGCCAGTTGATGGAATTGAAGTCGGTGAGCCCGGAGGAGGGGTTGATTATGAAGTTGTTGAAGTACTGCTCGGTGGCTCCGGTCAGACTGACATTCTTATAATCATCAAAGTCCCGGCACTTTCCCTCCATGTAGATTAACCGTTCGGGCTTCGGCTGAGTGAGATTCCATCCCGCCGGTTTCTTGCCAGCACACAGTTTCTGAGCAGGGATGTTGAAGCAGGTAGCTGTGAGCAGTGTTGCAAAGCTGCACTCTTAATAAGAATCCGACAAACCAGCATCATTCCAGGCATTGTCACAAGTGCTCCACATCTCCGAATTGCCGATGACGACGTTATACAAATAGACACTGATCCACGAGATAATCAGCATGAAGTAGACGCCGACGATGACTGCCAACGTGGCAGACACCCATCCGAATCCCTCGAGAATCGGCATGATTCGTCGGTAGACGAACGGTGGCGATTTCCCTTGATATTGTCCGAGAGCAAATTCCAGATAAACGCCGGGAAGACCGAAGAACAGAGCCGACAGGATGTAGGGAATCAGGAAAGCGGAGCCGCCGTTCTCGTAGACACGCGTCGGAAAGCGCCAGATGTTGCCGAGGCCCACGGACATTCCCATGCAACTGAGAAGGAACTCGATCTGGAAGAAGAACAGAAGGGAATGCATTCACAGTACTCTCTTTCCCACCCCTTTGTCGAACTTTTTGTCTCCTCCAGAGTCCGCAGGCGAATCCTTTGGCAGGCTGCTCACATTCACACCCGACGCCTTCTCGCTCCTGCTCTCGCTCGTCGTTAATGTGTTTTCCAAGGCTGAAATCTTCATCATCTTATCCGAGAGACTTCCGAAGACACTTACTCATCGAAGTCGGAGAAGTTGACGTCATTTCTCCGTTTTTTCAGCTGCGAATTCGTGTGATAACTACTTTTGAATTTAAGGTATAAAATTATCAATCACTTCCGAGACACTGACGATACCAGAGAAGGGTAAAAAGAACAAACGCTGGAAGAATCACTCCACGTCAGAAGGTGAACCACGTCACAACAGTTTGCCACGTTAAATATAAATTTATTCGACGCATATTAAAAAAACACTGAACAAAAAGTATCAGAAAAGATTTAGAAGAGTCCTCCCCGGGATTAGTAGAACGCGTGGAATCCGAGGGGCATTCTTCGGGCTCCAGAACATTCTTAGTTACGAAAAAATGTTAACGCGTATGTGAATAAATGTTGACGACGATCTTTCTGAATCTGTGCTTCTTCACCGGCTGCTGAGATATATTGTTTTGAAGGAACGGTGAAAAGGAAGCTGAAAGGCAGCAGTGTTTCTTTGATTCTCCTCGCATCGCGGAGATCAGCAACAAACGCACTGCCCGTTCTCTTCCCTCTCTCTATCGGAAACCTCAACTGAAAAAGGTTAAGTGCCATGACGAGAAGCCTCTATAAGAACATTTCGAAAGCGAGCGGAAGCTGTACAATGAGGCACTTCCTGCGCTGTTCGCTCTTATTCGTAAGCCTTATTGGAGGATTGGCTATGGCCATTCAAAAAGAAGTATCCTGCGATGATGTGAAGGCCGATGACTCTGGAAGTTTTGTGGTTTCGGGGGAAGGTAAGCGTTAAGGATCTGAAAAGGTTCAAAGAGGTGTTTCAGATTCCGGTGAGGATGCGACTTCCTCGGCAATTTTAATAGAGAGCTCGACGGCAGCTAACAGCGGAGGATCTGCAGGATCTGGACGACCTAGTGAAGAAGGCGGTCCTGGCGGTCCTGGAGGTCGCGGAGGATTTGGAGGACCTGGCGGAGCAGGCGGTCCTGGCGGTCCTGGAGGTCGCGGAGGATTTGGTGGACAAGGTGGCCAAGGAGGTCACGGAGGGCACGGACCGGGAGGCCCCGGAGGACCGGGTGGACCAGTTCAAGGCGATCATCCAGGAGGAAACGGAGAAGCTGGCGGTCCTGGAGGTCGCGGAGGATTTGGTGGCCAAGGTGGCCAAGGAGGTCACGGAGGGCACGGACCGGGAGGCCCCGGAGGACCGGGCGGACCAGTTCAAGGCGATCATCCAGGAGGAAACGGAGGAGCCGGAGGTCATGGAGGTCATGGCGGCCATGGAGGATCCGGTGGATCCGGAGGACATGGAGGACAAGGTGGAGAGGGTGGTCACGGAGGTCAAGGAGGCAATGGAAGAGGAGGAGAAGGCGGTCACGGAGGTGAAGGAGGCCAAGGAGGACAGGGCGGTGGACCAGGAGGGTTCCATGGATCCGGAGGTGCTGGAGGAGCTGGAGGACGAGGAGGAGAAGGAAACGACGGAGGTCCAGGAGGATTTGGTGGGCACGGAGGACACGGAGGAGCTGGCGGAGGAGGAAATCCTGGAGGTCCGGGAGGACCAGGACAACCGGGAGGCTCTGGAGGTCCGGGAGAGCAAGGAGGACACGGAGGAAACGGAGGAAATGGTGGATCGGGAGGCGCTGGAGGTTACTCGGGAGGAGAAAACAAGAATGACTGCGCTTCTGGCTCCGGCGTGCAAATAATCGTCGGCTCTGCGAGACCCACGAAATCAAAGTAACACACTTTTCCGTTTTTAATAAATGTTTGAACCTGAATTGATTCAAATGCATCACTGTTCAAAGTGATAACTTTTTCTCCGTATTTCTCTTTACAACCACCAACGCACAAACCGACTATAAAAGTGTGATTCGGGTGTTTCGGATGAATCTGCAAACATGAAATACCTAATTCTCTTCGCCGTTTTCCTAGTCGTCTTCGTGAACTCTTTCGAGATCGACTCGGGATCTGATGATTGCGATTGCGATGACGACGCCGTCATTGGTGAGGCTTCTGATAGATTTAACAAAGGCTTTCCGAATTTCAGGATCCCAAATTGTGCTGGTCGGGCAAGTAGTTGGAAGTGGAAGAGGCCACAAACATCACAGAGGACACCGACACCACGGCAGTCATGGACATCATCACGGACACGGCGGAGTCGTGATCGGAGCCGAGAGAGGATGATGGGATTGATGAATAAAGTGTTGAAATTATGATAATTTATTAATTGCAACCCGTTCACAGTTATTGAAAGTCGTCGAGGATTTCAGATGAGTAATGGGAAATAAATAATGTTCAATATGTACAGACATCATTCGAGTAAACGTCTCAACCTCTTCCGGGGCATCCACGTCCATTGCAGAACAGGTAAATACCGTTTTCCTTGGAGCCAATGTACGAGTTTCCGTACTGATCCACGTTGATTCCCGAGCCGAGTGGAGACGGTTGAGGCCAGGTCGGTTGGGGCTGAGGACGGGCGTAATAGTTTTGATAGTAGTTCTGGTAGTTGTTGTTGGCGTATCGCTGCTGGTACTGGTAAGGACTACGGTATCCTTGGTAGTAGTTGTTCCGGTAATAGTTGTGGTTGTAGGCAGTCGGGTACTGATATTGGTAGTTTCCGTAAGAATTGGAAGTTCGAATTCCGTAGGGACCCGCTTGGACGAGGGCGAAGATCAGAGAGAGAAAGAGGGCAATGAGAGAGAACATTTTGGAGTGGATTGCTGGGTGAGAAAAAACGGAAGACCGAAGTTATATAGTCCCAGAGTGACGTATTTGACTTCTTGGTTGGGGCCCGCGACAAAGGGGCAGGGCGTCTGATCTTGGCGACGGTTACACAAAAACGGGCCTTCCCAGCCCAGAAAATCTGGGTCGCGGACTAATGAGAAACTAATCATCTTTGCGTTCTTTATGCGAATGAGGCACTACGTATTTGGTTTCGCGCAAGGTCGGACATCGTTTAAACGAATAAGAAGCAGCTTGATGAGGATTAATTGGACAGGCGCGCAAGAAGAGAAGACGCGTGAAAGTGAGGAGAAGCCGTAGCATGACATGCCAAGACGGCGTTGTTTCAATGAGGTCAAAATGATGTCGGGCGTGGTACGGTAGGAGAAAGTTGCCGCCTGCAAGAATCACGCGTTCGGTGGCATCTGGAAAACGAGAAACTCACTTTCGCTTACTGTTTTATGTGCACCTGACAAGGAAAAAAGTGATCGTTACCAATTGGCTGGAACCGCGTCTTCTGGTTTCTCCTACTTTGAATAAGCAACAAGATGATACTGTTTTGCATCGGAAGAACAAACTTATGACAGCTAACCGAATTCCCATTGAAATTTCGAGATTTGCAGCAGAGCATTCGAAGAACATGCTTATCGTAACTACTTGGAACGGTATTGGGGTATATGCGGCATATGCCCTTCTATTACAGTGTTTAAGCAAATTTTGAGACCAGCTCACACTTCTTGAAGCACTCTTGCACTCTTGCACTCTTTTTCATAGAACAATCCACATCCATAAATAACATTTCTGACAACATCCTTATTTATGATTCTGTTCCCTTCCACATCTTTTTGCACTCATCTCGTCACTAACTAGCTTCCGAATAGCCGATATCTCCAGATCTGCAGAGATTGAAATGTTTGGAAAGTGACGAGGGATCATTGACGCAAAGGTTCGAAGACAGAGAACGAATCCTTCCACTTTGTCGTTGCGATGATGTGGACACAAAACCAGAAACGAAATCAGAAGCTAGCGAGAAGATAAGAGAACGAAAAGTGACGTGAGAATCCGGAACGACCTCCCAATAAAAAGGGAATGGGAACGAATGACGGTTCATTTTTGATAGACTCAATTGGATTCGGACGACCCGAAAATGCATAAAAACTCATCGAGACGTAGGAGTCAGAAGGATGAGAAGCAGAAGAAGAAGGGGGAGGGAAGCTGCTCGAGAAGCACGGCGTCGTCCCATCCGGCCACAGGCATCTACTCGACGGACCTCTTCTCGGACTCTGCGTACACGTACTCAAGCTCCACCTATTCGAAGAAGGTCGTCGAGGAGAATGGAAAACGTTCGGAGACGGAAGAGTACGATTCCATGGAAGAGTATGAGGTGGACTTCCCGCCGGTCGAGCTGAAAATGCCACGTCATCGGAGACACAATCATCACTCGAAACGAAGAAATGAGCAGGCCGCGATCGCTTCGAAGAGTTTGGACAGACGGGGAGTGTACGAGGAGCTGCCGAGCGGAAGGTGAGATTATTTGGAAGGCAAAATGATCTGCAATCTATTCCAGTTCCAGCGCGCATTCCAACCGCACTTCCTCGTTCTACTCCCCCTCCATCGCTTCCCAATCATCGACCTACCAGTCCTACAACTCGCAGAATCGCCTGCAATCCATCGGAAACATCTTCTCCTCGCTCATCGGCTTCTTCCAGAACAATCCGGTAGATATGCTTCGCCCTTTTTCTCTGAATTATAATCGAAACTGTTCAGAACATGACAAAGTTCCTGCTCGGAGTCACTCTGTGCTACGTGGTCGTGTGCAATCTGGAGATTCTGATTCCCAAAGTCATTTCGATGATCGTGCGACTCCTGTATCCGTGGGCTCGCTACTCCGCAGTCGTCGCCGAGCAGTTCTTCAGCACCATCGCCAATGTGTTCACTCGAATGGACGCTGTCATTTATGTACCTTTTCCCCTCTGGTTTCATACAATTTCAGTGTTCTGTTTTCAGGCGACGTACTGCGAGTTCGCCGCCAAGTACTGCCGTTCCCGCCGTCTCATGTGTGACGTCACGTGCTCGTTCGTCGACCACGTGCTCTCCCAGTCTCGCCCGAATCTCGCCCCGATCCCTCAGAACTGAAATCGAGCACTTTTCCGTTTCCTCTTTTTTTTTGCATGCGGTGGTAATAAACTCGGAGCCGTCGTTTCTGTTGCTCTCTCTCTCTCTCTCTTCCATTTTCCCCTTCATTGCGTGTCCTTATCAGTCAGTTTCCCTTTCTTTTTCTGCACAATCACCCCTCAGTTTGTGTGGTGTGATGACCGTTATGGCCGTGTACCCCAATGCCCTTTTGTTCCACTTCTTAAACTTTTCACACCTTCTCTTGTTTAATCTGACATTGACTTTTTCTTTTTTGTCTCCAGACCGTCAACCGTGCCTCTTTCGACCATGGTTTTGTCTCAAACGGGTCGTCAGATCAACTATCCGGAGTACGAAAACTTCTTGGCTTCTCTGGAGAAACAGGGCGGTCCGTTCAAGTTCGTAACTGCTCAGAAGCACTTTCCCGTTGGCTCCAAAGTTGGAACAGCGCCGAAACAAAGAAGTTTGGCCGAGATTCGAAAGTCGGTACTGGAGTCCCCCAGGGTCAAAGTGAGTTTCTCTCAGATTGCGAAGTATTGCGAACACTCCCTAATCCCTCGCCTTATCAGTTGCAAGAATTACAACATAAATAATGCTTCCATCAAATCTTCGGCCCGATTGTAGTCTCGGCCGCTCAAACCAAAGTTCGCACGTGTCAAACTTGTTTGATAACGTTATAACGAAAAGTGATAAGGGCACGAAAACGAAAGGAATTCTGGGATTTCAGAGTGTGATCAGTGAGGAGACTCTCCGACGGCAATGTCCTCCAGAAGACGTGCGCAAGGAGGCGGAGGGGATTCTGGACGAGATGTCGCACACTTTCAATCTCTACAACGTCCGCTCGTTCGGATACGCAGTCTGTAAAGCGATGCAGGTAGGAAAGAGGCCCCGATGCATTCGCAAATTTCCGGTTTTTGCAGAAACTCTACGACGGAATCTATGTGAACGAGAAGCAGTTGCTGGAGATTCGCGAGCGGAGCAAGAAGGACTGTGTCGTGTTCATGCCCTCCCACAAGACGTACTTTGATTTTCTGCTCCTGTCACTCATCTGCTTCCGATACGTAAGTGAAGTGACCCCCGAGGCAAATCGTGTGATTCGACCGTTTTGAGGACATTCAACTGCCCGCCATCGCCGCCGGCCAAGACTTTATGAGCATGAAGTTCATGGCGGGAGTACTCCGGCGATCGGGCGCCTTCTTCATGAGAAGGTCGTTTGGAACGGTGAGAGGGACAAAGAAAGAACGAAAGGGAATTGGGTTTCAGGACCGATTGTACTGGGCGGTCTTCTCCGAATACGTCCAATCGCACGTCGTCAACAATGACCGAACCATTGAGTTCTTTGTGGAGGCCACGCGTTCCCGAGTCGGCAAGTCCCTCCATCCCAAGTACGGAATGCTGCAGATGGTGCTTGAACCGTACCTTCGTGGCTACGTCTTCGATATTGTCATCGTGCCAGTGTCTATGAACTACGATAAAATTCTCGAAGAGAAGCTGTACGCCTACGAACTTCTGGGATTCCCAAAGCCGAAGGAGTCGACGGGAGGTCTTCTGAAGGCCAGGGAAATTCTGAACAACAACCACGGAAGTTGCTTCCTGACGTTCGGAGAGCCGATTTCAGTGAGACAATACTTCGGAACAAGCCTGCACAGAGGGACATTCGTGTGCCAACCGGACTCTCAGTTCGTGCTCGACGCTCAGGCAAAGCAGGAAATCAAAAAGTTCGCCCATCATGTCGTCGAAACGCACAACAAGAATGCGGTGATTACGGTGTGGAGTGTCGCGTGCATGGTCATTCTGCAGGTGAGCCAGATCTCAAACATCCGCCGAAACCCTAGATTTCTTCAGACTTTCGATCGGGACGATCAATCGATCCTTACGTACTCTGGCATTTATTCCGGAGTGGAGGACTTGATAACTCTTCTGAACAGACTCGGAACTGTTGTTAATATCGACACGAATCTAGATAAGAATTTGAGGTTTTCAAAAAATGAGAAAAGATTTATAATCAACAACAATGTACTTCAGATACTATCTCAAAATGCATAGTGATTTGTTCGAACCTTTCGACGTCACCGCCTCAGACTTTCAGCTGAAATTCATTGATTTTCCGGTAGCCCATCAGAAGCCAGAAGTGCCCATTAATATTATGGAAAGAGCGGTTAGCAGACTCATTCTCACCACTTATTCGAATGGGGTCAGTCTTCAAATCTACTATCTGTGGACATTGGAACATTGAAACACTTTCAGATGATTCACGCTGTTGACAGTGAAGGAATTCTATGCACAATCGTCAGAAACACGGAAAAGTGCCAAGTGGCGAAGGCAAAAGAGGAGTTTTGGTAGAATTTCGATAACTTTTCGGAAAATCGATAACGAAATTACAGTTGGCTGCATAACCTGATGAAGAGAGAATTCATCACTATCCCTGGAGAACTTGGCGCACTTTTCGATAAAACTATGGATATTTTGTCATCTTCCGAAGTTTTAAAGACTTCTGAAGACGGATTTCTAGAAATCATCGATGAAAGAGCTTCAACCGTGCTCAGCAAACTTGTCTTGGTACAGAAAAGCATAAATTGCTTCAGAAACAACTGAATTTTCAGCCCTATTTCTACAATTTCGAAATAGCTTTAGATTCTTTCAGTCCGAGCAAGCCGATCGTTCCGAGTTTAACGGAAGTCATGGGAACTGTTCAGAAAGTGAGCTCCGATCCTCAAATTGTCAAACTACTTAAATTTCAAAAATTTTCTGCAGAATATCAGTGACGCCTACCAGAATCGTTTTCCGAACACCCGATTGTCATTCCTCTCCACTGAGCCCATCAAGAACGCATTCACAACATTAACAGACTTCGGAGCATTCGAAAAACATGTAAATCTCTGAAATTCGCTAATTTTCGCCAAAATCAAACTTTACAGAGCTCTGGAATCCGTCCGAACTTTGCCAAACTTCATCAAGTGCGAGCACGACTTGCGAAATTTACGAAATCTTTAACTGCTTCGAAATTATGAATTTTCTTCATAAAACTGTCTAATTTCATAAAACATTGTCTAATTTTCTCGCTTCAGTGTTTTTCATTGCGAAAAGCTGTTTTCCCGCGCTTCGATTAAAATTTGTTCAGATCGTTGCGAGACCCGTTGTATCATAAGCTGCGCCTTTAAAGTCCGGTCGGAATCCGCGCTCTTCAAATTGTTGTTTTTCGCTCGAAAAAGTCTGTTTTTCATCCGATTGTTCAAAGTCTAGAACGTTTTCCATATTTCTTAATTTTTATTTAGTTTTGCAAGCACAACTCCCACCGTTTTAGTAAAAAACTTACAATGGACATACGAAATCGTTTGAAATCGCTCAACATTTCCCATGAGTCAGTTGAAACTCCGACAACGCCAACAACTCCAAATGTATCTTTCCACTTTCGAATTCTCTTAGACAATGTTTTTTTTCAGTTTTATTGCAAAGAAGACGGATGTACGCACGAAAAAGGATTCTTCACTATTCGCGGACTGCAGGGCCACATGAAGACCATTCATCAACTGGAAAAAACTAGGGAACAACTGACCGCCACTTCTGCGGCAACTCCACAGGCTCCGCCGCTTACCACGCCATCAGCTCAAGCTCAGAAAGTTCTATTCACTATCCTTCCTTTACAAAACATTGTTTTTTTTAGTATGTATGCAAAGTGGAGGGATGTACGCACAGAAGAGGATTCAACAGTCTTCATTCACTGGAAATGCACATGCAAAGTATTCATCAAACAGCTGAAAACAATGGAAAACAGAAAGCGGTCGCGGCTGCCATTGCCGCTAATCCTTCGATTTCAACGCCTGTAATGCCTCCGCCTCAGGCAACTGGTTCGTCTTTAACTGAATTATCGGTCACGCCATCCACAACTCAGCCGGTATTACTTGACACTCAGTTTTTCAAAAATAAACGGCTATTCTTTCAGTTTGAGTGTAATGTAGAAGGATGCACTCACCAGAGCGGATTCAAGACTCGTAGTGGATTGCAGAAGCATATGAAGATCATCCATTCCACTGAGGGCAAAGGGGAACAGTCTGTGACTGCTGCTAGTGCTTCAGCTGCGTCGGTTCAGGTTTCCGAGTCTTCTTCCGGTAGACGCAACGAAGAGCAGCAAGCGGCTGTCATTCCTGCCTTTGCCGCTTTTTCTCATCGGCTTTTATCGCCTGTCCAAGTGGTGAATGCTCCATCAGTGGAGACGTTGACACCAGCTAAGAAAGAAACGGTCAGAGTGTAGTATCATATCAACCAAATCTTCGTTTTCCTTTCAGTTTCATTGCACCGTTGATGGGTGTACCGCTGGTCCGTTCCAAACTTCGAGTGGGTTGCATAGACATAGTAAGAATGCCCATCCGATCGGAAGCAACAATAAGGAACAACTGCGCCCCTCAGACACTGGAAATGCGGTCCCGAATGTTTTGCCTACTAAGTTATTGAACGAGTCTGCCGCAACACCGTCCTCAGGCACAGTTGTACTGTAACCCTTGATTTCATGAGACCTTGATATGTGTTTTCCAGTTCCAATGTACTGTGGACGGATGCACGCACAGTAAGGGATTCCAGTCTCGCAGCGGACTGCAGAAGCACATGAAGACCATTCACCAATCTGGCCAAAACAGCCGAATTCAGCAAGGTGCCTCTGCAGACATTCCGCTGATTCCAACTCCCGCCAGACTGCCAACGAATGGTGCTGACACGTCTTCAATTGATTCGCCGGCGGCGACACCTAAAGCTCATAAGGTATTGAAGTTGACGACTTCAAGTCGTTTAACCTTTCTTCAAAAGCATATGATCTCAGATCAAATGCGAAGTGGAAGGTTGTACGCACGAAAGGGGATTCCAAACAACTAGAGGTCTGGAAATGCACATAGAAAGCATTCACCAGATTGTCAAAAACAGGAAAAAATCGGTATCCTCTTCTCTCGCTGTCATGGCCTCATCAGCAGAATCCTCGGTTGCGGTTTGTGGAATTTACCTCAGAATTGTCCATATACTTATTTCAATTTAGACAGCTCCGGATGCGCAAAGTCCAGAAACCATGGAAGATCAGCAAGTGGAGTCGTTGGGAAACGAAGCCGATGTGAAGGAACCGGCTAGAAAGTCTCTTCGAAGGGTAAAATTCATAAAACTGATTTTTTTACTTACCCATGCTTCTCTTCCAGGGAAATATCGAGAAGCCTGTGCCCGTCGCTAAGAAACAGAAGGTTTCGGAGAATTCTTTGGAGCAGAAGACAGCTGAAACTGTAGATGCGAAAATAACCACGAGATCCCCGGGGAAGCCAGCTGCGCCGGAACACGATTCTGTAGCAGAGCCAGAGAAAACCGTATCTACTGAAGAGCACGAGTTCGAGTCGGAAACAAATCAAGCCAACACGAAAGAACTACGAGATCTTCGACGAAGAAAGCTGCTCTTCCAATGGAAGCTGACTCGGATTCAGGAGGGGTAAATGCGTCTCGGCCGGTTGTCATTGGAAAGAAGAAGGCCGCCAGGAATCTTATCAAGAATAAACCAAATGATGTCACAGCGATGGAAACAAATGATTTGCCATCAGTTGAGAAAACGTCATTCAAATCTCCAGCACATCCGATTGAGCAGGAGGAAACTGATTCTGATGCAGAAGAAGACGTGAAGAATAAGGAGGAGCCTCCGATGATCGATACCGTGTCGGAGGACGAAGGAGATTGGGAGTCTAAGCCGATCAACGATGAAGAATGGGAAGACATTCTCAGGGACATGAGCAATTCGACGGAAAACCCCGTTTCGTCGTCTAGCGAGACCATCAAACGACCAGTGGAGACTTTTATGTTCAAGCCGTACATCGTAAGAGCGGACAACACGAAGGACTATAATCTTGGGCGATATGATCCAATATCGAGACGAGCTGCCCCGCCACCGTGTAGCTCCGATCCCGATTATCATGAGGAAGGACTTGCCCCGCCGCCACGTCACTTTGATTCTGAAGACGACCAGGACTCCGCTCATTCTGCACGAAATGTCGATTCGGACGACGAAGAAAAGGAAATCGAAATGAATGTGCGTGAAACTTAACTATTCGAGTTATCGTGACGTTTTTCAGCCTCCACAGTGGGTTTTCTCTGTAGGAGAGATGGCTAAAAAGCTCGTGAAGCAGCTGCGCAAAAAGACTATTCCGACTAAACTCAATGAAAAATTCTGTGTCGCCTGCCTCGATTACAAGCAGAAATCCGGAGAGTGTTCCCGCGTTCACGATCAAAATGACGATCGTATCCAGAAGCACTGGGAAGAGTTAGTCTATCAATGATTGTCCGTTTATAATTGCTCTTTCCAGACAATATCCGTTCCGCGCGTCATTCAACAAGGATATCGTCCTCTCAGACCTTCTGATGATCGCCGAAGTCTGGGCCTAAATAAATTGTGATTACTCAAAATCTTTGTTATTAGAATTTTCCTGTTTCTTACTATTAGGTTCTAAAACACTTTCAGCAGTAATACGAGAATTATAATGATTTTTTAAACATGGAACTAAGCACCCACTCTCGACCAATAAATATAAACGCCGTTTTAATCGTCTGTCCTCGGTTTTACTCTTCGGTTAGACCTCCCCCGACGCCCTTCATCTGGCTTTCTCTAACTTATTATTTTGCTTCAATTTTGTATTTTTTTTCCACGATTTCTTCTTATCAAGGCAATTTCAGATATGTAATGTGTATATCCACTTTTAATACGGCTCCATTTGGGCGTGGTTCGGAGAGCTTTCGGAGCACTTGCGCATTGTAATTATAAATAGAAAAGTGGGGGAGGAAACGATGGGAAATTGAAGGGTTTGGTGGAAATGAAAGAGGCGGAGAGGAAAGGTAATTGTGGCTCGGAGCGAGCGAAAAGGAAGGAGGACACTCGCTCTTTTTGGTTTTCATTTCGCTCGCTTACACTTTTTTATCTGAAACTTTGCCGCACCTTTTTGTGCTTCCAGACATTCAAATAGAATTCGAGCGATCTAAGTCCCCAAATCTTCCTGATCCCATTCGAATTGTCCGTTCATCAACGTCATCTTGTCCTTTAGGCTTCTCTGATTCCATTTCGGTTGTTTTCGTCTTCCACGACAACTTTCGTCAGTTTTTCACACGTACGGGAAATCAGCATCAAATTCCGAATATCCACATCGAGTTTTAGCAGGTACCTTACGAGCTCCAATGCAATCTATTTTAATTTCCGATGTATCCGACTTCTGCTAAATTGGAAATGTGTGATTATTGGCTTTTCTGTTTTCGGCTGCGGAAATGCACTTTGCACTTTTTGAGAAAGTATCAGGTGTAAACAGAACGGTCACGTAAACATACGTTCTCCTTTTGCTTAGATGGTTATTTCTGATAATTTGGTGGTTTTCGCTCTCTTGTGCTCCTCCGAACCTGGCTAAAGAATGCGTGAATGGCACTGAATTCAAGAGTTCGGATTATGTACTTTATTGAGAGCAACAAGCGAGAGATTTATCGGAATGTTCCCAATCAATTCGAAAATATTATCAGAGGGTATTCTTAAATTTAGATTTTCGTTCGCGCGTTTTTCGTCTTTTCCCTTCCACGACGACATTTTATTTGCATTTTCCCATTCGCCGACCACACCAAAACTCTTGGTTTCTCATTCATTTCTGAGATTCAATTCGTCGTGTTCCGTTGGCCGCTTCAATTTCGATTCAATTTGGGCGGCTCATAATCCATATTGTGCTCTTTTCTCTCCCTTTCTCCCCTCCAATGGATAAACAATCGAAGGTGGAATGGGAGCGGAGTCAGTCCGGATAAGCCGTGTGAAAAGCGACGCATTCGGACGGATTTTCGTGTTTCACCAAGTCGCCGAAAATGTAATCTGTGCAGCAACTTATAACCCTTTTCATACTTTTTTATTATTGGATTCCGAGATTCTATGAGCTTTGATTAGACGAAATACGAATGAACGAAAGCGAAAATGCCGGATTCAATTGGTGGATATTATGAAACCGAATCACAGGTTTCCATGACATTTTCGGAATGGATTCTGGTCAATTCTGAACATTCACGAGCTCATAAAGATAGAGCTTCGAGAAAAACAAATGTTATTCCCAAAGCTTCACCTGCTGAGTTCATTTTGCAATAAGTGCTCAAATCTTGACATTTTCCATAAATAGAGTAGCAATTTTTCTGGAAAAAACATAAATTTTGAAGATAAATACTATAATCATTCCTGGTTTGATAACAAGAAGTTACCAAGTACAAGTAGAACAACGTACACAGATTCTTCAAAAAAAAAAAAACGATCAAAATTTGAGGACACTAATCCGATATGAGGATATCCGAATGACATCCTTTCATGATGTTATAGCTCGTTTCCCCCTCTTCCTTTTTACTAAGCCCTGATTTCCTTTTGAATTTGATACGACAACTTTTTGCCGTCGTTGCGCTACGCCAACCTTTTTTCCACTGACAAAGCCTCAATCGTGCCGTTTCTCGTAGAAGGACCCTCCGAAGGCAATGAGCCAAATAGGAGAGACCTCCGTGTGGCTGCTCAAACTAATGAGCCATTCGATTCGATTCGAATCCATTTTTCGCCTCTTTTCTTTTCTTTTTTCGCCCGCCGGTCCCTGCCAGCTGCAGCCGCACTTCCTTTTCCTGCAAAGGACACGTTTTCAGTGTGTCTGGATCCTTTTTTCTTTGAAAACGTTGCTCCGGGTTTCGGTTTCTTTGTGTTCTCCCCGACGTCGATCACGTCATCGTCGTCCGTCCCCGCTGGCACTTCTCTCGATCCTCTCGCTTCGAACGCTCCGTCCCGCACCCCTTCTGAATCTAACTTCTTCTCGTTTCTGTGTAGTAGACGGAACTCGGACGGTGAGGAACATACACTTTTGCTGGCTGTAAAAACGACAAAGCGGGGAAACGAAGTGATATGAAAAGTAGGAAATAAAGTGTTCTTTTCTTTTCGCACTCTTTTTCGCCCATGATTTTCAGCTGTACTTCTGTGTTCTTCCATACTATATTTAGAACAAGTGCCATATTCAACACTGAGAAAATGACAATTATCTCCTTGAGTTGCTTCTGCATTTCCGCTCTGAAATACGCAATGTAGCCGTAGTGACCACGAGCAGAATCTGATTAAATCTGTGCATTAGAGTGCGAATTCTCAGAAGTGCATTGAAAAACTACGGTTTCTCGGTCAACGCGCTTCTGTCGCTTCACTTTTTCACATTTTTGAAAACAAAATCTGAATCCTCTCGCTTCTTTTTGTTTGAACCAAAATTATTCGAATCAATTGGTTTCAAGCGAACCACGGGATAACAAGCTGGCGCCGCCGAAGCCAACGAAAGACGATGAGGGCCAGCCGCAGAAAAGTCAATTGTAGGTTCTTCTTCCGTTGTCCCGATTCACAATTAATTATAAACAACGTTTTCAGCGTTTTCGACAGAAGAATGATTCAAAGGACACGGGACTTGGAACGAGGCTATGTCTAGTGAGTGCTCTGTGCATTCCGCCCTGAAACTTGCTCTTCCAGCACCGGGATGGCTGCGATGCTCACTCCGCTCAATTGTGTTATGATGCCGTTGGACGAGTCTGACGACGAATTCGACAGGTTCGAACTTTGGAAGCCCCTTTTTTAGAGTTTTTACTTCAAAGTTGACAAGTCATCGTTTCGTCTGAAAAATGAGCGCTTTCCTCCTTTCCCATAGGGGATTTTTGGAGGTTTCCAACCGAATTCACCCAACTTTTTTCCGCTTCTTTATCCTCCTGACCCCTGCGGACATGTGTCGATGATTTTGATCTTTCATACATGACCATTCGCCTTTTTTCGGTTCTGAATTATGCGTTTTCTTCGTCGTCTTCTTCTCCTCCATTCTTCTTCGTGTTGTCATCTTCTCTTCAATGTAGGCAGAAGACGGGTGATTTATGAGGTGACAGGTTCATTTCCTGGCCGATTTTTTCCGAAGAAAAATGGCCTGGGAGCTTCTTTCTGCCTTTTTTGCACTAAGAGCATTCGTGCAAACAGGAATTCAGGAATTTGAGAAATTGCAGAGGAAGGAAACGGTTGGCGAAGGGATTTTGAAGTGGTGTTTCCGAAAGCAGGCATTTTCAAGTAGATGTTATTCCCTCTTGGAATCTAGGCTAAACTTATCCATCAAATGAGTGGTTACCTCTGAACCCCTCCTCTCTCTCTCTCTCTCTTCCCCTCTCCAACTTCTTTTTTTTTGTTTTATCGCGATTGTCTCTGTCTGTGTCTCTTCTTCCCGCCCACTATTTCGTTGCTGATCTCTGACAGCGATTTGAGGGGAGGAACTGCTGGCTGCTGGTGCCTGCGCAACGAATAAACAACCGGTTTCGAGGAACTGCCACTGTCCGCCTACCCCTCTTTACTCCCCGGGTACTCTTCCTTTTTTTTCAAATTTTTGACAGTGCCCATTGGAAGTGTGCTTCTCTGCGGCTCGCACTCTTCTCGGCCACTTGCCGTCTGTCAAGTTGACTGTTTCAATTGTTCCCCGTCCAACGGAGTGGTCGATCCGTTCACAAACACTTACAAACAAATAGTTGTTCTGCCGCAACGTTTCAGTGTTGCCAATTTTACTGTAGAGATGAAAGTCGTTTGAAAGAAAAAACAATTGACAGATCATTCGTCTTGAGACACTCGTGCTGGTGTCTCAATGAATCACCATTTCCTCTCTTATCACTTTTTCAGAGTTCGATTTTTCACATAAAAATGTCTTTTACCGCCCTTCAGTCCGCTTCTTTTGATAAATCAATGCAATTTTAATGATTTTTTGTTTGATATAAGAGGAACCTGACGAACATTTGCGGACATCGTTTGAATTTCCCGCCCCATTGTTTGCCCTGTAGGTGTTCTGTTGCAGTGAGTCACGTGTACAATATTTCTGACCGCTTGTTTTTGGCCACAAACTCAGAGGAGATAAGATATTCCAAAGACTTTGCTTTGTAGTAGGCTTTTCTTGATTTTAGCTAATCTCGCATAGTGTTGAAGTCAACAACCAGAAAAAGTAGCATTGTACCTCTTTCTGCGTGTCAAAAGTTTTGAGATAAATCGATTTTTTTGTTTAATGATAATTTATCGTTCACGCACATTCTCCAGCCTAATTTCGGAAAGTTTCTTCAGTCTGCAAACGCTAAAGGTGTCGGAGCTATAAATTGAGTGTACTTCGAGGATTTTTGCTTAAAATCTCTGTGCAAATGACGCAATCAATGTGAATGTTAATGAAGTAAGGGAGTACGTAAAAGAGCACAAACTTTGTTCATTTGTGCGTGACGAATTTGTGCACACGCATCCGCCCCCGAACGTCATCTCGACCCCTTGACGTTCATCGTTCACTTGTCGATTCATTCCACTTTTCGATGCGGTAATTGATTTAGAAGGGAGAAGAAGAAGAAGAAGAAGAAGAAGACGACGGGGGTCTTCCTCTTTTCTTCCATCTCTCACCATCGTCAGTCAATGCGGTTCAAGGTCTTACCATGTGGAAGACAACGAATTTTCGAAACTTTTTTGTCGTTTTCTTCTTGCCGCCGACACTGACGACGTATTCCTCCCCTTCCTCTTTTTACTTGCCGTGTTCTCTCTCGTTTCGGGACGCCTTCTTTGTCACTTAAAAGTTGGCGAATGACGTGGCAAGCCGATACCTCTATTCGAATATCTCTCGTGATTACTTCTGATTTTACTTTTTGTGATCACACGGTTTCTGTACGGTTTCTGCGCACTTCTCCAGTCTCTTTAAAAGAGAACAGGTGATGATATAACGGTTTGAGTGATTGGGTTGATAAGAAATCACAGTGTATCTTTGTGACTTTGTCAGGAACATTCCTTCGGCTACTTTTTTCAGTGTGGCGCCTCAAATGTTTTATTTCCGAAGCATTCTGGCCAAACTCTGCTTTATCAGTGACAAATGATAAGAACTGCGTGGAAACTAGGAACAATCGTTTCTCGCGACGTTTTTCCCAAGCGTTTTTCGTTGAATTTCATGTCGAAATCCGATTTGGAAAAGGTCTATTTGACCACGACAAGCGTGACAAAATTCTTTTGTTGGCTGAAAAACGCAATGTTCACACTCGCTTCGAATGACTGATTTCCGACACAGTTCCCTGAAATGACGTGGAAATCAAAACGATTTCTCATGCTCGATTTCCGAAAAGTTCAAGTTTCGTCAGCGCATTTTCGCCATAGTTCAAGTGTCAGGAATTTGCGGATGACGGAACTTTTTTGTTTGATTTTCAATTCCTCGAGAGATTTCTTCACTTTTTGGCAGCTAGTTGCACAGTTTTCTAAACGATTACAACTTTTCCTATTTGGGAATTTTTGGAGTGATTCTCGCCAACTTTAAACCTTGTTCCACATACAGTTTCTTCGCCTTTTGTAGCGTCTTTCTTGCCATTCTCCGTCTTAATTCTATCCAATTTGCAACAACAACAAGTTTTCCGATGCGACAACAATTTTCCCCCTTCTTTTCATTCGTTTTTATAATCTCCGAGTCGGTTTCGATTCACCCCATTCGATTTGACGCATGTTCCTCTTTGTCAGTTCCAACCAAAGTGATAACGTAGGAAAAACCTGAATAGGACCCACACTTTTCGCGTATTCTTTGTAATAATCTCTGATGACGTGGCAAACGTATCGATTGATGAGAAACTTCAAAGAATTGACAGGCAGCAGCTGAGTAAATATGTACAAAATAGACACAAACACACAAACCGATATTTCCTTCTTTTTCTCTTTTTTTTTGGCGAACGATGATCAGTGCTGTCTTTGCGAGCTTCGCTGATAGCATTTTGAAGCCTTCAGAAAAACGTGGTTTCCTGAAAATCGTCAAACCGTACATCAAAGTTCTGTTCGCTAAATTGGTATTCTTTGCGCCCGGTCCCTCGCGGTTTCTCTTCAAATGATCCAGAAATGCTTTGAAATCTAATTAAACCTTTTTAGTTTGTCTCTTTTTCTCTTTTTCTCTTATTTCGATTTGAAATTGAAATGGACGAGTTAAAAGAAGAAGAAGAAGAAGTGAGAGGAGGAGGGGAGACGGACTGAAATGAATGAAAATGGAAGTGAAATGCTCGCTTCTTACTACACAAACAACCATCCATTTCATTTCGATTCGGTCATTTCCAGAAGAGCAATGTTGCCAGAATGCTCTCAAAATTGAATTCTTCATACCCATTTCCGTTTGGTTTTCATCGAAAACATCCGCTCAGATTAAGAGACTTTTTTAAAGCTTTAATCTCGAAAGTTTGAAAGTACAGTGTTTCTCGATCCGGTCCGACCACTCCCTAGTTCCGATTACTCTGCAGTTTTGCATTTACAACCCCTGTTTTCCACGTTTTTATTCGAAAAAAAAAGTGGCTGTTGTTGTCGTCTGAAGGTCATTTGAAACAGACAAACGAACGGGAAAAACGTGCGTGCCAAGGGGGTAATAAAGCGGACATTTGGGACGAACACGGGACGCCTGTGTTTCCCTCGTGTGCGGTGGGAGAATTCGAAAAATAAGTGATAAAGGAAGAGACGAGTAGTGCAAAAAACAATAAACAACACATGTTGCAATTGCTTCGCTTCATCTTCATCTTCTTCATCTTCTTCTTCTTTCTGTTGCCATCCAGCATCTCATCCCACTCATCCCGCCTATCTAATACACACACATACGACCAAAACAAATAGGAAAAAAGAGAGAAAGAGAGTAAACTTAAAGAAGAGAAAGAAATCTCAAATTTCCCCCCTTCGGGCCCTCTCTTTTTTCGCCTTTTCTTCTTTCCCGCCTCGGCAGTTTTTTGTTGCGATACTCTAGTAAAATGGAGCAACTTGTGGTTCATTGACTCCAGAGAAAATGTTTTGGAGCATCTTAAAATGTAGTGGAAATAATGCGATGTTTGAACCGTTTTCGTATTTGCTTAGCGAAATTTCTAGTCGATTCTCTTTTAACGACATATTTCAGTTATCAGTTTTATCGAGTGATCACTTTACAACAAAATTACCATCAGAATCTTCTCCATCATAAATTTCTCTTTCCCATCCATCAAAGACAGTTTTTTTAGTCTTGCCCTTTTTCCGTTTCCGCCCGCCCCATCTTCGTTTCCATTCAATAGTACCTTCGTTGACAATGGGTACGTATGCGTGCACGTATTTGCTTTTTGATAAGTCTCCCTTCGTGTCTGATTATAATGAGAAGAAGAAGAATGATAATAATCTGATTAATTTCTATACACATGTACATTTATGTACATTCTTTCTTTCTTTCTAATTCAAATACCTAAATAGAACAGAAGACCTTGTTGTTTATGTGTACGTTCAATATTTTAAATATACCTGCAACACGACGGTTCTAATAAGAACTTTGATTCGAAAGATAACAAATGTACTACATATCATTGTGTATCACGTGACCTATCATTTGGAAATGGGAATATGTTCCGTGTTTGCTTCTTGAAGTTTGACTTTTTAGATCTTTTCAAACGGTCACTGAAAAGAGCACATGAAATTTCAAAAGGCTTAATTATTATTCAGCAAATTTTTCTTTTCTCAGAGCTTAACTCTGACTTCATCTTTTCGTTTGACGTTTGAATTTTTCAGTCTCAGCGAGATTTCCAAGTAAGGCACCTTTCCAAGTAGCTACAAATCCGGAAAAGGTGTAGCAGTTGTGCTCGTATCACATTCACATTTCCCTTATTACTTCCTTCCTTCGCAGCACACACATGTGACATTTCTGCATCGTTTTTTTTCCAAGCCAATAATACTTTCTGACCGAGGAAAGAACATTTCCTAAGATGAGAAAATAAGAAGATTATAATCTCAGTTGTCCTTTTTTCTCGAATGGAATTTATGTATGTATGTGCATGCATTCCAGATATTCGTACTACCCCTCGATTTGAATGATTAATCCATTTCGAAAGAGAAAGAGAGAGAGAGTTTCCACTTATTCCAGTTTTTTGCTGAAACTAAACGCATCTCTGAAATGTTTCGGCTCGATGAACAAAACGTGTAACGAACACGCGCCAATCTTTTCCCATTTCATCTCCTTTTTTTTTTCTCCTGTCCATTTCACCCACAACCATCCATTTCCTTTCCTTTTCTCACGCCTAATTTATTTTCACTCACCCACACCCGTGGTTTTTTTCGATCGTGGGGAAACATTTCGACTCGTTCTTTTCTTTCTTTTCGGCCAACACTGACGTGTCCTTTCGTTTTTTTTTCTCTTTCGAACGTTTCACTCGCACTTTCCGGCCATTCTTTGTGTGGATTCGTGGGCGAATCAGGTACGGCTAGTGATTTCTGTTCTGATGGTTCCCAGAAGATGTACTCACTTCTTTCCTTCTGTCGTCGAGGAGGGTACTAAAACGACAGGAGGTGTAGTACACTTTTTATGACACCTATCACATGTGTTGGCTTGGGGTCGCCCTTCCTCTTCTTCTTCTTCTTTTTGTCGTCGTCGTCGCTGATTCGGACAATAATTTTGCAGCTGGCCCCCAATCTGTTGAGCCCTTTCCAGCAATCTGTCCCACGAACAGAAAGAGAACCCATTCAATTTCCGTTTTCCAATATTAGAAACTCTTATCTCACTTTCTCTCGCCGCAACGCAAATCCATTCAATTTCCGTTTATCGCTCTGAGAGCCCAAATAGTTTCCTATCTTTGAGCAAAAAACTAAGGAAAGAGAGAGAGGACGTCGAGTAAATGGTTCCTTTGAAGTGGACATCTGGAGATTGGGGAGATGAGCGGATACGTAATCCTCTTGTCTCCCTCCTTTCTCTCTCTTTTTCTTTCTCTTTCTTTTTCTTTCTTTTGAACTCTTGCCGCCAATCCTGTCATTTGGTACGGATTTGCACTCCTAAAGATATTTAAAAAACAAAGCGAACGGAGGAGAGATATTAGGTAATTGAATGATTCATTTCCGATTAGTCTGGGAACGATCACCGAGCATTGTTCGAGATCTTCGATGTTATCGATACTTTTACCTACTTGTTGCCTTCCGCCCGTCTCCTCCTTCTAGTTGTCCTCCCCCTCTTGTCAGCAGGAATTGTAACAAAACCTATGGTGTCGGATAGTGTAGAGCAACTACACGCTCCTCTCTCTCTCTCTCTCTCTCTTTCTTTCTTTCTTTCTTTCTTTCTTTCTTTCGTTCATTCACTTTTTATCTACCTTCTTCTTCTTCCCATTCACTTTTGTGTTCTGCGTTGTTGTCGTCTTGCTTTTTTATCGCCATTCCGAACATATGAGAAAAGGAAGGCGGAATGCAATCTCGTATAGACTCTTGAGAACACAGAACGAACAAAATGAGAAGAAGGAGGAGAAGAAGAAGATCCTTAAGAGGGGAACATGAGTAGCTGCTCTAACGGTAATCTAATATTGGCACGAGATGGTAGTCCTCCTTCTCTCGCTTCCCCATCCATTCTTTCCTTCTTTCCTCCAGAGACAGTCCATATGGTCTTTGTCAATCTGTCACCCTCTGCGTCTCTGTTTGTCCCACCAGCTCTCGTACTTTTTGATGACTGCTAATGAGTCGATGATGACGTGGCAAGCAATGAATGGTCCCTTTTCTGAAGGATAATTACGGCACTATCCACGAGATTAGGGGGCAATTTGATGGGCGATAAGCGGGTGGTCGGCGATATACTCTACAATATTTGAAATATACTTTTTTGTTTTGTTTTTCACCAATTTTCCATTTCATCGTCATCGTCTTCTTCTCTCTCAATGCTCTCTAACTACAATTAAACATACACTGAAATTCAACCGTGACGGATCAGAATTACATTTTTGTTTTACAAAAATTTAATAAGCGACCAGTCGATAGAATAAGAGAAGGAGAACAAGTGTTTGCACATCTCTGGCGACGGTCGGTTCTCTTTTTTGTTCGTTTTGCGTGTGTGTGTGTGTGTGACGTGTTCTGTTCAGCATACCGCCCATCCCACTGGTTTTTCACGTCGTTCCGAAATTGTTCGAAATAAATAGAATGTGTGGGCGAGAGGGCGTCAGACACGATGAATGGCATCGAATTCCATGCGTCTCGCACTTTCCTTTTTGTCCCTACGACTCTCGATCTCTCGCAGTTTACTTTTCTCTTTTTTCTCTGCCTCCTGGTACTTCTGTGGTGCTATGTTGCGTAAATATACAAATAACATAAACATATTTGCACAGGAAATGTCCTAGAGAGACTTGTCGTTTCGCTCTTTTCCCCTCTATCCTTATCTCGCTGCTTTCTTTTTCCCCTTGTCTTTTTTTGCTGAGCGACCCTATGAAAGCCTGCAATTTCTAACCGTTTTTCGCATCTTTGCAATTGAAATTTTTACGGCATCGGAGATAAAAGGTTGCCGATGACGACACATACGTGTGAATCGTGTTTGAACAGGTGCTTTCTTTCTCACTCACTTTTTCACGCACAATTTCACGTTTCGACCTCTTCGTCTCTTTTTTCGAAATGCCTCTGAAGAGTTTCAAGCGACGATTGCGAAATATGTTGATTTTAATCTAACAAACATTATTGCAAACTGGGCGACCGGTGAAGTTGAAGGAAACATGTGATTGACCTCTTTTTTCTCTACGTCTTCGCCAGAATGTTTGGCTTTCTTACGTAAATGCTTGCGGATTTCATTTCTCAGCTGACCGCTCTTTTTTTCATTTTAATGATCTACCTGATCTAATGATCTACAAACCGTTTCACTTTCTATGCGAATGCTATTTGAAATTTCACTGAAAATCTTTGTGTTAAACTTTCCATTGATCAATAACAATATTACAAACTGTTTGGCGAATTCCTGAGTCTCCAGTCTATCTTATCAAGTTCTTATCGCTCATTTTCAGTTTCAGTGCTCTTTCGTTGCAATTGTTCTCTTTCTTGCAATCTCGCGGCGTTTCTTTCCTTAAATTTTCGAACAAAACGTGTCTGTGGTCCCCCACATTTTGAGCTCTTTTTCTTGCGTTCCACCTGTCCCACACTCTCACGTCCGTCTCTCTCTCTGACAACAAATACAATGGGAATCAGAGAGGATTTGGGATAATCTATCCATTATTAATGACCCCCTTGTGCCTCCCTTTTCGCCCGTTTCTCACCCCACCATTTGGAACGAACGAGGAGGAAAAACGACCAAGAGCACACCTGGCATTTCCTTTTCTTCGTCTTCGTCTTGTTCCGGAAGTCGGAGACTATTGATTTTTGAGCTTTTTCCTCCTGAAATTCGATCTACCGCTCGCCGTGTCGTACACATATTAATGGCTGTTTAATCAGCAGCTGAGAGGCGAAAAATGAGAGGAATCTAGGGAGATTTGGCCATTTTTCATATCTTCCTCTCTCTTTCTTTCTTCTTCTCTCGCTCATTTCTTTTTTCACTGCTCATAAATAAAATGGATGCAATTTTGATGAGAGGCAAAGAAGAAAAAGCGAACTGAGAGGGTGGAAAAGAGAGAAAAGAGGCTCTTACTACTACCACTCACTCGAAACCCCCTTCTTCCTTCCTTCCCTCCTTCCGTCCTTCCCATCATCCCACAATTCCATCCCATTCCATTCACTTCTTCGTTCCATTCTCTTGAAAGAGGCAAAATGAAGAAAACGAGTGAGCGGGGAGAGTCCATCTGATGAAGCTTTTTCCGAATAGCCGTTTGATGATGTTTGATGGGCCCATGTTATTTGATCGGAGAGAGAGAGAGAAAAAGAAGGATGACGAGGTTGAATTGAAGGGCATCAAGTCGGAGAGAATAACTGAAAAATAGCTCAATTTGACTAATGAGCATACATTTGAGATATTGAATGTGAATTACTTTTGAAATTGAATTCTACTGGATTCATTGAAATTATTCTTGAGCCCAAATTTATTTTTGTCATCTGTATTCCTTTGAGAATCAGAAAAACTTTAATGATAGCATACTAGGACTTTGCTCGATTCTCAGAAACACAGTCGGTTCCCACCGGCTTTCCCAGCTTCGAAGCATATGCTCGCTGTTTTGCTGAAATATTTATTTCCATCATCATAGACATCCACATCTATTGCTCAGTTTTGAATAATAAAACCATAACTCGTAAACATTAGAGAAGTTATTTACGCTTCTGGAACCCGGAGAGTTCTGTGTCCTTTTGCCTGCATCCGACAGCACAAAATGCTCGCTTTTCCGTTTTTCCGAATGCGTTTGTGCTCATTGTGCATCTTTTGCCCGTTCTGCGCTTCTCTGTCTACAGAACTCTCTTCGCGCAAGCTTTTTTCCCTTTTCGACGCAGCCCTTCTTCTTCTCCGTCGTCCGTCCCGCTTCCCTTTTCTCGTCGTTTCCCCTCAAATAGGCCTCAATTTTCTGCTGCTTCCTCTTCGTTTTTGCTCTTTTTTCGACAGACAAAAATGTACCATCGCATTTCTCTAGAACTCTCCACGAATTTGTTTGTGTTGCTTTGTTTTCTGTGCTCAAAAACGAAAAGTATGAGGCAAACAACGCATAGATAATGAGGTTTTTGCTTCTTTCTCTCCACTTGTTCCGTCTTGAAAACTGACTAAAGAAGATGCACAAAAACAAGTCCATTTCTCTTATTCTCTGTTCATTCCAGAGCGCTCATAACTTCTGCCCCGTCAACGTCGACTGCACCTCTTCAGAAGACGACAATTTTCAGCAAAACGAATCAACAAGTGAGTTTTCCCGTCTCAAAACGATCTTCTGATAATAATTGAGTTTCAGGTAAATGCCCCAGTAGGTCCGATGGAGGGACACTCCTCCCTCGCCTCCTACCCACTCCATCACTCATCACAGATTCAACAGCATCCGGAGGCATATCATCATCAGTCAGTTTCCCCCCGCGCACCAGATAACCGCAGAGTTCATGTTCAGAGGCCCACAGCCTGGTGGTCATCCGTACTACCAGCAGCATCACTATGGCCAGCCGGGAAGTAGCGGTGGTGACGGTGGAGGACAGAATCAGCACATGATGTACGGCAACGAGTATGGTGAGTATCTTCCGAGAAGTCATAATCTCTGCTAGAATGCCGCTTCGTTCAACTGAATGATTAAGATCAACTCAATCAAGCATCCACGTCATCCGCTCCGCCCGTTGTCCCCGAACACCACCATCCGCAGAATATACAGCAACATCAGTACCAGCAGCAGCAGCAATACGATCAACAGACGGTTCGGTACAATCATCAGCTGCCGTCTCCGCATTCGGCACCGCCCCAGCAACGGACTTTCGTGCCGAGATATCCGGTTCAAGTAGTGGATGCGCACCAAGTCTACGGACAAGTCAATCGGACTGTCAAGTGAGTGTTCCTTGACGAATTGCAATCGTCATTCCCAGTTTCCCACGGGCCCGGGGGCCACGTTGCAAACGCGCTCTACTGAATGATGCGAACTAACCACATTGGCATTAGGGACACTACGCAATCCAATCGACCGTTGACGGAAGTCAAAATTTTTATAAAATCCTATGACTAGATTTGTCAAATACCACATGTTTTCGAGCCCGTTTAACGTTTGACACTTAAATAATTGCATTTAGCGCATTCACCTTCACAAAGTCTGTATAACAAAGTCTGTCCGGTGGATGATAATGAAGATGGTCGGATGGGAAGGCTGGTCCGTGCGAACAACGCGACGCAGATTTGCGCACGCCGCCCTTTTCGAATCTCTCGTCTAATTGGGTCATTGTTTCCCTCCCATCCGAGTACCCCCTAGTCATCATAAACTGCTCGCTTTGCTCATCATTCGTCTCATTCGAATCCCATCATTTCCCTTCTCTCATTTCAGTGCACCTCCGCCAGTCGTCACTAAACCGCTTCCACCGCCCGCTCCGCCGCCTTCTGCTCCTCCAGTTATGGCGCCTAGAAAGACTCCGCCGTCGTCGTTCATGAAGCGGCAGCCGGATGCGGAAGAGCAGCAGAGAGTGGACTACGAAGTGGCGAGGAACGTGTCGCAGATCATGTCCAAGAACGGAATGAGAGTCACTCAGGAACCGATCATGGCGTCGCCGCCGAGGTATGTTACTTCTTCGTGTTTTCTCGCATTCCGATCTTTTTTCAGACAACTTCCCCCTTTGGCTCCTCTTCCACCGACGAAGGGAGCCGGCTTCCAGTGTCCCACTTGCAACCGTAATCTGGCTAATGCTCGCAACCTGCAACGCCACCGTCAGACGTGTGGAACCACAATGATATCGTCGTCGCCTCTGCCGCACCAACATCAGCAGCAGATCACCCCACAAGCGGCTCCGCAACTGGCTGCAATGCTCCAACGAAGCCCACCCGCTCCGTCAGTCTCTGCGCCGCCTCAACAGCATCAGACACCGGATCCATCCGCGTCATCATCCAGCTTCCAACATCACAATTCATCTGGAGACTTGGGACTTGGATTGAATCAGATGCAGCAGAATGCGTTGTACTCTCCGCAAGATATGATGATGAGGGATCCGAACGCGATGCTCAGCGACGTTTCGTCGTTTGCATTCAAAGACGATCCGATGCTCTATCAGGGGCCGTCGGGATCCGGAGAAATATGGCCTCGTGACGACAGTTTCACGCAGTCGGAGCCCCATTCGGCGTCTCACGATCATTTGGATCTGTCGGATCCTCTCTTAATGTCTGATCCTCTGCACAATCTAGGTTCTTTTGAAGGACTGAGTGACGATAATCATAGAGAATCGACGAGAGAGTGCATGGATACGGATGATCTGACTACACTGGATCCAACCCCGCATTGTTCGACAAACTTCTTCGGAATAGATCCAGAACTCGAGATGCCGTTGGTACTGGACGTTGACGAACCGATTATTCGTTCCGAATCGGCGTCCCTTTCGTCAAGTTCTCACGGCAGAAATACTCCCGCTAATCCATTCATGTCAGTTTCAATCTCGTCTGAATTCCACCTAATCCATTAATTTTCAGGTGTGAAGCGTGCAAGAAGGTTGTCTCTTCTGACCGAAGCCTCCGTCGCCATTACAGTACTTGCAAGGCCTTGTCAGAGACGGCACCCGAAGAGTGAGTTTTTTAAAGAATATTGTCTTAAGTTTAATGAACGCCATTCCATCTATCATTCAGTTCTTTAATCACTCACACTTTATTTTTCTCTCGTCATTCTCTTTGTGATCGTGTCATTCAGCCGTCCCGCCGGAGCGAAAAGGAAAGCGGCGACTGGAGTGAAGCGAGGCAAGAAAACGAAAATCTCGTCAGAGGAAGACTCACATGAAGCGCCGGCGCCAGAAAAGAACAGTGCGATTCTGGCGGCGCTCCGAAAAGAGCCGGTCAATCCATACCAGCCGAACTTCTCGTCGATGATGTTGGCTCCGCTCCCCGGCAATTCGAATCAGTTCCAAGCTCCGATGAAGGGCGCATCGCTCCCTCCGCTGAGCACTTCGTGGCTTTCTGGAAACTCTTCGAGCGTTCCGAGCACGAGAGCGACTTCTCAGAGTTCCGGCATGTTCACTCCCCCGATGGCTGCTTCCACTCCCATTCCATACCAACAGAAGAGCAATCCACTCGAAGAGTTGCTGATGGAAGACGAGCCGCCAGAGGAGGACGGAGATAGTAGAAGTAGTAGTGGGTGAGTAGATGAGTGTTGTACCAAGTTGGACACATCTTTCTGAGCACTGCACAGTATCGATGACACGACACTTTCATCATCTCTTCATCTCTAAATAACTTTTTTTTTCAGAGCGACTCCGGTTGCTGCACCAGCGAAGCCGAATGGACATCCAATGTTCTCTTGCGAGTATTGTACGAAAAAACTGTGCTCGATGAGCAATCTGAAGCGCCACCGTTCCACGTGCAAAAAAGCTGCAGGACCATCCGTCTCGAACTCTCCGTCCAAGCCTGCCACTCCAGCACCTTCGGTCGCTCCAGCTGCTCCGCCACCTCAGCAGACGCCCTCACAGGCACCCGCCGCCCCGGCACCAGTCAGTCTTCATCTATCACTGGAGACAAATGCTGTTGTGACGTACACTAAAACGAACACAGGATCGAGTACGAATACGTGGAGCAGCGACAAGGCTCAGTTGGTGTCGCCGAAACAGAAGATCCAGTCGTCGAATGTGCTCGTCACTCACACAGACTCTTCTGACATCAGCGCATCTTCTTCGACTGCTAGCGGCAAGAACTACATGACGGTGGGAGAAGCTCTTCGTGCAAAACAACAACAGCAACGGATGGCTAATTTGGATCAGCAACAGCAGCAACAGCAGATGTTCCAGCAACAACAGCAGCAGCAGCATCAGAGGTTCCAGCAAGGCAATCAGTTGCATCACATGCCCGCACGGATTCCCCCTCGACCGCCAAATCCGATTCTCAATCAGATTCAAAATCCACCGCAACAAGTGCAACAGAATCAGATGCAGAACCAAATGCAACATCAGCAGCAAGGGAACGTAAATCAGATGAATTCGCAGAGCCAGCCGCAAGCACTTCAAAACCAGAATGCGCCAGTTCAACATCAGCAGCACGTCCCGCAACCGCAGATGCATCAACAACCGCAGCAACAATCGGTTCAGAGTCAGATGCAACCGGCACAGAAACAGCAGCTACAGCATGGGCAGCTGGCTCCGAACTCCCGACAGGCACCACAATCGGAGCATCAGATTGTGCACCAGCAACTTCCACCGCTCTCCAGTGCGGAACTCCATTCGCAACTTCAACTCCAGAGTCCTCCGCAGAAGAAAGGATTGATTGAGCACAGGAACAACGACCAAGTTCTCATCACTTCGGAGCCATTGCCAGTCAACGAACGAAGGAATACGTATCAGGGACCGCAACATCCAAGTGCGCAATTGCAGCCACCGCCACAGCAACAGCAGCAGACGTCGAACGCACCGAGGCTGCCTCCGATGTACCAGGCACCGATTGGCCGTCAGTTCTCGGCTCCGCAGGAATTGGCGGAACAGAAAAGACGGTCGTCTGACGGACAAGTACTGCAGAGTCAGCCGAAGCCGCCAATGGTGCTGCCGCCTCTCCATCTTCCGCAACGTCAACGTCCACAGCAGCAGAATCCCCCCCAGCAGTCTCAACCACAAACACAGCAACAGCCGCAACCGCAGGTCTATCAAGTGCAGTTCAACGGACGACCTATGCCGCCGATGCAGTTCCCGTCGCTTCTCCATCAAAATAACAACAATCAACAACAGCAGGCGATGCGAATGCAAATGCAGCAAGGACAACAGGAGATGCAGCAGAATCAGATGGAGCACATTCCGCCCCAGCAGCAACCGCCGATGAATCAGATGCAAATGCACCATCAGATGAACCAGCAGCACCAGATGTACCATCCACAGAATGTTCAACAAAATCAAGGACAACAGAATCAGTTGCATATGTCGATGCAGCAGCAACATCATCTAAATACGCAACAACAGCATTTTCCGCCGATGCACCACCAACATCAGTTCCATCAGCAGCCACAGAACATGCAAATGCAGCAGCTTCAACATCAGAATCCTTCGAACTCACAGCCGCAAATCCAGAAGCAACATCAGCAGCCGATGCCACAAATGATGCCGATTGAACAGGCTCCTATGCAGCAGCAACAACAACGACCAGCGCAGACAGAAACGCCGCAAGCTCCTCTTCCACCTCAACAGCAGATGGGGCCAGTCGCGCAGGTACCGGCTCAAGAGACCGAATTGAAGCCACCACCTGCAAAACGTGGTAGATCGCAGAGTACGGCGATGAGGCCGCATATGGATCCTCCTATAGCTACCATCGAGTGAGCCATTTTATTCGTCAACTCCTTTTCAATTAATCTCTTTACAGCGTTCCACAGCGCCAGCCTGGCTCTCCGCTCGATTCCATCATTACAACTGCTCCACTCTCCGTCGAGGTACACCATAAGCCACCATCTGGAGTTCCGGAACAAGGACTGAGCAGTGTGGATTCCCAATCGACGGCGCCGAGTCCAGGAGGACAAGTTGTGTTTGAAAGGTCTACAGGATCGAAGAAGGCTAATCAACAGGCGTATATTTGTCCGGAGTGTGACAGAATGTGAGTTGTTGTGTACTTGGTTCATATTGTTCACCTTCGATTCATTTCAGATACTCTTGCCGGAAGAACGTGAAACGTCACAGAATGGCCGTTCACAAGATGACATTGAACGAAGTGCTCGCTAAGCCCGAAAATCCGGCTCCAGAAGGCGCTGAACCATCGGCAGTGAGTGGAAGACGGCACACTGTGGCCGGAACAGACAACGAAAAGGCATCAGCTTCGTCAAAAAACGGAGGAGCTAAGCGGAAGGGTTCCGCCGCGACGACGACGTCAAAAAAGGGAAAAGAGAAGGAGAAGGTACTGCCGATTGTTGAGCAGTCTGCTGAGAAACCAACTATTCCGGAAGAATCGACAGATGAATCAGTATTGTCAAGAAAAAGCTCTGCTCTTCCGTCTGTTGAACCACTGCTGAGGACTTCTAGACGGGAAACGACATCACCGATGGAGGCTCCAATTGTTCCTACTCAAATGACACCCTCTCAACAAGCAGATCAGGAGCAAGGTGCATTTCAGTCATCTGGCCTTGCTTTAAATCAAATGCAAGATTCGATTATGATGCTTTCTCCTCAAAAGCCGGCTCCCCCATTGCGAATGCAGGCTTTGCCGCCTCTCCATCTTCCACGGCAACGCCAAGAGGCCTTCGAACTGAGACCACCTCCTGAGCATAACTATCGAGATCATTTGGAAGCTCCTCCGATGGACAATCAACGCCCAGCGGATACCCAAGTCACCTACCAGACTGCTAGACCGGACCCAGAAGTCTCTCCACCAGCTCCTGCACCGGCTCAGTTTTTTCCGTGGGCGCCGGTCTCAGCCAATGATTCAGGGATTCCCTTGAATCAGGCTCTGAGATCGGCGTGTCTCACCACCGGAAAGATTTCTTCTTCGATGTCTCTTCCACTGCCGCCCCTCCATCTGCCACCTCTCCAGGATCTAGTCACTTCCAATGATTCACCTCTTTCTATGCCCAATTCGGCGCCGCTCACATCATCTTCGTCAGCCATCTCGAGCACTCTGCAAAGTCGAAACAGCGAGTTCACCGAAGAAAAAGATATGACAGCAATGGCGAAGATTGTTGAAGAATTGAAGAGATCATCTGATGGATGGCGGCCCGGTTCTCGTGCTTCCAAAGGAATAGAAAACGGAGAGGAGCTCGACGAGGACGAAATTCTGATAAGGAATATAAGAAGAGACGCTGTTCAGAAAAGCACTGTCCAAGACGACGCTGTCCAGCCTGTCCAGATTAACGCTGTCCATGACGACCCTGTCCAAAATGACACTGCCCAGGACGACGCTCTTCAGGACGACGACGCTGTCAGCGATATCTCCGACTTGTTCGAAGGACACGAGGAGGACTCGATGATGTTCGATGAGGTCATGCAAAGTGTGATGCGACAACCCTGCCTGCCACCCTTGTCCACGTCGTCGAGTGCCGGATTACCGTCTCTCTCGTCTCCAGAGGAAGACGGCCAGCAACAGCAGCCGCCACCCGAATACCATCAGTTTGATCAGATGGAAATGTGGAATGAAGAAAATCAAAATTATCCACAGGAGCAGTTTCATCATCAAGAATCCATGCGCAATGAGGAGATGATGCTCTATCATCACGAACAGATGCTACTGCAGCAATATCCTCTGCATGAGATGCGGGAGATGTCATTCCTTTCTGTGGAAGAGGGATTATCCTATCAAGATGCTCTGTTTCTTCCTCGTTCCGATTCTCGACCAGGCGTTCCTCGCATGAGAGCGGGAAGACGTCCTCAACAGAAAGCGCCTGTCAACCTGATGTGCTCCGGGTGCAAGAAGATCCTCGCCACCGAGTACTCGCTCCGTCGTCATCGTGCTGGATGTGTCAATGTTCAACAGGCTCTCAATCCGGAATATCCAAAACCGCCACAGCGTCGTGCTGACACTCGGGACGACCCGATTCGCCCGCGACCGCGGAAACGAAAGGCTGCGAAACACGCTGAACTGATGAATGAGGTGGCTGTCCTTAAAAAGATTGGCATTGACATGCCGCTACCGATAATACAAGAGGAGAAGCCTGAACCGAAGTTCATGACTGCGGCGGAGGAACTGGCACATCTGGAAGCTCTTCCGCCGCCATCTGCTGTCTTCGAACTTGTTGCGGATTTGCAAAAGGACGCGAAGAAGTGAGTTTCCCCAATTTCCCTATTTATTTATCACAATGTCATGTTTCAGGAAACGGGAAACAACGTCTCCATCGCCAGGCGCCGAAGCACCAGATCACGACTTCGATGTTCCAATTTCCGCGTCTGCCACGTCAGCATCCTCGTCGTCTTCGTCGACGCCTACCACTGAAAAGGGCATACCGTCTTCAGCTAAGATTCAGGCAAGACATGTGTGTCAGGTGTGCTGCATTTCTTTTGTTTCTATTCAAGCGTGATTTCATAGTTTTGATGGTTAACAAATTGTGAATTTTTGGAAAGATTCTGTCGTTTCGATTATGTGTCTTGTGAACTTGTGAACAACCATAGTAGTTCTTTTGTAGTAACTCCTTGTGTTCCTATCCGAATTCAACGAATTTTTATTGCAGCCATGCAAAAAGTACTACTCAAGCGAGTGGAATCTAGAACGTCACCGAAGAGGAGTTTGTCCGGCTTCCACAAATTATTCCTAGTCCGTTAATCTTCTTTGCTTACTCTTCTAAATGCTAATTTTCAGCTGATTCAATGTGATCCTGGTTGCTGAGCAATCGAAAAAGTGTCAACAGATAACCCGATGATAACTTCGCGCACAGAATCCAATAACGTTTGTTTACCTATCAACCTTATCACTTTCTCATTCACTGTTCCCAAAATTGCCTTTTTTCACAGAACTCAATTTCTATGTATGGTTTTCTTCCTGTTTCATTTTCTCCTGTTTATGTTTTCATTTTCTTAATCCAAACTCGCCTATATTCACACTTGAAACTGTAACTGGATATTCTCAATCTTTCGCAACTTTCTAATTCATGGGTCCACCTCTCTCCATTTTATATTTATGCTCCGCTCCTTTCTGTTCCATTGTGATCTCACCCTTTGCTCGGCCCCTTCGGTTCCCTCCACTCCCGACTTCGCTAGTTTCAGTTGATAGGTATCCGCTCTTGATTTTGCGATACTTCGTTCAGTTTTCATGTTTCATGTCTCCAGCCCGGCCTCTTGAGAACCTCTATGTGTTGATGTTCGATCTCGTAAAAAATAACGCTATCATTTTGCGGATGAATCCCCCTCAGAATGAGATCTTCTTTCTTGCTGTATTTTTTCAGCTTTTTGTATTTATTTCCTGAGTCATGTTTTATAATTTCTAACTATCGCATATTTCTCTAGCCTCATAAAAATGCGATTTCTCACTCTGTCGAGCATATCAAACACGAACTTTCAAAACATAAAAAATTGAATAACTTTATCACGGTTGTACGTATCAAATATTTGCCGAAAAGAACTGCATGTTGACAGGCCCTTTGGCTGCTTTTTCCCCACTGTAGCACACTGGGAGCCTATCAAAAACGACACTTTCTAGAATACTCTATGCGGTTTTCGAAGGATGACGACGGATTTCTATGCATTCTTCTGGTATCCGGAACCCTTTTTCTCGTCGCTTTCGCCTATTTCTCTACTCTTCTCATTGTGAGATGGGCCAGAAAAAGGTGAATTCCTCTGGGTGATGTGGCAGAGAATCGAACTGAAATTGCAGATATATTCGGTGGGTGGAGGAGCAGAGATGGCTCAACGAGCACAAATTACGGCTGAAAAATGAATGAGCATGTACATAAATAAAAAGAGATTTATTTGGAATCTGTGAAAACCCGTGATAATCACAAAACATCAAAACTGATTGTCATTTTCTCGCGAAACTTCTCCTGAAACACCTTCTGCTGCCTTTCGACTCTCTTGAACGCCGAGGAAAATTCGCGGATTGTGCTCTGCCGTTTCTCCTTCTCAGCCGACAGTTTATGCTCCTAAAGCTCCGATTAAAATGTATTACTTATTCGCAAATGTTTTAATACCATTTGACGAAGTTCTTTCCGAAGTTTCTCGACGTTTTGTGGCGATTCTGGCGTCTGTTCGAGCTGTTTCTTCAAAGTGACCAGGGAAACCTCGAGTCGGTCCCTTTCCAACTTCAAACTAGTCTCCGAATTTTGTCGATCGTCCCCGGCCTTCTGAAGCTTTGCGTATAAATCTTTGACTTCCAGCTCCAGACGCTCTCGATGCTCTTCTTCAATCTGTCGATTTCGTTCACATTTCTCAAAGTCTTCGCGAAGTTTTTCCGCCTTTTCCAGCTGCATTTGAAGTTCTGAATTCAAAAATGTGAGAAAGGTAAAAAAAAACATTGATTTGCGAACCTTCCATCTGACCGTCTTTCTGCTCACAGAGTTTCTCGAATTCAGTGATTCGAACCGCAAACTTCTCCTCGATATCGCTGATTCTTCTGGAATATTCCCGCTGATCCTGTCGCATTTTCTGCTCCAAATCCATCCGTTCTTTTAGAAGAATCTCATTTTTCAGTTTCAATCCGTCAATTGTGAGTTGGAGTTCACTTTCATTTGACTGTTTGAGCAATTGGACGTTAAGGCTGAAATTTCAGAGGGAAATTAGAAATATTATGAGAATTTGGTCACTTTTGGATGGTCGCTTCCAGATTTGTGACTTTAGAAATCAACGAATCCTCGGCTCTCTTCAGCTCTTCCACAATCGAATTCTTCGCCACAATCTCAGCCGAAAACGCCCTGCTCTTCTCCAGAATCACTTCTTCTTTTCCTTGAAGCTGTGCGTGAAGATGCTCAATCGTCTGTTCGTAATGGCTCAATCTGGGCGACACTCTCTTCTCATTGTCCATCATTATCTCTTTCAATTTCCGATCGAAATTCCCTTTCATTTCCATTTCCTTCCCTTTTTCTCTCCGTTTAAAGTCGTCCAAATCCGCATTCAACTCGGCGATTTCCTCCAAAAGTTGGTCATTTTCCTTGACCAAATCCATTCGGTCCAATCGAAGCTTTTCAATTTGCCCGTTTTGATCTTGCAACTCCTGAAATATGAGAGAAATGGAAGTCATTCACAAGAAGTGCTCACTTTTCGGTAAACGTTTTGCAGTTCCTCAATGGTGTCCACTTTGAATTCTCGTACCGAACTTCGCGTTCTTCGTTCGACTGCTTCATATTCTTGATCAACTCGTCACTCCTCGCTTCCAATTCCCGCAATTTCCCCCTACTTTCCGAGCCTTCCTGCAGCTTCAGATGCTCTTGTTTCAGAAACTCGTTCTCTCTGGATATTCCCAAAAACTTCTCCTTCAGTATTCGATAGTTCTCCTGTGTTTTCAGCACTAATTCTCGTTCGACCTGCAATTTCATTCATTGGAAAATTCAACGCTTCAAAGCAAAAAAAACTCACCGTCAGAATTCGATTGAGCTCTTCAATTTCAGGAACTCCAGCACCCCTTCCGCTCATCATGATGACGAGAAAGAAATAAAAGAAGACAAAATGCTTCTTCTAGTTGTTTCGTGCAGAAAAGAGAGACCCAGATGGAGAAAGGGAGAGAGAAAGACTTTGCCGGCAGTGTTTCACGTAACCCTCCGTTGCTCGGCCAGTCCTCTCATAATTGGCATGGTGACAGATGGGAGTGGAAGCGAAAACGAAAATGCGGGCGAATACGGACAGCTGCGGGGATTTAGAGAGTGGCCAAAACGGGTAAATAAGGGGGAGAAGCGGTGCACAATCGGACGGAATTACACATTTATGGGACATCGAGGAAGGAGACACTCTCGTTTTCATCAATGGGCAAAACATTAATTCTTTACTGGGTTTTTGAATGTTTTCAACCCGTCGGAATGATACGATCTACAATGTCATTCAATTAACAACAATACAAATTAGTTTCAGATCAGGGAATGCATTTGAAATGAAATGAAACGTTACAAAAGGAGGCATAAAATGCTATATATCTCAGCAGCCAGTAAAGATAACAAACAGTTGTCAACTAATAAATGGCTTATTGGAACATTGTGTAAATTTTATCATTTGACTAGTTTTTAATATCTCTACTGGCAGCTGAGATACGTCGCTTTGAACGAACGGTGAATGGACGGAAACACCACAATTTGTGCTTGGAATGGTGCCGAGCTTGCACAAATGATGATGATCATGATCCTTGACCACTTGGCCTTTTCCCTTTATCCTTTTTCTGAACACAAATTCCTCGATATTTTATGACTGTGACCGTTTCTCTGATTGTCTGACCTCTCTGTTTGTGAAACACCGTCATTCCGCTTACCTCCGTTTCCTTCTCTTAATTCTCTTTATCAACTACATTCTAGTGCCATTCTAGTTGTAGTGGGCGGAGTTTGGATCGGAAGAAGAAGAATAAAAGAGGGAAGCCGAGGTGGGACTGTACTGGACAGAACACTACATACATTCTCACATTGTTGATCTTTAATTTTTCGGTGGTGGTCTGTCTGTTATCGCTATTCTTCTTCTCCAATTTCTTCATTTGTTTACTTCCACATTGACCATTTCAGTTAAATTTCATCATGGAAAAAGAAGGATTCGCCCGTTTGTTTCATAACTTTGAGAATGTGATCGAACCCAAGTTGTGCTCGAAATCTGGCTCCGTGCCAAGTTATTTAAGGGGCACAATGCTCAGAAATGGCCCCGGAATGTTCGAGATCGGAGAGAACAAGTACAGACATTGGTTCGACGGAATGGGATTCATGCAGAGATACCATTTTGAGGACGGAAAAGTGAGAACGTCTGCAATATTACCTACTAAAAGTGTCTCTTTTCAGATGTACTACTCGGCCCGTTATCTGGAATCGGATAACTATAAAAAGAACATGGAAGCCCAGAGGATCGTGACCAGCAGCTTCGGGACCGGATCGTTCCCCGATCCCTGCAAGTCCATATTCTTCAGATTCTTCTCGAGTTTTCTGCAAAGCGAAGACAAGCACGATAATGCGAACGTTGCATTCACTCCACTTGGAGACGGACTGTATGCTTGCACGGAGACACCGCACTTGCACAGAGTTGATTTGGACACTTTGGAGAGCAAGGAAGCAGTGAGTTTAAGTTTCAGTTACGGCGAAAACGTACAAATGTTGAAATTCAGGTTGATTTCTCGAAGCTCGTCGCTCTCCACACTTGCACCGCCCATCAACTGTACGACGAGAACGGAGACGTCTACAATATCGGATCTCGCTTCGGAGCAGACTCCGCGCACGTCTTCACAGTCACCCGCAACCCAAAAAACCATCCATCGGAGTCTGCTCACTCGTGGGAGCACACTACAAAAGTCGGAGAAGTGAGGTGCTCCGAGCCGATGTACCCGACCTACATGCACTCGTTCGGAATGTCGGAGAACTATCTGATCATGTTTGAGGCGCCGATTCGATTGGATATCAAAAAGTTCCTGGTCAGAAACTTCATCTCTGCCACCTACAAAGACTGCCTGGGTTGGCATTCGAACAAGGAAGTGAAGGTGTTCATTCTGAATAAGAAGACCGGAGAGCAAGTGCCTTTGAAGCTCAAAATGGATCCATTCTTCACTTTCCATCATGCGAACACTTTCGAAAAGGACGGATGTCTGGTTGTGGATTACTGTAGAATTGAACAGGCCGGAAGTTTCGATGCTCTACTTATTGAGAACATGAAGACTGGAGCATTCCGGAATGTAAGCGCAACAACTGAAAGCACATTTACAGTTTCTCTTCAGGACCCTCAATTCTTGCCTTTCCTCACCCGTCTCGTGATTCCGTTGAATGTTCCGGATGGCTCGAAACCCGGAGACAACCTTCTGAAGTCGGTCAAATGGGCGGAAGGGTACTCGGCAGAGTTGCAGAACGACGGGTTTATCCATCTGAAAGAGAAGAGATTATGCGATGTTTGTGAGTTTCATTCATTTCATCGGAAGAATAATAGGAAAAAAGATATTTTTCAGCTTTGGAGTTCCCTCGTTATCACTGGGAAAAAGTGAATATGAAGGAGTACAAATACGTATTCGGATCAAGTGTTCTCGGCCAACAGAAGTCGGAAACATTGGCCGGAGTCATCAAGGCGGACGTTTTCTCCGGAAAGCACTTGGTTTGGAGAAGAGAAAACGAGCATCAGATCTGCGGAGAACCGATCTTTGTGCCCGATCCAGCCGGCGTGGAAGAGGATGATGGTAAAAAAGGCTTGAAATGCTTGTGATGGTCTATTGTTTCCAGGAATTCTGATCGTTCCAGTGATGACCATGTCCGACGGACAACGCCCGTTTGTCTTGATGCTCGACGCCAGAAACATTCAGGAGATTGCCAGATATACAATTCCAGAGGCCAGAATTCCTCTGGGATTCCATGCTTTTTATCAGGGACGACCCGAACTTCATTGATCTTTTTCTGTTGTAAATAAACGTATTGAATTTGCAGAATACACAGAATTGACTCGAGAAAAGCTTTTGACTTGAAGAAAACTGGTCTGTTGTTTTTTTGATAATCATGCGCAAGTGATAACCACTCCACAAGTGAATCGATGAAGCGTGGATCAGCAGCTTAGTATTTTTTGGTGCCTCCTTTGTCACGCTGTGAATTCGAAATTAGACCTAAAATACGTTCCGTGCCTCATAGGGTACAACCCTTTGATGTTTTCGGGTGAAACTTTCTTTAAAGTATAATAGCAACACTATATAATTAGTGGTTCTAAAAAATATTATATATTTCCATTCCTACCTTTTCCGGTTGAAGACATGAAGACTACACTCGGCCTCTGTCTTTTCCTTGCTACCCATGTACATGCAGGTATGACCGCCTTAATGGTTGGATCAAAAGAGTCTGGACACATTTAGAAAGCATTGCTCCTTCCATCCCTACATCAACGCCCGCTGCTCTGGACAGCTCACCGTTCGACATGGATGAAGAGCTGACCACAATTGCCGCTTCATGCCTGAGCCTTCAAGAGCACGAGCAACTATTGGGTCATTTATTCAAGGGCTTTTATGCGCGAATTAGAAGTTACCAATTGATCCTAACAGCGGAGCAGATCATTGGCCTTACGGAAGTGCGCGCTGCTCTCGGAGAAGCCGAGCGAAGAGGAGGTCGCAGCCGCCTCCACTATCGAGCAATACTTTGAGTTGAGCGAGTCGCGTACAGAAAATATCAGTCTCGATAGCGGCTACTTTTTTGAGAAAAATTCGCCTCCCGTTATCGCGTTCTTAGACAAATGCTTTCCCGCCCTTCGCAACATTTTTAAGCGAAAATTTGAAGAGATTTGTCGTCTAGATGCACGAGGGACAGTAGACAGAAAAACAATTGATCATTTCATTCGCGAGTATCACATAATTTTTGGCAAACTATCCCGTGCGACTTTTTAAATGCATGGTAGATATTATGATGCAACAACCAATGAGTGCTGGAAGGAGTTTTAGTAGGTATTGTTGCACTATTTGAAATATGTATATCAATGTATTGTTTACAAATCTATAAGAATATTTAGCATACTTGTCGGAGATGCCTTTCGGAAGACGCTTCTGCCAATCGCCCACTCCAGAGTACCAAATGAATATCATCTTCTTGTGCAACTTTAAAACTTCAAAGTTGGAAATGGTTGTTTCAGGACAACAGAGTGGGCAGTTCCCAGTTCGTGGGCAATCCAGGCAGCAGTATTTGGATCGGAGTCTACGGTTCCGAGAGGAGCATCCCCTTTTTGACGACAGAACAGGAACAGCTAGCGCCTATTCGGCAACTACTGGAAGTTGGGCCGGCCAGTGGATCAGTTCGGAGTGCGAGAAAGTGGAAATGGCATACATGTGCGATATACCGATTTTCTTGTTGAAAAGGATGGTTGTGATAAGACTGTTTGTGAGAAGCGCCCGTAAACTCCTCGTCATTTTTCTTCTATCTTCCTTCCCATAGATAAGCACTTTCAGTTGCATACTCTTTGAAAATGAGGTGCATCGTCATTTTCATCGTTTTTCTCTCCTCGGCTTATGCACAGAATTTCGTATGCACAAATGGTTTCACACTAGTTAATGACAAGTGTTTGAGACTGTTTTCGTCTCTCGTAAACCACGAAACAGCAGAGAGAACGTGCACATCCTACGGCGGAAATCTGGTCACAATTAAAAACTCCATCGTGAGTCCAACGTTAAAATGAACCACAAAATATGTACGTTTTCCAGGAGAACCGTGCGATTTCCACTTTCGTTGGCACCTCAGTCTCTCAGATTTGGATTGGTCTCTACTGTTTCAACAGTCTCCAGTCGGGATGTCTGTGGGATGATGCGAGTGGTTCAGCAACTGTCTACGACAACTTTGCAAGCGGTAATATAAACGAGACTACTTATGATTGTTCCGATTTTCAGGCTTCCCGTACGAAAGTGTTGGCAACTGCGTCTATTATTTGACAACTGGAAACTTGGCGGGACGATGGGTGAGCGGAGAGTGCGATAATTTGTTGAGTGCGGCAGTCTGCGAGCTCCCGCCCACGTTTGCAGGTCTGAAACGCGGAGAGTCACTTTGAACCTGTTACCCAAATTATTTCAGATAGTTGTAGTTACAATTTCGACGGTAACTGTTATTCGATGCCCACGGGTCCTCAAACGTTTTCGAATGCTCAACTCTACTGCGAATCGCAATCTGCCAACCTGGTCTCAATTCACTCCTTCAAGGAACTCCGATTCATTATCTCTACATTCTCTTCGTACAACAGCATTTTCCTCGGTGGTTTCTTGGTCACGACGAACATGCCGATCTGGATAGACAGATCTGCTTGGAATTACAGTAACTTCGATACCGGTTCCCTTTCCGCGGGAAACTGTATAAAAATGGCAACGTTAACATCCGGTAATTACTTGAAAGGCACTTGGTACGCTTCGGATTGTGGATCTAGCGGCTACTACGTCTGCAAGAGTCCAGCAGGTACGCAGAACACAACTACAGCACCTCCGGTCACCATCAGCCCGTCGAGTTCCCCGTCTTGTAACACTACAATTCTGATGACTCCTGGCACTTTCACATCACCTCATTATCCGTCTAATTACGATAACAACCTGTTCTGCACGTACAGTTTGGCTACTTTGGGAGCTTATCGAATCAACTTACAATTCGTATCGTTCAACACGGAGCAGAAATTCGATTCGGTGTTTGTGTACGACGGGAATTCGTTGAACGCTCCTCAAATCGGCAACCTGAGTGGAGGTCTCACAACTCCAATCAACTTCCAATCAACTGCAAATACTTTGTTCGTCACTTTCAAAACTGACAACAGCAACGTTTATTCAGGATTCAGCGCCAAATTCGCAGCTTTCTGAGTAATAATAGTATTTCAATCACATTCTCAAATAAACGTTTTCATTGACAATTTCTTTATATGTTCTAAATGTGTTCGTCCGGACTCGCAGCCGGAATGTCCCTCGGAAGAATGAGCATCTGGCAGACGACCTTCGTATCCGTCCGCGTCGTTTTCGAATCCTCAAAGGCCGCACTTTCCAGCTGAATCCACGTCGGCATCTCAAACGCCATTCATCAGTTCACAATCTCTCCACACTCCTCACCTTCGCGTCGGAGATGCCTTTCGGGAGGCGCTTCTGCCAATCGCCCACTCCAGAGTACCAAATGAATATCATCTTCTTGTGCAACTTTCCAATCATCAACTTCTCCAGACTCTCTCCGTCTTTCCAAATCGTTTTCGCATCCAGGTCGGTTGATTTGATAGCCGCGACGATTATGGAGAATCTGAAAACATGAATAGACCGAATGGAAGAGCTCCGCGAGCACTTGCCTGTCTGTGAAACGGACGCATTCCTGCTGGTCGACTCCTTTGCAGATCAGCTCTATCTTTCCCGATTTCCCCGATTTGACGATGGAATACGTGGGAACGGCAGTGTAGACGCCCGGTCTCGTCGTCTTCAACTTCACAATTATGTCCGTCGGCTCGTTGTTCGCGATCTCGATATTTGCAATTTGTTCCGTTGAATCCGGTTTAAAAATAACCTGAAACTCTAGAGGTTTATCAGAAATTCAATGCAAACAGTTCACCGATTCGGATGGATTGAATTGGACATTCTTGAGCGTGACATTACTCTCTTCACTGACGCTCATTTTGCGAAATGAACAATAATCCCTTCTCATACCCGTCCACGTCACTTTAATTCTTGAAAAGTCTCACATGTTTATCACAACGACAGTTCGAACATGAGCCATCGTATCTACTAGTAGTCTGGACCCCCCGGAGAGATCCACGTGCTGTGAGTGCACAAGCAGCTGACTGCCATCACTTGTCACCCTCTCGTTCCTCGATTTGTGATGGGCGAGGGAGGCGGAGGCAATCTTATCATTGTTGTATCACAACTATCTGATATTGTCTCACCGCCAGAGTTCTTCTGAATCGACAGTCTCGCAAAGTTAGTTCAAAGAACTGGTTTCTCGCTGAACCGAATGATATCACCTCGTCAGGTCGATACGAGATGCCAATGCCACTGTGAGGTCATTGGTTTTTGGGAGAAGATGTCTGCTTTATGTCCCTCCTCCAGACATACTTCTCATGTTATACCGAGACTACAACTATTATCGCTCCGAATTTATAAGTCTCACTGTGATTGTGTTTGCCATTCCTTTTTCCGCTGATAGCGAATTTGTAGTCATTGTGACGTTGAAACAGTGATAACGGTTGATGATCAAGAAAAACAGGTTGATTTATGGGTGGAAGAACATGATAACAGATTTGACGAACTTTCAGTTGTTTCTTAAGAGTTCTGTTATGAACAAAAACTTCAAATTTGGAAATCCTAAAGAGTTCTAATATAATCAACCACCCCACAAACTATGATAATAGCTAGTTTCATGACACACTCCCATAGATCCCGAAGGTTCACAGTACACTTCTTACCCACTATCACTATTTTTCTTCTTCTCTTTCTTCCCCCTCTCCTTTACACTTTCCTTTTTGATCTACCACTGCCATAAAATGTTCCGTCTTTTCATTCATTTTCGCGCTTATCTTGTACAAACATTTCATCCCTTCCTTATTCGTTTTTTACTTCCCAATTTATTGCCTTCTCTTTTCAAAAATCGAACACTTTTGACGCGTCATTCCTATAAAACCGGATGCGAACCGTCAATTTTCCGGATGACCGACGTGCCCTCTGGTCTCTTTGTGCGCCTGTACATGTGAAAATAGATTTCAGATGCGGATAGTAGTCGTCGTCCTTTTTTCCGTTCTCTTCTCGACGTCCTCCACGTCAAAGTGCCGCGATGGAGTCCACAACGTCATCACTATCGATTCGTACGGAAACGGTGAGCTTGGAATGAGTTCTTCTTTAATAATAATCGTATTTATTCGTTCAGAAACCTTGCCAATTGAAGTGAGGAACATCACAATCCACGTGTACGATCACAAGATGAAACCGTCGTGTCACAAGAAGAAGGTGAACGTCGTCATGCCCGGATTCTTTGTGATCAAAGGCGGCGAAGTGGACACGTCCCGAAACTTCAACGTCGTCAAAGACGGAGCCGTTTCCGTGAGTGTCTCGCTCGACGGAGATCACATTTGTCTGAACGGACACTCGGACATGTTCATCGTTCCCGATTCGATATGGCCAGTTCTTCACTTTCCGCTCTCTTTCAACGTCTTCTTCTCTTTTCAGCAGTTTCGAGATGTGCACCTTTGTGCCAGTGGATATCTGCAAAACATTGCAGACGAAGGGTTTGCATACTCTGAAGGAACTCGAGGAGAAGAACTCGTTCAACTCGACTCTCGAGCTCCCGCCGTCGCCGAGTTTTCTTGGAATTTCCCTTCTGGACGTGCTCAATGTGAGTGATTCTCTCCAGAATACCTTCAGAATTCTCCATTTCAGGGCAACTACCGTATCAAAATCTCGATAGCTTCGGAAGGAAAGAAGATTGTGGAATTCGCCCTGCCAACGGGTTATGTCGATCTCAAAATGGGTCTCAGCGAGACGGACGATGAAGATTAGTCGTTCTTCTGGAGCTTTTAAATTGGAATTCAAGTTCTGTTTTGTAAATATATAGTGACAGAGAAACCTCCGGGTATGAATCATGATTGAATGAAGTGCGATTATTCAATGCAAAAATGGTTCAAATGAACCTTCATTTCTCGAATTTCAAAAATCTACTAAACCAGTTAAAAACCTTTCATTCATCCGATAGTCTGATCCAGCGTCGGCGATGAGATCTTCGGATCGCTCGGCTCACTGGCCGCCGACTTGACAAACTCGACCGCCTCCTCCTTTTCGAACTCTTCCACCTCTTTCAGACAGTCTCCAATTTGATTGGCTTGCTTCGCTCTCACTCTCAGAATGACCAGAATCGCAAAGACAGCGTAGGAGAAGTGGAGGCGTTGGGAGAGGGCGGAATGGCGCTGAGACTTGAGCTCACGGAATACTGTCTCCAACTGGAATGGCTCCGATTCAGGGCGGAAAGCATGATCGCACTCACGGAAGGAGTCTGCCCGGCTTCGAGCAGTCCGAGTATCGCATCGATGTAAATGAGAGCAGCCGACTGATTGACTCCCGTCTCGCACTGCACAACCAACGGTCCTCTCGATTTCTGAAAGGCAACTATGAGGTTCGGAAGGGAAGATTTGTAATGTACCTTTATCGATTTGACGAGCGAAGTGATGACTTTCGGGCTGCCGGGCACCTGATACTTGCCCCAACGGGAATACTTGAGAAGACGGACGAGCAGTCCCTGGGAACATCCGTGCGGGAGCACCTCCAAAGTGTACTCGATCGCCGAGTACTTGGTCTCCAGTTTCACGAACTTGCAAGAAACGCAATAAGTGGGCAGGTCGACGTGCGTGTCTTTTTCAGTCGGGTAGAACGTCGGGAAGGTGTTGGAGGTGGCACTCAACGAGACGATCGTCTCGATTTCTTCTGTGAATACCATCGTGAAGAAGTCGTCGACAGTCCCCTTCAACGGGTGTTGCGTGGCAATGTACGTCCGTTTGAGTCCCTCGAAAGTTATCCGATTCGCATGAATGTAATCGCCCTTCGACGGCTCTTTCTCGTTGATTTTGACCCGATTGTTCTCATTGCAAAACACGTCAGGCGACTGATTCTTGGACATGTTCGCATTGAAGGCCGTGTACGTGGCAGAAGGAGCGATCTTGATGAGTGTGTTCAGGAAGTATTTGTTCAGTGTCTGCTGCTTCTCAATGTCCAGAACGCTCTCGATGAAGTCTTTCACGTTCTTTGGCAGCGGCACCTCTTCTTTCTTCTCCACCGCCTGAGATTCTCCTGATGCTGCTTTATCCTTCTTCTTTCCTTCTTTTCCTTCCTTCCCTTTATCACCGTCCTTCTTCGTCGGAATTTTCGATAGAAGATTGTCTCTGTAAACTTCCTAGTCGTTAAATAGCATCAGATGACGTCACTCACGCCACAACTACAATCCTATCCAGGAAGTTTGACTTCTTCGTCGCCTTCTCCTTCTTGTCCTTCGACTTGTTCCTCTTTTTCTTCTGCGCCTCCGCCTTCGTCCCGCTCTTCTGCTTCTTCGGAGCTTTCTCCGGTTCCTTCGGATTCTGTGCCTGATCTTCTCTCTTCGACGAGTCCCTTTTCGGTTCCTCTTTCTCTTTCTTCGGCTCTTCGCCCTTCAAATCATTCGCATTCGAAGCCGGCACCGCCATCGTCTTCTCATCGTTTTCCACCCTTAACATCTTCCGGATCGGCTAACCTATCTCTTCCACTTACCCCGCCTGTGTTTTCATGCTTTTATCGCCCATCGCTAAGAATCGACGTAATGGATTTTCGCTCGTAACTTAGGAATGAACTGAAATCATTTGCAACCATTCGGTATCAGAGACAAAAAAAGAAACGATTGATAGCATCTTCACTCACGTACGAGCGGTGCAAAATGAACCTTTGGTTCGGTCCACCGGAAAAATAATCATTTCGTACCAAAATGAGCGATGCGACGGAGGCTCCGACGAGCGGAAAAGTCTACGAATGGCTCCATTCGATTGTGCGCCGTCTGGCCGAGGAATGGTGTCCGGGGAACTCGATCAACCTGCTCCAGGAGACTGAAATCACGGAGCTCTGCTACCGAGCTCGCGAGGCATTCTGGAAAGGAACAATTAAACTTGATGTGGAGGCGCCAGTCACAATCTGCGGAGATATACACGGTCAATTCGAAGATCTTCTTTGCATATTCTCGATGAACGGATTCCCTCATGTACCGGACAAGGGAGTCCATCCGAAGTGAGTCCTGTTTCCGGTCCCCTTGAGATCCTTCCCTTTCAGATACTTGTTCCTCGGCGATTATGTCGACCGAGGTCCGTTCTCAATCGAAGTGATCTGTCTCCTTCTGGCCTACCGTCTACTTTATCCGAACTCTGTTTACCTGCTACGTGGCAACCATGAGAGCCGTCCAGTCAACATTCAGTACGGATTCTACCTGGAGTGCAAGAAGAGATATTCGGTCAATTTGTACGAGACGTTCCAATTCGCATTCTATTGCATGCCGCTCTGTGCTGTCATCAGCAGTCGGATCATTTGCATGCACGGAGGAATCGCTGAAGATTATGTGGATCTTGAGTCAGTTCGGAACGAAATTCACTTTACACTACTTCTTTTCGCAGACAACTCGAGCAAATGGACCGTCCGTTCGACATTCCGGACGTCGGCCTCCTCTCCGATCTGTGCTGGTCCGACCCGTGCACCACGGTCCTAAATGGCAAGTACGACGACTCTCCCCGTGGCGCCGGCCGTCTTTTCGGAGAAGCGGCGCTCAACGAGTTCCTGAGCACGCTCAAACTGGAGCTCGTCGTGCGAGCTCATCAAGTCGTCTACGACGGATACGAATTCTTCGGCAACGGCAAACTGGTCACGATATTCTCGGCGCCAAACTACTGCGGACACTTTGACAACTTCGGAGCCGTCATGCACGTGAAGGGCAACATGGAGTGCTCATTCACCATCTTCGGGCCCGACAAAGTGCTCAATAATCGGACGGAGCAAGCGAAAGCTGCCGCTTCTCCGGCTCCGGCTCCGACGGCGGCAGCAGCGGCGACCAAATGTGAACGATCAATAAAATAATTCTGGTTATCGTTTATTCAGTACGCGTAACCGGAGGGTTCTGCCTTCTCGCCTTTCAATTTCAGTCTGCCCTCCTTGCTCTTCTTCGATCCTCCTACCACCTTCTTCTTCTTCTCTTCCTTGTGCGATTCCAGATCCGTCTTCGGCTCCGCCTCCAATTCTTCCTTTTTCCTCACTAGAATCACATCCTCTTTCTCTTCCTCTTTCTCCTGCTCCTGCTTCTCTTCTTTTGCCGCGTCTCCTTTCTCATTCGATTTCTCTTTACTCTGAACATGACTGTAGCTAGACGAATTCTCGTCCTGCTCACCTTTTCCTTCTTAGAATCCTTGACGCTCTTCTTCACGGAAGGATCTTTCTTCGACTTCTGTTTCGGTTCTTGCTCTTTTTTCGGTTTCACGTCTGCCTCCTTAGACACCGTCTTGACTGCTTCCGTGGGTGTTGACTCCGGTTTCACAGGCGGCACTTCGACGGGAGGCGATAGCTTCTGAAGGCTGCCGTCATTCTGCGAAGGTACACATTACAATAAGTTCCTGAAACATTCTCTCACTCTGACAGAATTCCGGGTCGACGGAGTGGACGGTGATTTCTTCTGCCCAGCACAGAAAATCAGAAGAGTTCCGAAGAGAAGAAGATGGAGAGGAGCCCGGCGGCGAAAAAAGAACCCGACTCGCTTAATAATTCGATGTGAGCTCGAACCATTCGAACGAAGATTACAAATATGAACATGGACATTGATATTGAAATGAACGGGATCTTATCGCCTCGTTCATCTTCATATCTGCTTGACGTGGAATGGAAAGAGCGGAAAAGTTCACGCATCTTGGATGTTTGATCTGGAATGATCAGCCAGACGTTCATTGATCAGATGGAAGTTTATAAACGAGGAGCACGTGGCATTTCATAAACATTCAGGATGAGAACACAAGCAGCCATTTTCATGAGCTGTATTCGCCCGTAGTCTCCTAAAATCAAATCCAAATGCTCATATTTATTCAAAAAAATGTCAGATTATCAGAAGCAAAACGCAAAATTAGCCGTTCTTTCTTCCGCGAAGACTGTCCTTCAAGTGGCAGTACACCGGGAAGAGCGGAGCCAGTTTGAACTTTAACAATTCGATGTCGGACAGCCTGCACGAAGGTTCCTTCTCGAGTTGCTTCTGAAGGCATTCTGCGTACGAGGGATCTTCACAGGTCAATCCGGACTGACATCTATTCTTGATCCGCATCCAAACACCCTTTAATGCAAAGCTTATTTGACAACTATAAGCAAATGCTTTTCTCGCTTACATTATTCAAACAATCAAACATTTCAATGTGCATAATATCCTCCATTTTCAGCTTAGTTTCTCTGAACGCGAGCGCATCTTTGACTTTTTTGCAAACCGGTTCCTTGAAGCATTTGATCTCCTCGACGTGCTTCGAGCGGAGCGGAGGGTAATCTGACTTCTCCGTCATTTCCCGGAGCAAGCTGTTCGGGAATTTATGCGGCTGAAAAGTTTAGAAGTTACTACTCTCAAGAAGAGAAAACTCACCTCGGCGCATTTACGGAATTGCTCAATCTCTTCGAGGCATTCCGGGCTCAACGGAGCACGCGCAACGACTCGAACAAAGAGAAGAAGACCGATCAGAAGCAGAGAAATCATCTCGAATGGCTCAGTGATTGAGTTGTGTTGTGAGGCCAGCCTTTATTTCATTTCAGATGGGCGGAGAGTTTATGAATTCTGTTCCCATAAACATTTGAGTGCGAACGCGTGATCATAAGCTGAAGTTTTAAGTTTCATAAACATTTGCTAAAGGTTTGCGATTGAATTAAATTAATTTCTGGCATAAATAAATGAATGGCAATCATTGAAATGAAAGAAAATAGTTGAGTTCACAGGGAGTTCATCACAAAGCGACATGTGTTTTCAGATTGACCCGTCAGTGCTGCATCGTCTCGGCGTCCTCTTCCCGATGCTCTTGCTGAGCAGCCACTTGGAGCCGTGCGAGGTCGGTTTTGTGAACGATGAACGTCAAGCAAAGCGAGGCGATCATGAAGAGTCCGCACACCAAAAACAGGTTCTCGAAGCCGATGACCGGAAGTGCGTGGGTCGAAATGAGGCCGGCGATGAGTCCGGCGACGCTCTGAAACAAAAGTATGGAAAGGGAAGAAAAGAGGAGGACCGACCACTGCACACTGAAGGAATCCGTACATCACACTGAAGTTGGCCTTGCTGAAGCACTTGTGTGTGATGAAAGGGAAGATCGAGAAGGTTCCGCCAATGCACGAGAATATCAGACACACCTGAACACTCTTTGTTCTTTTCAGTATTTCAGAAGTATCATTACCGTCCCCAAATACAGAATGTCATTCGAGACCATCTTCACAAACGGCATGGAAAAAGCGAGAATTGCTCCCAGACTGCACACGATCGACATGGAGAATTGGTAAGAAGTCTATAAAAGAGACAGTCTTGAGCAAACAAAATGGACTCACAGAATCCGCAATAGCACCCCAGAACACTCGGCTTCCGGCGTTGAAAACCGAAGAAAGAGATCCGATGAGACTGAGGAAGAAGTCAGAATCGATAAACTGCTGGCCGTATGCTTTGTAGAGACCGCTTGTCAACTGGACCCAGACGGCATTGCACGTAAGGGAAAGGAAGAGGACCAAGAAGGTGGTAGTGCTGGAAGTCCACAATATTCATCCATCGAGAATCAATTGTTAGAACTCACCGTAACTGCGGCCACACTCTCGCCTGTTCCACTCGAATCTCACTATTCGTTCCTATTAGGTTCTCGGTTTCCACATGGATGTCCTAAAAGACAACACTAAAAAACAGCTATAAAAATGAACCAACCGAGTGTGGTTGACCGATGAAGAACAGTCCGATTGATTGGAAGACTGTAAAGAATACGGCCATGACGATGAAGACGTACGGAACGTTTTCGAGCAGGTCCGTTTGAGTGAAGAAGCCCTGATCGTTGACTCGGTAGTCGAGTGGGTTTATAAAAGTGGTTTGAAGTGGCGAAAGGATGAACGCTCCACAGCCGTATCCGCCGATTATCACACCTCCGGCCAGACCAACATTGTCAGGGAACCACTGAAAATGGAAATTGAGAGGTTTAAGAAAAGGAGACGAACCCTCTGAGCAGTCGGCAGAATGGAACTGTAGGCGATGCTGCTGCCCGTGCTCGCGATCACTCCCATTGTCAGCAAAGTGGCTGCGTAGGAGTGTTGAATTGAGTAGAACGTTGAGCCGACTCCGAACCTGAAACCGTAGTGATATTGTTTGTTTATAGGAAAGAGACCTCACGTGTAGATGGCCGAGCCAATCAATGCTCCGGCTCTTCCCCCGAACTTCCTCTCCACAAGCCCTCCGAGCACCATTCCCATTGGCAACCCACCTCAAACTCTTCTTTCAAAACATTCCACGAAAACCTGATGACTCACTCAACAGTGTCTGCAACCAAATCAATTGACCCGTTCGCATATCCGGATACATTTTCCATCGAAAGTAGGAGACCAAGTACGGTAGAAGGTTTCCTGCAATCATTCAACTTCAACTCTAACCAAAGTGCTCCCGAACAAACCACAAGTGTAGACGATTCCGAATGTAACCATACAAAAGACGCCGCCAACCAGGACCGCCCATGGCCGGGCGCCACGTGGCATCCGCCTGAGTATCGGATCATCGGTGTCCATTGACAGTCTGCCAAATACGAAGGCACACTCGAAGCATGACATAGTTTAGAGAATAAAATGCAGACGAGTAGGTTCAAATATACATCCTGCTGCTACTAATTGATATATTCAGACATCAGTTTGCCGGCGGAATGAGGAAAATGAGGGAGGGAGAGGGGAAAGAGAAAAAAGTGAGATATTGTGGAGACGAGTGGAGACGCAGACGACGGACTGTTCGTGGTGGTCTGGTCATAAGGACAATAATAGCAGCTGCTGGCAAGTGCACTATGAAACGAGTGTTCTTTGAGAATGTTTGGTGTTTGACCTTAGAGCAGACGCTTTACTCATTTCCAGAACATTCTTCTGAACTATCTGATCGTACAGCATCTGATATCTAAATGGGCTCATAGAATTCAGAAGATCTTATATTTTTTGAAATAAAAGTTAAGAAAAAAGTTACATCAGAAGAAGAAAGAAACGACGAAGGCAAGTAAGAGTTTCATTCTTTATCAGTACTGATAATTGAGCACAATGAGCACAGAACCTGCTGGTTATCATCAGTTGAAACACATTTTTCGCAGTGTCTGCATCTCTTTTCTCTTAATGAAAAAATATTCGGAAAAAGGAGGTTCAGTTCAAATTGTGAGCGCCGTGTGCTTCTGGATTGACAGGGGGATTGGAAGCGACGCTTTCATTGCTGTTGGCAGAAGTGGGCACATTGTTGTTGGGTGGAGGAGCTGGAAATTTTTGTTCGGCATATAGTTTGGATGATGTTTAATCGAAACTCACTGAAATTCCTCGGTGCCTGAGCAGAGAGTCTCTCCGGAGAAGCGGTCGCAGTCGTCGCCACAGTAATCTCGCTGTTCACAATCGTCGAGTTCTGCGACGCCGTCGAAAGTCTTCGGCTTTCCTCAAAGGCCGGAGTGCCCAAGAACGCACGATTCATCACGTCGGAACTGGTCGTGGATCCTCCGAGACGAGAAGCCGTCGTGTTGGTGATTATCGGACTGATCGACTGCAGAGTGTTGTTGAGCACGGCGCCGGTGAGCGTGGCCGGCGGCGACGGAGGATGGGTTCGCATCGAATCGGATTGAGTTGGTGGAGGAGGCGGCGGAGGAATGGCGAGAGGGCGGACAATGGACGGAGGGGCAGAGCGGTTGCGACGGTTGCGTGCGGACCCTTCTCTTCTTAAAACACCGCGCTCCTGGCCGGGACGTCGGAGTGGCAGTCTGGGAAGAACACGAGCCAGCGGGAGAATCGGAGCGAGCGGGTCGAAGACTTCGAATTCGGGGGATCCTGGCAGTCGATTATCCCGCAGCTGCCGGACTCTGTTCTCGATGACCGGCGGCGGGATGCGAATCCCCTCGAGCATCACTTCCTCTCCTTCGAGAGCATTCAGTCTCCTCCGAATAGAGATCAATTCCTTCCGAGTTCCCGCCCCTTGCCACTCGATCAGACTGAACTGCCACGAAAAATTTCCAAGGGGAATGTCCTGAAAGGGGAGAATGTTCAGATGAAGAGAAGATGAAATCTCACGTGATTCCGATGAAAGTTCGGGTTGTATTCCTGGATGGTGTAGGGCGGCGAACGGATCAAATGGGAGAGCAGTTTCACATTGGAGAGGTTCGCTTGAGGACACGACGCCAGAGAGATGTTCGGGCCGAACACGATCTGAAACGGAACATTTCGGAGTTGAAACTTTCAAAATCTCGTTTTTGACTTGAAATTTCTTGTTCGTCTTCAACATTTTCCATTTTTTCAGCGGCATGTAATTGCCGAAAACGACGAGAATCTCAAGCTTCCTCGGCAGGAACTTGAGTGTCTGACTGTAGAATGTGTCCTCATCGAACTGATCCATGTACAGTCCCAACTTGACGACGTTCAGTTTCTGAAGGGTGAACTCGGTCTGCGTGCTCGGTTTTGTCGAGAATGAAAAGAGCGACGGCGGGAGACTCAGATCTTCGAGAGAGGGAAACTTTTCTGGAAATGGAATGAGGTCTTTTCTGCTTAAAGGCAACATTTTACCCAGAAGAGGGACGTATTTGGCGCCGACGCGAGTGTCGACCAGACATCCGATCATATCGAGAACAACGAGATTCTCTAGAGCAATCAGATGAAGCAGAAGGTTCTCGGTCAGGAAGATGCCGGTGAGGCAGACACGGGTCAGAGTCTGAGGGAAAATCGCCTGCAAAACGGAAGTTCGCTATGTAAGACTGCTTTTCCGAAACCTTCAGAGCCCTCGACTCAACAACGTCAAGCACTCCGAGTTCTTTTGTGCTGTTGGCCACCAGGTGGAGAGTCCGAAGCCTCGGGAACTTTGGGAAGTTGACCAGGCTCAGATTCTCGATGCTCATGTAGAGTTTCGTCAGTTTCAAGTTCATCTTATCCAGCATAATCGCATCAAAATCGGACAACTTCGTCTGGATAATCAGTTTTTTGACAGCCGGACACAACTTGAGAGCCGTCTCTTTGGCCTCTGTTTTGTAGAAGGACTGAAAAGAGAGAGAAAGAGAGAGAGAGATGAGCATCAACGTCGGAATTTCACAGTACCCGGTCGTTTCCCGCGGCGTTCTTCTTTTCAAAAACGTCGCAATTGTAGTTGTGCACGAAATTAGCACCGGCCAAAGTCACGTCGTCGTCGTCGAATACTATGGTCTTGACGTCGTTCCACCTGCCAGAAGACATCGGTTTTCCAGTGCTCAAACACCGTTTTACCTGGTTGCAATGTCGAAAAAGCGCTGATCTATGACCGCCAAATTTAGCCGTGAAGTCGGAGAAAGGTGTTCGGAGATTATTTGAAGAGCATCCTGTGTGATGATACTCTGAAAAGGAAGAAGGTGCACAGAAGAGAAGAAGCTCACCATTGTGTTGTTTTTCCCGAACACACAGACGAACTATGAACAAGCTGATTGGGAATGAATTCTGAGGGAACTTTCATTTTTATCAATATTTACAATCAATTAGGAACACGTTTCGAGTTCACTTCCACGCTTCGCTGAGTTGATTAAAATAAACTTCGGTCTGCTTGACCTCTTCGTTCTCCTTCGCAGCCGATACTTTCACAATTCGCATAGTAGAAACAGTACGGATTTTCTCTAGAAATGGCAATTTCCTGAAGAATCTGTCACGCCAAATAGGCACGGAATAGAGGCCGACGGGCACGACGACGAGCGGGTTTCTGGAAATGATCTAGAAGTTTCGACACTTCGACACTTTAGGTCAAAAGCTTAGAAGCATGACTGTTAGCTTCTAAACTTTTGATCTAAATAGAGGGAGGGGAGGGCAGAGAATATTCGAAGTCGGAGAACTCTCAATTATATTATCCCACTCAGTCACTACTCACAAATTGAAAACGGCCTCAGCGAAAGTGACAATCGTGCTGATGTAATTGTCGATCCAATGAAACGCCGCCATCACGAGAAGGGCCATTCCCAAAAGGACGGCGGCCGCAGCAACGACGACGACTTTCTTGGCCAGCTCCAGAGATCTCGCGTTCTCTTTGGCTTGAAATCGAATCGCCAGGGAATAGTAATCCTGTTTGTGATCGTTTTTATCCAAACGTTTTTGGATTCCGATGTTGATGTGGAGGATGATGAAGTAGATCTGACGGGAACAATGAAAAGAGTATTGTAGATGTAGATGAACTCACCAGAACTGCTCCGACGATTATCACTCCGGAGATTGCGATTCCTGTCGTGAAAGTGATGAGTTCACACGTGGCAAGACAGGAAAGAAGAAAGGTTAACAGATGAGCCATCAACAGAAGAATCACACAAATGTACGCCCTCGGCTTCTTCTCATAATCTCTGAAAATCTAACATTAAGACTGTTTCCATTGGTTTCGAGTGTTACGTGATGAAAAACGTGGCAAAAGCACGTTCACAAGTGAGAATGAAAACACTGAAGGCGACTGTGAACGCATAGTGAAGGTAGAGAATTCCACTGACGAAAAGAGGAACGATATCCCCCGGCTTCTCGATTTGAGGCATTTCTGATACAGTATTCGTCACCCACGACTGGAAAACACGATCTGAAATCAATACCATTTAAGAGACGATGTCGCAGACATTCAACAGTTGTCTACTGGTTTTTTTTTTTGGACTTTTGGAGATACTTGAAGACCGTGGTCAGGCCAGAGCTCACGGAGCTGGAACTAACGTTTTGGGTATCAGTGCCGTGGAGGCATTAATGATTATGATATGAGACAAATCGGGTCAATCTGAATGTTTTGTGCACATCACATCACTTTTCGAACTTCTCTTCTTGTGTATAATAGCAAGTTTTGTTTTCTCACCTTCGCCGACAGTTAGAAACCCCAATTGATAGGGAAAAATGATCAATTTGGCGATCAAAGTCTCGAACCATTGGACGATAATAGCAGTGATGATGTTGCTCATATTGGGATGGAACACATGGACAGTCTTCACAATGACACACGTTTGAATGGTGAGCAGAATGCAGAGAATGGTGAGCATGATGTGAATGAAGACGAAGAGGAGGGCAAGGTATTCGGAGTAGTAGGCAGAATTTAGAGTGAAGAACGGAAAAAAGTACTTGGACGAGTTGCCGATTAATATGTTCATAACATTAGGGAGTTCTGGAAAACGACTGATTGCTTTTGAGTTATTGAGAATAGGTTTTAAAGAACGCGGTTCTGATATGTTCAAACAATTTAACGAACAGAAAGACAAACGTCGCTCTACTGCAATACCACGTGAAAACCCGACCGCGGCCGCAATCTTTTCTGATTTAGCACTGAAAACACGTGGAGTGCGGTAGAGCGCGATTAACAAAATCATCGGCTGCAACACTTTGGTGAGCCAGTTTCTCTGGAAATGAAGGTTCAGTGAGCAAAAACAAGAAGGCTGCGCTCAGAATAGCAGATTCCTTTTGACCCGAATTCACCTGTTCTTACTATATACTCAAGTGGCCGACAAATCAACAATTATCTAGTCTGTTCCAACCGGATGATTGGAGATTTGATGGAAACGAAAAGAAAAAAGAAGCTTTCGGAATAGAAAATAGTGAAACTCGGCGAAAAAGCATATGATTTGGAGGGTATAAACGGGTAGAATTGGGTTTACAGATTATGTGTATTTTGTGGCCGAAAGCCAGAGACGTCACCAAATGGATTAAGTGATTGAACAGTTGAAAGCTCGTTTGCAGAGCGATTTCGGTTTAACTTTGGAAATTGTTTGACTGAGGTCTTAGTTAAGGAAATTAAAAACTCAATTACAGACTCAACTAGCCAGCAAGGTCCCTTAAGACACTATTGTAGAGCTGAGTCTTAGCTGAGTCATTTTGACAAAAAATATGTTTAAAACAACTAGAAGCACCATAACATTTGCGAATGTTTTCGATCAACAACGCCCAAATGTTAACTGAAATGCTGATAAGATGAAAATCAGCATTAGACAAAAAATGTGTCACTTTTCTTCAGAGATCGTCACCAAAAAACACAACATTCGCGAGCCCCGTGATCTCATTAAAAAAAAGAAGAATTTTTGCAAAGCGGATGAATGAGTAAGAAGAGTCTTCGAAGAAGAGTTACTTTAGCTAAATATCGGCATTTTCGCGTTCCCCTTCAATTTCTGAAATTGCAGGCGACATTACTCTAATTCCCCCCAAATTAGAATAGGAACGTTTCCAAGTGCTCTGCAAAACTTTGAGAGAACTCAATGAACAGAGTAGCGGTCAAAAAATTAATTGTTTTGTATGAAGCATGAACCACCACCTGCTGCAGCATGCTGTAACTTCGTTTCGAGGGTCATTCGCCCACAAAATGTTGCAAAAAATATATAATTTTTTAAGCGTTTCTTTTCAGAATGTACCAAATGGTACTCAAAAGTCGTCGCTAGTCAAACTGTTTTTTAGGATTCATTGTGAAGCGGACGGCTCATCAATCGATCACACAACAAAGGCACATTGAATCCGGTCCTGTTCCCGACATGTGTCATCATCGAGAATCCGGGATTCCGGACGTGAATGTCAATTTACGGTTCATCTCCTCTCTCTCTCTCTCTCTCTCTCTTTCGCTCTCTTCTCTGCCGTAACCGGATTCCCATAATTGCTCATTTTCCGCGCATTCGGCCGTCAACAAGTTGCGCAACCTTTCGCCGAATTCTCGTCAAAAAAGGAGAGTTGCTGTTTGAATCCATTCTCAAGCGACACTTGAATCTCGAACCACCAAACCTCTCATTCGGTCAGTCTCGAAGGAAAATGGCCAGAAAGTGTCTGCAGTTGGTTTCGTTCTTTCTTCTGTTACGGTAAGTCCGCGCCGTTGTTCTCATTTCCCTCGAATCTGCCCATTTAGATTAAATATCTGTCAATTTCTGGGAAGTTCTCTTTACGGTGCTCTCGGCGGATACAACGACAATGACATGTGCAGGTGAGCTTGAGAGATCCGACCGCATCCGGTTTTCAGTTTTTAATCAACAGAGCGCACTTCCCTGTTGTCGCTTATAAGTACTAGAAGAGTATGTCTTCTACAAAGAACTTCCATTTTGCAACCAGTTTTTCTCGCAGATCAGACCAAAGAGTCTTGTCCCCGACCTTTATCATTTGAACCCTTTCAGATACATTTCGTGTCCGTTCGGCCAGTACTGCTGGAACGGAAACTGTCTCTCGAGTGGATCCACGTCAATGTTGGGCTCAAGAGCTCTCGGCTACGGTCCCGGAATGATGGGCGGCGGACTCGGAGCCCTCACTTCCGCCGCCGCTCTCTACGGCCCCGCAGCAAGTGCGGCGAGTCGAGGTGAGCATCCAAAAGGTCCCTTTCCCTTAACCACTGGCACCAGGAATCGCCGTCGGCGCGAACGTGGCAACTGGAGTGATCCCTTTCGGAGGGAATGCTCCGTTCGCCACCGGTCCCATCCCTTCGACTATCGGCGGAATGCAGCCGTGCTCCCTGATGCAGCAGTGCTTCAACGGACAGATTTGCGTGAACGGATACTGTAGCAGAAGCAACGTGGCATACCAGGGAAGTCAGGTGATGCCGTCAGAGACCAGTGAGTGCCGATAATGAGAGAAAACAGGAGAAATAAGTTATTTCAGCGTGCATGACTGGAGCTACCTGCCCCGTTGGACAGTTCTGCATCGGGGGCGTTTGTGTTCAAAATCCAATGTCCACAACTTTCGGTAATGAAACTCATTTACCTCCCCAGAAACGGATTCTTTGCAGCTTGTCACAATGGGATCTCTTGTCCAATGGGGATGATTTGTCAGTTGGGACGTTGCCTCCCGAACGGAATGCCTCCTAATATGATGATGGGACAATTCTATGGATAAATTCTAACTATTTGTTTGTTTTTTTCTGTAAATAATTTTCTCTAGTCAATTCCCAATGAACTCGTAAATTTTCACTCTCAAATCGATTTGGGAAGGAAATGGTTAGCCTGTTGTAGGTGGGAAGCGAAGGGAGAGAAATTGATTTGACAGTATCAATAAATTAATGATAAAACCAGAGGGGACATTTAAAAGAGAGAGAGGAGAAGCTGTGGAGAACGGGAGAAAACATACACATGACGACCGGAGTATACACAAAAATGGAAATAAATTTATATCGCACTGATGCGAGCATGTGGCGGCAACGACATATCGAGGTTCTTGTGAACCATCTGCTCCTTGAGGATGAGATGCGAAACCTTGTTCAAAGTGTCCGTAAGCTTGTGCACATTGCTTGACCACACATCCAACTGCTCCACGTTGGCCTTCTTCAGACGCAGATTCACAATTCGAGATGGGCGATGAAGTTTAGCACCGGAGATTTGTCCGGTAACAATCAGGTTGCACACGAATGATTCCATCTCGTCCACTGGGAAATCGAGCAGCTCGGCCAGACGTTCGAATGTAATTTGGGTGTAGTACTTGGCGATCATTCGCATGTTCTGAAATTTGTTGGTTTTTCTAAAATTTGATAGATATTAAAGCTTACATGCTCTCCAACGCGAAGGTGCAAGTCGGACCACCGCTTCTCTCCTTCGGCAGACTTATCAAAGATTCCAGTATCGGGGACGGTCGATGTTCCTCGTCTGAGCAGTTCTCGTACTTGGCTACAATGGTTGCTTTGAATGAAATAAGCTCTTGGTTGATGAACAGATCCAGGATAATCTGAAACTGTTTTTGTAACGCCAATTGGAAATTAAGACAAACCTTGTATTCTGGAACAGTCTCCAATTCTCGTTGGATAGAGATTCTGTTCAGAAGATCCCATTGTTCGTTGGTGTGCGGAGCCAGAAGGCAGTAGACGATTGCGGACCTGAGGGCCGCAGTAGCCTTCACTGGATCCGACTTGATCTTCTTGGTCTCATAAATCTCGCGGAAATGACGGCACACATCCAGATAGTTTCTATCGTGAAGTCCGATGCGGATCATGGTATCGTAATACTTTAGCTTCAGATCCTGCACCTCATCGGTGTCAAATTTACCGAAGAACTTGATGTTGATCTTCTTTGAGATGATAGTGGCACGAACGTAGTCATTGCGGACGAGAGAGTATCTCATCTGTTCCAGCAGATACGACACTTTCTCACGCATTTCCATGGATCCGTACGTCTCCACTTGCAGCTCAAGAAGCATCGTGGCGGCTTCATCGACTTTTCCCTCAGCTTCCAACTTCTTGACAACCATCGAGGTGAGACGAGCCCGCTCTACTTCCACGTAGATTTTTCCGGCGGTGACAGTCCGAAGGGTCTCAATCAGCTTGATTTTGAGTTCCTCGGTTGGCATTTTATCGATCATGACAACGGCATCACGGACCATCTTAGCAATTGCCATCTTGATGAGAAGTCTCTTTTTAGACAGAGTCATAATTGTCTCCATCAAAAGATCCCATTTTTGTCCTTCGAAGCAGAGCTTCGCCTGGAACACCCAATGTTAAAAATTGTGCGAAAAGTAGATAATTACCATGTACTGAACAACACGAGTATTGCTTTTCATATCTGCTCCAAGACGAGTTAGCTTTTCAATATTGTTCAAGCTTTCCACAGCAGCCACAACGTCCTTCTGGGCGAGATCTCGCGCTTTGAGCAACGCTTCGTCGACTTGCTTCGTGTAATCGATCTCCATTTTGAACAGACGTCCATCTCCTTCCTTTATTCAGCAAATTTAGAAAGAAATTCATTTTACAACTTACATGAGATGCCAAATGAGCCAAGCTGTCGATTTCGGAGAGCTCTCCAGCGTCAACTGGGTCCACTTTGATCGGCTCACGTTTCTCGGCCATGACTGCAAGGAAAAATCGATAATAATACACATTCATTGGAGAATTCAGAAAAAATCAGATATAAATGCTACGGATGAGCTAGGAAAAAGTGAGCAAAAACAAGCATTGGAATACCAATTTTAAATGACAATTCGCACAGCCGAAGCGAGTGTTACCGTACCCCTTAGTCGCGTCGAGACCTTGGCGGGAGAATCTGTTATTTGAAAAGTGTTTTTTTCGCGCGCTTGTGTGAGAAGCGGTAAAATTCTAAATCAGTTTCGTCCTAATCCCAATTTCTCGAAGAAAGTTTCTGAATTTCACATTTTCAGATGTTTTATGCACAATTTGTGCTTGCCAAAAAAGGTCCGCTGGCCAAAATTTGGCTTGCAGCTCACTGGGAAAAGAAACTTACGAAAGCACAAATCTACGAGACCGATGTGCCACAAGCAATTGAAGAAGTCATACGGCCGAAGGTTTGTAGCATGTTTATACTGAAACTTTCCCTGAAACGCCACTTTCCAGGTCAAAATGGCTCTCCGAACCGTCGGTCACCTTCTGTTGGGAATTGTGCGTATCTACTCGAAAAAGACCAGATATCTTCTTGCTGATACGAATGAGGCGTATCTCAAGGTACCGGTTATCACTAATGGCTAACGACCTTCACGTTTCTTTGACAGATGAAAGTCAATTTCCGAGAAGGATTCTCATTTGAAGTGGATATCCCCTATGATGCCGAAAATGAGGAAAACTTGGCCAATTTGTCTGGCGATTTCAACATAGCCGTGCCGGAATTCAACGAGGCTGATTACAATGAACAGATGATTTTGGTGAGTAGACCGCGCTTTCAAGTCGAGGCTTAAATCTGAAACTTCAGGCAAATGTGAGTCGATTGGAAGATATCACAATCAAGGAGGACTGTAATTTCGACGCACATTTCCGCATGCATGACGCTATCGGAGACGACGGATTTGGTGACGAAGGACAGGATTACGATCAACTCGAACTTTTGTACGGTTCCGTCGAACCAGAGTCTTTCAGACCAACCCCACTGGCTGATTCTCAATCTCAGTTGGTCGAAGGCGTTCGTGACGCCGCAGTAGATGGATCCGTTCTGTCGGACAGATTGCGCAGCAACACTATCAATCTTTCGGAAAGATCCAATGCTCTTGGCGACCCTATTTTCGGCGATGTTCACGGCGGAGCGATGAATTTGAAGACTGAGCATGCCACGTTCCAAGAGCCGATGGACTTCGACCAGGGACCTCAAGACGTGTTTCAATCAATGATCCAGCCGGAAAGAGCACATTCTCCAGAGGAACAGATGGACCTCGACTATGCAGCTGACAACAATCCAGCTCCTCCTCGTCCGCCGAGCCCTGATTCTTTTGCTCTGGAGCCATTGGATTTGGAAAATATTGAAGGAAATGGACGGAAGAGACGGCAACGGAAAGCACGAAAACTGATGGTCGACGCGGAAACGATGATATCGAATGACGTCTTCCGTGAGCAACAAAACGACTATGCGGACACTCTGCAGACAGTCTCTGTCGCCCCGCCGTCGAGGAAGATGCTCAGGATGTGTGTCAGTGGAGAGATCGCACATCTCCTGAAGAATCCAGGAGCGGATTTTCACAGTCGGGAGATGGTTCAACTGTACAGATCACATCTGGTGCCTCGCAAGTTCGATCCGAACTTTACAATCCAGGAGCTGAGTGAGCACATGAGCACCTCCGCATCAATGGAGTTTCTCCCCCCGGCCGAACCTTGGGAGGGCCTGGAACTCAATGAACAGATTCATGACGATCTGGCTGCAGCCCCGGGACCCGCGCACGACGAGTTCCAGGAAGATTTCGATTTGGGCGACTACGGTCCACAAGATGCTCATCGAACATTGGACCTTGGAGACGACGTATCCGGAGTGCAGTACGGAGAAGATCGAATGCAGACACCCGTCAATCGGGGAGAGGTGAACGGCTAGCATTTAAAGGCTTCTTACCGTTTGCGTTAGTTTCAGAACAAAGAAAACGGAGAGGAGGAAGACTGGGCGGATCCATTCGGCGCATCGAATGCAACTCGTGGCCGTCTGGAAGCCTACGGGTTCGGTAATGGAAACACTGCGAAGAAGTACGTGGACGATGAAGGGAAATGGTCAAAACGAGCGAATCAGATTCTCAAAAAGATTTCACCGGACATTGAAAACGGAGGACAAGCCGAATTCTCTGCAGTCACGGCCGGTGCGAAGAACCGGAAGCAGGCCGCCGAACAGTTTTATTCTCTTCTTTCGCTCGCCAAAGCACAGGCGGTCCGGGTGGAGCAGAATGAGCCCTACGGAGAGATTTTCATTCGCGCAGGAGACAATTTCGCGGAGACGCTGAGCGGATTACCGCCCAGAGAGGCCACCGAAATTGACGAAAATCAGACGCCGAGAGCGGCTACAAATGCGACCGCGAGGGTGCCGATGAGATCCATCTAACTGTCAAATTAGTGCATTCCTCTCTTTACCATTCTAATCACTTCGTGTATAATTTCGAGATAAGATTTGTTTTTATCCAATTTATTCGCAGAAATCTCAAACGCTTTCTTGTCATGATCTATCCATTTTCAAGCATTTCACTTAAAACATGTTTTATCCCTACGGCTCATTTGGCAGTTTCATTGCAATATTCGAATGTGACTCCTATTTAATCTCGATTTTTTGGAACTCGAACTGTTTTCCGACAGTGTTGAATATCTTTGTCTCTTTCAACGTTTTCATTTTCCAATTTTCAAATTCGTTTGTCAGATGGCATCTCGTGTCAACATTGTCCAAGTGCAAATCCTCGACAATCCGGCCATGTTCACCGACAAGTTCAAGCTGGAGATCACATTCGAGGTCTTCGAGAACCTCCCGCACGGTACCCTGTGACGCCCAGTCTGATGAAAGTGTAAATTTTAGATCTCGAGTGGGAGCTTGTCTACGTCGGTTCGGGAACTTCCCGCGAATTCGATCAAGTGCTCGACTCGGCGCTCGTCGGCCCGATCCCAGAGGGACGTCACAGGTTCGTGTTCGACGCCGATCATCCGGATATTTCGAAGATTCCGGTTGACGATATTGTCGGAGTGAGCGTGCTTCTGCTCCGTTGCAAGTACAACGAGCAGGAGTTCATCAACATGGGATGGTTCGTCGCCAACGAATACACCGACGAGGCTCTCAAGGAGAACCCGCCGGCTCAGCCGATCGTCGAGAAGGTAAATTGGAGCTTAACTTTGGATGTCGATGAAACGAACACTAGACAGTTTGATTACAGCTGTCTCGCAAAGTTGAGACGGAAGATCTGCGTGTGACGACGTTTCCGATCAAGTGGACGGACGAAGATCCGATTGCCGACGCCGTCGAGGCCGAACCGGAGCGTGTCTTCGCTGAGGACGATCTGTTGCCGTTGAACGACGATGGCCAGGAAGACGACGAAGACGACGAGGACGTAAGAACTGACTCCCGGTGTGTATTCAGAGAGAAACCGTTTCAGGAAGACGAAGATATGGAGGGAGGTGCCACCGAAGAGATCGATCTGAACGAAAGCTTCAATGAGCGTTTGGCCAACGCCATCGACAGAATGGACGAGGAGCAGCAGAAGGGGGACGGAAAGGATGCGGAAGAGGCGACTGGAGACGTCGAGATGGGTGAGTGAAAGGAATGCATGAGAAGTGCCCTCTAGAAGTGTCTATAATATTGTAGAAGACGAGCAAGGAGTTCAGATCAACAACAGTGACAAAGTCGTCGAGTCGACTGCTGACCCGTTCTCTGACAAGACCAACAACGAGATGATCCACTGATTTCGCTCCGATTTCCCTCTTCTCTCCCGGCTGTTCCTTCTGTTCACTACTCCACTTAACTATGTTAATTGAATATGCTCAATTACCGTATCTATTTACACATTCATATTTTCGGTTTGCAATTGTGCGTTCTCAATTTTATTTCTTCAAGATTGTATCCTGCTAAATTTCGACTCAAAAGCGCCAATAAACTGTACTATGCCCCGAGAAAACTTGTGAATCTTAGTCGCAGAACGTCTTATACTCCTTTCGCCTATCTGAAAAGAATGGCTTACCGAAGCAACACAAATCGAACGCGTTTTCCTTGAAAAACATTTATTTATCTTAAGGAAACCTGAGAATGTGATTCACCCATTTTAACACGGGAGGATCGCCGTTTTTTGAAAACTGGCAATGAAAATAGAATAAGGAAATTCGAAAACGAAAGTGAATATGATTGGAGACGGAGTGCACTGGACTGCTGCTGGAACAGATTTCGAGACACAATTTCAGAATTTCAAGTTCTCTTGGTGATTGCTTTCTTCGTCCGTTCTTTCCGTGCGTTCTTTTCAATTCTGTGAGCGCCCATGGGCGTAAAACGCGAACAACCTGCCTTTGTGCTCCGGATTCTTGACAATCGAAACATGGAGAAAGTGTTGAATGAGGTGTTCGTATTCCCGCAACGTCGGAAGATATTGCATCACATCGTTGATGGCCGGCTCTGAAAATAAGCAAGATTGCGAGAGGAACGGTTTAGAGAGGAGTGAGAGAAATCCAGCGAATTTAAGGGGAACCGAAGAGGGACCTATATCGGCTTCGTTGTAGGCGAACACATCCCGAAGTAATCCTTCGAGAAGCTGATATTGACGCTCCTTGTCGATGATCTCGTGCAGGTGGAGGCTGTGAAAGAAAAGGCGGCTAATTTGAGTGGGTTTTCCCCGCAAGAGACGCAACTTCAGAAGACTTCTGATGCTCCGTGGGGACCCGGGTAATCTACTAACTATATGCAATCCCGTCCTCTTGTGCACTGCCCGTTGAGATCAAACTTGCAAACTTTCAGCAGCAAATCACGACACGCTTCAGAACGTTCAGATGGAACAACCACTGGAGAGGCGGTGACGGCGACAGTGAGAGCTTCAGAATTGTCTCTGTAATCAGACGATTAGCGTATAATTCGACAACAAGATCACTCACTTCGATTTCGATTTTGCAATGAGTATTTCTCTGAGATTCAACTCTTTGTTGAGCCCTGATTCGCCTAGATTTTCATTCAGAGCATCACCAGAAGAGTTGATAACAGCCCCGAGGAGACTAGAATGAGAGAGTGCGCGTACTCGGTCTGCCAGCCGTTCGTTTTCCTCTTCAGGCTCCTCTTCTGTAATTGTTTTCCCTTTAACATTACCCGTTCGGCGTGTGTTCTATGTCTTTTTTTTCTTATGTCTTTATTCATCTTCCCCAAGCAACCCGACAATCAGCATCCCCAAGTTGTCCCCTACAAATCGTGCATCAGCCCTTCGTTCTTCTGCCGTTCGTTGCTCTCAACGTACCCGAATCTCCAGCCATAGTCGCACCGACCGAATCATCGGTGCTACTACTTTCTTGTTCGTCGACGTCTTTTTCAATTTCCATTGATTCTTTTTCTTCGACAGAACTCGCTGTTGGTTGACATTGTGGATCAACAGGCGTTGAATCAGGCTCTGGCAACGGTGTACGTACGGTTTCAGATTTGATGTTGACGATGAATGAAATGTTCGCGAATCTATAGTAATGAAATTTCCTTGCTTGTTCAACCCATTTTCGAACTCACTCAGATTCATCGCAGAGAATATCCAAATCTTCGTTGTCAATGTCATCCAGCTGACGTTCCAGGTCTCGCTTCCGTGCTTGTGCCGCCAGAAACTTCTCACGATTGCTCTTCAGAGACACTTTCGTTTCTTCAAGTCTCTTCGATATTTCTCGAATTTCATCTCGAGCAGCAAGCATGTCATTCTTTGTCGAGATGATCTCTAGATCTTCCTTGTCTATCTGGTTCCTCAGTTCTTTTCTCTTGTCGGAATGAGAAGCGATAGAAGTTGTAGACGAGACTTTCAGAGGCGTTGGTGCTAGTTTACACGGAACCGGTTCCTTGCGGACGACAGTTTTTGTGATTGCTGTGGTAGGAGCCGGAGCAACAGCGATCGGGGAAAGAGTATCAGGCTTCTGTTTCTTGGCCGGAACACTTTTCTCCGGAAACGTCTTGCTAGCTGGTGGAGCACTTCTCTTCTTGGACTCCATCTGCAGCAAAAGTAATTCTCTTAAAGTATTTTCATCTGACTCGGTAGGTGTCGGAGTTGGAGTAGAGGTGGCAATCGGCTTGGGAATGCTCACAGAATGTTTTGGAGGAGGGGGCGGAGGAGGGAGCTGCACTTGCAGTGGGATGTTTACCGGTGGTTGCAAAGTGACCCTCGGAGGCGATAAAGGAGGCTCTTCGGGGGTAGTCCTCTCGTTCGTTATCTCCATTCTGACTTCTTCGTAGTTTCCACCACGATAAGTAGGGACAGGATCCGGAGAGATGGATTGCAGCAACGGTGGAATTATTTGGCTCATCAATGACGGGATCAGAGGCGGAGGAATCGGGGGCGGAGCGAAGAAGTGAAGCTGCTGACGGTGCGGTTGGAAAAAAGTTCCAGTGTTGCTGACAAGAGACTGCAGTCGCACTATATCGGGGTTTAGAGTTATTCCCTGGAATAAAGTCATGAAGATGGATTCGTTTGATCGAATGACTCACCGGCGCTGTTGCAGGAGGAAAGACGACAGATTCCGATGGTGAAGGGCGGAGGGGCCGGCTGTTTCCTGGAAAATGATACTGTTGCAGTCCGAGCTCCGTTTACTTTCACCATCGCCACAAACGATGAAATAGCGACCTTGACAGCGTGTGTACTTCATGAGTAAAAAGAGAAATGATTTTCGAAGAAAAAAAAACGAACCTTGCCACGTAGACGCCGGTGCACTTCTTCTCGGAGAAGATCCTCTCTGTTTCGAGGCGTTCGAGGAGGTCGAGTGTCGGCCGTTACGTTCTGAAATTAGGGAGTGGAGCATGTTTTTTGATCCGTTCGTCTTACCGTTCCGGAAATTTTTTGTTTGCCTTTTGGGCGACTTTCCGCGTCTCGGCTCGGAAATTGCAGCAGTTGAAGTCAGCGACATGCGGGACGCTCTTTCCTGAAACACACAATTGAATAGAAGATAATGTTTTGAAAGCTACCTCTTTTTGAATGATTTTATCAATGATTATCTCATCGTTGATATCGTCTGGTTGCGGAGACGATTCGCTGAGAGAAGCGGGCAATTAAACGCAATTAATCGATAAACCCACTGTTCTGATTGGATTTCACCGTCTTCTAAGCCATCGGCGGACATTTTTAACAACACAAAAACCTGCAAATATTGTACCAACACCTATAACCAGCGGATTTTAACCGCTTTTGATAGTCAAATTTATTCAGATCGTGCGAAGCCAACACTGATGACAGAGAGCACGCCGGGCGCGGAGTGCGGTCAGAGAAAAAGAGTCGCGACGAGACCTTGCAGTCCGCGTACGGTAGGGCAGAGCGGCCGAAAAAGTGCTGCATGCATTATCGCACAACCCCATCTCGTTCAGTCATGAACCCCCTCATTTTCCGTGAATATGAATGCGTTTGGACGTCTTCCACGTCCTTTCTATTGATTTTTCGCCATTTCTTAGCTGTTTCGGGTGTAAAACCATTTGAAATGGACCTTCTACTTGCATTTGTGTTTCGACAAATCAATGCTTTCCTTTTCCATTTCGGTCATGTCTTTTCATTTCTTATTCCAGGGTTAGTGTAACAACGAAGCATCAAGCATGACTGACACCGGATCCCCAACCGCCCCACCAGTTTCGGCATCTTCCTCGACAACTCCAGCTGTCCGTCGTGGACTCGTCAAGTCTGTCCTTTCCGGAGATGCCATTATCCTACAAGGAAGCCCTCAGTCTGGCCCACCACCAGAGTGGACTGTCTATCTGAGCAACGTGACGGCTCCAAGACTCGGCCGCCGTCCAACTGATTCATCTCCAGCCACTCCAGATGAGCCATATGCTTGGGAAGCTCGCGAATTCCTTCGCAAGAAGCTTGTTGGACATCTCGTCACTTTTGTTCGAGATTTCACTGCCACCTCTGGACGTGATCACGGACGTATTTACCTCGGAGGTACGAGCCCAGCCGATGCTCAAAACGTCGCCGAGGAGGCCGTGTCTGCCGGTCTCCTCGAAGTTCGTCAAGGAAAGGTCACAGAGTGAGTTATCGACTGTAAGCTGTCTGACATTTCTTTTTTTGTTTTTAGTGACTACACTACAAAGCTTCTGGAACTGCAAGATCAGGCAAAGTCAGCTGGACGCGGAAAGTGGAGTTCTACAGCTGGAACCATCCGTGAAATTCGATGGGCGATTGATAGCCCACGAGAGCTGGTCGACAAGTACAACCAGAAGCCAGTTGACGCCGTCATCGAAATGGTTCGCGATGGAACGACAGTCCGCGCCTTCCTCCTGCCGAACTTCGAGTACATCACCCTTCAGCTTTCGGGAGTTCGTGCCCCATCAACCAAAAACCCGAACTCTATCGATTCTCGAGCAGAGCCGTTCTCTGAGGAAGCCAAGTTTTTCACTGAGGCTCGTCTTCTTCAGCGTGACGTGCAAATCGTCCTTGAGTCGACTTCCAATCAGAACTTTGTTGGATCTATCCTCCACCCGAAAGGAAACATCGCCGAGTCTCTTGTTCGCGAAGGATACGCCAAATGTGTTGACTGGAGCATCGGATTGTGCACTGGAGGATCAGAAGTACTTCGAAAAGCGGAGAAAATCGCGAAGGAGAAGAGACTCCGTCTCTGGAAGAGCTATCAACCAACGACTACTGGAGTTTCCGGAGATCGTAAGACCTTCACCGCTAAAGTCACGGAAGTCGTTCTTTCGGACGCTCTTGTTGTGCAGAAGGACGATGGATCCGAGGTGAAAGTGTATCTTTCTTCTATCAGACTTCCGAGAGAGACGGGAGAAGATAAGACGCCAGCCGTTGGCCGTCAATTCCGCCCACTCTACGACATCCCATTCATGTTCCAAGCTCGTGAATTTCTCCGCAAGCGCATCCTCGGAAAGAAAGTTCAAGTGCAGATTGACTACATCCAGCCGAGATCGGAGAGCTTCCCGGAAAAGACTTGCGCCACTGTCAAGATCGGAGACCTGAACATTGCCGAAGGACTCGTTAGCCGTGGGCTCAGCAAGGTTGTTCGTCATCGTTCTGACGACGAGAATCGCTCGTCGGAGTATGATGTTCTTTTGGCTGCTGAAGCCAACGCCGAGAAAGGAAAGAAGGGATTGTTCGCTGACAAGTCTACCGAGAAGAAGGACACCCTCCGCATCCAGGAAATCACCGGTGACGCTACCAAGTCCAAGCAGTTCCTGCCATATCTTCAAAAAGGAGGAAGGTACGAAAATAAGAAGCACATTTTCAATGTTCTAGTTAATCATTTTCAGAGCCGAAGGGGTTGTCGAATTTATTTCTGGAGGATCCCGTCTCCGCATCTATATTCCAAAGGAAACTGTTCTCATTACCTTCTTGCTCGGAGGAATCAACTGCCCGAAGGGAGCCCGTGTCGGACCAGGAGGAGTTGTTCAAGGAGCACCAGAACCATTCGCCGATGAGGCTGCCGCTTTCACCCGCAAATTCGTTCTTCAGCACGAAGTGCAGCTCGAAGTTGAGAGCACCGACAAGAACGGAAACTTTGTCGGATACCTCTTTGTTTCTCCAGACGGAAACACTTCGAGAGGAATCAATTTGAGCGAGGCTCTCGTCGAACAGGGACTTGCTTCTCTTCACTTCACCGCCGAGCGCAGTGGACACTACAATGGTCTTCTCGCCGCGGAGAACAAGGCAAAGAAAGCCAAGAAGAACATCTGGGCCAACTTTGTTGAGGAGCAGCATCAAGAAGAGGTTGAAGTTCAACAAGCCGACACCTCCGAGCGGAAGCAGAACTTACGCCAAGTCGCAGTCACTGACATTGCTCCAGGAGCGCTTCGCTTCTCCGCCCAGAACATCGAGGACGGAGCCAAGATTGAGAAGATGACCGCCGACTTGAGACAAGTGCTCTCTGAAAACCCACCACTCGCCGGATCCTACGCTCCGAAGCGAGGAGACCTTTGCGTCGCCAAGTTCTCTCAGGACGGCCTGTGGTACCGTGCCAAGGTTGAGAGCATTCGTGCCGGACAAGCTGAAATCGTTTATATCGATTACGGAAATCGCGAAACTCTTGAAGCCGCCAAGCTCGCTCAAATGCCAGCAGGTTTCGCCAGTACTCCAGCTGGAGTCAAGGAGTACAACCTGGCTCTCACTAAGCTTCCCAACGAGGACTACGTGCAACTCACTTTGGATGCTTTTGCCCATTACTTGTTCGGACACTCGTCTGTTTTCATCAACACCGAGTACAAGGTCGGAACTGCTGAATACGTGACGGTAAGCAGCATACACACCAGTCGGCATTTTCTGAATATAATTTTTTCAGGTCTACTATGACAACGGAACGAAGAAGGTCGACATTGGAAAGGCGCTCATCAGCGAAGGACTGGCCTTGACCGACCCTCGTCGTGAGCCACGTCTTCAAGCGCTCGTTTCTGAATACAAGTCATCCGAAGAAGTTGCCCGCAAATCGAGAAAGAATATCTGGGAGTACGGAGATTTCACCGGAAACGAGATCTAATCAATTGATTCTGCCTGAGATAGTTTTATCCCATTCATATTCGTCTTCATCCCCACGCATACCCTTTTCTTTTTTACAGAGTATAACTGTGATGCACCTATCCGAATCTAGTTATTCTGAGATCCCGATGGAAGTTGTTCTGTTCATTGTTAGTCTAATAATTGTATTTTCTTCCTTTCAAATTTCCATCGGGTTCTCTTTTCTCCTTCTTCATCATCTATCCCAATTGCACACAATGTTGGGTTTTCGAGTACATATTTCCAAAAGAGTATTTATATATTTATTGCTCTAATTTATTTATTTCCAGAACATGTTTTTTTTAATAATTTAGAGGACGCTTTCTGGTTATTTGTTATCAATAAATAATTTATTGCCCTCTTTAGCACTTTTAATGTTTTGGTGGTTGGTTGCTTTCCGGGTTTCTATTTTTCGCATAATTTCTAAAAAAAGAAAAGGCATCGACAAAACGGAATATGTATCAGATGAGCACAACTGGTCATCGTGCTGGTGTTTTCAAAAAGCCGGCGAAAACGCATAAGTCGTGGAAGGGAAAACGGACGAAAGGAGAGATTTCGGCTGATAATCGAGGTTCGCAAGTTGATATTTGTGGAAACAGACTTGAATCGAGGCTACCCCGAACTAGAACTGTCTTGGATCTGTCTGCAGAACCTGTCTGCAAGTGGTTTTTGTTACGAAAAGTCGTGTTTTGACGGATTCCGATTCGGGACAGTTCTGGTTCGCGGTAGCCTCCTCTATCAGTTCAGAATTTATTCACTTTTCAAAAATATCATACGAAACGAGGTTGTTGATAAAAGTGATTACGTGCTTTAAAAGTGGTTATACAATCGCTATTCAGGACGCGAAGGAGTCAAACAAATCGTCCGTTCGGGCCATGCGACTCATCGTGCCATCTCGAAGGATGCCCGTCGGAATCAACTGAAAATGGCGAGAGAACGCAAGCTGGCCGAAGCGATGGAGAGACGCAGAACTTCCAATGCCCCATGCCTTGTGGTATTTCGTCTTTCAATTGAAACAATCGGAATATAGGTGACTTTCAGACTGTCATTTCCCTGGGAAGCGGGGCGCGTCCAACCGAGTTCATCAAAAAGCTGGCAACGTGCGACGAAACCATCGTCCAGACGTCTTCTCCGTCCACCATCAATTTCGCAATCCCCCGTTTCAAGTCGCGCATCTCGTTCGTCACTCCAGACAAAGGAAACATCGACTCCGTTCTTGACGCGATTCGCGCTTCCGATGTGCTCTGTTTCCTCTGGCCGATGTCGGCGCAACTGTCTGAATGGGACGAGCAGTTGCTGACCATCGTCAAAGCGAACGGACTGCCGACCATTGTGAGCGTGGTGCCGGGATTGGGAGGTATTGCGAATCACAAGAAGAAGGAGGACGTTCGCAAGGGAATCGAATTCATCATCTCCAAGTGGAGCATGAACAACGCGGGCGTTCTCCTCGCCGATTCGGTCACTGACAGTCTCCAACTGCTCCGCACTTTCAATGAAACGAAGAAGAAGCCGCTGACTCTTCAAGCACGCCACTCTTATCTGCTCGTCGAGAATCTCGAATGCTCTCAAAAGACAGACTCGACGTGCACTCTAGTTGCTCAGGGATATCTCAGAGGTCCCGAATGGAGTGCCAACAACCTCGTCCACCTTCCCGGATTCGGAGACTTCCCAGTGTCTCGTATTGAAACTGCTGTTGATCCGCATCCTCTGAAGACCGGTGGAAAAGTCCCAGAGACCCAAATAATTGCAAAATCCGATGAAAAGCGACAGCCCCTGGAGACGGAGATTATTCCAAATGAAATGGACGGAGAACAGACATGGCCGACACGGGAAGAGCTGGAAGAGGCGGACAAGGAGAGACGCAGAGTGCCGAAAGGAACGTCTTCCTATCAAGCCGCCTGGATTCTGGACGATGAAGATGACGAGGAAAACGATGACGATGACGACGACGAAGATATGGAAGATGAGGAAGAAGATGTAGAAGAGGACGACGATGATGAGGAACCGATGGACTTGAAATCGGAAGCAGGAGAAACGACTGCGAGCGAAATGATCGATGAAGAAGGCATCGATGAGGACATCAACATGGCCGAAGTGGAGAAATACAGGAAGGAGAGGGAGAATGCTCAATGGCCGGATGAGATTGACACTCCAATAGATGTGCCTGCTCGCGTTCGTTTCCAGAAATACCGAGGACTGAAGAGCTTCCGCACATCCACTTGGGACCCGAAAGAGAACTTGCCAGTGGATTACGCTCGCATCTTCCAATTTGCAAACTACAAAAATACCAAGAAAAATGTGATGGCCAAGATTGGAGGGAACGACGTGGATTCCGGTGATGCAGTCATCGACAAGAAGTTCAACGGAGCGTTCGCCAGTGTGTTCATTGAGAACGTACCCCTCGCTCTTTTGGAGGCGTACAAGGACGTAAAGAATCTCGTTCTCTTCCAGCCGCTTCCACACGAGCAGAAGATGTCCGTCCTCAACATGGTTCTCAAGAAGCACCCTTCATGCACCGTTCCGATCACATCCGACCAGAATCGAAAGTTCATCTTCTACGTCGGCTTCCGTCAGTTCGAAGCGAACGCCCTGCTCTCTTCGAATACGCCAGGAGACAAGTACAAACTGGAAAGGTTCATGCCCACGGAGAAGACGTTCGTCGCCACTGTCTACGCGCCGATCACTTTCAACCCGGCCACTGTGCTCTGCTTCAGACAGGACGACAAGGGAAGACAGGAGCTCGTGGCCACTGGCTCCGTTCTCGACAGCAATCCGGATCGTGTCGTCCTCAAGAGAACAGTCCTCTCCGGTCATCCGTACAAGATCAATCGTCGTGCCGTCGTGGTCCGTTATATGTTCTTCAACAGAGGTACGTCTCTTCACGGCTGCCATCTTAGGTCAATCTTTGATCTTTTCAGAAGACATTGAATGGTTCAAACCGGTCGAATTGTACACGCCGTCTGGTCGTCGTGGTCACATCAAGGAGCCGGTCGGAACTCACGGAAATTTGAAAGCACGCTTCGATCAGCAACTGAATGCTCAGGATTCCGTAATGCTCAATCTCTACAAGCGTGTCTTCCCCGTCTGGAATTACTCTCATTTCGTAAGTTTTTTTTCAAAAAAAAAAAAACATTATAATTTATGTCTATTTCAGAATCGTAACCTCAACCCGTCCCGCTTTGTCGAACGCTCTCGAATCGAAAGTATCAGCCTTGTGAATGAGGATTCCATGGAAGAATAAATCCCCGTTTTTTGTTTCGTTTTCCTGTTAAAACTCATAATCTTGTTTTTTGCTCCTTTTCTTGTTAACTCTTTGTTGTGTTTGCTTCTGAAGTTTTTTTTTGTGATCTTTGCAGTTATTCACTTTTATTCGGTTTATAGCTGCACTCTGTCGCTCGAGAAGCGAAAGCCGCCGAAGAATACTTCTTTATTTTACTGTGAGCTGTTGAGCGTACTTTCTATTTATAACTTCTCTCAATTCTAGTGTCGTGAATTCTGATATAATGAGCACGACGTCTCCTGGAAGCGAGAAGCATCGAAATTTCGAACAGAGAAACATTCCAATATTGAACAAAAGTCAAATAATAAATAATGAATGTTGCCGCCGTCGGGGACTTCGGAAGGATCGAATCTAGAAGTTGGCACCTTTTCAAAGCAAAATTTATGAGGGTTGATTTTTTGTAATAATAATTTCTGAAAAAATTCTATCGTGCATCCTCCCATAAAATAAACCGCCGTCTCAAACGCCTTCTCCGGCAGATACCGATCTTTTCTCAATATTCAACTTCTTTTCTACCGACCTCTGCACATCCTCACTGCCTTCTCGATTAGCTAGTATCTGATCGCTAGATGACCTATTTCAAATGATTTTTCGCGCGCATCACCCTTCCCTTCTCATCCGCCCTTGTTTTTTGTCCGTCGCATCCCGTCCCTCGGTGCTTCGCTTCTACTGGTCACACCGACAAAAACTAGGCGGCAATGCGGGAGGTCACTTTATTACTGTTACTGCCAATCTTCGTTCATGGACGAGGTGAGATCTCATCTGGATTTGAATTCAGAGGAAGTGGGTTCTGAGAAATTTCAACCAACTCTTCTAGCTTTTAATGGATGCTTACATTTTTGCCTGTTTAGTAGACCTTGTACAGCAAAGAACGCAAGAGGGTATCATATTCCTAGATCGTGTCTGTTTCAACTCTGATTCTAATCACGGAGGAGATAAAAAACATTTCAGAACTTCTTGACATCCCTACCACCACCTTCAGAATTCCGCGGAACGCCCAAGAAGGCGATCTGATCGTCGGCAGCCAACACATCCGTGCGTCCAAGGTATTCTCCTTCTTCTCTTTTTCCTTCAATTCGTTATGATCACCTGATGATTCTCGGTGTTCCTAACCTGCAAGGTTAGACGGATAAGGCGGATAACTTGTTGTTTTTGACCCAATTCATTCATTCGCTCTCCCACTTTTTCTCGTCTCTTTCTCCTGCGTGTCAAGACAATTTGATAAGAAGCAAGCGCCGGTGATTAATGATTATTGCCCAACGAAAAGTCTATCGGATCGGGGAATGACATAACCGACACGACCGCTTTTTTTCAGGATCTGGATGAGTCGTTGAATCTGGAGCTGGAGGGGACCAATCCTTCACCAATCGCAATCAACGGATCTATCGTGGACGCCGGCCAACCTGTCAAATTTGTTCTGGTTAATAAGAATGCATTCGAGAACGGGAAGAGTCAGGTGAAGGTGGGCAATGGAGAGATTGAACTCGGGCTCTCACATTCTTATTCCAGCTGCAAGCTCTCGGTGTGATATCGGGCAAAGTACAGGAAGCAACGATTCACTTTGAAGTGGAGAGCTCTTCCGATCTTCCTACGATTCCTCAAATCCCGAACTTTGTCGTCAGAAATGACTTCCAAGACAAGGAGACTGCGATTGTGAAGGTCTCCTCGAAGATTCCCGCCAACAGCGAACTGGAAGTGCTCGGGCATTACGCAGAAAGAGTTCAGGCCTCTTTCCAAGAAGATAACATCATTCTGGATACCGTTCCGTGCGAGGACAACGAGCCGTGTGATATCGCCTTCCCGTTCACCGTCATTCTCGTTCTGAAAAACGGAGAGAATCATGTGGAGTCTCTGATGACTTTTGAAGAAGAGAAAGTGAGTGGGAACGCCGGTTCACGTGCAAACTGCGAATTTACAGAAAAGCACATTGAAAATGGACCAGAAAGTTTACGAAACGACAATAGAAGAGCACACTGGAGAGCAGGATCGTCTCGTGAAAGTGACTGCGAAAGGAAACAGCTCGGAGATTCTGTACTCGCTGAGAGATGCCAGCGGACTGTTCTCGATTCATCCGAAAGAAGGATTGCTCTCTATTTTACATCCAGAGTTCCTGACGATTTCTTCGTTCGGAGAGGCCGTTAACCTGACTGTCGTGGCGACGGACGGAGAGAACACTGTGAATGCGGTTGTGAAAGTGAAGATTGCGCCGGAAATTGAGAAGAATGTAGTGTTCGGGTTTGAGAAGGTGAATGATCACTCATCAATTCGAAAGATAATAAAGAAATTTCATTTTAGGAGAACTACGAAATTGAAGCGGAGAATACTGAGAAGTTCCTCGGCAACATTAGAGCCAAGTTCCCGAATCCAGTTGTATACCGTATCACGGAAGGTAGAAGCGACCTGTATCAAGTTGAGGGTAATGGAGACGTCAAATACGTCGGAAAGTTGCTGAAGGACGACAGGGAAGATGCGATTACGGTATGTTCCTGAGCTGCTGAGACAATTCACATTCTATTCTTCAGGTTGCTGTTCAAGAAGCCACAGGAGGGCTCAAGATGGCTTCTGCGAAAGTTAATGTTCACCTCAAAGGAATCGGATCTTTCCCAGTTACCACTTCGGATGATTTAGAGCAAGTTGAGTTGGTTTCTGCGGATGAGCCAGCTGGAGTTGTGCTCACTTCCATTCAGTTCAATGACGAGGATGCGGATGCCAAGTTGGAATACTCGCTCAAAGCCGAGCAGGGAGTTGATGAAAACGGGAACTTGGTTGCTGAAGATGCCGCGTCTCTGTTTGAAGTCAAGTCGGGAGATGATAATCAAGCTCATCTGGTGATCAGCAAAGGCTTGAAGAAGTCTCAAATCTCTTCAGTGCAGCTGGAAATCACGGCCCGTGACATGGAACATCCCAAAGAACCAGAAGCCTCTGTCAGAAGAACAATTGTCATTCAGAGGGAGAAGGAGGAAGAAGTTCCGAAAGAACTGAACTTTATAGCTCTTCCGGATAATATCACTGTTCCTCTCGACCTTCCCGTTGGCTCATTTATTTACCGTGCAGTTGTACTTCCGAAGAAAAGCAATCTGACGTTCTCTATTGAGCCGGAGCACATCTTCAAAATATTCAATGACGGGTCTGTTATCACGAAGAAAGATCTTGTCGAAGAGCCGCAATCAATTCGAATTCAAGTAACAGTAACGGATGGAAATGAGACGAAGAGTTCGGAGAGCAACTTGATTCTCAAGAAGAAGCTTCGTGCTCATTTCACAGAGGAACGGTATGAAGCGAATGTTCCACGTGGTTCTCCGGAAGGAACACTTATTTCATTGGTATCTGCAGTCAGTGAAAAATCAGAAGCTGTCACTGATTTCGTGCTCAAAGGAGGGCACTCCAAGATGTTCAGTGTAGACAATCAGGGAGCGGTAAAGAGCAACGGAGCACTGACGGAAGGCTCTGCCTTCGATTTCTTAGTTGCTCTTGCCAGCGATCCGACCATAACCGCCCCCGTGCACGTGAAACTGGATGAAGTCCGCGCCGCTTCGATAATTTTGACGGAGAATCAGATATTTGCTTCTGTTTTCGACAATCTGCCCATCAATTCGTATGTAGGAAGAGTGGAAGTGAAGGGGAATGAAAAGGTGAAATTCACGATGAATTCTGAAGAGAAGGGAATGAACAATCTGTTCGCAATCGAGGAGGATGGAACCATCAGGAGCATTGACTGGTTGAGTGGTAAGAGATTCGGCAGAGTTCTTTCCTATAAATCTGATTTCTCAATTCTTTCAGGCTCGGCAGGAATGCACAAGTTCACGGTGCTCGCCAGCAACATCGATCAAGCCGGCGTGCGCTCCGCCAACGCAACCGTGGTTATTGACGTTTTGAAGTCAAATGAGTGTGCCCCTCGCTTCAAACCGGACGAAAACCTGATCTTCTACGTCAGAGAGGTAAACCAATCCCATTTAAAGGTAATTACACTATTTTCTGTCTTTCAGAACACTCCGAGAGATACTGTAATTGGTAAAGTGGCTGCTGATATTTTACCCGGAAAGTGTGACCTGGAATATTCTCTCGGCGATGAAGAAGCATTGAGTATCAATTCGGCGAACGGAGAACTCAAGACAGTGAAGGAATTCGACTTTGAGAAGCAGAAAAGCTACGTGGTAAAACTGAAATTGGTGGCTGGAAAGCATAATTCGGAGTCTACGAGTGCGGAATTGAGGATTCTGGACGTGGACGACCATCAAGTGCACTTCGATCTTACCGAGCAAACCGTGGATGTTCCGGAGGACACACCCACAACCACTGTGGTCGCTACTGTCCGTGCAGTTGAGAAAGACGAGCAGCCCGTGTTCTACCACTTGGCTCCGTCCTCTCCTCCTCAGTTTTCACTCCATTCAACCACCGGAGCCGTCATAGTCGAGCAGCCATTAGATCGGGAGACAGACGAACAGTTTGTGATTGAGATCGGAGCGTCGAACAGCGTAAACACCGTGCAAGCGGACTGGCCGACAAAGATGAAGTTGATTGTGAAGGTGAAAGATGTGAATGACAACGGACCGATCTTCGATAGATCTCACTACCTGACAGTCGTGGAGAAGGACATTGTTGTCGGCTCCAAAATCATTGAAGTCCATGCTGTCGATCCGGACGTTGACGATCAAGAGAAAAAGTTAGAGTACACAGTGACTGGCGCGAGTTTCGAGTACAGAGGAATGAGCAGGAACGTGGAGGGCGTGCTCGACATCAATCCGGTCGACGGGAAAGTTTATACTTTGAGAAGCCTTAGTGACTACGTGGGAGGTGTGTTCAATGTGCATCTGCAAGTCAGAGACACTGTGGACGGAACCATCGGAAAGGCCGGGCTCAAAATGTACGTCCATGACAACAGCGACCTGTTGAGCATGGAGCTCCCGTATGCTCCGAGTACAGTCACCCCACAAGTCGTCGATGAGTTCTCGCAACTGCTGAGCAACTCCACCGGGCTGTGGGCTCTTCCAAGGAAGGTTTCGTACAAAGCCCCGCATGGAATAATGTCGACGAACTCGGTCGATTTGCAACTGATCTTCTTCAACAAGACGCTCTCGGAGATTGTTCCAGCTGAGAAAGTGCTTGCGATTCGAGAGATGAATCCGGTAAAAGGGCTTCCGGAGCTGAGAAAGCCAACGTCCTCGTACTTGATGAATGTGGAGAAGAGATCGGACACATTCATCCAGCCGGAGCTCTTCTTCATCGTGCTCGGCTTCCTCGTACTTCTCGCAATTGTCCTCTCACTGTGCGGAATGATGGCCTGTTTCGCAAGAAGCAGATTTTTGAGGGAAAAAAAGATTGTGGAGAATGAGATGGCCATCAAGGACGCCATTCAGTTCCCGTCAAACAGAAGCCCTGCATTGGTGTAAGTTCAGATCTTAAACAATAATCCCTAATTCTCTTTGCTTTCAGAAGTTTCAAGCACTACGCCCCACCCACTTCTGAGATCTACCGGAACCATGAAGAGCACATGTATCGGTCGCCGAATCTGAATGAGAAAGTGGGCAGTTATGCTGTCCAACAGGCCACGATTACTGTCGCAGAGCACGAAGAGAAGATCTGAAGACCGTCTGAACCCAGAATCCCGCGTGTACATTCATCCCCATCTTCGCATACTGGTAAACCCCTTTGTTTCCTATTCGAACGTCATAAACGTTTCGTTTCGATCCGTTTCTGTTTTCTGTTTTTCCGTGTTTCTTCTTTTCGTGTATGACGACATGAGAATAAAGTGTGTGACTGCTAGAAATGAAGCTGAATGGAACCTTGCAGGAGTGATAAGGGTGAAAGAGTTTGGGCGAGTGAAAAATGGGAAAAAAACGGGTAGTGAGGGGAGAGAATTGGTGATAAGAATGAGTGGTTTGGGAAAAAGAGAATGTTTGAGAAAATTCAAGAGATAAGGAAGTTATTTTGGATTTTATGGAAGTAAAATTGAAAAAAAGGGCAGACAATTATAATTACAGTGCAACGTCGCAGCAGAAAAACAATTCCAAAGTTGCAAACGAACAAAATAGTGCATTTCAAACCAAATCAATCGTTCAAAAAGGCAATCAATGACTACGAATTATTGCACGATTCGTCGATTTCACATACGGTTTCGTCTACGAACATCTGACATCACTGATATCTATAAAAGGCGGTTTCGAACAGTGTCTGAATTCTACTTGAGAATACGGGTGACGTGTTTCTGATGGATCTTCTTCGAGCACCGAACGCGTCAGCTGTTCGACTCCCATGATCACGTGTGTAACTTTTATACCACATGATATCATTTTCTGCCAACTAAACCGAACGAATCGTTTCCTTCTCAAATGTGTAGTTCCTTCGACGCAGTTTACTTGCAGATTCATGTCGTCGTTTACGTTTCGAACAGCTGAAACAGCAGATGCGGAACGAATTCTCGCATTTCTGTGTGAACATTTTGTACACGAAGAGCCGTGCATTCGGGTAATAATGTATGCATTTCCACGTAACAAGAATTCCGTTCAGGCTATGAAATCGAACGTCGATGAATGGCGGCCGCTTCTGAAGGAAATGGTGGCGAACAGTCTGCGCATTCCTTTCTCGACAATCGTGACGACGGAGGAAGGCCACGTGGCAGCTGTTCTTCTGAATTCATTGTGGCGAAGAGACGATGAGTCGACTGGGGAGGATCATGAAAATGGGAGTTTCCCGGAACACATTCAGAAGTTTAGTGAGTTCAGAACCGGTTCTAGACCGAGAAACATGTTTGAATTCAGTCGACGTCCTTCAAAAATGCCATGGGGACTTCTGGCCGCTGGCTCCAGCAGACGTAAACACCGTCTTGTACAGAGAGATCTCGAACGTGGGAAAGCCATGGCAAAGAAAGGGAATCGCGTCGAGAATGGTGACGGAAGCATTGACAAAAGCCAAGATTGATGAGTACGGAGTGGGCGGGATCCTCTCCGCCACGTCATCATTCGCCAATCAGACTCTTCTGGCCAAACAGGGATTCCAGTGTCTGAAAGAGTTTCCGTACGCGGACATTGTCAGTTGCAACGGGGAACAGCTCGTGCAGACTGACGACGGATCGAAGGGAATGCGGATCAACTTCAAGAGAATCGAGGACTTTGACATCAACGCTTAGAAACCGCGTCATACTTTTCTCGTTTCTCTTTTTGTCCTGAATGTTTGATAACAGCTAATAAAGAATGTGATTCTTGGAACCACGGAATGGTGATAACGTATGTGCATGATGAAAAAGGTACTGAAAGGGAATGAGAAGAGAGAAATTAATGATAACAAACAAGGTTCTGAGTGTAAGTTCATCACGGAGCCCAAGAGAACACACATATCACATTTATATATTATTATCCGTCAAATCATTTCACCCTCGCATCTGCAAATCCTAGGTTGCTCAGATTCTGAATCTTAAATCTGGAGGGATGCACAAGAATCACACGCTTCGGAGAATCCGTTCCGTTTGCGCATGCCTTCAATTCTTTATCCTCTTCAGATAGTCCGTCTCAATCAGACATCCTATCCAATTTCTTTAATTGTTTGGTCTCGAATCATGTGTTCTAGATCGCCTGGGGAAGAAGAGACGGGCGAGAGAGAAGTAACTGTCACTCATAACTTGACCGTACTCAAAGAGGGGCGGAGCTTAGAGTTTCAATCCAGAGGACAGATAGGAAGAGAGTTAGAAGAAGAAATAGAGGAGAAATAAAGGGAAATGGAGAGAGAAGAGAGAAAGAAAGAAAGAGAGAGGATAGCAACGATAGTACAAGGAACGTGGACACGAAATCATTGATAAAGCGGCACCGTCCGTGATCGTCTGACTAGACCTTCCACGGACTGGTTCTCACTTCCTCCATGTTCGTACTTTCAGATGCAAATCAAACTCACCTACCGTTTGGCCGAAAAGGAGGACGCCGAGAAGATCCTCGAGTACCTGCTCAAGAACTATTTGCAGAGGAACCATGCACTCAGGTTCGTGATCTTGGAGAGCATCCTCTCCGATTATATCCGATTGCAGGCTCTCAAGCTGCAACCCGCCCAGCTCCGTCCGATCTACGCGGCCCTCATCGACCGCTGTCTCCAGTTCCCGTTCTCCACCGTCGTCACCCTCGAATCCGGAGAGATCATCGCTCTGCTTCTGAACTCCATTTGGAGACGTGATGACGTTGGGGGAGAAGGCGCCGACTACGACACCGAGGGCGACAACGAGTCGGAGAATCTGACCAAGTTCATCGAGATGCTGAACGCGTGCCATGAAGACTTCTGGAAACTCGCCCCTCCGGACGTCACCGCGGTGCTCCACAGAGAGATCTCAAGTGTCTCTCGCAAGTGGCAACGACAGGGAATCGCCACGAAGATGGTAACTGCCCATTTGACAAAGGAGAGGATCGATGAGTTCGGGGTGGGCGGAGTCATTTCGGAGACCTCTTCGTTTGCCAATCAGGCTCTTCTTCTGAAGCAGGGATTCAAGTGTCTCAAGAAGATACTGTATTCCAGCATTGTCGATTCGCAAGGGAATCAAATTGTGAAGACTGCCGACGGATCGCAGGAACTTCGGCTCAATCTGAAGCTCATCGAACACTTCAACATCGCCGCGTAGTCTTCAATCGTTTTGTACCATATGCGCCAGTTTAATAAGTCTAATAAACTTTACCCAACACGTGACCAAGTTGTGCTCTCCGGTCAATTTCACCACCTACAGTAATCTGTTATCAGTACGCGAAGCTCATCGGACACTGACAAAATTCACGAGAAATGGACAGATTGTAGCCAATATATACTACAATTCCAATTGACAGATTCAGTTTTCGAACCGGACACACTCGTTTTTCAATAGCAGCTATCAAAGCGACACGAGGAAAACCTCCAATGGGGTACACCTGAAAACCGTTGATAAGAGAGAAAAGAGAGAAAAGAACGAAAGATTAAAGTTATCACCTGCACAACATTATCAGTTATTGATGATCATTACTGTTCAGGAATACAGGGAGACCATATTTATTACTTTGAAGTTTTTGGTGCGAGTATGCTCTGCCATTTCTGAAAGATGTCCGATCTTGGGGCCTTGAGCGCGTTTTCTCCACTCGATTCTCCGTGTCAGACCTTCATCTGGGACAATCTGCAATCTTGACGCTCCAAAATCGCTCGAAATTCTTCCGATCAAACGTCTATCCTTTTCTCTCTGCGCTCCGACCCTTCACTCAATTAGCTCTTTTGAAATGCTTGTTTTCGATAGTTGAGCGTCCTGATAGCCGCATTTTCAACGCTTCAAAAATCATATGAACCAATTCTTATCACTGCAATTTTTTGTGCGAAAGCGCACCAAATGGAATTGTTTAAAAGTTGAGCTACTCTTCGTCGGAGCCAAAGAATGGATAGAGGAAAGTGAGAACGAGGAACGAAATGCGAGATTTCTTTTTAGCTTGATCCTTTCCTTTCGTTTCGAAATATTGCGCTCCTATCGCCATAGTGACGTGGAGAACAATGAAGTCGTCAGGCGAGCGGAGGACCACCGGACATAACGAATTCATCGACGACGCTTTTCTTCTGACTCATTCCGCCTCTCAAACATGGAAAAGCTCCTGCCTACGTTATTTTTGTCTCTATTTTTCCTAATCTTTTTCGCCACGTCATCAGTTGAAGCAATCAAGTGTCACTCTTGCGGAGGAGCCGAGAACATTCCAAAGTTTGCGAAGGACACGCTCAGCAAACTGAACATCACTACAGGAAGTGTCAGTTCTTTACATTGAGTTTTTGAAGAGATAATATTATCAATTTCAGCTGTTCGGAGACTGTAAGGCAACATCAGGCAGCGATGTGTGCTCGAACGGAACATTCTGTCTCAAGAGAGCTAGTGAGTTCGACGGAATTCGACTACTAACAAATCATTATATTATTTTCAGAAGTGTATCAGATTGGATACAGTGGCGTTAATTTAAAATGGACTACGTACACCAAAGGCTGTGCGACTCTCCGCGAGGACAACAACGGAATTCCGACTGAAACTTGCTATGACCTCGGACAAGTCAGCAATTCCTCCGGATACACGGCGGTGACCCATTCCCTCTCTAAACTTCTCACTTTTCACATTTCCTTCAGAACCGTGTCGACTGTTACTGCCAGAAGGACTTCTGCAATTCGATTTCTCCATTCTCGATTATCACACCGTTCGTAATGACTTTATTGACTGTTGTCTCTATGTAAATCGTACTAATAAAATACCAGATACCGATAAAATGACAATGAATTGCTTATACACGTATGTACTTTCTCTTCTTCTCCAAATCGACGCTTCTCCGTTTTCTCCGCAGAACCTGCAGCATTTTGAAGCATTCGCAGGCGGTCCGGAGTTGCTTGCGAGAGTCCAACTGGGGGAAACAGAAGCCGCCCTCCGAGCCCTGGTCTTTGCACTTCTCCGAGCACGCCAATTGTCGCGGCTCACAGATGGAGCCGTCCAGCGGGAGCTCATACTCGTAGCACTTACAGCTGCAATCACAGAAATCAGTTAGAACGCGAAGTGTTCGGGTACCTGAAGTTGAAGCCGTCCCAGCCCATGCAGTGTCCGTACCAGAAGTTGTCAGTTTTGCAGACCTCGTCACATGCTTGGTGATCCAAAAAAGTGCACGCGCCTCTGCAATTTCAACACTTTTTCGATGGTCAATTGGGAATGTGTTTGTTTTCGTCCCTTGACCACCCCTTTCCTCCCCATCCCTTTCTGTTTTTTAGGGTTGCCAGGAACGAGGCAAATGATCCGTTTCGTTTCGTTTTTGCGCCGCCAACTTTCTAGGTTGAAACATGCGCGAAACAATTGCGAAGGAAGAATGGAAGAATCGAAACAGGGAGCGTTTCAAACTGTCGAAAAGGGTTACAATTTGAGTGAAGTCGTTTTGAGAAAGGAAAGTGTAACAATGCGGGTGGCGAGTGTTCCGATGGTCTCTGTTTCTGAAGCTTTTCTACCAGAAAACAGCAAGTACTGTCTGTGTGTGACTGTAAAAACTTTGTGCGACTGTCTTTGAAGATGAGATCTTTCTTGTCATCAAGGTTGCACTTTTTGGCTGTGGCGATGCGAAATCTATGATAACCTACACAAAAAATGGTGATAGAAAAGGTTGGCTCAACACGAAAACGTCAAAGTTTGAACCAGGAAGCAGTCTCTCCCTCTCTTGTCCTCTCCATTCACTTTATTCAGTTTGAATGAGTGTCCGAAACGGTTTACAATATGCCCTCCTCCCCGTCCTCATACTTCTTCCTCCCCCACATGAACCATTTCGACCTTTGGTTTCAAGTGGCCCTCCATTTAACGGACGACTACAGAAGACAAAAAAAACGTGCAAAACCGCTGTCTCCCGTCTTTTGGTTGCAATTATCACAGACACAGTTAGTGGACAAAATCGGGAGAAAACGAGGGTTTAACGGTCTCGCCCCTTCTCAAAACGACGGCGCGTTCGAGATTTTTATGGCGAACGCGTGGCCCGTTTTGAAGAAGGAAAACGATGACTCTTCGATGACACGAAAGACAGACCGCATGACTTTTGACCTAACCCTGAATAATGGACGGGTTCCGGTGGGAGAGGAGACAGGCCGAATGGGACTGTAATGGAATTGGAAGGCAAACGGTTATGGGGGGAAATGAAAAGAAGGTTGTTCGCGAGTGGAGGATCAGCGTACACAGTTCTATTTTGAAAATGAATGAAAGTGGAAAAGAAGGTGATTGAACAATTCCTGTTCAGTTCAAAAGATCGGAAATCTTTTGAGCATTCATATTTCCTGATTTCTGCCTACCCATCTAACCACTACAAACAGTTTCACAGCACTTGACCACCACTTGTGACTGCTTTCTCCTACTTTCAACCAGATTCAACTGGAATCTTCTGGTATTCTGTGTCCAAAAGCGCTTCCGCTTCCCGTTGATTTAACCTACCTGACCCTGAACGGCTGCCATGAGAGAAGAAAAGCGAATAAGAGGAAAAGCATTTGGAATTGGCGTGTCGAGATGTCGGGGCGACCGCTGATGATGGCAACGTCTTCTTTCTTTTCTGCGAACTTAAGGTGAAGAAGTGGGCGGAGCCAGAGGGCTGAATGATACTTGTACGCGAAAACGACGGCGTCGAGAAAGTGTGTCTACTCCGGAGAGGCACAGAACGATCCAGAAGCGGCGCGACGATTTCTAGAAGCTTCTACTGGATGTTTTTCTAGAAAATGATATTGCGTTCTGATGTTTATGAGAAAAGGAAATGCGAGTTCAGATGTTCAAGTGTATTTCAAAGTTCGCCGGAAACGGAACTAACGAACGGAGTCATTTAGAAAATTGTGCTTCTTTATTATCTTTGTTTACAAACAACTTAAAAATCGCAATAATTATCCGTATCACAAGCAACAGATTCGCAAAGGAATCGGAAGAGATTCGCGCAACTGATGGGCGTCCAATCGATAGTATCATCCGAATATTTCATGTCCGCCACGCAACCGGATCGAGGGGGAGCAGCTCCGGAATTGGGATTCAACGGCCAGAGCGGCATTCCGTCCGGCTGATCCCAGAACCAGCTGCCGTTCAGATAGGTGAGACCGTTGTAGAATGCGTTTGTTCGGTTGCTTGCCTTCTCATTGAGGTAATCTGCAAAAGTATGGATCAGAGGATGGAGACGAACGGAAAGAGCTCACCCCAGTTGAAGGCTCTCTTTTGCTGATCCAATTCACTGACAAGATAACTAGTAGCTGTCAAACTGTGGCAGAAAGTGCGTGCGTCGAACGATTCTTGGCGAACGAGGGACGGTAAATGCAGACTCCGTAGTTGGAGTACACATCCTTGTTGGACAGCGGGTAGTGATATTGCTGCCAGTCGGGACGACAGAAGCAGTTGACTGCAATTACAAATTAGAACAAAGAGTACCCATGACATGCTTACTGTTCAGCAATGCTCTCTGTAATTCCAAAGTCGTGTTCCCGTCGGACATCCGGAATGCCATTCCCTTGCTCGCAATCTTCGTCTTCAAGTTGTCCTGCACATTATCGTCTCCGCCAGTATTCACAGTTATAATGGTCACTCCGGTGGACTTGAGGTACGTGGAGAGGTCTGCCGGATAGTCGTAGTAATAACTAAAAATATAAAATGCAAAGCGCTCGACTCAAATGTGACTTACTCGTATTGGGAAGTGAACAAGACCACGACCTTCTTGTAATTGTCTCTCAATCCTCCGGTTGCATTCACCATTCGAATGGCTGCATTGATTCCAGTATCAGTGTAACTGTAATCCGAATGAGAAAGGGGAGATACACTAAGTGCCTGGATCTGGCTGTTCAGGTCAGTCCAGGATTGTAACTTGTAGAAATCGGCAACCTAAAACGGTTTTTACATTACATTAGTACAATTGTGAACAATTTTTTGCCTTACATCAGTCGCATTCCAGTTGTACGTTATGAATCCGACCCTCGTACTCCTCGGATCATCGTATCCAGTTCCGATTTGCACGTAAGGACTGAACAGATTTGAAATCGAGTTGTAAACTCCGTAGAGATTCATGTTCTTCGAGTTGTCCACCACGAAGACAATGTCCAGCCAGAGACGGGTGAGATCGTTTCCGCATGATCTGTCGGTCACTGAGGACGTTCGAGAGACGGCTGAAAACGGAGAAGCTTATCTTAATCATGGAAACCATGAAGACACTCACCTAAAGCCAATAACGCCACATTGAGTAGGTGCATCGCCTTCTGTTGAAATAATGGGAAAGTGTGCGGTTTGGTCTCTTCTTTTATAGACTGCTGATAAGTGAGACAAGTGACGATGAAGAGGAGCATGATGATAAATTCGAAAGATTATTACTCACTGCCGAAAAGGTCTGCACGGCATTTCATATGAAATTAGGAGAATTTGGACATGTTTATCACTACAAGCGTAACTCTGAAAAAGAGTATAAGAACATGATTTGAAAAACAATTGTATTGAAATATTTTATCATCCAACTGGCTCTACAGTCCAACATCGAAACGCTCGGTGCTTCCTCGGATGTACGCGTCGAAGAAATTGATTTCATCGGTGACAATCTGTCCGGCTTGGATGACTTCCGGAAGATTCTGCATAGTGTGATACCATGCAGTCAACTTCGGATACGTTGCAGAGCCGGGGAAGTTCCACGGAGAGTCGGAAAAGATGTGGGCACGCCAGAAGAGACGTTGGATGTTCGGGAAGATCATGTGATCTACGTAGGAGTCTTCCTTTCTGAAACCATTTTGTCGGTTTTCAGAGATAAATAGAGAAGTGCCTTGCTTACCAGTGAAGAATTCCCCGGCGAGAAGCTTCTCGATCTCGTCGAACGCCTTCAGAACGTTGCCGAACTTCTCGTCCTTTCCCTTGTCGGATTTGATAAGACTGATAAAGGGGAGAATGTTCCGCTGAACGCATTCAGACGCTCGTAAAGCAGTTTCTGCTGCACTTTCTCGTATGGATCTTCAGAAAGGATAGCCGTATTCGGGAACAGATCGTCCAGAAACTCGCAGATGGTCACCGACTCCACCACAGTTTCGCTCTTTCCTCTGATCTCAAGAGCTGGAATCTGTCCTTTCTAGTGCTTGCAGAAGTACCACTCGGGAGCATCACTGGGGTTTGATGTTGAGCACTTCGACCGGAATGTTCTTCTTCACGAGAAATATCATAACTCTCTTGACGAAGGGGCTGAAACGCATTCCGTACAAGCGAAACTTTTCATTTTCGAGAGCCTTCGGTGCAGGCGCGCCTGGAAAAAACGCGACTAGAAGATGAACCGAAAAGGGAGAGGAGAACCTTTATCAAAAATCTCAGAGTTCAAATTGACCAAAACGGTAGACATATTGGTATAAGAATATGCTCTTTTTGCTTTCTTATTCTTCTTTTCTACCTTTTCAACTGAGCATGACAAATCCGCTGTCTCTTTCGCCTTTGTGCGCCTTCTCCTCTCGGTTGCCCCTGATCTACTTGTTGTGTTTACCCCCTTCTTTCTGCCCGTGACGCCTCTGTTTCTATTGGAACTTTCTGGACTTGCAAATGTTTCAGAAGTCTGTTTATTGGTCTCGTTGATTTATTTTTGTTCACAATAGTTATCAGTGTCACAAGCCGGCGATTCGCAGAGGAATCGGAATTGATTCGAGCAGCTAACTGGAGTCCAAGAAGTCTGAATGTACAAAATATGCAAGCAATACTATAGATGAGTAAATCTTACGGTGCCGTCGGAATATTTCATATCAGCGACGCATCCGGAGCGCGGTGGAGGGGATCCAGAGTTCGGATCAAGCTGGGAATCATCTTTGTAATTAGGAAAACGAGTTGGGAACTTACAGCAATGAGTGGCTGGTTGGTTGGCTGATCCCAGAACCAGGCGCCATTCAGATTGGTCAATCCGTTGTAGAACGCGTTCACTGGCTGTTTCGGAACGTTGTTTATGTACTCTGAATACTCAACTCCATATCAATTTGCGATTTTTTCATTCTTACCAAAGTTGAAAGATCTCTTTTGTTGGTCCAGTTCATTCACCAAATATGCCTTTGGCGAAAATGAATGGCAAAACTGCTTGGCGGTCTCTCGATTCGCCGTCTGATCTGGACGGTAAATGCAAGTTCCGTAGCGGTTTTGGTAGTTGTAAAGTGGCCATTGGTACTGTGTCCAGCCGATCGGACAGAAGCAGTTGGCTGAAAGTGAGTGGGAATGAAAGTACGTTCCATTGCAATTCTGTTACTGTCAGTCATCGCCTTCAAAATCTCCTGTGTCACATTTCCATCGGACATTGCAAAGCTCATGTTGTCGCTGGCGATCTCTTTCAAACGGCTGGCCACATCCGAGTGCGCGCCAGTATTCACAGTGACCACGGAGACTCCTTGCATCTTCAGATACTTGGAGATGTCAGCGGGACGGGTGCGGTAGTTTCTGAACACAAACGATTTTGGTTATGAGTGACTTATAGACTGCATTTTACCCGTAGCTGGAAGTGAAAATGATGACCATCTTCTTGTAGTTATCACGGAATCCAGCAGTTGAGTTGATCATGTCGACAGCAGCATTCAGTCCTCTGGAAACTATTGTATTTTTTGGGGAGCCGTTCGGAAAACGAACCTATCCATATACGTGGCAACAGTTCTTTCTAACGGTGTCATTTTGAGTCTCTGCATCTGACTGTTCAAGTCGTTCCACGATTGCAGTTTGTACAAATCAGCAACCTGAACTAATCGATTACATGACACTTGAAATGGTAACTCACATCTGTAGCATTGTAATTGTAAGTGACAATTCCGACTCTAGTACTTCTTGGATCATCATATCCAGTTCCGATTTGCATTTTCGCATTGAACAGTGACATAATCGTGTCGAACACTTGGTACATGTTCATTCCTTGCGAGTTGTCGATGACGAACACAATGTCCAGCCAGATGCGAGTCAAATCCGTGCCACATCTTTTATCGCTCACTGACAAAGCGGGGGAGGCTCCTAAAATGTATCTAATATTCAGAAGATCTAGAGTCTTGAGTCTTACCTAAGGCCAATAGAAACACTAAAAAGAACGAGTGGGACATTGATGCGACGTGTGTAATTGCGGTTAAGTTTGCCACTTATAAACTTAAAGTCACGATTTATGGTCTTTGCTGAATGATGATAGCAAGGAGCCGGTGCAATCGCATTAACTGACATCATTTCGGGACGATTTCATTCATGACAAAGATGGCCTTTCCAGATGATTAAATGATCATTTCCAGCGGTGATTATTGTTTGCCTTGGTTCCCAGTGCAAAGTTTTGAACGTCTGGTGCTTGATCTCTCTAATATTGCAGTCAAATTCCACTAGCAGCTAAACAACTTCCCTTTCCAACTATTCAGTTTTCTTGATTTCTCCCAGTTACCAACTCTCTCCACATTTCACCTCCCTTCTGTGTTATCACTCTTTTTTTGTCGTCAACCTGTCTTATCACTGAAAAATCGTGCTTCTCCCGATCATCCGTGCCGTGCAATGTCCGTAATCACCGGAAGAAAAGTGTCTGAAAGTCGTTAAACTGTTCGAGTGATTCATAAGAGCATCCTGTTGTTTCACGGCATTTATGTGTACAAAAAGAGTTATTCGCAATAAGAATCAGTGTCGCACGCGGACACTTCACAGACGTATCGCTCCGAAACCGTGTACTGATTGGTGTTCTGCCACCCGACCGCGGACGCACTTCCTTCCTGTTGGTTCAGAACGGCCGTGTTCTGAGTGGAGAGTTGCGGGAAGCCGGGGTTCCAGATGCCGTCGCCGAGCTGAAACTGAAAAAGAATCAGAATGTTGAGCTCTACGGGTTCTTACCGGTTTGAGAGTCTGTCCGACCGGCTGCTGCCAGTAATACCCTCCGTTCACGTAGCTCAGTCCGATGTGGTAAACGTACGGTTCTGGGAACGCAGTGTCATTTTGAACCATTTCTGAAAGCGAACAAGCAATGACAAATGAAACAGAGATAATGAGCCTACTGAATACGTAGTCATGTTTGTGCTGATTGTATTCAGTCACCATGTACCCAGTCTGAATCATATTCTGGCACGCAAACTTGGCGGGAGCCCAGGCAGCAGTCAGGGCGACCGGTCTCAAGCAGACGCCGTACTTTGAAGAATATTCGTCGTTGAAATTGGTACGATATTGAGTCCAGAGATTGGAGCAGAAGCAGTTGGCTGAAAGAAAACAAAAGAACTGAAAATGTCAGCAGCTCCCTTGCTCACTTTGAATCATAGCTTTCTGAAGAGCTCCAACATTATCAGCGTCTTTGTTGGTGAAGTTGAACCCAGGCGTGGCGATTTCTCCAAGGGCTTTCAGAATGCTCTCACTTCCTTCCTGGTCGAATGCCACGGTGGCAATGTTCACTCCGGAGGCTTTGAGTCTCTCGGCAATCGGACGCGGATCCTCTTGTCCGTCATCCCGATAGTCCGATGCATAGACTATCACAAACTGCTTGTAGTTCTTGCGAGTGTTGTTCGCTCGGCCGGAAGCGAGCACTTGCTCTGCTGCTCCGATTCCTCTGAACGAACGGAATGTTTAATTGCTCAAACACTGATCATACTTGGCAAGGTAAACTTGATCGGAAGTGCTCGGAGTTGGAAGGATTTGGAACACCGTGTTGAAGAAGTCGTCGGCTGATTGGAAACGATTCAGATCAGCTTGCTGAAAATGATTCACTTCCCGGATAACTTCCCATTATCTTACAATTGTCGATTCTTTGTTGTAAGTGACCAGTCCGACTCTGGTCGACCGTTTGTCGGCGTAGTTCGTTCCGATTCGCGTGCCTTCTCCAAAAACGGTCACGATTTGAGCAGCCACCTGATAACGAGAGCGCTGTTTAATTATTAATTCGCTGCCGACTGCTCCGTTCAAAAATCAATTGTCCATACGTACCTGCACTAATCCTTCTTGAGTCATTCCCTTCGAATTGTCCACCACCACAACGACATCGAGCCAAAGGTTCGTGAGATCGTTCCCGCAGCTCCTATCAGTCAGTCCTGGCGCTTGAGTGCTCGACTGAGCAAGAGCGAGAAGGTATGATGTGGCAAGAAGAAGCCACGTACGGAGGGTCATCTGGAAAAGATTGTTTGTGGGAAAAGAACACGGAAATGACAAATTCTAACAAGTCACAGAGGCAGGCAGTAAATGACAAATTTGCAAGTGAAACACGCCCGCAGCTTCTCCTTTTCGCTGGCTGATAAGAACGGTCGACGTCATTCGTTGGGTGAGAAAAGTTTGGTTGACAAAAAGTTGGGTTGTTTCTCGTCGATTGAAATTTTCAATGTGGGGCGTTTTCGCCTGTAATCGTGAGAAGTAAGCCCCCTCTCTTCCCCTTCGTCCTTCCAAATACTGATCCTATTTGCGCCCTCTGAAATCTATGATATTAGTGGCGAACTAACTGATAACGGAGGATGTTATCAGTGCGAAATTAGGCGGAGAAGAGGAGGCAAACTGTTTGAAATACGCCCCCTAGCCGTTACTTTTCATCATTTTCTCGTCACATTAATCGAATTAGTATCGTTCTCCCATTTCCCATTTTCAGTCATGTTCAAATTTGTGTCCTTGGCTCTGACCCTCGTCGCGCTTGGCTCCGCTCAGGTTGGGACCACCACGGTCACGGTCCCATGGAATTATCAAGAATCCACCGCTGTTCCATCTACACCCGCCCCACAGCCGGGAACGAACGTGGACCGCGAATGTGGAGGTGATCTCGCCAACCTCTGGCTCGACGTTGTCGTCGTTGTCGACAACTCGAAAGGAATGACAAACGAGGGAATCACCGAAGTCGCTGCCAACATTGCTACAGTCTTCGGAAACGGAACGAAGATCGGAACGCAGTACTCAGACCCCCGCTCCACTCGTATCGGAATCGTGACCTACAACGGAGTGGCCACTGTTGCCGCTGACTTGAACCTCCTCCAGTCGATCGACGATCTCTACAACACCATCTTCTCCACTCTCAGCCAGGTCAGCTCTTCGGATGATTCCTTCTTGGCCAGAGGAATCGGAGCCGCCGAGAACGTTCTCCAGGCCGGAAGAGCCAACAACGTCAGATCCAACTACAAGCGACTTGTTATCGTCTATGCTTCTGCCTACAAGTGAACATGATTTTTCAGAATTTGATGTAAACGCCTATTGTTTTAGGGGAGAGGGAGAGCTCGATCCAATCCCAGTTGCCGACCGTCTGAAGTCCTCCGGAGTCATTGTCTCTACCGTCGCTTTCGACCAGGATGGAGATGAGGCCCTTCTCAACGGACTTACTGACATCGCCTCGCCAGGATACGCCTACACCTCCGAGGATCTCAACCTGGTCGGAGAGATCCAAGGAACCGCTCTTCAAAGTGAGATCATTCAGTCCTTTAAGATGTCAAACGTTCTTTTTCAGCCAACTGCTTCTGCCCGAATCTCTGGACCCAGTACAAGGCCAACTTCGACCAGGAGAACTCGTACAAGTACGGAGTGTGCCTCCGCGCCGCCACCATTTCCTCGTCCTGGACTGCTGCCAAGTTCGCTTGCCAGAACCTCGCCAAAACGGATTCCTTGCCACCGAATACGATGGACAAAAGCACAACTTCCTCTTCAGTAATATTCTACCGCCCTTCGTCCACAATTATCTGAATCACTTTCAGGAGTTGCCCAGAACAACACCGCCTTCTCCGCCCCGTACATGTACCACGTCGGACTGAGCTACGTGAACGGAGGATGGTACTGGCAGCAGCCAGCCGGATACCCACTCATCAGTGTAAGTTTACTAGCTGATAAGGCATCAGCTGACGAAATGACTGTTTGCAGCTTAACGGATACGCCACCTGGAACCCGTCGTACCCGAAGTCGTACACCACGAACATTGGAGTTATCAACCAGCAGTACAGCTCGAACTTGGTGGTCGGATGGCAGAATGTGAATGCGTACAGTGTTGCCGAGTACTACATATGCGAAGTGGCTTCCTGTGACACTCAAAACTATTGTGCCTAGACGCGTTATTTCTCTATTTGTTATTGTTTGAATACTATTCGGAATAAAGGCTTTAATGGTTATCATCCACGTCTCCATCCTCGTTCGTTCGAATCCGAATCTCTGTCGGATGGCAGTCGGAACCTTTCATTCTGTCGAGTGCTATCCAAAGTACTGCCGCTCTTTCGTCCGTTTTTCTGGCGCAGTTTGTGATGTTTCTTCTCGTGCCTCTTCTTATCTCCGAAAAATGCCTTTGACGGACGGGGGTTACGAATTGGCACATGCGGAAGCGGCTGAAAGGTAGTTAAACACGCTGAGAAGAACATTTGCGGGAACCTCTTCCTCGCTGGATGAAGATTCAGAAGACACGGGTTGGCCGAAAATCTGCAAATCGATACTTTTGTGATAAGTTCGGAAAATTATAGTACCGGGGGTAAATTAATTGGAGCCGGATAAGTTAAGGGGGCCTGTAATTCATGAAATTGTGTTTTACATTAGAATAAGATTACGGACCAATGATGTCGAAGTTGAAGATGTCGTCTGGAAAACTGCATAATTGAAAGTTTGGGAATAACTTTAGCTCACCAGAGTTGTGTGAATAGTCGACGGAGCAAGAGAAGGAGACGTCTGAAAATTGTATCAATTTAAATATATATATTCTGGAAAAGCCAACCGAAGTCGTGTGAATAGTTGTCGGAGTTGGTGTGGTCTAAAATGAATAACTTTAAAAGCAAGTTCACACATCACTTGCCACAGTGGTATGAAGAGTCGACGAAGTTTCAACTAGTAGTGTGGAAATAACAGTGGGGGAAGTCGACGTAATATCTCCAGAAGCAGTAGTCGAATCAGTCTGAAAGTTATCTTTCAAAATTGTGTACACTCACTGTTTTGAATGTGCATAAGATGTGCATGAACACGATCTGCAAAACGAACAGTGAATTTTTATTTATTGCAAGAACAGATGGGAAGCAAATTACATGTGAGAATTAGGCTTTGAGCACGATTCCGAGCATTTGCGACAGCGTGATCGTTCCGGCCGACGGGGTGGTCACTTCGTCGTCGCCTTCTGGGTCGCATTGCTGAAATAGGAAGGTGTAATTTTAATATATAATTCAATCATTGGCCTCACCTGGATCTTTTCCGTTACCAATGGGTCCTGAAAAATACTTTTTTAACTGGAAAACTGACAAGACCTACAGTGACAGTAACTCCCACTGTATTGTCATTTTGAGCTGGGGCACCTGACTGAAATCTCTCGAGTATGGAACCATTTTCTGATGTTTCATTACCGAGGATGTTGTTCCATTGGACCGTTGGCCGCTGCTCGTGCTCAGAATGGATGAAATCGTGGTTGCGACGGCTTTTTTAGTTTCAGCCGGCAAAGTCGGCCGCCTGCTCGTCGTGGTTTTTAGTGGCCTTACCTTTTTAGTTGTCGTCTTGATCGCAGAAGTTACAAATCGAGCTGATGTTGGCAATTCTTTGACTGTGCTCGGAAGAGCAGAAGTGGCAGAAGCTTCCGTTGGAATACCAGAAGTAGTGGAGGAGATTTCAATAACAGATGAAGCTGCAGTAACGACGTCAGACTGCGGAGAATTTTCACAAGGAGTAAAAGGTGTGGAAGCTCCCGTTGTAACGGAATCAGAAGTGATTTCTCCCTCGGAACCGGTTGGAGCAAATGATGGAGCAGATGAAGGGATAGAGGACGCAGAAGGCAAAGAGGTCACCGTGGACATTTCACTATTTGTAACCGGACCACCTGTGATCGGTCCATTTGTGCTCAAGTCGCCTGTTGCTGGGATGTTTGTCGTTGGCCCGTTTGTGGTTGGACCGCCCGTAGCAGAACCATCTGTAACTGGTCCCCCTGTAGCTGCGCTTTCTGAAGCAAGACCGCCGGTAGCTGGGCCGCCCGTAGCTAAGCCAACTGTCGTTTTCTAATTGTGGCTTCGGGAACCGCCACTGTTGAAGTGCGAACTTCCTCTGCTTGGGTTTGCGAGAGCGTCGTTTGTTGAGGAACCGTGGGCGCTGCAGTTGACGGTCGAATAGTCACAGTCGTTGAAGGAGCCTGTATAATAGTGTTTACTGCAATTTCTTCAATATTCGTTCTCCACCTTTGTGCTAGTTCCTAAAATTTGGGCGGAGATTACTTCTAATATCGACTGAATCAACTGTTGTAGGAAAGCGTCCATCATGCTATTGAAGTCCTGAATACAACGGATATTGTTGGCTAGAAATGGAAGTTTACCCCCTGCACGACGGGCGTGGCGAAAGTCGCGACCAGGAACAGAAGAAGAGTCAGTCGCATTTGTGGAAGTGCCAGACAAACTGCCTTCGTTTCCTTTTGTCCTTCATCTTTTGTACACATATCTGCTCTCATGCTTTATTACTTCCAACTTACATTAAAGGTGAGAGTTGAACACTTCATTCTTCTGAGAACGTCACAAAACAGGAAGATGAAGGTATCAAACATCCGGAGAAATTAACTCAATTTCGAATTCCTTTGAATGCTCGGTTGGGAGGAAATGAAATGTGCTCACTGAATGGGAAACCGAAAAGTCCAGTCGGTTGCGTACACACAACTCAATGGAAGACCTATTCTCAGGTATCGTTTCCCTTTTCTCTCGTTCTTTAACTAAACCTTCAGATCTGTCCTCCGTCAGTGACTGCGACGAAGAGTGTCTTCTGAATCTTTCCACGAAAAAGTGCAAGTGCTTCTTCATTCAAACTACTCACCCAGAAGTTGTATTCGAAATTCCGCCCGCTTATGAACTGGAACTTCCGGATGTGAAAAGTGTGAAACAGAAAACACTCGAGGAGAAAACCTGTGAAACTGATTCGAAAGGGGACGATCAATATGACAAATGGGTGCAAACAGACACGATCGAAATGCAGGTAAGTCTTTGTTCATTATTATCATAGTTTTGCATCCATTATGCAGTCGGAAGAATGCTCCGTCGACTTGCCGCCCACAACCCGGGAGGCGACCTACTCGGAGAGTGCTCTGGAGCGTGTGCTCCGTCACATCAGTGCTCACCTCCATCGGGCTCAATTGCAACAATGGCTCGCCGAGCAGCCTGCTCGCAACGCTTCGTTAACATTAAACCCGTCCAAACGCGCTCGATCTATGAGGCAGCTTATAATGAGGAAAAGGTAAGAGTTTATTGAATGGAATCACAGAAAGGACTGACGAGAACCCGAGATTTAACCAGCATTAACATGGAACTTAAACTACAAAACTATAAAAGAGCTATAAATACTTTTGCATGAACTTGGAAACCTTCGAAATGACACATTGATTAGTCTTGGCGGCGAGGAACCAGAAGCCATTGAGCGCCTGCTTCGTCTCCTTGTTCTTAGTCCCCGAATTGAAATTGTTGTTGAGAATGAACGGAATCTTCCGCTCGTTCTCCTCCATTTTGAACCTAGAATAGGAAATTAGTCATTCGTGAGAAGAGAAAGAGAACTGACCATTTGCCATCTGCCACTTCTTCGTATTCGAACTGTCGACAGATCAGTCCATTATGTTGCGATGCGCATAGCTGATTCATTACGTCCTGTAACGCGGAAAGAAGATTAATGGCCGCAAGATACTGATGAATTATTCAAATGAAATAAGGGGCGAGGATTTGGAAACGGTTGCGGACCTGATCGTAGAGTGAGGTGTCATTGTTGAGTCTCTCCTTCATCTCCTCCACAAACATCCTCGATCCGTTTGTGGTTCCCACCAGCATCGGATTGAATGCGAACGTGTCCCACTTCCCTCCATCGTACCCTTTCACAGGAACAATGATATCAAAGTCTTCAGAGCTCTTACTCTCGGATTTATTCGAGAACAGCGCAAGCGGATCTTTGAACCAAACCGCGTCCGTTTCGAATAAAACGTAAGGAATATCAGCAGAAGTGATAAGTTCCATGACATTCGCCCGAAGAGTCAGTATGTTAATGTACTGCTGCCGCCCCCAATCGTATCCTTGTTTGTAATTGTCCACATCCAAAGAAACACACTTGATCGTTTCGTCCCATTGAGAGCGGATCGAAGTGCAAACAGAAGTATCCATACTGACGATGAGGGTCCTGTTGTGAACGTTCTGAAACTTGATTATAGTTGATTGTATAAGTGGGAAGCTCACATCCATCATGGCGGTGTTACAAATCCAGTTAAGGGTCATTCTCTCGTAGGCTTTGTTGATCATTGCAAAATAGATGAAATTGGAAGGCGCCGTGGTCCTGTCGAGTAAACTTTGAGCTTCAGAAATGAGATTCTGAAGGATTGAAAATGTACGTTACTGGAAAATTGTTGGAAGAATGGAAGCCAACCTTCTTAACTTTCATTGAAATCTCTGGAATCCCTTCATCTTTCTGCATTAGTACGGGGTGCACAACTTTAGGCTCTGAAAAGCATTTGGTTCCTATTAATGATTGATCTTTTTCACTCACTTCTCTTTTTCTTCACTCCGCTAGCCCCCAATGCTGCCAGTTTCCCGTATCCAATCGCTTCGATCACATTTCCGTTCTTCTTGACGTGCTTCCCCGTTTTCAACAGAAGCGGGCCGTCTTTCAAGTTCTAAATGTGTATTTCAACCTTTTCTGAAACTTCAACCTCACCTCATAACCAATTCTAGTACTATCAACTTGGAAAAGACGCCAAGTAGTGAAGCCGATGTGGAGAAAGAAGTAAACGAAGAAAAGAGGGACGAGAATGCTCCAGAAGGCGGATCTCAGACGGCCCATTGCATTGTTATCTAGAAGTTCGGGAAGTTGAGAGAACGAGGAAAACGATAGGTTATACAGGGACAGAGTTTGCCGGTAGGATTTGATCGGGGGAAGAAGAGCGAGAAAGTAAGAGGGTGAGACATCGAAATGCAAACATTTTTGACACATTTTCGAGAGACTGAGCAATCAGATCGAACACATAGGCTTATGAATCCGATTATGTCTTGTGATAGGGGCTATCGGCCCAGAAAAGAACGTTTTCAACCTGTTCGTTAAACGTAAAACTTGTAAAGAAGCCGGTGGGCAACCAGCCGAACATGGTCACAAGAATCGAGATTATAATAGAAGAAAGAGAAGGAGGAGAAGTAGATGCGCGACGCCTCCCGTCGGAATTTGGCGGTCGAGAGTGAAAGAAAGCGGCGGAGGCGAAACGCAGACGACGTTCAATTCACTTTCCACCGTTCTCGTCTTCTTCTGACAAAGGGAAGTTGCTTTGCATACCGTGAAATCGGATAGTCTCCGGGTTTTTAGATCGGAAGTACGCTCTGATGAGATTACCTTCTAGATCACTTTTCAGAACGTCTTCGTGCTTCTCCTTCGTCTGCCAGAAGAGAATCGCTATTTCGTGGAACTCAGATCCCTCAAGAATCTTTTGGTGAAAAGAAGTCCTTAATAATTCGAAATTTTGAATGTTTTCAGAAGAGCGTGAGCCATGAGATCGAAAGAAACCTTTTCGGTAAGAATGACACAGTTCATCTGTTTTCGAGTCATCATTTTGTTGCTGTAAGCTCAATTGCTCCGATATTATCAGAATAAAATCATCTATTTTTTCAGTTGCATTCTTCCTCCAAAGTCATTTTGATGGAAATCGACAACTTGGAAGGGAACACAACATTACACACCGCCCATGATTTGGTCTCTCTTCTTGTTATTCAAGGCAATCTTTGTTATACAAACACTTCCGGGGTCATCACGAAATTGGAGGATTCACTGAAGTGGGCATAAAGATGACTGATGGAAAACTAAGTACGAATTCAGAGTTCTCGAATGTTCGCCGCTTCTCGCTCCGGTTCTATCCTGTTCTGTAATTCAAAACAGAATCCACGTGGTTTCAGTCAAGTCTATCTCCAGTTTCAGTCAAGATTCCCCGCTTGACTACGAGAGTTATGAAGCAGAGAAGGTAACCGATTTTTGATTCTGATTTTGTGTCACTCAACATTAACAGATTCTCACTCACGGACAAATCAAAATGTTCGGGGAAACCCGTCTGATGATCTACGACAAGGCATCGCAAACGTGTTTCATTTGGGAAACGGATAGACCAAAGTGAGCGGAGAGCTCATCAACTTGCCTGCTTCAACACGAATTTGCAGGTCGCCCTCCCATTTGCTCTGTTTCGGTCCTTCGGAGTTCACAGTCGACGTGGCATGTGATGAGAATAATCTGTATTCTTTGACTACTGCGGGAGTGGTTTCTGTGTGGAAACTGAGACCGAATGGGTCAGTTTTGACAATAAGCATAATAATATAGAATTCCGAGTTGTCACATGGAAAGTTCTGAATGGCGTTGCAATTATGAATAGGCAGTTAAAAGCTTTGAAACGCTTTGAACGGGCTTCCCTAATAGCTCCACTTTTTGTTCCAGAAGGAAATACCGCGACCGTCTCTTCACCACCTTTCTCTCCCACTGCTCCCGGCTTCTTCTGGCCTTCCCGCAGGTCTAATTCGCCTTCCTCGAACCCTTCTAAACATCGCTGACCTTCCAGAAATTCGTGATCCTCACCGCCTCGGAAGTGCATTTTGTTGTGTTCGGCACCGACTCGGACGGGCAGCAATGAGGGTGCCAGGAGGTGCTTCTCTGACCCCAATCCATCACAAATCCCTTCTTCTTCTTCTTCTTCTCTTATCACCGTCAAGTTTTCTATTCTGATCGTGTGCAAAAAGATGTGGCCGGCCATGCTTTGATTAATGGACTGTGTAAAGTGGATGCTTTCGAGCCTCCGGGCGGTTCTTGTCAATTCTATCGGTTTCTTATCTTATCGGAAGTATGATAAATATTTGGAAAAGTTGAACGGTCATGGGAAACAGAAGGGGACAACCGGAAATTGGGAAATTCCACTGATATGGACTTTGTTCAGGAAGCCAATAGATGCTGGTCACGGATCTTCCAGAGTTTTCCAAACTTTTCCGGACAGATCTGAGCCACCAAGAAAACAACGCCACGAGCTTGTAACAACTGGAGGCCTCAGACGTCTTGACCCCAGACAGCCAGACTCCTCATCCACCTCCTCCCTTTCTCCTCATTTCTCTTCCATCTTCCCTGGTCCCTGCTCCTCGATTCGATTCTGATAGAGGTTTGATCTCCCCTTCCAAAAACTGATCAATCTTCCGAATTCAAATCCTCCCTCTTCTTCTTCTTCTTTCTCCTCGCTTTCCGTTGCACAAAACAATTGCTGTCGTCCTTGAATTGTCCTATGTCTAGCCACGCCCTTTAATGACTCCGCCCACTTTCTTGCAGGACAGACATCACAGAAGAGCCTCCATTTCGATTGCATTTGACCGAACTGGTAGCTCTTCTTTACATTTCTCCTGTTTTTAGGTATGAAGACCCTTCTGCTTCTCGCTTTTGTGATTGGCTTGACTGCCGGAGAAGAGATCAAAGATCTGCCCGGATTGGACTTTGAGCCCAACTTCAAGCATTACTCTGGATTCTTCCAGGTCTCCGATAACCATGTCCTCCATTACTGGCAAGTTTGAATCACTACTCTCTGTCATTTCAACTAACTTCTCGACTATTCCAGGTTCGTCGAATCCCAAAACGACCCGTCCTCCGATCCGCTGATCTTCTGGTTCAACGGCGGTCCGGGATGCTCGTCGCTCGACGGACTCCTCAACGAAATGGGACCGTACGTGGCGAACGAGGACGGAAAGACTCTCCGTGAGAACGAGTATTCGTGGAATAAGCTCGCCTCCGTCGTCTACATCGAGTCTCCAGCTGGGGTCGGATATTCGTACGCCACCGACGGAAACATCACCACCAACGACGACTTAACTTCCCTGGAGAACTACGAAGCCGTCAAGCAGTTCTTCACCGAATTCCCGCAGTTCCGTCACCACCAGACGTTCATCATGGGAGAGTCGTACGGAGGAGTTTACGTTCCGACGCTCACCGCCAGAATCGTCGATGGACAGAAGGACTTCCCTATCAATCTGAAGGGAATGGCTCTCGGAAACGGGTACGTCAACGAGAAGCTCAACATCGACACCTCTGTTCGTTTTGCTTACGGACACGGATTGATCGATGAGAAGATCTGGAATACGTTGGAGCGCGACTGCTGCAGCGGATGCATCGACTCGTGCGATCTGACCCAAGTCTCCGGACACTGCGCCACCATGGTCGAGGACATCTTCCAGTTCCTTTGGTTCGGAGGACTCAACCCGTACGATCTGTACAGAGACTGCGACCCGAATCCATCGGTAAACAGCAAGAGAATGAAGCACATGCTCAGAGGAGTCGCCCCGGCCATGAGCAACTTCGACCAGCTCCTCAAGAACCACACCAAGACCCAGCTGTACCAGTTCTTGAAGGTAACGAGAATGAACGGAGAGTCGTCTTCCAACAATCAGAATTTCAGGACAAGTCATCCCAGAAGCCACTGAAAGCCGACGTCCCGTGCCTTAACGACACCGAGATGCTCTCGTACATGAACGATCCGAAGGTCCGCAAGGCTATTCACATCCCATTCAACCTCGGAAAGTGGGACATCTGCAGGTAATCAGAACATATCAAATTACTTCAAACCGTACCCGATTCTCTATCTATTTCAGTGATAAGGTTACCACGACCTACCAGAAGCAGTACACCGACATGAGCCCGTTCATCAAGAAGATCGTCAAGAACCACGTGCGCGTTCTTCTCTACTACGGAGACACCGACATGGCTTGCAACTTTATGATGGGACAGCAGTTCGCCGATCAGCTCGGACTCCGCAGAACTCTCAAGAAGACGCCGTGGAAGTACGACAGACAGATCGCCGGATTCAAGACTCTATTCGACGGACTCAGCTTCATCACCATCCGGGGAGCCGGACACATGGCTCCGCAATGGAGAGCTCCGCAGATGTACTACGCTGTTCAGCAGTTCCTTGTCAACCATCCGATTTAAGAAGACAAACCTATTTATTTTCATTTTCTCTGGGACGTTGCGTTTTTCAATAAACAATGGATTATATTACACAGATTCAGAAAAGACAGATTACAATTCGGGCAGAATGAGATTTTGTGCTCACAGTTTCAGTTTGCGTCGAGAGAGAGAAAGAGGCATTTGAGTATTTTTGTAAGAGTCGGTAATGAACAAAATGTTCGAGGGAAAAGGATCCCTTCCGCCGTGAACTCATCTTTTCTGGGCTATTATTTCGAGGTTTCTAGAACGATCAGATAAAGAATGCGTATAAAAGGAAGGGAAAGAACTGGTATCCTCATAGAGTACCCAATCTCTCTCATCGAATCGCCATGGCCCAATCCGTCCCACCAGGAGACATTGCTACCCAGCCGAACGCGAAGATCGTGTTCAACGCGCCGTACGACGACAAGCACACCTATCACATCAAGGTGATCAACTCGTCGGCCCGCCGCATTGGATACGGAATCAAGACGACCAACATGAAGCGTCTTGGAGTGGACCCACCGTGCGGAGTGCTCGACCCCAAGGAGGCTGTGCTCCTCGCCGTCTCGTGCGACGCGTTCGCCTTCGGACAGGAGGACACCAACAACGACCGCATCACGATTGAGTGGACCAACACCCCCGACGGCGCCGCCAAGCAGTTCCGTCGCGAGTGGTTCCAGGGAGACGGAATGGTCCGTCGCAAGAACCTGCCAATCGAGTACAATCCATAAGCCATTTAACTGAATAAACTCGCTCTTTTTTTTCGTTGGCGATTCATCTGTTCGTCTGATTCTGATTCTGATCAGTCTTTCTCTCCGCTGTGTCATTACTGGCATCACTCACTTCTCCAACGCGCCCACAAAAAGCTAAAGCCACTAACGTGACTTCTGATGACGATTGAAGAAAGGCAGAGCGCTAACGTTGAACGTTTTGTTGAATAGAAAGAATTTTATTGACTATAGTCTCTGTTCCTGTTTGAATTCGTAAAAACGAATCATTATCTGCTGTCTTCTACAAAGCGCAAATTTTCAGCATCTCGACGAACATTTCGCCGTTTTGCACAAAGGCGCCGCGGATACCGAGACGCGTGCTCGAAGGAAAGGCGTTTAGTTGGAGAGAATGGCAAATACTTCTCAGCCCTCCATTTTTTCAGATTCTCTCCGTCCGCCAGTCGATTCTCCAACTTCTGCCAGTCTCACCGGAGTTACTATGCGGCCACTAAAAGTGAGGTTTCTGATGACGATTCAATGAATTCGGGCAAGAGTGTTTTATTGTTCTTATCAGTCAGATGGTCATCCGGTAATATACAAAAAACGGTTCGTATCGTGTGGCACTTCAAGCGCTCTTCTGGTTGTTGAGGAGGGCGGACGGTCTGGCGAAGGCACGTGGAGCATCCTCCTTGTTCTTGTTCGATCCCCAAGCCCAGACGGACGGATAGGCGGCGGCGGCGACGTACGGAGAGTAGACGGATGGGTAGGCGTACGCGGAAGGAACGTAGGCAGCGGAGTAGGCAGGGACAACCACTTGCTGCTGGGATCCGATGATCATGGCGCAGAGAAGGACGGCGGCGAAGCTGGAAGAGAGGATTCAGAATGGAAGATCGGAAGGGCACTTACCACTTGGCGAACATGTTGAATTGGATGAGAGAGCTACTTGGAAGTGGCAATGTCTTTCTGCCAAAGAGTTTACCGTTTTATACCAGGACAGAAAATCAAAAACTAGGCGATTAGAGCTAGTTCTCTGCTCCGCGCGCCCTTTTTTCGTGTGCTTCTATATTTATTCAAGTAACTGGCACATGCAGCGCGAGAAACAGTTACTGTGCAAAGAGAGAGCACGAGCACGAAGCTTTCAGAAAATGTCGAGTTCTCCGATCTCGATGACGATGAGGGAACAACAGAGAAGCCGACAAACGAGACAGAAAACAAAACGCAAAGAACGCAAATATTAAGACATCGTTTTATTTCAACAGAAGTCACTCATGGATTGTACTCGATTGGCAGGTTCTTGCGACGGACCATTCCGTCTCCCTGGAACCACTCGCGACGGAACTGCTTGGCGGCGCCGTCGGGGGTGTTGGTCCACTCGATCGTGATGCGGTCGTTGTTCGTGTCCTCCTGTCCGAAGGCGAACGCGTCGCACGAGACGGCGAGGAGCACAGCCTCCTTGGGGTCGAGCACTCCGCACGGTGGGTCCACTCCAAGACGCTTCATGTTGGTCGTCTTGATTCCGTATCCAATGCGGCGGGCCGACGAGTTGATCACCTTGATGTGGTAGGTGTGCTTGTCGTCGTACGGCGCGTTGAACACGATCTTCGCGTTCGGCTGGGTAGCAATGTCTCCTGGTGGGACGGATTGGGCCATGGCGATTCGATGAGAGAGATTGGGTACTCTATGAGGATACCAGTTCTTTCCCTTCCTTTTATACGCATTCTTTATCTGATCGTTCTAGAAACCTCGAAATAATAGCCCAAAAAAAATGAGTTCACGGCGGATCCTTTTCGATCGAGCATTTTGTTCATTACCCGATTCACTGACTCCTAGAAATGACTAACATGAACGATACAAATAATCAAATTGCTCTCGCAGCCCATCAAAATGACTTCGGAACACAGCAACGGTCACTTGAAAAACAGCAGAGACTGCTCGCAGCGCAGCAGATGGAACTCGGACCACGACTGGAAAGATCCGGTATGAAGGCAGCTTTTGATATGTACGAAGCTGCAACAGAAATGAGAGAAACGGAATTTGAAAGACCGGAAATCACGATCGCGATGAGCAATGTTCATATGACGGTGAACGGAGTTCCGTGCACGTTCAGGTTAATTCATACAGTAGGCCCAAACTGAGAACACTTCATTCCAGTGGAATCGTGTCAGTCAACGTCAACAAAACGTCGGGTGTGCATTCGTCTGCCGGCTCTCCTCCCAACTCGTCCGCAAACTGCTTCAACGAATCCAGGAACTCTTTCTGCTAATACGAATAAAACATTTCGGATAACAAAAATTCCACGTCACTAAGATCATCTGTTGATCATTCGGAAGAACGTGCCTTTTGCCTGTTGACATGCCCCGTTGTCCCTCTGATTCCAACTCCTCCTCCCCTTCCTCCTCCTCCTCTTCCCATTCTCCCAATCACCTTTTCATTCGTAAACTTCTTCTCCTCCACTCAGTTCGCTCCTCTTCTCAAATGATAACAAAACACTGATCGAAAGATAGGCTTATCAAAGAGACACACGGGGCTGTCGTCTCTCCGTCTCTCCGTTTCGCCTCCTATTTCTCCGTTTATTTTCAAATACATTGATTCTTTTCTCTTTTCACCAAGAGACGGAAGAAACCGATCGGGTAAACACGTACATACTCTTCGTCGCTCTCCGTTTTCTTGTCTTAGTCGCCTACAGTATCCGATTCCAGGAGCCAGATGAAGTGGCTGCTCGTCGTGCTGCTCTTCGCCGGAGCGGTCATCGCCATGCGAAAACAAGGAGTGGCCGTGAAGGGAGTGCTCAAGTGCGGCACTGCGTTCGCCAACAACACAAAAGTTAGAATTGTGGACATCGACACGGGACCGGATCCGGACGACACGCTCGACGAGAAACGGACCGGGGAGGACGGCGCGTTCTCTTTGACTGGAAGCACCCACGAACTGACCTCCATCGACCCAGTGCTGTACATTTGGCACGAGTGCAGAGACGAGCAGACTGTGAGTTATTGAAATTGTCCGGGTGTCGATGACACAGCTAAAAGTTTCACTTTGATTATATTCTCTGATCCTTCGCCCACCTCCTTCCTTTTTCAGCCGTGCTCCCGGAAGATCAAGCTGTTGATCCCGAAGAAGTACATCCACGGAGGCACTCCAACTGCCGAGCAATGGGTCGACATCGGAGTGCTCAATTTGGAAGGATCCTTCGAGAACGAAGGTCGCGAGTGCATCAAAGACTAGTTTTTCGTTTTCTATGTAATTGGAAATAAATGATTTATACCTGACAGCTTGAAAACGATTTTGAAACATAAAAAATAGAATGTAATGGCACGAAGAAACAATCAAACGGGAAACAATTACAAGAATATAATTTCGGCTTAAAACTAAACAATAATCACGATTTTAAAATATGTAGAACTGATATTTGACTCAGAACCTAATTCTGGAGATCGAAGTGGAATTCATTGAAGCCCATGATCGATTTCAGTGGAGAAGTGCTTCGCGGTCCAGTCGTCCATCGCGGTTCTTCACGAGCGAGCCTTTTTTCCTTAAAATTTGTGTTACTTTTAGTCTAGATTGACGTCATCTACCTCATGTTCTCTCTGATACTCCTTGCGCATCGTCTCCACGGACGGAGGCCAAGTCTTCGGAGTATAATTCAGGTAGCGTCCCTCCGTCAAGACCATCAGGACACGTGGCGGTCCGACCACGAGAGCTTCGTAATAGGCAAATCTATTACGAATGAAGACTGGCACAACGAATCCCATCATGACGCCATGCTCCGTGTACGCGGGACCGGCGGAGTTGAGCACACCATGCAGATGAGCGCCTGCGAAAACAATGACCTTCCTGTCCGAGTACGATTTGAGCCATGTCTCCTTGCCACGCTGAAAGTGTCGGATAGCAAACAGAATGGGAATCGAAGAATTATTACTGGTTTATCCAAAATCAAATCATCGAATCTGAGAACTCTAGCTGGCCACAGATTGCGTCCAATATTCGGATCTTTTGGACCCTCCTCGATAAGTGGCTGGAATGAGGCGACGTTCCATTTCGGCAGATTTCCGTTTGGCACGCTCCTGTTAATCAATTCTATCAGAAATTTAATAAAGTTATCAACTTACAGAGTGAACTCTCCTTTGACAGTCATCTGACACATTCTCAACGGGGCAAACGTCTTCTCTTCAGTGTTCATCAACTTGCGTCTGATGTTCGCACGATCGGCAGCCGTTAGGTAAATCGGGCCAAGAGCATCCGTCCAAACCATCGTCCGGTATTGATTATGCATCGGATCTTTGACGAAATCGACAAAACTGACTAGCCCGTACAGCCGCATTTCGATGCCCTTATTGTGTCGATACTTGAGACTGATGAGACCGGTGGACGGCTGAGCAGAGTAAACCGGCACGACTTCTACATTTCCGTTCACTCTCCGGTACTTGATTAGGAGCGTTTTGCTCACCTCACTCGCTTGCTCGGTAGTCAAAAGAAGTCGGTCGATGAACGACTGCGAACTGAATACTAGAAGCTGAAAAACAACGTGGTTACTGCACATACCGAAACACCTCACCTGCTGCATATCTTTATCTTGCGTTTTCTCCTTTTCAATCGGAACTGCAATGCACCACGAGTGATCCCTATACTCGATGAGCTCGGAAGCTTCGAACTTGTTGTCATGGCTGTCCATGCTGCGGATTTCTCCCGAAAGTCCGGAATCGTAGTCATCCATTTCCAGCAGGTCATCCACTTTCGCTCTCACTTTTTTGTGTTCTTCGCCCTCTCGTTTTTTGAATTTTTTGTTCGCATTCGCCAGTGTCCTAGCAGCATCAACATTTTCGTCCAAGTTTTCAGGAATAATCAGTCTCGCGCGTTTTTCGTCGTCTTTTTCAAGTTCCAGAGCAATAGTTGACAGATCGAAAACTGCCGATTGAGGCGGTTCCCGAATCACGCGTTCTTCTGGTTTAAAGTGGGGAGGAAGAAGCGCAGTTCCATCAGCAGATTTCCAGCATGCAGATCGAGTCTCCAGTGGTCGTGACTCAGGAAACGCGCCTTTCGAAGCCATCGGGAACACACGTCTCGGTTGTTCGCAGGCGGAAAATCGTTCCATTTCCGAACGTCGAGACTCCAACCGATTACGTGAAACGGGCTTGCACGCAACAGGAAAAACGTGCCTCGGCAGTTTGGGAGGCTCTCGGGTAACAGGGTACGGTTCTCTTTCCATGTACGAATGCGAAGCTGCTTTCCACACATCCTTTTCCGGCCTCAAACGGGAAAATTCCTTTAGTATCGGAGAAGGTTGCTCATCGATCGGCTCCTCGGGAGTCGGATTTGGCCAGCCGGCTTCATTCAGCAGTCTTTCGTGTTCATTTTTCTCCTTCTCTATTTGGATAACCTCTTGAGTGACTTCTGCGAGCTTCAGCTCAAACGGACTAGCACTGTTTGATGAAATCGTAAACGATGAGACGCCCGTATCCGGACCCTGCACGTACGATCCATCGTAGGCCTTCTTGTGTTCCCTCAGCTCGGGACTTTCTTCGATTTCCTCCACTGGCGGAGGAGACATCAGCTCGGGCTTATCAGGAACTGTAGAGAGCCATTCCGTTATCTTTCCGGCCGGTGCTGACACCGGCATCTCGTTCAGACCCTTTTTTATCTTCGGCTGAAAAAAGAAGCAGTTGCAGATGTTGTTACGAGAAAAAAGAGTTTAGAAAATACTCTTTTCACAGGAAAAAAGCACCTCTGGTGGTGGAAATCCGATGGGAACCACTTCCTTTAATCTGGGCCATGCTTTTGCGTTGTTCCGAGGCCAATTTCCAAAAGGTTTTCGGTCAACCATTTTCGTTACCTGAAAGTGTCATTTTTGCAGAAGCTATGAAATACGCGTAGCGCAGCGAGAGAAAAACCGAAATTTAAGTAACAAACAACTACTGTGGCTAAAGGCGCAACTCGCAGATACCGGAAAGGTCTCGCACCGATTTCGCTCCCGCCTCTTGAATTTTTCCATTTTCATTCAATTTGGAAAACAAAAACAGTAGAACAAGATCTAGCCTAATCAAAACTAATTTAAATTTTTAAACCCACCCTTTTTATATTTGAAAGTGTCTTTTTTATCATTATTTTTCCTCCCAAGTATATCAGTCCCCATATGCGGTTTAAAGTTCCCATGTTTTCATTTCGCTGTTGTGACAACGCTCAAAATTTGTTGAATTTTCGATTCGTCATCTAAAAGAACCCCTCACGTTCTCGCTCCTCCTCCTCCTCCGTCAATATGCGGTCGAAAACGAAAGCGCCTGCGTGTCTGCGTCTGCTTTCCCCGCGAGCGCTCTCACTTTCACAAGGAAACACCCTCCTAACCAGAAAAAACATTCGCTCCGTTCTGCACGTTCGCATCTTTTCAGATAAAAGTAAAGTTTCAGCTAAAGAGCATTGAAAATGCCACCTGGCGAGCCGGTCGCCACCGATCCGGAGCATGATGAGGACTTCGATCGATTCTTAAACAAAAAAAGTATGAAGCTGGTATTTAACCTGTACTAAAATCAATATAAGTTCCAGAATATCGTTCGAAGTTCATAAGTAGTGACTGGTTCGTAGAACCACTTCTCAATTTCGATGCAGATAACTCTGTAAGACCAGCATTTATCAGTGAGCCCGAGCAAAAACTATTTATTTCAGGCAATGGAGCCCGTTTACGAGGCTGTGAAATACTGGACACAGATAGCAAAAGAACTGAAAGAAGTAAATTATCCGATCGCCGAGGGAATTGACAACTTCACAAAGTTCGACTCTGAAACTAGGCTGAAAGCACGCATGCTCGACGATTTCCTCGATTTGCTCATCACACCGAGCTTGTTCACAGAAGACAAAGGCTTTGAAGTACTCCAAGTGCTCATAGCTCAAGGAGATCAGTACCTGGATTTCACGCAGAAAAGTGAGCACAAAACATGGGAGTCTTTCTCAAAACAAAAATACAAAGTGATGTTTCAGTGGCCGACGTCGATTTCTCGTTAAAATGCAATACAATCTGGGAGAATGACGCGGTCGCCTATCGGTGTAACACATGTGCTCTCACTCCTTGTAAGCTTGGAATAGAGTTCTGAAAAATAATATTTTCCACAGGCATGTCACTCTGCGAAGCTTGTTTCGATGCAAACGGCCACGCAGGTCACGACTACACCCGCTTCTTCTCGCGAGAAGGCGGAGCATGCGACTGTGGCAACCAAGACGTCATCCGAAAACAAGGAAACTGTCCGAATCACGGAGACGAGTCCAAAAGACCCAAATACGACATGAGCGACGTGTGTCTTGCGGAGCACATCGTCACGAAACTGCTAGTCCGACTGTTCCTGAGCTGCAGAGGATGGGTCAGTCATTTCATAATCTCACTTTTTTATAAATTCCTGATCGCATTTTCAGTATGCGCGATACAAGGAAGAAGAAGCAGCTTATCACGACGAAATTGTGGAGCCGGGGGCCCGTCGACCGGTTTATGATTTGGGACTTTTCACGGAAAAGGAAGCGGCGAAACCGAACAAAGTGATTGATTTCCTTCAAGAATGCTCGAATTACGGAGGTCCGATGCGGCTGATCGTTGCGGAAGTTCTCCTGAACAGAGAATTGTACAGGGCGTTGACTGAAAAGACTGGCGACCATTACGATGGTATCCATTCATTCGTCAACTTTCACGAATATTTATTTTCCAGAGACGGGTCGCGTTGAAGTCAGTCTGGATTGGCGCACTCGCCTTTCCTTCTATGACGATCGGAAGTCGATGATGATAGACCCACGTTACGCTCACGACTTCCCATTAGTCAGAAGCGTTGAGGGGACCGAGTGTTTTTCCCTTCTCGATGAACTCATCTTCTGGATATGCAGATTGCTTTTCCCGCAGAATATTGTCAACTTCGGGCTGAGCATGCTCTCGGAACCCGGATATCGAGTAAGATTGCGTTTTAGATTCATCGCTTGTGAGAATGGTATTTCAGGATGCATTCGCATTACGCTTCTTCGCCTGGTATCCTCTCTGCGGCAAAGTTATCAGTGATCTGTGTGCCAGTCAGGCGGTGCACTCCCGCGACGACGACAGAGTGTCTCCTGCTTGCAGTCGGGCAGTTCATGTCACTGTTCAGGTGCGAATCACTTCCGAACTCACTTCGAGAACGTTGTTTTCTGTTACAGATGCTTTCCTCGGCCTCTCTCTGCGATGAACTGAACAAGAGCGTGCATCTAGTGAGGACTATTTTCGACGTGACCCGGTTTTTGGTTTGCCAAAAACTCACAGAGTCTAACCTTTCACTGAGTGGGTCAAAATTTAGAATGGAGAGTAATAATATAGTTTTCATACAGGACCAGATGACATCTTCGTACGCAACTTTTGGCCTCGCAGAAGTGACTGGAATGTTATGAAAATGTCCGGAAATACAGTGAGCACTCGATTATCTGTTCGGTTGTCAATCACAGCTTCTTGCAGGCGGTAAGTCAACACGGCTACTGGTTCGTCATGGGCGACATTCAAAATGTGCTGACGCACACAGCCCTGGCCGTCGGAGCAGTGCTTGATGACGAATGCTTTGGCAAATCGTACATGAAGGGAATGTGTCAGATGCAGGGAATGAATCACCTCGAGAGGATTGTAGAGGGAGATGCAAACGAGCGAGACATCGGAGAGGAAGTGCAACGGGCGTACACGCTGGAATTCGAGACTCTTGCAGTCACTCTCTTCAACATTGTAGCGGCGATTCAAGAGGAAAACAGCGTGCTCGCGGCGTGTCGGTTCTTTGATCATGTGAAAGCAAATCTGGAGAAGTGGTTCGTCCATCTCTGTCCATTTAACAATAATCGGACGGAAGTGTGGGGGAGCATCGAGAGGGCACAAATGTACGTCGTCTCGTTCCACATCCCCCTGCACAGGTGACATTACCGCTTTGTTCCTTTTCCATTCATCTGATTTCAGGCACATGTCCACTGCTCTCACGCACTTCATGGAGCTCGACGGCTTCTATGAATACGTCTATGAGAATCTCATCTGCGACGAAGCGTTCATCCGTCTTCTCATCCTTCATCCCCTCCGAATCCAAGTAGCACGTGCCGAGATCAACTGCGGAATGTGGGTGAGAAACGGAGGACAGGCACGCATGTCCTCCCTTATCTATTCGCAATGGAATGTCACCAGCGCATTTCAAACTCCAGACGTGGACCTGATCAGGTGAGAATCCTCTCGAAGTTCTCAAACCTCGAAGTATACGATTCACTTCAGATTCTGTGCTGCTCACATCGATAAGGAGTACTTTGTCCGTGTCCTCACTCTCGCATTCAATGTGATCGAGAAGACAGTGTACAATTCTGGACTTCCACCGATTTTCACTCCGGAGCCGGCACTGAAGCTGTTTGCAGGTCTCGTCATCGCCAGAAATCCGACAATACGACAGCTGATCAAAAGCCAGGAGCTGGATGTTTTTTGTGATTGGCAGGTCGATCAGAAGTTGGCATACGACAATCTGATCCGTTATGTGACTGAAAAACCACTCATGATCGAGGCGCTCATGCAGAACATGCCTGATGCGTTCTGCGAAAAAGTGGAGCTGGACGAGAACAAGAAGAAAATGCTTATCGAGTGAGTTGGAAAAGGATTAGTTCAGGCACGGACTTTTTTGTTTTCAGTTACACAATCGGCACTTGCTCACGGACAGTTCTCTCTTTTCCTGCACACAACAATGCTAGATCGGATAGCTTGTATGCTCGATTGCGCGAGCAGCTACCCGGTATTGTACCTGACGGGATTCACCCTGAACGAGAAGAATTCGTGCGAATGCTGAACAGCAAGTTCCGCACATACGAAGGAGAAACTAAGCCTCGCGAAGCAATACTGTTCCAATCCGAATGGATCGATCCAATGTACTGGGGAATGTTTAAACTGGTCGCCGAGCTCATCGTCATTCGGGTCAATTCGGGGGCCACTCCAGAAGAACACTATCGAGCCGAAATGGTGAATTGTATGGCGATGGGAAACGTTTCTTACTCTAGACTACGCGCTTCAATTTCCGAGAAAGGAAGTCGTGGAAGCGAGCTGATTGATAAACACTTTGAAAGAATCCTGAACGAGATCGGAGACTTCCGAGAGCCGAACGAGGCAAGTAACTACCTGCAACAGGGCAGTTATCAGCTGAAGACGTCCGTCTGGGACACCGAACTCTGTCCTGTCTTCTTCCTCATGAGATCGACAACAACGAAGCAGGCGAGAGAGGTTTTCTCGAAAATGGAGATTCGCGAACGGAAGAACGCTGTCGCCACTGGAGCGTTCCCTGACAACGATGTAAAATAGAGGACGCCTTCTGGGTGCCGTTCCGATTGATTGACTTCGACAAGAACCTTCGGCATCAAGGAATTGCAAGTATTTATTCGATTCTGCTCACCGAACGCTTCATCATCAACTGCATCTCCGTTCTGTACATGGACCAAGAGTATTCTACCGCTTTCCACGAGGCAACCGTTCAAATGGCCGTCTTTATGCTGACGCTCGGAGTGAAGTACGCGTCAGAATACGATGGTCCAGAAGACGTGAAGCAATACGTAAAAAATGTCTATCACAAGCCATTCACTCTTGTGAGGTTCGATAAAGAAGAGCAATACACGGTCTGCTCGTTCATGGCCGGATTGGTGGAGAAAGAAGCGAGGAAAAAAGACTCTTTTGTGCCTCTTTTCCGAAATATTCTGGCCGGAAAGTACGACGAAAAGAAGATTACGGGCGGTCGCATGATCTATCTCGCTCGTTTCCTCACAATTCTCGCGAAGCTTTCCAGTGCGTGCCGTGTGATTATTGAAGAAAAACTGAAAGATGAACTGGATCTGATCAGCAGAAAATCACGGCAAGACACGAAGACGAAACAAGCTGATCCAGCGAAAGAGGAAATGAAGAAGTTGGCGAAGGCGAGAATGGCGGCTATAATGGAGAAGACGGCTGCGAGGAGCGCACGGACGATGGAGAAGCTGATGAAATCGGAGGGGATGACGCCTGAAGAATTGGGCAGTGTGGATCCGAGTCAGCAGAACCGAAAGGTTTACGAATGCCCGATTTGCGGAGAAAGCGACGCGCCGAACACTGTCGAGAATCCGTTCGGAATGCTCGCGAAACTCTCCACCAATTTCCTCTGCGAAGAGCAAATCGATGCGAACTGCGAACCGTACGAAAATCTTCTGGATATCGATCCAGAAACGATGAGCAGCTTCCACAGATGGTCACTCGAAGGTACTGTGTGAATATGAGAATGAAGCGGAGCGAGGGTTCCAAATGGGCGGATGTGAGCAGAGTGGATCCGCCGCTGACCGGAACTGACCTGAAGACGTGCGGACACACAGCTCACATGACGTGTTTCAATGCGTATCGAGCCTCATTGGTAAGCTAGAGAACGTGCCATTATAACAATAATCCCAAAAAATTTCAGTACGACGGACGCCAACGGACAACAGAACGCCGAGAAGTCGGATGCCCACTCTGTCGTTACACTGTTAACATAATCGTCCCGATGATGTTGGATAAACCCTACGTGCCGCTCAAGACTCCGCCCTCCCCATTGTCGCATTCTGACGTCTGGAAAACTATGAAAACGATGGTTACGAAGGCAAGAATGCCTGCTTTCGATGTCGATCCCAAACATAATCCCTGTTTGGTGGAAACGTATATCCGGCAAGACGAACGGAACGTCAGGCACGCGGCAGTCTACAGTACTCGAGACGGCGGTGGACTGTCTGAAGTGTGGTCGGGGCGACAGCAAAGTGCGGACTGGACAGAACGGAAATCGAGTCGGGAGAGTTGCACGGTGAGTACGGTCATGGTGTCGATGGCGGCGACGATGGTGGAAAGATCGAGTCTTCTGCGGAAGATGGGCGTGCCCGAGAGGCGGAAGAATGCAAGGAAGAGTCTAACAGGTGAGAATACTGCTTACTTCAATTTATGAATGCATAATTGCAGAGCACATAATGGCGGCCACAGTTGCCACTTCCAAAGATGTCGATTTCGATGTGACAGTCTCCGCAGTGACAAGTCTCCTCGCAAAAGTATCCGAAACGCCGAACATGTCCGAAGCGCCAGTAATGAGTCTGACTGAACGGCTATCATCGTCGCGGGCGAGCACTTCCTCTTCTTTGAATCCCCCGGAAGAAGTGGACGGTCTGACAGCCACTGAGGTGATTGCGATGGCCCTCAAGCATACACGGAAACGGGTAGCTGAAGAAGATAACGATCACAACAAAGTGCCGCTCTTCATGCTCGAACCCAAAACGACGCTCGTTCGGATTCTCTCCGTTCTCATCGACAATCAGGGAGTCACTAAGGAAGTGCAACAAGATATCGCAAGAAGCTTAATCTCAGCGGCCATTTGTTGGGTCACCGCCCGGACGATTCTGAGTATTGTTCTCCGGCTCCACGAACAAAAAATTAGGTCACTCGCTGTTGGAGAACTGAAATTCGACGGTATCTCGGAGGAGTGGCAGTTGATTGCACAGAACGTCGCCAGTTCGTTAGTCAGAAACACGGACTTCTTCAATTTGCTGATGCGGTACATGGCGTCACCCGTTACAGAGCCTAATGATTCTGAAATTGGCAAAACCATCGAAATCGTTCTCATCGATTATCTTCGCTTCGCCTCCGAACTTCTCTTCCATTGCAATCTGGGCTCTCTAGCCGACGTGGAGTGCATTCATGATCCGAAAATCGGATTGGGAGATGCGATGTCTCTCATGAACATTAGTAAGTTTTCAAAGTTTTATTCATCATGTAAACGAATTAACTTTCCAGAAACTGACGATTTCCAGCTGCCATCAAAAGCCAGTTATTGGACGTTGATGTACAGGCCCAGCTTGACGTGGATGTCCCAATTGGCCAATGTGGTAAGTGAAGGCTTAATCCAGAATTTGATCTTGACTGGAGGATTCTTTGACGGAGCCCACGACTAGAAGACAGATTAGAAGAAGAATTATCAAGCAGTAGAAAATCTGTAGAAAAAGTATTTTAACGATTTGAAAAGGAAGGGGCTGCATACCAGGAAAGCGGTGCAGGCGAAGAAAGCGGACCAGTAGATGAGGGGGTCGCAGTAGTGACTCTCGAACATTCCCTCGTTGAAATGGACGTACATCTTCGAGCCATACACCCATACACAACCTAGAATGGAGAGAGATTAGGCTGCTCAGTGAATTAGACTCACCCAAAATGAGCCAAACAACATTGGCAAGTGCAAAAAGAGCTTCGATTCCCTTGCACAGCAAACTGGCTCCTAACTTCCTCTGCTGTCGCCGGTAGGCCGTTCGTCTAGGTGTCGGAATCAAGAAGTAAATGCGGAACGTGGCGGAGATGATGAAGATGACTCCTTCCACAATCAGCCAAATAGGAATCATTGGCTGCACAGCACAGAACGGTGCATTCAGTAGTCCGAATATTATGAGAAGGAAGGCAAGAAGGCTGAAACAGGAGAGCACTGCTATGCTCACTTCTGAAAGAGGTCAACTGGACGGGTCGTTTCGAACAGGGAAATTCTCACGATAAGGTATCCGATCGTTAATGTAATCACTCAAATTCTTTGCAAATTCTACAGTATCTCCACTCTGAGAGTAGACGTCCGATAGCTTGTCGTGTTTCGTCGAGATTCGCTTGAATCTGCTTGAGACTGTGTAGTGGGCATGTAAACGGAAGGTTGAAGATATCCATTCGAAGGCCGTTCTGCTTGAAATCGGACTGGTGAACGGCTGACAGATTGAGCCGGAGGGAGAAGCGGCGTTGAGAATTCGCGGAGCTCCTGCTTGAGGAGCCAGACATGTTGATACGGAGAGGAATGGATCGGGAGGAAGTGTAACTTTGAGAGCCTCTGAAAAACTGTTTTGGGGGGTACGGTGATTTTGAAAATCGTACCTTGGAAACTGATTGTGTGGCGGGTTTTGTGACATTGAACTCGACGGTAGAATCGGCGTCTCCACTTTCGAAACTGGCGTTGAACTAGAAAGTATTCGTGTTGATAGCTCTGATTCATGCGAATGACTCACCCTGAGCTGCTCATATCGACCCTCAACTTTTGAGGCCCCGGTGATGGAGTGTGACGCATTTCGCCGAACGCACCCATCCGTTCAGATGTGACCATCGATGTAGGACGTGAATACTGAAAAGAAACGTTGAGGATAAAGTTATGATTACAGCGAGATGTGGGAATTTTTTGTTTATGTGAATTTGCAATTCAAATCCAACAGCATAGGGGGCAGAAAGAATGAAAACTGTGTAGTTATATGGTTTGATAGCTTCGGGTATTGCCTCGTTTCGCCCCAAAAGTCGTACGTCAGCTGCTTGTGCAAATAAACACGCCAAGGACGACACGCTTGCGAAACTTACCCCCGCTGGAAACGAAGTCTCGTTGTGGGATTCCCGGGATCCTAACGACGACATTTTGAGAGATTCTGAAAGATTTTGAATGTCGGACAAGAAAATCAAAGCACGGACAGTGCGAGGAGGTGCGGTCTTTTCGGTGTAACTGTGAGAGAGCAAATAATGTCTCTCGTCACCTGATGCCTCTCAATTTTGAGTTTCTCTCTAATTCCATCTTCATACGTACTCGAGGCGTTATAATTATTGAGATGATAACAACGATTCAAAAGGGATGAAAGAGGAAAGTTTTGAAGTTGGAACGATGCCAGCGTCTGGCTGAACAAAGAAGAAAAGGAAGAGAAACAGAAATATAGGCACATGCTAAAAGTAGAATCGATTCGAAAATAAACAAGATGAGTCACGGGGTGGTTGGTTTCCGATGGCAGGGAGCGGGAAATTGGGTCTCACATGTCTCATTCAGAATGGACTAAAAGGTTGTGCAAACTCAGACCGCCTAGGAAATGTTAACAGAAGCAGACAGAAGCCTTTTGTGTAGTACAAAGTATTTCATAACTTTTTACCCATTTCTTTCGTAACCTGAGTGACGATGTGTAGAGAAATTCAAAAAGGTACAAGCGAGAGGGAGCCTTGCTACAGGCAGATCGGCTCTCTAAATCAACTCCTCGATCTTCCGACCTTCCTGACAGTCGTTTTCCCTGGCTCATATCTTCCTTCTCTATTTGCCGACCTCTTTGATCTTTCGCTATTCTTTTCCGTTCTTTTTACATATACAATGTTAGGTCAGCCACCGAGTTGTTCACTGTTCACGCGTTCGCGACTACAACAAACACAGAGATCTTAGTTCACAAGGGGCATTCTCTAATATTCGGATACTTGTGGTTATGTGATTATATTTCAGTTCCAACCGCACGTCGTCGAACCATTGGCATGGAAGCCACGTCGAATCTTGAAGCCGCCGAGCCGTTTCGAGGAACTCTTTACCAGATACTTCCACATGGAATGCATTAATTGCGCAGTGGTCAGTCATCGTTCCCCCTTCCCTGTTCTTCATATTCTTATTTCCAGAGCCCTGCGAATCCGGTGATCTGTCTACTTTGCGGTCAGTTGCTTTGTTTGGATGAATGCTGTCGACTGACTCACAAAGAAGCGGGAAGTGACAAGACAATCAACACGTCGGAGATCGAATCGGTCAGTCGTCCTAGCCTTCCGTGACGCCCTCAATCTTTCCTAATTTCAGCACGCGGAAAAATGCTCCTCGTCGTCCGGTCTCTTCATTTCAATCACGTCCTCAATGGTGATTGTGATGCGCGGAAAGCAGGCAGCCATTTGGGGCACAGTCTATCTCGATTCTCACAAAGAAGAAGACCGTAATCTTCGTCGCGGAAAGCCCCTTTTCCTGTGTGAATCCCGTCTGAAATGGCTCGAATACGATTGGGCGGAGCAGGAATGGCAGCGAGTCTTCCAATGGTTCAGTCTCTCCAACTCGCACACATTCATCAATGCCATCAGGGATTGCCACATGCACCATTGAATTTGCACCCCCAGTATATTTATTTACTCTCAATTGTATCAAAATCTGTCTAGTTTTTCAGCTGATCTTGTTCTTTTCTCGCATGTTTATCTATCCTTGTGGTTCTAACGGTTTTCTTCATATTCATTGTGCCCGTGTAAATTTTTCTTATCTTAGAACATGCTTGAACTAGGTCCCCTAGCCAAATACTAGTGTACAGGTATCTGAGAATATTCTTTCAGAATAGGAGCCTGAAGAAGTGGAGAGTGGATCCGAGAGATTTACGAATGTCCGATTTGGTCACCCGGATTCTCGCTTCCTACTTCCTCGGCCGTAATTCCCTCCAATTTCATCAGCTTGTCCGTGCGCTCTTCTTGGCGCACAAAGAATATCCGATCGTACATTCAGTGATGGCGTCACATAATCACAGATGACTAAAGGCAATGGAGGATGATGCAAACTCGATTCCCTCTTACTCTTTTCCGACGGCCACGTGAGAACAAGATCTAAGACGTACTTTTCTGCGGATGGAAACTGAAGGCCTCCACAAAAGGACGGTGGAATACGGTTTTTCTCCAAACAATATTGTTCTCTTTTGTGCACCTCTTCATTTGGAAATCTCCAGAATCCCTTCTGTCCCACCTCGACGCCAACACGTTTCTGCTTATTTTTCCGTTCTCTCTGAACTTTGCCCACTCGGTTTTCTCACCGTTATCGGTCAGAAACCCACAACAAGGTGTCTGACGGCACGTGTCTCCGTTTTTCGATGAAAAGATCAGCAGCGAGTCTGAAGAGAAGGGTCAGCTTGCAACAATTGTCATCTTCGACAGGGCGACGGTCAACGATTACTGATCGGCGCTGGTTCCGGGATGATACGTGGCTAGGTCGGAAGGAAAGTGACTGCTCCTTACGGCTCTGTGCAGAAAGTTGATACAATTCAAAATTCCACGAACGCTGTCGTCTGAAGATGTCTTAGAAGTGTTAGAAGTCATCTTGCATCAGAAAGATATGAAATTGTGTACTTTGTTCGTTCTTCTTTGGATACTCTTCAATACCTCCAACGCCCTTCTCTTTTGTTCCCTTTCGATACCGTAGACCTCGTGTTATATAACCAATCACCAATCAGCCGAGATTCCATTTCCGATCTCAAAACTAATCCCTTCCCTTATTATAAATGCGTGTGTGTGTCTGGATCAAAAATTAAAAATGAGCTGAAGCGACGACGAGCAAAACACAAAAATCTTCCTCTTAACATGTATTTTTGCCTAAATTCCCAAACTGATAACACAAATAAGCATCACCTGCTCGCAGTGGCATTGAACTCGATGATACTGATTTCAGAGTGCGAGTTTTGGACTGGACTGAGTGTGTCCGGCTAGAGTACAACGTATTTTTGTTCCTGGACCACTTTTAAGATCGAAAAGTAGACGTTGATGTTACGGTAAGCACGTGAATGTTCTGACGTCGTTGTGATCACTGCGGTCTGCCCAGACGTAGATGGACTGTTCATCCCACCATCAAACCATCGTCTGTTTGCCTTCGTATTCCATTCTAAACATCATTATGACCGCTGAAACCAAAGTTCAACTCGCTCATTTTTTTCGCTCGTTCGCCCAGTCAGTCTGTGCGAACCGTTCTGTCTCTCAAAAGATCGTTGAGATCACGTAAACTGGCTTCCCACTGACCCCTGGATCAAAGTCGAGCCTCGTCTTTCTCAAAAACAAAGACGGAAGCCCGAATGTGTTGATTTGATTAACGGCCGTGTGAACAGAGAATGATCCCTGCGGTCCGCACCAGACTACACAGGTCTCCGGTCGGCTCGTGACTCATTTGGCGGTCATTCCATCTGAAAAGCAAGAAGGAGACCAGCAAACTTTGGACGTTTTCCATCTGCTCCCAGTCAGCATAATCTCATCAATTCCGATGTTTACTTCATGGTTCTCGCCTTCAAAAGACTGCCAGATTTCGCGTCAGAGCCGCCGAATAATCCTTTTTCGGAAAGTGGCATAGAAAAGAGATCGGAGAGCAAGAAGTGCAGACTCTATTATAGTTTGTTTCTGGTTCTGACTTTGCATTACGCTCGTATGGACTCCATATATGTCTAGCACAACTACAGTAACCTTCAGACTCCTCTCTTCCGCTAAGTACAATCTTCCTGACCACAATGAATCTTTAATGACACTAAAAGCGTGTGTGGGTCGCAGCAAAGCACAATATAATTCTTCTTCTGTTTTCTCTGCTCCCAGCGCAAAACCCGGAACAATCTTTGTGTGTCTCGCATGTCCACCACAGAAGACGTCAGAACAAGAGGAATTCCAAGTTGGTCGTGTTTTCGAGATTATCTTTTTTAATAAGCACTAAGGGTTGTCACTGATAAATTGAGCATCGTGGACACAATTATAGGCTTGTTCCACATCACACTTCCATAGATCACCCCTTTCCCATCCTCGCTCTCTATTTTCCTCTTTTTCCTTCGATGACGTCCGCTCTTTGCAATCCCAACCTGACTCTTGGCTCATTCAAAGGCCATTCCCTTCTTCTTCTTCTTCTTCTTCTTATTTTTCTGCATCTGCTTCTGCTCTCCCTTCTCTTTCTAGTTTGGCTTCTTTGAAACTGCAGTGGTGTGCACCGGTTCGTCGAGTTCATCGCCCGTCTGCGTCTCGCTTCTCGTGCGGGTGCAACTTGGCGTCACCTCTCTCTTTGGGCCCGCTTGTGTGGGGTTGACGGGTCTAAACACTAATATATGTATACGTGAGTACTCTGCATATATATATACGTTTCACTCCCTGCTCCTCTTCTCTCTCTCTCTCTCTCTCTCTCCTGCTCACCGATCTCGCTGAACTTCTAATATCCTCCCCAAGGAGTGTTCTTTTGATCTTGAACTCGCGGTTCAGACTACATACATCTGCTTCCCAATGTTCGCACGGGGCGATTCCCAAACACTTTCACTCGTTTCCACTGCCCTTGCGCCCCGTTCTCCGAATTTACTTCTTTTCTGTTTATGTGTCTACCGCGGCCATCTGGAACTGAAGTGAGCAGACTGCACACCGCCCGGTTTCTGATCACAACTTATCTCTCTCTCTCTCTCTCTCTTTCTCTCTCTCTACCTCCGTCTGTCGTATTCCAAAATAGGCTGGACGGAAGAAGAAGAAGAAGAAGGAGGCGGTTTATAATCCCTTTTCCAACAGCCTATACTCTCTTTCGTCTTCATGGAATTGCTTCCCGATTCACATGACCCTACGTGCCTATGCGAAGTTCATTGGGTGCACAGAATAAGAGCTCGGAGCTCATTTTGTGCTGCAGGGTTCATTGCGACGCCTTCTTCAAAAGATAGGCGAATGAGTGCGTGGTGCACCGCGAGCAGCTGGTCAAAGACTGTCCGCGTGGGAGTCGATGTCTAGTCTTTGACAGAGAACCGCATTGCAACAATCAAATTTTGATGGTTTTGGTTTAGTAGTGAATCACCGATGAGGCTGTGATTTTCGAGTCTATTTCGGACTGATCTCGTCATTTGAATGTGTTTGCTGATACACAGTTTCCGTTTTCGTATTTCGATCTTCTGAACCTTGCTTACTTGCACCAGTCGTGCGAGAGAAAGATCAGTTCGAATGAAATGTCATCGATCTAACGCGGATGCTGCCCCGAATCGGAACTTCCCGAATCTCAGAACCAATTAGCACTGAAAATAGTTCCGTTTCGGGGCAGTACCCTAACGCGCTGTTGCAGAAATCACTCTTTCGACGGCTCAAAGATCAACCAACATTTCGCCAGACACAATAGGCCGCCTACAGTACGCTCAAGGGGCAAGAGTTCAAAAACTTCCCCCTTTCTTGCTTTTGTCTGCCCGTTTTCACACACACTTCACACACGTTCCTTCTCGCGTTTCTTTCCAAGTTTGCGCAGACAGTTCTCTCCCGGAGAGCACACAATTCGCGATTCTTCGGTATTCGAACGAGGCTTTGAGGCCTTGAGGCCAAAAGTCCGTAGGCCCGTCGAAGCCCTCTTTTGGATAAGTGGGTGACGTTTTAATGGAAAATCATTCGCGGCACCTGCAAGCGCCGTTATTTTCAGCTGTCCAAACTAGATGGGTTGTGGAGCCAAAGTAGAATAAATCAGAAGATCAGGTCAAAGACTCATTCTCGTTCTGTTTCAGAAGATATTTTCTTTTCTGCTCCGATCCCTCAAAGCCCTCCACATAATCTTCCCCAACTTTTTCTTCCTTATTCACTATTTCCGTACTCTGTCTATTTCTGTCCTTATCCAAAACGGAAGTACCTTTTCTTCCTTCCTTTCCGATGAAGATGAACTGGGTCAAGTTTGCACACTTACCCTGCTCTTTAGTCCCTTTTCTCAGCCGGCTATTTTGGGAAACCAGTCAGCGGTTACTATTTATAAATTTTCGTAGTAAAAGAGAGGGAGTACGTACTCAAAGTTTTTTTTCGGCGGAAAATGTCCGATTCGGACAAACATTTGCGGATGATCGGATGGGTCAGTTGGGAAGGGAACGGGTCAAGAGATCAGAGCAAGTGAGAGAAATGATGACAGCACGAGATCAGAGAAAGCGTCAGAGACAATGTGATAAACTGACTGAGATCAAACACTCAAATGATCACACAACGATCAATCGGATCGAATTGTGTACCGACGCCTTTGAGACGACGGCCTGCTTGGTCTCTCTCTCTCTCTCTCTCTCTCTCTCTCTCCCTTTGCCCGTTTCCAATCCGTCTGTTGTTGATCATTTTGTACATCTGTAAATTGTCTGATATTGCGCATATATTTTGAACCGTCCGCTGCGTAAACACGCTTCACATTCTACTTCTTCGCTCCGCACCTGCTAATTGTTTACCACCCCATAGAAAACCGTGGAAGAATCGAAAGATCAGAGCGAGGGGAAGGCGGCGCGGATTACGGTAGCTCATTGAGATCAATGTGATCACTATAAAACTGGAAATAGGGCGGGGCGATTGCTAGTGAGGCCAGTTAGGGAAGGTGTGTTGCGCGTTTGTATCGATGACTCAATCCGCATTTGAGCACCCTCCGGTCATCGTTTCGTTTGGAGCTATAGTATACTTCGAAAGTTATTGTGTCTTACTGTAGCTACCAAATCAGAAACATGTTTGCAAGTGCATGAATCAGTGTGTCAGGTGTTCAGAGCTAAAGGACAAGCAGTGTCTCACTCTCAGCACCAGACATCTCAGATCAATGATGCCAGCGGCCGTTATCATCCCTTTTCCATCTTCTTCTCCTTATTTCCCCTTTCCATTATATTGTCTACCAAGAAAACGTTCGCTCACTTCCACGTTGTGTTCCCTTCCGAACGAACATCGTTGATCGTTCGATCCTTGGCGAATCTGCGTGCTTCTCTCGGCTCTCTCCGTCCACCACACTCTCTCGTCCGTCCGGTCGGTGATGCCCGATCAAACAGTCCGATTATTGCCAGAGAAGGAGGAGGAGGAGGAAGAGCGGAGACTGAGAGTGTCAAAGAGTCTCCCTTTTCCTCTTCTTTTTCTCATCGCTATTCCGTATACTTTATTGTTTCTAGTGTGCTCTTTTACTTCCACTTTCCACGTGGCTAGGGAGGCATTTCGGAACAAGACCTATACAAATAGAAAGATCTTAATGAGAGGATTCAAAACATGTTTTTCAATATTAATGCCGACCTCTGAAACATCGTTCAGATGAGTTTTTCTCGAGTTTCAGAGGTCGGCAGCTAAATTGAAGAACACGTTTGGAATCCTTTGTTAAGATCTTTCGACGTGCTGTTGTTCCGAAAAGGCAACTTTTCTATGGGAGTCAGTCTCTCTGAACTCTCTCCTACCATCTCAAATTTCAAGAGGCCAACTGATCAAAGAAGGGCATGTATCTGTTACCTCCTCCTCCTCCTTCCATCCTTCCTTCGGAATGTCCGACGGTCGAGATTGGAATCAGCCTTGGTCCGTCTTCGTCCTCTATCCTCCGTGCAAAGTTTCGGCTATTCCTTCTTACAATTTACCAATAGTTTCATGTTATTCTGAAATATTTTGTGGTTGGCAGTCGGGGCGAATCGCGTCATTTCTGTTTGGCTGCCAGGGATCCGTGCACAAATAGACACTCGAAAGACAATCAGATTTCAATTGCAAACTCAAACTCAAACTCGTTAATCTCGTTTGCGACATATCTTCGTTTCGCATTGGAGCGAACTTGTGCGAGTTTGACGTAATCGTCGTGCAAACCGTCCTTCTTGTCATTCCCGACCACATTCTAGTAAAGAATCGAAAGATCGTCAACCGGAGCTCTCTTTATATCATTAGCATCGGTTCGTGACCAGCATCACCGCTTGATTATTCCCCTGCGGCCGAATGTTCCCTTTCTGTCTCTAGCCTGCTCAGAGCGTTTGATCTTTCGTAAGATGCGTTTGAAAGGAATGCATAGTAGTCTGGTATCCATGGAGAAGAGAGCAAGAGAAAGTGAGAGAGAGCCTAACTATGCTCTAGTTTCTGACTTGTGTTCATCCGCCTCATCCTTCAACTGTTTCCCTCACTTTCGCTTTCCGCTTCCAATTTTGCGTGCTTCTTGCAATTTGATCCCGTTGGTTGGCTGCTCTTCTTCTCCCTTCTTCTCCTTCTTCCTCTTCTATATCTAGCCTGCTCAACTCCTCCGTTTTCCGTCGTTCAGACACTTGTTTGTGTTATTCTCTCCTCCCGCCGACGTTCGGTTATTGAACTCGTTGCACTCTCCCTCCCCACTTTCTCTCTCTTTTTTCCAAACGGCAGTTTTTATTATCGCTTTTTGGTTTCCTCCACTCCGGAGAGTCGATCCCGTTGAACTCTCTCTCTCTCTCTTCTCTCGTGTGATAGTTCGAGCTCGCTGACCACCATTTACTCCAAACTCTTGCTTTTGTGCGCCTTTGCAAGTCAGAAGAGAAATGGCTCCCGACGTAAACAGGAATCAGAAGATCGTCAGGTGTCTTGCTTCTAATACGCTCTATTCATTTCGAGAGCATATACAGACCGAAAAGAGTTTGACGTCAAAGAGCCAAAGTTGACGAGGATTACCCGACTTGCCTTGAAAAACCGCTTCTCTTCATTTTCCCGTTCTTCTGTTTCTTCCCTTGTTCTTTTCAATATACACATTTCAGCACGAATGATAGTCGATTCGATAAGTTCGTCGGCCGCTTCGACGTCTTCTTCGTCGCCGACACCGCGTCCGATCTCATCGCTGCGCAAATCGCTCATGTGCGCCGTGTGCGGAGACGTGGTACGTTCGACTGGGGAGCGATAATTCAGAGATCAGTTCAAAACACAGTGATCTCTGTGCACTGTGGGGTTGTCTGAAACGACGTTTCGTCAGAAGACCGGAACAGAATGAAATGGGATTAGTTTTCGGCCGAATGATCCCTGAAACGACACCTGAACCCGATGACATCTCGCTTCGTTTAGGCACTCGGGAAGCACTACGGAGTGAATGCGTGCAACGGATGCAAGGGATTCTTCAGGAGAAGCATCTGGAAGAACAGGACGTACGCGTGCAGACACGGAGGAAAGTGTTTGGTGGCGAAGGAGCAGCGGAATGCGTGCCGATCCTGCCGCCTGGCCACATGTTTGAACGTCGGAATGAACCCGAGAGCAGTGCAGGGAGACACGGTCGAAGATCAGGAGTGGGACGAGGAAACCCGTCCGGAAGTGTCGAGCATCGGAACACAGACTTACAAGGAGCCGGTCAGGACAAAGGCCGACGTCAAAAAGAGCACAATTATCAGCAATCTGAGGGCGATCTATGACAGGACGGATCCGGAGGACTCTTGGAATGTCACATTTCCAGGTTCCTATGACTTCCGGTACGCATTCTACAACACAAAAGTGGTGTCCCCTCGAACTCCGCTCGTTCCGACCGCTGAAAGGATTGCCACGTTGAGCGACGTAGTCTCAGACTTCCGGAGAGGATTTGTGTTGTACGTAGATATTCTCAAATCGATTGAGCAACTGGAAGAGGTGTGCGAAGAGGACAAGATGAAGATCGCCAAGTCTCGGTTCGCCGCCTTCTACTGGTGGCTCTGTTCGACGTGGTCCGCACAGGCGGGATGCAATGGAGTGTGCTACTCGAACGGAACATATCACCCCGCCGACTTCAACGAAATGCCACGGTCCGAAGGAAAGCACGGCGTTCGTATTGAGTACGTAGAGTACGGGGTTTAGCATAGACGTTAAGGGAAAGCATTTTGTTTTCAGCTACAGTGGAGTCTCGCAAAAAAGTTTGGAGAATCTGGTGGAGCCATTGAAGCGATTGAAACTGACAGATGAGGAGAGAATGGTTGGAGCCGTCATGGTGATACTCGCTGATCGTGAGTTCAGCTCGAAGGCTTTCGCAACAAATACTCCTTTCAGCCGTGCCCCATGTGACTCCTAAAACTGAAAAAATACTCGCAGAAGCGAGAGACTATTATTTGGAACTTCTCGGCTCTTGCATCAACCTGCCAGAAGAGGAAATCGGAATCAGAATATCAAAAATGGTTCTTCTCGTAGCATCTATTATGGTAAAATCCTCTACCGCGCTTTTCCTACTAAAATTCGAAAATTTACAGGAATTGGTACACTTGTCAACGGACAACATTCAACTATCAGACGTTTTGCATGTCATCGATCTTGGAGACTGGTCTATGGAACTTCGGGACCACAGATATAGAAGACAATTTTAAACTATTTAACTATGATCAGAATAAATTATTGAGCTTTACCCAACGTTGTTTTTTGTTCGAACAGCCAGAACACATATTAACGTAGAACGGAGACATTTTATTGTCAACAATTAACAGCAACAATTTAGTTGGTTGGCTGAGCGCGCGGCTTCGGGGTAGTTCCCTCACGGAATCCGTTTCTAAAAAATAAATTATTTTGCTCCTTAAACTGATTTTCTGGCTTTCAAAGTTATTACAGGAAATGAGGTACGCCGCCGGCAAACCAGAAGCCGTTTTGATCCAAGACTTGCACAAATAGCTTCCAGCTACATGCGTTGTCCAAGTCTCAGATAAAACCTTGCTCTGGAGCCAGTATTTCACCAAAAAGTATTCAAACTTTGACGACATTTCATTTAAACACTACTTTTTGTGTTTTTATTAAAAAATGCAAATTTTTTCCATTTTTGTTCACATTCAGAAATTCAGAAAAGATTTACCTGAAGCGTCTGTTGACGTCTCTCAGATGGCGAGTGCGGCCAGTTCCGGTGGTGCGTCTGCGGATAGACTTGGCTCCCCAGTTGTAGGTTCTCTTCTTGGCATCTGGGTATCCGCACGAAGCGCAGCGCTTCTTCTGGATGTGGAACGACGAGCGTCCGCAGCGCTTGCAAAGCGTGTGGGACTTGACGTGCTTCTTTCCGAAAGCTTGAGTACCCTTAGTCATCTGAAAAATAAAAATAATGTTGTGCTGAGCAAAAAATCGGCAAATAACATCGTAAAGAGAAAAGACTCTCAAAATAGCACGGAACGATTATTTTTTTAGCCACATAAAAATTTTACAATTATTTTAATCAAAAATCGTATTTTAGGCCCAAAAATAAACTAATTTCAGATATGAGATAGGTTCAAAACAAGCCCTACTATCATAAACGCACAAAAAACTGAAAATTTTGGCTAGAACTCGACGAAAAACCGTTAAAATCATGAAAAGAAACGCAAAAAATTTTAGGATTCTGTGGAAACGGCAGCAGAAACGAGGGATCGTGGCGAGACCCGCCGCCGGCCAAAGTGCGTGCGCCTTTAAACAAATGCGCGGTTTTTCAAATGATAAACAGAGACGCAGCGTTTGTGACTCTGCGGAGCAATTTTGTCAGGATTTCAGCCATTTTTTAAGATAAAAATAGCATATTCATGTTGCTAAATTTTTTAAAAACTTTTGACACAAAAAAAAACTAATTTTCGCAATATTTATTCACAAAAATGATACAAGGAACATGACTACAATTTACAAACAATACAGCACTAAAAAATAAGAATGTACAATAAAAACAAGTAGCACAAAAAGCTCGAAAAATCACAAAACATAAGTAGTATGCACTGGGCGGAAGAAGTGAGAAGCGACTAGATCAGCAGGAAACCCATAAAGAATAGGCGAGATCAGAAATAGAAATTGACTAGGAACTGATAAAAAGTGAAACGAGCGACGCTCAGAATGTCTCGTTATCAATGATCGACTGCTCGGTTTCGTTGAGCGAGGCGGACGTCTCCGAAAGGGCCATTGAAGAGCGGTACGCATCGAACATCGCATTGTGCCGCGGAGCCAGCAGCCACGTGGCGAGCACACTGAGCAGGAGCATTTCACATGTGATTATGAAGTTGCAAACGACTAAAAAAGGGGAAAATACGAAATTGGAGGGAGAAAACGACACACTTACAGTAGGCGTTCTCTTGCGCATTCAGAAGCGGTCCGCAGGAAATGAGGTTGAATCGGAGGAGCACGTTCTGGAAGATCATCGGCTGTTGGGCAGAGAAGAAGAGAAGCGAAATGTCGACGAGCCGGAACATGGACATGAAACAGTAGGCAGAGAGCTTGTTCGAGGTGACTCTCGCCAGAGTGTGCACTCCGAAGATGGCGAGAAGAAGGGAGCAGAGGGAGGCCATGTCCGAGTATCGGATGAACGGAGTCGCCTGCTCTCGCATCTCGGCCACGGCGACGACGTCGAGGAAGATGATGATGGAGCGGACGATCGGGGCTTGGAGCACACACCATTCCAGACGACGGATGTTCTTTCTGAAAAGGGAACCGGTTGGGTTGGGGGGACGCGGTGATTGATGGCATACTCAGTGGATCTGGCAGTCGGAAGACGGGGAATGAGGCAGCAAAAGGGCGGCGATCGGAAGTCAATCGGTCGGTCGTCGTACTGTAGACACGTGGAAAAGGACTCGCGCCCGCCGAACAGATGACGTGCCAGCGAGACGATGACGAAAAGGCACATGAGATAGTAGAGGACTCCGATGCACGTGAGAATGACGGCCGTTCGGGGCACACACATGGCGATGTAGGAGCACGTGCATGCTACCTGAAATAAGATTGGATTGTGAGCTGTTGGGACCGAGGGCCACTTACGGGGAAGACGGCGATGAGCCAGTAGAGTTTGTTGCGTCGTTTCTCAATGGACACGTACTTGTAGACGTAGAACCAGTGGATGAAGGAGAGAATGAGCACGACGACGGTGGAGAAGAAAGCGATCGAGAGGAGAACGGTTTGGAACGGCTGCAGATCTGAAAGGGGCCGTATAGAGAGGCGGCACTGTGAAATCATTGACTTACTCCTCAGGAACTCGGGGGCCGAGGGTGTTTCGTGGCGCTCGGAGCAGTTGGAGGTGTCCTGCGGGAGCATCACGGATCCGATGAGGCTGAGAGCCGCCCGCATTGCTCCGTGCTCCTTTTCTTTCATCTGGAATTCCGTTTCCATACCGGGAATGATTTGCAGAAATGAGGGAATGATAAGAGAGGCAGTCGTGTTAACTATATGTATGTGAATGATAACTAGAACTGGAGGAGATTATCGAGAAAGCGTTTGACGATTTCAGTTTTTGGTTTCTCAATTCAAAACGAATCAATGAGCACAAAGTTTTGATGGACGGGTCATTTGTGATAAACTTTACGAAAGACTGATAATAACACCGTTTCATGCACGAGGAATTCGCTCATTCTGGGTGTGTGTGTGTGTATGTGTCCGAACCGTTTCTGACTCATTTCGGAGCCCGCTTATTTTTTCGACTTTTCACCAGTCACAAAGAGCAAATACGGGCTCAGTTTTGGAAAGAAATGGGGGCAGAGGGGCAGGGCAGGAGTGGCAATTTTGAGAGAGGAAATGGTGAAGGAGAAAAGTAAACGGAGGAATGTTATTGGACGAATGGGAGGAGGGAATCAGGTGACAAAGGTCCTGTCGGAGGGCGCCAACATGACGCGTTTGAACTTTTCAGAATCTCTATTCCGTCCGCACGGTCAATGCAAGTACGCTGGAGCAAATTTGGTGGTTTTCGCAAAATTAGCCATGAAAAAGCATTTATAATTATTAATTTATATCCCATTACTGTTCCAGTTGAGTAGGTCAACTGCATTTTTCGAATGTTTTGTTGTCCGAGCGCTAAAAATATCTATCAATTCGTAAAATAAATGTCAGCTGAGCTTTTCTCAAACGAAAGTGCTTTGCCTCGTAAAAAAAGAAAACGTTTTCGCGGTTCATCGGCGATAAGAAGAAGCCAGGTTTCGGTCCAAGTTTCACGATGGAAAAGGGTGATAAGAAACAGGAAAACGAATACGAAAGTGCGTGATCGGAAGCAGAAAAACAGCTTTAGTCTCTCAAAAACCTAGCTCTTTTTCGACGTCAGCAGGGCTGTCGGAAGTGAGAATTAATATAGTTTATTCGAAAAAAAACCGAAAACCACAAAGCAACCATTGGCGGGAGAAAATGAGAAAAAAAAACGGAACAGAGATTGCATCCTTTCTCTCGCTTTTTTCGGCATTGAAAGTGGAACGGTGATGAGAGAGAGAGAGAGAGAGAGAGTGTGTGAGAAGTTGAGAGAGAAGAGAGAAAGAGAAAGAAAAAGGACGGAGAAATAGAGAGAGAGAAGAGGCGAAATGGCGATGCAACAGTGTGTTTTCCTCTGTACATAAAAATGAGTCAGTCATGTTTTTGTAGCCGTCTGTACATATACACAGTACTAGATAGGCACAAGTCACAGAGTTTTGAAACTTGGTGATGTGTCACCGATTGGCTGTGATCTGTAGTTGCCACGTCATCAGTGCATAGCAAGAAAAGAGCACGTTGAGATAAGAGCCACCGCCCACCCCGGCAGGAAAGTCAACAGTAACGAAACAGTATTGGGAAGGGTAAAAGTTGAAGAAGGAACTATCAGGCTCTGAAAACGTTACAAAAGGGAACAATAGAGTCCATATAGGAAAAAGTAATATTTCTGCTGACATACTTTCTCTCTCACTTCCCTTCTCTCATAAATAATCCGCCAGAAAAAGAAAAAGGCAGAAAAAGAGAGCCCGTCTGCTCGGGAGGGGCTCACTTTTTCGTCGTTTCCTTCCGACCCCGTGTGAGCCCACAGGGATCCAGACGCAGAGAAAGAGAGGGGCACAAAAAGAACGAGTTCATTGGAGTTATTCGGATGAAAATGAGCAAATATCGGAAGAGAGCTCACTTTTTTTCACGGACAGAGCAAACAGAGAGAAATCTGGTTCACGGGAGGGAGCAAAGTAATCGGCTGAGAGCAGGGAAAGAGATTACCATTTGAGGGGAAGATTAGAAGGGATAAACAGTTGATATGGTCAGGTGACGGATTGACATTGGATCGGATGGTAAACTGGAAACGGAAAACCGGGTCAAGGGGTATTCAAATGTAAGGAAAGGCGATTTGTTTGGCAAAAAGAGCGAGTGAGATGACGAAGCCCTTCATTTCAGATTCGATAGGCTTGTATGGTTTCAGATCACTGTCATGACCAGGATTTAGGCTTTTTGAAGCCCGAACTTTTGATCCCAGAGTTTGCAGGCGCTTCAACTTCAATTGAGACGCTCAAATTACAGTCTGAATAGCCTGAAAGTTTGGGTCACATCGGAAAAGTGAAGCTGGGTCAAAAGTTTGGGCTTTGTTCATGAGGTACCCTATAAACTCGGATTTCCCTGGCCACCGGACTGTCGATTAGGTGTTCCCCTGAACCGGCTGAGCTCGAGCCACTCGAGTCTAAATCCGTGTCGCCAATGACGTGGAACCCCGCTCGTTCGCTTTGCAAACTGTGTATCATCACTCCGCCAGTTGACAAACCGTTCAAAAACGGAACATCGATCCTGCTTCTTCTTCCTCTTCTTCTCCATGTTCTTTTCCCCTTCGCTTTGCTCCTCGAATTGTTTGCCTGATAGCTAATCCGCCGACCTTTCCCCCCGTTTCGATCACCATCGTCGGCACCTTCTTCTTACCTTCCTCTTCCCGTTTCTATCGATTCCCCCGATGGCTTCCACGTACTCGCTTCCGTCCGATTACACCGAAGACAACCCGTTCACCAAGAGGGAGATGTCCCTTTTCATCGTCATCTACACTTTCTGTGTCATTTTGCTCATTATCATGTACGAGCACCTCATGCCGGTCATCAACAATCCCACGTATCCTCATTACAATAAAGTGCCTTCGTTTGAATTTGTAGCTCCGCAAAAGGTGATGCCCGGTCTTTGATTGTATGTAATCGAGATGTACTTTAGTCAATTTCAATGAAACGTTTTCTCGTTTTGTTTTTGTTTTCCTGTAAACCCAAAGGAACAACGTGTACCCCTTTCCTTCCGTTTCCATTTCATTTCATTTCTCCTTTAGCTACAATCCAAATTGATCGGTTAGCATGTCTATAGCAGTCGCCACTTCCGAGCGAGACGCGCATGAAAGTGTGAGTGTCCTTCCGACGGCTTCCAGATGGAATCTGCTCCAGATCACGGCTCCGGACTCTCTTGCCGTCAGCTCTTCGGGCAAGAAGAAGGGCTTTTTCTCCACACTGACCAGTTACTTGACCTCCACCCACAAAAGCGATCCGAAGCCGGTTGTGCAGCAGAAAAAGAAGCTGATGAACTCGTGGGATGACGTGGATTTGGTGCGGCTGAATACGCTCGTCTGCAACATTCTCTACGACGCCAATTCCTACGAGCCTCTGTCAGAGAGTCCGTTCCCAATAGATTGAATCCTTTAACTTTCAGAATCTCTGAAATCGAAAGAGTGGCGGGCAGACGACGTGAGCACTGTTTCTACGGCCTCGTCTCCGTGCTCTTCTGCCTCGTCCTCCTTCACGACGCCATCGGAGCCATCACCGCGTTCATGGTTCGTCTTCGGAAGAGCTTCCCAGAGCTCAGCCTCTTTTCCAGACCCTCCTCGTGCCCACGTCCCTCATTGCCGTCGCAATTTCCTCGCCGTCTTCCTACGAAAATCCGAGTTATCTCAAAGATCATCACGACTTTTTCGTTCGTTACTGGACAGTTTACGCGGTGTTCGTCGCCAGCGAATCGTTCCTCTCTTCGTTCGTTTCGTGCTCCGAATGTCCTTCCGAACCCGCTGCATTCAGGCTCATCCAATGGGACCTTCGTCTTTTCCGTCTCGTCTTCATGACCGCCTGTCTCTCTTCGAGAATTCCCGTCCTTTCCACTGCACATGGTAGGTGGCACGGCTGTGCAGTATCCGATCAGATCACACTTTTGCAATTTTCTCAGTCTTGAATTCAAGTATCTTTTAAAGTTTCGAAATATTCGGTTGTTTGCCGAGCAAGTGAGCTATAAAGAGGCGCGTTTGCCCGGAAAACGTTGGCTGCGCCTCTCCGCTCTTCTATTTAAACGCCCGTTTTCCCGTTGCTGTCACTCGGTCCGGCGCCAGTGGTTTAGCAAAAACACATATTATCACCCCATCCCTTCCCATTGGCATCACTTGACCGTCGTTTTGCTTTGGGATACAAAACCAATTGTCAATTGAGCTCAGATTTCGTAATAGGAGAAATTGAATTTCCAGCCAAAGTGCTCGGTTTCGTCACAGCGATTCGCGAATTGATCGACAAGAACAATTATGAAAAGACGGCTTCAAAACAGAAATCGAACTGATAGAACGGGCAAATATAAATTTATTAATTCTGATTTGCTGAAAGAATACTGTCAGGAGGAAGTGGGAATGAGCGAGGAGAGAAAGAGTAGTACATTTTGACTTCGAAGAGCCAATGAACTAAACTAGAATTAGTGAGGGAACCAAAAAAGCTAGATGAAGGAAAGGAAAGCTCGTGGGGAGGGGAAGTGACTGTACAAAAGGCAGTTGGATAGAATATCTAGTATGCACATGGAGAAAATAGAGTAATCACATCGGATGGATCTGTTTGAAGAAAAAGAAACTGGCGGCTGCTCCGACGGTTCCGGCGACGAACATGAATTGGAGGGCGTAGCGGGGAATCGTTTTGACGGATGCTCGAGGCGGCTTCGCGACCTGGAAGAAGTGTGAATGTGGAAGGAAGACGGAATTGATGATTTTACGATTTTCCGATATTCGTTCATGTACTTCGTCTTCAGAAGACACGGCGGCATCAGTCTTGACAAGTATCTGAAATAAGATATTTTCTTGAGATCAAGAGTAACCTTGCTTACACAGCATCCTTGATAATGGCGTCAATCGGCAGTTCTCGTGGCATTTCAGTGAGGAGGCGATGAAGGAAAGGCATTTCCCTTTCGCACGCAAGAATGCTTGCTCTCCGATAGACGACGATCGCAGATGACACGTAGATCGGAAGAAGCGGCGAGGAAGCCAAAAAGACGTCGAAGAATCGGACGATCTGCTGGTACTGCTGGAGACTGTGGCTGAACCAAGTGAGCGGCCACGAGAGACCGAACATTGTGCCCAGTTCGACGGAGCGCATTACTCGTTCCAGCGAGGGCTCCACGCGAGAGAGGATTACGTAGAGAAGGTCGAGTTCCCGGACGACCGACCTTTCGAGTGTTTTCAGAAGATAATTGTTGAATGAACCGTTTTTAGCCAGGTTTGAGCAGACGGGCAGCGCGTCTTCCTGTCCACAAACGAGAAGAACAGTCAGACAAATATCGTGGAACCCTGAAAACAGATCTGTTATCAAATGAAAATAGAATGTTCGGTTACCTTGATAATAATTGAACCGTGGATTGATACTAAGCACCCGTACAATCAATGGAATTAGGTCTGTCTGTAGAACATCCCGATGTGCTTCCGATATGTTCGGAGGGAATCTTGCGAGCGTCCGGTGCACATCCAGTTCCACCTGATGCCATTCTTTGTGTCCTTTCAAATCTTCCAATGTCAGTTCGCTGATTTCCTAGAAAACGAATACTTCTGTGCTGGAATAGCCAAATTCTAACTTCATAAACGGGTGACTCATCGAAATCCGACTGTGCTGACTCGAAATCCGAATCGTACGACGAAGAAACGTCATCTAAATAACAGTTTTATTGGCAAAACTCTTCAGAGCAACAGAATTCCTACCCAAATCGTCGTTGCACACCAAATTCGCGGATAAAACTGGCCAAATAATGGCACGAAATTCATCGTCGACGAGACCTCCCGGGGAAATCGCAAAATCTCGGAGTTCGTCTGAATGTGGTCCGTTTTGATTCAGTTTCAAACAGAAATCATACCAATATACAGACTGAGGTCCTCTTTTCGATGCCGTTTCAGAAATCGATCGATGGCCTCCCGTTTGTTGCGCAACGCGGTGAATTTAGCTTTCGCCAGCGGACCTGGCTGAAAATTTATTCAGAATTCGTATCATTTCCATTAAATCTCTCGATTACCCTGACATACTCGTCGCCCAGATCACTGCACGAAGCTGTTTGCCATTTCTCGCCGAGCACTTCTTTCAGTGGCGAATTGGGTTCCGAGAACGACGAGTGCATAGGTTAATTGCTGAAAATACACGTGTTAGAGAATTTCAAGAAGTTTTAACGTTCTCAAAAAACAGCTTAATGAGAAGCTTGTTATTGAAATAATCTCATATCTGTTCTATTTCCATGGAATTTTAAAAATCGATGAAGAACAACTGAAAAATTGACAATAAGCAACATCAGATGCATTTTTGACGGCGTTTCGGTGCAAACACCGCCACGCAATGGTGCACACATTTCTGAACGCGCCACGAAAATGAAGAACAATAAATATTTCGCAAGAGCGGCCTGTAAATATAGTGAGAACCGGTGTATGTCTAGGCAAACATTGTACAGAAAGAATTACGAAATAGCGAGAGCATAAATTCATCAACACTTTATTTATGAGAATGTTTCACAAAAGAAAACAAGAGAACGACCAACTTAATGATAATATAATATTAGAGAGCCCAAAACATAATCGCCTCCATTCAGGCATCATGAAGTCAAATCTACCGAAAAGAAAGGCGTCATTGAGAAGGCAACGAGCCGAACGACAGGAAGAAAACGAGTACATGCCGTATCCGAAATGAAAAAAAGCGACAGGATGAAAGGAAAACTATGCAACTGCTCTTCGGGAGCTTCGAAAACCTTATGGGTAAAAGAAGGGAAAAGCAGCAACACACGGGGAAGGGGAAACACGGAAAAATACCGATTGCAATCAGTCTCTCTCGTCCTCCTCAGAAAGAGGGGCTGGGGTTTTGCTCGTGCTCAGCGCAATCGTGATTTCCTCGTCCACAAATTCGTCCTCGTTGAGTTCTGCTTCTGTGTCTATGCCTTTGCGAAGTTGGATGCGCTCGTCGCGAGTGGAAGCAAGCTCTTCGCGGTTTCTGTTTCGGATAATGTCAAAGGCAGCCATGATCTTGCGACGCTTCTCGACAACCTCTTGACTGGCACGGCACTTCTCGTCGTCGTCTTGCTTGATGAAGCGGGCGGCGGTCTTCTTCAGGTTCTTCTTGATCTCCTTCTGCCTCTGTTCGCTCAACTTGACCGGCGGCCGTGGTCTCCACTTGAATTGGGCGAGACGATCGAGGTTCTTTCTGCAGAGTTCACGTCCTTGGAAAGTGAAGATTCTGTAGCCGAGGTCAGCTCCGTTTCTGCCTCCGAGTGTTGAGCAGGTGGCGAAGTAGCGACCAGTTGGATCCCAGTATCCCTTGTTGAACAGAGGATGTTCGATGACGTTGGTTCGCTTTGCCTCAGCAAGAGAAGTGTCGATGAAGTAGACGTTTCCTCCGGAAGAGACCTTGGCAAGAACGGCCAGCCATCCTCCCTTTGGTGCGAATTGCACCTCATTGAAGTGCACTCCGGCGTCCAGCTTGCTTACTAATTTTGGTGCGTGGCTGTTCGGTTCGATCTTGTACACTTGAGGAGTGGCCTTGGCTGTGTTTCCAACAAGAACACAGAACTTGTCGCCTTCTGGATCCCAGTCAAAGTGAATGAAGGGCTCAGTGAGTGGCAGGTTCATCAGGGAGACGTCCTTTTTGTCAATCTCGAAGATGTCGATGTGATAGGTACATCCTCCCTGAATTGATAGAATGTAAATAGAATTTCCTAATCCGGACGGGAACTTACCACATACTTGACATCTCCAGTATCTCTGTACGCCTTCTTGTTGTATCTCATCGTGTAGTAGGCCAATCGCTTTCCGCTCTTCTGCCAGAACAACTGAGCATCGGCGACGTTGTGGACACGCGCGGAACGGAGTCGTTGAAGGGATGGAACCTGGAGGAGACCGAATTCGGCTGGAACAGAATCAGTGCACTCGGAGTAATATGCGAGGGTTGTGGCATTGGGGGCCCACTCGAAGTGCTTAATATGCTCCAATGTGACTGGACGCTTCTGGAGAAGCTCGAAGGTTTCCGATTCGAAAATTGAAATTCCGTCAACTTTTTTCTCCTTTTCAAGTTTGTCCTTTTCTGGAGCCTTGAGACAGGCAAAGTACTTCTCATCGAACGACCACTTGAAGAACGGCCACGTCGGCAGTTGAGTCCTTCCGGTCAGTTCGAAGGTAGAGTAGGCTTTCTTCAGTTCACCGGTGCGGACGTCCCAGACACGGAGACTGTCCTTCTCACAATCCCACCATCTCTCGGTCTCTTCTGGAGCAGCATAGGTGATCAGGTAAGTCTCGCACGGAGAGAAGTCGATGTACTGCACGTTTTCATGAGCAAAACGGTGGGCACGTTCGTAGTCGGGTCCTCCCCACAAGATAATTCCTTTATTGTGGATGGTTGACAGGTAAGATCCGTGTGGCGACCATGTGAACACAGTCTCGGTCCAGTTCTGAAAACAAATCGAATGGAAACAATGTGAATTTCGTCTCTTACTGGTCGTTCAGCCTTGTCCAGGTCTCCAGCGAGCTCGGGATCATTTCCCTTCATGTTGGTGAACACTCCGACAGTTGGAACTCCATTTTTGTCGTGCAGAATGGCGAATTGATCGCGGCACCGGTCGTTCTGCATCCACCACCACAGATCACCGACGCTGGTGTACGGCTGCGGCTGAGGAGCAATCCAATTGTCGGACGGAGCTCGCAGTCTCTTCATATCGGTGAAAAGATGGGCGGTGAACACGTGCCTGCCATCAAGTCTCATTCCATCTAAGCACTTCACGGCAAACTGAGCAGTTGCCTTATCCGGAAATTCAGCAAGAGCAACTCCCTGAAATAATATCTTTACTCAAGCTCCTGCTATTAATCTCACCAAGGAGCCTCCTTCCGGGCTTGGAGGGAGGATGAATTTGACCGCGGGATCGACTCCAACCAGAATTTTCCTGATATGGCCCGTAAGTTTAGTCATCAGAGCAGGTCCGGCAACTGGAAGGCCAGAGATGAAGACACAGTTGTCCTCGAACTCTTCGATCGTTGGCCGCTGATGGAGGACATCAGGAACGAGCACTGAAAATTGTTTCATATTCAACTCCATGTCATGTCGACAACGTTTACAAACCCTCATCGGAAACTTCATCGACATAGTCTGGTGGATCGGAATAGTCCTCTTCGTTTTCTTTATTAAAATCGATCTCGACCATTTCGTCGCTTGTGTAACCCAATTAATCTACAAGTTGAAATTATTGACTTCGGTGATGGAAAACGAGTGAAACACATTGATTTTGACGTATAAAATCACTTAAAACGTAATAGAACACAAAACATACTGGAAAAAGGATTTGAATTGCAAATGAAACAGAAAATAGGACGAAAAATTCGAGTATTCCTAGTTCCACTAAACACGTATCGGGCGGAATGCGGAGTGTCGTTGTTTTACGAGGCACACACTAGGCCACGGCCACGAGCGCTTTTGGCGGAGATTCAAAACGGAACGTGTATTCGCGTTTCAATTTCACTTACAAAACGCTACGAAATTGAAGATAAAAAGGAAAAAAAACAACAAAATTTGAATTTAAGCATATATTTATTGAGCTGAGTAGGTATCAGAAATCTAACCCGGTGAAAATAACAAAAACTGCTCATAATCGATTGTTGTTATTGTGGTTGCTATTACTCTTCGAAAACGTCCTGAACATCATCACCGACTTCTTCTTCTGGCTGCCCGCGTTATTCATCATGACGCCTCCGCCGAACCCGGCTCGGAATTTCTCATTTCCTCGCTTCGGAACCAGAGATTTCTGTCTCTGCAACACATAATTCGCATTTGGAAGTATTACCGTCAATCCCTACCCTTTGGCCCATCTTCTGACTGATACAATTTGCCACGTACATCGCCGCCGCCACGATCGAGAGCATGATTCCTCCGAACGCGAGCGCCCAGCGGGGAATGGCGGCATGCGCCTGAAAGGTCTGGGGCACGTCAAAGACGAAGTGATTTGGGAGAGGTACCGGGGAAAGATCCACGTGGATTAGACGGCTGGCATGCGACATCGCGTTCTCCAGAGAGATAAGAGTGGTTTCTCGTGCCGCCGTCACGATGGGGATCGAGAAACGACGGAGGTGCGGCCACTGATCACTGCAAAGAAACGAACGGAAATGTTTAGAAACGAATCAGAAAGGTGGATCGCTACCCGAACAACGGAATGAGAAGAGGCGTGCGAAGACGTTCGGTCTGCCAACTCTGAATATAAACGAAGATGACGTCGGCGTCGCAGTGCTCTGAATTTCAGTTCATTAGCAATTTGTGATGTGAGAGCGTGCGAGACGGACCTTGCCACCTAGCCGACAGCAATTGTGAGTACAGAATGGTCGACGTCGAAATGGAAGAGGATGTGTAGGTCGGATCGCACTCTCTGATACTGTTCCAGCTGACGAACGGCAGCAAGACCACGGCTATCCGAATTCCCGGCTGACAGTTCGAGTAGCGGCTGCAGAAACAAGAAGTCATATTGAGCTTCGTGGCCGTTTCGTGGAGCATTTCGACTTCGGTCCGGGAGAGAATACCGCCCGGATCACATACATAAGGGGTCTGAAATGAGTGAGAACAGATAGATCGGAAGATCGGAAAGTACCTTGTGGTAGGGAATCTGGCAGAAGACACTGAAATTGGCAGATGTGGGGAGAGGAAATGTGCATGGACCCGAGGTGATGAGATTCCGTTGCAGAGAACCGTAGCTGCTGGAAAAGAGAGAAGGGGGGTTACGGTAGGGACATGATGGAAATTACCAGAGTACTGTGGAAAGGAAGAAGGGTAACAGATGGAAGAGGAGCCGGGAGGACTTCATCTTGATGAGGATATCATTCGGAAGAAGGCAAGACGGACGCATTGAGTTCTGGAATTGATGAAGGTAATTATCGAGGAGAGAATAGAGAGGAGAGAAAAGAGAGTCTTCTTTTTGCATGACCCGAATGACTCCAGAAGCCGTTGTTCCCCTGATCCAGTCCCATCCAAATCCCTTTCCACACATGACGTTTCGTCGAATTTCATTGAAACACACCGGAAGGGTATCAAAAGAGGGGGAAATGGAGGAAGGAAGAGCTCTCCCCGGAGCACATGAAATTAATTAACACCGCGAGCTTTCACACTGGAAAACAAAGGAAATACTCGTCACCTCGTCCCCCATTCTATTCTTTTTTGAGCTCGCCATTGTTTGAGCGGGGGAGGATGGAAGTTCGCTCCACGGATAAAAACCAGTTTCAGATCAATCGACACAAAGGTCAGGGGTTGAAGTGAGTCCGAAAGAGTGGCCGGATGAGAGAGGATGAGAAGATGGCACAAATGATTGATACGTCGCCGTTTTCGTTTTTGGGCGGGAAGGTCTCTGGAGAGCCGCCGTACTTGTGCCTTCTGCTGACGTGGCAGGGCACTTGTCGGAACCCATCAATCAGGTTTTCGCGGCACACTTCCACCACTATTGTCATGGCGACTTGCGCTTCTGAATACTTCGCTCTCACACCTATTTCAGCTGTTCGCAGAAGTAGAGGAGGAAAACGGCTTTTAGGTGACGTGCAAACTCGAAAGTGCTTGGAAAACGTTTGAGGAAGATTGAAAACCTTCGAAAAACTGCGCTCTGGCGCACGTTCTACAACGGCGTCGCAGTACTGTAAATTCGAGATGTCAGCTGTCTGTGGAGCCATCAAAATGTTGCCAAACATTAAATTACTCATAAAAACTTCGATCACATTTTATCAGTTGTCAGCTTTTTGATATCTCTACCGGGAGCTGAGATACATCGTCTTGAAGGTACGGTGTTGTAGAGCGTGCACCAAAGAAGGCCGAACCTCGGAATGCACATTTTTTAAAGGAAAGAGATACTGAAAACGGAGCTCTCTTGAAGTGAAGTGTTTCAGCAAACAGAAGGCAAAAAACACTCGAGACTCTCGGCCCGCCCATTTCCATTCAGCCCTTCCAATTTGCTCTTGTGTTTGGTGTCAGTGCTTCCAGAAACACGAATTCCAAAAACACATCCTCGGACTCTGCCAACACAATGGCGGATCATTATCCAAGAAAGAGAAAGAGGGAGAAGAAGAGAAAGAAGAATGCAGAAAAAGAGAGAAGAAGGCATTGGAGGGCAGTCAAGAGTGAACGATGTGCCGTCTGATAATCGGTTGTTTTCTAATTTGTCGGAATGGAACGAAGAGCACACTTTACGGATCACTGCGGTTCGGAAGTGGAAGAAGAGGTTATTGGTCCTTGTTCTTCAGATTCAGACAACAATCTGCCCCCAAAGTATTCCTCCTCTACTCGATTATACATTCAGAATACGCACATCACACAAGTGACGTGGAGAAAATGGAAACGAGAGCATCGTTAAATAACCCATCATTTGGGCAACTCGATCTCGTGAAACCGCTTTCCTATCAGTTTACCCTTTTTCCGGAAAAAATGCTCTAAAGAGCATAGATAGAAATTTCCGTTTTTTTTTGACAAGGGAGTCCGGAATTGACCCGTCTCGAAATACGGTACCCCGGGGAATAAGAGACTTCTCGCGGAGTTATCGATAAACAGGCGGCAGTGAGCACGAGAGAGCCGAACGTTTGCGGAAACTTCCAAAGACGGAATTCACATAAAATTTTAGGGCTTTTGGTTCCGGGAGGGAACATTGAAACAGCCTTCCTTCTGCACATTTTTTCAAAAAGACCGAAGGTTCAGAATTGTCGGAAATTGGCAGCTCGGTTTTCAAAAGTAATGGAAATTTTAAGAAAAAATGCTTAGTTTCTTCAGTTTCTTCACTCGGAAGGTGACATGTCTGCAAAAAACCAATACGCTATCGAAATGCGGAATCTTCAAGAATTTCAGCAAAAAACACAAAGAAAGAAAAGTCGGCTGCACGATTCGACTCGAAATTTGTTTAGTTTCCATCCGCTAACTGCTCCCTTTCTCTTTCTCCGTCTTCAAGAAGATAAGAAGAAAAAAAAACAGAAAAATTCAGAATCTAAGACACGAATCGAAAGAACGAAGGAGGGAAAGTGACAAATGGGTGCACGTTTGAGTGGGAGAAAAACGGACAAAAAGGGGGCAGAAATCCGGGAGGAAAGAGCAACAAAAGAGAATGGAATGGAGCGGTCAAGACTCACTGGTCAAAAGTTGCGAGAATGGATTTGGTAGGAGGAAGAGATTATTGGATTGAAATGGCGTCGGGGTCAGATTCATGCAGTTGCAGTACAAACAAGAGTCGAACTTCCCAGTTCGGCGCAAGTTTGCCGTCGCCTTCTCCCTCCCCCGCTCAGAAAACTAAACGAAGCGGATGGTGTGCAGATGCATCTTTTTGCGGGAAATATCCTAAAAAAGTTACGATATTCCTTCCTCTTGCAATTACGAGTGCAAAGTGCACTATTAAACCGAAATTAAGGATTTCGGATTTGAAAACAGTTATTTCAGATAATTTCTTCTAAACATCAGGAACCTCTGTGAAGCGCGGAGCGACATGAAAAGAAAAAGGAGGGAAACTGAAGAAACATGTCTTTCTCCGCGTCTGGTCGGACACATACAAGTTTGTGTCATGTTCCGAACTGCTCGGAGCAGCTCATTTGGAGTTGCACGTGAGCATGAAACGTTTCGAGAAAAAAAAGACAAAAAAAGCGTCGTTTTACATAGAGAATAAAGACGAGAAGAATGAGTGTAGAAGCGGGCTCGCTGAGCATTCTTTAGATCTCACAGGTACGAGAATGTCATTTTGAAAGATATACATTGGGAAAAAGGCAAAATGAGTGATATGCAGCACGGAAGATCGAGAACCGATAGAAGAGATCAGCGGGATTTGCGTTGTTTCGTCTTGTAAGTGCCGTCGTCTTTTCGGATGATCCTCAGCTTTGGAATCGGCTGAAAACCATTAACTTCTCGCTGCTTTTCACTTTTCAGCTCTCTTACTTTGCTTCTTTCCAGACGTCGTCTCTGCGGAGTCGCCTGAAAATCTATCCTTTTGCTCTCAAACGAGACTGGAGTAAACACGAAACACTTGTCGGTCAAACAGCGGGAAATTCAATTTGCATCACAAATTTCCTGCGTGTTCTCGTTCTTTACGCTCTTTTGAGTTTACTTGGTATGCAACTGCTGGCTGCCCTTTTGTGCGCAGAATATCAAAATGGAAAATGAGAGGCCGAGTTGAAAGCACTCACCGGCGGATCGGAGAGAACCCCTTTCGGGAACTTTTGCTTGGCTCTCCTCTCTTGCCATTTTCCATTGCACCATATGAAGTTTGTGTGTGTGATTTTCTTGATCAGGATACCTTAAATCTTAACGATGCGTAAAAATATAAAATCATGTTCCCGGACCCTTTTTGACTCGTTTGTATCGAATGTGCATCTTCGGGAGAGGCATCGCGGGCAATCCGTCCTTCGGTGGCATCGCTTCTTCGATTTCCTGCTTGCTCCCCAATTTCTGATTGTCGTCCTCAATCATTGCACTGCTCTGCTGCTCGCCATGTTCGTAACATAATTCTGTAAACGTGATAAATGCGCAGTAAAACAAGAAATACCTACCATTCCGTCGCCGTTCTTCAATCACTTCCGGTTTGAACTTGAACACAAGACTCGGCAGTTTTTCCTTTTCCCGTTCCGCACTTCGCCGCGCCACCTCCGATTCTTGCCGCTTCTTCTCCAGCTTTCGCTCCTTCCTCTGTTCTTCGATCGCAGTCTGTTCATCCCGAAGACGTCGTTCGTACTTTGACAGCATTTTGCGTTTCTTTGTCATTCGCGGAGCAGACAACGTTGGATTGGAAGGCGTCTTCGGCAGAATGTACGGATTTTCAATTTTTGGAACTTTGAATGACTTAGACACTTCCTTCGGCTCATCCTGGAAAACGCATGTTGAGAACCAACTCTCAAATTCTAGTGAAACCAACCGGAAGGAACACATCGAGCACAACATTCGTACAACTGATTTTTTCTGGCTCTGGAATGATACTCGGAATGTCTGGAGTCGTATAGTTCGGCGCGGGCAGTTGGGAAACCGGGGGAGGAGGGATTTCCGGATCGAAAATCGGAATTTCGAAGTGAGCATCCGGTGAATATACAGGTGGAAGAGGTGGAGGCGGAGGAGGGGGCGGAAGGAAGACCGGAGGTGGGATGGCAGGATCGAGGGAAGCGAATCCAAGTTGGACATCGTCCATGTCGTCGAAGTTTGGCAGTCTGTAATTGGAAATTCATTATAATTGGTGGACCTTACCGATTTGAATACACAAAAACAGTTTTTTCCCCAAAATATTCTTACTTGTATATCGGCGATCGCCCACATCTCTTTTTAGAAGCTTTCGTGCACACTGATTTCACCGTTTTCTTTTCTTTATTAACTTTTTGCGCAGATTGCATTTCTCCGTGGATTTCGATTTTCTGAAAGACAGTATTTCCGTGAATTTGATAGTCTTCGCATATGAATCATACCGAGGGAGGATATGGATTCACGTGATTAACATAAACAACCATTGCTTCCACATCAATGTGATGCATCCGGAACATATGTTTAATGTCAATCGGGTTCAAGCTGCTCGCCGATCTTCCAGCTGAAACACAAAAATTATGTTAATTTTTTTTTCGGATTGATTTCGCACAGTTTTCAATAAGAATGCGACACGTGTGACTCATGCTGTGCATCATCGCGGCCACGATGCTGACCAGCTTTGCGTGCGCTGTGTTATCGATGTCCGTGAAACCAAAGTTATCGACGATACGGCTCACCGAGTCTCGTAAATTCTGCATTATTTCGTTGTTAATTGGGAAGTATGTCGAGGAGAACTCACTAGTAATGTCATATTATTTGCGTAAGCGTTCATTATGTCGAATATCTGAAAAAAAACAGATTTAACAAATGCAAGTTTGATTTTAAAATAATCATCGTACGCTTACCTAATCGTTGCGAGATCTACGGCACCCGTTTCATGGCTGTCCCTTTAAAGTTTACAGTATCCTGCAAAGCGAAAATGCGAAATTGATGTTAAGAAAGATTTCGCTACTGAATAAGTATGAAAAACGTAACTTCTAATTAAATTCACATGATTACAAGCGAAAAGAAGAAACGGAAGAGCACGAGTAATAGGAAAATATTCATTCGACCCAAATACCGCATGAAAAAGCGCAGAAATCTGAGAAAAGAAGCGCGGCAAAAGCAGAGAAAATAAATAAACTCGTAAGCGAGAAAGAAAGAAAAGAAGGGGGTTGGTGAATGGTGGGGTGTGGCAGCCGGGAGGAAGCGAGACAAGCAGTACACCTTCATAACGCTCAAGGACTAAATAAGTGATATGCGGGTCGGGGGACTTGCCAATTATCACAGATGAAAAGGGGGAGACACGCGGCGTGGAAAAGAGAATAGAGCATGGGAAATATGAATAACCAGAGAATACACCTAAAAAACAATAAAATGGGGAAAAACAAAAACATTAGCGTGTGTGCGGAGGAAAGGGAAATGGCATCGGGACTCCCTTTCCCAACCATGGCCGATCATAAAATGTTTCTCAAAATATGTGGAAAGTGAAATAAAAACAAAAATGTTTAATTCTCAGCAAACATCGAGGTGTAGAGTGTATTCCTGATCGATTCCGAGGTAGCAGTCGCTGAGCACGAATATCGACAACCGGCACTTTCCCCTGCAAAGTACCACATTTGGACGCGCGCTTCTCCTCCCGAACACCTGTCACTTTCACTAGTCATTACCTAGCAGACGGCATCCGCACGTCGAGTTTCGCGGTTGTTCGCGTCGAATGCGAGCCGACGACGGAGGTTGTGTTCAGAATTCGATCGGAAGAAGTGTCGCCGACGAGGATGATCCAGCCGGCTTGCTTCGATTTCGCCCATTGAGGGAGGTACATTGAAGAGTTGTTCTGGAAAGAGAAATTGAAAAAAAAGATTACGCGTTGGGGATTATCGAGGGATTAGAGTACACAATTCGGAAGGGATCTGGCTGATGACAAACCTTAGCAGGCCCCGATCTTTCCATGACGACTCTCAGTTTGTAGACCTCTCCAGCCGTCACTTGGATCTCCTGCTCGTCCCTGACCGACACTGAATTCCCTTTTTCGTCTAAGAGCTGAAGAGTTTTCAGCGACACGATTGGCCAGTTGCAAACTGCTTTCAGCACTTCTTTGCACTGTAGGTCATCAAGAGTCGTCTTCTCTCTCAACAGCTTCATCGCTCGCTTCACCAGCTTCGGATCTTCAAACGAGGCGGCTTTCTCCACTTCCAGATAATCTTGAAGTTGCGGAATGCTCATTTGCTCTCCGATCGCACGGGCGTCTTCGTAAGACAGATGGGGAAGGCAGAGAAGTGGATGATCATCGTGCCATCTGAAAGAGAATCATAGTGCTTGGACGGAAATGAAATGAAAGCTACCTGGCAGAATGACACATTTGCTGCAGGAGGACAATATTCATTGTGGCGGCCAGCCAGTTCTTGAACCTTGCCATTTCTCGCATCGCCTGAAGAATTCGAATGCACTGATCGAGGACACTCTTCAGATCTGTGCGGTAATCCGTCGGGAGCACTGTTCTCATGAAGTGCGCTTGGAACAGCAGATGAGCTTTTGCGGCAGACGTTCCCATGACGGCAGTCGAGAAACGGATTCGCAGTTTTCTTTGCAGTTCCGTATTGATCAGATCTTCATTGTGTCTGACTGGAATCTCGGCGTATTCTGGCACGTCCGTCAGAATCTTGAGCATGTTTTCGACTGTGCACGCAGAATGGAGATCCTTCACAAGGAAGCGAATGGTCTCGTGTTGAAGGTAGTAGACAGAAGCGATTCTTCCGAATGCCGTCGGCTTGATGACGTCGTTCTCATCGTTCACGTGGATGCATTCGGATGTCAGGAGTTCTTTGACACTTCCGTCGACGATGTTTGTTATGAACTTCAGCATCGCCTCCTCTGTGTCTTCCTCCAGTCCGTAATAGTTCGGATTGGCGAAGAAACGGCGGTACAAATATGTTCCGGAGAGATATTCGACAATTCCCTGTTTCGAATCGATGGTTCCTGCCGAGATTTCGGCGTTCACGTGATTGGGAAGCACGGGTAGAAGAGAGGATTCCACGGGGAATGGCTCGTACAGAAACTTCTTGTAGAAGGTCTTCTTTGAATCCTGCACGTAAATGACGGCCACGGCCGAGTCATCGAACTGCGGTCTTCCGGCTCTTCCCATCATTTGGAGCACATCTGAAAGAAGTTTTCGTCTTCAAGATAATTTGCAGTTTGATAGACGTTACCACGTTTCACGTATTTCCGATCTTATCCCCTTAAGACGTTTTTTTTATTTGTTTTTCACAGAATTTTTCAAATTTATTTCTCGATTGTTTAAAAATGGAAACTGTCCAGTTTCTGATGAGCTATGCGTCGCAAATCGCTTGGTTGCTCGTGAATCAAAACAGTAAGCTTGAGGATTGAAGACAGAAATAAATTGAATATCTTGCTGTGTCCCTCTTGATTGCCGTGTTCGTTTTCGTCAACTGCAGCAAATTACTAGGTCGAAATTCAAAGAAAGATGAGAAAAAGTCGATACAGAAACCACCGAGGGTATCCGGAACGCAGAAAGCACAGGCTCCGGTAACGAATAAAGGCACCACGAAGACTACCGCGTCAGCTGACGATGCTAACGATCCTCCGGAGAAGAAGAAGACGACGTCGGCGGATGCGGAAACGAAGTCAAATGAGAAGGAAGGAGGCGAGGAGAAGAAGAAGAAACAGAAAGAAGCAACGGAAACTGCAACGAAGACGAAAGATGATGGACTAGACCCGAACGATGCGACGAAGGACGTCACGAAGGACGAGAAAGGTAAGATTGATGAATTCAGGCGTAGTGTTATAGTTCAGTTTCAGCTGAGGTACATGAAAACACTCTTCGGATCGAGATGGTCGACGATGACCACACGAAGACATCGGGAACAGTCGACGCTTCGGCCTGTTTCGACGCGCACGACATTAATGGAGTGGACCAGGCTGGAAACGACGTTGATGATGCGAAGCTTGCTAAGAAGTCGTCGAAACACGCGAGGAACGCGAAGAAGATTGGATCACAGAAGAAGAAGGCACCGGCAGGGAAGAAGAAGAAAAAGAACACGACCGAGGACGGTGCGGACGGCAAGAAGAAGAAGAAGGACGGCACGCAAGAGAGCGTCGATTGTGACGAGAAGAAGAAGAAGGAGAAGACGATTGTGGATCGGTCAGACAAGAAGGAACCGTCGCCGAACTCGAAGGGGCCAAAGTCGGGAAATGCTGGAGGCGGAGACAAGATGGAAACTATGGTGGAGGACGATGGAGGGAAGCAGCTGCCGGAGTACAAGACTCAAGAATTTTCTCAGTAGTCTTTTCGCAATAAAGAATAACTCGATTACTTTTTGAGGTCTCACCTGTAACTGGGAAGTCCACATATTTTCCTTTCTTTCCGTCGAAATACTCGGTTCCCTTGACGATGACGAGATGGGCGGGACAGTTGATTCCCCATGCCAACGTGGCAGTCGCGATCAGAATTTGAATCTTTTTTTCGATGAACAACTGCTCGACGATAGCTCTCTCGTGAGCAGACAATCCAGCGTGATGCATTCCGATTCCGAACGGGAGAGTCAGTTTCAGATTCTCATCCTTGATAGAGGCCATGAGCACTTCCAGCTCCAGCATGTCGATGTTCAGCCATTGTTTCGGACTGTGATCAGCGATGAGCAGATTGACGAATGCGAGAGCTGTGAGACGGGTTTGGCGGCGAGAGGAGACGAAAACGAGGACGGGTTTGCGAGGCGAATACGTGAGTATGGCCTTGTAAGCGGGCTTGTTCATCAGTGCCATCCGAGGACAGTAGTGCTGGCCAGGGAATCCTTGAATATGCACCGAAATGGGCACCGGCCGAACGGACGGTCTGAAGTTGTAGCAGGCCTCGTCGGGAATTCCAAGCCACTCGGCCACGTCTCCAGCGTTTGCAAGTGCCGTTGAGAGTCCGAGCAATCGGACCGGCTCTTCCCTCGTGTTACTTCTTCTGGTAATCATCTTGAGACGGCTGACGATGGCCTCCAGCACTGCTCCTCGATCAACTCCGAGCAAGTGAACCTCATCGAGGACGATGAGTCCGACTCTTCTGACGTATTCTCTTGTCGCCCAACTTCTGGAGATTCCGTCCCACTTCTCGGGTGTCGTAATAAGAATCGATGAAGCGGCAAGCTCTTCCGGGTCCGGAGTGACGTCTCCAGACACTTCGACTACTTGATATCCCATTCCATTCTCGAACTTCTTCTTCCAATCATCCACTCTTTCTCGTACCAACGACTTCAACGGCGCAATGTAGACAATCTTCTTTCCAGGATGATCTTGCAGTAAACGGAACATGCCAAGCTCAGCACAGAGAGTTTTTCCGGATCCGGTTGGCGCTCCGATCAGCGCACTCTTGTCGGTTTTGTACAAACTGAAGAACACTTGAGCTTGAATCGGATTAAAATAATCGAACGGATAAATGGCTTCGAATTGAGCGTTTTTCAATGTTTTCACAGGAAGTGGCTCCAAATCCAGAAGATCCGTGTGCGCTTTATATGATTTCGGCAGGATGCAATTGTGGAGACTCAGAGGAACAACGACGTCTTCGGTGACAAAGTATTCGCTCGCCAGTCGTAGATGGAAGTTGTTCGTAAGCTGGCAATCGAGGATCGGAATTGTGAAGACAATAACTTGAGCCTCTGACTTCATCACTTTCATCTTTCCAACTCCGAAACGCTCTTGATGAATGATCATGTTTTCACTGTTATTCTCGAGTACCAGAAAGAACGACTGGAGCCCGGATTTGCCGTGAATGGCATCGTGCCAGATGAAGGCGGGAGTCAGGGTGACTTCGCATTGGACAATGGTGTAGGTGATTGGTTTGAACTTGGCTTCCACTTCCATTCGGGGAAGGTACCTCAGATACGTGTACAATTTGTCTCCATTCACACTGAACATGTGCCCGAGGTCTTTCGGAGTCAACTCAAGAAGCTGTGTTTCCGTGTTCTTCCGTCTTTCGATCTTCTCGATCCACGTGATAGGAATGTCGAAGTTTTGAACAAACTGACGAAGGGAGCACTGATTCGGCCACATTTGTTTTTCAATACATTTGGCCATTTTCAGGAAGGCATTCGCAGTTTCCGCCCATCCATTTCGGAGCACCATCTCGAACATTGCTCTGCAGAGACGGCCGGCGTTTTGCTGCACGTAGAGCTGCTCGGACATCAAAGTGGAACTTCTGGTGGAAGAACGGGAAATGAGCGACTGGAGGAGCACATTGACTTTACCGGCGACACTTGCCAGGCCACCTCCGCGCACATGGAACATGCATCCGAACGATTGCAACTCGCCGAGATCAGTCATTTCCTCCTCTCGACACTTGAGGTTCGAGAATTCGGTGGACATTGAGATGAGTCCGAGAACCATGTCATCTGGCATTGAACTGTTGAAAGTGACGGGCAATCCAACGTCCTTCTCGGCTTCATTCAACAACTGAATCGTTTCGTATTTTACGTAGAAATTGGAGGCGATCCGGCCGAGATCCGTGGAAGTCAAGTATTCTGTCGCCAAGTCAAAACGAATCATTTTGTTCTGGTCCAATTGCATCGCTGTCTTTCTGATAACTTCTCCGAAATGATCTCTCAGATTGGGATCTCTTTCTATCGCATTATACGCGATTCCGTAAGCCATCGGATTCTTGAGTGCTCTCGTATACATGTAGGTGTACGTGAGCCACTCGACTCCTTCATCCACGGTTGACACAGTTCCGAGGGCCACTTCCGCATTCAGATTATCATGAAGACGTGCAAAGAACTGGCTTTCGATTGGGCTTTGATGCACAAGCATCGTCAGATATTTGTCGATTTTGTCTTTCGTAGTGATGATGATTCCGTGACCCTCGTTCTCAAATTGCGGTCTTCCAGCACGTCCGAAGATTTGCTGGACGTCGAGCACTCCGAGGTCAGCGAACACTCCCTTCTCGGCGTCGAACACATCGGTTCCCCTGATGACAACAGCATGAGCAGGGAGATTGACTCCCCAGGCCAGAGTTGCAGTACAGAAGAGAACGGAAATGTGTCCCTGCGCGAAGCACTTCTCCATCAGCATCCTATCTGGACGGGACAGTCCAGCATGATGGATTCCCAGTCCACGCGAGAAGAGTGGGGAGATTTGAGAGCGGTTCCGACTGATATTGACCGCTTTTTCCGATTGAACGTACTTGGAGGATTCTCTGTCTTTCGGCAGGAACATGTCCGCATGACCGAGCTGAGCGGCACGGTTGATGAAGAACTCTCCGAGTTTTCCGGTTCCGTTGCGAGTGTGAACAAAGACAAGCACTTGATGACCTCGTTTCACGAAATCAACGACTTCGTCATAGCACACTTGATCCATGAGGAGGATCTTGTCGCGGTAGTTGGCAGTCTTCCTCGTGCCAATGAATCTGAAAGGAAGTAATTGAAGAAAGGAAAAGGCAGTGGAAAACACTCACTTTTGCGTGAGCGGGACCGGACGGAACCTTCCATCGAAGAAGAAAAGGCCTTTGTAGGGATTGACTCGCAAGAATCGGGCAGCGTCGATGAAGTTGGGAAGTGTGGCGGACAATCCGACGATTCTGATGCCCGACTGGGACATTTCCACCTGACGGAGTGTTCTAGCCACGAGAGTCTCGATGACCGGACCTCTTTCGTCGTGAAGCAGATGAACTTCGTCGATGATGAGGAGGCGAACGATGGCGATCATGGAGTTGTCACTGGAGCTCTTTCGGGTGATCACATCCCATTTCTCGGGGGTCAACACGAGCATCTGCGTGTCCGCCAGCTCGTTCCTCGACAATTGAGTGTCTCCAGTCAACTCGCGTACTCTGATGCCGAGGGGAGCGAGTCGCTTTCCAAACGATTCGGTCATCTCCGTCGCCAGAGCTTTCATCGGTGCAATATAAATTATCTTGAAGTCGTCTTTCATTATTTCCCCGCGCGCATTAGTATGCTCATGAATGGTGTTCAAAATCGTAAGCATCGCAATATTCGTCTTTCCTGCTCCGGTCGGCGCACAAATCAGCAAATTCTCCTTCGTTTTGTAGGCCTGTTCAAAGACAATCGACTGAATAATATTGAGCTTCTCGAATCCTTTGAATCCTTTCTGCCCGAGTTCGTCCATATCCTTGATGTACACGTGCTTGATCTCATCAAGATCTCCTTGGTTGGCTGGCGGCACGAGGACGCTCTCGTGAGTTTTGAATGTGTCTCTTCTGGAACCTTCCGGAAGTGCGAACTTCATTCCATTGATATCGAACATCGTGTGTCCGTGTCTGGTCCTTGCATCGAACACGTACGGATAGTTCTCTTCGATCCGTGGACCGCCGGGAACATTGGAAGGTCTCTTCATCGATTCAATTTCCATCAGTCTCTGCCTTTGAATCTCCTTCTGCGCCAGTTCCAACTCCAGTTTCTCCGCTTCTCCGAAGGCGTGCACCACTCGATTCAACTCCTTCCTCGCTTTCTTCTCCTCTTTGTAAAACTCTTTTTTCGCCTTCTTTTGTGACGTCGTAGTGACGCTGACGGACTGCAGGAAGCCAGGAACGGCAGGCTGAAAGAAAGCCTATTCAGAATTGCAACAGAACAGACACGTGCGCTGTTCCGATTAGGGAAAACGTTCTATTCCCCTCTTCTTTTTCATTTACGAAATCAAAAATGAAACTCGTGCTAGCAATTATTCTATTCAAGACTGTCGCCATCGTCAATGCGCATGTGCAATGCGGGAACGACAAGTTTTGCAACGTGGGATTCAAGTCAGCCTATTTCCAGCAATTTCAAGCATCTTACACGTTATTTTTAGACCATTTCAAATGGGAAAGCCTAACGAATTCCAAACTGTACGAAAATGTGCACAGGAGTTGGCGTTGTTAACTAAGAGTAAAATCATCGGAGTTTTCAAGTGAGAAGATGACTTCAAATGGATTCTCGGAATGCCATTTTTTTTTAGCAAATCTATGTTCTTCCCTCTGGCTGCCGCACAAAAAGAATTTTGTATGGATGACACGATCGGATTTCTGCTCGACGTAGACGTCACTGACTATGAGGTCAGCTGCGTTTGGACAGGTTTGTGTTCGTCCAGAGTGGTTTTTTCGAAAGAAGGAGTTCAGGAGCGTCCCAGTACGGACAGTGTCAGGCAGTGCCTCCAAATACAGACAGCTCCCTTATCACTACATCGTTGGGCCTGTTTGGGAAGAAAAGTTGACGGTATTAGGCACTTTTCGAATGCTGCCTAACAAAAGCTAACTTTCAGAGAGTGAGGAGCGCATTAGGGTGTGAAAATCATAAGAAAAATCACACGAAAAGGTATAATTTCCCGCAATCGGAACTGTTTATATGCAACGATCGCTGCGTGCAGGGAGGCATAGGATACACCGCTTCTATCGTCATGATTCTATGTCTCGCCATTTCTTTTTGCAAAAATTGTGTGGAAGGTGTATAAATCTCTCACTTTCGGTTTATTCTGCTTGGCTTCTGTGACTTGTTCAAGCGCTTTGCTCTTTGCTTCGTAGCTGATTTTATTGCGGTTCTCGAGTATTTCTCCGACCAAATCGAACAGTTCAAAGCCGAGCAATTCGATGAGCTCGTTTTGGATGTCATTGTCGGAGCGAGTCGAGCAGATCAAATCGAGCATATTCGTTGTGATTGTCTGTAAAATTGGTCGATGAATGAGATATGCATGAGAAGAGTATTCAATTACCGTGCAGGTATCGGGAAAATACACCATCAATCGTTCCGTAACTGACCGGAAGATGCCTGTGGTGCTCGGGCCAGATGTAGAAGGTCCTAGGGAAGATGGTTCTGGAACGGCGAAGCTCTCCTGTTCGGTTTCCGAATTCGGCCATTCTAGAAACTCAGGAACCAAATGGATATTCTGATTGAAGCTAGCTACCCGTGATGGTGCTGGAGGATCTGAACGATGTATTCGATTGGTATCTGAAAACAAACCGAAAGAGCACTCACCAGCACTAATCCTGTCGATATAATCGAGAATGTCCATGATTGTGCCTAGTTTGAATTCTGAAAGACAACAGAATGAACAAAAGAAAATTAGGCCCAAGAGAGGGTGGTTAATATTGCACAAGATTTCGAAACACTTCAACCGTCTATTTCAAGAAAAAGTACACTCAGATTCTCATTTATTTTTAAAGACAGCATTTGAAAGATAAAAATTAGCATCAAGGAAGTAAATGAAGCTGAGAGGTGGCATAAAATAGGGCTAATTTTGCTCGGGGACTAGCGGCCGCGAGAGGCGAAATCCTAGACCATCTCCGGCATGGCGCTCTCTCTCGGCTTAAAATTTTTCTGTTTTTAAAAACTCACAAACTCGAACTCTGTGTTTTGCTTCAGAAAGTTTTAGTTTTAAAATTAACTTTTAAAAATCGAAAGTTTGCTGCACAAATTCGAATATTATTCTCTTCATTCTCCCTTTTTGAATCTTTCTCTTCAATCGATTTTCTGAAAACGAGAAGTTACACTCCTTTTTCGCACTTATTTTGCCTTTGCAGATGCTGAACTCGACGTTTACGAAAGAGGAAAGAGAAGAGGTGGTGATCCCGTTGAATGGGGATGTACACGAGCAACACGAAGAACATCCACAGTCACAGCAACTAGAACCGACCGACATTGAACCCGATCAGCTTTGCGGCTGCACTCGCGCCGAAATTATTGTGATGAAACACGCGATCAAGCATTACAACGACATAATTAAGCGGCTCTTGCATTCCGATGGTAGCTCACTGTTAGCCCCGTATCTGCTAACTGATCTCTTACAGAATTCGAAGTGCGTCGTTGTGCAAATGGGCAAGTGGTCTCGCAGGGTCGATGCACTGGACCAAATGCCGGAGGCGGAGTGCCGACCGAGGAATTGCAGAAGGCATTGAAAGAAAGAGATCATGCCCGTGCCGAAGCGGACAAACTGCATGCCAATTACGCAACTCTTTTTGCTTCCTTCACGAGTATCCGTGAGGCTGCCAACGATATCCGTGGAGAGTACGACGACGCTGCTGATAAACTTAAATTGGCGGCTGCGGAAGTGGAAGAATGGCAGAACAAATTCCAGGCGATAAAAGAGAATGCCAACGCCGAGCTCGAGCGGTATTCCATCAGAAGCGTTCCATAGAAAAACAGGGTTTCAGAGCTTCCATTGAGTACGATGATTTGGTGAGAAGCCACGAGGAAACACGAAGGGGCTCCGCCTGAAAGTCAGACGCCTTGAAATCGAATTGGCGAGCAAAAACGACGAGAACGGTGTGCTGACGAATCGTGTTTCGGAACTGTCGGCCATTTGCGATCAACTCATCAACGACGTCGACTTGTGCGAGTCGATGTCCGGCCACTCGATGGATGCATAATTAGCTGCAACTCGCTACCCGATTAATTGTGAATAACACATGAAACGCTTTTTCTTTTTATCATTGCTGGGTTTTCAATCATTGTTATGGGCGTACAGGAACAATGTTCCTATCTTTTGCTTTGACTTGTTCATATGTATCAAGTCTTATTACAGCTCAGAATATGAAGAAAGTAGAGATTCTGAAAACCCCGCGCCCTCAAGTGCTTCTGGCGGCCGTCCGTCCACCCTCAGTCCCCTGCTCGGGCAGAAAATCTCCATAAAGGCAAGGCCGACGGCTGACGACGTGCCTTTTCTGGAGAGCCCCCGAGCAATGAAGGAAGCGGTCCGGTTTGTTTCGGACATTGGTGAAATAACCGACAGTATATCGGTACGACTTCTATCTTTTCTTCGGAAAACTACTCTTTCAGGAACTTGTATCGAGCAGTCCGAATTTCATAGTAATCTCAGCAATCGGACCACAGGGATCCGGAAAATCGACTTTACTCAGCATGCTGGCGGGGAACAATTCCCGACAAATGTACAGGTTTGTTGAGCACTCACATTTTCTAGCTTTCGAATTTATCATTTTTGTTCAGGGAATACGTTTTCCGGCCGGTGTCACGCGAAGCGAACGAACAATCTCGTCATCAGACATCTCTGATCGATGTGTACATTATCAACCACATGATATTTTTGGATTGTCAGCCAATGCACAGCTTCTCGATCGTCGAGAGTCTTCCGAAAACGCGAGGGGGCAGGTTTGACGAAGCCGCTGCACTAAGCGATGTAATTTGGAAGGACTGGGAAGAGAAGGAGTAGTTCATTTCCAGACAATCCGTCTAACCGCTTTCCTTCTGTTCGTCAGTCACACCGTTCTCGTCGTTTCGGAAGCGCATTACGACAAATACTTGATCGACACGATTCGAGCAGCCGAGCAGATCCGTCCCTATCTCCCTTGTTATCGCCCTACACTTGAAATTTACCGACGCACCAATCTGAGTGAGACTGGCCATTCCCAGCCCTGATTTTCACACAAAACCGTTTTCAGTTTTCATAAAAACAAAAGCAACTAGCCTCGACTTCGCCCCATCTGTAATTAGGGAACGAGAAGAGGTGATTCGACTGTCATTCCGAGATGCGAGATGGGTGAGAGTGTCCAATGAACCGATGAAAGCACACATTCCCTTAGAGGAGATACGGACGCGAAGAGAGCACATTCATGGTATCTCTGACTTTTTCTTTGCACCTCAATTATTATTTTACCCAGATTTACTCGACGAAGACGTTGACGAAGTGAAATTGAACGAGTTTGACGAGAGCATCGCTCGGATTCGCGATGAATTGCAGAAGAATCGAGCAGAGTTCACGATTGATTCAGCGGCAATGGACGAAAAGAAATGGTCAGTGAACTGCAGTGAACTGCAGTGAAGCAACCCGAATATGTGTACTTTAGGCTGGAGATGTGTCGAGAAGTCATCCGAGACAAGATACTGCACACGTCGCTCAAAGACTTTCAGAGCGGTCAACTTGACGTGCTCGAGATGCCACTCAACGCCGACCCGGCCCGAGAGATCCCGTCCAGAGCAGAGACGCCAGGTGAGACTCATCAAGTCGCTCAACAAGCTTGAAACTGGAATTCGTTTTCAGAGATGCTTGAGTCGGAGGACGAGGAGGACTAATCCGCAAGTGAGCTGCCGTCGCCGTCACAATTTCCGCCTCATCGACACTCTGCCCGTCGTCGTCGCCGTTGGTCGCATTTCCCGCGGAGCCCTTCGACAAAACGAGACAAATCCTCCTCTTCACCGGGCCGCCGATTTATTTAATATCCCTAATTCCGCCGCGGCTCTTGCCGAGATTCCAATCTCTATACGTTCCCACAATCCTTGCTTCTGTTTGCCTTTTCAGCAAGAAATATTCGAGCGCACACATCTTCTCGGAATCATCTCGAGAACCGGAACTCGGTCGTCTTCTAGACTTTTCTCTTTTTCGAATCAGTAGGTATTGTGCGAGCGAGTTTTGTTGTTTTGGGTTGGGCGCCGCCCAGATGGCGGATGAAAACAGCATCTAAAATAGGGAAAAACATTTTTTTTTGTAAAATGGTCTCCTGAAATAGAGGAAACGTCTCTTCCAGAGAAGAAACAAAAAGTTTCTGCGACCGAATATGTGTCATTCTCAGACTTTTCCGAAGACTTAGTTGAGCTTAGTCAGGATTTATCTCCCCCATCACACACACAAACTTATCATACACCCCCATTCCAGCAGAACCATTTTCTCGAACAGAAATGAGTGAATAAGTGACACTTCCGGTGTCGATCAGAGCGATTCTCTCGTATTCTGAAGATCTCAACGTCTTCGCCAAACCCACGTCATCAGTACTCTGAGACTTCCGGTGAGCAATGCAATGCGAAGAGTTTCTCCGAGCTCTGAGATCTGGAGCATTTCGGCAAAATTCGAAACCACGCGGCAGGACGGCCGCTTCCGGTTACTGGAGTGTTTCGTTTTCCGACCGATTCTTTCTTGCAGACAATCAGTCGGTTTTCTGTTTTCTCACGACTCGCGCACAAGTATTTGAACACTTCTATTTCAGTTTGTTTTTTTGCTAATCTAGAAACCGTTGAGCTATGAATTCAGTGACGTGAACCTTCAAAGTGACAGAAAAAGGAATGAACTTTTCAAACGTTTCAAAACTTCATTAGTCTTGCATGAACTCTGGATCTCCACACCTTCCCCTCGTCTCTCATTTATATGTCAGCAATCGAGAGTCCATTATTTTAGTAATATCTACCGGATAATCCGAGCCTCTTTTCTGTCCCTCTTACAAAGAGAGAGAGAGAGAGAGAGAGAGTGCAAATTCCAAATTCTCGGAGCCACTTTCTTCCGGATTGGTTTTCAGTTTAACACATCGAATTCATTCACCTTTTAATTCGGTTTTATGTTTCAAAAATCAGCCAAATGATATTTATGAGGAAGTTATGCCTTTTGAACTCAAAGTTGTCAACTGCAGACGCTATTAACATCCTCTGAATCTTCAATTCAGAGGCAGCCAAAAATATGCAAAATAACACTATTGAGATTGTGACTCCATAATTTTTCACAACCACAACTTTGCAGGCCTCTAGGACTTGAATTGAAGTATATTGGGCCGAGTTTCAAATCGATCCGGTTATTTTCTCTCGAGATGGGGCTGAAAAGCCCGGTCTCTTTGCAGAAACGAGGACTTTAAACCCCAGAAGGCGTCAAAGTGTGGGTCCAATCCGATTCCCTGGAAAAGCAAAACAATCCGTTCTATCCGAATTCCTCAAGTCACGAGTTTTCGCTCCCCTCCTCCATTCCTCTCACACTCTTAGCCCTCCTAGCCCCATCACAATTTCTCCAACAGTCCCATCAGCTCCGAATCATCATCGACCAGAAGGTCAACTCGTCACATCCGGTCCTCCGTCCACGCAAAAGTGCCATTCCCAAACGTGTATAAATGCCACGGTTTCGCGGCTTCAGGCCAAAAACATACGGACAGACACGGCCAGTCTGCCGCAATTCCACTATCGTTTCGTTCGAATCTTGCTCTTCTCTGGAAGGAATCCCCTTCATCGTGAGCTTTCCAAAAGACGCGCAGATTAAATGCAAAGAAAGATCCTTCTTTCCCCTTCCGCTTCCCATTTATTCTCGAAAGTTCCTCATTTATTAGGACACAGGAAATTGAATGTGGACTTGCCGCAAGTCGCCCAATTTCCGGTCACCTGGTTATTTTCGGAGGGACTTTTTGATCTTTCGCCGGAAGGAAAGAGGTTAACAACAAGACGACGCGGTGGCGGAGGGACCAATATATATTCCACCCTCACATACTACATATCCGGTTGCCCATTCTTGATTTATTCATCCATCTAACGCCGTTTTTCTCATTTTCCACCTAGTGCTCAAGAATCAAAAAGGTCCTTTATAAAAGGCTGATGGCCGGACTAGCGAAAACTGAAACATATCGGATTAGAAGATTTTGTGACGAAAATGGAGAGTAGTGCGTCTTTAATCCTTATTGCGCAGCCAAAGGTCAATCTTATTTTCTCTTGGCATCCAAATCGAATCTGGATAGTGAGAATGAGCTACCTGCCCGCTGAAATACACTTATTTTGTCCAATTTCTTCTCCTTTTTGGGTCAACACATGATTCTGAATGCAGACTGTTCTGGAAAGAGTGGCCGTGTTTGGGTATTCCATGTTTCATGCACCATGTATGACTCTTATCACTTAAATACATATTTCTCCCCGTTTCATTTGTTTTCCGTGGGTGGATGTCCATCTCCCCATCGATAGGATCTGCCGGATTAGCGACAGATTTGTCATTGGCCGAGCCCATCTCTTTCTCTTTCTCTCTTTTTCTTTTCCTTCTCGAAAATTACTCCCCGTCGTCTCGTCATATGATCATCAGCACTTCTCGGAATGATTCTTTTTCATCGACGAGGTCCTTAATCCGAATCGATTCGTGTTCTGGGTGGTGTACTAATATTTGTGTTCTTTCAGAGAATCACTAATTAGTTACACTTGAATGGGAATGTGAAAGTTATTCTTGTGGAACGGAAATGTCGTCTTAAAGTCTATAGAATCTTCTACTTTCTTATTTTCCCCATAGCTCACCTGGATATCGTTTCCGATTTCTTCTTCTTCTTCTTCTTCATCTTCTCCGCCTCATCAGTTCTGCCAAAGATTTATGAAACCAACTTCCTTCGGGGAGAAAATTTATGCGCTCCGCCAACTTGTAATGCTCTTTCCCGGCCCAACAAATAACTGAATTCCATTTCTAATTTATTCATTCTAATAAGATTTCCTGATCAATTGCCTCCGTTGCCTGCTCATACCTACACTTTGCTCCGCCGAGCTTCGTCCATTTTCTGTTATTTTCCGCCCGTCTTCTTCTCCTTCTTTTCATGGATATAAGTGAAGGATTAGCGGCGATAGGATGTGATTATATTATGTTGTGCTACACCGCACAATAACAGAACGACTATTTCGTTCTCTCCTTTTCGTTCAATATGAATCACCAACTATTGCATCTTCCATATTTTACAGGTTCCATGAGCATTGAGGACGGAGATGATCCGTCCTGCTACATGGTCCAGGAGACGACGTTCGATTACGAGTACGACGAGACGTTCAACTGGGAGAATGTGACGGCATCGCAGTGCAACTGCACTCACCCACTCTTCAGGTATCTAGAGGTGAGACACCCCCAACTGGGACACACCATCTTTCACAGTTTATTGTAGGTATGCATCTCTCGATGCGGCGATGACACCGTCTTCTTCAAAATGACCGACGAGGAACTGTTCGAAATCGCTCTGCCCGGCTTCCTTTATCTCACCGTTTTTCTAGTTGGAACAATAGGAAACTCTATGGTACCTATCTTATTCTATTCTCACTTCACCTATTCCTATTCTTCATCCCTTAGGTTATCTTCGTGGTGAACCGATTCAAACGAATGCGCAACGTGACCAACGTCTTTCTGGCTTCGCTGAGTACCGCCGACTTGTGCCTTATCTGGTTCTGTGTGCCTATAATGTTCATGAAGTACATGTCGCATACTTGGTCGATGGGAAGGTTCGCCTGCTACTCCGTTCATTACATCCAACAGTTCACGTGTTTCTGCTCGGTTCTCACAATGACTATGATCAGTTTCGAGAGGTAAGTGTGTATTTGAACGTTGCCGCTAACACGGGACATTTAGATTTCTGGCAATAGCGTATCCGATGCGCAACATTTGGTTTTCTTCGATCGGAAGGGCTAAAAAGGTCATCTTGCTCATCTGGCTCTTGTCGGCAATGTTGGCGGTGCCGACGGCAGTTCGGATGGACTACGAGTCGAACCTTTCGTTGAACGGACAGAGAGTTAATTGGTGCAGAAGAAGGTTCCCGACTCAGTTCATGGGATATCCTAGACCGACTCTGAATAAGGCTTATGCAATGTACCAGGTACTAGACCGACTCGTCTCGTTCCCTAATCCCTCCGGCTTCCAGCTGCTTCTCCTCATCATTTTCCCCGTGCTCACCATGTCCATCTGTTATGCCCGGGTGTCTGCGATCGTGTACAAGTCCTCGAAAGACCGCGTCATCCTCTCGCAGGCTATGTGAGACTCACTTATTCATCGCATCTCACCTAATCTTTGGTTTTCTCAGGGTCGCGTTCTCGAAGGCAGCCACGGATGCGGTCACCTTTTCCGGTTATTCCGCCATTCCGATGATAACCACTTCGAGAAATCTGAAGACGGCCAACACAACCATCAACTCGTACAGCAAACATCGGAACAATCGAGTTGCCGAGGCCAATAAGAAACAGGTAGAGGCTCTGGAATCTGCGAGTGCCTCATAGAGATCTTCCTTCAGATTGTGCAAATGCTCATCTCGATCGTGTGCATGTACACCGTCTGCTGGCTTCCAACGATCGTCGACGAGTTGCTCACCTCGTTCGGCTACATCTGCCGCACCTCGAATACACACACTCTAAAACACATGCGAATGGGATTCAATGCGCTGACCTACTGTCAATCTTGCATCAACCCCATCTTGTACGCATTCATCTCGCAGAACTTCCGGTCCACATTCAAAACGGCGTATTCGAGAATGAAGCATCGTCTGCAGGTGAGTCACTTCCTTCTTTTCTTACCTAGGGCATTGAATTGAAATCAGATCCTTTCAGGAATCATTAGTCATGCATTGAAAACAAACAATTACGGTATGAGAGAGAGAGAGAGTGTGCATGGGTTTGGCCCGTCACGGGTGTGAATTTCAGTTCCATCGAATCAATTCTCTCCGGAATTCGAATTCCAACATTTTTCAGGGAGTCGAGGAAATGCGCTCACGGATGGGCTCCTGCTCGTCGGCCAGCATGATGTCCACCCGCAACCAACATCGCATCTACGGCTCCAGCTTCAACACTTTGACAGTGCCGGGCCGCTCGATGATCACTCCGAACATGTCCCGCGACGTCTCGCAACTCTCGCTCTGCCGACCCACTTCGCAGATGTCTTTTTGCCGTCCGAAGAGTCCGATGGCGGCCGATTCTCCGTCCACGTTCATGCGGTACCTCTAGATCGTCGTTTCTTCCATCGTATTCTGATTTTAGACACCGTCCTCGTTCTCCAACGGACGTTTCTCATGACTCTGGCCGTCCCAGAAGCCCGACTGATCTATCGCAATCTACAAAACCGTCCAGAAGGTCTTCGTCTATCAGGTTTTTCTATTGCACTGGAAAGTGACGTGGTTCATGAATGCACGTTTTAAGGCCCCGAAGTCCGACATCCACGTCTCAAATGTCAACAATAGTGCGTTCGCGAAGCCCGACAGCGGCTTCTGATACTTCTTCGCTTTTCCCCTCGAGGTAATCAGTTCTCTCTATCCACTCGCTCCTTACTCCGATCTTTTCCAGAACGCGCAGTCCGACTCTCCAGTCGAACACTTCCGGGCAGTCCGTCGAGCGAACCGTTGACCGTCTGAGTGTTCGTGACGCCGTCCGACCGAAAACTCCACCGGCTGTCGCCGTTTAGCTTCCGTTTTTCCATTTTCCATTTCCAATTCTCATTTTCTATTTTTATCCCCGTTTCTTCAAAGCCCACCTATGCAAAACAAGCATTTTTCTGAAAAAATAATTTAATTTCGCTCTATTTTTCATCCGATAAATGTATGTCATTTCTGCAATGTCCGATCCGTTGTAAATAAATAAAAGAACGAAATCCAATAAAATCAAGTCAAACAATTATTTTTTTTGCTGCTGCCGCTTTCGCACTTGTCGATGGGAATGAAGGCTTGTGACAGACGGACGGTACCCCCGAGACAAAGGGCGAGAGAGTGCGCGAACGGTAGAGACGCATACACTCAGAGTGATTCAGACCCCGCCGCTCGAGCTTCTTCTTACAATTCTTCTGTTAGCGCCCTTTTTCGAACTTGTCCGGCTGTTTCCCTCTCGCGGTTGCCACCATTTTAATCTTTGCTGCTTTCTCACTTTTCGGTTCGTTTCGTGATCACATTCTGTCAGACCGTCCAGTCGTTATCTTTTTTATCTCTGGTAGGAAAAAGTGCCGTTTTACGATTTCTGTAACTTTTTCTCTTTTCCCTATCTATCTCCCCGAGAGACCCAAGCGATCAAAATGTGACACACTGTCTCTGGCGCGAATCGAAACCTAAAACTGTGAAAAAAGTGGAGAAGATCTTTGGTTTTAGAATCTCACCCATGGACTTTGGCCACTTTTTGAAGCAGATCAACGAAGAAGCCGATCCCGGAGAGCTGGCCGACGAGAGCAGTTCTTCCGATGATCCGGGCGATGAGGAGGACGTGACTGACGTGAGTTCAACTGCTTTCACGTGCTGCCACGCGTCACCAGCTCATTCTTTTGACACATTTTTAAAGTTGAAAAGATAACAGTTTGATGCAGCGGTCGCCCTTTTAGGTCTTCGAAGTATTAACTAACGCATGACTCCTGCGAAGAAGACCTTATCAGTCTGACTCTACCGTAATAAAATTGGGAGAAATCGGCAACATTTACAACCAGCACTTTACTTTTCTTTACTTTAGTCTCCATTCTCTTACCAGTTGAAGTTTGATGGGTGCGCGCGTTGCCCGTAAAATGGTCCATCTCGTCGGCCACAAGTGTTTATATCAGCAGTCAGAGATGCGGTTTCGTCCCCCGCTCCCGTCGCTCTTCCCGCCCACTCCTGCGTGCCTTCTTCAGTCCGCGATTCCTCTCTGTGCGCCCTTCACACCGTCTTATCAGTGACAAAGTTAGTGTTCTTTTCCTTCTCGGGCATCCCCCGAGAGATGATCCATATGCGTCACGCGGTCGCGAACTGTTCGAAAGGGGTTTCCCCGCCTGATCGAGACGTTTTTTACAGTTCGTCTTTCATCTAATCAGTTGATTGTGTCTGCGCAACAAGATCGTGTGATAATAACTAGTAATTGAAAGATTAAGTCAGTTTTCTGAAGGCTGCAATGTGGCGAGAAGAAATGTGTTATTCTCGCTGACTTTTCGTTCTTGTCTGCAAAATTGCCGATTTTCGCCAATCTCTTGAGAAATCCTGCAGTTGTTTCTTTTCTTTGCAAGAGCTTTCCTTTTGCCGCACAATGGAGGCTACCCCGTATCCGAACTGTGCCGAATCAGATCTGTTCGAATCAGAACTGTCCCCGGTTAGAACCGGTCAAAGCATGACTTCATGTAACAAGAACCACCTGCCGATCGGTTCTGATCCGGGACAGTTCTGATTCGAACAGTTCTGATTCGACACAGTATTGATTCAAGGTAGCTTCCGCACAAGGGTTACTGTAGAATTCAAAGGCGCATGCATGTTCTCGTAGTTGGTCTTACCACGAAAGACTTGTCAAGTCTGAGACCTCACCTCGCTTTTCTGTTTTTCCTCTCATAATCCACTTCATAAATTGTGAAATTTCAGCCGCTGGATACATTCTGTCACTGCAAATCGCCCAACAACAATGATGCTCGTAAAATTTTATATTGCTCCGTCGGAACCGCTAAAAGTCGAGCAAACTCCGTTCGGAACCAATGATGCAAAAATGTTCTTTTGCGAGAAGCCATATGTACGCAAATAAAAAAGTATGCGGCGATTCGAGGCAAGGCGCATGAACCTTGTGTCGTTGACCCGAGAGGCTATCTGTTTCGAAAGGTCATTTCAATCATTCAAAAATAACTGTGCGACCTCTCAGTCATATCAGCGATATGCTTGCAAGGCGCCAACCGCAGACTATTCGGTTGATGGTGTCTGTCTCCGTTTCCTCATTTCTTTGTTTTTCGAAGCCATATTTCATCCCAAAGGGCCATGCTCTTCATGGCAGGCCGGTGTGGCGCGCACACAGCACTGACGGAAAAACTATGATCATTAGAATTGGTGAGGAAAAAGAGAAGGCGAGAGAGTGTGAAGGACAAGGGAACGCAGCGCCGGAGAGACAGACGAACGCGAGCCCTCTCTGCGCCCTCCGAAGCCTTCTCGGCCCTTCTATTGGCGTCACTCTTCTCTGTTAGCACACGTGTCCCTTTTCCTCCCTTTTGTAATTTCCGCTTTAGATTTCTCACAGCCTTTATCTTTCTTTTGTCCTCGCCGCCGATTTCGAAACCGTTGGCATCGCTTGTGATCACAAAAGCACACAAAAGGTGATGCCATTTTTAGAATATGCGCACAGTTTTGTATGCAAATTTGTATGAGAGTGTTTTGTATATAAATCCTCTGTCTTAACTCTACGGTCCTTCTTCGTGGCGCCTCAAGACGACCTACCGTCTGCAAGAATCGCTTCGCTCCCTCTCTTTTCTCGCCACGTGGCCATGACGCAAATTCAGCAGTCGGCTCTCCTGCCGTAATTGTTACAAAGCAGAAGTTCAAATACCCGACTCCTCCCCCGTATCGTTTCTTTCCTAATCCTCCTCCCACCGGTATAAATGCCCGTCTACTGATTGCTCTCCCCTTTCTTTCTTCCTCGAAATAGCACATTGACTGCCCCCCTGAATCAATTGAGTCTTCATTGCAGAAGCTGCCTACAACTACGCAAATAACTGTGAAGATGTCGATGGTAGTGCCAGAGAAGGGCTGCATCTTCGACGCGCTGCGAGTCGATTCGAACGATCCGAATGATTCTCTTCGCGACGAGTCGTTGATTACTCCCAAGATCGACGAAAAGAACTGTATGCTCATCTGCTCATAAACTCTGTCAACAGTTGTATTTTTCAGTGGAATACATCGGAGAAGTTCTCGAGAGAAAGAAGTCGGTAGTTCCGTTTCTGACTCAAACCATCAATCAACTAGCGCTTGTCCGCAACGAGAAAATGGAACGGGCGGCTGACCTGATCTGCACTCTCTTCCGCCTTCCGCACGGATCCACCGACTGCTCATTCTTCCGTCTGATCAAGGTTCTCAAGTCGTTCGGAATATGGGAGAACGATCCGCGTCTCAAGCAAATGTTCGATCGAATGAAGAAGCACGACGAAGAGAACGAGGACTCGCGCCAGTGGGCCATGTCGCAGGAGAAGTTTAAGGAGTTTGTAGCTCGTTCTTTGCTCAGACAAACAGTTTTCCTTTTGCAGAATAATCTTCCCGTGTACCATTCTCATCTCCCGCACTCTTCGCAATCAACTGATCATCCCTTCGTGGCTGGAGTTCACCCAAATCATCGAGGAAGTGTTCGAATCGTGTCGCTCGATTAACGACGGTGAGGTCGCCTCCTACATTCCTCAACTTGCCCGTCAGAGCCCGCACACTTGGGGAATGTCGATTTGCACAATCGACGGACAACGCTTTTCGCTCGGTGACTCCAAGAAGAACTTCTGTCTTCAAAGCGTCTCCAAAGCGTTCAACTACGCCATCGTCGCCTCGGAAATAGGAAGTCACGTGCTTCACCAGTACGTGGGTCACGAGCCAAGCGGAAGGCTGTTCAACGAGATCTGTCTCGATTCGAATAGTGAGTTTGCTCGATCACAGTGAAATGATTCTGATGTTTCTGTTCAGACATGCCTCACAATCCACTCATCAATGCTGGCGCGATCGTTGTCACATCGATGATCAAGCCAACGCATTCGATGGCCGACCGCTTTGACTTCATGCTCAAGAAGTACCGTAAACTTGCCGGAGGTGGACACGTCGGCTTCGACAATGCCACGTGAGATTCTTAACGGAAGAAAATAACGAACGAACAAAATTATACAGGTTCCTCTCGGAACGCGACACAGCCGATCGAAACTACGCTCTCTCGTACTACATGAAAGAATATCGTTGTTTCCCCGACGAATCGCAGGTCTATGAAAAGGCAAAGGTTTTTCTTTTCAGACCCGATCTAGCTTTGAAACACCTCTTGGTTGTCTCAATGTTACAGTAATCCAAATTGTGATCGTCTACCGATTCTCTCATCCTTCCACTCTTATTCGTTTCCCTCAGTGTCTAGTTTTGACTAACCAGTGTCTTCACCCGCACACAGATACCCGCCAACCCCTCCTAACGTTCGAACATTTTGACAGGGTCTCCGCGAGGAACTCGACCTCTACTTCCAACTGTGCTCACTGGAGACCAACTGCGACACGGCTGCAGTCATGGCGGCCACGCTTGCCAACGGTGGAATCTGTCCGCTGACGACGGAGAAGTGTCTCGGTTCCCGTCCATGCCGTGACATCCTTTCGCTCATGTACTCGTGCGGAATGTACGACTACTCTGGAAAATTTGCGTTCCAGGTAACTCGAATGATTTCAGGCAGCTAACTGAAATTGTTGTTTCTAGGTGGGACTCCCAGCCAAGTCAGGAGTGTCCGGAATCATGATCGTGGTCATTCCAAACGTGATGGGAATCGCCCTCTACTCTCCGCCACTCGATAAGACCGGAAACTCGTGCCGTGGAGTCGCCTTCTGTCGCCAGCTGATTGACAAGTTCAACTTCCACAACTACGACTCGCTGCTCCATCCAGATGACTCTCGCAAGCTCGATCCTCGTCGAAAAATTGGACCGCGCGAGAACGAGACCATTGTTCAAGTGATGTATGCTGCCAAAAACGGCGATTTGGACTCGCTTCGCCGAATGTTCATGCAGGGAGCCGACTTGAAATCAGCCGATTACGACACTCGTACGGCTCTCCACGTGGCCGCCGCCGAGGGTAAAATCAAGGTGTGCAAATTCCTGATCAACATTGTCGGAATTCCACACGAGACGAAGGACAGGTACTTGTTCTTTCAAACAGTGCCAGCTCACGATCGTTTCAGATGGGGACGGTACCCACTGGACGATGCTCGTCAATTCAAGCACAAGGAAGTGGCTGCCTATCTCTTCCGTCTCCAGTATCCAACGAAGAAGATGCCCGATAACTGGTTCGAAGTCGGCGGTGATCTGCTCGTTTCTGAGCTGGAGAACTGTGCGGACAAGTATGAATTGGGGCTTGGGAGAGAGGGTTGCTCGTCGTCAGAGCCAAACATGGCGATTGATTTCAGCTCTAGTGTCGACGACAACGAAGAGGAGGATTCGGGAGAAGACGAGCTGGGTCACGGTATAACCGGAATGCTGACCGACGACCTCGAGAGGCGAGAATGGGCTCTGCACGCGAACGGAAACATGGGTGAGTGGGGCGACTTGCAGATTAACCAAGGACAACTGGCTTTTCAGGTGAAATCAACTATCAGCTGGTGCGGAGAAAGTCGCAGAAGGCGCCTCCCACCCCGGAGTTGCCGCCGCCCTCGTTCGGATATGGTGCTCTGCCAGGCTCGAAGAGCCATGAAAAGAAGGCGAACGGCCAACCGAACGGCCACTCGAATGGACCTTCGCATGGACCTTCGCACGGACACCCGCAGGGACACCCGCACGGACACCCGCACGGAAACGGACATCATCCAACTGGAGCAGGGCACATCTTCCCGCATCATCTGACGCTGAATGGAGCCGCCGGAGGAGTCAACTCGCGTCGACTAAGCTCGCCGAACGAGCAGGACGAAGATAATGTACGTAGGACGCATTCGCATCAGGATTTACTCAAAAATCTAGATATTGAGGCCTGAGGAGTTTTCTTTTTCATATTCTACGAGTAGGCAAATCTACCTCGTTTTCTACAACGAGGTAGATTTACATGATCTTACAAGCAGAACAATCCTATCAAGTTTATTCATGTTTCCAAGCTGAATCTCAAGAGTTCGTAGTTAGTTTTCACATCTTTCTCCCTTTTAGGAGATTGTCGTGGTTCTAGTAAACCGGACGAGAGAGATGTTAGAGAAAGCAAGGTCAGTAACTAACGTATCCCATATCCTACTGATACCAGCTAGTTCTCAATCAATTCCTCGGCACCCCACTAAACAATCTAATTAGTACTTATTTATTACCGTCCGCGTTAATCCGATCGCAAACAAACCAACACAGTTGTTTTTCAAATTTCAGAGGGAATGATCAACACCCAAAAATCGAGAGTGTCTAAATATCTGATATCATGATGATGATAATACCACTGTTTTACCGACAACCCACCCACATTTCGCGATTTCGTTTTAATCATTCAACGTTCCAATCTTTTTTCTTGTTACAATAGTAGAACAGTGCATCCTGTAGATACCAAACCGGTTTCGCATAATGTTAGTTGTCTTTATATGTTACCAAATGCTTTGTGCTTTTGTGGATGCATGAAAAGCATACGGTATTCGGAAACAATAACCGGGAAGTGCCTGTCAAAATCGTCAAAAATTTAGTTGTTGTTGATGTCTTCTTCATATCGCATGTTCTCGAACACGGAAATAAAGTTTTTTTTTTCAATAGTTCCTTTTATCGTAATGTTGCTTCATGATCGACTCGTCACGATCAGAATTCATGTTGCTTTTCAGGGATACATAAAAGTTCACTATTTCTCGACCATGTTGTGGTTTCCGGGATGGGCCTGCTTCTTCTGCTTCGGGGTCTGAGCAACTCTGAAATCAGAAGATTAATTCATAAGATTCAGATTTTCCAGATTTTCAGACTTGTTTGCCGCCGCTTTTTTCCGATTAATCTTCGATTTGGACGAGCTCGACGCGTTGTTCCGGGGAGTCGGCGCCGTTGTCGTCATCGAAATCGCTGGCATCATGACCGAACGAACGCAGTCAGCCGGAGCACGGGTCACACGTTCCGACTTCTGAAAAAATCTTTCTTAGAATAAATGAACCCAACAGAAGCGTTCCTCAATGGCGGAGGTCATGACGTGGGCGGCGGCGGCGTTGTGCATCTCGCTGATGATCGGCTCGATGAAGCGGACGACGTCGTCCATCGCGATGCGTCTCTTCGGGTCCACCACGTAGATCTTCTCGTGAATAAACAAACGCAACTTCTCCGGACACGACTCGGGCATCACCAGATGTCGCCCGTGCACCACGTTCCTCTTCGCTTCCGTGTTCGAGATGCCGTCCCACGGCTCTTCGCCTTCGTTGAAGATCTCAAAACACATGACTCCGTAACTGTAGACGTCGGTTTTGTGAGTGAAAAAGAGCGTTGTGATGGTCTCCGGAGCGAGCCATTTGATCGGAAGCTTCTGCGAACTGCACAACTTGTACTCCTGCGCGATAAGCGAGAGCCCAAAGTCCGAGAGTTTCACGATTTTGTCGATCGAATAGAGGCAGTTTCTCGCGGCGATATCACGGTGAATACAACGGTGAGCATGCAGATACTGTAGCCCTAAAGCTGCTCCGAGACACATATTCATCAGTTCCAGCTTCGATACGTCTTTGTTCTTCTGGAGGTACGTGTTGAGAGCACCTCCGTTGACGAGCTCCAGCAGAATGTAAAGAGGCTGCTCGACGACAGCAACTCCGTAGAAACGGACGACGTTGCGGTGCTTGAAGTTCCTCATGAGCCGTGCCTCCCTCATCATCTCACGGATCTTTATCTTGTTCATATCTCCCGAGCCCTTCATCAGCTTCACCGCCACGTTGTACTGCTTTTCTTTTCTCTGGAGCACTCCCTTCCGCACCTCTCCGTACGCTCCCTCTCCGAGTTTGTCCCCGAGCTTCACCGCCGAGTGCTTGCTCTCCCACGGCTGCAGTTCGATCGGCGTTTTCAGAATGCGATTCTCCTTCGTTTCCAACGTATTCGAGACGTGGTAATTGGCGAGAAGAGCGTCGATAGTGGCGAATTGAGTGCCCGCTTTGATGCCGAACATTCCGTCGTAACGGCGGATGACCATGTTGCGCAGTTTCAGGTCTCCCGGATTGTTCTCCGACTTGGTGTCCTTCTGATTGTGCTCCGATTCGGTGGCGCCGCGATCAGAGCTCATCAGAGAAAGGATGATGTCTCTTTTGATGGACGTCTGGCCGTCTTTCTTAGGCTTCTGTAATCAGATGGGATAAGATGATCAACATATCTGGCTTGAACAGACCGAGGCGACCTCGCTGACACGAATCAAGTAGTCTCCCTCGTTGGAAAGCATCGTTTGGAGGTCTTCACGTGGCAGGAACCCGTGGTAGAACGGCATCTTTTGAAGGCTTTTGTAGAGCGCTTCGTCCTCGACGACGTCCTTTTCGATGTAGGTGGACTTGTTCGCCGTCGGATCCTCCTTCCGGTCGCTTCCTTTGTCGTCCCCAACTGCAGCCATCTCCGGTTTCGCCTGAATTTCCCCATTTGCCTTCCGGATCTAAAAGCGGGAATTCTCACTTCCACCGTTTCGTTACTCGATCGTTTTTTGTTGTTACCGTCGTTATTGTTGCCTGTTTCGCTCATTGTTTCCGCGGCCAAAAATTGACGATTTTGATAAGTTTGAGAATAAACTGAACGGACGGTCCATCGGAGATTACACACTTCACGCTTTGTTCTCAGTTCAGTTCACGAAAAAGTGAAAAATGTTATTGTAAATTTATTTTGCAAATTTTCATAGAAATGTTTGTAAAAATCTGTGTGGGAAGTTGACAAGCGAAAGAATAATAATAACAAAAAGAAGGGACCAGTAGAAGTTTTGAAGGGAAGGGGGATAAAAAAGGGAAAGACACTATACAATCGACATGAGCAGAGGCACGGAACAGAAGGGAAAACGAAGGGGAATAAAAGCAGGAGATACCCAATGGAGCGGTTACATCACGACGCACCGAAGATTGAGAAGGGGAAGAAGGAGAGAGTACGGTAGAAGCCACGTTACAAAGAGAGAGAGAGAGAGTGGCAACTACCGTAATCGGGACAAAGGTCTAGTACTTGGTGGCGTACTTATTGTTTGAGCCAGAATTCTGTCGATGACGTCCTCCTAACGTGTAATACCCAGTTGGATCATTTGGATAGGAGACGTATGGAGTGGTGGAGGGAGGTCGCGATTGGACTGGAGGCTGTGGAGGCACTTCCTCGTGCTGTTGGACCGATGGCTTCGACCCGACCTGAACATCATAACTGCTTTTTGCAGAAAAGATTCGTCCGATTCACCTTCGAATACCACTCTGCGTAGGTGGTCTCGCCTACTCCTCCCGGCGGTCCTTCCACGTTGGCATTCGGGTCAGCAGAAGCTGACGTCACCTTCGTCGAAGCTACCGTCGTCTGTGAGTAGTATCGTTGTGGCTGATGGTAAATGGCATTGTCGAATCCTCCTTTCTCTCCCACTGAAACATTATTATATTGGTATCGGTTTTGTTCAGCACAAACGATAACTTACACACTCTGCTGGCGTACGACATGTGAGCATCGGCGACTGGGTAAGCGGACTGAAAAAAATACTTGTCTTCTAGAAGAACTGAGAGAAAACTCACATAAGTGCTGCTTCTTCTGCACTTGGTACAACACATGAAGCAAATGCACAAAACGACGATGAGCGAGAGGACCGAGCAGACGGCGATGATGATGATGTTGCGCCACATGGCCCAGTTGTTGAAGATGTCCTCTTCGGACGAAACGGTCGAAGTGTCGACTTCTGTGACTCGCACAGTGGACGGCTCAATGGCGAATGCTCCGATCGGTCCGCGGACGGCGTTCTCTTCGACCATGGACTTGAGCTCCATCGGCTTTGCAGACTCATCAACAGCCACCACTTCAAACTCGGCAATGACGGATCCCTTTTCGTAGCCGATGATCTTGGAAACACGCATTCCCTTCCATCTCTTGGCCAGAAGTTCGTCGATCGATTCTGTGACTTCCTTCGTGAACTCTTGATAGTATCCAGTCTTCGGGTCGTTGAGGGCCTCGTCGAAATCGCGGTTGAGGATTCTGACACGCAGTCCGTAACGCCGTTTGACGCCTTCCGGCTCGTACACAGTGTACGGCTTCTTCGTGTGCATCGGCGGCATGAGAACCTTTCCTCCGGTCGTCGAGACAACAGTGTTTCTGGCTGTGGTGCCAGTTGTCGGAGCGGATGTCGTGGTAGTCGTTGTGGACGTCTCAGCTTCAGTCTCAGCTTCGGTCTCAGCTTCGGTCTCCGCGGCGACGGTTGTAGTGGTCGACTCGGCGGTCTTCTGCTCAGTGCACTTGTTCAGACAGATCTTGGACTTGCTTCTTAGCGGAGTGGCCTCGTGCTTTCTGATCTCTCCGTTCTTCTCAATGACTCCTCCGAATGGAGAGTACAAGAGGAAGACACATTCCTGAAGATCCACGTCGAATTCATCCTCACTGTGAAGTTCGCGAGAGAAGTTGGCAGTCAAGTATCCGTTGACGTAAGTGGTCTCCACATCGAAGATGTCCTGCTGCTCATCAACTACCGGTCTTCCGTAGTTGGGCATGAATTGGTCAGTCACCATCACTGCGTTGTTCTGGATTCCGATGACAACAGCATCGGCGGCAGCCATGTTTCCGTCAGTGGAGAAGCCGAGGGCAGTCCATTGGCTTGTGGCGAGCGCGCCGTGGATGGAGAAACGAGCGACGCTTCCGTCACTGATCCAGGAGATGGTGTAGATGCATTCGGATCCGACGCATCCTTCTGGGTGGTTGATGCTTCCCTCGCAAGTGTCCATATCTAAGTGCATTCCATGAACAGTCGGTGCCTGTGGACGGACGTTTTCCTCGAAGAAGTTGATGGTCATCACTCCTCTTGCGTTCTTTCCGTGGTATTTCATTGCGTTCGCGAAGAACTCCGGAGCAGCCTGAATAGGAGCGCCGCCAGTCGTGTGAACGTAGTTCAGCGGGTCGGCTCCCTTCGCCCAGATCACAGTCATCGGACCTTGAACAAAAGAGCTGTCCCATTTTTCTTCGGCTTGAAGCTTCTTTCGGAAGATCACAGTGGTGACTCCGTCCTCCTGGAAAGCAGCGGCCGAAGTGAGCGAGTTCTGTCCTCCGAAGAAAGTGTCCTCCATTGGAGTGGCCTTTGACGGAGAGTACATATCCATGATGCGAGCACGACCATTCGAGACCATTCCGACGACCATGTCAGTGCAATGCATCGCACTTGTGGCAACACGGTTGGCGGCTCTGCGGACTCTTCTCGAGATTGGCGCCTTCGATTCGTGGGAGACAGTGACTCCTTTCTCATCGCACAAACAGATCTTCGTGGCGGAGACTTGCGGTTGCACTTGGTCGTGGTATCCGATTGGCGTCTTCGGGTTTGTGAAGTCAGAACTCTTGCGAGCCAGAACACGGCCTCCTCCGATTGGGAAAAGAAAGTAGTGGCACTCATCGAGAGATACATCCGTCTTGGTGTCCTTGGAGACGAGCTTTCTCCGGAACATGATCGTCTGCATGTCCTCCTCAACTTTTCCTCCGAGGTCGTAAATGTCCTGTCTGTCAGCTGGATCAATGGCTGGAAGTTGTCTTCCGTAGGCGAACCGATCGACGATGTAAGCCTTTCCGTCGAAGAACCATCCGGTGTACATATCAGCGTTCGTCATCTGTCCGTCGCGAGAGAATCCGATTCCGGTCCACCGTCCTGGAGTCTTGGCGGTTATCTCGAAGCGGACGTCCTTCTTGGCAGAGTCGTAGTTCCACTTGGCGATGTAATCACACTCGTCTCCGTTGCATCCTTCTGGGAAACGGTACTCATTGATACAGACGTTCTTGGATGCAGAAGAAGACGATGCTGAGGTCGGGAGGCGGTCTTCGGTGAATTCTTTCCAGCAGTGCAACTTCTGATGCACACCGATTTGTCCGACGAGAGAGGAGTGCTCAAATGGATCGAAACGTTTCCGTACTGATCCAACTTTCCTCCGGCAATTGGGTACAACATCTCCAGCAGGAGTCTCCATCGAATTGCTTGTCCGTGGCATCTCCCGTGTTGACCTTTCTGACGAATTGAGCTCTCAAGACTCCGTTGGCGTGCGTTCCGATGACTTCAGTGCTCGACTTTACATTCTGCTCAGCATCCATCGCTGGCTGATCGTATCCTTTGCTCTGCATGTCGTTCAACTGGATCTTTCCGTTTTTGGTGGTCACAATAATCATATCGGCATCGACCATAGTTCCGTCCTTGCTGAATCCAACTCCAGTCCACGAGTTATCAGAGAGACGAGTCTCCAGGGAGAATTCGATTTCATCGGCTTCCTCGACATAGTTCCACGAGAGTTTGTACTCACAATCAGAGCACCCAGCTGGGTAACGGAAATCTCCGTAGCAGACGTCCCCATTAACACTTGGTGGAGCAGTTTGAGTTGGGACAGGAGTCGTTGGGACAGTCGATCCGACAGTGGTGGCTGGCGCAGCTGAAAAAAGAACAGTTGTGATTGCAGTAATAGCTAGTGAAAACGAACCGTCAGTCGGGCAGTCTCCCCAGTACACGCATTGCCCTTGTGGATTACGGGCGTATCCCTGAAGACAGGCGCAAGCGGCCGATCCGCAGTCGCTGCACTCGGCCCTCGTGAAGATGGAAACACAGTCGGCTTCGCAAACTCTTCCGCATTCATTGAGAGTTTCATTAAGACTGCACTCCGTGACAATCGCCTTCTGAGTGGTCGTCTTCGTTTTAGGTACTTCTGAAGCCTGCGTGATCTCGTTTCTGTCGATCGTGCTCTGCGTGGTCTCAACAGCCGCACGGGTCGTAGTCTTTTCTTCCTTCAACTCTGGACAGTCTCCCCAGTAAATGCACTGTCCGTTGTGACGAACGTAGTTGTCAGCACACGTACATCCCGGCTTCTCACAGCTAGCCGGACATGGGGAAGTGTCGTACATGTTGGCACAGGTCGGCTCGCAAGCGGTTCCGCACTTGGCCCACGTCGAGTTCGAAGCACAGCTCTCCTCGTTTGCGACAGTCTTGTCGCAGAAATCGAACGGAACACAGACGTCCTCGTCGTTGGCCATACGGACGAATCCTTCCTTGCAAATGCATCTAGCCTGTCCGCAACTGTTTGGGCAGTTCGGCGTCGTCTCCGGGAAGTGGGTCCAATCGCAAGAGTGCTCGCATTCTCTCGAGCTCTCAGGACACTCGGAAAATTGTTCGTTTGGTCCGCACTCGTGGTCTCCGGAGTCATTCTGTTCCTGAGAAGTGGCATTGGTAATGATAGAGGAGATGGTTGAGGAAGACGGAGAAAAAGAAGAGGAGGAAGAGGCGATGTTTCTGTTCCGGAAGTCGGCCGCAGTGATTTCGCACGTGGCATCTGGACTTTTCCATCCGAGAGCAACCCAAGATTGTCCCGGGTAACGGAGCACGAACTCAATCTCGTCCTTGAGCAGACGCCAGTAAATCTGGTTTCCTTGGTCCTCGCGCTTCTGGTAGAGGCTATCGTCGAAATCAGAAACGCTGCGGATACTGTCGGACTCTGAAAAAACACGCAACATTATTCAACTACTTCCAGCACTGATGCTTACCAAGTTCGCAGTTCTTTCCATATCTGCTGGTCGGACAAAGCACTGTCTTCTCGGTACATCCCGTCCCAATCTACAGTATCCCTGTACTCCGCAGTCGTCGTCTTCTTTGCATTCATCCTGGAACTGACACTCGTCGCCGAAGAATCCCTCGAAGCAGTGGCACACTCCATTCATCCGGTTTCCGTTTCCAACGCACGTGTCTCCGTCGGGGATCTCATTTACGATGTTGATGTCGGCGCACGAGAAGAAGAAGTACGAGTTACCGTACTCCGTCGCCTGCGTCGTCATCCGAATGGCACAGTCTTTGCATTCAAAGTTGGCGGCAGTTCTACTTTCTTCGACGTCTCGGTGACGTTGAACGGATCGTTGAAGTTGGTGAAGATGGCGATGGGCTCATCGGACGAGTTGAGAACTTCCAACCGGATACCTCCCTGAATTTCACTCAATTCAATCATCTTCAGACAGTTTCTCCTGTTCCCATTCCTTCATTTTTTGCCGGCTACGCTGATGTTTTGTAACTGTCTCTGTTTTCAAAATCTAGGTCATCACGAGAAGACGGCGGCGAGTGGCGCGCGAATTTTTCATCAATCACCTGCAGTCAGCGGCACAATCTCTTAACCTAGTTCATACGGAAATACGGGATGGTTGTGACAGTTACAATGTCGAAAAGAAGTGGAAAGTTAATTGATTGAAGGGCGGAGAAAGGGCAGTAGTCTGGAGAAATCTTTGAAAGGTTCAAGAATCATGAGCATAAACTGGAACTGAAACATCAAAAGTTGTGGTCTCTGATTCCATTTCATTCCGCATCCGGTCATATCTCATTCACGACGCTCAATCCATCATCGGAATCCTGTTATTCTACTCGTCTCGTTCTTCAATGAAACGGTCAAAACAGTCATTTTTGTCTCGTTCTTCTGCCGCCCTTCCGATCGCTCACTCATCCAATATAAAGTGTATGACATAATGCATTCGACCCGAATTGGTCTCTCACAATCAGTCGCTCTCTCCCGGTCACCAATTAGTGTCGGCCGCTCTGACAGTACTACTCTTTGCGCTGTCTGTCTTCTGGATGGCATTGACCTGATCATAAACTATAGATATCAGACACCGATTGGAAGACGGACTGCCAACCGGGAATGACGGCTCTCGGCGCCTATCTGATTCCGGTTACTGTACTCACCATATGAGGTACGGCCACGAACCAGTTCATCTCGATCGTGGAGCCAGACTTAAAGAACGTGCGGACGCCGTCCCCGAGCGCTGGTTTCTTGACTCCACATGGTGGTTGACTGGTCGAGGAGCTGTAGAAGTCGAGAGCCGGAGCTCGTGCCGGCGGGTAGACAAGTTTGATGTGGGCCGAAGCGAGGGCGGCCAGAAGCAGTGCAAGCACTGCTCGTATCAACATCCTGCAAATCGGAGAAACTAGAAGAATACTCGAGAGAAGAGTCTTATACTTGGAGATGAATTCAAAAAAGAGTTTCAAGGTGAGGAGGTAAAAGTAAACATTGAAACATTCGTGGAGTAGGAGGAGGAAAAGACGGTTTCATCTGCTTGAAGTGTGTGTAAGACGGATGAAAAAGGAGAAGAAGTGGTATTAAGAACTGAGAAAGAACTGAGAACAACAAGCAGTAGTCTTCAGCTGGCTGCATGAAACAGAGATTCGATAAGTTATTGGCATGGATGCATGGCGACAGGATTTATGTGAATGGCGGACAATGTTCACAGCTTTGTTCGAAAATACAGTAGTTTAGTAACCTTGGAAAGCTTTGCAGAGAAAAAGCGAGAGATAGGGGAAGGGATTCGGGATGATGAGGAAAACAGTGGAACGAGTGGAAGGAAGGCCTTGACCGCTTCGGAGACAGTGCAAGAGGTTGTGCAATAGTGCATAGGAGAGGGCGAAGGACGGACCGGGCAGAAATGCTTCACTCGCAAAATTGGGAATTTGCACAAGCCAGCCTACCTTGTCATTTCTTTTTCCTTGTGAGAATCCTTGAAGTCCTTAATCTTTTAACTCGTGACTTCTGTCCAGAAAGTTTTGTCAGTTGAGCATCAAAGTTGGTGTGATGTCAAAAAGATGAAATCATCGAAACCGGTTCACCTAACACCTAAATCCCATTCCATAACACTCAAAAGTGGGATAAATGAACCTATAAACCGACACAATAGACCATTTATCTTTTTAGCTCCCACCGTCGCCCACAAGCAGACTGCAAAACCAGAAAACATTTGGCCAGGGGGGCGAATGCAATTGATCGTGCCCCAAAAAGTGGGCCAAAAATGGACAAAAAGAGATGAAGAATGCTGTGCGGGGAAGAGGAGAAACAGATATTGTCGCGAATGATTGGGATGAACTCTCGGAATGATCTAGTGAATCGGAAGGAATTTGTGATAATTAGAGACACTTTTCCAACGGGACAAATGAGTGAAAGCGTCCAGAGAAGCAACAAAATCGAGAGTAATTACAGTGACGGAAACGTTGAAAATAAGTGTGTGTTCACTCGAGAACTGTCCACAGATCGGGCTGTCCCGAAGCCTCGAATACCCTCAGGACAAGGACGATTTGGGATCGAGATAACTGAGAAGGATCCGACGGTCATGTCGAGATTGATGGCGGGCTGGTAATACCTCAAAAGGGCAGACGAGGATGATATCTCTCGCGAGGGTTTCGACTGACCTACTACAGTTTCTCTTCATGTTGAAAGACTCGGAGGTGTGGAGGAGAGGTTCGGGTGGCACGAGTCGTCTACTGATTGAGATCGGTCGGAAGAATGTGCGCAAAACTTTGGTTGTAGCCAGTTCAATAACAATTTTGTTCCGAACGGTTCGATGATGAAGTTGGATCGTAGCGCTTGCGATTGAAAAGACTTAAGGCACTTAGTAGGTGAGAAGATTTTCCAGAAATGAAAACAAGAAGCAGGTATGGGACAGAAAGTGTTCCTTCCCGGTTCGGAACACTCTCCATAATTGAACTGGATCCGAATTGAGAAGCGAAAAAGGGTTAATCAGTTCAGTGAAGGGAAAGAATCCGGGAAGGCGGGCTAAAATGACACACCTTGCCGTCAAGCTTTCGAAAGAGATGCAAGGTGCTGAGTAACGCATGAGATATGTAAAGCGAACGGCTATAAAACGAAGTTGTCGTCGTAGTCGTCGTCAAAAGGCGCATGGAATCGCATGGATTCTTGGTGTAGTGGACAACCATTTGGAAAGGGAAAACGAGAGTGAGTAAGGCTGCGACGGGGGCGAAAGTTTCGGGTAAAACTTGTGATTGTAACTGTTGGGGGATGTGGGAAAAAGGGAAAGGAGGGGAGAAGGAAGGCTTCTGGAGAAGTGTTCAACAAACGAATTTCACGCTTTCCGGCACCTGAGGTCATAAGTAAAAGAGACAGACAAATTGGTTGAATTACCTTTGTTTGGGAAGGGATACCATGGTTGGTATGTATATAGGTAAGTGACATGTGTGTCTAACTATGGAAAGTGACAGAGTACCTAGTGCCTAAGGTGAAGCAACCACGGAAAGAACAAAGTAGAAGATGAAGCAATTCATCCTTTTCTGGACTCGAAACCTTCTCTTTTTCCTGGCTGAATAGGCATTTAAACAGGCCTCCGAAGAAAGAGATTTCCGCACAAATGAACCTCCAAGCCTAATCACTCCTTTTACCGTTCCGAGTGATAAGAATGTTTCTGCGGGAACCTAATCCAATTCCAACTATTAACAGGCGATTAAACCGGGCCGAGGGGTCTCTTTTCGGCAGTAAATCGGTTCTTCTCTTCTCCGGCGGCAAAGCAAAACCGTATCCAAACAATAACAACGGCGACACAAAATCGGTTGGTGTCTTCTTGGCCGTCGGCTGCTGCTGCTGCTGGCTGCTACCGGGGGACCGCCTCCGTCTTCCGACATCTTCCGATGACTTTGCATTGACCCAGTTGTGCGTACTACCAAGATGTGAACATGCGACGAGAAGAAGACGTAGAAGAAGAAGAAGACGGAAGGGATAGCGAGAGGATTTGTAGGGCGCCGCGGATGTTCAGTCTACCGAAAAGTTAACGAAATCCGATTAGAGCGCCTGGTTTTCGATGATAGCTGGGGAAAATCGGAATGGATTCCGATGATAGCAATGATAAGAAATGGAAATTGCAAATTCGAATTCGAGTGTGAGTGCCAAACACTTTTATTGTTTCATTCTAAACAGTCAGCAATTTGTTGCGGATGGCCTCGATGTCAGCCTTGCCGACGGCTGTCAGAATCACAGGCACGGATGAGCCGACAACAATGAGAAAGACGAGAATGACAAGAGCCAGCTGGGTCATGTCGCAGCAGTTCGGTCTCTGGAACACCGCCATTCCGTCGCCGTCCGCACTCTCGATCACACTCTGAAAACATTGATTGCAGAAGAATTGAGATGGAAGATGACCAACCTCCACCGCGGAATCGTTCGATCTCTTCTTCTTCGCGGGCTTGATCTTCTCCGTCTGAGCTTCTGCCTTCTCGCTGTCCGCCGCAACCTTCGTTTCCTTCGCCGGCGGAGGCGGAATGACAGCGGCTGCCGGAGGTGGTGGCGGTGGAGGAATGCGCGGAGCCGGCGGTCCGGGAGCACTCGCAGCCGGGAACGCTGGAATCGCAGCGGGCGGGGGAGCCGCTGCCGCACCACCAGTCGGTCCCATCACTTCGTATCCGTCCTCAGCCATTTCAGTTGACCCTTCGTGAAAGTCTGAAGGAGTTCGACTTTCGGGAACATCTGGAACTGAGATCACCTTCGACTTGTTGTTCCTGCCAGCAAAATTTGATTGAGAAATAATTATGAGAGAAAGTGAACAGGGAGTTTTGGTTTTCATGAGGTTTTCAGGTTTTCACGCTTCTTTTGAAATACAAATGAACAAGTCTTCTCTGCTAATCCTCAAAATACCGCTTCCTTCGAGCTCAAACGACCACTTTCTGATCGCACTTTCTCGTTAATGGTCGCGTTTCTTCTTTTCTGCCCACTCAAACATCCCGGATTTCTCGGCGAAACAGTATAATGACGGCATGGAACCGTGTGTCCGAAGGTGACAGTTCTTCGAGTAATTGTAGAGTAGTTTGTGTTTGTTGGACCGGTCAGCCGGTCCGTTCCGAGTGAAAGCAAAGCAAGTGGCTACTAAATACTAGTTAGCCATTTTGTTTTTCAGAAAAGAACGCATTCAGATTGCTGCATTCTCTTCACATTAAGAAGGTATTGTTGTTTTGTGTTGCTGAGTTTATGATGAGCTTGAAACAGCAAGGCAGTACTTTCAAAACTATGAATTCAGTGTAATTTTAATGACAAAACAGAAACAAGAGCCAAGAGAGCTTGCACCGAGTTTAAGTGGAACCAGCTTCTTCAGAATTCAGATTATACATCTTGCCAAGCACGAAGTATGATGTTCGAACTTCTTCTTTTACTTGCCCGTCGCGGAGACGACCTTCTCTCGTACCCCACGCTGATTTATTGCTCTCACCCAGGACCCTTGTGACCTTCGGAGCATCAATAAAAACCACACGATCTCTACTCGATTACCCTGTTTTTGTCTCCTTTCAACACTCTCCAGTGCATCCATGAATCATCACTTGCCCAACGATGACTCAACCATTCTTACCTCTCCTAATCATACTTTTCTGGGCAAGAGCGTCCGTTTACACTCGCTTCTCGCCACTGTTACACCCTGTCCTTCAGCCGCTGGGTCTCTATCCTCTCCTCCCGCCTAACACAATCAATCTCCTGCCATCCTGTCTCCAACAGCTTCTTCTTTCTCCAGTTGCGCTTCGTTTTGTACTCTTTGACATGGCTTTTTGATATCAATTTCGAGGGCAACTATGATATGTGTGCTTAGCGGAACGGATTGCCATTGCGTTGCCGGGAAAACCTGTCTATTGCGGTGATTTTATTTTCAAGCGAATTTTTGGCAGCATTTTCGACGAATGGATTGCTGCAGGATGTACTTCTGCTCTGTAGATTGCCATCCCGTGTTTCCCAGAAGTTATCTTATCAAACCTACTTTTATCTTAACGAATTTCTGTTCTTTATCTGTACACTCTCTTGTGCTACCTACTTTCTTGAAAAACTACAATTATTACCAAACATTCTTTGATCTTTATTTATCCATTTTTATTCCTTCTTCATTCTCTCTAAACCAAAATAAAATCACAAAATCCAGTTTCCTGATCTAGTTGTGTCCGGTTCGCCGGTGGCAACAAACCGTGACTCATCTCTCTCTCTCTCTTTCCATTCAAACTGCCCATTTCTTGGCCACTTTCTTTGCTTCCACTTCTTTTTACAATCCTCCAGCAGCTTCAAGTCACCTGATTCTCTCCTCCAAGTAGTCTTTGCTCGACTCGTGCTCCGTGCTGCTCATCCTATCCTTCCCTCTATTATCCTATCCGATAACCGATAGTGTTTGTGTTGAACAAGGAAGGAAGCGAACCTTATTTGCATATCAAGTGTGCACTACTAGCCCCGTTTCCCACTTTCGAAATGTTCGCCCTCTTGATACCATGTGAAATGTTCGATATGTTTTCCTTTTTCCCCATTTTGTGTCAAAAAGCGATAACGATAAGCGATGAATCAGAATGTGAAAACGTATAAAATGGCTGCTCCCTCTCATTCTTCCCGTTTTCAGTCCGATGCGTCCAGCCGTCTTCTCTCTTCTCGTCGTCCTTCTGCTCGCCAAGTCCGTTCAGGCCGATTGGTGGGACGGATTCACCGACAAGGTTTGTGAAACGAGAATCGGACAGTCAAGATCATAAATGTCTATAATTCCAGGTCTCCGGAGGTCTGAACGACGCCGCTGGATGGTTCAAGGAGACCGCGAGTCCAGCAATCCGTGACAAGTTCAACGAGTACAAGGAGAAACTCCAGGATCCGGACACCCACAAGAACATCAGAGAATGGCTCTCTGAGGTAAACATCTTCCTTATCTTGTTATCATCCAACACTGTCTTTCAGAAATATGACGCCGCCGCCGAGTTCACCAAGGAAGAGATCGTTCCGGAGCTGAAGAAGGTGTACGAGGCAGCTACGGCCGAAGAGACGACGACTTCAGTGCCAAGGATGAATAAAGAGAACGGAAAAGGAACGGAAAAGCTGCATATTTATTATCAGTGCCTTATCGATGATAACTTGTCATTGTACTCCTTTGTAAGCATAAAAACTGTCTGTTGATCTATTTGTGTTCGTCCCAATCCAAAGAATGAAAACGTTGTACAATTTACTTATTTTCTCGTGAACTTGAAACAGAAACTCCGGAAAGAAACGTGCTCTGGTCAGATTGAAAGGGAAGATATGAAAAAACGGTTGGAAAGATTGGGAATATCATCACTTCAGTTTTTGCAACTGCTACTAGCACCTTCCACTAATAATAACAACTACTAACTACTCGGTATGTGGAAAAATGAGGAAAAGGCTATGGAATATTGACGTCTTCCAGCATCATGGGAAATCGTATGGCTCAACCCCAGGCGAAACGGGAGAAACCGACGCACGCCGCCTTGAAAGTGGCGATGAAGAGCGGAAGACGTGGCATCGACAACGCCAACAAGCTTCCCACCGTGGCTCCTCGCAGACAATGCCTCGTTCGAGTTCTCAAAATGAACCGTATTCACGACTACTTACAGTTGGAGGTCAGTTCTCAGTAGAGAGTAGTTTAATCCGAAACGTCGGTTTAAGAAGGAGTTCATCAACCGACAGAACCAGAAGAGACCGCTTGCCGTCCAGAAAAGAAACGAGCAGAAAATTGTGCAGAGTCTGAGGGGCACTCCGACAACTTTGGCCCGAATCCACGAGCTCTTCGACGATGAGAAGCACGCCGTCGTGGTGGTCGAGGGATCGAAGCGGGAGTGGTACGTGCCGATTCTCTCGATCGTCGACAAGGACCTGCTCCGTCTGAACGCTCTCGTGATGGTGAAAGCCGGCGGAATGTTCAAGACGGTGCCAACGGCGATTGTCGGAGTTCTCGACGACAAAGTGGACAGCAGTGCGATGGGACACAAGGTCGAAAAGGCACCGAAAGAGACGTTCGACGACATCGGAGGGTGCGAGAGCCAGATTCAGGAGATGAAGGAGTCCGTCGAGCTGCCGTTGACTCATCCGGAGTACTACGAGGAGATGGGAATCACTGCTCCGAAAGGAGTGATTCTCTACGGAGAGCCCGGAACCGGGAAGACTCTTCTCGCCAAGGCCGTCGCCAACTCGACCTCCGCCACGTTCATCCGTGCCACGGGAGCCGATCTTGTGCAGAAGAACAGTGGAGAAGGAGCACGACTCGTCCGACAGCTGTTCCAAATGGCCAAGGAGCAGGCGCCGTCGATTGTGTTCATCGATGAGATTGACGCTGTCGGAACGAAGAGATTCGACACGTCGTCGCGCGGAGAACAGGAAGTGCAGAGGACTTTGCTCGAGCTGCTCAACCAGTTGGATGGTTTCGAAAGCCGTGGAGACGTCAAGGTGATCATGGCCACCAACCGCATCGACTCGCTGGACCCCGCCCTCATCAGACCTGGCCGCATCGACAGAAAGATCGAACTGTCGAGACCGGATGAGAAGACGAGGCAGAAGATCTTCGGGGTGAGATCAACAACGAGTTCAAGCAAACTTATGCAGTTTTTCAGATTCACACGAGCGGCATGACTCTTCAGAAAGACGTGTCGTACGAGGGAGTGATGGGGAAGGAGAAGAGCATCAGCGGAGCCGAGATGAAGGCGGTGTGCACGGAAGCTGGAATGCTGGCTCTGCGTTCTCAGCGAAAGTGCGTCAGCGCGGACGACTTCCAGAAGGCCATCAAGACGGTGATGCTGACGAAGAAGACCGGAGCGCCCGAATCCTTCTATACTTGACTGATTGACCCGTGAAATGAATTATTTTGTAAAGTTTGAAAGGTGTGAACCACTTTGCTCACTAAGTGCTCATTCTTGAGCTCTCTCTCCCCTTTTCACGTAGCATTTCCACCGCAAACAACAACAAATGTGCGCGTCCGTCTGCCAGATATCAGTCATTCATTAGGCCACCCTGCTCGCCTGACACCTCCGAAATTGAATTGAAATGTTACAACCTGTCGCTTCGTCGCAACCGCACTCTTGCCACTCTTCAGAACTTGGCTCAGAGTTCGATGCGAAATGCGAATACCTAGTCGGGAGTTTGCTCTTTTTCTAATTCTCCTCTTAACCGTCAACATCCCGATCATCGGCTCGGCGCCATTCCTCTCGCGGCTCTCGTCTACTGGTAAGTCTATAGAGCCTTTGATGACTGTCTCCCTTTTCGATGTGACTTTTGGCAACTTTGCTCCGTCTGTTTTGAGAAAGATCCGTTCACGTTTTGTTGCTTCTTGGGAGCACGGGGAAATGCGAAAAAGTGGCTACTATTTGCTCAGTACGTCCCGCTAAAAGTGCTTATTATCTGTCCATCGGCAAAAACGAAAAAGACGAAGAAATTTGTGAGTGTGCCTGTTTGTGGTGCCGCATTTTTTGCGTTGTTTGTGGGGGTGATTGGCAAGAATTCTCGGAATTAGGCACTGGAGAAGATGACGTTGAGAAGACATAAGTGCTCACAGTCATACAAAGTTCACAGTCTGACATTCTGTAGGTTACCGTAACTTCTGCAAAGTTCCCTGCCCCAGGCGTGTTCTGTGTTCCGATCTGCCCACTTCACAACCTTCTCTCTCTCTCTCTCTCTTTCTCCGTCTCCTATCCATTTCTTCGGATAACTTTTCATTGGCTTCACTTCTTTTCTATCCAAAGAAATGCACTCTTAGAGGGGATAGTGCGAATCAGCAAACAAAGCTTCACCGTCCGTCGCCGCCGCCTTTTCACCTTTTACCCCCTCCCCCCCCGGCCCTGACTCCCCCATGCTGCTACTGTTCGACCGTTCGGATAATTTGGAGCAAATGTGTCAATATTGACGCGCCCAGGTTGAGAACAGTTCGACAGATAACAGTTCGCACTCTTATCACTTCCTCGATTGGAACGCAAGGTGATGGGGTGAGGGAAAATGAGAGGGAAAAGATGATATAATAGTGCAGACCGTGGGATCCCGAGAGTACTATTGATAAACACTTGAGGATGTGAAAATCGGAGGGAAAAGACGATGACGCGAAGGAAGAAAACGGACGACGAGGTGAGGTTTGATCGATCAGTTCCACGAGAGTCGGATGATCAGCAGATGGAATGTGCCGTTCAGAGAACTGTGGAATGAAGGACGAGCCTGAAGTGATAAGTACATTCCAAAGAATTTATTCTCTATCGGAAATGATTCCATCGGAGTTAATTGAACTCTTTGTGCACTGATTACGTTTACTTCTCTCAAGAGAAACTGATCATTTGATCATAGTTCACTATGATCTTGTTCTCTAAATGACCTCGATGAGCACTTACAGTAACCTGAGAGTCTAAACAGTTCAGTGCGCAAAACTATACGGCAACTTACAGTCAATAAACATGCGCACCCCTTTTTCTGAGATGCTTTCTGCAGACAGCGGTCGGCAGCAGGCTATTATGATGGTTATACCATGATACTCCTCGGTTAGCAACGTGGTGCATGACAAGCTATTCAAGTGTGTGTGTGTGTGTGTGCTGGCGGGGCGGCTCTAAAATGCAAATATTTACCTCAACGGAGGGGAGAGACGACGAAGAAGAAGAAGAAGAAGAAGAAGCGAAGAAGAAATAGTGGGCGGCGCCGCGGCCGAGGACCCAACAGTTGCAACTGTGCCGCCGTCGGTCAGCCGTCTTGCACAGGAGAGCAGCTCCTCCCCCCGATCCCCTATCATCCGTGATCCCATCCCAAACAACCACATTACTAGTTTTTCGACTGGGGGATGGCGTTCTCGCTGTTCTCTGTCGTCTCTCTGTCGGTCATCTATCGGTTGACCATCAACTTTCCCGAGTTACCGTATACTCATGAGCTGAAAAATGCAGAGTCGGACGAGTTCGTGAACACGTCGCGTGACATCGTCCACTCGCTTCAGAGCCTTGTGCATAACCTAGAAGGCAAGCACACCGCCCGAGTCGTTGATTACAAGTGAGTTTTTGAGTCTGTGGCGAAGAAGATTTTCGTCAAAAAGTAAATACGCATTGTAGAGGAGTAGAAAGTCAAAAAGTAAACAAGACGAAGTAACCGAAAAGCCGCCTAAAGCCTTGACCATCTATGTGTGTGTATGTAGTGTGATCCGATTTCAGATACCATAAAGTAATTGGGTCACTTGTCTACGTCGATTTGTACGCTGAAAAAGAGTCGCCACGTGTGTCCGATGTCCTTTTGTCCTCCATCAAATCAGGAAAGATCGGGAACCTCACGGTTTCCGATGAAGGATTTGAGATCCATGTTGTCAGAGGTGTGTTTTGTTGATCAGCTCATATACTCATGTGAGTTACAGATTCGGAAGCGTCGTGCTCGACCACAGAGTTCACGTGCCTCGATAAGACATGCATCCCAGCTGACAGACGGTGCGACGGAAGACGTGACTGTCCGGATGGCTCAGATGAACACAAGGATCATGGCAAGTGCAAGCAGCACCAGCCAATCATTCACCAAACCGAAAAGGTTGTTTTTGCTCCGAAGCACGGATCAATTCATCTCTCGGCGGCCATTGACCATTCTATTGGGGATTCTCAAGTGAGACGACATTCTGGAAGTGTTGCAGGCAAACCTAGAATATTCCAGATTGCCTGGTCCAAAGACGATATTCTGCTGGGAGTTGGAGCAATGACTCTCACGGAAGACGCCCGTGTGACCGTCTACCAGAAGGGCGAGAAACATCATTTGCACATCATCAATGCTACTGATAGCGATGATGGAACTTACAAGATGATTGTGCAAGGAATGAATGTGGAGGCTGACTTTGAGGTTAGTTATCTTCCTTTACATGAGTACTATCTTTATCTAGGTCCGCATCACATCTGACCACGTGGCCGCTGAATCGGAAGACTGTCCCAGCGGAGAACGTGCGTGCAAATCCGGTCATTGCTTGCCGGTCACTCAGTTCTGCGATCGTCGTGTTCAGTGTCCGGACGGTGATGACGAGGAGAATTGCTCCGGTAAGTGAATATTAGTCATTCTATTCACAAAACTGTACTACCTCACACACCCTTATACTATCAATTGATACCTACCAATAAGCGATTGCATTCGAATTGATTGTCCCTTTTAGAGGGTCTCTTTTTGGTCCATGACTCACACATTGGCATTTCTCTTTTCTGTGCCCCAAATCTAATAATTTCGGAAGGTGCGCCATGCCCGAAAGTCTAGCCAAACACATGTGGGAGCCAGGGAAAACGAAGGAGCACAAGACTGTGCTCGAGAAACAATAGTTAAATATTGACCGGGTTGTTGCCTTCAGGAGGGGGCCTCCAGGGGCACTTGTTGCCAGCTTGTTTTGTTTTTCGCGCGGAGCACAGGCTCAACTTCTCAAGTTCGCGCTCTGTGTGCAAGCCTATGCCAATGGCGTGGATTTTTCAGAAGTGCAATGCAAATCGAATGAGTTCCGATGCGAGTCCACCAATGTTTGTGTGCCCACAGTTGTCGTTTGCGACGGATGGAAAGATTGCCATGATGGTTCCGATGAGAAGGTCTGAAGATTCTGAAGAAACGAATGTGGGAATTGTGAATTGTCTCTTTTCAGAAGTGTTCTCATCACCGCAAAATCTACAAGCCACATCACGTCCATCACGTCAAAGTGAATGCTCTCTGCCAAGACGGATCTGAGCCGGAGTTCAGCTTGTGAGTCCTGAAGAATTTCCAAATGTTTTTCTGAACTGATTTTTTTAGGCACGGATCCAGTTACTGTTGGTCCAACAAAGTGTGCCCGTCTCAGACGGAATGCGTTCACGGACTGTGTTGCCCAATTGCTAGTGAGTCTTTGAAATTTTATGTACAAAAAAAAGTTAACAAAACAATCCAGATGATTGATTATTCCTTTTTTGCCTTTTTCAAACTGTTCAATCTGTCCACTTCCATTGCGGTGTTCGCGTGGAACCATCCCAAACTGATAATGAGCAAGAATGGCCACCTAAACTGTCATTTGATATGCTAGTCAAACTTTAGAAGTGTTCACCTAACAGTTATTGTCTCCTCTATCAAAACCTCTGCACAAACGCAGCTCCGACGTCCGATCCTCCCAAAAAGTAAAAGTTTGAATAGAGTCCGATGGCGAACGGCAGAATGTGACACCAAGCGAGAATGCGCCTGAACGCCACGTCCGACAGATTCGCTTCTCTCCATTTCCTGACGCCCTCGATCGTGTAAATTGCTTTTGATCCCATTTCGATGAACAGGGCGAGAATGTTGAGACCGATCCAGACCTGGAAAAACAAAATGATGGGATTCTCGTAATTATGCGGCCGTCTCAAGTGCGTCTTCTTCACACTTAATTGGGTGTCAGACTCACAATGTTGTGATGGTAGAATCCGTGCCAGAGAAGAACGAATCCGTAGGAAATGAATACTCCGAAGATCTTTCGAGGCAGTGAGAAGGTCGGAGCGCAGATCGGAATGAAGATGTACTTTTTGAAGAATTGGTATAGACCACGGTCGAACTCTCTCCAGACCTTTGAATATAGGGTGACTCTGATAAGACAGATCGGTCCGGGAAGCGGATCCATGTTGTCTAGTTTAGCAAACAGAGAAGGCAATCCGAAAATGACGGCATACTTCAAATGGAAGAAGATGCCCATTGCCATCCCAAGTGCGACGAACTGATCCTTCGGAAGCGAGTACAGGTACGGACCGTTCTTGAGAATGGCCTCTTGGTACAGAAAGTGAAGCGAAGTTTCCATGAGCCACCACCAGAATGCAATTCTGATCCCTGTCCACGCACACTTTTTCCATTCACGCTGACGTGTTGATCTGTAGTTGTTCGCATTTCATTTTCCAAATGTTTCTCAAATTCGTACCTTTCTCTGATTTGCCTCTCAAAGTCTGGATACAACATGATAAGTGAGAAAAGGTAGGGCTGGTAGAAAGCGTAGAACATCATTCTGACCCATCTTTTGGCCACTGTGTTGTCCTCTTTTCTTGACTCGCCTAGAAGGTGTTCAAGAGAGTAGGAGATGTAATGAATCATGGAGTAGGAAAGGAAAGTGAAAATGAGGAACGGATCATCGGACAGAGAGTTGGTCTCGTGCATCGAAACGTAGAGAACTGGGAGAGCGCTCAACCAGATGGCCCATGTCTTTCTGAAATGAATTTGAACGTTCTTGGGAAACAGTTCACAAAACTCACTTAAAAATGAAGCAGTCAAGAAGACAACAGTGCCCTGAGCGATAGAAACGGCCACTAAGAACGGAGTGAAGTAGTAGGAGACTGCTCCGATCGAAGCCAGAGTGTAAATGGGAACGAAAGCAACTTCCGGAAGGAGGACGGAGCCAATGTTGAACAGCAAAAAGTGACCGAAGAAGACGGGGAGGTAGGAAATGGCGAATGGGGACCAACGGGACCATTCCCAGTTTGTGACGTCCTGTAATCAGAAACTTTTGAGTTGAATCAGCTGACAATCTCACCTTCATCATTGGTCCCGTCAAGTTGCCGATGAGAGGAGGAGAACTCCAGATACCATAATCTCCAATGCTCCATTGAAACTGTTGACTAGCTCTAAAACATGTATTACTTGTGGAAGTTCCAAAGTTTTTCCTTTCGAAAATCGATAAAAGTCACGGGTACTTACCGATAAACACCATACCAAGCATAGGCCATAGTGGCAATAGTGACCACGAAACATAATGGAATCTCTTTGAGCGGAGGATACTCGAAGAGCACCCGTTTATTGGGCGGAGGAGGGTTTTTGGTGGAAGCGGTCATCCTTTCGGAGAAGCTTCTGACTATCCCGTAGTTCTCTTTTCTTCTCCTGTCCGCGGGATAAATGTAGGGCGGTCAGGACGATGTCGTCAGTTTGCGCATCTCATCTGAGTCTCCCGTTGGACGCCACTCTCTCTCTCACGGCGTCCGTACGCACGCATTCACACACACACCTATGCTAATCCCGGAGAGAAAAGAGAGAACGGATATACGCGGCGAAAGTATTGTAACTATTCGATTACAGAGACCCGAAAGCGGCAAAGCGAATGCTTAGAAGGACAGTTCAAGTGTGGAACGGGACAGTGCATCGAGGAGAACCAGAAGTGCAACAGAAAATACGAATGTGCGGACGGATCCGATGAGATCACCTGTGGTATGTGTAGTTTAGACGAGATGCCAAAGTATGCTTAGAACCTGATCTCGTGATGCTTTTCGTCACAGATCAGGGCGTTGGTTTTTCAAGAAATGAGAATCTGAATACGACGTTTACGACTTCAAACCTTACAGATTACTACATTGCCGTTCAAAAGTATCACGCTGAACAACAGAAACAAGAAAGTGCCGCTCATGCACAAGATGCCCCAGCTGCTCCGGCTGCTCCGGTTTCTCCAACTGCTCCAGCCCCAACCGAATCCGCTGAGGATCCATCTGAAGTTCCACTGTGCAATGACCAGGAGTTCAGATGTCCTTACCTCGCTGAGACCCGTTGCTTCCACTACGATAAACTTTGTGATGGAGTCGACGACTGTGGTGATGGATCTGATGAGACCAATTGCGATTCGAATGAAGATCAAGATCAGCCGGCTGCTCCGATCCCTCCGCCAGCGCCTGCTCCAGAATCTGTGCAAGAGGCTGCTTCCCAATGTGCCGTCCTTCAGTTTGAGTGCAAGAGAGACGGAAAGTGCATCGATAAGGCCCTTCAGTGCAACCATAAATATGATTGTGAGGATGGATCTGATGAGACTGAGTGTGGTGAGTTATCAGGTGAATTAGCTTGAAGACGTTATTTTCTCTTCCAGAATACTTCAAAGCAGCGATGGCAAGACGTGAGCAATCGGTGGCAACAACCACTGATCAGCAGAACCGACAAGTTCACCACCAGACTCAGCACCAGCAAGCCCAACAGCACCACCAACAGCAGCGTCCACAGCCAGCCCACCCAGCACAGCCATCGCAGCCATCACACCCAGCTCAACCTTCCCACGATCAGCACGAGGAACACAGAAGACGATTGGAAGAGCATCGCCGTCGAGAGGAAGAGCACAAAAGACGTCAAGAAGAAGAGTCTCGCGCCAGAGCTCATGAACAGTCCCTCCTGCACGCAAGCCAGGTGGAGAGCACGGAAGTCACTTTCCACGACGAATACGAAGGCGACAGCGGAGTCGGATGCCTAGAGCACGAGTTCCAGTGTGCCATTGGAGAGTGCATTGATAAGTGAGTCGGCAGGCGCCATTGGGAAAGTACATTGAACAGTCCATTTTCAGACGCCGTGTGTGTGACACTCGTCCTGACTGCCTGGATGCTTCAGATGAACAGAATTGCGCAGATCGTGCTCCGGCGCATCACCAGCAGCAACAGCCGCATCATGTTGCCGCTCCGTCCCTCCCTCCAGTCAACAATTATCCGGGTCAGTTTGCAAGTTTCAAGTGGTTGCACTTATCATTCGACGCGAGAAGCGAGGGATACCCTTGCTGCTGGCGCGGATTTGTTTGGAAACACTCTGTGAACTTCTTGTGCACTTCTTCCTCTTCCTCCTCAAATCTTTTTGTCCCGTTCTACTCTGATATTCATAACGTTCTCTTCTTCTTCTCCTTCAGGTTCTTTTCCCACTTCGGAAAGGAACTTCCCTGTCGGGAGAGTACACACGAATTCTGATGAATCATCAGAGAATTCGGCGTTGTCGGTATTGTTTTGGGAGAAAAAGATGATACTGATACTGATACTCGCCTCCTGTTCTGATTTCAGTTCCAAATTAGAACAGCTGTGAGTCACTTTCTGAACATTCAATTATGAAAAACACAGTTTTTATGTAAAAAAAAAAAAAACCAGGTTGTAAGTAAATGTGTAACATCAATGCAATTTTCTTGCAACCCAAACGAATTCCGTTAATTTGTTCGTCGCTGTTCCCTCCGCCTCCGTAGTCCTTCTGATAAACTTCCAATTCTTGTCCCAATCTCTTTCACTTCATTCCATTCGATCTTCTTCTTATCCTTTCATCCGTATCCACGGGCGCATGCCAGTTTTCAATTTCCTGCTGACCCAGAACGCCTTCTTCCAATCATCACAAATTATCCGAAAATTGATAAACCTCACCCCCCCCGTCGTCTCCTTTTCCCCGTCCAGCCGTCTGTCTGTCCCTTTCTCCCCTTCCATATCAAACGACCGAATCTCGAAGGAAATAGTGGGTCCATCCGGTGTCGGTCCGGTGTCGGCTCGCCTTGTTTCCAGGACGTTGTGTGTGTGTGTGTGTGTCAAATAGACATCTCTAAACAACAACAACAAGATGAAAAATTGGCTGCCATTGCACATTGCGATGACAGAAAACAGCGATGATCAATCTTTCCGCGGTCCATCCACCCCAATATTTTCTTGTTGTGAAACCCTTTTCCCTCTTAATTCTATCAAATATCCTTTCATCGGTACATACCAGTGATAACCAGCACCGGCGACAAACATGTCAATAATCGGCCACCTCCCCTCTCTTCGGTCGTCTTCATAATCATCTCCTTCGACGTCTTCTCCTTCTCATTCACTCTTTCCTCCACTCATCATCGCCATCTTATCATTTCTCCCCTCTCCTTCAACATCATCGTCAACAGTAATGTTTGCGGTTTGAGACCGAAACCACGCCTTTGATTTGCTATCTTCTTCTTTTCTCTTCATTGTCGCACAGAGGCCGACGACTTCTTGCGCAGAAAAGGGGCGGAGTCTTGTGTACAAGTGTAAATCGGAACGTATATCTGTTGTCTCCTTTTCTGTGATATATTGGTTGATTCAGTGCCTGCCCGGGCTTCTGCCACGGCACACTTTCTCTTTTCACTTTTGTACAGTATTCTCAGCTAGATCCAGTTTCTGTCCACTGGGCACAAAATCAAATTATAGCTCAAGAACCTTTCGTACACTAATATCATCTGCGTTCAGTTTTGCAGAAAACGTGCAGTTCATTCAGCCAATTATTACACTTTCCCCATCATTTTTTCTTCATTCTCTGAACATTATTCTCTCAGTCCTATCACTTCCGATTGCCACGCCATAAGCACATTTCGCATGCCCTTCCCCTCAATTAGTCTTCTGAATAGAAACTAGGACATTTTGATGACCAGTGCGAGAATGTAATGATGACTTGTGATAATGCATTCGTCCGCCCTGATCACTATCTCGATCTTCATTGTCGGCCGTCGCCGCCATCCGATCCATTCTCGCAAAACCACAATATCAGTAACGGCAAGGAGGTCACCGAGTGTCGGAACATATTACCCGTCGAGAAGGTGTGAAAACGTGAAATCGGAGAGCTTGATGATGAGTAGGACAAGTGAGACATTTCCCGTGCCCGCCAATCTCTGGACACAAAAAAGTTGACATGCGAACAACAAAGTGTAAAGTGTATAGGGATGCTTTGTGAGCACACAAAGAAAGAGAGACGTTTGAGTGGGCCCTGAGAGTTGTTGTGTTGTACATATCACATATTCTCTAAGGACTCCCGGGCGCCGCCTTTTTATGAGTTGTTTCATATTCCCGCGACGGCCGAAATGATGATCACCATTCGGCTGACTTGGCTTTCGAGAAACACTATGGACAGGGGCAGAAACCGAGGTGGCCTTATTTATAACCGCTTCAATAATTACGGCATTTTGATTTGATTATTATCAGGTCTTTCAGAGACCGGTTCACTTTTTTCACACCGCCTGCAATTGTGTACTTCTCACGAGTTGAGCGATTCCCAGAAAGATCCAGACTCATGGAGCATCCACGACAAATAGCTTTACGATTTAGTGGTTGAGTCATAAAGATTAGCAGGGCCGGGGCGGAGCTTGTTAAGAGTCATTAGTCAAAATGTGAAATGTGAGTCAGAGCAGAAAAAAAAGAAGGGACTATAAAACGATGGGTCCGTGGCTTCATAATGAACTTTTCCGACTAGGTGCGTTTTGATGTTTGCTTGAAATCTCAAAATGAGATTGCAGCTAAGGAGAAGAATCACCCTGAAGCCAGATCTCTCCACTTTACATCTTCTTCCCATTGAAAGTCTGCGGTTCAGTGATCAATTACCATTATCATATCACCCCTTCCTCACCGGAAACCTCTTTCTGCCGAACCCCACCTTACCCATTTCAAAACAATTCCACACTTTGATTCCTGAACTCTTTTGCTCCGTGATGGCTTCATTCTTGATCTGTTTTGTTATCTAACTGCCTGCTTCTCTCCAGATCATCAGCTTTGTATGCCCTCTTCCTCTCTTTCATCTGACTTCCGATCCCTCACCGCAACATTCGGGAGCAGCTTCTTTTATCTCTTCTTTTCACTGTCACTTGTCCAATGGAAACAAGTGCTATCTTCTCTCTCTCTCTCTCTCTCTCTCTCTCTCCCTCTCTTCTCCGAGTTCATATCCCTTTGAAAAGTCTCTCAACCCCTCTGTTGGTATGGTTAGTTAGTTAGTGAGTAGTCAGTCAGTCCTTCTTTCCCGCACCCGCTCCTTCTCTCAAAAGAAACGGTAGCGCAGTCAGTCAGCCACACCCTTCCTCTCCCCCCACGCATTCAATTCATTTCACATTCTCAAATCACATATCGTTTTCCCTTGCCTCCCCCTCCTTCTTTCTCCCCATCAATCGGACAAGAAACCTTTTTTGTGCCACGCCGGGGTCCACTTGGTTGTACGCCTGTCGGGAAGTGAATTACGAATCAATCGTGTTCCACTTCCGTCCTCTATTTTTCAACTGACCATCTGATTGACAGGTCTAAGAGAGAACGCTCTCTTTTGTTAAAGTCTGGAGTTTGATGGACTGGTCTGGAAACGGAAATGTTTGTGTGTGTGTGTTCGTCCGCTACTCAGTATGATGTGTCCCAATTTGTCCATGAACTCTTGTTTGCCCTCTTCCTCCTCTTAAACTGCCAGAACCTTTTCTCGTTTCCCCAGTTCCTCAACATGTTCAAGTTCAAGTTGTTTGCCAAACACCCTGACGCTTTTAGTCTACGTCCTTTCGCTCGCCCTTTTCCATTTTCTTATAAAAAAGATGCTCCCCGCGAAAAGAAGCAAACAGTCACTTGTACTCGGGGGGATATAGGCGAAATGGAGGCGGTGGGGGACTGTTTGGTTTTCGCACGGAAACGCATAAAACGCCGCAGGTTGCAACTATTATCGTTGCATCCGACCGGATATCGTTTCTCACCCTTTCGGGCTCTTTGAGCATCAATGATTAGCAGATATCAGTGTCACTCGAGAACCGGTCCCAACTGGAAGGTTCTGTTTGCACACGCAGTTTAGTAACCGAGCCCCCGCCCTTTGCTACTAGTTGAAACTTGTTGTCACGTCGTAAAAAGTGAGCAATTGAAATCGTAATTCGTAGATTCAAAAATTGCTATACAAATTCAATTCTGCCTCCGGTTTCCATTACGTCTGGCGCATCGATCATTGTCGTTTTTTTGCATCCAGATGGATGCAGCAACCCATCCTCTCCCAACCCATCCAACCAGATTGTGTGAATTTTTCATCTGCAGTCAGCCACGCCCCTTTTCCCCGCGCTCAGTCAACCCATTTCATGCAACATTCGAAGAGCTCCGAAGCAATCAGAAGCCTTCAGATTCCAAATGGCTCTTTGGGAAATAAGACACACCCACACACACACTTCTCCTTCGTTTCTCTTCTTTTTGTGCTGTGCTATGCTTCCACGAAAAAAAATTCGGCCACAAATTGTTTGGCAACACTCTGCCCCACTATCATTTTGTTGTAAAATCAACAATGCCCGTGTGCACCGTGCCATACTCATACTCCTTCCACCTTCTGATTCTCGGCCAGTCGCCCGCTCTTTTCTGATGCTCCGCGAGCCCGCCCGTTATCATTTTGATGGGCGGAGGAGGAGGTGGAAATGGACGACCAAAATAGGCGTTTTTTCGTCAACGGCGGTGGTGTCATTGAGGTGGAAATGCGAAGAATGTCAGACTCTTTTGAAGCATGGACGGACGTCCGGGGGTGTGTCCTAGAGGTTTCAGAAGTCCCCCTTCAGGCATTCCGATTCGCTCCCGCAGACTGTATTCTATCTCTTACCCTTTTCTTCTTCTTCTTCTTTTTCTTTTTCTTCTTCAACTCGTCATACTGTTATCTCTTCCGCTTCAGATATTACAATTCTACCCGCAACTGAACTGAACTGCCATTCTCATTCGTATTCGCATTCTCATTCTCATTTCTCCATTTCCATTTTCTTTTCCATTTCATCTTCTCAATGGTTTCAAGACCAAGGTCATAAAATTCTTGTTGTCTTAGTTTGCCTAAATGGATGTTTCCTTAGTCATTCTGCACTTTTATGTTCCTCCTTTGCTCTTCGTCGTTGCTCTTTCCTCCTTGCCATTCCTCATCCCGTCCGTTTATCAGGGTGCTCCAAACACAAATCCGCGCCGCTTCTTCTCCCTTCTCTGTTCTTTTTGAATAGAAGAGAACGATGCGGTCGCCGATCGTAGTGGTGGCGCTTTGTGCGCTGCTGCTCGGCGCCGACGCGGCACGTCACCGCAAGTACAGACAGACCTGTAAGTGGGATTAAAAGAATGGGAAAAGTTTGAGTATTCAGCTAGACAGAGTAGTTTCAGACCAGGACATCGACTCGGACGATGAGACCTCAGACATCCAGATCACAGTCTTCCCAACCGAAAAGGAAGTCCGTGATGGCCGCGATGTCTCCTTCGACTGCCGTGCCCGTACTTCTGACAACTCTGTCTACCCGACTGTCCGATGGGCCAGAGTCGGAGGCCCGCTTCCGGCGTCCGCCCATGATGCCAGTGGCCGTCTGACCATCAATCCAGTCTCCCTTTCTGATGCCGGCACCTACATCTGTGTCTCTGAATACAATGGACAATCCGTTGAGGCCAGAGCCACTTTGAATGTTGTGTCATGTAAGAGACCCCTCCCCCCTTCTCATCTCTCATTAACTATAACTGTTACAGATGGACCCCAAGAAGTGTCGAACGGACTCCGTCCAGCTGGCCAGTGCATGGCTGACGAGAAGGCGTGCGGTAACAACGAATGCGTCAAGAACGACTACGTTTGCGACGGAGAGCCCGACTGCCGCGACCGATCCGACGAGGCTAACTGCCCGGCGATCTCGAGAACTTGCGAGCCGAACGAGTTCAAGTGCAACAACAACAAGTGCGTCCAAAAGATGTGGCTTTGTGACGGAGACGACGATTGCGGCGACAACTCTGACGAACTTAACTGCAGTGAGTTTCGAGAGGCCATGCGGCACACCAAAATCATTTCATTCAGATGCCAAATCGACGGAAAATGGATGCAAACCAACTGAATTCCAATGTCACGACCGTCGCCAATGCGTGCCTTCCTCCTTCCACTGCGACGGAACCAATGATTGTCACGATGGTTCCGATGAGGTCGGATGCGTGCAGCCGACCGTTGTTGATCCACCACAGACCAACCTCCAAGTGCCACGTGGATCCACCTTCTCTTTAACTTGCAAAGCCGTCGCCGTCCCAGAACCGTACATCAACTGGCGTCTCAATTGGGGACCAGTTTGCGAGCCGCCACGTTGTCTGCAGACCTCCGAGGGAGGATACGGAACACTGACGATCCACGATGCTCAGTAAGTTCTCATCTTGTTTCTTTTCACAAAGCGTTTGGCAGTGTTTTTGTAAACCAATTGTCGCGTAAATTTACGACCTTCATTCATTGCCCCCGGGCCGGGTTGGTTGACGATTGATTATAGCGATGCTATCCTATCATTAGCTATCTTCTCCCCGTTATCATCACTTTTGAGAATGTGCGTTGGGGGCAGCCGCCTCTGCCCGCCTGGACCGGTTCCAAATAAGACATCAAAACGATCTCTCCCAAACGCTCTTTCTCTCAATTCATGCAACACTTTCAATCATTTTGTATATGGAATTTAATTGACCGCTGTTGCCGCCTTGCCACCATCACAGGGAAAATGATGAAGATCGGAAGGGGGGGGGGGATGTACAAGATTCTCGCAAAGAATATTGATACTTATTCTTAATTGATAACCATTTTGTTCGTTGTTACACTTAGCATTTCCCCTCAGTTTTCCCTTCAGATGTGTGTGATTGCGCGTCGAGTGTAGCGCCCCCCGCAAAATCACACTATATTTGTCAGCCGCGAAACAAAATTCACTCTCAGCGCATAAGTCGGTAGTCTCAGATCATTCTTTCACATGTTTGTTTCCAGTAAGTTCTTTAGAGCTTTATTAAGTGCTAGGTTTGGTCTAGTAGTAGTCGCCAAGGAGAATGAAGAAAGTTCTCGACAATCACCGCTTTTATGCAGGCGGGAGGGGGCTGATAAGTGATTGCGAAAACGAAACAAACAATTCGGGGAAGAAAAGAAGAACATCTTTAGCACTTTTTGATACAATCCGCTCGATTTCAGACCAGTCGACCAGGGAGCCTACACTTGCGAGGCGATCAACGTGAAGGGCCGCGTGCTCGCCACTCCTGACTGCATCGTCCGCGTCGTCGATGAGCAACGTCCGCTTCCACCACAGCCACCACCGACCGCTCCGCCACAGAGAGCCTCTTGCGACACTCGCGGAGCCGTCACTCCATACCCGAACAGCTACGGAACTTGCGAGTGCAAGTCCCAAGTGACCGGACCGAACTGCGATCAGTGCAAGCCAGGAGCTTTCCATCTCTCGGAGAAGAGCCCGGAGGGATGTCTCAAGTGCTTCTGCTTCGGAGTTTCCAATGACTGCCGCAGCAGTGGATACTACCGTACCAAGGTAAGAAGGCCTTTTGATTGCGGTGCTTGAGGATACGGTATGTGTAGAAATATGAGACTTGTAGATATTCTTAAAACGTTGTAGTTTTGTATGTCGCATGGTGCCAATTTGTGAAATTTCTGTGAAAGTTATCTAGGGTTATTTTTTATCCGCGTTTTTGTACATACCGTATTCTTGGCACCACTTTGAACGCACAACTTGTCATCGTATTCGTCCAAGTCAAAAAACTTTAATGCTTCTGTTTCAGGACGCAGCTTGTGTAAGTGTTTGTCTTTCAAGTCCATCTGTCCGAAAGTGTTAAGTCTATTCAGCCCTCCGTTCTTTTCTGTCTAACAGTTCCCTCGGTTTTAACCTCTTGCATGATCTTCCCGGTTCCTCCCGTTCTTCTCAATCACTTCTCTCAATCAATCGGATTCTGATGTTCAGGACCGTCTTATGTTCGCCGGAGACGCCGAAGGAGTCACTATGTCCGACATGGAAGAGCGTTCAGTCAGCCGTGATAACCAGTATTCGTTCTTCAAGACCGGGTATCTCACTTTCGACGGAACGACCGACGGAGTTGCCAAGTACTGGCGTCTTCCGCAACGATTCCTTGGAGATAAGGTCACCTCGTACGGAGGAAAGATGGAGTTCGAGATTGAGTTCTCCGGATCCGGACACCACAGCAGCGAGCCGATGGTTGTGCTCAAGGGTAACCAGAACATCCTGGTCCACCGCGTTCGCAACCAAGAGCATGTGCTCCGATCCGATTCTCCAGTCAGAATCACCGTTGAGACCTACGAGACTAACTACGAGCAATTGAACGGTGCTGCGGCCACTCGTGAGGACCTCCTCATGGTTCTCGCTGACCTCGACGCTTTCCTTATCCGTGCCACTCACGTCGCTCATCAGACCTCCACCAGCCTCGGAGACGTCGCTTGGGAGATCGCTGTGGACCGCGTCACTCCTGACGGACTTGCTCTCGAAGTTGAGCTGTGTGTCTGCCCACCCGGATACATCGGAACATCCTGCGAGGATTGTGCCCCAGGATATGAGCGTAGTGGCCACGGGCCGTACCTCGGAACCTGTGTTCCAGTTCAACGTCAAGAGCTGCAGCAATGCGGAATCGGAGCTGTTGCTCCAGTTAGCACCGGAACGTGCCAGTGCAAGACCTCCGTCATCGGACCAAACTGTGATCGCTGTGCTCCGAACTCATTCGGACTCGCTCCAACTAACCCTCAAGGATGCATTCCGTGCTTCTGCTCGGGTGTCACTCAGCAGTGCTCCGCTTCCTCCTACAGAAGGACAACTGTAAGTGACATGCACTTTAGGTATTAGTTCCTTTGTGTAACATAATCCGATCAACACTTAATAACTCTATCAGGCACTCTCTCACTCTTTTCCAGGTTTCCATTGATTACGCCCGCGGGGACCGTGATCAGCTCGAGCTGACCACTTCGGATTCGCGTCAGCCGTTCACTCCTCAGACCAAAGCCTACGTTTCTGGACAGCAGATTGAGTTCAAGAGCTTCGATGAGGCTCGCGGACAAACATTGTACTGGAAGCTGCCGGAGAAGTTTTTGGGAGACAAGGTCACTGCCTACGGAGGAGTTTCAAGTACACTTTCCGATTCTCGGGAAGCGGAAGTACCGATCAGGGAGCTGATGTCATCCTCAGAGTACGTTAATGTTCAGAAAGTTCAGAGGTTGATGTGTTCTTGCAGGGAAACGACATTACCCTTCAGTACAAGCACAGAGAGCCAGTGCATCCAGACAGAGACAACAATGTTGAGATCAAGATTTCGAGACCAGGTGAGAAAGAGAAATGTAACACACTGCTTGTTTCAATCGGAATCTTTCAGCTGGCAACGCGTCGATGGCCAACAAGCAACCCGTGAGCACCTGCTCATGACCCTCGCTGACCTCGATACTCTTCTCATCAAGGCCACCTACAACGATGACTGCACTGATTCCTCCCTTCTTTCCGTCAATTTTGAGTTCGCCGAGCCGTACGGTCAGGGACTCACGGCTGCCGAGGTGGAGCAGTGCATCTGCCCACCAGGATACGTCGGAACATCTTGCGAAGACTGTGCTCCAGGATACTCCCGCACCGGAGGAGGACTTTACCTCGGACTGTGCGAGAAGTGCGAATGCAACGGACACGCCAGCCAGTGCGACAAGGAGTACGGATACTGTCTCGAGTGCCAGCACAACACCGAAGGAGATCAGTGCGAGAGATGCAAGCCTGGATTCGTCGGAGACGCCCGTCGTGGAACTCCGAATGACTGCCAGCCAGAGGCCACGAGAGCCCCTTGCCACTGCAACAACCACTCGCCAAGAGGATGCGATTCATTCGGAAGATGCCTGCTTTGCGAGCACAACACCGAGGGAACCCACTGCGAGAGATGCAAGAAGGGATATTACGGAGATGCCACCAAGGGATCCCCATACGATTGCACCCCATGCCCATGCCCGTAAGCTCTTTTTTCTCACAGAACCATCTCACAGCGTATTTTTTCTTCAGAGGAGCTTCCGACTGCTACCTGGACCAGGAGGGGCAAGTCGCTTGCCGCATCTGTCCAGCCGGTCTCCAAGGCCGTCTTTGCAACGAATGCGCTCCGGGATACACCCGCTCGAACAAGCCAGCCGGACGCGTCTGCGAGCCGATCGGACAGGTCACCAACGAGGATATCACATTCGTCCAGAAGCCGCATGAAGGTGAATTCGCAGCAAACTCAGGCACCTCTTCCGCCCAACGTCGTCACCGACGGCGACGAATCCGAGTTCGCTCGCGTTTCTACCATCATTAGATGATGTCGTAGATGGTGTCGTTACCACTGTGTTTGCGTGTGTTTCTTGTTTCGTTCCGTGTTTGTATCATGTCCCGTAAGTGTTGGATATCATCAAAAACAGAGAGTTCTTTGTTCGTCTACACCTCCTGCTCCTCCCCTCTCCCCCAACTGCCGCAATCACTTTATCGTTTCGCTTTAGGAGCCGTGTGTTTTCTTTGATTTGTTCGTTTCTTTCCAGAGTCTATCCCCTCATATCCACTTGTCTACTGTCCATCTCTCTTTCTCTCCGTCTCTCCGTCTCTCTCTCTCTCTCTTGTTTCAATTCAATGTATCACTGCCACATAATAACAAATTTAATACAAATAAACGTATTCTATGTGTCGTCGAGTCTTGTCCAGTCCAGTGTTCGTCACAGTCCGCAAGTCAGCCGAAACAACTAAAATGATTATGATTTCTCTGATTTGATTTCAGTTTTCATTTTGATTTTCAACAATAACCCGCCGCTGTTTTAGTGTTACGCGTGAGAATCATGGAGCCGAAACGACAAATCGCCCACCCGGGGGACCGGGTCCACTGGATTTGCCAAGTGACTGGCTACACGGTAATCTAATGACTGGCGCTTTTGCCACTAATCATCTAAAACTTCTCCTCCTCCCAACTAACTGTTTTGAGTTCTCCAACATTTTCAGACCGAAAAGATCCACGTGGAATGGACGAAAGTGGGAGACATGACTCTGCCCTCGAACGCGCAATCGTACGACGGCTACTTGGTGCTCGAGGGCGTCGAGGCGGAGCATGCGGGCCAGTACCGCTGCACCGCCACGACGATCACTCAGTACGCGACGGACGACGCCTTGCTAACAGTCTCGCGACGAATAAGTTTGTTTTTTGTTCTTCTGTTCCTCTAACCCTCAACTACCTGTTCAATGTTCTCATTGTATTCTGAATGTTGCCTCCCTTTCGCATGCCGAATGCTCTTGACGTTTGTCGTATTCAGGCGGACGTCCTCCACAACCGGTCATCGATCCTCCACACCTCGTCGTCAATGAGGGAGAGCCAGCGGCCTTCCGTTGTTGGGTTCCGGGAATCCCAGACTGCCAGATCACGTGGCACAGAGAACAGTTGGGAGGACCGCTTCCACACGGAGTCTACCAGACTGGCAATGCCCTCAAGATTCCACAATCTCAACTTCACCACGCCGGAAAATACATTTGCTCGGCCGCCAACCAGTATGGAATTGGACAATCGCCACCAGCTGTGTTGGAAGTCAAGAAACGTGGGTTGCTGTGTACAGTTATTACTCACAGTTTGAGCGATTTTTGAAGTTTGTAGTGTGATTTAGACTAAGATGTACATGTGTTGTAACTTTGAATAAGGAGGATCGCACCTATTAATCCAATATCTCGTTCCAACTAGTGCATTTTCAGCTGTCGTTCCACCAAAGGTCGATCCGATCCGTCAGACCGTTGATCGTGGACAGCCCGCCCGTTTCAAGTGCTGGGTGCCAGGAAACTCGAACGTTCAGCTCAAATGGTCTCGTCCAGGAGGCGGAAACCTTCCAAACGGAGTTCAGGAGCAACAAGGCATCCTCCACATCCCGAGGGCCACCGAGCACGAGGCCGGAGAGTACGTGTGCACGGCCACTGATCCACGGGAGAATATTCCACTCCAATCAGAGCCAGTCAGCCTTAACATCAGAGATCCAGCTCCACAACGTAACATTTTTTGTCTTCTCTTGACACTTTCTGAATACTGTGTTTCAGAGAGAGCTGCTCCCCAAATTGATCCTCCAAACCAGACAGTCAACGTGAACGATCCGGCTCAGTTCAGATGCTGGGTTCCAGGACAGCCACGTGCTCAGCTCAAGTTCACGAGAAAGGACGGACGCCCCCTCCCGCAGGGAGTTCTGGAGCGTGACGGATTCTTGAGAATTGACAAGTCTCAGTTGAACGACGCCGGAGAATACGAGTGCACAGCCACTGAGCCAGACGGCAGCACCCAGAGATCTCCTCCAGCCAGACTGAATGTCAATCAGCCACAAGCCATCCAGCCACAGATTGACCCACCCGTCCAGACTGTCAACGAGGGAGAGCCTTCCCGCATTCGGTGCTGGGTGCCAGGCCATCCGAACATCCAGTTGCAGTTCGTCAAAAGAGGAAGACGCCCGCTTCCGGTGCACGCCACAGTGTCCCAGGGCAACCTCGAGATCCCGAGAACTCTCAAGTCCGACGAAGACGAGTACACTTGCATTGCCACCGATCCGGCCACCAACAGACCGGTCGAGTCCAACCCGGCCAGAATCATCGTTAAGTCACGTGAGTCATTTCAGAGTATTGAATGAGTTTGGGAATGTTACGATTGAAAGAGTGAACATTTTTTCCCGCATGAATCCCTTTTCTCCACTTTTCAACTATCCTTCGGTTTCCTTTCCCTATCCTAACCCTTCCAGCCATCCGTCCAATCATCGAGCCGGCCGAGCAGACAGTTCCAGAAGGTTCTCCCTTCCGAATTCGATGCTACGTGCCCGGACACCCCAGTGTGCCGTTGTCCTTCCGCAGAGTTTCCGGACATCTTAACGACGACGCCGACGAGAACAACGGATTGTTGGCTGTGCAAAGAGCCGAGCTCACCGACGAAGGAGATTATATCTGCACCGCCCGTGACCCAGACACCGGAGCTCCGATCGACTCGACCCCGGCCACCGTCCACGTCACCAGTGGATCGGCTCCAATCTGGAAGCCCGTTAGTTTCTTTCCTATCTATCTTTCAGTTCTCTCTATTCTTTTTGCACATTGCTGTGATAGTGCTGTGTAATGTTCATCGTTGTTTATACATGTTTCGCAATTGTTCAGACCGTCCAACACATCAACACCCTGTCATCACCCCACAGACACAAACGGTCCCTGAGGGAGACCCGGCCAAAATCCAGTGTGAAGTTCCTGGTAACCCGGTCGCCGCTCAGCATCTTTCATTCGAAAGAGCTGACGGACGGGGACTTCCGTTCGGATCGAGCGACGATCGCGGAACACTGACGATCCCTTCGACCCAACTGCAAGATGCCGGCAACTACATATGCGTTTACTCGCCAGAGCACGGCCACCCACTCAAAACCAACCCGAGTGTTCTCAACGTTACACCTGGTTTGCCCTTCGTTTTCACTTTTCCAACCCTCTTTGTGTTATCTTCTATACACACGACTTCCCTTTCTTTCCCTTTCCTTTCACTTTTCCTTTCCACTTTCAGAAGGCACTCCACCTCGTCCAGTTGCCACCCCACCACTCCTTTCGGTGGCTCCTGGCTCACCAGCACGTTTCAACTGTCTCGCGCACTCTGCGACACCGGCACGCATCAAATGGGGATTCAAGGACGAGAACGGAGCACTGCCGGAAGGCGTGAGACAGGACGGAGATGACATCGAGATCTCTTCCGCTGGCGATGACAACATCGGAGAATACGTGTGTTCGGCCACCAATGACTTTGGAACCGGCGTCGCTGATCCCGTCCGATTGGAAGTCACCGAGGGTTTGCGCACTCTTTCACTCTTTCCTACTGTTCTCTCCCTTTCCTTTCACTTCAAACACTCTTGTGCCCCTTGAATAGTTTTTGGCATGAAAGCAAGTGATCCCTCAACACTTTCACCACCTCTCGAAATATTCCAACTGAAATTCATTCCAGACCAAGAGCCCCCAACTGCCGTCGTTGAGCCAAGAACTTGGAACGGGAAGCCAGGAGAGCGACACCAGTTCAGATGCATCACTACAGGATCGCCTACTCCAAAGATTACGTGGACTGGACCCAACGGATCTCCTCTACCACACGACGTTACACCGCTTGAGCCAAATATTCTCGACTTCTCAAACGGCCGCTCCGAGCTCAACGGAGACTACACTTGCACGGCTTCGAACCCTATTGGCGAAGCAACCGACCACGGATCAGTCAACATCGGACCATCGCTCACCGTTAAAACGAATCCGGCCGGACCGAAACTGATTGTGACCGTCGGAGAGCCGCTCCAAGTGAAATGCGAGGCATTCGGAGCTCCAGGAGATCCGGAGCCAGAAGTCGAATGGCTGCACGACCCGGGACCGGAGAGAGGAGATCTTCCAGAAGACTTCAAGCCAGTTACCATCTCGGAACAGTTCATCAGACACCCGAACGTCGGACTCTTGAATGCCGGAGTCTACACTTGCAAGGGATCCAGCGCCCATGCCACGGCCACCAAGAACATCTACATCGAGGTCGTTGAGCCATCCAGAATCGCCACAGTCTCTATTCTCGGAGGAAGTACTCAATCATTCGATCAGGGAGAGAAGGGAGAACTGATTTGCACTGCCACCGGAAGTTCATTGGTCGACAGACTCGAATGGGAGAAGATCGATGATCAGCTGCCAACCGATGTCGAGGAGCACAACGAGCCAGGACTTCTCCACTTCCCAAGCTTCAAGGTACAGCCGAAATTCAAACAATTATGTTCAATAAGTGTTCCATTTACAGAACTCATACGCCGGAGAATACCGCTGCAATGGCTACCGCAACAACGAGATCATTGCCTCCGCTTCCGTCCACGTCTCCTCCACTTCCGATGCCGACGACGAGCCGAAGGTCGAGATTGAGCCGCCACACGTCCGCGTCGTTTCCCAGGGAGATAACATTGTGCTCAAGTGCTCTGTTCAAGGTGAGCCTCTTGATCTCTTGCAGCTTCATCTTGACAATGGGACACAGATCCGAAAGAGCGGGTGCTCTGGTGGCATGCCACTGAGGACTTGTCTCGTTCACTAACGTCGCCAACACTAACCACTTGCACTTGAAACACGCCGATTTGTGTGACCGGGGCTTCTATTACTGTACTTTGGAGTCATCGAACTACGAGATCGGACGCTCGATGAACATTGTAATCGTGCAGCCGAAAGGACGAATAGGTTATGTGTCTCTACTCTTTCTTTGCTCTTTCTAACAGTGTCCGTTGTGCCAGTCATGTCTCAAAGTCAAACTAACTGAGGGAAACGGGCGGGGAAGCTTCTTTTCAGATACTCCATCGAATCCTATTTTGGCCGGCAATGGCCACGGAGGCCAGGGACTAGAAACCTCCGCGCAAGCCCCAAGGAAAATCGCCGTGTATGTCTTCTAACATTTGTCTGTGCTTTACCAAAAGCTGGTTGGTTTCTTACTTTTTTACTTTTTGCTCTTGTGCCGGGAAAGCTTGCATTTGGGTCTATGTTTAACATTTTGAGGGACTTTTGCCTTTTCACAACATTTTTTGCTTGCTCAGACAAATAAATTCGAATCAAATCGTAGTGAAATTATTTTCTAACGCAACCTCTTTAGATTTGAAAACGTTCTAACTGGAATCGCAATTGGTCTAATTAGATTCGTGCTTTTTCTAATATTTTCTAATTAGATTCGAATTGATTTGTCTGAGTGTTTACATCAACATCTGTATATTGCTCGACCAAGAAATATAAATCCGATGGAATGAGACTTCTGTCGAATCTGAGAAATGATCCCTTTTTTTCAGGAGCCGAGAACGGCGAGCACTTCAAGTGGGCTCTCCTCCGCGGAGGTTCCCTTGTCCGCCAGCTTGGCACTGAGCCAACTCTCGAGATCAACAAAGCCGACCCATCGAATGACTTTGGAGTGTACCGGTGCAACGTGGAAGACAATAACGGACTTGTCGTCGGATCAGCCTACACGGCTGTTTCCGTAGGACAACAAGATAAATCCCGTGAGAAAATACATCATTTTCAGAGCAAAACTTTCGTAAAAGACATGACTGGGCACAACAGCATGGGCGTCTCCAACTGAACGAGTAATTTGCAGATGCTCAAGTCGTGAAGTTCGACGACAAGTCTGACGCCTCGTTCGCTTGTCCGATCTATTCGGTGCCAGGAAGCAAGGTCGAATGGACGTACGATGGCTCAGAACTTCCGTCGAAGGCAGTGCCGAACGGAAACAAGATCGAGATCAAGGAATTCGACGACACCACGTCTGGCACCTACATCTGCAAGGTCTCGTTTGAAAACAATGTCGTCGAAGGATTCGTGACTGCTCAAATGTTCGGTGAGTCGGATGAGTGTGTGATGCTGTGAACTTCCATTTGTTCAGTCCCTGACACGATCATCCAAGTTCTGCTCGAAGTCTCTTCGGAGTCCCCGCAAATCGGAGACCGTGCCTGGTTCGATTGCAAGGTCACCGGCGATCCGTCGTCTGTGATCACGTGGAGCAAGGAAGGAAACGACGATCTGCCACCGAATGCCCAGGTATTTCAGTCGTCCAAAATGTTTCGAAAAGTGCCAAAACGCCTTGAGTAGAATGTTCTTGTTACCTAACCATTTCAGATGTTTCCCATTCTCAGACACGATGTTGTCTGCAATACGACCGTAAGTTTAAAGTATAGTGAAAAGTCGTGAAGTTTATCTAAGAACCACCAACAAACCCCCATTTCCAATGAGTTCATTTGATTTGATGATTTCTGCCCCTGACTACTCCCTAGTCGACCTCATTCATTTTCATATCCGTTGCGTTTGCATGACTGTGAATCTTGTGAAAACTGTTGGAGAGCGGAGTACGGGAGCCAGATCTACCGTACTCCAACACAAGACACTTTGATATCAGTTAATCGTCCCTACGAATTCAGCTTCAATCCATAATTGCAGGTCACCGGAGGACGTCTCCTGTTCACTGACCTCAAGGAAGACAACGCCGGAGTGTACCGATGCGTCGCCAAAACAAAGGCCGGACCACTGCAGACGCGCACCGTCCTCAACGTCGGATCCGGAAAACGCAAGCGAAAACACCTGGGGAACCGACGGGGGCGTCGTTTAAGGCATCGTAGACGCAACGCTCAGAACCAGCCACAGAACCGCAGAACGCGTACCACCACCAAGCTGTTCGGTTCCTGGTTCTAATCGCGACAAACAGAGTATCTCCCTTCTAGTGTGCCTGATTGTGTTTTCTCTAATCTAACCAATTTCTAAAACCGTTTCTCTTTGTCTTTTACTTTTCCTTTTCTTTTTCCACTGCCCGACCGGTAACCGGTGTGTTACATAATTGTCTGACCTTTCCGTCCTTTCTAGACTTTTCCGCTCTTCGAATTCTTGTCTTTTCCTTGCTTTGTGGTGCTGCAGTGAGAGTTAGTTTTCCCCCCAAATATCATTCATTTCCCCCGAACAACCTTTCTCTTCTATTCATTTTTATTCGTGTTGTTTCCGACTTACTCTTCTTGCTTTTCGAGTATATGTACCGATGAGAGAATAAATAAACATTAGCAAGGTATCCAAAGAAAGGAGAAGTGTGGAGTGTTTCACTTCGTGCCCGTCTTGTACTTGTTGGGTCCGTTTCAGAAAACGTTTAAACGTCTGTTGAGATTGATTGATTCTGCAGGATAAAATGACCTAATTGCATGAAGTTTGGAGTCAGATTAAAATGGGAGATGAAGTACACCGGAGATGAATCAAAACTTGCGAAACTCAAAGTGCAAACAAGATTTCGTAATGAAAAGAAAGCCAATCACGCCCTCCTCAGCTTCCAGATTCCTTTACAGCCGTTTTCTTTCCACTTCTCCCTAACCGTTCTTCCCTTTTCCAGCTGACCACTCCTTCACTTTCGCTGAGCCTCTTCCTGTTATCTACACTGTCGGAGAGCCCGCGTATCTCTCATGCATCGGAAAAATAGAGACTGTTCCGAACGAGACGGTCATTTGGACGAGATCCGAAGGCGACCTTCCGACTGGTTCCAAAGTCGAACAAGGAGTTCTGGTCCTTCCGTCCGTGCACAGAAACGACGAAGGATCGTGAGTTTACAGTGCATAGCTACTCAAATTTAGGCTTAAAATTAAAGATACACCTGTGAAATTGCGAGAGAAGTGGAGCCGGTGTTATCCACGGTTGACCTGCAAGTGGAAGATTTCGTCCCTCTGATTACTGGAGAGCCCATCGAACTTCCGCCACTTTCTGACGATGAGCTCGTCAATTTTGAAATTGAAATCACATTGAACTCATCGAATCCGAAAGGAATAATCTTTGAAACGAAGCGAATCAATTCCGGAGATCTTCTAGCTCAACCGTATGACACAATTCACCATGAAGCAAGAATAACTGATCACGGAACGATTCTCTACGAGTTTGATTTGGGTTATGGAAGACGTAAGTGAAGGGAGAATGAAGGCTTCTCATGACCTAGAAATTCCAGAAATCGTGGAGACTACGAACCCGATAAATCCAAACGAATGGAATGTTGTGAGAATCAAAAACGATAGAAACCAGGTGACGGTACAATTAAACGACGAATCGGCCACTGTACGTCAACATGCGAACCCATTGCCACGTTTGACAACTGGAGTGAACAAGCCAGTTTACATCGGAGGTCGGTACGAGCCAGTCAGCGAAGCCGATGATTTCAATGGTAAATTGATGTCTGCACAATTCCAGAAGACCGTTTTGTTTGCAGGAGTCATCAGTCAAGTGATCCTTTCCGGTCAGAACGTGGGTCTTGGTGATGCCCGAATACCAGCCTCCGTTGTAAAATATGACGCATGCGGCAGCACGAATCTTTGCTTGAACGGAGCGAAATGCAGAAACTCTAATAATAACAAGGGATTCAGTTGCGAGTGTTCTGCCAAATTCCACGGCGAATACTGTCAATGGAGATCGTCTTTGTGCCATGAAGGTGAGTTCAACGGATTATTCAGAAAAATAAGGAATGCTCAAGAAAACTGCAATGCCGGAATCTGCCTGGACAACGAGGAAAGCTGGCAATGCGTGTGTCCTGTGGGAACGTCCGGATTGAGGTGCGAAGAGAAGGTCGAGATCCCGCAACCACTGGGATTCACTGCCGACACCTCCTTCCTGGCCGTCAAGAAACCTGTCAAGTTTGAATCGGTACCCACCATTTCATTTAAAGTTCATTGAAAAACGTTGTGATATTTCTTTGCAGATAAAAATGAAACTGCGCCCGCAAGCGGACAGTGATGAGCACATTCTGATGTACTTCGCGTCCGAGTACGGATCAGCGACCAAGCAGTTCGCTTCGCTTTCTTTGATTGAAAATCAAGTTGTGTTCACTGTGAACCGGCCCGACAAAGGTGAGTGTTCCGAGCCTCCAAATGTATACCATGATGAAATGCCTTTCAGAAGTGGAAAAGATTCGAAGCGAACCGTTGGAACCTGGAAAACTGATAGACTTGTCCGTCTCACAGACGGACAACGTTCTCGTGATGACAGTGAATGGAAATCAGGTTTCGACAGTGAGTAACACACTTTGAACTTTATGTCCTCGTCCGAACACCACCTATCATTTGCATTTCAGATTGAGTCAGACGGTCTGAAACCAGGAACTGAGATCTTCATCGGAGGACTGCCACCTGGCCTCAATTCGCCAAATGACGTTGTGGAGAGATCGTTCCAAGGATGTGTTTATGAGATTATGATTAACTCGGAAGACGTGGATCTCCAGAACCTTTCATCGTCCGGAGATATCTCGTCGTGTGATGAATCCGTTTTCCCAACTGAAGAAGTAGAAGAGACTGAAGTGCCGACAACCGAAGCGCCCACTGAAGAGCCGACTGAAGAACCGACCGAAGAACCGACCGAAGAACCGGAGACTACCACGACAACAACGGAAGAACCGACGACGACCACGATCACGGAACCTCCAACTACGACGGAGGAAGTTTACTATTTCTATGAAACTTCTCGAGATGACGATCCGGAAATCATAATCCCGGTGGAAACCACCACGACTACAGATGATGCAGCCATCCTTCCAACTGATCCGGTTGATGAATCAGACGTCAGCGACGAGGAAGACGAGATTGCCGCGTTGACAACCGTTGTGCCGGAGGAACAGACCGATTCAGATTACAGCGAGGGAACGCTTCCACCAGAGTCTGAAGAGGATGATGAAGACGAGGAAGACGGATGTCTAGATGGTATTCTGTTCGGATCATTCATTGAAACCGAGATTTGATTTCAGGAGTGTGTCCTCTGCCGACAACTGAGCAGCCGGAAGTGAGCATCTGCGTCAACTCAACTTGCGGATCGAACGGAGAGTGCGTGCCGCAAAACAAGACCCATTACACTTGTGAATGCAAACTCTACTATGATGGCCCAACGTGCAGTTTATGTGAGTTTCACTTCTTGACTCCAATTACTTTGAATCGTTTTCAGTCAAGCCAATTGAGCATGCTGCGAGGTTTGACGGCAATGCATTCATCGAACTCTCTTCCGACGAATTCCCCCATTTGACATCTGAAAAGGATGAAGTGGTGGCATTCAAGTTCAAGACGGAACAGCCGAACGGAGTACTCTTGTGGCAGGGACAGAGACCGACAGTCACCCAAATGGAAGACTACATTTCAGTTGGTATTATCAACGGACACTTACACTTCAGGTCAGTAAGCAAGAACGGGAACCTTGTTAAGTTTGATTTGCAGTTATGAACTCGGAGGAGGTGCGGCTCATTTGATTTCCGACGAACGGGTCGACGACGGAAAAGAACACAGTGTTCGGTTCGAAAGAAAAGGAAGAGAAGGTCAGATGAGGGTGGACAACAACCGGGAGGTCAACGGACGAAGCACTGGAATCCTCGCCATGCTCAACGTCGACGGAAACATCTTCGTCGGAGGAGTTCCGGACATCTACAAGGCGACGGGCGGCCTCTTCTCAAATAGTTTTGTCGGATGCATTGCTGACGTGGAGCTGAATGGCATCAAGCTGGATTTGATGGCGACGGCGATCGATGGAAAGAATGTGAAGCCGTGCGACGAGTGGATGCACCGGAAGAGATGGCTCTACAGAAGAAGAGTGCGGTGATTAGTAGCTGATGCTTAGACGCTTTTGTTTCTGAAACTGTCTGTGATAATTCATTTCCTGTATCACGAATCTTTCGTTTGTTAAATAAACTTTCCTTATTTCCCTCACTGCTTGTTGATTAGATTACAGACTAAATAGACTGACTCATATCACTTTAAACTGAAAAAATCGGCAAAGGATAAAAGAAGAAGATCAAGGCGACTGAAACAGGATCATGTAACTACTTGGCCGTGTCGAAATTATCGATGACGCCGATCTTAAACTTGCGCATCTTCTCTTTTCTGTCTTCCATTACGATAAAGCTGTCCCCGCCCGCAGAGGCCTTCGGAGAGAGGATAATTGCGCATCACTAAAGGGATGTGGTTGCCCTACATCAGTCCTCAGTTTCTCTCCTTTCTCTATCGTTCCTTATCATCCGAATATCCTCGTTTCCAATTATTGATCGTTGCAGATGCGGAGGCTTCTCCTTTGTTTGGCTGCTCTCACGACAGCTGTCAGCTCGCAGTTGATTCCAAATCACGTCAGTTTGAATGAGAAGAGAAAGCACATCGAAGTGGATTCTGCGTGGTTGGACAAGCGACAAAAGGAGGTTCAGAGGGTGAGTGCGAGTGAACAAGTAGCCCTCAATAGCCATGAAGAGAGGAGCCTAGACAGTGAAAAACTGATCGTCTCCGCTTTCCGATCACGTCATAAAAACAGGTTCTCAGGTGTCCCTTGACGCGTCGAACAAAGAGAAAGTTGTGCTGGATCTTCTGAACACTCAACAGCAGTTCAGTGCCTCCTCGTCCGGAAATGTCGCCGCAGCCGAAACTTTCGACGGAAAGAGAGCTCAGGTGCAAAAAATCGGAGACAAGGGAGGAATCGCGACGGTCGACGGACACAAGTAGGCTCTCACTCTGAACTGATCATGCATGAAGTACACTTGCAGAGCTCAGCTTCGCACCAAAACCGATTCGGACGGAGAGCACGCCCTTCTGAAGGCCGACGGAAAGTACGAACTTGACACCATTGCCAAGGGAGATCTCAAGGGAGACCCATCGGTAGGAACCAGTTCTGAGCACTCGAAAACTCGTTTTATTTATAGAAGACGGAATTCGAAGCGGTCAACGAGAAGCTTGATTTCAAAGTGAATCCAAACTCTCACAATAACAACTCTGGAGATGGAACTTTGTCGTTTTATGACAAGGTAAGAAAGATGGAAAATGGATGGGCAACGAAAGGAATGCTTTCAGGAGAAGGGAAAGAACGGAAAGTACGCGTACACAATCGCTCAAAACGGAAAGAAAACCGACGCGACGCTGTCGGCCGACAATCTGATTGGCTCTGAACTCGAGCAATCTTTGTTCGGAAGAAGGAACAACAAGTATCACTGCACTGCAGAGACTCCAGGAGTTTCCCAGTGTTACGATGCGAAAGGACACTCGGTCGGCAAGGTTGTGGCCGATAAGAACGGAAACACTGTAGTCTACAACGACAAGGATGTGCCCATCGGAACTGGATCGATTAAGCAGACTGGACCGAGGTCTTATGAAGCGGTGATTTCGAAGAATTTGTTCATCGCCAAGCTCAAGGATGTCCGTTCTGCCCCTTGCTGCAAAGAACTGACTGGACACGAGTGCGCGCAGCCAATCAAGTTGGCTAATCCAACTTTCAGCCATCCATCCCAGAGAGAAGGCGACGGTACTCTCCATCTGACATGGCCGGACTGCTTCGACATGGGAATAGACATAACTTTGCCGCCAGGGGTTCACATCAACAAATTGGCCATGAAATTGGATGTTTCCATCCAACCAATCGGAAAGCTGCGATGCATGGACGTGGCAACTTGCGGAAGAGAATGCTTCTATTGCGATTGGTGCAAAGAATCGCGAAAGCTCAAACTGCTCGAGAATACGGAAGGAAATCTGTGCAGGGCCACTGGAGAACGCACTTACCGTCTCACCACGAAACTCTGCCCTCCGCCAGAGGATCCGAACTTCACAATGTGCACGGCATTCTCCAAATCTGTTTGGCAGAAGGATTACTGGCAGAAACAAGGTGCCGTTGACGTGTGGATGAAGTTCTACGAGAGAGGACAAACGAGACCAGAACTCGAAAAGGAATTCTTCGCTCAGATCGACAATCCACTTCTCGGAAAGGCGTTCAAGTTTGCAATCATCGGAGAATGGCTGGCTGCGAACTCCCTCGACCAGGGATCCTACACTCCGACCAACTCGGAGCTCCTCGAATACTGGGTCTCAAAGCGTGACCCGGATCGTCTTCTCGCCTGCCAGCACGCCGTTGTCGACTACGATATCGAGGGAGCCAAGGTCAAAACGAACTTGCTTTTCGAAGCAGCCACAACTGCCAATTCGATCCCGAACATTCTGAAGGACAAGAAGTGTGGCGCATTCGAGAAGTTGCAAGAGGATAGGTTCCAGAAGGAGGCCGCCGATTACAAGAGAACTTCTGGAGGCGGAAACTTCCTGTCCGGACTTGGAGGATTCCTGAATACAGTTCGTGGATAAGGAGCGCGATGGGATTATTTATTCTCGGTACATATTTATTTATTATGTTGATTGATTGTCTTTCATTTTTCTTTGTGTTTGTATATAAACGTTGATCTCTAGAACGTATCTTGAAAATTCCATCCAGACTTCTTCTCATCGACTCCAAATCTCACTGTTCTCGGATGTCGCAATCCTCGATTTCGTCTCCAAAATGACAGGATTGATATGCTGTGAAACCGGCTTATCTCGAAGAAAAATCGACTTATTTCCCCCCACTTTTCCTCAATTTTTCCACCGACTATCATTGTTTCCCTCATCATGTCTTCTTCCAAATACCTTTTATCTACTGTCCTATTACTGTTTCCCTTACTGTCCAATTCAAGCCCTCTCAACTCGAACCGACCAGAGGATCCGTTCAAAACAAAGTTTGTGGCTAGTCGCGAGGATTCGGAAGAAGACATTTCACTGGAAGAATCATCGGAAGTTGTGAGAATCGCCACAACGAGAGCTCCACGTCTTCTCTACGCTCCCACTCATACGAATCTTCTCTACTCGGTCTTCCCTTCCCTCCAAAAAGAGAAGGATTGGCGGAAGTACTGCCCAGCCAACCAGTACCAATTCCAGCTGACTTGCCGTCCTGGAAAGAAGCTTCGATATGATCTTCAACTGTTTTGCCAACAGTTTTCCGACATGTGTGGAGTGCCGAACATCAACTTGTATCCGAGCAGATACCAGACCGCGGAAGACGAGGGAAGACCAGCCGGATACGGCCAGAAGCAGAAGAACGGAAACTTTGGAGTGGGAAGAAGTTGGGCGTTCGGATTCGGAGCCATTCCTGGCCTAGAAGTGCAAACGAGTCAGGGCGCTGACATCGGAAACGAGAAGTTGCCGTTCTTCAATCAGGTTAGTTGTGTCTGGCACAAATCAGAAAACAGCAAAACAAAGAGTATGCTACCGGTAACGCTAGGGCTGTTCGGGAACTTGGGAACTCGAGGACTTGAATTCAATTTCAGATCGGAGGAATGATGCTTAACTACGGAGGAGAGGTCGGAGTGCTCGGAAAGAGAACCGGAAAGGGACCGGCCCGTTCGATGAATGCTCTCGCTCGCGGCTATCCGAGCTTCGGAGTCGGACAGCCGACGAGCGCAGATTCTCAGTTCGGAGAGTCAGTTGCGAAGGCCCTCGGTGTGCCCTCGCTGAACAATGTCTTCTCGAAACTGGCAAAGAACTCGAAGAACAAGAAGATCACCGGATACGAGCCGGGATACGGAGCCGTCAATCCGAGCGGTCCATTTGCCATCGGAAAGGTAGGCATCATTCAGGAAAAGATACGAAAAACAAACTTTGCAGACTGATTTGGATGATATCAACTTGCCCGCTGGTTTCGGAACCATTGAGGTTATTCGCGGAAGTGGAATGGGAATTGGAAAGCGATAATCACTTTTTTCTAACATCAGAAACACTTCAGCAATCTAATAAAACAGAGATCATTTCCACGACTTGTCGAGCTCTCGGAAGTATGTATTCGTCTGTTGATTCGTGTCGAAAACCATCTTTTTGCCGAACGTATCATGGATATTGAGCGAGAGACTGAAACTGTCCTCCACCTCGGCAGAACGCATCGGTTTGACCTGATTCCGTTGCGCGTCAAACTTCCGGAACTTTGTCAGAATCCGAGAAAGTTCGCATTTATACTTGGGATTGTGGTGGTAGATGACGAATGGCGTCACGATGGCGTACCTGAATGGATGGATGTGATCGGTCTGATCGAATCGGTAAACACTCACAATAAACAAATTGTGTCATAAACGACAGTGTTCAAGTTTTTCCACGACCTCGAAATGTCCAGATTGTCGATAAGCAGACAGACGGGGCCGCTGATTTGAAAGAATGCAATGCTCAGCGCGAGCCGATTAAAAAACTGAAATCACTTTTGCTCTAGTTTTCTGAGATTAGTTCTCCGACGCTTACAAACGAAAATCGGATATTCTCCGAAATCTGAAACCTCTGAGCCAACGAATAACCGCCGCCGTCCTGCCGGTTGCTCCGGTAGTAGTAGTTCCGGTTGAGCACGAAATTGGCGTAGTTTCCCTGCAAATAAACGAAAAGAGTACATGAAATTGAAAAAAGATCCTACCAAATATGCAAGACAACTTAAACCGATAAACACGCTGGCATGTGGAATCGTACTGGAAGCTATAAAAACTGAAAAGTAGCGAGATAGAGAGATTGAGTCAAATCTCACCATGATGAAAGTCGAGAGCAGAAATGAACGCGATGGCGTAAATGACCCAAAGAATGATGAGAACCAGCCATGACCTCTGCTCCTTCTCATAGTCATTCAGGAAATACGTGGCAAACCATCTTTCGGCGACGAACGCGGAAAGACAATAGAAGCCGGGGAAACAGAATACCGCCCGAAGCAACGAGATCGAGTAGAAGAAGCTGTTGTTCATGTCGTCACCTGAAATGCATGACTGTGGGAAATTGGTTGTCTGGCAGACGGTTGTGATGTCTGTTTACCTGCTGGCGAATCCACAATGAGCAACACTTTCTGAGCCAGACACACGAGATGACCCAGAACGCAGGGAAGGTAGATGGCGTGATGGATCTTCTGGGTGTTCGTGGCAAACTGTTTCGTTTTGATGTCAATGTACACGTTCAGAAGATAATAAACCATCTGGAGAGTATATTTCATTTCATCAAACTTCATGATGAACCTAACTTACACCATGAAGATGAGTAGCACTTGAAAATAGAACATTGAGAGATAAAAGGGATACGTTCCCTCGATGATCGAATGCGTTTTGTTGAAGTATTTGATATACATGACTGCAAATAAACGAATCGAGTTTCGAAAAAGACCAGTTACGTAATGGGAGCTATTTGAGAGGCATTGGCATCAAAGAGCAGGTGAGATTTTCAGACACTTGCTCACCAAACTTACACTTTCAAAAAAAGAGATGGGGAGGTTGAAATGAGATTGGGAGCGAATTGGCTAGAGCTAGGAGCAAAATAAACAGCAGTTATGAAGTGTTTGAAAGGAAGTACGTGCGAGTGGGAAGATGATATGTCATGCAGAAAACAGAACAACTTTTTTGTGAATGTTCAAGTCAGCATGTCGAGATGAACATTGAAACGAACGGAAAACAACTGATCCAAGTTTTCTTCTGGTGCCCCGCCCCATTCTCCGGATTGTGAAAAAGAGGGAAAATAATGAGGTTCTCACGCTCCAATAGCAGTCTAAGTTCTTTTCTCTGAGCAACGGACTAATCACGTTTTCCCAATGAGCAAACATTTTTCTGCTTATAAATCAGTTTACTTTCGACACCAAGAACAATCAATTCAAAGCTCATTTTTGTTTATTTATTATTTCACGCGGGCGGATATGTCACACCAATTTTAAGTAAAAAAAAAACAACAATTTGAACAATTACAGCCTAAGTAGAGTCGGGACTGAAAGTGTATGCACCATGCAGAGCAGAGAAAGCAGTATTCGTGGGCGGGCGGTGGGAAAGTGAAAAGACGAAGGGAGCAGAACAAAGAGAGGTAGGAAACAATCTAGAAATGAGTCAGCTACTGCTCTCTCACGCCGAATAACGGAAAACGACGCCCTGGTTGGGCTCCAATTCGATCTCTTTCGAGCCGAAATCGACTGTCTGACGGGCGTAGTACACTTCGCTGTTCGACGTTGCCGTCACTATCTGAAAAGGAAGAGATTAGTGTGAATTGACAGATGTACGGTGAGTAGTACCGTGGACTTTAGAAGCTTCTCGTTGTTCGGAAGATCGGTCAGCGGCAGTTTCACAGGATGCTCGGCAAAGTTGAGAGCGGCCACGTAGATCTGAAAAGAAGATTGTTGGTGGAGCAAGCACTCGTTCACTTTTCCCGAAACTGAAACTTGTTTGCATGGTCACTTCCAAAACAACCTGACTTTTCAAGAAAACCTTTAAGTTTAGGATAAACTTGCATGATATGAGAGCGCCAAAAGATGCATATTGTCATGATTTCCGCCAGTTCTTTCCACCTCACTTCACACCATTTTTTGTTTTTCACAGCAGTATGATCAACCTACATTTCCAGTAGTTCTGTTCTCGAAATGATTGAATCGTGTGACTGTGAATGCTCCATCCACGAGCCGTCCGATCAAAGTAGTTCCGGTTTTCAGTGCATCCTCCCTTTGTCTCAGCTTGGCCAGTTTCATGAAGATCTTCAGAGTGGACTGCGGCTCTGAGTACTGTCTCTTCCAGTTGATGTTCGCCACGTCAATGTTCGATGGAACTGGCGGTTCGATGGCAGACGAGAAGCCGCCGTTCAGAGTCTCATCCCATTGCATTGCTCCGCGCTGCGGAGAGATCTTCGTGTCGTTCGGAAGATTTCTCATTCCGATTTCCTCTCCGTAATAGATGTTGTTCGTTCCTGGCAGCACCATTTGGAGCATCATGAGCAGCTGAGCATGTGGACGCGAGCCGACGCGAGAGGCCACACGGGAGAGATCGGGGGAGCCGAACTGGAAGAGAAAATACGTTTGTTTCAAAGATAATTTTGAGCCCTGTAACTCACTCTCCAATGCGGCCAAACTTGTTCATTCAAAGAGTGGAAGAGCAGAACATCCGAGAGAATCTCGTGAACGCACGTGGCCACGGATCCTTCGTTCTTGTGGCAAATCTCTGAAACAATGGCTTTGTCTTGATTTCGAACCCCCTATGCCTACTGGAATCTTTCTCGACTTCTCCCAATTCGTAGTTTATGACCGTGTCCATTCCACTCTTCGCCATTCTCTTTTTGTCCTTCTCCTTTGCCTCTTCTCTGGTCGAAAACAGTGCACTGAAAATGACCTTCTGATGAGATTCCATGTGACACATGACCTACATCTTCTTCCCTTTTGCAATTGTACTTTCGTTTGAGTACGAATCCACGTGGAACCGGATGTCTCTGATGACGTCATAAATCGCATTCCACTCTGGCTCTGTTCCGTTCGGAGTTCTCGCCAAATACTCAATGCCCAGCAACTCGAATCCGTCGATTCCCCTGTCAATCCAATTAGAAAGAGCATTGAACATGTGCTCCCTCAAGTTGGAATTCTGCCAGTTGAGCACAGCAGATTTTGGATTTCCTGAAGTCGGATGCGCATTAGAAGATCATCCGGCCGAGTGTAATCGGATACCTTTCTCGTGCAGATAGAATAGATTCTTGTGCTCGGTGAAATAATTGGAGTCGGCCGCCTTACTGACCCACGTGTAGAACTGCGAGTAGTTGGCATTCGGAGTTTTGCTGGCCGTCGCGGAGTTCAAGAACCACTCGTGTTCTAGAGAAGTCGTTGCGATCGGAAGACTGATCACTATCTTCATTTCTGAAATGAATGATAAGGAATGATGTCATTCAAGGCCGTCGGCTAACCTTTCTCATGAATCTTCTCGATTAGTTCATCTGCCTTCTGGTTCGCTCCAAGCTTCGGATCCATCTGGCTAAAGCTTCTCACCGCCGTCTGATCGTCGTCGGAAATAAGGAACGGAGAAGGCCACACAGTCTGCACTCCGGCCTTTCTCAGCTGATCCAATCGATTGATGAGTCCAGGGACGTCGCCGACTCCATCTCCGTCTGAATCCTGGAACGATGGCACCCAGACATGATAGGCGACTGCCGTCTGCCACCAGTTCGGCTTCTCCCGGATGATGCACGCAGGGGAAAGGCAGACGAGAAGGATGGCGACGGCGAAGAGAGCGAGCCAGACGAGCCAGAAGAGAACGAACAGAGCGGTCCTAAATACGAAGATGTTAGCCGGGTGCCAAGAGAATGAGGGCCGGGGAATGATAAATACGCAACAGCATGGCGCCCATTGTTTGCGGGAATGCTTACAGGCCCACGGGAATGCAAAGAGTGAGTTGTACAATGGGAAAGTGACCTTTGAGAAGAGATGAATACGACGGCTCACGATACCTGATGAACTTCCAGCAGGGGTCATTTCTGAACTGCTCCAACTCTTCTTCGTTCAATCCTATCTGGTTCGGATCCTTGGGCTTCGCCACGGCAGTCGGGCGCACCCAGGACTTCGGAGCCTCGACTTCCGGCTGTCGCTCCTTCATCATCAAATGCTCGGGAACCACCGGATTACCAGACACCGCACTGATGTAACTCTCGGTCTTGTTGCCCCGATCGACCTCGTAGAATCTGCAGAATGGTCTTTTTTATCAGGCCGAGACGAGAACAAGATGAAATGTAATGGAATGGACTGGTAGCGGGGGAGGACGGAGGAAGGGGCGGACTGTCGTGAAATTGGAAGATTTTGTAGCCGTTATCATCGAGTGGAATTTGTTCAAAGGACACTCAGACCTAGTTTTTTATTTTGTCCGACCGCACTAACCTTGGTGTCTTGCCCTCGGGACCCGGCATCAGCCGGTCGGTGGCGTCCATTCTGTACCTGTAATCATCGTTTTTGGCTGATTTTTGGTTAAGAAGCGATAGAGAGAGAAAGAGAGAGAGAGAGAGAAGTTTCACATTGCCACGTCATAACAAAACCGCTTATTTCCCCCTTCTTTTTAACGTTTCCAAGCCATTCGTCTCTCTTCAAAACGTCTATAGTTTTGCATGAAGACGAGAGATAGAGAGGTCACAGACATCACTGCAAAAAGTTGGTTTGCAAAACTAAATTGACATGTTGTTTTTGCTGCTCAGGAAGAAGATGAGAGGGGAAAAGAAGTCGGCGTTTTTAAAATGAAAGGAAGAAGAAGAAGAAGATGAAGAAGAGGGTTGGAAAGGAAAGCAACCATGGCGAGATGTGCTAATGAATATGGGATTAGGCTGGTGGCAGAAGATACTCGGCCAGCTGCACATTCCCATATTGGAAGAATAAAGACGGATGGGGGATAGATTTCAATGGAAACCTTCTCATTGAAAAACAATTCGTGTTTACTCTCGAGAGCCAATTCAAAATCTGGGCGCGAAAAAGAAAAAGAAGAGCGAGTTGTGAAGTGGTAGCGGGAGAGAAAGTAATCCGATCGCGGCGACGTTTGAATGGGAGAAGTGTAATTATGCTCGACGAGCACCCACTTTGCAAGTCAACACATGTTCCTGAGCCACTCTGAACGAGGTGTCATTGCAACATATTGACAGGTTCGTTTTTCAAGAGAGAAATGAGGAAGAAAGAGCGAGAGAGGGAGAGAATCCTCACTATTTGTTGACGGACCGAAAGAGAGAGAAAGGGCGAGAGGAGGGAGAAGAGAAAGTGGAATTGAAAGAAGAGAATGGAAAAGGAGACGTTGCGAAAAGAGAGCGACAAAAGAGCGGGAGCGGTGGAAGAGACGCCGACGGATGGACGAGTCGAACGAAAACAAAACAATAACCACTGGGACCGTACGGGTGGCATTCGAAAGGTGTGAAGAGGGGGGAGAGAAGGAGAGTAACAAAAGAGAGAAAGAGAAATGGCGTCGCCAATTATCCTCACTTAGCTTCTCATTCTATATAAATCGTGCGTCTCCGAGATCTATCTGTCACTCTGAATAAACAACGTCAAGTTAGGATAATCTTCCTGCAGATGGCAGCTTTCCTCTTTTCTTCATATGAATACATAAATACTAAGGGTTTCTGACCTATTAAGCAATAAGAGCGAATGAGTTTTAACTTTTAAAAAAGTTCAGAGAGGATCTACAAACATTCTTGATCAGTTATTCTGTCAAATTTCACTTACAAAAAAAGTTACAAACTCATAAAACAAGCCACCCAACGCGTGCCCGTGCCCCTCGTGTCCGATGAAAAATGAGAAAAAAGAGAGGAAGCGAAAGAAAATAGTGTCGCGAAACACATGGATGATCACTGCGGAGAGCAAGAGAAGGGATTGATGAGCTTGCTCTCACTCTCTCGGCTCAAAAAGTTGAACATCTGTCGCATTTCCCTTTTTCCGCCCGTTCGTTCCGTTCCTTCTTTCCTCTTCACTGCACAATTTTAATTGATCCGAAGCAGAAATCGGTGGGAAACAGGCGTTTGAAAGGCGAACGGACGGGTCAGCGGAAAAGAGCGAGCGAGTGTATAAATATAAACAAATTTATTGCAAAACGAATGGTGATGACTGCTGTTAGAGGAGGGAATTTCCGTCGACGGAAACGGAAAAGGGAGTCGGTTAAACATTTTAATCGCTTCTATGCACAGACGGAGGGTTGCCTACGGAGTATTGGGGGTCTATTTGAGTACAGGAACAGACTGACGTTTCATTTCATTGTTATGAAAGAACAGTTGGTGAAAGTACTGCAGCCATAACATAGGACTTGGAGAAAATAGCTGGAGAGAAGCTGTTGGGGGACAAAATGACTCCTCCCAGAACCATCGGAGAGAACACGTCGGGACACAGAAACAATGGAGAAAGGACCAGAGGGGAAAGGACATAAGGGTTGAAGACGTTGGGCGACAGAACGTACGGATTCAGAATAAACGGAGCCATCACTAGCGGGGAGAATATGTACGGGGAGAGAACGTACGGAGAGAGAATGAAAGGAAGCGGGAAAGCGGGGGAGAAGATCCAGGGAGAAAGCACGGAAGGGTTGAGGATCAGTGGAGAGAATATGTTGGGGGAGAATATGACTGGACCGAGCACGGAAAGACCGTACACCGGGGAGAACATGTACGGGCTCAGGATGGTTGGATTTAGGGCCGAGTAGACTGTGAAGCCCCCAATTCTGATGATTGGACCTCTTTTGACTCTCCGGTGGGCAAACGGATACGCAATGTTCTCGATTGATTTCCAAAGAGAAAGAAGGCGTTCATCCTTGGTGTAGTTGCCGTAACTCTGCATTTCTGACTGCGTCAGAATTGAATCGGCGTCTGAAAGTGTGATCATTCTCTGTTAGCTCAACTGTCAACACCTACTGTACTTTCCGAAGAGATTCTCCATCTGTGGCATCTCCAAAAACGAGAATCCGCTCGTTTTCAAATCTTTCTTCTGTTCGGAATTCAACGACTTTTCCAGTCCTTCAAAATCTTTGCTCATATTATCAGTGGCAGACAACGCAGCGGAAAACTCTTCGTGGCTCTTCTCCGATGGTGAAACTGACGGTTTCTCAGGATTGAGAAGTTTGATCACCTGCAAAAATACGTTGCGATTGAGTTGTACTCGCAAACTGAACACTTTCATGGCTTCGTCCAAAATGGGTCGGGTTCTTGAGATTTCCATAAGAAAAGCCAACAATTTATCCTTTTCGGATCTTTCAAAGCCTGACTTTTCGATCAACTGGAAGTGGTAGTTGAGGGCGCTGATTGAAAAGGGGCGGATACCTCAGGAATGGGAAAGAGCTGTTCTTCTGCGTCGTCCTTGTAAAATGGGAATATTGACGGGGACAGGATTCCTTTCGAGTTGCTGGATGTTAATGGAGCTATTCTAGGGCTCAGAATTCTCGCGGAAATGCCAGTTTTCCGATTTCCAGTAACGGTGGAGAGGAGTGCGAGACCGTCTCGGATCAGCGGATGGCTCATCGGAATGGGAATCTGAATAGTTCAATTGTTGGTCAACCATCGGATAGCGTCAATTCACACCTTCATACTCTGCTCATCATCGTCGTCGTCGTCGTCAATCACCAAGTCGTACGCTCTCTGCTTATAGTTCGATACGTAGACGATCGGCTTTTTTCCAGATTCTTATTCAGCCTGAAAACAGTCTATCCAAAATGTCCCAGGTCCCCCGTGCCCTCGAGAACCGAAAGAACGCTTCGAACCGTCTATGGGAACTGACTGTTTCTTTTCGGATGACATGGGCCATTGGGTTTCTCTGCCAATTGTGTAACCAATTGTGTAACCAACAATTCAACTTTGATCGAATGTGCGTCATCAAGGGAACAGGTCTTTGTACTTTGCGTATTCGTGCAGGAAAGTTCAAAGTACAACGAAAATTCATGAATGATCCGAGACGTATCATCAGAACAGACTATTCATGTAGGCAAAGTGAGATTCAGTGCAAATTCTATCTTCTTTCACTTTCTTCTAAACATAATCTTTAACAGTCATCCCGATTCGAATTCTGATTTATAGCCCTTTCTTTTCCCGTCACCTCTTCAGCCGTCTGAACGTCGATGCCCATTTCTCCTCTGCTTCCGATGACGTTGTGTTCTTTAGAAGAGTCAGAAGAAGATTGGAGAACTTGGATATCGGACTGGACGAAGGATCTTTCAGTTTGTACGAAGTCTGGTACTTTATCTGCAACTATGAATTTCAAAAACAGTAGGAATGAACAGCAAGCTCACATAAACCTGTTTCTCTTGCAGACGATAACTTCGCTTCGTTCTTTTTTGCTTCGGGGAGTTCACTTCGTCTCTGAACCTTCACTGAAAATGTGAAAGTGCAATGAAAACTCACTTTTTCCTCTTCCATCCCAACTTTTTCAGTCTCATTTCTTTCATTTTCGCTTGAGTCAAACACATGGCAATCTTCTCGAGTTCTTGCGATTTCGCACTCACTTCCACTTTCCTCAGACACTCCAGAAACTTGTTTGAGCTCATTAAAGAATGAAAAATATGTGTGGAGACGAAGAGAAGGAGGAAGGACTTACCAGAATCCAGATTCTTCCGAACATCTTTGCCCAACTGGACCATTAACCTTTTCAAAGAGTACCCGTACCAATCATAATGAATTTTAGCTATTTTCCGTTTCTCAGGGATGGTTAGAAGTTGAGATCGTATAGATTCTGAAAGCTAGAATAACACATATGTTGAAATTCTTAAGATCGTAACCTGGAATGTCATTGGAATCAGCTACCGAGGCTAATACTGAGAAGCAAGGAAGTAGGAACAGACAGAGTGAAACCATGTCCACTGGATGAGAAGTGTGAAACGATCTAGTACCAAACACCCCGTCTGACCCATATCTTTCTTGATTTACGATATCATTTTTATTACCAAATAGTTAACTATGACAAGTTATCAGAATGAAAGGGAACACTGAGGCGATCGTCGGTAAAGGAATGAACTGACCAGTAGAAGCGGAAAGAAGCAGTTATTAGTGAGGTTAACGAGCAAGCGGCGATTAGGGTGCCTGAGCACTGGAAAGAACACGTAGATCGGAAAATAAATTGATACCTAGAACAAAGGAAAATACCAGTTAGGAGAGAAAAGTGGGCGAGAGCACATTGGCCATCACATACGATTTCGAAAGTACGGAGGGAGAGAGGACTGCCGGGACAGAATGGCACCTCCGAGAGTCATTGGGGAGACCACGTCAGGACAGAGAACCAGAGGAGAAAGTACCAGAGGGGAGAGCACGTAGGGTTGAAGACGTTGGGCGAAAGGACGTAGGGGTTGAGGATGAATGGAGCCATGATAAGCGGGGAGAACACGTAAGGGGAGAGGACGTATGGGGAGAGGATGAAGGGAATGACGACGGTGGGCGAGAAGACGTACGGCGAGAGGACGGCTGGATTCAGGATCAGCGGGGTGAAGAGACCGGGAGAGAGCACCTGGAAGGAATCGGTTTCGATCGGGGGGACGGCGTTGGAAGGAACTCACAGTTGGGCCGAGCACATTGAGACCGTAGATCGGAGTGAACAGGATGGGCGACAAGACTGTTGGGTTCAGAATATGAGGTCCCCAGACGGAAGACTGACGCTTCACACGACTCATTGTCGAGTTGGCATTCACTTTCTGAAATGATGTTCCATTCTATTTGAATTCCCCTCGACTAACCATTCCGGTAACTCCGTACGCAATGCTTCTGACCATATCCCACACCATCTCTTTCCTCTCCAACATCGTCATCATTGCGTACTCTTTCAGATTGAAAATGTCATCTCTGCCGCCGATTCCTTGCTCTGTCATTAGTTTTTCCATTTGTTTCGGATCGAGCAGAGTGAATCCGGTGTTTCTCATTTCCTTCTTCTGCTTCCGATTGTACGACTTCTGAATGTCCTGCACCATCTGAAGCGATTTCTTCGCATTGTCGTTGATGGCGAAATCGAGCTCCGGCATGTCGGTCGACTTGAGCATCTTCATCGCATCATGCACGATTCCCTTCACTCCGGACACTTCCATCACCAACTCGATTATGCTGTCTCGGTCTTTTCCCCGCATTCCAGTCGCATCCAGCATCTGAATGAAGGATGTAATGGATGTTAACATGATGGAAAAGATGATCATGAGGATACGGTGATAATGTGATGTCAATCTTTTGAACTTCTCACCTTCGGCAATGGAAGTATCTGATCTTCCGACTCGTCGTTGTAGAACGAAAGGATCGACGGCGACAGCTTCCCGCGATTCTCGTTTTTGTCGGGCATCACCGCAGCGAAGCGGGACTGGAAGAGTATTTTGTAGAGATCTTAGTAACTGTGAGCGCTGACATTCTTCCCTAATTCTTCTAACAATCTAAATTCCTCATATCTCTGCTGATCCCCCGAACCACTCCAAAATGTATCAAAAGCGCCGTGTTCGTCTCCCAAACACCACCATCATCGAAAAGTGAAAGGTGTCAAAACCTGCATTTTGCCTCATATCACGCTGGTGCCCTGCCGTTCGCTTATCATAACATTACACCTTTGCCCTCTCTTTTGTCTTCGATTATCTCCGATTTGTCTTGCAAATCACTCGTGGCGCGGCGGCGAGATGAAACAATCAAAAATGCAGAGATCGAACGAGCGAGGGGGCGGGGCTACCAGTTGGAGCGAGAAGTAAATGGGCCCCTGAGTACCTGAGTATCTTGATGTTCGAGTCGCCCTTCCGCTTGCTGTTCCGTTCGAGCGCATTCATCAGATCAAACGCTTGGCTCACCATACTCGGCATCTTCTTCTGAAGTTCGATCCGCTCATTCTCATTCCAATCGGATATGCTCGCTTACCTTCTCAAACACTCCAAAATCATCGGTCCCTGGCAGGTCCAACACCAGATCGTACATCCTTTGATTGTAGACACGAGCCCCCGACTCCTTTTCCTTTTCGTCCATTTTCCTTTTCAAATTGATCAGCGCTTTGTAGGTGTCTGTCCACGTGGGATCTCTGCAAAAGAATCGGTAGGTGCTTCAGAAAACGAAATCGAACTCACTCTGCGGTCTGATTCGTGAAAAATGCCCTGAGCAATCCGGTCACTCTCTCCACTGGTGACTTTGTTTTCGTTTTCAGCGCCGGCATTCTGTCCATTGTCTTCACGAAGAAGCCATCCGAATCGCTCTTCGAGACCGAATCCACCACGAGTCTTCGCAAACTTCTCTTCGTTCTTTTCGCCCATCCACCGTTCTGCTCAGACTTTCCGAGTCTCTTGCTCCTCCACTTTTTCTTGAACTCGGCTATCAGATCTTCCTTCTTTTCATTCACTCTCTTCTTCAGAAGTTCCATCTTCTTCTCGTTCTTCCATTCCCTCATCCTCTCGCTGACCGCTTCCTGGTTTCCCATCACTTCCCGGTAGGCGTTCCTCAGAATCTTTGCTTTTTCCAGAGACTTTCTCTTCTTCTCCAGGAGCGCCTTCTTCTGCGAATTCCACTTCTCGACTGTTCTGTGCTTCTTCTTCTTCACTTCCCACAGTGCCACTTTGTCCGTCGTGATTTCTCTCGTGAATTCGGGAAACTCTTTTTGAAGTTGTTTTTTGATTTCCATCCGTTTTAAGCTGATCTTCTTCCTCTCTTTGCGAGGGGATTCAATTCTCGTCTTCGTTCTGCAAGAAAAGTTAAAAAGTGAAGTGCTCAGCATATTCAATGTGTCATCAATCAGAATCAGCCGAAACTTATCCAAACATTCATCGCACGGCACGTACGGAAACCAAACAGCGCTCCCGCCTGCGCCGGCCAAGCGCGCCCGCCAAGCGCGCCGGCCAAGCCAGCATATTTCTTACCTTTTTGGCAGCCACTTCTTCTCGACATCGTACTTCTCACGAGCCTGCATCACGCATTTCGACGATTCGACAAGATCTTTTTTGTCGTGAACTTTCGAAAGACACTCCATAAACTCACTCTTGGTTTCTGAAAAGAATTCAAATGAATCGAGATCGAAGTGCGAATGCGTAAATACCGTCGGAAAGTCTCGGCAGAAGATTTCGGGACAGCTGGGCAATCAGTGCTTTCAGCGAATGCACGTACCAGTTTGTGTGGATCGTTTTTATCTGAAAACTGTCGTTGCGACTCTTTCTCCTTTCGGTGAATACCTTTTCGAATCCTTTCTGATCGAGTCGAACTTTGTCCAGATCCTTTTCACCGATTGGTTCTCCATTGGATCTTCCTGAAGGAACGGATTACGGTAACCGGCAGACTAATTGTTTGATTCCTTATCTCCGTCTTGACATCTATCACTCTCACTGTCTCTTTATCACAACTACAGTATCCCGTGAACTTATCACGAGAACTGTCAAAGATCCCTTTTGCTAGAATCTCTATTGAACTAAACTATCACATTTCAGAACTCATTGAACAGTAGTTACTATTCACACTAATAATATGTTTCCGAATAAAGAAAGTACACTTACTACCTTCAGAGTAATTGAGAAAAGTGCAGAACAGCAACAGCCAGACGGCCGGCTTCATCTTCGTCGTGTTTGTGCAGAGTGCGAGTAGTTCTTATGGTTCATCAATATGAATCGGTCGGCTTTTCGTAGGCGGCATGTCGGTGGGCGGGGCTTCTTCCCGGCATCCCGGGGTGTCGTCTTGACGAAGCGGAGAAGGCAGGCAAAAGAGGAAGAAAAGAGGGGCGAAAGGGAAGGGCTTCGGGTTCAAAATGATGTTCGATTAGGAGGATCGAGGAGACACTTTCAGGTCAACGAGTGATTGATCACAGCACAAAGACTGGAATCGGTTTGGGCGGGTCAAAGTTCTTTGCAGGTCATCTGGAAGAACAGAAACAAGAGAAGGCAGCGGGCTTCTGTTGAATTGCAATCCTCAGGAAGAAATGAGAGTTAGTACACGGCGATCCGTTGAGTTGCATAGTTTTTTATGTCACTGAATGTAGATCATTGTCGACTGGCTGAAATATACAGATAGTCGTTCAGCATCCGACCTCTACCGAAACAGATCCATCCTCCCTGCCTCCTAATCCTCTCCATCTCCTGCTTTCCCAATTTCAAATTCAGGTGAAATGCGTCGAGAATTCCTGCGCAATCGGCTTGTTCCGTTGATCCGCGAATTCTGTGTTTTTCTGGCTCAGGGTCACTCATTTCACTTCTCGAATTAACCGATCGCCTAATCCTGCCGCCCGTTTCGTTTTCGGTGCAAACTTTTCCGATTTCATAATCAACGTAATCCCATTGGCCCTAATCGCTTCAACTGAAAAGACTGCTATTAGGAGTACAGTTAGTTGAAAGTTCACGGGTGCAAAGATTTCGTAATCCGCCCCGAGAGTCTTGCGGTGAAATCGAGTGAAAGGCGGCAAAAGTTGGAAAGGATTATGATGTCATTGAGAGTTTGCACTCAAACGACCCGATTCCGAATTCGGTTCATATTCTCTAATGATTTTTGCAAAAATGAACTGCCATCTTCTATCACCTGACGACCAAACAACAACAATGATATCATAATCAGTCTCCGACCCGATGATGCCCTCTTCTTTTCATTCCTTTCCGTCCCTTATGCTCATAAATCTTCCTCGCACGCACCTTATCAGCTACCTCTTTCCCGCCAACAAATCGAGGGTTACGGTGGATAACCATGTACTGGTTCTGCAAGAAGAAGACGGGAAAAGCCGTAAAAAAGAGTTGATGTCATGTCGGAACACTCTTGCCTTATCTCCTCCCGAGGGTTAGTCTCATTCATTAGCTTCTGGATTCGCCACAATTAAAAGCTGTGTTTAGGGTATTCATAAAATGAACGATTTCGTTGAACCGGCTGGTCTGATCTAACCCACGCCGTCACACTCATTCATCAGTTTCATATCCGCTTTGGTGTTGCAGACGGGGTGGCAACAGAGGCGAATCGGAAGGACGAAAAGTGTCGGCGCCAGGGGTGATCGACCGGTGATAAAAGGTACGGGGTCTCAATGATCACAATGTTCATCAAAAAGAGACGGTTTTTGGGTTGGATAGTGAAACGTTTTGATAAGCAGGGGTACTGTAGGGAGGTCGAAAGGGGATGAGATGTCTAGGTAGACAAGATCTGTGATCAATAGGAAAAACGGCTTGAGTACAAATGTTTAAGTTCATTGTAGCGAGGTAGTGTAAGTTTAAGTCACTCACACAGTTCCCCAAATCGGGAGAACTCACCGTCCTCCACCAGAATCAGAACCAACTGAATCACTCTCATATTCTTCTTCTTCTTCTTCTCCTTCTTCTTCTTCCTCTCCCACTTCCAAATTCCACTTCAACCTCTTCTCCTCCTTCTTTCAATTCCGCTTTAATTACCCATAAAAGTTCGTTTTCCGTGTTATTTCTAGACGGTAATTAAAGCGGCCAAATGCGATAGCCGAGATCATCAAAAACCGTTTTCTTTCAATTTCTTAAAAGATTTCTCTCCTCAACGATCTTTAGAAAACTACATTATTATTTGGTTCAAAATGTATGGAAAGGGAAACGATTTTCCGAGTAAAAAATCTGGAAAATCGAGCCGTGCCGGATTTTGCTCTTGGCTATTTTGGACAAGTCAGAAGGAAACTGCGAGTGGAAAGACTGGTTCTGCTTCTCTTGATTGCATAATTCTCGAGGGGAGAGCAAAAACCAGATGGAGAGGAGGTCGATTGGTATGGGAACGATCAAAGAAACGACGGCTTGCCACCAGGCATCCAAAACGGTTCACCGGGTTACTGTACTCCGGTTCGCTCCACTGACAACAATTAATGGAGTCCTTCTTCTGTCGTGGTGCCGATTCAAAAAGGACACCCGCCCTCATCATCATTAATTTCTTCGGTGGTTCTGTTGCGGCCTATATTTTGCGTGTTTCCCAGATTTACTAATTTGGGATCTTCTCTGAATCATTGGAATTTTTGAAAATGGGTCAGACACGCTGATGAGTGCCATTGTTCTTACTCGGGGGGCAACAGACACGGCACAGGTACGTCTGGAGTGTTCGTTTTCACTTTCCGGGGTATTCACGGGCGGATTCCAGACAGATCAGCGACAAAGAAACGTTCGAAAGTCCTGTACGAACTCAGATTTGCCTCGTGGCGTCTACGGTGTCTTGTCACTTTAGAGTGTCGATGAGATCAATCAAATCGGCGTTCAATTTATCACTTCCGTGCACTTTCCTCTGATTGACCGTTTCTGATAGCAAGATTTGACACTTCTCTTTCCGATTTTCCGGTCAAAAATTTATGAGGTCATTGAAAACTTTAAGGGGATGTTATTCTTAGTTTGACACGTTTTATCATTGCGTTGAAGAGGGAGGGAATGGCAAAAGCCTTCATTGAAATCCAACAAGAGAACAACAAGAACTGTGCAATAGAAACCCATAGAAGAAGTGTCTAACTATACAGACAACACGTGGCATAGAGCAGGAAGACTCATACAATGTGTCTGGATAGTTTTCGAGTTCTCGTGATGTTGATCTCGCGAATGGTTGCCTGAGCCATGGCGCCGAGAAGTACCTCCGGGCACGAAACGAACGCGATGTTGGAGTTTTTGAAAGAGGCGCAAAGAGCACGGACCTGCAAGGAGTACGTTAGGGTACTGTAGTGCGGCAGAGAGCTTGCTCACCTCTTCCTGCAGTTTCTCGTTTGTTGTCACCCAAATAGTGTACACGCCTTGTGCATTCCGGAGCAAACACTCTTTGAGCATTGGAATATCAGTCGACGAATCTCCGCATACCAACACATTTCCCTCCTGAACAAATATACTTATTTCATTTAGTTTTGATTGCTTACAGTCAAATCACAGTGCATTTTCTCGCAAAGCATTCTGAGCCCATCTCCTTTATCGAACACTCTTCCGTCGTTTTCTGTCTGAAACTCATTTGTTAAAGGTCGCTTCACCGGTTCCTTTAAATCGTTACCTTCATGTTCACTTTGATATCAAATTCGGTGCTCGACAATTGAAGTCGTGTTCCCTGCGGATCCACATCATTTATAATTTTCTCAACCTCCTCGAATAATCGTTTTCCCTGTTCCTCACTAATGCTTTTGTACACATCCTGATACGCAATTGTCAAGTGACCGTAATGCTTCTGAAGACCAGATCCAACCCAGGTGAACGGGCGGAACTCGGCCTCCTCGAGAAGGTGCGAGATTCTGGTGAACGCCTGAAATAACAAAAAGTAATGGTAAACAGAGTTTTTCTGATTTTAGCTTACACTAGCCAGCACGTCAACTTTCTCTCCTTTCAGAATGGATTCATCCTTGAAATGGTGCCCGGAATCAATGAACCATTCACGTCCTCCGGAAGCTCCGAAGTAGTAGTAGCCGTTTGGAATTGTAGAGACGTCGAGGACTCCTGTAATGAGACAGATGACGTTCCGGATAGTTGCCTGATGACTCCTACCTATGTGCATGAGTGGAGCAGTAGTCAGGATCACACATGTTTGTGCACATCTACGAGCAAATTGAGCCTAAATAGTTGGGTGTCAGTGCTCAGGTAACGGGCAGTTTCCGGTGGAAACTCACTTGAATGACTCCAGAGTAGGCTGGCTGAATGCTGGACGGATAACTGCACGAGTAACTCTTCAATGTTCCATCTCTGTCGGTGAAGAAATAATGGAAATGATCAGCTTTGTAGAGCAGCTCGACGGCCTGAATAACAAGACAGAAAATCGAGCGAAAAACTAATCATGTCTGGCGTATGTGCTTATTATCCGCGCGCCGCACCACGTCACGCGATCGCCTTGACTACTTCAGAAGCCTTACATTTTCCACCTCCTTTTTGTATGTGTCGATCGAGATGGGATGCGAGCTGATGAGAGTCTGTAATAAAGAGAAATTAGCATTTGGGAGGTGGAGCTGGGGAATCGGCAGCAACAAAAAAACAAAGACGAATAAGACGCTTATTTATTGAACATAGACGAATAATTGTTCTGAACTAAATATGAGAAATACGAAAAAGCGATGACATTCATGGATATTTAAGGGAATGATTGGATAATCAGAAAGTCTCACAAACAACCGCGCTCTGCTGAACTCTTCAATTCAACAGAACGCAGATGCGGCATAATCTATAAGAAGTACGAAATGTGACTATTTCTTTCTAACTTCCTTCAGATGGTTGGAAACCCAAGTGATTCCATCGTTGATTCCCTCGTTTCTGACAGCCGAGCAGGCTTGGATGTGCCACGGACGGTCACGGAGCAGGCTGAGCTTCAGTCTAAGACAACAGGGGAAATCAACCGAATGCTCACGGAGCACTCACCGTTCGGAAATATCTTCTGCAGTGGCGGCAGTCGGGAGGTCCTGTTTGTTGGCGTAAATTAGCACGGGCACCTTGGCCAGCTTGTCCTCATCGAGCAGATCGCCGAGTTCCATGTTCATCTCATCGAATCGTTTCTTGTCGTTGCTGTCGATCACGAAGATGAGCGTGTCGATATTGTCGAAGTAGTTGGCCCAGTAGGGACGGATCGACCGCTGCCCTCCGATGTCCCACACATTCAGCCGGATATCGCCCATTGCAGCCACTGTTTTGACGTTGAATCCCTTCGTCGGCGTCACATGAGTCACGTCTTCCGACGACAACTGCTTCAGTATTGTTGTCTTTCCCGCGTTGTCGAGTCCGAGTAGAAGAATACGAATCTCGCGTCCACTTGGGGATTTGAACGACTTGAGCACATCTATGAGACCCATCGAATTCAGGTGAACGCGCAAAGAGTGGGGAGAGAGGAGCGAGTGAGCAGGAAAGAGTCTCTCTCGGCTGGCTTTCGGCCGACCGTCGTCATGACGACACGCTGCATGCTTTCTCGCGTGCTCCGTCCCTTTGCTCCGTGGCCCGACATTAAGTTGCCTGCCGCTACGAAGCGTGTCTTTCGTCGGATTCTCTCTCGCCCTATGCTCCCCCTGGGTCTCGGACGGAAAATGTGAGTCAGTCGAAAGCGGAGGGAAGATGGCGTGAGACACGGGCAGCAGACATCAGTAACTATAGGAATTGATGAGACGGGATTTCGATTTCGAAATTTGCGATTAGTAACCGGCAGAGATGTTGAGAGGGAAAAGTACAAACAACATTATTAATAATCTCATAGGTTAAACGGAACGGGAACGAATTACCACGTTGCAGATTACCAAAGGGACTTTTTTTTAAATTCACGTCGTCCTCTTCAGGATGTGTCATCGATTTCAGGTGACCCCTGATCATAAACCGAATTTCTTTCTCGTTTTTTGGAACCCGACCCTTGATGGCGCGTCTTCTCGAATCCTCATCACAAGGGTTCAGTTCCTTCCTCCTTCTCCTTCTTCTAGTTCCTTCCCAATCGGTTTCACTTCGCTCTTTCCCTTCGTTTTTCTTCGTTTTCTTCTTCTATCTCTCTCGCTCTCAAGTGCACTTGTCTTCACATTCCATTCTTTTATCCCTCTATCGCCCAGTAGAATTGTGGCGCCCGGAAGAAAAGTAGGTCATGAACTGTCATGAAATAAAAGTGATTGACCATTAGCAGGCAGAGTGCCACCTTCCGAATTCGTTTCACCGCTCCTACAAATATTTCACTTCCAAGGCCAAGGACGGATAGGTAAGCAGGCGCGAGGAGAGAATCCGATCAGTAGCGTCTTTATGGCAGACATGGCACCACGTCTTCTCGTTCTCTTCGGCATTCTGGCACTCAGCCACGTTTCTCTCGAGGCTGCTGATATTTGTGAGATATTGTACGTTCTTTCTATGCTCTATTCTACGATATAATGCCAATTGCAGAGATGCCAACTATTGCTTCTACTTCTCGGATTCTTCCTGCTACATCAACCTCTGTCAGTGTGAAGCATGTGCGAAACCAGACAAAGCCCAGAGACTCCTGGAAGAGGCGCCCGGCAACTCGACTGCTTCGGAGAGATTGTGCCCCACTTGGTGTCCACATCTCAAGTCAAACGAAACAATTGCGAACATCCTGGGTGCATCCGTGAGTCGCACTATTGTCGCTCGCTGTTTGTGAGCCACTTCTTTTCAGACCAACTCAACCGAACTGCCTGACATCTCCTTTGAATGCGACGACTTAAAAGAGAACTGTTTGGCAAAGAAGGGATATAATGGGCACTGTTACTTCTACGAAAAGAACTGCGAATACCGGGCGGAGATTGCCAAGAGGGGAAAGTCAAAGGTCGGTCGCTCGTCGCGAGATCGATCGTACAATTTCTCACGTGTTTTCAGAAGTCTTCAATTCCAAAAACCGCTGAGGAATGTCTTAAGCATCAGAAAACGTGCAGCAGAAAATACAAAAGACACTACAGTTGCAAGACGTTCAGAAAGTACTGCAAGAAGTACGATCTTCCAGAGCTCGAAGCCGGCAACTCTACTCTCATCGGGGTACGGCTCTTCTACAGAACGTCTTCTTCAGTTTACTCATTTCCAGAACAACCACACTTCCGAAGTGAGCCCATTGGAGCAGTGCTTGCATTTCCAAAAGATCTGCGCCGCCAAGTACCGCAAGCATTTCGCCTGCCGTCAATACCGCAAGAAGTGCAAGCCGTTCAATCTACCAGAAATCCATTTTGAGGATTCTGAAGTCACTCAAAAGCCGCAGCGGCAACACAAACAGATGAAGAAAGGACACGGAATGAGAAAAGAGCACAATGAAACTGTGGTGCTCCCTGACGAGCTGAGCACAGGAAACGAGACATTGGTGGAAACGCTTTTGGAAAGGAACTAGAAGTTTGAAATATTAAGTGGAAAAAAAGTAATAAAAAGTGATAAAAACTGGAGAAATGACTCACATCGACGAATTGTTCCACATTGTCCGCATCCTCGCTCTGCACGTACTCAATGAAAGAGAGATCTCTCTCGAATTCCTGCAACTCGTTGTCTATTTCGAAGTGAGCCATTTCGGAAGAGTCCGCCGCCGACTTGAACTCCGCCGTGTGCGTTCCCGGCTTGCAGATCTGCTCCAGAGACTCTTTCGCGTTGCGGAGAGAGATTGCAAAGTGACTGCGGATCGGGATTCCCTTCAGAACTCGGCCCACTATCTGACGGCGGACATTCCGCGTTTTCATCATCAAAGAGAAGAAATCATCGAGAGTATCAATCTGAAAACTGTTTCAGTGGACCTCAAATTCATTCTTCAAATACCTGAGTTGGTCGGATAACTTCATGGGTCCAACTTGGGTCTAGGAAAGCACTGCTCCATCTTTCGATATCGTTGGCCATTATGAACTCGTGCAGTCGCTTTCCATGCTCCGCACGCACGTCTTCTGGCTCTAGAGCGGCCGCGTAGAAAGCATCGCAGTACGCGTCCGCATCGAATACATTTGCGATTCTGTGATAGTTCCTCTCTCCTTTTTCCAGGTACAGTCCGGCAGTCGTGAACTGAATCTCCGAGCCTGCTCCTGTCGACAGCACTAATCCTGCCTTCGGATTGCAGACGAGCATCTCCTTCGCAACCAGATTCATTCCGTCCTTCTTCGGGGTCACCACTCCGATGTCCATCGCCAAGTAAGCAGCCACCAATTCACTTCTCTGCATTCCGTCTGTCTGGAATACCAACGGCTTCCATAGTGGATTGTTGGGATCCTTGAAGGTCTGATTGATAGTTTCAGCCAGATCAATGCATTCGTCCTGATAGACACGATAAGTGTCCACACTCCTTCTGTTTGTCACTGCAATCTGGTAGAGAACGTCCTTTCCGATTCTGTCCGGATGTTTCACAAAATATCTCTGGTAGGCTTGCAGTTTCTCCATGATTCCTTTTGTGTAATCGAAACGCTCGACGGAGAAGAAGAAGCGTCCGTCGGCTGGTGGATTCTCTCCCATCACCTTCTTCCGAATGTCTTGCTTCAGTTTGATGGTCTCCGGGAGATCGACAAACTTCAAAAAGTCATCGTTCTTGATGCTCACGGGAAAGACTCCGAGAGAACACGTCCAGCCCTCATTTGTCACTGAAAACAGAACGAGAAAGTTACAGAAACTAGTAAAAGTGTTTCACCTGAGTAGATATCCATTTTGTTGTCGTAAACAATCTTCGCAGTTCCCAAATAATGCTGCACCAACTCAATGTACTTGGTTCTGTCGCGATGAGTTTGGAAGCCGACTTTGGTGAATCTGAGCAGCCCTCTGAGCACCGCGAATCCGACGGTCGAGTACTTGGAGAAGAACTCTCCGGGCGGCTGGAACGGGATGTGAAGGAAGAATCCGACCTCGAGATGCTGGTCCAAAGACTGCATAATCATTCCGACGAGCATCAGATGGTAGTCGTGAATCCAAATGAAATCCTGCGGACGACTGTTTCGGACGGCATCAATTGCGAACTGATAGTTGACACGAACGTACGCGCACCAGTGAGCTCTCAACTGTTTTTCGTCGTTGTACTCACTGACGATGTACTCCGGAAGGTTATGGAGAGCCGGCCAGAGCAGACCGTTGCTGATGCCTCCGTAGTAGACATTGTAATCATCCTCCTGCACGACGACCGGATTCAGTTTGTAGTTGCCTCTGTTATAATTGTTGAGAACACCGAGAAGGGACATTTCCTCGCGGGCTTTCTTCTGTTTCTCATTCTTTGGCGCGTCCATGTCGTCGTCTGCGAGCACGTGGAAAAATACTTCGGCGATGGTCTGTTTGATGAGCGGAAGGCCGAGCGTGTTCGTCGAAGGAATAGAGAGCGATTCAGAGGTGGAAACCACGGATCCTCTTCTGAAAATAGCCTGATTGGAATGACATTGTCGACATTTTGAAGCTCACTTTTTCTGTTTCTTATCGTTGATATTCATTCCTAGGTTGGCTAGCCACAGGTTCTCGTGATCTTTCGACATCACTGGATCCACACAAGCCACCAATCCTCCGGAGCCCTGTTTGATCTCCCAGTCTCCAGTCTTCTCTCGCTTCAAGGACACTGGTGGGGCATTTGAGACGTTAATCACACGTTGCTGCAATAAAGATTGGAGAAAGAGAAGGGCCAGCAGTCACACCTGGAAGTGAGGAGTGGCCAACCCGCTCCTCGGCTTCTTCGAATCTTCCTCGCCCTCGCTCTCTGAATGGTTCCCGGAACGGACGTTGAATCCTGAAGTTTACGATCATAAGAGTTCCATTCAAAAGGACCAACCTTCTTCTGCTTCGCTGTCACTCGAAACGCTGCACAACGAGGTGTGTGACCCGAATCTCGCCAACTTCTTCTGCAAATGGTGATATCGCTCTCCGAATTGCTTCGCGTTCACACCCAACAACGATTTTCTGATTCCCGGGACTGCTGCGTACAATTCTCTAAAACTTTCTCACTTTACAGAAAGGATGAGGTGTAGGGAATACCTCAAGCGATTCTTTCCAGTGTTCACATCGTACAAAGTGAGCGAAAAGAGAAGGGAGTCACGAAACTTAGTCCCTCTTCCGAGATCTGAGTCAAAGACATAGCCGGCACAGTGTCTGAAAGGGGACGGTCATTTCAAAGCAAAAAAGAGTGAACGAAAGACTCACTTCCAGAAAATGACAGTATTGTATCCGAGAGAAGTGACGAACACCTCGAAGACTTCGTGTCCGTCAAACACGTGGCTCAGACAGTACTCGAGAATTAAAAGCATTCCTTTGAGAGCCAGCTCCGACTTGGCGTCCCTTCTCTTCCATGCCAATGTCATCGGTTCGGAGACGGAGGAGATTAATTGATGTAAAGTCGCCGTCTTTTTGTACTCGATCTCGAGTAAATCCAACAGATGCCACAGCTCTTTCTGCCGTTGCTCATCGCTCACCGGATTGTCTTTCATCGTCTGGGAAAATGGCTCCCGAACTTTCCGTTCCGGGACTTCGCTTCCCATTTTTGTAATCTGCAATTATTCTATAAGCAGTGAGCAAAGGAGTGATTCCAAAATATTCAGAACAAGACAGAACAGTTGATGATCATGTGAAATGCATTCTTTTTCAACTTTTGACCTCCTCTTTCACACACTCGTACACAAACAAATTGGCGCGCACAGTTCAGTCAGTGATTCTGTCGATTACACACGTACCTGTGGTGATAAACATGGCAAGAATGAGAAGGGAAAGAAGAAAAACGGTTGGAGAAGGGAGACCGTCAGATAAAAACATATTTGGGACGAACAGATACTATTACTATTTGATTGAACCTTTGAAACTAGAAAGAACTATGAGAATGATAGGTCAGGAAAAGGCTCGAATGAACATCAAACCAGGAAGATCCGAAATATAAAGAAAAGAAGTTTCGGATCTGTTTATATACTCATCAAAGTGATCCTTCTCTCCTCCAGTCAGTCCCGAGAGAAGCACCTGGCCTCCTGGACCTTCGACATCCGACTCTTTGCTCTTTCCTCGCCACACAACTGTTTCTTTTTTCGTTCTTTCGATTCAATCACGTGCACTTCTGAGCCGAGAGGAATAGAGATGGAAAGAATGAGTTTAAAGTGGGGTTTTGGCGCACTTTTCACTTCTCCAATGAGATGACATTAGTGTTTAGGTCTAGGAAGAAACGCAAACAAACATTTGGAGCGACAAAGACATTCTGGTGAAAAACGACGGTGGAACGGGAATGATAAACTCTTTCTTTTTCTCTCTATTCCTCTATTTTAATGACGATTTTGTCGCCTATTAACTGATGAATCGCAACAAAACATTGGCGAGAGAAACATATAAACGCGTAGATAAGGTCAGAAAGGAAAGTGTCTCGAAAGAGCCTTCTCGCCGTGGGGAACACAAACGTATTCTCGGCCGTAGGAACGAACGGAGAGTGATAAGATTATGCATATGAATGGTGGCAGTAGTCAAATGATGATGTTGATTTATCAGAACCGGTCACTGATAGTGATATCGATCGGGACAACACAGACTGGACACTTGCATCATAATGCAAATTGAAGCTGCTTCCGGTAGAAATCTTTCTATTTTTAGAATGTCTCCCTTCTAAAAATGACCGTAAAAACACTTTCAAAGAATAAGGGAACATGCTGTCGCAATGACGTGGAGGGATTGAAGATTAAAATGTTTAAAAGATGACGTGAATGTCTTGTTCGTTGAATTGAATACGGTTGAGGATTCATACACTGTAGTTATCACAAAGTTGGTCTCTCAATTTAAAACTCGTTCTTTACGTTCATTTATTTATTACAAATTATTTACATGAGATGTTGAAGATTACTCAACCAAAGTTACATGGGGATTCACAGCTAACTCCATCGGCCGAATCTTGTTCTCATGATGGATGTGATGCACGAATATATGATTGGGAAGGTGCATATTGACTGTCGGACGGCTGTTTCCCAGACTGAATCTCTGCGTTTTTGAGTTGACAAGAGTGGCGAGTCGATCCGTGTCGCCGACTTGAGGCATGTCGTGGTGGGACATCCGACGCTTCGAGTGATCGTATTCATTTGTATGACGGACGGCTTGGTCGGCTGATTGAACTCTTCAAAGAACGAATTCAGAACATGATCCCGACTAGAAGTGGCTCACCTGACAACGTTCGTAAGCTTCGGAGTTCTTGAGAAGAGGGAAAGTGCCGCCGGTGGTTTGAACTGTTGATTCGGAACTGTTTCGACTGGCACAATTGCCGAGGAAGCAGAGGCCGCGGCCTTACTGGGCTCTTCCATTATCATGGAGAGCTTGCGTTGGTGTTGTTTCTCGAACGAACTCGAAGAGAGTTCCTGAGAGAACATGGACACGCCCGACGGTCTCCTGTTCTTGCCGGCCTCAACACTCTCGTGATACTTCTTGGCGGTGTGCGCATAGCTTCCTTGCGGGGCATTTTTCCCTTTTCGAGAGAAAGTGTACAGCAACCACATCCTGTCCCGAGTGTTCCGGCTAATAGAAAGAACAGCAATCGGAGTGGCCAAAGTGGAAAAGAGAACTCCGAAGTGCCATGCTCCGACAGAGATAAGCGGGGAGATGCAGAAGTAAATGAGCAGTTGGGGGACTATTATTGACAGCTGGAAAATAAAAAAAAACTAGAGAGTGTTATTCATAATTCAACTGATTGTCAGCAAAACAAGCAGTTAGTCAGAAGTCTTACCTCATAAATTCCGAACACCAGTGAACACATGAGAAGGAGCTCCCGATCTCCATGAATGTCTGCTCCCTCCACTTTGACCATACTCTCTCTCCGAACATGTGAAGAGCCAACACGAACGGACAGAAGAATCAGAAAGATGATAACGATAGGAATGACGATTCGCACACGCGTCAGAAGCTCCGTGAAGATGGACGAGAAGATGTTGGACACGGCGCAAACAATCTTGATGCACTGGTCCTGCTGGTTGATGTGGGAATCACACTGGAAGAAAGCGGTGAATCCGGCCAAGAGAAAAGCGATGATCCACGTGGAAACGAGTGCATAAAGGACATAAGAACGACCCCATTCGACACTTCGCGTCTTGTTATTCCAGTAGAATTTGAAACAGAAGATGGCCAAGTACATTACGAAAATGAGAAGGGCGAAGCCGATGAAATGATCTATCCAGGCAACAATAGCGAATATTTGAAGGACAACGGAAGAGTTCTGCAAAACGAGACTACATCGATCAAAGATCATGGACAACTCGAACTCATTTCCACCCAATTACCACTTTCACCTGCTCTCCTCACTATACACCGAGCATTTCCCCCCACCTTTTGTCTTTTCAATAAATGATATCCGCTGGCGAGCATGTGCAAAGTATTGCTGATACATAACAGGGCTCCAGTCACGCATAAATGGAATAGCAGTGCCATTTTCATTCCCTGAAATTGGAATGTGTTTGCGTGACTAACAAAGCGACTCGAGCTCACCCAGCGGTACTTCTTAATCACATTTGCCAGAAGAATGTTGCTGGCGAATGCGGCCACAAGGAGCAAAGCGTAAAAACCAAGGACGACGGAAAGGAGCGAGTCGGAGTAGGCTTCGTGAATTTCAGATGGAGTTGAGGACTGAAATGTGAAATGAATATGAGTGATAATGGAGTGTTGTGCGGACTTACAGTAGCCAGAGGAGATCTGGTAGTGGCAATGACGGAAGGTTTTTGGGTCGAACGGGGCGTCGAATCGTCATCTTCCCAGTACCAGTGCCATCCGCTCGCATCCTTCTCCCACCAACCACTCTGGCCGTGTCCCCACACCTCGTGACCATGAGGATGACCTTCAGAGAAGTCTCTAGGATCCCCCGGATACCATTCCGTGTACTCATATTCTGAAGATCTTCTTCAGTAACTTTGCAACTTTAAAGAACTCACCGTCCACTTTGGAATCATAGGGAAAAAAGAAAGTAATCACCTTCGAAACCATGTTAATATTCTCGGCAAGCATGCTGGCTCACAGAGCTCACCGAACCAAATGAGAATGAGAAATGTGCTCTGCCCCGAGGCAGAGGGAGAGGCGTGGCGTCGCACGGCGTCTTGGAGACAAAAACAAGTTATCAGGTGCACTGGACACGCTTTTTCACATGTATCCCTCTGCTCGTGTTTTCGTATAGATCTGGAAGGCTCTGATTAACTTTTTTCGGAATCGTAGTCAGCGTGGTCTGTGATCATGCGGAAGTTTGACGGCAGACCGAGTAGGTGGTAATGAGATTCCACCGAGAATGCGCAAGATCTCTAGGCACAGAAATCGAGCGCAACTGATTAAATTGTGGGAAAACACGGAGCACCGCTGAAAATAGAACGTTTTAGTGAAAAAGAGCGTGGGAATCACGAATCGGGACATCTGGAATCCGAAGGGTAAATTATTGTCCGAATTTAGAAAGGAGCAGAGAATAGTGAATTCAATCAGAAGACATTCTTTCTAGCCAGACCGTCCTTTATCATTTCAAAGACGTCTGTTTATCAGAGCTGATCAAAGCTGACCAATGTACATATCTCACGTCAAACAAAACCTCTCGCATTCCCATCGAAGTTGTACTGACTGCACTGACTAGTGAGCCATGCAAAGAGAACAAACTCCGGCGCCAGTTGTCCCCCAAGTACCAAATCAGTGCACTTTCTCTGAAAGAATTTCAATCTGTGCTCCGTCCTTGCTCCGACGTGCTTTTGTCGATATAATTATCTCCGGCTGTCACCCTGTTCCGCGGAATTCACAACCTCTCTCTCAGGCGGCATAACAAAAACAAGAATCTGAGAAAGAGAAAAAGGTGGCAGCGGCTCCCTTCCCGATCCGAAAAATCCATCTAACATCGGGAGCACATGAATTATTCGGCCAGGGGTAATCAAGTGATTCGGTCTGATTGGACATGGAATGAGTTATTATGCGGGCACTGAAAATGTGATTTCTGATGACGCTTGGAGAATATTGCAATATATGTTGATATGTCAAAAGGCATCTGATTCATGTTGCACGTCGTTGAATGGACAAAGAATTCGGGCAAGAGTGCTTTATTGTTGTTATCAGTCAGATGGTCATCCGGTAATATACAAAAAACGGTTCGTATCGTGTGGCACTTCAAGCGCTCTTCTGGTTGTTGAGGAGGGCGGACGGTCTGGCGAAGGCACGTGGAGCATCCTCCTTGTTCTTGTTCGATCCCCAAGCCCAGACGGACGGATAAGCGGCGGCGGCGACGTACGGAGAGTAGACGGATGGGTAGGCGTACGCGGAAGGAACGTAGGCAGCGGAGTAGGCAGGGACAACCACTTGCTGCTGGGATCCGATGATCATGGCGCAGAGAAGGACGGCGGCGAAGCTGGAAGAGAGGATTCAGAATGGAAGATCGGAAGGGCACTTACCACTTGGCGAACATGTTGAATTGGATGAGAGAGCTACTTGGAAGTGGCAATGTCTTTCTGCCAAAGAGTTTACCGTTTTATACCTGGCCACAAGCATCAGAGAACCAAGTGACAAACTAGTTCCGGCTCACTTGAAACGTTTTTCATGTGCTACTATATTTATTCAATAGTTGGCACATGCGTACGTCTTTCGCGGTTTATGCGCTAAAAAGTAATAGGTACGAGCAAATATTGACGTTCCCCTTTGCGCCTCCTCCTCACAATTTTGCTTCTTGTGTCGGTACATGCAAACAGAGCCAATGATCAGCATTGATGTTGCAACTCGAAAGCACAACTGAAACCGGACCAAAGTGTACCACGGCACATGTATAAAAGAAGGGAATTTCTGAAGGAAGACATTGCCACTTCCAAGTAGCTCTTCCATCCAATTCAACATGTTCGCCAAGTGGTAAGTGCCCTTCCGATCTTCCATTCTGAATCCTCTCTTCCAGCTTCGCCGCCGTCCTTCTCTGCGCCATGATCATCGGATCCCAGCAGCAAGTGGTTGTCCCTGCCTACTCCGCTGCCTACGTTCCTTCCGCGTACGCCTACCCATCCGTCTACTCTCCGTACGTCGCCGCCGCCGCTTATCCGTCCGTCTGGGCTTGGGGATCGAACAAGAACAAGGAGGATGCTCCACGTGCCTTCGCCAGACCGTCCGCCCTCCTCAACAACCAGAAGAGCGCTTGAAGTGCCACACGATACGAACCGTTTTTTGTATATTACCGGATGACCATCTGACTGATAACAACAATAAAACACTCTTGCCCGAATTCACTGAATCGTCATCAGAAACCCCACTTTTAGTGGCCGCATAGTAACTCCGGTGAGACTGGCAGAAGTTGGAGAATCGACTGGCGGACGGAGAGAATCTGAAAAAATGGAGGGCTGAGAAGTATTTGCCATTCTCTCCAACTAACCGTCTTTCCTTCGAGCACGCGTCTCGGTATCCGCGGCGCCTTTGTGCAAAACGGCGAAATGTTCGTCGAGATGCTGAAAATTTGCGCTTTGTAGAAGACAGCAGATAATGATTCGTTTTTACGAATTCAAACAGGAACAGAGACTATAGTCAACAAAAGAAGATAGAACGACTTGAAAACGAGTGAATAACGCAAAAAATTGATAACACTTGTATTGTTGGCAAAGGCGGTCCAACATAATAGAACTGGGCAGAATAGAACAAGGTTTAAAAGGCGCTCAAAACAGTTATATTGTGGCCGGTTCTATTGTGTCGCGGTTCTATTAGTTCTATTATGTTGGACAGCCGTTGGCAAAAGTGGTGGAAAAAAATCTCGGATTTTTCATTTCAAAATCGAGTCCGGCTTTAAGAACTTGGCCGCTGCGGATGTTTAGTTCGTAAATTTACAGTATCATACAATCTATCTATCAATTGCAAAAAGTTCTAAAGAGCCTCTTTATTAGTTGGTTCGAAGCGAGAGGTCGAATAAATACAAAAGAATCGGGACAATTATGTCGACGAATGGAGAGAGAGATGTTCGTTTGTCTAGTAGTGTTCGATGCAAGAAGCGAGATCATTGAGGACTGGCAGCTGATACTCCGACTCCATCGACATCTGATTGACAGGCATGAATGCTCCGTAGTTGTTCGGAGCATAATACGGCGGCTCTGCGATGCGCTCGACGATGATCGGAGCAGTGGCCTGGACGGGAGTCTGAGCACTCTAAAGCAATAAAGAACACGTTTATGAATTGTGATGTGATCGAACCTTGATGAGACCACGGAATCTCGAAGTGACGACCGGAGAGGCGGGCACCTGAGTGACATCCTCGGTCGTCGTCACTCCGTTGTCATCCGTGTCCTCCGGGCGAGCAATCACTGCCTGCGGGACAGAGTTGACCAGAGTGTACGAGTTGTGGTGGGCGTAAGAAGCAGGCAACGACTTCTGGGCGTCGTAAATGAACTTGTTGTCGTTCGCCATTCCGATGTATTCCGATGGCTGAAAAGTGAAATTCATTAGGAACTTCAAAGAATCTGAATCTTACTCCGGTGTTGAACGCGTATTTGGCCTGAGCAGGAGCCGGGATGTAGGCCTCGTAGGTTTCCTGCGGAACCGAATCGGTGACTGGAGCAGTCGGAGTAGGAACTTCTTCCACTGGAGCCGCTGGAGCTTCCGGGATATCCTGGTAGACATCTCTCGGGCGGTTGAAACAGTAACCGGACTCCTCGTCGTCGTACTGAAATCACTCCAGGATTCCAGGAAGACAATAAATTGTGAGCCTACCATTCTCTGGAGAAACGGTGCTCTCTTCGGAGCAGCATTATGCACTTGCGGAGCAACGAACGTCGGTTCGACGGGAGCCGTGGCAGGAGCCGAGACAGGCGACGAGAGAAGAGCCGATTGCTGCTGGATCTGCAACGCTTGGAGACGAGCCAGAAGTTGCAGGTCTAGGTCCGCGGCTTGCGGAGACGGAGCAGCAGGGACCGGAGTAGGAGCAGCACGAGATGGCGAGCTGGTGTAGTTGAGCAGGTAGGACTGCGGAATGTCCGTCGGCCCACCGCCGTAGTAGTTTGAGTGAACGGCCGGTCTTTCCGGGACAGCCTGTCTCTCCGGAACTTGACGAACAGGCGAGGACGGAGCAGACGAGGAAAGCACCGAACGGTAGATGCGGATGGCTTCCTGGATCTGAGCGGGGGTGAGCGGGTCCTCGGCGATCGGAGTGGTGGCGGGGATGGCGGCGGCGGCTGGAGAGACTGAAAGGGAGCGGATCGAGAAGGAACGGTCCGGGAGAACACTGACCAGTCTCTTGCGGCTTGTCCGCAGGCTTTTGATCAGCGTAGAAGCTTTTGGCGAACGACATGTCTGATCGGACGAAAGGTGCTATTTGGTTTGAAGACTGATCGGATTGCAAAGTCCCGTTTACGATGACCGCCACGCCGAAGAAGACACTGGGAGAGCACGTCAATTTGTTGTTTTCGCAATAGTTTTTATTGTTTGTTTGAAAATTGAAAACTCTGACAATGGAGCGTGTTAGCTGTCCGTATTTAGTTCCTCATCCTTCTCTCGTCTTCCTTGTTTTGGTGAATATCGCTCGTTCCGCTATTTTCATCCGTTCTCGCTCCGTTTTTGTGTGATTTTATGTTCGCGGATGCATTCGAATAAAACCTCGTTCCGCCCATCTTGATGTCTCCCTCCGGGCCAATGTTTCAGAAGACATCGCCCGGTCAAAAAGAGCGACGACGCCATAAAGAAAGGGCGTCAGACGGCAACCGGAGAAGGTGATTAGGGATGAGAAGAGGCGGAAGGAAGGTGGCCGCCCGTTTGTAACATTTTACGAGCCACCAAATGTCCAATCGAATTTCATTTATGTTTTAGGTGTGTGCGGCGGTTGGAAGATACGAATTGGGAGCCGCGAGCGGGCACTATTTTTTGGGTGGCTTGCCACTTGAACGGAAATTCGACAGAGGCGTCGGCTGCAGCTGACATTCTGAAGGAGAAGAAAAGGGGCGGGACTTCGAGCGTGACGGAAAGACCAAAGAAGAGACGGGTCAGTTGAGAAAGCAACAAAGTTTCAAGGTTTCTGCTCAAGAGTACCTCGAATTGCAGAGCGCGCTCTTCTTCGCATTCAAGTACGTTCCGCTCGGAGCGCTTAATTGAATTGAAAAAAACACTAGCGAGAAAACGAACGGCTCGATGACATCGTCACAATTTCAGCACTTCCTCTATCCGCTTTACTTCGGACCCCCATCCGTAAACATTCCGCCGAGTGAACAGTCAGCACTCGCTTGCGTGAGCAGCGAAGAAAAAGAATAAGTTTCCAACTCCTTCCTGTCTTTCCCTTTCCCCTCGAGATATTTTATGGTCCAAATCAAATGTATTTCCGGCGCCGCCCGTCGGCTCTCTCTCTCTTCTTCGTTTTTCGCACATGTAACGTGTGTTTCTTTGTCGTTTTCGGTCGACTGGGAAAGAGTATTTCCGTTTTTTTTTCTCATTTTCAACATTACCTTTTCCTAGCTTTCATTCGAGGAACCGGTTTCACAAAACGCAAAAAGCTGAAAATATTTAGATATTCATTTGAAATCGGTTGGTTCCTTTGCCGAAAGGCACAATTGGAAAGGGAATCAACGAAAACAATCCGACTCATTTATTTCTCGGACCTTTCCTTTCCCCGGCGGCCTTCCTTCTTCTCCGTCTTCTTTTGGGGGGCAAAGAGGAATTCTAATTCAATTTGTGCTCACAAATGTTTCACTTTCTCGATTCTTGATGCACTCTTCTTTGCGATGCCCTCTCAGATTTCAATTTCCAGTTTCTTTCAGGGTAGGCATTGATGTCGAGTGGCCGTGATTCGGCCGTCTTGCTCCTCAATTTACTCGTCGTACTCGTTTTCTCATCAGGTATATTTCATAGAGTTTAACAGCTGGGGTACGGTAGGCTTGCGTGTGCTCCAATACTGATAAAGCACAAAGTTCTCGGGTACTAAATGTTGTTTTTTTGCTTACGAGAAAAGTAGCGTTTTTCTGGAGAAGGTAGGACGTCTTGTCACAAATTTGATGTAAATTTATGTAATGACAAGGGGAAAGTGATCAAATATGTGCTAGGGCTATGTAAAATACCACGGACGAGTAATCTGAAAGCCGAAGGGCTCAACTAGTTTGTTCTAATTGGAACGAAACGCAACAGTCGTGACCATACCATAGTTCGCATGCAACAAAGTGAGAAATTGTGCTCTCTTCTGCTCACAACTCATTTGACCCCAAAAGCGTTCATTTTCATCAAGTTTCCAAGAAAGCGAATTGTGTAGTTTGAGTCCCACGTCATTCTAGTTTGCCCTCACTCTTCCATCTTTGTGCTCAGTTTATTGGGCTCCAGGTGATGCGTACATGTTTATCCGTGAGTGGCTTTCTCGACAAAGTCCATCAAGCCCTTATTCATACTCTCCCTTTCCTCCATCTTCATCCTCACACATATCTCTTCTTGTGGGATACTCTTTTTATCGCCGATTATTATGCATTCATGGTTGGTTGACCAAGAGAGAAAGAAAAAAGAAAAATAGGGTTCAGGTATCATTTTTTGGCCTCAATGACCTAGGATTTGAGCCAAAGTTCAGTCATGCAGACGGTAATGAGGAAGTTGAAAGATTCGAAACATCGAAACGAAACAGACGACTTTTCAGACCAATATGAAATCGCGAACAAGATTTTGGCAAAGTACAACAACGGGTTGATTCCGACTTCGACGAGTAAACAGCCGATTCAGGTGTACTTCTCGATGGAACTGTACCAGATTATTTCAGTGGTAGGTAATGCGAAAGTGATCAATTGGAGCGAGATACCTAAAAGTGGGGTTTTCAGAATGAACCACAGCAATATCTGATGTTGAATGCATGGATAGTTGAGGTAAGGCCCTGTCTCCTGTTCCCGGTCCCTTTTAAGAAACAATACTCGCTTCCAGCGCTGGACAGATCATCTTCTCGGTTGGGATCCTGCGAAATTCGGGAACGTAACCGAAATAATGCTTCCACACCACAACATCTGGCTGCCCGATACCACCCTCTACAACTCGTTCGTCCACTTTCTCGACCCATTTCCCTCTCACTTTTTTCCAGGCTCGTAATGAAAGATGACGAGAACCGACGCCTGCTGCATGCAAAAGTGACCACATTAGGCGAAGGGAACGGAGCATTCATTGAGCTCTTGTACCCGACCATCTACAAGTTGTCTTGCCTTCTCAACCTGAGATTCTTCCCGTTTGATGTGCAGGTAACCGAGAGAAAAGAAGCTGGGCGGGAAACAAGTGCGATTTCAGTCCTGCCGTCTTCTCTTCGGCAGTTGGACCTTTGATAACACCAAAATAGACTATTTCGCCTTCAACGAAACGCTCTCGATCGGCACGACGAATTGCATTGAAAACGAAGGATGGAATGTGCTGTCGACGAGTGGTGAGTGGTCTTCCGAGTGGTCCAAAGTTCGAGAAAAGTATAAACATTTCGTGCGAACTCTGATTCTTTTGTCGTTGGCCGGCCGGGTCAATTGCGCAGTGATCTGTAACATTTCAGTTGTCCGTCATGAGAATAAGTACGATTGCTGTCCGAATAATTACACCCTTCTCGAGTTCCGGCTCACAATCCAACGAAAGCCACTCTACTACATCATCAACCTGATCATTCCCACCTCGATTATCACTTTCATATCAATCATCGGTTTCTTCAGGTTGCTCTTTGGTAGTTGTCATTAGAGCGTAGTTCCCATTTTCAGCACTTCCTCCATAAATGAGCCGAGAGAGGAGAAGATCACTTTGGGCATCACGACCCTTCTTTCCATGTCCATTCTGATCTTCATGGTCTCTGACAAGATGCCCTCCACTTCGTCGTTATTCCGCTCATCGGTCTCTTCTACACCTCGATGATCCTTCTCATTTCCTTCTCAACCATCTGCTCTTCTGTCGTCATTTACGTGCAGAAGCAGGGGAACATTGGAAATCCTCCGTCGAAGAATCTGATGAACATTGCGCGTGCCGCCAATCGATTCATTCGGATGGAGATGCCGTTGATCATGAAGCAAGCGTACGCGCAGAAGGCTCGCGAGGAGAAGTTGAGAAGACAGCAGATCGGGAGGAAGCAGAGTTTGTGGACGAGGGTCTACAAGTTGGCGAGGGAGCAGGCACTGAGAAAGGTAAGTGGAGGAGCGAGGAATAGAGAAATCAATGCGCCCATCAGGACGTTCAGACTTCTCAAAACTCTTCCAAGTTCAACGATATTCTGACGCCAGAGAAACTGATTGACAACGGAGGGAAAAGGTGCACGATCAACAAGGACGTCACGTGCATCAGTGAGAAAGAGCGGAATTGTTGGAGAGGAGAGCAGATGTTTGCAGGTGACTCTGGAATCGTGGCCATGGTCGGAGGAGTTGCGACGTTGGCATCGGAGGACGACGATCAGGACGTGTCCCTTCTCGAGCTGGAGACGACGCCGACGCCGGCGATGCAGAGGCCGACGAGGCTACACAAGGCCTCCACTTGCGGCAGTTTCGACAGCATGCTGCATGCTGTACAGACAGATCGAAGGTAGCGCCCTCCGAATGCCCGAGTTCATTCCCATAATTCCAGTGCCCGTTTCCCCCCGAACCGCCCGCAACCTGGCTGAAATCGAGTACGACTGGCTGGCGGCGCTTCTCGAGCGCATCTTCCTCATCACATTCCTTTCATTTTTGTGCTCACTGCCATCGGCATCAATCTGATTGGTTTTTTCTACTGGTGGATGGCGCCGGATACTGTGAGAGTGTAATACACGAAGCGACGCCATCCGAACAATCTTTCTCATAAAATCGGATCATATTGATCCTTGTTTTCCTCTCATTTTCTTTCCAATGAATGATATTTCGCTTTTTTATTTGGTTTTGGCCGCCGTCATTGTGCGGCTTTATGAAACGTGACACACAAACACAAAACAAAGGACAGAGTGGGGAACAAAAGGACAACATGTATAAAACTGGAATCAAGGTGAGGATGAGACGGAACGGAGATGAGACAGTGGAGCACGTATTGACTCTGAGAGGAGGAGGAACACACAAAAATTGATACAACATTGGGAGAAGAGATGAAATGGGCTTACACGTTCAAAAGAAAGTGTATAAACGACGGAGCACACAAAAGCACACATAAATTAGAGGAAAACGAGAAATAAATTAGAGAAATTAAGGAGAAAAGACGGGGGACAAGGGACCTGAATGAATGAGGGACAGTGAAAAAGGTAGGATAACAAAGAAGAACACATCGAATGCGAGTACGCTAACGTTGTAAATCTAAATTGGAAGCGGCTATTTCTGAGGTAACGATTTAGATCTGATAAAACGCGGCGAGTCGGTCACGAAGGGGCGGCGGAAGTTGCTGAATGAAGTTGGTCCAGTGGAATTCGCCTACTTGGTTTTTGAAGGAGAGCAGAATCTGGAACAGATGGTAATGAAAGTTGCAAAACTTCGAGAAACGTACTCCTCCGAAAAGTGCTCTGAGGTGATCGGTCGGCTGATTCCAAGAGGCGACGGCATCGCACCAGAAAATGAAATCGTTGAGCACTCCAACAGGATTTATGTTGATCATGGTGCAAAGTCCAATGAACGCGCTTTCCTTCTCCGCGTTGTCTTTGATATTTCGGAGAGAATAGCAGCACGGACGTATGAAGCGGTGGATGTGTGGGGCGAGTTCATCTGCGCAGCTCTGTCCGATACGGCCGATTGTGATAGCTGAACGAAAGAAGTATTTGATAGCAGAAATGTTATCTGATGCTTACCAGTATTCTCCAAGAGCGTCCTTTGCATAGTCTGATTGTTCTGGTTGATCACATTGATCAGAGGTTCAATAAGCGAGGGCACATATGGTTTCATTCCCGGTCCCATCTTCAGAGCTAGCTCTCCGAGTGCCCAAATCGCATTGTTGCACACGCTGATCTTCCCTGGATCCAGATTTTGAGTGAGGAAGAAAATGAAGTTGCCTGCAAGCATGTAGAGTTCTGCAACATCATAAGTGGAGAGTGTGACAATCCCGAAGAAAATTCGAAACTCGTAGATTACAAAACCCGTAGAGTCAAATCCCGTAAAATGGGCGGGGCCTAATGCAAGGTGTGCGCACACTGTTTTCACTCATTTTTGATTGCCTTTTTCGCCCCTTTAGTAACTATTCATTTGAGACATGAAATTTGACAGAACGATTAAAAATGCCACGAGGAGTCTAATATTCTGAGTTTTCTGCATTTTGGTATATCTGTGTTTGCGTACTTATTTCTACGGGTTTCGATATTTTTCTACATAAGTCTGGGGCAAGTTACTTACTACTCTGCGACATAACACGTTCCGGGCACGCCTTCGTGAGGTCTCCGAGAAGAGCGAAACACGACTGTCTGACATCGGTTGTATGATCCATCGAGCAGAAGAGCATCAGTTCGACGAGCTTGCTGTTGGCAACCAAAGGCTCCATATGCTCAGGAAGCGACTCGGCCAGACCGGACAGAAGATCAAGGGCCACAATGATAAAGTCGGTCTCAGCCAATTCCACGTGCTCCGGAGTCAAAACGTGTTGCTGGTTCTGTTGGACACACTTTTCGATGAGCAAACAACAACGCATGAAGACAGGCTGGATGTACGGGAGGAAAGATTGGCCCATGGCCGAGACAATGGCTGAAATGCACTCGAGCAACGGGAACAATTCCTTGTCTTCGTCGTTCAGTCGTTCCCACTTCTGCATCAACGGCGGCATCAGCATTTGTACATAGTGCGGATGGCTGAGCGCGTCGCCGACCGAGTTTGCAAGAGTTCCGATTGCATCGTACAGAATGAGCAGGTTCTTAGCTTGATAGCATTCGAACGCCTTGACGAGTTGTTCGAGAATCTCGCCGAGGTATGGAACCAGCTGCTCGCCAGCTTCCTCTTCGAGAGTGGCGAAAGCGGAGCACGCGGCCTCTTGCACCTTCTTGTTCCCATCCAGTGCGCACCGAAGCAACTGAAATCACATAGTTGAAATTAATTCCTAATGAAGCGAAGCTTACATTGGCCAAAACATCTTTGAAGAAATGTTGCCGGAAGTTTTCATCGGACACCACGTGCGAGCTGTAACGGGACAGAGTCCAGCATGTGATGGAACGGACCAATGGCTTTTTGTCGAACATCATAGTGAGCATGAAAGGAATGAGCTCTCCCAAGTGGGGGACCACTCCGTCCATGCATCCTTCCGCAATCGCTCCAAGTGCGAGTATCCCAGACTCTTTCACGAGCCAGTTGTCGTTGAGAAGTGTCTCTTTGAGCAGTGGGAACAGCTTATCGAGCAGATCCTTCCCGAATATCGACGCGAGTACATCAAGAGACGCCGCTGAGCATCGTCTTATGTTCCAGTCGCCACCTCCGTCCTCGTCGTCGTCGTCTTCCTCTTCGTCCGACTCTGTCATGTTCCCCATTCCGTGTTGCTTTGATTTGTGGAACCGTGGTTTGATATCCTCATCTCTGTCGGGCACTGAACTATCCTCGTCGTTAGCTTTCAGTGCTGGATCCGATTCTGAGTATCGCATACTTCCAAGAAGGACTGGGATGAGTTTGTCGAGGTGTGGAAGCACCATGGTCCTGCAAATCTCGTTGTTCTCTGCTATTGAGAGCCAGAACTCGCAGGCTTCTAATGCGATCGATTCACTCGGATCTTGGGTCTTCTTGATGATGTACTCGATGACATTCGGTAAATGCGGCATCATCTTATCAATGTGCGTATCCAGAAGAAGCGTTAACGACCTGCACAGTTGCTTCTGCACTTCTTCATCTTCGTCATTGTGACGAGCGAATAGAGATGTGAGAAACTGGTCGATGGCGTAGTCAATCGGATCGTTGTTCACCATCAGAATGCAATTGACGCAATTCATCGCCAAAGCACGCATTTTCGGACTGTGATGTTCGTAGAAGATCAAAACTTTCGGCAGAATTGGACGGAGGTAGTCCGATTCATAACGATCTGCGGAGTCCTCGAAGACCTTTTGCAATGCTCCAAGAGCTCCTTCCTGTAGTAGTTCGTCTGGTTGCATGAGTAATGTGGAAAGTGTGTCGAGGAGGTCCGGCCAGTCGCACATGTTCTCCTCCATGACGATCGTGGTCACAATGATTCCGACCGTCGCTCGAATCAATGGCTCTTGATCTCCAATGCTCTTGAGGCACGTGGTTCTGACGAAGAACTTGACGTCTGTCGGGTACTTGTTCCACTTTGCACGGATGTTATTCTTGAGGAGCAGTCCTGCGAGTGACCTGCTCGTCGCGTCGATCGCCTGCTTCATTTCGCTGAGAATGTAGACGAGATAACAGCAGAACTGTTGGTGTTCATTGAGCTGGACGAGTTGCTGCTGCACTGATCTCTGCACATCTCTATCAGTCGATTGCGAGTGTTGGAGCAGTTGAATCACCTGCAAATTATTGGGTTTGAGATCGTTTGAGATCCGACCACTTTTGGCATCGTAAACAGAAATACTCCCGAATAGCTCAAAAGTTTACGAGCTCCTATTTCACTTTTCGATTAATTATGCCAATTATTTGGTGCCGAATGCGAAACAGCAACTGACCTGTCCTAGTTCTTGTGAATCTGGCTGGAAAGTCATATCTGTTCGTCACCATAAGTTTAGAACGAATAGAGGAGCAACTCTGAAATAGAAACGATGATTAATTGAGGATACAGGAGCTATCAGATCGATATATTTCGCAACGAAAAGGGAGAGATTCTGTGCGTGCGCGCGCATTTTCGAGCACGACTGCCCGAAAAAGCGCCTTGCGAGCGCGCGCACGAATCGCGCGCCAGCAACATTCGATATTGAAAAAACATTAGATATTGAAACGTTTCACGAAAAACGTTCGCAAAAGACCACTAATATTTAGAAAAATATGTTGAGCTTTTAAGTCCTCGGGTGAAGCATTTATTACATACCTATATGATAGCTCCAATACCGGTGAGGGGGGAGCATGACCGGTAAGTTTAAAGAAGGCAAGGAAATATGCGAACAGTCAAATATCGAATGGGCAACAGTAAAATAGTTTCTATTATAAAACATCATGCTATGAACGAAAGTAGACAATTCAAAGAAGAGAAACCATAATGTTACAGTTGTCGACAGATAACTTCCGATGTGACGGAATATTTAGGTGTTTGGGAATCGGAAATATTCCACGATTCTTACGGAATAGCACCATGTTGTAGTTGGACTCGGTGGCTGCATTCATGACTGGATTTCTGTTCTTCCAGAGATCGTTCATCGCCCTCTCGAACTTGACCATAACTGACAGTGGTTTCATTGGTGGCACCGTCTCGTTCTTCACAATTTCTTTCCAAGGAAGCCATCCGCACACCACACCACATTTTCCAGTGTTCACGAAGATTCCGTCATTCCGGAGAAACCACATTTTCTTAGCTTAGCTCGGAACGATCTTGAGATCGACCATCAACATCATTTTTGTGGACGGTGGAAGATTTATGCAGAAGAACTTCGGGGCGATGTTTCTGTGGAAACTGAAACTGATTTATCATAATCGGCTGCCAAATGATCAGACTCACACTTCGACTGGGTTCACTCGGAACTCTTCATCTTTGTTCACTTTCATTCCGTCCCAAAAGTCTTTCTCCGCAATTTTTTTGCCAGAAATCTTTTCAAATTATTGAGAAAGTGCTTCCACATTCTAACTTCAAAACAGTACGGAACGGCGAGCGGACTCACTTTTGAGGGGCGATACTTCGTGGGATCAGGCCTCCAGAAGATAAGCTCGTTGTTTCCGTTAGTAGTCAGTCTCTTTCCAGTTCTTGCGGAAAGGCTGCAAACAAATAATTGTTCCCATTTTGCTATTACAGAAAATAAGTCCGCAGTTGTCCACTTCGGAAAGAAAAACCCTAAAACTAAATATTCCCTGAATGGCATCGTAATCGAGCCGAAAGATTCCGTTAAAGACCTCGGCATCTGGATAGATAACAAGCTCAAATTCGAGAAACAAATTACTATAGTTAGCAACACTGCCCTTTTGAAATGCAAAGAAACAAAGACCCATCCTCGAATACGGATGCGAACTTTTCCATCCCTCAACAACATCCCTCGCAAACAAACTAGAGTCTCCCCTCAGATTTTTCAGCAGAAGAGTCTTCCAGAGATGCAATATGCGATTCTCCTTATATAGCGACCGCCTAAGCCAATCCAATCTGAAATCGATACTCCATAGACGGGTACTCCTTATCCTCAGAACTTTCCACAATCTAATCACGCACCAATACCACTTCCCCTCCCTAAAATTATTCCTCAAACCCGGCGTCTCCCCCCGTTACCCGTACCTTCTCTCCTCTCTAGGCCTACCCCATGACTCTTTCCTGCATACCTATCTTGCCTTATGGAACCGAGTGGCAAAAATGTTTCCCGGAAGACTGTCTCCTGAGGCCTTTGCGACGCGCATAGGAAAGATTCCCTCTTGTATATTCTATTCTACTTGACCTATGGCTATTGCCGGCCAATGGTCATTTTAGTCATTCTTCCCTCTTCCACCCACTATTTATATCTCCCTCTCTTCTTCTGTAAATTTTTTCTGGTTGTCGAACCGAATAAATGAGTTATTATTTATTCTATCAATTTACCATTGTCGAGCCAATTCCGACAGCGAAATCCGTAGGTGTTTGTACAAATCGAGAATCTGAAAACTCCTCAATGCTTCCGTTGTGACCAGAGAGCGAGCCATCGTGTGATATCAACTGCAGGGAAAAAATGAAATTCTGAACGGTTTTTCGTTCTCACTGTCAGCAAAGGTCCCGATAATTGAGATTCGGAATGCGTTTCAGGTCCACGAATCTCTTCTGAATCCGCTCAATGCCCTCGGGCCGATCGGTTCTTTCTTGCAACTGTGCTACTAAAAACGCACATTTTTCATTAAGAATCAATTGTGTTTTTCTCACTTGTAAATACACTTCCATATACTATCATCATTGAAAGTCAGGGATTTCCGTCCAAACGACGTCATCTGAAAATCGTGATATTCTGCCGGGTCGAGATGCGATTCTGAATAGATTGTTACGATATTTTGGGCTACTAGTGAGACCATCAATACTTGAAATGAAAAAATATGAGAATAATAACATGACGAGAGTAAAATAGGATCAAGTTACCCATTTTTATTTTAAAAATACAGGCATTTGGCGTTTTTGCTTCGATGGGAACAATTTGTGGCATTTCGGGTATGCATGAGATTTGGAAGGAAAAGAATAGACCGACAAAAACTGAGAGAAGGATACGAATGGAAGCAATAATAGGAGAACGAGAATATTTACGAAAGAGAGGCGACAAATGGGAATGGCTTAGCTCGAGAAGTGAAAGAGGAAGGGGAGAGAAGAGTGATCAGGAGGCGAAAGCGTAGTAAAGATTATAAGTGCGGCATATATTTGACAGACATTTCACAATTGGCAAAAAGTAATTCACCGGGCTTAAAATCAAGTTTCGCTAAGGAATGTGAGCTCAGACATAAACAAACAATTTTGTGTTTGAATAATATTTATGAACACTTAAACGTGAGTTCCACGCAGTCAGAATACTCGGAAACAATTTCTATTCGTCGTCGATCGGCGGCGGAGGTCTCGGCGGACTGAGCTTGCCCAATTTGAAGGCGAGAACATCCGTCATCGCAGTGACCCGCTTCCGGAACACTTCATGGTTCTCGCAGAACTGCGTGGCGTGCGTCACGAGCTGATGTTGCTTTTTGGAGAGCGCATGACGGAGATGTCCACGAGCCTTGGCGATCGGAGCAGAAATGCTGTGGCGAGCGACACTTTCACTGTTGCACTTCTGAAAATCACCTATTTGTGTTCTGCTTTATGAACTACGGGACGCACCACAGCATCGGATGGCTTTCTTCGGAACGCTTTCTCAACCGCCTCGTTCAGCAATTCGATTCCCTCGTCCTCTTGCTCTTGCAAAACACTTTGTATCGCCGCCAGCAAATCGTACGTGTTCATGTACTTCGTGTCGAGCTCCTGCAAATCCAGCGGCTCCACTTCAACAATCGGTTCGTCGTCGTCTGCGTCAGCCCAATCGATGACTGCCTCCGATACTTCACTGGTTTCCTGCACTTTCTCTTTCTCCAATCTTATCGGGATTCGCTTGCTTGGCGTCGCATTTTGAGCCTTTGCTGGAGTTCTGTTCATTTCTGGAGGTGGGGGAGAGACGGAAACTCTGGCTGCTTTCGGAGTTTGCGCTTTCTCAGATGTTGGAGTCTTAGCAGGAACACGAGCCTTGGCTGGTACCCGCGCCGATTTCTGAGTTGGAGACCTTGCTGGAGTTCGTGCTTTTTCAGGTGTTGCGAATAGACCGGAAGCTCGTTCTGGAGTTGGAGACTTCGGGAGTACTCGATGTCTCGCAGGACTTTGAATTGGCTCCGGGGGTGGAGGCGAATATTCATGATCCCTGGCCGGAGATCGAATCGACGCCGTTGGCTCGTTTCCCACTGGCCCCGCTCCTACCAGTCTCAAACTTCTCTTCTTCAGCAGCAGCTCCTCCCTCTCACTATTTATTCCCTTTCGAGGTGCCTGGTCGAATTCCAACGTCGTGGTCATCTGAGGATGATTGAAATCACTTGTGGCAGATGAGAGCTTCGTGTGCTCGTCGGCAGTTGCTCCTGTCATATCGTCAGTGTCATTGGCTCCGGGATTGGCGGCAGCGATCGACTCTCCGTCCGTTTCTTCGTCATCGTTCACCAATGGCTCTGTATCCTCGCGTTCGTGCTTCAACCAGCTCCAATTTACGATTCGATTATCCTTGCTCAGAGAGATCTTCGCAAGACATCGGTTTTCAAGGCTGAAAGAATAAAAGACAACGGGGATTTAAAAAAAATCAATTTCAGTCTTACTTTCTATGGATTTCTTCAGTGACCGCAATTTCAAGCATGAAGTACAACTTTAGCTTGTTCTCTCTTGCCAATGGCATCAGGTAAAGACTTGCACACATCTTTTTGCGGAAGCTGTAAATAATAACTTTGAGAAAACACTTTTTGAGGTAAAAACTTACTGTGATGACCAGTTACTTGCAGTTTTCGGAGAGTTGTGCGTTCGAATGTACTCCTCCCAGAACTTGTTTCCCTTCGGCTGTACCTGGTCGTTGCTCAACTTCTGCGTCTGCGGATCGTACATTTTTCTGAGTATGAATTTCCACGCGAGAACATCGTCCTCATAAGTGAACGGCGTTCTCTGGCTCCGTCTCACAGCGCCCGCAGTCAGATCTTCCTCCTGTTTCGGAACGATTCCATTGATTACAGATGGTTGCCGACTGGCGATCGAATGAGTACGGCTGCTGGCCGAGTGCTCAGCACTGGGAGCTCGTGGAAAGTCGAATTCGTTCATTATATTTGCGGAAAAATCCGGACGACCTCTCGGAATCCACGTGCTGATGTTCCTTTTCGGAAGCGGCGCCGGTGGCGGCGGGGCCAAATCGGAGTCTTCTTCCCCTTGCACTGTGAACGACTTGACGTATCCTTCGTCGGTCAGCTCCACATTGATTCCCTCGTTCTCCAGCAGCCAGCGTCGTTGTCTCTGATTCATCGGAAGCATAAGTTCTTTGATTAGACGCAATCTGATCTTCGCATCCAGATTCTGTTTCCACAGTTTCTTCAGAAGCTTTTTATGAAAGTGACGAAGAACGATGTAGGCCGATTTGATGGGCATCTTGCGTCGTTTTATCAGCCCACCCCAGAATTCTTCTGTCATTATTCGCTTGGATGTCATGGTTGCAAAGTTTTCACGAACGTAATCCCACATCAAGACCTCGAACTCCTGTGAGATCTCCACATCGACGGGCATCTGATTGTTCGTCACATTCCTTTCATCAAGATTTTTCGGAGTAGACGAAGCGAGAGGCGCAGGCATTCCGGGGGCTTTACTGAGCGAATCAGAGGATGGGGAAATGGCGCGTGGGGCAGACGTTCCCGCACCGTTCCCGTTACTCGTTCCGTTCTTTTCAGAAGGCGGCAAAGGCTTCACTTTTTTGCGAAGCGGCTCTTCCGGTGGCTCTTCGGGAGCCTCCTCTTCGTCCTTCTCTTCGACAGTGTTCGGTCGTTTCGGGGAAGACTCCGGCTGCCGTCGTTTCGTCGTTGGCGCCGTGAAGAATGTGTAATGCACTAGGCAACGATCCTGATCTATTCGGAGACCTGCTCCACATCTCATTTCGAGCATTTTCTCCACGTGCTCAGAAATTTCTATCTCCAGCTTCTGATACAACGACAAAATCTTTTCGTGATCCAGAGTCGCTTTGTAGAGCGCCGGCTCCATGATTCGCGAGTAGCTGCAAAAATTCAATTTCCGCAATGCTTCTCTATGTATGTTATTCTTGAGGAGCAGTTTTTCGTTTTGAATTTTTCATCTGCACCTGACTTACAAATTTGAAAGCTGTTGAACCGTGAATGGAAGGTTTTTCACTTCGAGATAGCGCTCAAATAGCTCTGCTGCGACTTCTTCAAATCTATGCTTTATGCACACATTTCTGCAAAATCAATAATTTGGTCCCCTCAAAGTTGGGAGTAATTGAATGAAACTCACTCGTAGATGAATTCCCAGAGCGGAATTTCGTCATCCATAACGGACGGTCCGTTTTTTTTGATTTTCGGTCGAGGCATGCCTGAAAAATGTAAACAATTAGAATGAATTCAAAGATTAAATTGGGAATCAAGAAAAACAGGTTCACAATGCTGTTTTGCGCCCCCCAACCATTCCTTGTGTACCGTACTCACGAGGAGCAGAGACTGGGCGATTTTGCACCAAATTGAGAACACAGAACGTTAGCGGAGGAGAGCTATTGCCGCCCGCTCCGTGAGCTCTTTGAAGAAAAATAGAAATGGAAAGGGAAAGAGGGAGCGCTGGCGGGGCACTACGAAAATGAGAGATGCGAGCAATGTGTAGAGACGCAGAGGCGCAAAAGGGAAGCACAGATGAAGAAGAAAAAGGCTCGGCGGGAGCAGCCGAGGAAAAAGAAAAGGAAAGCCAATAGAAATAAAATAACGACGGGACCGCTTTCTCGTGGCGAGACCCAATTGGAAACAGAAAATAAATGAGAGACGGGGGCTGTGAGGGCCCCCGGATAGAGCCCAAAATATTTATTGTGTGAAAAGAATAAGAAGAAACTTGCAAAGGGATAAGAAGCAAAGCGAAGATAGATAAAATCGGAGGGAATCACAACTGTAAGCGTGGAAAAGGAAAAGAAGAGAACCATCAGAAGATGTTACATTCGTAATGCAAACGTGTAGTCTAGAACGAGGAATAGGAAACCATTGAGAAACAGGAAATGTGTGATTGCTGGTGAAAGAAAAAAGAAAGAACGAAATGACTAATAGGGTTGTCCACGGCCTCGCCCTCTGCCCGGAGGAGGAAGAAGGGGCTGACCACGCCGAGACGGTCCCGACGAATTCCCGCCGCCTCCTCCTTCGAACTGCGGCATCCAGGGGCCTCCCGCAAGTGGCATTCCAGTCGGACTCAGTTGATCAGACTGAAAAAAGAACTATGTCTAATAAAAGAAAAGTTCCACTTACTCTAGATCCTCCCATTCTCGGATCTCGTCTCGGATCCATTCGCATTCCCATCGGAGGTCCCTGATCTCTGTGCATCGGTGGAGGTCCTCCGTCTCTGTTCATCGGCGGTCCCATTCTCCAGGAATCTTGCGGTCCATTCTGAGGAGGTGGACCCATTGAGCGCATGTCAACATCTCCGTTCGTGTTTGGAGGCGGTCCGTTTCGATAGTCGACGTCTCCTGCATTGTGAGTTGACGGTCGAGAAGGTGCTCCTCCGGTTGGTCCACGTGGCGGCCCACCCATCCATCCACCGCCTCGGTTGTCTCTCATTTGCGGCGGAGGTCCCATCCGACGGTTATCCGGTGGCATGTCTCTTGAATGAAATGGTGGTCCTTGATCCCGTGGTCTCCATGAATTGGGTCCCGATGGTCCAGGAGGTCCTTGCTGATTGGAAGGTGGGCCCATGTTGTATTCAGATTGTGGGCGAGGCTGGCTGGGTCCAAGCAGAGAGCCTCCAGTGGTTGGCGGTCCGAGGAACGACTTAGATGGAGGGCCCATGTAAGACGGTCCTCCATGCATCATCATTCTATCCTGAGCAGCTGCTTCTGCTGCATCTTCTCTTCCCATTCCACCGATCATGACTGTGAAATCGTCAGTTCCCGCTCCGATTCCCTTGAGTTGTTCCACATTCTCTCGAATTGCCGTTGCGCTCTTTTCGCCGGCGGCTGCTTGATAAGTGTTCGTTTGGCTCCGATGACCGGTGCAATCATCTGTCGTGTGAGATCGTCCGGAACGAGAAGAGTGGAATCGGTATTCATGCTGACGTCCTTGCTCAACTGCTGGAAGATGTCCTCATCGAGTCCCATTCCCGGAATGAAAACGTCTGGCTTGTACGTGTCCGTCTCATCGAGTGTGAGCTTCTGCGGTGCCAGTCTCGGCTCTCGCTCCTTGTCTAAGTGGCCGATCATTGTAGTCGTCGAGAGTCCGAAGATATCCTCCGCAGTGTCTCCCGGACGGTTTCTCGCCCAGAACTTTGTGTTGTTGTCGTTGGAGCCGGTGGCTAGAATGTGTCCGAGTGGATGCCATTTCATTGCCCAGATCGCTTGATCATGTGCATGCTCCAGCAGTCCGATCTCTTTCTCGTTGTCCACCATCCAGTAAACGATCGATCCGTCGCCACCGCCAGAAACAAAGAGTCCCTCGTGAATTGGATGCCAAGCAAGAGCTGAAGACTGATTTGTTCGGGAAGGAAACAAGAGGAAACACTTACAAATAACTTCTTTCTTGTGGGCTCTGTAAGTCCTCATTTCTTTCATCATACGAATATCATACATTTTGACGAGATGATCTCTTCCTCCGGTAAGCAGCCAGTTTCCGTTTTTGTTGAACTCCACAGCCATCACACTACTTTTGTGCTCCTGGAGAGTGGCCAAGCATGATCCTGACTTTGGATCCCAAATTTTGACAGGTTGTTGAGTATCTCGAGATCCCGTCACTAGAAGCCCTTTCGTCGGATGCCAGTCTATGCACCTGACTTCTGCTCCATGTCCTCTCAGAACACGTTCTTCTGAATAACGGGCAAAGTCCCAGACGCGTGCAGTTCCGTCGTCGGAAGCAGTTGCGAATTTGACATCCGTTGGAGCGAATCTGAATAAATCAGCGTACTGGGTCATTTATTTTCTTAGCAACTTACGCTAAGCCTCTGATCGCTTCGTCTTTATGAGCCGAGAACATGTGAGCATTGTTCATATTCGGTTGCCAGTACTTGACGTATCCGCCTTGATCGGCACTGAGAAGCCATTGCTCGTTCGACGACCATTTCAACGCTCGAATTGCAGAATCATGCGCCTGAACGTGGGAATCTTACTGAACTTGATACTAATATGCAAACTATAGAAAGCTAAACAAGAGCAGAAGAGAATCTGAGAATGCTGTTTCAGTGGCTTTTTTTTGCTAATCCACGGAGAAATAAACTGAACGCCCCTGTAGCTTCTAGGCTTCCAGAGATCTTCCCAGCAGTTACACGACAGATAAGAGCAAACGCGCTCAGAAACAACTGCCCTTCCGAAGATGAATAAGAAAACAACGTAGCACAAAATGAAATTGAAACCTTTTATTCACATCGAATACCGCGAAGAACCGCAATAGAAAAGATGTGAATACTTTATTAGCAGGAATCGAGGGCACACATTTAGCAAACAACCTCCTTCTAGTTGTGATTATTACCTGAAGAATCGTCTCGAAGTTGAACGCAGTACCATTCCAGAGCGTGAATTCGCCTGTCTGGCAGCCAGTGATTAGTCGTTTTCCTTCCGGAGACCACTGCAAAAGTGAATCATGTTTCAGAAAAAAATTTAAAGAATGGGAAACGTACGCAGACGCTGTACACAGGACACTTGACTTTGTTCATGGCTGTGCGAATGAACTTGGTGAGGATGCAATCGATGGGAGTGTCTGGCGTAGAGGAAGCTGGCAATGCCATTGTCTGGTAGAGTATATCAGGTTGCTGAAGGACCCGCTGTCTTCCGTACATCCATAACCGATTCTAAACACTCATACGTTTTTAAACATCAGAATATTTTCCAGTACTTCGCAGTGGTTCAAAACTGTTGAAACATAATCGACATGTCTCCGTACATTGGCCACATTTTTTCTCAACCGCCTTCCCGGTCCGTCACCCATCACATCGCTCATGCCGCCGGTATCACGTTGAAACCGATGGGTACCTCCCATCATCATTCGAGGCTGCGACGACGGAACTGACATAGAAGTCGACGGTTGGATCGTAAGAGTGACGTTAGGCATCGAAGTACGCATCATTCCGTTCATATTATAGGAAGCCTGGAAAAGTAGAGTTGTCATAAACAATGAAATAAATATTCACCATATTTGATACAGCTGTCATTATTTGCGGTTTCTATATGTCATCGACACCGTACTTCCTGAAAACAATTAGAAATTTGTTAGATTGGAACGCAGATTGAATGAAGGAAAAGAGAGCGAAAACAAAAACTCAGTAGAACGCAAGACGGATAAAGCGATCGTCTGAAAATCAATCAAACATTTCGTTATTTTTTCAAGTTGTAATCAAGCTTTAGTAACTTTTCAAAGAAAAAATAAAAGTCAATGAACCAGGTCTAAAAACTGACGAAAGGATCCAAAAACACGTTCAAATGATGCAGACGCCAAACACCAAACTTTACGAGTAGTCACACAGTGTGCAGCCGAGCCGACGCGCAAAGCGTTCTTTGATTGGAGAGTGTTGACAATCCCGTAGAAAGTTCGAAACCCGTACATTACAAAATCCTTAAAGTCAAGTCCCGTAGAAAAAAGCAAAACCCGTAGTAACAGGCGTGGCCTAATGCAAAGTGCGTGTACACTCTTTGGCACATTTCAATTGCCCTTTTCGCGATTTTCGAAATTTCGCTTTGTTTGAATTTTTGCTGTTAAAAATAATAGAAATATCAAACAAACCACATATTTTGTTATTAACGATTTGTTCGAGATATGAAAATTTGGCATAAAATTAAAAAAAGAGAGATGAATAGTTCAATAATCTGAGTTGCAGCTGCATTTTGGCGTCTCCCTGTTTGTAAATATACTGTGTTTTGCTTTTTTTCTACGGAACGGGTTTTGTAACCAATTTACGGATTTCCAATTTTCTACGGGATTGTCACACTCTTTAATTGGCCCAATATTAGGCGTTCGAAAAAAATTATTTGTTAATTTTATTCCTAGGTGGCTGAAGAGAATAAATGTGTTATTTTTAAAAAAAAAGCAGAAGTAAGCTCAATATATCTGAAGTCACGCGAAAAAAGGATAACATTTGGCAAAATCACAGAAAGGTCTTTAATTTGCAGCCTGCTGATTGCTTGCTTAACTGTTTTTCTAATCCACAATCAGCGAGCCGAAGATTAAAGGAACAGGCGCTCCTTTATTGCTTGTCCAGTGGAATGCACTTTCATAAATACGCATTTGTTTCTTGCCCACGAATTGTCGATATAGTTTTTAGCTTTTTAACAAGCTTTTCACTGTTGGCAAAATTGTCGAAACCTAAATTTTTAGGATACTCGGCGTTGCCGCCTACCCCTATTCTTTCGGCAGCTGTCGTCAATCAACTGAGGGCCGTGCAAGTGTGCTCTACTGGAACCATATGAGTTTTTTTTTCGATTCTTTACATTCGATACGCCAGAATTAATTTCTTTCTACTTCGTTTGAAGGAAAGTTCATCTAATTTTTCGATTCCTCTTCCTCATAATTCGTTCAGTAAATCTTCGTTTTCACAGTGCGGTATGATCTTCGGAAGACATCCCATTCCGTTTGTTCTTATTATCTCTGACCTTGACTAAAACAAGTTGTTTATTGTTTTACAACACAACCCGCAGCCGACCGGACAGATAACACTCCTCGCTCCCTATCACTATTTTATCGTTCACGTTGACTTCGCTTTCAATTATTTTTTTACTTTCAGAAGACCCAAATAACGTTCAATGGGTCAGGATGGTGACGAGATTAGAATCATTGTTCTCGAAGAAGGCGAGCATTTGGAGAGCGCCATTCGGAAGGTCGAGAAAGGTAAGTTCATTATTAGACTGTCTTCGGTCAAAGAGACATTCGTTTCTGGCTTTTCAGGCTGGATAGTGCGATTCAAACGCGGCTCCTCTCTTCTCGGCAAAAATGTCTCCGTCACCACCACTCTCACAGGCTCGGATCATCTCACGTGGTCCTCGGGAACCGACCATCTCTCAGTGTACTGTCAAGTCACTTGCCATACCGCCGGCTCGTTCCGCTACTCCTTCACCACTGATGTCTCCGAGAAGGAGACCGGCAGCGGATACTTTCTGGTGATGCCCGAGCTGAAAGTGAATGGAAAACCGCTGCCGTTAGACGCCATCACCTGTCAAACATATTTGGTAAAGCTGCTCGGAGAGCTCCCAGAATGGAAAGAAAGACTGAGAGTTGCGAAGGAAAGCGGATACAACATGATCCATTTGACGCCGATTCATGAGCTCGGCATATCGAACAGCAGCTATTCCATCAGCGATCATCATGCCATCATTCCAACGGTTCACTCGAAAGATCAGAAGTTTGGCTTTGACGATGTGCACAAGCTCGTCAACGAGATCGAAAAGGAATGGGACATTCTCACTGTTCAAGATGTCGTTTGGAATCACGCAGCCAAGAACGCAAACTGGTTGCTGGAACACCCGGAATCAGCCTACAACTGCCAGAATAGTCCGCATCTCCGTCCCGCCTACATCGTTGACCGCATTTATCACGAATTCGGAAAGCAAGTGGGAGAAGGAAAGTGGGCTCACCGAGGAGTTCCTCCCGTCGTCGATAAAAATGAGCACTTGCTTTCAATTGCATCCTTGCTTCGCAATGAAATTCTCCCAAAAGCGGAGATTCACGAGTTCTATCAAGTCGATTTGACGGCCATGGTCAAACTGTTCGAAATGGTTGTCAAGCAGTCCGGAGGCCCCACTGACAATCCGTTGGACGGAGAAGACGTGCAGATCGTGCAGGATCCAGAGTACCGCCGATTCGGAAACACTGTCGATTTCGACAGATCTCTCCGAATCTTCAACCGGCACAGAGATGACGTCGGTTCGGAAGATGAAAGAGTTGAGAAAGTGGTCAAAGAGTTCAAGGATGCGCTGAGCAAGAAGAATCTGGAAGCCGGTACCGCTTCGTGGCACGTGCTTATGGATGGATTGCGGGCAGTTAACGGTCACATTAGATACGAACGGGTTGCCGAGGATGGACCGAAAAAAGGACTCGTCTCGCCCGATTCTCCCCTGACAACCGACTATTTCCTGCATTTGGAGCCGGACGCGGGATGGAAAAGCGAAGAGAAACTCGCGTATGATCCGGAAAAGTCAAAGTACCTGATGGCGTTCAATGGATGGGTGATGAGCAGCAACCCGCTGAACAACTTCGCTCTCAAAGACTCACAAGTATATCTCCGTCGCGAGCTCGTGTGCTGGGGAGACTCAGTGAAGTTGAACTACGGGGAAAGAGAAGAGGACAGTCCGTTCTTGTGGGAATTCATGAAGGAATACACTCAGAAGTGCGCCCGAATCTTCCACGGTCTCCGGATCGACAACGCACACGGCACGCCGATCCATGTGGCAGAGAAGCTTCTGAAGGCTGCAAGAGAGATTCGTCCGGACATTTACGTCTTTGCTGAGTTGTTCACTGGAAGCGAGAACGCCGACAACATGTTCGTCAACCGATTGGGCATTTCGTCGCTGATCCGAGAGGCACAGTCGGCGCATGACAGTCACGAGCAAGGAAGACTCGTTTACAGGTCAGCTTTACAGACTTGTGAGAAAGAAATCACGGAGTGCACCGAAAATTATAAATATATAGTCAAATTTTCACTCTTCCAGTCAATTGAGAGAAAACTTTGCAGCAAGAAAAAGCTTTGCTGCATTTCGGGTATATTGTTTCAGTCGAATCGAAATACTAGTTTACTAGAGTCATATTCACTGGAAACAACTAAAAATGAGTGTCAAATCCGATTCACTTTCGAATGTCCCTTTACCGATTTCATTCCAGGTACGGTGGCGACTGCGTGGGCGCATTTCAGCAGAAATCGGCGCGCCTCGCTCCGAACTCCATCGCCCATGGCCTCTTCCTCGATCAGTCCCACGACAATTCGTGTCCTCTCCACACGAGAAGTGCTTTTGACATCCTGCCGACTGCCGCCATGATCACGATGGCCTCCTGCGCAGTTGGAAGCAACAGAGGGTACGATGAACTTGTCAGGGACCATGTAAGATCTTCTATTTCTCTGCGGCAGAACTCTGAAACTATACTTCGTTTCAGATCCATGTGGTCTCAGAGAAACGTCCGTACGCTTCGTGGCTGCAACCGTTAGATGTCAGTGCTGCTAAGGGAATAATTTCCGGAAGAAAAATCCTGAACAATCTGCATTCGTGGCTGGCTCTCAACGGCTACACTCAAGTGTTCGTCGATCAGATGAACACAGACATTGTCGGAATCACCCGTCACAATCCGACGACTCATGAAACCGTGGTCGTTGTTTCCCACACCGCCTTCTCGAAACATTACAATCAGCACGTTGGAGGACTGAAGCACATTCCGATCGGCGGAGTTTTAGAGAAAGTCTTATTCGAGATGAAGCTGAACGAGACGGCAAAGGAATGGGGAGAGGAAAATCAGGCTGTGATCGTCGGTCTAGCGAACTTTTCGTTGGAAATCAAAGAGGATGTGCCAATCGAACAAGGAAACATGTTCAAGATCCACGGGGGCGTCGGAGGCTTTATTGAACTTACCGATTTCCCCACCGGATCGGTCGTCGGTTTCAAGATCCGTCCATCCGACGAAGCAAGAGACGCGTTCAAAGCCATTCATTCTTCGATAGGCTCCTCTGAAAATGGACTCTCCTCCGCCCTCTCTCGCCTCACCTACCAGTCTTTCTCAGACCTCCTCTTCCACTGCGAAAGCGAAGATTACGCGACTATCCAGCAAGGCGGCTACGATATTCCAAACTTTGGAAAGTTCGTGTACAACGGTCTGCAGGGAATGATTCCCGTTCTTGACAAAATACGAGTTGAGAACGATCTCGGCCATCCGCTCTGTCAGAATCTTCGCGATGGAACGTGGCTCTGCGACTACCTCGTTTCGAGATTGGCCAAGTTTGAAAAGCTGAAGGAAGTGTCGGAGGAAGTAGGCAAACTGTTGAAGCCGCTGGAGCACGTACCGTACTACTTGAGACCGTGCTATTTTGAAACGATAATATCGCACATTTACGGAAGAGCGAGAGCCGAAGTGTTGAGCAGAATGTCTTCCGACGTTGTCTCCTCTTCTGCTCTTTTCCGTTGGCTCGCCATCTCAACCGTCTCATTCTTGGGATATATTCCGGGTGCCGGTCTTTCTCCGATCGCCGCCTCTATTCCCCTTGAAGACGAGCATCCGTCCAGTCTGGCAGCCGGTCTCTCTCATTTCGCAGTCGGTATCTGGAGGAATTGGGGCAGAGACACGTTCATTGCGCTCCCTGGTTGCCTCCTTTCGCTTGGCCGTTTCCAAGAAGCTCACCACATCATTCTCTCGTTCGCCGGAGCACTTCGTCACGGACTCATTCCGAATCTCCTGGCCGAGGGAATCGGAGCGCGCTTTAACTGTCGAGATGCTACGTGGTTCTGGCTTGTTTCCATTGTCAAGTACGTCAGTTCGGCGCCAGAAGGAGAGAAGATTTTGGGAGCACCGGTGCGGAGAATCTACCCGACCGACGATGCGATTTATGGAGACAAGGAAGTGGAACAACCGCTGATCGAGACGATATACGAAGCACTCGACAAGCATTTCGCAGGAATCGACTACCGCGAACGCAATGCAGGTCCTCAGATTGACGAGCAAATGAGAGACGAGGGATTCCAGGTGAGAAACCGATTGACAAAGGAAATACCTCAGATCATTTTAGGTCACCGCCGGTGTCAACAAAGAAAATGGATTCATTCACGGAGGAAACCGATGGAATTGCGGCACCTGGATGGATAAGATGGGAAGCAGCGAAAGAGCCGGGAACAAGGGAGAGCCGGCGACTCCGCGGGACGGAGCAGCCGTCGAACTGCAGGGACTGGCCTACCGAACACTGAGCGCTCTGCAGGAATGGAAAGAGAAAGGTGGATTGAGAGAGAAGGAGTCAGCGACGAATGGACTTGGAAGTTCTGGGCTCAGACGATCAAAGACAACTTTGAAAACGAGTTCTACGTAGATACAGATGCTCAAGGCGAGTTTGTGAACCGCCGGGAAATAGTGAAAGATTCGGTCGGATCGAGTCTTGGATTCACAGATTTCCAACTGAGATGCAACTTTGGAATTGCACTGGCAGTTGCTCCGGAGCTCCTGGATGCTCGGAAGGCCTGGAATGCTCTGAATACCGCCGAAGTTCTGCTCGGTCCCCTCGGAATCAAGACTCTGGATCCCACAGATTGGGGGTACAATGGATATTACAACAACGACGACGACGGAACCGACAAAAAGACGGCGAAGGGATGGAATTACCATCAAGGTCCCGAATGGCTCTTCGTGGCTGGCTATTATCTCTCGGCGCGACTGGCGATCGGACAGATTCTCGGCGGAGCGGAGAAGGAATACGCAGTCAAACAGGTCCAGGAGAGACTCGGAACCGCGTTTAAGCACATCATGGATTCCCCCTGGAGATCACTCCCCGAGCTCACGAATGCCAATGGAGAGCACTGCCGACAGAGCTGCGATGCTCAGGCTTGGTCCGTCGGATGTCTGATAGAAGCTTGCTCCAAGCTGAAGAGCATGTCTGAATAGATTGTATTTAAAGTTTTACTTGTAATTTTGTCTAGTCGAACGATGTTGTTAGCTGATGTAAAGTCAAATTTTTATAGCTTTGAGCCCAAAGTTGGAACAGAATAAAAAATAAAGTATTGTACAAAAATGGATCGGTTATTTACACACAAGCTGCTCATGAAGGCGGTACAGTTCTCGAACTTTTTTGGGGGAACAACTGAAAGATGTGGTGATTAATTCCACTTTGAAACGTGAGAATTGGGGACCGGTTTGAGACGTGCACTGATGATCCAATAATAAAGGGAACGAGAGGAGCGGGGAGAAGTACTGAGACAACCAGAGATCAGCGCTTGGGGGAGGAAAATTTCGAATGAATGAGATTATTAACTCAGGCGTTATTAGCTTGCTCGCAGGCGTCAACCCAGTCGGAATAGACGTCGATTGGCTCCGATAGGTAGGTGATGTTGGTCTGGAAGTCCTCGGAACAGACGCGACATGAGATGTAGCCGACGTTCTTCTCGCGGTCCCTGAAAATGTAGGTTTCATCGATTTTCTGCGCGGTTTTTAAATGTTTCCTCTGATAATCGATAGTGACTCACATTTTCACCTCGCAAACGCGTTCGTGATTACAAAACGGGCAGTTGAACTGGGTGTCGAGGGGCATGACGGATTTTGCCTTTGGCGGCGCCTTTCTCTTCGACTTTCGCTTTCCCATTTTAGCAAGTTTTCGACGACTGCAACACGGAATGGATAATAATCGGAAAAAGACAAAAGAAAAACGAGAATCACATAAAAAACGGGGAAGAATTTCGAAACGGAATTGGCGCGAGGTATCAATTAGATATGCAGGTCAGCTGCACTACGATCTGCAGTACACCGTCACGGTGGTTGCGGATTGCGGACCCGGCGTTGTTGACCGTACCTTAGTGTGAAAAGCGGAGGTGACAACAATGGAGTATCTTCGATTTTCTGAAGCTCCGTGCGACTCTTGAAAAAGTGTTCACACTTTTTTACACTGAGCCCACATATCTCTATGTGGAATTCCAGTTTTGACCGCTTTTCTATTGAATTTATAAAAATAGTTTTCGTTTGAAACGCAGTTTTACCAATGATGCAAAGAACTCTAATTGCTTTCAGATGAGTCTCAAAGCATTGGCCTCGAAGACGGGCAACTTCCAACAACTCCGTGGACTTCTTCGGCCGCCAAAAAACCTCCCGTACAGGGGAGTCTTCCGAAAAGACGGCGAAGTCGTTCGCAAAGACGAGTTGCTAGTGAACCAATTCAAAATGAACTATCATCCCGGATTAAATGTAAGTTTTCAAAACTGTTTTACTTGAAAAAAGGCAAAAAAAATAATAGGTGTATTACGAAAACGATCGAGGGGAAAGACTGCTGCGTGCTCATTGTGACGGCGTCGTGCGAATCACTAAAGAAAAATGTGATCCGGATTTTGGAGTCGAGGAAATGAAGGGATACGAGTACAGGAAGGATGTCGATCTGTACAAGTTGACGTTCAATGTGGTTCCTTTCGATCTCTCGCAAAAGCACACTCTTCGACACGAAGTCTGACGCATTCTTCTAATCTCTTGTGAAAGAAAATACGGGACATTAGACCTATTAGTGTAGTAATTTTTGCTTTTTTTGTATTGTCTTGTTATAAAGAGGTTTTGCGAGTTTTCCAAAAGCTCTAATTTTCAATGGTTTCAACCACTCTCACTATCGCCGTACCATTATCCTAATCTGTATCTAATAATTCATTCAATCGTGCAGAATGGACACTCCGGACGGTCCGAATTTGGAACGAGATGTGCAACGGATCTTGGAGTTGATGGAGCACGTGCAAAAGACGGGAGAAGTGAACAATCCGAAGCTCGCTTCCCTGCAGCAAGTGCTTCAATCCGAATTTTTCGGAGCCGTCCGAGAGGTCTACGAGACTGTCTACGAGTCGATCGATGCGGATGCCACTCCAGATGTGAGTCATATTTATTCATTGCAAATTTCTATGAGTTTTCATTCTCAGACCAAAGCAGCCGCAACTGCAAAAGCAACGGTGGCGGCGTTCGCAGCAGCCGAAGGACACGCCCATCCACGGATCATCGAGCTGCCGAAGACGGATCAGGGGCTCGGATTCAATGTGATGGGAGGAAAAGAACAGAATTCACCCATCTACATTTCCAGGTAAAACCACTGCAAGTAATAGTTCAAATTTACTTTTTCGCAGAATAATTCCCGGAGGGGTAGCTGATCGACACGGCGGACTGAAGAGAGGAGACCAGTTGATTGCTGTGAATGGAGTTGTAGGAGTTCCATATTCGATTGGCCGAGACTAGAATTTCAATTCCAGAACGTGGAGAGTGAATGCCACGAAAAAGCGGTCGATCTTCTCAAATCCGCAGTCGGAAGTGTGAAGCTGGTCGTCCGTTACATGCCCAAATTGCTCGATGAGATGGAAAGGCGGTTCGAACGCCAACGTCTCCGATCCACTCAGCAGAGTCCGACTCTCCCGACGCCCTCTGCTTCTAGAAGATAACCTGTTTTCCCTTGCCTTGCCCCTCACATTACCCATTTCTAACTTTGCAATTCTAGATTCTATGTACATATTCCGCCCGTCAGTTATCTCCAAAGTCCTCAACCTTTGCCCCCAATTTGAGCGCTTTAATAACACGCCCAGCCAGCCTTATATTCCGATTTCTCATAGGTGCTTCTTCCTTTTTTCTTGCATTTTATCCCACATAGAATCGCCATCAAATAAGCGTACGTGATAAAATGATATATGAAGCAATTTTGATCATTCCAGCTTTGATTTTCTCCTATTTTTACTTTGTCTCTGTATCAGAAGGTATCTCTTCATGTTCACTGTCCGATGATGCAATTGTAGTTCAGATGATCGGTCAGCAGGTGAGCAGACTGATGACACAGCTTGCGAGGACGGTGCCGAGGAGACAGGCACACAGAATGCTCACCGAGCAGCAGATCAAAGTGACACCGAGAGCCGCTACGAGGTTAAAGGTCCGTCATACAAAGCTTCAACTTCAACGCAAAGCCTTACAGCAAGTGATTGACAAAGGAGAACGTCTCCGGGTGGAGGTGGACGGCGGCGGATGCTCCGGATTCGAGTACAAAATACGATTGGATTCAAAAATCAACGACGACGATTTGGTGTGGCGAACCGACACAGGCGCCGAGATTGTCGTCGATGAGCTATCCCTCGGCTACATAAAAGGATCGACCGTGGATTTCGTGGAAGATCTTATGAAGGCGTCGTTCCGCATCGTGAATAACCCAGTGGCCGAGAAAGGATGTTCATGTGGATCCAGTTTTGCCCCCAAAATGGACTGATCCTTTTTGTAATTAATAAATTAGGTAGAATTTCGATTAATGATTCGTAGAATCTACTAGGAAAATACTCGAAATGCATGCAAGAATCTTTATGAAAATCGGGTCGAACATACAATAAATTGTTCTTTATCTTCTTAATTTTCATCTTTTCTTGGGTTTACATCCATTTCTATCTTGTCACTCATTTCCTTCACTATCTATGCCACATTTCGTTCAGATGCTGCCGTCTCTGTCGAGGATATGCACCGCCCGAACGACGTCTTCGGCCACCGCCTTCTCGACGTTCTCGTCACGCCGCCAGCAGAATTCTCGGCGGCAACGAGAACAAAGGCATCATCAGCACGAGCATGGAGGAAAAACCAATGGAGGACGGTGGTCGTGAGTTCTTTATAAGAAAAATTCTGTATGATCTAGCCGGCGTTCAGAAAATTCGGAAGAACGGCGACGACCGGAACGACAGTACTCGCACTGTCGTGGATGACGACCATCAAGGACGTGTTGGGAATCGAGAAGATACAGTTGGATGCGGATCCGCTGAAAGAGAAAGTCAAACAGTCGTGGCTTTACCGCAAGCGCCGTCAGTACGACGATGCGATCCAAGTGCTCCAGGTGGCTCTCGAAGAAGCGGAAGAACGGAAAGAAGAGCTACCGATCACCAGAATCTATGATGAGCTGGCAAATACGTATTACGAAAAGATGAACATCGAGGAGGCGGACAAGTACTTTCGCATTGTCATTCAACGTCTTGTCCAATTACACGGCAAAAAAGACTTTGATCCGGAATTCATCGGAGTATCCCTCAAACTCGCCGACATTCTGGCTCATAAAGGAGATTTGGAAAGCGCCGAAACTGGATTCAAGCACTGTGTCCGTCGTCAGATGAAAGTGATGGAGGAGCACATGAAGAAGTTCAGTGTGGCTCACGGAGCACTCATCGAAGATCGGCATACGGTTGATACGTACGGGCACGTCTACACTGATCCGATTGCACTGTTCGGAATGACTCTCGAAGCCTACGCCAACTTTTTGATCAACTATTGCGGGGAGAACAGGCTGCCAGAAGCCGAAGAGTACATGGATGAAGTGATGAAGGTACGCGAATGGTTCGATTAGAAGGCGGAGCACCAAATCATTCAGATTTCGTATCAGATCTACGGAGCGAGCTCATCGCACACCATCAACATGCTCAACAATTTCGGAGCAGCACTTGTGCTCAAGAATCGGTAATATCTATCAAAGAAGTATTTTCACTTCACCCAAGGTGTTCAGATTTGAATTGGCCCGTAAATACTTATCCATCGGCGTCGAGCGTATTCTCTTCGTGAATGAGTGTGCCCATATGCTTCCTGGATACTACTGCAATTACGCAGAGGCACTCTTCCACACGGGACACAAAGTAGTCGTTCGATGAATGTTTACTGGAATAGCTTTTTTCTGTTTCAGGATGAAGCGCTCGAGTTCGCTCGGAAAGCAGTCCAAATGAGTCGGAGTGGAGACGAACGTGTCCGTCAGTACACACAACAATTTCTGAAAGATCTCGAAAAAGATTTGAATAAGGGAAAGCCCCGATCTTGGTGGTTTTTCTGATCCGGTGATCGAATATAAATATTAGGAGTTGTTTTATAAACGGTATTGCTCTTTTTGTTCTGATTAGGTCAGGTTACTTTAAAAAACATCATAGCGATTTTTTGTTTCAAAATAAATATTTATTGTTTTATGCAAAGTATTGCTTTCTATTTATGAAAAGACGTCGTTCGTTTTGTCCGGTCGTATACTTGTTTCTTGTCTTCACGCATTGTCACCTGCCTATGTATGCAAACGCGCTCCCTGTTTAATTATCAGTCTTCTCGATTTTCCCTACTTTGCTTAGATTTCAGGATGAAGGCTAATCCACGCCGATCGGCTGAATCAGAATCGGACGAAGAAAAGATAGTTCCACGCAAAAGAGGCCGACCAAAAGGACCTCGAGCAGTCAGCCGTCCGATGGAACCGGAAAGACGTTCAAGTCGATCAACCAATCGTCCCAACCAACCGTCAATCCGCGCAGGTCGATCAGCCAGCCGTCCTCGCAGATCGGTCAGTCACAATGGAAGGGAACGACAAATCAGTGAGAACACGCAGTTCGACGAGCGAGATACTTCAGAATCTTCCGACGAATCCCAAGAGCCTGGACCGTCTATAAGGCGAAAAAAACGAGTTCGCACAAAGTTGACAATGCCGCGAAAGAAACAAGGACAATCTCGTTCTAAGGAAAGCGAAGAAAAAGAAGATAAACAGCGCTCGGGAAAAGAATCCATTGACAACAGTACGACCACCAAGATTCAATCGCATTACGGTCCGAAACCGACGAAAAAAGAGGAGGCCGATACCATTCACCGTTTCAAGGCTATTTTCCGAAGTATCCAGGCGGAATACGACAGCATGGTTCTGGATGAAATTGAAGATGAGTTGGTTGATCTTGTAGATAAAGAAGAACAGCCCTCTTACACCTTCAATCTTGCCGCTGACAACGTTCGCATTCCACAAATGGAATTCTTGCCTCTTGATGAGTATCACATTAATGGACACACTTCGATTACTTGGCAGAATCAAGACGAAAACGAAACAGCATTGAAAAACTTCAAAATGCCGTGCGCCGAAATCGAATCCGGAGACATTATGCCGCCAATGACCTACTGGGTGCTCATCGAGCAAAGTATTAACGGATCCGATCAACCACGGCTCACTCACATGCCGTGGTTTGCTGATGGTCAGAACGACGAGGAGCTTTATGAGCAGCTGATCAAAGTGTTCCCGGATGGCATTCACGGCTTCGCTGACAACTTTGCTTACATCAACGACTGGCTACTTTACAAAATGATCCGAGCGACACTAACCGGTTATCAGGGCAATCCGGATCTCCTCTATTATGCCATTTATCGCCTGTGGCCGAATAAGCTGACTCAAAGAGAGCTACGTAACGCTTTCCCGACGCTTTGCAAGCGATTCGCAGAGGAAGGCTTCGATCCGTCGGCTTTGGAGCCATGGAAACCGCTTTTGGAGCAACAAGTGGGCGAGAACCTTCGCGATCCGAAGTGTTATACCTGTTTGAGCTACTCCTGCCCAGTACATGGATGCAAGTTCCAAATATCACCGGATTTCGCTCAAGGAGACTTCTACAGAGTGGAAATTCCACTTGCAAAGCCCGGCGACGCGGAGGAATGCTCTGTTGGCAACTGCTGGAAGAAACTTGATCGGGAAGCGATTCTAAAGACGCTGAACCCGACGGATGACGAAAAGAAGAGAAATAGGGTCGTCGCGTACATCGACAAGAATCGAGTTGTCCGAATGCAACCACGAGATGGCTCCTCGATTGCCACGTACTTCGGCAGAAGCTCAAGCATCTATCAAGTGACGTTTCTCTTCAGTTTCACGGTCAAATATAGTTTTCATTACAGAATTTCTGTGAATTCTCGCTCAAAATGATCGACGAAGAGGACGCGGATTGTGACATCAAATCGTGCAGTGCTGCTTACGAACTCATCGTTTCGTTAGCTGAAAACCCGTCTGAAGGCCGTTTGACTCTGGGAAGACCGGGAAAGTTGAAGTGAGTAGACATTTGAGGGCAAAATCCCTAGAGCAATACGTTTTTGAGCTCCTTCAAAGATCGCGCTGATGCGTTCCGCCGAACAATGCTCAAAGAAGTGAAAGTTAAGAAAAAGAATGCCGAAGAAGCACTCCAAAGCCAACTGGACAAAGATGGAGACAGCAAGAAAGAAGAGGCAAGTAGACAGAAGAAATATAAGATGGACGTTCCTCTGCAAGCCGTCACCCCTCTCGTGCCGTGTCGCCACGAAGGACCGTGCACTGCGGACACCGTGAACTGTGCGTGCCGCTTGAACGGAGTCTGCTCGTACATGTGCAAGTGCGACGTCAACTGTCCCCGACGGTTCCCCGGGTGCAAGTGTGCTCCCGGACTCTGCCAGACCAATGCGTGTCAGTGCTTCCTCGGCCAATGGGAATGCAATCCGGTGACCTGCAAAACGTGCAAGTGCGACGGAATTGACACGAAAGTGATGGGATGCTCGAACTATCCGATGACTCGAATGGTTCAGAAGAAAATTGTCTGTGCTCCTTCTAAAATAGCAGGAAACGGGCTGTTTATTCTGGAGAACGCGGAAAAGGACGAGTTTGTCACGGAGTATGTCGGCGAGCGGATCACAGACGAGGAGGCGGAGAGACGTGGAGCGATATACGACCGTTATGGCTGTTCTTACATTTTCAGTGAGTTTCACAAATTGCTTTTGAATTTGATAACAATGCGAACCTTCAGATCTGGAGACCGGCGGAGCCATCGACTCGTTCAAAGTCGGAAACCTGTCACGGTTTGCGAATCACGAGAAGCAGAATCCATCGCTTTACGCCAAGACCGTCGTGGTCGCCGGAGAGCATCGTATAGGCTTGTACGCCAGTCGCGAGCTTCAGCCCAACGATGAGCTGACCTTCAACTACAGCTATACAACGGAGCACTTGCAACATTTCAAGTGAGCTCTTTTTGTCCTGTTTCTGTATCCAAAATGTATTATTTCAGAAACAGCAAGCGGAAGGCAAAACGGGCCAAGGAAGAAACTTCATCGACAATAATTTATTAATATGAACAGGCTAACGCTATTTATTATTATTGCACATATTTGTATATATTTACCCATAATAATAATAATAATAATAAAATCGGTAATAATCTTTCTTTCTTATAGTTTAGCATTCCTCCTATACTAAATTTTCAGAAACTGTCGATCCAGGATCGACGGAGCCTAGCTCCACAGCATGCAATCGATCTGATTTCGCATCGAAATCTCTTTTGTCGATCAGTCTGACTGTTCTCGCGGTAAGGGTTCCTCTCACCACCAACCAGGTTTCGCTCGGGTCCCAGTAAAATCTTTCCACGGCTACACCGACGCCAGCTGTCTCCCGATCAGCTCTCACTATTCTCACTCTGGACTGTGCTAATATCATCCCATCATCCAGGTACAAGCAAATATTTATTCCCGCTTTCTTCTACCTACCCTCCTGGGGCCGATAAAAATTGTGAAAACCCATTGAGCTGAAAATAGGCCAATTGGAAACGAGTTAGACTTATCGAAGGGGCGCTGGGGGATCTGACAGGGAGAAAGTCAAAAGTTCTGACGACATTTCGTCAATTTTGACATGATTGTTCCCACGGCACATATCGAATGGTGCGGCGAAGCGCGTCTTCGCCTGGCGGCATCTTATAATCGGTCTGAATAATGTCTAAGAGCCATGAATCATTAGTTAGCACATCCCAGAATCCGGGACGGCGCAGGTCTCCGATTCGTAGCGCCGTCCGACTTGAGAAGTTGGATCATCGCCAACAGCTTCGCGTCTTCCGATCTCGTAATTGCTGACATTGCTCGCAACTTTTCCGCACTCTTTAACGTCGCCGGATCTTGATAGAGTTGTTTTAGCTCCAGGCTTCTGTCCTTGAGAAGCGTTACCCTGGACGACTCCTCGAGCTCTCCACTAGACAATCCTCCAGGAGATTAGGCACCTATGTGGCGATTTTTTGTAGCAAAATGAATAGTTATTGTTTTATGCAGAGGTGAGCATTGTTTTCTATTTATGAAAAAACGTGATCCGTCTTGTCCGAGCGAGTACTTATTTTTTCTTTTCGCGCAATGTCACCTGCCTATGCAATAGCGCTCCAGCGAGATTATTATCTATGAGCGCGGGAGAATGCACATTTGAAAATTAGCCTTGATCCGAATTTCCTTCTCCCTTTCGCTCGTCGTTTGATTATCAATCTCCTCAATTCTCCCCATTTTTCCTTATTTTCAGGATGGAGGTCAATCCGTCGGCCGAGAATCCTAGCCGATCGGCTGAATCAGAATCGGACGAAGAAAAGATAGTTCCACGCAAAAGAGGCCGACCAAAGGGACCTCGAGCAGTCAGCCGTCCGATGGAACCGGAAAGACGTTCAAGTCGATCAACCAATCGTCCCAACCAACCGTCAAGCCGCGCAGGTCGATCAGCCAGCCGTCCTCGCAGATCGGTCAGTCACAATGGAAGGGAACGACAAATCAGTGAGAACACGCAGTTCGACGAGCGAGACACTTCAGAATCTTCCGACGAATCCCAAGAGCCTGGACCGTCTATAAGGCGAAAAAAACGAGTTCGCACAAAGTTGACAATGCCGCGAAAGAAACAAGGACAATCTCGTTCTAAGGAAAGCGAAGAAAAATGAAAATGAACAGCGCCCAGGAAGAGAATCCATTGACAAAAGCGCAATCACCAAGATTCAATCGCATTACGGTCCGAAACCGACGAAAAAAGAGGAGGCCGATACCATTCACCGTTTCAAGGCTATTTTCCGAAGTATTCAGGCGGAATACGACAGCATGGTATTGGATGAAGTTAAAGATGAGTTGGTTGATTTTGTCGATAAAGAAGAACGGCCCTCTTACACCTTCAATCTTGCCGCTGACAACGTTCGCATTCCACAAATGGAATTCTTGCCTCTTGATGAGTATCACATTAATGGAAAAACGTCGATTATTTGGCAGAAGCCGGACCGTGACGAAAACGAGACGGCAATGAAGAAGTGTGTCATTTCCTGCGCCGAAATCGAATCCGGAATCATTAAGCCGCCAATGACCTACTGGGTGCTCATCGAGCAAAGTATTCACGGATCCGATCAACCACGGCTCACTCATATGCCGTGGTTCGCTGATGGTCAGAACGACGAGGAGCTTTATGAGCAGATGATAAAAGTCTTCCCGGATGGCATTCACGGCTTCGCTGACAACTTTGCTTACATCAACGACTGGCTACTTTACAAAATGATCCGAGCGACACTAACCGGTTATCAGGGCAATCCGGATCTCCTCTATTATGCCATTTATCGCCTGTGGCCGAATAAGCTGACTCAAAGAGAGCTACGTAACGCTTTCCCGACACTTTGCAAGCGATTCGCAAAGGAAGGCTTCGATCCGTCGGTTTTGGAGCCATGGAAACCGCTTTTGGAGCAACAAGTGGGCGAGAACCTTCGCGATCCGAAGTGTTATACCTGTTTGAGCTACTCCTGCCCAGTACATGGATGCAAGTTCCAAATATCACCGGATTTCGCTCAAGGAGACTTCTACAGAGTGGAAATTCCACTTGCAAAGCCCGGCGACGCGGAGGAATGCTCTGTTGGCAACTGCTGGAAGAAACTTGATCGGGAAGCGACTCTAAAGACGCTGAACCCGACGGATGACGAAAAGAAGAGAAATAGGGCCGTCGCGTACATCGACAAGAATCGAGTTGTCCGAATGCAACCACGAGATGGCTCCTCGATTGCCACGTACTTCGGCAGAAGCTCAAGCATCTATCAAGTGACGTTTCTCTTCAGTTTCACGGTCAAATATAGTTTTCATTACAGAATTTCTGTGAATTCTCGCTCAAAATGATCGACGAAGAGGACGCGGATTGTGACATCAAATCGTGCAGTGCTGCTTACGAACTCATCGTTTCGTTAGCTGAAAACCCGTCTGAAGGCCGTTTGACTCTGGGAAGACCGGGAAAGTTGAAGTGAGTAGACAAAATAAAAAATATCCCTAGAGCAATACGTTTTTGAGCTCCTTCAAAGATCGCGCTGATGCGTTCCGCCGAACAATGCTCAAAGAAGTGAAAGTTAAGAAAAAGAATGCCGAAGAAGCACTCCAAAGCCAACTGGACAAAGATGGAGACAGCAAGAAAGAAGAGGCTAGTAGACAGAAGAAATATAAGATGGACGTTCCGCTGCAAGCCGTCACCCCTCTCGTGCCGTGTCGCCACGAAGGTCCGTGCACTGCGGACACCGTGAACTGTGCGTGCCGCTTGAACGGAGTCTGCTCGTACATGTGCAAGTGCGACGTCAACTGTCCCCGACGGTTCCCCGGGTGCAAGTGTGCTCCCGGACTCTGCCAGACCAATGCGTGTCAGTGCTTCCTCGGCCAATGGGAATGCAATCCGGTACCTGCAAAACGTGCAAGTGCGACGGAATTGACACGAAAGTGATGGGATGCTCGAACTATCCGATGACTCGAATGGTTCAGAAGAAAATTGTCTGTGCTCCTTCTAAAATAGCAGGAAACGGGCTGTTTATTCTGGAGAACGCGGAAAAGGACGAGTTTGTCACGGAGTATGTCGGCGAGCGGATCACAGACGAGGAGGCGGAGAGACGTGGAGCGATATACGACCGTTATGGCTGTTCTTACATTTTCAGTGAGTTTCACAAATTGCTTTTGAAGTTGATGACAATGCGAATCTTCAGATCTGGAGACCGGCGGAGCCATCGACTCGTTCAAAGTCGGAAACCTGTCACGGTTTGCGAATCACGAGGAGCAGTATCCGTCGCTTTACGCCAAAACTGTCGTGGTCGCCGGAGAGCACCGTATAGGCTTGTACGCCAGTCGCGAGCTTCAGCCCAACGATGAGCTGACCTTCGACTACAGCTATCCAATGGAGCACTTGACACATTTCAAGTAAGCTCTTGTCGTCCTTTTTCTGTATCCAAAAAGTATTATTTCAGAAACGGCAACGGTGACGTCAAGCGAAAGGGGAAACGGGTCAAGGTAGAAACTTCCTCTGGAAATCATCGATTAAGATGAATAGACTAACGCCAATTATTTTTGCGCATATTTGTATACTAACCGATAAGGATAATTATATTAATAAGTTTCCTTTCTTATTGCACATCATTTATCCATCTTTATGTTAATTGTTAATTGTATACAGAATTTTGTTTGTTTTATTGTTACTCTTCATTTTATCAGCAAATAAATTGACACTGACCGTTTATAAGTCTAATCTAATCTGGACAGTTCTGATTCAATGAAGCCAAACAATTGTTTTCCTATTCGCACAGCTCGTTTCGATGTCTGCATTTTTCTGTCTCGCCTGCTTAAAGTTCCACGCGTTCAAGAATATTTGGAATGAGGGCTCATAAACTGAAACGAGGGGAGCAGAGAGTGGACAATCGGCAGAGACGGCGCCTAATAGAATTAAGCGATGCTGAATAAAAGGGCCTTATCTGCCCGTGGAGAACATTCTGCTCTCTCCGGAGATGGTTTCCTCCGCCGTCTTCTCCCTCTGCCTCCTCACTGCCGTTTCGGCCTATCGAGAGTTCGGCCCGACCTCGAACACAAACGTGACTCACATTTGTGTCAACAACCCGAACATTCCAGCCTGCGGTCCTGACTTTTGCGTTAAGAACCCGGATGCCGCCGGATGCAAAAAGTAAGTGGCGTTCTTGCATTCGATTCCGCATTTTTTTGGTTTCAGATCGAAGAATTTCGTGAATGCTGCGCCTCCGTTCTCCGACAAACAAAAGAAGTATTGCGTGGATCACCCGACGTCCGATTTCTGCCGTTTTGCTTCTTCCAGAAGCCGCCAGTTGAGTGCCGGATGGAAAAGCTGGAACAAGTTTCTCAATACGCCAAAAAGCAGAATCTGCTCCGAGCATCCGGAGCATCCCGGATGCCAGAGGTAGTGCGCTAACCACGTGGCTGGGAATGATTCGACATCTTTTAGAAATGCCTATTTGGACAAGTTCATCGCCTGGAAGATTCGCAAAGACTGCGAAGTTGACCCGAGCGGCCCGTTCTGCGAGAAGACGTTGATTAAAGTGAAGACTATCCAGCAGAGAGTTGTGTCGTCGACTTCTCATTCCTCGCCTTCGTCTTCATCTTCATCGTCCTCTTCATCGTCGTCATCGTCATCTTCATCTTCGTCGTCGTCGTCGTCATCATCTTCCTCCTCTTCCTCCTCTTCCTCCTCTTCCTCTTCTTCATCTTCATCTCAAGAGAACGACGCATACACCAAAGAAAACGAGAGTCTGCGACGAGTGAGAATCCCGGGAACGAGCCAGAACTCTCTGTCCATCAAGAACCCGATAATTGACTTTATCAAACAGTCGCTCAAGAGAAAACCGCAGAAGCAGACGCAAACGCAGATCGCGGGAGCTCGTAAGCCAAGAGGAAACGTGTTCGGCGGAAAGGTTGGCGATTTCGGAAAGCGCAGATCTGCACGTGAATCGAAAGACTGGGAGCCACTTGCAGTCTTCTACGGAATAGTCGATTCAAGATCAGGACGGCCGAGTGTCCGCCCTCCGAAGAAATTTTAATTTACAGAAGGCTCACAAATAAATCATTCACATAAACAGATCATTTATTCATTTTCGGGGCGCAAACGACAAGAGACACTCTGACCGATTTTTGACGATTCCTCTAGCAGTGATCGCATCCGCATCCGTTCGCTTCTCCTCTTTCCTCGTTCTCATCTTGATCTCCCTCCTTCTTCTTCTTCTTCTCCGGAAGCGTATGTCCTCTGCAGTGCTCCGTCTCGTGCTCATCCTGCTCCCATGTGGACGGATCGTCCCAGCGGCGAGGCGCCACGTAGATGCAGCAGCAGTTCGATTTCAGACGACCCAGGTGCTCATTGTCTGAATGCTCGAATGAGAGCTGTATGATCTCGATACAAACCGACGACATCACTCGCCCAGGTGACATGGGGAGGACTGGCTGGCGGACGGAGACGGAGGACGAGCTGCTCCGGCTGCTCGAGCTCCTCTCGCTCGCGATCGGCTGAGAGCACGGCGGTTGTGATGGTGGTGGAAGACTGTTGCATCTTCAGAAATGGCTGGGAAATTGGAATGGACAAAGAATGTCCGTGGTCGCGAAGCCACGCCAGTTCATCACGTACAATCTTTAATCAGGAATTCCTGAGACTCGACAAATCGAATGACAGTTCAGTGACAATTTGGACGAACAGTGTTTGAAAAGAACTAAATACTTCATATAATATGGTAAAAGACTGAAACACGAATTCTTTGGTCACTTCCCGATTCCGAGCCCGGACCCCACTCCAATCGGACCCACTCCCGGCACTCCGACTCCCACTCCACTGCTTATTCCGAACAGGCCTCCGTTGCCGAGTCCGAGTCCTGCGAGCCCTGCACCGCTGCTCTGCGCAGGCGCCGCCGTCGTTGTCGTTTTGCTCACAAACTTGCTCTGCCACGTGTCCTCGTCCTCCCACTCCTTTCCACCCATCTGCGTTTTCGAATTCTTTGACGCTTCGGCAACCTCTTCCGAATTCGGAGGCAACGGGAACTCATCGTCGTCGTCGTCGTGTGTTGAGGTTTTCTTCGATGCCACTGAAATGCGAACAGTTCGGGAGAAAGATTTATTTGAACTTGCCCGGCTCTTCCTCTTCCTCCGAAAATCTGAACTTCTTCTTCTTGTTCTTCTTTTTCTTGTTCTTCCTTCTCTTTTTCTTTCCACATTCATTTTCTTCCTCACACGGATCTTGCCTGCACTGCCCACCACACCCAGATTGACGAAACTCGGGGTTCAGGTACGGTCTGAATTGAGTTTTGATGGAATATTGTCTCCTAACATTCGAAAAAAACATACTGGCAGAAGCTCCGACATCCACACGATTGATACAAACTGGGCTGATTGCAAGCGTATCCGATCATGGACCCGTAGAAATCTGGAGGTTTTGTTTTTTTATAACTTTTTCGGAGAGAATGTTTTTAACTTACTGCAAATGATAGGTGATATTGTGAAAACGAGAAGAAGCAGAAGTGAGTACATCATCCACCTTTTCACATATTCGAGCTTCTCCTGGTCACTCTTTTATAGTTCGACTCGTTCGTTGCCTCTGAACCGGTTCCATTTTGTTGTTGGCTGAGACGCGAAGGTCAAAAATTAGAATGAAAAATGATCAAAAAGACGAGAAATAACTAGAGTTTATTATTGTTTTCATGGAAAACGAAGAAACAATGTGAGATCAATCATAGTGATTCAGGTCCGAACGTCTTCGCCGCTACTTCCCAATTCCGAGCCCGGACCCCACTCCGATCGGACCCACTCCCGGCACTCCGACGCCCACTCCACTGCTTATTCCGAATAGGCCTCCGTTGCCGAGCCCGAGCCCTCCGAGTCCCGAAGAGCCTGTCTGTGCAGGGGCGACCGTGCTCGTTCTCGCCCTTCTCGCCTCTTCTATCTCCTCGCTTGTGATCTCCGGAAACTCTTCCGAATCCAGTTTCTCTTCCACGTTGGTTCTCGGTGATTCAGTCACAAACTTCTTCTCCCACAGATCCTGTAAAAAAGGCATTTATACATCAAGAACACGCTTCTTTCCTACCTCGTTTTCCCAGGAACTCTCTGATTTTCCGGCGGCCCCCTTTGACTCCTCCTCAATGAATCCTTGCTCTTCACTCTGCACTCTCGTCACTTTCGACTTTCTCGGTGGCGGCACGTCGACATCTTCATCTTCGTCGGAATCGAATCGGAACTTTCTGCGTGGCTTCTTGTGTTTGTTCCGGAGACGATGCCGTCTTCGGGGAGCATATCCGCCGCCCCCGCATCCGGAGGAATACCCGCACGGCTGCTGGTATTGTGGCTGCATGTACCCTCCGCAGAAGCTCGGACAGTTGCACTGCGAGTACAATTGAGGTTGATTGCACGCATATCCGGACATGGACCATGCTAAATTCGAATGAGCAATATCGAAATGGACGGAAAGGGCTCACTTGCAGCGACAGTTCCGAAGAGGGAAACGAGAATTAATAGTTTGCAGGTGACGATCGCAGTCATTTTGTTGTTATCATCAGGTATTCGGTTAACCTCGCTGCCTTTTATGCGGCGAGAGAATGGGTGTAACAATGCGAAGGAGGCCACTATTGTTCCGTCATTTCTTTTCTGAACCAGAAGCAGTGATCTGTTTCAGTTTACACTGATAAGCAGGCAAGATTTAGAGGTCAGCAGGACGATGTGGACAATGACTTTTTTTCGAGTGAACAACGTTTTGGTCAATGAATGCGCAAGGAATCTTCTCGCCTCTGTTTTGATTGATTACTTCGAGTATTGGGAATATGCCAACCCTGCATGCTAGGCTGACCGCAGGCCGCCTCGCATTGGAACAAGCGCCTTTGAAAGTCGGGTGCAGGCGGAAGGCATGATAATGCCTGAGGTAAAAAGGCACAGGTCGCCTTCTCTGTGGACAAGAAGGAGTCTTGAGACCTCATTCATTCCGTTAACGTAGTATTTCAAAATCTCACATTGTCAAAATTCAAAAATGTAAAGGAACAGCCTACTGCATGCATTAGGGAACATGTGACAAATCGCAAAGTCTGTTCATTTACTGAACATTAAAAGCAAATAAATCAACTGTACATGCAGAATACGGGTTATAAATTATAATACATGGAGAAGAGTGTGCGAGTTAGTATTTGACAACATTCGCGGCTGCGTTTACAGGTCCCGCTGCTGCACCGCAGATCCGATGTGGGTGTCTCGCATTCTAGCAGCAAACTCGATGCTCCGCTTCGATTCCTGCGACTGTTCCCCGCAAGGATTGATGTTGACGATGACCATCGTCTTCGAGTTTCCACGGCCGAGACAGTCCATGAGCACTTGCGTCAGCTTCGACTCGCGGTACGGCACGTGTTTTGCCTTCGACTTCTGCAGTCCGATGCACTTCTGAAGGACGGAAAGTGATGTGTTAATGGCCGTCATCTCCGAGAACTGCTGTCCAGTGACTCCCGATTCCTTCGCACGTTCCGATCCGGCCAAATCCACTAACTTCAGTACCGACGTCGTCGAGATGCCTGCAGAATATAGTTTGGATAGAAAAGTAAAGTTCGGTCTACCTGTTGATTCCTGATGGGCCTTGATGTTCCACATATAGATGGCGTGGGATCGCGATGAGTGCTGATTGCACTTCGTGGCTGCCGTCTTCCTGTTGTTGTCTGCTCGACGGAGGTACTCTGCCAGATCTACGAGCCTCGTGAGTGGATGCTCCGAGAGTCCATCCAGTGCCACGTCCTTATTGCCGAGCCGCAGTTTGATCGGTTTGTGGTTGTTCAGAAGGTCGTATGCCTCGTTATTGTAGATTTCTAGAAATGAGAGCGTGAATTCGAACGCCCATCCGGTGGCTGCCAGTCTTTGCGCCTCGTTGAACAGGAAAGCTCCGGAACGTGGAATGACGCCTTCTTCTTCGGCTTCTCCTCCTCTCATCGTGTGCGTCTTTCCGCTTCCAGTCTGTCCGAAGGCGACCAATCCGACGTTATAGCCGTGCAGTGCGGACTAGAAAGAGTTAACGTTTCAATCTAATAATGGTTTGTATGATTGCTTACCAGGATAAAGTCTTCTATGTTCACAAAAACTTCCTTCTGCGAGAAAACTGGTGTGAACACCTTTTCAAAGTCGAATTGTCCCGATGACTTGGATCCTGTGATCACAGAGACTGCATTGACGGCCGGATACTCGATGGCATTCGCTGATTCCTCCGACTTCAGCAGTGGGCGGACACGAACAGCAACTCTGATCTGTCCCTGAAACAAGAATGTTCAATGGAATCTAACTTTGTTCACTTCAAACTGACCCTTAAGTCGACGACATCGTTGTGCAGCTTCCGGAGGGTTATCTCCTTTTGATTGAGCTGATTGCTGACTTCTTTGATAATGTTCTCTTTCTCCCGGAGCGTCTCTGTAGTGATCTCGAGTTGTTGCTTCAGCGTGATATTCATCTCCTTCTGCCCTACGAGATCCATCTCCGTCTTCTCCAGCTTTATCTTGCATGTTTCCAACATGGTCTTCTGCATATGACTCATGTCTCTGAACATCTCACTTTGTCCCTTCTGCACAGCCAACTGCTCTTCCAAATCCGACAATTTTTCCTTGAGTTTCTCTAATTCTGACGGCTGGCGGTTGGTGACGGAAGCCGTTCGACCGATCGTCCGTTGGCTGGAAGATGGCACGGGAGGACGAGTTGCGGATGTGACTGCGTGTCTTGTTGAACGAGGCGTTGGGATGACCGACGGACGTAGACGGCTTGTGTTCAGAGCAGTGCTTTTGCTGCAGTTTGCTCTGCTTGCGTTCAGATCTCCGGGCACTCCGATCGTTGAACGACCAGTTTTGAACGTCGGCGGCAGCGGAGCATCAATCCGTGTGGTGACTGACGACCCTGGGACTGTGCGGCGAACTGAAATCGAAATAATTGTGATTAACAGAAGGAAAGAAGGTATTTTCTCACTTGTGCTGCGTGGTGACTTCGTAATTGCGGGGCGAAGAAGTCCGCTTCGTCGCCTGGCTTTTCCCATCGCCGTGATCGGCGTAGGACGAAACATTTTTGCGAAAAATGATTCGCGAAACTATCGTGGTGGTGATTTTCTGTTTTTGGGCGGCGATTAAATTTGAAATTTTCTGCCAAACACTTTGTTTGGCGCGCACACTTTGTTTGGTGCGCAGACTACTGTAACAGTCGTTTGCATTTTTGAAAAATTTAAAAATGTGTCTACATTTTTTTCGAGGCTACAACGTACGCAGTCGCTTTTTGACGTTGCGAGTTCTATTTAAATCGTAACAGTTCTCTTTCGTGCGAGTTCTATTACGTTGTAGCCTCGTTTGTTCAAGTTTGTGCAAATTAAATTTCGCCAGGTCGGAATGTCATCTCTTAGCTCGCTCCTTCGGTGGAGAATCGTGAAGTATAGACAGCTCAGAAAAAATGGAAAGTGTGAGGTACTTTTTTCTGTAACTTAAAAAAATGCCCTCTTGTTCATTAAGGAAGATGAGTTGTCATTGATTGTCGACGCGGACAGACGCGAACTTTGCGTGTATTGGAGAGGAAGAGAACAAGAGAAGATCGAATTCACCAAAGATCCTTCAAAATATCCCAAACTGAGGTCACAATTGATTAGAAATTAATCAAATGCTCTTGTCTTCACAGATTCCGAGAGTTGAATCTGTATGTGATGTACAACGACAAATTCGAGGGATTCCGACTGAGTTTCACAGAGAAAGACAAAGAAGAGTTTCTGTGGAGCATGCTGAGTCTCGGATGTTCTCTGGAAAGCAACCCGAATCAAGCTTCCCAGGCCAGTCCACTCCCACCGTCGACGCCCTTCCCACCTGTGCATCAGTCTTCTGCCGATTATCGTCCTTCAAACAGCTCAACGCAGCCAATTCTCTCTTCCCATGAAACAGCGGCGATCTTCAATCCGTACGCTTCTCCGAATTTGCCACACGCCTTTTCGCAACCCATTTTCGACGCGTACATGCGACCGGAGATCCCTTTCCATGGAGACTCCTTCCCTCGTCCCTCTTATCAAACGTTCTCCACGCCGTCTCCTTTGCCCACTTTCTCGCAGGTTGGTGTTTTATCTGATGTTCGAACATGTTCAGAACACGCTTTCAGATCCCTCCTCCCTCGTCTGCTTCTCCTCATTTCTTCTCCCCTATTCCACCACCAGCTCCTCCCGCGCGACTGGACAAAAGCATGCAGACGGACGATTTGTTGGATGAGTTGTGCGAAAATCCAGAGTTCGCAAAGGAATGCTTGCGGAATCTGATGGAGAATGGACAGTTCGCCAATATAATAAAAACACAGAGAGTCGAGCTGCGAAAGATTTCAAGAATGGAAAAAGATCAGATTTACAAGGTAAATATTCAGCATTCGAAATTGAAATAAATAACTGTTTGATTCAGAATACTGATCCATCACCACGCAATGAGATACAGCTGAGCCAAGTGAGCCTGCCTTCCCAGTCACAGCCTCCAGCCGTCAAGCATCAGCAAACATCCGACCTAGAACACGACGTCTTCTCGCAGAGCTAAAAGCTTTATCCGTTTCATTTCATCTTGTTTTGTCTTTTTTGTTTTGCTCCTTTTTAAATCAGAAATTAACTACGTGTCCAATTAGATAACTTCCTTGCTTTTTTCTGTTTGCTAATCATTTCGCTCGTCAATTTCAAGCAGGAATGGCGAATAAATCAATGTACGGCAATGTGATTAAGAGTGAGTTTTATCTGGAAATTGTCTAGTTGCACAGATGTTTTTCAGACGATTTGGATGTAGACGGGATGATTGTGAAAATCCTGAACGTCGGAGTAGATGGACCTTTCCAGGAGGTTGTTTCAGCTCGAGATGTTTCTGTTCTTCTGGACATGGCCAAGTGAGAAAGCAGAAGAAGTCATTAATTAACTCACTAATCTTCAGAGTCGTTTTCATGAAGCAAGGATCAATGGTCGAGCTGGAAGCGCCCGTCAAAATCTGCGGAGACGTGCACGGACAGTACTCGGACGTGCTGCGCCTGTTCGACCGCGGCGGGTTCCCTCCGTTCGTCAACTACCTCTTTCTGGGTGATTACGTGGATCGCGGATCGCAAAGTCTTGAAACCGTCACTCTTTTTCTCGCTTACAAAGTCAAGTACCCGGGAAACTTCTTCATGCTGCGTGGCAATCATGAATGCGGAGCCATCAACCGTGTCTACGGATTCTTGGATGAGGTCGGCCGGAAGTACGATTCCAAGATCGCTGGCACACTTTGGAACAACTTCCAAGTGAGATCTTTCTCAATTTTCTCTGCTCCACGTGTTTTCCGTTCCAGAACTGCTTCGCTTGCATGCCGTACACTGCTCTCGTCGCCGGGAAGATCCTCTGCATGCACGGCGGAATCAGCAAGCGGATGACGAGTCTAAATCAGCTCCGCAAGTTGCCCGTCCAGTCCTCGACATTCCCAACAACTCTCTCGAGATTGACCTTCTCTGGTCGGACCCCGATGCGACCATTAGTGGATTTGAGAACAGCACGCGCGGAGTCGGTCAGGTGTTCGGCAACGAGGCGCTGATCGAAGTGATGGAGAGACTGGGAGTGGAACTGATCGCCCGTGCTCACCAGGTCGTCCAGGACGGCTACGAATTCTTCTGCAACAAAAGACTCGTGACGGTCTTCTCGGCTCCTCATTACTGCGGGGAATTCAACAATGCGGCCGCAATGATGAACGTCGACAAGAACTTGATGTGCTCTTTCCAAGTACTTTCTCTCTTTAACTCTTCACTCAATGTCTCTATTTTCCAGATCATGAGACCGAAAGTATCGAGCAATTCAAAGAACGACTGACTGAAAAAAGAAAAACAAACAGTGTAAACTCTTTGTTTTAATTGTGATAAATGGCTGATTCTAAAATTGCTGCTTGCACGAAAAAAAAGCAAATACTTCATTTATATTCAAAGAAAACAAACGAGTGATAAGAAAGACAAAAACCTGACAGAAATGAACCGTACGAATCGAGATGGAATTTTCGGAGGGAATTGTAAAAAGAGAAACAGGGCATCACTGGAATCAGTCGTAGTCGGAAATGGTGGAATAGATGTGATTGTCAGTTTCCAGACAAACATGAAGTACTTGTGACAGCTTCTGAGGCAGTCTCTGTTGACTTGTCTCTTCGTTTGAGGAGAGCAATTGCGAAATGCGAATTCCGTTTCCTCGCACCCAAGAAAGCAGTTCGGAGAGTGCCAAAGAAGAACCTTTGCAGGTAGACACGTCCTGGAAGAAGGAGCAATGGAAGATCAGAGAGGAGAGCGCGATACTTACGTTAGCCATGTTCACCAGTTCTGTCCTCAACTCGTCGGTGCCCAGTGGCGGACTGTTTTTGACTCTTTTGAAGAGATCGACCGAAAGTGGGCGGAGTCTGGCGACGTCTTTGGCGAAAAGAAGACGGGAGGAGGGTGAATGCGCACCGAGAACAGGCTCAGAAAACGAGAAACAGTCCATCTGAAAAGAAAGAAGGATTTATTGGTTATCCGTGTTCCCCAGTTACTTACCATAGTCTGCGCAACCGTACTCAGATTGGCATCCATCGACACTGAATGCGGAACGTCGAAAATGAGCTGCGGATTGCGAACAAAGTTGGCCCACACTCTGAGCACGTATCCGTTGGCCTTCCACTGCTGACAAATGTTCTCGGAGACGCCGTTCGTCGCCGCTTCTCGATCGAGAACGTCGAAGAAGAACTTTAGAATTGGAGGGAACGAAGATTCGTTCATGTAGAGAACCGACTCGAGGAAATCTTCCACGTACGTCTCGACCGTCCCTTTGCTAGTGAGCAAACGGGTCAAATAGACTTCTGGAATAGACTTGGGAATATTGTTGTCGTTAAATGACGTCTTCTTCTTGAACGTCATTGTGCCAGAAGAGGGATTTTTCAGATGGTAATACTTGGAGGACGAGTATATCGGAGAACAACGATCCAGAGAAGACCACGAGGACTGGCCAGAATCGGCGAGAGAGTCTGAAAAGAGCGAGATGGGAAACATGACGGGCACGAAAAGAAATGCTCACTTCTATAGCTACTGGCCGTATAAACTGCTGGCGACATCTCCAAAACTGCTCCATCCGTAATTCCGTAATCCGAAACAGTCAAAAGTTTCACGGGTAGCTTCTTTTGTGATAGTGTGTCAGTTTCGACGACATCCGTCAGTTTCACATCTCCACGACCGGGGCACTTGTATTCTGGAAGAAAAATACACATGGAAAGGAGTTGACGATGGATAGAACTCACTCAGATCGAACTGTGTTATTCTGGGCCTCTGTGAGTACGGTGTCTCCCGATAAACGGCTGAAGCGACTTTCTGTTTGACTTGGCAGATGGCGTCGCAAGCATGCACTTCCAGTTGAATCGAATCCTCGCACTTCTCGAAAGGAATCACGGAAATCATCTGGAATCAAAGTTCTTGTCAATGGTGCAAACTTCCTTCCTACCAAGGTCTTCGTCTCGACACTTTCCCTGAGCAACCTGGACTCGTTGATTGTGTACCTCGCATCTCCCGTCACCGCATCCACTGGTCCCTTGTCCGTCTGATATTGCAGTGCTTTGTAGAGATAGAAGAAGGAATTCATCTGAGGAGCCAAGTGCGAATAAAGGCAGATGCTCATCCACTTCGAAAACATCTTCTCGACCACCGAATCACTGTTCCGGAACAGAAGCTCGCCCCGTTTGGCCTGTACTGCCTTTGCAATATGCGCTCTCAGAAGATCCACGACAATTTCGGTGCAATAGGAGAAGTTCGGAGGAGCACGGAAATGAGAAGGGACGCCAGCATCGACCGTTCGGACGTCGAGATCGAGACGTCCGATTCGGCTGCTTCCACGACGGTGAAAATGAAGGTTTTGAAGCTGAGAAGGGCGTGGAATTGAGCCAACGTCACCGGAAGAGTCCTTGCCAAACTGGGAGCAGAAGTGAGATTGTTGTCCGCCCACAAGAGGTTTTCTACAAAGTGCGGGAACGTCATGAACTCCGGAGTCACCGATGAGTTTGTGGACTTGGGAGACAGCACAAGGTTGGTTTGAAGCTCGGCGAACGCTTGCTTGCACTCCTTTCTCACGTTGTTTTCCAGGTTCTCCATCTGCAGTTGAATCTTCCGATACTCCTTCTCCCTTTCCAGACGTCGTCGCTTGAAGATCAGACACAGGACAATCAGAGCGATGATTATGAAGACAAGAAGTCCGAGGATAAGAAGGGAGAGCCGGGATGGAAGGTTTTGATCGGAGTACTCAATGAGACCCAATTCCATTCTGAGAGATCCCACAATTGCAGTGACGAGCGGATTGAATCCATTTATCGGAATTCCCCTTTCATCCGTCGGCTTTGGTTGTTTGGGGGGTCCGGAGCACACGAGCTGCTTCACGTCCACCAGCGTCACATAGCATCGTTCATTTCCCACAAAGATCTTGAAGTCGTTCGGTTCGGCGGCCAGATTCAGATTGTGTCCTTCTAGAATGAGCGAGTGTTCTCCTTGATGGTATCGTATTCCTTTGAACGGGGACAGCATCGGATTCGGGTACACAGACATCTGAATCCGTCGTCCTAAATTGGCGACTGCAGTCACGTTGTCCATCAGGAATCCGACAGGCGATCGGGTGTACTCCACTCTTCGCGTGATCGTCTCCAGAATTTTCGGTGTCAAGCATGTCATGAGAGTAGAGTTGATTATGTGGCAAGGAGCCAGATCGGAAATGATATCGAACGGAGGGGTGGGAGAGGAGATCAGGAACATCCGGGCCGATTGGACAGTGTTCAGAGAGTGTCCAGTGACCGAAACTACTTTCCCTCCCGCCTTAAAAGAAGCAAGAGGATGGATTGAGCTGATCGAGGGATCCGAGCGGTACTCGAAAGGCTGATCGAGCTGGATCTGTGCGTGATCCACGTACACCACCACTTTCGCAGTTTTTCCGATTGCTGTTCCCGACGGTGTTGTGCACGAGAGAACGGATGAAGAGTTGTGGTGATCAATCGGACACGGAAGCCCTCCGACAGTCACTGAGATCTTAGTTCCACTTAACAGATTCTGTCCGTACAATGTGATCTTTGTGCCTCCAGAGATCGGTCCATAGAGAGGGTAGGCGGAGAAAATTGAGATGCGAACAAACGAGAAGAGCCCGGAAGACTCTGCGACTGCCATTGTCACCCTGCCAACCGATATCCGTATCGGGCCGGAACTGGATCCTTTGTCGACTTGACATGCAATCATGTTGGACACTTGATAGTCGACCACATTGCATCTGGAACCAGCCACGTAGATCTTTCCCCGCACGTCTTCCACGGACATTCCCAAGTCGTTTCCGAAGATTTTGATGAGAGTTCCTCCCTCGACGGGTCCACTTGAGGGCTCGAACTGAAAGAAGAGCTCATTGAAAGTATGCAGAAGGCCACTTACTCTATCAATTCGCGGAGGGTCACACACTGCAGTCGCCTTGGATTGATGACATTCGTGGGAACACTTCCGATTGCACCAGCCACAGGAGAGGGAAGGAGAAAGGGCGAGACAGCTGGAGCAATCGGAAGCGAGATTGGAGCAGGAGTAGAGAGAAACTGAAAATGAGGAGATGACGATGGGGAAGGAATTTGTCGGATACCGTTGGCAATGTCAATGATAGCGTCCCTCGTAGTCAAACTCAACGGAACAACCAGATTGGCGGAAGTAATCGAGCTGTCCGGAGCAAGTTGAATCTTCCCGCACCGGATGGAATCACTGGCTATTTTGGCAGGCGAAACTTGTTCTTTCCCTTCGAAAATCACTTTACAAAAGTGCTCCGTTTTCCTATCCAACGTGTCCAAATTCTTAGCTTCCAACACAATTTCTTGTTGAGAACCAATGGCGATCGGCACTCTCATTGGTTGCAATCGAACGCAAGCACTTGCTCTTTCAGCTTCACAGCTGTCCTTCGGAGAGCATTTATGACTGGTGGAGCACCATTCACAGCCCCACTCGGAGCTCATGCACTTGGAGCATGTACCGTAACCCGAGCAGTCATAAACAGTGAAATTGTGAGTGCTGATAGGATTGTGGGCGATGGAAGTCATTAGGGAAATGTGGAAGGTGCTCGCGAAGCTCATAAGAGCAGAAGGGCAAGTGACTCCGGTGGATGTCCAGTTGGCTTTGGTTGTGGTCAGTTTGGAAGAGCCAAACTGACACTTGTAGGTGAATCCGTTGGGAGGAGGAAGATGTTGGATGTTGAAGGAAATCGGAACGGAAGAGTTGATGGAGACCATCGAGGGGACGGGCTCATCGTCGACGATCGGGCACTGGGAACTCTACAATAGAAAAGAGTCGGAAGACTGATTTAGGGGAACAGTTACCATTGGAACAGCGCACCGGGAAACGGTCGTGCATGATTGGGTCGGATGGCACCATTGGCAGAGAGGGTCCACGGAAACGAGGCATTCCGTACAGGAATCGTGATGCGAACAGGTGGACAGTTCTTCCAGAACAATCTGAAACAGAAGAGATTCAGTACCGTAGCCCGAAAAGTCACTCTCTCACTCCATAAGGCATCTGCACAATGACAGAGTCTCCGTGCCTCGTCATCTTCATCACTTCGCTGCCCGTCCTTCCGTCTCCGACGTCCTTTCTACCGTACTCCTCCAGTCTGTTCTGTGTCTGATCTTCCCATTTCAACTGCAAAAAGCATCGACTTTACGAGAAAAAGCGTCATTTAAAAAGGGAAACAAAACACATTAAATCCCTTTTGATTCACATTTGATTGACATTTCTCATAAACGGGAAGAGAGAGGATTGACATTTGTTTCACTTTGCCTTTCGGATTATTTTGTCATTTTTCGGTGTCATAAGTGATGAATTGATGGGAAACACTTACCATTATGATTTGAGAAGACGAGGTGCCCGCGAAAATGGCTTTTTGATCCACGGCCATAAGGGAAGTCACATTAGCGTACACGTCTTTCGTGGACATCTCGACGAGCTCAATCGAGCCCCCGACTCCTAGTTCACAACTGTCTTCGTCCAGGGGAATGTGCGCTTTCTGAAAATGACCGTATTGAGGGGTACTACATTAGCCGACGAGCTCACATTCAGACATTTTGCATCTCTGCCAATATGCGGAAGTTTGATCGAATCCGTGCCGCTTCTGCATCTGTCCACGTTGTACCAGAAGGTCAGTTTGACTTTTTGCATCGAAAAGACGCAAATGGAACTTTTGCGAGAGTTGGATGACGTGGAAAAGGTGGCGATGAGCTTGTCTCCGGTTTGAACGACGGCCGAAAGGAACGGGTAGTTCGTATTGTCTTCTCCGCGACATTGCATTTCAATTTCAGAATACGAGACAAACCTGAAAATGACATCAACAGATCTTCTTTCAGTCCCTCCAACTGTACACTTCACATATCTCCAAGGACTTTTCTATCCTCAACCACATTTAATCCGCTTTGGAATCCCCTCCCGTGCATTTCATGCATCACTCACTTCGTATCATTCCGACAGAATCTTATCAGCCTCGTCGTCGTCGGATTTCTCGTTTCCCTCGGAGTCACCGTCGCAACCACGAATACAAAGTGTTCGTGGACGAAGGTGTGCACGAATCGGAAGGCGGAACGGTAGGCGGCACGGAGGAAAACCGCTGCTTCTCCTTCCAAATCACCTGAAATCACGGAAAGAATAATTAGGGGTGTCATTCTAGGGATACCTGCGTTCTCGACGACCAGACCAGGAAGAGTTCTCATGGCGACTGCTGGAAACGGGTCACGATACGGAGACTCCTTCGTCGGACTTGCTGCCACAATCAGCCGATTATCAAGAATCAAGGAGACTGTGGAGGCGTCGAGAGAGTTCGCAGCCACCGGAACACTCGACTCTGTCAGCAAGGACAGTTTGGAGTTGAATGTGGAGCATGAGCCGAGCTTGACGGAGCCACAATGAAGGAGTTGAGAGGAAGGAAGGATGTGGAGGATCTTGGTGCGGACATCTGTTGGGAACGGACGGTTGTCTCTGTAAACCAAAAAGAACATGAATGAAGGGAGCAGGATGCACAGACTTCAAGCAAGACTTTCCGTCGGCGGAACACCACGGGGAATCTGACACAGGGCCAATGGAAACTTCTGATATGTCGGATAAGTTGGAAGCTGATAATGATTGGATGCGATTCACAGAAGCCACGTAGATCTGAAACATCTTCATTTTCCCTTTTCTTTCCTTTTTCTTTCCGATTTGTAAGTTGAGTGAAAATGGAAAAGAGAAAAAAGAAGACCCCCTCCTCACCGTTTGCTGGTCCCTGGAGACGACGAACTCGTCAATCTGTCCGGCCGAATGAAATATCCGCTGCTTGACGCCTTCAGGGTCAAAGGGCGGCCGCACCGCCGCCCCTCTCGCCGGTGCGTTGATTAGTGAGAAAGCGAGGAGCAGGAACACCGACCGGGCGAGCATAGTCGCATTTCTGAATGAATCATAGGTTCATGTTTAGAGATTAGTATAGACTACGTGAATAACGATATGAATTATTAGAATGGTTTGAGACGAAGGAACAGACTGGAAAAGAACTAATGAAGCGTGAATAGAATCATTCTAGTTTCTACTATCAGTTTACACTCTCCGCATTCCCTTCCGCCTTCTGGAACCTCAATGTTTAATTCCGAATGCCCACAGCCATAACCATAACCCATAAATCATTTGAAACGTGAACGAATGCAGCAATACAATCGAATCATCATCATCTCGGACAAAAAAGTGAACCGAATCGTCGTCGAACCGAATCCATTTTCTCGTTCGAATAAATAGCAGTAGCCAGCCAGCAGAAGGGACAGATTTGAACATTCAAAAACACAAGTACTCCCTCATAAAAGTAATCCCCAAATGGGTTCCGGAAGGGTTTGGAACATGAGAGACAATGGGCTCGCAATGAAAAAGGATAGCTGACTATGAGAAGTGGCGGGAAGGAAGGAAAATGGAAAAAAGTGTCCGAGTGGAGGGGCGGAAAGGGGCGGGCAAGAAGATGACATGTTGTGATAGAGAAGAAGGGAATACGAAGGAAATAAAGAAGGAATGTTGCTCATTATCGTAATCAAGCTCTTTATCCAATTGACTCTTGGAGCAACATTACACCTTCATCACTCTCTCTCTGCAAGCTCCCGAACAGCACGGAATCCAAAAGCTCATTAATCATTTCCGTTGACATAATTCGCGGGTGTCTTCTCGGCTTTTCGCAAATAGAAGTGAACACCTGTCCCGTTCGGGACTGCTCCTACTTATCATAATGATGGTTTTAGATTAGACGAAGGTAAGAAAACGGAAAATAGCGGCTCATTAGGAAAACATTGGGGAGCTAATGAGTCGAAGAGCAGGTGGAAGGAAACGAACGGGCGTCAAAAACAAGCAAAGGTAGATGGAGAGGGTGACGGAGGTGCGGAGCAAGGTGTGGGAGCGAAACGAAGGGCGAGAAAAGTTTCTTGTGAATGTAGGGAGCAATTGAAAAGAGCACATGTATACGGGTAATTGGAGGGCCCACGCGCAGACGTGCTAGCTAAAAAAGAGTAGGTGTACAGTGGGGCACAACGGAATGGCACTTGATGGCTCTTCGGTGATTTGCATAAACCTGTGTCCACCAAGTGTTACAACGGCACTTGATTGCACAACGGATAGTAATCAAATCATAAAAGTTTTATGTGTTTGGAGGTTTGTGTAATAATCTCCCCGGGGCGCCGAAACTACTGCCTAACCACATCGCACCTTGGAGCCAGCCTTCTGCGCTGAGCTCTGATCTCCGAGAAGAAATGAGAATGGATCGGATGAATGGAAAATGAATGATGACACCCGTAAATTCAGGTCGGAAACAATGGGCATAATTGGTTTGTGTTTGGCTGTCAGAGAGGGGTGAGCACACCCTCGACTACTGGGACAATGACTGACCGTATATGCAAATAGGGGGTCCCAAAACTAGCAGCTAGTATGGAGACAGCTGCCACCAGAGCTGCCTAAACATTGTCTTTGGCTAATAAAGTAGTGGTGGATGAGGAAAAAAGGTTGGAATGACTGAAAGTGACACGAACTCGGACGCATTTTTGATGGCGACAAAGAAGAAGCCGCGGGAATGAAAGGAAAACAAAGAGGAAACGGGGTGTTGACTAATGAGGTATATGTGGACGGAGCGACGAAAGAAGCTTCTCTGTGACCTGACATTTTCACGTTTTGATGGGCTGTACAGAATATGAAGAGGAAGCGGAGGACGAGCGAGATGACGGAGCACGGATGATGATGCATCGCTTTACTACATGGTATAGGACATTGTGCGTCGAGTGAAAGGTTTGTTGAGTTGGCATTTCGTACAGTTTACTACAGGAAGTGAGAGGTAACGAGGAACAGGAAAAGGAAAGAGCTCTGACAGATGACGTCAACTGTATAATACTTTGGGCCCAGACTCTTCAGTCTCGTTTGCCACCTGACACCCTTTGAAACCTTCGCGCACAGAAGCTGGTGCATCAAAACAATTGATGAAATACGAGTTAGTCATCGCGCTTATTTTCCACAATTGATCAGGCACGGGGCTCTCGGAAAAACGAAACAAAAAAGAGTGACTGGACGGGCGGCACGGTTAATTGAATTTCTTATCCCCGAGGAGACTACTCTACTTTCTGACTTTCCTCTTTTCTCTTTTTTGCCCTCAAAATCGCATTGTTCTTTTCCTTTTTTTCTTCGTTTTCTAATTGAAACTCGAGAAAGATGAGTCTGCGGGTAAAGCTGAATTCAAATTGAAACGGGGCAAGTAAGGCGGGAAGGGCGGAAGGCACAATACTCATTAGGGCACATCAAAAAGTCATGGAAGCATGAAGGACAGGAAGTGCGCAACGGGACGGAATGGACGGAGATGAAGACGAAGAAGGAGAAGACACTGGTTCTTTCTTTAATTGCGGTTGAAATTCGATCCGGATGCAGCAGATATCGAGTGGATTTGAACTTGCAACGTTTGAAGGCAAAGTTTGTAGAAATCGAACAAGGCATCCAGAACTGGGCCAGAAGAAAAGACATTCAAAAACCTGCAACTTTATTTATTTATTTGCGAGGCGTCGAGATATGCGTATACATAAATTATTGAGGATTGCGCAATTGACACAAAAGAGGAGGGGTCGTAAAAAAATAAGACAGGTAAGAAAGAGATTGCACAGAGCAGAAAGAAGAAGGTGGTCACGACTAGATTAGGAAGATTTGAATGAAACGTCAAGAAATTTCAAGTGGCACTTTCCATTTCCACTTTCTCGCAGTAGAAATGGAAGAAGAGCTAATCTCCCAGGGATGATTCGCGTAATACGGAGTGTTCAAATTGGAAAAATGCAAATGAATGTGTGAGACAATGTATAATATTCGGGTGCTCCCGTGCCGACGAGGCGGTCTCCTTCTGTTGCGTGTCTTTGGGACGACAACAAAATGGATGAGGGGGGGCACACGAGAAATTGGAAAAGAGAGGTTGTTGCCAGTTTGGATTAGAAACAAATGAGCGGAAATGGAAAAGACACCTTTCAAGGGAGGGGGGGTTTGCATGTCCTTCTTCCCGGGTGGTCTGATTTAGTAGTAATGCAAAAAGACGGGAGGAAAGAGCCGGCTTGTTGTTGATGACGAAAAAGGAGAAAGACTTGCGAAGCAGATTAGATTGATTCATGAGAATTAGGTGAGAATTGACACTTTTTGCAAGTTGAAGGAGTTGGGGACAAGGTTGAGGCGAAGTGCAAAAAAAGAAGAAGAGTTGTGACAATGTACTTGAGAAGAAAAGGTACTTCACAAACGGATTCGTGAACTCGTCAGGAGGGCCGGCTTAACACCATTTGTAACCTAGTGTGCTTAGGTTCTATGTACAGAGGATTAGCAGGGAATGCACCGGGTCAAGGCTTCTGATGGGCGAGCTTCAGTCTCATGATTCTGTCATCACCAAATCACGAGGGGATTGAAGAGTACAATAACTCAACTACATTTTCTGATTCTTAGCCAAGAGAACCAAACAAAAGAGCAAAACTCTTTTGGCAGCTTTTGACGCCGTGTGCTCTTCCGCACCCTTTCCGCGCCTCTTCTCACCATGGTTGCCCTCTTCGCACAAATGCGCCAAATGTGTCTCATCCCGCCCGCCCGCCGTCCCTCCATCCGCTCAATGGAATATATTACATAAACAATAGAAAGGGTTTCTCTGTGTGTATGTATGTTACTTAGACGGAGAAAGGGTGACTGAGCGGTTCTCACCATTCAAGAGGTCGAGAGTCTCAAGTGGATCTTCCTCCTCTTGGCTTCTCTCTTCCATTCTTGGAATGTTCATCTGGAGGAGAAGACGACGGGGTTTAATGAAAGTGATATTGGAGGAAGAGCCATCAACCGCACATCTCATGTTCCTCAAACACAACCAAAATGGTTTTACGATGACACTTCCGGCGGCATTTCGAGATGAAATGGGAGGAGGAAATTAGGGAAAAGGAGCATATGACATATGGAACGGGAGTGTCATAGGAACATGATGGCGAACGGATGTGACAAATGGCGAAAGGATACGTGTCAAAACAATGAGAGGAAGAAGGAGAAGAAGCGAGGATCGGAACATGAAGGCTATGCTTCTGTTTGGAATGCCGAAGTGCACGAGTATTCTCTCTCCGACTCATCCAATTCATCGCAATTCATTCAAAGCACGGCCTAATGAGATGGCACGTTGATTGGCGACCGATTCTGATGAACACGACGAGAATGAACGGAGAGGATGCGTTGACACCCTGGTGCGAAAGAGACGTTTCCGAAGGAAGAGGTGGTCGTAAAAGTGGCGCCGACAAGGTTCCGATGCCAAATATAAACCTAGAAAGATTGTGATCATCTCCATCAAAAGCCATATAAAAATAGAGTAGGAAATGGAGAATAGTAATAGTTTTTAAGCAAAATTGAGTGAGAAACGCAAGAGATGAATCTAATTATGAACTAGGCTCTGTGCGTGTGTGTGTGTTGGCGGCATGTACATGATGATGAGCGGAGGAAGAAGGAGAAGACTTCAATGCTCATATACGAAGACGACGGAAACTGAGGACAAAAAAGAATGGAGGAGGAAAACGGAAGGAAGTGGGGAAACTGAAGGCGGTTTGGAGCGAAAATATGGGAAAGAGAACTGTAGCGAAATAACAGTCAAGGTAAGAACAATGGAAGTGATTTCGATTTCACCCAACAATCTAATTGAACTGCGAGATTACTTTCCAAGGACCGACAGTTTCAGACAGTCACAGTCACGAAACCGCGGAAGGGATAGTGTAACCGCGTAGAAAAAGTAGAAGAAAGATGGCTAATAACTGTCACTTCCTCAAAATACGCCAATTAAAGAAGCTTCTTCCTCTTCTGCGTTCGCAATCGGCAATTGGAGCGCCAATCTGGCGCGTTTTTCGCCTTCATTGTTTGTGCGTTCGCGGGCTGCCACCACCATCCTACTCCAATATATCATTTCGACCAATCTGGCCACTCTCCGGATGACCGCTAACCCGATTTGGCTACTTTAATCGTCAAAATGGCGGAGGATGAATGAGCGAGCGAGGGGAGACTTATGCCACATCCACGACAAATCATTCGGATGACGGGCCGGTGGCACTTGTTACCTCATAGCGGAGAGTTGGCCGAGTGGGACGGTAATTGTGAAGAGGTCGGTGATAAGAACGAGATGGCAATGCGGGGAACGTCCGTTTGAGCAGTTATCAGTCGGTGCCGTGATTGGAGCACTCGTAACTCTCGTTCATTAAAGGAACGGCCGGGAACTCAACGGTTGAAAGGAACTGCATCGTTTCTCGTGAACTCCGCCACTTTTTGGTGGCCTCACCATTTCCCTTCGGCTTCATTTTGGATTCGCGAGCTCACTCGGAACACTTTCGACAAAGCAACGTGTTGAATTTCACGAGTTCCCTTCCGTCAATCTTTGCGAAGCGATACAGTCCCCTTATCACTTTTCGCTATTATATATCCACCCGATCGTCCCTTCCTTTTGTCATATTTGCTCTCGATTGCTTTGATTTGCGCTCATTGAGCGTTGATTGAGCATTGTGCGTTGATCATTTTGTGCTTTAAACTTTTCATCGACTCTTCTGGACATTGTCTGGTTTGACACGAATAAAATTGGAAAAGTTACAGCACGTTTTGGAAAAGGGTCATAAAAAATTCACATAAAACGCGACAAAAAAATGACCGAAAAAGAGGTAAAATGTGGGGAAAGAAATCGACAATAGAATGAATCTGAGCATAAATCTCTGGGTAAAACGGGAAGAATTCTGTTTTTAGGGGCCTTTTTTAAAGGAATTTCGGACTGAAAAAGTGGGGAAATAGAAGTCTTTTAGGAACCGATGACTGTTTGGATTTTCAGAGTTTTTGAAAGATTTTTGGGATTTTTAAGGAATTACAGGGACAAAAGTACACATCGAACGAAGAGAATAACGTGGAGAAAATGGGAGGAAACAGATTGGAGAAGGAGTTGAATTGGCTCTCACTCTGGAGCTAAAACTATTCTTTTTTTGGATTTTTGTTAAATTTTAATTTTTTTTTAGTGTTTTAGACTGAAAATTTGGAGGAACGGAAGAAGAGAGGGGGTTATATGAAGTGAGTGAGAGGTAGAAAATGATAAAATAAGGAGGGGAACTTAATGGATAACAGAGTGACTTTTAGTCTAAAAATGGATGATCGGGGGTGGGGGTTTAATTGGGAGAGTTGTTCAGTGGATCAAGAGTTATTCGGCCGTACTTTTCGTCCACTTCCACTTGATCCAACTCGGAGAACAACTCCAGTTGCTGGTGGTTCTCGTAGCTGTTGTCCAAGTTTGCTGAAAGCGAATCGAGTTGGTCAGAAGCTGAAGAGTCAGAACTTACAGTTGACCCGTCGAACAAGAGCACGCAGAAGGTCGACTGGCATGTCATCTGATTCTCGGACTTTTTGAAGATAGGGACCGAAAATGTAGTCGTCGGTCGGGAGGGACGGAGTGGGGATGAAGAACTCGTGCATCACTGAAATCAACGGATATTGGGTCTCGACAACCCATTCCCCGACTCACATTGCTCGACGATTTCTCGGTTGGCGAGTGGGTTCTCGTCTTCCGCGTCTTCTTCTTCGTCTTCCTCATCCTCCTGCGTAGGCTGGCCATCCGTCGTCGGCGGCACTTGCGGCACAATCGGTCTCGCGACTTGCCATCGCACCGGAGTGATCAGCTCGATTCCATTGGCCCTAGTTTGAATGAGAACACCGCACTCGTCCAGCACCATTCGTTTCTTCACAAAGCTTGGAAGGAACGGGCAGGAGGCGGCCTGGAAGAGTCGAGAGTCACTGCAGCACGGAGCAAGACAGAAGAACTCCTCGTCGGTGAGCACTTTGCCCTGGGGTCTGTTGCGGCACGTGATCTTCTTCTCGTCGAACAGTTCGCAATCCGAAGTGGTCGGATGATCTCTCTCGATCATTTCCTCCAGAGACATCCTCGGGAACAGGTCCTCGTCTGACGTCATCTTCAGCGCAGTTCTCACCGGATCCGTGAACTGCTCCAATCGGAAGTTCGCAATCTCTCCTGGCTGCAACGTCGAGATGAACTCCCATTTGTTCGGGTAGTGCGACGATGTGGCGGGTATATCACTGGCGCTGCTGGAGCAAGACGGCTCTGGCTCCGGCTCAACTTCCTCTTCTTCTGGAGCTGAAGTGGACGGCGTGTCGGCACAAGTTGAGGAGCAGCAGGAGGCGGTGGAGGCGGAGGAAGCGCCACAGATCTCGGCGACGCGCTCGTCGACCATGTTGCGGAGAGCATCGCTTTCGAGGAAGTCCGTGACGATTGAGGTCACTCGCTTCTCTACCTCTGCCTGGATTCTGACCTCGAAGGAGCGGAGGGAATCGTCGATTGAAGCGAGGCGTTCGAGCATCTGAAATGATAAAGGGTCAGAAGGGAATCTAGGGTCGATGACGTCACTCTGTCTGTCTGTACTGTCTGACTCAAAACAGGTATGCACACATGCACGTCCCCTCTCTCTCTCTCTCTCTGCTCAGCCACTCGTAACGTCAGCATTGCATCGCAGATGTTTCACCTATCCCGTGCGAGTCATTGGCTGATCAACACCAGCCATCGCCATCTTTACCTAATCCCGCTCGCCAATTATATCTACCTATCCGCGAGTGGTCTGTTCTTCACTAATCCGCCCTTGTCGGTGGGCGAACGCACACTCACTGTTATCATGATGACTGCACGGCAAAGTGTGGTGCTCACCGAGCAACGACTCCCTCTTCCTTTCCCCCCAATACGGTTTGTCTAGTCAATCAGCTGATGAGGAGAGGGAGAGGGGAAGAGGGAGAGAGGGTCAGTCACCTGTTAGGAGAGACGATTGCAAAAGTGTTGTTGTCGGGGCGGAAAAGAAAAAGAAAGTGGATGCGGAGAGGGAAAGAGAAGCGCGCGCGCGTGGATTGGAATGCGGAATGGGGAATGCGCACGCGATTTCGGATTGAAGGAGATGAAAGATATGATAAGAGTACTTACCATATTCTCGAAGCACGTCCGGGCAAACTGTTCGCGAGTCTCTCGCTGCTCGCACGCATTCTGTCTGTGCTTCTCGAAGTTCTCGCGCGATTCCTGCTTGAGTCGCTGGCTTCGCATCAGAATCTCGTTCAAGTTGCTGTTCTGCATGCCTATCTCAGAGTCGAGTTTAGCGTCTCGGGTCTTTTCTGTAATTGCAAAACTTTTAATGAGTGAAAAAAAGGGGAGAAGAAGACGTCGGAGAGAATGGTTGGATGATGAACACGAGAAAAGTGGCGGAGAGGGACGAAGGCAGAGAGCGAAGCGTATAAACAAATGAGTGAGTGGTGCCGAGGAGACGCAGGCCGATGAGAGGGTAAGAGTCCAGTGGAGGGCACATTGTGAGCGGAGAGATTCATGGAGACGAGGGGAGATTGTGGTGGTCGATAGGGGGCGAATGAATGCAAATACCGATGTGAGTGAGGGAGAGAAAGAGAGCGGACAGAGAGCGGACGAGGCGGCGGCAGGCGGGCGGACGGACTGATAACAGCCAGCAGCAGCAGCCGGCGGGCAGGCCGCTCGGGTACTTGTGTTGTGTGCGGTACAAATTGGGACAAGAAGGCCCTATTACATTGATGCCAAGTTAGGAAGAAAGATTGATAATGGAGACGGATCAGAAACGGATATGAGAACCGAATGGGATGAGCTGGCGTTACTGTTCCAATTACTGGAGACACTCGTGGTTAAAGTGGGTATGAATTTCAAATGAAATTTGAAAAGCAAAATCTACAGAAACTATCTGATTACTGCAAAGTCACACATTACAACTGTAAGCAATGGTATCGGAAGAGTTTTTGAGCTTAATTTTCAAAAGAAGAAATATAAAAATGAGATCAGTGATCTTTTGGTAACAGCTACAGTATGCTTGCTATCTCTCTTTCTCTTTTTCGAAAAACCATGCAACGGAATCACAAAGTGCTCTCGTCCTTCGCCGTCCGAATCGGTTTGGAACCGGCTAACCTCATCGAAAATGCATTCGAATATGCAAATCGGCACCGAAAAACACACATATTACGGACGGGCTGGTGGGGGCGAATGTGTCGCGTTTCGAAACGAAACAAATCGCCCCGTTTCTCCTCCCGTCTCCCCCCGCGAGAGCGCCACCCTTTCTCTCCGTCTCCTCTTTTCGCATGACGTTTCCGTCAGATGCGTTGGCAAGCGTCCGCCAATCAATAGACGGGACTGCGGAAGACTGTGATGAGAGGGAAATGAAAGCGGCGGACGGACGGGGACAACGGAAGTAGAGGATTCTTCCGGAAGGAGTCGTCAAGGTGAGCGTCCGTGGATGGGCGGCTCGGAAAGGGAAGGGTGCACTCTGCGGTGAGAGCAGGAAGGGATGCTCAATCCGATAATTGCATTGCGATTGGAGTGTGTAATAGTGTTGCTGGCTTCTTCTCCGCTTCCGTCCGTTTCCTAGCAGAAGAGAACCAAAATATTATCGTGTTTCCGGGAATAAAAAACACTGCTTGAAGGAGTTCGAGAATGTTTCGTTCAGGTTTAAATAGGTACCTGATTGATGTTATCTAGTTAGTCATCTGAGAAGTTTTCAGGACAGTAATGGCCGATTATTCGCGTGACCGTTGTGGCTATTTTGAGGAAATTAGCACGAATGACATGTGCAGCAAACTCCTCCTTCAAGTGTTGTCGGCTGTTGCCCATTCAAATCCGCGTGCTTTTCCCTCTCGATGACCTAAAAAGCCGGATGGCCGCGGCCTAACTTCATCGAAAACGTTCTACGTTTTTCGAACGAAGTTCAATTTTTCAAATTTCGGTCGCGTCCGTTCCGTTTTAAAGTGCTTTATCCTGCATATATTTAACGAATGGAGCTTTCTGAGTGGATCGATTACGCAAAGAATAATTACAATACCCAGAAGAAAGTCAAAGTAGTCGGCGTTGTAAGTGAAGCAAACGACTTGCCTGAGCTTTACGTGAAACGATTCGTTGCAGATTGGAAAGGATTCTCCAGATCACGGAAAAGGCGATAACATCAACAGTTACCTGCGGGAGAATGTGTTCCCTGTGGCGACGTCTGAAGATGAAACCTGTACAGTGAGTTTATCAGACAAATGCATTTATATTCTGATTCTCAGTAATTCAGATCCGTGCGCACTATTCCGAAGAGGAGCACATTCTGTTTCTGGTGATGAACGGCGTCGACGACCTGGCAAACGTTAGAAAGTGTCTGACTAACAAGAATAACGAGCCGATAAATTATTTCGAAGCGATGTCGGAGAGTGAAGCTCAGCAGATCCGCATGCTCCATCTCCTCTTCATTTCCTGCCACTTCATTCTGCTCTTCGAGGAGACTTCCCGAATCAACACAGAACAGTTGCGATTCTTCAGAAGAGTTAACATTTCTAGGTCAGTTTTAGAGTCGATTTTCGATAAAACGAGCGATTTTTTCAGAATGCAGCTTCGAAAAAGAGTAAATCAAAAGCTAGTCTCAGCTGGTCTACGGAATGTCGCCTTCAACAATTGCAAATTGACACAGGCAGAAGCGGAAGGACGCATGGGTATCCCGCGTCTTCTGATGGCTTTCCAACGGAATAATATTCGCAGCGATCTCGGCTCCAGCAAAAAAGTAGGGTATTTGTATCAATAATTGGTCACCAGGCAACTTGAACTGTTTCAGAAAGAGCTGTATCACAAATTGGAGCGTAGTCTGGATGCCCAACTCGCGGAAGCTCTGAAGACGTTCGAACTCTCCGGCAGAGGAGCTTCGGCCTTTTGCAGACTCAACGAAACTCTTCCGTGCGTCCATCTTCTGAATCCGGACGTCGTCAAAAGAGACATTGTGAATGAAATGTTCGAAACGTTCATGGCGGAAGCGGAGCATCGTCCGGAAAGTTCTCAAAAACTTCCGAACAACAACTCGTTCGACATTTTCCTAGACGACAATTTGAAGTCGGAACGGTACGAAATCAGTTTGGAGAATGTCATCAAACTGCTCGATTGCCTTTCTTGTGTGCTCGACGCATCTCTCGAAGAGGGAAGAAGCGCTGCTGACTTGAATCCGATGACGAAATTTATTCAAACACTTCAAGAAGATCATATGCGAGAGGCCAGAAGACTGTATACGCATGACAATACTCGGCAGCCACGTGGAATGTGGAGAATGCCGTCTGACGTGTCGCCCGTCAAAACTCGGAGCAAGGAGGAACACGTTATGAGAGTAAGTCATCTACTTAACATTCGGTATTTGGCATTACTTTTTACATTACTTTAACATTACTTTTTTACATTGCATTTCTTTTCAGTTCCGAGAAGCCACCAGATACATCGAGACAGTCGTCGGCAACAATACGGAAGAAGCGATCGCAGAGCTTCACGCTCAATGCGATGAAATGTGGCAAACTGACATGCGCGCATGCGAAGCCGTGTCGCTTATGGGGCATCAGTGTGTTAAGAAGCTCCATCCGACGTTTGGAGATTTTACAGTGTCCGAAACGCAATGGACTGCTCACGACGCCGCAAATACACTGCTTTCGACATGCACGTGCGGAAGAAAACAGCTGGCTCGACTGGAACCGTTCAGTGTGAAAGAGGCAAACTGCGATTTCTTCGAAAATCAGGAATTCTCGTGTTGTCGTCGCTTGTGGAGATATGAGTTCCAATTGTATCAGGAGAACACAGACGACAAAGAAGATGTAGCTTGGGACGGCGATCGAGACTCGAATTCTCTTCATGCTGACAAGAAAGTCGTTAAAAGAGAAGACGAATCACATGAATCGCAGATGACGGAGAGTCTCGTGGATGACGAAGGAACGGATGAAGACGTCAGCTTAGATAAGACACACAGTTCCCTCTCCGATTCTGAAGAGGAAATGTATGTGCGGCCGACCGACAGACAACTGAATTCATCGAGAAGTGAGAGGGATATGGCAGTTGAATACGCGAAGAAGCTGCAGAGACTGATGGCCGCTAAAAAAAATAACGACTTCATCGAGGACGTCCCAAACTCGTTGAATGCCGGAAGGCTTCCGCTTTTCCCTTCGTGGTTCCTCACGTCGTTCGGCGATTCGATCCTTTACAATCACTCCGTTGGTCTGGCATATCAACCGAATTTTAAACGTGGAGGAGAATATCTGACTCCGGTCATAGTTAATCTTGATGTCAGACAATGTTCGAATAATTTCTATCAAGCGAAACTCATTTCAGGTCGACAGAGACACTTGGAATCGAGATCTCCACAAAGTGCGTAATGAAGACTCCGGCCGAAAACATCTCTCCGGCAGAGTGAATGACGATGCTCCACGTGTCAAACTGTTTATCGGATTTGAGTACGAATGCTCTCGCGGCCATCGTTTCTTTGTTGACCATGTAGGAGAGCCTATGATTTATGCGAGAAAAACAAATGTGCATCGCGAATCGGCTCAACGGAGTCTTCTTGGAAACGTTCTCGAAGCTGATCTTCCTATTCGCAGACCGTGCACGTGTCGGAAACCACCTCTTCGCTCCGCCCAACTCCAGAAAATTCACGTGGTTACTCCAAAAGCACCCGTTCACGTCACAATCGACCCGAAAATTGTAATTCCGGGTCACTCCGGAGTCTATGGAACTGGACAAGCTCCCGTGGAACTTCATCATTCCAAGTGAGATCGTTCCTGGTCATTCACAAAATTCATACTTTCTTTCAGATACTACATTCTTCAACTTCCCACTGTCTACAGCGGACCGTCCGGCATTTGGACGCCTCCAGAATATCTCTCCGGAAAACACGGAACGTGGACTGGCGGATCTATCAAAGTACTCTACAAGCCGGTTCACTCGTACCGATGGTAGTTATAAATATCACCCGTGCATTAATAAATTCTGAAAAGCATTCAAGCATGTCTTTATTGAATCATAGCTAGTTCTCGTGTTCACTTCTTCATGTACACACTGCCACCGTACGGAACTCCAAATCCGACCGACTTCGGCTCAGTGCCCGATCCGTAGTTTCCCTTGGCAACCGAAGTCTTCGATGCTTGCTTGGCAGGCAAGGCGGGAACGCTTCCCCCTCCGCCTGAAACAAGAAGAGTTGGTGATAATGGCAGATATGAATTCGATTACCTGGCTTCGCAAAGACACTCCCTCCGTAGTTGGTTCCGAACCCCACCGATCGAACTTCACCAGCTCCACCGGAAGCCGCGTATGCTCCGCTGCTCTTTCCTCCGGCTGCACCACCTTTCGCCGCGGCTCCTCCAGCATATCCTCCGCCAGATGCACCCTTCGCGAAGACGCTTCCTCCGTATTGGTTGCCTCCGAACGCCACCGAACGAACTTCTCCGCTTCCAGCTGCTGCTCCGCCCGCATATCCTCCTCCACCTCCACCTCCACCTCCGCCGGATCCAGCAGCATATCCTCCGCCAGATGCACCCTTCGCGTAGACGCTTCCTCCGTACTGGTTGCCTCCGAAAGCCACCGAACGAACTTCTCCGCTTCCAGCTGCTGCTCCGCCCGCATATCCGCCTCCCCCAGATCCAGCTTTTCCTCCGCCAACCGCTCCACCACCTCCTCCTCCTGGAGACGGTCTCGCGAACTGACTGCCTCCGAACTGCTGAGCTCCAAAGCCGACGGAACGAACTTCTCCGGAACTTCCGGGTGCAGCCGTCGGTCCACCCGCTCCTGGTCCACCCGCAGGTTGCACCGGATCGGTCGTTCCGATTCTGTTGACTTGATTCGCAATGTGGTCGGTCGACTGCCCGGTGACCGCCGCCTGCACTTTGCACTGCGCCTGCTCCAGCGTCTCCTTCATCGCCGGAGTCATCGTCGCGCACTTCTTGATGTAGTCGTCCTTGTTCTGTCCCTGCGGAACGAACACCAGCTGATCGTTTTGTCCGACGACCACTTGTCCGAGCTGTTCGGCCCCTTTGGGAACCTCCCCTGGCTTCGCGGCGACTGCCTTCCCTTCCGCATTCACGAAAATGTCCGCGATGACATCGCCAGTCTTCGCGTTGTCTGGGATGGCGCAGGGCATCAGTTTCGCGTCTTTGCCTCCGCCCAGTTCACGCCCAGCAATTTGCACGAACTGTGCTTGGTCGTTGGTGCGTACGATGATTCCGACGGGCGTCTCCTTGTCCTTCGGCTTCTCATCCAGCACCTTCATCACCACCATTCCGTTGTCCGCCACGTCCACTTGCACTGCCACAACCACTGCAATCCTCCTTCTTTTTTCTACATTCCCCATCCTTGCACTCACTGTCTTTTCCGATCGCATCCACCATCTTCTGATCGACTTTGTCGGCGACTGCAGCCTTCGCAACTGTCGTCACGGTCTTTTCGTCCATCTTGGCGGCACCCAAAGCGTTCGGCACAAATACCTCCTTTCCATTTTGGATAATGAGTTCTCCTTCAATGTAATTGTCGAAACGGAGTTTGTGCGCTTTCGTGAGACGGTCATTCGGAATGAACTGCGGGATGTTTCCAGCGCCGCGCACGAGAATTCCCTTCACATGGTTCATATTCTTGCTGGCGGTCCCGCCTTTTCGTTGTTCTTCGCATCGACTGGCACCAAGATGATGGCTCCTCCGATTCCCGGAGTGAGCACGGCGTCCGGAGTGAAAGCTCCTTCCACTTTGTCATCCTCGTCCTCGTCATCATCCACGTGGCGAAGAGGTCCGAGTTTACTGCAACCAATTCGATTGGACTATTCCCCCTCCAGCCAACTCACTCTCTGTCCGAAGCGTCGTCCTGCACATCCTCGTCCTTCCCGTTCTTCTTCGCACGACGCACCTTTCTCTTCTTCTTGTGCGCCTCGCACCTTTCACTTTCCGTTCACTCTCTGGCACTTTTCGCAGAGAATGTTCGTGACGCAAAGGTATTCGTTGCCGCCCACTTCGATACGGTACACTCCGAATCCCTCTTCCACTTTGAAATTGTCCGGGAGCTCCCCCGACTTCTTCCGTTTATCAATGTCTTTTGCGTTCAGAAGAGAGCCCATTCCCTGGAAAACGACGTGGATCTCATGTTCGTCGCCTTCCGATTCTACCTTGTCAATCATTGCGGACAGCTCATCTTGAGTCGGTTTCTTAGCCATTGTCACTTGTTCTCAAGAGGTGTTGAAGTGGAACGTCTAATTTCAAACGAAATAATGTATCCTTCTCAACTCTGCCGGGGTTCCACGATGTTCGCGTGCTCCGATGAGCTTTCCGTGAACTCAAATATTAGTTTTTCCTAAACTTTCGAAGAAAAAGATATTCCTAGCACTTCCTTCAGTCGCATCAATGACGGGCGAAGACGATCAAAAGGAGAGTCAGAAAGACACGAAGGTTGAGAAAGACAAATCGAAGAAAGCGGATACGGACGAGGCGGAGTCGGAGGCATCCAAAGTGCCAATTACCATTGATCCTGAGGTGGGAACGTCTTCTGAACTCTCCCGAAATGTTCGAACTTCAGGAGGCGAAGGTTCCGAGTGCTGGCGGGAAATCGGAGCATATGGTGGTAAACTTCACCGCCAAACGGATGGCATTCAAAGTGCGCTGCGGGAACACTCTTTTTCGTGTGGAGCCGACACACATGATCGTGGAGCCAGGGAAGTGCCGGCAGCTGACGATCACTCGCTCTGCGGGACCCATGCAAACAGACAAGGCCATCGTGCAGTACATCGAGATCGAGAAAGACTCGCAGGATCCGAAAGCGGCGTTCAAGGCGGCCGAGGAGGCCAAAGCCAAGATCCCGCACATTAGGATCAAGTTGGTGGTGAGTTGGCAGACACGACGGATGTTGGAACCGGTGAATTGCAGGCGGCGGCGACAGGCAGCCGGAAGTTGTCCCGTGAAGTGCTCGACGAGTGAGGACAACAGGAAACGATTAATTTTGTTACAAATAAAGACAGAATAAGAAATACCGAGTCAAGTATACATAATAGATACATAAGCAGAAAGCAATTATAGTACAACAATGTACAGAATTAATAGTTGTTAAGATTTCCTACACGATTTTTACAATTTTGTGTCCGTCTTCAGTGTAAACAATGTTGTAGACTTCTTCCCACGGGTCCATCTTCAGTGTGATTTTTTCCAGATCAGCAGCGTGAATTGCCGCTACAGCAGCCGTCGGCTCCCTCGGTCTGTACAATTTCACAGTTTTCATATCCTTATGATTGAACTTGGAGGCGAATCCCTCGATGGACACCAGCAGCGTGGTTCTTTCCACGTCGCCGCAAATCAAAACGTCCACAACTTCCTTGTCCGCCTGAAAAATACTTGGTGTTCCAAGGACGATTCCTAGTTTCCAAAAGCTACCTTAGAATAGTGGCGGTTCATGGCTTGCAGCACGATGGAACCGAGTTCTTCTCCGGCATCCTTGACCAAAGCCACGACTGCAGGGTCTCCTGGTTGCCCGGCTGCCAATGTCTCTTTCAAATCTGCAAATGCAAGGTTTCAATCTGAAATCACGGCAAACTACTCACTTCTCGTTATCAGCTCTCCGAAATCGGACAGAAGTTTGCGGTTTTCAGAGTCTACAACCAAGCACGACGTCTCGAATTCGCCAGATGCACTGAACACTTTCATGAACAGTCGGCAAACTTCCGCGCAGGGAAATAAAGTCATTTCCGGGTCCTGGGGCCTCTCGAAACTGTTCGTCTCATCTGCCGCAGATCTGAGACGGGCCTCTCTCGAAATCCAACGAGCTCCGCCGTGGGTCTCCGGACTCGCATCGGAGCTACTCGACGTTTGCCTGTTCGAATACACGGCACACTGAACGTCCACTCCGACGTGCAATCCGATGGCTACTGAAAGAAGAAGACCTCATTCTAGTCTTGAAATTAATTCTCACGGCCTCCCTCCGGAACATGATACTTCAACATTGTTTCGATTTCGTTCTCCCAACTGATCTTTTCCGGAAGGCCTGCCTTGCTACTGATGTTTTCTTTGCAGATCGCTTTCTTGACTTCATCAAGATAATTGATGTCATTGACTGGCGAAAGAATACACTGAAAAACGTGATTGTACGCTGGCCCCAGACAGGCAACCGACCACTCGCTCGATCTTCGCATCGGCCCTCCACGACTTCTGCTTCCCGAGAATGCACCGGACTGCTCTGATTGAATTGGCGATTTCTTCGGCAGACGTGTCCGCATCGAGATGTTGTATGGGAAACGGAAAGTCGTTGTGACGTTCGTTGGTCCTTGAGTTTATGAAGTAGATTCTAGTTCTCATGTCGCCGACTTCGATACCGCAGTACAGGTCATTCTTGATGTCGGCGAGGAACGGGTTTTCTGACATCTCGACTGACGGACTTGCTTGACTGCAAAACGTGGATTGAGAATGAAAGAGCAAGATTGATTGCGAAATGAATGTTGTTTACCATTCCGAAGAAATTGGTAAGTTGCCAATATCTTCGGAAACAATCTTTCCGCGCCCAAACACAAAAATCGCGGCGTTTTTTGACCACGACAACAATTCGGAAAGTGATTTCGTAGAAACAAATAGGTTGGATTTACCGTGTTATCGATATTTAGAGGACTCAACCCTAAATTTTTTGGAAAAAAAACAGGCAGAACTGCAATTCATTTTCACAGGACACATAAAAAAACTGCGATGCCAATATCATGCCAAATATACAAATTTTCAAGTAGAGAAGATCACAATTCAACATGTAATTGGGTGGAATATTAACTGTACATTGAGCAGAATTACACAATTAAAGACCTGGAGCGATAGAGGGAAGGGGTTCGATGATTTCCTGTGAAATATTCTTAGTGAACTTCACGATTTCAAATCCCTCTGGTTTATCGGTGACGTAATCGATGCTGTACACCTTATTCCACTTAGCCGTGTCCCTCTCGAGATCGAATTTCGTTTTCACTTTCTCATTGAAAGCGTCCATTGCAACTACCACCTCCACTGCCGGACGGTACAATATGATTTTTTGCACGTCTTGTCCCTTGAACTTTTCGGCGAATCCTTCGATTGTCAACAAACTCAGCAATTCATCCACATCACCGCAAATCAAGACGTGTAGCAAGGACTTGTCTTCCTGAAAAATTTAATTCCGAAGAAAAAAAATAAATTTAAATATTCTACCTTATCATAATTCTGATTCATTGCATCAAGAGCAATGCTACCAACTTCTCCGCCGGCATCTTTGAGCAGCTTCAAAAGTTCGGGGTCCTCTTCTTGATTGGATGCGGTTGCCTTTGCCCGATCTGCAATTGTGTTTCACTAATTTTCGCTCTCATGCGATTTACTCACGCATAATGAGTGCATCGATGAAATTGGTGATTTCCTCCAAGTTTGTATGACCTTTGTACAACGAAGAAGGTTGGAAATTTCCTGAAGTGCCGAACGTGTCTATGTACAAATGCAAAAGTGTAGCGAATGGGTCTACTGTTCCAATCGGTGGGGGAAACTCCAAAGAGTCTTCCTGATTCTTTATAATCCTAGCAAGAGCCGTTGTCACAATCCAACGAGATCCGCCGTTCGCCGCGCACGTCGGATCAGAGCTTTTCGACGTGTTGTTCTTGGACATTACAGCCCATTCAACATCCAATCCGATGTCCAGTCCAATAGCAACTGAAAAGACAAGAAGAAAAATTTGCGGGAATTTCACAGACACACCCGAGTCATCCGGAACATGATACATCAGAAGCGTTTGAAGTTTGTTCTTCATGCACAGTTTGGGGGTCCGTTTCTTCTCTGCGTTTTCGCCTACATGTTTTTTGACGAAAGTATCCGCAATTTCTCTGAGAAATTCGCTGTCGGTTGAGTGGGAGATGAGGCACTGAAAACTGAACGATGGCGGACGGCGGGGGAGGTACAAACGAAGAAAGTACGAACCATTTCTAGAATTTTGGCATCGTAAGCCCACTCTTTCCTTTTCACGAGAGAGCTATAGACGTCGCGAATTTGCTCTTCCAACGGTTTCGTATTGTTTTTTGGGTCATCTGGTATGATTTGGATTGGGTCTTTCATTTTATTTGTTTCCTGATGGATCACGTAGATTTTTGTTGACAAATATCCGAAATCGACCGCACAGAAACGTCTTTTCCCTTTCAATTTGTAAGTTATCAGGAGCATGCCGCCAAAATAGCCATCAGTGCTCGCCGTGGGTATGTCAGACATGATCGATCACAAGAGACTGGAAAAAAGGCAGAACAATGCTTTTAAAAGATAAAGAGGATATCGAAGTTGAGAAAAAGGAAAGTGACAGAAATTATGTGAAAACTGGCGGGAGATCGAATACGTTTGTTTTAGAAGTCATTTTTCGCGCGCAAAGGTGAGCGGCTGAGAAAATATAGTACATGTTTTCAAGTAGAATAATTACGTAAATTAAAATCTACAAGAAACGCACTGCAAGCGTACAAGCGGAAAAAAATTAAAAGGATCTTTCAGTTTAAGTTTTTTTAAAAGTATTTTAATTGAAAGTGGGCGTGGCTTAAACTGTGCGGCACTTGCGGCTTCTGCAAGGCGCCGCACGAGAAGTTCACGTACCTACAAACGTTTTACGAAAAAAAGCGGAGAAATATTCGTTTGAATAGGTTTCCTTTCTGCATCGGCATCATCAAACATCCACAAAGCTCAATCGGATCATCTTTCCATATTTCATCGAAATCAGCCAATAAATGAACGACGCGAATAGATCCCTTGAGGCGAATTTCACTGTTTCGAGTGGTTTTCATTTCAGGCGACAAACATTTTTCACAGCCTTTATTGGTTTCGTTTCGTTCCGTTTAGTTTCTTCTAAACTTCTAGAAGTAAAAGAACAGGTCTCCATTCAGAGCCCAAACAGGATCCCCCTTTCATCTCATTATCCCAGCCGGCTTCTTCTCTTCTTCTCCCCCGAAAAAGGCTCAGATGTTTTATAAATTGAAACGGCGAGCTGCAGCAAGGGGCCTTTCGGCCGCACAGATTGATTAGGCAAATGTATTGTGCCCGCTTCGTTTTCCTTTCCCATTCGCCTCTTTTCCGCGTTTTTTATTCCACAAAAAAACACGGCACTAAACTGGGTTAGTAGTCGTTTCCTTCGCTTCTCCAGTTAGATCATCATCATCATCATTCTGGCAATCCAATCAGGTCTCTAGCAGAAGAGAGCACGAAAGAGAAAGAGTGAGAGAAAGAGTTGTTCTGAACGAAAATTGACCCGTCGTGTGCTCTTTTGGACTCATCCACGTCATAGCTCAAGCGGTGAAGTCTCCAGGTGTAAGAGGAACTGGACTGATGAGATGCGAGCTGGACGGTACCGCGTCACCATTTCCCGAAATAACTTCGCAGTTCTTTTTTTCCTTTCAGTCATCTGACCCATTCATTCTTTTTACGAATAAACACCATCTATAATTTCATATCCGTCCAGACGGGCCAAACTATTAAATAAACTTCCTTTCTCAAACTTGTTTTTCTTCTGTCAAAAAGGGGAAAATTCACAGTAATCCCTGCGAACTTGTCCCTCTTTATTTATTGCACTTCCTTCTCCTTCCGCTCTCTTTCTGCTCCGAGCCGTTTGCTCCGAGCGAGGTTGGTCCGCGGTGTGTCGATCAAGTGTTCAATTACTCGGAACACTTCTTCTTTCTTCGCTCTTGTCACTTTTAAATCCGACAACTTTGCTTTCTATCCGTTTCGAATCCAAAGAGAGCGTATCCACTCGCAGGTAATTGAATGACTGAATCGGTTCCATTCAGGGTTTGCCGGTCCATGCTTTTCGAACGCCTGACAAGGCCTGAACTTTGGACCCAGTTGGAGTTTTCCGATCGGACCCGAGACTTCTTGGACTTACATTGAGGTATTTTGGGTCCAAGTTTTAGACCGATTGAATTATCTGGTCCCGAGTTATACTGATTTGAGACCGAAAAGAACATAATTGTTTCAGAACACCGACCTTTTTGGTCTCTGATTCACACATCGGATCTGTCTGAAACTCGGATCCAATATACTTCAATCCAAGTCCAAGAATCCTGCTCGATCGGAATACTCAAACAAGCCTTGAGACCTCAAAAAGAATGGGCAGCCATCTGTCCAGCCCTGCTTCCAGTAAACATCTTGCCACCTTCATCTTCTCACTTTCAACAAGATCATCCGCCCGATTTTGTTTCGTTTCGCATTCATTTTCTGCCCATTTCCTAATCGAATTAGGTGCTCTCTGCGGAGCATCAACGTGGGGTGTCATCGGAATATTTTCGGTGGAATGAGCGGAGATCTTTGGTGTCGTTTCTTTCTGTTTCAATGCATTTCAGATGAATCTTTCCGCTTCGTTGGGAGTTTTGATATTTTCGTGGATACTGTAACTTGGACGTCCTTTTCAGAACTACGGCAAACATTTGTGAACATGGTTTGAATTTCCCGCCCGTATTTTGTCACTGTTTTGCGCAAAACTTACAAAGGTTTCCCAAGATAGTACTCAAAAGTACTTCCCTAGTAAAAGCTGGAGCACATGTTATCTGTGTTCTGATGCCTCAGACCCGCCCTTTCATTTATATTTTCTGCTTTTGTGTCCATGCACATATTACCCTCCGATCCTCTGTTTTGCCGGAATAACAAGCCATTCTCTGTGTACAATCCTCACCTCCGGGTGATATTATTTGTCGCACATTCTCGAATTTCGTTGCGCCCAGATCGGCTATCAGTTTCTCTGCAAAGTTCCTCCTGACTGTGCCACTATCGCATTTCACTTTCCGATGCTCACGTCGTCCGTGTGAGTTATTCAGCGAGCAAACAATTCTGGAATAATGACGTGGCATTGGACGGACAATGCCTTCAGTCGAATGAATAAATGAGGAAATGAGAAAAGAGCGACAAAGAAAGTTCTTGTGCTTAATCTTTTGGTTTGGTTCGGTTGTGGCAGTGATCAAACCTCATAATCCTTATGTTTTGACCCTTTCGCGAAAATAGCTGAATGAAAGAAATGGGTGAGGCCAGATGAATAACAGGCGAATGGGGCATCTATAATTCACAAGTGCATATGAATTTCTGATATGCATCCCACTCGTTCCTCCAATTAATTGAGTTGAAGTTCCTCCCTGCCTTTTTTGCCAATTCTGTGATCCCAAAGTTCATAACTCGTCTCCATTGTCCCCATTTTTCTTCTCGAATCCAATCGAATTCTGCTCCGCCAGACCTCCTCTTTTGTTCCGTTTCTTTGCCTTTAAAGAGCTCCTCTCGACCATTGTCTTGCCATTTGACTTCTCACTTTTCGTAACGGACCTTTTCAAAAAGCCGGCATTGTCCGGTGGCGCTCGCTAATAAGGCATGCGTAGACCGCCTTTCATCGACTCAAAATTCGATCACCGTTGGTCCCGTGCCTTTGTGAATGGGAAGGGCCGAAGCCGAAGAAGGAGAAGAAGAAGGGGAAGAAGAAGAAGAGGGCGTTGTCAAAACGACACAAGATTTATGTTTACTTTTCTGTTGTGTAAGCTCGAGCCTAACATGGCAACATGTTGTGTTTGGATTTGGAAGCCCAGCCTACACTCACTTTTCCAGTTGTTTGCTCCCGTTCATTCATTCATTTGCAAGTCAAAACTTCTCGGCTCTAGGAAAAACTTCCGCGCCGTTTGGTGGTCTGACACCCACTTGAGGGACCACACTTCACTTTGTCATTTCCTAGAATATTCGAGCTTCTCGGGGATACTGTAGCCGTCTGGCACCGCCCAACTCTCGGGTTACCGACACCTCCCATTGTTTTGGTCGCGTCAGGTGAGCATTTCGCAACTTTTCGCTCTCGGACCTCCCAAACAACTCTTAATCGTCGGGCGTGTCCTATTGTGAGTCACTTCCTGTTCCCATTGTGCACTCATATTAAGTTTCTTCCAGACGAAGCCCCTTGAGCTCTTCTTCGAGCATGTTTTACCGACGCAATTCCCCTTTTTTCTTTCCAACAAACATTTTCATACATCTGCTCGACACCTAAACATAACATTTCGCATTGCTTTTTGACTCTTTCCCCTTCTTCTCCAGAATGTGTAAGCTGACACAGTTATTAGATGCCTAACTTTTAAGTGTTTTGTGTTTTCTCGCCAGAAGGACAAGAAGGGAGACAAGAAGTTGAGAGGAAGACCCATAAAAAGTTACGGCTGTCCTGGCGGCTGCTGCCTCTTTTGGAAAAAGGCTTTGTTCGAAGAGTGTAGTTGTGGGAGACATATTTGAAATCCAATTCCCTGTTCATGATTGTCGGTCAGAAGTTCTGCCTCTCAGAACATACATCCTCCAATTCTCTACAGTATTCCAGTCCGGAAGAATCGCATGACTCGAATGGCTTTGTTTCCCCCAAGTTTAACAATGTCCAATATGACTTCCGCTCCATATCCACTTTTCCCTTTAACCATAAATAGTCGGTGCCCAGACCTGCCGAGCAAAGCGGACAACTTCCTGCTTGTCCTTCCCACAGTGCTCCGAAATTCGACGCCTTCTTGAGCACTTCAAAATCAGATGAAACCCACGCTTTTGTCGTTTTGTTTGCTCGCGCCGAACAAGAAAAAAGTGTGTGGGACGGGCGGGACATCAAATCGAAGGGCGATTCTGGCTGGAAGACCTGTGCTCTTTCGTTTCTGTTTTGAAAAGGATTGGGGCGGATTCTCGAGGAGGTCCTATTTCCATCCATCTTTCGCTCGCTCACATGTTTTGGCACCTCGAAATAAAAAGTGCGATAAAAACGTTTCGCTCGGGCCGGCCTCTCCGCCTTATCCCATATCCATTTCTCTTTTCCTCTCCTTCTCCTGATGAACCTCTTCCCAGCCCACAAGGATCACTTCATCTGAAGTTTTCTCGAGCGGCGTCGCCTTCTCGTGCTTCCACTTCAACACATCACTTATATTTCTTTTGCGAAAAAGCGAGCACATTTTAATTGGCATTCCACTCGGCACAAATTGTCTGCAACCTGACAACGTCTGCAATTTTGTCGAAATGTTCTGTTGAACTTGAAAACATCATTTATTTACCCTCCGGCTCAGGGATTTCGGATCGAGTTTCCAAGAAAAAGGACATCATTACGGAGCCTTTTCATCCGAATTTCTCTCGCTTCTGGGAGGTTGTTTTCCGGAATCACAGGGTCAGTTGTCTCCTCCTCCCTCGTAATTTCACACGTTTCTATCTTTTCCGATCAAATTAAAATCATTCGATAAACACCAGAAATCCTTCTTTCTTCTGGCCCTTCTTCTTCTTCTCCTTCTTCTTGGCGTTCGTCACGACAAAGGGTATTCGGAATTCGATTCTGAACAAGCGAAAGAAGCGAAAAGGATCTCTGAGATTCAAGTGTGAACTTCTTTCCGAGAATTCCCGTTTCTTATCCTTCGACACCCATTCTTTCGGCCCACACGCACCACAATTTCCATGTCAGAAGCTCGCTATTCCACGAGCTCGTTCGAAATCCGACTGGACATTTCCCCCCGAAATTGAGAGACGTGTCTCGACCATTTTCAGTTGAAAACGACGTCTACGCCCGTTAATTCCCTGCTTAGCCAGAATCTTCAGATCTTCGATATTTGGTTGAAAGAAAATTTGAAGCAGAGCTCTCTCGTTTTTTCCATTTTTCTACCCCCCTCCCAGTCTGGTTTCACGCCTCACAAACTTTTACTATTTCGTCGTCAACGTTTGACTCGTGAGTCACCTGTCTCCAAAAGTCCAGAAGGACCTCCTCTCCTCTGAATTATTCTCAAAAGCGCCACTCGAGTCTGTGCAACGCTGTGCTTTGCTCCAATTATTAGCAAACGGATATATGTCTATATATATTAGACATGGACAAAACAAGTGCCTTTTCCGTTTCTTGCCCTCCCGGTCTATTTGAGTCTGCTCCTTAATAAGGAGTGAGTGACATTTTTCCTGGATCTTTCAGGGAATTATGTACTGCACAATACAGGCTTCCACACTTTTGTTCAGAAATTTTTTTATAAACTGGCACGTAGTCCCTCACTCAAAACTGACCTCACTTCCCGGTTTTGCTCGTCGCATCTGCCGCGACGTCAGCTAATTGCACGAACTTATGACTATTACTATTATTATAGCTTTTATCTGCAATGCGTGGGAAAATGAATGTCAGGCCGCTGCTCCCATGAACCCTTTTGATCTCCTGCACGCAACAATCAAAACGAGCTTGCTCGTAGTCATACTTTCAGATTTGCACACTCACGAGAAGCCTTTTGCGCTCGCAGTTGTCAAGTGCTCTTTCCTGTGTTACAAAATGGCGCCGCGATAAATTATCAGTGTGAAAACCCCATCAAAAGGCTGCGTCTCCCGATCTCCCACTCTTTCTCTTTTCTGTTTTTGTTCATGATTACCTAATTCCCGGCTCTTTCTGTGGTCTAAACTGCTGTTACCTCTGGCTTTAGTTATTACCTAATCTTTTCAGTCTAGTCTCCATTTCTTTCTTTCTCTTTTCGCTCTTAAATCCATACCTTTCTGAGTCAGGCTACTGAGAAGATAAGGAAGGGATGGCGAGGAGTTTAAGTATCCTAAAATCCACAACGACGTGTCGAAAGACGAATCATACCGAGCCGATTATCCGCTGTGTTCGATAGTAAACTGAGTACAACTAGACGCTTCTCTAGCACTTGTTGATTGGTAACGCTTTCCGCTAATTTGTCTCTGAAAACTCTGAAAGTACCCTGAGTACAAAAAGTTGTTTGAGCTAACAAAAAGTCAGATATTTGTCTAATAGTTGCAGAATACTTCAATTGCTCGATGATTTGTTTGGATTCTCTTCCCACGATCTCAATCCCTCCGAACTGTTTGTGCTGATTATCCCTTGTTTTTGTGACATCCTGTCTTTCATCCTCAACTGAGATGATAAGTCATATTTCCCCTTTCATTCTCAAGCCTCTTTCTTCAGTTACTTTTTTGTGAAGTACTTACCTTTGACACGTTTCATTTCTGTTTTGATCCGATTGTGTGTTGGGGATACTATTTCTGATCTCTCACTTTTATTTACTCTGTGCTCCCCCGCAGGTCTCAATTACATCTTTTACTGTCCTACAAAAAGAGCTAGATCTTTCGACTGGTGTCCTTTCAGCTGCACGGACAGTAGACGTTCCAATCGTCGAATTGCCATCCATTCAAAATGTTAATTTGTCAATGTTTTGGCCGTTTTCCCTCTGTTAACGACAAACCCCTCAAAATATTTGTGTTTTTTGAGCGGCGTCCGTTCTTCTGTCATCTGAATCCCTCTCGTTTCACGCTTTCATCACATCAAAGCTCGTTCGCCCTCCACTTGCTTGTTCGTTAGTTTGACCGAAATTTAAATTGAATAATTGATATGGAATAGTGCATATTGCATCGAGCACTCTCTTTATTCCTTTTCAATTTCGGAACTGGTAGGCGATGATGGATTGGATGCGTGCTTCTGATGACAAGAGAACGGCTCCGGGGACTGGACTTCAGTTCTTTTTTGTATCTGTTAGTGTGGGAGTCTAATTGAAACGTTTTCTGTTTTGATGTAGCATTCGGGACTCCCCCACTTCATGTACTAAGTATCTGCTCATTAGTTCTCGGCACATGACGTCTTCAAATTCAAACCACTTCCAGATCTCTCTCTCTCTCTCTCTCTCTCTCTCTTTCTCTCTGCTTCCTGGTGATTTGTTCCGTCTTCCGAGTGAAACGTGACGTTTTTGAAGTGACATAATGGAAGTGAAAGTACCTGAATATCTCGTGTGTCCATTCTGGAATTATTCATCCCGACGGCACCGCCTGTTTCATTTTCCCGCCGCCTACTTATGCGCATGTTTCAGAGAGTTTAAAGTTTGAGGAATGTTTGTGTTTTGGAGGTTTGCGAGAAGAAGATGTCTGTCTTAAACTTTTCCGAGAATCCCAAAGTTTCCAGAAGCTCATCTTCGTCTCTCTTCCTTTTGTTTTGCTCTTCGGAATTCATCCTCGCTAAACCGGTTCTCATCCAGTCTCAGTTCTTCGCGTTGAGCCCCCTTGATCATCATCTTTTTGCCCAATTTATCCAATTCATAAATATCTACCTTTTCTGTCATGTTTTTCTGTTTTTCCTCTCACCATCACTATCACATCCACGCATTGTCGTCGGTGTCATCGGCCGAAAATGTGTCGAGCGCAGCGTTTCGCCTGGCCGTCCTTGCGCACATGTTTTTGACATGAAAGCAGACTCAATTACAACAATTCCAACCGGGCCCTCTGAAGATGCCCGTGTGCGGAGCAGCGTGAAAACGGCTCCCGAATTTCGAGTTTTCCCTCTTTCTCACTCTGACTCAAATTGGCTGTTATTATCGTTTCTTTTTCGGTGCGCTCTTCTTCTAAATTCTAAATTGAAATAAACCCGTTTTGCTGTTGCAGATGGAATGCAACGATTCGCGACTATTTGACACGAGTAGCAATGCCACTTACTTCGTCATCGAACAGTTTTACCGCTTCCGATAGTGAGTTTCAGTAGAAAATCTGTAAATCAGCTTTTCAATCATATTTTAGCCTCTACTCGAACGTGCATCCGTTCCTCTCGTTCATACTCTGCGTACTCGGTCTCGCCGCCAACGCCATCCACATCCTCGTGCTCACCCGGCCTCGAATGCGCCACTCCTCCGTGCACACCGTCCTCGTTTGCATTGCCATCTCTGACATGGGAACGATGACGTCATACCTGGTGAGTTCGACTGCAAATGACACGAATCATCCGTCTTCAGATGTACATCAGCCGCTTCGAGTTCTTACCGACAAAGAGGGCTACTCCTACTTCTGGGCCCTTTTCCTGAAGTGCCATGCGATGCTCTCGATCGCCCTCCATGCCATCACACTCTACCTCGTCGTTCTGATGGCGTTCATCAGGTTGTCAGCCATGAAACTGACGACATCCAGGTGGTTGGATCACACGAGAGCACTGTAAGTCCCCTTCCTTTCCCTTTTCTGTCATCATCCCGTACTTTCCTCAGAACCTGTGCCATTTTCATCGCTCTCTTCGTATTCGTCATGTGCGTGCCCACCCTTCTGGCTCATCAAATCGACGAAACCACTCGCGGAGTGACCATTAATGGAATGTACTACAAGTACAGTGTCGGCTTCTCCACGTTAATGATGCAGAATGGGTGCTTCCTCATGAAGGCAAACCTGTGGCTCACCGGAATATTCCTAAAGGTAGACGAAAGCTTCTCGTTTCATGTTCTTCTAGTCAATCTTAATCTTCAGGCCATTCCTTGCATGCTCCTCGTCACGTTCACAATCGCTTTGATTGGTCGTCTTCGAGAGAATAACGAAAAGCGAAAGATACTGATAAAAGAGGAAAGAGCCAAGAAACGTGGCGACTTCACCACTTACATGCTCCTGCTCATGGTCACCGTCTTTCTTTGCACCGAACTTCCGCAAGGAATCATGGCGATCCTCAATGGTGAGTATTGAGAGGATGATCAAGATTATCTGGATATCACAACTCTTCAGCTCTCTTTACAACCCAATTCCATCAAATGGTCTATCTGAATCTAGCCGACGTCCTCGACCTACTCTCCCTGATCAATTGCTACGTGGCGTTCCTGGTCTACAGTTTACGTCTTCTCGATACAGACAGACGCTGTTCAGTTTGCTCCCTTTGACAAGGTAACTCCGTGCTTCCCTCCACCTAAAGCCTGTTATCTTCAGAATTTCCTATTCTGGCATCTCGACGCGTCAAGGAACGCTGAAAGCACATCCGCACGCCCATCCAAACCAAGGGACCAAAACCCTGGTGCAACGTGCCAATTCGGTCGAAGTCGTTTCCGTCCATTCTCCACTCGTCGCTCATCAGAATAATCGGCCGAATTCGGCACAGCCGACAGACTTCTAATCATTACAAAACTCTTCGAATCTCTCTGCCTTCAACTGACGGGCACTGCATTTATGCATTTATGTATTCATCTGAACACACCGAAACCAAAAAGAGTCGTACCGACTGAAAATAAACGAATTTATACTTTTGTTTTATATGAAAGATGGATTGAGAAAAAAAGAGCACAGATCGTCGAAGGGTATTCTCGAGCAATAATAAAAGAAGCATCTGTGCACTTATTATTAACTCTTGAACACCTTTCGAACTGCAGCGCGTTTGAGTTAAACTTACATTGGGACCAACTGAAGTCCATTCGGAACGTAAGCCGAATATGGGTCATAAAATACGAATATCAGTCGGCTTTTCTCTTCAATTACACTCGCACAATTGACTTTTCGAAAACGAGCTCAAAATGGGCGAAATGACGTGGCAAAGAGTGTGGGGAAAAAAGAGAAAGAGAGAGAGCGGGAGAAAGTAGGATTCGTTTGGACATAATTTAATGAGACTATCGCATGCGACCTCTTCATCCTCTCGCCTTTTTTGTGCTTTCCGCCCAACGTCATCCGTCGCACCCAAACTTTCTGTCCTTTTTCCGGAATCGAACTGCACGACGATGAAATTCGATTCGGAAAAGCGGGACATGGTGCTCTATTTGCTCTCGATTTACATTGAAGGAAAAGGACGGCTCAATGGCAGATTTGTTAATAGGAAAGGATGGAAAAGAAGCGATTGATGGGTGAAAGCCGTGGAAAGGGAGGTAAATAAGTACATACCAAAAGGTGAGAAGGTGTCGGTTAACCTCGCGAATCAATCCTTCCGCCCCAATTCCACCTGTCCACTTTCAACAGCTGAACTCTCAGCGAAAGCAATTACAAACTCACGTGACGTGGCAAAGAGGGCTTGCGAATGAAGGGAATTGAAGTGTATCAGACGAAAATGACAATTTCATTAAACTTGTTGTGTGTGTGTGTGTGTGTGTTGCGCCCATCATCGTCGTAAAAGAGGAGGAGAAGGAAGGGGCAGCGGGAGCTGCTCTGCCTTCTTGCTCTTCCAGATCGCTTCTTCATTACGAATAGGCCGAAGGGCGGAGTCTGGTGCCCCCGGAGAGACGGGACCACTATCAAAATGTTAATTCGTTTCCCTTCTCCTCACTACCAACCATTCGTCCCCTCCCACTCCGCCTCGCTCCTTCTCCGTCTTCTATCAATTTGGAGCCTGCTCATCTCCAATTTGTGTGCTCTCTCCGAACGGAAATTGCCCACCAACAGCTTCTCCTTTCTCATTTTCCAATGCCGTTTTCTATTCATTTACTTTTAACCTCTTCATTCGGATCGACGGATAAATGGATGAGCAGCAACTGGAAAAGCCGGGGCGGAGACACGGAGACACGGAGGAGAAGACGAAGAAGGAGAAGAAGAATGCGAAGCGGTTTTTGTTTTGTCTTCCGCTCCGCTCCGTCGCAAATTCATTTAGTTTTAACCTCTTCATTTCGAACCCCAGGAGGATTTGGCGGCGAAAGAGGAAGAGTGAAGTGAGCGGACGGAATGGTTCTTTCAATGCTTACGGGTAAATCACGGAAAAAAGGAACCGCTCTCTACTGCAAGCGCGGTAGAGCGCGATTGACAGAATTCTGTAAAGGAACTGTAGCTGGGAATCAGAGAGAGTTCGGATAAATGAATGGAAAGGATCAGGCAGTTTCCAGTGACGGCAATGTCTGCAAATGGAGCCCATCCTCTCGCCGGCCACTCCTCCTCCGCTTATCGTCGATAATCCGTTTAGCAGGCGGCAATATGGTGCCCTCCGTCCGTCCAATTGCATTATCGTGGTCCCTTTCCGTCGGCCTCTCAATTCAATGAATACGTCTGTGCATGCGCTTTCAATTATGATAATTTCTATTGAATCGAATAATCAAACTAGGAGCGTACAGTTTTGTTTTTGGATTTTACATCGGATCCGATTCACTCTTCAATTTCGTTTTCATTCACAAGAACATACATATATAATCTCGAGTTAAAGCTTTTCAATCACAATTTGTTAAATCGGGAAGTTAGGTAAGGTCTAAATGCTTAAACAACGGTCAATGATAGAAGAGAGGATGGGAGTCAGTCACCGGTAAAAGGAGAAGATTTGACAAGAATTCAAGGAGAAATGCAATAAAAACTTGGGAGAAACAAAGAAGAAGAGTTTAGGAAGAGAGTCCGAGGGCGAAGAAGACGGATAGTATGGTTCCGATGGCGACGAAGACGAGGACGGCGCCGTAGACGACAAACTCGCGGAAACGGTTTACCTGAAACGAAACAGAATGGTTCTGCGCAATAAAAAACTGCCAAGTAGTGAATACGACATGAGGGAAGAGTGCAATACGAGACCCAACGTACCCAAAGTCGTTTCTTCTCGACCGGCACTTCCCGGTTGCTCGAACTGTTCGTCTGACTCTGATCGGATGTCGAACGGATCGCCCACGTCGTCTCCGTTTCCGTCTTTGACGTCGGTCGCATTGGAATGTCTTCTGTTCGAACAGTGTTTCCGTTCTGTAATGTGTACGAAGTGATGGGCGGGACGGACCGGTTGTGGAAGCGACAAAGGATAAAGTTCGAGAGAACATTGATTGGTGCGAGTGCTTCATGCTCACCTTTCCGAATGACTTTGTGTCGACGTCGACGATACGGTTGAAGACGACGAAGAAGAAGGAAAGGGCGAAGATGACGGCGATAGGAATAAGGGCGAGAACCAACTGGACAACATTCCTCTGCGGAGTAAAGTGGTAGCCGGCGATGCAGATGGCAGTTGCTGGAAGAAGAAGGAAATTAAGCAGAATTCGATGTTTCTAGATCTTACTGGCTAGCACCATCGCAATGACTCCAATTCCACGATGAATGTAGTTGAAGATCGGTCGTCTCGGATCATTCGGCGAGCATCTGAGGGTACTGATGAAGGGCTGAAGCCAGGCGAGAACCAGTGAGATGATTCCGATGATTGCGTGCTTTCCTCCCCAGCCACTGTTCACAAACTTCCAGTCTTTATGGACGAGAATCAGGACGAATCCAGCAATCATCAAGCAGATTCCGATGAGGTTGGCACCACGATGAATCTGAAAGAATAGAATACAGATGAAGTACAGAGCAACGTTGAGCATACATGGAACCAGATGAGAAGGCCGCCGGGTTTGAGTGTTGGCCACGAAGATCTGAGAATTCGGGCGAAAATGACTGCGATCGGGACCATCGTCATCCAGGCGACGGTCATGAAAACGGCATGGAGGATGACGAGAGTAACCTTCGAACCAGAGCCATTCCCAGCATTCAGATCTGTGAGAAGACGTTGCGAAGACGCGTGTCTGTTGGTCGGTCCGTGATAGCCGAGTCCTCCGGCTGACGCAGATCCCTTGGCGACGATCAGAAAATACTTCTCCGATGGATTGTACTTGAAGATTTGCGTGTTCGCGTTTCCGTCCGATTTGACGGTTCCTTTGCAGTAGATCTTTCCGTCCGAGTAAGAAGTTTCCGTATTCGTAACGTACTGAGAACGGATCGCTTCTTCTCCGTCGATCCTTGAGTTGGTTGTGCCAGAATTCACGGAGAACTTCATAGAAAGTGGCTGAGTTCCGAGAGAAGAGCATTCAATGACACTGGCCGGCGACATTTGACCGTTAGAAGAGAATCCGAGAGCGGTGTAAACTCCCGAAGACGACGCTTGAGTAGAGAAGAATTCGAACTCGATAGAAGAATCGTTGATGACACTGGAAAAATACGATGAAAAAGAGATAGGTTCCACCGAGATTTTCAACGGGACCGGACGGTAGAAAGTGTCGGATCAGCGTAGATTGTACAGTACGGCCACAAAGCGAGGGAAACCAAACAAACTCACCGATACGAGACCACATCGTTGTCCGTCGGCTGGTAACAGGCCTTCGTGTGACCACAGGTGGATGAGTCGAATGTGCCCTGAAAATAAGCACATTTGCACTTTGAAACACTATCGGAATAAGAAGAAAGAGGGGGGGCGATAGGAGTAGAAGTGGGATGGATTGAGAAGAAGAAAGAGAAGACATGCGGCAGGCGAAGAAGAGTAAAAAACACGATCTGTGGGCAACGTGTGAAAAATGAGAAGTGTGAAAAGTCTACAACGAGAAATCAGACTGTAAAAACAAACTTGAGAAGAAGTAGAGGATTGCCTTTTCTGCCGAATTGAAGAGACTATCTAAGAAGAGTTCGGTTACTTTTGTGATTTGTTTAAAAAATTTAAACAATGGCGCCCTGGTAGTTCACCCCAATGTGACTTCTCCCACTAAACTTACCGATCCACTTGGGGCGGGAGCGGTAGTTGGGGTAGTGTAGTCACTGAGTTGTTGGAACGGAGCAATGCTTCTTTTCGTGTGGTGATAACCGAGATTCTTGACGGTTCCATTAGTACGTGTCTCGCCAGTTGCCAGAATGATACTGTAGTTGGCTGCCGAGTCGTATTTGAACACAGTCGGATCATTGGAATCTCCGGCGACACGAACGTCCGCACTGCAGTAGAGCATTCCATCCACGTACTGGACCCGCTGATTGGTGAACAGAGAGGCGATGTCGGCAGTCGGGCGGACGTTCGAATAGTGATGAGCATCGTAGTTGACATCGTTGTACGAGAAGGACATTGCAAACGGAGCGTCATTGAAGGAAGAGCATTCGATGACCGACGCGTTTCCCATTTTTCCGTTCGTCGAGAATCCCATCGCAATGTAACGGTTGAGACTTTCAGCTTTTCCGGTCAGTTCAACGTGGATCTGATTTGGCCCGAGGACCGCCCAAGAGGCTTGCATTCCTTCGCATCCGTCTGTGCAATCGGTCGGACTGAAGCAACCTTTCGAGTCTCCGCAAGTGTGCTCATTGAATCCCACATTGTCCACTTGATCGAGGAAGGTCAGGATGGAGACGCAAGAGCCCCAATGAGGGATGAGACCGCTGGAATTGGTGAAGCCGACGGCGAACATCAGATAGTATCCTTGGGTCTTGTTCCACGTGAAGATTTGCGAGTTGTCCGGATCGCCGCCCACGCTCACTACTCCTCGACAGTAGATCGAGCCGTCACTGATGCGAGCTTCGGACTGTTGAATGTACTTTGCACGGATATCCTAAATAAACAATAAGAAGAGAACAATTAAAGTCTAGATACCTCTTCTCCATCGATTCTGGCATTTTTGAAGCCTGGATTGTAGCTGAACTTCATCGAAGGAACCGTTTCCGAGGCGAGTCTGGAGCATTCGATCACACTGATATCATTCTGTAAACTAAATTGTTTTCCAGTTAAGACTGACTCAACCCAACCATCTTCTCATCGTTCGAGAATCCGAGTGCCGCGTACACATTCTCATTCACAGTCGTGTTGGCAGGTCCAAAGATCTCAAATTCAATCTGCGAATCCGAAATGATTTTGTAGGATGATCCGATGTTTCCGTCCACATTATAGCACGAATCGGCTCCCGGAAGGGCACATCCCTTCGTCGTCCCGCACTCTCCCTTGTCGAAACCGGGCGAGACCTGCAAGTCATCTTTTTTTTTTGCTCGCCGAATAATTCTGACGCAATCGTGCACAATGCGTGCCATTTCTCACTTTTTCTCGTTTCAAACCCAAGTTATCATCAAAAAGTGGAGTTTGTTTTAGGTTTGAGATGTCTAATCTTTCAACTCACTCGTGAGCCAAACCTACTGATAAGCGAGCGGTGATTCGTAGTTCATTGACAAAAGATTGGATGTTTTCTTAAACTCACATCGGCCAGACGGACTTTTCGGGAGACCGACGACTGTTCTTTATGATATCCGAGTCCTTTCGCCGTTGTTTTTCCGTTGGCCAACAGGAGGTAGTACTCGGCGGACGGATCGAATTTGAAGACGTTCGGCTCGTTAGAGGAGCCCGTCACTCTCACTTTCGCTTTGCAGTAGAGAACTCCGTTTTGGAATGAAGTGGTGGCATCCGAGAAGTGGGCGGCGTAATCCTGAAGAGAAAACGAGAATTATTCATCGGAAACTGTCCAGCAATCTCACTCCGACAATGCGATGATTTCCCTTCCCGGTGGTCTTGTCGAATGAAAACTTCATGCTCGCCGGTTGATTTCCGATTGCCGAGCACTCGATGACTGGCTCGTTTCCCTGAAAAATTGAACGTATTGCCAGGTTTCCATTTGATTATATTATTTCTGTCAGGTACAAATCTCATTTCAGCTGTTTTCGTTCTCATTCTTTGAACTCACTGAGCTCTCTTACCATGTGTTCATCGTCAGAGAATCCGACTGCCACGTATCTTCCGTTCTCCTGATCGGCATTCACGAACAGCTCGAGTTCGAGGGTCTCATCGTCCAGAAGATTCCAGGCCACGCCCATTCCGTTCGATTGTGATGGCTCGGGAATGTGGCATCCCTTCGATACTCGGCATTCCGAAGCATCGAACAGCTGCGATGACGTCAGCTTAAAAAACACTTTGTTGCAACTCGAAGAAACTGAAATTCACCTGAACTGCCACAAAAGACAGTAGGAAAACGAGTAATTTCCACGCCATTCCAAGTTCCAGAACCCTGAAATGTGATTTTTCAGAAAGAGCAAAAGTATATTATTTTCAAGAGAATAATGGAAAAAGGTGGGCGGAGTCCAAAAGAGTGCATTATCAGAATGATGATAAATATACAGGAGAGAGTACACGAGAGAAGTGAGCGTTCTGTCGGTGGGTGGGGCCGGCAGTTTCGATTTTGTAGTGTGGAGCACGGAAGCTGCACGGAAAAGGCAACTCTACGAAGAAATTTGAAAGTTGAACGATCAAAAATTACGAGAGTCTCGGACAAACTGACGAAGTCAACAATTTCAGATTCGCAAGTGAAAGGGGCGAAAAGGACACTTTTGATTGGTATCTGCATCCTTGCAGAAACAGAAACGAAAACAACAATTTGGAAAATATGATTCATGTTATATGAAATCAAACTTGGCAGAAAATTAGATATTTCTGCAGACAGAGTTTAGTCTAGGAAAAGTGAATATCATCGGTTCGTCATCATTCTCTGCGCTTCTAAATTTCCGGGCGGAGATCAGGAGGCCATTTTTCAAATGCGCAACCGAACATTCGTCGGTGCCAAGTTCGTCTTTGACACCGAGGGAACGACTGGCGAATTGCCCAATTTGGGCGCTTAATTGGCGTGTGCGTCTTGAGTGGAAAACGAGCGAAAGAAATTGCATTACACACAAATCTGATGGTCAGAATGTTGAAGACGAAGGTGTTCACAGGGAACTGACCAATCAGTACGAACACATTACTACTCAAAAATAAAATCAAAGTGGTTTACGGAGGGCGACTAGTGGTCAGAAAACTGTTTGCGTGTCGAAGGTTCAAAGTGATTGCAAAGTACGAAAAACTGGTTCACTGAACGGAGAAAATAGGAATTAGGATGAAGAATTGGCAGTTTCGGAAGCGAAGAAGTCAACCATCAATGGGTTTTTTGAGTGGACAATTGCTGCAGAGTATGAGGTCATTTTTTGGTTTATTGCAGATTTGAATGTGGTTTTAGAGATCTTAAAGAGACAGACGGGCTCATGCTGCTAGAGTTGCCAAAGTAGTAAAAAACCAAAATCCACGATTAAAGTGAATGAAACATTGTGAATAAACACAAAAGCCACCTCTTCCTCCTCTCCCCTTTGCGATGATAATTGTCGTTTTGGCCGCAATTAACTAGATATATTTACAACAGCCGTCAGTTCAGCAGTCCTCTGCAAACTGGATCTCTCCCCCGCTCCCTGTCCGCATTGGCTTCTACTGCCACGGAGTATCGAAAAAGCGAAACAATGTGAACTGTCTTTTCGAGAAAAAGAAGGCGGTCGTTGAGAATGAAGATGTAATAGAGACGGAAGAAGGTGTTGCGGGTGGCAGCAGATGACTACCGGAAACCGGTCGATTGACACGCACACACGCACGCGGGAAGGGTTTTATTTTTTGAAAGGAGACGACGGAAGAAGCATGTCACTGTTTGCATGAGGAAAATATGGTTTCGGAAGAAGAAGAAGAAGTCACACCTTCACTGGTGATTTATTGAATTTGCATGCGAATCGAGCGGATGATAATGATGAAGGCGTGATAACATTTCGTTGATTGACTATAGAAGGGAAATCGGAAGACTGTGACAGACTGAATCAAAGTTATAATGACTAGGCTCGCGTTCTCGCCGCTTATGAAAGCTTTACTGTTGATGACAACAAAAACCAGCTCATGTCTCTGGCACGGAGCACATACAACTGAGCCAACAGGAGCTCTAGTCATCAGTTCGGACTCCACCTTTGACCTAGGCTCTGATTCATTTTTCAACTACTTTATACTTCGCAAAAGGCTATTCGAAAATGTACTTGGAAGTACACAAGCAAACTTCTCCCTTTTCTAAACCGACTGTGCCAACCTCTGACCGTTCCAGTGATTCATCGGCTGCCGTCATTCCAATTGTCATCGTTTGCCACTGGTAGAGATCTCGCTTTGGGGCTTCAGTTTGTTCACCACGGCGGAAACCAAAATTTGCCGCCACATGTTTGCGATACGACGAGAGAGGGAGAGAGAATGAAGTATTGTCTGGCAATGCAAGGTTCGAAAGCTGACGATCACTCGGAAAAGCGGTAAGTGAAAGATTGAAAAGAACGGAAATTATTTGAATGGCAAGCTGAAGGCCGAACGATGAGAATGAAGGTGGAACGGGAAGGGAATTGATACTAACGAGTTGCGAATGAATAGAAAAAGGGATTAGGGGAAAAACTTTAACTAAGATCATTTTGTGAAAAGGCAAGAACTCATAACTCTTTGAGAAGTCGTCAAGGTTAAGGTGGCCAACTTCAGTGGCTTACTCATGAAGAACGTGTCAAATATTCGTCAAGTAGACGAAATGAGTCAGAATTCTCGCAGAACGACAACAATGCCAACGATGACAAATACGGAATACAGAACAGAAAGCTGAAAATGTGAAATAATGTCGCATTTTTTTCCTTCCGAAACTTAAAACGGAAGAATTTTTACAAACTATAGGTTTTGGCATGACGCGGAAATGAGAAAAAGGAAATGGGTCTCACGAGTTCAAATCCGACTGATATCCGTCTGGCTTGAAAGGCGAAAAGTTCAAACTATACATGCGCGAGAGAAACCCGCGAACAATTTCGTTTCTCAAATCGCCCCCGAATCAAAAAATCATTTGCTCAACTTGTGCTCCACTTAACTCCGAGCAGTTTTCTTTCTTGCGCGGCCGATCGAAAGTCAACAATATCTCATCATCACTTCAAAAACGACCTTGTTTACAAATATAAACTGTTTAAACTTTGCAGCCTATTTGGTCAGACCGAAAATTCGTCGAAAACATTCGGAAATGAGAAGAGCAAGCCAGATCAAGGTGGTTGACTCATTTTCCTGAAAAGTATCATGGAAACTGATTGGTTAGCTCCACAGAAAGTGGAAAACATGGAAACAAGAGAGCACGGAGAGGAAGAGACGCAGGGAAATGTGCGAGAAGAGAGTGATTTATTTTATGGGGTTTTTTTTTGAATTCACGAAAAAAGGAAAAGTCCTCCAGTATTTTTAAAAAAGAAATTCTGAAAAACTGACCGATTTGAGTCCGAATGGTTCGCCTTAAAACCCATCCTTCGCGCATGATGACAAATCCCAAAATTGACGGAATTCTTCTAAATGCAAACTGATTTTTTCCGATATTTTGTGGTCTGTAGCGCGCTTCTGTTGCAACGCGCGTTGTTAACTCGACTAGAGAACCCTTGACGCAAAGAGTGCAAAGTGTTCCGTTTGTCAGCATTTCCAGATAAAAACCCGACCGCACAAATCGAGCATTTTAATGTCAAAAAAGCGAGGAAATTCAAAACCACACCCTAAAATAACATACACTTTTGAACTCATCGACACATATTTGCCCCTCAATTCTCATCATAAGCATAAAATTTGGTTGAGATCTTTGGAAATGTTTATCAATTCACGTTTTATTCATACAGACATTGTGGAAAACGAGAGATGGTAAAACAGCGAGCGAAAATTGAAGAAAAAGAGGAGAGGATGCATGGTTTCTTGGTGCAATCGAGACAAATAATTTAGGCGTTGACCAGATAAAATACGGGGGTGGAGAGAATAAATAAATGGAACAGGAAAATGAGTGGTTCGATTACACCTCCATCGGCTCCTCGACAGTGGCAGCGGCCTCAGAAGGCACTGGCGCCGGCGGCAGCTCCGGATACTTCTTGATGACGCGGGCCTCGTAGAGCAGGACGTAGGCGCTGTGCCAGTCTCCTCCGCCAGACGTCTTCAGGACAGCCTCCTCGTCGACGAGAGTCACGTTCTCATCGTCGAACAATCGCCACTTGTTGTCCTCCGTCGAACGAATCCAGGCCACGTAGTGGCCATCCTGCGATGAGCGTCCCTTGTGAGTGATGATGCCCTGATATAAACATGTTATGGCCCGAATAGAGACAAGAAACCCACTCTCAACTCGTAAAACCCGGAGTTGTTCGATCCCGGGTCATCTTCAAACTCCGTTGGCAGAGCGACTCCGTCGTCGAAGATCTTCTCACCCTGCTCCTTGTCGAGCACTTTTTTCCGCAGCTCTCTTTCGAGCTTGGCGTCCTCTTCCGCCTTGATATCAGCACGATGGATCGTCAGCTTGTCCTTGAGCTCTTGGGTGCACAAGTCGTATGTGTCGAGAGCCAGCGGGAACTGAATAGACTTCAGGATCTTGGCATTAGTCTTCGAAGACTCTTTGAAAAAGAACCGGTTGATGTTGAAGGTGAGATACTTCGGAAGGCGTGAGATCTGCGTGTGCTTTTGCCATTTAGCATCACGGCCGAGCGTCTCACTGTGCCGAGTCATTTCCTCTTCAAATCCAGCCTTCACTCCCGTCTGCAGAAATCGGACGTCCTGGTTGACGTAGCACGTGAGCTGATTGTGCGACTCCGTTTTCTTCTCGGCAACGTCATCCGACTCAAGGCACTTGGCCGTCGTTTCCGTGTTCACTTTGAATAATTTTTCGATCGGATACCCGGCCAATCCGTAATATCTAGTGATATTGTTGAGGATGGCGACAAAACATTCGTTTGCGTCCTGCTGCTTGAACTTTTCGAACTGCGGGTACGAATCGGAGAGGCTCTGAATAAATTCGAAGTTGAATATGAGTTCAGGAAACTACAAGCGAAAAATCGTTACCATGACAGAGGCGAACGGCTTGATAGCATCTCCCTTGTTGCGAAGTGCTTCGTCCTTGTTTCGGAGCGTATTGAGCAGTTGGCTGATATTGTGACAGAGACGGTCGTTCTGCTCACGAATCTTAAACTCCTCGGCCGGCTTCAGAACTAACTCGTTGAGCTCTTTCAGCACCTGCACACAGGAGTTGAAATAACAAGTGTTTCCAAGGTTCGCGAGTCCGCACGGGTACAGATTAGCAATCTCTTCAGCTTGCTCCTCTCTGTGTTGCTTTTTCGCCTCGAGAACCGTAGGTGCCTTCGGGATATCGCCGGTCCTAAATGCGTTGTTTTTCGCATGAAAATATTAAAATTCGAACTCACGATCCCATCATCATGATCATCATGTTTTCCTTGACATTGATGCCTTCCCATGTCTCATCTCCGAGAGTTCGGCCGGCCACCACGACTTTCTGTCGCTCAGGGAGCACTTGAGTGAGCGTGAAGAGCTGCGTTTTGAAAACGTTTGGTGGAACACTGGTGTCCACCTCGACCACATACTTCTCCTTTTGCCATTTTACGTTCACAATTGGCATTTTCTGTAAGAGATATAATTAATTGGTAAAGAAACCGAATACGCGGTCAGAGAAAAACAATTGCGATTCAAACGGTGACAAAACATGTGTGCGCGTTTGCGGAGACACCAGAAACGCGCCGACAAAGAACAGGACGGCGTCTTCTCGGATACTACCGTATTTGGCTTGAAACGTGTCAAAGACGACTGAATCTGGAAGAACCTGTTCCTTCCTTTTTTTTACCTCTAACTGAAAATACCAAGCAAATTTAAGAAGACGCACTGCATTTCGCAACAGCGTATACTTTTTTTTGCCATTCCGGAAATTGTTTCGGAAGAAGAGGCAAATCGTTAATTCCCGATGAGAATTCCGCTTTTTTCAACAAATTCCATTTTCGAGGGCATCTTCGCGATAGCCGCCAATGGACAGAAGTGGACATTCAGATCGTAAACGATGCTAAACTGCCTAATCTCATCGCAATCTCGAATCTTCTCAGATTTTGCCGCTTTTGTGAATGAAGGATTTGTTTTTCATCGACTTTTTTTAGAAATTCTAGCATCAAACAACGGCGCTACAACGGAATAGAACTCGCATGGAATAGAACTGTTACCATTTGAAACTCGCAACGCTAAAGTACAACTGTGAGTTTCAAATCGTAGCAGTTCTATTTCGTGCGAGTTCTATTCCGTTGTAGCGCCCAAACAACACAGAAAGCTTATTGTTGATTCAGAAAATGAAAAAAGATTTAAAAAAAATAGAATGCATCCACTCAACGAATGTTTTCGAATCAGAACTTTGGCGCCCAGTAAAGGCGCATTGAGTCTTGAACGGAAGAGCCGTTCCGTGTACTTCTCTCGGATAATGTAGATTTAATTAGCAGGTTCAAATTTTAATTCCACACATTTGTCCTCTAGTTTTCAGCTGATAAAATCCAGTTTTTCTCTTACGCTCTTATCAGTTTCCCCTCCTTTAAAGTGCGTGACTAACCCTCTCTCACGTCATAAAATATTTGTTATGCAAAAAAGAGAGGGCGAGTGTTTGTTCGTCGGCGTTTCCACCCTCTTTTGTCTGTTGAGAGCCACGTGTGTATCCCCTTTCGCTATGATTTTTCGCGTTTCTGTTTGTCCTTTCAAAAATCTGCTTCACAATCTCATATTCGTATTGCAGAATGCTGAAAAGGCCTGGAGAGTATGAGCCTCCATTAGGAAAAATATGGACAAGGTGAGAGATACTTTCTAAGCCATTCTTTGAATGAACAAGAACATATTTACAGATCAGAAGCGAGGATGTGGACCATGACCATGTTCAGCGGAACATGCGTTCTTTATGCCGCCCGTGCTAGTCTTCCGATTTGTGCTGCCGCTGTTGCGAAAGAGTTCGCTTGGAACAAAACCGATTCGGTGAGAGAGCTCAATAAACGTTTTGCATGTTCTCAGACTAAAGTTTCCAGGGGACCGTTCTTTCGTGCTTCTTCTGGGGTTACGCCCTCACCCAAATATTTGCCGGGCGAATAGCAGACAAGTATGGAGCTGAAAATGTGAGTTGTCTTCACTTATTTATCTCATTCTGATGTATGATCTCTTCAGATTCTTCCCTATTCAAGTCTCGCGTGGACTATGATCACATTCTTCACTCCACACCTTTTCGACTTTGCCTATTGGACCAACTACCCGCTCTTCGTCCTTCTCACCATCCGAATTCTGACCGGAGTCTGCCAGGCATTCCACATTCCCTCACTCGCCTCGGTTGTTTCTAAACACTTGGCAGCGGCCGATAAAGGACGTGTATTCGGGATTGTTTTGGCCGGCTCTCACTGGGGAACCGTGCTTGCTGGTGGGATCGGAAGCATTCTCCTTGATTGGATTGGATGGAGGTCACTCTTTCAGTTCGTTGGAATCCTTTCTCTAATCTGGTGCTGGGCATTCCGGTGGGTTCTCGATAGAGCGAAGAACAGTGGAGGAGGAAGGAGCTCCCCGCAGCCAGATGAGGAAGTTTTGCTGGAAAAGAAGCATGTAAGTTTCCGAAGTATCGTTCTTTGTAATAGTTTTTGTCGCAGGACACAGTAGAATCGCATCTGACGACTGCTCCGAGTGCGTCCGTCCCGTGGGGAACTCTGTTCCGACATCCAGCGTTCTGGGCAGCAGCCGTTGCTCAGTACACGGGCGGCAACTCGTACTCGATTCTTTTCAATTGGCTGCCTTCGTATTTCCACGAGACGTTCCCCACTGCCAAAGGAGTCGTCTACAACGTTGTTCCGTCCCTCGCCATTGTGATCACTTCGCTCGTGGCTCCTGTAATGGCATCGAGAGCTCTCGCCGTAGGACGCACGGTTACATACACACGTAAAATGATGGAAGGAGCCAGTCTTCTCGGAATCGCCTTCTGTCTGATGCTCGTTCCAATGACGTCATCCTTCTGGTTGTCTTTGCTCATTTTCACAATGGCTATGGCGGCTCGAGGACTTCATCACGGCGGCGTCTCCGTAAATCCACACGACTTTGCTCCAAACCATGCCGGATCAGTCTTCGGTACGTTCAATTTTAATCTTCCGGCAAAACAGTGTTCTGTTTACAGGTGTGTTCAACGCGTGTGGAGCCATCACTGGATTCGTGGGCGTTTACATCGCCGGTCACATTCTGGAGGCGACCAACAACAACTGGTCGTACGTTTTCATCGTCACTGCTGCGCAATGTGTCCTCGGAGCCATGGTCTACACTCTTCTGGGCACTGGACAGAAGATAATCTGAATTCCGCTTCTTACCTTTGTGTTTTCAATCATGTTTCATAATTCCACGTGTAATTTTAATAGATTCTCCATCTGGGTTGTATCGTTTCTGTGAATTTAAACTTGCCTTTCATTTCCACTAACCGATTCTATTGCATTTTCTCTTAATCGCCTTCCCACACCGGGTTCTACAGTGTCTTTTCCCGTTAATCGTAGTGTTCTTTCTAGCGATAATTATTTATTTGAATACAATTGATGAAGTAAAATAGACAGCGGGCCCAGGATACAAAATGTCTTGTATATTTAAAAGAAAAACACGCGATAATCGTAGTGACCTCAGAAAGTACATAAAAGTTCGAAAAGTCCACATCTCTGCGAGGTGTTTGATGATGTCTCAATATTTGATGTGTCTCTTTTCGTACTCCGTAGTTCATTATAGCAATCATTCTTTGTTCCAAAAAGCAAAAATATGAACAAGATTACTGTTACTTATTGATGATTCGGTTAGATTCCCAAATAGGCCTTGACGGTTTTGATGGAATCCTCGAGATCTAGTTGCTGCATATTGGCGGCTTGCTCGCGGAGCTCAGAGTACAGAACAGTCGATCTGAACAATCATTCAATAATCAATGGTGTTCCGAACGGGAGCACTCACAAATAACGTTCTCCGAAGCTGTTGACAGTGGTCACAATCAGTTTTCCCTTGTTTTCAGGGCGCTTTGCCAACTGAACGGCCGCCGCCACGTTGGCTCCCGACGAGATCCCTCCGAGGATGGATTCCTCGTCGGCCAGCCGCTTTGCCATCGCGATCGCATCGTCCGAATGCACACGGAGGGCCTCGGTGAACAGAGAAAGGTCCAAGATGTCCGGGATCATTCCGGTCCCCATTCCTGCAAAGAAAACACATACGTTTGAAGGAAACGCGAACCTCAATTTACCTTGGATTTTGTGTGGAGAGTGTGGGAGTCCGTTGATGACGGAGCTCTCGAATGGTTCCACTGGGTACACTTTCACATTCGGATTCTTTTCCTTCAAATACCGTCCGACTCCAGTACAAGTGCCTCCGGATCCCACTCCGAAACAGACAATATCCACTTTCCCTTGAGATTGTTTCCAGATTTCCGGCCCAGTCGTCTTGTAGTGAGCCTCCGGATTGGCTGGATTTCCGAATTGATTCAGGATGTAGGCGTTCGGAATGACGTCCCTCAGCTGCTCGGCTCTTTCCACGGCTCCCTTCACAGCCGTCGCCGGGTTCGTCAGAATCACCTCGGCCCCGTAGGCCTTCAGAAGACAACGACGCTCGATGCTCATGGAGGCGGGCATCGTCAGAATCACCTTGTAGCCACGGAGCTTTCCGCAGTAGGCCAGCGCGATTCCCATGTTTCCACTGGTCGGCTCGATGAGCACAGTCTTTCCGGGGGTGATCAGTCCGGCCTTCTCGGCGGTGTCGATCATGTTGTAGGCGATGCGATCCTTGACGGAGCACGCCGGATTCATGTACTCGATCTTGACGGCGATCGAAGCTCCGAGACCTTTTCCGATCTTGTTGAGCTTGAAGAGAGGGGTGTTTCCGATGAGGGAACCTCCGTCTTCGACCATCACTTCACGAGACATCTTTGGGGAGTTTGGGGAAGTTCTGAAACACAAAACAGTAGAAAATGATGGGGAAAGGGACAAAAAGAAGAAGAGAGAATGAATGAAAATAGCGAGTGGGGCGAAGGGACGGTTGTCCACCTTGATTTATTGATTTCGCATTGTTTTCGTTCTCTGTGGAGTGGTTGTAAATGTATGAACTGAACCAACTCTCTTGCATTCAGAAAATGAGGAAAGAAACGGAGAAATATCTCAGAAACCAATGTAAACAGAAGAAGACAGAAGGTTTTGTCTTACCACCTCCCCTAATTCTTTACATTTATACCGAACGATCGGATGGGCGGTCCCATCTACAATTTGCTTATATTCTGATTATATTTCATCTAATCGGTCTCTGGAGGAAGACCATTCCGACGCCTGCGTCTTCCGATCTCTCGTCAATGATTCTTTGAACATCGTCCTTGTTGATAAGAGCGCCTACGTGCAGAATCGGAAGTTTGATAATTGATGATTTCTGCTTTAATTAGTTCGGAACTTTTGCCTGTGAATTTCTATGATTGCTGCCGCTGGAATCGAACAAACGCGCTCTACCGCAATCCCGCGCGAATGTAATATCCGGCCTCGATTATCGGACTTTTGTGGCAGCAATAAAAACGTTTTCTTGTTCAATTATTCATCAAGAATTCCTAATCAGCATGTCCATACTTATCTTTTTTTCAAAAAACGCTTGAAAAAAGTTCAGTTCGCCTTGTTCTTGTCGTCGTCGTTTTCCCCTCTGATCTTTGTCTCTCTGGATCGTGATCGCCACAAGCGACTGCCTTCAGTGTGTACGTGACAAACTGCAGATTCTGAAGATTCTCGTAGACGACGTGCGTCTGAATTGTCATCATTTTGCTGCCGTCGTCTCTGTCTGACCCCCTCTTCTTGCCGTCCTTTTCTCCCCCCCACTGACTTCTCGCAACCCCCACTAACAAAACTCACGTAGCGGGCAGTTGGCCAGTGTTGGCCGTGTGGAGCAGAGACAACGGGCGCACGCTTCGAGCGAGCGGTCTGTCGCTCACCTGTTTCTCACGCACGCAGTTGTAACTGTGATCGAAAGTCGGGTACTAGACTGTAAGTGAGGAATATCATCACCTGACAATGCTGCCTTCCTTCTGAGTTACTTTTTCTTATTTTTTTCAAGTTAGTTTCTAGAATTGGGCGCTAACAAGGATTCAAATAACTTAAAATCCTAACATTGGAAAGCTGTCGTCTGTTGAGTACGTCATCTCTGACTACAGTAATCTCTCTTGACTACACACATTCTCTCGATGTGCTTGATGACAATTACGCTCTGACTGCACGAACTGGTGGATGAGTACAAAAGGAGAGAAAATAGTCATAGCAACAGCTCTTTTTGATTCCACATATTCAATCGTTTTTCTGCCTAAACTATAACGGAAAAAAAAAGAGAAGCCGTCAATTTCACTCGAGAACTTCTGCTCCTGAGGTACCCCCATTTTCCTTTTGTTTTCAGCCTCATCAATTTCGTTTCAGGTTCTGAAAGGTGTGAATGTTGCCGAAAAGACGTTCGCAATCACTGGAACCACTTCTGGAATCGGTGTCGACACTGCAGAAACACTCGCTTTCGCGGGAGCTCACATCGTGATGCTCAACAGGAACGTCGTCGAATCGGAGAAACAGAAGGCGAGGATTCTGGAGAAGAAATCGGATGCGAAGGTGAACATCATTGCGTGCGATCTGAGCAATCGGAAGTCGGTGAGAAAGACAGGCGAAGAGTACGTCGCGAACAACGTCATCCTCCTCGGAGACCTGTGCGATTCTTGAAAGCCCGGAGATGAGGTAGAGGTGACTGGAGTCTACACGAACAACTTCGACGGATCTCTCAACTACAAGCAGGGATTCCCAGTTTTCAACACTTTGATCCATGCAAATCACATCACCAACAAGAGCAAGATGGCTTCCGATCAGTTGACCGATGAAGATATCAAAGCGATCCGCGAGCTTTCCAAGGATCCCAATATTGCCTCCCGTGTCTTCGCTTCCATTGCCCCTTCGATCTACGGACATGACGACGTCAAAAGAGCCATCGCACTTGCTCTGTTCCGCGGAGAAGCCAAGAATCCGGGAGCAAAGCATCGTCTGAGAGGAGATATCAACGTGCTGCTCTGCGGAGATCCAGGAACCGCCAAGTCTCAATTTGAGATATGCTGCTCACATTGCCCCTCGTTCCGTGCTCACAACCGGACAAGGAGCATCGGCCGTCGGTCTGACTGCCTATGTGCAGAGACATCCGGTGACTCGTGAATGGACCCTCGAGGCTGGAGCCATGGTGCTGGCCGACAAGGGAGTCTGTCTTATCGACGAGTTCGACAAGATGTCCGACCAAGATCGTACTTCCATCCACGAGGCGATGGAACAGCAGTCGATCTCCATTTCGAAGGCCGGAATCGTCACTTCTCTCCATGCTCGCTGCACAGTCATTGCCGCTTCCAATCCAATCGGAGGACGGTACAATCCGACGAGAACTTTCGTCGAGAATGTTGATCTCACTGAACCAATTCTCTCCCGTTTCGACGTTCTCTGTGTCATTCGTGATTCTGTCGATTCTGTTGAGGATGAGAGGTCTGTCGTCAACGTCGTCAGTTGCTTTTACAACCTCACCTTTACAGACTTGCTAAGTTCGTCGTTGGAAGCCATCGTCAGCATCATCCGGATGCTCAGCGGTCCAAGGAAGACGAAACCACTGCTCACGAGGACGAAGACCGTTTGGACGAACGAACGGGCGTGCATCTCATTCCACAGGATCTTCTCCGCAAGTACATCATCTACGCCCGTGAGATGTGCCATCCGACCCTGCCGGCTCAGCATTCGGAGAAGTTCTCCAACATTTTCGCGATGATGAGAAAGGAGAGCATGGCGACCGGATCTGTGGCGATCACTGTCCGTCACGTCGAATCAATGATCCGTCTGTCTGAGGCTCATGCCAAACTCCATCTGAGATCGTAAGTGATCTTTTGCTTGCACTGTTTTCCAACTTCACCTTTTCAGGTTTGTCAACGACGACGACTGCGCTGCAGCCACTCGCATCATTCTCGAATCGTTCGTGAACACACAGAAAGCGTCGATTATGCGACAGATGAAGAAGACGTTCTCGCGCTACCTCACCGAGAACCGTTCGGCGAATGAGCTTCTGCTATTCGTGCTCAAGCAGCTCATTCGTCAGCAGATGCACTACGCCTCGGCACGTGGCGGTGGAGACTCGATCATCCAGAACGTGACCGTTTCGGAGGCCGAGTTCATCGAGAAGGCCCATCAATTGCGCATCGAGAACGTAAAGCCGTTCTATACTTCCGATATTTTCACTTCTAACAACTTCACGTATGACCCGTCGAGAAAGACAATTGTTCAGGAGATCTTGTATGTATATGTATATTCGTTTTATTGAGGAAGAAAGGCATTCGTAGGCGAGAGAGAGGGGGGCAACAACAAAACTAAGACAGTGTGTACCCCGCATGAGGTCACACTGAATAATGGGGTTCAAATAATAGGATACAGTGGCAAGATGGGCGAGAGAAGAGATAAAACCGAGCACAGGTTGGGAGATCCAAGTAAGTAAGGAAAAAGGGAGTGGGGGGAGAAAGGGAGGAGGGATTACAATTTGGCAATGTTCGCGTCTAAATGTTTCTCGAATTGATAAGGGGAGAGAAAGTGGGGAACATTATTAACAATACTGTTCCATCTTCTAGTACTCTCCGATTCCCGCTGCTTAATCGATACTCAATTGCTATTTTATACCATTTGTTCGTTTTCCCCCATTTTGTATAACTTCAAAACATTTCCCCCATTTTGTATAACTTCAAAATATTCAAAATACAAAAATAGATAACTTCATGTCAAACTACAAAATGTCGCACGCAAAAAAAGTACGTGGAATGACCGAAAAAAGCGTGTAAGAGACATTGAAACAAAGAAAGGCAACTGAGAGCTTCTGCAGAACAGCCAGTACTTGTGGGTCAAGTTCTGCCCATAGGAACCGAGTAGAGGCCATTGCGCAGACAGCCATCACTTCAACAGCCCAGTGGGTGTGCAGCCACGGTGCGATGAAGTCGCTGATCGACTCGCAGTACAGACCCGCCTTAAGACAAAACGTTTCATTTCGATCTTCAAATTTGAAAAAAACGAACCTTTTGGGTTTTTTCTCTGTGCATTTTTAAATAAATTCCGACGATAATAAGGCCAGTAAAGACGAGGTAAAACTTTTTGAGCTTGATCACGTGATGAAACACGAATGGCACGATGGCCGGGGTCATTGTGCTCTGAAGAAAAAAAACGTGAGTTAGCGCAACATATAAATAAAGAAAATAAAAAAAAGATTATAAATTGAGAGCAGATATTGCCAACCCGTTTTGCTTTTTATGGGGTTATTCAGGCTGTGAAAAAAAATGATTGTTTTACGTTTTTTTTTCGTTTTTTTACGTCAAAAAATCCATATCAGCGATGTAAAAAAACGAAAAAAACGGAAAACAAACATTCGCTGAATAGCCCCATTATGCGTTTCCAAATTCATTTTCCCGATTTCCCTCGAAATTTCAGTGAAATTTCTTGTTTTTTTTTTGATTTCCCAATTGTGAAAAAATTCAGAAACTGATTGTAAGCACGTCTGCCGGTTTGCGATCGAAGATAATCACGGATAACGATCAAACTGACAAAAAATTTCGAAAACGAATTAGGAAATCGAAAAAGTCCGATTTTTTTTCGCAAAATCGGTCAATTCTTTGTACGATTATGAGACAAAAAAGTGCGAAAAAACAAGGAATTTCAATGAAATTTGGGAAATCGGAAAAATACATTTGGACACTAAATGGAAAAAGGCGAACAACTGGGTTGGCAATAAACAGAAATGATCACTTACGACGCGGCGAAAAAGAACTAAGCCGGAAGAATTTTCGAGAACATTAAAAAAAAACTCAAATTCAAATTTTCCCGCTCATGCAAAGTCGGTGCAAAGCTTATCGGTTTGAACATTTGATGCGCCTTTAAAAATTAACGTTATACTGTAGCTAAATCTCATTTCTTCAACAAATTCGCTGCAGATTGTGCAATGATCCGTCAGTCGGAGGCTCATGCCAAACTTCATCTGAGATCGATCGTAAGTGATCTTTCGCTTCCACTTCCAATGTCACTTTTTCAGGTTCGTCAACGACGACGACTGCGCTGCAGCCACTCGCATCATTCTCGAATCGTTCGTGAACACACAGAAAGCGTCGATTATGCGACAGATGAAGAAGACGTTCTCGCGCTACCTCACCGAAAACCGTTCGGCGAACGAGCTTCTGCTATTCGTGCTCAAGCAGCTCATTCGTCAGCAGATGCACTACGCCTCGGCACGTGGCGGTGGAGACTCGATCATCCAGAACGTGACCGTTTCGGAGGCCGAGTTCATCGAGAATTCAAGAATTCAGAGAGTTCATCAGACAAATATTATTTGAGACAAAAAAGGCCGATCAGTAGTTAAAAAAAGAGTTAGAATGGTAGATAACTCAGAAAATGCGTACAAATCGTCCTTATCATATTAAGAAGTGAAAAGAACAATGTACTAGGAGTGCCATCAAGGAGAATGGAAAAAGCGAATGTTTTGTTGAAGGAAATATCGTAAGGGTTAAATTTAAGCAGATTGGATCTTCGGGTCCATTTAAGATTGGATACTTGCACGAGCTCTGTGAAGCTCATCAACTGGTGAAACTTATGCAGAGAAATGGGAAACCACTTCCACGGGGAAGGCTCGTTTTCCATCGGAACAACCTTCACAGACCGATAATATTGGGAGATTGTGCCCCTTATTTTTTCGTATCGAATCGATAGTCTTTTTGTTGGGTTTGTCGTGATCGCGTAGAAGTGACCTGCTAAATAGAATGCTCTAGTAGGCATCGAGGTAGATTTTAAAAGCAGTCTTCTGAAAACGAGCAATAATAACATTAATTCATCGATTGTCATGTATCCTTGAAACCAACAGCATAGTTTCCCTTCTTGAACCTGGTCACGAGTTCCAAAAGCTCTTGTTTCCCGCTTAAGCGGGTCTGTTGTTGATTTCAATGTTCTGCGATAAAAACTGAAACTGAAATCACTTCTGAGCAATCGAAAGTCGGTGAGAAAGCAGGCGAAGAGCACGTCGCGTACAAATGGTGAAGATTCTTTTTTCCTTGATAAGAAAGTGAACATTTTGTGCGGAGAACATCCGTCGAACAATGAGAGCGTATTTAGAGAAAAAATAAAATAAAACAAGGTCGATCAATGGTAAAAAAAAAAGCGTTAGAATCGTAGAGAACTCAGAAAATCGATGCAAAAAGCCGATGTAAAATCGAGCAGAACAGAAAATAACAATGTACTGACTGTGGCATCAAGAAAAAAGAACAAATCGTATCTTTTGATGAAAGATAAATCAATCATTTTTCCATGTATCGAATGCACAAAAAATGCAATCAATCTATCAGTAGGCATGACTTCAAGATAAAAGGACAGTTTAAAGCTAACAAAAAAGGCCGAACAATAATGAACGGGTATCAAAAATAACACAAATGCTCCCATATACGTTTTAGGCAAACGGAAGAGGTTAATGATAACGACAAGAGAGCGCAGAACAGTGAATGTGGTCCAAATGGTCCATTTAAGATTGGATACTTGCACGAGCTCTACGAAGTTCGCCAACTGGTGAAACTCATGCAAGGAAATGGGAGACCACTTCCACGGGAAAGGCTCGTTTTCCATCGGAACAACCTTCACAGACAGATAATATTGGGAGATTGTGTCAAATATTTTCTCGTATCGAATCGAAAGTCTTTTAGCTGAGCTTCTGGTAGGCTCATAAAAGTGACCTGTCCAATAGAATACTCTAGTAGGCGTCAAGCCAAACTTTATGAACAGTTTCTCAGCACGGCTTCTGAAAACGAGCAATAATAACATTAAGGGTGTCACTTGAAGCACTCACAGTGTTTGGAGACTTTCCGGATTGAGAGTCCTCCAAAAATCATCGAATTCATCGATTGTAATGTATCCTTGAAAAGAAGATCCAAGAGCATAGTTGCCTTTTTTGAACCTCGTCACAAATTCCAAAATAGTTTGTTTCGCGCTCTGTCTGTTGTTGATTTGAATGTTCTGCGATGAAAGATTGTAGAACACTCTGTACTCCGTGGACTGGCAGTGATTTTGAGACGATCCACTGAGAGGCTCTGTAATTTCAATATGAAATAGTGAAACAAGTACAGTTAACCCACATTCAATAGGTCGATGAGTTCATCATTCACAGTGGTCACAGTCAGATCGAGGAACCCGATTTGGGTGGATCCCAATGCCTTCAGCACTCTCTCCAGCCATCCGTCTCTGTTTTCGAATTGACTATCCGTGTATTCCACAGTCAAACGGGGTATTTTACGCGGAAATTGGCATTTGGAGGTTATCGGAAAGTTCTGCAAACCATGTCAATTAGTTAGATTTCTGTAGTGATTATACCTTAATTGAAACTTCTCCGACTTCTGAATAATTCCTCTTGAGCACATAATCGATTAATCTATTCGAACAGCCCCCATCCACGTGTTCCTCTTTCCTGTCGGGTTTCACCAATATGACGGTGTCTGCATCCGTCCTGGTGAACTTCCAATTCAATCCATTGAACTCTACACTTTCCACGTTTTCGTTGTGAATTATATTCAGGTTGGATTGAATAGGCACGGCACAATTTTGTTGATTTTTCTGGTTTCGGGTACATTTTTGACTATTTGTCTTCTGTAAAAACTGAGAGAATTGAGAGTAAAACAAAGTATAATCAAACCTTTTTTCAATTGAAAAATTCTGGAAAACTGACAATTGATTCGGGTAGGAAAGAGGCTCAGTCTTCGTGGAAAACCAGCTGAAGTAGGAAAACCAGCCGAAGAAAGAGAACATGCCACAGACAGTATGTGCAATGCCACGTTACTCGCTCTTTGGGTCTCAGATGTGGTTCCCTCAAATAGCCTGCTGTTGCACTGTGAGTGCATACATTGCGCAACGACCCTCTCAGGTAGAAGGACAGAATTGGGTTGCGTTGGGGTATTCAAATGGTCCACATGCCGACGATGGTTTCCCCGTATTTGATGTGGATCTGCCCGTTGTATGTAGTGTTTATTCTGGCGATCATTCTTTATTCCGAAAGCAAACTGTAATGATCTTTAAAGATTTCAGATCACTTTGCATGCGTTTCCATCACAATTTAGTTTACTTTTGTCCGAGTTTTCAGCTTCTCATGTTCAGAATGACGTCACATTGTTGCAAACGCGCTCTGCCGCGCAACGTTTGCGCGCCAAAAAATTGTTTTTGAATCGTTTTCCCGCACCTCGCTCGTTATCGACGTCATTTGTCGTTTTTCTCTCAATTTCGCGTTATTCTTTGTGTTTTTTTTTCCCATTGGAATCTTTTTGAACGTCATTTATTTTTCTTTTGACGCAAATACATGTAGTTTTACAGGTACTAATCCCGTGTTACAATGGCCGACCGTGCTAACGATGCGAACGATGAGCCACTGCCCCATGACGCGATGGCCGACGAGGAAGAAGTGGACGGCATCGACGAGATGTTCAACAATGAAGAAGAAGACCCTGAAGACGAGGACGGAGAGAATCTGTTCGGCGATGACATGGAGAGGTAGTTGATTATATCAAAACTAGCTTCAAAATCGGTTATTCCAGAGACTACCGCGAGCAGCCGGAGCTCGATCAGTACTCGGAGTCTGGAATGGACGACGCTTCGGATGTCGGAAGCTTGTCGGTCGATGCTCGTCGTGCTGCCGAAAGAGAGATGGCTCAACGTGATCAAATGCTGGACGACGACGCCTTGATGTACGAGGAGGGCGACAGCGAGGCGGATTCGCGTCGTCGCGGACGTCGTGGAAGACGTGATCGTCGTCAAGAGGCTGACGCCGACGAACAAATGGAGGAAGACATTCCGGTTGACATTCTGGAGAATATTCGTGGCCGAACCATCCGTGACCATGTTTCCGACGAGGCGGTTGCAAAGGAAATCGAGAGAAGATTCAAGAACTTCCTCCGTTCTTACCATGAGCCGGGAAACAAACAGACCAAGTACATCCAGCTGATCAAGGCGATGGCGGCGGATAATAAGGAGTCGCTGGAAGTCAGTTTCACTGATTTGAGTGACGAGAACGGCGAGCAGAACATTTCCTACTTCTTGCCGGAAGCTCCGAATGAGATGCTCGCTATCATGGATCGTGCCGCCACCGACGTCGTCATGAACATGTATCCGTTCTATTCGCGTGTGTGTCAAGAGATTAAGGTCCGGATCTCGCATCTGCCAGTCGAGGAAGACATTCGAATGTTGCGTCAAGTTCATCTGAACATGCTCATTCGTACGAGCGGAGTCGTCACAATCGCCAGTGGAATTCTCCCGCAATTGGCCATCGTCAAGTACGATTGCGTCGCTTGTGGATACCTTCTCGGCCCATTTGTGCAACAGAACGACGAGGAAGTTCGTCCAACAATCTGTCCGTCGTGCCAAGGGAAAGGTCCTTTCGAGTTGAACGTGGAGAACGTGAGATTCCAAAATTCATACTTCAGAATTGAAATGGATATTTTCAGACCGTTTACCACAACTACCAACGCATCACGATGCAAGAGTCCCCAAACAAGGTCGCCGCCGGACGCCTTCCCCGTTCCAAAGACGTCATCCTGCTCGGAGACCTGTGCGATTCTTGCAAGCCCGGAGATGAGGTAGAGGTGACTGGAGTCTACACGAACAACTTCGACGGATCTCTCAACTACAAGCAGGGATTCCCAGTTTTCAACACTTTGATCCATGCAAATCATATCACCAACAAGGACAAGATGGCTTCCGATCAGTTGACCGATGAAGATATCAAAGCGATCCGCGAGCTTTCCAAGGATCCCAATATTGCCTCCCGTGTCTTCGCTTCCATTGCCCCTTCGATCTACGGACATGACGACGTCAAAAGAGCCATCGCACTTGCTCTGTTCCGCGGAGAAGCCAAGAATCCGGGAGCGAAGCATCGTCTGAGAGGAGATATCAACGTGCTGCTCTGCGGAGATCCAGGAACCGCCAAGTCTCAATTTTTGAGATATGCTGCTCACATTGCCCCTCGTTCCGTGCTCACAACCGGACAAGGAGCATCGGCCGTCGGTCTGACTGCCTATGTGCAGAGACATCCGGTGACTCGTGAATGGACCCTCGAGGCTGGAGCCATGGTGCTGGCCGACAAGGGAGTCTGTCTTATCGACGAGTTCGACAAGATGTCCGACCAAGATCGTACTTCCATCCACGAGGCAATGGAACAGCAGTCGATCTCCATTTCGAAGGCCGGAATCGTCACTTCTCTCCATGCTCGCTGCACAGTCATTGCCGCTTCCAATCCAATCGGAGGACGGTACAATCCGACGAGAACTTTCGCCGAGAATGTTGATCTCACTGAACCAATTCTCTCCCGTTTCGACGTTCTCTGTGTCATTCGTGATTCTGTGGATTCTGTTGAGGATGAGAGGTTTGTCGTCAACGTCGTCAGTTGCTTTTACAACCTCACCTTTACAGACTTGCTAAGTTCGTCGTTGGAAGCCATCGTCAGCATCATCCGGATGCTCAGCGTTCCAAAGAAGACGAAACCACTGCTCACGAGGACGAAGACCGTTTGGACGAACGAACGGGCGTGCATCTCATTCCACAGGATCTTCTCCGCAAGTACATCATCTACGCCCGTGAGAAGTGCCATCCGACCCTGCCGGCTCAGCATTCGGAGAAGTTCTCCAACATTTTCGCGATGATGAGAAAGGAGAGCATGGCGACCGGATCTGTGGCCATCACTGTCCGTCACGTCGAGTCAATGATCCGTCTGTCTGAGGCTCATGCCAAACTCCATCTGAGATCGTAAATGATCTTTTGCTTGCACTGTTTTCCAACTTCACCTTTTCAGGTTTGTCAACGACGACGACTGCGCTGCAGCCACTCGCATCATGCTCGAATCGTTCGTGAACACGCAGAAAGCGTCGATTATGCGACAGATGAAGAAGACGTTCTCGCGCTACCTCACCGAGAACCGTTCGGCGAATGAGCTTCTGCTATTCGTGCTCAAGCAGCTCATTCGTCAGCAGATGCACTACGCCTCGGCACGTGGCGGTGGAGACTCGATCATCCAGAACGTGACCGTTTCGGAGGCCGAGTTCATCGAGAAGGCCCATCAATTGCGCATCGAGAACGTGAAGCCGTTCTATACTTCCGATATTTTCACTTCTAACAACTTCACGTATGACCCGTCGAGAAAGACAATTGTTCAGGAGATCTTCTAGTTCTCTCCGATTCCCGCTGCTTAATCGATACTCAATTGCCAATTTATATCATTCGTTCGTTTTTTCCGATTTTGTATATGATTGACCCGATCTTTTCGATTATTTTCTCCATTTTCTCGCAGAATAAACGTTTGTGAATGATTTCTATTCGTCCTTTTCCAGTGTTCATTCGGTTTTCGTTCTTGTAATCGATCAATTATCCGTCGTACTTTGGTGTTTGTGTCCTTCGCGTGGTTGTTTACTGCCAACCAATTGTTTTGTTTCTTCCGAAAGGCAGCTCATTTCTCAAATTGAACTGAGAGAGCCGGCTTCGGGCTCCGCGCACTTGCTCATCGATTCTCTCTTTTTGCACGCACGAAACTGCCTCACCACCGCATTCTCGCTTCTCGTTTGCTCGAAAAAAAACATCAAAAAACAGCGGAAGTTTGAACTAGGAGATTATTTTTTCTTCAAGTTCTCACGAAACGGATACTTCTGTCATTCTTCGAATTCATTCGCTCTCTTCTGCAAATTCCGTTTGACGTTTGGTGGTGCCGGAGACGGTCGTTTTTTCTGAATTGTTAATGTTCACCGAACGTGAATACCGTTGGACCTCATCCGAATAACAATCCCCCTGACGTCTCCTGAACCCTGTCATTTGTTTTGTTGGCTCCCTATTTACTCCATCTTCCCTCTCTGCATTCTCTCCATTTCCCACGCTGTTTCCTCCCTCCGTGCCAATGCTTTCTCGCCGTCTCCGTCAATGTTACACACACGTACACACCGAGACACAACTGCCCAACAACGACTCAATTCTTTCTCATCTTCTTGGCACTTTTTCGTCACTTTTTTGTGATACGATCTCGGCATGTTTACTTGTGATAGCAAAACATTATGATGTGCAACTTCTGGGAACGCGGTAGATTGAGGTGTACAAGTAGAAAGGGCGACTGAGTCACAGCAAGTTTGTTAAACAACTCTCACGAAATTCGCGTTTTCTCTCTCTCTGATTCTCTTTAGACACACGGGCGAATTCGAACTGGTTTCCCAATAGTCTCTCTCTCTCTCTCTCTCTCTCTCTCTCTCTGTCTCTGTCTCTTCCCCTTCCTCTTCCTCTCCGTATTTTTCAATCATCGACCGCACCGGTGCGAAGACTTGTTATGAAAAAAGGAAGAGAAAAGAGAAATAGCGGTCGGGAGACAAACACTTCTTGACCCTTCTTCTCTTTTTCTTTTGCTGATAATTGATAGAGAATAGGCCGACAACACGACGTTAATTTGTTTTCTTTTTAGTGACTCATTCTGACAAGTTCACTTGGTAATACGATAGTTATACTCAGGTCAGAATATCTTGTCTTTTCTCTCCAATCCTATTTTAACCATTCGGATGAATCTGATGTAAATGCTGTCTTTACTCTTCCTGTTTTTCTTCATTTCTTTTGGTTTCTACGCAATGTGTCCAATTCAATCTTGCAGGAGCTTGGGGCTACCTTGAGCCGGCACAAAATGAGCGATAACACGATTCGTATGAGTCGAGTGGTCTGCGACTTCCTCGTCCTCACGCTCATTGGTAAGTCATTTGGCGAAGCTCAAATTCACGGCGAAATGTAAACCATGTGAAAATGATCGAATGCAATGCACACTTACCGACCGGACTACATTCTTCTCGGTGCTCGTTGTTCTCCGAGAAAAGTGCTTACCTAGCGACAACAAGTATGAGCACGACATTTGTTTGACCGGCGGGGAGGAAACATTTATGTGTGGGCAATAGATTATTCGGTTTTTGTTTGCTGTTTGATTGATTCATGTAACACGAACGATCATAAGCATTGTGTACTCATTTCAGCCATCCCTTTGTACGTCTTCCACGAGTTCGTGCCTCCGTACCGACGTGGATTCTACTGCGATGACGAGACGATCCGCTATCCGTTCCGCGCGTCGACCGTCTCGCGTCAGATGCTCATCGTCATCGGCCTCCTCATTCCGATTCTCCTGATTCTCGCTACCGAACTGTTCCGCACACTTGCTTGGGAGAAAAAGTGCGAGCAGGAGTTCAAGACTTATCAGGTAACCGCTCGAAGGCAATGAGCGTCTGGAACACAAACGGTGGAGTTTCAGGTGCGCAACCACTCGGTCCACCGTCTCATCGTCCGTCTCTACTGCTTCATCGGCTACTTCTTCGTCGGAGTCTGCTTCAATCAACTGATGGTCGACATCGCCAAGTACACGATCGGTCGCCAACGCCCTCATTTCATGGATGTCTGTCGTCCGAACATCGGCTACAACAATTGCACAAGACCCGACGACTACATCACCGAGTTCAAGTGCACCACTTCCGATTCCAAACTCATCCACGAGGCGCAGCTCTCCTTCTACTCTGGCCATGCTGCGTTCAGTTTTTATGCCGCCTGGTTCACCTCCCTCTACCTGCAAGCCCGTCTGTTCCGTCCGCTCTTCTCCCGTCTTCTCCTTCCGGTCATTCAATTCTTGCTCTTCGGAGGCGCCGCTTATGTGTCGTTGACCCGTGTCTCGGACTACAAGCATCACTGGTCGGATGTGCTCGTCGGAGCGATCATGGGAAGTGCCATCGGAATCTTCGTTGCTCTGTTCGTCGCCGAGGTGTTCCAGAGAAGAGAAATCCCGTCGTGCAAGTCGCCAAATGAATTCGGATTGATCAGGTTCGTGCCACTTACCTTTTTCTGTTTCACAAGAGATGCCTTCAGAATGGAACGCCCCGATGCTGGAATTATCACGACGAACGGAAACGGCTCCGGAACCGTCGTTACCACTCAGCACGTCATCGTTTCCGAAGTGGACCCGGCTAACCAACGACTGTAAGTCTCATTTCTCACTTATCTGCCGCAACTACTACCTCTCACGCTTTGTCCGAACGTCATATCTCATCAAATTCTCCCTTTTCATTCTTCTCATACTCCCTTCCATCGGGCTCTTTTCCGGGTGAATGTTCTAACTGGGAAGGCATGTTGCACACTTATAACTATCGTTCTTCTTCTCCTCTATCCTTGGTTTATCACCGCTTTCAGACACCAATGGCGCAAGAAACTTGAGCTGAGGAACAAGGGATATACTGCCAATGATATGTGAGATATGTGTTAGGTTAGATAGCATTATCACAGAGTGTTCCAGTCCCTCAGTTACAGTCACCATAGAAGCAAACTACTAGAAAAGTCCCTCGGTCTTCGGTTTCTCCTCGTTTTCATTCACTTCCATCTCATTCAATTCATTCCGATAATCCTAATCGCCATTTGCTAATTGGCAGTTCTCAAGCAACTAATCCCGGTCCTCGTCTTCATTCTAACCAAGTCTAACGAATTCTAGTGCATCCACAAAAGACTGCAGTTTCTGAAATGTTTAGAGTGTCCTCCTCGCAGCCTGTCTTTAATCTCGGACCTCCGCCTACTTCGCCGGGAGCATTCAAAACGGAACTCCGTGTGGATCCTGTCATCGTGGTCAATATGAAATGAGAAAGTGTTGTGTGTCTACGTTCATAGTTTTGTTTTTCATGTTTATTGGCCGTGATCGGGATGCCGCTACTTGCTAAGCTAATAGGATATGACTGCGACGGATTATGATCAAATCGGTCAGAAAAGAAACCGAGAAGTAGATGTCATAATCCGAAGCACTGATCTGATCGAAAATTGAACATGAGCAGTGTCATCCCGATCACTCATTGTCGTTCTGTTCTACAACTTCTCTGTTTATGTACATATCATCATCTCTCTCTCTCTTCCATTCCAAAAAAAGAAAAATCAGAGCGCTTTCGATGTTGTGTTTTTGTGATTGCAGCCTGTGGACTCCGTCGGGCCCCGCTTCTAGGAACTATTCGGATGAGCGCTACATGGACCACTACTAAAGCTCGTCAACTTTCACAGTTCAACTCTGCATGTATCCTGTTTTTCGATAGTTTGTTGTGATAGTTTCGGGATATTCCCCCTCTCCATCCCCTCCTCCTCCTTTTCTCTCTGTTCCTTTTTTCCGCAATTCTATTTTGATTGTAGAAAACAGCAGGAAGTGCGAACAGTGCATCAAGACCAGGTCCGACCGCATTTCATTGAAATAAATCATCTGTAGCTCTCCCGTTTTAAACTTCTCCTTACTCTTCTTTTTGTCTTCTTTGTACCGCCCACGGATCATAATAAACATCGAATTTTGTCCATTGTGAACTCCCAAACTGCTTCGAACGCTTCCGAATCAACCTTTCCCCATTGACAACAACATCAACAAACACAATAAGACACACCCCTCCTCAGTTTCGGTAACTCAAAGGGTTCGGGAATCGTTTCCTGCTCTCCCGAGTCTGTCTGACTTGCAGTTTGGGCCGTTGGCGTCCTGACTCGATGTTCGACACGTGTTCCTACTACACGGCTCGCAGTGAATGGGATGCCACGTCGGGTCGCAGTAGCATTTTCGGAACAGGACGATATGAATATCAGTCAATTCAGTCGGGTCAACCTTCCTGGCTTCTGAAGCCTCTTACCGAGGAAGAGCATTAGGAACTAATTGAATAAATCTATGACATTTTTTCTTTTTCAACTTCATCTTGAAAGTTCGGACAAAGTATTGAAAGAGGTGTTAGGTTCAGAAACTGTTAATTATCCATTCGATGTTTGCAGAGTCCAATCGACCGACGAGGCCCGCCGTCACTTCTTCCAGCACGCCTAAATCGGACGGACTCCAAATGCTTCTGCTTCCTCCCTCATTACGTTTTACCCCCATTTCGTATATACCCTGTCTAATGATGTAACAAGCCGAAGTGAGGAACAGGTGTTTGTTTGTGATAGCGTAGCCGTGACGGCGTGTAGCATTCGGAACGCACCTTCTCGGTATCTGAACATGTTTACCGGGAAGTTCACAACTCACAAACACTGCGACCGTAACTGCCACATCACAATTCAATCGAAATCCCTCATTCATTCTAACTTTGTCACTACCAATACCATAAGCAAAACAGGCTTTGATCTCTACGTTCTACCCGTTTTTCGCATTCAACTCATTGCACTCTGATAATAATCTGATAAAGCTTGCACACGCGTCACGCAACACTAAACATTGCCAAACAAAAGTGTGTCATGGAACGAAACGAAGCGAATCGGATGACACAATTGTGCACAACCGACAATCCGGCTCGAAGTGGAATCGAGGAGATCGGAACGCTTGACAGCTAGATTGGGATTGACATTTGCTCGGATTTCGTAATGAATCATGCTCCAATCAGAAAACTCGACACGAGGATGCGTGAGAGTGTCGACTTAAAATGTAACTCAGAGAAGATTTCAGTTGAATTTTACTCTATTTTCAACGTTGTTTGCATGTGCTGTCGTGACGGGCTCATCTTCGGAAAATATCCCGAACTTTAAAAAATAATTTGTCTTTTGCTGGACGCAAAACCGAGAATCGGCGTCATCCGCAGGGAAAAGACGCGATCATCTCTAAGCGTCGGAATGCCACCGATGTGAAACCTGCGAACTTTCCCGGTTTATCCTCTATGATCCAACATTACCAGACACATCATTATCTTCTTTTGCTTTGTTTATTTTTTCAAATTGGAACATTTGTGAGTGTTCCACGAATTCGGATGACCTCGAGCTTCTATCGTCATATTCACAGAACTTGCCTCCGTTTTAGTTCGCACTGCACTAAAACGCACCTTAATTCGGTGCCGATGATTTCTAATCTCTCCAGCACGCCGTCGAACATCATCCTAGACTTTCGCATGATGTTTCCCTTTTATTGGATTAGTCTTTATAGAATGGGAGGGCACAAAAGTGCCCTATTTCATGTTTGTTTATCTTGTTTTGATAAGCTCTCCGATGCGATGCCTCATCATCGGCTTCAAGCCACCGTGAAAAGGGGCGGCGCCTAGGCGACTGAGCTCTATAAAAGTGATGCTCACGGGTGTTCGTCCACCTGTGCTCTTCGAAAATCATTCGCTTCGCTCCGATCATGTTCCACATTCATCAAGAGAACCTCAACTATGTTGCCGATCTCCAACGCTTCGACTTCGTTTCCACATTGAGACGCTCCAGAAGACGAAGAAGTCTCCTCAATTGAATCTACCGTACTCTGCCGTTCAAGATGCCAATACTACTACGGTTCTCCTCTCCAACCGGTGGATCCACGCCTCAATTCGTTGCTTCTCAGTGTGTTTAACAACCGAATAAATTGTATTTCGTACCTTCTTGTTTTCTTGTTTTGCCACATCAAAGTTATGAAGGATGCTAATGAAAGTAAAGAAAAAATTGAGCGGAGTGGCCGCATCGCGATGTTTTCGGGAAATCGGCAGGTGTACAGCTGAAGTCTCAAATGCGTCTTGATTGCAGAAAACTGCGAGAATTTGTATTTGGGGATGAGGAGTAGAGGGATACTGTGCAATTGCAGGTACACTTTCACTTTGCATGTTCTTACAGTCTGATCATTCGAATAACTGAATCTCTTTTCTCTATAGCCAGGCTCTTGTGGACCAGAACTTCTCACAATTTTGAGATTCCGTTAATACTGTAATAGAAAGGTACCCCAATATCGTTTTTTCAAGACAATATATCTCAGCTGCCGCTAGAGAAATCAAAAAGTTGTCAATTGATAAAATGTGCACAATGTGTTCTTGAGTCTTGAATGAAGGACACTGATATTACCTTCTGTTACAGTACTTACAACAACCATGGTCTTACTGTAGTTGCGTCAATCGTAATGTTTGTTCACACCCGTTTTGTTTTCATTTTTTTTGTTGTCTTTTCATATGTCGCTCAAAAGCCCATTCGTCCAATTCAGTGCAATTAGGCGTGTCTGTGCTGAGGCGTGTGATCGGGAGTCACGTGAGAGTAGCCATCATCAGACGAAAGAAAAGACATCGCATCAGAGTTCTGTCGAAGAGAAGCGGAGCAGAGATTGAAGAAGTTGACCTGGCGAAAGCGCAGACTCGTTGGCTTAACTTTAAAATCAGGATGAGTGCCGACCTACAGATCTTTTCGGCCACCTGCGTCAGGATTCAACCGGTGGAAATCTGGCAATCTGCCATAGCAGGCAAGACGGTTTAAGCCAGACAAAGTGATGAGAAGATTTGTGAAGATTTCGAATTCGTCTGGTTTATCGTGAATTGTGAGAGGGGTGCCAAATAAATTAATAGTGATGCTGCGGATGATCCGAAAATTGTGAGCTTGGTTTCTTGTAAGTCTTACGAAGAATTGTGACACGTATCTGTAAACAGTAAAAGAGGCCTAACTGCCTTGTGAAGTGCACGTGTTTTCAAGGGCTCAGACGGAATACAAACTCCTGTACTTTGAAGCAATCGGGGAGGTTGACTGATGATAACATTGATAATCCGCCCGATTCGAAAACGGCGTGTTGATTTCAATTTTAGTCTCGATTTGAAATATCAAACCAAGCTCACTGTAATCTCCTCAAGACACCCCCCTTCACCGTCCTATCTGTTTATCATTTGTTTTTCGAATGGTTTCGTTTATTTATAGGTTTTCAATGATATTTCAAAGTGATGCGGATGAAAGAAGGAGATTTTGAAAAGACGAGGAAATGCGAAGGAGATAAGGAACGATGAGTACAGAATACCAGTACATAACGGGGAAGTGAATGAAAAAGCGAAGAAGAAGAAGGGGGGGGGGGAATGGTGTTTTGTGATGAACGGAACAGAGAGAGAGAGAGAGAGAGAGAGAAAGGCAACGTGGTGAGAGATTTTGGTATTACTGTATTAAACTTCGGATTGAAGACTTCCAGACGGATGCCGATTGATTGGGTTTCTGAATTGAGAAGTTTAAAAGGTGAAACTAGAGCAGAGAAAAGACTCACTTGAAAAGTTCGTTTGCATCAATACGGGATATGTCGCTGGATCTGGAGGAGAAGGCGCCGGAAGTTGCAAAGTACGCGGCGTTGTTATAACTGAACATTTGCAATGAATTCAGAAAAAAGGGGATCTTCTCAACTACCTGATACTGTGGTCGATCTGAGCGGGCGAAGGAACAGGCGGAAGTGGCGTTGACGTGATTCTGAAACACATTGCCATGTCATCTCATCTCATTCGATGTTTATTTTGTCTATCCCCCTCCACTCATTCTCTATCATCCAATTATCCGTACCAATCCGGGATATAGGGATAATCTCGTTAGTTTCTCGCTTCCAAATCTAGGATTTCCGCTAGTGTGTAATCGTTTTGTGTTCTGCTTGCTTGCGTTAGCTAATCGAATCGAATCGAAGCGTACCTGGGCGGCGTGGATTCCACTCCGAACGTCGTGCTCTTGCTCACGTGCTCTCCGTCAAAAGTGGTTGTGGTTCGTTGTTGCTTCTTAACGTATAACCTAGAAAGGGACGGGATGAAACTACGGTCTAGGCTAAGTATTCAGGAAGAGGCGAACCTTTTCTTATCGTTCCTTCGCAGTTTCTCAACGAGTTGGGCGATGCCCTCGGAGAGCGGAGTCCTTTTGGCGGCCAAGAGAACTCCGATTATGATTGGAAGGAGTCGGATCGCGAGAAGAGTGATGAACATGTACTTCGGAATGAACGAGGACTCGATTTGAGGATCGCAAGTGTTCTGAAATTAATCCCATTTCAACATGATCTCATTTTGTGTTGGCTCCCAAAATAGAAAATAGAATTTTCGGATTGTAAATTCAAAACTCACTTTCGGATTTAGCCTTCTTCTGTTCGCCTCGTACAGATTCAGATCAAAAGTGCACCCGAGTCCCATCTCCATTTGCTGAATGCCGCCGACATTGTGCGGGATCGCGTGGTTCAGCAGCTTTTCGGTGTCGTTCGGCAGCATGCTCGAGTAGGGCATTAGGGCGAAAGTGAACAGATGCACCTGAATGACCGCGTAGATGACTCCGCAGCCGAGAGCGATCTGGAGAAGAGAATGTGAATGAGAATAGGAATGGAAAAGGGGACGGACCCAGTAGACGACGTGCTTCGTTCCGCTGGAGACGTCGCAGCTGAAGTAGAGGATGGCGGCGATGGCGATGAAGGCGAAGACGCCGAGCTCGGAGAGCAAGTAGCAGCGGAGCAACGTTTTGTACTGAAAATAAGATGTTTTGTTCGCCTATGCGAGTCAAGAATGTAAACAGAATACAAGTGATTTCGATTTCAAAATAACATTTCCCAGAATTCGTGTTTTGAGCTGGTTCTTTTAGGGGTTTGGCTCTGACATTCTCGCGCAATACTAAGAACATTTCGCAGCTACAAGCCTTTCCTTTCATTCAGTCCAAAACACACTCGAAAAGTGTTTCGCCATCCAACCTACCGTCCGTTCGTTTCCAAGAACTTCCAGCTCTTTCTCCGTCAGTTGGTACACGCCTAGGAAGGGTCGTTCCGCGATTTTCGAGATCTGGATCGTTTTGTCGAGGAAGTCGACAATGTGCTCGTAGACTTGCTTGTCTCTCCAAGCGTAGGCGACCAGGATTACGGTGGATATCTGAAAATAGCTGCATGAGTTCGAAGTGATAAATTTGATCTAGCAAGCGTGCCCTTCTCGGAATTAGCGAGTAATCGCGTGGGGATCATGTTGACCGATTCCTAAATTTCTAAACAAACATGCACTCGCCGTCATCGACACGTGTACATCTCCGGGATGTTTCTTTCTCGTTAGCCGGCTCGCGGACACCGTCATCCCGTGCTCATCTATGGATTTTCGGGATTGAGGGGGTTCCGAAACTGTGGAAACAACGGGCGGATTAGTGATAATCCGCTAATAGACAAGTGGGAGAGAGAGAGAGAGAGAGAATCGGAATGAAATCAAAACCGAGCGAATTTGAATGGGTCGCATTGTGAACATACGTCTGGCAGAGTGTAGTGGGGTGATTAATTGACTCAACATTGTGGATTATCAATATTAGAAATGGAGATTACTGTATTTGAGAGTAAACATGTCGTGGAGTGCGGGGTTGGATGGATGAATGGAACATTCTCGTTGACGGCTTAGAAGCTTACAGTGTACTTCAATGTACTGATGAGTTTGCCCAATCCCACTATTCCTTACCGAATCCACGTTACATTGTACCTTTTCAAAAGCCCTTTTCCTTTTCCGCAACTCTTGCCCGAACACTCATCAGTCGTAATTCCTAATCCGCTCTCCACCCTCTCAGTTTCGAGGTCAGAAAGTGAATGAATATGTGCCATTTCCGCCTCTTTTCGGCTCTCGTCTTAATCTCTGATATCATTGTCCCCTCCCTTCTAGAGGCGGAGCTTCCTCTGATTCCACGACGCTACTATATAACTGGGATAACGAAAAGGAAAGAATCACACTTGAGCACTAATTTTTTCACATTCTCTTCTTCTTCTTCTGTTAAAATGTTCCACATCCATCAAGACATTCACAACTTCAACATGGCCGATCTGATGGTCAAGAAGACTGTGGTGAGCCGACAGCCGAGCAACGGAGAGAAGAAGATCATCCAGCGAGGCCTCGAGGACCGACGTCGTGGATTCCGACGCAGCTTTACTTCGCTCCACTGACGTCACTCATCAGGCAAACCCTTTGAAACATTACGGTTTCTCTCCGATCTCGCACATATTTGTCAATCTCATTCATTTCGGGTTCTTCACCTCTAGAATAAACTCATTTATTTGTGTATGTTCTGTCTTGTCTATCAGACAGAGACAATTTCCGGCGTAGAGACCGGCTCAATGTCTAGTACCGAAGCAATGAATATCATGTGTCTTCGAAGGAGCACAATTGACTCTTCGAACAGGAGCGGTTGCGTTCGTTTTGAAAGTTTGAAGCAAAAAATGAGAACAGTGAAATGACTTTTAAAGTTTTGTTCAGCTATGAAGACAACCTTTAACCTGGAGAGCGATAAACTGCAAGAAAGTACACTCTTTCAGTCGAACGAACTCGTTAATTTCCATCCGATTAGTTTGGTTACATTTCTGAAATCACCGGCCCATGAAGTGGAGATGGATTGTTCCTATCAGTAATGCCTTCAGTTGAAACAAATGAAATCAAAATCTATCCAAAAGCCATGGCTTTTTGGAAAACTGAATTTCTCAAATCCTACAGTACTTATTTTTCCGTTTTCCAGAGTCCTTAATCCTCCGCAGCTGCTCTCTTCTGCTCTTGCTGATTAATTAGACATGACTCTCTTCGGCCTCATGACCAACACGGGCGCTTCGCTCGGCTGGATAAATGGGGCGGCGCCTGAGTCGGCCAATATAAAAGAGGAGCAGGTGAGAGTGGGGCATTCCGCTTACTTTCAATTCAAACCGGAACATGTTCCACATCAATCAAGACGTTCTCACCGCCGCCGAGGCTCACCAATCACAGGCAGTCCGCGCGGCCATCCAGCTCGGTAGAAGCCCGCAACTTTTACGCTAACCTTACGCAACTTTAGCGCTAACTTCACGCAAAGTCTATTCTTAAAGTGCGCAAACTTTGCGTGAAGTTAGCGCTAAAGTTGCGTGAGGTTAGCGCAAAGTTTGCGTAGAGTTAGCGCCAAAGTTGTGTATTAAATGTATGCCCCTGAATACTGCCCTGATTCATCTTCTCGTTTATGTAGTAAATAACGAAAAAAACAAGAGTTCATACAAGAAAACCATAACAGAACATTATGATTATGAGGAACAATTGAGAGAAAAAGTACTTAATCTTCTCCGTTCTGGAATACGTGATTAATGTAGTCATTGCTCGGTGATTGGCCCTCAGCATCCAGTTCTTCTTCAAATTCTGCCTCTCTTTGCTCCACGCACTCTTCGTTCAGTCTGAAATTATTAACTTATGAAGAAATGATTGCACGCAGCCGTACTTTCTCCACAGCATGTGCGCGTCGGAAATGTCGTCGTTGATTCGTTTGAACCTGCAGCTCTTGCGATAGCGTTTCGCCGCGTCCCAACGGATGTGATCCACGCAGTTCAGTCTTCCCTGAAACCTATCATTACAATTTTCCATTCGAAAGGAAGTACTCACCGTGCATGGGACAAGTTCTCCTGACTCGACATCGAGGTGGTGCGTTCGAAGGTTACGCCTGTTGAATTTCTTATTAGAGCAGTCAAAAGAAAAGCAATACTTACAGCGATTGAGCAATTGCAAAATGAACTTCGGGGTTGATTGTCTCCCGGTACGCCCGTCTTCTGCACACTTCTTGTTCTCTGTCTTCTAAGGGAATGGTTTCCAAGAACCTAAAACTTTCAATATAAGTACGTTATGAGATGCTTGAACGAACGGGTGGTTGGTGTCGAATGGACCGAAAAGTAAATCTTCAGGAAGATATGCCTTGCTGGCGTCAAGACCAAAATCTGAAAGCAATGAAAAGTTATCCCTAGAATAGATCTTTCTGCCACACCGATGAGTCCGTTTGTAACGATATCCGGGAGCGCCCGGAAGTTTCCATCGACTTGTTTGTTTGTTCGGTAACGATGACTGTACAGCCAGATCATATGATTCGGTTGCAATGCCTGAACAATACCATTAAATGCGTGAAATGGTATGCTTTCTTACAGTTCTCAACAATTTCTGATAGATAATAGTCAATTGTACCACATTTGTGTCGCCAAACAGTTCGCAGCGATCGTACAAGTTCGACAAATTCAGAGCCGGAAACTCGGCGGTCTGTGGAATCACATGTGCCACATCGAGGCGTCTCTTCTTCAGTTTTTGCGCATGGTGGTGTTTTGCAACATTGCTTGACAGCGAATTGATAGATGCCTTCATTTTAGCCATAGACTTGGTCTCAACGGATGGAAATTGCGCCTGAATCATAGGATTTCGAGGTGTTCATCTTCTCACTATGTTCAAACCAAAAATTGCTGAGCCACGATTATGCTCTTCACTTCATCGGCATTACTTCTATCAACCAGATCACAGTAAGTTGCGAGCGAGAAGCGTGGGCGGATGTAAGATGCAGCAATCTCCTGAAGCTCACAGTATTGAGACGAAGATGTACATAGTATGCGATACCTGCACTTGAACCTCTGAAAGGCTCCGTTGTTGGAACCCCGTGCGCAATACTTTACCAATATCAACGCAGTTTTCTCTTCGAATTGCTTCTCGGAGCTGGTCTGTAATATTATCGATCGTTTCTTTTTTCGTTATGTTTTCGCTTACCTCCGACAGTCATTTCTTCTTTTCTTCCTTTCAAGTGTTGGCCAATACTGAAGTACCCGGCTGTACGGCGCTTATCGAGTGTGTCCTCGTGTCCCACGTCAATTTCCACATCGGATTCTTCTTCTTCGAGCTCTTCGAGGTGATGCTCGAGGTGATGGCTTCGAGGTGATGGTCGAGGTGATGGTAGAAGAGGGTGCTCCGACTTAATATTGCTCCTCTGAAAATCATTAGAACAATGTTGGCCAATTTTCTCCTCCTTTCTCACTTTCGCGGGCGGGGCGGTAGGCGCCTTCGGAATCACTTCTTTCTTCTCAATCTTCCGTGCAGGACGGCGGTTATCGAGTGTGTCCTCGTGTTCCACCTCAATTTCCCCATCGGATTCTTCTTCATCGAACTCTTCTTCTCGATTCAATCGAATTGATTGTGGAAGAGGGTGCTCCGAATGAATCTTGTGCTTCTGGAAATCATGAGAACAATGTTGGCCAATTTTCCCCTCATTTCTCACTTTAGTGGGCGGGGCGGCGGTAGAGGCCTTCGGATTCACTTGTTTCTTCACAATTTTCCGTGCAGGACGGCGGTTATCGAGTGTGTCCTCGTGTTCCACCTCAATTTCCCCATCAGATTCTTCTTCATCGAACTCTTCTTCTCGATTCAATCGAATTGATTGTGGAAGAGGGTGCTCCGAATGAATCTTGTGCTTCTGGAAATCATGAGAACAATGTTGGCCAATTTTCCCCTCATTTCTCACTTTCGCGGGCGGGGCGGTAGGCGCCTTCGGAATCACTTCTTTCTTCTCAATTTTCCGTGCAGGACGGCGGTTATCGAGTGTGTCCTCGTGTTCCACCTCAATTTCCCCATCGGATTCTTCTTCTTCGAACTCTTCTTCTCGATTCAATCGAATTGATTGTGGAAGAGGGTGCTCCGAATGAATCTTGTGCTTCTGGAAATCATGAGAACAATGTTGGCCAATTTTCCCCTCATTTCTCACTTTAGTGGGCGGGGCGGCGGTAGAGGCCTTCGGATTCACTTGTTTCTTCACAATTTTCCGTACAGGACGTGGCATCTGTAATTGGATTAGTCCAGTTAACATAAAATTGGGGACACTACTACAACTGAGAACGAAAGAAATGAATGGTAACTAACACGAGAGATCACAATCGAGTAGTAAACAATCAAAACAACACCCGAATTTGGCGGGCGGACGAAAACAGTGTAAATGCGCGGGGGCGCCTTATTCTACGCGCAACTACGTACTCTTAGTGGCGCGTGACAGATTGGAATCTTTCACATTTATTGTCGATATCGCAAGTGACCTTGACATAAATTATAATATAACGGCAACAACTTTAATTCCAATATTCATTTTAAAACCGAGAAACAAACGATTTACAATCAAACTCTAACAAACTACAATATCCTTCAAACACGGAAACATTTTTGAGCTCAAAGTGGGTTCCTACAATTTGTCTGTAGTAACTGTTCAATTTTTCACAAGAAGATCTCAGTTGTGACCCATTTACAGGTATCAGACTCGTGGATTGGTTCAAAAATTTAAAAACATTACTGAACGGTGGAACTGTGTCAAAAACACGGATTAACACTAGCCATTCGCCTTTCTCATCTAGAATGACACGTTCCACACTTGCGAACTGAGTCCGGCTTCTGTTATCAAAGAAGTAAACGTAGCAGTTATGCGCTGCCACATCCTCGCAGCTCCTTCGTGTTCCAATAGTTAATATAGCCGTCTCGAAAGTGTTTCTATTGAAGACGTGATTTCAACGATGATTCACACACTTTTCCTACCTCATTTGTCTGATTTTGCAAGAGAGTTCTCCGAGAAACTGTCGTTCTTCGAGACTTAACGGCTCAGAGTCTATCCGCACTCTACCAGAAACTTTTCCGGGCTCACTAATGGTTGCTGTCATAGTGGCTGGATAGGAAACGGGACATTCCGGTTTTCTGATAGCTTTTTTGGACTCGTAAATCGCACGCTCCAAAGAGGAGAACCGTTTTGCCATATCGATCAAGTTGCGTGTTGTGTGCGCGTCGGAGCTTCGGCCGAGAACTTGGTTAAGTCGCTCAAACGGAGCGGCACTACTCACGCGCGGGCTTCCATCAACTTTCAGAGTAGTAACCATGTGGTCGAAAACAAACTAAAAATGAACAAGATCAGAGATACCACCACTGCATATCACGTGAAATTTCATCGTGTAGAACACTTGGAAACGTTCGCCGAACAACTTCCGAATTGTGGGTAGAATTCCGTCAAGTGCATCACACTGATCTTCGCACAGATGACTATCTGTGATCACTCTGGTCGCCAGCCAGTGCAACAGCAGCGCGACACACCAGAGGTCATCGCCGCCGTGGACAAGCAGAAGAGTGGGCAGAGCAATATCGTACATCTTAAATTCGATCAACCCGGTCTTCTTTTTGCAATAGAAACTAACTGTCTGCACTTCACTCCCAGTTCGAGACGTGAGAATCAACGGGTCGATAAGAATTGCTGAGCACATTCCCTTCGGATTCCGAGAACCTTCCAGTGCTTCCTTAGAAACCGGTAAACCATACATATTCATATGAAACTGACCCCCCAGGCTTTCCTCATGTCTTTCGACAAATTGAATCCCATTTTCTCGCAATTTCCGAGAACGTCTTTCAGAATATCTCTAGAGGTCCCTTCATTGATCAAATGTAAACCGTCGTACCCGTCGTTCCATGGAGGAGGGAGAGTAGTTTTAGCCAATTCTAAGTTTTTCCGAATTACAAACGAAGAGCGAAGTAAGCTTACTGGGGACAACACTACTTTCGTCATAATTGGAGACGGGACCATTAGGAAACCAACAGATTTTTCGTCCTTTCTTTGTCTGAATATTGAATCCAACGATATCACATCTGCTGCAGGAGTTATAAGACTGCCAGACAGGCAATTTGTGGATTTTACGAGACGCCTGAATCTGATATCGGAGACGGCTTGAGAGGACACACTCACGTCCAAATCGAGAACACAATTGAATAGTTTCAATTGAACCGGATACATTTTACCATTCAATTCAACTTCGAGAGGATCCGATTCGGTGGATGCCATCTCCGAGCTCAATCTTTCAAAAATTGCTGAAAAATCGGAAGATGAAAGTTTCTCGGATGAGTGCATGATGGCAGAAAGAAGCACGTATTCCGCTTTGTACTCTCGGAAACTCCCACATCCCTCGTGAACATCATGCGCCGCAATGAACAGCGGCCAGATTTCGCCTCTGAATGAAAAAGACTTCAGAATATTTGAGGAGGGGCGCTAGAAACCTAGAACATCCTTTCTTTCGGAAGCCGTCGATATTTAACGACAATAACAAAGTCAACTTGTCGGGGTTCTCGGATTTATAATGGCGCAAATGTCGCTTATACTTCGGAGTGTCACATGTTCGCCGAGAAAGTTGTGATTGGCCCGATTCGCGAGTCTGTGTATATATTTTTGGGAAGAACTAATATGAGCACACATTACCAGCAGCGAGGCACCGAAAACTCCGTGGTTCAGTAATTCTTGAATTTGCTCGCGAATGGAAAAGGTGATCATCGTTTTGACGCCAGCTAAATTAGATTGACTGAGCATGAACCGTTGGCAAGTCGCATTCCGACATTTCTTATCATCCGATAAGAGTGTGCTGCAGCTAACGCAGCAAGAATAAACTCGATTATCAAAGTCAGCCCACTCATTCTCCAATTTACGCACTTCGGCAAGCTGAAAAATACGTTAGCCCTATTTGCTATTATCCGAGAACTCACAGTAATGTCTGGGTACGATCGCAGGACTTTAGAAATTGCGAAAATGTCTTTTCCCAAATTAAACGAGATGTTATTGAACACGAAAACTGATGTGACGTAGTTTAAGGCGTCTTCCCTGGCTGATCAAACGTTCATCGAATGCCTCTGATGGAAAACGAACCCAGTGATCCGTCCACGGTTTCCCAAATGGGTGTACAACTGCGATCTTCTCGTGAAACATCTTGAACTTTTACCTTTCTCTATCAGTATTACGTAACACTAACTAACTGTTTCCGTCTTTGAAATTACATTAACAATAACATACAGAAAATTGAGAAGTGACAACATGTGACCACCAGTTTTACCTTCCAAGATGTCATCGTCTTCTGAATTCGCCAACTGTTCGACGTTCGGGTTCGAATTAAACGATTCTCCTTGCCGGTCATCCTCGCGAGAAGTGCAGCCGTTTTCTGTTCCTGTAATGTGCCATGTTTAGTTCAATATGATCGGTTTTGTTTGAGACTCTGGATTTTTCGTTCTACCGCAATCCCTCATTTCCTTCTTTACTTTTGTCAATTTGCCACGGAATTCATTTAGTACATGGTAGAGTGGTATTAATACTATTCTGCGAAAGTACCACTTACCATCTCGCCCATTGACACGAATTTCGCGTTTTTCCTGACGTTGCGGATACGTGCTGTTGAAAACGTCAATAGATTCTTCTGAAACATTACCTTTTTCCCATTTTTCATTTTGGTTTCATTGAAACTCACGAATCTGCCTTTTTCGAACGAATGCAGGTCTACGGAACCATGTTTCAGTCATACTCTTCTGTTACTTTTCACGAAATGTTCACGAAATCGAGTCGGTGCCGCGGATATTAGTCGACTTCGAATCCGAACAGACAAAATCGTTTGTCAACCCGTCTAGAAAAAGCAGACATTCTATTTAGATGCACTTTACAATCGAAAAACCAGTAAATAAGCGAGAACAATGTAAAAATTACGCGTATAACGTGAGAAAAACATGAAAAATTACTGCAGGTATGCTGCATGACGCAAAAAATTTCGAACGATTCCCTTCTTTTGCGCAAACTTTGCGGAGTTTTTAAAGTTTGTGCAAACTTTGCGAGGCTGCCTACTTTTGTGTAAAAGTTGCGAGAGCCCTTACTTTTGCGTGAAAGTTGCGGGCTTTTACCGAGAGAGGACTGTCGAGGAGAAGAGAAGAGGATTCAGACGCTGTCTCTCGGCCTATTACTAATGATTCTGACTGATCCATGTGCTCTGTCTGACTACTGTATCCCGGCCGCAACTTCATGCTTGTACAAACTCCAGTTCTGCTCAACGGGTCTCTTCCGATCTACTAAACTACTTGTTCTCCGGTTTTTCTCATTAATGTTATTTGTTGATTGCCATTCTTGTTGTAGACATTTATCGTGTATATAAAAAGGGGATGAAGAACAACAATAAAAAGTTCACTATTTAAGCACTGATGTGTTTTTGGTTGCACGGAGTGTCAAGCACGCTACGAAAAGGCTTGCCCAAGAGCTAACTAATAAAACATACAGAAATTCCGTATCACCTCAACGCTTTCTAGTCGCTACGTAGCCAATTTGGTGACAACCATTTGACCGTTGGCGGTTATTCAAATTTTGTTCGTCATAAGAACTTCCCAGAGAATCATTCTGTTCCCAGTCATTCTAACCAGCAATTCGGAGACACGCCTTCCCAGAAAAGATCCGCGCAACGTTCTGTGAGCGCGGCTTTTCCCAAATTGCTCAGAACTTCTAGTTGATTTGCGAAAAAGCACGTGTCCGTGACCTGCTCACTCATCTGACACTTTCTTCAGTGAGTAATCCTCCCGATTATACCCTCCCTTACTCACTCCCGGAACTTTCCCCATCATCCCTTCTTTTTCCGTTCTCAAAGCCAGATGAGTCAAAAGTTGCAGTGTGCCGGAAAAATTGGTCCTCGAAAAAGTGTGTTCTTTTGCAGAAATAACACAATCTGTATTCATGTGTGCATAATCCACCTTCTCTCTAACTTCCCCTTTTCTATCCTTTTCATATCCGTTTCAAAGAGACGAGTCCAATCACAAGGTAGAAGAGCGTGACCGAAGGGAAAAAGCAAAGGGAAAAGAAAAAGAAGAATGGAAAGAACTCACGGCAACTGAGATGGCGAGGGTGAGGGCGAGGAACATTCCGACGGATTCACGCCATGATTGGGCTCCTTTGAAGGTGACTTTCGGGTTCGAGGAGACCGTTCGAGCTGGCGGAGCCGGCGGCAGAGACGGCGGTGTTTTTGGCTCCGTGTCAAAGTCCATTACTGTAAAAAGAAGGATTGGAGAGGAGCAAAGAGAAGACAAGTGTGGAAGTGATAGAGGTACTCTAGCCGACAATCGAAGAAGAAGCAAGATGCGAAACCTATTCCGGAGACCGGATCCGACCAACGCATATTAGTATATACTAATACGATAATAGGAAAACGGAGGAGAAGACAGGTGGCGAAGGGATGGAAAAGCAGAAAGACAAAACGGCTTCTGCGCGGACGGACAGACCACCTGCGGCGAAAATACAGTCGAAATCTACTTATCGCACTTTTATGGGCATGTGTTCGGAAATGCATCGGTTGGGCCGACGACTGGATCTGTTTGTATTCCGTTTGCATTGCAAAAGCGAAAGAACCGAAAAGGAACATGGAGGGATGAGTCAACAACACTTAACTTCGAGACCGTTCTGAAGAAGGTCAGGAGGATCGGACTCTTCAGAAGCTGATGTTCGTAAAGTAACTAATGGTTCCCAAAGGTCCGAGTGCGCATGCGCTCGGATCAATATATAATTAATGCGTAGTGGTCCCTCGCGGAGAGTAGAAAAGGCGGTAGAAAAGGAGTGTCCGAACGGGGTGACCATGGTGAGAGAGGGTGGAAATTAGGGGTAATCGGGTGAATAGAAAAGGGACAGACAGGAGGGTAAGTCTCTTTACGGAGAGGTCACTCGGTGTTTAGAGCGAAAACACCGAGTTGCAGGTACTTAAATTAGAAAGAGGACGACTGTAATTGGCTGAAACCGGGTCAGGAAGTTTGAATTGGATTCCGATGCTACGTAACAGCAGGAAAGTACAGTTTCCTCGACGTTTAATAGGGATTCAATCTGCTCTCATCTTCCCATCAACGTCAACCCGTTTCACGTTTCTCCGGAACGACAGCCTTCACAAAGTGACCCGTCTTTCTCTTCTGCTTCACTCAATTTCCTCCCGAAAGACACACTTTCATTTTCGAACGTAGCACGTCTTCTCTCTGGATGAACCGGAAGAGAGAGATGCGAGATTAGCATGTGAAACTGCACACTTTCGACAGTTTTTGGGGAAGGATGGGATGGGCAGAAAAAGTGTACAAAAGGTGGTTGGAGTGGCAAATGCAAGGACGGTCCTGATTTATGAGATTTTGAGAAGAAATGTGAAACCGGGCGATCAACTGCCATCTAGTCATTTTTCATTTGAAACAATCACTTCACCTGGGTGATAAATGGAATTGATATCAAACAGAAGAAGGGTGATAAGGGAGACAACGAGTCTATTAGCCTAGATATCTGGGGATTGACTCGCATAGGTGGGTGGTAACTACGGAATACGGAAAAACGGTTCGAAAAAGGAGAGAGGGCGAATTGAAATGAGTGCGAGGATATTCAAATTGGGGCCACGCCGGGGGCGGTGTGTCTGTCGATGATCTGCAATTGAGAAGCCAGGCGGTTGTCTCGCGAGTCTGCGCCTCTCCGTTCCGATACGATCTCGTCAGTCAAGGACGACTCTACCATCGGACCGTGGCCAGTGGGAGAACGAAGACATGTCTCGTAAACGGTTGAGCGCCCTACCTGCAGAAGGTCGGCTGTGTGGGAAGAAGTAAAGAAAAGAAGAAGGAAGGAAAGGGGGTTCGATTGAGAAAGGTGATAGTGGTGGGTGGGCAGGGAGGACGACGGTCCGCCGACGGATAGCCCGAGGTGTTGAACAAACTTTTCGAGGAGGCAAAAAGAGAGGCAAGGCGTCAATTTGGCAGGTTACGATCAGTTTTTGTGAAGGATCGGAGGCTAGCGGGATGGTTGATGAATGGCCTTGCAGACAGGACGAACAATGCAATCGGTGGGGGAGCGATGACGTGGCAGTAGCATCAGCAGGAAATGGAACAGTACTGGGAAGAAGAGTCTAAAACTGGCTCGTTATCATTTGGTTTCCAGTTCCACGCCTGTCCTTCCGACTTTCTCCAGTTCCGATCTTCTCGTCATGTGTCGTCATAAAATTATCGCATCAATCATCCAATTATCCTCCGTTCTTATCACTAATTTACTTAATAAGATGGATCAGAATGTATTGTTCTGTCAATTGATAATCTTCCAAATCGGGACACTTCTGAAGCCATTCATTCAAGGCTGAAAAGGGAGACCAACGGCTATTATTAATCCTCTTTTTCACTTGGAATCAAACATTTTGTCTCGCTTCCACGCTGTTGCAAAGTAGACCCTAATCTCCGCGAACTGAATTCGGTTTTTCTTCTGTTCTCGGATTAGGATTCCAGGAGTGGGGGTGGTGGATGTGCGAAAATAGTCAAGAGTCAGAACTGAACTTTATTTCTGGACAGAAAGGGGTTTGAATGGGCACATAGGGGTAAGGAAAACAAGGCAACTTGAGCGGGGTTGGGGGGTTTGGGGATACTGTGGAAGTGCCCGGTTTTTCCGAGCTTACAACAATACAAGGGGGAGGGGGCTTATTAAAAGGGACGAACGACGACGTAAGACCTAATAATTTAAATTACAAAGTGAGAGTTTTGAGATCACAACTGCAAGTCTTCGAGCTGCTTGAGCAGGTTCAACTGAGAACTGCGTTCCGAAGTTTCGGCGTGTTCGGATGATGTGGCACGGAGCTGACGCTGCTTTGTTTCCGTCTGAAATTCAACATTCTGATCTGTGCACATCTGTGATCTCTGATTGATTTCAATGAATGCGCGATGCAAGGTATTAGCCTAATCAGAAGAAAACAAACTGCAAACTCACCGCTTGATTCTCGGTGACTGGACTCGTTTGTTGGGCCGGTCTGGAAAAGTGTTCATTAGTCAGTAGTTGAGCTGAGAGCAAGTGTCAAAATGAGCAGGAAAGGGATCTGCCGCATTCCTCCAACTCACGTCTTTCTTCCGAGTCTCTGTCCCCTGCGCGCCTGTCCACGGAACGGTCTTCTTCCGACCGGACGTCTTCTGGGTCTCTGGCAAGTGACACAGAAGATTCTCACTGGCTCATTGGCGACCACGTTGTTTCTGTAATGAAGAGACGGCCAAGCCGGGCACTGTCCGTTTCTGATCGCGAAAGCAGTCGACGGGTTGAATTCACAGTGTCCATTGAGTGGATTGTAGTGGGCAATCTTGAAAATGGAAATGAAGAGCCCGTTGAACAAGTTAGACTCACAGCGCAATTGAATTCGTGGCAAGTTCTGGCGCACTGGTCAACAGTAACAGCAACGGCAAAGTGAGTGAAAGTGAGACGGGATGGTCCACTGATTGGGGTGGAAATGTAGAAGATGGAGGCCGGGCACTGTCCAGAACGGAGACTCTGACCCTGTGGCGGGAATCGGGGAGCTGGAGAGGTTGCCGGAGCCGGTGGTGGTGGAGGCGGACGACTGAAAAGACCCGGATTGAAAAGCAGAAGTTGAATTGAGTAACAAACGTGGCAAACGTCGGCTGTGGTCTGAAAGGTGGCTGCGTGAACGGAGCCTGAGTGAACGGAGCCTGGGTGAAAGCTGGTTGTGGCTGTGGCTGGAAAGGTTGTGGCTGTGGCTGGAAAGGTTGTGGCTGTTGTGGCTGGAATGGTTGAATTGGACGGATTGGCTCTGGTTGCTGTGGTTGGAGAACACGTGGCGGAGCAGTTGGAGCAGGCGGACGAATGAACGACGGAGCAAGTGTGGCGACGGTTTGTGGCACGAATGGCACGATTGGGGCACGAGTACTGAAAAAAACAAGAGTGAGAAAACAGTTGGCAAGAGCTTGAAACTGACATTGGGGCTGGGGGGAGAGCGGCAAGAGTTTGTGGAGTTGTCTGGACGAATGGAATCGTTCTGATAGTGGTGATCGGTGGTGGTCTTAACGAAAATGATAAGAACAGTTGATAGCTTGGTCAGTATACCTGGTGGTAGTGGTAGTTGGAGTCTTCGTCGTTTTCTTGGTCTCCTTCTTGTCGCCTCCTGGTCTGTACGGTTTCGGAACAAACAGAAGTTTCTCGTTGTCCGCAGAGACTACATTGTTGTCATCGTAAGCTCCAAATGGATCTTGTGGGTTTGGAGAGTTATCAGCTGCAAAAGAAACGATCGAGTTGATCCGGGACTGATTCGTTCGGTTACTTACGAGCCACTTCAATCTGTCCGCCGTCCACCTCATTGAACAATTCTCGGCGCACTCCGTCGATCGTTCCGACATCTAAAGAGTATCAACGTGTACTACTACAACATTCTGCTTCTTCTTTTCCCGTCCAACTGTGTGGTCACTCATCCATTGCAACTCAAACAAAAGGCACCCCGAAGGCATTCAAAAGACGACGGCAGCCCAAGTCGCCGGTGTGGGAAAGAAAGTGAAAAAGCGGCGGAGGAACGGACTTTTGAATGACCACGAACATTTGCATAATGGGGAGAACTAATCGAGCGTGCGCTTCAAACATACTAACGGAATGGAATCAAAAAGAAGCGACAAGTTTCGGAAAGAGAACGAGAAAGAGGAAACAACTTACATATCTTGAACTTGTCGCCGTCTAGGCCAGGTTCGGAGATGGCTCGTTCGACGACGGTTCTGAAAGATGAGCATGAACTGTTGGTTCGAGTACACAAAATGCTCACTTTGGTTCGTCCTGAGCTGCCGCGAAACCCAGCACGACTGCCAGTAAGAGCAACCTCTTCATTTTGCTGAAAACAGAATCAAATCAATGTGAAAATCAAGTGGGGTTTTGTTGGTTGAAGCGGAGGGGCTAACAAGTTTCCGACGGACAGTTTGTGGTAGAAGCCACCGCCGTCGTAGGTTATCACATTAGAGAACGGTATTCATGTTTGACGAGAAAAAAGGAGGATCAGGAGGCCGGTGGCAAGCGGCCGAAGTACAACTGACTGACATGAAATTGAGGGAGACAAGTGATAGGGTAAGGAAGCAGGAACTGGATTATCACTGATGGGGATCAGGCCTTCTCGCGGTCATTTCTCAACTTCCGCGATGATTTGCAAAAAAGGGGAAAAGGACGGTGTGAGCGGGACTTGATACGGAGGTGGAGGCGGCGGTGTGGCAGGCAAGATTCGGGCGGCACGATAGACAAAAAAGAGGGAGGAGTTTGGAGGGGAAAGAAGCAGCAAGGAAACACAGGAATTTCAATCTCGAGAATGAGAGAAAGAGTTAATTTCAGGGTGGAATTGGTTGGCAGTTAGTTTGCAGTCACAAACTCAATTAAAGACGTTTCAGAGTGTGTTACACATCGAAAGGAATTGGCAGCCAGTCTACGGATCGCTTCCTGCCACAAATTCCTGAAACTCTTGTGCTTTGGGAAAAAGAAAACCGTTCCAGTCATTCAAATGAAGCTGCTCTTCTCAGCACTCTGCCGTAATCTTTGAGAAGCTAAAACTGTATACGATTGTGGATTTTTGATAGATTAGCAAAACATCTGATGAACATCAAGATAGAGTCAAGAAGATATCATTTCATGGCGACGATCATGATGATTGGAAAAAGTGTCAGCACCACAAAAAGCGAGTCCGTTGACGGAGAGACCGGTTCCCATCAACGAGGGAATATTTTTCTGGGATTTGATAAAGAGCGAAAATAAAGGGAAAAAGAGGAAGAAGCTGGTGTTGATCGATTAATGATTACGGCGAAATGAATAATGGTTATGCAATTGGGAGAGGCTGAAAAAGATGGGTTTGATTGGAAGAACACAGAACGACTGTTGATGGAAGACGTCATTTAGGGAAGGTTGGGAAATTGAGACGTGCCCAGTCCGATCCTGCTGCTACGTCACTCTGACCGCCGACGAAAACAGTTCTCCATCTTCTTATCACTTCTTGTCCCGAACATCCCGAACTGTGACTGCCGGCAACAAAAACCAAAGAATCGGAACTTGTGTCAGCCGTTTCTCTGCGTCTCTCTCTCTCCCACACTATTTCAGAAAAAGAAGAAGCCTCAACCACATTCCGTGGTGGGTCACAACTGTCCAAACGGGATCTTGTCAATGTACGCGACGAGGAGAGGACCTGACTGATTTGCATTTTGACGAGGAGAAGCCGCCTGCTGATTTCCCTCTAAATCTTCAGTGATTCGGTATTCAACCACAGTACAAACATGACTCAGAAGCCGTTAAAAGCGGTGAAGAGAAGAGGGAAAATGTGGAAAAGAAATGTACATAGTAATCGTCCCAAACGATCTACAAGTTATCTGCCGATTTCCCGTTCGCTCGCTTCTTACTCTGAAGGTCATTTGCATTCGGTTTTTGCCAAATGCAAACATTTCAAACTAATCGGAAATTGTCCAGGCAAAAAAGGACGGAGGAGGAAGCGGGGGCATGCAGATCTGGTTGGATAAGTTGGCATTGCCCAAAGAAGGCTTTCATTTCGTCATCACGCGTGTTACATAAATGAGATTGATGGATTCAACTGCGACGTGGCTTGGGAAAGTCATCAAAGGCTTAATCGGAAGGTCAGAAATAGGTGGGGATTAACGGAAAGTTGGAGAGGAAGTGTAAAGAAGTAAGATGCTTAAGAATTGAGGACCATTTAGACCTAGACATAAGGTATAAAGTTAGAGAAGACTACCGTAACCTTGACGTGGCATCATATTATACCTTTGAAAGTCAAAAGCTTTCAGAAACACCTCTAGCGTCTGCCTATTTGTACCTGCCCTGCCTATCTGCACAATGCAACTTTTTATAAAAGGTTTTCAGGAAAGAACGCGATTATCTACACAAACGTTCAGTTTTCAGAAGAAGTGAATGCCATCGAAGGCATGAAAAATCAAAAAAGTAAAAGCTGTCCTCCACCGTGTCCGGTCGCCACACGGTCCTCGGTTGGCAACACCCGCTTTTGAACAAATTTCCGTGGATTTGCGGGGGAGATAGGCGCCGCCGTTTCGTCGCCCAATGATGGGCAGAAGACGGCCGAAACGGGAGGAGGGCAGGTATTTTATCGCGTAATTTATTAGGCGAGACAATGCCTTCGGCTTCTTCTCCTTCTCTCGTTATCCATATATGTTTGGGTGGGGCTGTTGGGGCGAGTTTTGGATGTGTCCGGCAAAAAGTTGAGAAGAAACGAGAAGCAGGAGAATCTTGGAGGGAGTAAGTCAAAAAGGAAGAGATATTTATGATGAAGTGGGTGGATCTTTAGATATTATATTGTTGCGATTGAAGAGAAAGCGGATTACGGTCATAGGGAAACTGTCTACGATGGACAATACTTTCTGTGATTTGTGGCGCAAAAGAAAGTGACCTTTTAAGATCGGCCAAGGATCGGATTGGGTTACGGTACCAACTGGTTCTGCATCTTTTGACGACTGGGAGTAGGTTAACAAATGCAATATAAACACACATTGTAACCCAGAAAGCCCGAAGAAACGAGAAAATAAGCGTGGATCAGGATCATTGAGTGATAAAAAGATAAGGAGGAATGGGCGGAAAAGAAGCGAATCGGATCCGTCACAGGATCCCATTCCATCGCTTCTCCTCTCGATTCACATATAATGACTGTGGGTGTGTGAATGTAATACGCACAATTACTAGCAGAGATGTACTAACTACTCGCCTACACTTGACAAAATAATCGGTCGGAAGAACAGGAGGAGTGGGAGGAAGATGCCCTCTGAACAACCTGAAAAGGCATCTAGTTATGGAAAAGACATTTATACTCGCAGCAAGGGAATTTTACTTTTATATGCCGCTCATGTTTATGCATGTGGCAGGAGATTAGATCGGAAAGAGAAAAGTGTAAAAAAGTTGCATGTTCGTTAGATGGTCACTGACGGAATGCCGATTTGATGTCGCACCGTGATTAGGGCAAAACATGGGGGCAGACTTGTGTAGGAACGAAAACTGGGAGAAAAAAGGGCAGAAAACACTCGAATGATTCGAATGACAAAGTTTGTTTGGCGCCCTTTTTGCACTAATCTCGCGTCAGTCACCAGTTGTTGGCGCCCTTTTTGCACTAATCTCGCGTCAGTCACCAGTTGTTGGCGCGCTTTTGATTACTTCAGTTATTGTGTATCTGACGGGTCCAAGGACATAGATTTGGAGAGAAATTGGTTAAAGAGGCAACGGAACCACGGGTGATACCCGACAAAGGTAACTTCTGAGAAGCGGTTCACTACCGAACTACAAACGGAACATTCCTACAACCTAAGGAGAAGCAGTTCTTCGCCTCTTTCTTCGTGTCCTACACCGTTTTCGCTCATCCTCCAACCCACTTTCTCCAATTTCCAGCGAATTAATTTCAAGTTCCGTTCCCACTTCATCGTCTTTTTCTGGCCCACCGTCCCTCTTTACCTCTTCTTCCGCATCTCCTCAATCATCACCGACTTCCCGACCTTTCAATTATGAGCCCGAAACCGAAACTCACTATTTGGCAGCAAGAGCCCGCAATCTGTTCAACTGGTAGTTGTGGATGTCTGCGTCTCCTCGTCTGCCCGGCTCCTTCCGTCACCGTCTGTCACCAGCTCATACATTAGCGGGATGCTTTTCATGGCGGCGTCGGCGGTGGCGGCTCGCGGAGCCTTGAGTGCGGTAAGAAGCTCTAACCGCTATTTATGGGTTGTGTCTCCAGTGGTGTACGACCTCATTAACCGCTTCCTTATGCCACTTGTCTATTGTGTCAGTTGTCAGTGTCCCCCCTCTCTCTCTCTCTCTCTCTGATTCGAAGCACTTCAGTCCTTTTTTGGGACGGAAGCGGCGACGGCTCATCAATCAAAGATGTGATTCTTCACAGGTTTAGCGGATGTATGCGGATTCCTGGGGCATTTGTTTGACAGGAAGGCACCGGAAAAAAGTGAAAAAGGAACATTAGGCAACCGACAGGAACTCACGCAGAGTGCGGCAAGACGGCGCCGACCACTGTTTGCCGTGGTTTTCACACCTTTGTGACCGGTACGGTATACGGTAGAAGTGTCGATAAACACGCACGCGCATCACTGAAACGTCCCGATCTGCATGGTTATCTGGGTTTGCGGGTCGTCCGACTTCTGCGCTCCACTCATTCATCGTCGTGCCTTCCGGTAAACATTTCTCTTCTAGGTTGGCTCCCTTCCGAATCCAAATTCATTTGTGCCGCCGCCAGTCTTCTTGTTCTTCCCCTCTCCCACCTCATTTCTCTTCAGTCTGACAAATCGCATAAATCTTGTGTCAAGAATGAAATGAGACCGTCGCGTTTCCTGATCTCGTCATTTTTTCAAAGTACTTCTTCGGAGAGTCGCTGCAGCTGCCCCCCTGGTTCCCCTGTTCCACAATCATTTCAAGCTTTCACATCTAATTGGTCTATTTTGTAAAAGACAATTGACAAAACACGACAGCCGGAGGATCGCGTAATTGCCCTCCCCCCAGACTGAATGAGGCTGGCGCGCCAGATTTCGGTGCACACTAACACCTCGAGACGTCGAGGACAATCATGAATGGTACGGTAAACGGACAACAGGTGTGTGGTGAGAAATTGGAAATCTGAGAGAGAGAGAGAAGAGTGCAATTGATGAAGCGTAAATGTGCAGGTGATTTGGAAGAAGTGAAAAGAATTCAGGTGGAAGAGAAATGACTGTAGGAAGCCAATCAACATCGAGACAACTGTAATGCGCGGACCCGATCATTCTAGACAGTATCTCTCAGGTACCGGTAGAGATATCAAAATCTTGCATACTAACATTTTTACCTTTTATAAGTTGACAATTTTCTGATACCTCTACAGACAGCTGAGATATATTAGTTAGAATGAACAGTATATGATTCACATGATATTCTGATGATGACTCCCTCCGGAATCCTGTCCTTTTGTTGTTCTCACTCAACTATCAGTTAGAAACTTTCAAAGTGATTCATTGTCACAAATCGCGCGATTTCCGGTTCACGAAAAGCTCATTATACTCGTTGGAGACCGGAAATGACGCAAGTCTCGTGCTGAATCCGATCCTTTTGATGCTTCTGATCAGTTTCTTACATTCCCTATACTTCTTCCGAGTTGTTTTCTCTATTTATTTTTGTGTTCGTTTCCGAACCATTTCCCGTGTCTCCTGGTTCCTTACCTTCATAAATCCTTTTCTTTTCCATTATATTTTCCTCCATCTTTAAGTAAACACACCAATTTCAGATCACGTGTCTTCTTCGCTTCCGATGCCGTCGCCTACGTATTCACTTTCTTCTGCTTCTTCTTCTTCTTCTTTCACTTCATCTTCTTCTTCTTCTCCTTCATACCAACACAGCTCCCTTTCTCTCCCAACCAATGAGCCGCCCGGAGTCCCGCCTCCAGCTCCTCGCCCCCTTCTGGCTCCGCCCCTTCTGTCGATGAGCCCCGTCGCGACCGGGAGGACGGGAAGCACGACGAATCAGATACAGGAAAAGGAAGCGGATGCGAATGCAAGTCGTCTCGTCAGCCCCTCTGCCACCAACCGTCGCTCCGGCGGATCTTGTCGTCGTCGGCGGCGGAGCAGGAAGATCCGCGACGGATGAGGATGTGATCAAGTATTCGGCGATTCCCCCCACCGTCAAACAGGAGCCGCAGCAATCCAATACGGCTCTTCCGCCGCCCTCGTTTCACAATTTCGCATTTTTCGTAAGTCATCCTTCACTTTTTGGTTTCGTCTAAAATTCTAGTGCTCTTTTCTAAAGAATCTCCTGTTAATCGTTGTTCTTTCAGAATGGAATGCCAAATGATCTATCTCCAAACCGCATGTTCTACAACGACACCATGGCCAAGAATGAGAATGGTAAGTTTGTGGGTACCTGTGAATCTGTGCAGTTGTTGTCATTCTTCTAGCTTTAAAATATATGTTTGTCCCTCTAAAAGCTCTTCACAGTTCCTCATCAACTAAGAGATTTCTTTGCTTATTGCCACCGAATACACCTTCAGAGTTGAGAACCCCTCGGTCCTCTGCGACGCATCTAGGAAACCTTCATCTTCCTTTTCCCTTTCCTTTTCCCCTCCGCTTCCCTTCCCGAATTCAGATTCAAATTCTATCTGACGGAGCAAAAAACTTTGACGTCTTCAGAAGGCCTCGTTTTCCGTAAATTTCATCGTCTCCTCCTGCCTCCTGTTGTGCTCTTCCCGACGGAGGACGGGTAACCAAATTTCCTGCTGATTCCGCCGATGATTCGCCGCAACGCCTTTTCACTTCATTTCTTCTTCTCCTTCTGCTTCAGAATTCCTTCACTTCTTCCCATCTACTTCTTTTCCATCACATTCACAGTCCTCTGAGTTCTTCGATTACTGTATCCCATTTCAGATCATTTCACCGGCATGAATCTCTCCACAACTGCCGCCTCGTCCAGCGAATCGACAACGCCGATCGCGAAAGAGCCGGTATAATTACAGGGCCGTTCAGGCACTTCCATCCCTAAAAATGAGTGTCTCCTAATGCACTTCCTTTCCAGAATCGCCGTCAATTCTATACCGAAAGCACCGGCTCTAATAGCTCTGGAAACGGAGCCGCCTCCACCGGAAGCAATGGCTCCAGCGCAAGCAGCGGAGCTGTCAAAAGTGGTAAGCAGAATGAAAGAGTCGGGGATCAAAAGCGTACGGATTCAGACGTCTTCAACATTTCCATGAACGCCTTCGCCCCCACTTCGAAGAGCGACGAACAGATTCAGGGATTCAACATGCTCAGCTCGTACTACACTGGTGCTCTGAAACTGAGCAACTCAACGTCGTTCACGACTCCAGGTATGATGATGATGATGATGATGATGATGATATAGTTGAAATAATCACGCTTCTTGGGTTGGGCACACTTCCGGACAGGCTCCCCCTTCCAATTTCCTGTTTTTCGTCTCTTCTTCTTCTCCTTTTCCTACTGTATCATTTCGTGACCAAAACAATCAAGCATGAATGCGGCCCTAACAAACCCTCTTCTGTTTGTTCTCCTCCCACATCACAACTACCGTAGTTCCTCTCTCCACTCCTTCGGACTCATTCATCCATCAAAAACTCTGTGCTCCGGCTCGCGCGAGCAGAGACGCGGCGGCGCTCGAGAAGAGCGATACTTTAATTGCGTCGCGTGTGCTCTGTGCTGCTCCAACCAAACCGCTCCACAAACGGCTATTATCTGAGTCGTTTGCCGACAGACAGCTCTTCCTCCTTTTGTGTTGCCAACCGAAGGAGGGGTCCTAGCAGTTGAGATTATTAGGGGCCAGAATGAGTGGGTGGGGTGGCACCAATTATGTTGTGTAACATGGTCGCACCCGAACGGTAGTGTGCTTGTCGGAACGAGAGCTCAAGGAGAGCGAACGATATTTGTGAGGGATTACTGTAAATAGAAGAGCTCAGACAGGCCGTAGGAGGAAGGAAGAGCAGCAATCAATTCTGACGATTATCCGTGTAGTTGTGATTTTCTGATCTCGATCTGAATCCCCTCAAAATAGCCGTCCGACGTCATCGACCCGATCGGTTTCGCTTTATTCGTTTCCAAAGTAGGCAATTTCCGGTGGCAGAGGTATATCCATTACCCCCGATTCAGTAGCGGCTTCCCATGCCGATTGGGCTCTTCCTGCTCTCATATCCAATTCTCTTCGCGACTTCCGCCGCCCACACACCTTCTTTCGGTGCCGCCGTGAGTAATTACTGTCGAGGCGGGAAAACAGAACGATTGAGGTGGCGGATGATGATGTAACAGGACGCCGGGGCGACAGATGCCGCAGACTGTACACACATAACAAGAAGATATCGATTCTAATCCGCAAATAATGTCGGCCGCCACTTCTTCATCTTGCTCGGGGAGCATCTTCGGCTTCTTCGTCTTCTTCTTCGTCTTGGGATCCGATTTCAGACGGGCTCCCTTCTGTCATCCATTCCATTTGTTTGCCCTCATCTTTCACTTCAAAAGGGGCTCTCGGCTACTTGATTTCGTGCGTCGACCACATTATCAAACCGCCTTTAATTGGCCAGTTCTTCGGAGAGCATTCAGAAGAAGAAGAAGAGCAGCGCCTCGTAAATAATCAATGCGCTTCGGAAGAAACGGCGGCGGGGAAAGGCGGGAGACGTCTTCTGATTTGGCGACGGAAGTGAACACAATTGCTCGCGCAGTTAGTTAGGGGGTCAAGAGATGTGTTAGGAAAGGAGCCAATTAAAATAAGATGCGCATGTGTTCAAGAAAGAGAGCGAGCGAGAGCTTCCTGTCAGGTGGCAATGTCCCGCAAACAAGACAATAGGGCTTTGATTTGAATCGGAGCTCGAAAAGCCCGAGAAGGAAAATAGGACGAGCTCACGAAGTTCGTGGATTGATGAGCAACTCATGACGTCTTCAAACTTCTCCGTTCTGCTCCAAGTCGTACAGTATCCAGGCGCACCTGCTGAGCTCCAACCACCTGCCCCGCTTTTCCATTCATCTTCTCATTCATCTTATTCTCCTCGCTTTTCCTTCCTCAAATACCCCTCCAATTAGTGTTCTGCAATTTGTCAACTCTCGTCCACCTGTGAAGCATGTGTGTCGTTCTAATTCGATCACACACTGTGTCTGTGCAGATGTCTGTCCGGACCATGATTTCTCTTGCATCACCGCGCATTTTCGCGCATGCGCATTCCTAATTTAATCGTCTAGAGGAGCAGCAATCACAACATTTGGAACGTCCTTCAGAGTGAATAATGTAACAACAAGATGGGGAGAAAGTTTGGGAATTTTGGAAGAAGCTAGACCCTGTCCATTCTTTTAAACATTCCATTTATTTATTTTCAGATCCATACCAGATCCTCGGCCCAACCAGTAAGAACCTTGCCCATTCCGGCAGTGGACAGACTCAATTGTGGCAGTTCCTTCTGGAATTGCTCTCCGACAAACGGTATTCGGAAGTGATCACTTGGGAGGGAACCAACGGAGAATTCAAACTGGTCGATCCGGATGAAGTGGCAAGAAAATGGGGAGAGCGCAAGTCGAAGCCGAATATGAACTACGACAAATGTCGAGAGCACTCCGCTACTATTATGACAAGAACATAATGGCCAAAGTACACGGAAAGAGATACGCCTACAAGTTCGACTTCCAAGGGATCGCTCAGGCTCTGCAGCCGCCCACCGCCACCCATCCACAGGATTATTTCAATTCGCACGCGATGGGCAGAATCGCTCCGGACTTTCCGTGGACTGGCGCCAATTACAGATCCCTGAATCCCATTTTCAATGTAAGATATTGTTTATGTAATATTTCTATGGCAACTATTTTCAGAACGGCAGCGCAATCTTCAACCCATCAGTCAATTATACGGCGTTCGGAGCCGCCGGCACTTCGAACAATCTGTCGGCCGCCCGTGCATTCCCGCTCTATCGATAGTCATTCCCTTTTCTACCTTTTTGCAGTGAACGGGACTCATCTCATCTAATCTATTCTCATTTTCCTGATCTCCAGCATTCCTCTAGTCTCCTTTCATTGTACAGTTTCCTATTTCGTTTACCTCACCCTCGCACAACACTCGCAAATGTTAGCAGATTGAACTCTGAAGAGAGCCCTAATAAAAAATCTATTTTGTTTTATTGAGTGTGTCAAAGAGTTCTTTTTAGTTTGTGCCAGACTTCTGCGGCTGCAACACGTTTCATGATGAGTCAATTGTTTATTACATTGGCTTGTGACTTTTGAAAAGAGAGGCGGAATTAGTGTGCGAAGGAGTGGAGGAAATGGGAAGAAGACGGGGGAATTGTCAACATATATCACAAGAAAACAGTGCGCGTATTACCGATTTATAATACTACCTGTGCAGGAATATATAAGAAGAAGAGAAGAAAAAGGAAAGAAAAAGGACAGACGAGAATTTGGGGGATCTACGTGGATTCTGAGGGAGGAGGCAAACGTTGCCTAGAAAACATGGCGGGAGCTGACTATATACAAAAACAGTTGAGAAGAAGTAGAAGAAGAAGTGGACAGGGCTTAGACGTCTCTGAAAAGCAAACATAATTGATCGGAATATGTTTGGATGGTACTCACGACGTCTCCAGATGATTATCCATTATGAATTTCAGCAGTTCTTGACATTTGGCAGTATTTTTTTCAGATTTTTGGGAAGGGAAGTTAGGCGAGGGTGTCTTGCTCGGGGGCGGCAGCTCCGGCGGAGGAGGTACGGATACTTCGATCGACTGTTCCTCGTCTTTCTGAAAAAAAACGGCGTGATGTTCTGGAGAGTTTCTTTCAGATGACGTTTACCTCAAGGACGACTGGGGGCGGGGCTTCCAGATTGATGCTCAATGTTGCCTGTGGCTCATGTGGAGTGTCGTTGATTGAGATGGTCGAGATGTGGGAGAGTTTGGTCTATAGATGCAATGGGAATTACTTCTTCTTCTCCAATTTTTCTCTTACCGTCATCGCTTCCAAGCTCATGTCGTTGTTGTTGTTTGATGATGAAGAGGTGGATATTCCGCTCGTCGAGCTGCCGAACGAATCGATGCTGGCAGCGTTGGACGCCTGTGAACTGCGTCTCGAGCTCTCCATTCTTTTCCGGCTCCCTCCGACGGCCGAACTCACATTCCACGAAAATCTTTTCAGAATGCCTCCGGGAATCACCGAGTTCTTCGGTTTGAGCACGTCGATTCCGTCAGCAGTGTGATATCGCTTCTCGAAACGTCTTCCGGATTGAGACGGTTCGGCAGAGTCGTCTGGAGTGATGAGGAGGGTCGGAGAATCCCTGCAGGGCGGAGTGTTGTTCGTGACCGGAGAGTCCATTTCTGCCGGTGTTCCCGTCTCTTTTCTTGAGAGTGACGGGCTTCTTGACCTTTGTTTCAATCCTTCAATGTCTGGACCGGACGAATTGGATCTACTGCGGGGCCGTTCGATTTCTGAGGTTTCTGCTCCCAGAGACACATAGAGATCCACAGAGCTTTTGCTAGACGAAAGAGGATTGGCGTGGCAGCTGGCGACGCTCAGTTTATGGCGGGGAGGGACGCACTTGGAGCCGTCGGATCCATTGTGACGGTCGAGTTGTTCGGTCGAGCAAACGGCCGAACTTCGGTGCATATCTGAAAACGACAAACGTCAAATACGGTAGCTGTTTTTTTGTATAAACTCACAGTTGAGATGAGCATGGGCGGCGACTGCCTGGGAATCCATGCTGCTGCACTTTCTGTGAATGACTGGGATGTGTTGCTGAACATATCCACTCGGCATGATTCTAGGAGCACACAGCGTTGTCGGCTCCACGAAGAAGCCTCTTCCGTACTCGTCCAAAGGAGATCCCTGCTCTTTTTGACCCCACGAACTCATATGAATCTTTTGGAAATCTTCGACGGCCACCTTTAGCATATCAGTCCATCGGAGTGTTTCATCGGGACTGGAAGTGTGCATAGAGTAGAGGGAAGCGGCAGAGTGGAAGTCGGTTAAAGTGACCAGGTAGAATCCGCAATGGTCGGGAAAGTAATGGAAAACCACTTTGCCGAGATGGATGGGCGGACGGACAATCTTCAGACGATCTTTCTTTCCTTGAACTTTCCGGCAGATGAGGAACATGTCAGTGAATATCATGCAGTGCACATCCACTTTCGATCCCTTCTTTCCTTCCTGCATCCGGAGGTCTCCTCTATGGTAAATCTCGCGAACCGTAGGCGTCCGTGGATGGAGGAGTGGCATAAACTCGCCGAGAATCAGTGGCAACTTCAGCCCGAGCAGTTTGTCCAGTTCGTCGAGATCCACAAACTCCGGCCCTTCTATCGTCCTCATGATGTCTCCGAGTTTTGCCCTCAAATCGTTATTGTTCATCTCCCAGTTGACCAACTGCGTCGCCTTTTCCGAACTTTCCTCCAAATTCCTCAACATTTCTCGTTCGCTTTCATCGGTTGTCACTTTGAGAAGGGCCTAAAAAGAAAATTGGGATAAAAGCAAAAGCAAATAGAATTAGCCAAGTGCGTCAGTGTTCTTTTTCTTGTCTAATGTCCCCGGGGACCGTGCTCACCTGCAGCAGAAGTCTGTATCGGGTGAGTCTTTGCATTGGCTGAGAGAGTGTGTCAATCAATTTTTGGCGGTCAAGGTTTTCCTGCGATTCAGCCCACTGAAAACATTACACTTGTGAATAAGTCCATAAGTTTCTCTCACCGTCACGAATTCCCTGAACTGCTCGTTGTCCTTCAACCTCTTCTGAATATGCTTGAGTGATTCCTGGTATGCCAGATGGAAGGTTATGTAGCATCTTGACCAGTTCTCAATGCCATGGAATCCCGCGGAAAGGAACTTGACATCCAACGGCTCTCCGGTGTTTCTCGAGTGATTCAGCAGGGGCTCAATGGACTGAAGCCAAAGATAATCATAGTTGACGTTGCGTAATTAACGAAATTGTAGAAGACAAAACGGTTTTCTACGTCTCTGTAAAAATTGAATAATATGGTTGTGATCGCAAAAGTGACACTTACTTGAGGAACCCGTTATTCTGAAGACTCGTGAGATAAAAGGAGAGGTCGGTGAGGTAACGGAGCAGTTTGATGTAGCGATGCTCCGTGGCGACGATCTCCCAAATCGCCTCCTGCTGCTTGATTCTCTTCTCCGAAAGATTCTGATAATCCTTGACAATTTCTCGCCAATCTTTCTCCAGCTTGTAGCCTTGATTTTCGAGTTCTGTCTCTTCCTTCAGTTGATTCAGAATTCGGATCATTTCGTTCTTCTCTTTCCCGAAGAACAACGATATTCTGGAGGAAGTGACCGAACGGGCTCTTCTCGTTCCTCCGTCGTCGGGAATTTCGGAGCACGACGGTTCGTCGTACTGCCAAGCGTCACGAACACTGGAAAAAGGCAACATTTGAGGTGAGAAGGGGTAAAGAAAGAGAAAGTGAGACCGCGTGACTAGTTCGTTAGACTTATGGAATCAAAAGTGTGGGAACTCTCTCTCTCTCTCTCTCCGAGAGTGAATGACTTGATAATTGGTTCTCCGGATTAGAGTGTAAATGTAGTTCTTTTACCTCAGAGAGCTGTCGTTGCTCCGGCACTCGGCGTCATCACTTCCATTCAGCCCGGGATGATTCCGTGAGCCGCGGTTCAACTGCAAAAATAGAAAGTTAAATTTAGTAGCCCTGACCGGAAGAAACTCACAATGCGACTGTTGACGAACGACGACTTTCTGGAGACGGCTTCGGCGCTCATCTTGCGTGTCGCCCTTTCGTTGCTCTCGTCCATACTGTGCGCCGCCCGCGTGTGCCTCACCACTTTCATGTTTCCACGTCCTGCAAAACTTTGGATGGATGTGTGTGTGTGTGGAGCGTCACAATGCTGTAATCATCTTGGACGATGCGCGACCTTTGCGAAACGAAAACCATAATTATAGGTGTCTCTCTCTCTCTCTCTCTGCCTCTATTTCTCGAGTTAATGGGGGAAAACCCTGAAGAATTCCACTTCACAGGTAATTCTCACAAGTTGAAAAAATTGGTTCTAGCACAAAAGTGAATAGAATGAGAAGATTTGTTTTCTTACAAGTGCAAGCAGAACGGCGAATGAGGCGATTCTGCTCCCAGCTGGTGTCAATTCAAAAATGGAGCCAAAAATGGAAACAGAGCGAAAAGGGCCCGGAAGTACTCTTTTATATATCACATTAATAATGGAAGAGATCTTGGGAAGGGAAATTGTGGGAATGACACACATTTGTTGGAAACTGCGAAGAGCAGCATTGCTACAGTATGAACGAGCAGTTAATCAGCTTAGAAGGAAGGAGAGTGTGAATGGGATTGCGTGCCGAAGGACAATATCCACTTGATTTGGAAGGAGGTGGAGCCAGCGGGAGCATAAATCTGAAGAAGTGGACGCTCGAGGGACGAACCTCCTCTTTTCTTCCGTTTTTTATTCGGTTTCTTGGGACCAAATAAATAAATTTCGGAAAATATTTATGAGCCTAGAGGGCCTTGCCGAACTTTCAGAAGTGATTGAATTCCGAGAAGAGAGCGAGGTTCGGAGGATGACGTCGTCAGTCCGAGTTCCCCACTAAAACATGAAATATTCCATTTGGATGGCTGGCTGCCGTTTTGCAAAACGGAATATCTAATCAGACCTCCGTAATGTGACCCTTCGCTGCCCTTTTTCTTTTTCCTTGCACAAATACACAAAAAAACAATTGAGAATGTGAGTGGGCGGATGGCAAGTAGTCCCCCCCCCTGGAACGAGCAGTCAAAATAAGCTAAGACGTTGTATGTGTGTGTGAGTTGATTGGCTGAACGCCAGTAGCAGGAGCAAAAGAAAAGGAAAGCAAGACAAAGGCGAAACGCAAATTGGACCCGTGGAGCCTTTGGTTAGTTTGGGTTTTCCCCTGCTGACGTGGCAGGCACACACACACATACAGACATATGAGTATAACTTGAGAGCTACTAAGAATGACTAGGCGGCGCACACGAGGCGCGGGGTGTCATCGGCTATTTGTATCATCAAATTGGACAGATTTCGAGACTCAATTAATGTTTTGCTCGGTGAGCCGCCCGTGCGTGCTCCTGAAAAGGGATATCTTTCGTCCGTCCGCGTCTGCCTCTTCTCCGCGCGTCTGTCTACATCTATGACTCAAAAGTTTTACGACGACGACTACGACGAAGAAGTGTCGCCAGGAAGGCTTGGAAACTAGTGGTGGGGGCTCAGGCGTATTCTACGTCAGAGCAAAAAGATGAAAAGGGGAAGACCGCCTCCGATGGGAGGGCTGCTCAAAAAAGAGCTCGCACCGGAGGGAGGGGAGGCCTTCATTTAACGAACTCCGATTGGACTTTCTGGAAGGCAGAGAAATTAAATTAGGATTGGGACGACGGAGACAAAGCGACGACGAGCGGTAATCAGGGTCTATCGAAGGGAAAGAGCTGAGGGGGAGTCTCCCAATGGAACACTCGGGGATCAGGGTGCACGGGAACTTGGGCCAGACACAGGCATTGTGACGAAAGGAGCGGATTATGACGTGGAGGCCCTTCAATAATATTCACATAACTAAGAAAAGATGGTGAATGAGAGCAGCTAAAACAATACGTTTTGAAATTCCGTCACAGTCAATGAGAATGTCAGAATGAGCTCTCGATTCGTGACATTATTCCCGTGGAGAATCGAGCTCCACCCTTTTTCGCTCCGAAAATACACCTTTTGCGTGAGAAATCTGCCCGAAATAGCCCGATTCTCTGATTTCCATGTCATCAACGAGTAAAATGTGATAAATTGCTTCGATGACGTGGAATCCAAACGACGATTCCATTTCGGAAGCGAATGGCTGCATTTTGTGGTGCGAACTCACTGCTCTTGGCCGCTTGCAACCCTTTCTCCAACTTTTCCATTCTCTCCGTTCTATCCGACGCGACGACGTGGATCCATTCGTTCGGCAGAAAGCAGTACGTCGACGGGCTCAAGTGAGACGGAAGAAGCGAGTAATGAATAAATTCATGACGGTCCTCTCCTTCTCGTTTTTGTGCGGCGCGATAGGGAGGAGAGACTGCGAGCGGCGGCGGCACGAAGACAAGATTTCCAAAGTCGTTGGGAAACGATGGGGGCGGAGTCACGGGCGCCGTCGCTTTTCCTTTTTGGATTAATCAGATGAGTGTGTTTTTAAGCTGATCGGGAAGCAAACGCATAAGGGACGAGAGAAGGGAAAGCAGGAGTGAAAGCAGTAAGACGAAAAAGGGACCGCGCACTTTGGTGGAACTGTGGAGCTGAGAAGCTGGGGTCCACCACAGAGAGTTCAGATAAAGCGATGTCAATTACTGTCATTTTCTTTTCCTAGTATCATCTTGCAACAGAATCAAGAAGTGAGTCCCCCTGCCTGTCTTAGATATTTGGCGTCGTCTCAGAAGAATCTGTTCAAACAACCAGATCAGTTCTCAAGAGCAAGAACATCCAGTTGTACAATCTCGTTTCGCCTTTCTTCTGATTGAACGGAATTGGAAAACGAGAAGAGAGAACCAATCAAAGGGTTTCCGAAACAGTTTAATGATCATTGGAATGCCTGCCGTAATCCTTCGCCGTCCCTTTCTATAATCCGCATAGGCCGATTTTGAAAAGTTCTTCGGTTCTGGTAGACTCTTTTCCTGGGTATGTTCGCAAAGATTTTTGCGGATAGGGGAACGAATGATATCCAAATTTGGCACACGTCAGAAAAATGTGTGTGAGTGAGACGGATTTTGTAGCCCAATTCGGGCCCAATTGAGATATGATCAAAAACAAATACGATTCAGAAGAAGAAGAAGAAGAAGACGTGGAGACGGCTTTAGAAAGGAACGGCATCAGGTTAGTGGTCATTAGGGGGGAAAAGAAGTGAATAGGAATCACACGTGCGCGAGATTAGAAGCATGTGATAGAGAGGCAGAAGACGAACGAGGAAAATTCATAAAAGATAAATATTATGTGTGTCTTGTTTTTTGAGTCTTACGTATAAAAAAGGAAAAAACACACACCGATTGGATTAAGGATTGTGAAGTGGAGCAGCGGCGGAGGATCAAGAATTGATAGCGACCATGAAACATTAACAGTGTCAATGAGAGTAATCCGAGATGCGGAACTGATTTTTAGCTTAGAACAGGGTGAGGAAGTGAGGGGAATGCTCCGAAAACTGCTACATTGGGCAACTTTACTATTTTTGGAGAGATAAGATAAGGAAAAAGTAAATAAAGGGAGCGATGATTCAGAGTTCTGACCTAGTTTTTAAAGTTTTACCTCACAGAGAATCATGAGAAGTTATGATGTGTCCCAATCGGAAATCTTGATCCCTTACAAGTGGATTCTGGCCTTCCGGTCAGGAAATCCGATCGTTTCCCTTTCATTCTTGGCTCCACCGATTCGCACAACAAAAAGAGCCAGTTTTTGTGAGAAGCAAAGGTTCAGAACGCATCCAACACGTAATGTGTACATATTTACACCTGCGAGCCGTGTTTGCTCTTCAAAAATATTTGGGTTATGTGGGAGGGGGAGGAGGAACACAGCGGCGATTCAATTTGTGATACTACAACTGATAGAGATTTCTGGCGTGGCGGATAAACAAACGGAGACGTACCTCGGACGAAGATCTTGTGGCCGGCCAGGTAACGGGCTTCCGCGTTCTCCGGGATCGCCGTCGAGCTCTTCTCGAGAAAGAATTCGACGTCATTGACAGTCAGGCCACGGATACGGAGGTATGCTGGAATAGATCGGAATGATTCTCAGGGAAGTTTCAAAGAAGAACTCACGCTCGAAAGCTTCAAACAGTCTCTGATGATAGTCGAACCCAATGTGCTCCACGGAGTCATCGATATCCTTGAAGATTGCGATGAAGTAGTTCACGGACGGTTCGATGTCGATGTTATGGATTCGGTTCTGAAACTAATAAATTGTTCACTGAGCTACCCTCTTTTTTCCTTCTACGCTCTCTGGCAGTACCTTACACTTGGCCGAATGGGACCTTATTCGGATGGTCGCTTCGTTTTGAGCGCGTTCCCGATGGAACGACGACTGTTTTCGGACACTCGGCATTCGTCATGCGACGGGGAGAAAAGAGACTGGAACGATTCCAGAAAATGATGGGTCGGAGTCAATTTAAGAATTAGGAAGACTTTGGGAGACGGGAATTGGAAATAAGTACAGTGGAAAAAGAGGAGAAGGAGAAGGAGAAGAAAGAGAGAATGGGCGAATTGGTGTCAAAGTCATTTGATAAGAAGAAAGATGATTCAAGAAAGATTTGTACTTTCGAAATCTGTCTCTTCTCCTCCGCTCTGCTGCCTTTTATTCAATATTTCCCTGCAGAAAACATCCAACGCCACATGCCAAAGGGAAATAAACATTGGAAAACGAAGAGAGGCTGGAACAGAAAAGAAAACACATATCTCTTGTGCGTGCCTGATCTCAAAAAGGGTCTGATGACACCTCGACCGCACAAGAAGGCGGCGGCGAAGAGAATGAAAAGGAAGACGACGTGAAAGAGAATTGATAAGCGCCCCGTGCGTCCGATTGTTACAACAGTTCTGTTCTGCAACAAGATAGGTGGGAGATTGCCCAAATATTTCAGTCATTTTCAGCGTTCTCTTCTCAATTTCTCAACCGGTTCACAACAACTTGGGATCTTTCCGCATTCGATTCAAAACAATTAGCTGATGTTGAAAGATGACACGTGGAAATGGAGATGTCTGGATCGTGTTGACTAGTCATATGTAATCAGGTTCTTTCCGGGTTATGAAAGAGACCAAGGACTGAAAAGGGGGGGTCAAAGGAGAGGATAGAACTGGCATGTGACGGATATGTGTGTGCGGGGCGAAAGCGAGGCATTGAACACTTCAAGTACCATCATCATCTTCCCTTTATCCATCTCGGTTTCTTTCAATTTTCCTGATTCCCAAATTCCTTCTCGAATTTTCTATATTTAGTCAAAAACCATTTCGAAGATAAAATCTTCCAAAGTTAGTTAAACATCATCTTTTCGCGGTCTTCCTCTTGCCAAAAAAGCGCAAATTGATGGACCTAAAATGTGACTCTTGGGGATGGAACCGGACGATTTATGAACACGAATCGGTCGAAGGAATACTTGATAAGAAAGGGAGGAAAGTTTAGGTTTTTGCAAGGGAACTGGAGTATTTGACAAGTGTTCACAAACACACCTTCAATATGGAGTTGGTGTGTCGTGTTTACAGTCATTCTTTGAAAACCCTACAGTACTTGTCCATGACAAACTTTTTTCAAAGAATTTTAAGGTAGAAGCCATCCGAATTCCCATTCTGCCAGTATTCCTAACCAAAATCAACTCACATCGACCATTCCGATGGCGCTCCGTTCTCGATGGTGGTGCTCATTGGTCCAGTCGTTGTGCAGGGAGGGTCTGCGGCTGCGAGCGTGTCCCACACTGCTGCTCATCTCGTCGATCGTCGGCGGGATCGATGGCAGCGACGGTCTTCGGCAAGTGCGACGTTTCTCGCTGACGAGACTGCTGAAAACAATGAAAATGGGTTTTTTTGCTCTCGGTTCATTTACGAAAAGAATTTTTTTATGAATAGAAACGGCCGAAGTGAAAGTCAAAAAAATCTGTGAAATCTGTAGTGTTTTTGAAGTCCAAATCTCGTCGCAATGCTACAGCAAAAAAGGGTGCGCACAGCTGAAACGAATGTCACCGTATACCATAAAACTACGGTATTTTTTGAAAATTTACCCAAGAAATTTTAATATTTTCAAATATTCTCACGAAATTTAAACGTTTTCATGGCACGCAATATTTGCATTTCTTGCCCCCCATTTCATCTTTTTCGGTTTTTCTCTCATCAAATCAGATGGCACAGAAAAAGACGGAAAAGGAAAGGAAAGGGAGGCATGACGCGGCGCCGAGTGAAATCCGGAACGGAAACCGACGCACAATGGTACTAAATCGTGGGAAAAGGGCAAAAAGTTTGAAGAGGAAAAAGACAGGAACATGCACACAAATAGGAAGACAAAAGACAAGAACAATAACTTTTCATCAGAAACTTTCATTTGGGAAAACTTTTTATAGGCCAGAAATCGCTGTTTTTCCCACTTTTCAGAAGTTGTAAGTTCTTCCACAGTACCTAATCAATTGCTAAATGACGTGGGAAAAGCCACGTGCCTTCTGATGGGATTAAGAGCGGAAGCACTCGGATTAGGGGAAAGTTTGTCGTTTTCCTTTTCTGGCTCACCTGCTCGACTGATTTCTGCGAAACATACTCTTCCGCTTACGTTGGATACTTTCCAACAACTTGAAGGGCGAAGAATGGCTCGAGGATGGCTGCTCGTCCGTCGGTGAACCGAACGTCGACGAAAAGGCAGACGGTGGAGCAGTGGTGCCACCGAAGAAAACCGAATCGTCGCGGTCAAAGTGTCGCGGCGAGACGGGCGGCTCTTCTCTAATCGAATCGAGATCGACAAAGGCCGGACAAGCGGTGGCGGCGAGCAACGTCGTCGCCCCATTATAGCACAATCTCATCGCCGTCGAAGTAGCAGAAGCAGGGGAAGAAGACGTCGCCAGACCGCCGGAAGAGAAGGCAGACGTGGAGGGGAAGTCGTCGGGGGGGCAGGCTGACAGCGAGAACATCAAGGTCGAATGTTCCTCCTCTTGGTGGTGGAGCCCCGATCGGGAAACGGGCACGACGCGGGAGAGACCAATGAAAAGTGGGCGGAGCTTGTGTCTCTCTCTGGTGTCTCTCCCGGAAAGACGAGAAAAACGGGGAAAACTGCTGCGCCTCCTGATAGAAACCCCCGTCGCACTTCCACTCTTTTGACCGACTAAGAAATGGAAGAGGAAGAAGATATTTTTTGGGGTGGAGGGTCGAGGTTGTTGTGTTGTTGCATGATGCCAAACGAAACCAAAATAGATGAGCGGAACGAACGAATTCGTGAAAGGCAATGAAATTTCGGACGATCAAAAGATTGTCACTTTCGACATTGTCGCGTTCGAAAGGAATTCCATTAGGTTGTGAAATTGAATCGTTTATTCTCGAGCTCAAGCTTTCTAACATAACTTCTGCTGATTTATCAGCCTATGATGTCAGAAAAACTTTTAGCAGTTTTCCAACAAATAACAAAAGAACAAAGAGCAGGTATATGAATGAAAAGGGCCGTGGTTGACTCGAAGCAGAGTGCCATTGACATTCATGAATGACAATCAGAATGCCCTTCGGCTCAATTGTGCCACGTCATCAAACAGCAATTTCTCATGTTGCCCCGGGCCAACAACCACGGTTTCGTCAGTGTTCTCAAAACAAAACAGTCTTTGTGGAAGAGTCTTATCTTCTGCTCAAACACCACAAAGTGAAGGACCGTCGGGCAGACGAAGGACCGTTCATTAGGAATTCATAAGAAGGCAAACGGGCCGTGTAATTGGTCTCCGTCTCGTTCGCCTCCTCCTTCTTCTTCCTCTTCTTCTGTTCACCCTTCATTCATAAATCCGATCCTTTGGGTAAGAGTCAACTGTCGAGAGACGAATGAAATGGAGGTCACGCACGAAACCCTAATTATGATGACGAGGGACGGTTTAGCTCTTCCTGCTGGCTGCAGCTTCTGCATAAAAAGAGAAGAGGCCGCCCTTAAAAGCCAACCGGGAATTGGATTTCGAACAGCAGAACACATGGACGGACCAAAAAGAAAAGGAAAAACAAGCGAGAAGTAGTAAGATTTGAGCTCTACTGATTTCTGGTGGTCAGAGACGGAACACATCTCATGGGAACACACGAAAGACTACGAAGGAGCACACGAAAAACACGTCATCTGTCATTAAAGGCGTCCATGCGAAACGCCACAAAAAAAGTACGGTATGGCGTCTTATGAGCTTTAAAGAATGACGTTCAGTTTGAGTACCACAAAATATTGGAAAGTGGTGGAAGAAGAAAACCGCGAGAAATCGATGAAAGTCACGAGCACATAATTGAGCAAGATCGTGGGAAAAGTGGGGAAAAGTTTTGCATCGAAAGGGAAGCGAGGAGAATGAAGTGGAATTCAGTCGAGAGAAAGAGATCACGACGGGCTGATGTCGTCGTCGTCGTCGTCGTCAAAAGTCGTCAAAATTTGCGCATTTCGTATGCGGAAAGCCCTGGTCGCCGGTGAGCGTTGCGATGCGGTGTGGTGCGGAATATGCGCGGCCCCCTCGACGATCGTTATCTCTTCTTCTCGCCTTCTTCTCTTAACTATGTATTGTTCAGGACGCGCGTCCACGCAGGAGCGAATTTTGGAAATCCGGATTTTATCAGATTGTTTATAGGTATGTCTCTCTCTCTCTCTCTCTCTCTCTCTCTCTCCTCACTCCTGGATTGCGCAGAAGCAGCAGCGGCGGAAGGAAGGAAGGAGAAGGTCTATTTCGGAAATTTGGAACGAATGTATATATTTGAGATCTTCTTCCCAAACGTTGTTCATTTCTTTCCGTTTTGCAGGTGTGGATTGGGAAAGTGAAAGTAGATATTAGATAAGTGAAAGAGAGGGCATTCCGGAAGAGAAACAGAGAAGCATGGCGGGATGCAATCTTAGGACGTGGCATGGAAAAACCGAGGAAAGGAGCGGAGCACCTTCTAGTGAGGATCACGGGGAAAATAGGAGAGAGAGAGGAGGCGATGAGAGGACAGAAGCAGGCAGAAGGAGTACAAAACGGGGTTCTCGGAATCATCAGGCTCTCGTGAGTCATTCTCAATTCTGGGTCAATGATGTTATGAACCGGTGAAAACTTTGTATCTTCAGAGCTTTGGTTTAACAGAATTAGTTCCTAGGAACATATTTTCAGCCCAATCCGTCGTCTATGAGCAAATCTAGCTGTTAATCTCCCGAAATCATAATTCTTCCTCGCCGCTTGCTAATGATCGCAAAGATTGATCAGCTGGTGCCGCGCGAAACGGCATGTCATGTCAGGTCGGAGACGCGTGCGGGAGGTCGAGAAGTGCCTAGGTAATTGCCGATTTGGAGAGAGGAGACACCTCAATTAGTGTTGCGTGGATGATGCGCGAAAAAATGAAGGAACCGGAATACAAAAAGAGCAGAGCGAACATGGAAAGACCGACGAATCGCGGAAACTGTCGTCGACGGCAATTAAGGAGCGAAAGGAAGCCAAGGTAACTTGTGTTGTTTGTTTCTCAGAACGCAGAGGAGAAAAAAAAAAAAAAACGATGGGTGACAGTAATTATATTAGAAGAGAAAAGAAGAAGGGGAAGAAGAAGCGGCGGGCAGGAAATGAATGAGGATGTTAGTAGCCGGAAGGAATGATTGGAGGGCGAAAAGTACAGCATGAAAGGGGCAAAAAGTGAAGAAGGAGAAATGGCCATTCATTCTGTACTACTGTCTCTATGCGATTTGATCAACGGCACGCAACATTGCACACCAATCTGGATTCGACTGCCAAAACTATTGGCCCAAAAGGCGTTTATTTTCAACAAGGTTGCAAGCGCGCTCTGTTAGACTTAAAAATGTGAGGGATACTGTACAATTTGAGAAGTGAGCAGAATGTAATGAACTTACGTGTTAAAAGTCGCAGAATCTCCAGATGCAGTCAAACGCTTGAAGTCCTGAAAGCAAATCAATAACTGTAGAAGAGAAAGACAACGGAAAAATGAAAGCTGCGAATTGTGAACAGGTCACATTAAAATGAAGTGCCGCCTAAAGAGAAGAAGACTTGATGGGGAGACAGAAATGGAATCAGAATCAGAATAGAATAGGCTGGGAAACAGAATTGCGTGGGAAGAAGAAGAGGACATGACGTGGCAAGTAACGGACGGATGAGAAGGAAAAGAAGACGAAAAAGAAGCTGGTTCTCAAGTGCATACAGGGAGTAGCCGCTACTTGAGGTACAAATACAGTAATTCATTCCAAACACTTGAAGAAAAGGGAGTAGGGAAACTACCTGATTCTCATTATCATTATGTTGTAGAGGTGAAACCGGAATGGAAAAGGAAAAAGAAGTGAAGAAGAAGAAGAAGAAGAAGAAGAAGCTGTAAGAGAGCGATCAGTGGGTTATCGCTTTCAGGGTCTCGAAGAAGATGCTGACACGGTGTCGTAAACACTGTACGTAATGAAATGAATGAATGAACAAGAGAATGAGAAGAAGAAGAAGAGAAGTGTTATTACGCACACAAGGAATTTGAATAATTATTACGCAGCCTCCTCCTCCTCCCCCCTGCGCCCCTTCAGCTACCGTTTGTTGTCATCTTCTGAATATCGGGGCCAAGTTTAGTTTCACTTGTGGGTGAGACGCAGGGGTGCATACGGGATGGCCGCGATAATTAGTTTTGCGCCAGGAGGCGTGCAGCCTGCCTGTCCGTCTCCATGCCTTCCGATGAAGTTCTCATTCCCGGGGACCCGGCGGCGCGGCACGTCTTCCGCCCGCGGGTAAACATTTGGCGAGAAACGGGCCGAAGGATGTGTGTCAAACGTGTTTATATAACCGTTCGCCCCCCGGCCGGATGAGATGAACAGAGGGCAGAAATATGATGGACACCAGAAGCATGTCAGAGAGGGTAACGAGCTGTGACCGGTAGAGTAGGTCAACAAGAAGGGGCAGCCGTTTTTGGTTGCGATAGAGTTCCTCGGAATTCGTCGTGTCAGAAAGATCATGAAACTTGTGACGCAAACGGAATAGATAGAAACTACAAAAAACTGAAAATAGCGGCGGACAGAACGAGGAGCTCTGACGTTCAGAAGACTTCCGAGGAAACTCATCTTGCGAACTTGAGAACAGGAAGCAAAAGCAAAAGATCTGATGCTCATCTGCTCGCACTCGAAGCTCCAAAGAAACAGACATGCCTGCTCTGCCTGCTCCCTGGAACCGGCCCGACGGCGCCTGATCCGAGTGTGCATGCAACCAAGGGACGAAGTTTGGAGGCGCGAAACGAAAAACATGATCGGATGACACCGCGCGGGGGACACAAAAAATGAAAAGGTGCGCGCCCGCGCGGAGGCATCTCTTTCGCGCACCGGCGAGCCGTCCATCACTTGCCGCAGCCGCGATGATGATGCGCTCGTGTTTCGATATGAAATAACAATTGAATGGTGCGAGTGAGAGAGAGAGAGAGAGACCGGTCTCTCTCTCTCTCCGGCAGAGGATCGGACGGCAGATTCGTCGAACTGTTGAGGGAAATCAAGGAGAAGCAGCAGGAGGAGTAGGAGGAGGAGGCGCGTGAAGAGAGAAGAAAGAGAAGAAGTTTCGGGAGACAATGGACGACGGCTAACTGCCTACTGTTTGTAACTGGATAGTCGGGATGGAATGGATGAATGGCACCATCCATCTGGTTTTCCCTCCACGTCAGGACTCGTGTGCTGAGGACTTTTTGTGCCGCGAAGATTTACGCGTACTGCATTTGCAACAGTTCCCTCATTCACTTTTCCGTATTAGCCGCCAACTAGTCACCATCATTTCCATTTCAATCTGACCTAAAAAATAAAACGCCAACCAAACCTGACCGCCGGTTTTTACAGCCAGCTAATCCGAAAGAACAGTGTTCCCCCCGTCTATTCTATCCCTTCATCTGATGAATTGAAAAATAAGAGAGAGAGAGAGAGAGAAAAAGAAGATTGTGGACCGAGTTATTACAAACTTCCAGTTTTTCATCAAAACGATTAAAAAAGTTGCACACACGTGGTGGTGTAGGTTGATGATGCTGGCGATGGAGGAAAAACGAGAGAAATGAGAGGATGTGTTATTATAAAAAAGCGTTGGGAAAAGGGTAACGAAACGGGGGGACGTTGTCGATTCATCCGGAGAAGGCACTTTAGACCGTCAGGCAACCTACAGAAGGGCTCCCCGCCCCCCGTTTGAAGGTTGTCAAAACAATAGGAGATGGTGATGACGCGGCAGAAACACACGTACAATGGGAAAGGAGACTGTGCGGAATGGCGGTGGCTGCGGGAACCGACGGATCAACTGGTTGCATACACAAAATGGCTCGGATTACCGAACGGCGCAACGGCTCCGAGAGTGAATGGACGTGTGTGTGTCTGTGTGTATATTTGACTGCTGCTGCTGAGTTAAGAGAAGTAGGTGAATGAGAGGAATGTTGGACTGGTAATGAGATTGAAGAGTCGGGGACTGAGTAGTTTGAAGCGTCCACATCATGAATGACTGCATTCGAACAGAACACGACTATAAAATATGCGAATAAAACTTTGGAATAGGGCACCGGAAACCAAAATGGCATCTTGATACAAAACAGGAAGAGTTTATAGGCGAAAGGTGTAAGTTGCATTGAAGTTTGCCGCCAAAGGTGAGAGCACAACAAACTCTTCTCAACACAGTAAAAAGCAATATATGAAGGCGTTTTTTCATTCCATTTGTAACTACAGAAACTCATTCTTTCAGGTAATTAGAAACCAAATTTCTTTCAAAAGTCACAAAAGGATGGGAAACGTTCGCAGCTTATACAAAGCAAAGGTGAATAGTGCAATAGGGGGCGAGACGGGCGGACTGCCGGGTGTCTTGTTTGCCTTAAATGGTGGGGTGTTGTCGAGTTTGGTCTGTTTGGCGGAACGGCCGAAAGAGAGAAGCAGACAGGAGAGAGAGAGAGAGAGCATGTGCTCCGAGTGCAACCAACAGGGTCAGACCACCCGTGTCTTATCACTTACTTAATTCGGACATGGGATTGATTCGCATTTGCTCGTTTGTAATATACACTTTTATTCACATATGCAAGGCAATAGACAACAGAACAGAGAGACTGGAACCGTAATGGTATTTACAAGGCACCTGGAAGAATCAGGCGAGAGGGAGCTCTTGTGACCAGTGGCGGGATGATGAGAAATGGCACACAAGTGTCGGGCGAGGCAGGAGATGGACAACTAGAACGAAAATGATAATAATGATGATGGATGAGTGTTCTCGGAGCGCGGAGCTCGGAGCACTTTTAATGAGCCCATCCGCACGAGCGTTTGACGGCTTCTTTCCAACGGGCGAGTTCTGCCGAGCGCCAGTTCTCGTTCATTTGAGGGGTGTAACGGACGGCCTGAAAACAAGAATTTGAGATATTAGTTCTTAGATTATCCAGAAGTTACCTCGCTGGACTGCGAGAGGAACTCGTCCAAACTGATCTGCTGTGCTCCGATTCCTCCGGCCACCGCTGCTCCCCATCCGGAAATCTCCGTAATCTTCGGAGTAACAATGTCTCTTCCCATGATGTCTGCCTGGATTTCATTGAACAGTCCATTCGCAATCATTCCTCCATCCACTTTCAGAGTTGTCACCTTCGTGGTCCCCTCCAGATCGTGCTCCACTGCTGCGATCATCTCGGCACTTTGGAAAGCGACAGCTCGAAGAGCAGCCAGGCAAATGTGCTCCCGCTGGCTGACCTGGGTCAATCCAAGAATGGTTCCACGAGCCGTCGAGTCCCAATACGGAGTGTAGAGGCCGGTGAAGGAAGGGACGAAGAAGACTCCGGCGGTGTCCTCGACGGACCGGCAGAGTCCTTCCATCTCCTTCGCATCCTTGATAAACTTGAAGTTGTCACGAAGGAATCGAACGACGTTTCCTCCGATGGAACCAGATCCTTCAAGTGCGTACACGACCGGAGAGTCTGCTCCAAACTGGAAGCCGACGGTGGTGAGCAGTCCGTTCTTCGAGATGATAGGACGAGTTCCGATGTTGCAGAGCATGAAGGTGCCAGTTCCGTAGGTGTTCTTCGTCTGCCCGGCATTCAAGCACTGATGTCCAACCATGGCAGACTGCTGATCTCCAAGACATCCAGAGAGTGGAACGCCCTCCAGCGGACCCTTCCCAAAGTATCCATACACTTCCGCGCTGGATTTAATTTCCGGGAGAATCTCGATTGGAAGATTGAAGAACTCGCAGAGCTGAGTCGACCATTTTCTCTTGTGAAGATCCAAAAGAAGGGTTCTGGAAGCGTTGGAAACGTCTGTGACATAGGCTCCAGTAAGCTTCCAGATGAGCCACGTGTCGACTGTTCCGAACATGAGATTGCCGGCCTCATAGGTCTTCATTATTTCCGGAACGTTTTCGAAGAGCCATTTCAGTTTGAGAGCACTGAAGTACGGATGAATCGGAAGGCCCGTCTTCACCTTGAACTCGTCTTTGTCTCTGAAAAAAGCAATAATGTTATGAAAGAAGTCTCGGTGCTGACTTGGAAGCAGTTCTCGAAATGGCTTCTTCAGCGAGAGCAGTGGTTCTGGTGTCGAGCCAGACGATCGCATTGAAGAGCGGCTTGCCGGTGGTCTTGTCCCAAACGATGCTGGTCTCTGAAACGATACAATAGTAGTCTACAGTGATCTTCGATGGGTACTGTACCTCTTTGATTGGCCACACCGACCGATTTGATTTCGTCGGCAGAAATTCCCAAGTTTTCGAGCTTCTCGATGGCCTTGTTGATGCACACAACGACCGTATCGTAGATCTCCATCGGGTCCATTTCGACCCATCCCGCTTCGGGGAATAGTTGACGGACTTCGATCTGAAATGACATCAATTGACGGGCGATCCGACGGGATTACTGTACCTGATGGCTGGTGACCAACTCTCCGGTGTCGGCCTCAAAGATCAGGAACCGGCTCGAGGAGGTGCCTTGATCGATTGCCGCCAAGAGAACCATTGTGTTATTGTGAGCTTGTTATCGGTTGATTCGGTGAAAGTGAGCGGTTTTGTGTCGGATGTTATTCGGGTGTTGTTTCTGTAGAAATTAAAAATGAGAATAAGAAGATCGAAATGACGTAGAGAAAATGGAATTTGACGGAAGAAAAGGTGGCGAGAATTTGCATACAGAAAGAAAGAAAAGCAGAGAACGAATCGGACAGGAAATGTAGAGAATCGGGTTTCTTGTTGTGGTTGTAATGAATAGAATGAGGATGACGTGGCGAATATGAATGGAGAGGTCATGCGATTACAGTTCTTAAAGAAAACTTTTTGAGATCAAACATTAAGACTGGAAATAGCCTCTGGGAGCATCGGAAACCGGCGGCTTCTTTCAGCTCCGACCATCTGAAATGATGGGATTCTTCGGAAAACCGCCGTTTATATAGAGACTCGGACATCAATCACGTGGTCAGAGAACGTGACATTCAAGACTTTCTAGAGGATTCGACCGGATGTTATCGTTTTGAGAAAATGAAAAACTTACAGAGAGGTTTCAAAATAAATGAAAAATGTAATAATTCGGGCGGAGAAGTCACCTTCGTCGATCGTCTTCGGCCGACTGACTGACGGACTGATACCGACAACAGCACCTATAAAAATCGGCGAGTGGGCGGGGCCAGAGCGTGTCTTCCATGTGATCGCCACACTTTTCCGGACACTGGACCCCGCCCCTTCAATCAGAGAACACAGGCGAAAAGTTATTGATTACGACGACGACGACGGCGATAAGAAATCACGACAACTGATGCCTTCAGAAGTGTACTTTTCACTTTGAACGCCTCATTTTTCGGTTCTCATTTAGTTCGGGTACAAGATACAAAAACACGAATGACTCGTGGCGTCGGACCCGAAATAGATTCAGGTTTTTGAGGCGAATCTTTGAAGATTCCAGACTTTTGAAGTTTGAGTTTCAAAGGTATTTGTCAAATTGCAAGATGTCAACAGTAAATATTATTGGGCAGGACGCAAGTAAAACAAAAAGAGATAGGATAGGTCATAAGGTTCTTGACTTATGGGAAACAATCGGGAGAAGTGGATGGACAGAGATCAAAAAGATTCGGGAATAGAGGAAATGAAGAGAAAGAATGCACGGGAACCTACCAGAGACCTTCCGTTTGTTTGTTATCAATAACAGATGGACCCTTTTGATAACATGATCAGAGTTCAGAATCCACAAGGAACACAAGACGGTCCTTCCCTTCTTTGTACTCTTGTTTCCATCGCCGCAGACACGTAATCGGTACAACGTACCCAAACACGACAAATTTGAGCAACTCTCCGACCGACGTCTGCATTCTTTCAGTGTGCTCCGAATCGGCCGATAACGGTGGGAAGAACGAGCAACAAACGTCCGTTAGATGCGGAAAGAAACGAGAGATGGTCGGTGCGTGTGTACCGGGCACTGATGGGTTGATATGTGATAAGAAGAGACAAGAAAAAGCGACGGGGACGTGGTGTAATGTCGAGGAAACTGGGGAAAAGATGAAAGATGGACGGGCTGAACGAACAGGGCCACGTGGGCGATCCAATTCTTCGAAAATTGAGGGAAACAATACAGATTTAGAGAAAACGAAAAGCGAAAACATAGAAAAAGATAGTTAACACAGTATTTGGCAGAAAGAACAGTCTAAATTTCTTTCAGTCTTTAACATGCCACGTCACACAAGACCACCCACTCTTCTCTCATTCGTCAACCCTTTCCCTCTTATCAATCGCTTTCTCATGTTCAACTGCTACAAAATGTTTGAATGTTTCACTTATTGTCCAAAGAACCCCAACCTGAAAACAAGATGTTAATGAAACTGCAAAATTCCGCCCGCTTCCATTTTCCCTTCTCGTTTTGCCTGAACCTGAAATCTGAAAACAGCGTCGGAATCCAATCGTTCGTCGTTTTGAAAGTGTTCAATGCTTCTATTTGACATTGATAAGAAAAGGAACTCGACAAAACAAGTGAGCCTTGATTTTTAAAATAGAAAGTACCGTAGTCCAGGAGAAGAGAAGGTCATCGTTGGCAACACCTGACCAGGACGACGATGACTTTTGAAAGTGTTCAATACTCGCACCGATTCACTTCTTTCTTTTTTTTTGAAAGAGAATGTGATAAGGGAGAGACAGGCACAGCTGACGGGTCGGGACCGACGATAACACACGAGGGATCGGGTTGACTGACGAACTTTTGAATTGACGTCATCTGTGGCAAGAGCTTCTTGTCATCATGACGTGGCTTATACTTGATGAGAAACGGAGAACTTGCAGAAACCTGTATGATCAGAAACTCAAAGATTAACCTTTTCTCTGAAAATGCATCAAAAGGACGAAACCTTCAAAGTTCTAGTTCCCCTTGCAAAATTGTGACGATCAATGCTTCATTCATTTTCTCCTGCCTTCCGATCTTTGATGAGCGTCTCAAAAGCAGGCGATCAGGGTTACTGTAGGTTCACGTGAAATGACGATTTCCCACGTGAACTCGGAAGTAGATTGAGAAAGAGCACGTGAAACGGAGAAATGGAGACAGTCCCAGGCTCCCGGACTTTGTACCTATTGTGTTTTTGGATGAAACCAGTCCCTGAAATCCATAAAGTCCCTTGGGAGACGGCTTGAAGAAGACCGAGAAAGAAAGTGCAGACGAGAGGAATCTGGCAGAATATCCGGTTTTTAATGAGCTCGCCTCGCCTGCAAGAGGATTTCCTTCATAAACACAACAATTTATTCGTATTCCCCGTGACATTGGTCATATGTATTCAAGAACTTGGACAAAATAGATTGACGGAAGTTGGGTTGAGCAGAAGAGAAATTTGAAAATGAAAGAAGCACAAGACGCTTCTCTAGACCATGTGCGGAATCTCGTCGTCGTCTTCGTCCTCGTCGTCGTCGTCGTCCGCATCCGTCGCGTGCTGATTTGAGATGACGAACGAGTCGGTCGTTTCTTTGCTTCCTCCGCTCGTGAACACCAGTTCGTTCGACAGCAGTCTTCGTGCGATCGCAATGGCGACGGCGTCGATTTCAGTTCCGATCTGACGAGACGAATCGCTGAAAGAGTGATCGATTGAGAGAAAAAGTGAAGTGTTCGTGATAAAAGAGGTGTTGTGAATGAAAAAGAAGAACCTAGGTGAGGAAAGAAGCGAGTTAGGAGGGAGATAGGATCATAAAGGAAGTAGTCAGAGAGAGAGAGAGAGAGACAGTTCTCATGCAGTCGGAGAGTTCCCTACTTTTGGTTTCTGGCTGAACCTACGACGTCGGTCTGATTGGGACCGAGCAACGAAAGAGCGCCCACTACCGCCAACGGCATGGATTGCCTGAAATTGAGCGTCACAGCTGCTAGATTCGAGATTCCATATTCAAGGAAAGTTGGGATCGAAATAGTTGGTTGGAAAGTAGATGAAAACTCACAAACTGCGGGTGACAGTCACATAGTCCTGCTTGCGAGGAGCACTGGCGCTGTGGCAGACGAGCGGTTTGATGGCCTCCCGAATCTCCTGATTGAACATGTAGTACACGAACAGACGCGTCGCGCAGACCAGGATGTACAGAACCGATGTGACGTCGGTGCATGTTTCGTAGAACTGAAATATGATAAAAGGTATTGCCACGTCATGAGAAATGTGAGTCTTACGGCATAAGCTTCTCCGGTCTGTGTAGATTGGAAGGCCACATATTCCCACAGAGTCACGCCGACATTCAGAATGTTAGCGAGCAGATACGAGAACACGATGCACACCATCAGAATAGTCGCCGAGCGGATTTTCGTCTGCAAACTTATGTTATTTTGGAGATCCAATAGATGCCTTACCTTGTGGTCACTGGAGAGAAATCGGAACATTTGAGCGGATCTCTGCTGCATTCTCAGAATCTTCACAATCTTGTAGTTGAGAATAGCCAGAAGAGCGAAAGGAACCAGGACAGTCATGATGTTTCTGAACGATCAACATAAAGAGAGGGAGCACAAACGAGACCTACCTTATGTAGAACCTGTAGACTGTTCCATACCAGAAGTCGTACACAATCGGCGACAAATTCAGATAATACTCGCTGATCTCTCCGATGCACTGCTCGTTCTGTTCGATCTGCATCTCGAATATGATCGGAGCACGAAGCAAAAGTGCAAGAATGAACATGCAGAAGGCGGAGAGGCCTCTGCACTGTCGGAACGTTCCCAAGCACTTTGCTCGGAGCGTGATCAGATATCTCTCGATGGTCGCCAAGATGATGAGGTAGCAGGAGAACGTCATCGACGTCTGACAGAGCGCCAGAAGCGGTCCCACGTACTGCAGATAGAGGTTCGTGAGCCATATTAGTTTCACACGGTCTTTGATGATATCCATTGCTATCACCGGGCCGTAGTTGAGTGAGAGAAAGCAGTCGGAAAGTGCGAGCAAGGCCAGGAAGTAGAAGTGAGTGTGTTTGGAGGCAAGCAGCACCTGAAAGAGTTCTTTAAAGTTGAAGATAGTGAGAGAATTCCAGAAGGATACCTTTGAAATGAGCATATTGGAGACAATGGATAGGACGGAAAGGGCGGTCCCGCACACGGCGACCAGGTACCACCGTCGGTCGAGACTTTCCACTGCACACGCTTCCGACACATTCATACTGAAACATGAGAACTATTTTTGTGGAGCAGTTGCAAGCGAGAAGGAGAGATATGCAGATCAGGCGTCTCTTGACCCCTCGTCGCATCAAACATCATTGGGTTTCCTCTTTCCTGGTGTGGAGAAAGAAAGAGAAAGAGAGAGAGAGAGAGAGAGAGAGAGAGAGAGAGAGTTGGTAGTAAAAAGAAGGAAAGGAAGCCAGATGGGGCAAATCAATCGGAAAAGTTGCAAGATGGCGTGAGAAGGGAATCCACTCCAGAAGGAGAATGCGATGAAGAATGGAAGAGGCCAAGGGCTCAAAGAGCTCTTTCTGCGACCGGATGACTCATTGAGTATTACCATGTCGAAGAGGTCGTGGCGCAGATCCGGAACTTTGCTCACTCTTCCATTCTGCGCCAGAATTTCAGACTTGTTTTGAGCCTCGGAAAGGTTTGGAAAGAGGAAGCAGAGGTGAGTGTGCAAATGTGTGTTTGGCGACATTTTTCAATTTCAGACTCTGGAAATTCGAGGCGCCGAACGGAAATTGGTGTGAAAACATGAACAGGAAATGAATGTGAAAAGAGGTTTTGGAGGTGAACACGAGCGTCGATCAATTGGCGACAAATGACTAGACGGACCAGGACCATAAAACGGAGAAAATGACAACCATAACACGATGAGGAGGGGGAAGAGAGAGAAAGAGAAAGAGCCGGAATACAGAATGAGATGAAATGTTTCATATTTGTGCTGGTTGGAAGGAAGGGCGGGGCGAGGAAACGAAAAGGAGTGAGAGATGGGTTCGAATCGAATCAGAGGGGATGAAAGAAGAGCGAGAAGACAGGAAGAGCACGGTGGCATGTGTCTGGGAAGGGTGACGTCGCTGTGAAAGGATCTTATGGTTCCGCGAATGTTGTCGCTGGATATCGTCATCGATCCTTTCTTTCAGCTGCTGATGATAATAATCAATTCGAAATCAACAGGTGTTCTGTCTACTTCTAGAGAAGCGAAAAGAGTTGAAAGAGCAACAACGGCAAGGAAAAAGGGAAGTCCAGTGGGTCTAGACGGGGCACCCACTCAGCCAGAAAGTTGAAAGTGACCTCCTGAAGAGGAGAGGAAGCTGATGATGAGTGCATAGTCACCTTTGACGTCCAGTCATTTGCATAAGTGGACAAAGATCGGATTGATGTCACTTTGCACCCGGAGAGAGTCTGTTCGGACCACGTCATGAAGTAAAGAGTATCAAAGGACCGGACAGAATCCCACCCGCTTTTTGTGTGGTTTGGCTCCGTGCATGACACAAAGGCAGTTTCCCACGAAATGACGAGTACATGGGAAACTGAAATTGCCGAAAGAAACATAACTGGCTTCAGTCGCCCGCGGCAACCGTACACAAATGCAAATGGGGGCTCCGCGGCGGAAAAACAAAAAGAGCAGGGCCCTTCCTTGTTTTCCGCATTGGTTTCATGCTCTACCGCCATGTTTTTAGACGTATTTTTAAAACAGTATGGAATAAATGAAAAGAGCGAGAAATTCAATTGTTTTGGGGTAAGAAGGTCAACAACATTTTGTTTGAAAACAACGAGAAGAGAGGTTCGCTAAGTGAAGATCAAAAAAGAATGATGCCGCCTGATTGATGTGTATTATGACAGAGAGAAAAGTAAACTTGGTACTTCTAGTGTTTGGGCGGAAGCGGGCCTTTGTGCTGCTTCTCGATGCAATTGAGGAAGACAAATGGCTGGAAGCCGCTGCTCTCTAATTCGATTCAATTGGATTGAAATCTGGAGAGACGGAGACGAGCGTACAGTCGAATGAATAATCCAGAAGCTGGATAATCCTCAGATTGGGATATTTAAGACATTTAAGTTGTTAAAAAGAGATAATGAATGCATGGACTCGATACCTACGCAATGTTAGTTGTTGATTCTTTTGTGATGAGGAAACAGGTGAGTTTTGAAAATAATTCCAAGGATTACGGTACCATGGCACTCTGCGGACATTCTCATGTTACATTCCAAGAAAAAAAAATAAATCTAGCTCGGGGTGCACAGCATAACAAACAAGTTTCTAATAAGTATTATCAAACGGAAGCCGGCCAACACGTGTGAGGTTTCATGTTACCGTCGGAAACGAATAACTGATGCGGACCCATTTCTCATGTGGATGATGATGATATGGAGGAGGCGAACGACGGAGAGAAGAGGTTCGACATGACGCCAATTTATTTCAATTTTATTATTCTACGAATCGAGAGAGAGAGAGAGAGAGAGAGAGAGAGGGACCGCCGTCAGTGGCGTCGCCGACGACGACGACCCGGAGGATAAAAAATGATGGAGGAGGCAAACTATGAATATATGAATATTGTGAGACATCATGTCTTGGCGCGGTAGATATCATTAGGATAATGGAAAGTTGCTGGAAGCGACTCTGACTCAAAGTACTCTTTTGTTGCAAAAGGAAGTGGGAGTGGGTGAGCGAGAGAGAAAAAGGGCGGGTCTTATTGGAAATATTCTCAAGGAGGACGGGGTCTTCTGGAATATTCTTCTTATTGGTTCTGGGGAGAATTAATTGGAAATTACAGAGAAACGAATCTGGAACGCATTCTGGGAGGCTCTGTTTTCCGGTAACAAGAGGGAAGAAGAGGTGTTTTGGTCAATATGTGCTCTTTGATATTATGGTCTACAAGTCTGGAGAGACTGTAATTGTAGGCTTTCGTTGGCAAGCCAGAGATTGTTTTTCTTGTGATCAATCAAGTTTTATTATTGTTTATCCGTCCGGAATGGACAGAACAATAAATAAGACGTTGTGCTCAAAAATGAATATTTTGGCCACATTGGACGTACTGAGTGGATGCATTCTGAAGAGCTCTTCACAATTGAACGTTGATAAGAGAGCACAAAACTCAAAGACCTCCTCAGATCAGTTTAATCGAGTCGGCCTCAAATCAAGAAATGAAGCGAAAGGGTGTAAAAATATATGGGCGCTTTTTTCTTTTTTTTTGTCAAAAACTTCGGACTGCTCCCGTGGAGGCCCGAAACCCGAAAACACATTGTTCACGGCGGGCGTCGCATGAAACGAGGTTACCAGATTCCGATTCATCTGCGGCGGATTCCTCCTAAGAGGAAGAAAACCGAGACGGGAGGAAGGGGTGCAAATGCAAAAGGGCAATAGGAATCTGATTCTGAATGGAAAAATGGAAACTTGACGCCCGCTTCACGCATGTATGTGCTATGAGCTTTTCTCGGAAACCGAAAACAATCCTCGGGAATTAGATTGAGCTGGGAACTCGGAATTGGCCAAATGATCTGTTTGATTGGTTTTTCTGGAAGAAAGGTGAGAACAAGCAGGAAGGTCTGTGAGAGTCATCGAGCGAGCAATTCAGAATGGGAATAAGAGAAGGGATGGAGGGGGAGGATAAATGAATGTTCGGACTCGTTGAAGCGAAAACTTTTGCACCTGGAAACACGCGTTTTCCGTCGCGCCAAGGTGTCCAAGGGCAGCACACAGAGTTCGGGAGACACGACTGCAACACAAAATTTATTGCTGAACTTTTTGCAGAGAGGAGGAGGAAACTAGTGATATTTCATCGAGGGAATGATGGATTGGAAGCAAGAGGAGGAGGAGGAGCCCCAACTTTTTAGGCAAAGAAGGGTATTATGGGGCGGAAGGAAGAGGATGATGGAGACTAACCGGAACTTTGTGTGAACCACCCAATCACTTGTCCTTCTTGCAACAGACTGAAACGAGGGGGAACATTCTGGGTATGCGGGTATTCAATAAGCTTAGAAAGAGCGATGAAAACATCCATTTGGAGCGTTCTCTCACTCATTCAATCTCGAAATATTGTTGAAGAGAGAGAGGAAAACACAATTATGATGAGATGAACATGAGTTTTCTTTTAATGAACGTTCTTGGAATATGACAATAAATGGTGGGCGGCGGAAATTGGAAAGTGATCATCACAGTACTCGAATCTTTGAGCTCCAAGGGATGACGTGGCAAGCACAACGTTCGCAAGTGCACATCCAGAGAGCAGACAAACAAAAACGAAATGAAGAAGGGCTCTGGTCGCATTTTAATATCCATCTATCCACTGAATTTATCCTCCGGTAATAATTTGTTTTTATAAGGTCCCAGGCGCTTCGAAAACGGGACCACAACTTGTTTGTTTGTGAAAGAATTCTGAAGAAAAAACGAAGCGAGGCCCGTGGATTCTGGATTTTCAGACTGATAATTGGGCAGCTGTAATTATGGGACTGAAAGAACTGAAAGCGGTGCTGCCGGAGACTTGAAAGGAACAAGGAAGAGGAAGCGAAGAATGGATGACGCCGCCGGAAAGGAGAAGAAAGAAATGACACACTGAAGTTCTCTTCTTTTTGCTTTTTCTAATAATAAAAATGGAATGGACGTGCTCCGGGGAGCCGCTGACTCTGTGAAAGATGCTAAATTATTCAAGCTTTTCATCATCGTACATATGTTAATGTACACATATTCGAGGGTGGCTCCGTGAGCCCATCATCGGTCTGCACTTGTCTGAAAATAAAGATAAAGGCAGCTACTTGGTTATTTATTAAGAACATCAGTCACAGAGAAAAGTCAAAGAACAAATAAGGGAGCGAACACTTTTTGGAAGAATAGAATGAATAAATTACAGAGCAATAACCCATAATGTGAGCCAATTTGGTACGGAGTGGAAGGTGTATCCAATTGAGGAAGATCTGAATACGAAGGGGAAGAAAGGGACGGTCTCTTTCTTTCAATGGGACGAGCTGGAGGATTCAAAGAAAGCGTAGAAGAGTGACAAAAAGAAGAGATGAAGCCAATGAAGCCCAATTGGCGGAGTCCCTTGTCTCGACGGCCCTCGCCCATTCCCTCTGCCGTTCTTTGATTATATCCTCTTCGGTTCGCACATCCTTTGCCACTTCAATTGAATCATCCTCGTCTAGGAAAACAGGCGGTAGCTTCGGCTTCTTGTCCTCGTGATGATTCGGCGGAAGTACTCCCACGTTGGCTTGATTCGGCACTCTGTTCGTTTGAATCGCATTTGCGAGACGTTGCGACTTCTGAATCTCTTCCTCCAAAAGTCGCTGCTCTTCGAGAGAATCTCTCACTCTGAAAAAGAACTTTTGGTGAGCAATTCCTCTTTTCCTACCCGGTGGATTGTGCTTGCTGCAGTAATGACGGTCTGTTGCACAATTTTCCTCGGCAGATACAGTAGTTCACGAGGCCTCCTTCACTCGTGGCGCATCCCTCAGTCAGCTGAAACCGACTGAGTACTTATGTAATCCTTTCTTCCTTCTCACCTTTTCCCCGGGCAAGAACACGGCAGCATCCTTCTCCGACAAGCACCTCTTCTCCATGGCGAACGAACCTGAAAGCCAAGACGAGTTTCTCTCATTCTTCCTTTCATTTCCAACTCACTTGTTGAAATCTGTGTTTGTTTAGTGACACAGAACCTGGCACTCGCCTCACAAGCCTCTTCCCTGACCGACGTACAATCAGCTGTCGGATCTGCCATGTCGGACTCTCCGCAGGCGAGACAGGTCAACGAAGGGATGGCGGGACGATGGACGACTGATGGAATGATCGGCCGGGGAGGTTCCGTGCTCGTCGTTGTGCTAGTTGTGGTGGTTGTGGTTGGCGGTGCGGGCGGTTCAGTTGGCACTTCTGCGAACCTCGGTGGCTGTGGGATCGGGAGCTCTGCAGTAGCGAGATCCGGCACATTGTGACCCCTTACCGGAGCGATGGCCGTGAGTAGTTGTCTCTGAAAAAAGAAGAATTCTAATCAGCTTCATTTCCCCCCCCCCCCTTTCAATTGTAAATCTTTCTCTCAATCGTCAACTTGTAAATGTTCTTGACTGCAATTCGGGTCAAGTGTGATCGGGGGAAGGCGTCGGCACTTCATTCGGCGGCCGAGAAGACAACGAATGAGTGTTGGAACAGGGTCGTATATCGAAATAATTGTCACTTTTTACACGCAATGTCCCTCGAGAAAGATGGGGTTATCGGAGGGCGGAATTATAATGAACTGGCGGAAAGACGAAGGCGAAGTGGGTCAGGAAGTGATCGAGTAATCAGTACCAGGTCAGAACGATTTGCTTACCTGTTGAGCCAGCGGCAGCTGATTGCAGACTGGCGAGGAGCAAGCACAGTACTGCACGCGTCCTCCGTTCGAACTTCCGCATCCCTCGTCTCTCGCTGCTTCTCCGAACTCGTTCACCAACTGCTCGGGAAGCACACACATCTTCTCCATTCCGTACATTCCTAGAATACACCAGATGCAATAAGGAATATTTCGACGCTTTTATAGTCTTACCATTTCCCAGTTCAATTTGTCGTGTGAAGCAGAGCGATCTCTCCGAAGCACACTCCACTTGCAGTTGCCGTTTGCATTCCTCGTTCACATTCGAAAGGGATCCGTCGCCGCACTGAATGCATCTCATGGTCGAGGATGACACTTCTGAAAGACGTCGTTCATCAGAGAACGCTCAAAAATGGCACCTTTGGTTGGGAGTTGTGGAGCCTTCGGAACGATTGGCCCACTTCCGACGAACGTTCCTTCGCTGATGGTCGTTCTCGGAAGGTTCATCAGGGGGATCTCAGATTCCCGGGAGTTGCTGATCGGTCGTTGAGGCTGCGAACTGATCTCAGTTTCGATTCCGGAAGCACGCGATGGAAGCTGAGAACGACGAATCTCAATTATTTCGGAAGACTTTGATTGGGACTGCGTCTGAAATTGAAAGGTTTTAATCAGTTAATTGCACAATATTCTCACTCTGAGGTCATTGATCGGTACGATCGCAGGAGGATTCAAGATCGGAGCCGCGAACGAAGAAGGAGCTTGCGGCAAGTGCTGAGAGAATCCGGCCGGAAGCGGCTGGATCTTAAGCGGAGCCTCTCCCGCTCTGAAAGTGGGCGGTGCTCTCGGAGGGCTCGGAGGTCCCGCCACAACTCTTCCGGTTCCGTCGTCAATGTCGCCGAACAGCTCCGGATGCTTCTTCTCAAAGTCCATAAACTGTTCGGCGATGGGGTTCCGGTTGCAATCGTCGGTCCTGCACAGACAGTAGGCCATCTCGACGCCCTGCACGTCGACCAGATCGCACTCGTCATCAATGCTGTACCCTTTGTCCGGGTATTTTGTGTAATGGTCCTGTTCGGAAATGCATTCCTTCATTATCGTGTAGGTCTCTGCAAAACCGTACTGCTTGCTGCTTCATCCCTTCTCACAAATAGGTCAGATTCATTGACGGTGAAAGTTTCACGAAAGTATAATATTTTGTGGCGGACGCGCGCCGTCCGTCCGTCGCCCAGCAGCCCCCATTGTTTGCTGACACCGAATTAGCTGGCTGGATCCGCCGCCGACCAAATCGGTCTCTGAGGGCAAAGGGTTTAGAAGCTTGTTCCCCTCCAATCTTCCCTCGCTAAGAATGGGAAAAAGTTGGGGAGACCGTTCCGAAATTTACATATGAAAAGGAGGGGATCAAGGTGGTTTTTGTTGCCTTGGCCTAAAAATCGGGGGCGGGGGGCAAAGTTGAGAAGAAGGCGTTACGGTTGCATGATAACAAACATAAAATTTCATAACAAAAGTGCGCAATGCCCTTCTTTTCCGTACCGTTCCGCATGCTTGCGCCCTCTTCCGGATTGGAGGTTTTATGACTCACTCGACGTCGAATTCTTCGTCCTCGTGCTCCTGCAGTAAATCTTTTCGGTGGGCGCGAATCTCTGCGCGTAAGCATTGCAATCGTACTGGAACTGCTTACTGCATTCGCCGAACTCTTCGAGATGATCATCGGCACAAATGAAGCAGACAATGGAGAACACTGCAAAAGTCTTCTGAACATTCTTCTTCTCCAAATTAGTCTGGCCGGCGAGGTTACCGTAGTTCATTGAAAGCTGGTTTTCGTGCTGAGTAATTTTAATTTATTTCAAAACCGGGGGGAGGCTAATCCGAACGACTGTCATAAACGGAACTTGTACTGGTTTTGCTAACAACATGTGACCGAATCAGATGATCTAAATACTTTGAGTCTAACCAGAGATTCTAGGGTAGAAATGTATTTTTGAGAACAGAAAGCAGCGGACTTATCTAGTGAAAAGTAGAATCGAAAATTTTATAAGGTAAATGATCGAGGATGACTCTTGTGAGAGATGGACACTCGAAGACACGGTTTATTGGAACTCTTCAAGACTCACCTCCAGTTACTGAACACAGTAATAAGAGTAGAGACGTCAGTGACATGGCTGCTCTTTTGAAACTTCTTCTTCTTCTTCTTCTTCTTCTGTAGTCCACCAAACTGCACTCTTTTTCTGCAACAAATTTGGAACTCGGAACAGTTGAGACACAGCAAAAAAGGGAAATGATGAGAGGAGTGTAAGCAGTAGTCGAATGGGCACGTTAATCGGCGGTAGTCGATGTCATTCTGGTTGGTCACCTCTACTGGACAGTTTGGAGTGAAACACAGAGAGAAAGAGGAAGAGCGTGTGGATATATGCTTATGAAACAGGCTTCGGACGGAGGGACGGACCGAGGGATGAACGGCGGGAGAAGGGGGCGGCGCCGAGAATGTGTGTGTGTGTGTGTGTTTTCGAGCGATGATTATAAATAACTGTGAATGAACTGGCGGGAAACGCGCTTCTAATTGTTGGTACTTATGAACAGAATCTCTCTTTTTTTCATTTCTGAGATATACGAAAACGAAAATATGAAAACGGAAGTGAATGAATCATCAAAGGAACATTGAACTGTTACAACAACTGGTTGATCGTACAGAAGAATGAGAAACAGTTTTGAGTGGCATGTGACCTGAAGTGGTAACACCGACTTGAGACCGACACAATAGACGAATCTGAAGAGATGTTCTGAAAGAGCCGAGTTTTGCGTACTCAAGCCTAATTTCAGACATTTTGGCTTCAGCCTGCAAACACTGAGAGACAATAGCGATGAATTGAGTTTATATAATTCAAAATTCGCGCCACTTCCTGTAAATGGCTGGCTGCGTAGAGACACTCGCTTTTTTCCAACTGTCCGATTCCATGAATTCTCTTTGCAGAAGTGACGTAAGACTGTCGAAGTGTTGAAGTGATTCCCCGTTTCAAAATGTTTCATTCCTCTTCTAATGTTCTTAAAAGGACTGGCACTCAGACACAATGCGGAAGAAAATTCACTTTTTCCGCAGTGCCAAAGTGACAACTTTCTTCCTCTTTTTCCAGAAACTTTTCCCCTGTTCGACTGTTGCATAATTATTTCTACTCCTACAGAGACTAGATAATTACGCGCCAAAAACATTCTTTCGCTTCCCAATTATTGAGGAGAAGCTTTTATTGTGTCGCTATCCAAGTTGAGGTGGCATCAGGGAGACACGAGAAGGTCATATTAAGGGATAATCCGAACGTCGGTCACACTTGACAGCAGCAGCCGGCATTCTGAAACCGTCAGGCGGACGAGATTAGGCGGCCGGCACTCACGGAACTGGTGCGAGCGAGACAGAATTCAATGTGACAGGTTTTTGAACACTGTCTTTTTGAGTTGTGATTTCAGGGAGACAGGGGTTTTATTCAGATTCCGTTGGAATCTCTTCGCGGAAAGTTTTTGCGCTGAAAATATGGAAAACGCAGAGAAATTCCTGATAGCCGTCAACGTCTAATTGCAAAACCTCACAAAATTTAATTTTTAATTTTTCTGTGTATACAGTATAAGTCGTTCATAACGACTACTTGCAACAGCTTCGATTTCTGTTTTTTAGGAGTGTCACGGTGATTCTTTGCGAGGGTGTAGTGAGAAACGCGCCGCGAACTCGGCCACCATTCAAAGAAGGGGCGTGGTCTTGCGCAATTGCCGCACGCAATTTTGCAAGTTTGGCGCGCGCGCTTTCTGTTTAGCCGCAATTGTTTCCGACAGCATTTTGAAGACGTTCTTACTGCTTTTCAGGAATATTACACAGCGCTGTTATTGGTTTTTGCTGTTGGCAATTTTTCTCTGTTGATAACAATTACTAAAAAAATAATAAAGCTTCTATAAACTGCGTTCTTTCATGTTTGAGATGAAAAAAATACAAAAACTCAGCCGAAAAACAAGCATTAATTGACAGAGAACAAGCGCTAAAATATGAAACAAGCGCGAAATTCGTGAAAAAAATTCCCCATGGCCGAGTTTCTTCGGTTCGGCCTCCTGGCCTAACTTCTGGCGTGGCCTAATAATTTCTTGTTCAGCCGGGGGACTCGGCGGAAACCGTGGCCTAGTACCACGGCCTGCGACCCCGGGCCAAATGGACTAGAATTTTCCTCGTCACCCTCGCAAAGAATCACCGTGAGTGTCTCATCGGAGTCTGCGCGTGAATTGCAGTGCCAAGACCGCAAAGATTTTCGTGCTGTGTTTGCGTACTCCGCAATTGTCATCCAAATTTTCGAACGAAACGTTCGTTCGTTTTCACCTCGTTTCAACCCAAACTAACCCGCTGATTTCTTCTAAGAATGGTAAATTGCGTTGTTGTCTTGTCTTGTTCCATTAATTTCTCCTTCACTTCACGAAGAACGTAATTTCAGCGAGGAATGGAGCGATTCTTGCGACTCGGAGGCCTTGGAAATTTGGGACAGGTATCTGCAATACGATTCTGCGAATAAATATTGAAATAGGGATTTTAGTTCGGAGCTACTCCACAAGATTCGAATCAAGTGGACACTTCGGAGACTGTCTACATCTCGTCGCTGGCTCTCCTCAAGATGCTGAAACACGGAAGAGCTGGAGTTCCGATGGAGGTCATGGGTCTGATGCTCGGAGAGTTTGTCGACGATTACACTGTGAACGTGATAGACGTCTTCGCCATGCCGCAGTCCGGAACCGTAAGTTATTTATCGGAAAAGTAGATTTTACAATATGCTAAATTTTCAGGGAGTTTCCGTCGAGGCCGTTGACCCGGTGTTTCAAGCTAAAATGCTGGACATGCTGAAGCAAACTGGTAGACCGGAGATGGTTGTTGGATGGTACCACTCCCATCCAGGATTCGGATGCTGGCTCTCCGGAGTCGATATCAACACTCAGCAATCATTCGAGGCCTTGTCCGAGAGAGCCGTCGCTGTTGTCGTTGATCCGATCCAGTCAGTGAAAGGAAAGGTTGTGATTGATGCGTTCCGTACGATCAACCCACAATCGATGGCTTTGAATCAGGAGCCCCGTCAAACTACCAGCAACTTGGGACATTTGCAAAAGCCGAGCATTCAGGTACCATTTCGTCAGCTTCAGCATTATCTATTTTCTGCTTGCAGGCGCTGATTCACGGTCTGAACCGTCATTACTACTCTATCCCAATTGCATACAGAACTCACGATTTGGAGCAGAAGATGCTTCTGAATCTGAACAAGCTCTCGTGGATGGACGCTGTCAACGTGGAAAACTACACCAAGTGCGGCGAGCATAACAGAGAGCATCTGAAGGCGATGCTGAAGTTGGCAAAGAACTACAAAAAAGCGTTGGAGGATGAGGACAAGATGACTGAACAAGAGCTTGCGATCAAAAACGTCGGAAAGATCGATCCAAAGCGGCACATTGCTGACGAAGTGAGCAAAATGCTCAACGACAATATTGTGCAAAATCTGGCCGGCATGATGGCCACCACCTCATTCCAATAACTTTAACGCTCCTCGCCCCTTTATTCATCGTTTCTCGTGTTTGTGTATTTTCTCTTCATTTTGATCCGCACCTTCCCACCCCTAATTTATTGTGAAAACTCTTCTTTTTGTGTACCCGACGGCCCGGTTCCTCAAAAATAAACCGCCGAATCATTTATTCGCGGAACATAGTTAGCCACTACTGCCTCTGCGTCAGTTTCGTCCATTTGCTGAGCAGCTGTGGCAGTAACATCACATTCAGGTTGTTCATATCGACAGACGGCGTGTAGTCGTTGATCAGAAGATACGGCACTTCGACGATCGGATTCGGCCGCGTGCTCATCGTCTTCTGAGCGGCCTCTCGTTGCAATTGAATTCCACGTGGCCGTCGTAACATTGTCTGAAACGGTAATGTTCAATATTTCATAATGAATCCGCAGCCAAATACCTGATCTGTCGGTATTGGCTCCGAATGAAAGCGGAGCACGTTTGCATCGCGTGCTCCACTCCGTAATGCTGAATGTTTCGTTCGAAGCAGACGATGAAGGGCAGTGCTCCTTTGACCTGAAATCAATCATTTTCGATAATTGATGAGAAATAAGAGCAGCGAGTGTGTTTTGCTTCGTCTCTCTTTTTCTTCACCTCTCGTGAGAGCTCACCTTCAGAATATCGATGACACAAGACTGTAGTCGGTTCGCATCGCACTCCTTCTGTCCGTGATTGCACGAGAACGATCCGTCCTGCAACACTTCCCATTAGTGTTTGATCCCTTTGCAGTGCTCCGCCGAGCAACCCGCTGCCACCAACTGACGCCCCGGAAAAACCGAGCAAAAAGTGAATGATAAGTGTGGCGATTAAAAAGAGAAAACGGCGCGGACGGACCGCTGATCACTCGTTTACCTACCCGCATAATACGCGAATTGCCCCACGGAACGAGCTCGAGAATTAGCTGACCCTGGAATTGGTTGAACACGCTGCCGAGCTGGTTGGCGATGAATCTGGAGGAAAGGGAGAATATCGGTCGGACGGGCGACGATTACTTTTGACAATAAGGGCATAAGGCTTCGTAGATCAGTGTGATTTTGATGGGCTGACGGCGGTGACGGAGCGAGTCGCACTGCCGCTGCACTCCGCACTGCTGAGCCGACTGGGGACTGTCGCACCTGCAATGGTCTTTTTCGGAACTCCAGTGACGACTTTAATCACAAACCACAAATCTGGCGGAATGTCGCAGATCTGATGCGTCGGCTGATTGAGAACGGACGCGTGCGGCACTGCAGGATACGCCGTTTGGTAGGCTTTTATCGAATCTGAAAGCGGAAATGATAAATGATTTTTTGAACTGTGAATTCGACCAATTCCTGTGACATACTCGGGCTGGGATAGTTATTGTAGGGATAGGCGGGCTGCGCGGGAGCCTTCTGCTGCTGTTGCGCCTGGTGATAGTGCTGATGAGCGTTGTAGTTGTGATAGTTCTGCTGCTGCTGCTGCTGCTGCTGCTGCTGCTGATTCTGTTGGTGTTGGTGTTGCTGCTGCTGCTGTGGATACGATGGCTGGTGCTGACGATACTGCGTTTCGGAGTTCTGAAGATGATCGGAGATCGGGTGAATAAAGATGTACTTGGCAGCTGGGACCACGTCCGGCGGTCGCAGGAACTCAGCTGGTCGGGACGACACTTAACTGCACTTGGGACCAAACTTTTGTGAAAAATGAAAAGAGAGGCGAAAAGTGTAATAATAGAGTGGAGAAGTTTGCACTGGTCACTTTGTAACTACTTGAACAGAATTTATGGTAAATCAGAGTTTATTCGTAATTGTTCGGTCCCTTCTTCCTCATTTCTGGTCCCCTCGTCCCATCATAAAAACTAACGAGCGGGGCTGGTCTGGTCAACACACACACACAAACCTGAACGACGATTCCGAGAAGCAAGAGAATCGTCCATTGGAGCGACGTCGTCATCTTCTTCTTCTTCTTCTTCTACTTCTGCGGAAAAGAGACTCGCGGGAGGTAGCCACGGGGACGGACCCGTGGGGGCAAGAATAGGCGGCGGGAGGCAGCGAGGGAAAGGGCGGCTCCTCCCGGGGTCACTCCGCATCTCTTCGCCTCTCTCCTCGGCGCCCATCCCTCCGAGACAAGTGTGTGTTGATATTCGACGATGAACATATGTCTGTGTGAGAGTGTGCCGGGAGGCTCTCTCCCCATCCGCTTCTCTCTCTCTCTCTCTTTTCATTCATTCTGGCAAAGATGAAGAAAGAGGAGCGAATGAAGAATGGAAACGGGAGGAGTGAATCTGGAAATTGGAGGAGTTGGTGATTAGGGGAAGGAGGGAAAGAAAGAGCAACTTGAGACGATACTCATGCGCATCGCCGCCTGACCACTGGTCACATCCAGTATACACTTCACTTCTTTTTACTTTTTGAACCCTAAGGACCCCATCAATGAGTCAAGGATTTGAGGCGCTCTCATGACTTGTGTGTGTGTGTGTGTGTGTGTGATCTCTGCATTTCGCAAGTTTTACCGTAATCCAATCATTTTGCCTAAAATTGAATCAAACACTCATTTCTCCACACCCAGTCTGACTCCAAATTTCGGAGTCCAGCCAGTGACGTCTACAATTTTCTCCCTGTTGTTCTTCTGACATTTCTGTCTTGTACTTGTACTCTTCCGTATCCAACCGCACAACAACCCACAAATGACGTGGTTTCCTGACTCACTTCTTCTTTTTTTCCCCTTCCGGACTGAAAGATTGACACGCGCGGAACGTAAACACACGGACACTTCATTATTTTTTCGGGTGGCTCCCGACGGGGCGTCTTCCAAAATAGTCCCATCCAAGGGGTATTCAGTTACGCGCACCACTTTGTTATTCTCCTATCGCTATTATTATTATTATGATTTCTTGTCTGGTCACAGTCAGACAATTCTGAGCGATTCCTGGCTAACCCGATTGAATCCACCTCTGCTCTCAATTCTTTATGAACTTATCAAAATTTCGTTGCGTTCTTCACCTCACCCACCCATTTATTTCGCTTATTTCCCATCTTTCGGTGCATCTCTCTCTCTCTCCCACGAATGCTCGTGTCTGCGCCCATTTATTCGGGGACCCACTCCCTCCGCATAGGATTGTACGAAAATGGGCGGGGCCGGCTGCACTTGATGTGAAGGACATACTCATTTAGATGCTCCTTCCGGTGCCAATTGTGTTTTGGATTCTCGAGTCAAAGCAAATTCGTGTGCTTTGAGAAATTAACAGTATCCCACTCTGAACTTGATAAAAACAATTCTTAAAATTATTCTTTAACACGTTTGAGCCGCAGAAGGCGAGAAGTTGCGCCGCGTGAACGCAGAAAGTTTAGCGAACTAGTGCAGGATTTCCAAAAATGGTCAGCGTGAACATTGGGCTCATTTCCAACCCAATCCACTTCCAATTGTCGTTCTTAGCTCCCAGACATGTAAATGTCTCTCCAGCTCATCCCATTCTGCTCCGTTCAAAACAATTCCTCCTCCTCCTCATCCATTCCATCTGTTTCTGCTCCAACACTCGCATTGTTCTTTCTATTCGGTGCCAGGCACAGATTTGCATGAATAATTCCGTCCGAATTTCAATCAGAAGATGGGTCGAGAGGTGTTTATGGCATTCCTTGTGGGCTCAATGGTGACATCATTCGGGATGCAGAATGCAAAATACCGGAATTCTCGTCGATGTTTGCTTGTTTTCTTTTCAAAATTCCTCGAAATTTGTGAAAAGTTCATTTCCGGAGTAGCAGTCTTCCGGTTTTGAGGGAGGAAGAAAGAGTGAAAGCGTGATATCATGCTTACAACTCTTGCAAACTCTTTCTTCGGCACGCATGAATGAGCATTGGAAGCAGCCGAAATCACGAGTTGATCAGTCTGTCTGGCCACTGGAAATCTGAAATCTGACCAACGTCTGCCGCTGCTCTTCTACGATTCCGTCGCGAATTCGGAAAACGTGCAATCAAGAAGTGCTTGCAGATTACTGAAGTTCAAAGGCGATCAGAAGACGTCATCAAGCCCACTTTGCTTATCGAACTCTCCGCGATCGGCTTCCCCTATAAATAGAGCTCTCTAACCAGTAACACCAACTCCCTCTCTTTTTGTGTGTGACGCCATTCGTCAAAACTTTGAAATAAAAAGGAGAAGTGAAGAAATTGGTTCCATTTGCGTATGGAAAACCTTGTTCTAATCTTGTGCCAACAACAAACTATTCAAGTGCACACTTCTCGGAAGTAACTTTTTCTTTTTTGTTATTATAGGTTAGGTGGGGCGTCACAGGTTCATGAATAGATGCAAAATGAGCATCGAGGATAGATGGAAAGATCAGATATTCATTTCTGCTCCCTTGCTACCGTAACCATGGCGCTTTGGAGCCACCTTATTGTTGCTTGCAAGAGCGTTTCCTTTTCGTACTTGTTCACCACCTTTCCACATGTCCTTTCCTGCCTGCACCCGTCACGGGCCAAACCCCAACATCCTTTTGTAACCGCTTGTTTCCGTGCAAACAAACTTTGAAATGATCGGTTCTCACCAGACTGCGCCAGAATGCTCTAAAAGTTCACACATTTGTGAGGCGTACGGCTACTTTCATCATCTGAATATCGCGATTAATTACATGCCTACCACCGAAAGCCGCCGTCCGCCTCTTCTGAAGACGTCCGACTCCGCCCCCTTCGTTTTCTTCTTTCATTTCATTCCTTGGGTTTGCGTATAGATACAAACACACAAGGATCAAGAATTACATTTTTTTTTCTTCCCTCCTTAAGTCCAATTATTCCAATCTTCTAGAAGATTAGAAGCTTGGGCGGGCCCCAGAGATGAATCATTGCTCGCTTCAATTCAATGAAATGTCGATGAGTGAGCTCTAGTGGAATGTAGTCTTTCAGAGTGAGGGTGGAGTCCTTCTTTGTATTCTCTCCGCACCTTCGAAGGCCTACATTCTTTCATATTTTCTTCATATTTCGATTTCCGTTTTCATATTCGGCTCTTTTCAAGTCGAAATAGCTCAAAAAAGCACTTTCCCTCGGCTTCCGAACACTTTTAATCCGGCTCTTCGGACGGACCAGATCAACCACTCCTAATCGCTTTTTGTCGCGGCTTTCACTCCATTTCATACATTCACTCCATTTACAGCGTATCATGCAAACCGCCCTCCTTCTCGCTTTGACCCTTTGTGCCGTCGTCTTCAGTGTCAGCTGCCAGGAAGAAGCGTTCCTCATGGATCCCCCATCTCCAGATGAGCAGCAGGGAGGGTAAGACATCACCGACGCCCACGCACTTCTTTGATCGCTGACATTTCAGATTCTCGTCTCACATTGTCGCTCTGCGGCCTGATTACACATTCTGGAAGATGGTGAATGTGCTCAAAACGATGTTCGACACCAGAACGACCGAGAAGAGACGGCCGAGAGACGCGGCCGAAGAGTTGCCGGCCCCGAAGCTGCCGAACCTCCGTGCCCGACGACTCCTTCTCAACTTCGGACGCTATCGCATCTGAATGCACCGACAATACCGAAGAAGACGACGGAGAAGAGTGTCCGGCCGAACAAATATTTTTATTTTTCCTCTTGCTCAAGTGCTTTCCGCCCTCGCCGCCCCACTTTTTGCATATTTTATTTTGTGTAATCGTAGAAGGTGTTGATGATGATCTCCCGCTTCCGTTTTTGTATGGCTTCTGACTGTTATCTGGTTTGTTGCTCGTATCGTATTTTGAACAAATAAAACAGTATTTCGACGGAGTGTCTGTTAATCATTCGGCCAAAGATCACGATGACTTCAGGACGTCAGAAAGTGGTCGGGAATCTGACGCGCACGCTGATAATGCCAGAACTGGGTAATCGTGCTAGTGTCCGACATCTGACGATCAACTATTCCGACATCAACACCCGTTTAATCATAGAGATCGGCAGTTTCAAGTTTCACCCCAATTTCAGCATTCTTTCGGCTCGCTTTTTGATCTCATTATATTTCCTTTTCGTTTGAATTCAAACTCGAATCAGAGCGGATTATTATTTTTCTCAAATTCTTTGGAAAGAAAGTCAGACAAGGAACTCTAATCTTTTGTTGCAGATCTTTTCTGATTTCTGAGAAAACCCCCTCCTTTTGTTCATTGAAACTTTAGTTGCAAACGACCGATCAACACGGGAACACACAATTCATAGTAGGAAACGAAGACGACAGGAAAAGAGAGGAGAAATGGGAATGTTTTCAGTGTTCAGAACTCTTCGCACGGCAGGAACGACTGCGATCTCTGCTGGAATTGAGCACACGCGCCCTCAATGCACCGACATCGTCCGCCTTTCGACGCCGAGCTTCCGATTTCGAGGCGTTTCCGACGGTTGCCTGAATACGAATATTATTATCGATCTCGGCGTTGACGTATCTTTCAGCCATCTGAAATAGATAGAAACTTTGACCTCATTTCGCGCAGAAATGTCATCCCTTTGTTCTATTCTCATCTCATGTTCTTTGTCAGAGCTAATCAAGCGAGTCGCCTTCTTCTGCCTCTTTCCGCTCACCTTGCAACGCGGCGGGCTCTCCAAATACGTTGATCGGCTCGGTCCTCCAGCAGTGGAACGACGAGCCGCACGGCTTTCCGGGCGGTCCTCCGCCGACGGGCGGCTCGAACTGTGCGAGCACCACCGAGAGCAAAAGGGATAATAGCGCTGTCAGCACTTTTGTGTTGTTACCCATATTCTGCAAATTGGGAGTGTGGACAGAGGTAAAAGAAAAAGAAGAAGTTGATCAGGAGAAGGAGAAGAAAGAAGAATGGACAGATAGAATGGAATGGCTAAATCTGGAAGATTCGGGGGGCTCTTCGTGTAATTCGATTAGAAGGATGTGAAACTTTTAGGGACAAAAAAAGAGGAAAGGAATTTGAAATTGGGTGACGTCAAGAAGAGTAAAAGAGAGAAAGAGAGATACAATGGTTCGTAGATCCTATAAACAGAGTATGGAAGTGCGGGCTTCTGGTGTTGGAAGTCTACAGTAATGCATTTCAGGCCTCGGCTCGGCGGAGGTCTGATTCTGGCCCAGCTGCCCAGTAATCATTAAAATGGTCTATAATTTGACACAATCATTGGTTTTCGTATAAATTGTCTTCAGTGGAAGTTTATTTGATAGTATGTTATCGAATAGTCCAACCCGTATCAGGTTAAAGGGCCATCAAAGACAAGCTCCCAACCCTGAGTTCATACTAAACACTATGGCAGCTACCACGGCCAAGAGCATTCTAGATACACATCCTTTTGCCACTGAGAACCATAATTTGTCACGTAGGATCTCTGAATCCTCCAGAATCCTCCTCCGAACTCGTCTCCGCTTCCGGCTCCTCGTATCCATCCGGTCAGTCCGTGAAGCTCGTTTGCGTGTGTGTGCACATGTATATTTATTAAATTTGATGAGCCAAACAAAACGAGACGGCGATGGAAACCGAAAAGAAAGAAGGATCGGAGAAGCAGGACGGAAGGAAGGGCCAGAAATAAACAAAAGATCGGAATCATAATCGCTTTCGTTTTTTTCTTCTTCTTCCACTACTTCCATTTCCTCCGTTTTACGACTTCTACTAAATTCTTCTCCCAGAAAAAGGAACACGTAAGTATATTGTAAAAGTGGAGAATAAGAGGATCCGCCGGAGACAAGTTTTCGCGTGGAATCTAATTTCGAAAATAGAAAATATTTATCGAGAATTCGTTTCGATTCGGTGCCGACCGGGTAAGTTCCCGAAGGACCAGTCAATTTGAGGCGGGTATTCAAGAGAAATCTGGAAGAATGGAAAATTGGGTGGGTGGAAGAGAGAGAGAGAGAGAGAGGGAGAGAGAGTGGACTGGAAGAAAAGGAAGTGGGAGGCTAAGGCCGATTATAATGTGATGACCGCCAAAACAATGAACCAGAGGGACCACCCACACTTTGAAAGGAAAATGGAACTAATTGACCCCTCCCCAACCTTTAGTCTCTTGTTTTGGATCTGCGATTTTGAAAAGTCTCAGAGGAGGATTTCCGAAATCTCTCCATCTGACTTTGTCTGGAAGACGAAAAAACCGAATACAAAGAACGAATGAGATACGCCTAGAGCTCTCTTTCTCTTTTTCCTTCCTATTTTCCCGGGGTTTCTGTAGCACATGAGTTCTAACATTATTTAAATCGAATCGCGGCGCCGAGTGGCTCCCCTGGGGACCGCCCGTCGCTCTAATCTCTGCATTTGCATCGTCACCTGATTGGAAATGCAAAGAAGCGATTTCAGAAGATGCTGCGACGTCGGACGCTTCTGATTCTCATCTGTTGCGTCGTTGTCGTCGACTCGCGGAAGTATCGACGGATGAATGAGGTTTGATGTCCTTCGGATTGCGTGGGCAAAAAGACGTCAGTTAGGGGAGCGCGGGGAGCAATTGGATTGAATTTGGATGGAAACAACGGACAATTGAATGCAAAACAAAGCAAAAGTTTTGGAGAGATGAACGGAGCAAGAAGAAGAAGAAGAAGAAGAAGAAGAAGAAGAAGAAGAAGGAGAAAGAGAAAGAGAAAGACTAATTCGATTTGGGAAACAGTAAATCTTCCGGGGAAATGGCAAAAAAGAAAACCTTTTGAGTTTACTCGAAAAGCATCCAGAACATCAGTAATTCCCAACTGTGAACAAAAGAGCGCATTGTTCACTGGACGCCGTGAGTTTTCTAGTTCCCCGGTGGGTCCCCGTGAGCAGATAGACCTCTGGTGATGTCAGGGAAGAGCACTACTGGTGGCAAATAGGTCTGCGCCGGCAATTAGCCGCGGCGAAATTGAAAAGTAGAGAAACCCGCTGGCACTCGGAAATGAGTTTCGATGAAGTACTTTTCAGAAAGAAAAAGAGAACAACAAAAAAAGAAGAACGAGTTGCAGATTGTGATCCACAACCACGCGGAAGCCAACGTGCGGATCAGATGTCAATCCATCAAATCAGACTTTAAGGATACGTTTATGGGGCCGATGGACGAGATGTCTTTCAGTTCTACGACATCGACAGAGGTGAGTTGCGGAAGGAAGTGAAGGGAGAGAAAGATGTAATAATAGTTTCCGAAGGGGGGAGTAGGGGGGAGGAGTATGTACTTGAGGAGCTGCTGGAGAAGGAGCACGAAAACCGAGAAGAAGAAGGCGCACGGCAGGAAGGATTAGAAGCTGTGTGAGGAAAAGAAGTTAATTAGAAAGAAAAACGACGGAGAACAAATGATGTGATGCGTGGATGTGTGGATGCGTGTGTCTTAGTGCCAGAATTATGAGCACGGTGACTGTGGAGCAAAGCTCAGAACTTGTGAAGCCAAGAATGAGGGCGGTGGGGGTGGAGGGAACGATCGGTTTCCGGTGCAAATGTCAGTGGGTTCACTGCACACGAAGTCAGCTGATTTTTGAAATGAAGTTTACCTCCGGCTGCTTTTGCAGGAACCATGTGACCCAGGAAATAGGAAACATCCAGAAGTTTGGCACCCCCAATATTGTATATTCAAAACTATTCATCTCGGCTGCTGAAGAAGATATCAAAAGTGGTCAACTGGAAACATTTTGCACATTTTATCAATTTACCACTTTAGCTGAGATACATAGTTTTGAATGGACAATGTTGGTATGCTTTGTAAGTAGTTTCTGGAAAAGTCAAAACTTCTTCTTAAAAACAAATAGTCCCATACGGAACCTCAATAATTCACATCTTCTCAAAATCATGTTTGGATCGCAGACAACTCTAACCAAAGTTCAATCGCTCCAAAATGCAAAACATTTCGTAGATTGTTCGCCCACGTCATCTCCAGAATTATATACTTCGATCTCGACACTCTGTGAACGAAAGTAACTTTGGGAGCTGAAGTGGGAAGACTTGAGAATCACGAGACACTCTCTCTCTCTCTCTCTCTCTCTCTCAAAGCAGTTGATTAGAAAATGAGTGAGAAAATCAAAGAATAGAGTTGGAAGTGCAAAGGCTGCGCACGTCATCTTCCAATCTTCGTTTCAGGAGACGTCCACTTCTGGTGCGACGCCTACGGTCTCTTCGGCTTCTCGGAGACGTTTGATGTGTTCGGAAGAAGTGCGCCGAGCAGAAGGAACCAAACATGGTGAGCGGCTGATGTGCAGATGAGCGAATTCGTCGGCGAGCAGGAACCAAAACATGTTGTCCGGTTCCATCTGCTGGCGTAATCGGGTGGTCCGACCGGATGTTCGAGTTCGGAAAGTTATTGCGAAAAAAGCGATTTGACATTGCCTATTTCGGGCAGACACACCTGAATAGTTCTCGGAATGCAATTCGAGAAAACTTTGAACATGGAGTCACAAATTGGAGTGGAAATGGTGTTGTGTTGTTTTGCTTTCGCTTTTTGGCAAAGTTGAAAGCTAAAACGAAGATTATCCTTTTCAAAATCAGCCATTCACACATTTCATGTTCCATTTGCAGGTACATCAGAAACGACGGACTTTATCTGGAGCACGAGACGAACAGAGCCCGTGAATGGCAGTGGATCTACCCTCCTCTCGACGCCTACGCCATCGACAGTCTCGACGCGCCCGACATCGCGGCACTTCCCACTTGGGTCCCCTTCTAATCGGTCCCTCTTAAATATTTACTCGTTGTGATGTCAGATCGTGAAATGAAACCTCAATTCTCTAACTTTTTCGCTCGAAAAAAGTGTAAAAGTGTCGGAAGAGAGTGCAAACGTTTGTTTGTCCAAACTGACCCCTCCACCAGTGTTCTCGGTGCGGGAGGGAGGGGACGAACAGAAAGAGAGGCCTGAAGTTCGCAATTATCTCCGAATGCTTCTTCATGTTTTCATGAGACGAAACGTCGGCGTCTCCGCACATTAAACACTTTCTCGTGGGGCAATCAAAGCTTTAAGTCGGGGCACGATAAGTCTTTTTCTCTTTTCAAATAACCAAGGAGTATGACCGGCGGATTGCGCGCCGAGGGATTCGAGACGGAGAGAAACGGACGGACGCGACGGGGTGTCAAGTGGGAAAAGGCGCCGAGGAGGAGAGGATCACGAAAAAGTGAGTGACGACCCGTCGAGTGTTATTATTTTCATTATTTTATATCATTTTTGAAATCGACAAAGCATGAGGAATCTCCCCATCCTCCTCACGTTAACCTTCCTCGTCGTACAGTCCGATGGCATCATTGGGGTCAGTGACGGACGTGCTCCGGCCTGTCAGCTCCCCCCATTCACTAACCTGTTACCACTGAACTCCCGAAGAGAACTGAGGAAAATATGGGCAGGCTTCCATTCGACGACGTCAGCGAAAAAGTGCGAAAGGTACGTTTTTTCTTGCATCTCATTGTCGGAAATGATGTGAATGTTTCCAGGCAACTCGCACAAACCAAAGAGCTCATAGCCGGATTGTCGGAAGAAATGAAACTGAAGATATTGGATTGGGACCGGCCGACCACGAACCCGACGGTGGAGCGGAGAGGGACCAACTTCCTGGCGGGGCTGTCCGAACAACAGACCAAGATATTTTCCGAGGTATCGTGTTTCAAATTGAGCAAGAAATGAAGCACTTGTTCAGATAATGGCCAATCGTTCGATAACTCACGATTTGCGTTATGATCTTCTCAGGAACTGGGCTTCCGAGTATTTGGATCTAGATGCGATCAGCCAAGTGGAACAGTTCATAACTTTTCAGCAGAGAAAGAACAAGAGTTTCAAGCAAAAGGTTGACAAGTTATCGTCGGAAGCCAGAATCGCTCATGATCGTCTGGAATCGTTGCGTCTCTTGAAACAAGACGTTTACAGTAATCTGTCTGAGAGCGCCAAGAATGAGCTGGCTGGACTATACAGGTAATTCCCAAAAACTAAATTTCCGTTTCACCACCAAAATGTTTCAGAGCAAAATGCCCTCGTGGAAGTATCTACGAAGCAAGCGACCTGGACGCGGAAGAGATTCAGTTGGCGTGCTCAGTCGGTGAGTGAACTCTGTGCCGTTTCCAAACTGTTTCCTGTTTTCCAGACGACCGTATCCCGCTGTTCCGAACAACTACTGAAGTGGCCACGACAGAAGCACAAACAACAACAGAAGAGGCCACAACTACCACAGCGACAACAACAACATCTGCAAGTACGACAATACCCACAACTACCAGCACCACAACTCCGACCACTACTCCTTCGACAACTTCCACAACCTCAACAACCTCCACAACAACCGCAACACCAACAACCACTACAACACGAGCAACTACGACAACTGAGCACGATAGCGACGACTTTTTATGGGTGAGATTGACGACGACTCCACCTCCGGCAACGACTCGAGAACCGGAAGGAAGGCTTTCGTTCGAAATCGAGAAGAGCAACAACACAGTGCCGTTGATCCCCTCAAGACCCCATCAAGTGGCCTCGATGTTTGTGGCCGACCCGGATAAGTTGACAGACTTACTCAGGAAAATATTCAATCATCGGAACAACGACTGAGTTCCTATTTGCTTATCCGCCCACTTCCAATCCAGGTCATTGTTCTTTCACTCACTTTAACTGTCTTGGCTTTAATCTCGTACTTTTGCGTTGAGTTTCAAAACTAAACCGAATAAATTTATTTTATATTGAGCATAAATAAAAGAGGTATATCAATCTCTACATATCACCTAACGTGAAGTATTACATTGACATGGTTACAACGACGGAAGAAAGACCATACTGTTCGGGAAGGGATAATCGGGAAGGATCGGATGGGGGGTTGGGTGGGTGATGCTGATGATCATGGAAACATCATAAATACGGGAAGAATCACAATACTTTTTCAGGGAAGGGTTCAAACTCGTTTCAGAGGCCGACGGCGCCGGACTGGAAGTACGATTTCGGGTTGGACATGCGGCGGAGACGGTCCATCAGGGGCAGCCCCCCACGCCCAGTTGACGAAGGAGAAACGTTTCCGTGCCAACCCGCCGCTGCCTGCAAAGAGATCAGTTAGTCTTTAGATCGGTCACACAGGCTCACCTGTATGATACGTAGCCGTTGTCGATAGTTATTTGCTCGTGTGTGGTCGTTGAGGATGGCCTGCACGTACGAAGACGGAAACCATCCTCCCAGCCCATCGCCGACCCGTTCTCCATACAACCAACCTGAAAAGTGACCTGTCGAAGGAAATTTATCTCTATAAACTCTGTTAGTTTCATGGAAGCAACTAGGAAAAGAAAAAGAAGAAGAATCAAACCGTCAGGCATCTTTCTGAGGATGTTGAGAGTGTCTCCGATGTTGAGGAGCAGTTCGTCGTTCTGTGATGGCTGGTAGGCATGCACGACGAGCGCCTGCGGACAGTCCCATTCCGCGTAGATTTTCTCTTCCGGGTTAGTAGACTGCAATCATTAATCCCGATGGTAAGAATCCCGAAGTTAGGAGGAGAAGAAGGACACCAACAGTTATCATTCTGTCTAGGGGAAATAAAGAACTTACAGTTGGAGGACGGACGGCGCTGAGCCATCTCTCACGGTCCGTTTCGCTGTCCGCGGAAAGCAGCAGCTCAGTCTGCTTGTCGCGGGCGTTCCGCATCAGAGTGCACAGGAAGAGATGAGGTCGGCCGACCAGGTTGCTGACCGCTCCGACGGGGATCTTCGGATTGTCGGGCTCGATCGGCTGCATGTCGACGAATCGTCTCGCCGCGTAATCTTTGCACACAAACGTGCCATTTAGCTTCTTTTTAGTAATCATAATCATATCAGAGAAAAGGAAGACGTGGAGCGTCCGTGCCTTCTGCCGACTCTGCAGGATGTTCGAGGATCGGCGCTCCACCAGCTGAGTGAGCACGCCCTTCTTGACAAGGTATCTGCTGTTGGAGACGAGTGGAATCCTTTTGAGATCTGCATCTTTGTACACGAGACGGCGGTCGATCTCCAGAAGCTGCTCAGTTCTCTCCATTCGACGTGCTCCCTCGTTGCACTCTCGGACGACTCGGTTAGAAGACGTCAACGCTTCTGTGGCGGTTTTGAAGCGATCATCGGAAGTGGAGATTCTGTCGAGGATCGCATAGAGAAGAAGGGGATATCTGGTGATTCTCTGCATTGGAAGCATCAAGAAACTTCTCATGTCGAGTCCCTGACACTGCTTGTTTTCCTCAAGTCGCTGAACGGCCGAAAGGAATCCCGGATTTTCAGTCTTCAAACGTCGGAGAGTGCGATCTTGGTAGACTTGATTGGAGCAGTACTTGATGTACACCTCGAAGTACTTGTCAAAGTGCTCAGACAGAATGTCACAGATGTCATCGAGAATCAGATTCTCTTCGAGTCGTGTCTCCAGATCACAGAGCAATCTGAAAAGTAAGCTTTCAATAAACATTGTGCTAGAAATTATCTCACCTTTCGGAGCAATCTCGAACGGCAAAGATGTTACTGAACAGGTGCTTTCTGTCGGAGTCTGACAAGACGGAAAGCGCAGATTTGGATCCGAGCATCTGAGGACTGGCCATGAAGTGGGTGATGAGCACATTGAGGGAACGGAGGTAACTGGCTTCGGATGTGATCACTTCGAAGTACGCCTCTTGTCTCAGTTTGCACTCGTCGTCCAGCTTCTCCAGAAGACCGGCTGCCCTCACTTCCGGTAGCTCGCACCAGAGACTTCTTTGTGATCCAAAGTTCGAGGTTCCAACGAGACGGTCTCTTCGCATTGAAGTGTTTGATGTCAAAGCGGACGCAGAAGTTGTGGAGCAGTCTGCTCCTCTTCCGGAATCCGAGGAGATGGAGGACTCACGACGAGTCTGCAAGACGTTTGTTGACGGAGTATTACGCTTGGCTGGAATGCTCACCGCTGGTTTGAGTGCGACGACTTCCGGAATAACCGGCATCTCCACCGGCTCCTCCTTAATTTCTTCCATCGCCACCTTCACCTCTTCTTCTGGAGCGGTCGTAGCCGCCTCCAGCATGTAGTGCTGATAGAGTGGCTGCTCGTTTGGCACCATCCGGCAAGTGTACTGTCGTTTGTACTCCTCTTCGTCGGGCGACGGCTCGTCATGATTAACAGCTGCCGACGGCGTCCATGAGTCATCCAATGGCAGATGCCCCACTGCAGGGCGAGCCACGTACTTTTCCGCGTCGGCCAATGCATCCGGACGTGCTGGGGGATCGAGAAGGATATCGGCACTCTCGTAGTCAGACGACATTTCTGAAACCAGAGCTGTTGGGGAATAAGAGGGGTATCAGAAAAGGAACAGTTGAATATGTTCAGATCATTACTGCTTGTGGGTCGTTAGATCATACTATGATGAAGTGCGAAAGGTTTGGATTGAAATGACTAGTTTATGACCGCAAAATAGAACCAGCTGACACCGGTACCAGGCTATAAGACATGTTGGGTTCAAAAACATTATTACGATCAGGGCGTTTCAAAGTAAATGCCGACTGAAAATAGAGAACGTTAACTAACTATTCCAGCTTTCAAATGTAAACAACTGAAATTCAATTCGCAACAGAGCGCATTTACTTTCTTCCGCTTCCTTACAGTATGTTTTGACACGACGAGGCTCTGGTTGTGATATGATATGACACAGAGAATATGAAAAACATACGCGATCTGCTTGCGTATTCCGGAAACGCCTTGTTCAGCTGCTCTTCTAATTGGCGATACATTGACGATCGACGGTCATCTGAAAGACGTAAAGTGTTGCAAATGCGTGTACGGCTACAGTCGTGTTTTGTCTCTCTCTCTCTCTCTCTCTCTTTATTTTCTTCCCTTTTCCCCCGCTCTCCCTCTTTTCTGCAATATTTGCCGTAATGTATACAGAGTGAGAAGGACGGGGAACGGTGAGCAATTCGTCATGCGGACCGAGAAAACGGAGGAAAAGCGCGTTGTTTTGGTAAGTGGAAACGAACGGAGAAAGGGCGAGAAGAAAGATATTAAAAAAATGTACGCCTTCTGGTTCTTTTCCCCGCTACTTTCAACTTGTACTACAGTAGGTTTATCTCAGGGGAACAATGGCGTTCCGAAGTGGAAAGCGGATGAAATCAGAGCGACGGAACAGAGTATTAGGCGCGACAAAGTATGACAATACCTACATGTATGTCAGCGAAAAATATAGCAAAAAGAGACAAAAAGGGCTTTGTTATTGTTATTATTGTTATTAGTGTTATTGTTGTGCGAGAGAAAAGGGTACAGGAAAGTGGTGAGGATGATTGGAACGAAGACTATGAAAATCGTGTACAGGGAAAGAAGAAGCTGTCTTACCGTGATAAACGTCGTCGTCGTCGCTGCTCCAGTCGTCTCCGTAGATGTGATCGTCGTCTTGGAAGGGCTTATCCACGCACGAAGACTTGGACATCTAAAGAACAATACGCTTCGAGTTTGAAAGAGAAAGACAAACTGACCGTGGCGCTGAAGTCGGTATCCAGAAGATCGACACTGACGTGGCACTTGGATCTTCTCTTTGCTTGTTTGTCTCCAACTTTCTGCCGTAATTGTCCCACCTTCAATTAAGACTCGTTAGCCCATTAATTTGTTTTGCTCTCTTCCCACCCCACCGTTCGTTCCCCACAAACCTTTTTTGACAGATTAAGCTGCAGCTCACTCTTGAACCGGAACAACTTTTCCAGCTCCATCGAGCTCATTCGTTTCGTTGACTTTGGATTTCTCTGAAGTGTCGCCGAAAGGAAGCGTTCCCTGACTTTCGGAGGATCCATCGCTTCTTCCAACTCGTCCGCCTCATCGAACACTTCCTCTTCTCGATCGTGATTGTTTTGGTTAGATTTACAGGGACGCGTAAAGTCTGTGGACTCGTAGGAATATTCAGACGTTTCTGAATGCACTGGGTGATGTGTCGGGATGTAACAGGCGGTCGGAGTAGAGGATTCGGGGTCAGTTACGGGTGTAACCAGCATGATTTCCTCGTAGCAGTCGTCGTCGTCAATGATTTGGGAGGGCGCAGGAACTGCAGGGACTGGAATACTTGGGATTCTCGGAATTCCGGATGACGTGGACGTAGAACTGCTTCTGAAGTTGATGGGAAGAGTGTCGAAAGACTGCGCCGGCGGTGGAGGTGGCGGGGACTTCAGTCTTGTGCGAGGGAGTGTGGAGCATGTTGCCGACATCGACCTCGGAGCAGGAGTCGGCTTCAGGTAGGACGGTATCCTTTGTATCCGCGCTTTGGACGGTGGGGCAGCAGGAATGGGTGGAGGTGGAGAGACAGGACTGGCGGAGGAAGGATCTTCAGACATCGGGATGGTAAGGGACACTCGACACCTCTCTTCGTAGACAGGAATCTCGTCCTTCTTCAAACTATCAACAATCATGCTTGTTGTTTGGAGACTGAAATAGACACAGATACATAGGAAAAAATAGTTGTTCGATGTCGCATAGACTCTATTGACACTCCCTTTGACTCACCGAAGTCTTGGTGCTGGCTGCGGTACAACAATCAGTGGCCCGGGAATAAATTCTGGAGCTTTTCCAGCTCCCGGGGAGAAATCGCCGATCGACTTGCTCTTCCGAAACTCAGAAGATGTGACGATGACGGCGAGCTCGCTGTTGCTTCGCGTTCGTCGTTTCAACGAACTTCGCCGGCGCGGGATGGCGCTGCCGCGGACCACTCGCGATGTTGACGGCCTGGAAGCAAACATCCATTAAGAAGGGCTCAGAGATTGCCAAGCTTACTGTTGGATGTTTTCAACCACCCGGAACTTGCCAATCCGTTTCGCGGTCACCGGTTTGTGCTCTATTCGGGCGCCACTCTCAAATCTGAAACGAAGAGAGTTGTTGTACAGAAATAAGAAAAGAGAAGGGCTGTATCACAAACAAGGAGTGGTCACAATCAGTGATAAGAAAGTAGACAAAATAAACATGTGCATACACTCTGGAAGAAGAAGAAGAAGCGGAATGGAAGCGGCAAGAAGAAAGAGAAGAAGGAGGACGACGACGCCCTTTCCGCTGCTTCTTCTTCTTCTTCTTTTCCTCAAAGTCCGGCCGGTTTGTTGTACTGGAGAGTACCATGTCAATCAACCGGAGGGTAATGTGCTATTGTGTTCGTTGTAGGCGATAAAGTTACGGAGAAACTGGTAAACGGTCAAACAACCTTTTGGCAAGCTCTTTGACGTTCGGCAGCCGCATTTTCGTCGTCGTTGTCGTCGTTTTTGAACTCGTGGGGAGTTGGGCTTCTGATGTCGTTGTTGGTGCATCGGACATTAGTCGGCTCAGTCACCCCAGGCTGAAAGGAGAGAAGAAGTTGAGCAGAAAGGCTAAAAATAGGGAAGTCGGTTGAGAGAGGCCGAATTCAAATAGATGCATGCAACAACTCGATGGGTTAATCGCTTGATTCAACATTTGAATGTGTGAAGAGAGAGGGCGAAAAAGAGCGCGCGAAAATATGATCGGACTGTTTATCCTGCGCCGCCTTTCCCAGAAAAACACCTCTTTTGAAGAGATCAAATTCATCCAACAGGAAATGGATACTTGATGGTCAATCGGCATCAAAAGAGGCATCAAATCGTGTTCACAATGCTACTACTATTGAGAGAAAAGTATTGTAGACGTACTTGAAACTGAGAAAGAAAAGTGAGCGGGAGAGAATGAGGAACCTTGAAACCTTGAAACCTTGGCGGTCAATTATTACATGCGAAAAGTGTCAAGCTGCCAGCTGAGACACCACAACACAATGCATGTTTAGACAGGAAGAAAACGGAAGGAAGAGCAAGCACGGGTCAATTGCGCAGGCGGACGGCTGACCGGACAATGCAAGGAAACGTGCGAAAAACAGAAGAAGAGTGATCGATGGAAGGCAGAGAAAGGGGAAGGGGCGCAATTTGCATTTGAGTGACATTCGAGAGTCGCTCTGAAGGGCTCTTGCAGGTATCCACTAGTGCCACGTCGGGAACGAACGCGTGGCAATTCGTAACGCTCGAAACTCATAACTCTTGATTGATGAATTCAATGACGCCGACGCCGGCAGTCGGGAAACAGAAACAACAAAAAAACGCATATTGTGTAGAAGGGGGAATGAATGGAAGAGTTTGAAAGAAAGATGCTACTGTATCTGTGTTGACCGGGACGAACAGAATAATCCGTCTCACACCTACCAACTCTCAATATTTGAACTCCCGCGTGTTTACCCTCAGATCCACCAGCACATTCTCAAAAGATTCCGAACGTTTCAAAGGCATTCTGGCGCGGAAAGGTGCCGACGCAAAGGGTGTTGATACTAATGAAAAGTAAACAAAACAAGGGGGAGGTTGTGGTGGTAGCCGATCTGCATCACCACCCGGGGATTTATGTCATGGCAGAAAGAGGAAACAGAGAGAGAGAGAGAGAGAGAGAGGGAAAGACTTGTTACAAGTTCATCCTTCTCTTCTCTATCTTTCGCCTATTACTTCAATCATTCCTAATCGCTGTACAGTTGTATGTGCTCGCTCATTCGGAAGGAAATAGATGTCTCCCAGGTGGCAAGTGGTCAATTGTCCATCAGTTACTCAAAACAATGTACTTCTCTCGCATTTCATTCAGTGTGTAAACGAGGAAAGACCCGGAGATTCGGAGCACTATTAAATATCAATTCGTCTCGGGAGCTTCTGCCCTCCGGTCATTCGGCACAGAGCAAAGAGAGCGAGAAAAAGAGCCGAGGGCGATAATGGGCTCAAAGGTGTGATGAATGATGGGTCGGCATGAAATAACAGAAAAAGAGGGACAAACGGAGAAGGATAGTAAGTGACTGACATTAAAATTGTACAAGTCATGTTCTCAAAAACAATTCCTATTGACTAACCGTTCATGCCACGTCACGTCAGTTGGAACGCCTTCTCTGTTCCGTGGCATCGGAAAGTGCTAATCACAAGACCGAAATTACGAAATTCTGTCAAACTTTGTCAGTTTCTCTGTTTCTCTTTCTCGAGATGGCAGTTTTTGGTCAGCAAACCAGTTCTCCCACCTGATGATTAGATGTGTTTTCTCGTTATCGAAACCCCGAATTATTGACCCCAAAACGGAATTTTGGAGAAGAAGAAGAAGAAGAAGACGAAAGATGGGGGAAATGAGACTAGACTGGTCCTGCAGAAGTGAGGAGTGACCAATGGAAAAACAGAAAAGGAGCCCGTCGGGGCAGGGGGCATGTACATGTGCTCTGGCCGCTGAATTGAAATGGGCCTCTTCCTCCTTTTGCCTTATGCATCCCCCTCGTTCGTTTTATGACGAGACATCACGGAGCTTATGGAGAGCGCCGAGAGCCCGAGTACAAGTCCATGGGTGAAGGGACCGAAGAGAGGGGGGCACTATTAATGAAGGACGGGCGGGAGGCAAAGGGTACGGAAACGGGCGGGGATCGGGTGAGGGAGGGAGGGAGGGAACTGCGCAGACTGGACCGAGATGAAGAAAGAGTGTAATTGAATGAACACGGAGTGCTTCTGTGCTCTCGGAGCAGCAGAAGCCGGAGGACGAGGAGGAACAGGGATTCGAGAGCAAATGTGTTATGAGGATGGGGGGTCGGAAGGGAGGATAATAAAGGATTAGGCTAATTGGAAAAACGAGCGGACCCGTATCATTTGATTAATCGAACGGGCGTGAATATGACACATAAACAAAGCGAAGGAAGGTTGCGGAGTGCGGGAAAAAGACGATGACGAAATCGGAGTGGACAAGCCATGCGCGTTTTAATCAAGGGTTATACGCTACTTTGTGAGTGAGTGGTGGGAGAAAGAGTTTAGGGGAAATGGAAAATGAGCAGGAAAACTCTAGATACAGACGCTCAGGCTAAGTGCCGTTTGGAAGAAAATTGAGAGTGTCAGTTTGACGATGAAGGGGACACTACAGTAATCTGAGAGAAAATTCTGGAGAAGCGACAGAACAGGAGATCTCAGTGTTCAGCATAATTAACGGAAATTATGAGAAGAGGAAGAAGAAGGCAGCTCTCTCTCTCTCTCTCGGTTGACAGTTTCAAAAAAGCGTTCGGTTATCAAAGAGTGTCTCTTTTGCCGCCTCGAACTGGAACTGTCATTCGGCCGGCACGTGGTCATTTCGCTCGGCACGGAAACTGCGTAATACGTGTATGTGAGTGTGTGTGCTCCACCTCCAATTTTTTGTGTCCACTTTCCTCCCACTCCCGTATTATTATTCGGCTGCTTCCACTTTTTGTCCGCATTTGCGCGGCGCTCATTCCGCTCGCGGCGCCTTCCGGAACGACGTAATACTCTTTCGCATCACAGTTCTTCGAAGGATCTCCCCCACTCGCCCCTCGTCACCTGTTTACCGACGATTATGAGCTTTTGTGTCTTTTGTGTGTGTGTGCGTATTGAAAAAGTGCTCAAGTCTCCAACACTTTGCGCGAGCCGGTAAGAGTAGCCAATAAATATTGGTGTTGATGCGATTAGCATATTTGGAGAGAAATCGAGACGATGGAGAGTATATTTTGAACGGGGTCTCTTAAGAAAACGACTTTTATTGGAGAACAGAAACAGAAGTAGTATATAATTAGCTCGGATTTCTTTTCAGAGAAGCTCCATGCGAGTCTTCAGATCCACGGTCTTTCTGAAGAGTGGAGAGTACCGTCTCTTGGGCTTTTTGAACAGCGTCGCCTCCTTTTCCTCCTGCTCTTTTTGACGTCTCAAGCGCGGAGAATCGCACTCCATCGGTCGTTTGAACCTCTCGTCGGAGCTCTTCTTGTCCGTTCCCTCCTCCTCGGACGCTGTGCTCGGCGGTGTGCACGACGGTTTCTGCACTTTCCCGAGCACATCACTTTTCGGTACATAAACTCCCAGCTGGCAAATCAGATCGGCGGGGACCGGGATGGCGCTGCTCGCTTCTTGTTTCTCGGCTCTTGGACTCTGAGCTTGACTGGCGTTCGATGGCATCGTGTAGTTGAATCTGTAAAAAGTGAATTGAAAGCTAGAAACCAGATTATATAATAGAAAGCAAAAACTAGAACGTAAATGAGCATATGAAATGTTTATAATATGAACGAATCAATGGACGAAAAGAGAGGAAAGAGAAGTGAATCGTCGTCTGAGAGCAACCTGAACAATGGAATGATTGACTGCCAATCTGACGGACGGTTTGCACATCTTCACATTCCTCTCCGCCCATTTACAATTTCACAGACTATGAACCATAGTATCTCCACCTAAACCTTCTTCCCACGAGGCATTGTGCTGTTGCGTTGCTCTGGAGAATGAACAGTTTATTTGAGGAAATTGATTTGGGAATGAAAAGGTAACAACAGAGCAGCACAGGAGATCACTTTATCCGGTATTATTGATTTCAGAGAACAGTCATCCGAATCTGAGCATTCCGACTCTTTCTCCACAGCGGCGAGTAGCGTCTCAGCGGCTTCTTGAATGTGAATTCCCCCTTAGAATCTTCCGCACTCTTCATCCTTTTCAGCAACGGGGAATGACATTCTTTCGGTTTTTTGAATACTTCCTTCTCTCTTTCGCCGTTTTCGTTTAGCTCCTCCGTTTTCGGGCATTCGCTCTGTTCCTCATCGTTGCCCTTTCCCTTCTTTATGATCTTTCCGAGGTGGTTACCGGACGGCTCGTAAATTCCGAATGAGGTGACAGGCAAAGGATTGGGTTGCGAGTCACTGCTCGTCGCGTTCTTATCGTTCAGATCTATCGATTGTTTCTCACAGAACGACGTCATACTGCTCCTAAAATCATAAGAATTCAGATACTATCGATCCGAGTATTTTACAGTTCTTTGAAGGATGACATCGCTAACAGCAAACCTCGACAAGGAGCGTGTGATACTTCTCCTAGAAAATGTGTCAAATGGAGTCAATGTAAGTGTTTCTCCAGTCTCCGTCCGTTTATCTAATCTTTTCCAGGTCTCTGCGAACATGTGTACCCTAGCCTCGATCGATATTCCATTGGACATTGCAGACGAACTAAACGTGGCGGAGACGTTGACCCCGCTCTCCGGATCTGCTGTGCTCAAAGAGTCTGTGCACGAGATTCTGAAAAAGTTGGAAGGGAAAAGAAGGAAAGAAGTGCCAAAGGTTTCCGTGGTGAAGCGTGTGGCGTCGAAGAAGTCTCTGAAAAAGAACCGGTCCAGCGGCGGACTGAAGAACACTCAGGAGCCGGAGACTAGAGAGAACAAGTCAGAAAGGCTCTTCAAGAAGAAAGAGCCCAAGAAGAAGGATTCTTCAATCTGGAAGCGAATCAAGAAAACTCAAGAATGATAACAGTACTCAAGTGTTGCATGCGGAATAATCTTCATATCTCAATAATTAATGTTTGTTATCAGCCTCTTGTCAAAATGATCACAGCTCGGACGTCCGCTCACGTAATGCTCATTGTCCATCATCAGTCGCCGACGCATCATGAGCCCCCACAGATAATTCTTCTCCTTCTTTCTCTCTCTCTCTCTCAGTTTCGCTTCCTTCATCTGATTCCAATCGATGGCTCCGTCTTCCCTCTCCGTTCCCAAACAACTGCCTCTCCCGTGGGCTCCATCCCGCCCGACGGCTGTACTACAAGTCTCTCTCTCTCTCTCTCTCTCTCTCTCTCTCTCTCTCTCTTTTTCTTTCTCTGCCATCGGATTGATTTCATCGGTTTGCCTCCGAAATCTCGCTTCTCGTTATCTCTCTTTCTTTCACAACTCCGATTTCGCGCCTATTTATTTATTCGTCTGATGTGAGCCGCCTTGTTATCTCAGCGTCTTTCTAATTTGTGTTTGATCTCTTCGAAAAGTCTACAGAATGAATCCGTTTGTTTTTTTTTCCGTTCTGTTCCATTGCAAAGTCCAAACAGACAGTTCAAAGTCCCCTCAACCCTCGGAGCATTTTCTTACAGTCCCCCGGAACTCGGGCGAATCTTAAGATCCTCACCCAAAACCTTTCCGACAAGTGTTGTTTTTTCACGCGATCCCAGACTGCTGCTGTGCTTCGCTGCTCGCCACACTCTTTGGCAGCAAAAGTTCATGGCTCCTTGTTTTCGTCATGGCTCCCTTCGCTCGCTCTCTTCTCGTGCCATCTATCCGACGGATTGTGCACATTCTGCATCTTTTCTTCTTTTCGGCGAGAGTGGGGAAAGCCGTTTTTTCCGTGTCTTCTCGACGACTTGAGGGAAGAACTGCTTTCTTATTACATTGTGGTTCGGGTGGAAACTTGAGCATTTCGCGAGAGTAACTACAGAAGAGTTCTTTGTGCCCACTCAAACTGCCCATGATCGCTTCCGTTCACTCCTTTTTCCGTCAACTTCTCTCCTCTTCCATTCCTCTTTTTAACAGGCTTGCCCGGTATGGCCTACGACGAGCGTCTCGGGTACGACCCGGACGAGTGGGAGGAGTGCCCCGAGTCGGAGCACTTCCTCGTCTTCTCAGCCTTCACCCGTTACCTGCTCACCGCCGCCGCAATCGCATTCGTTTACTATTTCTTCAAACTTCTCGACGAGCACAAGAATCCAAGGCAGGAAGTGGAGAAGACGGAAGAAGAGCAGCCGCAAACTACGGTAGAACAAGTGCTGGCTGGAGCCAGTCACAAATTGCAAGATGTGAAAGAACACGTGGTAATAATTATCAAAAACCTTCATTTCTGACATTTGTTCATTGTTCCAGCAACAAATTCCGCAGAACGCTGAAGATCTGCTGCGTGAAGCGGACCAGTATCTGAAGCAAACCGTCCAACCAGTTCAGAACAACACCCACCAGCTGGTCGAGAACAAGTTCCCGAGCCTTGAGGTTGACCATAATGTCGGGTGAGTGTCTAATTACTTTTACAAATGAGTAAGTTCGTTTTTCAGACATCCAATCACAGCCACGAAGGAAAAGTTCGACACAGTTCTCTCGGCAGTCGACAATCATCTTTATGAGACGAAAAACATGGATTTGTCGCCAAAGTCCAGAGATTCCACCCAATTTGAGCAGATTCCATCGGTCGCCCAAGAAGAATTTGCTCATGATTTTGAGCATGTTCCACCGCACCTCAAGAAAGCTGCCGAGCAGTACTATGCTCAGCAGCAACCGCAGGATCCACGGCCTCCAGTACCTCAACATCAAGCACACTTCCAGCAGTCTCAACCCGTTCCAATCTCTCCGACGGAGCAGAAACTGCTTCAGGAGTTTGATATCTACGATGCTCCAGCCGATCAGAGAATCAATCAAGTCACCGAGCAACTGGGACAGAGACCGCTTCCTTCACAACCTTTCCAACAAGTGCAGCAATATCCTCAAGGAGCCTTCCAACAATTCCAACCACAACCACTGCACATTCAGGCTGAGCAGTACCCTCCGAACCTTGATCTTTCGCAACTTTCCCCCGGAACCCGTGCTCTTTACGAGCAACAACAGTTCGTGGACATCTCTCAGTTGTCTCCAGGAGCCCGTCGCCTCATTACGGAGCAGCAGGGAGCATTCCAGCCGGTGGCCAGAAAGTTAACACGAGAGAAGAGGCTCAGCGAGCAGTTAGTTGACGTTTTATAGCATTCCAAACGTGTTTTGTTCCAGAGACGAACGTGCTCTTCAAGATTGGGAGAAGGAGAAGGCTCTGCTCGAAGCAGATCGCATCAAGAAACTCCTGGATCATGAAGTAGGAGGGGACTCGAACACTGATCTTTCCAGCTCGCAGAAGGCATATGATCACTTCTCCCCTGCCTCACACATTTCATACGAGAGCCAAAGTGCAGGAGCGCAGATTCAGTGAGTCGAATGCAAACCCGATCTTCTGATAATCAAAACGATTTCAGACCACTCACTCCAACTGCTCCGAAACGGGCGGATCAGATAGGTGCTCCGGCGATCACATCAATCACAAAGTACGTTTATTTTCAGTGTTCCTATATACAAAAACCAATCATCAATCGATTACATAATAAACTATCATTCCTAGTACTCATAAAAGGTATCGGTGCTCGATCCGAGACTCTCCTCCCTTGTCGCTGTTTTCCTCTTCTTCTTCGTCGATTCTTCTCGCGATCTCATAACACTCGGCTCTCGCGACTTTGTGATACTGTCCGTTTGCCAGGCTCTGTAGCGTTTGTAGATGAAAATGAGCAAAGAATGGTTCCTTGCGAGCCGAGAACAATTGTAAAGAGATAGTGCCAGAAGGTTGTGTAAGGGGAGTATAGGGTGCCGAATTGAAGCACCCAGGGAAGGCCAAGCGATACTTGCATAACCATAATCGAGACTATTTTCGTGATCACATTCGGATCGTAGTGGTGGCCCTGAAAACAGGATCATTTCATTGAATTTTGATTTCAGGTGACGATTCTTACCCCTTGACTGAATTTCCGTTTCATTCCACAAAAAACTTTGTAAATCATGAAGCTGGTGCAGAATACCGTGCTGATTAGAATACAGTGACCGGAATAATAATAGCAGCCACTACAAAGTCCGGCCGAACCCAGCAGAAACAGTCTTGCCGATCGAAGAACGTGGTGAAAACGAGCAGAAATACGGAAAGAGTGAACGGAATGGCTGGAAGTTGCGATGAGAGATCAGAAGGGAACGGGCTGTGCTCACCGACTGAGATGAATAGAATCGATGGAGAACTGAGAAAGACGTTGAGGATTTTGAAGAGTTGCGGAGGAACAAATACTAGAATGTTGCGAAAGGCTTGAAAGATTGTGAGTAGTAGAGAGCTGGAAGCGAATTGAGATGAGTGCTTTTAGAGAAGTAGACTACTTACCAAACTAGTAGAGCGTACATAACTGCCGCCATGACAGTGCACATTTGTCCTGAGATGTACTGATTTGAGAATACTGTGAAGAACACGTAGAAGAGAAGAAGATCGAGGTGGTAAGCGAGAGCGAGAAAGTCCCGTCGGGCCAGACTGTGACCGCGGACGTACGTGTAGAAACGACTTTGAGAAAGAGATGGTATACTGAAAAACAACGATCTCAGAACAACTGAAAGTAACTGACTAGGCTGAGATACTGAAGAATGTGAGAAAAGCCAATGAGATAATGGATAGACCGTTGACAACAAAGCCGAGAGTGATGAGAGCATTGTCGCACACGTTCGGATCGTTCAGCGCGGCATCCTGTAAGCAATATTCCATCGGTTATCTGCGTTAAAATTGAAAGAAGAAATACCACAATGATTGCGAAATCCGTGAGATGCAAGCACTTTGCTTCGATGACTCCATCTGCATCCGACACTATCTCGCACTGTCTCTCGTCCGCCCATTTCATCCTTCCCGTGTCCCACCAAGTCACTTTCAAGGATCCATGTAACGGGCGACTGATTGTGGACACGTTGAAACGGAGCACAGCCATCGCTGCTTCTGAGCTGGCACTCACGGTCACGGCGACTCCGTTGTTCAGAATTGTGGCGCTCATCACTGGAGTGGAAGGCAGAGATGTTTGACGAGAACAGGCGGAGACCGGAGCTGTTTCTGAAATAGTTTAGGTCCGAAACGTTGTTGAATTGGGTCTTACGGTTGGTAGTGGTATCATCGTCTTCACTGTCTCCATCCTCAACGGAACGTTTAGTTCTAGGCGGCGGAGTGTAGGCTTCAGCTCTCCCGGAAGAGATCGGATGATTGGTTCCACTATAGGTACGGTACTGCTGTTGACCGACGAACAGAGATGTGTCCCGGTAGATAGTGAAATATACGTGAGTAACTACAATCAAACTTTCAATAATCTTGGATCCAAACGGTCAAACTCACGCTCTTGAGAGCTGCACAGTTCTGATAGAGGGACGACAACCGAGTGCCACTTTCCCAGTGAGTCTGTCGTGTTTATCAACTCGAATTTCGATCCCAAGTCTAACAGTCCATCATCTACTGAAGTGTTCTGACAGTCTATTTTCTTCGAACTGAATCCCAAGTTTATTCCTTCCAATATTCTATCCGCTGATCTATTGTATTGTGTACCATGTTACCGAGAGATTGTAACACTCTGAATCGTATTAATTTATTCTAAAACATGTAAAAGAAGCTCTTACTCCTGAGGCGAATTTCCACTCTGATACATCGTGCTCTTATCCACATACAACATGTTGTCCAAGTTTTTTAAAATCGAGAACGAGTGCTGAAAGTGATTGATTGACAATTTTCTAACATTTGCGTGTTTCTTTCTATCCTTCTCTCGTTCTCTGCCGTCTCTAACCCATTCTGCGTACCTCTTCTCACCTCGGCTTTCAGTCCGGGAACGTTGCACGCATTGCACAGAATCTTCGAAATCTCGGTCACTTGGGTCGCATTCAGACCGGCGCCTTGTCTCGAATATCCGAGAGTCTCATTCAGCACCGTCGACACGTTATTTATGCCGACTCCACTCTGAATTGTAATCCGATTAAACAATTGTTTCTCGACTTATTTAAATTACTAACATCGCTCAAATTTTTCAGCGTCGGTACAAACACATCCGATGACGACGTTGTTGTGGGCGGTGATGACGTCATCGGCGAGTTCGTCGAATTTGTGTCCGTTCTGTAAAACGCCCACGTTGGTTGTTTAATCAGTGTACCTGTCAACTATCACGTAGTAGTGCTAGTGTCGGCAGTGATCGTGGTGTTGGTGGAAGTGCTCGTGGTGGTAGTGGTCACTGTTGTCGTTGAGAAGGTAGTTGACGTTGTGTCAGACAAAATATACTTTGTAGTTGTAGGCAAGGTAGTCGTAGAAGTTGGATGAGTTGTAGTTGTACTTGGGATTCGTTCGGTTGTTGTTGTAGGAGTAATAGTGACTACGGTACTCGGGAATGTGGTTGTAACGGTGGTGCTAGGCGGTGTAGTTAACCTGGATGTGCTGCTTGTTTCCAGTGTCGACGGGTCGTTATTCCAGAATGGTCTGTTGCTTATGCTGCAAAAATCAATCGTTTTTCTTTTCAATGAAGTTTTCCACCCTACCAAGTGTCGTTAACCCCCGAGCACAACGCGTAAATGTCCCTGCACATGCAGACGGAATCCTTGTAAGCCACGCCGTTTGTGTCCACAGAATACTGTGATCCGGCGACACATTCGCCACTGTCCAGGGTTTCCGAACATCCGTTTATGTACAGATCGGGGGGCGTCGTGCCACCGCGATAGACAAAAGTGATAAGATTGGACTGCTGCAAAGAAAAACAACAGGAAGTTGATGTTTTGAGAGAGAGAGATAAGAGGAAATGCAACAAAATGGGACTGATCGTAGGGGTGCTAGGAATGGGTGATGTTTATTGGACAATAAAGTTTACTTCCGTCCAGTCACATTCTGATAATCACCAACCATGTCCATTTTGTAGAGCACAATATTGAGAAGTTCATTTTTGAATTTTGAACTTGCAAAGTGAACTGATGATTCCACAACTGAAAATGAGAACCAGGTGGTCACAGAAACAGAATTGATAAGAGATTTGGAAGGGCAGAGTATACGAAAATAGAAACATACTTTCTTCCATTGACAAACATTGAGAAGTGAAGCGGAGTGACGTTGAGGACCGTCGTTGTGAAAGTGGCAGTTTCATCGTCGGAATAGGCGACGTCCACTTGGACATTCACATAGTAGACTTGCAGAAAGTTATTGAGGTTGGTCTCTTTGAACGAGAACGTGTACGTGGTTGTCTCGGCGGCTCCAAAGAGCACGATCAGACAGAAGAGAGCCGGTCCGAGACGGCTGGACATCGGAATGCATAAACCAATTACGGTGCCGGCAGGACTGAAGAGAAATTGAGAGCGAGAGAGGAGGAGAAGCCGACGGGCGAAAAGTGATAAGAGATGAGTCGACTCGTCACTTTGCCCCACTGATAACACCCCCATAAAAACGGCGTTTGCGTAGTCGAGAAGGCGGCCGTCGTCACCCGCTCCGTCAACTCACTTTCCAGAACTTTTGTGCCCACACAGACGCTCACTCGTATTCCGTGTTTGCCCACGCAAAGAACAACATGGGAAAACAGAAAACGAAGAAAAAGAGAAGAGAAATCGATTGAAAAACCCTTCATTCCATATGAATCACCCGCATAGCCATACCTTCCGGCCTCGTAAAGCTAGTCTACAAAGATAGGCATCAGTCGAAGAATTCATTCGTTCTCCATAAAAGTGGTTGCTCTCCTCCGCGCCCTCGACTCTCTCCTTTGCTCTCTTGCACTCCATTTCTTCGACTCTCTGACAAGACGCTGCCGACGGTACATAAATATTATGAATAAATCCAGTCCCTGAGAGCCGAGCAGAATGACGAAAATGTAATTCCAAGATGTGTCTCCGGCCAGACCGATAATCACAAAGTCGACTCCCTGAAAAGCAACTGTTTCAAAGAGCACCCTATCACAGTCTTTGGCTCACCCATGGCACTCCCATGGCCACTTGCATGAAGATAAGTCCGATCACTTTGGACCAGAACTCCACGTCGTGATGAGCGGTGTCACTGTTCGCCAAACTTCGTTTCGATTGGTAGAATATCTTATAAATAGCCAAAATTGAGCAGAGAGCACCGGTGATGGTCGGCAGAAGAATGGGAATGATCACGGCGAAGGTGACATAATCGGGACGGATCCAGCAATAGGAGTCGTCGCGTCGGAAGAAGTTTTCGTTGAATATGACGAGTGAGAGAGTGAGCGTGAACGGAAAAATGACGCCGATGGCCAGAGCAGCCGGGGTGCTGACCAGCACTTTGAAGAACTTTTGGAGTGTGGGATGAAGAAAGTGAGAGACCATTCGGATTCCGATTAGCATGTTCAGGACAGTTGCGCTGAAAAGGAAGTGAAATGAGAATGCGAGGGACTGGGATGCGGTACCAGATGAGCGAGAAGTATGAGGTTGCTGCAATGCACACGCACTTTGGGGAAGTCGTTCCAATATTCCTTTGATTTTCTGATTGATCCATAAAGAATAACGTGAGGATGAAGAATAACAGAAAGTTGCTATTATGCAAAAGATTGATGATGTCACCGTGAGGCGGGAACTGTCCACGAAGGAACGTGATCACCCGACGTATTCTGGGATTACGGAAACTGAAATATAAGATTATGTCGTTGGAAACATTCAAAACACACTTACTAGAACAAGATGCTGACGGTGACAAGGAAAACGAGGCAGGCCATTGATAGCCCATTCACAGTGTACATCACAATGATCAGTGGCAAAGAGCACACGTTTGGCGAGTCGAGCTGGCCGGATACTAGGGCCGAAAAGTCCGTGAGATGCGCGCAAGTGGCAGTCACGATTCCGTTTTCGTAACTCTGCACTTTGCACTGCTCTTCCGTCGCCCACATCTGCGATTCAGTGTCGAACCACGAGACAATGACTTTACCGTGGAGTGGGCGTTGAATCTGGAATCACTTGGTTTCGGTTGATCGTTTCATGTTGAGCTCTAACTTTCTGTATATTAAACTGCACTTTGGCAATTATTGGAGACTCGGCTGCAGTTGAGAGTCTGCTCACAATTTTTTCGTTGTTCATCACTGTTGCTGACATCGCGCCAGACTGATCCGGAATGGATATCTGCGGTGTGCACTTTGAAAGAGGTGACATCGGAACCGAGTTGGCAATGTCTCTCCTCGATCTGACGTGCTCGTCCTGCACACTGTCTTCCTCGTCAGGCACATCGTTGTCTGCGCCGAATACTCGATACTTTTGCGGGCCTATGAACAGTTTTTGATGGCGATAAATGGTATAGATGACGTGGGTGACTTTCTGATCGCCACAGACAGTTTTCAATGGAATGGTGACCGAGTTGTGTTGAGTCCCCGACAACTGGCTTGTGTCATTCAGAAAGGCAAATCCGGCGTCAGGACCATAGTCAACCAGGCCCTCCTCTGCATCCGCATTCTGAAAATTTAATTGGAGGCAGTTCGATGAGGGTATCACTTACTGAGCAGTCAACTTTCTTAGCACCGAATCCCAAATTCTGTCCATTCAGGTAATGGATGACCTTTGTTTTCTCATCGGTATTCCTAACCATCGGCCGAAGAATGTCCAGGAGACGGTACTCTTTGTCATTTTGCCCTTTCCGAATCTCATTCTCATGAGCATTCAAGCATTCATCCATGTTTTTAAGAATCTGCACTGCATTCTGAAACGTCTCGTTGTTATCGGTCATATTCTGAATAGAAACATCACTTCTGCTGAAATACCAGCCAAATTCGCTGATTTGTGAAGGATCTTTGTGATCTCAAAGACTTGAGTCCCGTTCAGCCGGATACCTTGCGTCGAATAGTGGAGGGTGTCATTGAGAATTGAAGTGACGTTATTCAGTCCAACTCCAGACTGAAATTCGGATGTGTTGGGAAAACTTAAAGAACAGATTCACATTCGAAAGATCTTTGAGGGATGGAATTCCTTCTGGAGTTGTTGATATTATCGTCGTCGTCGTGGTGGCAGTAGGGGTGGGAGATGTTCCTTCAGACGTTGACGTGGATGTGGATTCATCATTATCCTCCCACCACTTCGTGTACCCTGCTCTACTGGAAATTCTGATCTTTCTTTCATCCCTTGATCTTGCACCCACCACACTCCATCCTGTGCTCCTTGACAGTCCAACTGAGTTCTCCGGCAACTGCACACCTCATCCGTGTACGCATCATTTCCAATGTTCAAAGATTCGGTTGTCTTCACACATTTGCTGAAATCGGCCAATCCGTCATCACAACCAAGCACCACGATTCTCGGAATATGAGTGTACTCGAAATCGAATAGATCCAAATGCTGGTTTCCTCGATAAACAGTCACATTCACACTTTTCCCTTTTACGAACGATCCATCGCATTGATCTTCCGCACACCTGAATTTTGAAAATTGGCAAGCAAATAGGCTGTGGCACTCACAAAGCATTGCTAACGAGGACTTCAAAGTATTCTTTTGCGCTGTTTTTTATAGTAATCGAGTATGAGCACTCTTCAAGAGAGCACACCATACTTGCGGAAACTTGCAACTCTTTCGTGTCCACCTCCTCTTTCTTCTCATTCAGAGAAACTTTGTATTCGAACTGGTTGGGCTGATCGTATTGAGTAGTTGTGCCGGGCGTAGAAGTGGACAGAGAGGTCGTCGACGGAGATGAAGAGAATGTGGAATCATCGTCCACCCACCAGGTTAGATAGCCATCGGAGCTAGAACGATTAATTAAATTCACACTAGCTTATACGCTTACCATTTTCCAATGGATGTCTGAGCATTACAAGAGTTGCCAACTGATTGACACACACAAACGTCGTCGTTATAATAGCCACCATTCGCGTAATTAGTATTTGGAATATGAAGACAAACGTCATCATTCGCATCCGTTCTACGCGCAAGTGTTCCATCTTTCACCATGCCGTCGCAACCAATCACAATGATCTTTGGGGTCGTCTCATACTGGAACTGCAGTAATTCCAGATGCTGTCCGAGACGGTAAACCGTCACGGATGCTGGTTGACCCTGAGTGACTGTTCCTTGGCAAGGAGAAGCACATCTGAATTTGACAGGTTAGATGCTCACTGTTGGTGGAGGTTTACTCTTGGTTGTCCACCAATACGGTATAGTAAGTTGGCGAGTCATTTACAATGACCGCCTCGTAGTGGCACACCATCAATGAACAGTTCATGGAAGCCGTCACGGTTACCGTATCCTGGTCTGTATCCTGATTTGTCTTTCCTTCGGATAAAGTTACTGGAAAACTCAAGTAAAGCGGAGAATCAGGCTTCCACCACTCTGGAGTTCCGTTATAGCTGCAAATGAAACCAATTACACCCTCAATTTCGTCCCCATTACTAACCATACACCGTCGGGATCGGCTCCTTGACAGCCATCGTTACTGCTGTCGCAAGTGCACACCAGGTCATATCGATTGTGTTCCTCGTCGAACTGCTGAACTTTGAAGCACTTTCCAGCCGTCACATAACCGCTTGAGCAGCCAAGAACAACAACATTATTGTATTGCAATTCAAACCATTCCAAGTATTCGCCTTGTCTGTGCACATTCCATTTTATGGTTTCTGTGGGAGTGAATGAGCTTTCCACATTATTCGGAACTCTGTAAATCTTAATGACTAGTAGATGCATTAAGAACTTGAGTACACGAACGTTTTGTCATTCATCAGAACGGTGTAAAACTCGCCGGCGGGATTTGTAATGTTAACCTGGAATGTGCAACCCATATCTTCACAAACCAAGAAGATATCAGCAGTTATTGAGTACTGAATGCTCTGATCGTTCGCATCGGTTTCTGTCAGTTTGATATTCAACGGAAAATCAGGAGTCAACGTGGTAGACTGGGTTGCTGAAGTGGTCAGACCCGGAGTTTTCCACCACATCGGCTTCCCATCAGCACTGAAACGTCAAAGTTCGAAGAATCTTTCGGAGTGATCTAAACTAACCATTCGCCGTAAACGGAGTTCGCGTCACAGTAAACATCTTTGTTCTGACATGCACACAACCAGTCATCCTTCTGAACAACGGTGTCGTAATAGTTGGCCATCAGACAGTGTTCGTAGCTCAACATTCCCGTAGAGCACCCCAGAACCGCCACATTCGGAGCGTCGATGAACTGAAGATCGAACAGATCCAAAACTTCGCCACCCCTCAAAACGGTCACTGCCACGGACCGCCCTTTCACAAGTACGCCGTCGCATATCGACCCGGGACACCTTGAGAGAACAACGTGTCTGGTTGTAAATCTTGGAAGACTCACTCTTCATTGTCGACATTTATTGTGAAGTAGACTTGAGCATAATCGACAATTTCTACATTATACCGACATCCAGTTGTAGTACAGTTCATAAATGCGGTGATTGTGACATTGTTCGGGGGATACGCTGGATTTGGATTGGTTTCTCCCTCAGATAACATGAATGACAAGTCGAAGATGTTCGGGTTCTGCGGAGGAAAAGTGGTTCCGGAGGAAGTAAGTTCACTGGAAGAGGTAGAAGAAGTGGATGAGCTGGCACCATCTTCAATCCACCAGGTGACATCTCCTCCATCGGCGCACTTTCCGAGTTCCACGCTGTCGTCACAAGTAGAAGCTTGGGTTTCCAAGCAGCTACACAACTGATCTTTGTACGGCACGTCATCCACCTCCGCGTTTCCCACAAGCCGCACACATTTGTTTTGTTCTGACAACCCGGATTGGCAACCAAGAACTGTATACATCGGCGTTTCCACGTAATCCAATGTGAAAATGTCCAAATGTTGACCAAGTCTTTTTATCAAAACATGCAGCCTCGTTCCTTTCTCAACGCCACCGCTGCACAAGTCGCCGCATCTGGGAACCGTAGTTTGTCGGGAATACAGTATAGTTGATCAACTCACTCGGTATTGTTGATCCAGACAATGTAACCATCTGCGGCTTCTTTCAAAACTGATATTGTGTACTTGCACAGCTCTTCGTCACAGTCGACATTAGTCGAGATTTTGATGAGCACATCGTTGTCAGCGCTTGATTCTGACAAGATGAAGGTAGAATCGTGTTTGTCTTTGGGATTAATGGTGACTGTTGTTCCGGGCGAAGAAGAAGAATACGTGGATCCTTTGGTGGATGTCATCATTGTCGTTGACTTGGAATCACCGGCCGTCTGCCACCAACCCGGTGTCCCGGAAGAGCTGAAACCCTGAGTTATAAAAGTTAAAACGATTAAAGAACTCACCAAGTTCCCGAGGCGGATTGATCGTCGCAGTATGGTTGTTGCGAAGTGGAACAAACACAGACTTCATCCCAGAATGACGTGCCAGCATTCTCGCCTGTTTCCGTGATTCTCGTGCAACTTCCATCGGTGTACAATCCAGAATCACAGCCCAGAACAGCAATTTTCGGAGAGTCTTCGTATTTGAAATCGAATATATCCAGCCAGTTATTCTGATCGGACAATATCTTGGTCACTGTGACATTGGCGCTCTCATCTTTGTCAAATGAGCCACTGCATATCGAGTTTGGGCATCTGAAGAGAAAGTAAATATTAATGTTTCGGGGCGTGGCTCACTCTTGATTAGAGACAAGAACTTTGAAAAATCCCTGTGCATAATTTCCGACTGTCAAACTGTAGTCGCACTTGTTGTGGTCGCATTTCAACGAGGAAGTGAGCAAGACGTACTTCTGATCGGAGCCGTCATCTTTGGATTTCTGTTCTTTCAGTGAAACTGTGAACTTGATGGTTCCTTGATCTTGAGCGTGACTGATCGAATAACACAGAAACAGAAGGAAATAAGAACGCATTCGAGAATGACGTGACTGAAAGCATATGAATACTTGAAGTGACGGCCTTTTGGTTCTTTAAACCGAAGCTAATCCCGAGAGAGAAAAGAAGAGGAGCACAGAAAAAGGCAGGTGTGAAAAGAGTGTGAAATTGATAAGGACAGAGTCGGAAAGGGCTGGAAAGTGATAAGGGTTGGTAAGGTCCTTGTTGGAGAATAGGATGGTCGGAAACAAATGTCAGAGATGGGAAAACGGGCAGAAAGGGGCGGAGATGTGAGTCAGCGGGGCAGGATCCTTCCATAAACATTAAAGACTGGAAGGGTCTGTTATCTTTGTGCACGTCATTCCTCTTGGAATTTTTTGTGGAAAGAACAAATATAAGTCAAAAGAGCGTCTGAAACTTTCCAGTCATAATCCTGTAATTTCAGCGTCCGCGACTCGCAGCTCACCGACTACGACATCAGCGATTTCAATGCTCACGAAGAGCCGCACTACCACACCGTGCTCACCAACCAACAGCTCCAGCAGCAGAGGCCATCGGCTATTCAAGAGGAACGCCGTCGCACGACTGCCGATTCAGATGATTATGTGAAGGTCTCCGAGCCAATCTATGACTATCCGCCGAAAACGGAGCAGAAGAGAATCAGTCCGACGGAGGCCGCTCAGTTGCAGGAACTTTATCAAGAGTACGACTTGGGATTGGATATCCCGGGAGTTGCTCCGATCGCCACGAAGCCGCCACAGCAGCAGCAACGTCCCATTCAAATTCAACAGCAGCAGGTGATCACGAATCAGCCGAATGTGATGATCAGACAGGATTCGGTTCCACAGTCACCCAGAACTGTGATCAACGTGCCGATCAGCAGAAAGACTGAAGTGCCCATTCAAGGGCAACCTCAGCAGCAAGGATCCCAGCCAGCATTCTCGTACAATGTTCCCGTCCAAGTCAAGGATGACCCACGAAACCTGGCCACTGCGGATCTGTTTGTGCAAGACGCACTGGAGTACATTGGTCATCAGGACAAGAGTAACAACGCCGGAGCATTTGTGATGGAGGAGGAGATGCTGAGCAGTCATGAGCCAGCGCCTGATTCCGGAAAGAAGAGGGCTCCGGCCAAACATCCTTCAATCGAGGCGACCAGCAGACAGGTGAGAACGAACGATGTGTTCGAGAGGGTGGAGCACGACGAGCACGACGACATGACTTATGCTCCGGAGATCCAGTCGGTCGAGATTCCACCTGATCAGATGAGCGAGACCAGCGAGAACATGATCGACTACTTCGACAAAGTCGCCGCCGAATCGGAGCAGCAAATTCAAAGTGAGCAATCTTTCGAAGTATTCGATCGATTCAAAATGCATTCTTTCAGATCTCCAACAGCAACAACAGAACACTCTGAAGAAGCAACAGGTACCGTACTCTCCGCCCACTTTTCTCTCACTTTCTCTGTGTCTACTCCTATTTTCCTCTCTTTCCTGTGTGCGTAGATCTACTCAAAGTAGTTCAAATGTCATCGTTCGCAAATCAGAATAACCGTTTACTCTCTAATCAATCCGTGTCATTTTTAGATAGAGCCGATTCCCGACTCATCGCTGTTGAAGCCCGTCGGTCGGGTAAGCCCTTTTCATGTCACATTTCCGTACTGTACCGGTGCCAGACAGACCAACCACGTGCCTCGTCCTTGGTCCTCCATTCCCTCGTCTTCCTCCCTTTCTCTCCTGCATGTTTCTTCTTCCAGGCACCACAGATCCTGCCGGCCTTTGGCAACCGTGCTCCAAGCAACTCTTCTCTCGGCTCAGCTGGAAGATCTGGAAGCGCCGTGAGCAGCAGCGATATCTATCCGTACCGCCATCTCCGCAAACAGAGCTCACTTCTTTCCGTGCTCGGTGTCACTTCAATGCAAGAGATGCTCCTCACCATCACCAGTCTTGACTCGCTCTCCGAGGCGATGAGAAGGCGGGTCTCGAAACGACCAATTTGATCTTCGGAATCGACTACACCGCCAGTAACAAGTACCAGGGAGAAGAGTCGTTCGGAGGACGCAGTCTGCACACAATCCATCCGCACGTAAAGAATCCATATCAACAAGTTATCACCATTTTGGGAAGGACATTGGCTCCGTTCGCCGGGGACGGAAACATCGGGGTCTATGGATTCGGAGACGCTAAAACGGGCGACTGGAGCACATTCAACCTGAAGACCGCCGGAGACTGCAGAAGTCTAGATGAAGTTCTCCACGTGTACAACACAGTCACTCCGACCGTTGCTCTTTCCGGACCCACGAACTTTGCGCCGTTGATCTATCAAGCTATGGAGATCTGCCAAAAGTCGAGAGATGTAAACAATCAGAAGACGTTTTATTCACAAAACTATTCATTTTCAGTACCACATTCTGGTTATCATTGCCGACGGACAAGTGACGAACGAGCGCGCGACTCGGCGAGCCATCGTCCAAGCCTGCCAGCATCCTCTTTCGATCATTGTCGTTGGAGTTGGAGATGGTCCGTGGGACATGATGAGGGTGAGCGTTGATCATAGATAAGGTCCCAAGTAGTCTGAAATTTGCAGATATTCGACGAATCGCTTCCGAAGAGACCGTGGGATAATTTCCATTTCGTCGAGTACCATGACATTATCAAGAAGTCCACGTGTCTTGAAGACGGAGACGTCAAAGTGGCAGTTCAGTCACTTCTGGAAATTCCAGATCAATACCGGTAACCTCATCAAATCTCAACGAAAAACGAAGCGTTTTCTTTTCAGATGCATCTGCGAACTCGGCCTTCTGGACAGATCAATTCCGCCACGTGGCAGCGAAATCCGACGCGAGATGATGCATAATCCTTTGTAAACTTACCGTCCGCACTATTTTAGCTTCTCTCTCAGCTTCTTTCCTTCTTGCCCTTGATTTCGTCGAACGAAACACATCCCTAGACACCCCCAATCTAACCAAAACTATCAAAAAGTAATTCATTTCGGCCAATCCGGTACATTCTATCTTCTTCTTCTTCTTTATCTTCTTCTTCTTCTTCTTCGTCTCCCATTTTTTTCGTTTTCTGAAACTATTCGATAAACTGTTAGAAATGACACAAAATTAACTGTTCTTTGCACCGAAAACATTCCGAAAACGAACAAAAGTAGTGTTTTGTTCGCAACTTTGTACGGGAACAAGAAAAGAACTTCAACTGATTGGCTGGTGTGTAAAAGTGTGTGCCAAGTGCGGTTTATGTCTGTTTTTCCTGTTCGTTTTATGTTTTTCAATCGGTAAGCAGTTTACGAACAGATACTGGTTTCGTGATGACAAAACAGTGTTTTTTGATGGTGTAGGTCGTCGCGGTTTAACGAGAATTCATGGAGAGAGTATTGGATTACGGTGTCTCATGCTCACAGGATTCTGAATTTGTTGAAAAGGGAAAGGGCGAAAGAAAGTTGCTCGTCCGTTCGTCCCCCGCTCGTAACATTATTTTTATGGTTCCCATTCGGACCGTTCCCTGTTTCCCATCCTCCGCTGATGAAAACATTTGATTTTCAGCTTTGTTCTCGTTCTCTTTCTCACTTCAAAACAAGATGTTTGATTACAAGTAGCTGCTCACACTTTTCCGAGTTGATCAGTAATCTGTAGTTTTTGTAATTTCCGCATGACGCCCTGTCGTTCGCATTGTTTATGTCTGAGAGGATTATGCAAACGAAGAAAGAAGCAACAAAAAAGAGCTGATATAAAAGACGAATGGGGGACGAATCAATCAGTTCGCACACAAAAAGAGAAAGGAGAGCGGCCGGACCGGTTCGCACATAAAACCATCAAAATTGTCGGTCGCTTCTATGCCGCTCTTCGGACATATTATCCGTTCGTATCAGTGACATCTTTTAAAGGTCTTCTTTTCTTCGCCTGCTTCTCTCTTTCCACCAACCTCTTTCGCGTAGAGATACCGTTTGAATCAATATGAAATCATCTTTGTTACTGCTGAACTTTGCCTACTCGCCTACACCTCCTGCGGCCGTAGTCATTCCGAAATCCCCGCCCCAACAGTCGGTGTTTTCATGTCCTCCTACCTCCTATTTTCAATACAAGGTCGCCAGTTTTCAGAGAGATGGCTCTCGACAAGGGGACCTGGAATGTCGTTCAACTCTCCGTCTCGTTCATGCTCCAATTCTTCTCCTACATGAGTCAGGAGTTCATCCAAGAACCGTTGATTGAGGCCGAATCGCAGAGAACTGGAAAGATTGATCCCCATGCTGGATATCACAGGTACCACTTCCGCAAGTCACAAATATAAAGTGCACTGCTTCAGTTTTGCAATTCTCTACTTTTTCTTCACAATCTCATGCCTCTTGGTCACCCCTATTGTTGAAAAGATCACTGCGAAATGGTCGATGGTGCTCGGTTTGGTTGCCTACATTGCATTTCAAGCAGGCTTTCTCCAATTGAACGAAGTCTATTTATATGTCACTTCCGCCGGATTGGGAATCGGAGGAGCTTGTGAGCAGCCGCTTGAAACACTCCGAAACATTACTGGATTTCAGTCCTTTGGATCGCTCAAGGAAAATATTTGACCGAAAATTGTACGGGTAAAACAATCGAACGAAATACGTCACTTATGTGGGTCATCTTCAAGATCTCGTGAGTTGAGAACAGAACAAAATTGCCATGGTCATGAATGCTCAGATTACTTGGCGGAGGTATATTCCTCTACTTTATGTTCCAAAATCAAACTCTCACGGAATTCGTCGAGAACGGAGGAGTAACTTATTGTCCTGAGCTAGTTAGGGAATACATTCGATTTCAGTTCCGTATTCTCTGCTACATTTTCTGTTCCATTTCGATTTTGGCCACCATCAACACAATTCTCCTTCCTCAACCTGCCTACAAACCCGAAAAGCAAGAGAAAGAAACCCTCGCTCAGACTTTGAGTGAGCAGACTCGAAAATGACAAACACATTGTGCATTTCCATTTCCAGAATCTACATTTAAAATAATGCGCGAAAAACCGATGATGCTTCTCGCGGTCATCTTCATCTATGCCGGATTCTCCCGCTCTTTCTGGATTGCAATCTACCCCACCTGCATCAAATTCACTTCGAAACTGGGTGAAAACACGACAAAGCTGTTGGCCGTGAGTTGCATAGCCACCGGAATCGGACAAATCGGCGCGGGAGCCATCTTCTCCGTCATCGGAAAGAAGGTCAGAATAGTGGGAAGGGACTCGATCGTGGCCATGGCGTGTGCCATTCACTTACTCGTCTTCGTCGCCATTTACCTTTTCTTCCCGGCCGATGCACCACTTCATACCACAGATAATGTTGGATACTTTCCCCCGAAGTGAGTTTATCTGTGAGCAAAGTTGTCAATGGAAGATACAATTCAGTGTCTACGTGGCCATAATCTGTTCGGGTCTTCTTGGATTCGGCGACGCCGTCATTCAGACCCAAATCTATGCATTTCTCTGTGACGGATATTCTCAAGACTCTTCACATGCATTTGCTCTTTTCAAATTTTACAGTGTAAGTGTTGTTTGCAAAAGCCATTCTGACGTTTACAAACATCAACATATTCCATTTGCTTTCCTTTCTTTTGCATATTGAGCCAGATCAAATTCAGCTCAACACAATATATGGGGACATTGAGCACCTTTCGACCTCATAAAACAGCAATTCTAAGGGGCGCTTTCAGAGAATGCTCCTCAGTAAACATCACATAAATCCTGATTCCAGGCGATGTCATCCACCGTCGCCTTCTACATCTCCAAATACTTCACCCTCTCTGGCCATCTCTCTCTTTATGGCGTTTTTGCAATCCTCTCCGCCGTCACTTCTATTCTTGCACAACGAATGTATCTCCACAAGACACAACATTTCTTCCAAGGTATTGTCCTTTTCTGCTGTCTGCTACACGGGTGATTCATCCCTGTCTCGTTTCAGACAATGTCAAACAGCCAGTGTCGGGCACCGAGCCCATAAAGATCGAAATAAGTGACAGCGGCTCAACGATCACTTCTCGTTCCGTTATTCCGGAGAAGTTCGGCCCCGCCCCCTGCACGAACTAATTGATATTATTTTAATGTTCGACATTAACTCTATCAGTTTCCGGGTCAATAAACCATTTACCTTTTGTGTCGCCCGGTTTAGCAGGCATGTCGTGCCAACGCGAAGAGGCGGGAACCGACCCAATCACATTCAAATCCAGAACATCAAAATGCGTGTGTTGGTTCGCCCTTTTCTTTGTCATTTTCGTGCTTTCTTCTTCTCCTCAGACTCTTCGTTTTCTTCCATTTTTCTTTCGAATTACGCAACAAAACAGTACATAGAATTCCGTACAGTTTGATGGTTTGATCTCCCGTTCCGACGGATCATAATCCTGCCCTCCTATCCCATTCTGAACCTTTGTCCCGCTTTTTAAAATCTCACGTTCACAAATGATCGCAAACTTACAGTAAGATCATGGCTCTTTTCACTTCTCAAACTAGGAACGTGCTCCGCGTGTCCATCTCGATGATGGTGCTCTTCTCGGCGATTCTCAGCCACGAGTTCATCACGGAACCGCTGATCGTCGGTATCTCGAAAGCCGGATTGGGAGGCATCCAGGAGCACGACGGTTATCTGAGTCTGTGCATTATTTACTTCTTCAACACCATCACTTGCCCATTTGCTCCGTACGCGGTCACTCGGATAACCGGCAAGTGGGCGATGGTCGTCGGAATGTTTTGCATGGTGTGCTATCAGGTGAGAAAGGAGAAATGAGAAAAAGAAACTGGAAAATGCAGTGGAGTTCCTTGCGAGTTCCGGGAATGCTTCTGCTGGGGAACAAGGATCAAATATCATTTTAGACACTTTCAGGCCTTGTACCTCATACCCAATCGCTTTCTTCTCCTCTTCAGCTCTTGTATCGTTGGAACGGGCACCACTTGTAAATCACACCTTGCTATTCCATTATCCATTTTCTGGATTTTTAGTTCTCTGGGTAGGACAAGGCCAATACATCACTGACAACGTTTCGGAGAACAATTTGGAGAAGAACACCTCAATTCAGTGGGCCTTCTTCAAAATGAGCCTCGTCTACGGCGGCGTCTTCTTCCTCATCTTCTTCCAAAACTCTTCGATCAGTGATATTGTGACCAGTGGGCAGGTATTCCTAATCGTTCTTTATTCTGATTCTCGTCCCTCTTCCACCAGATGTCCTACTTCATCTTCGTCTTCTTGGCTTGCTCGGTCATCTCCATCATCAACACAGTTTTCCTCCCGCAACCCGAAATGGCTCTGAATCGTAAACCTCAGCCGTTTTTCAAAACAACGAACGACTCTTTTTCTCTGATGAAAACGCCGAGAATGATCTGTTTGGCCCTTTTCTTCTTCTACACCGGATTCGTCAGATCATTCTGGATTTGTGAGTGAAAACATCAAAGTTCTGTGCTTGCGTGTTTCTTCTCTGCCAATCAGTGTTTTATGCAAAAAGAAGTTGAGTTACGACTTCATATTTATGCGAAGTGACGCCGAACGCCCAAGAAGTTCCTTATGACCTGCTCTAGTTGGAGCCCGAAAAGAAGTTAAATCTTTGCAGCCATCTACCCAACGTGCATCAAGTTTACCTCACAACTTTCCCCCAACACCACGAATCTTCTGGCGCTCGGGATGGTTGTCACTGGCTGCGGACAAGTGTTCGGATCGATTTTCGTCACGCTCATCGGACTGACGACTCGTAAATTCCGACAGCACGTGTTCGTCCTCTCCGCATTGACTCTTCACATTGTTCTCTTCATTTTGATCTCACTCTCGTTCCCAAACGAATCATCTCTCCGGCAGAATGACCAGTTCGGACCCGTGTTCCATCAAAAGTATTCCAATATTGTCGGGATCTTTTTAATGTGCTCATTTCCAGTGTCCTCGGAGCTATGGCAATCTCTGCACTTCTCGGCTTCGGAGACGCTATCCTCCAGACTCAAATCTACTCGTACATTGCACAATACTACAAGAAAGAGAGCAGTTGTGCATTCGCAGTCTTCCGATTCTCAAGTGTTCGTCATTTTGTCATCAGTTACATGAAATTCTTGCTGCCTTTCAGGGAATCGCCTCCACTATCATGTTCTTCTCTGCCCAGTACTTCTACCTCCTCCACCATATCATTCTTCTCATTTGTTCTGCGTTCATGGCTGGAATTGCAGTGCTAGCAATTTATAGACTCAGAAAAACTAAAGTTCAAGACAGTAAGAATTTGAAAACCAATCTGTAAATATTCTGATATTGCAGGTTCCGCGTTTGTTGTCTCCGTCTTCACTTCGCATTCTCCTCTCACTTCGTCAAGATAATAAAAGTTAATGAAAGATCCTTCACTTCCATATACATTATTTTTCCTCATATGCAAGGTTTCCTATACAAGTCATTCTGTTATTGTGTTTTCAATGTTACACAGGCAGTCGGGACAGCAGTCCGCAATGCGAGCGTGTTTGCGGAATGTGCGTAAAACGACGCGCACACGAAAGACAATCCTCTGCCGTCGTAAAGATTTTATTTGTTTTCTGCAGGAAAACCTTCCGAATTTCATTGCATTCTACCTTTTTAGGTTTTTCACCATGAATTCGTACCCTGGCGACATCGTGGTGTCTCCTCGCGATGACATAATTGCAATGCTTTCGGCGGCTGGCTACCACAGAGCTCGTGTCGTCAGTTTGAACGATTATGATCGGGTAGGGAAGGAATTCAGTTGGGGTGAATCACATTTTATCGATTTTTCAGATTGTCGGTGGTATCGCTTGGGGAATCACGCGTTTCGACGACGTCTCCGTTGCCGCCAATCTGTTGTACGAAGAGAGTGAGGACCGGAATATCAAGCTGAGAACGTGAGTGAACGAGCATTTTATCTAGACAAGATAGGATTTCAGTGAGCAAAGCGAGAAGATCATCGTGGCTCTGAAAGCCATCGGATGTCCCACGCAGCTTTCGGCTCATCAGTTGTTCTGTCTCGACTTTCTTCCTCTGAAGGAAGTGATTCAATGGCTGCTCCGAAATGTTTTACAGCAACATCAGCATCGTAAAGAGTTCAGCGAATGGTTTGATAAAGATTTTCCAAACGATACGAAAGCAGTTCTCGACTTTCACGCGCGTCTGAATCGCACGAACGTCGATCGTCCTCCGGTGACTCGCCACATGAAGCGGATGGACGCCTCGATTATGTTCGATTCTGCGATGGACGCAAAGTGCACTCTTGCCGAGTACGTGACCTATGCACGGACCGGACAACGATTGTACCCGTCGAAAAGTTTCGCGCAACCGGAAGACACATTTGAGGACCTTGGAGTTGACTCTTCCGTAAGCTGTGCCTTCAGAACGAGATCTTCTAATATCTACTTCAGGAGGCGTCAACCAAGAAGTACGTTCCGAAAAACACGGTTCGCAAGATGATGGAGAAGGCGATCGTGGAGATCACAAAGAACGAAACGCCGGCGGTGAAGGCAGCTCGCGAACGAATCTGTGCTGAAATTGACGAATTCAACATTCCGGTGCAAATGGGATCTCTCGCGCACCGAATTACCCAGGAGGCAGAGCGGTACTACGAAGCAAAGTGCGAGTTCCAGGACCTCAGCGAAGAATTTGACAATTTGATCAAGTCGAAGAGTACCGAGAAGTAGTGAGTGCTTTGCACACGAGCCACGAATTAATTATCTTTGATTTCAGCATCGCCGAGGTGGAAAAGATAACGGAGATAATGCAAAAGTTCCAAGATACTCACGCCCGTGCAAATGACCTCCGTGCGCTGACATTTCAAGATATGGAAGAGTCGAAAGCGGCGGAGAAAAAGATGCGTCTGAATCTGGACGAGAACGGAGAATTGAAGAGTTATTGTCCGGCGCAGAGAGAAATCGTGGATGAGTATATCAAAAAGACGGATGTGTTCGCAGAACGATTCCGTGATGTCGTCGCACTGCAGTACCGTCTCGAGCGTTGCATTTCTGTGACTCTTACCTCGCATTACCGTAAACGGAGTCTGGAAAGAGTTGAAAATGCAGCTGAATTGTGCGAGAAGGCGAAAGGGAGCGTCATTGAGTACAACGTCACCATCGACATCCTCACAATCTCATCGAAGATCACCGGATTCATGAATGAAGTGGAGAAGAGTCTCAAGCATGAGTGAGTTCTTTTCCTCTCCCATTGCCTTCCGAATTCTTATTTTTCCAGACCGCAGTCTCAAGAGTACCGTGACGCGTTCGTCGCCTACATGAACGACGTGCGCAACCAATTGAGTGAGTATCACTGGAAAGCCAAACAGGCTCAGGACAAGACGATCGAGGAGAAGATGAACCTGTCGAATGTGCGAGCTCAACTGATTCAGAAGGAGCGCGAAATGGCGCAATCATTCGCGGAAATGGAGAGAGTAAGCGTGTGAGCACTCGTTTTTCCATTAATCGATTTGTTCCAGCTGTTCCGAATGAACAAGTTGCTGAACTCAATCATCAAAGAAATGGATGCGATTGAAGAAAAGTGTCCGGCCTTCCAAACCAGGAAGCAAGAAATCATCAAAGAACTTTCCCAATCGTCTTCTCAATAGAATCCGTACATGTATTCAATTTGTCACTTTTCCTTGAAACACTCTATTCCCACAGTAACCGCTGCATTTGCAATGACGTTGATTGCTCAGATTTGCATGCATCTCGTCAGTCAATTTAAAGCATCTGTCGTTGGTAACCATCCAAAAATACTCAACTTTCGGCGCACCTGACCAATTCCACGAGAGGCCGCCCATTTGTGAAGGCGGCAGTTGTAATTGAGGGCTTGTGCTCCGAATGACAACCCGATATTTAATTTGCGCCTTCTTCTCCATTGTACCACTTTCTCATTTTAACAGAAATGTTACTTTTTGGTCTTGAAAGGAAGTTTTGTTCACTCTTTTAACTATTTTCATCAATATTCAATAAACATTTCGCTTGAACCCGTTCTTCACACATTCCATCTCCAGTAGAACTTTCGTTTCTCTGAGCATTCCAAGAACAATGTACTAAGCTTACGGCAGGTTGTTTTTCTTTCAAACTCCCTCTCTCACACTCTTTCTAATATTCAACTCACACCCAATTTCTTTCGTTTTCAGGCGAGTCACTCATTCTCATTTCCATCTTGTTTCCGTCTTATGATTATTCCCATCACTACTTTCTCTGTTTGCCATTATTCGCCATTAGTACCTCTGCGGTTTCGAAAACAATCGTTTTTGTGTGTACGAAAAGCTTAATAAGAGCGGAGGCGTTGATCTGCCTTTCGCAATGTTTGTATTTTGGTCTCAGCTCTGAATATTTTTGATATGTCACTTGCGGAGCTGAATGATCCAGCAGGCTAAATGTTCTGTGGACAGACAGCGAATCAGTTTATGTTCTTTTAGTCAATGACGTGCTCACAAACGACGAGGAACAATCATTCCAACTTGAATATCAGAGTGGCTCGGCCGTCTCTGCTCCGTTTAGTCATGCCGAACAAAAAGCGCTCCTCTTTTTCGTATCAAACTGATCCCGTTCGAATACTCTGTTGCCATCCCCTATGCGTACCTGCTTCTATCTTTGTTTCTCAAGAAAATTGTCATTTCAGAGAAATCCTCTGTTTCTTGATATCATTATATATTTTCTCAACGTTCAAACTAGACGAGCTTCTTCAGAATCTGGCTTCCTCAACGATGCACATCGAGCGGGACGAGTCGACGGGCGATACGCTTCCCTCGTCGAACCTCGAGAGCACTGACATTGGCTCTCCGCGACCTCGCCCTGTTTCGGTAAGATCTTTGATTGACGTCACGAGGGATTCCACCTGTCTTAACATTTGAACTCAATCGGCGACGGGTAAGACGAAGGAAAACAATTATCAAATAAACTGAGAATGCTATTTCTGGGCGGTGGGAACGTTCCAGATTTGTGTAAGAGTACGTGCGATTCACACGGAAAGTTCTTGAGATCGGAGGGTGTCACAAGTGGAAGAACAGGGTTACGATCAACATTCAGGACTAGCAAGGTGTCGGATTCTCACATTGTAATCTGGAAGTATCAAAAATAATTATTGCACTGTTCGCTTTCCAAATATCCAAACTAACAACCTCCTCTTTTCTTTTCCTTGTCCTGGATTTCACGAGCACTAACGACCCCCGCATCCCTACAGTACTTCTCAGATTCCCGCGGAGCCACGTGGCCATCCGTACCCGGTGCTCCCTCCGATCGTTCCCAAACGACTTGCACCTCCGCCGCGTCGGCAATATTCGGCGATGACGTCCTGCTACAACTGCTGCGGCCTTCGAAAAGTGAGTGTGGTCCTGCGTGTCTCACTTCCGCACACTGTCCCTATGGCTACGTCCCACACCTTCAGGTTTCTGTCGTGAGAATTGCCGTGCGCTTTCCGGCCTAATTTGATAACTCTTTTCTGCTCTTGTCCTGCAACTCACATATTATCAACATGTGTGGTCATAGACTGCTTTGCTGACAGAGGAAACAATAGGAATTGGGGAGTTATAATGAGAAGCCGCATCTACTTCATTTCGAATTTCTGTCTACGCTTCACTGATATTCGGTTCCTTTTCACTGATTCGATGGAATCAGAAACCACACTCTGGTGCACTTCGCATCCAACTAACTCGGCGAATAAATACCACTTCTGAAGAAAGTTTCTCGCACTTTCAAAATTTCCACATACTTTGATACTTAATGAACATATGACTCACTCTCTAATGCTAATCTGCTACTGTCTATCAGAGTGTGTTCTTGTGTTTCTCTCTTCGAAACTAATTGTTTGTCAGAAGTTAGAAGACGTCCACCCTCTCATTTTGCACGGACCACTTCGTTTCGGGCGCTCTTCCTATCCCAGCCTACATGCTCCCTTTGAGAAGAAGCAGAAGAAAGGTAACGCGATTTCTGAAACCGCATTAGATTGCGACGCCATTCCACCTGCCGCCCGTCGTTTCGGTTTTCCTTCGGAGCATGTCACGCGCACTCACTTCTTCTTCTTCTTCTTCTTCTTCTCGTTCTCCTAATCACACCTTCTGATGACCTTCCTCCCTCGCGCACATTTAAAAGATCACACTTCCGTCGTTTCCAGAAGATAAGTGCCCCTCTGAACAGCGTGAATACGAGTCAGAACGCGGCGGCGCTCAATTCGGAAGCCATCAATCCTTCCTCTTCGTCGAATCGTTTGTCTTCTAATCAGCAAGAGGTAACTCTGCTCGGCTGCTCGAAATCAGAGCAGCGTGAGTAATTGGGCGGCCGAGATCAACTTTTCATTTCTCCAGAAGCTGGCTCATCCAAACGAACCGCATAATATCGAGTCGCAAGCCTCTGCGACCTCAGACATTAGCTTCGGATTCCTGCTGTGTGGCCGGTTGTCATTCACGACACAAGTTAACAATAGGTATGGGAACATGAAGAGAGTACTCTATACACTAGAATCTGGTTGATAACCTGATTAGCCTAACCTGATATTTCTGTTTCCAGTTTAGTCGGCATCTGAAACGTGAATTATGCAGAAGAAAAGAACACATTTCAGGGTGAACGTATGCGGCGGCGCAGAAATGTCCGTTGGCGAGATGGTCAGAAAGAACAGCCTGATCAACCGACAATTGGAAAAGGATAGGATCGCAATGAAAGGAACGCTCAAGATCCTTTTGCTCGGAGGGCCCGAGTGCGGCAAGAGCACCATCTTCAAGCAAATGAGAATCATCCACTTGAACGGATTCTCTGATTTAGACTACGTCAACTTCCGGTACCTGATCTACAGTAACATCATGCAGGCGATGGATCAATTGCTGGAAGCAGCCGAACAGCTCAGTTTTCCCCCAGATGACAGTCCTGTCATTAGACGATCTCTCAACCATTACAAGTCGTACAAGGGACAGTATAGGAATTCAGAAGTGGAACTGAACAGAGATTTGGCCAGTTCGCTCAACAAATTGTACAATGCGGAGTTTATCAAATCAGTTTTGAACCGGAAAAACGAGATCGACCTGCTGGATTCTGCTACATAGTAAGTCCGCGTGTTTTGAAACCGAGAGAAATCGTGTCTTTTGCAGTTTTCTTGATGATCTGGAAAGAATTGCCGCACACGATTACAAGCCCACACAAATGGATGTTCTCAAGGCGCGCGTCCCGACCACCGGCATCACAGAGATTGAATTTCCGTTTCGGGAAGCCAATTTAAGGTATTGACGAAGGAAAAAACGTGTTTGAGCTTAACAATTTCAGAATGGTCGATGTTGGCGGGCAGCGGTCAGAGCAGAGGAAATGGGTAAGTTATTCAGAGAAGGAGCAGCTGCAAACTGTTTTCTCTCTTGCAGATTCACTGTTTTGACAACGTGAACGGAGTGCTGTTCATCGCTGCCATAAGTGGTTACAATCTGTTCGTGGACGACGAAGAGAACAGAGCTGAAGACGGAACGCCCGGACGGAAGAACCGTCTCAGATACTCTATGGAGTTGTTCAAACGGATAGCCAACCATCAGTGCTTCAGCAAGAAGACGGCCATCATTCTGTTCCTGAACAAGATTGACATTTTCAAAGAGAAGATCACAAAGTACTCGCTGGACCGTTGTTTCAAGAACTACAAAGGGCCTCAGTCGCTGGAGCCGGCGGCCAAGTACGTGGCCGACAGGTTCTCGCGGCTCGTCAGTGCGGACATCCAACACGAGAAACCGATGTACTCGCACTTTACGAATGCGACAGACACTCGCAACATTGACCGGGTATTCGACAGCTGCATGGACGTCGTCTTCAAGATTTCCATGGAGAAAGTCGGATTCATGTGAGTGACTGCTCGCGTGCTCCCGTCGTCATTGTACTAACCTCGAACAAACTGCTCGTGTCTACTAACCCGTTGCCTTCAGATAACTAACCATACTAACCATTGCTCGAAATGACCTCATCATCGCATGAATGTAGGTACTTGAGGGTGATACGTGCATTCATATCCGCACACTTTCAGGTACGGCTGAATAAATTAGATCAAGCTCTGATCGTCATTATTTTGCGCACGCCAACAAGAAAAACATGTGTTCTTTCAGTCACGATCCGAAAATTTATCTATTTGACTATTTAAATTTCTATTTTTCAATTGTATGATAAAACTCTTATTTGAGCTGCCTAAACTCAACGTTACACTTTATTTCATTATCAGCTCGCACGAACATTATTAATAGAAACTCAGGACTGGCGGTCTTCCGCACACGTATCCGTAGTTTGTGGACAACGCCTTCTCGAAGTCGTACGGAGGCACGGCCATGTCGCAGCTGAAAGTGGAGAAGTGATCGATCGCACGTAGCCAACGGAGAACTCACTGGATGGCGTGCAGTTGTCCGTTGCGGTCGCTGTTGCGTGGGTAAATCCACAGTTGGACGCAGTCGGCAGTGACCGAATCGACGGTAGGACTGCAAGGAATTCAGAAGTTTGGGATGGGGGAGGACGACTAACTAGGTGACGTATTCTTCGGTGCGATACGGATAGTAGGCCCACGACGGCGCAGTTCTGTACCATTGAGTCCACGCGTATTTCGGATCAGTTCTCGGATCAGTGATGTCGAACACTTTGGTCTTGTCATTGCACGGAGCCGACTGTTGTTTGGTTACATTCAGAGTGCGGCACTCTTCGATACGAACTCCGTCCACCCAGATGGATCCTTGAGTGATATTGTGGTGACGGAAATACTTGGAGGCGTGTCCTGAAGCATCCATCCATAAGGTACTTTCCCCCAACTTCTCTTTCACTCACTAACGATATGTTTCTGCTCATCATAACTGGCGAAGGTCGAAAGAACGGATCCCTCCGCGTTGCACGCCGTCTGTGCGGCAGTTTCGCTCACGGAGACGTTCGTCATAACGGCCCGGAGACACCAAAGTTTGGTCTGATTGTTGGTCGCCGAGGGATTACGGTAGAACCCCTTGTAGTGCTTCGGACATTTCACCTTCGTGTTATCCGTTTTTTCTTCTTCCGAGCAAGACTCTGAAAGAGAACAGGAATGCTCAGAAAACGTGTTTGCCAGCACGAACCTTCATCGTTTCCGATGTCAAAAGCGTGTGCTGAAAGCGCGAATAGGAAGGCGATGGGGAGAAGCCACCGTTGCATGGTTTTGTGAATAAAATACACGTCGAGCGGTTTACAGAAATGTTTTTATATACAAGTTTTTATGTATCCGTTCTTTCGCATAAACTTTTTATAGCAAGACCAACACCTACGAGTTTATAGCAGCATGGAAGCGTACGGTAAAATAAAAACATGAAAGGGATGATCAGTTCGGCGAGCAAGTGATCTTGAATTGGCTGCGATTACAGAACCGACTGCAGAGCACAAAACAACCATTTTGTGAGCAGGCTCAAGTAGTTTTGATGGCGAAATTGTGTTGTTCTCTTTCTGTTTTTTGTTCCGCTTCCCTCGACAGCAAACGCGTGCACTTTCGAGTTGAGGACGCTGAAAATCGAGTTTTGTTCTCGCGTGGGGAGTATGGATGTGCAAGAGCCACGGTGATTTTTTGGCACTGTTGTAGAATCGTGGACCGAAGCAAGGCTTTCAGGGAACCGATTCTCAAGAAGTCAGGAACCATTGTTTTTCTGAGGGGACCCTTCTTTATTTTAAGAGGCCCATGTTTTGATTTCATTCATTCTACTATTAAATGTGTATGTTATTATTGAAACCGAAAACGGTTATTGACTGAATCAAAAACGGACGGGATTAGAAAACGTCCCTCCAAAAAGGCTATTTATTCATTTGTTTCTTGATCGGCATTCGTGTCATTCTCGGAAAAGTTTAAGCCGTTTTGACAATTTACTTGTAGAATTACAATTAGTCGAGGAGGAGGGTCAGGATCGAGCGAAACGAGTAAAACACAAAGTTCTCAAACTCATTCGGATCATCTTTCTCCCATTTGAGCACTTCCTGTTTGTACTCCAAAGTTACACAGAAGCCCGACGACTACAGTAACCTTCAAGTCCCTCTTATTTTTGCACATGAACTTTTCAGATTTTCAGAGTAAAAGTCACGTCATGTAAAGAAGAAAGTATAAACTTAATCCGAGAAGAAGTCGTCGTCGTCGTCGTCTTCTTCTTCTTCTTTTTCTTCTTCTGCTTCTTCTCCTTCACCGATATCCGAGACACTTTTCCCCGTTGCATTTTCCCGTCGCCCAAAAACATTTCATTCTAGGGAGGGAGGCGTTCGACTTCCTGGGATCCACCGCCGTAAATTCAAATGAGTTGTCGAAAGCACATCGCTTTTATTCGCTTTTCAGACCATTGTCCCCCGTTTCCTTTCCAATTTTCGCCTGCTTCCTTCGCCGACACCACTATTTTCTTATTGGTATCATTAGATCTCGTATATTGCCAACCGCAGTGTTTTTCCACTCACTTCTAGTTCCCCCCGGCCAGAGAAATATTATCCGTCCCGTGATATGTTGTTGGCCTTTCTAATGAAAAAAGTGGGCTCAAATCCCCTACTGAAAGATCAAACGAACAGAGAGAAGTCTCGTGAAATGATCGGCCACTGTTCAACTCACTTCCTTCCGGCTCTTTCGGCAGACGGAAATTCACAAAACCCGTATGACTTTCGTTTTGTCGAGAGAAAAAAAAACAAAAACTCTCGGGTTCTAACCGGAAATTGGCTCCAGAATGTTCGCGTTTCGCTTTTTCACTCACGCCGACTTTTGCTTCATTTATTCATTCTAGACACAATGCCCTCTAGAGTAAACGTTTTGTTTGGTGGGGTTGAGTGAGAGATATTTCCAGCGTTCTCAGAATTTCAAAGATCCATTAGAAGAACGCTCGAGGCACAGTTTTTGATGAAAACACTCTGGCTAGGTTAAATATTTGGTACGCCCACCCGGAAGCGAAGCAGTTCGAACATCAAAACGACATGGTCGTGGTTGCAAAACGGCCGTCTCTCGGCTCTCGCTTTTATTCTCGTGTTTGTCCCATTCTCTGCTGCCAACTAATATCCATCTTCCATCCATCTTCCGTTCCAGTCCGACATGTTTCAGTTTCAGCCCCCTCCGGAAAACAACAAAGCCACTCTTTCTGTTTTTGCGCTTCCGTTTTGATATGTATTGTTCCGGGCGGTTTCAGTCTTTCCAATTAATCTTCGGGTAACCTCCTCACATCACTTTTATGCTTCCTCCGAAGCTCAGTGATGCGTTCCGTCGATACAATTGCCAGTGAATAATTCATTGGTTTTCAGTGATCCTTAGCATCGGCGCAACTCGAGAAACCTCTCCGATGTTGCTCGTTTTCAGCTGCTATTGCACCTGTCCCCTTCCTCTCCTCCCCCACATAACTTCATTTAGACTGACGATGTTTGAGAGTGAAATGAAAGTTTGAAACAAACCCCGAAGGACTCAATCACAACTGCAATCCGCTTGTTGACTCCTTTTCATCACTTTCACTTTCACACTTTTCGACTCGATTTTAAAAAGGGAAAATATTGTATAGTCCGAAAAGTTCATTTTGCTCCGTTTCGTATCTTGAAATTGAATATAAATTGAGGGAGGGGAGGGTCACAAGATCAGAACAAATCAGAAAACGAGGAAAGAGATATTCTAGGAACGAATTGGATACATAAAATGTGATTCGATTGGATACCTATCGTATCCCTCGGCGCAGTAATGTGATGAACGGCTCTCCGAGTTGCTGACGTGGCAGAGCACTTTCAACACTTGCGCTTTCCGCTTGATCTTCCCTGTTCTTTGTCACTCATCCGCCCTTCTCAGCCATCCTCATTTCCTTCCACTAATCCTTCCTTCCTCGTGTAATGTACTTTTCGCCCTATTCCACCAAACTAGACTTTTCCAGACTCTGTTCTATAAGCGTGCGATTCGATTTGAACATGTTTCGTTCACTCACTCGCATAAAAATGTTGTTGTTTTGTGACACATGCTGAAAGCGAAACGACTTCTTCTTCTTCTCCTTTTTCTCATCCTTCTTTGAAACCTGACACGAGCAGCCAATTGTCTCCGTTTCCTTTTCATTTGCCGGCCGTTCGCATCCCTCCTCCAATCTCTCAAATTGGTCCCGCGAGACCCGTGCTCACCTGCTCAACGAGCCCAGAATTGAGTTGCTTGTGCTTGTCAGAAGTTGATAACTTGCAGACGTGCCTGCCGGTTCCGTGAGAAAAGAACCAGGTCGTCCGCCGCTTATCAGAAAAAAACAAACAAAAAGGTGGGAAAGATTGGCGGATCTGTGCGATTTTAACAGAATCCGCGTTTGAAAGCTTTCCTCATAGTCTTTTGGTTTCCGAAAACGCTCTTTCTTTCCACGCAAACTTTCATTAACCGGTGATCCATTCCGCTCAAAAGAGCATGATCCCCTTCTGTTTGCTTACCTTTCAACTGGGCGCTCTCCGGTCCTCTCCGCCTGCTCCCGCTCATCCAATTCCGTCCGTTTACCACGTATGTTCCTAAAATGTCGCACCACCACCAATCGCTCTGTTTTCCCGCGCCCTACAGCCGTAATAAGGCGGCTCCCATCGCAAAGTACACCGCCTGCGGGTCCCGAAACAGCAGTAAGCCAGGCGCGGTCCTTAGACTGCAATATTAAAACTTGTAGCAGTCGGCGTGTTTTTGTTTTCCCCAATTTCTTCCGAATTCCCCTCACGCTCGTGTTTTCCGAGACCGTTCGTCTCAAATCCGATGAGTGATACGACATGTTTGTCCGTCGAATAAATCCGTCGTCGACGTGAGTTCACGGTCTAATCCTTTTTGAACTCGGCTCTCTCTCTCTCTCTCCGTCTTCTGAATGTAAAAACCGATAACACATTTCAATGGCATCAACACCACAACGTCTTCAGAATTCCAATGAACTTTTTGAGTGCTTGTCATCATGCCCCAATTAAAGGTTTCTGCTCCTAGTTGTTTCCTCCGCTTTTCTTCTACTACTCACTCACTTCCTTCTACTTTTGACCCTTCTTCTTCTTCTTCTTCTTCGCAGTCAAGTACGAGCACAGAACATCACATGTTTCGAGAGCCCTCCTGCAATCCGACTCTCTAAAGCCACGCCCCTTTTGAATACATGCGTTTGCCACTCCGCCTCATCATTATTAAACTTTTTGTACCACCAATATATTTCACATTTCCATTTTTCCCTTAAAAGGACTACATTTAATGTGACTCCCAGCTAGTGTAAGCTCTGCAAAATACGGAGCGGTGGGCTCGTGAATGAGCCTATGAATATCAAAAAGGCACGATCTGTTTTTAAGCAATGTCTTTTGTGCGGCCCTTTCTGAGAAGAGCACTTAAACTTGAAATGTATGTGCGGGCTACATTCTTACAAACTCCCCAAAAAGGTTTACAAGTTCGCATTTAAAACAAGTCCCACGAATTTCATCAATTCCAGTGCCGATCGTTCTCCATTTCGTTTATCTTGTCAGCTGTGTTTCTGGACCACCATCAGACGAACAGTTGTTCGTGGCACGTCTCTCTTGTCGTTCATTTCCCACCGATCTGATTGACATCTGATTGTTCCCCCCGAAATGCGATGAGGATCCTATAGAAGAGGTTTGTTTGTAGGTTGAATTCCGAAGAAGATGCCTCCTGCTGCACACTTAAATGACCTACTTTGCCGCAAAAACCAAAGTCTACGCCTAACGAGTTGCCACGAAAGTTTTCTTCTTCTCTTTTTTCTTCTTCTTCGTCTTCTTCTTTTCTTTCCTTCTTTCCTAGAACTTGTTAGAGTGCGGGTGGTGATTGTCCACGTAGGATGTCTCAATCAGTGGGTCTCAGATGAATTCCCACTACCGTACTCTTTCCATCATTATTTTCTCGAAAAAGGGAGCGGGAGAGGTTCATAACAGCCACTTATCCAGACGGAACACGGCGCCAGTCGGTTCAATTTCTCGCCGCCCGCCCGTCTCTCTCGAACGAACGAAGCACACGAGAACACACGAATAATACTAATTCCTCTGTTTTCGTCGCCTCTTCAGAAGCTCAAGGAATTCGATCGCCTTCTGAATGCGTTCAGAAGCAGAGACGTGGCGAATTGATGACCCGCTTTCGAGAGTTGCCGCGATTAATTATTCGCCAAACTCAACTCGTCCTCTTTTTTCTCCAAGGCGTAGGGAAGACGGCTAGGAGTAACTTTTCATCTTCTCTCTTTTCGCTTTCCTAATTAGGCTCTGCTTCGCGGCTCGTAAGCCCTCGGGTCAAGAGTGTTCATCTTCATCGCCTCCAGGCGAAAAGTCCCTTCCAGTAAGACGAGGATGATGGCGAGGGTTCAAAGAGCTTGCCCTTCAGTCTAACTAGTCCTATTCATCAGTTCACATACGTCAACGTACTCCCTTCCATATCCGTTTATCATCATTTTGATGTTTCACGTTTCACACTTCCAGATGGAGACTATGAAATACATTCTCTACGAGATCTGCATCCCTACCATCATGGTCATGTGCATCTTCGCCGCTCTCCTCAACATAATGGTCTTCTCATCTCGATTCCACGTCAAATCACGGACGTCCTCGCTCGAACTCACCTACTCTCTCGCTCTTTCGGACACTTGGACGAGCTTCGTGATCGCGCTCTCGCTCTTCTGGAACAGTTACAAACCGGTGGTGCTCCAGTGGCCGCACAACACCTACTGCTTTCCGCTGACACTTGAAGTGAGTTAGTGCTCCGTGGTGTGCTCGCTGAGCCGTGCGCCAAAATGATCTTCATCAGAGCAACAGCTCATCCAATCAAACGCAACACTGCGCATCCGCATCAATTTCGGTGAATTGGATGACGTGTAGTTTAGTAAAAAAAAAACGGGGAGAACAATGAGAGATGTTTCTTGAGTGGATTTGATGAATTAAAATGGAGAATGAGACGGACAGAGTTGCATTTGATGATGTAAGGTCTGACTCATTGCTCTTCGATTGCAGGCGTTCCGTACCGGCGGTCTTCTCACCGGCATCTTCCACCTCGTGGCCCTCGCTTTCACCCATTACATGACCATCAAGCGCCCTTTCGATCACCACAAAGTGCTTCCCCTCCGAACTATCCATATTGTCATCTTTTTCATGTGGGCCACTCCTCCATTGGCTCTCATGATCTACTTTGCCAGCTGGCAAGAACAAGGCTACCGGTAATTCATTCCCTCGTTTCTCTTTCACTTCTTTGTTTATAGCAACGAGAAGTGCATGGGCATCAGTTTCTACGAGAATTTCTTCTTCCGCGCCATCATCTCCCTCATTATCGTCATTCTGATCATCACAACCACCATCTTCTACATCAGAATGTTACAAAAGATAAGCGAGGTAATCACTGGCTGCACACGTCACAATGCCTCATTCGGAGACTCATTTCAGGTGCGCAACAAGACAGTCGGCGCCGCGCCGGGAGCGTCAGCCAGGGGACGGAGGACGGTTGTGACTGCGGTGCTGATCTTCGGAACCTTTTTGTTCGGATGGATGCCCGCCAGCATCCTCTACATTCTGACGGCGGAGGACATGCCTCTCTACAAGAAACAGAGCGTCTTCATCACGGTTCTCTCGATTGTCGTGCTCGTCAACATCATGGCGAAGACGATAACGAACCCGATAATCTATGCGACCAGGTACTAGATACTTTCTTTCATTTCCTCCCCGCTTAACTCAAATTCACACTTTTTCAGAATCCCGGAAATCCGGCAGTACGTGACCCAGAAGTTGTTCTGGCGGGTCGTGCCTGGCGACGTCGCCAGGCGGCAAAGTGAGCTGGAGCCGCTGAGAACGAGGTGCTCGCAGGGGAACACGCATTCAGTCATGCTCTGAGTGATGATGATTCGGGTACCCCAAGTGATCTCTGATTGTAGCCATCTAGTATGTATGCACCTCTTCTCCGAAATCAAAGGTTTTTTTGAGCTGTGATAATTTATTATATATATTTGGAATACAAACAATAAAGTCTAATAAAATCAGTCATCATCATATGTACAGGCATCACTGGAGATCTTCAGAATCCGTGCTCACACAGACTTGTGCTTCTTCGACACCTTCACCTTCTTCTTGTTGTTCTTTGCCAGCAGTCTCTTGTACGCCCATAGCCGTCTCTTGAAGCTGTCCAGATCTTTGGAGCGTGGCACCACACAAGGTCCACGTGTCGGATCGGCGTCAACGATCTGATCGGGGCAGTACATGCTGTTCAACTTGACAGTGTCCCATTTCGTGAGCAGTCCGACTCTCTGTCCCGCTCCGATGTCCGCGTCGTTGCGAGCCGGGCAGTACGGCGTTAGACGGAACTTCTCGCGAGCCCACAACGGAACTGTGATGCTCTCCGGATCGAACGGCCACGTCAGCTGAATCGGATTGTAGTCAGGAGTGCCGAGATTCGGAACGCCACCTCTGGAAACGATCACGATCACATTAATAGAGAAACCAGAAGAACATAATAGAACACAAATCATTCTCGCCCCAATTATGTCAGTGCGAACCCATTAAACTAACCCGATCGCTTGCACATACGAGACGGCATCCGGTCTGTACAACTCCCTCTGCAATCCCATGAACCGCACCAACTGGTCCATAACCATTCCCCGCGAGTGATTGAAATTGTTCGTCTCGAACGAAGATTGTGCCACGTAGAGGATCGTCCGATCCACGAGTCCCTCCACAACCGCGTCCGAATAAGCGGCGAACTTTCCGGATTTGCGGATGAGAACGTGAGGAGATTTGGCGTCCCAGCGGTCCGCGTGGTACCACGGCTTGTACTCCTGCTCTTCGAACTTGACGCAGGTACGTCTGGCGATTTGGGAGAATGCCTCGCGGAGCACCTTCTTCTCGAACTCCGTGAGACTCGGCCAGAAATAGACTTTCTGGACAGGCTTGCGGAGAGTGCGGTCCTCGAAATCGACGGCGTCAATACCGTTTGCACTTCGAGTACCGACTGCGAACGCCTAAAACGAAACAGAAACTGAGCATTCTTTATATAATTTTAACATACCTTTGCCTTCTTACACTCTTTTTTTACTCCAATAGCAGCCGATGAGGTTGCATAGAATAGAGCCGAGAAGCCGAGAATCAGCAGGAGAATCTGCATGACGATCCGAATGTCGGCGGAAAGGATCGGAAGGGAATGATAGGAGGCTAATGGGGTCAAACGAAATGGAAAAGCGGCGGCTTCTGGTGTCTCCCGCTAATCAGTTCGTTTCTTTTTATATGGAAGCGGCGGGTGGGGGAGGCGGCAACGCGCGTGGAGACGAGATGGTGATTGGTGGGCGGAATCAATTCGAAACATAATTATAGATGAGTACATTCTGGCGGTGGTTTCGAGTGTGGCGGTGGCGGCAGGCGGCCAGTTGGCGAGAAATGCGAAGAAGCGCGCCATGTCATTCAATTAAACATCACGATTTCGGATGGCTGGAATAATAGAATCGGTTCTGATTTATGTAGTAGCACAGTGCTTTCACGCGGACATTAGAGAGGGGATGGGGATAGGTACAATATCTGAGATTTCTGAGGGGAAACAGGGACATAACTTCAGTTGAACTGAAACGGAAAAGTCGGTGGGGGATAGCGGGACTATATTAGTTACACGAAACTTCTTCGCATCCTAGATTCGTTTCGTTTTTGGGTCTTCGATAGGATTAGCATACCCGTATTGTCACACAATTTCACATAAGGTCATTAAAGAACTAAAAAGAAATGTGCGTGGGCGGAAGGGGTGAAATGGAGAGGAGGTAAAACGCTTTGATACATTTAAATGCTCGGAAACTATAAGACAGAGTACGTATATAGGAGAAAGTAAAACGGCGATTCGACATTTGATAATTACAGATCAGGGAAGCGCGTCGGGTCTTCACGATACGACGTCGGGATTGTGAACATCTTGTCGTGGATGTCATTCGTAAATTGGAACTTTTGGAACGTCACTTTCGCAGCGATCGTTGCCAGGAGAGGAATCTCTGAAAAAACAACGATTTCATAGCCCAGCGCATATTGAACACTTACCAACACAAACTGGGAATCCAGGTGGAAGTCTGGCCGAGCAGAAGCGTCGCAGTTTGTCTAGATGCTTGAACGGAGCCACCACTTCCAGAATATCAACAAGCACTTCGATAGAGAGCGGGAACTCCTCGCTCATCCCCACAAGTGCCTTGAACTGCTTCTCGTTGGTTTTCACAATTTGTGGCGACCCATTTGAGGTGGGGCCCCTGGAGCTGCTCCAGAATACTCTTCCCACGTGGTTGGCAGTCGACCAGGTGGAGGCAGAGATTTCCGGTGTTGAAGACTCTGCAAATAACAAATTTAGAATAATTGGTTCTGAATTGTTTGAAACTCACAGTAAACTCGTCATCATTGACAACATTCCCGCTAGTCAGACTGTGCAGTATAGACTTGTTCTTCTTGACATCGTCATTCGTCAGATGCTCTCTTCGCTTTCTACTCGTAAGTTTCAGCCCTTCGACACTGTAGAAATTGACTGGGAAGTCGCCCATCTGCCCTTCTCTCGCGTGTTTGAACACCCATCCAGAGTAGGCTTGCTTGAAACCGACGGTCTTTGTCGACATGTGCGCATTGACAATGTCCGTCGACATGAGTACATCAACTTCCTCGTCTATTTCTGCTTCTGACTGTTCCCTTCGTCCTCGCTGGAATACTTTTGTCTTGTTGTCCATCACAACCAGTTGCTCTCCAGGAGGGGCGTCCACGTTGAACAGAAATGTTATGTCTCCGCGTTCCCAGTTGCGTTCACTGAAATCGGCCAGAGTCGTGTCCATTCTGAGCAGGTTGCCCTTCTTGTAAATGAGGCAGACATCGGAGGGGAGGATGCGAGAGAGGAGAGGTATCCACGACTGGAAATCCCACTTGAACTCCATGTAAAAGTCACCGAGGTCTTTGAACATTTTCATGAGATGCGGTTTCCCGCGTGCCAACTTCTCACTCGTCTGGCTCTTCAGTTTTCGTAACATTTCGGTGACTGAAAAATAAAAGAGGATTAGGAAAAATGCAAGCAAATGCTGAGAACTCACTAATCTGTCTGTCTCCGTAGCTAACAGACTCCATCAATGGATTCCATCCGTCGATATTCTTTATTCTAACCGGTGCATTGTTGGAGAGCAGAATAGAAATCGCTTCCCGGTGCCCGAGCATCGTCGCAATGTGAAGTGCCGTGTTACCGTGCATGTCCTTTTCGGATAGACTCCTTCCGGCGCGGAGCAGTTGGACGATCGAATGCGTGTCATTGAAAAATGCAGCTTTGTGAAGGGGAAACGCCTCGTGGTCGAGTCGGGCGGACATCCGTTGGCCGACGATCCACGGATCTTCTGTCCGAAATTTGGACATCATGATGGATCAATCGGGAGGAGAGTTCGAGAACTGAAATGAACAGAAGATGAGCGAGATGAGTTGAGATGACAGTTAATTGAGTAGTGGAGAGGAAAGAACAAGTGTCGGAAAATTAACGAGGTAATGTTTCATTGGCATTGGATGAGAAAGTGACGGATTAGGTGAGAATGAGTATTGATGAAGAATGTGATAAGATGGATAGGATTACTGAAAGAATTGATGTCTCGATTCGAAGAACACGATTGACTGAATAACCGTTTCGCTCTGTGAACAGTTCATTTAAGTTGGCAGCTATCAATTCTGTCTCTCAAGATTTCTGATAATAAACTCTCCTTCAGAAAGCGCGCGTAATCGGAAGAGAAGTGTGAAAGAGATATGGGGTCGTGGTCGTCTCCCTCTTACCGTCTTCACAGTCGCCACCGTCACCGCAAAAACGAGAAATTGCAACAAATCGGAGGGAGGAAGAGAGCGATGAGGGTGGGAGAGACCGATTGCATAACAAAACAAGGTATGCATTGAGAAGTAGCCCGCCCAGAAGATAACAGTTTCCGAGGTGTTGCCACGTGCATTTCTGAGCGAGGAAGCCTTTCGGATCGATAAGAGAAGCCATGAAAGCGGCATTCGAAAGCTGGCGAGAGGATGAGAAAAACTAAATGTGAAAAAAGCCATCAATTATTCAAATTATAGGATGCAAATGCAGTGGTCGTCGGTGGCGGCTGCCTCCCAGCCAAATATTTGCCTGTTCTGTGTTCACATGGGGGATTGAATCAAGTATTTATTTGTTGTTCTCGACTCTCGCGATAATCGGCCAAAAAATTATTGGTCGATGCCACACAGACACACGTCGCACTTTCACTTGTTCTTCTATGGCTGAGCGGATTTCGAGAATGCAAACACCGAAAACTAGTAGAACCGATGAAAAGAGAAGAGCACAGAAGGCACAGAGCACTGGCGTCCGCTTCGCCGGAGACGAAAACAATTTGTTTCGACGACGGCGGCAGCGGCGGGTGGGCACGCGCTTGAAATCTGCGAGAAACGGCGGCCGAAGACGACATGCAAACGAACCCAAATTGACCGGAAAAGGGGCTAACACAATTCGAAATGGCTTCTCACGGAAAGAGGCGGCCACACACGCGATGGAATGGCAGAGTGGCTAGGCGGCAGGCGGCAGCAGTTACTGCCATATACACCCATTTTTTCGAATTGTTTTGAAGAAAGAGGAGAGACGGAGACGTGGTGGAAGAGAATAAGAAAGAAGTACTAGTAAGGAATGGAACTAGAATATTATAGTGAGTTGGTGGGAGTCAATTTTGACTCGAAACTGGTCAATGCAGTGTCGCATTTTTTGCGTTAAAAGCGCTGAACTCCCTCCCGTCAGAACAGCTCGTCAAAACGACGTCATCGCAACTGCCATTAGGTGTCTAGCAAGACTACATTAGTTTCCTTCGAAAAAGTGAGAAAAGACTTCTGACCAACTTCACAGCTGGCGTTGGATAGCCAGTGTAAAACCAATCTCTCTCGGCATGAACATCATTCGTCATAATTTTCTGGCAGCTGATCTCGGGCGGGCGCGAGGCCGGAAATTAGACCTAACACTTCCGATATAGCTCATCTGAAGCCGGATTTCTCAGATTATCAACAAATGCTATTACTGCGAATCACCGTTCGTTTCGAAAAATGAAAAGGGCTTCGTTTGCTTTAGAACTGAACCCGATATTAAATGAATCGAAGTGTGGGAAGGCGGAAACGGCGAGGAACAAACAGAAACCTGAGCCCTTCCGACCCTTTGGAAACTTGGCTCTGCAGAGCAGCAGAAGAATGCTCTCACATGATGATCAGATGGCGAACGAAAGGACGCTCTGCTGCCAATTAGTGCTCAAAGTGTGTAATACACTTCAAGTTCGTTTTGTGAACGAAATGGACGGAAGTATGGCCAAACGAGAAGGGCGAATTGGGTATTTCAAAATGGGAAGAGTCTGTAATTGCCTTGTAATTTCTATCCCTCTTGCCGGAAACTTGAGATGATTCATCAATTGAATGACCAGTAAGATCTGATCAAACATCGCTTGAAATGTATGATTCTATGGTCGAATTGTTCCATGATTCTATGGTCGAATTGTTCCATTTTGTTTGTTTTTCCAGTGCCACGAACTTTGATATTCAATCGATTTGTCCCGGAGGACACGTACAGACGACCTTCACCTACTCTCTCTTCGTCTCTTTGACTATCTGCATCCTCGATCTTTCTCTCTTCTCTTCGTCGGTCATTCCCGATTCATCTTGACTTTACCACAACCACAACTACTTTTGTATCACGAAAATCCATTTTTCAGGATGGTTTACACTCCGAAAAACGTGGTCATAACTGGTGGGTGTGGATTCATCGGATCCAACTTTGTTAACTACATTCACGACGCGTGGCCGAACTGCAACTTTGTCAACATTGATAAGCTGATTCTTAACAGTGACACGCAGAATGTGAACGAGTCGGTTCGTAACTCTCCACGTTACAAGTTGGTGCTTACTGACATCAAAAACGAGGCAGCCATTCTCAATGTTTTCGAGGAAAATAAGGTTATTCTTCCGAACTTCTTCAGATTTGATAAACTTTATTTCAGATTGATACTGTCATTCACTTCGCAGCTGACTGCACTTCGACCCGTTGCTACAACGAGACTTCGGAGGCAGTTCATAACAACGTTCTCTCGTTCATCCAGTTTCTAGAGACAGTTCGCATTTACGGAAAGATCAAGAGGTTCGTGCACATCAGCACTGATGAGGTCTACGGAGACTCTGATCTTTCGGAGAACGAGCAAGGCAAGGTAGAGCACTCTCGGCTGGTGCCCGGAAATCCGTACGCTGCGACGAAAATCGCTGGGGAGGCGTACGTGAGAGCCTATCAAACTCAGTACAACCTTCCGATTGTGACCGCCCGCATGAACAACATCTATGGGCCGAACCAGTGGGACGTGAAGGTGGTGCCAAGATTTATTGAGATTGCAAAAGTCCGTGGGGAATACACTATCCAAGGCACCGGAAAGCAACTGCGCTCTTGGCTTTTTGTCGACGACGCTAGCGCCGGACTGAAGGCAGTTTGCGAGAAGGGAGAGCTTCACGAGATTTATAATTTGGGCACTTATTACGAAAAAAATGTTGCGGACTTGGCAAAGACTATTCAAGAAGAAGTCGATGCTCAATTGAAAAGAGCTCACGAACCACCAAGATACAAGTCGATCCCGGACCGCCCGTACAATGATCTTCGTTACTTGATCAGCATTGAAAAAGCGAAAAGTGAGTTGGGATGGGAACCGACGACCTCGTTCGACGTAGGAATGCGGCATACCGTCGCTTCAGCTCTCAAGGAGCACAAGCACGTGAAAATGCACGTGGCTGTGTACGGAGGAAAAGGATATGTGGGTCAGGAATTGCAACATGTCCTCAATGCAAGAGGTATTCCTTATGTTTTGGCGACCAAGAAGGTCGGATTCGATAGTGACGAAGAGGTGAAAAAGGGAAATACGCTCTGATACTTTTATGATTGTGATTCAGGTGGAGAAGGAACTGGCACTCCTTGGAGTGACTCACGTGATTTGCGTGACAGGAAGAACTCACGGACCCGGCTGCGGTACCATCGAATACTTGGAGGGCGGAGCTGATAAGGTGTTTATCAATGTGAGGGATAACATGTACAGGTAGGTGAACTGATAATAGTCTAACAAGCGCGGGAGTCCGCAATTCGCAGTGCAACAATTCTGGCGCACATCTGTCGAAAGATAGGGCTGCACTACACGTACATTGGCACTGGTTACATGTTTGCTTATGATAAGGAACACCCGATCGGCGGCGCCGAATTCAAAGATGATGGTTTGTGGCAAAAGAAATAAACATGGCACATAAAATCGCTGTCTTCTTTTTCAGACGAGCCTTCGTTCTTTGGTTCCGCCTATTCTGTTGTCAAGGGATTCACTGATAGGCAAATGAGCTATTTCAATCAAAAAGTGGGAGTGAATTAGAATGAAAGATAGAAACATGTTGTTTTTCAGGGATGGGAAAACTTGAATGTGCGGATTACACTGCCACTGAGTTTGGATTTGGAGCAGCCGAGAAACTTGCTCTCCAAAATTATCAAATACAAGTTGGTGGTTTCGAGATTAAATTGAAAATGTCAGTCTTTTACAGAGAGCTCTTCGACATCCCAGTTTCTTTGACTATTCTCCCAGATTGCATGAATGCGATGCTCAACCTGATGGAGCAGAGAACTGGAGGAACTCTAAACCTGGTTAACCCAGAGCCTATCAGTCTCTACGAAGTTGTAGAGATTTACAAGGAGGTACTTACTAATTCGCTAGAAATCACTCACATATTTTTACTGTTTCAGATTGTCGACGATTCGGTCAATCCGACGCCGATCGGAGTGGAAACGGAACGGGCGCAACAGCTGCTGGCGACCAAAGGAAACTGCGCACTGGACACCGAGAAACTGCAATCTCTGGCGCCGGTTCTGTCGGCGAAACAAAGTCTCGTCAAGCACTTCGGAGACATGGCCACCAAGTGATTTATATTTATTTGCAACATTATTACGAAAATTATGTCAGTTTATGTTGAATAAAACTAATTGGGAGCGGAAAAGCTGGTCATATGGAGACAGGATAAAACTCAAGAGGCGGCAGCCATTTTCGGAAGGAAAAGTGGAAGGAAAAGAGCGGAAAAATGTTTGCTTTGGTCCGCCGAACAAAAAAAATTCGATAAAAAATTTCGACGGCCAGCAACCGCGGCCGAGTTTCCCACTCGTGTATTCCTCTCGGACAAAGACAACGGAGACGCGCTTCAAAAATTTCTATCGAATTGGTGAGCGTATTTTGCAAAAAAATATTTTTAAACAATGTTTGTCTTTTTTCAATGGTTCTGAGTCATAATCTCATAATTTATCCCTCAATTTCATAATTATTTTGCCAAGTTACAATTTCAAAATGGGTTTGCAGGAAATGCTAAGAAATGTGTCTCTAGCGTGCTCATCGGCAGTTTCGGCCAACTTGTGTAAGCAATCAAAACCAGCATGGGCACTCCTGTCAGCAGCAAGATTTTCGGACAAAAAGAAAGGGTGAGTGCGCGGCTCCTGATAGCTCTGAGAATGTATTCAGTTACAGAGACGATCTGGAGACGGATTTGCAAAAAGATCTTAAAAAATTGAATGAAATTTTGAAAACCGGAATCAAGGAGGCGGAATCAACTAATCTGACGGCAGAACAACCAGCGGCAGACAAGTCGATCGATAAGAGCTTTATGGATTTCCGAAGACAAGCAGAGAAAGAGTCCTTCCAACGAAGCAGCAACATTTTCAACTGGAAAGTGGCACTCGGAACCCTGGCCGTCGGAGGAAGCTGTCTTGTCGCCTTGTTTTATATCAAAAAGATCGTATGTTAACAAAAATTTGAATCCAAAACAAAATGATGTCAATATATGTTTTAGCGTCTGGAAGAAAGGGAAAAACATCGGAAGGTGACTGCGGGAAAGGCGAGGATCGGAGGAGAATGGGAATTGTTAAACACAGAAGGAAAGCCGGAAGGCTCGCAAGAACTACGTGGAAATTGGCTGCTCATGTACTTCGGCTTCACAAACTGTCCCGATATCTGTCCGGATGAGATTGAGAAGATGGTGAAGGTGGTCGAAATCATCGAATCGACGAAGGACGCAACGCCAATTGTTCCAGTCTTTATTTCCGTTGATCCGGAGAGGGATTCTGTTGCTCGCGTGAAAGAATATTGCGCAGAATTCTCAGACAAACTACGTGGATACACTGGCACCACGGAAGCCGTGAACAAGGTGGCGAAGACGTTCCGAGTGTATCACAGTCAGGGACCAAAGACGAACAAGCAGGAGGACGACTACATTGTCGATCACACCGTCATCATGTACCTTATTGGTAAAGCAAATTGGGGGACTGCCTGATAACGAATGATGTTCAGATCCTGACGGCCAATTCCATGATTACTACGGACAGAACCGAAAAGCTGAGGAGATTGCGAATGTTATTCAGATGAAGGTGCTCAAATATCAGGCGCAGAATCGAAAATCTCTTTTGAACTTGTTCTAAATAAGTGTCTTACGTGTATTTCTTTTAGGCTTCCTCTTTTGTTATTGCTTCTTCTTTGATTTATTGTTGATCGTTTTTCTCGGTAGGATTCATAGATTTACTGTTTATAAAGCTTTTCCTAGCGTAATCTAACTTTTGATACATTTTACGCGTTTTCTCGCTCGAATATCCCTTTAATTTCATGATTTTTGTTATTTTGTTATAATTCTCCTTATTTCAGAATGTCGGGAAAAGCGGACACGACTTCTGATAACGTATTCAACGTGCGTGTCGCCAAACGGAGCGAAGACATCCGCTATTCTGTGATGATGTTCAACGGAATGGACAAGGTGGACACGGCGAAATGGACGATGGAAAGTGGCGTCACAATGGAAAGGGAAGATAATCGGGGAGTTGTGCTGGCGACGCAGACAGTACAAGAATACGGAGAGGGCTCCGAGTACGGAAAGGCGGCACGTGAGGAGGCGCGGCGCAAGAAGTTCGGAAGACAATCCAGGAGCTACCATCTAGACAATCAGCCGTGGCGGTTGGCATTCACAGAGCCGGAAGGACGGCAGCGAGTGATGAGAGGCATTCGCGAGGGAGGAGCCAACGAGCACGCGGACTACTGGGTGTTCATGAAGCCGCAGAACTCGAACGAGTTCAAGGCGTACAAAGTGGACGAGTGGCACAAGTTTCTGCCGGCGATCACGCACAAAACACTCGACATCGATCAGGCGGAGGAGCAATTCTCGCAGAGAAATAAGGTTATGAACCAATTTGCACTCAAAGCGGCTATCCAGAATCAGCTGAATGCGACGGACGAAGCGGAGCTCACAGAGCAGCAGAAACGACTTTTGAAGATCAAGGACGAGGGAAGTTCGGACGATTCGGACGACGGAGACGACGAGGGAGAAGGCGGAGACGACGGAAAGAAGCGGAAGAAGAAGAAGAAGAACACGAAGCCAGTGAAGGACAAGAGACAGCGAGTGGACAACGAAGATGACGTTGCTAGTGAGTTGACAGTACAGAAGAAGAACCCTGGATTGTTATCGCTTTCAGAATACGAGTCTTCCGACGGAGAGGATGAGGGTAGAGAGTACGACTACATTTCCGACAGTGGAACCGATTCTGAGTTAGTCCTGCTTTCCGAATAGCATGTAAAAGTATTTTCATTTCAGCCGTGAGCAAGTTCCGTCCGACGAGAAGATTGAGAAGCAGATGGTCGGAGTGGCCGAAGAAGAGGGAGCACGCAAGCTTTTCGAGACGGACAGCAGCGAATCGGACGACGATCTCGCGAAGAAGCTTCTGAAACCGGAAGGAGACAAGAAGAAGAGCAACGACATCGAGGAGAGGGACTCCTCAGGATCTGACTCCGAAGATCCGGACACTGAGAAAATGGACTCCGTCGTTTTCCTTCCGAAGAAAGAGGCCAAAGAGGGCGAGAGTTCAAGCGGAAAGAAGCGCGTCGCGGTCGAGGACGGAGGGCTCAAGGACGACGATCTGGGACCGAGTGATCCGAAGAAGGCGAAGACGGGGGCCAAATTGGAAGAGGGGCTGAACGAGGAAACCGTTCGCAGATATCTCCGTCGCAAGCCGCACACTACCAAGGTATTCTTTCCGATCTTCCGTGATTCGAGATTACTCATTTCAGGAACTGCTGCACAAAATGACTGGAAAATGCGGCGACATGAGCAAGTCCGAAATGGTGACTCGTTTGGCCGCCATTCTGAAGGCGATCGAGCCGCATCAGTCGAAGCAGCTGAAGGGAAAGAAGGAAGTGCTTTTCTTCTCGCTGACCAACACAGTCGCCTGATCCGATATTGTCGTATACTAATTGAAATTCTTCGTCTGTTCGAGCACCTGCCGCTTATTCATTATCTCTTTTAACGTATTCTGCAGAGAAAAGCGTTAGCAAAAAAAAGATTCCGTTTCAAATTTCTATCTGTAAATGAACCAAATAATTCAAATTTATAAAACTTGGTGTTTAATCTTCATTATAAATTAAAATCATTCAAACAAAAGAGACCACTCTTGCCACAGTGCTTCCGGATCGGATCCCTTGTTCTGGATCTCGGTTCGAGCGTCTTGAATCAGAACGTCTCCGTTCTCCTTCACAATTCTCATTGTCGGAATTGTCTTGACTTCGTACTTCTGGAGGAGTTCACTGAACACGGGACGAAGTTAGAAATTGCAACAATATCCAAACGTACATAATCTTATCATTTCCAAATGGAATGTACGTCCAGTTTCCCATGTGATCAGTGAAGTATTGGACTAGATCTGCCGAGTTCCGATCACGGGACACAAACACAACTTCGAATTCCGGATGCGTCTTTTGAATGTGCTCGAAGAACTCTTTGAGTATCGGAGTGAATGCACGGCACGGAGGGCACCAACTGGCGGAGAAGTACAGTCCGACGATCTGAACTAACTGATCAAATGCAAGTTCATGGACCACCTCACCAACTCACTTTTCCTTTCAAATGCTTTTCGGCATCAAGATCGACGCCTTCACGGTTCTTCAGAGGGATTCCTGCGAAAACTTGAGCCATTTCTGAAGTAAAAATGTGGGGAAACAGCAGAAAAGGCGAATAAAACGAAATGAAAAGATTCATGTCTATTGCGAAAAAACAGGAAATTGTTGGTCATTTCTGAACGAGTAATCTGAAGACGACTGCAAATTGTTTTGGTACTTATTTAAAAAGAAAAGGAATAGTCATCATTTGGATGACAATTCGAAGAAGTCAAGGATTGAAAGAGGCATCAGAGAGTACTTTGTAGCGTGCGAAATAAGACACCAAAGTTTGTTTATTTAGCGGCCGAGCATTGTGCATTGTGCAACTTTTTCATGAATCAGGAACAAAAACTACAGAAGACTACATTGTTTCTCGAAATAAAGGATGGATAGTCTTCATTTTCGCGATTACTTTCAATAAAAAAGGGAATGTCGAACTACTTGAGCTCTCCGCAGTCGGCGATGACGCACGGCGCCTTCGGAGTTCCGTCCTCGCTTCCCTTCGATTCGACTGCTTTCACGACGTCCATTCCGTCGATCACTTTGCCGAACACTACGTGCTTTCCGTCGAGCCACGCCGTTTTGATCGTGCAGAGGAAGAACTGGGAGCCGTTCGTGTTCTTTCCGCAGTTTGCCTGAAGGAATCGATTACTGTGTTCTTTAGGCATTCACGGATTAGTCGCTTACCATCGAGAGGACTCCCGGTCCGGTGTGCTTTTCTTTGAAGTTCTCGTCGTCGAACGTCTCTCCGTAGATGGACTCCCCTCCGGTCCCGTTCGCCGCAGTGAAATCGCCTCCCTGGATCATGAATTCGGGAATGACACGATGGAAGGTGGACCCTTTGAAGTGCAGTTTCTTGCCCGATTTCCCCTTTCCTTTCTCTCCTGTACACAGAGCACGGAAGTTCTCGGCAGTCTTCGGAACGATGTCATTGTACAACTGAAACGATTCGATGTCTCCGTTCCATTCGAATTTATCCCACCTCCATAGTAATTCTGCCGGCTTTCTTTCCGCCAATGGTGATGTCGAAGAACACCTTGGTACGAGGCATTGTTCCGAGAAGAGTAAATTCCACAACTGAAGACAATGACGCTTCTGAACGGCTCGTCCATACACATGTCACCCGGGCAATGCAGTTCACGCGTGATTTGTAGTAATACTACTTTTTTTAAAAAATTTGCGTTGTGCACAACTTGTGAAGGTTACTCGGTTCGTTCCATTCAATTCGCTCTGAATTATTCACCCTTTCTGAGTTGCGCGTAAAATGTGACACATCCGAGAAAGAGTGAGCGGTGTTTGCAGAAAACGCATTTTCGATTTTCTTTTTCTCGAATTTTTCGAATGTTCCTCCAATTAAGTTAAAATAGTGCAGCCTTTTATAATTATGTAAGAAATTCATGTTATTTGTAGAGCCATGTTATTTTGATTTTCGCTTGTGAACCGTGCTTTCACGCATTTCTAGCTCTTCATCTTCAAATTCCGTATTTATAAAGTATACTCTTGTGAATTTTTCTACTTGCAGGTTGATGATGCCGATAACTGATCGAGATATCGAACCAGAAAGCAATCGTTATCCTTATTGTATCGTGTGGACACCGATTCCATGTCTGACGTGCGTTTATAAGTCCTATTCCCTCTCCAAGGAACATTTTAAGATGGTTCTTCCCGTTCATCGGACACATGGGGATTGCGAACAGTCGAGGAATCATCCGTGACTTCGCTGGAAGTTATTACGTGGCTGTAAGTTATCGAAATCTAGAGCGAATATTTGAAGGTATCCTATTCAGGAAGACGACATGGGATTTGGATGGCCGACTAGATATTGGCAGCTGGGACCAGAACACGTGGAAGGAGGTGTCGAAGCGTTCGATAGAGCCATTTTGGAGGCATCTGATGAGTACAAGACACGAACGGTGCAAAAAAAGTTCACAGACCGACCAGCATGTCTTTTCTTTCAGCACAACCTCATTTGTGACAACTGTCACTCGCACGTGGCCCTTGCTCTGAACAAGATGCGATATAAGGATCGTGAGGACTGGAACATGGTCAAACTGGCGTGGCTTGCGCTCACGAAGGGAACCTTCGTGCGCAACACCGATATCTTCTCCCAGTACCTACCGTTCGCCATCATCGTTTTCATCTTCGTCGCAGTGTTTACTTTTTTATAATTTATGTTTTCTGACAGCTGTTATCGATCTCATTAACCATCTTCCTGTGATATTAAGATGCAACTACGTTATTTTTTCGATTTTTTTTCTCTTCTGGTTCCATTCTACCAGTTTTATATCTTCAAGAGTTCAAATTGCTATATTTCTTAACAGTTTATTCTAGAAAGTGAGAAATGGTGCGCCTGACAACGGAGCTTTTCGCGGAGAGACCGCAGTTTGTCAACTCGATCAACTTGCGAGAGATGAACCTTCGTGGCCAAAAGATCCCAGTTATCGAAAATATGGGCGTCACCAGAGACCAGTTCGACGTCGTCGACCTGTCGGACAACGACATCCGAAAGCTCGACAACTTCCCCACGTCCACACGCCTCAGCACACTGTATCTGCACAACAACCGGATCAAGTGAGCAAAACACCAAAAAACAGTTTAACAAATTATCTTGATTGTAGCTACATCGCTCCTGACATCGGGACGAAGCTGCCGAATCTGAAGACGTTAGCACTGACGAACAACAATCTGTGCGAGCTGGGAGACATCGAACCACTGGCCGAATGCAAGAAGCTCGAGTACGTCTCTTTTATCGGCAATCCGCTGACTCACAAGGACAACTATCGGCTGTACATCATCTTCAAACTTCCTTCCGTTCGAGTCATCGACTTTGTCCGAGTGCGGTTAACCGAGCGTGACGACGCCAAAAAGCTCTTCAAAGGAAAGAGTGGCAAGAAGGCGAGAGACGCCATTCAGAAGAGCGTCCATACGGAGGATCCGTCGGAAGTGGAGGCCTCGAACGGAAGTGCTATCGGGCAGAAGCTCACCGATGAGGATCGCGACAAGATCAAGGAGGCGATCAAGAATGCGAAATCGCTCAGCGAAGTCAACTATCTGCAGTCGATTCTGGCGTCTGGAAAAGTTCCAGAGAAGGGATGGAATCGTCAGTTGGATCAGATCAACAATCAGGAAGAGGCCATGGAGACTTAAAGCAATCGGAGCCCCTATTTATTGTATTTCGGAATGATACTCAAGTTCTAATATCTTGTTGTGTTCTCTTTTGTTCCCTCACCTTCCTTCCCATTTTTAAGGCTCCCTGATTGATAAAAAATTTTACTTTTCTCATCAGTTTTTTTGCGAAAATTGTTTTTCTCAATTGAATATCTCTCAAACTTTCAGCACCCTTACTAAACTTTACTTTTCGATTGCAGATGTCCCAAGTCACGCCGGCCGAGCAGGAAGAGCAACGGAAAGTGGTTGAAAAGTTCAAACAGCTGCGTGACCAGCAGCAGGACATCGCCACCGAAGTGACTCGTATCGAGGAGGAGCGACGCGAGTTCGGACGCGTCCTCAACGTCATAAAGGATCTGAATCCGGATCAAAAGTGCTTTCGTCTGATAAGTGACACGCTAGTCGAGTACACCGTCAAGGATGTGGTCCCCGATCTCCAGAATAACATTGCTAATGTGAGATTTGGCTGAATTTTTCGCAACGCATTCATTCGTTTTAGCTGACATTGCTGTCCGAGCAACTGAACGAGCGTCTCGTGGAGAAGGGGAAGGAGCTTAACGCGCACAAGGCGACGTATAACATCCGTTTTCTAACCGAAAAGGAATCTGCCGATCTGCAAAAGGCACAAGCTCAAGGACAACTTCCAAAGGCCTGAACGCTTTAATTCTCCGCCCCATCCCCCCGTCAGGTATCCAAACGGCTTGGGACGGGGGTGATCCCGTCTCGTGGTACCAAAGGAAGTGATGCATGGAATGGGAACCATTTGTTTTCCCTGGCTCATGGTACCCAGTGCATCATCTCTCCCCGTCTCGTGGATCCCTTCGCTTGCGTCCCAACTGTTTGAATACCTGTCTCCCTGTTCACAGCTATTTCTTTCCGCTTCTCAAATTTGATATTCGTTCTACTTTGTTTGTTTTGCCCTTCAATTATACTCTTCCCCGTATTGACTTCCTTCTTTTCTGTGGCTATTGCATAAACAATACCTTCAAACAAACAAAATCTGTAAGTCTATCTGGTTTCTTGTCCGTCTGATTTCTGTTAAAAACCCAAGAAAATATTGGAAACTTCTGTTGTAGATGTCGACAGTGTACGACGCTATCCTGTCGGATGACGATGATGATCTGGAGATGGACGAAGAGGAAGAAGAGCAGCCGAGCGGACTGGAAAAAGTGAAAGAGGAAGAATCTGATGAAGACGAAGTAGTAGACGACGAAGAAAATGAAGACGAAGAAGAAGAGGAAGAAGGAGAAGAAGGCGACGAGTTCAAGACGGAAGATTCGAAGCCAATTCAGGTGAAAATCGAAGCTCTTGTGAATAAATAATCTAATGTTTCGCAGATCTCGGAAGAGAACATGACAACCAGAAAATTCAGCGAGCTCGGAGTGTGCTCGTGGATCTGCCAGCAGCTCAACACAATGCACATCAAGACGGCGACACCCGTGCAGGCCGCCTGTATTCCCAAAATCCTCGATGGTTCTGATATTCTCGGATGTGCTCGCACTGGAACTGGAAAGACTCTTGCATTCGCCGTTCCGATCCTCCAGAAGCTGTCCGTTGATCCATATGGCATTTTCGCACTGATCCTGACACCAACTCGCGAGCTTGCCTTCCAAATCGCCGATCAGTTCATCGCTGTCGGCAAGCCCATCACTCTCAAGTGTTCTGTGATTGTCGGTGGACGCAGTCTCATTCATCAAGCGCGGGAACTCAGTCAACGACCTCATATTGTGGTGGCGACGCCCGGAAGACTGGCTGATCTCATCGAAAGTGACCCGGATGTTATCGCGAAAGTATTCAAAAAGGTGCAATTCTTCGTGCTCGACGAGGCCGATCGCATGCTCGAAGGACAGTACAACGACCAGCTGAAGCCGATCTTCGAGAGCCTTCCACAAAAGCGCCAGACTCTCCTGCTCTCGGCCACCATCACCAACAATATCAATCAGCTGCACAAAGTGTCCGTCCGCAAACCCTATTTCTTTGAAGACAAAGGAAAGGACGGAGAGTCGACTGTCGATCGGCTCGAGCAGAAGTTCGTCGTCTGTCCGGTTGCAGTGAAAGACGCTTACCTAGTGTACGTGGTCAAGAACTACAGCGAAAAGAATCCGAAGTCGTCGATTATTATTTTTGCTCAAACGTGTCGAGAATGTCAAGCGCTCGCTTATATGTTCGAAGGACTCGGCTTCCGTGTCGGCTCTCTCCATTCTCAAATCGCACAGAAGCAACGATTGGCTGCTCTGTCCGCATTCCGCTCGAAAACCCTCCAAGTGATCATCTGTACGGACCTGGCCTCTCGCGGACTCGACATTCCACACGTGGATCTTGTCGTCAATCACAATGTTCCACAGTGTCCGAAGACTTATATTCACAGAGTCGGAAGATCTGCGAGAGCCGGAAGATTTGGATCCGCGCTCAGTTTCGTGACGCAATACGACGTGGAACTTCTGCAGGCAGTTGAACAAACTATCGGCAAGAAATTGGAAGAACTGAAGGTGAGAAAAAAATGGGACGGAAATGGAATTACTCATTTTCAGGTAAACGCGAAACACGTGACGAAATACGTGACACAAGTGCTTGTCGCCAAAAAAGAAGCCGAGTTGAAACTGGAGAATCAAAAGTTTGGAGAGCGAAAAGAGATCAACCGACGGAAAGAGCTGCTGATGAGCGGAATGAACGAAGAGGAAGTGGATGTGCATCTGGAGAGCATGAAAACGAGACGCATTGCCACTTCGAAGCGCAAACTCGACAAGATCAGTGGGCAGTTGGATAGTCGGACGGTCGGAAAACAGAAGAAACCGAAAACGGAGGATTGAGTTACATAGAATTGTTATCTTCAGATCACTATTGTTTTTGTTACTTGTTATAAATTTGTTGACACCTTTAGTCAAACCTTTTTAAAAACAGTGGTATGGTCGTATTCCATCAGCCTTATTATCTTTGTTGTCATTCGCTTTCTGTAAGATACTTAGTTTCGAATTACAGTACGTTTGGTTTTCAATAAGAAGAATAGAAATGTGAGTTTCAGGAGCGATATATCTGGAAAAGTACATTTCCCTCCATTTTGGAGCAAGTTCTTAATCGTTCGTTTTTGCAGGAGCTACGGCCAGCAGAGATACAGTCAGGACATGGTCGAACCCACATTCAATTTCCGTCTTATTGACGCCGTCCGTCAAAGTCGATGTCTATTCGACTCAACCGATCGCTTGTATCGCAGTGCCGAATACAAAATGCGCGTTTGGCAGCGACTCGTCTCGGTCCTCAGCTTCGAAGGCGACGCGCCGATGCTCGCGTCGAGATGGAAGCAGTTACGAGACAAATACGGAAAGGAGAAGAAGAAACAAAAGTACAACAACGAGAAGTCGTCGTGGCAGTACTTCAACCATCTCGTCTTCCTCGATCCGCACATGGTAGACCGGACGGATGTGTCGCCGTCGCGGAAAGAGCCGGCAGGAGTGGTAAGTGAAGGACAAGCAGCACCATCACTCAAGTTCCCCTTTTCAGCACTTGTGCGTCGCCGAACCGAACTTCGCCAAGAATCTCATACTGGAAGTGAAACGGCACCCATGCCTCTACGATGTTCGCGATCCGAAGTACCGTCACACGGAATGCCGAAACCTATCGTGGAGGATTATCATAGATAAATTACGCTTCCCGGGTGGCGTTCTGTCAATAAAGAAGCAGTGGAAGAAGCTGCGTGATCGTTATGTGAGAGAGAAACGACGGATTGAGACTGCGGTTAGTACTGGGTTGGCCGTGAACCAAACTAAGTATATGACAGGTTTCAGGGAGAGAATGGCACTGCCGATTCATCAACTTGGGAACTCTACGACACAATGATGTGGACAGATCAGTTTCTGAAAGAACGTAAGATTCTGTTCTGCTTATCTCGTTTTACTCGAAAATTTCAGAGCAGCTCACTCGGCGTCCAGGACGTCCGAAACGAGGAGATGGACAGGACGAGTTGTCGGATTACGGAGAGTTTGACGACGAGTAAGACATTTCACAGAATAAATTAAAATAGACCGAACTACCTTCAGACTGAGCTATGTAATGATGTCCGAAAAGCGACCGACGAACGGGGATGTCCTTTTAGACGGGGACTCCGCCTTCTCCGCTTCCATAGTCTCCGACCTTCGAACGCTGGACACGGAAGCGCGTGCGATGGCCAAGCAACAAATACTGATACTTTTGGATGCTGCCAAGTTACCACCCACTCCTGGATCAAACTATATTTGATGTATTTATTCAGCCCCTCTTAACTTGCACCTAGTCACCTTGATCTCCTATGAACTGCACACTGGTAGATATGTACTTTGGCTTCGATTCTACTCAAATTTCCGCCTCTTGTCAATAATAAAGCATAATTTTAATCAGCACGCTCTACTCATTTCTTCCGTAGGGTGTTGCAACCCCATCATTATCTTTCTTTTTGTTTTACTTTCCCGATTATTCTCGTTCCATGTTTTCCCACTAATGAGCCTATTTTCGAGTGTCATTAGGTCTGTATCGCATTTTTGCTCTTTCCGTCCTCCCCAATGTTTGTTGGGAATCCGTCTAGCAAACTGCGTTTCTCCTCTCAACTTGCCGGAATTTCAATTCTTTCCTCTAGTTATTCTTCTCTCTTATTTCTTTCTCTCACTCATAGAATTGACATGTTTGAATCGATTTCTCTGTTGTAAATGTGAGGAAGTGAACCGCTATGGCATACGCGCCAGGTGCTGCGGAAATGACAGAAATTTTTGGAATTCGAGCTGATCGTAACGTTCCCATTGATTGGCTTCTTCTTCAAGAAACGTAAAATTATGAATTTCAGATAAGGTGCATTTCTAACGGGTCGCAACAATGTAGGTGATTTTATTCCGGTTCACAATTCAGACTGCTTCAACTTTCAGGAGCTACGGAGGACGGTACCCCGATGAAATGATAGAACCGACGTTCAACCTCCGTCTCATCGACGCCGTTCGCAACGTGAGATGTCTTTTCGATGCGACCGATCGACAGTATCGAAATACCGAGTACAAAAATCGGGTGTGGCAGCGACTGGTCTCAGTGCTCGGATTTGACGGTGACGCGAGAAACCTCTCGTCACGATGGAAGCAATTGAGAGACAAGTACGGGAAGGAAAAGAGGAAGCAGAAGTACAACAACGAGAAGTCGGCGTGGCAGTACTTCAAGTATCTCACTTTTCTTGATCCGCACATGATAGACCGCGCGGACGTGTCGCCGTCTCGGAAAGAACCGGCAGGAGTGGTAGGTGTAGTGCAGCTAGAACTTACTTTGAAATATCTACAGAACGAATGCGTGTCCGACCCGAAGTTTTCTTCAAATCTCATCAGAGAAGTGAAACGGCATCCGTGTCTTTACGATGTCCGGGATCCAAAATACCGCCACATCGACTACCGAACCCAAGCATGGAACATTGTGATGGACAAGTTGCGGTACCCGGGAACGGCGACATCTATATACAAACAGTGGAAGAAACATCGGGATCGCTACGTCCGCGAGAAACGACGCCTTCGAACGATGGTAAGCACAGCTTGTACTGTCGATCTAACACTGTCTTGAAGTTGTTTCAGGAGGAAGATGGCATTGTCGATGTTTCTCTTCCCAAGTGGGATCTGTACGATGAAATGACTTGGATAGACCCATTCCTGGACGAAAGTACTAACCACCGTTCGATGTGTTTCTAAATTTCTTAATTTCAGAACAACTTGCCCGAACTTCGATACGGAGCCAGAAGGAGAACGCTGGTGATGGCAACAATCAGGACGATATATCGGATTACGGAGATTTTGAGGACGAGTAGGACGTTATCTGGATGACGTTAATACTTTGAAAAACTTGCAGCCTAAACTATCTGATGATGCCGGAGCCGGAAAAGCGAACAAACAATGGAGACATTCTTCTGGACGGTGACTCCGCATTCTCCGCCTCCATTGTCTCTGACCTGCGAACCCTTCAAGCTGAAGCCCGCAGTCTTGCCAAGCAACAAATTATGCTACTTCTGGACTCTGTTTAAGCACATCCACCTAAGCTTTATGATCTCCTCAAACTGGTGCCATCCTTTGCAAATATTTTCAAAATAACTTTATGAATGAAACATTTTCTCGCGGACTGATGAACATCTCTTACAGCAGCTCGGGTTTCACAACCGTCTTGACTATTTTCATTGCTTCCAACTTTCCATTTCTATTGCAGAATTTTAGAGAGTACATGCCGTTGCTCCATAAACGGCTGTTCGAACCCAATCCAGTGCCGGAAGGGGTGACGTCAAGCACACGGATTTTCTTCTGCAAACCTACGAAAGAAGTGTTCCTTACACATACGTAAGTGAAATCATTTCTCCCAATTCCAACTCTGCATCTTCTTCAGTGATTTCTTCAGTCGTATGATCCTTCTCAATTCGACAGCTTGGTCGTGTTCTCTCACTCGTAAAACCAACCTCACTTTCTACGAAGCCATGTCCTCAGAAGGAGAAGCTGAGAGAGAACTTGGCGGTTTCCCCGAATATCTGGAAGTTCCCATCCTGTTCATTGTTCACCGATATACGAATCGTGGACGCTTCGAAGAACTCGTCAATGATATTTACTACATTATGAAGGAGCGATATTTCAACAACGAAGAAGTCGTCTTCTCGGAACGCAGCAAAAAGTATCTGGCTCGAATCGTCGCCTCTTTCACTCCGTTCGATGGTCAGAATGGGCATCAAATACCGAGTGGAAGTGAGATCAGGGACCCGGTGCTTCCTCCTCCGGACAGCTTCACTTATACCGTTGAGATTATCGACAACCAAGTGCCACTCGGAGAACGATTCCGAGAAAGGGTCAGCTATGAGAAGCTGTTCCGGCCGAAGAACGTTGGAGCCCGGCAGAAGGTCAGGTTATTCCTGAAGACTGCGTGTCACATGCCGCTGACCGGCGAACGATACGTGGTGAGAGAGGAGCATCTGGAGAAACTGGGGCATATCGCGTGGGGAGATGTGATGGCAGGCGCCGAGCCGATTTGTCCGCAGACTCCCGCTCTTCAAAGAGGACGAATTCCGAACACATTGAAACCAGGATACGTGGATCCGCCAGAGAAGAAGGAAAGGAAAGCGAAGGAGAAGAAGGACTCGAGTGTTCGTGAGTCACATTAGCAATAATGCATAGGTGCGGGATGTTAGAGAAACGCCAAAGCATTTTTCCGACCTGGCGGTCGGATTGAAATTTCCGAACCAGCGGCAACCATAAGGCGCTCAACTCAAAACACCTATGCAATAATATACTGTTTTATTCGCGAATGAATCCTTTTTGCAGCGACAAGACCGAGAGGCAGACCACCGAAGACTCCACAGCAAAAGGCGATTGATGACGAAGAAAAGAAGGTCCGAAAGAGGAAGTCAACAGCAACAGAGCACGCGGAGTTTGACCTAACGAGCAGCGGAGCTATGACTCTGACGGTCGCCTCCACTTCGACCCCTGTGAAGAAGAAGAAGAAACGGCAAAACAGCATGTCGAAAAGCGAAAAAAAGAAGACCAAGATTTTGGAGCAGCAGGGCGATCTCAACTTTTACTTCAGTGAAGCACGACGACTCGGAATAAATTTGGGTGGATTGGAGCAGGAAGAAAAACTTCTCAGTCCGAAAGTTGTTGCGGAGTTTAAGCAGAAAGTGAAAGAGGAAAAAGACGCGGAGCGAGAGCTTATCAAAGAAGAAAAGAAAAGGAAACTGAGGGAGAAAGCGGCTTACATGAAGAAAAGAGATGACTTACTCTGTGACGATCTGAAGCCGATGCCTCGCTTTCCAAAACTGGAAATTCCAGCGTGGATGAAAGATGACGAGTTTGGAGAATATATGTTCGTCCTGCAGTTTTTTTGTACATTCAAAGACGTGCTTCCGCTCAAAGAGATACGTGGAAACGACGAGGTGCGATTCTCCGACATTGTCCTCGCCATCAAGTGCAATGATCCCCAGAACAGTCCGTTCGCAGATCTGATGAGAGTTCTCCTGTCCATTCGAACGGATATAGCAGATGAGGAGGACGGAGACGAAGCCGATTTCACGAATCGCGAGGAAGTTTATCTGATAAACACTCAAAACTGCGATCCGGCGAATGCGATGTACGGTGATGCAATACGAGAGTGCAATGAGCTGCACTGGAAGATAAGAAAGACTCATGGAAAGTCTGCTCGCCATCTTCCTGTCGACTGGATGACACTGACCGAAGTTATCCGATTGGTGTTGGAGACGTCTGGATATTACACAGGAATTGCCACGCATCGACATCGACTGTACGCGAGAGGAAATTACCGAGGCTACGAAGATCCGGCGTTCGAACTGAAAATGAGCCGACCGGACATAATGAGCAAACTGCTCACGCAGACAGTCTTCGACCTGGAGCCGTCTGAACGGTTGGAGATTATCAGAGTGTTCATTTATCAGCTGCTGAGCTATTCCAAATTTCGAACGTATATTGAAGAGAAGCAGGGCGAGCTGGCCGAGTTGAAGAGAGAGCAGAAGAAGCTGAAGGCGTGGGACGTCGGACAAGAAGGGGATGCGAACGCGGCGAGGCTGCTGCTTGGATTTTCTCCGAAGAGTCCACTGAATGGATCCCCTTCCAAAGAAAAATCGGGAATTGTCAAGAGATTGAAAACACACATAAAGGCACACAACGAAGGAAGGAGGCTGGACAAAGACGATTTGGAAAGCGTAAGAAACTAGCTGGAATTTCAAGTTGTCAATGTTCCTTTTTCAGATTCTTCTCAACTTTGTGCCTTTTACAAGCCTCAGTCTCGATGAAATAGTGACTGCTCGCCAACTCCAGAAAGCCGCTTTCCAGGAGATATTCGCAGAACTTGTCTCCAAAATCTTCACACTTCACTGCAACATCAGTAATCTGGGTCTCGGCTGGGATCGCGCATTCCGAAAATATATCGTGAATGAGAATCTCTCTGCGATTCTCATCGAGAATCCTTCTTCCTCATCCGACTCTCTTGGCATCTGCTCAGTCGCTTCTGCCATCGAAAGTGACGAGCTCCTTCAAGAATCATCGACTCAAGAAGTTTTCCTCTGCTCCGGAGAACTGGAAACGTGTGTTGTACACGGTCCGAGCAGACTGAATCGCACACGCTGGTGCTACGTGGAAAATCGGGAGCAATTCGAGCAGCTGGCTAAATCAATGAATCCTCGTGGAATTCGAGAGAGTGAACTGCTTGAGGAACTGAATGAGTACCGCGCCGGTTTGTTGCATTTGCTAGAAGAAACCGAGAACTCACGGAGCGAAGAGGATTGGAAAAGGCAATGGATGACTGACGAGAACGACCCAGCTGACACCTACAACATCGACTGGGACACTGAAATGAGAGACCTTCTGCTGGATTTCGAAGAGAAAATTGAGCAGGGACAGATGGGCTCTATTGAGAAGACGTTCTCTTTCGGTCGAACGGCGTGGCGAGAGAATCTGAAGAACCAAGGCGACGTCTGTATGCTGCTGCAGACGGATATCAGAATAGGCAATGAATTGGCCATAGATCTCGAGAATGCCAAAAATTATTCTGATGTGAAGAAGTTGGCTATCGCGTTCTTTCTGATCATTAAAAGCATCAGTTTCAAATTCATAAAGACACCATTCATCAGTCCAAACAAAGACGAACGTAAGTTTCCCACCCATACTAATTGTATCCTCTTTTCCCTGATTTCAGATGGAAACTCGAAACCTTCCGAGCTGTATGTTCGTTGGCAAAAGGCACTGCTCCAATGTCAGTCTCTTTCCGCTCTGTCTCTCTTCATTTCCACTCTCGAATCGTCCATCAAATGGGACAAAAGTCGACTCCAAGGAAAATGTCGGAGCTGCCGCCGGAAAGCGGCTGCTCATGAGCTCGTTCTCTGTTCCGATTGTGACAGTTGCTATCATCTGAAATGCGTTAAACTGAGCATCGAAACTAATGCGCCGACTGATTGGCTGTGCTCAACTTGTCTGGCTCAAAAGAGAAAAGAGGAGAACGAGGCGAAACGGTTGAAGAGAGTCGACAAAATGGGAGAAGGCGACGAAGAGGCTGCGATGAACAACCTGAGTATAGAGAGCGACAACGAGTAAGAAAAAGTATCAATGATTCCTAATACATAACGGTTTTCAGATTCCTAGCACAAGAAGCCGGAAGCAGCTCCAGCAGTCCCAGTGTTCAAACGATACGAACTGCAAGCGGAAGATCAGTCAGAAAAGTACAGTATCATGCGGTCCACGAAGGAATCAATCCTAAAGCTCGAAAATCAAATGGCTCATTGATTATGAGTCCACTCGCAACCCCGTCGGAAAGACCTGTCAGATCAACCGCAATTCGAACGTAGTGACATTTCTTTCCTGAATGTTCAATAGCTAGTTTTTGTAGGTTTGATCTAAACGAAAAGAACGGACTGAGTGACGATGATGAAGATCAGTACGAAGCGAGCAGCCGACAGAAGAAGACGGTCGCGAAAAAGAGCGTGGCGAATCCTAATGCAACTGTCACTGAAGCCGTCCGGATCGCAGCGCAAAGTACAAAAGAGAAGATGTCGGCAATAGAATCACTGCTCAAAAAGGCAATGCGGGAGGAGTGCTCGTGGCCATTCTTGCAGCCAGTCGATTCGAAAGAAGTGCCCGACTATTACGATGTCATCAAAAGACCAATGGATTTGAGGACAATGATGAATAAGATCAAGCAGAGGATCTACAATCAGCCTGTAGAAGTAGACGGATAACCGAAGAATATGTTTAGTCTTTGATTTTCAGGTCCGAAACGACTTCCGTCTCATTCTGTCGAACTGTGAGATATACAACGAGACGGAGAGCGAGATCTATCAACTGTCTCGTCAGCTCTATGAATTCGTCGCCTCCCGTCTGGATGCAATCATCGACCAATAATCTTTTCATTTATAGTCATCTCGGTTGTTTTCAAATTGTTGTTTGTGTTATTTTTGTCAAATATCGTCATCACAAAACTACATCATTCTTCCCAGTCGCCGAATTGAGCAATTCGTTCCAACTCGTATCTCACAGTTTAACACACATTTATCATTTCCCTTTGTTACTATCCGTTTCACCCTCAATCCCAACCAATGATCTTACCACTACCTCCTCCAAGCAATCTCAATTCAATTCTCAATGATTTGATATTTACCGTGTATTGTCAGCCGATTTTTGTCATAAATTTAAACTTTGTCAAACTGAAAATTCAAACTTGTGGTGTAGAAATGGCACTAGATAGATCATATTTTGAGTGCTCTAAAAGTCTGTAATGCTAACTGACGTGCTTAGAAAATGGCGAACAGATTAGCAAAACTGTTTACGAATTCATTCAAACTGGCGACCAGCGACCTTGCGAATCAGTACGCGCTGCCGGTGAAATCAATGACTGGGCACGCGGTGAGCAAGTACGGAGCGGCCAAAACACGGAGGCTCAACGAGAAGGTCGTGGAAAAAATGGACGTCGGAAAGAACGATCTCATATTCGAGATCGGATTCGGCAGAGGAGACGCTTTGCAGATGTGCTTCGAGAGAGTGAAAGAGGGCCGGGGAATTGTGTGTTCGGATGTCGAGACCTTTGTGATTAATTGGTTTAGGTGTTCGGCGTCGAGAGATCAGGCTATATGGACGAACGAGCACGGAAACGATTCATTCTGGAGATAGCCGAGACCGACAAAATTCGGATCGACTCGGCCACCGATCTCCGTAATCTACCGTACCCCACCGACCTCTTCAACCACGTATTCCATGTCGACGTCTTCTACTTTTTTCGTCAAGATCACCTGATCGACATCAATCGAGAACTGCTGCGAGTACTCAAACCGGGAGGATCGCTGACGGTCGGAATGCAGTTCTCCCGACTGAAACAGCTCACGGAGCACGGAATTGTCGAGGAGAGTCAGTGGAATCCGATGAGGTATCTGACCGCATTAGAAGCCGCTCAGTTTAGTGATGTCCAGGTACAAATTTCTGCGGAATGCGGTACATTTTAATGAGCTTTTTTCAGATAAACTATCACAAGGACAGTCAAATGGGCGAGTATCAGATAATTTCGGCGAGGAAGTCTGCGAACGCGTTAGAAGAAGAGGATCCGGAAGAACTACTGAGGCAGTTGGCGATGGACATAAAGAGAGAACGACTGGCAGTGGCGATGATGAATAATAAAAAAGATGTGGGTGACATCTAATCGATTATACTAAGAATTGCTCATTAGGTTCATAAATTCGTTTTTTTACATACAGGATTGTGATGAGTTCAGATCAATCTACAAAGATTCTACCGTAGTCTCTACTTCCGCGCTGTCACGCATAAACACATCAGTTCTCTCTCCGTTAAGTACCACTTCGGCGTTACAACTCCCAAACGGGCGGCCGTAAATCCACTGGTTACCAGGTTACTCCTTCCCGCTTAAAAGTCCAGCATCTGTCTCTTTTTGCTGTCGAAGCCGGCTCGCAATGTCGCATCCTTTTTCTTTTCGAATTCTCTATCTTCTAGCGTTTCTCGGAGGCTTATCAGATGCTTCGGATTCTTCCTCTTCCACTTTCAACCGTCATCTCATCTTCGGACGTTCCCTACACCTCCACCACATCCTCTTCGTCGACCACAGATCCTTCGTGCAGTGTCCAGTGTCCTGACGGCTACCTCATCGGAACCTCTTCTTGCTACATCCTCTACGCCTCCTCGAAAGCCCCTACCTATCAGTCCTCCCTTGCTCTCTGCATGGCCACTGATCGTCAGACACTCGCTTCCCTTGATTCATTCCGCGATCGGAACGACATTCAGTCCCTGCAATCGGGTGCTGCCCAACAGAGTTCCAACTGGTTTTTCGCGAACGGAATCGGCTCGAGACGGGAGAGATTCGACAAGACTGTGGATGTGTACAGTATCTTCGATCAAACCATTGTTGCTGCTCCAGTCGCTACGACCGTCACAGTTTCGGAGACGTTTTCGAACGTCTCGACTCTATGCGTCATGCCACGTAAGTGCACTTGATGGTGCCCCTTCGTTCGTCTTCAGCGTTTCCTTCTTTCAGAATACTGTGCCAAACCGGTGTGTAACGTGGACTCACTCATGCTCACTTTCGACTATTCCCTCTACTTCAAATACTCGGCCAAATCACTTCAGCCAAAGGAAACGGCCACACTCACCTGCATTTACACTCAAAAACAGTACACAATCACATGCGGAGCACTCGGAAATGTCTATCCAGAACCGTCTTTCTTCGATTGCCAACGAGAAAATGCAGCGTTGATAATGAAGGACACGACGAACGAGACGGTCTCCAGTTGTGCCAAGTGCTATAAACGGGGCACTGGATCATGTGAGCAAGTGACCGATGGCAATGGCACAGAGCTGGGAGTCAGATGCATTTGTAAAAGACCGTTCACGGTAGACAAGGTGTTCCCATTTTTTAGTATCCATCTCGACTTTCAGATGGCCAGATGCTGGTACACTCCGGACACATGCACCGATAACTACTGCGGCGCTAACGGCACGTGCTACAGTGAAATGGGCGGAAGGCGTTGTGAGTGTGACTCTGGATATTCGGGAAGTTACTGTGAGACCGAAATGCGGACACAGTACTCTGGACGGTGGGAATATTCGATGTGCACGGGCCTCATCATTGCACTGGGAGGCTTTCTGGTCCGGATGATAAAGGCGGCCGTCTACCTGCACAGACTGGATATGTCTCCGAATGATGTGAATTATTCACTCTTTCCTTATCCTTCTTTTCTTCTTCAGGATCCGCAATGCACTCATCAGGCGACCCGTTCTTACTGTATGTTCGTCGGAGGAATCCTCGTGGCTTTCTTCTCCAATCCGGCGTTTCTCGATATCAATCAGGCCGCCTGTCGATTCCATTTCATTTTCATTCACTTCTGCTTTCTCATGGGTCCTCATCCTCTTTCAATATTTTCCATTTCTCTTGTTTTTCAGGAATGATGCACTGGCTTCTCGAAGGTTGGAATGTAAATCAAGTGCTCCGTTGTGTGCATTTGAACGAATGGGAGCGAGATTGGGACGGCAACAAAGCGTGGGGTGTCCGTATCGCGCCACGGATGCTTTTCTCATTTCTGGCAGTGGCGACAGGCCTTCTGATCACATTCCAAGCAGGTTGGAATCAGCTGGCGGCCACGTGGACGTGCGTGGGCGTCATTAATCAGTCGACCGCCTCTGTTTGGATTCCGATCTTCGTAATGGTTGCCATCATTTGCATCTATGCAGGAGCCATCTGTGAATCAAGTATTCTCATTAAATTGTTAGTTTTCTCTCCGGTGGTGCATCTACAGTAACCTCTTCTTTTCCAGCCGACGTCCCCTTCTCGCCTACCGAATGGATATGCGAATAGAAAGAGAAATCGGGCACGTGGAAGGGAGGCGCATCGAGAAAGTGCGTCGGAATGAGGTTCTCTGCCTGATCGGACTCTTCTTGCTCGTTTTCGTCTGGTTCATGGTCATTCTCTCGTCGGATAACAAAGATGACGGCATTGTCGGATGGTTGGGAATCAAATCGGATCACGATAGAATTGAAGTGCTTTCAGGATGACTATAATTTCCGCGTTTATCTACTCTCTCTACTCGTTTTACCAGGAATCCGAAACTTGTCCGGAAGACCGTGCCATCTGGATTTCCCTGCTCCAACGTGTTCTTCCTCTGCGATTCGCGCCCAGCTACAATCCGGAAACGATGTGGACTGTGGATGAGGTGAAGCAAATGTACTCGATGCCGGAAACGGAACGGAAGCATGCGTACCAGCACTACATTCCTCGCAATAACGTTCTTCATTTGCATCACCGATGGGACCTCCGATTTAATGAACTTCTGACCGAGAACGAGTTGACAATCAATGACGCGCTGGTCAGAGTGTTCTGCGAAGAAATGAATCGACTGAAAGAGCGCAACGGAACTGTTTCGCAGAAGTATTACATCATGTAAGCATAATGAAAATTAGAATTATATAACACGTTCGTTCAGGGACGCATACAAAGATTTCCTTCGTTCCATTCCCGATTATGATCCTCGAACGGAAGAAGGGCGCGTAAAGACTCGTTTGGAGTTGGTAACTCTAGCGGCGGAAGCTCCGATAGGTGTCAAACTCGCGAAGTTCTTCATTGTTCCGGGCTTCGACGTGTTCCGGCCGGAGATTCCGGATGAGGGTGGAATGAACCGAAATGCGAACCAGCACATGCGACTTCTGCAGGAGCGAATTCAGATGGTGAGGACGCTGTCTGACTTTTAATAATGAGGCGAACTCATTCAGAAGCATTACAAAATAATGCGAGAAGAAGCACATGCTCAGGCGGTTTTCATCAATTCCAACATCTTATTCCATTACTTTGGAAACGAAGTCGTTCGATAAGAAGACGGACAAACTACTTCGAATAAACTTTCTGTTAATAATAATAAACTTTCTGTTAATTTCAAATGCTTCAAAAATGGAATGTTTATTTCCGCAACTTATATCACAAGAAGAAATCACTTTTTCGACGCAATTTCCGGCAGGTTGTTTTTAATCTCCTGAGGAATCGTCGCGATGTAATCCTGATGCTTGACCCAGGAAGCTGTCGCCAGCACTCCGCCCGTGTTGTTCAATTGAACGTCAGACTCGTAGCGGATGTCTCGTCCCGAGATGTCCGTCAATTTGCCGCCTGAAATGACAATCGTTTGATTTCCGACCATTGACTTTAAAATGTACCTGCTGCAGAGAGAACAGCTTCGACGGCGCACGTATCCCACTTTTTGCAGCCAGCGCTCGCAAACACGTAGGCGGCGCAGCCTTCGAGCACTTTGAGCACTTTGAATCCGGCTCCGCCGACTTTCTCAACGCTATCGGCCAGATTTTTGCCTTTCAGTGCTTCCAAAGCACTTGAAACGGACTCGCTGAGGTGACTTCGAGTAGTGACCACGACTTTCTTCGAGTTTTCTGGAATCGTCGCATTGCACAGATGGTAATTTGTGAGAAACGTTACCTGTTGCTGGGGTGAGTCCGTGAATCCCACAGCCTCGAATAGCCCAGACTGTCCGCCCGCTGTCCGAATGATACGGCTGGTGGATGATGCCTGCTACGGGCCTTCCGCGGTACGCAATCCCGATTAGAACGGTCACTTGCTCCAAAAGAGCAAGATTTTTGTTCTTCACCGCCAGCGCGACTTCCGAAGTACCGTCCAGTGGATCTACCCAGACCACGACTTCGCTCTCCTTGATATCCTTCAATTCGGAACTCATCAGACGGTCGGTGAACAAGACGTCTTCATTGAATCCCAATTCGAGCTCCGGGCACGCCGACGTGTCTTCCTATAATATATTGATTGAAACCACCTAATGGAATCCAGTTACCTCTTCACCAATAATCGTGATGTTGCTAAAGCGCTTCTGCAGCGACTGCACGATGCAGTACTGTGCCCGTCGATCAGCTTCCGTTTGTGGGTCATAACCGGAGCCTTGCTCAGATTTATCGATGATTTTGAGGTCTCCGCCAGCCATCACATTCTAACAATATTTTTTGCTGAACAAAGCAGAATTCTCGAGTTGAACTCACTTTAATTATTCCTCCGGCGGCTTCGGACACTCGGACAGAGGAGGCGACGAGACGGGCCAGAAAGCTCGCTTTGTTGAACATTTCCACTTGTGACGCACTCATTCCATCCGTCACTTCTCTGCCAATTTCTCATTTTTCTAGTTCACCGACGAAGAAAATAGATCAAAGGAGAGGAAAGTAAAGAAAAAAAGAGATATATTCAAGTGGAGTGATCACGTTCAATGTGCGTAATCTGACGACATCCTTGCGGCGTTCGATCAGTTCATCAGGTTCAGTAACTTCTGAAGTCCAAGGCGAAATTGAAACAGACATAATACCAAGTGAAGGAAATCGATGTACGGAAAGCGAGAATGTGAAGAAAGAAGCGGAGAGAAACGAAGATGTTATCTGCGTGGCAAAGCGCCAATTAAGAACAGAAATGACGTCCGTCAGCCGCCGAAATACAGCATCAAAGAACGCGTGGAGCGGCGGAAAACATTGAAATTGCAGTTAATATCCGAGGGTGTTTATGTAAATTATTGCGGTTTTTGATCGGTTACTGATATTTGTTCACTTTCGCTTTTCAAAAGACGCCCGCCGCCGTGTGAACAAAGATGAGTAAGAGATGAACTAATTGAACGCGCACGGATAAAGAAATGCAGAACACTTGGAATTCTAAACTTTTTGTGAAGTTCGTTGCAAAGTATGCAAGGCCAAAAGTGACTGCTTTTAATCTACAGTAATCCTCATGATATCATATGCTCCCAGGGCGATTGATGCGTCGCGTGCATTCGTCGAACAAAAAAGCATCGGCTGTGTGTTGTTTGAAGTGCTCACCAAACACTTTGATTGGCACGGCCAACGCCTTGCTCGCCTCCGTTGCTCCACAGTCATCCGCTCACCTTTCTGATCTGTTGCTCACTTTTTATGCGCCATCTCTTCCTGCTCCTTTTCTTCCTCTCGTTATGGCCAGATGTTGGCTGGTGCCAATCGACGACACAAGCTCCTAATCAGAATGCGGCGTTGTGCCAAACGAACAACTGTCAGAATGGGGGAACGTGCCTGGTCGCCAGTAGCATTCCAGTCACTTCCACGTGTCCGACAAACACGATCTACTACATGGGATCCTGTTATCTTTTCGATAGTACACCCAGGAACTGGAATGATGTGAGAGCGCACTATGAGACCAGTTCTTCAGAAGTAACCTTTTCAGGCAGCTGTTTACTGCAATAAAATGGACGGAGCCAGTCTTCCGTTGGTCGAATCGACTGAAGATCAAGCGTTCTTCGCCGGCTACTTGCAAGCGATGATTCCGTCGGAACCGCGTGAGTAATCCTCTTGTCAACAAGCTGCCCACTCACGGGGAAGCACAAAATGTTGTGTCCACTTTAGCTTCTGGTATCCGACCCGCTCCGGATGGCGTTTGGACGGCGGTGCGTGGAGTGAATAACGTGACGAGGGCCTCGTGGGTCTACTATCCGGGATCCTTTCTGATAACGGACACGTACTGGGCACCTCAAGAGCCGAACGTTTATGTGAGCTATAACGGTAGGTGACCTCTCTTGTAGCTTCTTCAGATGCTTTCTTTTGTCAGATGTCTGTGTGGCCCTGGAATCCAGCACTTACTACCGCGAATGGACGACCGCTCTCTGCAATGTGCTCCTTTACACCGTTTGCAAGATTCCTCCAGCTGAGTTAGACTCACAGTATGTCGGGCAATGCTCGTGCCCATCTGGATACGGAGGTCAGAACTGTGAAACTCCAATCTCAACATCCCAAGAGTCCACTCAAAGAACGTGTGGAAGTGGAGACTTTCAGTTCTCTTGCCAAAATAATCAGACTATTGTGGTCGATTACGCATCTTTTGGAGCTCAGGTAAGCCAAAAGAAGAGGGTAGAAATATCAAGAGATGACGTTTGAGGAGAGTTCAATGTGCAACCAGGCGAGTCAATCCAGAGAGCAAACGTGCTCGAATGTCAACTCACTACAGACCGTCATAAACGCGTAAGGGGATTACGAAGGGAATGCCATGGCATGGCAACACAGAGTATTTCAGATGCCAAGGACTTCAGTCGTGCGAGATCAAGAACCTCACAACTGCATTTATCAACACACCGTGTCCAGTGGCCCAAGAACAATATCTGGAGACCAGAATGAGATGCCAGAACGGTACAAAGAACATTGAAATCGAGTCCCACTAAAAACCTTCCAGCTCAACAAGTATCATGTTCCTCGAACACGGTTCAGTATGATGGAAGATGTTACACCTTGACTATAGAGACAAGTGAGAAGAAGCAGAGAACTCTAGTGGCAGCTGAGCAGTACTGCTCACAAAGCGTAAGAACTTTTGAAGTACATTTAGTTGCATAATATTTTGTGTTTAAAGGGAGGATCGTTGGTTTCTACAGTACCTGACACACTTCTCCAGCAGATCGTTGCGAAAGTGAGAGACGAAACTAAAAAGTCGGTGTCGTTTTGGGTGGATGGCACAGAAAGGTTCGTTATTTGAATGCTGTCATCGGATCAGAGTGACGAGTGTTCCAGTTGCCGTCTCCTGGTCATCTCCAGCTCTTCCTCCTCCTACTCCTCGTGCCCTTCTGATTCATCCTCGACCGCAAACGTCATCTGCTCGACCGTGCCCCAATCGTCGGCTTCTCTGTCAACACGCCCTTCTCAATCGGCTCCGATCGACCGAGAATCGCAGACAATGGCTCGTCGTGAAGTGTACACCGGAGTTCAACCGTAAGTGCTTTATTGTTTTGTTCCGGTTATGAACTCTCTCTCTCTGCGGTCAACTAAAAATCACAAATTATTATTTGTTGACCGAACGAAATGAATCTCTTCCTCTCTTTCCCTCCCTCTCTTTCTTTCCGCTCGCCCAGTTCGATGAGGAAGGACCCCTAACCGGTTCTGTGTGTATCTCGCAATCGGTCTGTGTCTCTGCGAATCGTACGATCTTTGGGGCAAGCTTGATTTGCCAGCAGCAATGAATGAGTCACTAATACGTAGTCGGGGAGGCCCGCCAGTCGTCCATTTTCCGTTTGACACATGTTCACGGAATGAGAGCTCACTTTTTGATTCTAACAATTGTGAGCTATGTAGTTGCAGTTAGTGACTCGCAAGATAGGTTGGAAGATCTGAAGACGAGCAAAATTAGATTCTAATTCATTCCGGTTTCAGTCCAAGCGTACCTGATTCGATCAACAAACCGAGATATTGCAAGAAGGAAAACAAGGATGGTGAGAAAGATGAGAAGGGTTCAAAATGTTAACGTACTGTCCTTCAGGTATCACTTACGACCAGACCCGAGCGTGCATGCTTCACGAACAACCTTGTCCCGATCCCGAGAACGTCGAGGGCACAGTAACCCGGTATTGCAACTGCCAAACCGCGAAATGGGAAGTTCCGGATACGACGAACTGCACTCATCGATGGGTGGCAGAGATGGAAACGGCTATAAGGATAGGCAGCCAGTCGAAGATATCAGTTCGACAGTGAACAGACAGTTGAAGTGAGTGGAACCAATACATGCATTAGAGAAAGCAAACGAAACGTTCAGGTCCACAATCCAACGGAAACTGTTCGGTGGCGACATCACTGGAACAGTCCGTCTCAGCAATGACATGCTCAGTCTCGCTCGGAATCAGTTCGACGGGTTGGACGACCGTAATCTCAGAGAGAACAAAGCGAAGAACTTCACGGAGAACCTCGGCGGGTCCGGGGATCAGCTGTTGTCTCCCGTGGCCGCCACCGTCTGGGATCAGCTCTCCTCTTCCATTCGCATTCAACACGCCTCCAAGTTGATGAGCGTTCTCGAACAGTCAGTTTTGTTGCTCGGAGACTACATGACCGATCAGAAGTTGAACTTGGCCTATGTTAACTGGGCAATGGAAGTGGAACGCTCTGAGCCGGAACTTCAAACATTTGGAGCCGCGTCCACCAATGTTCAAGATGATTCTGGAATTTTGAAGTGAGAAAAAAGAACAATGCAACACTAGCATAACCTATTTTCCAGATCAAACTTGGCAGCTGCTCCGCCAATGGAAACCAATCAAACCATCGTTTTTCCGTCGCTCAAACTCTCCCCCACCATCACTCTCCCTTCCGCTTCCCTTCTGAGCTCTTTCGCCTACACTTCATCTTCCAGCTCCACTCTTAACAATCGTCCAAACATTCTCGCCTCTTTCCAAGATGACACTCAGACGGGCGCCGCCGCCGTTCCGAATCTCAACAGAAACCCCACCAAACTCGGATATTATGCATTCGCTGGATTCGGTCAGCTGCTCAACAACAACAATAATCACACGATGATCAACAGTCAAGTGATCGGCGCGTCAGTTGAGAATGCTACTCGGAGCGTCAGCCTGCCGTCGGATCATCCGGTCACTTTTACATTCCAACATCTGAGCACGCGAGGAGTTTCCAATCCGAGATGCGTTTACTGGGATCTAACAGAACGGTTCGGGATTCTTTTAGTTATCGCTGTCATCTGAATGTTTCAGAAAATGGTCAACAAATGGCTGCACACTGGTCTCCACCTCGCTGAACTCTTCGCAGTGTTCTTGCACTCATTTGACAAGGTCTCTTTTTCATTTTATTTTCATTTATTCGCCGAATTCTACGTCATTAGACCATTCAAACATCATTTTTATAGCGTGGAACAAGACAGAAATTTCAGTTTCGCAATTCTCGTGGATGTTTCCGGACAAGTGGGTCAGTTCTCCGGAGGTCTTGCTTCTGCCCTTGACGTCGTCTCGACCATTGGGTGCGCCATCTCGATCGTCTGCCTCGCACTCAGCGTCTGCGTCTTCACCTTCTTCCGCAACCTTCAGAATGTTCGAAACTCGATCCATCGCAATCTTTGTCTGTGTCTTCTGATTGCCGAGCTTGTTTTTGTCATTGGTTTGTCTGAAAGTATCCGCATTGTACTATTCTCTCGTTCAGGAGTGGATCGTACCGGAAACAGGACTGGATGTGGAGTCGTCGCCATTCTCCTCCACTACTTCTTTCTGGCATCCTTCTGCTGGATGCTTCTAGAAGGATACCAACTGTACATGATGCTCATCCAGGTCTTCGAGCCGAATCGCACCAGAATCTTCCTCTACTACCTCTTATGCTATGGTACTCCAGCCGTCGTCGTGGCAATTTCAGCTGGTATCAAGTGGGAAGCCTATGGAACTGATACCTAGTTAGTTGGAAGATTTCGAATAAGTTTAATCTTTTTTATTCCAGCTGCTGGATCGACACCTCCACACCGACCATCTGGGCGTTCGTTGCTCCGATCATTGTCGTCATCGCCGCCAATATAATTTTCCTTCTGATCGCTCTCAAAGTGGTCCTTTCGGTTCAAAGCAGAGACCGAACCAAATGGGGACGGATAATCGGATGGCTCAAGGGCTCGGCCACTCTTCTTTGTCTCCTAGGAATCACGTGGGTCTTCGGATTCCTCACGGCAGTCAAAGGAGGCACCGGAACCGCCTTTGCGTGGATCTTTACGCTTCTCAATGCCACACAGGGAATCTTCATATTCGTACTCCACGTAGTGCTGAACGAGAAAGTGAGAGCATCAATCGTCAGATGGCTGCGCACCGGAATCTGCTGCCTGCCCGAATCCAGCAGTGCCGCTTACAACAGCAGATCCTTCCTGAGCAGTCGACAGAGAATTCTGAACATGATCAAAGTGAACGGGCACAGTTATCCAAGTACGGCGAGCACAGATGATAAAGAGAAGCAGTTGACCCCGATCACGAAGACGTCAGACTGGCTGAGCAGACTCCCGAATCCTGATTCTGCATCTCTCCCAGAAGAGAACGTGCATTCGCATTCTGACGAGCAGCGAGAAGAGCTCCCCGAGCTGCCAGATCTGAATGAACTCCGTCGGAGAGTTACCGTCGACCTGAATCCTTCAGTTATCAACAACAACTCGAACAATGAAATCGAACGAATAAGTCACGCCTCGTCCGATCCACGTGGATCTCAAATCATCGAAGTGACACATGTGGAAAAGAAGGCTCCCGTCAAGCGAATCAAGTACCCGTTGGGCGCGAAACAGAGCGAACGCGGCTCTCAACACCGCACGAAATCGCCCGCTCCGCCGCCCGATTCTCCATCTTCCATGACGAAAGACTTCCGATTTTAATGGTTTTCTCCGAATGTGACTGTTTTGTTACTCAGTTTATTAACTTTTTGATTGCCGACTCACTCCAAATGATCTATAAATCTATAAATCCCCTCCATAAAACACTAAGAGGGTGGCGTTCCTTCTCTCTCTCTCTCACTTCACAATACCGGTCCTCCGCTCCCATTACTGTAACTAACTTATTGTCAGTTCTCGATTGTCTTTGACCTATTCGGAATGAATCGTTCCATTTTTTTACTTTTACTTCTGGTCATTCAAATTGCTGCCCACCGCTTGTCAGCCCGTGAGAACCGTATTCTCCGCGCGAATTGCGGCCGATACGTGGAAGGATTCACTTCGTTGGACGGCGGAAACAAGGACGCGCAGGAAGAGTGGAAAGTGCTGTACGGAGATAAAGTCAAGCTCGGAGAGGCCCCGTGGGCTGTTTCTCTGGCGATGAAAAAGAAGAGTGGTTCCGGAGATGTTGAAGAGTACGTTCAGCACGGAACGGGCACACTCATCTCCCCGTGGCACATTGTCAGCGCCGCGCATCTCGTCGGAATCAGCGAGGATCCGATGCCAGATTGCGACACTGGCGAAATGAAGGACGCTCACTTTCTGAGGAACTTCAAAGACTTCGTCGCCTTCATCAATGTGACCTGTGCGACTCCGGAAACGTGTAAACAGCTTGGAAAGAACGAAATCTTCGAGCCAATTCAAGTGAAAGCGGTAAGAAAGGAAGTAGTCAGAACGGGCAAATCAGTTGACATTTGCAGCTCTACATCCGAAATGGCTACGTTGGAGACGGCTGCATCGACAGGGAATCCTTCAACGATCTGGCCGTATTCGAACTGGAAAAACCAGTCAAGTTCTCAAAGAACATCTTCCCCGCGTGTATTCCTTCTTCTCCGACTACTCCCAAGAAAGGAGACACTGGGTACAAGCTCTATGGATACGGAAGAGATCGTGAGCTCGCTCGGTCGATTACTCCTTTTCAAGCTCTCTATTTCAGCAGCCAATAAACAAATGGAAACCGGAGTGCTCAAGTCTCTCAATTCCTTCGTCACCGATTGCTCCGACGATTTTCCTTATGGCGGCGTCTTCTGCACTTCCGCCAACAACAGAGGACTGTCCTGCGATGTGAGAGCGTTTCCACTGAGCTCTCTTCTTCACTAGTTCACAAGTCTTTCAGGGCGACAGTGGTTCGGGAGTCGTCCGCACCGCTTCCACTCGTGACGTCGAGGAACTTGTGGGCGTTCTATCTGCCGGAATGCCCTGCCCCGAACTATACGACACGCACAACCGGGAGAGGAAGAGGAACAAGAAGTTGACCCAGGAGACCGATCTGCTCGTCGACGTCGCCCAGCATCTGGAGTTCTTCTGCAAGTGCTGCGGCATTTGCTAATTCGTCTTTATTTCTGCAAATGAATGAAATGTTACAATCATAGACAGCAGTTGGTCTACTGAAGTTTCCGGTTCGCGTTCTGAAAGATTCTATAAATTCTGCGAATTGGAACTCAAATCTCACATAAATGTTCAGTTGATTCTTGAACTGCGTCGTCAGAACCTTTCCGTACACAATATGATTGTGAGAGGCCAGGATCTTAGCGGCAGCGAGCGCAGCTTCGGACGGGTCGAGGACTGTCGCGCAGCCGATTCCATTGGGCATTCGGAGGGAGGACCAGACGTCGAGGCTCAGAGACTCGCTCGGTGGGGGACAGTTGATCACCTGCATCTTATCAGTTCATACTCATCTTCTTCTGAATTATTTTTGTTTACCGGAAGCGACGAGTTTCCAGCGATAACCGGTCCGAGTCCGTTCGAGCGTCCGGCCACTGCGATCACGACGGTCGGCACTCCGCTGTCTTCGAAGTCGGCCAACACTTCCAGGGTGTCGGAGGTCGTTTTATGGGCGGAGCTCACTTTGAGAGTCGTTTCGAGACCCAACTTGTTCGCTTCATCGGAAATATTTCTGGCGAAGACGCCATCCGATCCAGAGCCCATGATAATGAGCACATGGCCCGGCTGGCGGGGTTTCGAAAAACTGGAAGTGATTTCCATGACCTGAAAAGATTAAGTTCTGATGGAGATCCTTGAGAGTGCCCAACCTTTGTGTAATTTTTGAGAACCAACGCCAATCCTTCGGCAGTGACTTCCTTCAAATCCCTGTAAACTTGCTTATCCAGCTGAAGGCGTCTGTCGTTCTCCGGCCACACTCTCCACGAATCATTGTCGATGACGTCGGCCAGCAGAATCTGTCCGTCAACTGTCACTCCGAACTCGATCTGATAATTGGCAAACAAAGCGTTTGTCAGTGGTTTTAACTAAAACTCCTAACCTTCATGTCAATAAGCGCGCTGTCCGACAGAGCCCATGCCTTTTCGAGCACTCGGAACACCAATTTTGTCAGTTTTTTCATGAGGGAAATCTCTTCCCTTCCGATCTTCAACTGATCCACCACCAGCGCGTTCGAAACAATCTGCTCGTCTGTCCACTGCGGATCATCGTTCGCGTCGTCTTTAAAGAACGTCTCCAGCTTCAGGTCATTGAATCGGAATCCCTCTTTCACTCCCGGATTCCTTTGAGGAAAGAGCCAGTGGCAACTCGTCTGGCCACCCATTCGATCGGAATCATGGTGCATTTGCGGGCGACGAACTCCGTCTCGGAGACACTTTTCTCGAAGTGCGATGGGAGACCGAGCAGTTGGAGGTACTCGAACACGTTGACGGTCGTCTGACTCGCAATCTTCGACTTTCCCTCCAGTTCGTTCTTTCGTACAGCATTGAAAGCAGTCAGACAGTCTTTTGAGCGGATCAGCACGTAGTCCTGAACAACTGGAGCATTCGGTCCATTTCGGGGATTTGAACAGAAGAAAACTTACATTTACGCCCTTGATATTGTAAATTTGCTTCGTCTTTCCTTCAGCCAGAAGCTCGAGGTTCTCGGGCTTCGAGGCGATTTCGACGAGAGACGACATGCCGACACAAACAGAGAATAACGGAATGACACCGTTATCATCGCGCCCAAATAAGTGTCCTTCCCTCTCGAGTTTGTCGACGACAAACACCTTGTTTTCAGTCGTTTTCCAATCTTATCACTGTTATCAAAGATGCTGCCGGTGGACAGAGAACACATCCCGGGGAGCGTTTCAAAATCGGGCTCTTTCCTGGAAAAACGCGCTATTGAGTTTCAAAGAGCAACGATAATATTTTATGAGGTAACGGTGGAAATGAAGGGGAGATGATGATGGAAGGACAGAACACAGTTCCAATTATCGATAATCATTTATACGAAGACGGAGAGTCAAAAAAGAGAAGAAGAGATGGAGAGAGAAAGTGGGGAGAGATGGAGAGCAATCGAGAACAAGAACAACGACGACGACGGGGTGAGTGCACGTCCGAAGACACGCGAGAGATCATCTTGCTGCTGCTTAGTTTGGCGTGGCTCGTGCCGATGCCGCCGCCACTCCTGGTTGTCCACCTGCAACTCCTCCGGCTCCTCCGCCCATCACTCCGTTGAGACCCGCTGTCGGTGGAGTGATCCGTCCGGCCGTTCCGATACCCATCGCCAAATTGTGACTCTGAAGCATCAGACCCGTTTCCGGACCGCTCGGAAATTGTGGTCCTTGGAAGAAGTATTTGTAGGGCGTTGGCTGACCGGACGCCGCTTGTGGAAGCTTTGGTCGGTCCTCCAACTCCTTGTACTCCAACTTCAACTCCTTCGGAATTTTCCGCCACTGCATCTGGTCGAACACGTTGTAATGGCCCTTTTCGTACGTCCCCGTCTGCTCTTTCACTCCGCCGTACTGAGAACGCGTCAACCACACCTGTTCGCTTTTGTGAAATCGCCATTCGCGAGCGTACCTGGAAAGAATCAGACAATTTATAGGGAAATTCAGAGCAAAATACTTACAGTTCACATGCAGCTGCAACCTGGTAAATCTCGTTTGGACAGTTGTAGAATAGATAGAATAACACGTCTTCGGAGACTTTACTCAACCTCAATGGCGGCAACTTATCTCGAATGTGATTGTGCGTAATGTACTCATCGGGCACTTTCACATCTAACTCGTGCGCCCGTATTGGCGAGTCGGCCCAAGGACCTCCGAAATTCATGTACAACTTTCTTCTCAAAAGGAATAATTATTTTTTGTTCGTCTCGCGATCCACTCACTCTGACAGATTTAAATTTAAGCCCAGCGTCGTAAGATCGTAGCCCAACGCCAGAGAAACGATGGAGGGGTTGTCGACTGTCCGAAGATACGTCACCAATCCCGCCATTCCGAACTGATCGCCGAGCATTGACGCTGGAATGTTTGACACCTCGCCTGAAACCAAATCGATAAATTTTCGGAGCGAATTTGAAACGCTTACCATCTGGATGCGTTATGATCCCTTGCACAGGTCCTTCCTGGCTGTTTCTCGGAAGGACGCCTAACTGCGACGGATCACAATCACCCAGAGGCCCAGCGTAGTTTGCCTGGTGATCATCCGGCAATATCTGCAATAAGTAAACCATTAGCAACTGTTTCGGTGAGCTTTTTCTAGAAGTACGTTAGTCAGTTGATCTCCAAGCATTGGCCGTGATGTTTGCCCGGAACCGACACCGGGAAGCGCAGGAAAATCCTCGTTCTGGATTTGGAACTCGGAATTTGTTAAACTGGGGTCCGCTCTCATCAGGTTAGCTGAAAAATAACAGGGTTCGGTTTAGAGACAAGAAGGCACGGATTGTGAAAAAGACGACACTCATGCGAATACGCAACAAAACACGGAAACACTGTTTTCCTTTCCCGAAGAGCGGGCGCGCCAAAAATCTATTCAGAAACCGAAGAAAACCGCACGCGCATGCAACAGACAATCCCCAGACGGCAGCCATTTTCGCGCGTAGTACGGTCGAAAAATATCTGTGTGAACACCGTCACGCAAAAATGCACACATTTGTCCGGAAAAGTTAATGCGCGTTTTGGGTACTGAATTCTGCAGAATTCTGATGGGCGTCTTCAGAACAGCGATGAAGCGCTATGCAGTAAAAATGCCCACATTTCGGGAGTTTTTTCCGAGAATTAGAAGTGATTCGTAACTGCGAGCCAATCTCGACGTTTTCTAGCTAGTTTCTGAGCATGCTGCCAGCACAAAAACCCACCATAGTTGGTACGATGTGAGCCATAGTTATCCCTTGAAGGCGATGACTGGGCAACGTTCAAAACACCTCCGCTCGTTGTTGGAATCGGAGAGAATCCGCCGCCGAGAGTAGGCGTTCCTGAATATCCACAAATCCCAAAAGCGTTTCCGTTATTCAATTACCTTTCGCGCCCAGTGATGGGAACTGGGATTCGTCAATAATTGTTGCGTTGGAAAGGATGGAATGCGATGAAAATTGCTGCGTTTGAGGCAATCGTCTTTCGGTAGCTACTCCACCGACTGAAAACAACCATCTATTTTTTTCCATTTCCTCGTGGCACTCACCAGAATTCATAAGCACTGCACTTATGCAAAATCCTATGCGGCGAGAGCTACGTTCTATTCATATATCTGCAAATCTGAATTCGGTGTGACTAAATCATCGGGCTTTAAGCGGCTTTAAGAGGGTGGGCTAGAAGGAGAGGAGGAAGAAAGTGCTTCTGCGTGGACAGGGACAGAACGGGTCTCGCTCGTCACATGACGTCGATCAGAATCCATTTCTAATGGTGTTCGAATCGAAGAAAGCAGTGCGGCCCCCAACGAAAATCGAACAATGCTGTGTGTGTCTGTGTGTGCGAGTCTCTGTGTGTGAGCGTCTGTGAGTGTTTCGGCTGTCTCTCTGACACCCTCCGATCCTTTCTCCGCGTGCGCGTGCTTCTCGCGTTCCTCTTCAGACTGGTATGATCTATCGCCCAGCGGCGTCGCAGTCAATAGCCAGTCAGTGTTACCGTATACCCGTTACCCTACACATCAAACCGAGAAGAGTGTGCGGCTATCGAGGAGTGCATCACAGACGACGCCGGGACGCGAGGGGCTAGGGACGAGGAGGCGCGTGCGCGTGCGACCGAGCGCGTTTGCTTCAGTCCCCCGGCACACAAGTTGGGACCGCGAGCACCTAATAGGAATGGGCACTGAGAAGGAGGCCCGATGAGGAGGGACAGCTAATCAAACCGAATTTAGTGGGGTTGTGCCGCGCCGAGAAAGAGAACTCGATGGGCCGGAGCAGCGAGCGAGGAGCCCGTCTTCGTCCGTCTCTCTTCCGCCTCGTTCTGATTGATTCTTTATGTAGATGCGCACACTCGGCACTCTGCTCCATCAACTGGAAAAGATCTGAGAGCCAGCTTTTAGGCGTGATTGAACAGCCTTCTCCCTCTAGTTTGGTCTCTGTCTGTGGCCGAGAGCCCATTAATAACTCATTACGGCTCGGAGCACAAAAGCTCACTTTTCTTGAGTTCCGTTTCAGGGTCTAGTACTGGTTAGAAGCAGATGCACATTTCACCTGCCAACCAAAAAGAAGCGCCCTTATTTGTGTCCTAAGTTCGTTCCATTTTTAAAAGAGATACAAGAGAAGTGTTTTTAGAAAGCAGTTTAGAAAATTCGAAAAAAAATGAAGGCGGCACAACATGAGAAAACGTTCAACATCTGCTGAAGAACCCTAGCTAATTTTATGTGAATTTTTAAGTTAAGTACAAAAATGAACTGTCTGAAACTACATAAAATCATAAAATCAGATAGGTTCATCAACACATCAACAGAACGAAACTTTTTCTCCTGCATTTTCTTCATAATTTTTAACACTTCCCAAATTAGGAGATTATTCGCAAAGTCTATTTTAAAAGTGTTCCAATGATCTTCCAAAACTATTGACCATCCTGGAAGTAATGCAAATTTAAATGTTCTAAAAAACTTTCAGATTCAATTTTTCAGACAATACTCAGAATATATAATATATGTAACTTTTTTCCTACATGTCTTTCTTAAACTCAACCAAAACCGTTCCATGGCACAATTTGCCACGTAACTGCCCATCTCTACAGTAGTCCTTTTGCACCACAAAGCAAACACAAAAAGTAATCCGCTTCGATCTCTCTTTTTCCTTTCCCAAACTGTCCTCTCTCATCATCATCATCATCCTCATCACCAGTGCCCAAATGATCCGTCGTGTCCGTGTCGCTCTGAAGTACGTCCTCTTCCCTCTCTCTCTCTCTCTCTCCTCTTCCGGCTCTTTCCGTTCCCTCCGAGCACGTCTCCTTCGTTTTGCAGACATTCCCGTCCCATCTATGCTGAAGACGTGCCCAGTTTGATGCCGTCGTTGCTCGGCGCACCAACCAATCGATACCGGCTCTTCGTGCTTCTTCTTTCTCTTTTCTTCCTCTACACGTGGAATGGCCAGAAACAGTCGCACGCGGAGGAAATCCGACTGAGAGACGAACGAATATCATCGCTCCAGCAGGATCGGGACAGTGTTGCCGAGAAGTTGAGGGGTAAGCAAGTGCGCTCTATTGAGAATACAACAATATCCTCCTCCAACCGCTTTATTACAGTAATCTGGATGCACAAAAAGAAGATAGAAGCCATTGTCAGTGCGCAAAAGGCGGATGCAGACAAGGTTCTGAGTAAAGTAAAGCTGAAGGAGTCGGAAGTTTACGGGTGGAAAACAAAAAACGAGAAATGTTTGAAGGAGTTGGCATTATGCGAAGTGAGTCATGAAACACGGGAAATCGAGAGGAAAACGGGGAGAGTTGCAGAATTCAAAGAGTGATGTGAAAGTGGAGAAAGTAGACAATCGACAAGTGATACGGTTGAAGAAACAAGTGGAAGAGGTGGAGGAGAAGCTAAAGGAGAGGGAACATGAAGCCGTCGCGAGGGAAAACCATCTGGAGGTACGCTTGCTTCGATAAATCAGTACAATATAAACTTTCAGGAAGAATTGAAACGATGCGAATCGAAAATCAAGCAGTTGACAGGGGTGAGTAGATTACGAAGAAGCGGGGAAAGGTTGACCGTAGGTGTAAAGGGAAGGGTCATCGAAGGAAAGTCCGGTGAAAGCGGACGACGTCGGTTGGCACGACCAGTTGTTGTACGAAGGGATGAAGGCGCTCGAGTACATGTTGCTCGCGGTCGACAGAAGATTCTGGAATGAAGTGGGAAGTGTGACGACTCTTGCCCACATCGTGACTGACCTGTGATTCGAGACTGATCGGGTCAGCAGCAGACATTTGTCCGAGATTCGTCAAAAAGCTGCTCGAGAGACTCGGAATGACTGGCTTCATATCGACCAACTCTTCCTTTATTGAATCGCAAGGCGAGTGCACTTGGGACAAAACTGGAGGAACGGGAGCCACGAGAGAAGCGTCGAAATGAGAAGGTGGGAGTGGGGAAGGCGCTGGTGTAGATGGAAGTGTCGAAGGAACTCGTGGAAGTGGTCGCGCTGCTCAGTTGCGAAGTGTTCGGGATGTCGGCGGTGCTTGTGGTGTAGGTGTACTGTAATGGGAATACTGCAACGGAGTTGGCTACCGTACTCCTTACCTTGAGGATCTGAAACGGATCCATAGTCTGAGAGAGCCGAAAGCCTTGCAAGAAGGGAATCTGCGGATTGAATATGGAGGCCTCCGAAGTGCTCGACGCGTTCATCGCGTTCATCGTGTGACCCATCTTCCCCACTCCCAATCTTTTCACTCTCCTGAAACCTTTTTCCCTTTTCTGACCCCTTTCATGCGACGGAACCTTCTCTTGTAGTTGCCGTTGTCGAACTGAGGCGCATTGCCCGGAACCATCTGCCAGTAGTTGCCCTTTCGGTCGTTGGCACTGCTTTGTCCGTCGCGCGACTTCTTCACAAAGCAGTCGTTGAGCGACAGATTGTGACGAATGCTGTTCTGCCATCCTTGTTTGCGCTTGACGTCCGCGTCACGGTAATACGGGAACTTGGCTTCGATGAACTGAAACGTGCGTTTCTTTGTTTGATGAGGAACGGACGAGACGCTACGCCGTGACATTTCGGGCAGGAAAAGGTCCGAAATGAGTAACGGGGTGTGCAAATGTTATGGGAGAGGTACCACACGGAACCTTTCCAAATTGGTCAGCACTATTAAGGTTGATGAGTCAAAACGGAAAAGGAGCAGAGTAAATACTACGCTGGGTTACTGTGGGATTACGGTAAGAAGAACTGAAAGAGGCGACAACTACAACAGTGCGTACTCACCAATTGATGTCGAATTCTGAAGAGTCTGCGATAGTCTTGTTACAAAAAGGTCTCTACTTTCCCTTTCTCTAACAGTCTTTCTGTGCCTACACGCTTTTCCCCTCTCCGAACTAACTTTGTATATCTGGTTGAGTGTCATCCGCTGCTCTGGTGATGCTTCGATCGCCATCGTAATCAGGGCCACGTAGCTGTAGGGCGGCTTGTCAATGCCATTGCCCTCTGGTCTGAAGGGGAAACATCAGTTTAATATTTTCAAAACACTACCAGCCACTTGCTACCGAGATTTATTTAGAAAATATATTTTCCTTCTCCTTGTTTCTTCTCTGCTTTATCTTTTTGAACAGAAACAATAACAACTCACGCGATGGGGAAGGACAAAAGCGTCTGGTGGCGCGTCATTAGGAAGGATTTTGATAAAAGAAGAGTCGCGAGAGGTGGCGGGAAGGGTGGCTGCGGCCGGGCGAGGAAGGGGAGTGGCCGCGACGTCCTTGCCGTTTTCTTCTTCTTCTTCTTCTTCTTGTGAAACACCGGTAGCCGGGAAGGGGATGCGAGAAAGGGGGCGGGAACGACTGGAAGCTCTTGTCGCCGTGTCGTCCCTCCTCATGACATTTCGTTGCTCGTCCGTCTCCCTCTCCCTCTCAATGATTCACCCGGGAGAGCGAATGGAAAACGAGGCAATCGGAGGGATCGCCGTTTTTTTGTTTTGTAAATATGGATACAAACTTGCACACGGGCAAATTGAAAAGAAAAATGTGAAGGGAAAGAGGAAAGTGGCGATGGTTGTGTGTAATGTGAAAGTTGCAGGGAGGAGCCATCGAGCACTACAGTCAGAACGAGACCGCACACTTCAACAGGAACCACAAGGTAGGAAGAGTCTACCGTAACCCCTTTTCATTTCAGACTTCTTTTCAAAATCGTCACTTTTTGTTAGTCAGTGTCAGCAATAGCTAAATTCAATGAAAACGGCGTTTTTCCGAGTAAAAATATCTGAAAAATTTATGCTTGTTTTTTTAAATTTCTATGCCGTGTCGGGCCGGCAGAATCTTTGACAAGTCTGCTATATCAGTAGTGCCTATACAATCCCTTCAGATTTCTAATCCAATTAACCAATTTCACCCGTCGATCGAAACGTATCAAAAATTCGAAAGCCAGTCTATTTTGAAACTTCCTCCTCCTCGAAAAATAGCCGCGAAAGGTCAGCACTTCCTCTTCTTCCAGGCTGACGAACCATTGTCCTTCGACCGCGGCAACATACAGCATCACATTCCGAATAAACTGTTGATGGGTCGCCAGTTGGCGGAGACGATCGAAGAGGCGAAAGTAAGAAAGCTGGAGGAGCGGGAGCAGCTGGAGAAGCATCCGCAGGACAGAGACGTAAAAGGTTCGGGCACTTGGACTAGTCACTGATATCCGCACTCGCAAGACGGCTTGATTTAATGCCGCGCACCAGTCGTAAATCTCACGGCACAACGAAATACATTGCGGCAATTCCGAAAGTGGTTTTAACTTTGTGACGTTACAGATCAAGAAGTCAACGAGCAGCCGAACGGCGACGAGCAGGACTACAAAGAGCACTGACGGCTTCACTCCATATCTCTCTTTCCTCTTCAGGTGTCCGATGCATTTTCCGCTCTTCATTTACACATCATTTGGATTTTTGAATAAAGTCTCGAAAACGCAGCCGGTCGCCTCCCCCAAGGACCCTTTATGTTTTCATTTGTCGACCGGCACGGCAAAGGGGAAAGAGGATACGGCCTTGAAAGTTTGAATTCGTTTGTGGTACGAGAAAGCATCGCCGCTTCCTCTCGTGGAGTTGGCCAATGTTCTTGTAGGTTTTTGAACAGAAAGGGGTCAGGTCAGCTTCTTGTCCGTCGGCTATGATCACTGGTCACAGAGGGCCCCGGCGTTTACGTTTATCAGTAGAGGTCCTCGTACTCGAACAAGAGAGGCGCGCGCCCAAGACGACTGTAATGTCCATTGTTCTTCAAGATTCTTCCGTTGCGAAATAGACCCTGCAGCAGACAATGAATGACCGAAAAAGGGCCGAGGGAGAACTTGTAAGCCGTTCTTCTCCTTCTTCGCCTTACCCAATACAGTTTTATTTTTGTCTGATAAAAGAAAAGTGAAGACCGACAAGAACACACGCACAAGACATGGCTGTCATGAAGATGACGACCAGGAATCTGAAGTTGTCGTTGTAGTTGCGGGTGTGTAATTCTGAGGGGAACCGCTTTGACCTTTCGAGTTATTGCTTCTTCTTTGTCGCTGATGGGGTCTTATGGTCACCGAATTTAAGATCCATGAGTCACGGCGAGAAGAAGAAGAAGAAGAACAGAACACAGTTCGCCTCTACATTTCCTACATTTCTAGAATGGACTGTTCGAGACCACAAAGCGAGTTTTCTCGTCGGAAGGGGAGAAGGTGGAATGCTTGACCCCTCCTGGGCGGCGGGAGTGAGAAATGTGTGAAATGTGTAGAGAAAACAATTGTGAAAAGTTGGGTGGGTCCCTTGTGAAGATCATGAAGGACCGGAAAAGGTGTAACAGAACGGAGAGATGAAAACGAAAACAAATAAAGAGCTTCCGAATGTCACCCGGGAAAAATGAGTGTTGACAAGGGAATAGGAGTGGCAAAGTGTGGGAAGAGCTAACAAGGGAAAGAGGTGTTATAAAGGGTGGCAACGCATTCTGCAAGGATGTTTTTCTCAAGTTACTTTGAATATTTAACAAGACTGTAAACGTGAAATTTGTTTTGAAACCTAGAAATAACTAAAACATCGAGTAGCTCTCCGGTCCTTGGTCGCTCGCCTACCGTACTTCTTCATCCTTTTCATTCTCCCTCCTTATTATCCTGCTTCTTCTTCTTCTTCTTCTTCTCGTAGTTATTGACCATACACCCTTGCGACTTTCAATTACTTTCCCCCCGTAAGTAGAGCACTCCCCTCGCATCTGAATCCGTCATCGAAAGTAATGATTCCATTTTTCCACCTCTCCGATTCGTCGATGTTTGGTTCTTCATCGAGCATTGCTAACATGAGAAACTTAATTGAATGATGATGTGAGCGAGCGGGACAAACCGAATTCCTTTCTGTTACCTCCCGCGAGAAATCAGTGGTCACATGATGATAAGACTGAAATTGCTTCGATCCCGTGCTTCCCGTTACCGGGGCCCTGAAAAAGACTAAAAAAAACACGGAAACGAGTAGAGAGAAAAGCCGCCCCGCGGGTCCCGCCCCTCCCGTCCCTTCCCGTCGGGCGCCTCTTCTAGCCGACGTCTTCTATCGGTTTCTCTGCGTGTCTCTGTCTCACCTTCTCTCTCCATGTTGCCTTTTTTGGGAAAAGCGCCCCCGCAACTGACTGACTGTGTCGATCGGTGTGTGTTTCGATTGCGTAGACCCTTAGGCCCGAACCAAGGTTATAACCTAGCACGCCTCCTTCTCGTGTCTGTTACTTCAAAGTATTGTGTGCCTTCGCTGTCTTGAAGCCCCGCCCCTTTTCTGACGTCTTCTTCTGGGAAGACACTCCCTCTCTTATCTTTTCGAAATTCTATTCTCGCCCCACCAGCTGCCCCCCGGTCATCATTTGACTCGACACACTGCCCACTGGGAGGAACGCCGCCGTCATGAGAAGACTCCATCGAAAACTGCCGCTCTTCCTCTTGCTCCTCATCATAAACGGTAAGTTCTCCTCAACATTATTCAGTTTTATCTTCCCTTTGTAAAATTGTTACAACCTTTTTCGTCTTCCCCCTCAATCTCTTCTCTTTCAAATCTGCTGATTTATCCCCTTGATTGATAACTGATTGGGATCAGAAGTCGTTCGTTTTCAAATACGACTACACTTCGGATAGGTGCCAAGGACCCGAAAAGATTCAAAAGGAAAGGGACCAGTTCAAGTTTGCCGACGCATTGTGTTCCCTCGCTTCTCAGTTGATTTATAGCCCGTCGAGTACGGTATCAAAGACCATGCAGTGAAACTTTTGAGACTAGACTTTCCAGTTTCCTTCTCAGTAGTTTCCGGCTCATTTCCCCTGGCCACTTCCCATATCCGACGTCTTCTTCAGCTTCTTCTTCTTCTTCTTTCGCTCACTTTTTCCCTCCTAATGTTTACAAGCGCTAATCCATTGAACCTCTCTCTCTCTCTCTTTTGCCGCATTCGGGGGTCTACCAGTTTGCCTCTTTGTTCGGTTCGCTTCGGTACTGCCGTCCGTCAGTTCTTGCGCCCCTCTTCACCTTCACCGTCATCATCGTCGTCGTCGTTGTCGGAATCCCGATCGATTCGGAAGCTTCGCCCGCCAATCCACAGCTGGCATGAGATGGATTTGGCATATAAAGGCTGGGAATCGACGGGCGTTGCGCAATAATATCGTCGTTTTTTGCGGTTGCGACGCCCCAGAGTGAAGAGAGAGGAAGAGGGAGAGAAAGGAGGATCAGAGGAGGCAGATAAGCTTGAATCGGTGCGAAGAAACAGCCCGCGGGCCCAAATCCATGCCATCACGCCTCCGAGGAAAAGAAACGTTTTGATAACGGTCTGTCTCTGTAGTGGCCATCTGCGGGAGAGGGGGAGAAGAAGTCGTTGTTCGCATAGTTAAATGGCCAATCATCGTTCCCACTTCGCCCCTGGAGACCACGCCGAAGAATCTAGAAGGAGAATGAGACGGGTTGAGAAGCATCTTCCGGAGCAGATAAACTATTCGAATATACAGATCGTGTCATTGTTGTCCACTCGGTGTCTCTCTCCACTTTTTGCCCGTTCATCGCACCGTCCATCTGCCATCGGCGGGCGCCTGTTCCTATCTATTTCTGCCAATGTTCTCGTCAAAAATCGAAAAAGAAACAGTTGTTTTGGTCACTTTCTCGAACACTCGGTCACCGTGTCTGTCCTTTCTAATTCGATCAACTCGTTAGATAAGTATTGTTTGTGAACTGCCCTCCTCGTTCCGATTATTCGCTTCGACGCCAGGAAGCCTCTCCTGAGGGGGTCATTTAAGAGTGTGGATGGCTATCCATTCCGACACGTACTAACATAATAATGGCCTTCGTTTCCTCATAGTGCCGCCAAAAGAAACGCAGAAAAAAGTGAGACAATTATTCGTGAAGAAGGAGGTTTTTATATGAAGGAGAAAGTGCCGAAATTATGGTTAGGACGGGCAAACCGTCGACAGTATTGTTATGGTCTTCTTCTTTTTCGGTCTTCTTCTTTGCCCCCTTTGGAGAAGGTTACGGAAACTGAAAGAGAAACTGAAAAAGAGAAAAAAGAGATGAGAAAGAAAGAAGGAGAGCGAAAGAATGTACTTGTCGGAACACGACAATGCCCGGGTTGTAACGAGATGAAAATGATGAACCATAGTAAAGAGGAAGTTGCAAAAAGTTGACTACGAACTGAAACCTACACGGCATCTTCTTCTTCTTCTTCTTCTCCTTGAATCTATTTAAGCCTAGAAACCAAAAAAGTTGCACAATTCTCGACCACTTGACCAACAATCATCGGATTTGCAGACTTCAGAATAGACGCGCAGACGCTTAGTCCTCCGATTACGGACCGTTTCAAGTGCCTGACGAATGGATGTTGCGATCATCACGAGTGGTGTCGATTTTGGGCTTCAATCGGGGAATGTAATGTGAGTTTTTGTTAGAGCAAACACTTCCTCATTCATTCGAAAATCAAAAATCGCTGTGGTTTTCCGTTAAACGACTCGATTGTCCTGTCCAACTTCCGAATTGGTTTAATTTTGATTTGATATCCCATCCGACCTAAGATCATGTCCAAAATCTCAGGCGAACAAGGACTGGATGACCGAAAACTGTCAACTGGCTTGCGGGACATGCACCGCTCCGCCGGCACCGCTTCTCCCGATCACAACAACTGGTAAGTGATCTCAGGTGACCCTCACCTCCTTTGTTATCATTTCCTTTATGATCACACAAAGTTAGCCTCCCCTCAATTGACCGTGAAATGTCGATGATGTCTGTGTGTTGGCACGCTCCCCCGTTTGCCTTTGACCTACTAATTTCGGTTGATTAGGGGGGAGCGAGATGAAACGAAAATTGTTGGTATTAGGCGCTGACGGTCGCGGCAGTGTAATCAAACTGGCTACCAGCTACCAATCCTATTAGAGCGTTTTCACGTGGCAACTATAATCATACGCTAGAATGACTCCCCTGGAACACGAAACCCCGACAGTTTACAACTTTAAACTGAACAGTCGAGGAGGAGTGAAAACGAAGAAAACGGGACGAATTTTGCAGTGTTTCAAACAGTTATTCAAACAAAAAACCCGCTGCGGGTCGGATCAGATCACTTTTACAACTACAACACTCTCTTTTCATTTACAAACGGTTTGCAGCCTCTTCCACACAGGGATTCAATGGCGGATTCGTGCAGACGACTACCGTATCCTCGGGTCCCACCACGACAGTCATCATTCCGCCGTCTGACCTGACACCGGTCAACTCGTGCGATCGCGTCAAAGACAGCATTGCTCAGGCTTCAGAGGTGAGAGTTTTGAACGATTATACTTATTCCAACCATGCCCTCTTTCAGCTTATGTCGATTTCCCGACTGATCAATCCGGTGGAAGACAACTTCGGAAGGAACATGCTCTCCATCGACGACATCACCAGAAGCGTCCCGACTGGATGTGTTCCCCAGCTTTCCGATGTCGGCGTCGACTGCCACAAGAGTCTCTGCTACCATCTCATGTACCGTACTCTCGACGGAACCTGCAATAACCTGGAGAAGCCGATGCACGGAGCCGCTTTCCGTCCGTTCAACCGTCACTTCGCTGCGCAGTACGACGACGGTCGCGGCGAGCCCATTTCTTCCCTGAACCAATCCCGGCCGAGCGCCCGAGAAGCCAACCGAGTCATGCTTTCCTCCGCTCAGTCCGTGGTCCATGATAAGGTCAGTTGCATTCTTTTCTGATTAGATGATTAGCTTTACACTTTTCAGTTCAACAACATGATGATGCAATGGGGTCAATTCATGTCGCATGACATGTCGAAGACCACCCTTCAGCCATCGGCAACTGCAAGACGTGCGACCCGGTGCCGTCGAAGTGCATGCCGATTCCGATCGGAGAGAAGATCCGAACCTCGGATTCAAATCGAAGCAGTGCCTGAAAGTATCCAGATCCGCGCCTATCTGTAGAGTGGAGCCACGAGAGCAACTCAATGAGAACACCGCCTACATTGACGGATCCATGATTTACGGAAGCTCTTTGAAAGATCTTCACAAGTTCAGAGACGGAAGAACTGGATTCCTGAGAGTGACTCGATTCAACAACCAGAATGTGCTTCCTTTCGACCAGTCGAAGTGCGCCAACAAGGACAAGTGCACGGCTTCTTTCACTGCCGGCGACATTCGTGCCAATCTGTTCATCGGACTCTCTTCGCTTCACATTCTCTTCGCCAGAGAGCACAACAGAATCGCGCAGAAGCTGAGCGAACTGAACCCGACGTGGAGTGGAGACAGAGTCTTCCAGGAGGCTCGTAAGATCGTCGGAGCCCAGATTCAGAACGTGCTCTACAAGGAATATCTTCCGAAGCTTCTCGGAGTTTCCTTCGACAAGGTCATCGGGCCGTACAAGGGATACGACACGAACGTGGATGCCACCATCGCCAACGAATTCACCACTTCGGCGTTCCGTTTCGGTCACGGAATGATCGAAGAGTTCTACAAAAGAGTCGACCTCTCCGGCAACAACATCACACATGGCGGCTTCTTCTTCGGCGACGGCGTCTTCAAGTCTGGCAAGATTCTCTTCGAGGGAGGCGTCGATCCGATCATTCGTGGATTTATGACTACCGCCGTGAAACGACCGCATCGCATGACGCCGGCGATCACGGAGAAAATGTTTGGCAGGTGCGAAGAGGAGGAACAATGCGCATTCATTCATCTTACTTGTTCTCTTTTTTCAGCACCGACCTCGGATCGTTGAACATTCAGAGAGGAAGAGACCACGGAATTCCGTCGTACAACAAAATGAGGACGTTCTGCGGACTCAAGTTTGCCAACACTTTCGATGATTTCGCAGATATGATTCTCGATAAAAACTTGAGATTGGGACTTGCCAGAAACTACAATACTACGAGTGAGAGGGCGGAGAATGGTTGGAACTGAAAGAACCGATTTTAGATGACGTCGACTTCTACGTGGGCTCGATGCTCGAAGATCCAGTGGTCGGAGGACTCGTCGGAACCACTTTGAGCTGTGTGATCGGAGAGCAATTCAAGAGGGCGAGAGACGGAGACAGGTAGGACAACAGAATCCCTTCGAATTCACAACAATTCACTCGCTAAGATTCTACTTTGAAAACCCGGGAATCTTCACGAGACCGCAGGCGGAAGAGATCAAGAAGTCGACGCTTTCGAGAATAATCTGCGACAACGCGGACAACTTCGAGCTCGTCTCGCAGGACGCCTTCCTGCTCCCCGGCTCCAATTTGACGCCGTGCTCCAAGATTCCCGAGATGGATTTGTCCAAGTGGCGGGCTCTCTAGAATTTTTAGAATCTTCTCGTTTTCCCCTCCTCATTCCCATTCTAGTCAGTCTCTTTCGTTTCAAGTGTATGTATGTTCGGATTGCCATAGCACACTGTTTTGCCCGTTGTTGAATGTGTTGAACTTCTGCTGATATCCCTCCCTTTGCCAATTACCGGTCCTCTTCTCACCGTTTTTCCAAATGAAACTCCGCGTTTTTTTGTGATTCTGGTGATCGTTTGTGTCTTTTGGAACTTCCTAATAAAACACTTTTATCAGTACGAAAAACTCAGTGAAATTAACACTAAAAAGGTGGATAAAAGCAAAACAACAACAAGACAAGGTAACAAAAATTAACAGAAAAATACGTTTATGAGGAAGATCCGCTCCAGAAGGTCTCTCCGAACTTGTGCTGAAGAGCACTGATGACTTTTTGGCACTGCGCTTCCACTTGCTTGTTTTCATCTGAAATAAATGTCAGTATTGTTTAGACGTTTCTTAATAGTTCATCTTACCTTCAATGAGCTCATTGAGGAACGGCAGAAGAATGGAGAGATGCGGTTGCACTCCGTCGCCAATCTTCTCGATTAGCAACTCGAGCACAATGAGAACACGATAACGGATCTTGGCTCTCGAGTCTCTCGTCTTCAGCATAATCTTGTTGAGCATCTCCGGGAAGTTGTCCGGATCAGCGTTTCCGATCCGATAAATTGCAGCAACCAGATGATCGGAGCAACGTTTTTCATGTCCTTCCACCTTTGTATTCACGAGCTCGTCGACGACGACGTCCGTTACCAACTGACAACGATCACTGAAAAAGAAAAAAATCAGTAGAAGTACGGAATACAGGTCATTATTATTAATATAACTCTTGGGGGTTGTCCCTCTGTTCATTTCTCAGTTTTTTAGTCCCCACGTTCATTTCTGAAACTAAAATAGCTGTAACGGAAAAATTGAGAAATGAACACGCTAACTTTCGAATGGTTATCAGAAACAAACACGCTGCGAAGCCGCTTCCGAGCGTGAGCTCGGCCCCCGCAGCGGGGCTTGTTTGAAAAGTCTTGTAGAACATACACAGTGAAGAAGTCACGATGTCTGGCTGCGTTGGAAATCACATCGATGGCCAAAGTGAGTGCCAGACTGGTCTCAAGTGCTTCAATTGACCCTCTTTTTCCAGAGAGGAGAAGCTCGTCGGTTCCGATCAAAGTGGCGTTGCACCTCTTCAGAACAAGCACAGCAATTTCGAGAATACGTCCAAAATACGGGAGAGCAAGAGAGTTGAAAGCATCGTAAAGACTGTTCGCAAAGTGAAGAAGGGAAACAAGGCGAAGTCTGACAGATAGATCGGCCTTTGCTTCGAGACCCGGTTCTGCCCAGGCGACGAGCTCATTGACGACCGTACGGAATTCCACTTCACTGAGAATGCTCGCAATGGAGACGATGAAGTGGAACACACTGCTCTCGAGTTTCTCAACGTTTTCGAACTGCTGAAATCGGACAAAAATTGAAGAAAATGATTCAGTTGACGTACTTCGGCGTGTCTCTGCTGGCTTCGGAATTCCAGAGATGGCGTGACAATATCGTTGACAAACGTTCTTCTGAGCTGAATAACAGCCTTGCGAAGAGCTTCTGGCTTCTGCTTATGCTGTGTTTCAACGTACCCGGAGAGCAAATTGAACAGTGCACACAGCGCCTTCTGCAATGAAATCATAGAGTCAGAATACGGAGAAAACGACTGAAAACCTTTTCAGATTTCATTTCGCCAACAGCCTTGATAATATGAGCTGGAAGAACTCGGAGTTCCACGGTGAAAAGAGCACGACGAATGAGCGAGAGTCGGTGATGGATGCCTGATTTACTTCCGAATCCGCTGGTTTGCGAGCCTCCTGCGTACTGGAATGCAGTGCTCGAAGACGGTTGATTGAGGGAAAGCAGCTCGGATGGATCTCCGAATCGGGAAATGAGGCGGCAGTATCGGATGATAACTTCTCCCGTTGATTCCACGACGAACGACGCGAACTGATCGTACACGCGTTGGATACATGTCAACGAACAAATCTGCAAGAGAAATTGATATAACAGAAAAAGGATAAGTGGAGTACTCACCAGGAGAGTGTCACTTCCAAACTTGTGTCCCAAAGACTGTTGTCTGATGCGTTGCCCTCTGTTTCCACGGCCTCCGGCCACAGACGATCCAGGCGAAACATTCGAATCGAACTGAGACTTGGAGAAGCGAATCATGCAATCATGGACAGTAGCGAGGCAGGTCTTGAGAAGGCTGATGGCATGATGAATCGTCGATCTCATGTTGTGGGAACGAATGAGTTCTCCTGCGAGAAGGAGCACGTTTCCGGTCAGGTTCTCGTCCAGTTTCTGGTACTGAGATACAATTGTCACGCATCTCTGCATAGTATCTGCGAGAACGGTCGATTCGGATTGCGTCGGCAGATTCTTGGCAATCAACTTGAGAGTGAATGCTGCATTCTGACACATTCGCATCTTTTCCTCGCTCTTCGTCTCCGCAACTATAAACTTGTTCAGTGCCTGAGCAAGAGTAATGAGCTCCTTTTCGTTGATTCCACTGTCGACGAACAAATAGCCGTCGTGGCCCAGTTTGATGTTGGCCAGTTGGAGAATCTTCTCACACATCTTGTACGACATCTTCTTGTCATTCACACATTCCTGCAGCACGTCGGCGATGAGACGAGCAGCCACTCCTCCCGGCAACAAATGTCTCAGCTTCTCACTAACCACTTCGGTTCTCGAAGCGAAAGCGATCCAATATCTCTGTGCTTGCGGGTCCGATCCATCCTGACCATTGGCTTCCTTGTTGGCAAATTCATCCAATTCAACGGAGCACTCGATGAGTCGTTTGCCCAACGGCAATGCATTCTTCAGAAGATCGTCATCTTCGTATGCTGCCAAACGTTCAATGAGAACTCGATTGGCAAATATTCTGGAGATGACAGTGACGACGACGTAACGGAAGTGACGAGTGCGCGGCAGTGTATGGGCTGTGCGGTCGAAGATGAGGGTGTCCACATCCTTTCTGATGGCAGTATTCTTGGAAGAAGCTGGTGGCTTGTCCCCACCAAGACGAAGCACGTACTCGCACATTTCGAGAACACTTGACAGCTGGAAAATAATTAATAAGAACAAATATTTCCAGTGTGTGAACGGACCTGTTCAAACGGATTCACCGCACTGAGTAACTCGATAGCCAGATCGTCGTAAGCATCCTGATCAGATCCTCTCTTCACCGCCTCTTGAGCAGCAGCATCCGTCGATCTTTGCCAACGAGCGCAGAAACTGGAGACGAGAACGAGCACGACAGTAGACGCATTCTCCGCCCCGACAGCTCTTGCGATTGCCTGTGCAATGCGAGCTCTTCGGTGAGCTGGGATATCAACGGCACTTGCTGCAAACAGACGAGCCAACTCGATGAGCTTTTCGGTCTGCTGCTGTTTTGTGAGCACAGCCTGGCCGGAGCTCTTGATGATCGTAGAGAAGAGAGATTCAACAGTTTGCTCAACAATCGAGAGAGTCAGCTCGTTGTCTTTTCTGAGCATTCCATTGCCCATGAAGGTGAACACAGCCATCACGTGTTTGACGACAGAGTTCGGAGTGTGTCTCGCAGCGGCGACGATCAATCGGAGGCAATCACGGAGTAAATGATGGTTGTGAGTTGATCTCATAGTGTCGATCACGCAGTCCATGTCCACTTCCGCAGATCCAATCTTAGTTTTTCCCGGGTTTTCGAGAATCTTGCGAATTGCGTTCACCGACAAATGCTGTTGATACGATGAACTTTCCACGTCAGACTTTGAGTTGACTCTACAATAATTCAGAATAAGACGTGGCGTCAACTGTAGTGAACTTACTGTTTGACAAGAGAAAACAGAGCGGCGAGCACTTTATCACTCGACGGAATCATTTGACGTGCATTCAGAAGATCGAGAGCGAAAACGACGCGCAGATTGAAGTTCTCCCAAGACTCGTCGTGTCCGAACGCCTTCTCCACGACACTGTGCTTCTGAGGTCCTTTTGCTCTTTTTGGAGCACTTTCAGTGACGCCGTCAAATTTGGTGAGCAGATCAGCGACGAAAGCGGGAGTCAAGTTGGCCTGAAAAAACTTTGTAAGGGTTATTGGGATAACGAGTTTCATACCGTAGCGAGAGCAGCTTTGACGCTTCCAGAGTCCACTTGCTTCACTTTGTTCACTCCAACTGTTTTCACAATATCAACTACGAAGTGTTCGATTTCGTCCTCCACTTTGCGAGTGAAATACTTCTCTCCTCGTTGTGCCATTTCATTCAGCGCCCACTCCACTTTGTCCCACTTCTCTTCGTGCAGCCATTTCGTTGCTTCCTTGATCGGATCTCCAGAGAAGACTTGTCGCTTCGCGTACTCCGAACTGTTCGCCAAGAGTTCGGCCTTCTCAGCTATAGTCAGTTTGACGGTTTTTGCGAGAGGTTCTTCAACCGACGAAGCCTTTTCGACTTCGGTATCTTGAACCAACTGAGCAGAAACGGCTTCACTAGTTACTTGCACAACATCTTCCAGTTCATACTCTTTGATCGCCTTCTTCAAGGCCTTCTTATTCGTCTGCTTTAACTCCTCATAAACCGAATCAAACTGCTTGGCAAATCGCAATCCAATCGCCCTTATGTTCGTCTTCATTTTCTTTTTTTCGATAATGTTTCCAGAAATGGCTTCTCCGAGGATCAACTTCAGGAGAACCGTAGCTTGCTCGGTGGTCATCAGAGACGCATCAGCAGTCGTATCCACGAGAACTTCAATTGCCAGTGAATGCTCGTCGGAATCCTGACTGCGAATCATTGCCACCAGTTCCTTCCATAGAACATTGAAGAATTTGGTAGTATCAGTGCGTTCCGTGAGATCGCCAATGATCTTCCACACGTCGATGTCTTCGTCGTGGCGAAGCAACTTCTTGAGAGTATTCTTAGAAAGCGATTCGATGTTCTGTTGCTGGAAGAGAACCATGAGAGTGGCGAGCGTGGTGGGAGCGGTATCCGTACGCAATTTAGTGATCAGCAGTTTGCAGACCGTGTTCAGCACTTCTTCTTTCAGTTTTACAGTAAGAACCAGCTGGGAAATGACAACCAGAGCCGAATATCGGAATGATTTCATAGGGCTCTTGATACCGTGCTCGACAAACGGCATCATCTTCGCCATCATCATCTCGTCCACCTTCTCCGGATCGTTGAACATACTCAGCAGTAGTTTAGCGTGGAAATTGAAGAGGATCGGGTGTTTCACTTCCAAATAGTTGCCTCCAACGATTTCCACAGCGTTCTTGATATGATCAGTGATGCATGTGATGATAGAATGCTTGCTGGCGAGAGTTGCCTTCGCGATTGAAGTGAATGGAATCGGGGTCTCCGACTTGAGGAATTGCTGCATAAATTGCCATTCTTTCGAACGAGACCAGTCGAAATCCAAAATCCGCAACAAACGAGAGTAAACTTTGGTCTCGTGGAAGGGGAGGAAAGTGAGAAGGAGAGTTTCCGCATTGAACGAGTAAACTTGATAGGTGTGGATGAGATACTCGAGCACTTGCTGGCAGGCAAAATGTTGCAGATAGGGAGAGAGCTCGAGTAGAAGCTTTTCGATTTGCCTATTTAGTTCATCGTTTGAGCTTTTATCGAGCATTGACCTGAAAACATTCCGTGTTAATCTGATTGATATGTGCCGGTACCTGACAAAATCTATTCTTTCTTCCGAGAACAGTTCGTTCTGCGTTTCCGTATCGAAAACCGGATCAAGTCTCTTCATTTGCTCAAGACCAGCAACTCCTAAAAATTGCTGTTGTTTCTTTGAAAACCGCGAATGCCTCACCAATTCTGTGCGCAGTTTCATTTGTTATTTTTCCTGCTTCTTTCTTGTCAAACAATAGCGATACATGTCGTTTCTCGATAGTCAGATGGCGAGCGGCTGATGTTCGCAGATTTTGCAACTGGCTTGTCAAAGATGTCGCCATTTCACCCGTAGTTTGAAGAGATAACAGACAACAACTCTGAAAATGGAAATTTTTAAATTTTTAAATTATCCTTATGCTATTTCTCTGCGATATCAGTTAAAACTAATGGAGAAACAGAGAAAATCAGAGAAACGAAAAATTATTTTTCTCAGAGTCCGCAATCTCGCCGTTCAGTCGAATGCACAAAAGGCAAACGATTTGACGACATTTTCCCTTACTTATTTTTCTATTTTCTTTTCCTCAAAAAACATTGTTCTGTTCAGTGTTCTTCACGATTTGCACACAAAATTTTATTTTAACGAGTTTCAGGTAACACAATGAAAATCAAAGTAATATCAAGAAATCCAAACACCTACCAGAGAGAAACTACGAATCAAAGAAACAAAAGTGAGTTTTTAAAAATAATTTATCAAGAATAGCAACATTTTTCTCAGTCGTTCGTAATTTCAACACACCGGCTGATCCGTTTCGCGCACAAACAGAATACACGAGAGCTCTGAATGCCACCAAATTGGAGAGAGTGTTTGCAAAACCGTTCGTCGCCAGTCTCGATGGACATGTCGACGGAGTTCAAGTTCTTGCCAAGCATCCCAGTGAGAATTTCAAAAAAAGACAAAATGAAAGTGCTGTGTTTCAGACCGCCCATCCACAATATTTTCCGGAGCTCGAGACGGCCAAGTTAAGATTTGGAATCTTGCTTCACGGGAGTGTGTCGCCACGTTGGATGCACATCGAGGACTTGTAAATGGTAAGTGTTGTGTGGTTTAACTTGTCAATGTCTGTTCACTTTCAGATATTTCGATTGACAACAACAACGGAGAACACTTTGTAACCGTTGGTCAGGACAGTCAGCTCAAGTACTGGAAGATCAGTTCCACCATAGAATCGGAGCAGAAAACTCCCGCCCACTCGATCGCCCTCGACGGAATTGCCTACGGAGTCTCGCATCTCTCCTTCTCCTCCGATTTTGTCACTTGCGGAGAGGATATCAGTGTGTGGAAACCATTCCGAGAGACTCCCCTTCGCAGTTATAATCTCGGCACTGACACCATTCACACCTGCCGCGCCAATCCAGTTGAAGAGAATGTGATTGTCGGCGCGCGCTCCGATCGTTCGATCTTCGTGCTGGATACCAGACAAGACGTCCCACTCAAGAAAGTGACAATGAAAATGAGACCGAACAAAATCTCGTGGAATCCAATGGAGGCGTACACGTTCACAGTGGCCAGCGAAGATTACAGTCTCTACACTTTCGATATGAGGTACATGGAGCATCCGGTTCAGTCACACCAAGGATTCACTTCTGCCGTTCTCGACGTCGATTATTCTCCAACTGGACAGGAGTTTGTCGCAGCTGGATACGACCGATCGATTCGGCTGTTCAGGGCGAGAGATATGACGAGCAGAGATGTTTACTACACGAAACGGATGGCCTCCGTACTCTCTGTGCTCTGGTCTGCGGACTCGAAGTTTGTGCTTTCTGGAAGTAACGAAATGAACATTCGAGTGTGGAAATCCAATGCAGCAGAAAAGCTCGGACCTCTGACGAAGAGAGAAAAGCAGGCGTTCGCATACAACGACAAGCTCAAAGAGACGTACAAGAACCATCCGGAAGTGCGCAGAATTTCCAAGCACCGAAACGTTCCGAGGCACATTTTCACGTTGGTTTTCCCTCTGTTGTGCCCTATTAATTGGAATCTTGTTCAGAGCTGCAAAGGAACACAAACTGATCAAGGATGCACGTGCCCGACGGGATCTCCGACGAGCAAAAGCAGCCGGACTAGACGAAGAAGAGTCGTATCTCCCGCAGACACAGAAGGTTATGCTCGGCGATGCAGAGATGTAAGTGACCGAGAATTTCTGTTATTGTTTTTCAAATTGTTAATTTTTACTTGTTACCTCTTTAATGAAGAATCGTTCCGAAAAAAAAACAATTGCAAGTTTATTTCAAATGCGCAATATCAACTATCCGGGAAGAATAAATGAATGAGCAAAACAGATTCATATTCACAATGTATTGTTTTTTTGAGCAGCAGCCAGAATACTTGTGGCTGCTCGAAGTCGTGCGACGTTTTTGACGACGCGAATCCACGACTTCTTGGCACGTGTTCGTTTTGACGATTCGGCATATTCGCTCAAAACTTGTTCACGTTTCACAAACTGAAATTAGTCTTTATATGAAATAGACCACGTTTTACGGTCTTCGTACACTTTGTTGACACCTCCAATAGTACTGTAAGAAGAGCCGATTGATCAGTTTATTCCCATTCGCCTTCAGAAGTTGTTTCTGCTTTGTCGTCATCTGTTTATAAGGCAAAGCTGCTTCGACGAGAGAAATGACTCTGTGAAAAACGGGAACCGACTTCCAGCAACTGAAGTGACGAGTCACCCGGTACACCTGAAAAAGAAGGGCGTCTTCAGAAGATCGGGTCGATTCTCGCGCTTACCCTGATGATGTCCACCCTCTGAATCTTTCCGCTTCTGTCCCTTCCCACTTTATAAGCTCCGCGAAGAACTCCTCTACACATAAGGGGAGTGACTCGGTAGAAGTCGTCCTTCCAGTTGTCCGTTGCGTAGTAATGAGTGGTCGACATCGTCTGCTTCCAATGAATGTGATCCGCGTCCTCTTCGATCATTTGGATGGTGACCAGGTTGGAATCACAGACAAAGCACGAAGTGTCGGCCACTTCCGACGGAGCCACCTGCAGAAATACCATGGAAAGAGAGAATTAAAGTTTTGTTTACCATTGCGATGAACTTTTTGGGACACTGAACGGCATGAAGGATCGTGTGGGGACCGTCCAACGGATGTTCGTCGTCGTTGCTGTAGACCGGAACTTCCTGCCCTCCTGCAACCAAACACCTCATTTCACGCAATGCCGATGGGCAATTCAACCTTTTCCGGGATGCGTCGTCACTTCCATCTTCATCTTTCTCAGCAAATTCTGCGGATCCTTGTTGTTCTGGTTCTCTTCACTGTCCGACAACTCCTCTTCCGACTCGCTCTCGTTTCCGTTCTCGTCGATGATCACGGCGAACAGATCATCCTCCACAAACCTGCTCGTGTTTTTAGTTAACATGCTTAAGTTCTAGGATCAGTAGGAGCACACTTCAATCACAAATTAAAAAAATTAAAAGTTCAATCAGAATTTATTTCAGCCATAGGAGGAGAAGAAGGTTCGTTGAAAAGGAAAAGGAGAGGAATGAGAACAAGTTTGAGAAGCGAAAGAAGGACGTTTGAGAGAGAATGCATAGGGGAAAGACCGTGAGGAGGATCGCATCCATCCAATGGAATCGGATGAGAATTGATAGAGTAGAAGTTGAGAGGAAAAGCACACATTTCAGAATCAGAAGTAAGCGACAGTGGAGCGACGTGGTGTTGGGAACCCGCACAAAAGAAAAGAGAATAAAGAGGATTTTGGGAAAAGGAAGAGAACGAAAAAGAAGAAGTACATAGACAAGGAACAAGATTAGGCACATTGGGAACGGATGATACGGACGGACGGTACACAAATGAAAACTACATCTTCTGGAACCTTTTCCTCGCCGCCGGATCGGTGACAAAGCGGAGAAGCCGTTGTCGTCGAGGGTCGAACTCCTTCTGCACTCTCGCTTTTTCGACAGCCTTCGCGTTTCTCCAAAGGTACTGGACAAAGAGTCGCTTCTTGAAAGTGGTGCCTCCGGATGACGTGGACGGCTCGTCGACCACTTTGTCGATCATAGTGACTATCCGATGGAAGGACGTGCACGTCTTCCAGAACGAGTAGAACCTGATCACTTTGTAGACGTTGTTCAGCGGCACTTTGTTGGCGTCGTGATGAGCAGTCCGGCTCGGCGTCGTATGCGTCGTTTGATGAGTTCCGCCGGAGATCGAAGATCTGACACAAACGGATTTAGAATTCATGGAGAGCTGTTAATGCACTTGAGTGCGGCTGTTTGGAATAGTAACTGACCGTGGTGTGTTTGACATGCTGTGATGCTGAGGATGCACCGGAGCATACGTGGAAGCGGACAGCGACTGTTGATGGGAAAGCGAGGCTGACATGGAAGTGGACGGCTGATGCGGCATCTGAACTCTCGTACACCTGTTGACTTTGAAAGTGTTCGAAACTCACCTGGGTCGCCAACTTTGCGGTGATTACTTTTCCTTTCGCAGTTATACAGTTCACTCGATGAAACTGGCGGAGGTCGTCCGAATAAAAGTACTTGGTGGGCCGTGACGTGTGCCTCCACCACTGATCGTCTCCGAGAATGTCTCCCATCCGAACACGCTCTCCATCCACAACAAAACAATAATTGTCTTCGACCATGATCGGCGGGATTCCATTTGTGAGCATGCTCGAAGGAGCCGACATGAGATTGGCGAGAGCTGCCTCCGTTTGCACTGTGTCATGATGGACCGAATGAACCGGCATACTTTGGTGGAAGATCACCGGCTCATCTTTCGATAATAATGCTTCAGGAGTCAGGCCTAAACGCGAAAGAGAAGATTGATACGGAGACGTAGTTCACCGACCTGAATCGACCAGTTCGAAAGCACCGAGGTCGATGTCGTTCTGCGGCGGTATCCGCTTCTCTTCCTCCACGTACATCGCCATCGGTTCTTCTTCAGACTCAGAGGACTGCAGTTCGAACGGCACCGGACTGAACCTTTCATTTTAGTGCTAAAGATGACGTAATCCATTCAGTTCTATTTTCATTCTACGGTAACCCTAGTCATCCTTCCCTTTCTTCTAGTTCATGTGCAATAATCATTCCAAAATAGTGACATGCTTTTTCAAAACACTGCTAAATAAATTCGTTCAATCATTCAAAAACGGTAAACCGTGTCGATCTCGTCAATGTTTTACCTGGGTAACTTGCTCTCGTGCACTTCTTCCGGAATGATTTCTGGCGGTTCATAACTGTTGTTGCTCACGGAGCACTGCGAGAAAAGAGACGGACGCGGCTGGTGGTAGACGCGCGGCGCCGTTTGGAGCTGTCGTCGCGGAGAGGAAACAACAGAAGAGGTGAACACTTCCGGGCATTCATAATCCGACAACAAAAGATGGGGAACGCATTCTCTGAACGAATTCTGAGGTGTGCAAAAAGGGATGCAATGTTTAAATTAGTGTAGGATGCAAAATAAAATCATGTAGATCTGGTGTAAAATGTTATTGTTACCTCTCATCCTCATCTTCGCACTGCTGCTCCTCTTCCTCCAGTTCGGATGGATCCTCTTCGTCGATGTCTTCTGGAGGGTACTCAAATGACCGCGACGCCTCCTCAAGCATCTGAATGTATGAATCCCAGTCCTGCATACACGCAAGACCAATCGGCTGAAAACGAGCGATCAATGAGGAAATGAGAACGATGAAAAAGAAAGAGACGACAAGCACAAGAGACACTAAAGCGAAAGCGTACTCACCGAGCGGGGGCTGATCAAAACAACAGACTCTGGGTTAGATTCGCAGGAAAGATCAGGCAAAAGAGTTTCTGTTGAAGTCGGAGACGACTCCAACGAGAGTTTGGTGGCGTTCCGAACGAACTTGAACAGCTTCGGCAGATCTTCTTTGATGCAGAGTTCCGGACGAAACTGTCTGGGACTGACGTTGAGCCAATCGAAAGAGTGCAAAGGATGTTGCTGTCGGGCCAATCTTTCTTTGTGTTTCCGTTTGAGCAGCGGCTCCGGAGACGTGCTCATCTTGTTCTCGTCGATGACTGACAACCGTTTAGGGGAGAGGAGAAGCTTTGGAACGTAGGGAGGCGGAGGCGGGGGATGGAGGACGACGGGTTGTGGGCGCACGGAGCACGACTTGACCGGCTCGTCGGCATCGTCGTGGTGGTTGGGGGCGAGGTTGGATTCACGGAGGGCTCCGAACACAAGATTATTGCATGCATCGGCATCATCGAAAGCATCACAGATAGCAGCAAGATTAGAAAGCATGAAAGGCTGGGGCAGGCGGAAAGAGAGCGGAGTCACCAAATAGAGAGGCTCCTCGTTGAAAGCATGCTTAGCGGTGGGAGTCCCACAACGAGCCGACGACGGACGGGGAGCACTTACGGAGTTGCTCGGACGAGGCGATGGAATCTCGATCGGAGGACACGAATTACTCCGTCGCGCTGATTTGGCGTCTTTCGCTGTAAAAGCAGCTATGATCTGCTGGGAATTCGCGAAAGACTCACCCAAAGAATCGTAATCAAATGATATGGATGAAGCTACAGAAGGTGAGTATAAGTGACGGTGTAAAAATGATATTACTGACGGTGTCGGCGAATGATAATTATCCCAGTAGGCCTGAATGTGAATTCATGAAGAAAAGGCAAGGATGAAAAGAACGAACTTGTCTGATATGTACTGAAGGTTCGGTTGAAAGTGAGCAATGTTCGGAGAGGGACGGACCGGACTCGTCCCAACTCGCTCCTCGATTCCTTTGGAAACGAGAGTAGCATCTGAAAAAACGTTTGATGAAGAGGCCTGGAGACGTGTGCTCACTGTGATCTTGCTGAGGAATTACTCCAGACGCTCGGCTGGAAACTTCGAACTGAATGGATGGTCGGAGAGAAGAAGTCTTCCTCGTCGTACGTGTCGTAGAATCGAAGTTGGAAAGCGGAGAGTGAGTCGTCGATTCTGAATACGACGGATTTGATAGGGTCATTCGGAAGGCGCACCTCATCATGCTGTTGTGGAAGGACTTGGACTCGATCGACGGCGGCACTTCCTCCATCCGCTGTTGCATTTGCTCCTGCTCCCGTTCGAACTTCTCCACCGCATGCACGTACTTTCTCAGAATCTCTTCTCCTTGGCCCATTGCCAACCTCCTTTCCAACATTCTCTTCTTTTTCAGATATTGTAGGAGGTCGGTTCCTTGGAACTGAAAATGAGTATTAGTTGAGAAAACGAACAAAATGAGTCTCGAATACCTTTCGTCCGAAGTAATGGATCTTCTGAATGTACTGAATACCGGCGAGGTCAATGCACATTGTGGTGACCGAGAGGCCGACTCCCAGGTAAATGAGCATTATGATGATGTAGCTGCAAGGGCTTTGTCAGGGAGCTGTCGAATGGCAACAAAACTCACTCATGATTCTCCGGAACAATGTCTCCGAAACCGATTGTTGTCAGCGAGATGAAGGCTGCAAAAAAAGCAATCAGAAATAAAGAAAGAGGGGGAAAACAAACAGTAGTAGAAGGCGTCCATGTACGACCAGTCCTCGAGAATGGAAAAAAGAATGCCGCCGAAAGCGATGTACAACTGAAATGGGAAACAGTTGAAATCGGAATGAAAGGAGGGCGAGGATGCTCACCAGAATGATTGTGAAAACCATAAGAACGGGCACTTCCGACTTGTCAATCTCGTCGTTTTCCATGTCGAGAATCGACGATTCCTGGTTCTTACTGGCACTTTCCAAGTCTTCATTTATGCTATCCTCGAGGCCACGAAACCGTTTCCATGCCGACTCGAACCGCATACTTCCTTTCCTCATGTGTTTGTACAGCCAAATTGTGCATTCAGACAGAAACTTTCCGAGATCTGAAAGTTTGAATTATTTTGGAGTTCGATGAATCGCAAAGATGCTCACCTCCAATGGTGATGATGGCGATCGGAGCACCGAAGAGAGCGAAGAGAACGCAGGCGAGTCGGCCGAGGGGCGTCACCGGCACGATGTTACCGTACCCTATCGTGGCCATTGTCGTTGCCGCGAAGAACAGTGCACTGCTGGCCGTCCACATCTTCTCCGATCCCTTCTCGCCCCGATTCTTTCCGTGTCTGTGCCTCCTTTTCCGTTCGTTATCCCCTCCAACTTCATCGGTTTCTTCGCTGCTCATCCGAGTATCATAGCCTATATTTCGAACATCCGAGTACCTGAATTCTTGAAATAGCTCGATAGTACATTCGCAAACTCACCTAACATATTGCTCTTTGAATGCCTTGTACAACTTTTCGCTATAATTCATGAGTTCTTGCTCGATGTCGTGCTTCCAATCGTCTTCCTCGTTGTTGTTTATCTTGAAGATCAGATTGCTGCGCATCTCGGCTATCGTCTTCCTGCCCGTCTCTTTCAACTGCAACTTTTATCTCTCTTCCCCAGATTCATTCAAAGAGACAAACCCTGTCCTCGTTGGGCGACTCGAGTGTGTAGAAGATCCATGCTCCGATCGTTGCATAGATGCACACACAGACGACGAGGACGATGTGCGGGAGGGCGAGCTTCGCGTACTTTCGGATGTTCTGCAGCGTCGTCGCGTTCTCATCGTCGGGCCGGGCACTCTCGAGCAAGCCCTGCAGAGGAAAAATGAAAAGAGATCTACCGTGATCCTCACCTCAATTTCTTTGAAATCCTCCATTCAAGTCATTTGAGAACGTTGGAAAATGATACGACTGACACAAAAAGTACAAGACGAATTCCTGAAATTGTGTGAATTTCGGAGCGGACTCTGGAGTGAGGAAGGTTTCGATCTAAAGTACAGAATAAGAAGCTCTCCGAGCAGAAACGACTGCTGACATTCTGTCCCGCTTCGCTTCTTAATTAAAAAGCGAGCGGCGCCCGTCTTGTCGGAGGACGGGCTCATCCTCAGACGCTGGCGCCAAATTCAAAATTCTGACATCGTCGGTGGTGTTGGCGGTTCGGAGACAAGAAGACGGAGAGAGAGAAGGGACCCGCGGAAGTCCCTTCGTCAGAAATTCATTGGGAGGGGCACGGGGAGAGAATGTGCAAAGTGGAGAGAGGGCAGACAAGAATAAAATGAGTTGGTTAGTAGGAATTGAAAATATACCAACGAGAAAAAGGGAGAAGACACGGGGACTCGCAGGCGATGATCAAACATCAGTACGGGATTAATCGGACAGAGAGCCTCCTCAAAATGCTCTCATGGTACAGGTTGTGAGCATCTGAACTTGTGTTCAGTTCAGTTGGTTATCAGTGGAAGTTTCTACTGTTGAAGTCTGTGAATCGGAAGTCCGACTTCTCACAGCAGCAAAACACAAAAGTTTGCTTAATCCGTCGTAAACTTCTTGCGAGCCAGCTTAGCTCAAAAAAACGTTACGCTCCTTTCGAACAGAAGGTCCAAAAGATTGAAATGAACTGGTTCAACGAGTAGACGAAAACGCGCATATAAAACAAAGAAAAAAGGGAAGGAGGTGGGAAAAGAGTGCGCACTTGGGAGCCGAGCAGCTTTCCGGGTGGCTGGGCTCGGAGTGTGGCGAAGATAAATGAAGAGCAATCTGGGCAGAAGATTCATCGAGATTCACTTTCCTCTTTTCTTTCTTTTTTTCACGAAAAACACTTTATTGTTCTGAAGTTGAGACGGGGTGATGACGTGGGAGAAGAACGATGAAGACGTCATGTCTGGAGGGAGAAACTAGTTAGTCTTCGGCTGGCGCGCGACCGGAGAACGAAGACAATAAGAAAGGGAAAAGTGAGCGGGGTGGGTGCACAACGGACCCGACTCATTGAGCATATTAGCCTAAGTTACGGGGAGTGTCGGGAGAAGGCAGTCAAGCAATGAGTGATGCGGACAGCAGCAGCAACACAACAATACAAGAGAGAGCTACTAAGAGGGAAAAGAGAAAAGTAGAAACATGTCCATACACGGCCCTACTCCTTCCTTTTTTCCTCCTCCGTCCGCCCTGGGCGCTTCTTTGGTGTAGTTGGAGGGAGAGAGAGGGGCGGGCAGAGGTTCCAGACTGCCTTCCCAACTCGCGCCGTCGTCGCCGCCGCAGCCAGCGTTTTATTGCCAATGCATAGAAGGACCACGGCAGCGGAGGCAGCAGTTTGTGGTGGTGGGACGAGGCGCCCGCGCGGACCCTCCGGCTCTGGGACACTGTCTCGCAACTCTCGCGCACGCGCACGCCTCTCCGTTTTATATTAGAAAGCTGGTGGCCCGCTGCTCCGCCGCTGCCCCTGCTCCGTGGTAGTTGTTGTAGTTGTTAGTATGTATGTTGAGCAGCACACTCACGCGCAATTACAGCCCCTACTCTCCCCGGGTCGCCCTTCGTTTCCCTATTCAATCATGGCACCCCGTCTCAACTTGATGACGGCTCTCGGTGACAAGTCCCGCCCACTTCTCATCATCATCAGCGGCATTGTCTGGACACAACTGGACACCAATTTGCTTTTCCGAAGGGGGGATTTCCCCAAACGCGTATGTTTCTGAATAGGAGAGAAACAGAAGTTCACCGCATAATAATTTATAATCGAAAACTCGAGGGTGTCATCTGAGAGCCGTAATATTAGAGAGAAGAAATTTTATGTTATCGAAAATTTTCAAATTCCTAAGTGGGTTTTGTAGTCCTAGAACTAGAAATCTCAAGTTTAAAAAAGAAAAGTCGGAGAAGAACGAAGGCACGTGTCAGAGCAATCATCTCGGCAGAAGTGAGAAGAATAAAAAGAAGAAGTCTCCGGAGAATTCAGCTGCCACGTCAGCTGTCCTCCTCTCACTCTTCCATTCTGGAAATTCGATCTCCGGAACAAAAAAACCACGCAATTATTCAGAGCAGCACGAGCACATTTTTAATACACAAAGGTCGAGTTCGTTCCCTCATACATCATTCATGTGCATTTGCAATGAAACATTTCTCTTTTTTAGTTTGTACCTAAGAATGTGTTCTGATAGAAATATTCAGGCTTCTAGGATTATCATCATACTTATTTAATAAAAAGCAAACGGAGTTTGTCCATTTCTTTCTTTCTTTCTGACGCTGATCGCAGTTAAAGACACTTTGCAACTTGAGTACAGCCGGAAGAGTCAGGACTAGGGAGGTTTCTGACGTTGATGGTGATAAAATGGTGGAGTTCACGAAATTGGGCCACGCGGCATGTCATACGAGAAGACATAAACTTTCAGATAAACGAAAATAGTTTTGAAACGTCTCTTTATAGACACGGAACTCATTTTGTAATGACAGGCCTCGACCAAACGGCGAAATCGCCTAGTTCGCTGGGGTGGCCGTATAGTTTTGCAACGTACGTAGGTTTGGGAGAATTTTTGGAAGGAACCTTGTATATCGAAATCGGCGTGTGCCACACACATTTTGTACACTGCTTCTCGGTTCGTTTGAATCAATTCGATCACGGTCTTTCCCATAGCATATGAGACGCATTTCCGCCAGTTCGTCTAATTGCACATTGAGCAGCCACATAACCAGTGCGTCCCTCCGAATCTTGTCCTCGTGGCGTGTCAAGCTAGAATTCGTCAGGAACTTGAGAACGACACTATCGAATGGTACGCTTGATTATGGGAGGATTTCCGCAGCTGCAGTGAAGCTGAAAGAAAACAGTTGATCTGAAAGTACCGAGACTATGGAATGGTCACTTTTTCTCCTGTATGTATCTGTCCGCTTGTCTCTGCAGTACCATTTCCAAAGCATCCGGCTCAATGGCCATCCTAGCTATTTGCATGGCGCGGGTGTACTCTCCCCGATCCAGGTACGTCTTCCAAATGCCGAATGTCTGAAATGGCAGCTGTCGGGGAAGGAGACGAAGTCAGACGCTGATCGGCGCCGAGGCGTTTTGAACAGGTGGCCTAGAAAAACAACTCTTGCCGGCCGGGGGCCGTCCTTTCAATCAGACAATTTTCCTGTTGTTTTTTCTTCGAAAAGTGATGTTTTCTCATTCATTTTTGTCGAATAACAAAATATTTTTTCAGAATGAAACCTAGTACGACAAGAAACAAAAATGGAATATTCACTAGGTCGGCAAACGACCTCAAACGCGATTTCAAGTGCGTGTCGTTTCAAAAAACCAATAAATGATGAGTTTGTTTCAGATTCTCAAAACTCACTGCAGTCTCTTCGTTGTCAGTGCAAAACAATGAAATGCTGGCTGCAGTCAGCGACAAATTACTCGTTCACCGTGACAAAAATGAATCGTATTCCGGTGAGGAAGAACAATTAGTTTCCGTTTCAGTAGAATTGGAGCTAGAAATGACAATTGTTTTTTAAAATGTGTTTCCAGAGCTAATACTTCCGTTGCAAGCTCCCGATCTCGTCGCACACATTCACCTTTCGCCGACCGGCACGCACGCCGTCGTTTCCTCGAAGCTCGGCCATAATTTCTACGTATACGTTGAGACGAACTCGTGGCTTCAAATCAAAAAATTGCGATGTGTAGTAACTGCAGTAGGATGGAATCCCGAGTTCGGAAAGAACGCTGACGCCGGACCGATCCTTTTGGGAACCGTTCAGGGATCCATCATTGAGCTGAACGTATCGGGATCCGTCATAACATGCAAGGAGCTAACTCAGCAGATTTCGCAGTCCGCCGATCAGCGTCTGACTTCATCTCCTTCCCCGACAGCTGCCATTTCAGACATTCAGCTGTTCCTACTTGCCGATGACGATACCAGTCAGAAAACAAAAAAATGGATGATGATTATTGCACAGATGGCCCGACTGGTCGTCCTCACCACTGACATCGAAAGTGCTCCACCTCCAAAACCTACCGGCTTCACGAGTTCTGCGTCTCTTCAAGCGGGTCTTATGAATCTTGGCGCCGAGCAACTTCCGCCCACCTTCTTCCATCCCTTTTTCACTTCGCTGAGCACCGTTCAGCACACCATCAATTCTTCGAAATTTTCGGAAAAGTTTAAGAATCACGGATTTCTAACTATGCACCCAACCGCTTCGGAACCTAAAAGATATGCGTGGCTCTCTCCCGATGGAATATCAATTGGAAAAGTAGACATAAATGCGGAACGGATTCAAGACGTTCTTATTGAAGAATTTAATATTGAGTAGGTTTGTTTCCTGATCTTCTCGAACTGATCTTGATGAGTTTAGACATCGATTGATCGAAGGAAGGCTGGAGCCACCAACCGGAATCGCCCTCACCGAGTACCACATCCTTCTCGCCTATTCCTCCCGAGTGCTCGCACTTTCTCTTCTGCCTCCTCACGACGTAGTCTTTGAAGATCCGTGGATGCCGGAATTGGGCAGTGCCGTGGGATTTGTCAGAGACACCGTCACTTCCGAAGGACAGCCAGAATCGCCCGTCGCCTGGCTCTACACTCCGACAGTGGCTATGAAGTACGAGACGAACGATGAAGCTCGTTACATTTGGAAGACTTACCTGGATCGGGGAGAGTACACCCGCGCCATGCAAATTGCACGAACGAGGATGGCCATTGAGCCGGATGCTTTGGAAATGGTACTGCGGAGACAAGCGGACAGATACATACAGGAGAAAAAGTGAACATTCCAGAATCTCGGTACTTCCAGATCAATTTTTTTCTTTCAGCTTCACTGCAGCTGCGGAAATTCTCGCACAATCAAGCGAACCATTCGAGAGTGTCGTTCTCAAGTTCCTGACAAATTCTAGCGAACGTAAAATGGGTCTGAAGACGTTGTTGGACAAAAAGTTGGAGAGATTGACACGCCACGAGGACAAAATTCGGAGGGACGCACTGGTTATGTGGCTGCTCAACGTGCAATTAGACGAACTGGCGGAAATGCGTCTCCAACGGAGCAGCTCGACTGATCAAGCTCTCGCGGAGAAGTTGAGGGACACGACCGACCACGTGCAACGGTACTTTATGCGAAAAAATGTTATCGAATCGATTCAAACGAACCGAGAAGCAGTGTACAAAATGTGTGTGGCACACGCCGATTTCGATATGCAATTGTTCTTCGCCAACGCTGTCAAAGACCTGCGGACGGTCATTGACATTCTCATGCTCCGCGAGCAGTACATCGAAGTTCTTGACGTACTCAAAAACGAACGAATCTGTGAACTCACTTACGATATCCTTCCGCTGCTCATCGAACATATTCCGAAGCAAATCTTCGGATATCTCGTCCGCAATCTGGACCAGATTCTCCCACTCAAACTGGCACCCTCCCTTTCCCTTTGCGTAAAGAGCGTCGAAATGGCGATCCCGGCAATAAAATATCTCGAGGCTCTCTTCAAAAGTGGCTCTAACGACAGAAGCTTGCACGACATTTACATCCATCTGAAGGCCAAGTTTCGTCCGCAAAAGCTCATTGAGTACTTTGAAGAGCACGGAACCGAAAGGGCGCACATTCCGTACAATGTGGATTTCGCGATGCGGACGTGCGAACAGTTCAAGAATAACGAGTGCGTCGTGTTTCTGTACTGCGTGGCAGGAATGTTCGGAGACGCCGTCGACAGGGCACTTCTGTTCGACGTGGAACAAGCGAAACAGTGCGCTCTAATGATGGACGAGCCGGACTTTGGATGGTACGGCACGCCGACCGATTACATTCGGCCCAAAATTGACCACGCTGCAAAGAAAGCGATTTGGCTGAAAATTGGTGAGAAATATTGTGAACTTCATTTTGAATTCCTGTGTTTTTACAGCACAGCACTACGTCTCGAATGGAGAAGAGATTGATAAATGCGTGAACGTTATCAAAGAATCAAATCACCTGATCTCCATTCAGGACCTGATCCAAATCCTTCCGAAATTCACAAAAATAGGACAGCTCAAACAAGTTATCATGGACTTTTTGAAGAGGAAGAAGGAAAGGCTGGAGACACTCGAAAGATCGATGAAGGAAGCGACGGACATTGCGTCGGAGATTCGAGACAAGCAGGAGAGACTGAAGAACCGGACGACGGTGGTGAAGCCGACGGATGTATGTGCTCAGTGCTCCCGCCCGTTGGCTGGCCGTCCGTTCAATGTGCACTCCTGTCGCCACTTCTTCCATCGAGAATGCCTCGAAATTGCAATGCAACCGTTCCTTCCGCCCGAGAAAGTGACCATGATGCGCAGATTGATTGCCGATGAGGAGAGGATTCTGAGCCAGTTGAGAGCCGAGCAACTGACCGGGAACAGAACTGCAGTGAGGGAAAAGGAGGAAAGGTACCGGAGAGTGGCCGGACTGATCTCGCACATCGTTGGCTCCGAGTGCCCACTCTGCGGAAACCTTGCTATTTCGTAAGCTTCTAAGTGTGTGCCCTTTTTTCGTTTTACCAACTCTCTTCAGGCAAGTATCCGAACCGTTCATGACTGAGGAGCAGTTTGCGGCCGACCTCAACTCGTGGTTGCTCTGAATTACTGTAGCATGCATAACTTATTCTCGAATGTCTATAACTTTTTTAATAAGCGTGTAAAACGCGATGCACCTCTGTATTTAGTTTGTAAATGTTGCTCTTTTCCGTGTTTGCTTCCAAATGTGATTCATTTCTATTGTCTGGTTTTTCTAATTGTAAACATTCTAGTCATTTTAAAGTATTACAGTTTTGTTCTGGAATTCCGGTACCAATTGTTCCGAAGTTATTTTTATGCCTATCTTGAAAATATCGTTCGCCCAAGTTTTAATTTTCGAGTAATGAGCGGAACGGCCCAAAATCACTGGAAGCACACGTGGCCTTGCGCAAGCGTCTTCGGTATTTAGCGTCTAGACACAGCGTGGGATTTTGAATGATTACAGGCGATTTTCTGTGCAGTAATCGAGAAAAAATCCGAGATGGAACTGTTCTCGAGATCGGAGCCGGTGCGACAGGAGTGTGCGGTCTGACGGTGGCGAAATTGGGAGCGAAAAGAGTGTGGATGACGGATCATCCCAATCTGAATACTGTAAATGATGACGGGTCAAAAGAGAAGGAATCTTTTCCAAGCAAAAAAATTCCAGTTTCTAAAATAAATTGTGATTCCTTCTCTTTTGCTTGATAAGCACTTAACATATTTTTTGCACTAGGCACTACAAACGCTGCAGCGCAATGTAGAAGCGAACGGCGTTTCCGATCGGTGTGTGGTTACGGTAATCTCTCTTTCTTCCATTCGAGACCAGCCAAACTCATCCTTGCCAGGGCCTCGACTGGGAAAAGCGCGATTCGGTGGCGCGCGTGATCGATCTGATCGGCGATCGGCTCGACTTTGTCATCGCTTCCGACGTATTTTTCGATCCGTCAACCTTTCGCGGTCTTGTCGACACTTTTGCTCAACTTTTGCGGAAATTCGAGCACGCGACGGTTTGGATCGCCTACCAGCAGAGAGAGTGAGTGAGACGGGCGGAGAGCGAGAGAAAGAGACGCACTCCGATACTTCGTTAGTTTGTTCGCTAATTTCCAAACAAGACTATCGATTTGTTTATGAAATTAAATATGAGTTTTGTTTCAGTGACAACTGGACGTGCGCCCCACAACTCGCCAATCATCCGTTCATTCAAGCATCTTTAACTCGGAGAATCGAGACCGAACGGGAGACGATCGACATCTTCACGATGACCGCAAGAGAAGAATCCCGCGAATTGTATGCGGGAATCGAAGGTGGCGCCACCGGCTCAAACTCGTCATAATCGATGTGGAAACGAACGCTCAAGTCTGGTCATCCTCTCAGGGAACCAACTTCTATCTGACCGACTATAAGATTATCTGCAAAAAAATAGCTGATTGGATTCTGGAGGTGTTTGAGAAGGAAGACCTGGACATTCGGAATTTGAAGGCGTTAGGATTAGGTCTGTCTGGAGCCGAAGACGAGGAATTCAATCAGCAGTTCGTCGAGCACTTTCGGAAGAATCACGGTGACATCACTGACAGCTTTTATCTAACTTCCGATTCGGTAATGACACTTCTGGCCAATTTTCCTGGAGAAGAAAACGGAATCGTTCTTATTGCTGGAACGGGATCGTCGTGTCGAATGAAGAAGAGGGATGGAACGATCAAAGGAGTCGGCGGGTGGGGACACCAGATCGGAGACGGCGGAAGTGCGTTCTGGATAGCAAGGTCCGCCATTCAAATGCTTTTCGACGCGGAAGACGGACTCGAAACGGAGTTCAATACGGACGTGATCAAACGACTCCTGTTAGAGCACTACAATATTGACGACAAGACTCGGATTCTGGATTATTTGTATTCAAACTTTGAGAAGCATAAAATTGCGGATTTCACAGCCACATTAGCAAAGAGTGAGTGACTAATTCAGAAAGAAAGGAAAATTAGAATAATTCCAGAAACGAACGATCCGGCGATTGCAGAAGTGTTCAGAAGAGCAGGAAACATTCTCGGGAAGCACGTCGCTACGGTCGCTAGGAATCTATCCGAAGTGAGGACTAATTGAAAGTAGATGAATAACTATTAAATGAAGGAGGATCGGAAGACGCTTCATGTCGTTCAAATCGGAGGAGTCTTTCAATCGTGGCCAGCTCTCCACAAAGGGTTTGTGGAAGCAACGACGGGCAATGGGATTCAGAAGATAGAAATGTACGAACCGTGCGACTCGCCCGCAGTCGGATCTGCCGCGTTGGCTGCCAAAGAGAAAAATGGAACGCTCCTTCCGCAACAAGCCGAGAGGAAGAAGTTATTGGAAATTCAACTCGGATACTAATTCTTGTTACTTTATTCACATTTTTTGGAGATTTATTTATGAAAAAAGTACCAGCCTACTCCTCAAACATTTTTCGAAGGCGTGAGTAATCGCGCTCTGTTTGACAGTGAACGCAACACGGCCGATGCGGGAAAATCTTATTTTCAAGAACATTAGATTGACTGCTTCGATCAATTGGAAAAGGAGACCTACAACAACAGATAGGAAAAATGGTAGGTCATATTATTTGCCATCGCGGCAGCCCGGCAGAAAACAAAACCCAAATTTCGAAACAATGTGGCACATTTTGTTTTGATTTGTTAAGCTCGGATAATTCCTTCCGTGGGCCGTTTTCTCATTGTTCTTTTTCAGTAGCGGTTGTTGAGCTTTTCATTTATCTTCCAGAACCATCCGAACTGACCCGACTAACAACCGATCGACAAAATGGGCAAAAACACCAGAAGAAGCAACAAAGTTAGCCCGCAGAAGGAGAGCAAATCTACGCAGGTGTCACCAAAACATACGGAAACTACGAGACCGCCATCGGAAGAACCGAGCGAAAGCACGTTGGGCCCCGCGACGAAGTATTTCTGCGGAATCGACGGAAGCACGCACTGCACCAGAATCGTAGTGATCAATGCGGAAAACGGCGAGCGGAAATGGGAGGTGATTGGCAATACGCACTTCAGATTCGATTCCAATTACGCTAAAATCGCCGGTCGTCTGGTCACCGCCGTTCAGTCGATTTTGAATGATTTCGACGATCGCCATCCGAAGAGCGTAGATTCCATTGTGAGATTTGCTGGAATTCATTTAATATCAACTCAATTTCAGTGCATGGTCCTTTCGGGAATAGACAATTTAAAATCAACCGATGAATTCGAGAAAGTTTGCCAGGAAACGTTTGAGAAAAAAGGACTCTGCAACAAGTTTATAATCCGTTCCGAAGTCGAAGTCGTCGCGAGAACTCATTCCGATTTTGTGAAGCAGCAAGAAAATGAGAGCAAGGATACGACTCTCGTCGGTACGGAACACGGGGATGAAGAAAACGTTGAAAAGAAAACCACTGGTAAGTTCCAAGAAAATATACCTCGCAGACAATTACTTTTTCAGGCGGAATCACCATTCAGGCTGGCACGGGCTCGTTCTGCAAAGTACACTATGAAGATGCGACTGATAACAAATTGAGATATTCTGTAGACGAGCCGTACGGACCGCTTGAGCAGATTAGCGCCGGAGGTGGTGCTTTTTGGATTGCGCGAACCGCCGTTGAGATGTTTCTTCGGGAAGACGAGGATTACCTGCCGATTGACTCGGATGAGAAATACACCAAGCGTATCAGGGAGTTGTTCGTGGAGCAGTTCCGCGTCTCCCACAAATATTTTAATCCCAAAAAACTTTTCTGTTTCTCCAAAAGGGCAGATTTCGTCAGATTCGCGAAGAAGTTGGCTGCCGGTGAGTGGACGTATTTTTGAATGGTTTCAATTTCGTCTTGTTCAGAAGTAAATGATGATCCTGTAATTCAAGAACTGTTCAGAGCTGCCGGTGTCAGCTTCGGAAAACTTGTCGCCAATGCCTTACTCCAACATCCGCAGGTGACTAAAATTAAAGGTTCTGCCGTATTGATGCGTTTTCAGATGAAAGAGAAAACTGTGAAGTGTCTGCTGTCCGGAAGTGTGTTCCTTTTGTTCAAGCATCTCTACGCCGGTTTCATCGAAGAGCTCAAGTTTGCTGGAATTGGCAGAGTGGAGTTTTACTTGAAGAAAGAAGAATCCGCCGTCGCCGCTGCCGTTTTCGTGGCTTCTCAGGAAAGCGTCACTTTGCCGATGGACGAGAAGGAGCTAGAACACGTGGTTCTGTTCGCCCGCACCAGATAAAACAACTTCATTTGTCATCATAATTCCATTTTTCCTGTGCCATGAATAATGAGTGAAACTGAATCCCACATCACTTAGTTTTTTGCTTTCTCCGGCTTTGATTTCCGATGAGAAAATGAAGGGATTGGTTTTCAGTGACGTTTGTACTCTTCGTACTACTACATCTGGTAGGTGTCTGGAGAGTGACTTCAGCACAAACATGCTTCAGTTTCCTGTAAATCCCGACCCCTCCTGCTTTTCCCCTTCTATTTCGCCTCGATTGTTTGCATTTCGAAGAAACGGCCATAAGCATAGGCATCCCCCCTTTTTCCGCTCATCCGTCGTCCCGTCCATTATGTAATTTATACACACAGACCCTTTCCAAGTCTTTCTCGCTACCAGTGCGGACTAATTATCATTATGTAACTGGAAGAAGCGGGGCAAGGAAATGGACTGCCTTCCTCATAACTTTCCAGTTTTTTATCCCATGTCTTTTCGTTTCCTTCCGTTAGTCCAAGTTTATAAAAGGGGGCGGTGCTGAGAGGGGGAATGTTTGCGGTAGATTATGCACATTGTTCGCACGTTTTTCAATGGGTGATCTATCGGAACGGCTCTCGGTGAGTGTACTATTCCAAAGGTGATAGTCGGTCCCTTCCGAATATTCCTTAGAAAAAAGTTGTACACACCCGGACATCTTCTCTTGCTCCGTTTGACACGTGTTTATTGAGCACGTCGACGTGGCACCACAACCTGTCAAATGGACGGCAAACAGTGTGGGTCCGTGGCTGTCAAAGCGCGAATTCCGATTTCGAAACGCTGCTGCTGCTCATGAGTGACCAAAGAAGACACCTGCCCTCTTTCATAATTACTCTCGTCCATATCTGACCTCGTTTCCCTTTTCTCGTACTCTCCTCCACCTTTTCTTGTTCCGTCTCAATTTCGTCTTTGCCCCCACCTTCCCTCCGATCCGAGCGTTCCTTGTTAATTCGTCGGCTTCTCGTTGTCAAATCGGTGTGCTCACCACAAAACAATACCCCCTCTACCGGTCGCGGGGAGGTCTGTTTGTCCGCCGTCAGTTCAGTTCGATTTCCCGAATTCGTCACCCGAAAGCCTGTCTGCGTCGCTTCTGATTCCACAATATATCGCGTTTGAATCGAAACAAACACAGTGGGATAATTTGGGATTACCCGTTTATACACTCGAAAACTCTTCTACTCACGACTGTGTTTCTCGGTGTCCAATCGTTTTTTCGCCGCTCCTCCTACACATGTTTTGTAACAGGTTTCGAGTTGTGGCAATACCAAACACTACCAAAGTTGTGTTATTTTCCGTAAGTTGATTAGACTCCAGATGAGTTTTCGTGTTTGCTCGTGATTCTGGAACTCTTTTTGATCTTACCAACGACCAGTGGTGTCTGATTTCTCAATTCTCAACAGATCGGTCCCCCCACTGCCCCCAGAAAACCCACGAAGACCTTCGGCCTTTAGAAACGTCTTGTTCGTTTTGAATGCAGTAGTACGGTTCGGTACTTCTCAGAATATTCATAAGTCTCTCGCTTCCCTCTTATTCTCTTTTGATTTGTTTGCTTTCTCGCTCTCTCGACGCCCAAACGCAACGTTCCATGACGAAGGAAAAAACCAGAAGTCGTCGGGTGCGCTCAAAACTATTATCTTCTTAATACCATACTGCCAAGGGCACTTTCGTACTGCGAACTTTCAAATTTTTGTTTTCGCTTCTCATTCGTTTGCTGACTCACACGAGGCAAAACTAGCCTTTTCATGAACTCACCGAGGAAACTGTGAGTAAATACTCAGCCACGTCACACGCATTTCTCTTATAAAACCTGACCCCATCTGCTCATTTCAAGTCGATTCCAGAAATGAGAAGCTTGGTGTTCCTGCTTGCCATCCTCCCCGCTACAGTAATCTCACTGACTTGCACCGTCTGCGAGTTTGCACTTTTGCCGCCGCATAGTACGAACTGCAACGATACTTGCGAAGGAGACGTGTGTTTTATCGGTATGTCTCGTGTGCATTCTCTCTCTGAAAACCTATCGTTTGTAGTTGTCAACAAGTACTTTAACGGAACCATCAATGCTGGGTGCATGCACCTTCACGACGACGAAATGTTCGAAAACAAAGCCGTCTGTCAGAGGTTTCTAGCAAAATGTCCCACTTTTCCATCATCAATCAGTACGATTCCAGAGGTGCAAATGACAACCGATGCGCCTGCTCGACCACCGATCACTGCAATGATCCCAAGGTGAAACTCGCCTCGTACGTGTTCACCGAGTCGCCAGTTCTCGAGAACTACCAATGGCTTCCACAGATTCAGCCGCCAATGCCTTCCCGTGAGTCAAAGCGCTTCGGAAGATGAATTTCAATTTATTTTCATTTCAGTTCAACCAATTCTGCCACCAGAAGACCTCCCGCTGCCTGTGGAAGGAGAAAATGATATGAACGGTAAAAAGACGTCCGGGGGAATGATTATGAAAAATCCATGTTGCAGAAACAGCTGCAGAGCTCGAGAACGGAGTCGAGAGCGATTTGGCTCATGAGCTTAACACCACCTCAGTTCTGTAAGTGTCATTGAGAAGCCGTAAACTATTACTCTCCGTTTTCCAGGTCAAACGAAGAGAACGACGATCTGTTGACGGTCAAGACTACGGTAGGACTGAACGTGAGAGATCAAACGATTCGCTTGAACAACGAACCGAATTTGGAGACGACGTCGACGAGAAGGTTCGCAGTATCGCCTCACTCGATTCTATTCAATCGTTTCAGTTTCACATCTGGTCAGGGAAGTGTGGAAGTGACCAAGGTGACCCAAGAAGCCTCGAGAAGCCAGAATGTGACGACGGACGGCGAGAAGGGACCGAATGGAAGCGGCGCGGTGCGGGTGCTCCTGGCCGTCGTGCTCCCCATGATCCTCCAACACCTACTCTAATCTTACACTCAGTCTAATCCCTCACTTCACATTCCATTCCCATGTACATACACTAGCCATCATTCTCTCCCAATTCCGGTGTTTTTTGTTGCACTCTGCTCTTTTCGCCCCTTCTCGGAACATCATTATATGAAAGGAGTTTTGATTGAATGAGAAACACATTTATAATATAAGATACAGAGTGATCAGAGATCGGAAGGTGTGTACGTGTGTTAGGGGCAAATGTCACTTCGTCTCCGGCTTCTCGTCGTCCTTCTTCTCGGCTACTGATTCTGGAATCTGCTGGCGGGCGGCGAGTTTCGAGAGCAACGGAGCAGCTGGGTGACGGGCGGTGTCCGCCTGCCAAATATTGAACTATTCAGAGAAAACACGCGCGCGCATGATCATCGCCGCTTTTAACCGAATCAAGAGCTGTGCAGTCAGAAAGCGCGTACCTGAGAGAAACGTCGCATGTTGGAAGGCAACAAATGGAGCGGATTGGTCTCGATGGTCAGCGAGTGACGATGTCTGAATAGAACGATTCGACGTCTTTTCCGAATCTTCCGAACTCCTACCCCATGTTGTATCCAGTTGTTGGCGCCGAGTCCTGTTTCGAAGTCATTTCTGAAAGTGTGAAAGGAGTGGGAATGAGAAGAAAAGAATGAGGAATGAGAGGGAGAAGAAGGAAAAAGTAGTAAGAAAGGATTCAGAATCGGAATCAGATGATGAAGATGAATTGGATTATAGACATCGGGGGCGGCGAAGAATCCCATTTGGGAAGGAGACGGATGATTGTTGTCCGCTCGCGAGACAACTTGTTTTGGCACCGTCTCACGAGCATCCACTCCCTTTACCGCCCGCCCCAAATATCTCATTTGGAGGGATTAGACAGGGAAACACTTGATGGATACGTGCCCAAGTGATAGATGGAAAGAGGGAAGAGGAAAATGGAGGCGAAAGTAAGTAAGTATCAATTATTTTTAATTGGACGACGAAAACTTTGTGGTTTCGTGGTTCAAATAGTGGCCTAAAGAGCAACTATAGTCTCATTTTGAGCCTAAACTTAACACTTCAAAAGTTGGGAATCTTTTTCTAGAAAAGTTTTTCATTAAACGCGTTTTTTTCCAGAAGCAACAACACAACACGGAGCTCATTCGAATTCCCCTTTTCTGACATCCCCAGAGTCTGAGCGGAAGAGTTTTGAAAACACGAAAAGAGAGGAGACATACAAACACAGAAGCGAGTCAGCGCCCCTCTTGATATTCCCTTTCAGCTCCATAAATGTAAACTTGTCATGCGATGTGACTGGCGACCATTCACACAGAAAACGAGCTCATTCGTTGAAAGCAATGGGTGGAAGGGGCGGAGAATCGAGAAGAAGAAGAAGAAGAAAAAGAAGAAGAAGAAGCAGAAGAGTTCTGGGAAAGTGCTGAACACGTCCACTTCCAATTCGGAAAGCGATTCTGGAATGCGGAATCTTCAGACAGCGAAGCCAACAATACTATGAAGCTTTGGTCACCGCATGCCGGATATATTTCTATTTCTAGTCTACAAACTCCAATTCCAGATATCGGATTAGGCAGCCTTCTTCGAATGAGTCAGGTGATCAACGCCGAAGTCAGAAACTCGGTTTGGATAAAATTTGGGAAAGAGTACACTTTCGGTCACAGGAAACACAAAAACACTTGGGAGGAAGGCAATAACGGAAAGGGAAAATGGCTGTAGAACCGCGCCCATTTATCCAACTTCTTCACATCGGCCAAAACACCAGAAGACGAAGACGGGGTGTAGTGCATCAAAGATTCCACGAGATTCTTCATCGTTCCGCCCCGCCCGTCTCGCTGCTCGCTACTTTTTTCTCCTCTTTTAATCCAATCGGAATCGACACGCTATTCTCGGCGCAGAAGAGCACGTCTTTTCCTTTGATGAAGAGTCATAGAAAATGAGGATGAAAAGTGGAGAGTGGGGACGGGAAGCTGACGACTTCGAGTTTTAATCCGGCTCTTCACCACTCTAATCTGTTAGTTTCTCAAGCGGATTCGCTTGCTCACAGACCATAGTTCTATTGTTGTTGAGTGCGAGAAAGTGTGATGTTCTCTGAAATCTGTTATTGTCTAGCATCTAGAGGAGATTCTTTGATCTTCGTACCTGAAACTGCAAATTGTCTGCGAGGAAGTGGAATCCCTGAGAGGGAATAATAAAATCATTGTATGAATATCGAGACAAATTTCTGGGAATACTGGCTCCGTCGGCATCGCGTCTACCCGAAATCGAAGATTCGAAGGAAGACAAGAAAGGTGAATTGGCAGAATTAGCGGCCCAAAACACACTTCGCTTCGGCAAAAACAAGCGAGGAAAGAGACAAATATGTGATCGAGAAAGTGCATATCCAGGTCTCCCCATTTGTTTTTGCTAGTTAAGAGAGATAAAAATGCTAATGATAATGAAAGCAGCTGAAATGGAATCGAATGGGGCGTGCGTGTAGATATCACAAATCGCATTTTACGCCTCGAATAATGTTTGCCTTTTTCGGCTGCTTCGAATGTATGACTTTCGAATGATAATTAGGTTACATTCTGTTTTCGCAGCACAACAAACACAATACAAAAAACACAATGTAGGGAGCTGCAAAACAAAGATTTTGTGCACAAATTCGATTTTACAGGCTTTTAGGACTAATTATCTAGATTCTAGGCTTTCTTTCACGTTCCACTTGCGAGCTCAAATTGTTTTTGAAATGTTTTCGGTTACGGTAACACACTTTTGTGATGTTTGCGGAGTTCTGTGTTTGCGTATTAACGTAGCTATTTAAAAAAAAAAATCAACCTGTTTTATTAATTTCTCTGTCGGAACTCCATTCCGTTCTGCAATGTATAAAGACGATGGAGAGTTCTCCTAGTCTTACACCGACGAAAATTGAAAAGCCGGCAGAAAATGGAGCGCAACTGATGGCCGACGGACAGAAGGTAAGCGCTTTCCGGGATAAATCGTCCAATCAAACACATTTTCAAGGGAAAACTGCGGAATTTGTGGTCGAGATGCATCGTCGGACCGTCGGCTCTTCTCGGCTCGTCGATAGTCCGTTCGTGGGCTCAGATGGACTTCAAGGATCGGCTTGCGAGCGTCGCCGCCAAACGGATGAACCTCGTCGCGAAGTCTGTTCCAGCTAGTCGTTTATTGAAGAATTCTAAATCCGCCATTTCAGATGCATGAAAAGATTCCCGGAAGTCTCGTTGAACTGTCAGATCAGCGCCAGTTTTTCTCTCAATTCGCCAAAAACTAACGAAACGACAGCTCAAGATTTAGGTAAGAAATAATATTTTTCAGCTTCCTAATTAGTTTTTTCAGAGAAACAAGAGCGTTGCCGAAAAATTGCAAGAATAGAGCACGAAATTCGCACGCTGGAACGACATTTGGAGAGCAGAAATTACTAACCAATCGCTCGAATTTGTAAAAATGTTCATGAGTTTTATGCAAGGATTAATGTGAGAAATAAATATGTTAAAGTAGAGTGTGAGTGTTGAGAAAGTGAAAGAAATGGTTTTTGAACTGAAAATAAAATTGAGCAAGAATTGGGAAGGAGTCTAGTGATCACAGCAATTCGAGCTTCTTCTCGCCGTCGTTTTGATCACTTGTCCCTTGGAATTGTGCGGCCTCCTCGTTGGCTGAAAATATTGCATTGAATACGTGGAACATGTCGTCTGAAACTTACGAATGTTCGCTACTATCCGAGTGAGCCTGTCCAAAGAGTTTCGACGACGAAGATCGACTGCCGCTGAAAGAAAAGAAAAATTATTAATCACGGGACTGAAGAGAAATGTTGCAAAAGCGGTAAAAAAGAAGATAAATTACTAACTTGTTAAGTTTAAGAAGGTGCTCACCGTTCCCGAGCTTGCCGTTCAGATGATCTCTTTCCTCGTCTGTGTCCGACAAGTCATCGTCATCATAAATCCCATCGTGATGATATGAAGCCGAAGCAAAGTGCGACGACGTCTGAAAAAGAAAGAAGATGTGAATTGAAGAATTGAACCCTTCTCATTGCTCCATTTACCACATAATCATGCGGGGGATCGCCTCTCAACTGCTGTGAAATCTGCATCTGCTGATTCTGATCCATGATCTTGGTCGTTTGCCCGCCTGGGTCAACAGTCTCTCCAGAGTGTTGATGTATTCTATGGCCGATCTGAGAATCTCGACTTCGGCAGCCGCTGGTTCGGATTCGGACACGTTCTTTGCTTGACCACCTCGAACGCCTCGTTCACCTTGCGAAGCCGCCTACGCTCTCTCATTGTCGCCGCCTTTCTTCTGTCCACTGAAAGAACGACTGAAAATTTTTGGGTTCCCAACTTCGGGCACATTCTCACATTTGGTTCGGCGTGGCGCTCCCGCCGACACACTCTGCTCATTTCCGTTCTCGTTCTGCTGCTGCTGCTGCTGGATAACATCACGGCTCTGAAGGATGAGCTCGGTGGCGGACGGCGTCTCCTTCTCCTGCTTCACAATGATCGGCTTCACGTCGCCGCCACTTCCGACGACAGTGGCCACTGGGACAAAGTCCTGAGTGCGGGAAGCCACATTGAAAGAGGCAATGTCCGGGTAGAAGGAGGACGAAGCGGCGGACTGCGGGTACGGTTGGAAGTAGTACGACGGGTTTCTGAAAGAAGAGATTCTAATCCTACGTTTCTTAGTTCATTGGTGGAGAAAGCCGCCCGTCTCGGGATATCATCGGAAAAGATGTGATATGAAATAGTGTGGGTGAAGCTAGAGACGCAGAGAGATACCTAGCAGCTGCTCCCGGGAGGCTTTGTAAAACAACCCACCGCGCTTTCTCTCCTGCCCTCCTAGGTACGTGGCTTATCTCTTTGGCTCGATGAGCCGATTCAATCCATCAAATTGCCGTTAAGAAGAGAGACTCTCTGTGTGTTAAAGTATTACGGTATCGAACTCATTTAGTACACGGCGTCACAAGTTGAAATGCGGGAAACGAGAAGACTGGGAGAGATGTTCGGGAGAGGCGGACACGCAAATCGCCAATTGTTTCAGTTCTGCTGGCACAGTTGGTGCTCGGAGCAGCTGAGACAAGTCAGTTGCGGCGCGTTTGGCGCGCAATTGCTGCAACTATATCAGGTGCCGTTGGGCGGCTTCATTTCACCCGGCTCACTTCTGGAGGTCGGCTGATCATAGGTCCCGCTCCTCAAAAATTCTCTCTGATTTTTCTTAGCAAAGTCTTGTGGAACTTCTAACTTGATTTTGCTTTTCTCTGTTTATAGCTCCCTCTATGAATAAACTTGAGCACTTGAGGATTAGGAGTTTCTATGTAAACATTCCCAATTTAGTCCGAGACTCATTACTTCGCATGAATTGTACTTCTCCCTATGCCATCCCTACTCAAAACCGTTCCTATCCTTCCATTACCCATAAATCAGATACATGAAAAAGACCGCTGGCGCCTGCTCCCAAGTGCGAACAAAGAAATGTTCATCTGGTCGTTTGTAGGACACCATAAGCAATTTGTCAAGTATGGCGGTGGTAGGTAGTGACAGACGACTGGGAGAGCACCGAAAGGCTCAGCTCCCCACTGACCTGTAGATATCGTATTGGGTGTTGGCGTAGTCGAGAACCGGCTGAGCCGAACTGGCGAACGTCGTCAGAGTGGTGATGTCGTTGGCGGTGGGCAGGACGCGAGGGCTCGACGAGTAGTAGACGGCGCTGTCGTACGTCTCGGTAGGAGCCGATTGGGTGGTGGTTTCGGAGTTCATTCTGAAAACAAATGGATGAGTCACCGAACGAAGGAATGTAAGAAAATAAGAGAAAGAAGGAGAGAGGTGTCGGTTACTTTCATCACAACTTTTCAAGTTTAGAGTACAGTCACACTTCTTACATGCATTCGATTCCATTTTCGACGGAAACTATGAAAATGTGGCTCGTCAGGCTCTATTTTCTGTATTATTTTTTGAAAATCTAAATATAGAAACTAATGAAAAAAGTGTTAAGAGAGTCAGTTGTGTAGGTGAGCAGGCGCGTCTTCGCTCCGGCACAACTGACACTGACAATTGCCGCCGCATCGGGTCCCTCGCTTGTCTGGTCCCTCCCACCCGCGTGCACTGTTTTCGATTGGCTCCGCCCTTTCTTTTAGGGACTACGGTAGGCAGCTCGGCGGCTTCTCAGGAGAAATGAACGATGAATGCTCACGACGGCGACGAGTCGGTTTGCATTCTTTTACTCACTAATTGCTTCTCAAGATTTTATCGTTACGGGAGACGATGGAGCCGCATCAATTGTTTGCGGAAAATTGGGAAAAGAGGGATGAGAAGAGGATAGGTACACTTGGATAATGTGACTCCAGGTACTATTTGAGGGACATGCCCCAAATGAGAACTTTGGATTCTTTATACCTTACTATTAGAGGACCACGAGAAATCTAAGAAATATGATCTGAGCGCGGCAATTCTCACTGATCTTCAAATTTCAATAAACCACTTATTCCGATCCGCTACCGTCTAATCGGAACTTCATAGTCTATGCAAACATTCGAACTAATCCAAATGTTTCTCCTGCTAATCCGTCTCATCCTCATCACTTCAGGCTCTCCCGGACGGTCTGTTCCCGCGGGAACATTGCGCAACAGAAGCGGGTAACCCGACCGAGCAGCACACCTTCCGCGGCGAACTCTTTGAAGTGGAACGATGTAAAAGGAGGAGCCGATCGGTTACCTGGCGGGCGGGCGGAAGGCCTCTTGATAGGCGTTAAACTTACCTGCGTTATTGGGTCATTCGAGCGGTTAAGTGAGTGAGCGAAACGAGTAAATGAGAACGGAATGGCCCAGAGTTAAACATGTTTGTAATGAAGAGAATAGATGAACATGCTATACCTTATACAAGTTCTTCCTTTGTGAGTCCAAGTCCACCTCATCTGGTCACCAGTTGCCCCTGTGTGCCCATAAACCATCGCCGACTGTCAAAAGTCATGCACCGTCATAAATGTGTACCATCGCCCGCCTCTCCCTCTTTTTCGTCCCCATTTGTCACCATCGCCAGACCTCCTATCTACCGTAAATCACTGTCACTGCACTTCCTAATATCCGTCTTCTTCAGGTATCGGCCGTCGACGCTCCCGGAGCACGGTGTAATGCAGCAGAAGCGATGTCTCTTCGAGAGAGGAAAGAGAGGCACTAATAAGTTTGGCACACATTCTCACGTCGATAAAACAAGAGCATAGAAAGAAGCAGAAGCAAAAGATCGCAGGATTTATGGGAGAATGTATGTACAGACAAAGCTAGACCTTAACCTCTAGAAAACGACATTTAGATTCTGGTCCCTTCGTCGGTTTATCGTGCAAATGTAGTCGGGCGGAGAGACTGTTAGACCCAGGATTCTCTGGAAACTCATTCGTTTTCGAGTTGTCGAGCATATCGGTTACCTCAGTAGACACTTCTTGAGATACTTCAAATGTGAAGTTCTTCATGAGATTGGCGAACACGAGGTAGAGCTCCGCGCGAGCCAGAGACTCGCCGAGGCATTGCCTCCGACCGATCGAAAACGGAAGGAACTCGTCTATCCTCTTCACATTGCTTTCTTTGTCCAAAAACCTGGAAGGATTGAAAACGTGCGGATCCTCGAATATTTGCGGGTCGTTCATCAAAATCGAGATCTGCGGGATAATGAGATCTCCTTTATGGAAGCTGTGCCCATCGATGTCAATGTCTTCTGCCACTGTCCGCAGCAAGTTGATCGGGAGAATGTTGGCGACTCGCTGGATCTCGTTGATTGTTGCCTGAGTGTACGGAAGCTTTGTTCGGTGTTGAATCTCAATTGTTGGCCGTCCAATGCTATCCAGTTCCGCTTGCACTTTCTCTTGAATGTCTTTGTTTTTGGCCATCAAGAGGAAAGCCCATTTGAGAGTGGTCACGGTGGTTTCCATTCCGGCAAAGAACAGGTCGAGAAGAAGCATTTTGAGTTGCTGATCACTGAAAGGAAAAAGTATGTGAACGACAGAATATGATCAGGAAGTTACTCGAAGAATCCAATGTCCTCTCCGTTCCTCTTCCTCTTTTCCACTTCGATCATGTACGCGAATGTCAAATCTTCCGGCTCCTGCTCGACTATTTCGTCCCTCCAATTGTCTCTGTGTTCTTGAATTTGACAGTCCAAGAATTGCAACAGCTCCTTCTTGATTCCCATTAATCTGTTCCACTCCCCATTGATAATCGGTATCTTCGAAGTGACCGGAAAAGCGATATAGGCCCCCATGATCGGCTGCATGACTGTGTGGGACTGGTCGTCGAGCAGGCTGTGCAACCTGTGCATGTACGAATTATCCTGGTTGAATCGGATGCCGAACAGCATGTTGTTGATGATGTTTCCCACGCAAACAGCTATGGAAGGGCACAGACGGATCTCCTTCCCTTCGATCCCGCACGATTGTTCCATATGGTTCATCAGAGTTGTCACCTGAACATTCCGTTTGCAACAGATACTTTCTTCCAATTTCCCCCACCTCCATAGTGATCATCTCCTCCATCAAAGGCCTTCCCACTCCGAAATCCCTCAAAGTGTGCAATGCGAATCTTCTCTGTTCTCTCCATTTGTCCCCGTCGATTTGGACGATTCCGTTGGAGCCCTCTGCAATAAAACAAAATAAAAAACGAGGGAGAAGCATCTGCGAAGCGGTCAAGCGTATAACAAGCGCGCCAATACACACACACACACACTTTTTGTGTCTCGAAACGGAACTCGCACTCAATTATAGTCATCCGGCGCCTTGGTCATTATATTAATCGGTGCGCGAGTGTGTGGGAGACGAAGAGAACTCTCACCCATAATCGAGTCGGTCACAAAGTTTCGCCACCGATTTGAGAAGGCGTCGGCGTGTTGGATGAAGTACTTTTTGATTGTGGGCAAGTCGGACACCTGGAATGATCACAGATCAGGTTGGAAAACAGAAAAAAACAGAGCAAAACCCCCGAAAACTCTCAAATTAGTCATTAATCGGTCAGATTCTCTCATGCATGTTTCGATGCTTTTTGTTCTTTTTATCCTGATCCGAATCTTCAGATGACTCACCATGACCAAGGGTATCGGGCCAATCCAAACGGTGAAAATCCCTCCGTACTGACGTTTCCAACATTGAAACAGGTCGTCGATGCTTTTCGCTGAAAACACGCAATGAAATGTGATGTCATCTCACAATATCGTTTGTTTACCCTTTGCGAAACTCGGCACATTGCCGGCCACAAGCCACGGCATCGGTCCTTCCGGCAGCCGCCTCCGTTTGTAATCCAGCTCATAGAAAAGATAAGCGACTGTGAGGATGGCAAGATAAATATAGGATGTCTGCAAAATATGAGCACCTGAAGGAGTTCTTTGAGAAATCGGAAAAACGAACCGTATAACTATCATAGCTCATCGTTTTCATGAGTCGAATGTAGAGAAAGGAGGTGACCAGGCAAACGAAGACCACATGTTTCAGCGACATTTATGCATAGACTGTGAGGTACGATTAGTTGGTGGGGAGAAGAAAAAGAGGAAGAGGGAAGGAGGAAAACACATCAAGAAGCGAGTTAGGCTGTGGGCAAGGATGAATAAGTAAAAGTACGACCGGTTGGAAGAGGAGTTTCTTGGAACATCCTCACGTTCATTAGGTGTGATCACAGAAACAAGTGTTAGCAGGGGGAAGAAGATTCAGGTGGGGGACGGGGAATCAAAAGACCGGAACTGCTGACGGCGGATTACGGGAGGTATTAAATGAACTTTTCGCTACAGTATTCTCAGAAAAGATCAACCAAAGTGGAAGGGTTTCTCTTTTTTTTTGAAATCTGGCGAGTAGAAACTACTAAGATAACAGTTCGGTAGGTAGAATGAACAGTTAAGTGGCACTGTGTTCATCGAAAGAGAAGGGGGTTCACAAGCATCGGATTGCGATCGGAGAGCGGCCGAGCGAGAGGGAGAGGGGGAGGAGGGAAGAATTGTGTCATCGAGTGAGGTACGGTTGAATAGTGCTTCCCGAAGCAGAGTAATCGGAGAGACGGAGGAAGAAGGCAAGATAAGCCAATGTGGAACGAAACGAGGGGGGACGAAAGGGAGGGACGAGGAGCGAAAGTGACAAAAAGTTCGCAGGGGGTCATGGTCTCGGCGGCAGATGATGAGGCTGATTGCGAGATCGGACGGCTTCTTCTTCTTCTTCTTCTTCTTCTTCTTCATCTTCTTCCCTGGCAGACACAGTTCTAGATGTGCTTGCAAATGATATCCGAAAGTATTCAGATAGTACAAGGATACAAATGTGAGATGGAATGTTTGCAGTACCTGTGTTTCAAACGAATTCATTTAAACATATACATAATCAGAATCAGAAACAGAATACCAAATGAATGCCTAACAGGATACAGTAGCCTTCAAATGAATGCAATCGGCGACGGCATCTGCAATTGATCAGTCACAGCCCGCGGATGTTTCATCTCTTTCGCCCGCAGAGATTCAGTTTAATTCCTCCATCGAGTTTGCGGTAACTTGTCGTTCTTCTCATCTGTTTGTCATCGGATTTGCATATGTCGTCGGAGAGGAAAGCGGCAGCAGCAGCAGAAGCGTCCGAAAAATATAAAGCGCTCGCTCTTCCATTCAGATTTATATTATTCTTATTATTAGTTCTATGTTATTAGTATTCAGCCGCAGTCAGGCAGCGGAACCGAGAGATTTAAGCTATTTGTATGTATGTGTGTATGTGCATGGTTATGGCTTCCCCCCACTTTCCCCCATACTTTTTTTTTTCTTTTATCTGCCAAAAGAAGGCAGGGGTTCGCCGGGAGAACCTTCATGAAAAGAGCTCTCTCTAGAGAGAAAAAAGGAGGGACTCGCCCAAAAATTCATGTGTGTTTTTGACGGAACTCAGTCTTCTGAAATAAGGTTTTGTCAGCCGTTGTCTCTTTTCCTTCTCCACCAGTTTTGCCAGCTCCTCCGGAGTTAAGACAAAGCCCTCTTCACACTTACTGGTCCCCAGGAAGCCCGGGATTTTCTGTGAAAATGAACCACTACGTCTCGAGAGTAAATAATCCGATCGGCCTCAAACCCGGACCAAAAATACTTCAATCCAAGTTCAATAAGCTTGTAGAGTTTGGGTCCTCGAAAAGTGGCCCAGCCCTGGCCCAAAAAGACCTTGACGGGGGGGGGGGCGTAAATGCGCTCCGTCGAACACAGTTTCTTTCCGATTATCAGTCGTCTCTGTCTCTCATTCTTACCCTGTTTCGCACGTTTTTCCACGGTTTCTCTCCTTCTCTCTCCCTCTTCCCTACCAGATATTTGATTGTTCTCCAGGGAATTGTTGCCCCCACACACAAAAAATCTGGGGCTCGCCGATTGAATGGCTGTTGCCGTAAATAGCAGCCGAGCTAGAATTCATTTTCAATTTCGTCGTGAAATTCAGAAGGCACATTCATTGTTGATTAGTTTTGCGCGTCAGCACGAGGTTGTTTGTGGCAGCGGCGAAACGTTAAAAAAGACGGGAATTGAAAAATGTTTCATTGTGCCACGAGAGTCGGCTTCTCGATCTTCAACTCGGACGAGAGAAGAGGAGCACGCTGGCTTAGTGCCAATTCGATATAGACAGCCGATTGGCAGCGCCGCTCTCGCTCGTGCTCTCTTGCTCTCACGGGCTCTCGTCGCCCCATGTGCTTTCTCTGGCGACTCGTCCGCTCATCTCCGTCTCTCCACTCTCAGCCACTTTCTCTTCGCCATTATACTGAGGGCTCAGGTCTTCTTCTCTCTCTCTCTCTCTCTCTCTCTCTCTCTACGAGTCCTTTTTTCATCATCGAATCAAGCACGCTCTCTCTCTCTCTCTCTTCCTTGTCACGGCAATAACACCCGGCATTTTATGAGGGAGAGAGAGAAAAAACTTGTTTTGAAATGTTATAGCTAAAAATATGTAGTTTGCATTTTCGTTCTGACTTTACTAATTGCCGCTCTCTGGCTTCGAAGCCCTAGTCTCACCGTCGAAAACAACCCGAAATCCCTGGGATTCCATTTCGATAATCCTCCAGATCATCCTGATAAAACGGTCTCTTGAAGGCCTTCCATTCCATTTTCAGCCCCATCACGTGCCTTTTTACCGCACGTTTTCCCTCGTTTTCGCATAAAACACTGCCCTCTCCCGCCGATGAACTAATGCATAATTCAGGCCGTCCGACGACTCATCTCGACATCATCATCGGCCCGCATCGAGACCAGTCGTTCGACTGCGTCCCAATGCAACAACCTGCCACCGATTCGGCACATCTCGCACCTATCATTTACGTGAGAGCACGTCTTCTTAAATGCCCCTCTAAATCTGTTTCGACTTCAGCTTCAACCAGCCAACGAGCCATTCGTCCATCAATCAAATGCTCCGTACGCCGTCGAGCGTTTCCATCCTTACAAGACCTGTTGGAATACGAATGCGGAAATCTTCAACTTGATCCTTGCCGCCGATCTGAATCCCGATTCACCATGCGTTTCAAAGCATTTATCAGTAAAGCCCATGTCGAGGTAGAATATTTGAATCCATTGAAACAAGTTAATATCCTTTATTCCAGCGCTCAATTCATTTATCCTCGTCTCGACGGCGCCTGGTTCAAAAACGACACGTACATCTGGCGGAAGCGTCGAGACGGCCGCAACACTCGCGAAGACCACATGAATCTGAAAGTGAACGGGAAGAATGAACTGCTGGGAAAGTACGTGCACTCGGCCATCGTGCCCACGTTTCATCGCAGAGTTTATATGCTTCCCAATGTAAGTTTCATCTTTTTCTCCGCTTTTAATTCCTTTTGCTTTAGAGCACTCATGTACTAGTTCATTATCTGAATGAAGCGCCGTTGGATACACCTTTGGAAGAGGTCGCAGAAGAAATCGCGAGAAGTATTAAAGTGAACAACGTGGTCATTTCTCTGGAGAAGCTTGTCGATCAGATTACAACTATCTGTAAGTCAAGTGCTTTCCATTTTTGCTTGAAAAACCTTATCGGCTTCAGATTATAATACGGATCCGGCAGTGATCGCACAGCTCGCGCGAGCCGTCGCAAATCATCTCAGGCAGAAAGGGATCGTGCTCCAGAACTCTCCGGCTCCCCAAATGCCAGTAACACCGACGAACAGAGAAATACAGCTGGAACGGAGGAATTCGTGCAGCTCGGCGTTCAAGAAGGGACTCTCCTCTGTGGCACTCAGAAGACAACCTTCAGCGAACAGCGAGATTGACGCGAATCATATTGGTGAGTCTTTTCTTTTTTGGAAGATTCATTTAACACGTTGCTCTACAGGAACCATGCTGAAACGTTTTGGCTATAAAGGCTCTTCCAATGACAAACTGTCCATAATCGCCCCCGGCCTTCGAATCATTCTCCCAACCGATTCCGTGCCAATCACGCGGCAATGGAAAGCAGATCTCCCTCCGGGGACGGAGAGTTCTCCCGTCCGATCACTTTCGAAGAGGACTCCCCACCGTACCAACAGTTCTCTATCAAATCTTCTACAAACGGCTCCACTCCAGCTTCTGCCTTTGCCGAAAAGATGAAGATTACGTCACAGGAGTCGCCGATGGGACCGCCCGCAACCCCTTCCACCTGCTCCACCTCCGCTTCGTTGACTCCAATTCTTGAGATGACTCCCGGTAGTTCTCCATTGAAAGGCGGTCAGAAGCTGCTGGTTGTCGGTGAATATTATCGGAGGGGGCAAGATTACAAGGTCTCTTTTGGCCGAGGGCGCTTGGCTTCCGCCTCCATGATCAAGGGAGGCGTTCTTTCGTGCATTATTCCGCCGTCGTCGAAGCCGGAAGTGGTTCAAGTACGCGTGTTTTGCAATGGACAGGTAGACGAAAACACCGAGTGTACTGCGAATAACAAATTCACTTTCAGCCGGTGTCAACAGGCTCCGAGTTCACATACGAAGCACCTGCGGAGCACGATCAGAAGGAGAACGACGACAAGTTGGTGCAGATATTCGAGAAAATACGAATAATGGCTTGCGCGTTCAACGCCTATTCGGCTGTTGAGGTATTGTCTATTTCAAAGATATAATAGTATTATTATTGTATTGTTGTCATTGCAGAAGATCCAATCGTCATCATGTATGGAAAGTCTTCTGACGAGCATAGTACAACAGATTGACAATGAAGTTACATCCCAAAGTACCAAATTTCACACCGAGTTGCTCAACGGCTCCGCGCAGTTCCCCTCCAAAACCGTTCTCCATCTCGTCGCCTCCTTCGACTATGATCGTCTATTTGAATCGCTCATTGATCTCAGTCGGAAAGTGCCTGCCTGTCGGGAGCTCAACATCTTGGCTCGGGACAACGACGGATCCACTCCGCTTCATTCGGCCTGCGAACACTCCTCTTCTCGGATTGCCCGTCTCATCATGTCTCTCGATCCAACTGCGATTGAAGTGGTCGACGATCGGGGGAGAACGCCTGTTGAAGTTGCTCCCGATCATGGGATTGCTCTGCTCGCGGATAAAAGTAAGCTTTGATATAATCTTCATAAATCCAGCAAAATCCGGATTTCAGACAACGAAGAAGAGCGAGTGAATGCCACTGAGCTGTGGGTGATGACGAATGGGAAAACGTTCACATGTGAGAACCTGCTCAGTGGAAAGATCTCTCGGAAACCGATGGCAGAAAAGGGCGAATTGATGCGAGAAGCCACTTCGAGTTACTCGGTCATGTCGGAAATGTACGACGGACAGCCGAGACTCTACCCGAGCACGTCCCGCGAATGCGATGAAGACTGTGAATCGTGCTATGAAGCCACCGAAAGAGGGCAGCTGCACGTGGAGATTGCCATGGATACAGATGTGCATGTGCCGGATTCTCCGAAGATGGCACGGTTGTTCCAGGCAGTCACCAGTCCGGGCATGGTAGTGACACCGAATGCTCGCGCGAGGATGGCCGATCTTGCCCGACAAATAATCGAAGCATTACCGGACAGAATAAAGAGAAACTCGGAGATGTCAATGTTTCCGGACGAGGAAGATTTCAGTCAATTCCGGGGAACGGATTCCCTTCTCTATCAGCCTAGCTGTTCGATGTCCGTGGATTCGCCCAACATGATGGACGACTACATTGAGATGATGGCTGCGGATATCGCTGCAAAAAATGATCCGTGAGTAGAAACAAGAGGGTCGCAAACTCAAGCAGTCAAAATCCCAGGAACTTATCCGTTTGCAGGTTCGCAGAGCCGCGATCCACCGAAACCACCGAAACAAGCGCGAGCCGATCTGCGCAGTTGTTCGCCTCACAGTGCAATGTTAGTAGTCCTCTTGTCTTGCAGATTGCGAGAGTTTAGTCTGTTGAGCGTGAAGTGTTCTGCTGCCCACGCACCCTTATTCTGATCCTTTTCAGTTCTTCGACGATCGTTCGTTTGCGTCGTCGTCGACAAGAGCAAACACGTTTGAAAGCGATACTCTGGACTTTGACAAGTTGGTTTTTGAACGAGCGTAGTTCACTGCATAAATAACAATATTACAGAGACCTCGGCGAGTTTTTCACAATCCACGTCGACCATTGCATCGACCCGATCCAGCAGAGACTGGCGAATCTCAAGTACAACGGTAAGAGGGAAAAGAAAAAGGTGTTCATCTCGCTGCTCACACATGTGAATCTCACGGGGCGAAATAAGAAGATATGTGTGGTCGAGCACACCGTTTTGACGTCACACGAGGAGTACTTCTTTTTCGGTCGAAGAATGCAGCTGACTCTTGGTTTTCATGGGAAAGGTTGCACACACTCTCTCTCTCTCTCTCTCTCTCTCTCTCTCTCTCTCTTTCCCTTCTTCAAGTTTGCAAACGAACTGTGGCTATTTCCTCCGTTATCCCGAATGTTTTGTTTCGCCGATCGGCTCTCTCACTTGAGAGTCCTCCCGAAACGGGGGGCACATTGACGTCAATCGAACACTTGAAGCTTCTCGCATCCCCCTTCCTTCAAAGACCGTCTAGCCGATCAGTCGACCTGGCTCCTGTGCTCCCAGCAACTTCTCATTTCGTTTTTCTTTGAAGTCGGCTCAGATTACTGGAATTTCTTCTTCCGCCTTCTCATTCTTCTTCTTCTTCTTCCTCTTCTTCTTCTTACTCTTCTCAATTCTTTCGCTTGTTTGCACCTTTCGCTTCCGCCCGTTATTGTTGATGTGATCCAGGTGTGAAACCGCCTCCCGTGGCTGTAAAATCATCGGTTACTACGAAGAGATTCCGCCCGTTTTATATCTGCACAGAGCATTCGCTCAACTTCGCGACCAGAAAGATTGCTGTCACTCGGAATAGTGCTGGTGTTTGAGCATATGTTATTACTTTCCGTGATGCTCTCAAAATGCAAAACTGATAAGCGTCAATTGGTCATGTGTTGCTGTCACCTTTCCCAGATTTATTGCTTTTTTCACATAACGTTTTTTGCATATCTTCCCCCGTCAGAATCGTGCAAAATTTCTTCCGAAACTCGCCCGTCTTTTCGTACTTTCAATCCGTTTCTTTCTGTCTGCTACTGTCTCTTTGAGTAATACAAGTACAAGGTAAACTAACGCCCACGCCCAACAACCCCGCTCATCAGATCCTCTCCGATCCGATCCTCTCCGATCGAATGCGATCGCGATCAGAGGCGAATCGGTCATCTGTGCTCCGCCTGCCGAAGGGCCCCTGAGGTCGGCTGAACCCTCCCCGACTGACGTCAATGGCGGGCGGCCAATTGTCAATCTGCTGGCCGAGCCGTCTCAGTTTCGTTCTCAGGAATTCCGAACTTGCAACCAAAGAGCCCGAGTGTCACTTTTGATGCAGTTTCCGCAAACTCGTTGTTATCTTTCGAGAATTTTACACAGTTCTCTAATGCCATTCTTTGGTCACTGGAACAATTGCAAACCGGGTTGTCCTCTGAAATTGTCTATCACAACAACACGATTATTTAGCACAAGACTTCGAACCTTTGCGCGGACTGATGATAAGAATGATAATCGCTTCCTCCTTCTCATGGTCAGTTGACCTCTCGACCCTCTCAACTTTTCACGGACTCCGCCCATCGAGTAAACTCCTGGCGCGAAGAGTCTGTGAGCTCAAACCATTCTTCTTTTCTTCTCTTGTCCGTTTTGCTCCTTTCTCTCTCTCTCTCTTTCTCTTTCTTATGAGCTCGTTGCTTTCCAGCCCCTCATTGCGTAGGACCGTGCTCTGAACCGAGCTCTCTTGGCGGAACCGAGCCACCACTAGATACCCTCCCATATTAAGAATGGTGTTCTCCCGATTGAACCCGAGACGGTCCGCTCTCGACGCTGACGATCACTTGTTGTACCGGGGATTCTGTGGTGAGCAGTGAGAATGGCAACACATTGGGATTCGGTCCGCAAACGATTCACTAAACCAATGCCCCTTCAGATGACGAACAGCGTGACGTGTACGAAGCGGCGATGGTAATCCAGAGAGCGTACCGGGAGTACCGTGCTCGCAGCACCACTCGCCGTCAAGAAGACATCGAACGTCGCGCGGCTTTAAAGATTCAGGGATGTTATCGGAGATACAAACAATTCTGTTATTTCAAGAAGCTGCACAACGCCGCCATCGTTGTTCAGAAGCACTTCCGAATGAGGAAGGTGAGTCACAGTCGCTCTCCGTTTCTCAACCGCGTTTTTTTTCTTTTCAGCGTGACGACAAGGAAGAAGGAGCTGTTGAGGCGGTGATCGCCAGTGTCCCGGAGCACCCGACTCTCGACGGACAGTCCATCTGCATCCAGGTGCCGAAGACGAACTCGACGCTTCTCCGCGAGCGGGCCGCCACCACCATCCAGGTGGCCTACCGCTACAGACACAGAAAGAGACAGGCGGCCGCCAGAAAGATCCAGAACTTCATGCGACAAAACCGTAACAAGTGAGTGCATCATCGAGTATTATGAAAACTCAGTATCCTATTGAACTTTGAAAACAAAAGTGCTCATTTAAACTATTCAGTACAATACTAGAAGACGGTCATCCGCATCTCATCGTAAGTTTCCTAAACATCGTTCTGTTCACATCGTTACGTGATAGTGATAGTGGCTCGTACACCCTTATTTCCCATTACAAAAGCATCTATTGACCACGGCCTTCATCCGAAACGCTTGCATATTTCCGTTGCTTTTAGGTTGCGGAAAATGCATGCGCAAAACGAAGACGGTACATCGCCTGCCCGAAAGCCAGCGGAGAGCAACGCAACAAACGAGATGCTGACGGCGAACGGAAAAGAGGTGAGTGCAAAAACATCGTGAATATCCTAAATATTGTAACTGTTTTCAGATGCTCTCCTCGATGCCCCAGACTACATTCCGGGCGGTTCATCCGCATCACATTATCGACCAACACATTACCATCAATGGGACCAATTGAAGCAGATCCCTGTGTACGGTTCCGGAACAATCGCATAATCGTTCTTGTTCCGCCCCCCTTTATTACGAGTTGTGAATATCCCAATCTAAGTCAGATTTTGTACCCTTTGAAACTTTGTGTTTGAATTAATAAATGTTCATTTTTGAGGATCACGCATCAATTTCAAATTCTCAGCTAACAACAATGGCGCCGGTTCTCGAGAAGGGATAAATTGATAAGAGGAACGGGATTTTTATGGAATGCGCGGAGAGATTTCCGCGCGGAATAGGCTAATATTCATTCATTTTTCACGATCCATTTTCTGTGCGCCCCAATATCGTTTTGATTCTGTGCCTAGTAGTTGAAAACAAAAGAGAAACAAGTGGATCAACTGGGCAACCGCCCGTTTTTGTCACTTCAAAATAAGGTCACTCGGCAGCAGATTTATATCGTCAGCCAACTACTCTCTTTCTCGCCCATCGTCAGCCTTTTTTTGTTTTCTGTTCGCTACCATCTGAATTGCAGACGAATGATTCGAAGACTGGGAGAAGCGACGCTGTATCGCGCGGAGAGCCCGTCGCAGAACTCGCTCGTTTCGCATCACAACTCGGACGTCTCACTGCCTTCTGTTGACTATTCCCAGGTGAGATTCAAACTATTTGAAGACGTGCACATTAATTCTAGGAGGACAGACATTCGTGCAACACCCTTGTCGCCGACGAATGGTCGCAAAACGGAGAAGCCATTCAGCCGCTTCGGAATCCGACTGAAACTCCCACTCCGGCCGGAAGAATCATCTCTCGTCGTGAGATTTCCAACACAGAATCGGATTTATGCAAAAAGGTCAGTGAGACGGAAAGATATTCAAATTGGCCTAATGGACCGATCGACCTCAGCACTTATGGACATTTTACAGCTTTCGCTGATAGTCGATCTCGTTTCGGACTTTGCGAACGACGCGAATCGGTTGTATGAAAGTGCAGACGAACTGTTGAAGGAGTTGAGAACTAAGATTCGGGTCTACATTTATTATCTGGATGTGGAGATGTCCGACGTCGAGAAGCTTCTTCGTTTCAACGTGGACAGATCGACCATTTGTGATGAGAGAATCGACTGGCTCTTGCATTACACAAAATGCCACGTTCGTGCCCCCAAGCCTTCTCAGATTAATTCCAAAACTTTAATTGCAGAAAGAAATGCGAAGAGTGCTGAATGAACTATCGGAAGACGTCTGTGAAGATCTAGAATCTTGTCTGGAACTGAGAGCAAAGGGAATAATCGGAAAGAAACCGAGTGCAATCACTCTTTCCACCCTTTCCGGAATGCGTGAAGGAATGCAAAAAGCAGCCAAGCTTCTCGGCTGCATGCCTCGTCAAAGGGCCTAAACTTTGAATTGACCTGTATATATTTTGTATCTTTTTTTTCTAATACAAAATAAATATTTGTTTTTTTCCAAAAATTGTAAATTTTGATTGAGTTTACTTGGAGCTTGCTGGTGCAAAATGCTCCCTTTCCTTTACCGCTTAAAGGCACATACCCAACTTTCAAATGTAGGTTTCGAACGGAAAGTGCACCTGACTACAGTAATCTGCAGTCGACGAATCGAATGATTTCTTGAGTCTTTTTCATTGTCTTTTCAACTTTTCAATTTTCTTACACTGCTTTCTCACCTAATAACTTTTTTTTGCTGAAACATCGTTAAAATAATTATTTTCAGCAAAAAATCTTTAAAAACTTGGAAAAAGCGGATGTCTCAGGTCCAAGACAGCTCGGAGTCTTCTGGCTACTCCACGTCGGCCTCCAGTGAGGTGAGGGAGTTTACATTATTTCAACTCTAAACACACAAATTTGTTTCAGTTTGGGAGCGTTGATGATCAATTCAAATTCCCAATATGCAGAGGTTCGACGAAACGGAAAGCAGAAAGCAACGTGAGGACTTTATTTACTTCTGTAAATACTCTTGCGTGTTCTTTTTCAGATTGAAAATCTGGACGAGCTGATGAGAGAGGCGCTGACATTGTCGCCCGAAAAGCGAGCTCGGATGAACATTAAAACTGCGATTCCCCGCTCACTGACAGATGAGCCGACTGCCGACGGAAGACCGCAAACTAGACGATCCAGTTCCAGTGACGTCGATGTTTCTCCTCGTGTTCGGACGTTGCGAGCTGCGGTTGGTCAAATCTGCTTTATACAAAATAATTTGGTGTTTGAGAACTCTGGGAACTCGATAGACATAGTTCGAAATGTGTCGGCTGTCTCTTCGGATTCGATCTCGCCGAAACTTCTGCAGCAGTACTCGTCGCCAAAGAAGCGCATCAGTCTAAACGAAAACGGATCGGTCTACTCTCGGCACCGGCTCGGCTCGACGTTCTCTCCGTTGGTGGCCGGAGCAACAAAGAAAGTGGGAAGTGCTGTCAACTATTTCAAAGCACACGTTGAGAGACGTAAGTAAAACTTCTGTCAAACAGTGATTCTCATTATCAGTTTTCAGCACTGCGCTCCGACAGTCCCAGATTGAGTAAACTTCGCAAATCGGGCGTAATAAGAATGAAGCGTCCGTTGAGTGACCGCCTGAAAGGATCATTTGAATAACTTCACCAGTACACAGCTCCCTCGATCTCTCATTCCTGAATCATATCCACTAACTGTCTTTCGTTTTCGCTTTCGATTTTCGTGCGTTATACTATACTGTCTGTGTTAATATCTGCACGTTTGATGTAATAGTTTGAATGATCGGATAATTTTATAAATGCGGATCTCAACACCTGCATCCCATTGAGTATATTTGCACGTAGCATTCGACAAAAGCGTGTTCCCATTGTGGAAGTGTCAAAGAGGGTAAAGGAAGGTCCGATTAGTTCTCAGTATTCGAGAGTGATCGAACGGCGGAATGTCTGACGAGGAAGAAGATGATGTCAATTTTAAGGCGGTTAGTTGAAGGTTCCAGAAGAAGGAAAAGTAATCGGATCTTTCAGGGCGTTGAAATCAGCAGTTCCAAAACGACGTACACTGTGGTGAAACTGCTCGGAGAGGGAGGCTTCGGAGCCGTTTACCTAGTCAAAGATAAGTCGGGAAAGCAGTTCGCGATGAAAGTGGAGCGGAAGATGGAGAAACGGAAGCACTCGAAGCTCAAGATGGAGATCGCCATTCTGAAGTTGGTCGGCAGCTCGAAGCACTTCACGAACATCGCTGACCGCGGGAAGAAGGACAAAGAGGGATACTTCTTTCTGGTGATGGAGCTCGTCGGAAAGAGTCTGGCTGATCTGAAGAACGAACGCGCAGAAAAGGTGTTTTCCTACGCGACGGGGCTCGGAGTTGCCACGCAGTGTCTTGAGGCCGTCGAGGATCTGCACAAGCACGGATTCATCCATCGCGATCTCAAACCACAGAACTACGCGTGCGGACTCGACACTCAGAGACATCTCATCTATATTCTGGATTTCGGAATCGCCCGCAAGTACCTGAACACCAAGAACGAGCTTAAGACGCCGAGAGAGACTGTCGGATTCAAGGTGAGAGAAAAGGAGCCCCACGGCCTTAACTCCACTTTTTCAGGGAACCGTTCGTTTCGCGCCTCTCGCTTGCCATCGGAACATTGAAATGGGGCCGAAGGACGACTGCGAGAGCTGGTTCTATCTGCTCATCGACCTCATTCTTCTCGGCGGACTACCGTGGCGCAAGATCAGCGATAAGAATGAGGTGATGAAAGCGAAGGAGGACTGTCGCAAGGACAAACGATCGACCCTCTACACGGGCATCAAACAGACGACTGAACTGAACAAAGTGCTCGACTACATCGACACGAGAGCCTACCAGGATCGCGTCGACTACCAGTTTATTTACAAGGCGCTCACTGAGGCGTGCTCCAACGCGGGACTGGACATCGACGCGCCGTACGATTGGGAAACGAGCAAGGAGCCGCAGACGAGCAAAGAGCCGACGTCGAACAAGTAGCACCGATTGTGGAAGTTTCGCGAATAAAAGATAAAATGTTTATTACAATTGGGGATTGACGAACAGGAGCGAGTGCATCGGGAGTGCTGTGAAACGGGATTGATAAGTGGAAGAATGGGGAAGGATTCTGTGGAGATCTCGGGCACAAGCGCCTACGTCGGAAAGAACATCACACTCTACTAGCCGAGGATGCCTCTTTAATAATTTACAAACTTTGGGACGGGGTGATCAGAAGGCGAAGTGGGAAGCGGAGAGGGCATGAATTTAGCGTTTGAAACTGGACGGGTCGTCGATCTGGAAGAGGTGCGCGTCGGCGGCATCAATCGGTTTGTCGTCGGAACGGATAGGAAGGAACTTTCCGTCGTCGATCGACTCGAGTGTTGGGTCCGGAGAGATAACGTTCTCTTCGGCGGCCTGCTCTTCTGCCGGCTGAACCCACGACTTCACGTTCACTTTCTCTGGTCTGTCGGCGGAAATGACAGTGGACTGAGGAGCGACGGCGTCGTCCGAGATGACGTCCATGCGAGCATTGAAGTCATTGTTCTGCTGCTGCTGCTGCTGTTGCAATGGCTGCTCATTCCACTGGGAAGCGGTCGGGTTCGGCTGGAATGGCATCGCCTGGTTCTCTTGCGTCTTGGCCATCCAGTCGTCGTTCTGCTGCCACACCTGAGGAGCTCCGTTGTTCATCGGCATCTGATTCTGATTGTTGTCGTTGTACGGCTGATACCATGGCTGTTGTTGCGATTGCTGTTGAGCCGGCTGTTGTTGGAACTGAACGACTGGAACTGGCGGGAATCCGGGGAAGAAACGTGGCTTCTGGAAGTCGTCGTTCCACTGATTCGTCTGCACTTCCACCGGCTGACGTTGTTGTGGTCCCCACCAGTTGGCCTGCTGTTGCTGGAATCCGAATTGTGGTGGCGGCATGTTCCACTGGAATTTCTGGGGGAACTGCTGAATGTTCTGTTGTTGCTGCTCTGGCTCCGAGTAGTCTTCGTAGAGGTGGCTCTCGAATCTGGAAAGGGTTGAATGAGTTGAAAGAATCGGCGAGAAAATAAGCTTAGTCAAAGGAAGAAAATGAAAGAAAGTGAGTAAAAGCACCTGTTGAAAGGACCAAATGGACGGTTCATTCCGTGACGGTCGAAAGTGAGACGGCTGGAAGGAAAAAGAAGAAGAAGTTGCCCCGCACACAATCAGACAATCAACTCACTCATTATCATAGGCATCATTGGCCTGTCCAAAGTCTTGATGTGGCATCGCGTACTCTCCGAATCCATCGGCCAACGATTGTTCGAACTGAACATGTATTCGTAAAAAAAATACACTGTTTTTTTCTGAAATTCACACTCACCGAAGCGTTATCCTCGACGCTCGTGTCCTTATTTCCAGAGAAAAGAGGCTTGACCTCGACGACATGCACTTGCATATCTCCCTTGAGTCCCATGCTCTGCGCGTGCTTTCTGATCTTATCCATCAACGCTTGAAGAAATCCAAACTTCTCGGTTTGCTGAAAAGCATTCACATGTTTTCTGATGTTTCTGAAGTCCCACCTCATTTGCATATTGACTGAAGACTGGTTTGACACCATCGTTCGACTCTTCCGAAGAAGATGCGGAGGAAACGGCGGACGAGGCTTTGTTGTCTTGCAACTGCGCCGGATGGATGACATCAACGATTTTCGGTTTGATAGGGTCATCGCTTCGGCGAAGAGGCAGTGCTTCAACGCTGCAGAATTCATTGGTTTGGAATTTGAACGAATTGGTCAAAAGTCAAACTTACGGGGACTGTTTCTCGAGGGCGAGGCGGTCGAGTTCTTGTTGCTGTGAGAGCAGTTCGTAGCCCAGCATGCGCTGTCTGAGCTCCGCCCACTTCAGACGAAGGAACGCTTGGTCACGTTGACGATGGTAGGCGACTTCGGAGATGGCAAGACAGAGAAGGACGAGGCAGCAGGCGCCGACAAACCAGGAGAGGACTGGAGGTGAATCTAAGGGTACAGTAATCGAGGGAGGGAAACTCACTTCCACAGGTGAATCCATTGAATCGGCGCTTTGGAGACTTGGCGATCACAATGGCCGGGGACTGGAGCGGGGACTCCCGAAGTGACCGACTCAATCGGGATCTTCGTTTCCTTTCCTTCTTCGGCAGCCCGATCGGCCTTCTGATTCTCGTCGAGTCCCAATGCAAACACCTTCATTCGCGGCGATTGATGGACCTGGAACGAGAGAATTACCCATATTCCGGTATTGTTTTTCTGGATGAGCTCTAGCAATATGTCATGATTTCGGAACGGCGTGAGGGGAAATCGTCACAACAAACAGGCTATTTGTTCACTAGTTCTGTTGGTGGCAAGTGCTGTTTGCGAAGAAGGGAAACGCCTTGACTGACTGAAATGTATAATGACGTGGCTCACGGGGCGGGATGGAATGGATGTCAAGAATGTTTGTGGATCTGGGCTTGGCATTTCCGATATCGAAGACGAAAGGTAAACAGAAACACGCCGAGTTGTGGCGAGTGAGATGGAACTTTTTTCAAATAACTAATCAAATAACTGTTTCTCTCAGAGCTCTGGCAGAAGATTCGTTGCTGTTCTGGATGGTGAGAGTATCGGAAAAGTCTCACTAGAGCGCGGTTGTTTGAAATAGAAAAGACTGTAGAGTGAAGCCCAGTTAATGAATGGTCAATCGCGTTCTAATCGGCTCTTTCGGAAGAGAGAAGCGAAAAGTGATTCGGGCCGGCGGGGTGGGAGGGTGCATGTGCAACACAGCACAACCAGAAATAGCGTAGTCGGGGCACTGCGACCGTTGAAAAGAGTGATATGTGCCACCGCTTGGCGCCAGTCCTCCTCTCCGTCCGTCCGTCCTTCCCGCGCGGCAAACACACACTACCGGACCGGAGACCAGTCTTTTCTCCGCGCACCTGCCAGTCTCCGGCCGGATCGTCGGCGTCTCCTCGGTCGGAACGAACTCTCTGGTTGGTTCCCATGGGCTTCCTTCCAGCACGGACATCCGAGCCGAAAAGAAAGACAATCGGAACGCACACTTGGGGAGCCGCCGGGGGCTGTTTGTCGATGAAAATGCCTTAAACGGCAACCACAACAATATCAAAAAGTTTGTTTGTTTCGTACTTGACCTCTTGTCTCGTACTCTGGAAATGAGACAGAGTGTCTACTTTGATGGCGACCTTCTTCCTTCTTTCTTTATTCGCCGTAGATGTAGATGACATCAAGACTAAAAGTCATCGTGGGCCAATAAGTAGACCCGCTGACACGCGCATAGCCTTCATTTTTCGACAATGAAAAGTGTTGTTATTGTTGCGGTTCTCTCAATTCTCCCGTCTCTCACTGACGCGTCTAACGCAACGACGAAACGAGCGACTTGTCCGAACGGCTTCAAACTGTACGAAAGAACACCGACGGCGCGGAACAAGTTCACTAAACAATGGTGTTTGAAGGTAGGTACAGCGCGACGCATTCAAAAAAGGAACCCGGGGTTCAGGTGGTCGAAAACGAAGATGTTTATGATCGGCCTACCGCAAGATCCGTCTGTATGGACTACGACGCAGTCATCTCAACGGTGGCGAACCAGAAGGAACTTGATGATGTTAATGGTAAGGAAGGAAAGGAAAAGAGACTCTTTATATGTCGGAATGTACTCTCGGGCCAAAGTTTGATGAAAATGTCCTTAAATCACATGATCACTAGATTTATCAGTTGAAAGAACACAGAGTAGTCTGTGGAAATATGCAAAGGCATTCCTTTTTCATGCCCAAAATTATGCAACGGAAAGCTGAGCAAATAGCTAGAAAAAGAGGAGATCGTACTGTTAGTACTACTTGTTTTGCTCGTTCGATCACATAACCACTTCAGCTACCGTATTTCAGCGCTCATCCGAAAAAACAATAAACGAGTGGCCGTCGACGGAGTGTTCAATCCGAAATGTCGCGGTTTCAGCGACTGGCGAATGAGAAAGTTTGGGGGATTGTGTGCGAAGGAGAAGGAGGTGTGTACGGGCGGTGTCGCCAGTCTCTCAAGTACTCGTTCAGCTTTTCATCCTCGAGGACGATCACACTGATCCGGCGTTCATCTTCAAGAAGTGGACTGGAGAGCCGCCCACGACATCGGACAAGTACCAAGAGAACGGAGATTCGACGTTGGTTTTGAAACGTGGGGGAATGGAAAAGATTATAGGGAAGAATTACAGAGAGATCTTCACAATTGCCGAATGTCTCTCACTGAACAACCTCATCGCACTGGGCAATCAGGGCAATTTGAAGGACTTTTTGTCAGTCAGGCCACTTTGTCTCCCAATTCTCAAGTGTATCGTTTTCAGGTGTGGCGAGGAACCGGACAAGCAAGTCGGCGAGGTCGCCTTCTTCGGAGTTCTCTGCGGTTGTCCGCCTGCTTGATGCTGATCTCATTATTACGTTTTACATGTCCACAAAATGAATTTTGCTACACGTGTACGTGACGAAACCGAAGCAAGATACCGTACCCGATGAGCATTTTATGATACACCCAAAACTATAAACAGTTGTGGCTTCTCCGAAGACAACGTTTTTATGATAGAAATAAAGTTGCGTTTGTTCCGCTTCCGGTACAAAAGGGAACGATTGTGCAGCGGAAGGCACAAGCCCTGAAAGATGCTCTCTCTGTTTCTGGCCCTCTTATCCGTCTGAACAGTGCAATCCGCCGATCCGAAGTGTGCCGAAGGGTTCACTCTGTTCCATAGAACACCGACGGCCAAGAACAACTTCACAAAGGAGTGGTGTATTGCGGTGGTCGACTCAAAGCTGAGTGAAAATCGAGATGATGCAGTGTCGGTGTGCGCAACTTTCGGCAGTACCATCACGTTGCCGGAAAATGCGAACGAGCTGGAGTTTATCACGAGTAAGCACGTAATGAGAACAATCGTTCACATTCTTTTCAGAGAATATCAACATCAACGACGCGAAACTGGTTGCTGTCGATGGAGAAGTGACCCCCAAATGTAAGCACGTTGCGATGAAGCACAGATATGCCAATTCTACCAAAGACTGTCAAATGGACACCAAGGTTTGGGTTAACTTCCACATCTGCATAGCTATTCTTCATTTCCAGCTCTTTGAGTACTACGACTCCAACACGGATCCCACGTTCATCAAAACTCAGTTTATAGACCCCATTCCCAATCGTAGGTCGGCGTTCTACGACAGCAGCTACCCAATGTAAAAGAGGTCCGAAATGAGAGACTGTTAATGAACATATTTCAGAAAACGCAATTATGCGGGTAGTTGTATGGTTGTGACGAAGAGCGATTCGAACAACGTGACGATATCGGTTCCGGAAACGTACTTTTGCAATGGACAGCTCGTCAACAAGAATAGTGCGAACGTCCAGAGCGTTGCTTGCGGACGACACCCAAATTGACAAATCATGTTTCAGATTTAATAAAGTAAACTATCATGTTATAAACGTCAAGATTGTTCCTCGGAGACGGAGTACGGTCCCAACGAATCGGAAAGTTTCGTCAGTGACAAAATCAAAAAAAAAAACAACATGGCATGGGTACGAAGTAGAAAGTGGTAATACACGATTTAGGCGACGACTACTGGATTTTTCGGCATCAGCAGGCGATTAACTTTTTATGGTTGGCAGACTTGGTAAAGTGTATTCACAGTAGTCGGTATCAGAATTGGGGGTGGAAAGAAGGAACGAAAGAAGTTATGTTGTGTGGACTGACTGTCTGATTGAGTGAGCGAAGAATAAATGAATGTGAATAGAACAACGGGAACGAGAACGAGAAGAAGAAGAAGAAGAAGAGGAAGAAGAAGGAGAAGTAGAGAAAGTGAACTGGTTCGAGTGGATAACGAAGACACACTTGTTACCGAGCGGGCATTCATTCGGAGGGGACACCTTCCTCCCAAAGTGCCTCTGTTTTTATTGACACTGTCGGAATGCTTGACTCTTTTTGCTCGTTTTTCGAGTTGTTTTCGTCATTTCAAAGTGCTCAGCACCTACCATTTCGTTTCCCTCGACCTTTTGGAATTGGGAACTATCTTTGGAAGAGGAAGTAAGGGATCTGCATCTATGAAGACAGACGGTACTCACACTTCCAGTTCCTATTTGAAATCGTTCACTAAAGCAAACATGTATGTCAAATTGCAGAGACCTCAATGATCAGTCTACAGTAACCCACTCACACTCAAAAATGGGCTTGCATTAGATTCACGGAAGGGAGCAGAAATCAGGCACGAAAAAAGAAGTTTTGGGTGGTGGTTGCAGTCACGCGGATTGGCGGAAAACCGAAAATTGCGAGATGAAAAGGACGGTCAGGATTATTCGTCATTCGGAGAGGAAAAACAGGAGGAGGAGGACGGTGACCGCCTGGGGCCGACGGACATCAATTAGGCGCAAACGAGGGGAACACTTTCGATGGCGATGTGTGAGGAAATGGGTTCCAGTTATTATTACTGATGGTGATGATGATGATGGTGGGTCGAATGAGTCAATCCGCACTGTTTATATGATGATGGAGGAGGGCTCATGGGGAGCTGCTGGAACTGGTTCCCGCGGAAGGAGCTGTCATGACAAATAGCAAACAAAAGAGAGCTCACTGTACTCACCGGCTCATAGTGATGTCGATACGTGTTGAGCACTCGCATTTCCAGAAAATAATCAGAAAAGTGTGGAAACGAATGCTAGGGGAAGAGGACGACTGGCGGCTAAAAGTGGGACACGGTGGCTGGTTTGTCTATAATCCGCTTCCAACTTTGTATCATGACTGCACCGCCGCCGGTAAGCTAGTTATTCTCAAATGGAAAGAGGATAAACTAAACGCACCATTTGAGATCTCATTGTGAGGTTGGCTGGAATATTTGAAGGGGAAGGTTGCCGAGTGACTGTGAGACGGGCGATTCCTCTGTTTATAAGCTCTCTTTCGCTCAAATAAAAGTTGGGTGTCAAAATCGTTTCGCTCAAACTTCGCTCAAGCTGCCGAAACAAACAGATTAATGATTGAGAGTAGGAGTGATGATTCTAATTTTATGGATTTTAGAAAAACCTGGTAAGAAGAAAAGGAGAAGCCCGAATTCTTTCGGACTCAGACCGGGTCCAAAAAAACTTGTGAAAAGGAAGCGAATGTGTGTTCTTGCTTCCTCTCTTCGCATGTTTGTGTTTATACTCGTACTACTTCAGAGCGTCTTCCTTTTCTTCGATTACTGGATAAATACACTCGTGTTTGCATGCAGTTCGTCGCCGATCCTTTCAATATTTTTTGAAGTTTCACCTTAAATAGAAGAGGCTCCATGCAGCTAAGTATCTTGTCTGCGATTTGTTGAGGTCGTTTATAAACGTTCAACTTCAAACAAAACAAAACAACAAATTATCACTATCGATCGACAACTTTGACTTCATGAACGTTCTCTAAATTCAGAGGAACTCCCTCATCTTCGACCAGTGGGATACTGTAGTTGATGGCCTCGTGTGCCTGGCCAGTCGCCTCATGAGGTCCCTCCAGTTGGGTCAGGTCGATCATGCTGTCTTCAGAATGAGGTCCCACTTTGACGCCGACCGCGTGAAGCACTTCTGTGAGCCGTTTCGAGTAGTCCATGTGCCCTTTCACCTGAAAAATGAAGATGTGTTTCGTGGAAAGTGTGATCTGACGAATGACGAACAATGTGGCTCAGGTTGTAGTTGTAGATCTTCTTGTTGTTCTTGTTGTTCACTGGTCCCGTTCCGGCGATTCTGATCTGCGCACTCATTGTTCGATACAAGAATCTGAAACTTCACGCATAAATATCGATTGCCTCTCCTTGCTCTACCTCAACAACCAATCAGTTTCACAATACCCATTGATTATCCGACCACTGACCACACTGCAAACTTTCGCCCATTCCTTCGGCGACGCGGTCACCGGGGCTCCCAGCAGAATGACATCTTCAATGATCCCTACGCTCTCCGATCGCTTGCTCATCGTCAGAAGACAATGGAAGATGACCCGTGCGCCCAAACTGAACCCGATCAGAGTGATCGGTCTCTTCCCGTGCGACCTGCTCAACAGAACTTCTGCCAGGTGCTCTCCGACTTCTGTGGCTCTCGAGACGCACACATTCCACGGATTGTCGAGCACCGACGAGACGGACATCAAGGCGACGGGCCAAGCGACGGCGGAAACGAGGCCTCAAGAGTTGACGGGTTAAACGAAGGCAAGGGAACAGCTACCTGCGAGAGCGGTTTCCAGAAGAGTCTGTTGGATGGCGACGGAAACGGCGAAGCTCATGAGGTACTCGATGGCGTTTCCGAGTTCCATCAGATAATTGCTTTCGTACCTGAAATAAGGAAATGAATGCGACCGACCGCGATTTCCTCCGAACTCCTACCTCAAAGTGTACTGCTCTTTGGTGTGCCTCAGATGTCTCCATTGGTGCACGAATGCCTGCTCCGGACTCGTGTCGCTCTCTATCCATCCGCTGACCACAAGTGTACAGCTCAGGCTGACCCCTTCGAAGAGTGTCTCCACAGTGAACTCCTCGATTGCTCCGACCCGTTTCTTCATTTTGTACCCGGTGAATCCAGCCCCAGCAACTCCCATAGTCGTGCCCAGAACTGCTGCTCCTGCAGTCGTGGCCAGTCCAGCGACTGCAGTTCCTCCTCCGATAAGCATCCCGGCGGAAGCGGCGACGAGAGGGGCGGCGAGTCCTCCGGTCAGTCCGATGAGCACGCCGCCCACGCCGCCGGCTGCTCCGATCATCAGGTATCGCTTGATCTTCTTGTTCCGCGCAGTCTTCTCTCGTACTACTCGACTTTGTCTGCAAAAGGAAAGGATCACGGATGATATTGACGGTTATGAGAACACGTGTACACTTTACAATCACAACATTTCAATGCCTACCCATCAGATAGCTTCCTTGTAACTCTGAAATATTCTTTCCGTTCAACATCTCTCTTCCTTCTGCCTATTTCGGTTTTCAACTCACTCTGACTCCACAAACTGCTCATCTAGGAGATTGCTGGCTAACGAGTCCTCGACATCTTCGAACTCACTCCAAACCACTCCGAGCAAAGTGGTGAGATGTCGGAGCAGCACTCGGTACCGGCTGTCGTAGTTCCCTGAGGTCTTCGGCAGTTCGCTACTTCTCTATCATGCTAGTTTTACTCACCTGCGTTGACGAATGCAAAGAGAAGAGCGGCCAGGAAAGGAGTGGATCCTTCCGTTTTGTAGACAGGATCTTCTCGAACGGACATAATCATCGGAGCAATGTCGGTGAGCTCTTCCTCGCCTTCCAAATGCGTTTTCATTGTTTTGATCACTTTGTCGGGCAAGTCGAGACATTGGGTGACAATATTGAATGTAGATTTGCAGAAGAATCTGGAAAAAGATCAGAAGTTGAAAGAAACGAAGAAGGAGAAAGCATTCTAACATAGAATTTGGGTCGTTGTCATCCCAAAAGTCTAGTCGGAGTACTGTAGTTGTGAGATTGGCAAGGGCGAACCGAGTGGCCGGCTGCAGGACGATTGGGGTTTCCAAAGAACGATGACGTGGCGAATCTGAATAAAAATTCAATAGAGCGCACTTTGAAAAGTGTCGATTCTCACTGCTGGAAGAACTGGAAGTGGTGGAAAGGTTCCGTTGGGGAAAGGTTTTCGCCAACGTCTGAGGACTTCGTTTCGACTGAAAGAAGTAAGAAAACATAAAAAATGAATACAGATGCAGGTGGAAATTAACAAAACGGCTTCAGAATTCCACCTGTGAGAATGGCTACCGTAATCGCACCTCATCACTGGAAGTGGAAGACGTTGAAGGAGTCGGCGTCGCACACTTGCTCATCGAAAAAAAGAGCCGCCGGAGAGCTCGCCTGAATGAATGAGATTCGTATTCTTTATCTGCTCTGCGGACGAGATTCGTCTTTTTTTGCAAATGTACTCGAGATTGACAAAAGAAGGAGCACGTCGGCCGAACAACGAATTTGTGCTTTTTAACCGGAAAGACGAAATCAGCGCTTTTGTTGTGTGCAAAGTGTAGAATAGAGGAGACAGTAAAAGAAGAATACCCTAAATTAGTGGAAAGAAAGAGGAGAAAGTGAGGGCGAGAGAACGAGAGGAAGCAGGCTTCAATTAATTAGTGCTTTGCGTTTGAATTCTGGAAATCTCTCTCGAATTGGAGTAAACAGAAAAGAGAGAAAGAGACGGAGAAACCGACAGAAGTGAAAACTGGTTGAGAAGTTGGCAACTTTATGTCAAAGAGGAACCAATTCTGAACTTTCCAAATTGGTGGGGTCAAGGACTTTCCTCGCGCTTTACCGCTCAAAAGGTCGCGGCCACGGCCGAGTATTTCCGTGGGATTGCGCTAGAGCGACTTTGCCTACGTTCTTGACGGAAAGCAGACACTGTGTGATAAAAAACGATACGTTTTTTGCTTGAGTTCAACGCGAACCGAGCAAAAATCTGAACCAATTTGGGCAGTACACGCAAAAAACGAGACAGTGCGGTAGAAGAGACAGAAAAACAGTGCGAAAGACGGAGACAGTCAAACAGAGACGGCCAGGCGTGGCATATTTATGTTTGTGAGCACACGCCCCCCGGCGCCATTCACTGGCTCTTCTGTCCGATTTCGGCAGCTCAGTGACGGCAGCCGGAACAAACCAAGTGTTTGTGTGAAAACAATTGAAAAACATGAAAGAAGAGGAGTGGAGAAAAAGAGACAAAAACTAACCTAATTTAAAACAAGAGAGGAGGGGGAAAGGGGAAAAGAAGAGGATGGGGAAAACGGGAAGGGGAAGCTCTTTGAGAAGAGATTAATTGGATATGAGTAATCTTGAATAACGTTTGCTCATTGAGCACAAACTTTGTTGCCTAAAGACCGTAAGTGGCTCAATCCCAGCTTTGGACTTTGCTCGTCTCAAACGGGGCGCCACGTGCAAGATGCCTAGAAAAGACCTTTGTTTTTCAATTTTGCCGCCGAATTAACTGGTATTAAAGTGAGGAGGCGGCCTGTGACGAGCCCGGGGCACAACGAGCACAATAAATAAGAGAAGGCCGGGAGGGAGAGAAACACACACAAACATTTGATTGATTTATGGCCGTTTTTTTCCAAATTGGAAGTGGACAAGAGACACGCACACTCGTCCAACTGAATTCCCCGAAGAAGCATCAGTGCGCATCAGGTATTCATTATTTGCTCCTAAATTCGCACATTTATCGAAAGAGGTTCACGCTGCTGGTCTGCGTCTCTTGGTTTCAACGAAAAATTGAGTGAAATGAAAAAATAATCGGGGTGGGAAGGGAGGGGGCACATCCTATTGAAGTGACGACCGCGACATTTCCATTGATAAGCGGCCGAAATGCTTTTGGGGAGAAGTGATGTGTTATGACAGAACTTTTGTGAATATATTTCTTTTCAAAAAAAGGAAGAAGATCAATAACAAAATAACGAAGAACGAGCTAGTGAATGAAGCATTCATGCTTTCAACATGTCCATGTAAGCCCCGACAAGCAAGTCCGACTCGGCAACTGCCAGTTGCTTTCGAATCTCATGAGCGATTCGTTCGCCGTGCTCCGGGGTTTCCTCCGGCGTCAGGCACACTTCCAACTCCACGAAGTCGCCGAGTCCGTCGACTCGATCGATGTGGATGCGAGTCTGTCCGTGGAGCACTAGAGTCCTCGTTTTCCTTACTTCTCCCTTCACTCCCATCGACGATTGGAGCGAAAGTTTCAGCGCATCGAGCACTGCGGCGGGCACGTCGAATTTGTTGAAGCTGCTAAGTTTTGGGCCAGCAACATCCGGACGGTCGTACCAAATGAGTTCCGTGCGTGCCTGAGAGACTTTGAAATCAAAGAGAGTGCTCTAGATGTCACTCACCACTCCGTTTTCTTCAACGCTTCGCATCTTGAGGCGTCCATTTGGTGACTCGTAAAAGATGTCATGCTGCCTGTAATAAAACGTTTATTTTCAGATTTTTTTCGTTTCAGTTTAAAAGAAAGGAGAATGGATTCCGAGAAACCAGATAATGTTCAGCGGTTACTAAAACTTTTTGTGAAAATTCTGCTTCTCTCTGACAGTATTTTATTCTGACTCACTTCAAAACTGACGGTTTCTTTCCGGAGATCTCGACGGCTCTGCGAACTGTTTCGTCGTGGTCCCGAACTTTCGCTTTGACTTCCACGTTTCTTGACATTGCTTTCTGCAATTTTTCTCTCTGCTTCTTGCGGAAAAATCGGCAAAAATGATGAGTTTTCGAAGTTTATCGTCTTCGTTTGGCGCCCGGACATTTCAAAAACTTTTTCTTGAGTTTCGCGGCGGTCGTGTAACCTCACGGCCTACGCCGCGTGTACTCCTCTCGGAGTCGGCAGCGAAAACATCATTACTCACTGGCATTTTTCGCTGCTTTTCATCCATCGTTCTCTCTCGAATTGACAGGCGAGACGAATAATAACTCGTGAACTTGGACCCTCTTCTTCTCTTTCATAGTGTCCACTCAGTCGCATACGTCCTAAATTGACGAGTTCACGCAGACAGTAGTATTTCGGGGGTGCCCAATGCAAACATCGCCGCACCCGGGAGGACATTTTCACGTTGATTCCGCCTAAGCGGAAGTTACACCCGAAAACTATCGAGGTGGCTGTTGCCTCCGTTGCGTTCCCTCGCGCAAAAGCTTAGCTTATTATTGATTTTTGTGTCTCATTTCATTTGCGGCAGATATAGCCGTCCAAAAATTCAATGATTCCACGAGATCCAATCCAACACTGCACACTCTTTTTCATTTCGTAATATTTATCTGAAAAAAAGCGACACTTTCCATTCGCCCCTTCCACTTTCGCTTCCCCTTTCGCGATCGCGTCGGAAGATACGGATGCCGTCTCTTCCTCATCTACTTCACTTTTCCACTGC